ACGCGGAAGAGGTAAGTCAATAAGACAAAGGCGAAAGCGCTATGTAGGTAGTGGATAAACGAAGCAATTATTCATTAAAGGCGCGAAGGAGAAAAGCGCCAGCGGAATCAGAGCAACAGGATTACAGTGGATGGATCGGCAGAATTCTTTCCACTACTGACCGCCTTCTGTTTCAGTCATCCCATCACTATAGAGAGCAGTAAATACTTGATTTTGAATTACAGCCACCCAGTTTAGTAGTTAGTCTAAAGTAATTTGACGAGAATGTTATATTTCTCTTCCCTTATTTATGAGAAGACAGCTAGTTCGAATAGCATTGACGCTGTTGATAAGTGTCAACACGCATCACGGTGTCACGTGAGCTAATCCCGGCACTTCTGTATACATGACGTCATATGTATCGGTGCCTGAGACTCACTTGTCGTCCGTATCAGTTGCTATTGGGAATGATATTCTGTAGGAGTTTGCTATATTATATGTTGCGGATGCAGTTTCAACTCATTGAACCAGGTATCTATATCCCTAGGTTCAGGCAAGGAGAATCGTTAGAGCACTTGCATATATATAGCGATGGGTTTAAAAGCATTCGACGAGCACTAACAGTCAGCGTCAAATATCAGCCCACACACTTTGCCATACAATCAAGACAGATGCTGCTACATATTTACATATTACGATTATTTACAATGTAGATTAGGAGACATGGGTAAGAGAGACAGCTGGTCCAGCTAATCAGGTTCAGATTTATATCAGCTATCTAAATACTGTCTTGTTCATACATCTTAGGGTTGATATCAGAATCATATAAGTTCGGTAGATAGATCAAATATTACAGTTTATAGTCTCGTCTTCTGTCTGATCTCAAGAACATATAAAAGATTCGATATCATGGATAGAATTGGTGGGTCTTAAAAACTCAGGTACATGAGATCCCCGGATGTTATTCGTTCTTGACATGCTTTGTCTCCTGGTCTCAGCTTTCGATCCCCACCAAATGCTGAATGACTCAATCACCTCAGTGCACTGCTGGTTGTCCAAGAACCAGGTCCAAACTGTTCCAGCCATGGGCTAGTGGAGAACCGTTGCATGGCGACGATCCGGCGCAGCTAGCCGACCGCCGTTAACCGTGTGGAGCAGGCTATTAGAGCGGAGTGCTGGCAACACAGCAATGTCTTTGTGAAAGATCCAAATGGATAGTCATCGGGTTCTGACATATATTCGACTATCTGGTTCTTCCCTGGTTTTTGATTCGCTGGTCGTCAGTCATATGTGATGGTCGCGATTCGTTGCTTCTCGTTTACGGATATCAAGGTTACCAGGACATTGGAAGGAATGTTTCTTCTTTATTAAAGAATTTATTGGGAGAGGTAGGCTTCATGGATCCAACATATTAGGCGTCCAGGTTTACACGAGGTACCAGGGGTAAGAGCTCAAGGATCGATGTCCCATGATCCAGTACCTGAAGCTCTCTAGCTGCTTCTGGATAAGCAGGGGGCTAGTGCGGAGAATTGGAGGCATTTTGATAAGGACTTCTGGAATACGAACGGATCGTGCCGACACGTTCCTGGATATAATAAAGTGATACTGTTATCTCCCCACATACCATGGAAATGTTGTGGATATCAGCCAGGTCAAGCGCTCCCAGTGCTGTCCAGCATGCTGGTGTAGTGGCTGCCATACAATCAATGACACAATAGTCTGATCTATGGATAAAATTGACACAAACTACAGGAACCTGGGGAGAATATCCCCCAGAAGGTACCTCTTCCCTGGGACACAGCCTCTGCGCCTTGACTGGATTCTGAATTCGACCCCGACAGAGGTTACATCCACTTTGACACCGCAGCCAAACCGCTAATAGGCCCAGGGATATAACGCAGGTTGGCATTGCAACGCTGGGAGACGCGATTAAGATTAGGGTGAGATTAGTATGCAGGCTAAAGACAGCCTAACCGCAAGCGCCGGCTCAGATTCGCCTGGAATGTTGTGTCTCATTCCACTCTGTCAGGGATCTATATTACCCCCGCGGATCCTTTCCAGGTCAGGTTAAGCCAGCCTGCATAATAGGAAGATGGTCTGGCATGTTTTATCCGTAACCATACGCCAGTCGTGCGGAGGTGCCCGTGGTTATCTTCGGCCTAGATTGCACCATCCCCTCATCTTATAAATAAGCCCGTTCGTTTCACTCTTGTGTTGGCCCACGTGTGCGATCATCGTCGAGCTTTCACAATGGCTGTTCTCAGGTGGCTTTCGCTCGCTGTTGCAGCTTCCTCTGCGCTGGCTCTGACTCCAGAGTGCGTTCTCTCTACCTGTTGCATGCTAATCTCTAGCTAACGCCGCGTAGGCAGATGCTTAGTGCTCCCCGCAGATCTGAGGCTATCCCCAATCCCTCTGGTGTGAGTACAACTCCCGCGGCCATTGAGTAACATTCTAACAACTGTAGACGGTTGCGATCTTCTCCAGCTCGCAGTACTCATTCAAATCCCACGAGTCCAGCTCCTCGTGGAGCCTGTTGGACCTCAAATCGGGAAAGATCACCCCCCTCACCGACGATAGCAATGTCTCCGAGGTAGTCTGGCTGAGCGACAAGTCTCTCCTGTACATCAATGGCTCCAATGCCGACATCCCCGGTGGCTCTGAGCTCTGGGTTTCAGATGTCCACAAGTTTGGTTCTGGGTAAGCCCTAAAGATGCGACGCGATGACTGCGAATGCTGACCCCGGTAGATACAAGGCCGCCTCCCTGCCTGCTGCGTTCTCCGGGTTGAAGATTGCAGCCACCAAGAAGGGAGAGATTAACTTCATCGCCAACGCCAAGTCGTACCCCAATGGCACTGCGTACAACGAGGAGCTTGCTGCCAAGGCTCTCAGCACCGCGCGTATCTACGACAGCATCTACGTCCGCCACTGGGACTACTACCTCACGACCGCCTTCAACGCCGTGTTCTCCGGAACGCTCAAGAAAAGCAAGCACTCGCACTACGTCTCGGATGGAAAACTGAAGAACCTCGTCTCCCCAGTGGAGAACGCCGAGTCCCCGTACCCTCCCTTCGGAGGCGCGTCAGACTATGACCTCTCGGCCGACGGTAAATGGGTCGCGTTCAAGAGCAAGGCTCCGGATGTCCCTCAGGCCAATTTCACCACGGCATACATCTACCTCGTTCCTCACGATGGCTCGAAAACCGCCGTTCCTGTCAACGGACCCGACTCTGCCCCTAAGGGCATCGCGGGTGACTCCAACAACCCTGCCTTCTCCCCGGACGGCAAGAGCCTGGCTTACTTCCAGATGGAGGAGAACACGTACGAGGCTGACCGCCGCGTGACCTACATCTACGACCTTGGCTCGAAGAAGATCACCGCGCTCGCAACAGAGTGGGACAGGTCGCCCGACTCGCTGAAGTGGGTAGACGACGAGACCATTGTCGTCGGCGCCGAAGACAAGGGCAGCGCCAATCTCTTCCTGATCCCCGTCGACGAAGCCACAGACGACGACTTCGAACCCAAGAAGCTCACCAACGGCAAATATGCCACAGCTTACTACCTCCTATCCAAGAAGTCCCTCCTCGTCACTGGATCAACCCTCTACACCAACTGGTATGTCGACCTCGTCAGCCTCAAGCACAAGAAGGACGGTGTCAAGACCATCGCATCCGCGCACAAAATCGACCCCGAGCTCAAGGGCCTCGGCCCCGATGACATCGACGAGATCTGGTTCAAGGGTGAATCGGCTGACGTACGTAACCCACTGACGTTGTAAAGAATTGTCACATTGACCCATACTAACATGAGCGTACAGATTCACGCCTGGGTGATCTACCCCAAGGGCTTCGACAAGAGCAAGAAATATCCCCTCGCCTACCTCATCCACGGCGGTCCCCAAAGCTCATGGGGCAACTCCTGGAGCAGCCGCTGGAACCCCAAGGTCTTCGCCGACCAGGGCTACGTCGTTGTGGCTCCCAACCCAACCGGATCCACCGGATTCGGCGATGAACTGACCGACGCTATCCAGAACAACTGGGGTACGTGCCTCCTTCTAACTCTCTAATTTCCTTTATTTACAAACGAACCTCACTGACACCCATTGTTCAAACCAGGCGGCTCCCCCTACGAAGACCTCGTCAAAGGCTGGGAATACGTCCGCGACAACCTCGACTACGTCGACACCTCGCGCGGCGTCGCCGCCGGCGCCAGCTACGGCGGCTTCATGGTAAACTGGATCCAAGGCAGCGACCTGGGGCGCGAGTTCCAAGCGCTCGTCACGCACGACGGCACCTTCGTGGCAGACGCCAAGATCTCCACCGAGGAACTGTGGTTCATGCAGCGCGAATTCAACGGAACTTTCTGGGAGGCGCGCGAGAACTACAGACGCTGGGATCCGTCGGCATCGGAGCGCATTCTGAAATTCGACACCCCGCACTTGATCATCCACAATGATTTGGATTATCGCCTGCCGGTTGCCGAGGGGCTGTCTCTGTTTAATGTCCTTCAGGAGAGGGGCGTGCCGAGTCGGTTCTTGAACTTCCCGGATGAGAACCATTGGTATGTTCTATCTTATTTTGACTTCTTGTCTCGTGTCTTGTTCTGGAGACTCTGTTGCTAACTGGTGGTGTAGGGTCATCCAACCCGAGAACAGTCTCGTGTGGCACCAGCAGGTCCTCGGCTGGCTGAACAAGTATTCTGGCGTTGGCAAGGAGAACAAGGATGCCATAAGCCTTGAGGATACGGTTGTGCCGGTTGTTAACATCAACCCGCCTGCGTGATTGATACTGTACATAGTAGTAATGCGATCTTATGAGATTGCTGGTTATGGACTCGTGACTCATTAATATCACTTGTGTCGTTACTTGTCTATTGTAAACCTTCTCCCCTGCGTGGATACAGGTCCCAAGGGGAAAGCTTGGTACACTCAAGATGGCTAATATCAATCAATATCATCCGAAGCCATCATCCTGTCCTCCGAGAAACCTAGTGAGGACAGTCAAAACTAGATAGCCAATAAAGACTAACCATCCATACAGCACAATGACATGTCAGGATTATTAACAAACGAAGTAACAGCAGAACAGAACATCCCAACGAGGCCCTCAGCATCAGCTCTGCACCCAAACTCACTCGACATAATCAGCACAACAAACAAGGAATTCCTCTGCGGATACGTGTAAAGATACACCGTTTTCTCAGGCGGATTATCAACACTATGCGCCAACACCTGCCACACAGCATCACCGACACGTGTAACGGGGTTGGCGTCGATATTCTCGTGCAGAACGATGGAGTCAATCTCCGTATCGTTGTTCCACTCCGTACAATTAGCGACTATATCGCCCCATTCAAGGGTGTGATAGTCCATCGAGTCGACGTGCTGGCGCTGGACAGCACTTAACAAGTCTCTGACTGTCGACTGGGCCTTGTATCGAACACGGACCGGAATAGGGTTGAGACACGGCCCCAGGATCCGCTCTTGCCCAGGGATACCGACAAACCGGCAATTGGTGATTTGGCAAAACATGAGGTCATTGCGCTCCGTCTTCTGCCGCAGGACATATGACCAAGCCGCTTTTACCACGGTAGCCCAAGTAAACCCCCGAGGGAGCGGGCTCGTTGTGGGCAAATCCCGGGAGGCGACTATGCAGACGGGCTGTTGGTGGTTTTTTGAGGGGGAGAGTGGAAGGTTCGTTGGCGATGACCCATTCAATAGCTCCGTCCAAAAGCGCAGTGACTGCGTGGTGCGTAATTCGGCACATTTGCGGACGTAATCCGCGTAGGTGGCTTGGATATTGAGGGGCTTGTTCTCGTACAGCTTTGCTAGATCAGACAGGATGGTTTCCAGGCAGAGCCCGTCAAATTGGCCGTGGTTGGCTCGCATGATCAGCGTATGTTGTTGTGTTCTGTCGTCTTGTAGCAGTATGAATTTGACGAATGTCTCGTTCGTCTGATATGCTCTCCGGTCCATGGCACATACAGAATGTGCCCACATATCGGGGTCGTAGTTGTCTGGGGGCTCCGTGAACTCCGTCCATGGGAGTTCCACTTGTTTCAGGACAACCTGTACATGATTATCGCGGAAAGGTACAAAAGTAGTTCGTAGTATGGTGTGGTTCTTTACCAAACCTTGGCAGGCAAGGCGCAATTGAAGCGGGTCGAGACGCCCCGAAATTCGGATCGGTATGTAGTCCATTATCCCGTACTGTACCAGAAACAATTGCATTTCGCGTGTTGGAACAACGTCCTCGATATTGCTGACAGTGAGCTGTTCAGGAAGGTGGCGCAAGAAGTCCTCTCGCAGGGAACGAAGAGGATCAAATCCCTTCCAGTCAGGAACGGGTTTTCTAGATACAGCATGGCAAGTTTGGGCACACCGAGCAAGCGAAGTCACGTCCGGTTGCTGGAAACAATCAGAGACTTTGATGGAAAGTCCCTCTGTCCGTGCAAGGGCTACTAGCTGTCGTGCTGAGAGAGAGTCCCCTCCTAACGCCAGAAATTGGTCATCCATCCCGATACACTCTGGATCTTCAGACAATACTTTGGCAATCAGAGACTGCAAAACCGCTTCGGTTTCTGTAGTCGGGGGCTTGAAAGCTTTGGGAGCACTCAGGTAGGTAAGTAATTCTCTTCGAGATAATCGAGAGATAGTCTCTATCAGGAGCTTCCGATGGATCTTTCCGGATGCTGTTCTGGGGAGGCTGGTGACCGATATGAATGAACTTGGCATCATATACGAGGGTAGTACTTTTCGCATGTTCTCCATGACTGTCTTGACACGGCGTACAAATGCACCATCGTGTGCAATAAGCCGGAATGTATCTGTCGTTCCGCCGCTTCCAGGAGCAGTGGGAATGACCGCGACTAGCATACCACACTGAGGACCGCCATCACTGGGGTAAACAATCTCGGTACATACATTGGGCTTTTCCGGAAACTGCGCTGCCAGATGATACTCGACCTCGGCAAGTTCCATTCTTTGGCCACGGATCTTGACCGTCCTGTCTTTGCGACCCCTATATTGGAACGAGCCGTCGACAGGGCTGCGTGAAAAGATATCGCCAGTCTTCAGAAAGCGGCAATGTTCCTCGAAACCCACCCGTTGTCTCCATGTGGGCTTTATGAACGTGTTCCTCGTTTGTTCCTCGTTCTTTACATAGCATCTTGCTATGCATGACCCTTGGAGAACCAGCTCCCCTTCAGCCCCGAGAGGCATCAGACGGTTATGGTCCTTAGGATCGACAATCCAGCCGGTTCCGGAACCCGGAGTACCAAGCGTGGATAGGTCACTTGTCGATGAAATGGGTGTGGCCATGATAGCACAGCCATACTCAGTCTGCCCGTACAGAGCGTATAGCGCGACGTGCTTCTCCCATTTACTAACTTCCGAGCGGCTTATCTGTTCCCCGGCGAGGAGCAGATGCTTGATGGATGGGACAGCTTTGGGGTCAATAACCCTGGCCACTGATGGCGTGAGTACTGCCCAGGTGGGCCCAAGCTCACTTATTGCCTCCTCCATGTTATTTTCCAATTTCTTCTCCGAGGGGATACACAGACAGGCGCCTCGGATTAGTGCCGTTAAATGCTCTGTAATGCCTGCACTGAAGTTATACGATGCAAACTGGAGCATATAAGACTCTCTGCTCACTCCAGGGATCTCAAGGCTACTGGTAAAAGCCGCGTGCTCCACAAGCACCCCCTTGGGCTCTCCAGTTGAGCCAGAAGTAAAGCTCGCGAACAGCACATGGTGGCCTTCGGCCTGGCATGGTCGTTCACAAGGCCAGTCCACCGATACTGTGTTTGTATCTCGAACCTCCATATCTTCCAGGATTGAAACCGGTGGTCCGAGGAGAGATGCTTTGGCGGCGTGTTGTCTTGAAGCCAGAATCAAGTGCGGTGAAGTTAATTTGCACATTGCAGTGAGGCGATCTGTTGGCTGCGAGGGATCCAGCAGTGCAAACCCTCCACCTGCTTTCAATATTCCCAGGAGAGCCACAACTGTCCAAAGAGATTTCTCTGATAGAATAAAGACAAGCTTCTCAGGCTCCACATTGGCCTTGACAAGTGCGCTAGCAAGGCAAGAGGCCTCGTTATGGAGCTCATTGTATGTAAGCTCTCCATCCCAGGCACGAATGGCTGGCGCAGACGGCCGTTCGTTACAGCGTTGTTCGAACAAATGGTGAACGCACTTGTTGCACTTCTCTGTTTTATGTGAACTGTTCCACTTAATACTCCTCTCCAAGTCTTCTGGGTTGATCCCATGGATGTCTCTCAAACATGCCCCGGGGCGCTGGCTGATCTGCCCAAGGGTGTATGACAACTGGTGGATCATGGATCGGGAAAACTCCAGGCTCATCACGTTGGAGTCAAACATGGCATGGATGGCGATACTTTGTTCGCCGATGCCACACGCTATAATAAGAGGATAATCTGAAGCACCTTGGTCGCCGAGCATTGCTGTTGCATTTTTATGCTGTTCAAGCGGTCGGATAATCATCAGATTACGGAAATCACAGATGCGAGTGGCCTCCATACTCGTAGTACGCAGATGATCGAGTCCAAGTTGCTCGAAATGGCGACTTTTGCTGCGATATTGATCCACCATCTCAGTTGCCATCCGAACCGTCTCGTTTGGCTGCAATGTGAGGTGGCAGGGGACGGTGGAACTTTTGCCCTTCCCAACACCGTCGCTATCATCCAACAGGCCGAAGAGTACATCGGACGTGTTGGTGTAAAGGCCAATGGTCATGGCCCAGCTGAGACATAAATAGGCGGGCAACTCTGCGAGAGAACTGCGATGCAAAGTAACAGTTTCAATCTGACCGTCGAGTGAACAGCTGTAGGTATCTGACGGCAAGAGTGGAAATTTGACTCCATCAAACTCCATAAACTTGGTTCCCAACGCAGCTTTTGCATGGTTGTGAGCTTGATAGGAGGTCTCTTGCTTTGAGTTGGTCATTATGGTCCTTGCAGGTAGTATATCTATGACGCAGTTGCTGATAACCTTGAACCGATCTTGTTGGTACTAGATTAGATATCTAAGTGAACCTTGTTTAAGATTCTTTCCGGAAGAGGTTTATATATGTATTGAGACTTCAACCACGCAGCCGCTCGTCTCTACGCGTCTCGTTCTTCAAATCAGAAATCAGTCGAAACGAGCGTGGCCGACACCTCAGGAGGAGATACTTATACCTAAAAACACTACCAGGAATCTTGTAATACCACTAGAGGACTGGTAATACCGCTGAAGAATTCCTAGCTACCCCTAGCTATCCCTAGATACCTACCTAGGGGCCCCATAAAAGGATCACTCCTTGCTAAATGGGCTTAGATCTACAAAGAAGTTTCTTATCCTGAGTACTCAAACTAGAATATACATAGCTATAGACTAGTTTAAAGTGGCTAAGAATACTAAGTAACAAGTAACTATAATTATCATATATCTAAAGTCAGACTTAATAAATATTCTTACAGATCTAAGTTAAAGATTATTTAATTATCATTTTCCTGACACACACCATTTTAAAGATATTAAAATGAGGATTGTATTATATTATTCTAACTCTGTTGAAGTATTTGATATTCTTTATAGAAATCAAAATTTCATATATCTAGCAGGCTGTATCTCTCTCTTTATTATTATCTAGACTATAAATCAATACTGAGATAGATAAAGAACCACATTTTCCGCCCTGTATAGAGAGGCGTAAATATTCTACTAGTATTATTATTCTCTTATCCTTATGTCATGGACTCAAGATGATTATGATTTTATAATCACACTACCTAAATAGCCCTACTTGGGCCCTTCGGCCATCAGGGGCTTGGAAGGATCCTGAAAACAGTGATATATCCAAGTATAATGCACCCTCTCTCTCTCTCTCTCTCTCTCTGTTTTGAGAAGCTCACCGACTTTACGCACTCAAGCCCTTACTCATTCGATTGCTTCGTATGAAATGAGCTTCAGACTGCAACTTCCGTAATGAGCTGACTTGCTGATGATCACAGAGGCTTGCTTGGTATTACCCTTGTAAGACATTGTCATGCATGATATATATGATTTATAATAATTGGGGAGCCTATGACGCAGTGAATGTCACAAGGAGAAGAAGGAAAAGAAGTAGACTATTCTTCTTACCGGCTCAGTACAGCTAACTCGTATATCAATAGAAGCAGAAACATCAGAGTTTTTCAGAAAACTTTCTAATATATGTCTACCAATCACTTGAGATCGGTGATTATGCAAGATAGAATGATCAAATACCTTATATATCATTTTTACTATTCACTGTTATACTAGATAGGTGGATTCTAGGATATCCAAATATATCAGAAACAACTTCGACCCACACAGCCCTGGCTGGCAGACACCGCCAATTCATCTACGGCCGTACGATCCTCCCAAAATGATATCCGACTGGTGTGTGATGTGCTTGTTGCGTACTGCTTTCCCAATAAAGATGAATCCGGTGGCAATGGATCTGTTGGGTCTCGCCATCACGACCTACAAACAGTGTCTTCTGCGTCCCGTAACGAGGCAGCCGACATGGTTACGGTGGACTACTCGAAGTTAATCGGGTCTCATGCCGAACAGAAAGAGGCCCTGGAGCGTCTTGACCCCGGCCTTCAGACGTACGGATTCGTCTACGTTGTAAATCATGGAATCCCGAAACATATCATCGAAGACACATTCATGTCTATAAGTATTTCTCTTTCAAATGGAATATTCCTTATCTTAACAGCTCCGATACTACAGATGCTTCTTCACTCTTAACCCTCCCATCAAGATCATGACTGCCTACTCACCAAGCAACGCCGTCAAAGACCACATACCGAATATGACTCGTTGACGCTTTTGCTCCAGGACAGCGTAGGAGGCCTGGAGGTCCACGACGGGCAGGCATTCAGGCCAGTTATCCCTAAATCGGGGGGCACAGTATTGAACTTCGGCGATATATTGGAAAGACAATCGAGCGGGAGGTGGAAAAGTGCCTCGCACCAGGTGGTCAGTCCGAGGAAGGAAACAGTGGCGGGAGATATAAATATGGATGGCATCACGAGAGATCGCTACGCTATGGGGTACTTTGGACGTTTGGGCCCAGAGGTACTTGTCGAGACATTTCCAGGAGGCGAGACCCCCGGTCAATGGAAACCGAATATCGAAGACTGTAACGAGGGAAAACCACTGACTTCGCGCGACTAAATGCAGAAGAGAGTGATTGCTGAGTATTCCGAGTATACGATGCGATACTACAGTAGGGGAAGCCTATTAGCACCTGAGAGTTAGGGTATAACACCCCCATACCATCTCAACTTTTACTCAAGCCGTTTCTTGTATAAGCCCTTTTCCTAACTCTCATACTATCTAAACTGCTGTTTTTTATAGTTATGGAGTCCTGGTGAGCTTTAGTAAGGATTTTATTGAGCGCTTGATCCAAAGCTCTACTAAGTGTGTTGTCATTTAGATCCGGACCCTGCCACCCTGACCCTAATCCAGGCCGAATTGGGGGGGGTTCTCCCGGTCCTCCCGGGGCCATCCTGCCACTTCTGACCGCTGGGGGTATGATGCGCCCCACCTTCGGCTGACCTTTTTGTTTGTTTTCACTCTTCAGTCCTGGAAGGATGATTGTCATTGGTATGTGGGTGAAACATTGTCGAAAAGAAGATAGGTACTATCTGTCGCTGTCTCCTATCTGCCATCTAACTTGGGACCCTCCCCACTGGAGCACTGAATCCAATTATCTCCCCTTGTCCCACAGCGGGATCCAGAGGGTCACGCCATCCCAAGAACCAGTCTATCACCCAGGCTCCTAATGGATGCCAAGGGTGGTTCATGGTCCGTGGTCCGTGGTCCAGGGCATGATGGGCCAGAATTCGACCTTGCGCAATATTTTTTTGGGGAAATTATTGATATGCGCTGTGTTTGTGGATGGTAAACGGGATGATGCAGTTATCAACTCCTACCAAACGACAGAGCAGACAAGTCACCAACCAAATCATGCCTAATATCATGATCAATATTACATTGATATCAGTGTGGGAACAGATAAAAGACAGGGATAGTTACAGGGAAGTCTCCTAGGATGATGACCGAATTGAAATCGCACGAGAATCCACAATCCGTGCACTTTCACATGTTGGTGAGCCAGACTCCACCCATAACGTCATCGTCTGTAACGTCACCAGAAAAAGGTTCAAACAAGGACTGGCCAGAGTCCTGATTTTCGCCAGCTTCATAAAGCTAAATATTTCCCCTTCCAGTTCCCCTCTTGTGGAATCTACATTTCCTTTTTTATCCATTCATTCCCTACTATATCTGTTCAAGTCAGTTGAGGGGTCAAGTATACTCCCCACGGTCCTTTTGTCGCACGCATCTACGTCAGACCCGACCTGAACCCTATCTATTACTACCAACGGTCGGGTCAGAAACACCCTCACCATGGCTGGTGGAAATACCGGCATCGTGGCTTCGGCCAACAATCTTTTCTTACAAATCTTTACATGTGGTTACATGCTCATACAGATGTTCATCAATTGGATCTTCGCCCCGAGTCCGCCTCCATCCAACTCGGTCGCTGACTCTCTCCCGGGAAAGAGAATCGCCATCATTGGCACCGGCTTGACAGGCGTGTCCTCGGCCGCCCACGCAGTGGGCCATGGCTTTGATGTCCAATTGTTCGAGTCGCGATCCAAGGAGAAGGGATTGGGTGGGATTTGGAGCCGAGTGAACTCCACCTCGTCGCTGCAGATCCACAGTATCATGTACCGCTTCCATCCCTCCGTCCGATACGACACGGCCTATCCCACCCAGCAGGAGATCAAAGACCAAATTATCGATGTGTGGAAACGCTACGATCTTGAGAAACGCACGGTGTTCGATACCCCGGTCACCTCGGTGAAGCAAACCGACGACGGAAAATGGATCATCAATGACGACGAAGCTGCCTACGGTCAATTTGACGGTGTGGTGGCCGCTGTTGGCGTGTGCGGAGACCCGAAGCAGCCCACGTTGCCGGACGAGTCGCAATTCGGCGGGAATATCTACCACTCGTCCGAGCTGGACGGCAAGAACGTCAAGGGCAAGAAGGTCCTCATCATCGGCGGCGGTGCCAGCGCCATCGAAGCGCTGGAGTTCGCAGTCAAGTCCGGGGCCGGTGAAATCGACGTCCTCTCGCGTTCGGATAAGTGGGTCATCCCGAGGAACATCTTCGTGCAGTCACTACTGGCCATGAACATCTTCGGTCAGGAAACGATGCTGTCGTGGATCCCCGAGTGGTTGCTGCACAAGTTCTTCTACCGTGACCTGCAGGACATCGCCCCGTCCGGCGGTCTCTTCACGCAAACCCCGATGGCCAACTCGGAGCTGTTTGATCAAATCCGCGAGGGCAAAGCCCGCTGGCTACGGGGTGACATCATCTCCGTCAAGGAAGACGGCATTCTCTTCAACAGCCGGCCCAAGGGTGTTCCCAAGGGTGGTCCCGGACGCGAGAAGCTCGTCTCCGGTGACGTTATCATCATGGCAACCGGATTCAAGCGCCCCTCGCTCAACTTCCTACCCGACGACGCCTTCCAGGAACCGTACGGCCCGCCGAGCTGGTACCTACAGGTCTTCCCGCCGAAATACATCAGCATCTGCGCCAACAACAGCACCTACATCGATGCCATCGGAACGGTGGGCAACATGCACATCGGGATCTACACGCGCTTTCTGCTCATGTTCCTCACCGACCCGCTGACCCGGCCCACTGAAGGACGGATGAAGACCTGGATTGACTTTACGCGGTTTATGAAGCGGCTTGCCCCGACAGGCGCGTTCCAATTCTTTACCTACACTGAGCTGATCTACTGGTTTGTCTTTATCATCTTGGTGAACCCCTTCCGGTGGAAGTGGGCGCCGTTCGTATTGTTCGGTGTGGGACGCAGTCTGCCTCTTCATGTGGTCAGTAAGGAGGAGATGTTCCGGCGAGAGTTGAACAAGCAGCATGATGATTAGCGCTGCATTGTGATGTGGTGGTGGTCTTGTTGTGACGATTTCTTAAAATTTATTCTAGTGTATGGCTAGATAATCTCTTTAACTCAATTCAAAATATCAAATTATCTTCACTTCATTACTTCCTCACCTCTACCCTAATATCGGCTTCCCACTTGACTTGCTTTCCTTTTGCTTCATATGACCTGTTTATACTTATTCATATCTATCTTTCGGCTGTATCTACCTCTACCTAAGCTTACCCTTATCTCTATAACTCAACCCACCCATCTACCTACCTAAGTAGCCTTCATGTCTGACAGTGACGGTCCTCCGTCATACCCAGCTTGGCTCACAGACGCTCTACCTCACCTCAAGTACCCTCCAACACCCATGGCTGACTGGTCTCTTCTCATGATGGGCGCAAAAGCGCCAGACAAATCCTTTAAGCGCAACCTCAAACGGTCAGTATTTTTACCTCACCCATACCTCCCAATCTAACCAAGCAACAACAGCCTCCACCAAGACCGGCGCTTCTCCGACCTAACCCTCGAAACCGGCCCCCTCAAACTCGACGTCCACAAAGCCATAATCAGCAGTCAATCAGACTACTTCCAAGCCCTCCTCAGCAACAAGTGGGCCGAGTCCACCAGCCGCACCATCCGCCTCGAAGACGATGACCCAGAATCCGTGAAAGCCATGGTCCAATTCATGTACGAATTCGACTACGACAGCCCAACCGACAACATCGACGAACAAGACGACGTCGACCCAACCATCTTCCACCTCCGAGTCTACAAGGCAGCAGACAAATACCTCATCCCAGAGCTCAAAGTATCCGCGCTACGCAAATTCCTCACAGCCACAAACACCTCCAAAAACCTAACCACGCTCCTCCCGCAAATCATCGAAGAAGCCTACGCCGCCACGCCGGCAAGTGATTCGCGCCTGCGCCGCGCCGTACTAGAGCTAGTGCTCAGCAAGCAGGATAAGCTCATTCGCCGGGATGCGTTCACCGAAGTTATCAAGAACGGGGGCGACTTTGCGGTCGATTCCATGAGGGAGATGAGCCAGGTTGCGGCGCGGGTGCGCGGGTTTCTGTGTTTTAAGTGTGGGCGCAAGAGTTACTTTGATACTACGCGGTCGACGAGGATCCGGGTGTATACTTGCGTGGAGTGTGGGGCGCGTATTAGAAGGGTATTTTATTAGAGTTGGGTTTCTTTTTCAGATGGTGGTGGGTTGCGTTTTTTGCTTTCTTGAATTTGATTGATGGTCGCTGGTTGGTCATGCTCGATGCTTTTATCGATATGAAGGGATGGGTTGGTTTAATCCTAGGGTAGCCATTAGATGGCTCAATACTAACCCTAACTTATTTCTCTCTGTAACTGTAGACGAAACACCCTATATCAAGAGAACACTTCACTATTGACTTTTCCATTACACCCTAATCGTACAATAGTTGTCTCCTGCCAACACACCAGAAACCAAACGGCCCATTAGAATACATAAACACCTCGCGCCGCGCTCAACCCACATTAAACCCAACACTAATCAATTCCCCGCTTTTACCCTGTTACCATAAGGCTCCCCACTATCCCTCGAAAGTGAAAATGGAAAAAACACGATCGTCAATACCCGCGCAATAGCGCAGTATGCATACGCCCCAATCAGGCAGAACAAGGTAGCCAGCGTCTGCCACAACATCACAAGGGAGCTACCCCCCCAAGGCATCACAAACTTGATAAACTCCGACGTCTGATACAGGTCCTCCTGCTTGGCAATATAGTACCTCTGGGCATTCGCATCCGGCAGCGGTCGTCCATCGCCCGGGTCCCGCGTCAGATCCAGGACCGTCGTGAGCGTCACGGGGGCGCGATAGAACGGCACAATCCAGATAGAGAAGACCTGCGAGATATTGACGTAGAGGCGGAGGTGGTCTTTGTCGTATGCTATATATATCGATTTTCAAGTCTCAGCGAGCTGGTCTTCTTATATGTACGGGTTGGGCGGTATGTGTGGCATTTTGGCTTACCAATTGAGTTCACATCGAGCGAGATCTCAGGCGACATCATCTTATACCATTGAAAGATGGTCTTTATGCCATCCCGGCCACCATGTTTGCCCCAGACGCGGCAGAACGGATGCACGAAGGTGGCGTCGGATGTGAAGTACCGGTCAATGGCCCAGGACTGGATCTCCGGTGGGCCCTGAGTCAATTGTCGGATGACGTTGGTGATATCTCGTACTGGTAGGACTTATGTTAGCTGGTGTATCCTGATAATGTCCATGCATGTGTAGAGATAGTGGTAGTGGGATTGATTCGGTAGAGTCAGGACTAACCGGGATTTTCCATTGTTGCTGCTTATACTCTGTCATACAATAATTTGGTGGATACAATTGACTGCAGGAGAATGAGACGGTTTAAGTAAGGCGGATAAAATAGGACAGCGAAGGAGGAGTCGAACGTTCCTGGATTATGGCGGAGTGATGAGACAGCTCTGACGTCATTCACATGTGAAGCTGGCAGGTGCCCTGGGTGCCTTGGCGCCTTAGTGCCCTAGGCTAGATTTACGTCAACATGGATCCATGTAGATCAGAAGGTGGACCAGAGCAATGGAAGTATGAGTCTCTCTGATAACAGCAAAACAATGTTCATCAAATATAATGATAAGTTGGAAATGTCCCCTGTTATGGGAAATTTCATTGAACTTTTGCCAAGTGTGGTATCAAGACCGTGATAGATATTCTAAAATAAAATAAAAAAATGCCGAGGGCAAAACAGTAACTCCGTGATATACATGAGATAGGCTCATTTCTTCCATCCTTCGATCTTCTTGCGACGCTTCTCGAAGACGTGACCCAAGCCCGCATCGCCGCGGGGCCCATCGTCGTTCTTGCGTTTCCGACTCCTGTCCAAAGCGCCACCGCTGCCTTGGGCGCGCCGAGTAAGTTTCGCGATGCGGTCCGCGCCCTCGGTGAGTCCTCTCCAGTCTTCACCACCGAAAGTGCCCTCCGGACCACGCTGGCCGCGGGTCTTGGCGCGATCTTTCTTGCTCTCCTTGCCCAGACGGATGAAATTGGTCTCTTCGTAATTTTCCCGCTCCGCCTCCTTGCGCCGCTCCTTCTGCGACTTGGTGTGTCGTCCTCCACGCACAATGGTACTTCCGATGCTGGGCTCCGCCATGGGGGCGGACGACATTTCGGCGCTGACGAACTCGTCGATGACATTCGATCGGCGATTGACACGCTCCTTGCGCTCCTTGGTGTCGGTAGTGGGCAAGGCGGTGGGCATGATCTTCGGTGGTCGGTAAATCCCATCACTGGTGGCGTTCGTTCGCGATCGGTCTAGCGTCGGTGGGGGCTCCACGTTCTTCGCAAACACAGACAAGTTAGGTCTGTATGCCATATCGTCGAAGTTCTCTTCCTCTTCATTGTCATCGCTGTCGCTTTCGCTCTGACTATCGGATCCGGATTCTCCATCGTCCCCAGATACTCGTCGTTTGGCGCTCGCCTGGGTCTCACGCTCCACCCTCTCGGAATCCTCGGCCGCCTTCACCACCTTGTCGACCTGGTACTTCAGCCGTCCTTCCAGCGGTCGAACACCCCGGTCGAGGTAGACCCGCAGCTCCACCAGTTTCTTCACGAGGTCCTCCTGCTGCGATTGCCGTTGCTCGGCGTCGTTATCATCCTGTTCCGATGAAAGCTCTCTGAGCTGGATTATCGTCAGGAACACGAGGTTGTGGATGTAAGAAAGGAGGAGGTCGCTCTTGACGTCGAGAAGCGATATGCCGTCGGCCGGGGGTTCGATCGAGACATCGGCAGGATCATCGCGGTGCGTCTTCGGCAGAGAGGTGCCGGTAGAAGTGAGACATCCGGTGATCGCGTCAAGCAAGTTGGAGATATTTTGCGAGCCTTGCGGCTCGGATTGTGCTGTTGCCATTGCCATTGCGCCGTGGGAGTTGGCCGTGTTGTCGGAGCGTGAAATTTACGCCGGAGGGAAATTTTTAGATCTCTTATCAACACGTGATATTACGGTGGCTGAGTAAGCGCGCTTAGTCACGTGTGCCAAGGCTGCCTACTTGGCCTAATTATCACTCTCTATGCTCATCGCCATCATCAGTTATTGCCCGGTGTCCTTCATTCCCACCTTTAACATCTCTAGCGCCAACTGCGGTTCTTTTTGGGACGATACGCTGGACTCCCGCTCTATTGGATGCTGGCGTCTGGCTCATGAGAACCTGAACTCTTTTCTCGATGGTGTAGTAGCTGTAGACTGACTGTACGTCCCTTCCACCGATTCAGTACTACGGTAGTAGTGCTCCGACTACTGTACACCAGGCTGACCGGACGTAAACTGACCATCCGTTCAGACACACCCACAATGCGGCTCGATATACGATCCGGGCCCATCGCGGCCATCTTACTTACGATCCCTTCGCTGTCCTCGGCCTTCTATCTTCCCGGCGTCGCCCCGACTTCCTACGATGAAGGGCAGTCGGTCCCGCTTTACGTCAACCACCTCAATCCCAGCCTAGCTCAGCAAGACGAACAGCTCCATTCGGTCTTTGCCTACGACTACTATCATCCGGCTTTCCATTTCTGCCAACCGGAGGGTGGACCGGAAGATGTGCGGGAGTCGTTAGGGAGCATCCTGTTTGGCGACCGCATCCAGACCTCCCCCCTCGAATTGCACATGCGCAAAAATGAGACCTGCAAGGCCATGTGTAATCAGGTGGATTTTGATGCTCGGTCTGCCAGGTTTACAAATCGGCGGATTGCGCAGGGGTACAATATCAACTGGCTGGTCGATGGGCTTCCGGGAGCACAGATCAATTTAGAATCCGTGACGGACACCCAATTTTACAGCCCGGGATTCGCGCTGGGCGCGATCGCCGAAAATGGGGACATGGTGTTGAACAATCACTTTGATATCTTTGTCGAATATCATCGCGTGGGCTTTGGAAACAAGGACAAGTTCCGGGTTGTCGGAGTGCTCGTCCAACCGGACTCTCGCAGCAACTCCAAGGTACTGCCGGATGGCAACGTGGAATGCGGCACCCCTGAGACGGGTGTCGTGTTGGATGAGGATGGAACATCGTCGGTGACTTGGACCTACGGTATTTACTGGCGCGAATCGCCCACTCCCTGGGCCACTCGCTGGGATAAGTACCTCCACGTTTACGATCCGAAGATCCACTGGTTTTCGCTCATCAATTCCGCCGTTTTCGTTGTCTTCCTGGTCGGCATGGTCAGCATGATCCTTGCCAGGGCTCTCAGAAAGGATATCGCCCGTTACAACCGCCTGGACATGATCAACTTGGATGACCTGGATGGAACGTCGGCTGCTGTGGAGGATGGGATCCAGGAGGACTCGGGCTGGAAATTAGTGCACGGCGATGTCTTCCGCTGCCCGCAATCTCCCCTGCTTCTGAGTGTCCTCGTTGGTAATGGCGCTCAGCTCTTCATGATGACGGGCGTGACAGTGGGTGAGTTGGTCTGATTTCTCCTATGTCCGTATGTCTCTAACCATTCATCAGTGTTTGCCCTGCTGGGGCTGCTCTCTCCTGCGAATCGCGGTTTCCTGGCCACTGCGATTCTGTTGATCTACACCGTGTTTGGGTTCATCGGAGGGTATGTGTCCGCGCGCGTCTACAAATCGCTCGGTGGAGAGTCGTGGAAGCGCAATATCGTCATGACTCCTGTGCTCGTCCCCGGCTTCATCTTCGGTACCTTCTTCCTCCTGAACTTGTTCGTCTGGGCCAAGGGGTCCAGCGGGGCGGTGCCTTTCACGACCATGCTGGCTCTTGTTGCCATCTGGTTCGTCATCAGCGTGCCTCTGAGCATTGCGGGTAGCTGGCTTGGTTTCAAGCAACGGGTGCGTTCAACTTTCTCGAACGAACATGCGGATCACAACTGACACTCCCTAGCCTATTGAGGGTCCCACCAAGACCAACCAGATTCCTCGCCAGATTCCTCCCATGACAGGAAGCCTGCGTACCATTCCGTCTCTGCTCCTGACGGGTATCCTTCCCTTCGGCGCCATCTTCGTCGAACTGTACTTTATCATGACCTCCCTTTGGACTAACAAGATCTACTACATGTTTGGATTCCTGTTCCTCTGCTACGGTTTGATGATTATCACGTCCGCGGCCACCACGGTGTTGCTGGTTTATTTCCTGCTCTGTGCCGAGAACTACCGCTGGCACTGGAGGGCGTTTGCCGGTGCCGGAATGACCGGCGGCTACGTGTTCCTCAACGCCCTTCTCTTCTGGGCCACTCGCGTTAGCTTCGGCGGTATTACCGGTGCGGTGTTGTATGTGGGCTACTCGGCCCTGATTGGGTTTGTGGTGTTTATCTTGACCGGTATGTTCTCCCGCGCTATTCGTGTGAGCCGACGTCTAACTTTGATTATTAGGCTCCATTGGTTTCTTCGCCAGCTGGGCCTTTGTGCAGCGCATCTACGGCTCGATCAAGGTGGATTAATTAGATCTCGATCTATCCTTGGTTGCCCCTTTTTCGCGCAACAGGCCGGACGATGATGCTCTCATCACACGTGTCACGCATCATGCATCTCACATCATGGCTGCGACTTCCATCCCTTCCGGACGAGATTCGGTGGCTTCCGGGGACGATGCTTTCGCATATAGAATGAAGCCTGCTCGGTGACCGACTGCTTTTGAATATCCCTGTACATTTTATGGCTCTTTTTCCATGGCTCAATCTCACCCAACGCTTTACCATTCCATGTATATAGACTAGCGGGGAGTGTCTCTATCTTACTCATCACTCATCTTATTATTCTGGTTGTTTCCATTCTTGTCTCTCCGTGGACCCGGTTCCCTGAGCCGAGGTGTATCCACTTACCACAGTCGGTTGGCTCACCGGATATATACCGCGTCACACGGACCAGGTTGGTATTGCGGCTGGTTAGTGTCACTGTATGATATCGAAGGAATTTAGCTTGTGTAGGAGAGATGTGTCTATTCCTTTGTTCTCCGTAGGTAGTAAAGTAATATCACCATTGTTATGGGAAAATCGAATTATAAATATCGCCCGATAAATCAATAGAAACTGTTGACTGGAGCCTCAGGCCGCCAAGCCCCGTGGTCTGGAACCAACAGAACGGAATCCTTCGCCACGGCGGACTTTACTCTTACTGCTGCTCGCTCTTCTGTCATGATCTTCCCTCTCTAGCCCGCCTGGTCCTTACTTTTTGGTTCTGGTGCTTACAGTCTCTGTTCTTCTCGTGACGATCGCTCTTCTTTGCTTTGATTTTCCACCCTCGACTTTCCTCGCCTCATCTCTGCCCGCCTACCTGCCTACTCGATCTTATCAATCCAGCGGCGTTGCATTTACCCCGCGTCTTCCGTGGCCCCCCGTGTCTCACCCCTCCGCCCGGCGCATGACCGACCGTCTGCGAATCCCTGTGTTGAAGATCGCGAGTGTGTGTGTGTCTGTCTGAGATAGTCAGGCCTGATCTTGTTTCAAGCTTGTGGTGTTTGCTGGGTGTCGATCATGGGTAAATCGTAAGTACTCTGGTTTCAGCCCGGAGAGAAAACCGAGCGGAGTTCTTCTCCCTGCGGGATTTGTGTTATTTCTGGTTTTTAGTTCATTCATCATCTTTTGTCTGTATATATATGTGCCTCTTTGTGATGCGACCGTCTCTGCGACCGTCTTTGGTTTCCGTTGTTCCCCCTGAGGGTTGGTTTCAGGTCTATATGACTTTGGCTAACCGCATGTCAATCGCCTAGGCAGTCGAAACTCTCCCCTTCCCAGCTGGATGAGCTCCAACGAGCGACACACTTCGATAAGAAAGAACTACAGCAATGGTACAAAGGTGCGTCAGGGATGGACACGCCCCCTGTGATGGAACGCAAATGCTGACTGCGGCATGGCCGGGCAGGATTTCTCAAGGACTGTCCCTCGGGCACCCTGACCAAGGAAGAGTTCCAAAAAATCTACCGACAGTTTTTCCCCTTCGGCGATCCGTCCTCGTTCGCGAATTATGTCTTCCGTGTATTCGACTCCGACAATAGCGGGATGATCGATTTCAAGGAGTTCATCTGTGCCTTGTCGGTCACCTCGCGGGGGAAGATGGAGGATAAGTTGGACTGGGCTTTCCAGCTGTACGATATCGATGGCGACGGCAAGATCACATATGACGAGATGCTTGCGATTGTTGAGGCGATCTACAAGATGGTACTAAGCCCGCAGACCCTACATGGAGAGATGCGACTGACCGTGCAACAGGTGGGCTCGATGGTGAAACTTCCCGAGGACGAAGATACCCCCGAGAAACGCGTGCGCAAAATCTTTCGCATGATGGATAAAGACGAAAATGGCAGTCTGGACATGGAGGAATTCAAAGAGGGCAGCAAGCGCGACGAGACGATCGTCAGCGCGCTGTCTCTGTACGACGGACTGGTATAAAGAAACGACTGGATCGTTTTATCTACCGTCTTGCTCTCCCCGCCCCCTCTCTCCCTTCTCCTTTCTTCCTTTTCATCTTTCTATCTTCCACCTCCCCCGGTACTCTGGATGTGGGCGCGGAGCCAAGTCCTCCATTTCCATCACTGTTTGTTGCTTCGTTCCAGGATTCCCATAACTGCTCGTTGTATTCGCCTGTTTGTTCCGCACCGGCCATCTGATTGACGATTCTCCGAGGCTGGTGGCGAGCCAGGTCGCCATCTATGTATTTTCAGCTTTTCCATCTCCTTCTCTTCTTCTTCGTACAACTGTATTGCCTATTCGCGTTAAGCTTTGATTGATGATTGATTGGATCTCTCATGGGAAGATCGACATGGATAATAGAACATTGCACCAAACCGGATCTACGGTGGTCGACCTACCAGGTTAGTGTCACTACCAGCCGCTTCGAGTCTCTGGAAAGGTAGCTACGAACCTGATGAGGTTCGACTTCGATAGGAGGCGGGTGAAGTATGTACAAATAACACATTAAGGGAAACGTTCACTTTCAGCGGAGTAGAGTAGAGGCACGCTTGTATGCTCAAAGTCATTCAAGTACTCGTGAATAGATTCTTTGTACATACATGGAGTTAAAATTTAGCATTTCAAATCGCATATCCCTTTCTTTCCCTCCCGTATTACTGTATGTTGGGGCTGCCTACACCCCACGCAGTTTAGCCTGCCTCGGTATCTGATCCGGGTATGGAGTACGAAGTACGGAGTACGGAGTACTGCGTGGCTGGGAGTAGATTATTCTAGTTGGTATCAACATCTAGATCTAGATGCATGCTTATATAGGATGGTATATGTCAAATAATTCTAACCAATCGAGAGAAGCTACGAATAAGCGTATGGGAGGCCTTGTGCTAGGGCGGTGGTCGTCTTATATCCTCCACACTATGCTACAGGTACAGACTTCCGCATGAAACACACTGCAGAATCCATTTCTCAGAACTCGAGACAGAGGGTATAGCTGTTTTTATTGAAATCATAGTCATCTACAAAATGATTTCCCGGCATTGCGGGGCATGAAGGCATCGGACTTGGTCAAACAGTAATGCTTTGACGTGGCTCGAAAGGACCTCTATGGCGATATACCTAGCTTGCAGCTCATAACTATAATCCCTTTATGGACCTGCCAAGGAGCAGCCAGTCCTAACACTTGCACTGTCTCCTTGGCTATCCTTGGCTGGTCCACTAAGCTTGCGATATCTTGCTAGTCAGGCGGACAGGGTCGGGGAATGCCCCAGGTTGAAAGCGACTGAGCTCCAAATAGTCACTAGAGACATATGACACATGACTGCTGTCGGTCTTTGCTAACAAGTCGATTGAGGTAAGGTGGAGACTTTGGAGGCGTGGATCGTGGCAGAACCTACCATCCGCTCTACGTCTCTGGGGCCAATGGTTGTTGTCACTGCCAGTACCATGACCTAGCCCAAAACAATGTATTCAAGTTGAGTCAGTTCTCGAGTCTGTCTGTCGACCACCTGTAGTAGGATGACAGCGTGTGAAGTGAGACCGGGTGAATCTAGGCCTCAGGAAGAGTGCCCGAGCTTGGTGCAAAGGCGGTGGCAGAACAGGTGGCCAGCCCAACCACGGTGAAGAGAGAAGGCGGTCATGATGAAGTCCTTCTCTTCTCCCCCACCTTTCATTCACCTTTCATTCATCCTCTCTCTTGACCTTCTTCATCCTACTTCTTGCCTCGATTCCCACCACAGAAATACCACTTTCAATCAAGTTCATCTCCCCAAAGCCATCATGTCGACTTCGGCTCGCAGACGTCTGATGCGCGATTTCAAGCGGATGCAGACCGACCCTCCCGCGGGCGTTTCGGCTTCCCCAGTAGCGGACAATGTCATGACCTGGTAAGTTGAAGCTCGGAGCTTGATTCTCAATACGATAATGAGCTTCTCTCCTCTATCTCTGGTCGAGGACGGAATGGACGGTTAGGTGGCTGGCCATGATCTGTTTGCCTCCTCCAGTCGGATGGTCCCGTATCAGTCTTATCATCAACCCGTTGCTGCTCGATTTCACATCCCGGTTGGTCCATACCTGTGCTAACGGGCGTCTGATAGGAATGCCGTCATCATTGGTCCTGCCGATACCCCGTTTGAAGATGGTACATTCCGTCTGGTCATGCATTTCGAAGAACAGTATCCCAACAAACCTCCCGGAGTGAAGTTCATCAGCCAGATGTTCCACCCCAACGTGTATGGCACTGGTGAGCTGTGTCTCGACATTTTGCAGAATCGCTGGAGCCCGACCTACGATGTGGCGGCCATTCTTACAAGCATTCAAAGGTATGTCCTTCTTTTCTTTACCAATAATCCAACCCTTCCACTACCGAGAGCTCTGATGCTGATGTCGAGTAGTCTTCTGAACGACCCCAACACGTCATCTCCGGCCAACGTGGAAGCTTCGAATCTGTACAAGGACAACCGCAGGGAATACGTCAAACGCGTGCGTGAGACGGTGGAGAAGAGTTGGGAGGATTGAGATGTCAGGCTGGTTTTGTGGTTTACACTCCTGACCGTTGTTTTTCGCACACGTTTTATCATGAAGCACGGCTGTTCCGGGAAGACATTTGATGGCGGGACGGATATGATCGATGGCATACCATAGCTTGGAGTTTCGGCACTGGGATTTTCTACTGTTCTCTTGTTCGGCGTTTCTTCAATCAATATTAGGACTACTCGCATGGATTGCTCCGATCGATGTGCATAATGCAAGGGCTTGTTTGGATTTCCCCTCTTGTCATGATTTGACCCCGCAGTGTGGATGGGGGATTTTGAAACCGACTTGGCGTTTTGGGCCTGGTTGTATCTGGGCATTCGATAGCAATCAACTGCCAATACTCAATAACATGGGAAACAATAGATGATCAGTAGTCTATAACCAGAAGTAGACCAGGACCAGCGAGGGTTTCAGAGCTGGTTAGTGGCCGCCAAGACAGGCTCTAACGGTTCGTGCCTCCTGCCACTGCCGACTGACCGATAGTAGTCTGAACACCACAATCATCTCTGTTTCTGTGTCATTTCTTGTTCGGTCTGTTGTTTTCCCAGTATTCTCCATTTTGAGTGTGGTGTTCGTACATTTTGTTGTATCTATTATCTTTGTTATTGTCTTCCCCTCCACACCATTTCCCCCTCTGTTTTCCCACAGTTACCGCCCTGGCACGTGGACCCCTGACCCAAAACACCGCATCCCCATCGCGACCTCGAAGACTCGATCATCCCTCCGCTGGAACTGTGTGTCACAACCCGTTCTTTTCCCCCCGGGGTTGCCTTATCGACTCTTCTTTTACTTCCCCTCTTTAGGCCCGCCCATCTCGGGTCAGTGTCGACATGGCGTGAGTATTCCTGACCGACTTCCCCTCCTTCTTGGCTCGGGCTAATGACGGTACGGTGTGCAGGTCATCTGGCCCTAACACCATCAAGGGTATGTTCCTCGATTCGATACGGTGATACTCTCCGAGTCAAGAGCTAATTGCGCCCGCAGTGGTTGCGAGGTTTCGACCACAGAATAAAATCGAACTGTCCTCGGGAGGCACACCCATCGTCGAGTTCCAGAATGAGCAGTCATGTACAGTCACGGTATGATGCTCATGAAGACGGCGGCCAATCCCAGTGGAACTAACCCCGAATCCAGTCCAGAGAAGGCAGCGGTGCCTTCACCTTCGACCGTGTGTTTCCCATGGGCACCGAACAGACCGACGTCTTCGATTTCTCCATCCGACCGACCGTCGACGACATCCTGAATGGCTACAACGGGACCGTCTTCGCCTACGGTCAGACCGGTGCCGGTAAATCGTACACGATGATGGGGTCCGACATCGACGACGACATGGGCAAGGGTCTCATCCCGCGAATCGTCGAGCAGATCTTCGCCAGCATCCTCATCAGCCCCAGCAATATCGAGTACACCGTCCGCGTCAGCTATATGGAGATCTACATGGAACGGATCCGCGATCTGTTGGTCCCGCACAACGACAACCTGCCCGTCCACGAGGAGAAGTCCCGCGGTGTCTATGTGAAGGGTCTGCTCGAGGTCTATGTGTCCAGCGTCCAGGAGGTTTACGAGGTCATGCGACGCGGTGATGCGGCGAGAGCGGTGGCCGCGACCAACATGAACCAGGAGTCGTCCCGATCCCACTCTATCTTCGTCATCACCGTCACCCAAAAGAATCTGGAGACAGGCTCCGCCAAGAGCGGTCAGCTGTTCCTGGTCGATTTGGCCGGTAGTGAAAAGGTCGGCAAGACCGGTGCCAGTGGTCAGACGCTGGAGGAGGCCAAGAAGATCAACAAGAGTCTGAGCGCCCTGGGCATGGTCATCAATGCCCTCACGGACGGCAAATCCTCGCACGTTCCCTACCGTGACTCCAAACTCACTCGTATCCTCCAAGAAAGTTTGGGAGGTAACTCGAGGACCACCTTGATCATCAACTGCTCGCCCAGCAGCTACAACGATGCGGAGACCGTCTCGACCCTGCGCTTCGGTGTGCGCGCCAAGGCCATCAAGAACAAGGCGAAGGTCAACGCTGAGCTGAGTCCGGCGGAGTTGAAGATGCTGCTCCGCAAGGCGCAGACCCAGGCCACCAGTTTCGAAACCTACATTTCCGCCCTGGAGTCCGAAGTCACCGTGTGGCGCAAGGGCGAAAACGTCCCCAAGGAACGATGGACCCCCGCGCGCGGTTTGGAGTTGGTGGGTGTGGCCAAGGCCGAGGCCCGTCCGCCGCGACCCAGCACCCCGTCCCGACTGCAGGACGCGACGCGGTCCGAAACCCCGCGCCCGGATTCGCGCATTGGCGATCGCTCCAGCACGCCCAGCCTGGTGCTCGAGAAGGACGAGCGGGAGGAGTTTCTCCGGCGCGAGAACGAACTGCAGGATCAGATTGCCGAGAAAGAATCGCACATTGCCAACGTGGAACGGGGACTGCTCGACGCCCGGGAGGAGCTTCGCTCGATGAAGGAGAACTCCGCGCGCTCGGGCAAGGACAACGACAAGCTCAACACGGAGATCAACGAGCTGCGGATGCACTTGGAGAAGGTGACCTACGAGAGTAAGGAGGCCTCCATCACCATGGACAGCCTCCGGGAAGCCAACGGGGAACTCACGACGGAGCTCGACGACGTCAAGCAGCAGCTGCTCGATGTGCGGATGAAGGCCAAGGAGACGACCGCCGCGCTCGACGAGAAGGAGAAGAAGAAGGCCGAGAAGATGGCCAAGATGATGGCTGGGTTTGACCTGGGCGGCGACGTCTTCTCCGACAACGAACGGAAACTCCAGGACCTCATCCAGCGCGTGGATGCGCTCCACAGTGTCAGCGAAGCCGGCGAAACGATCGCCCCCGATGATATCGTGGAACTGCGGGCGAGCCTGTTGGAGACCAAGGGATTCATCCGGCAGGCCGAGCTCACGATGAACGACCGCGGGGAGCTGAGCGAGCTGCAGGACAGCCGGCGGGCGGATCTCGAGCAGAAGTTGGACGATCTCAAGCGCGAGTACGAGCAGCTGCTGGAGCGGACCCTGGGCGAGGAGGACACGGGCGAGATCCGGGACCGCCTGGAGAAGGTGTACATCACGCGCAAGGAGGCCGAGATGCAGGCGGTGACGGAGCTCCGCGAGGAGATTGGCCGCAAGGACGAGGAGCTGCAGAAGCTGCGGCAGTCCCTGGCCGATTCGCAGTCGCGCGTGTCGACCAACGGGGCGGCGGGCAAGAACCTGCAGCAGCAGATCTCCGAGTTCGACGCCATGAAGAAGTCCCTGATGCGGGACCTCCAGAACCGCTGCGAGCGCGTGGTCGAGCTGGAGATCTCGCTGGACGACGCCCGGGAGCAGTACAACAACGTGCTGCGGTCGTCGAACAACCGCGCCCAGCAGAAGAAGATGGCCTTCCTCGAGCGGAACCTCGAGCAGCTGACCCACGTGCAGCGACAGCTGGTCGAGCAGAACAGCAGTTTGAAAAAAGAGGTTGCGATCGCTGAGCGGAAGCTCATTGCCCGCAATGAGCGTATTGCTAGCTTGGAAGGCCTGCTCCAGGAGAGCCAGGAGAAACTCACCCAAGCGAACCACCGGTAAGCCCCTTCCCTAGTTCCCTAGTAAAGGAAGTAGAGAACATGCTAACAGTCACAACAGTTTTGAAGCTCAACTCACCGCGGTCAAGGAGAGACTGGAGGCTGCAAAACAAGGCTCCACCAGGGGTCTTCCAACTATGGATAGCGGCGGCGGTTTCAGTTTTGGCGGCTCGCGAATTGCGAAGCCGCTTCGGGGCGGCGGCGGAGGATCCGAGAGCAGTGCTCCGGTTGCTGGAGTCCAGTCGCAGGAGACGGGCAAACGCACGAGCTGGTTTTTCGATCGACGATGATCCACGATTTCTCTTCTGTTGTCTTTTCTATCCATTCTTCGAAAATACTTGATCGCAATTCTCCTTTCCTGTTCATCTGTTTTTTTTTTTTTTTTTTGATGACTGTTTTCTTGACTCCCTTTTTCTTTCTTTTTTCTTTCACTGGTATATTAGATCGAGTGCCCCCCGATATCATATCGAGGCGCCAATGGCTCTCACCGATACCCATGTACATGATGATAGACCCGGGGATGAGTAGCTGGGGGTTAACTCTAGATACGTTATGCAATACAGGAGACACGATTTACATGTTACTCGATCCGAGGCTTGACATCTAGGGTCATTGGGGGTTGCCCCGGCCCAGGCGGTTAGGGACGGATTAGGGATGTGATAAGAGATGGTTTAGGGATGGTTTAGGGACCAGCTGCCCTGGGACATTCTGTCTGGAAGGGTGTGTCTCACGTGACCACATTCAGGAACGGCATACCAGGATGGGGCACGCACTTAACCCAAAAGAGTATCCAGCTTCAAGCATCAGTTTGATCCCAACATCCAATCCGTACATACATACCCATTGTTTGTTCCCCCTGTCATGACAAATAAAACAGCGCCACAATAGACCTACTGCAGAATGCCGAACCCCGCAGCAGTGGAACTGCAGCTCTCCCCATCCTGCTACAACTGCCTATCATGGTCCGCAGACGGCGAGCTGGCCATGGCAGCCGGTGAATACGTCCAAATCCTAGTAAGCGCCCCCAACACCAACCAACCAAACCCACCCTACTCACATAACACAGACTCCCCAACTCGCGACCCAAGAAGGTAAAGAAGGCTCAAGCCTCCCAGGCAAAGCCAACACCTGGCACGTCACGCGCATCCGCGTCAATCTCTTCGCCAACAAAGAGTGGCCGACCATCTTCCCGCAGAAAAACGAGCACTTCTCCATCGGGCCCGAGCAGTCCCTCAGCACAGTCGTCGGACTATCATGGTCGCCGCCGGGCCTGGCTCGGTACCGACGGTGTGCGCTAGCCGTGCTAACGTCTAATTTGCTGCTCTCGCTGTACGAGGCCGGCGCGAAGGGGAAGTGGAAGCGCGTTGCGATAGTTAACGCTGCGCTGAAGCCGGAATTTCAGTCTTTTGTCAAGGATGCGGGGCTCTGTTTACGGAAGACGTATATTCGCTCGTTTGCGTGGGCTCCGCCGTTGAAGGTGTCGCGGGATCCGGAGGGAGCTGCGTATTCTGTTCCTGGGCCCGAGGCAAGATGGGGGGTTCAGGTGTTGGCTGTCACTAATGATGATAATGATTTGATGTGTTTACAGGTACGACGGTCGAAGGGGGAGGGCGGGGGAGAGGATGGGTATTCTGTTAAGATGTTGGGGCTTAGCTCGCTGCATGATGCGGAGGCGAGTGATGAGCTGATTCAGAGCGGTTCGCTTTTTTCTGCTGCTCTCAGGTCGCGGGTCAGAGCATTGCATACGGCGTTTGGACCGTGGGTTTATCGGCCTTTGGATGGGGGGGATGGTGAGGGTGCTGTTTGCTCTGCGACTGCGAATATAGCGGTGCTGTACGGCTCGAAAGTGAAGGTTTTCAAGTTGGATGTGACATTGGCGGGGGATGAGAAATCTGACCCAGAGTGGGGATACAGCTCATCGGCTGTCTCGACTGAGAATGCCCTTCTGTACGGTGAACAGGTCAATGCTTGCCAGTACACTGGACCTTTGCGGTGGATACACTCGGTAAGTGTGATGCTGTTTCTGTTGACGCTGTCTTACTCTCTATAGGATGAATCTCGTTGTATGCACCTTGCTGCGGGTGCCATGGCGAAGGTTGTCACTCTTTCTTTCCCACGGGAGGCATATGCTGGAACCGCGACATCCGGTGATGTACAGGTCCGAGAGTGGCCGCTCGCCGATGAAGGGACAGGAGAACACAGCGAGTCAAGGAGCTGGGAGCCAATTAGTGGTAAGTCACCGAGTCCATTCTCTAGGCGTCGCTAAGTATGCACAGGCATGATCACCACCTTTGACGAGTCCACCAAACTGTCTACCCTACATATCGGAACAGTGGGAGGATTATCCGCCATGACCGAGTTTGGAGACGCCCCCGACGAAGAACCGCTACACTCCCCACTCTGGAAAAATCAACTAGATGATGTCCGGGAGCGATTCGACCTTGACTGTGACCTCGGCGGCTTAGCCATTGCCAGGGTCTGGGGCCTCGCATCTCACCGCGGACTCGCCGCGGCAGCGATCACCCTGCATCCCGGGGACATGGTAGACTACCGCACGACGTCAGGGGAACGTACGTCAATCGTGTTCTCCCCAGCAAGTCTGCACTCTCCCAACAACGAGCTATCAATCAGCGGACAGACCCCAATTGACCTTTCACCTGAATTCCTACAAGCAAAGCGAGAGACTGTCCTGGGGTCCATACTCTTCTCCTTCGACAACGACACCAACACCTTCCCCTGGAGTCAAAGCCTCCTCTACGCAGCAGCATGCTGCACAGCCGTGGGGTCCCGCAACCAAGACCTCCTCTCGCAAGCCAAACACACGCTGGAATGGCTAGCCGCCGCAGCAGAGGTCGACCTGACAGATGAAATATCGACATGCTCTACCCCCGGAGGGAAAATCAAAGCAAGGTCCACAGAGCAGCTCGATGAGTCAGATAATACTATGTTCGAAGTATGCACTATATGCGATGCAGGCATTGGGTGGCATTCGCCGCAGGAAGCACAGTGCGCTAGTGGGCATCTTTTCGGTATACAACCCAATCCAATCTCACCCGTGGCGCGGGTTATATCATACATATGCTAACCTATTGACCTGATAGTCCGATGTGGCCTCACCTTCAAGGCTATCCAAGAGCCAGGGCTATCGAAATTCTGTTCCCTGTGCGGAGCAGAGTATCTCAGCGAAGATATGCTCGACGAGGGGAGCGAATTCGCAGGCGAGTGCCGGAGGCTGGCTACTGTGTTTGACACGTGCGTTTACTGCCAGGGGAAGTTCCTTGCTTAGGTCTATCTTTCTCTCTTCTTTTACATTCAGTTACAAAGGGATAGACACGTGTTATGCTGGGTACAACCCCAGCAGCTTCCCGGCTACGGGGTTCCACTCGTCGTCCCAGCGACGGTTACTCTCTTCGAGCGCACCAGTGCGCAAGGTCTCCAGTTTGGACGGGTCCCCGAAGAGCTCAACGAGCTGCTCTACCAGCTGCTCAGAGCTACCGAAGCCCTTCCCGTTCAGACCCTCCGTGACGAGCTCCGGCCACGCCTCGAAGCGGTTCCAGCCGACAACCGGCAAGCCAGCGCCGAACATATCGACTACTTTCATGGGCAAGTCAACACCGCTGCTGCTAGTGTGCAGACTGACGCCCAGCGACGCGGAGGCCAAGAGCTGCGCATAGTCGGGTGTGCTCAGCCAGGCAGTGCGGATAGTGGCGTTCTCGAGCCGGCCTGCTCGCTCGAGTTCCGCGATCTGGTTCACGTACATTTCCTTCTGTGGGCCTTTGCCTGTTATGATCGCCAGGATGGGCGGTAATACCGGCTTGCTGGTCTTTGACAGCTCTGAGTAGCGACAGAGGGCGTCGATGAGAAGGGAGAAGTCTTCGTCTGCGGTCCAGGAGGTCGAGCTGACCAGCACTCGAATGTTTCCGGAGAGTATAAGCGGCCGCACCGATTGTGCTTCTGGCAGCGCGGCGAGGAATTCCCGTCTGATGTTCGTATCCGCGATTGGTCGAAGATGGCTAGCAGGTCGATCATGCAGAGGCAGAACAGGAGCCTGGAGACGGAAGTCCTTCCTCAAAACAGACGCCATGGCGGACGTGACACACAGATGCGCCGTCGCAGACCTGCAAAATCTCCGCTCATACCACTTGGAAATGCGCACCAACGGATGTCCGTCTCCGAGCTTCAGCGTCAGAATCGTATATCCGAAGTTATGCCAGTCAATGACCAGGAACGTCTGGCGCAGGAAGCACACCGCAGACGCGATGGCCAGGGAGGGAATCGACGGGGGATTCTGAACGAGGAGCCATTTGGCAGGCTTGGTGCGGTATGCCAATGCCGTCCACAGACAAGCGACTTGGAAGAGGACCTTCAACGGGGCGAAGAGCAGGAAGAGGAGCTTGTGGCTAGTTTGTAGGTAGGCGGGGTGAGGGGGGAGGGCGACGATGGATATCCGGGGGTGAGATGAGATGTCGGGGTGGAGTTCGGATTCTATAATAATCCATCAGATCAGCTTTATGATTCAATGCCAACTTCTTAGACTGGAACTCACCGTGATATCCGATTATATCGACTTGACCCCCTCCGCGGGCGATGCTGAGGGCGTGGTACTGCATGCGCGGACTGCGACCGATGTCGCCCAGGACGAGGATCTGGGCGTTTGTTTTTGACGGGGAGTCATCTTTTGCGATGGGCTTGTCTTTTGTAGTGGTGCCATATTGCGATGGGAGCATGCAGATCAAGAGGGTTATGGCGGTGGAGATGTAGAACGCGATGCTAATGATGGTTTCGATCATGGTGGGATTTATTTGAAGGAGATATTTGAGAAGAGTCTGGCATATGGTCATATCATGACAAGTACCCACCCATACTCAAGCCATCGTAGACAACTGCTGAAGACTGCAATGGACTGCAATGAGAGTGAAGTGAAGCTATCCGTATTGACGGAGAAACTTGGACCGAGGCAACTGATACCTCAGTTCTCAGGCAGTGACAGTGGGCCATCACGTGCGTTATCAGCCCCCTCAAGATCGACAAGTCCGGGGCTATCTCAAGCCTATCTCAAGTCACCTCAACCCCGTTCATCACCTCGACGCGCAAGGTCCCCTCGCTCGAATCGCCGTGTTCGCGCTATGCTGTGTGGCTCGTTGCAATCGCCCGGTCGCTTGTCTGTTGGCTGTTGAATCCTTCCCTCGCCCTCAATCCTGATTCTGTCGCGTCTATCATCCCTACTAGATCCACTCAACGACTCGTCGAACATCACCAAGCGGAGAATATGTCAACGGGGCCTACCGTGTCCGCGTCGGATACGCACGCCCCTGCTTTTTCTAGCCAGAATCTTGGACATAGTCGTGGTCGCGGCCATGGTCATTCGCGGTCGAGTCGCTCGCACACCCCTATCTCCCATACGGTTACTGCCTCGGATGTCTCTCAACAGCCATTGACGGGCATTGGTATCGTCAATGGCCATATTCCGGATGCGAATGGACACGGACATCATCATAATCACTCTCATTCGCATTCGCACGCCCATTCGCATTCACACGCCCATTCACACTCCCACTCGCACTCCCACTCCATCCACGACGGGCATGGGTCGCATGCCCATGGGAACAGCCTGGGTGGCTACGGGGTTAAACCCGTCGCAAATGTCACGGGGATATTTGAAGAGGCGACCGTTGCGGCAGCAGAGTCTCAAGAGCCGAAGAGGTAAGTGGCTTCACTGCGTGAACGAGCAATACTAACCTGTCCAGCCGCGAAATCCTCGCCGGTATCCTCCTCGCCCTCCCGTGGATCGTCCTGTCCTGGTACCATGGCCACTACGCGCAGTGGCAGATGTCCAAGGCTACTCCTGACGACCCCGTCGCTCCAGTCATCGGCAGCGGAAACATAATTGGCACCACGGGGAAAGCGTCCATGCTCACGGCTGTGACGATGGTTATGCTCGGATGTGGCCAGCTGGCACTGCGGGCGGGTAACACGGGGGCATTGAAGTTGGACGCTGCGACGGGTGGTGCTGCGGTCAAGCAGTTGTGCTCGATTGCGCTTCCGGTTTATGCCGCGTTGCAGGTGGGCAGCTTCCTTGTCGCGATGGTTCTACCGCTTGCGATCGCCTCGGGGATGCCGACTATTCCAACCTCCGGCAGTGCTCATGGGCGGCTGAGCCAGAAGAAGTTCACTGCCGTGTTTATTCTGGGTGCGGTTACGCTGTGCTTTACCGGGTTCAATACGACCTGGAACCGAAACCCGGTGCTGGGATATGTGTGTCTGCTGCTCTCGGTGTTTGCTATCCATCCGCCTTTTCTCGGGCAGGTGTTGGGATCTGACAAAAAGGGCGCCTCTACCGTGGTCGGCAACCCCGTCGCGACGGTTATTATTGGAGTCGTGCTTGCAGTCGGTACGGCTGTCTTTTCCACGGCGCAGTCTTTTGGGGCTGTGGATTTAGGGTATCTCTTTGCCGCGGCGGGTTCCATGGCGGTGTGCTTTACATATCTCGCACCGGTGGATATGCACTCCCCGCGGAAACTCGGCCTCTGTGTCGCCACCGGAAGTGCTGCTCTGTTGTGCTCTCCGCCGCCGCAGAGCGAGGTGTACTTGATCTATATTTCCCGGGCCATCCTCAGTGCAGCGGCCGTCTTTGCCGCCACACTAGACAGCCGGACCGCGCATCACGCCCACACCCACGATCACTCACCCGCGCAGGCGTCCAGATGGACAAAGTTCATTCTCCGCCACAGCGAGCCGTACCCGCTGCTCTACAGCATTCTCAAGGAGAGCGATTCGCGCCGCATCTTCTACTTCATGGCGTATGTATGCTCCGCCCCGTATGTCTGCCACTGGCTAATTTGGTAGTCTCAACTTTTCGTTCATGCTGGTGCAACTCTGCTACGGGTTTTTGACCGGGTCGCTTGGACTGCTGAGTGACAGCATTCACATGTTCTTCGACTGTCTTGCGCTGGTCGTGGGTTTGTGTGCGGCCGTCATGAGCAAGTGGCCCCCGAATGCCCGGTTTCCTTACGGATACGGCAAGGTCGACACGCTGTCTGGGTTTGCCAATGGCGTTTTTCTCATGTACGTATCGTTCAACACTTCTGCCTGGCTCTACTAACCGGCTCGCAGGATCATCAGCATTGAAATTATCTACGAGGCCGTGGAGCGACTGTCTACAGGCAGCCACATGCACCGAATCGGCGAACTCCTAGCAGTCAGTTCAGCCGGCCTATTAGTCAACCTAGTCGGCATCATGGCGTTCGACCACGGGCACGCCCATCACGGACACGACCACGGCCACTCGCACGGCAACGAGAACATGCACGGCATCTTCCTCCACATCTTGGCAGACACGCTAGGCTCAGTAGCGGTGGTCATCTCGACGCTGCTCGTGCATTACTCCGGCTGGGCGGGGTACGATCCCCTCGCGTCGTGTCTGATCGCGATCTTGATTTTCGCATCGGCGGTGCCACTTGTCAGCAGCACGGCCAAGAGGTTACTTCTGACGCTGCCGGCGGACGTGGAGTATACCGTCCGCGAGACGTTGGCGGGGGTAAGCACCCTTCGGGGAGTGGCAGGGTATACGGTGCCGAAGTTTTGGCTAGACGATACGGCGGCGACGTCGGATGATGGGCATGGACATGGTCATGGACATAGTCATGGGCACGGCCATTGCCACGATCATCAGGACCACGACCACCACGACCATCATCACGACCATCACGACCATCACGACCACGACCATGACCATGACCACGACCACAACCACAGCCAAAACGTGCTGGGCGTCATCCATGTGATCGCCTCCCGCAGCGCCGAGCTCGAAGACGTCCGACAGCGAACGGTGGATTACCTCCGCGCCAAAGGGATGGACACGCTGGTGCAGGTGGAGCGCGAAGGGGACGGACGATGTTGGTGTGGTGGGGGGAATAAGGTGTCTTCGCTGTAGATGGCTGTACTGTATACGATGTTAGATATTGGCTGTACTGTAACTAGGACAAGATTATATTATATATGTATATGACTAGGACTTGTTACAGAAGGTTTGTTTGTATTGTATTGGCACGTGGCGGAGACCACGTGGTTATCCCGATATCCATATCAACGACCAGAATAATATACTAGACGACTCAACAGCTCAAGATGCAGATCAACTCCTGTCATGTCATGAATGCAGCACTCCAAATGGCCAATATACCACCTACAAAGCACAAACCTATACACACAACCTCTATCCTCTTCTCCAATCGCCAAGATAACCAAATCAACCTTACAAATCATCCCCACATAAAACCCAACAATCAACCATCAAAACAAGAATAAAGCCGAGACCCGAGCGGGGCGTTCATAAAAAAAAACAGCCAAATACGAAAACGAGATCCAATCACATATATTAGCGAGACCGTTTCATACCTGTTAGCTGGATAAAGTGGGTCTATCAGGAGGAAGTCCGAGTGAGATGGTAGACTAAGGCAGTCAGAGCGGAGGCACTAAATTATTACGATCGTGGGTATTATCTTATTTTATTAACTTGGGATATAATATATGGGTGGGAGGGATCTCATGTTGATCATCGTTCTTTTTTTTTTCTATCTGGTTTGGGGGGACTTTCTTTCTTTATATCTCTTTTTTATACTAATACATACCTACCTATACAACTCGTTATACGCGCCAACCTCAGGACAAGGCAGTGCCGTGCCTTACCTCCCGTCTCACATCACACCCATTTCCTCTTATCGCGACTCGCTAGCCATTAATTAACAAGAGAAGAGAGAGACCAAAATGAGCTTCGCAACCTGCACCGAAGTCACCCCCCTCTGCCCCGTCGAAGCCACCACCTACGGCTACTACCCGAACTACGGCGGCAACATCTTCTTCGCGGCCTTCTTCGGGTTCTGCGGCCTCGCCCAGCTCGGCATAAACATCTACTTCCAAGCATGGACGCTGGCCATCGCGCTAGTAGGAGGATCCGTCCTCGAAATGGCAGGCTACATCGGGCGGGTCCTCATGCACGACAACCCATGGCACTCTGGCGCGTTCAAGCTGCAGATTGTGACGCTTATTCTCGGTCCGACGTTCGTGGCCGCTGCCGTGTATCTCACGCTGAAGCATATCATGCTGGCGTTAGGGCCGCAACACGCGCGGCTGCGGCCGCAGCTGTTCACGTGGGTGTTTATCGGGTGTGATATTGGCTCGTTGGTCCTGCAGGCTGCGGGGGGTGGTGTCGCCGCGGGGGCGGGTAATACCGATCAGCGACTGCTGAAGATCGGAGATGATATTATTATTGCGGGGATAGCGTTCCAGGTTGCTACGATGGGGGTGTGTGGAGTGTTGGGGGTGGAATTCTTTCTCAGGGTGTGGAGAAGTAAGAGTGAGGAAGGGGGGTATAAGGTGCGCTGGATGGGGCTGGTTATTGCGGCGGAGGTGTTTGCTTATTTTACGGTGTTGATTCGGTGTATTTACCGGTTTGTTCCTCCTTTCTCCTTCTCTTCTCTTGTCTTGTCTTGTTTACTTCTCTGGAGGAAGGGTTGATGTGGGTGATGACTGACTGACTGATGGTGTATAGACTCCCTGAAATGGCTGGCGGATGGGGAAACCCGCTGATGCAAAAGGAGAACGAGTTTCTTGTGTTGGACGGGATGTATGTCTTCACTTATTCTTCCTTCCTTTTCGTTTCCCTCATATATATGTGGTGCATGCTAATGAATGACAGGATGATTGCTCTGGCTGTGGGATCCCTGACACTCGTTCATCCGGGGTTCTTCCTGGCGACATTGCGGAAGGGAAAGAAGAGTATGGTAGTTCCGTGAGCAGACATAGTTGGCTTGATATAGATGTATATAATGTACCGTAGATATTGATTCGTTTTGACTAGTTGCTGTTATATCTTGGTAGTAGATCTCGAGTAGAACTTGGAAGTAAACCTGGAAAGAAATGGCAGTAACTGTTATGTAGATGAGATACCTACAAATCACCCACATATTCAATCGCAAGATCAATCGATCCTGTACAGCACACGGTAACTCCACCGAGAACACCCAAGCAAATGAAAGAATGAATAAGAAAGAAAATGCCAACAAAACAAGATAGACGCCAACCCTACCGATGGACATATCCACATCCACCATGCACAAATCAACTCGCTAAAGCCACCGCGTCCTGAGGACAACCCGGTATGGCCCGGTGGACAGTAGAAAGAACGAAAGTAATCAATCAACAATCAATCAATAAATCAGTCGATCACTCCTCTCCCAAACTATCCCGCACACACTTCCTCGCCCTCTTCTTAAACTCCTTCGGATCCTCCCTCCACATACGCGCAGCCTCCACATTCGCAGGACTCTCATCATTCGGGCTCGACAGCATCGAAATAACCGATAGGAGGATCGACTCCGGCGTCTGAACAGGCGACCAGCGCTCGGCGGCGGACTCGTAGCCGTATTTGTCTTCCTCTGGGGGGTGCAGGATGGAGATGCAGACGTCGCCGTTGGGGTAGACTGTACTTATTATAAGCTGACCATCCTTTATATGCATTTTGCTGACCGGCTTGGGTCTATATTCTGGGGCGAACTCGCGGGGTGGGTGTACTGCGTACCGTTGGGATGGAAAATAGCCGGCTCGAATTTCATCTTGGGTGGCATGTGGGGGTATTCTGAAGGGAAGGACAGACGAGCTCTGAAGAAGCCTCCTATAATCCTTGTATCAGTATTCATGCTTTCTCTCTCTTCTTCTCTTCTTCTCGTCTTCTCTCTCCCCGCCTCTCGGTCTGTATAATCAGTGGCAACAGGACAACCCACCCCCATATAACTTCACATCATCCGAGATCATAAGCATCACCTCCCACTCAAAAACATTGCTATCGACCAGTCCGCAGCTGATCCCAGGGATATCCTTGTCGGATTGCATTTGCTGAAGCTGGCGGGACAGCATGCGGCCGGCTGCGGTTGTGGCCATGGTGGGTAGACCGTGTTGACGCGACTGTTGGTTACTTCGAGGGGGATGAGGTGGGTATTTAGATTGGAGTGTAGATGTGAGCGAGGGAATCAAGAATGAGGAGAGGAGAGGAGAGGAATAGAGGAGAATGAAACGAACGAGTGACAGAATGAGGGGCCTGAGGCTGGGCGGTGAGGGCGGAGCGGGGTCGACTTTTTGGTCCTACAACCTCTACCACGAATTAGACATACTATGCTGGTCACTTCTACTGTGGAGTATTGTTACTGCTACTCTATAACATCTGTGGGTAATTGTATCCTGCATGCAAGCTATAACTATTATGGTCAATGTCCACACATCCCCCAATTCAAGTCCAATATCCAATCTGTGATGCAACTAATCGAGCAGCATTCCAATACACTGCATATAGAGGATGCAATATCTTCTCTGATCTTCCCTGTCAGAGAAGATATTGCATCCACTAACAGCTAAGCTCCACTAACAGCTAAGCCTTATCGCCAAACTTGACGCCTCCGCCAACCAGCACGGCGCACAACGCCGCCACATAGACAAACGCAAAGGCAAACATGATGGCGAAGCCCTTGGCGATAGCCTTGACGTAGCGGATGCGGGCGGCGCGGTCAAACGTACGCCAGGCATCCGCGATGCCCAGCTTGCCGCTCCCCCCGAGGATAGCGGGCACGACCTTGCCGCCAAAGGAGCGATCGAACGGCACAATGGCCTCGTGGTCCTCCGGGAGCATAGACGCCGCCACACGGATGAAGATCGCACGGGCGGGGATAGACACCAGGAACGAGAGGAGAGCCGGGCCGGAGAAGGACGCGAAGGCGCGGGCGTAGGCCCCCGAGGTGCGGATATCGAAGTTAGCCGGGTCGTCGAGACCGCTGAAGCCGCAGGTGACCATCATGGGCAGATAAAAGGCGCCCAGGGTGACGGCGTACTCGAAGACCGCGACGGGGGCGATGCGGTTCCAGTCCTTGAAGCTGGGAATACGCTGGTAGAAGCGCTTGGAGGACGGCTCCGAGATGACGATGTGCACCCAGGCCATCTGCAGGTTGGCGGTCAGGACGGCGACGACCATGTTGATGGCGAACTGGCCGAGGAAGCTGCGGGCGACGGCGAAGGGGAAAAAGGCCGTGATGAAGCCCGGGGCGGCCATGCACAGAAGGGCCATGCTGAAGCCGCGGAAACGCGACCGAAAGCCGCCCCGCGAGCGCAGATGGCGGAGGGTGCTGCGCAGGCTGCGGGTGACGGGAGCGGGACGAACAATGTCCTCCGGCTCCGGGGCGTTGGGGTCGGCCGATTTGTTGGCGTTGGGGTCGGTGTCGATGCGGACGTATAGATCAGGGTCGGTCTGCTCGACAGCGGCCAGGGTGGGGACGACCCATCCGTACGTGTATTCAATCTAGATCATCAGTTTGATGCCATCGATTCATCGGAGGTAGAACCTACTGCACCAGCGAACACAAAGAACATAATCACGCTCAGAACAACCAGGGCAGCCAGCCATCCGGCGATTTTGATATCAGGCTGCTGGTCCTTGTCCTTCATCTCGGCGACGAAGTCGGAGCCCCGACGGAGGAGGACACTTCCCAGAACCATGATGGCGGTTCACGGGCCGATGAGTTGATGGATGGAAATAAAACAGAAGAAGAAATGATGATGATCCAGTAAATCGATGATGATAAAAGAGTTGAAGAAGGAAGAAGGATGAGGACGATGCGGCGACAAAGAAGAACGCTCAAGACCACCTCAGGCAGGGTTGCAGCCTAAGTCATGACTGAGGCAACCATGGGGCTGAGCGCCACCCGGGCCAATCACAGCGAGGCGGAGGGGCAATGCGGGGATCTGATAGGACAGAGCCGTCGATGCCTTCGCGCCCGCTTGCCTCAGTCACATCTCACGTCAGATGTCTCAGAGTGACATAGATAGAGGTAGCTAGTAGACTCGGTAGTGGACTAGTAATAGGCAGGAGGCAGTAGGTACATCGGTATCGGGTATTTCGTAGGACTAGGCAAGGTACCGAAATGTGGGTCTACGCGGACAGGAACAATCATACAAATCCATTCGTAATCCCTACACAAAAACATCAAGTCTATGACATGAACACGGGATATCCGGGCTGGCCAAAATGCTCACAAAATCTCTAAACAGGACTGAAATATATAACATACAAGCATCAAAAAGAACGCCGTGGTCAAAATAAACAGAGAAAAAGGGGGAAATGAATACAGATCGATCTATTCGTCGAACAACTTCTTCATGAACTTGTGGGCGATCTCCACACCGGCGCTGTTTTCCGTTAGCAATCATTCTCTACGCAATTGTAAGTGAACACGGAATTGAACTCACAAAGTGGCCGCGTTGGCGGGTACGGCACGGCACAGCGCGGGCCCGAAACCGGGGAAGAAAGCCTTGAGACCACCGTTGCCGTAGACGGCGCGGATGGTGCCGCTGATAGTCGGGCGACCGGGGTCACTCTGCAGGCGCGACTTGATGGTGTCGACGGGGAAGACGGGGATCCACATGGCCACACCGGCGGCACCACCGGCCGCCAGGACGGCGGGCATGGACAGATCACCGGTGACGTTTCCGTTGGCGTCCTTAGGGGTCAGGCTGCGCTTGATGTACTCGTAGGCGGCGAAGTAGGCGGCGGAACCGGGGCCATCACGGGCCAGGGTCATGGCGCTGCCGCGGAAGACACTGCGCATACCACCCTCCTTGTACAGCTGGCGGACGACGTCCATGCCGCCGGCGTACTTGGGCTTCTGGCCGGGCGGGGGCGGGTTCTGGCCCTGGATCTGCAGCAGCACCTTGACCCGCTCGAAGGGGGCGGTGATGAGGGTCATGGGGATGGCGGAGAAGAAACCCGCGGTGGAGATCTGGGCGATGGAGTACTGGGGGGTGTTGTTCTCCACGCGCACGTTGGACATGCTGCTGACGAGCTGCTTGCCAAGATCATAACCCTATTGACAGTCAGCGTTGGATCCGCAGGGAGGGAACGAAAGGTACTTACCCAGAAGCTGACCGCGAACATGGGGGTCACACCGACCAGGGGAGCGGAGACACCGGCATACAGGCCCTGTTATATTATTAACATGAAGATCCCATTATGACCATGAACGGGGGGGAAAGCATACCCGGCGCAAACCCTCACGAGCGACCGTCCGCTTCACGACATCCATGGCACCGGAGTAGACACCCGGCTGGGCCGTCTGCAGGCGGACCTTGACCAGATCGAAGGGATGGCCGACGACGACGGCGCAAACACCACCCGCGCCACCAGCGACGAGGGAGCGGATCTGGGCCACGGTCTTGTTGATGGGCTTGGCCTCGACGGCCTTGACCTCATCCTGGATGGGCTGGGGGGACGACGCGCTGGTGTTGGACATGGTGGCGGGAGGCGGGTATGCGGACGGGACAAATGCGGGAACGGAAGAGAAATCCAAGAGAGAAAAACAGGCTCAAACAACGTAACACGAAGGAGGCAAAAGAGCAAGAAGGATAAGAATGAAGAAAGGAGGGGGAGAAGGTGAAGGGAAAGTGTCTAAGAAGGTAAAAAATGAAGAGAGGGGAGAAAAAAAAAAAAGTTGAAGCTTGGAGCACCCCGCGGGAAAAGAAGAAGAATGACGGGGTTCCTGACTGAGGCTCGGCTTCCTCCGTGAGTGGCCCGTGACGCTGGACCTCGGCTCGGATGGGGGGATTACTATTCCTCCGCCCACGGGTCACGGGGTGCCCCCTGCCTGAGGCTGGTCGGATTAGGGGAGGTTCAACGACTGTCTCCGCCGGATCCGCTCTTCGCCGTTGATGGGGTCTGTAATTTCTCTCTTTTATGCATTTCATTTCTCTCATTTCTCACAGATCAATCAATCATCTGCAAACCATGTTCCCGATGGCAGGGCACGGTCAACGTTACAACCGGGTGAACGGGGGAGCCCTGGTTGGCGCCTGGTTGATACCTGGTTGATGCCGCTCCTCCGGATTCCCAGCCATCCACCAACCAAGGATCGAAGTGGGATGATTTGGAAGTTCTCTTTCTGTGTCTTTCGTCTGACTGTCCGTCCCTCTAGTAGTGGAGTGCCGTCATGATCTTCTGCCATAGACCTCCGTTGGTGCTAGTTCACTTCCTTAATTCCACTGCCGGACTGCCAAGACTCACATGCTTATCGCCCGTCACATGGCGATAGTCGTATAATCTAATAAAACTGGGTTCTATGGTTATATCGTCAAGGTATCCTGAAAATTCTGATAGGGGGATGAGAGTGTTATTCACTCTACTGAGAGTAACGTGGTGAGATCTAGGTAGTTTACCGTGTGTAGAGCTAATTAACAAGCCACTATATAGGAAACTATACTGGAGAAACACTCGTTATAAATAAACAATCACCTTATCAATTTATGCATTTGAATAACACTCTCTCCCAGTCCATGATTCCAATCATGACCCAGTAATTGTAACACATCTGTAGAAATAGATATATAATCTACAGAGAATCAAATACTAGTTGTAGATTGATTTCAACGTAATTCCCTCTATATAAAGTAAGGAAATGGTTGTGGTTGTCACCATGTTATCGTGGTATATAGGAACTAGCAAGCCCTTATCTCTCAGCATCTTACACTTCCAGAACGAACATAGGACTAAGGACCCAGCGAATAACTAGGATACGGCTCAGTCACCCTTATTATATCATTCTACTGGCTATTAGTCAGATTGATATATCAGCCATATTATCAAGCGACCAAGCGAAGCAAACATGCAAGGCTAGTATATACATCACCACAATCCAGCCCGTGCCTCTACCTTCAATTCAGCTCCACAACAAACAAGGCAGCCACATGTTGGGTAGTGGGTAGGTGGGTATATAAAGGTATGTGACAGATCATCGCTCCATATCAATAGTAGGTATCTTCCCCGCACGTTCGCATGATCAAGCACGCATCGTGACTGTGGCTATGATGCTATTTTTGTCGTTTGATGCGATGTAATACTGTGCTGGTAGAGCGCATATTCTAGAATAGTGACAAACAATTAAATAATCTATAAACAAACGAAAGAAAAGAAAAAGCGACATCCATAAAAATAGAACTATAACACCTATCCATGCAAGCGCATGCATGCATAGAACTCAACCCCAGCAACCTGCTAGGTACCTATCTACCTAACACACGGTATCATCTGCGGGGGGAACACGAGACCTACCAGATAAGCCCACGATCCCCACCCATTCGCAGCCTGGTTCGTGTAGGACACGTGTGTTGTATGTATGGCGGACGTAGTATACAGTAGAATGATCGTCACAGAGCAGTCGGTATTCTAGCTGCAGTGTTATGTCCTAATATAGGTCCTGGTGCGTAGGTCTAAGGTACGGAGTACGTATGTCTTTTCAAGAGGGGTAGTGCTTTGGCTGCCTTTGCTGCCTTGTGTGGGACTTGGTTTCCTGGGGTAGATGGATGTGCTCACTAAAGAGGTATGGCGAGGTGGGATAATTATTGGGGCTACTCTGAACTTCTATATTGGCGATAATAAAGGTAGAGTATAGATACTGAAAGCATTATCCGTCTACATCTACCATGTCCCCACCATAAACTACATATAAAAACTACAAATCAAGTAAATCAAGCATAAGGATCATAATTAACCTCCTAACCCGCCCATCACATTATATACTTGGCATTAAGATAAGCCCACCAGGGCATATACAGTACAAGCCAAAAAACGAGAAGTAAAAGAATCAAAAATCATCAAGCCGTAAACCGCCAGGCCCGCCGCAAGGCCGGCCCCGCATCATGAGACAGACCCGCCTCCAAAGTGGGTCATGTCCAACAATTACTAATTACGGTAATAGGTGATGGATTTAGAGCATGAAAAGGGCAGCCAGGCCGGCGGCGCCCAGAGCGCCGTTGGCGATGGCGATGGTGCCGGCAGCCGAGTCGTTGGTCGCCTCGGACGAGGGCGCAGAGCTGGAAGACGAGCCGCTGCCCTCGTCGGAGCCGGAGCCGCTGCCACTGCCACTGCCGCTGTCGCCGCCGTTGCCGCTGCCGTTGCCATCACCGTTGTCGTCGCCCTTGCCGTCGGAGCCGCCGGTGCTGGAGGGGGAGGCGGAGTTGGACTTGGAGGCGGTGGAGCTCTAAGGGAACGTTAGTAGATGACCCCTGACAATATCTGGGGGGGAAGTCTTACGCTGTCAGCACCGGTGCTAGTGGCAGTAGCGGAGGCGGTACCGGAGCCGTTGGCATCAGAGCCGGTAGACTTGGAAGAGCCAGTGGACTCGGAGTCGGAGCCAGAGCCCGAGCGAGTAGTGGAAGAATCCGAGCCACCTGCGCCGCCAGCGCCGCCAGTGCTCTCGCTGCCGCTGGCAGAAGAGCTGGAGTCGGAGTCGTCGCCCTTTCCAGAGCCGGAGCCAGAGCTGGAGTCGTCGCCGTTGCCGTTGGGGTTGGAGGTGGAGCCCTTGGGGCAAGTCTTCAGGGCAATGTTGACGACGGCGGAGCTGTCCTCATCAGGGCAGGCCTGGGAGGTGCAGTCGCGGACACCGAAGCGGTAGTTCTCCTTCTCGCAGAGGCACTTGTGGTCGTTCTTGGGGCAGCCCAGTTCGGAGGCCTTGTTGTCCATGTTGGTGATGCACATTTGCTAGAGATGGTCATTAGTTGGGGCGAAAGACGGCGACGGTCAGATGGAGACCTACCGCGCACTGGCCGACGGAGACATCAGCGGCCACCATGCTGGCCGTAGCCAGGAGGGCAGCGATAGACAGAGAGAAGGTCTTCATTGTGGAGGTATAGTTGACGGATAGGGTTTGGATAGGAATGGCACGAGGTGAAGTGCTCACGATAAAAGGCTCGAGGGGATGGGAAGTGAAGAATAGAGAAAAACAGGGTCAGGACAGAGGGCAAGAGCCAGTTTAATAAACCAGACGACCAACTCTCAAATCACATCGGACAGGTCCTGGCTGCACGATGGAGTGGCGTTTTCAAACTTTGTTTTTCTTTTTTTATTATTATTATTATTATTATTGCTCTTCTTGCTTTTTCCCTTTCTTTACAGTTAAATTTTCAAGGTGGAGAACAACAACGGGAAAAGAGTGGAAATTGAAAATGCGATCATCAGTGCCATTGTCGGCCAGCTTCTGAGGACAGCCAACGTGGCTAGGGGCAGCATCACGGGCCAATTCCCTTGTTAGGTGAAGTCATCGACCAGGTAGTGCCCTGCAGGATAGAAGTCGATCTGCAAGGTGAGGTTGGAAATCTGGTGGATCATCATCCAGTGGCCGCGAGGCCAGGGATCCACCTGGTCTCTGGCTCCAATGCCATAGGCTATCGATTTGGTCACCCCACATAAGCCGTCGAGATTAGCGCTGGCTAATTAATGGAACTGAGATTGCCGCGCCCAGAACCAGACCGCAGATTGTGTCGGCTCACGGCTGTATCCACGAGATCCCTCCAGGGGTTTGATCAAACAACATCCCTTGGTTTGGGACCAGTTTTCTTGGACACGATGGACAGACACTTCTTGCAGGAAGAGTGAGGGGCGAGACACTCTTCAGACCCCCCTGAATCAATACAAACACCGCTGTGTAACGAATTACGTCAATCGACAGCAAGTGTTTGGCTGCCCAAAATCACAGGTCGACTGCGGTTGGACCTTTGAGGTACGACATGCAGCCTGTGTTTTGATTTTTCCTTGATTCTATCTCGTTTTACTTTTCATGTTCTTGTGCTCGTCCAGGACAGAAGGGATCGACGGATGCATCGGACTATTGGATGAGAATAACTCGGTACCGGATCATGATTTGAGCAGGAAAAGCCTCGAGCCCACCGAGAACTGAAGAGTAAAGAGGGATTGTCCACTAGCCACAGATCAATGTTCGGTCGGAGATTAGTCTGTCCAACATACGAGTCAGTCCACCAGCAACCATCCAACCCTAAGACTGAGACACGGGTTGCTTAGCGAACTCAATTGGCGGAGGTGGGGATTCGGCCCTGATTTCTCGCCACCCGCTTCATTGAATCGCTCGAACAACCATGGACCACGACGGAAATCTGATGAACTGTGTGGGAGGCATGCTGGACTCCACTGGACCCAGGTACAGCATACAACAATAGGGGGTAATGGATTTCTTTTCCAGGGATGTAGTAGCGGTGCAGCGGGTGCGCATCGAAATTTGCAAGGGATCGACTGCCTTGCTGGAGGAGACTTGTTTACCCATCATCATGAATAGGAAAGGATTAACAAAGAAAAGATACGGGACAGACCGACTCGACCAGCTCCGACCGCCCTACCTAGCCAATTCGCCCAATTCCCAATCGACCGGGGGAAAAGGATTGGAAACCCAGACAAATTCAGTCGAGTTGTCCACACTAAGTGGATTTAGGGCAAGATCCACCAGATGTGGCGGTGCGTCCGATGCGCTCCCCCGGAGATACCACTTCCGGCCGAGTGCTAGCATCCCCAGCCACCCAAGCCACCGACATCATCCTCTAAACAACAAGGATCGATACAGCAACAACCTTGCCTGTACGAGACAAAAGGGATTTATTGGGTCATCCTTCGACAGGGTAGCATCAATTTGCCACGGTCATTAGAGGATGGTCGCATAGTCACGTGTAGACGACAGTACGTCGTTGATACGTAGTTGATACGCCCTTCCGACAGACCGGATCATGCAGCCTGACATGGCCCATATGTCCAGACATCCAGGTAAGCAAGGCTGGGACAGGAGGTATGCAGGAGGATAGCAGCGCATGGCGATGTTTGACCTTGGCCCTAGATCATCTGTTATGCACGAACAGCGTTAGAATCTTCGACCTTAATCTTCCCGTGGAGCAGAATGCACCGTAGTGGGGTGTTCGATCTCTCGATCCAACAAACAAGTAGGCTACAAAGGCCCATCTGTCAACAGAGATGGATCAGGATCACCCGCAGGTCACAATCATGTGTGGGTATGACGAGGTTCTCTGTACAATTCGATAGCCAGTCCGGTTACACAACTCCCATTGCCAACCCACTTCAACTCCACCCACCACGCTGAGATGTACTGAGTACAGGTGGGGAAGATGTACAAGACCTCCAGCTCAGGAGGGGGCACATGCAGTATGAGGCAATCAGCCACACAAGTCGTTCCAGGAATAAGTGCATGCTTACTTGGTCAATATTCTATCCTGGGATGCAGCCAACAAGGTAGTACCTAGCAAGATCGTGATTCCAAATGCTTGTTTGTCTTTTAGCCAGACGTTGAATACTTCGGTCGATCAAATGCAAGGGAGCCTAATCTTGAGCAAATTCAACCCTATGGCAGGACTGAAGCAGTGCATGGTCCTTGTTATTATAAGGGCTACCAGTCCTGGAAGCAAGGGCAGCGGCACTTTACATCATGTTCTATCAGGCTGCTGAAGCTCTTCTTGTACGCTTGTTTGGTCATTAGCGGGGTTCTACCGTATTCATATGGTAAACAAGAATATGATTGTTTGGAATGAGATTTGTGTAACATGCTTTCATGCAATCACCGTCACTGTAGATCTATAACCGTCTTTAATCCATTTTGATTTGTCAGATTGGTATCTCTGATAGTTACTAACTAGTCGAATCAGTAGCCATCCAAATTGATATTCTTTAGCATATCAAGATGTATACCTAGTTTGAATTACTCACCTGGCACAACTTTCAATAGTTCACGATATAGTAAACCCGCTTTTACGCCAGCCAAGCTGCGCAGTCCAGAGGAGCTCTGTCGCTGGCTTTGAAGTGACAATCTTCGATGTGACAGGGGAAAAACGCTGCCTGGTGCGGGCGGTAGCACCGGGTATTGTATGACCGTAGACCTTACGCAATTGGCAGTGGAGATCCACCGAGGGGTGCATTCCTTTGCCGTCGGTGTCATTCGGGTCCCGGCGATTACGGAGCCACAGCTTTACAGGGAATAGTCTCATCCAGCCTTGATGATTCTCAAGCTGCTCACCGATAGCTGTGTGCCTGGCCCAGCTGGTAGTAGATGTGAGGACGGCAGACGCCAGCACGTCGTCGTCAGAGTAGGACCCCACCGCAATTTCCTGATAAGCACTAGTCTCAACATAGGCCAAAGATCAACTTTGTCTGTTGTCAAGGGAGAAAATGATCCATGGCTGAACCTCACCGACTGTGTTGACCACACATCGTCGGAATGGGATAGGCTAGGGTCAATGCCACGACGATGACACAGGGTCGCGCTCTCTCTCGCGTAGTTTTGGGATTTTGTTAGCTTTGCAGTCTCCTGTACATGTTGAACTGCAATCTATATGTCAGTCTCTAGCCTCGCTCTTACAAGACAATAGACCACATTGTTCAGTATGCCTGTGACTGGGAGATCAACTCCTCAGTGGCCTGGGCACGGGCCATAGCGTCTCTTTTGGGCCCTCTCGGCGCAGTCACTTATTTCTTGATACAAGCCTCGAATGTGCGGCCATGATTGACCTGGCTGCCTCAGCACAGCCTTGGTGTCAGGGGTTCCAATTGTCCAGCACGCGGTGTCAGTCCGACAGCCTAGAGAGTTCTTGCGATCTGGCATCTGTCACTTATCATCTCAATCAACGATGACGGTTTGAGCATCAAATGAAACCAGTCTTCTGGCAAGCCATCTTATTCCACAATTCCTTGCTTGGGAGGTCGTTTGTCCAGGTGCGGCCACGGGCTTCAACACGCGATTGTGGGCATCCGGATCGACGGCAGGGATCCGGTGTAGTCATCATCAACAGAGGCTCGATTACAGCACAATAACTGCCTGTAGTATAGGATCGCCGTGCTGTTGCTCAAATATCGTAAAATCATGGCTCCTGCCAACCAAGACAGAATATCTTGACGCACGGCGTCGTATCGAGGTCCTCCGCTCCACCACCACCATGGAAGAAAAGCCATCGTGGATCCGCGACTACCATGATCCTCAGTGTCATAGTGTATCCAATTCACTGGGTATGACGTTAAATGGCGGCACGATCCCCCTCGGCCATGTACTAACGATGACTCGAGGCTTCTTATTTGACTGAGGAAAAGGCCAAGCGAGCCCTGGATCTCGGTTTCCCTCCACTAGAGATGGAGAGGTCTGTTGATAGCGATGACCTCGCTTTAAAGGTCGGATGAGAGATGGTTTGATGGTGATGTGAAAAGACAGAAGGACAGAAGCAGAGGTGCCGTAGGTGATGACAAGCAAGGTCAGCTGATCTGTTTCGACGGATGGTGCCTGAGGAATTTACGAAGTATGTGTGCAAATGGATAATGACTGCCCTGGGCATATCATCTCCTATAATCAAGCTACATCAGACACTTTGGCCCGACAACATGTATTCGTTGTATAGTGGTTGGAAACTGCAATTTGGGGGTAGGACCACTTCCCTTGCACCGTTCAACCCACCGTGATAGAAAAGATCTACTCTCTGAGAGTATTGACAAGACAAGCCTAGATGATGTAGATAGACTATTTATGAGCATTATTTGTGAAAGGAGGGCATTCCGATGCGTCACCTGATTACAGACCACAGTCTGGTTCCTTTTGTTGCACCTTCAACCGACTCAAAACTTCCCCTTTACATGTAGACGATCTCTACCATTCTTGCTAGTCAATTGTCCCTCATGCATTAATCATTCAAACAAAGGCCCATTTGTGGCGGACTCACAGGCGCATGAGTCGGTCGACTCCAACGTTCCCTCCAGTCTATCCCACCATCCATTACTCCAGCGACGCGAGACACGAAGTCAAACGACAAAAGTCCCGATTAGAAGCGCATAAAAGTGCCAAGCGCGCCGTTAGACTAAATCCAGTGGGCCAGACCGTCGGATGGAGTTCCTGTCCCCGTCCCCGCATGATCAACGGCGCCATTCTTCGTCGGTCCTCGGCTGGTTATCAACCGGTCTATCTGTCCCTGCTCTAACCGACTGCCTGAAATCCTAGCTAGTCAATACACGGACTCAGAGGTAGCCAACAAAAGAAAAAGAAAGCCGAGACAATGAGCAGGAGGGAGACAGCGAACAGAAGCCAGGAATGAAGAAGGAATGGCCGAACCCAAACCAACGGTGAAACTCGACCCGGGAGCCAGTCACTCCCCCCCGCTAGCACTGCGGGTTTACTGGAATGGACAAGGACTCGCTGATCAGTGGGACCCAAGCACCACACGGCTACCAAGCCGGCAGCCGCCAGTTCCCCACGTCAGACAATCATCTGCCACGCACCCTTCGATGGCACGACAACCGCCTAGGCCTGCACCCGATTGACTCGACCGTCTAATGTACCCCTGGCACCCCTGCAGCTATATCCACTAGACTTTGCTGCGGTACTATATTGCCAGTTCAGTCGGCGACTGGCGCGGATGGCGAAGGGATCGAACTTGTGAGAGAATGAGGCCGACGATGGAAACTGCTCCGTCGACCGGAAAGTGGGTGCGGGATGCGGGGTTCTGGCCCGTGCCGGAGCCCTTTAAAAATAGCTGTCTGTTGAGGGCTAGACTAGGTAATCACCGTTAGAAAAGGGTAGGAGCTTGATCGCCACATTTTTGTCGACGGATATGCCAGAGTGTTCCGGGGGGAGATGTACCAAACCGGTTTTCATCAAAGAATCTTGCAAGGTCCGGCCCGGGCAGAGACCACCTGAGCAAATTCCTAGCACCGTTGGAAGAGGGCTAGATAATCTCGTCTCTCGCTCACCGCAACCGAAGGTCGAGCTTTGGGACTTTGGGAGAAACCCAACACATGATAAACACCGGGATGGCTAAGAGTATCCACAGACTAATGCATACCCGTCTCAATGGGTTCATGATAGCCTGCACCTGTCACGTTGATCCCCCGCTCCAGATAAGCCATCATTCACAGGGGTAATTGCTTAAAGATTTGCCCGAATCCCGGTTCAACGGTACCTTACTGTTGTCGCAACCATCATCATGGGATTCACCAGAATTCTCCGCCGACTATCCAGCCGCAAAAGCCCCGAGCCTACGCGGCCATCCGGGGCTGAGTCTCCTAATGACTCGGCTTATGAGAGCCTCAATCAAGTAAGAAACCATGCACAACTGCTGTTCTGGAAATCAAACCACTCATCTGCATACAGCCCCGGGAACAAACCCCATCTCCAGAACAAATACCATCCCTGGAACAGATCCTATCCCGGGATACTATATCTGAAGACACGTGGGTAGTCGACAGCAGCAAGGTCACCAGCGGACCATTTCAATATCTCCTATCGAACTCGGGGAAGAACACCCGCAGTTTCTTGATCGACGCCTTCAACCAATGGCTTCAAGTGCCTAACGAATACCTGCAATCCATCAAGAGAATTGTCGACATACTCCACACTGCATCACTTCTGTATTTCTCCCAATACTCATACAAAATAAAGAAAAAGAACAACAGCATCACTAACAACTTTAGTGTCGACGACATTGAAGACAACTCCCCCCTGCGCCGGGGTCTCCCCGCTGCCCACCTTGTCTTCGGCACCGCGCAAACCATCAACTCCGCCAATCACGCCTACTTCCTCGCCTCGCAGGAGCTGCAAAAGCACCAAAGCCTCTCTGCGCACCAGATCTTCACCGAAGAAATGCTCAACCTCCACATGGGCCAAGGCATGGACCTTTACTGGCGCGATCTGTCCATCTGCCCCACAGAAGCCGAGTACATCAACATGGTCAACAACAAGACAAGCGGTCTCTTCCGACTGGCAATCCGACTCATGATGCTCGAAAGTTCCTGCACAAAGTGAGCCCCTCTCCCTCCCATTTTCCACATCACTTCTCGTACATCCTCCCCTGATCCTAACCCCACCGCAGAGACTATATCCCCCTAGCCAACACCCTCGGCGTCATGTTCCAAATCCGCGACGACTACAAGAACCTGCAAAGCGACGAATACACCGCCAAAAAGGGCGTCTGCGACGACATCACCGAGGGCAAATTCTCCTTCCCCATCATCCACAGCATCCACGCCAATCCCGACGACAAGGTGCTGCTGAACCTGCTCAAGCAGAAGACGGACAGCCCGGGCGCGAGCGACGTCGCTCTGTCGTGTCTGCGCGCGACCAACAGCTTTGATTACACCCAGCGGGTGATACGGGATCTGGGGCGGCAGGCGGAGGAGCTGGTGGAGGAGGTGGATTATGGGAGGGGGAAGTTTCAGGGCATTCAGGCGGTTCTGGGATTACTTCAGAAGTGAGGCATATTACTACCTCTATAGCGTCTTTCATGATTATGATGTCTCTTTTTTTTTGCCTTTTTTTTTTATAGAGAAACATTCGCATGATTTTATAGCAAGAGAGTGTATACAATTGGCATTGAGGACGCAGAGACAAGCACTACCACCCAGCATACCCAAACTACTGGTGAAACAGCAAGAAAAAGCCTTAAAATAGAGATCTGGCGGCAACAGGTGGCTCGAACATATTCGAATTGTTTCAGCATGCTAAGCCTAGCGGGCTCCTGACGACAATCTCTCGATTCAACAGTAGCAACTCAGCGCTTAGTGATATAGGGCAGCAAGTATCACGAGGCAAGGTACCAGATACGCGCCAATCACGGGGCAGAGTCGCGCCTTGTCTGCCAGGCTCCCCTCTAGTAGAAGAGTGACCGATCTCTACTAGTGATATCCATGCAGTTTCCAACAATCATCCACCCCGCTTCAGGTTGCTCTAGTCTCATAAAAGAAAACCCCTCGGCCAGTGTTTCTTGGGCCTATGATTACATATCTCTTGCAAACTCATGGCTGCAGAAAAGCCAGCAGAATGCTGGAACGTCTTCCCATGGAGCTCATCCAGCATATCCTATCGATGGTCCCGGATATCCAATCTCTGGTGGCTGCAGTGCTCGGAGGCTCTCAATTCTACCATGCCTTCTTAGGCGCCCAGACTCGAATCACGCAGAAAGTTTTCACTCGAAAATCCCGCCAGAGCTACACCACGATGCTCTAGCAGCAGAGGTGTCTTCACGTCAGAATATCCGGACCCGCCAGGAGGTGGAGGTCTTCTTTGAAGATTACTTTGCCCGCGACAGGAAGCCCTTCCATTCGTCTCTCCGATGGACACTCTCGCAAGCAATCCCTCTCGCACGCCTCCACCACACGATCGACTCTCTCACCGCGTCTCTTGTGTCCTCAACCCTGGCGCAAAAGCCCAGTGCGAGTCCGATATCACGTGCAGAACAGCACCGCATTCAGCGTAATTTCTATCGGTTTCAAATCTATTGCAATCTATTTCGCAACAAGAAGATGATTCCCATCGATACAGATCATGATCAGCGGGAGGCGTACTTTGCGCACTTTGCACCGTGGGAGAATGAGCAGTTGGCATGTATACATGACTACTTGCTTGAGATCATCACACCTGGTTTGTGCTTCTACCCCCCGCCCCCTCCTCTCCTCTCCCTTCTGCCGCTCTATAATCAGCTGGCCCTTGCATCTCAATACTACGATAAGCCCATTAACCAGCCCCCAGCATTCGAGGAAGTCTCCGTGAACGACCCCGACTGGGCCCACTTCTTCACTATAATGGACAACGGCCTCGACGAAGGCGCCCTCGAGCATCATCTCTCCTTCGGACTGGCCCACAATCAACGCTTCACGCAAGCCAAAGACGCCCAGTCCCAGCATAATCTGCTCTCGCCATTCAAAAAAGAGAGCAACCAAACCTTCCTAGCTGCTGCGTTGCGAGAATCCAACTACCTCGACAGATGGACGCTCGAGGAGTTCGATTCCGAAGACGAGGCGGAGCTCATCCCCGCGCCGTGGTTTTCTGATCCGGACAGAGGACCCGAGGATGTCTGGCGCTGGGCACTTCGGGAGCAGACGATGGACCAGTGGGTGTTTTCGCCGGCGCAGATCCCGCTGCGGCGGTGGGAGTATGTGCTGTGGGATCGGTCTAGGCTTGAGGACTGGGGTGTTTTTGAAAGCCCTTGGGAGGCGATTGATGTGGAGGAGTATGAGCGACAGGAGATGAGTCGGCGACTGCAGGAGGGTGGGAGGATGCGGATCAGGGCGCAGGATATGGTTCAGCGGGGGACGTTGGAGAGTTCGTGGCACTATTTGTGAGTACCTAGCTTGGTTGTGAAGAACGTAGTGACGGGGGTAGTTTTCATGGGTTTGTATCATAGTCATTCTACTTTTCTACAAAGGGCAGATGCCACGAAGATAAACACTAAGCCAAAAGGCTTTAGCAGGCACTACGCCTTTTGTATAACTAACTCAACCACAATATTGCTAACATTTGACGTATCTATACTATAGCATACTAGAGAGGCTCATACGTACATACGATTATCATGCCTCCATCCATGCAAAATACCATCATCAGACAACCCATCAATCCAGTTCTCAAGTTCCAAGTCCAACCCTAGCCAACCAAACCCTACCATACCACCCCGATGATCCTCCCGACCCACATCAAGTGGATGCGAACCACAAACCACCCCCACCACCAACGGTTCCAAAAAAGAAATTGCAAAGAAAAAAACGAAAAAGATATTGACCGACGCAGGGATCGAACCTGCAATCTCTTGATTCGTAGTCAAGCGCCTTGCCATTGGGCCAGCCGGCCTTGTTGAGATTTGGGTACTGGAATATGGTATATATTCAGAGCGACTTTTTGTCATAGCTTTCATTATGGTACAGTTCTTCATCTACGAGACAGGTAGATAGGCACATGGGAATCAATCAATTTTTCGATCATCCAGATGACAAGTGAGAAACAACAAAGAAAAGAACAAAAAAAAAGAAAGGATATATTGTAGAGAAGCTTGAACGTAAGACAAAAGAAAGAAAAATGCAAGCATCATGTCATGTCATTGAATCCACCTCCTCCACCTCCACCTGCACCAGCTTCTTCTCCGAGAAAAGCTCCTCCTCCCGAAGAATCTCGCCCTCAATCGTGAGGACTGGGATCGGACGAGGCAGGGTACGATGCTCAATGAAGCGCCTCCGCACAGACAGGCAGATCCGCTCGATGACCAGCGCTGCCAGACAAGCCAGGATACCGCAGAATACAGCGAGCAATGCTTGCAGCAGGATGGGGCGTGGGATGTGGACGAAGTGATCGTAGAAGCCACTGCTGTTGCTGCTGCTGCTGCTGCTGCTGGGATACTCGTTGGCCGCTTTCGTGGCGGTTTCATCGGAAGAGCTGTCGGGCCCCTTGAAGTACATTTTGGAGATGATGTCCGCGAGGGACATGGGGGCTTTTTTCCGGGCGGGAAGGGCGATTTCGGTTTTCCTGTCATGTTGGACGTCGTTGATGACGAGGTCGTTGGTGGCGGTTTGGAGGAGGACGATCCTGACCAGGTCATCGGTGGCGGGGCGACCCTGCATGTCAAGGAAGTCCATCTTGAGGTGGAAGATGTCGCCGAGGGGAGCGCCTGGTCGGGGAGAGACGGGGTGAGCCTCGAGAGCATAGGCGACTTGGACGTCTTTGTGTTGGAAGTAGCGGCGGTCGGCCCCCTGGTACTGGGTGGCGTGGAATTGCATGGGGACAGGAGGGGGGAAGATGGGCTGGTCGTTGGCGAAGAGGGTGTTGTCGTGGGTGGTGAGTTTGAGGGTCTGTTGATAGGGTTAGTCGGTGGTGTCTTCGGCGGGGTTTAATGACAGTGTCCATACCAAGTATGAAGAGGATGTCTGCTCTGATCGACTGCAGCCGCTATCTGCAAATGCGCACTCTGCGCAGGGCAGCATGAGCTCATGCTTGCGGGTTGATACTTGGGCGTTGTTGTTTCCAGAGCCCAGGTATGGCAGTGCTGCTGCTGCCGCGCAGCTGCTCAGGCAGAGTGTTGATAGATAGAGGACGCGCATCACGACGGTGGTTGAATCAGTGAATCCCACGTTGGGAAACCGAACGAGGGGGGAAGAGCTGAATATATCGCCATGATGAGACCTGGGCGTCTTATCGGTCGGGCTATCCAAGGAATTAGCAGCGCTAAAAGAGCCAGGCGGGGCGAAGGATGGCGGATGCGAGCGAGAAAATAGTGAGTATAAATATCTCGATCTATGCCAAGTCGAGCTAGGGCTACTCTACTAGTATGGTCTGCACAGCCCTCATGGGGGCCATTTAGCCCGATTGCTATAGGTGTCAGCTACCTTCAGCCCCATTAGTCTCTAGGTTAATCTCTAGGTTAATTGGAAGCGAAGTTGCACGGCTCTTTCCGTACGAATGTGAGGGGAAGGCAATTCAGCGACGCATCGTGGCACTTTAGCTTCAGTATCGGGCGTCACCTTGGCATTCCTTCTCTTCAACAATAGATGGACCACGGAATTGACAATTGCGATAGACAGGGGCTTCTCAATGGGCCATCTAATCATCTAAAAGATTCTCCATAGAGAAAGCGACTGTTCATACTATCCAGGTGAGACAGTAGTCCATTCCCAGCACCGTCAAGAGCCACGGAGGCGGAGCGCACATCCGCAGCTTCGAGAGACACATACTCAGTCAAACTTTCTCTCTCGGTTCTAGCCGATCGTAGCATCTTCCCCGTGGTATTCCTCGTCAGGCGTGCACAGTTCCACCGTCTAGCCACCCGTGCATTGGCGCAACAGGCTGTCCGGTTGATTAATCGGTCAGCCTTGCGGGTTTCCTACCCGGTCTAGTAGGGTTCAGGCTCCATGCTCCAGGTCCAGGCTCCCAGGTCACCTATCATGGAGACCATGCCCATCATGGATATCACGAACATCACCAAAGCCAGCGTTAGGCCGAAATCAAGCCGACCCACGGCTCATCACAAGGCTGTCCGTGAGCGTGCTGACCACAGACCCATCTCCACACACCTCGTGACTGGTCTTTGCAAAACCTGCAGAATGAAACCTTCTCTCGCTTGGTCTCCGAGAGTTCCTGGATTTGGGGGCCAGTGGGGGCCGCAGCTAGACGTATCGAGGTTAGCTGGGGGCGTGTCTTGGCCACCCCGGGCTAGCTTGGCTGCTACTGTCGGTGGTTAAATAGAATCCGAAACTGAGTTTGTTGGGTGTACCGGTAGGGTAGTACTCCGTCGACGAGAATTATCTTCTAAGTTGGATGACATTGAGTAGCTGAATGAGTCTCGTGCGGAGGGAAGTCTATGCCGTGGACGGGTGTCGGGATATATATATGACCGTGAGGATGATGTCTCATCCTGGTATATATATTAAGTATGTCAGTATCAACCGGACTGGGCGTCGCAGATGAAATAATTAATTAGTATAAATTCAGGAGAGGTAAAAATACGAAAAAACCAATAAACACTAGAAACTCACAGCAATATCATTAGTGAATGGGGTGGTGGTGGTTATTGACAGCCTCATATCTACCCATAATATAGGGGTCGTTGATAAAGCATTGGAAAATGGCATACTATAACTACAGCTTCCATGGTCTAGCGGTTATGACATGAGTCTCATATCAAGCATATGACGTCGAAGGTTAACTTCGATGAGCAATCTCAGGGTCGTGGGTTCGATCCCCACTGGAGGCACGTTCTTTTTTTAATTTTTTCTTATTGATTTCGGCGAACGTCGCCTAATAACTCGGTCCTTATGGTCACCTTCACAATGTTTTTGTTTTTGAGTGGAATGTACGCCCTGTTGAGCTGTAGTATAAAACGTCATGGGATTGTATACTCCACATATTGCAGAATTCAATATCAGAGACGCAGTAGAACAGTTACAATGATATACTTCCCAGCTCTCGAGAGACTGAAACTATAGCAAGATTCAATTATAGAACGGGCAAATATACACAATCCATATTAAAGATAATAATAAATAGCAACTCCAATTAGACATATCCTATATACCAACAACAATACCAAGAATAGACACCCAGAACCAAACTACGAACCCACCCCCGAAAAAACAGGCTGCTCCAACCAATACCGACACCGCCGCTCATCAATTGGATCCCTCACGACCGTCAAATTATGCCCCCCAACATCCAACACACGCTCCGCAGCGCCATACCGCGGGATGGCAGGGCCCAAGTTCGAGCGCGGCGTGCCCGACGCCACGAAACTCAAAATATAATCCTGCAATGCCTGCGCTGTCGTCGTGTTCAGCGGCAGGCCCGGAAGCCGCGTCTGGGGATGTTGGGGGTTGTAGAAAATGTAGTCGAGGTCTTGACCATGGAGGGCGGGGGGTGCGCTAAAGACGTAAGCGTAGGAGCTGTTGCGGAAGGTTTGGGTGAGGTGCTTGTTCTGGCACTGCATGAACATGTCGTCGAGTGCGACGGATGTGCGTTGGAACGGGGTAGTGTAGCCGTGGGAGCCGTTGTAGATGGGTGGATAGAGGGTGTTGGCGGCGTATTGCAGGACGGAGGGTGGAAGGGGGGGTATCACTTGGTGGAGGGCGGGTGTGAAGCCGGCGTCGGTTGCGCCGATGGGGTTGGTGAAGAGGAGTCCGTCTTGGGCGTTGGTCGTCGAGAAGATGGTGAGGTTGTGGGCGAAGTCGCCGCGGTCGAACAGGGTTGCTGGCGCGGCTGGGACGAAGGAGCCGTCGACGACTGGAGCGAAAGGGTAGCCGCCGTAGAGAGGCATGGTCGCGATTTGGTAGGCGTTGGCGGCGATGAGCTTCTGGGATGGAAGTCGGCGGGCTTCGGCGACGGTGCTGACGTTGAGGTTGTCCAGGAATTGCTGCAGCGTTGCGTTCTGGGTGAGAGACGGTTCGGGATACCATGCGGGGCTCTGGACGATGGCTCGTTGGAAGTCGGGAGGCCCTTGCTTGCCACCGTAGGCAGTGATCTGGTGGATGATGGAGTTGCCCGCTGAGGATTCGCCCATGATCGTGGTACGAGCTGGGTCGCCGCCGAATTGGGCGACATGCTCGCGGACCCATCTCAACGCCATGCGCTGGTCATGGAGGGCTGCGTTGGCAGTGCCGTCCTTCTCGAGGTTTTCGCCTCCTAGGAAACCGAAGGCGCCGAGCTGGTTGCAGGGTTAGCCATCTGGTCAAGACCAATGTGAGTGGTATGGGCGGCTCACGCGGTGGTTCAGGGCTACATAGACGAACCCATCTCCTTCGCGACCTTCACCACGCTCAATGAGGCCGGTTGGATTGTAATCGGTTTTGTCGCCGGAGCTCCAACCCCCGCCAGTAAAGTACACAATGACTGGGGCGGAGCCAGCCCCACGGTCAAAAACCCGTTTGGGAACTACGACATCCAGAAAGAGGCAATCCTCCGTCGTTCGGGGGTCGAGAGGGGCCGGTGTGTACGGGTACGACGAGATATTGGTGGATTGGTTGAACGGCTGGCCGGACAGGAGGCTCTGGAGGAACGGCGTTTGGATCTTGGTCGACCATATTGGCCGAGCCTGGGGACATACACGGCCTTCTGCGCCCGTCTGCACGGTCGAGCGATTCGACTCTGGGGGCTCCGGGGCCCGAAAGCGTAGATCTCCGACCGGCGGTGCGGCATATCGAATGTTGCTAAAATTGTATAGACCTTGGGATTCCTGTACGGGGTCAGCGTGGGATGCTCGCCGTCGTCACCGGGTAGTAAGGCGGTACGTTGAAAGATATTGCTCGATGCACCTCGTACCCTAAGTCGACGGTAGGCAGGCTTGCTGCAACGCCGCTTGAGATGAGAGGGAGGATCAAGAACGACAGCGCTATACGGATGACACCCATTTTGCTGGCCTCTGCTGTTGTATGTGACGACACCGAATCAATCACCGAAACACCCAGAAAACCAACTGCTCTTTACCAAACCGGTAGTACTCCGTACTTTCCTTATGTTTATAACTAGTAAAGCTTCTAGAGCTTCTTTGACATGACACGTCACATTGCGACCGACTGACTAGAGGCGCATCTATTGGCAGCCAGGTGATTTCATTGGTGTCACCGCCACTAGAGTTGAAGGATACAAGCACTCGCCACTGAAAAACTGGCCATTTGGTAAAGTTTAATCGCTGATCAGCATAGACAGCTCTGGAAGCCTCTTGTGTGCTGTACGGATGGGGTTTATCGCGAAGTCAATATCGCTAGTAGGTGTCATTAGACAATCCGAGCGGTCGAACACCCGAATGCAACGTCGCTTTTATTGAACAATAATGACACAAACCACTCTATTGGGACCCTTTTATCGGATAAATCTGGTTGCACGTCATCTTTGAACGCGTAAGGGGCCTGGAATTCCAATAATTCCCATTGTCCATTTTTCTCACGCCGCTCCCACCGCCCTGTCTTCTTCGGACGCAATGGCAATGACTGTCATGGCCACAAATTCCATGGGTAGAAGGTTCATTTATCATCAACCTCCCGAATTTTGTAGGATTCGATCATCTCATTCGACGGCACCAAGTGCTCGTTTTGCAGTTTCGTAGCTGTGTCGACCCCGGCCGCGGGGACGCGGTATTCGAAGCGTTTACCTGGCTGTGGGGTTTGGCCACCCGGCAAGGGATAGGGATATGGCAGGTAGTCCGGCATAAGACCGAGCTGCACAAGCACTGTGGCTTGGTCCCATGCAATGTGTTCATGGTACAGCCGGTCGCCTCGGATGTTCACCACGGAGGTGAACGGGATTCGAAGGGGCTTTCCGGTGGGCGGAATTCCCGGAATGCTATTGATCCATTAGACTCAGCATTCCCTCCCCACACCCTGGACAGGGAGAGAACTCACAGCCAGTCGACTTGCTTGTTGTGGGTGAGACAGAAGATGAACTCGTCCACCACGCGGTCCACCCCGACCGTCCGGCTGATCAGTTCCAGTGCCGTGTCGTCGGGGTTATTGAAGATGAAATGGTTCAGGTAAAATTTACTCAGACGGTCGCGACCGACTCCGCCGGTCAACTATGAGCTGGTTACTTCCCCACATCAATGTACAGCGCGAGGTGGCTTACGGTCGGCACATGGTTGACGTAAGGCTCTTGAACCATAGTCGCCATTGTCTTCTCTACAGATCGATCGCCAAACTCATAGAACGTGTGCTCGTCCCAGATTTTCTCCAGGTCAAAATAGGGACCATCCATGTGTTTTTTGAGAAACGTCAAAGAGCGCGAATGCGCGACTCCTGCGGTGGAAATTTTGAAATCGGCGTGTCCAGGCACGATGAACCCAGCGGATGAGGCTTCGGGATAGGAGTAGATGGTACCATGACCGGGCCGTTGGTCAACAGCACCTTCTTTAGGGATATGAAAAAGAGCAGGAACATTCGAAGGCGTGTCCCAGACGCCGAAGAACACTACCGAGGCCAGTTGAGTACTGGCCCCCGTGATGGTTCGAAGTGATGCCTCGAACCCGGGTGCATATTCGGACGGAGAACCATAGACTAACACACCATCAGTCCTGGTTCCTCGAGCTTGATCAACGTCTTACATACCCAGGAGTCCATAGTGGTTCTTGTGATCGCACTGTGGCAGCGCGAAGAGGGCCTGTGCTGCTCTGTCGATACGATCTTGAATCTGGGCCGGCTCACGGCTTGTTTCCGCATCCAGAGTAACCTGGGCTACTACATAGCTCTCCTCTGCCCATTTCTGGATCGGTTCTGGATCTAGGGTTTCGTTCTTCTGTTGACATCCAACAAGATTATCCGGGCGTATCATGACCAGACCTGGTCCCTGCCCGCAGCGCGACAACGGAGGCTGCAGAAGTACACCATGACCCAAATCCACCACCGGTGCAGAAGGAAGAATTGGAGGATAAGAAGTCATTGTGATGTGGTGCTGTAGACGAGGTTGAAGCAGAGCCGTTTAGTGGTCCAAGTCGTTTTGCGGGGAGAAATCGAGCCTCGGCAGGCGCAAAGTCACGTGACCCATAGTATTATCTTTCACATCTTCCTGTTATCATATACACAGTATTAATAACTAGATTAATAGAAAATTTACATCAACGCAAACGTCTCAACTATACGAAGTCTTCATTCGTACCATAATCCCTGTGGTGAACGGTATGCGTCTCCACGCAAGAGTGAAGTATAGAGCAGAGCCATCATTGGCCAGCAAGCCACCACACACGTGACCCGGTCTTGGCGGGCGGACGGATTCCGAGCTGCATTGGAGCTCCTTCGCGACATCATCTCTGCTCTCCCCACCCTTGACCATCTCAACCATGGACGCGCAATTCCAGTCCACCCTGTCAAACCTAGAAAACAAGCTCAATGCTCTCATCAGTAGTCTGACGACCTCCCCCACCGCTGCAGGCGCACCGGCTGCCGCGCTCAACCTCCTCGAAGCCGACGACGCGTTAACCTCCGACATCGAGACCCTGCGACAACACCAGGAAAACTATGCAAGGATCTTAAAGCTCCGCGAGGAGTCAGCAAGCTTAGAAGAGAAAGTGAAAGACATTGTGCGGGAGGTAGTGCGGCATGAAAAGGACATCCAGACCGCCTGCGGAGGCGACGTCTACGACTCGGACGACAGCTCCGACTACGAAGATGACGTGAGTGGCGCGCCGGGGAAGCCCGCCCGCGGCCGTACCATGCGGGAGATCGACTACAAGCTCTTGCTGGACTTTGCGCGACGAATCAGCAAGTACAACCACCAGGCAGCGGCGGACGCAGCGGCCGGGCCCCGGCCAAACCGCGACCGCAGATCCAGCAAGCGCAGGAACCCGCCGATACGGAGATGACAGGGATGAATAGCCACGGTGGGGCGGGGGCCACCGGGACAGAAGAGGGAGTCGCGCCGGTGGCCAGCGTCACGAAGGATGCGACGTCCTGGCTGGACGAGTCGGCCAACATGACGCGCCAGGTGTATATGCTGCCGTACCCGATGGAAGACCGCATTCGGATGGGCCTTATGGGCCAGATCCAGCTGGCGTCCGGCGAAGGTCGACCGGATTTTGATGCCGATAAGGAGGTGGAACGGTTAATTCGCGAGGCGGAGGGACTGGGTACCGCAGGGGCGGTTCCGCCGGCGGCGGAGATGGGAGAAGCGACGCGACATGCCGAGGAGGCGGCCAAAGCCGCGGCTCATGCTGGGGTAGCTGCGACGAGCGGCCGGGCTGCGGTGGCGGCTGCGCCGGCTCCGAAGCCCAAGGCTATGCTTGATCTGGACTTGTACGACCCGGATGAAGATGACGAGTAGGATAGGCTGCAGTATACTAGACCGACCGTCATGATTTGATGGTTCGTTCTCATGTAAGACACATGAACCATTTACGAGGCTATTGACTGATCTTCATTAGCCAGGGACCTTACAGACTCAAGTCAACTGTGGACGCCTCGCCCTAGTTTCGACCATCTATCTGGAAAGTCAGCCACGGAACCAACCGACTCGAATCCAATCGAAGTCAGAGACAAGATGATTACCACATCACGACCAAATTGCAGGACAGGCACTTTGGTAGTTCCTACGCACAATTTATTGGAATCCAGGCCTACGTCCAGCCGACCAGGTTCAGTCCGCCGTCAGGACCCTAGGTTTCCCACCCTGTGATTATACCCCAACAGCCACAGTCTGATAGGCGGATTGGATGTGGGGAAGAGGGGTACAAGGGACGTGTGAATGGAGCCCGCGTTTCTTCCTAGCCTGGAGGTGCCCAAGTCTCCTATCGATGCCGCGGGCCTACGGATAGCTTCGAGACGCAGCCTTTTGAGTCATTACGAGATTGGATGGATTGCAACTCACCCGTTCATGCTGCATCTACCTACGCGGTATGAGTCAACTACGGAAGGAAGTTCAAATGCGGTTATTAGATGGGCTTGTGATGTCTCGCTGTGAAATGGGGAATAGGACACACCCACCTTGTGATCACTGAAAGGGTTAAAATAAGACTGTTTTACCGTCAAAATGAAGTGTGTTATTGACCAACTGGCTTATGCAAGCCCAGTATTTGGCATGCAACCATTTTCTGGAATTATCATACATAAAAAATACGAAACAGTAGCAATATGGTATCATTGGCGAAAGTAGCTGGCCATTTCAGAAGCCTAGCAATGAGTACCAGATCGAATAGAGTCAAGTCATCCAGTTAGGCCATTCACCTCCAATGAGACACAAGTTCATCCCCGACAATGTTAATCCTATTTTTCTATGTATTTTCAACATCAATCTGACGGCGACGCCGCCTGAACAGAGCCAGCGACTTTTTAACCCCCACAACAGCACGATGCCACGACGTCCTCCAAAGCCGCGCGACAACCCCCCCAACCTTCCCACAAGCATCAATCACGACAGCGCAGTACTTGTCTGGAACTAGCTTTAAGACCGCCGCCCAAAAAATGCAGAACACAGAGCACCCAAAGCAGATCGCCCACTGCACGCCATCCAAGGGAGTGACGCCGAACGCGGCGCCGCCAACAAAAATGATGAGGATCTGTCCCCCGACCATGAGGACGTTGATTCCCATGAACAGGTAATTTCGGTGAACGCCTTCGAAGACATTGAAGTGGTTGTCTAGTCGACGACAGTTGAGCTCGTTGAAGATCTGCATCCACACGAAAGTGTTGAAGATGATGGTGTCGAGCTGCTGTTGTTTGTGCGGGTCGTTCGTGTCGTAAGAAAGGATGCGATTGCCGGCGAAGTAGAGGGTGAAACAGACGGTGAGTTTGTAGATCGACTGGCCGATGATCATCTTCCACATTATGACGGAGAACAAGGGGGCGTGTTTGGGAACGGGGGGTCGGTGGAGGATCTTTTCTGTCGGGGCGTCTGTTGCTCTGGTTCAGGTTAGTCTTTTCTCTCTCTTTTTGGTAATTTTTCAGAAACTCACAGAGCTAGGGCCGCGAAGGTGTCCATGATGAGATTCACCCAGAGCAGCTGCACGGCTTTGAGGACGCTTTGGTTCGAGTTGCTGTAGATTGCCGTAATGAAGGTGAGTAGCACCGCCGTGATGTTGACCGTGATTTGGAACTGTCAGACTGTCAGTGATGACACTAAGAACAGGATATCTTTACGAAATATCCTCTATGAACACACCTGGAGAAACTTAGAGACGGCATCGTTCACAGCCCGGCCCCACGAAACAGCAGTGACAATCGACTTGAAGTTATCATCTAGCAGGATGATCGAGCTGGCCTCGCGAGCAACTTCCGTCCCACTCATTCCCATGGCAAATCCCACGTCTGCAGATTTCAAAGCCGGCCCGTCGTTGGTGCCATCGCCTGTCACCGCAACAGTTTCACCAAGACGCTTGAGGTGGGTGACCAAAATGCGCTTGTCGTCCGGAGATGAGCGCGCCAGGACCTGTAAACGAGGAACGACGGCGTCGACTTCATCCTCGCTGAGCTTTCGAAACGCCGGCCCTTCCATGACGATCCCAGTGTCGGTGAGAATGCCACACGCGGTGGCGATGGCTGCTGCGGTGTTGAGGTTGTCACCTAGATCGTTCGCAGTCAGTAATCAGCGTTGGGGGTAATACGCAGTTTGTCTGACCTGTGACCATTTTGACCTGGATTCCAGCGGCGTTGCAGGTTTTGATTGCGTCTGGCACCTCGGGGCGCAGTGGATCGTGGATCCCTAATGCTCCAACCCAGGTAAGTTCCTCAAGGAAATCTTTGAGATCTGGAGTCCCTCTCTGGCAATCAGTCGCTGCGAGGCAACTGCACGGGAGATCGCGATAGGCCACTCCGATCATCCGGAGAGAGCTCCCTGCGTGCGCCGAAATGACGTCCATGATACCGTTGCGAGTGTTCTCATCCAGTCGACAAGCCATGATCGCATCCTTCTCGGACACCAGGTCCAAAGAAATCACGTCTGTCGAGGCATCCAGAAGAACCTCGCACGCTCCCTTTACAAGCAATCGATAGTGACCGGGGACAGGTTGGTATATAGCGCCCATCACCTTCCGGGTAGATTCGAAAGGGAAGACCAGCTCAATATGGGCGTTTGCGCGCTCCTCAGCCAAGTCATGCAGGGAGAGGAATTCCCGCGCGAAGTGTAGCAGAGCCACCTCTGTTTTGCTGCCGACAAACTCCCTGCCATTACTCTGTTCTTCCTCGAACGCAGTGGAGTTCAACGCCAGGCTGTGCGCCAGCAAATCCGCTACGGTGGGTGGGAGCCTTTCGACAACGCCCGAAGCGGTGGTGGATGGTACTTGCGGATCGGATGCCGACAAAAGGTGGTTGAATTGCTCTTTGGAGCCGAAAATTCCCGCGACAACTGTCATTTTATTCTGCGTGAGCGTCCCCGTCTTGTCGGAGCATATCACGGTGGCGTTTCCCATGGTCTCGCACGCACGCAGCACCCGAACCAGGTTATTTTCTCTCAGCATTCGCGTCGTGGCGAAGGCTAGTGCAAGTGTGACTGCCAGGGGCAGTCCTTCTGGAAGACGTCAGTAGGGGTGTTCTATGTACATATGGATGCGAGACCCATACCGGGAATGGCCACCACGATGACCGTGACGGCAACAATGAGTATATCCATGAATTCCTGGCCCTTGACGCTGGGCGGGGCGTCATTATTTGATAGCTGTAGCAGGAACCGAATAAGAAGGACAAGAAACAGCAGTATCGCGGTGCTACAGATATGTCAACAGATGCACATAGGGCTCGCCGGACGGTACGAACCCTGATCCAAGCCATCCTATCCAGCTCGCCAATCGACCTAGTTTCACCTGCAGGGGCGTTGGATCGTCCTCGACCTGCAAGGAGGCCATGATCCTCCCGTGGGTTGAATGCTTCCCAACGTTGGTAACGAGGTATGACCCGAGACCCTCCAGCACCTTAGTGCCAGAGAGTATGAACGGATCCATCTCTCGCGTCGCTGTCCCATCCACAATATGATTCCATACCACGTCTCCACCCATCTTGTCTATATGATCCGACTCCCCCGTGGCAGAAGATTCGTCGCATCTGATTCCCTGGCATGATATCACAACCCCATCAGCAGGAGGAGAGTCTCCTGGCTCGATAAGCACCACGTCCCCCACATTAATATCGGCAATATGAGCCATCATGGACTTTCCAGAGCGAACGATCTTGACGTCCCGGTCCAGTTTCTGCATCGTAGTCAGTGAGAAAGTCCTTGCTGATCAGCAATCAGTACGCCACCAGGGTATACCAACCCGTCTATTCAGCTTCGTAAACTGCCTCTCCTTCTGCCAATCATTTCCAGCCGTAGCCGAAACGACGATCAAAATCGCCACACACACCGCGACTCCCTCCACCCAGTCGACCTTAGACTGCCCACTAACCGCCTCATAGATCCCCAACGACAGCGATACCACCGCAGCAACAGTCAACAAGATAATGATCTTATCATTGTACGCATTCCACAAAAGCCTCCACACCCCCAGCGGCCTCGGCGCCATCTGCTCATTGCGCCCAAACACGCGTCTCCTATCGCTGAACCGCTCCAGCGCCATGTCGTCCTCCCCATCCGGCGTCCCCAAACCAGGCGACACAAGCGGCATCCGACTATCCAGCTTGTCGAGCGCAGAGGCCTGCGCATCTTCAAACCCCACACACGTCAGAAGACGATCCTCATCCATCGATAACCCCGCTGAAAGGTCCGTCTGTAATCCGTACGCCAGCCCCTGCAGACCCCCTAGAGCGCGAAAGGCAGCCAGCGACTTCGGGCTCATCAGCTTGTTGAGCTGACCAGGCGAGAACGCGAACTTGTTGTCCTCGACGAGAAAATCGTTCTCGTTTTGGGGGTCAGGACTTAGGGCTTCTGAGGGGGTCACATCGTCGTAGTCCTCGGCTGGAGATCCAGGATTAGATGTTGCTTTCGGCGCCATTTGGTCGGTCGATTATATAGAACAGTGCCCATTGCTAGGTGGGCATGGAGATTATTACAAGGTTTATGGGTCATTAGACCGCATGATCCTTTAAATGGGTGCTGCTTTCTACAATAGATAACCACAATGCCGTGACATCATGGGTCTTCTTTCTCAATGCTCAGCCATAATCGGCAGATTGATAAGTCGCCGGAAGTATGTCATGTTCCATATCTATACTATCGCCGTTGAGTGGATCTATAGGGTTTGGATGGTCGGACGCGGGCACTGCCACGCTTGGCGGTGTCATCATAACTTTGTCTTGGGTTGGTTCATTAGCGAACAAAGGGAACCAAGATAAGATGAAATAAAATAAAAATAATAAGAAAATAAAAATAATTCAAAATAAATCATCGGCAATAAGAAGACATACAATGATAATAGAAAAGAAAAGAAAATGCACTGTTAAGTGATATGCAGGCCAGCGACAAAACCGCCGAGTCTGTTACTAACCCTAACTCCTCTTTCTATAATGCGACTCTAGATATAGTCATGTAAGGTAACTAGTAATATGATCAATTCTTCTCAGACAGCATCTACCGATCAGTACATGAATACAGAATCAGGGTATGAGCCGATCGTGGCCCTGGCGATGGTTGATGAATAAGTAGTGCCAATTAAAAAACTCTATTATATGTAATTATACAAGCTGCCGCTGCGCCCACAACGCCTGCAACCGCTCGATCTGCACCTGAGTCGCCCAGCCCATATCAGCCTCGACACCACGGAGCAAATCCCCAATAATCTGGCGCTCCTGGGCGCCCTCAAAGCACTGCCCAATGGCGAACAGCAGGGGGATCATGTAGATGCGGGCCCCGCCGCCCGGCCGGGCCAGTGCAATCCCCGCGATCTCCTTACACCGGTAGTCGACTTCCTTGGTCAGCTCGCGGTACCCTTGCAGACGGTCGAAGGCGGTGCTAAGGCCTGTGACTGCGTCGGCGGGGCGGTTGAGCGACAGGCCCAGCCGGCCGAAGTGGTACTGCTGCATGGCGGAGGCGCAGGTGGTCAGGCCGTAGAAGATCTCAGGGAAGGGCATGTCGGTGTTCGTCTTGGTTTCGAGGCGGACGCTGGGGCGGAATGTCTCGGGGACGTTCTCGAACCAGGTTTGTAGGTCGAAGGAGAGGCGGAGCCAGGTGGAGGTTGTGGGGTAGGAGTGCGGGGAGGGGCAGGACGGGGAGGTCTCGTCGGCGAGGGGCGCCATGAACTGCTCCATTTGGGACTTCTTGGACTCGGCGAGGAAGTTGACTACTTTGCAGAGGAGCCAGGTGAGCGTGTTGGCGGCGGTGTCTTCGCGGTGCGAGGCGGGGTCAGAGGGCGGGAGGAGCTCCAGGCTGCCGTCGGGGCCGACGGCGATTCCGGCGGCGCGCCAGAGGGGTAGGTTGGCGGGGTCGAAGTGGGAGGGGAGGCGGTTGTAGTAGGAGGCTTGGTAGTCCTGGCGTGAGAAGTTCCAGAACGCTGCTGCGATGCCGTGGCTGAATCGTGCGGGTTCGGACCCGTTGCTGCATAGGCCTAGTAGGTAGTCGTACAAAGTCTGGATGCCGTCAAGGTGTCTGCGAAGGGTTAGTACTGGAAATTTGGAAGAAGTTGGGGTCTTTGAACAACGCACGATTGCCAATTCAGCGCGGATTCATCGATCAACCGGTACATCGTTAGGATCGCTGCCGCCGCCACCAGGTTCTCCGTCATCCTCCAGAACGCACCGGGCTCGAGGGGCTGGGTGGCCTTGGTCTGCGCGGTCAGCCAGCGATTGACGATGGCGATCGGGGATTCTAACACGGCCGAGCTGGAGACAAACGTGTACTGATCGACGATGTGGGAGTTCATGGTGGTGACGGCGAGATAGAAATAATTGGCGGCCTTGAGAGTCCAGTCGACCTGCTCTGAATTCGGGTAGACCTCCATGGTCGCCGGACTTGAAAACAAGCCCCCCGCGGCCGAGAGCGTTTGGCCTTTCACCCGGCCGAGGTGTTTGGCGGCCAGGGCGGCGACTGAGTACCGCAGAAATGGCTCATTGATCGCACGAATGGGGACATACGCGGCGAAGAAATTCCCCGAGTCCGCCAGGTCGAGCCTGGACTGGGTTAGAGCTGGGCATGGGAGTCGGGGGAGAAGGGCACACTGACCATGGTCCCACAGTATCTGAGTAATGCCGAATAAGAAAGGACAGTTCATGTTCGGTCCCGGTCATGAGTTCCGAGAAGATGTCCTGGAAGTCTTCCCGATCACTCCGCATGGACGGGCTCTCGTAAGACCCGAGCCTGGGATTGGGGGGTGGTCGGATCTCCTGGGGCCCGCTGAGAGAGGTCGTCATCTCTGCCGTATGACTCTGCCCTGAAGAGGGCTGGGAGACATTGTGGTTGGACCCGCTCTGCTGCTGCTCCGGACTGGCGATGCTCGAGGTGGCCTCAACCCTAGGTTGGAGCACCGGCTCTTCCGGTACGATCGCGGAGTTCAAGCTCGCATTCGGCATGGGGGATGGCGGCCCCGACTGTGTCGTCTCGGACCCCCAGGTAGTCGATACCGACAAGCCGATCTCCGGCGGCTGAATGGGGTGCTGTTCCTCATTTTGGGCGAACCCGTGGTCACCCGATGGCTACGGACATGAGTATCATTCTTCTCCACGGCCACGGGGCACATCGAAGATCAAACATACGGGATCATGCGGCTTGACACTATTCGACTTGGGATGATCCCGATACGGGGCATAACGCCGCCGGACCGAGGCGCCCTGGTCTATAAATTTGCGTGTCTGAACATAACCCGGGCATTCCACCCCGGCATTGATGCAGCGTTGACACCGCGGACGGGTCTCGTCACACTAATTCCGGTCAGTTCCGAGGTCGTTCTACCTGGTCGACAGTCATGAAACGGGGTCGTAAACTACCTTCAGGTGTCTCTTCTTACACCGCTCACACGCCTTGTTGGAAGGGACTCCGGGCATGGTTTCCACAGCGGTGGGGCGTTACAGATTGCGGGGAGACAGAGAGAGAGAGAGAGAGGTGGTGGATGTTCTTCCTGTGAGAGACCTACTGCAGACCATGGTCTCACCGGGATGCCACGGTGAAGACAGTCAACATGGAGAGGTTCTAGCGTAGTCTCAAGAAAGAAGAATCGAGGAACTCAATCAATATGATGTCTGTGATATCCAGTTGGGGTAGAGAATGTCACGAGTCGAGGAATTTGTCCCGTCTTGGCATCTCGTCATGGATGCCATGTTCGGCCTGATGTCGGCCTGACGGCGGCCTTGTCTCGGCCTGACGGATCATTGTTTCTCCCGATGGTTTCATGCCGATCATTTCTTTCTTCTGTCATCTCTCTACTCTCGATCTCAATCCGAGCAATTCAAGCGTTCGTCGGTTGTCGGGAGATCTTGATGACGGGTCTGGTTCCCCCCGATCGCCATCGTCATCATGCTTCGTTCATTCCCGCATGGTTCGTCTGCTGGTCAGACCCGACCGACGAGACTGACCCGATCGACTGATCAATTCCGTCGGGAGATGACCGGTATTGGGTCGCTTTCGCAATGGGACAAAGGTCGCATCTATGAGGAATGGCTGCGTAAGTGCTTGCTGGTTTGATACTCCGTAGATAAGAAATCCATCAGATCTGGCTAACTCTGACAGATGCGGGACGACCCCACAATGTGGTTTGCTCGGAATGCCGCACGCCTGGTAATCTATTGTTGTGCGAGACGTGCTGTCGATCGTACCATGCATCCTGTCTTCCGGCAGAGATCATGTCTCCGGGGTCCCCGTTGTTCTGCCCGTCCTGTAAAGAGAAGCAATGGGATCAAGATCCTCCGCGATTTGACCCGCCGGAGGTATCGTCTAATGTCTCCCCTGCCAGCACGCCCAGTGGGGTGGGACTCAGCAAAGGAGCAAGTCCGTCTGGTCGAACCCCGAGTGCCTCGTTGAAGTGGCCGGGGACACAGAGGAGCCTACGATCCTCCCCGGAATCGGAACGCATTCCCGGGATTCCATCCCCGGGGGCCTTTCGGGCTCGGGATTTCCTGGTTGAATATGGTGGCTTTCCCGCCGACCAGGACTTTAGACCCGAGCTCTTGTTGAAATTAGAATCCATGATGACGGATCTCGAGAGTCAGTCTTCCCTGCAGCAGGAGGCGTACGAGCTCCGCCAGGAGAATGCTGCTCTGCGAAGCCAGGTCACCCATCTGAGATCGTCGGCTGGCGCCCAGCCCCCGTCGCGGGAGCCGATCGTCAACCCCGCCATCTCGCACATCCCACCTATTCTACCCCGATCCGCGCCAGATACGAGTGGAAAGTCCTGGGACCGGATCGTAACAGAATTCTTCTAAGCTCGGAAATTCCCCGCAATGTCCGGGCTGGATCGCGTCGGCGGATTCCTAGGAACGGAGAAGGAGAATCTTAGGCCCGACATGCCGGGAATGCGCCTGACTGGGATGTTGACAAGGGTCAGCAAATATACCCATGCAGACACGGTCAGAAAGAGGGGGCGGAAATTATCCAACCCTACTAAAGGTGTTACACCCCCGACAACGTCACCAACCATAAATCCTGGTGGGACGCATCGCCTTGCCCGGCTTCCCCACTTGTTGAATCCTCATGCCCACCTGGACACGGCCAATGCCGCCTACTCACGGGACTCTAGTCTAAACGTAGGCATTCTGATTGACGGTCACTGGCCGATCAAACCTTCGCCCGAGTCTGCTTAAATATTGACTGATTCCTGACTGCTGGGGCTAAGACTTGTCACTTCCCGACATCCGGGCGGACCTATATTAACGAGCCGACTGCCCGAATCTCCTGACGAAGGGAGGGTACTGGGTATTATCATATTGAACGGAACCTGTCGAGGTTGGTTGTTCACAATTCGCGGACATGCCTTTGTTTTCGAAGGCCCTGCTGGGAATAGCGGCCCACGCGTTCGTCCTCGTCTATGCTCAAGACGACGCGCCTGGATTTGATGTGCTTGATTATGTTGATCCTCTGATCGGGACGGCGAACGGTGGTAAATTCCATTTTCCGACTACAAATTGAACAATAGACTAAGTTCCAGGCCACTCCTTCGCGGGTGCGACTCTACCTTTTGGCATGGCCAAAGCGGTCGCAGACACCGACAGTGAGAACCATGGCGGCTTTTCCTCCGACGGGTCCACCATCATTGGGTTTTCCCATATGCATGATTCAGGAACCGGTGGTGTGCGTACCAGAATCAGAGGTTGATAGCAGCAGGCTGACGGATGCAGTCTGCGTCGATGGGAAACTTTCCTCTTTTCGTGCACCCCAGCTGCCCTGACGACAAGGTCGACAATTGCAAATGGCAACAGACCGATCGAGCCATTAAGTGGGATCGGAAATCCCCCAAAGCCCGCCCAGGCTATTTCAGCATCGCACTAGACAATGGGCTGCAGGCCGAGATGACTGTGACCAACCGCTCGGCTCTCTACCGCTTCACTTTTGACGATGCCACAAACGCTCTCAACCCGGTCATCCTGGTGGATCTCATGGATCTGCCGAAGTCTCGCTCGCAGGGTGCGGTGTCTGTGGATCCGTCGACGGGCCGATTCACCGCGAACGGGACCTTCAGCCCCAGCTTCGGGACGGGTACGTACAAGTCGTACTTCTGTGCGGATTTCAAGGGCGCCAAGGTCCGCGACGTGGGCACGTGGGACGAAGATGGGCCGACACTCGAGCGAACAACGACAAGGATTGACGGTTCCGCGGTGTCGCGGTCGGCTGGGGCTTTTGTCCGGCTGAACGCGCCAGCGAAGGGGAAGCCTATCTTGGCGCGTGTCGGGGTGAGCTTGGTGAGTGAGAAGCAAGCATGCTCGAACGCCGAGAAAGAACAGCCCGACTTTGACTTTGACGGCACCGTGGCCGCAGCAGAAAAGGCGTGGCGCGAGAAATTGAGCCCAGTCAGCATCGACGCCAGCGGCGTGTCCTCTGACCTGCAGACGGTGTTCTGGAGTGGCCTGTACAGGACGATGATCAGCCCGCAGGACTACACGGGAGAGAATCCGCTGTGGAAGAGCGACGAGCCGTACTACGACAGTTTCTACTGGTAAGTTTCATCCTGTACGTGTCGGATGTCGATACTGACCTCTGCAGCATCTGGGACTCGTATCGAGGCGTCCATCAGCTGTTGACGCTGGTGGATCCGCTGTCTCAATCCCTGATGATCCGCGCGTTGGTCGACATCTACCGCCACGAGGGCTACCTTCCCGACTGCCGCATGTCGCTATGCAAGGGCAACACGCAAGGGGGGTCGAACGCGGATGTGTTAATTGCCGAGGCATACCTCAAGAAGGTCATCAACGTCGACTGGGACACGGCGTACGAGGCCGTGGTGAAGGATGCCGAGGTCGAACCTTCGAACTGGGATGTCGAAGGTCGCGGCGGCTTGCGCAGTTGGAAGTCTCTGGGGTATATCCCGATCCACGACAACGACTTGGTGGGCCGGGGTACGCGCACACGAAGTGTGTCGCGGACGGTGGAGTATGCTTATAATGATTTCTGCATTGCCGAGATGGCCAAGCGCATGGGTCACACGGAGGATTATAAGAAGTATACGGAACGATCGCACAACTGGAAGAATCTGTTCAAGAAGGATCAGAAATCGGCGATCAAGGGAGTGGACACGAACTTTACGGGCTTTCTCCAGCCGCGGAATGCGAACGGGTCGTGGGCGTACCAGGATCCTATCTTTTGCAGCCCTCTCGAGTCGTTCACCTCGTGTTACCTGAATCCCCAGGGACACGAAACGTACGAAGGGAGCTGTTGGTTGTATACTTTGTTAGTTTCTCTATCTCCTCCCTTTTTCTTTCCCCCCCTTCTTCCTCTAGCACAACCAGCTAATACTTCACAGCTACGCCCCCCAAGACATGGGCGCACTGATCAAAACCCTTGGCGGCGCAGACTCATTCACATCCCGCCTAACCTTCCTCCACGAGTCCGGCCTCCTCTACGTCGGCGACGAACAAGCCTTCCTAACAACCTTCCAATTCCACTACGCGGGACGGCCCGCCCTCTCCTCGAAGCAAACACACTCCTACATCCCCTCCCAATTCAACACGTCCGTCTCGGGGATCCCAGGCAACGACGACGGCGGCGCAATGGGGTCCTTCGCAGTGCTAAGCATGATGGGCCTGTATCCTGTCCACGGACAAGACGTGTACCTGATCACAGCACCGTTCTTCAAGGAAGTCAGCGTGCGGAATAAGATCACGGGCAAGGTGGCTACTATCCGGAATGTGAACTTCGATCCGAGCTATGACAAGATCTACATTCAGAGCGTGAAGCGGGATGGGAAGAGCTGGACGAAGAATTGGATTGGACATGACTTTTTCGAGAAGGGGGGTGTGTTGGAGGTGGAGGTCGGTGGGGAGGAGAGTGCGTGGGGGACGATGCGGGGGGATTTGCCGCCGAGTTTGAGCGAATATGAGTAGCTTGAACAGGTGATGTTGGTAGATGTGGAGATTTGACGAGCAGCCTTAGCATCAAGACTGGTAGATCTCATGGATCTACCAGTCCACCCTACATTGAGTACAAGTTTAAACACGAATCAACAAATCTAGTGATTTTATAAGGAAAAAAACTACCACTCCAACCGATCATCATGCACAAGCTGCACATCATACCTCTCCTGACCTTGCCATACTTTCCCCACATCATTACACTGCGCGACCGCCCCTCTCAACGAAGAGACCAGTCCAGCTGGCCCGCTGGCAAACACACGGGTAGGGCCGCAGGGCGTTCTTTCCACGAAGTCCTGCATGTAGTGCGCCAGGTCAGGGTGAACGGGTTGTTCAGCCAGAGACGGTCTCAAGCAGCGCATTTCAAACGCTTGAGACTGCTCATCCGAGCCAGACCCAGACCCAGACCCAGACCCATCATCACAGTCAAAACCAGAGTCAGAGCTAGAACCAGAAAGGCCCTCCACATCCCTCGTAACAAAAACCCTAATCCTAAAATGCGCACACCGGTCCGCAACAGCGCGCAGAGCATCCAGCTCCGCCTGAATCCACCTAACATCCACACAATGCCGCACAACCCACACGAACTCAACAATACTCTTGCGAGTTTGAAACCAGCTATTCAGCACGATGGCTTGCAAGAGCGGCAGCACGAATGTCACACCCGTGCCTCCAGCCGCGCAGAAGATGTTGATATCGTCTGTGCAGTGGAGGTCGTCGTCTGTGATAGCGTGGCCGTAGGGGCCGGAGAGGATGATGGGTGTTGTCATTGGGCCACTGTCGGACTCTGGCTTGGGGTATTGGGTATGGGTGTGGGAGTGGGTGGCTGCTAAGGCACGGGTAAGGCCCGATTTGGCACGTATGAGATACGTGTGTGATTGAGTTGAGACGCCCGATGCGGTGTCCGGCACTGAGGCCGGCGTCATGGGGTGAGATTGCCAGATGGAGAGGTCGGGGAAGCAGAGGTAGAAATGTTGGCCGATTTCCCAGCCTGAGTGGGGGTGGTGGAAGTCGATTCTGACGACTGATTCTTGTTCGTCTTCTTTCTCTTTTTCGTGTTCTTTTTCGTGGTGGTTTGTTGGTTGCTCTGCGGGACTTGTGGTGAAGAGGGTGAGCTGTGCTTTGGGGATTTGGAGTCTCCATGAGGGGGAGGAAGAAGAAGAAGAAGAAGAAGAAGACGATAGATGCAAGACTAATGTCCGCAATAACCTCAAACCCCGATCCGTACCCCACACAGCCAGCGAAGCAATCATCCAGCAAGCCAGCTTCTCCCAATGTCCCCAGCAAGCGCCCACATACAGCATAGCCAGCACATAATGCGACTTGCGAAAGAACTCATACCCAGTCCGACGGATAACACACTGCAGACTGCCAAACACAATAAAAGACAAGAAGATCATAGCGACAATACCCCAGATGATGTAGCGCTGGCGCACGAACTCGTCCCAGGTCGTCGGCTGCGGCTGATAGAGTTCACCCTCGACGAGGGTCCAGCCCAGCGTATGCAGAACCGACTGGATGTAGATAATCCAGCCGAGCCAGCGGTGGAGGAAGTTAAAGTGGTGGTAGGGGATGCCCGTGAGGAGGGAGAGGATTGATTCACGCGTGCAGAGCAGGACGGAGAGAGGGGTGAGTGCGTAGGCGAGCACGCCGATGCGGTCTGCCCAGGGGCCGAAGCCGACGCGGATGGTGTCTGGTTGGTTTGGGCCTGTTGGGGAGATCCATGTTTGGTAGACGATGCCCACGAAGGTGAAGATTGTGAGGTAGATGATGAGAATGGCGAGGAGGAGGACGTTGAAGCGGGTGGTGGGGCCGAAGATGCGCGGTAGGGCTGATTCGGGGAGGAGATAGCGGTGGTAGAGGGCGCTGAGGGTGGATTTGGTGCGGTAGAGGGTGGATTGGGTTGGGAGTTGTTTCTCGTGGTCGACATGGTGTGATATTTGGCGAGAGACAGGGTTGCAGTAGCGTGCTATAAAGCACAGCAATACGATCCCAAGAATAACAGCCCAGAGAATCGCGCTGTAGAGCATGGACAGATCATGACTGTGGTAGACGGTGTCGAGATAGGCGCATTTCCCTGGATCATCGGTACAGGGCAACTGGCGACTGAAGTAGCCCCAGTGCTGTTCGACCCCGGGGCCAGACTCGGGGATGTGTTCGTGACGGCGAATCATTTATTATATACTACTTGAGAAAAGAATGAAGAATGAAGACCGAGGAAGAGGGAGATGGGTGTATTTAATCTCATGGTTAATCTCAAGGACTGTGGATACGGTGGAGATGCCAAGCAAGAAATGTGCTCAAGCGTGCCAAGTATCTGTGCATGACAGGATGTTGGATTTTATTCGAGGGAATTATTGATCATTTTAGTTGGATTGTTACGGAGAAACTACGGATGCTAAGTTGTTTATGGAGGATTTACGGAGTATGGATGAGACTGGAGTGATGTGGTCTGCTGATCCGCGTGCCCTAATTCTATATTCTATACTCTATATCAAATGGAACATCCCCACTTGATCGATAAGACTCCATTACTCTGATAACATTACATTCAGTATTATATCCATCATATCCCCAGTACCATGCTGTCTGCGTATCATCTGATCATACTCAATCCGAAATAGAGTGATGCCGATATTAATCCGGCCATCATTTATCAGGACAGCCAGACAGGTTTCAACCTCACTACTCCATACACCACTACAATATGCGAGACCTAGTAAAATAAGTAAGAATCCATCATAAACAGCTAGATCGGGACCGTACCTTAACCCACTGACACTCAATTGGCCATTTGTCCTGCCTGTACCCTAAATAACGGCAATCGTGGTAAATTTACAACAGGGGTACAGTTACAGAGGCTATCAGGCTCTACGCGTACTACATATCTACTTATCCTGCAGGGTAAATATAACCTACTCTTTACAACCTACCTAAACATCCATCTACAACAATAATGACGAGATCTACAAGCTCAGACCATGCGAGATGCGGAGAATTCATAACCGAGGCATTCGGGCTTGGCGTTCTCTCTAAATAACTAGTTGTTCACTATCCTGTACCTTCATATCATCTACATCTACCTCACTACAACCTCAACTATCAACAGACACTCAACCGATATAATCAAGAAAGAAAAAGAAAAGAAAATGTCCGCCCTCAAATCAACCGCCATTGGCTGGCTTCTGGTTTCTATAGGCCATACTGTATGTCATTCCTATCCCCTTCTCCCATCCCATCATATCTATCTCCATACCTACTCATCTCTACAACTCTACACAATACTACACTACCTACCAAATAATCTATCAAAAATGAGAACTATACACTAAGAAAACAAAAACACCAGATCTCAGCAAAAGACTGGCAATCCACCCCCAAATTCACCACCCTGCCCAACCTAGCCTCAACATGCGCCAAAGCAGGCTGGTACCAAGGGAGTGGGTTTTTCGTCATGAACGGTGTGTCTTCTCCTTACCCATCCTAAATTCAAATTCCACATATATCCAAACATATATACATAAGTATGGAATATATCCAAGTATACTAATGAATGAAAAGCCCTCCTCAACTACGCCTGGTCCCAAAACCCCTCCCTCCTGCAGCAGCCCATCCACAAGGCCATTGCAGCCGTCATGGTGGCCATCGTGTGGGTGAGTGCGGTGTGGTATGCGAAGCGCGGGGTGGGGAGTAATGCTGTTGCGACTGCGTTGATTGGGGGGTTGCAGGGGTATGCTGCTTTTGTTTAACTTTTGCTTCCTTCTTTGCCTGTTCTCTTGGTACTTTGTACGTAGGCGGGGGGAGTGTTTAGTCTTGGGTTTTATGTGTGGAAGCTGAGGAGTGAGAAGGAGAAGGAGAAGGAGAAGGAGGAGAATTGATATATGTACTGGTAACATAATACAGTACAAGCAGACATCATCGTCGTCATCACATACATAAATAAATACAAAGTAAACACTACTCAGTTAGTTAGCCACAGGCTCCTCCTGAGCAGACACCGCCCTTCGCCCCCACCCAAAGAATCCACCCCCCTCAGCAGACTTCATACTGCGCCGATTATGCGACCGCTCGATGGTCGTCCCGCTCCGGGACAGCGCCGGCCGCGTAGCCGGCTGCTGCTGCTGCAGGAGACCCCCCGCGGCAGCGCCGCCGACCATCCGGCGCAGACCCTCCATCTTCGCCTTGACTTCTTCCAGCTCCTGCTTGGCGACGGCTTCTGCTGTTTTCGCAGTAACGAGCTCCATGAGGAGGGCCTCCTCGGCGGGGGGTCGGTTATTGTTGGTAGCAGTGGACTCAGCCAGCACAGCGCCCATGCTGCTGCGCGCACCGGTACTACTGCGCTTAGTAGCGAGCGAAGTCCGCTTCTGACTCTGCGAGTTGCTGCGCACGAGTTTCAGCTCGCGCAGACCGGATTTGCTGCCGTCGCTAGGGGAAGTGGGGCTGATAGGCGACTGGAGCACGTCGGGCGGGGTGTCTCCCCGCGAGGTAGACATCTTCATATTGCGCAGGTCGCGCACGGTGCGCTCGAGGCGCTGGCGATCGCGGTATCCGTCTTGGATGCGGCCGCGGGCTTCGCGGAGCTCTTCGCGCAGGGAGGCAGTCTCGCGCTCGTGGTCGTCGATGCGGCGCGTGAGGCCGAGGCAGCGCTCTGCTTCGACGGCGTGCATTTCCTTCCAGCGGGCGAGGTCGTCGCGCAGCTGGTGCTTTGTGTCGAGGGCGGAGGAGCCGTGGGGCGGGGGGTCGGATGGTTCGGATTGTTTGCGCGCGGCGAAGCGCTCGTCAGCTTTGCGGACGAGCTCGGTTGTGGAGTCGTCGGCTGTTTGTTTGACGTGTTGCAGCATGGATTGGGCCAGGGCTTGGTCTTCTTCGCGCTCTTCGCGCTCTTGCTGGAGCTGGCGCGTGAGGTCTGTGTGCTGGCGCTGGAGGTCGCCGAGGGCCATGAGGAGGTCCTCGATTTGCGTGTGCAGGTCGCGGTCTTTGTGGTTGGGCGGGTTCATGGCGGACTTGGCGCGTGGCTTGGATGGCTCTGGGGAGAGTTCCGTTGGGGCTGTGCTGGCGTCGGACGACGACTCCACTGAGTTGAGAGTCGAGGTTATGCTCTGCTTGGAGGTGGACCGGCGCAGGATACTGCCCCGTGTGGCGGGCGCGTTGGGCGTGAGGTTGAGCGACTTGACGGAGCTGGAGCTGGAGCCTGATCCGGCCCAGAAGCGACCGAGGAAGCGCGAGGCGGCTGCCTGCATCTGGGGGAAGGAGATGCCGGTGGGGACGCCTTGGGATTGGTTGTAGCTGGCTTCTAGGGTCTGTAGGCTCTCTTTGGTCACGAGGGATGTGAGGGAGACGAAGTCGTTGACGAAGTCGTCGGCGTGGCATGCGTAGCTGGGATTATTAGTGGGGGTAGACAAAGGATGGTTGGGTGGCTTACGTATCCCAGAGACTGCGGGAGAGCAGTAGCTGTAGGACATCCTCGAACTCGGCACAGGCGAGAATGCGCTTCTCGTTGCGCTGCATCAGCGATAGAGCCACGCGCATGAGCGTCTCGCAGGCGCCCTCGAGGAAGATGACGTCGTAGATGCGGAGCAGCATGGGGAGGGGACACGACACGGCGAAGAAGGACAGGAACCACTGGGAGACGTAGACGGGCTCGACGTTGAGGGCCTCCAGGTGGGCGAAGAGCGCGGGTCGCAGGCGCGACAGGAGATTCTGGAACTGGTAGACATGCAGATGCAGACCGGATAGGTCGGGGAGGTAGCATGTGCGCAGATCGTAGTGGTCCATCAATCTGATACTGTCAGTCCGCCATCGTCAGTTCTGATAGGGAAGGGGAACCTACCGAACCAAGACGCAAAAAGCTTCTGCATCAGTCATGTGCATCAACAACGGCCCCACCACGAACCCCAGCCCCTGGCAGTAGCCAATCTGGCTGTCGTACAGACTGAAGCACTTCAAGACGCGTCCCAGCATCTGCTGTCCCTCACCGTTGGGATCGCGGAACATCTCGACGTTGGGAAAGCTACGACCGATATCCTTGCCGATGAGCCCCTCATAAGGACTCGACTCGCCGCAGAGACGCTGATATTCGGACAGAAGGGTGGAATCGCGGGCACCAGCCAAACTGGGCCAGACCACCCCCCGCAACGGCGCGGGGACACCGCCGCGGATCTTGTTGGTGGTCAGGGTGGGCAACCGGTGGGCGGTTTGCGAGTAATCGGCGACCAGGGCGGCCCAGAACTCGAGTTCAGTCATCGGGGGCGGGGCCAGCTGGGAGTAGCGCAGGGAGGAGTTCGGGTCCTCATCGATCAGGCGCTTGATCTGGTGCAGGGACTGAGAGCGGGACTGTCGCTGGGCGTATTGGGCCTGGACGTTGGCCATGCCGGACTTGGGGTTGGTCGCGAGGGCGTTGTTTTCCTGCTCCAGGCGGGCCAGGAGGAGGGCGGTGGACTATCTATTTAGTATGGGGGAGTAATACTGTGTTCGTGACTGCAGACATACCTCATCGGAGCTGTCCCCCCGCGGCTCCTGCTCTTCGGTGCGGTCCAATTCCTCCCAGTCGACTTCACTGCGGGGGATCTCGTCGCTGGAGCGGGATCGGATGGAGGAGGCGGCGGAGGCCCGGTAGGCGACGGGCTCGAGGAGGGTCTTGGCGTCGTCGTCAGGGGCGGACTCGGAGGGGGCGGTGACGGCGATGGCCGTGTGAGGGGCGTCTTGGGACTGCCAGTCGGGACGCGCGAGATCGACCTGGGAGAGTTCGCGGGCGCGTTCTGAATTGGGCGACAGGGGGACGGTGACCATGGAGTCGGTCTGGGCGGGGAGATGTCTCCCGTGGGGATTGTCCATTGTATGTCTGTCTTTCGTTTCCAATTCTTTTTGTATAGTTATGTCGTATAGTTATTTCGTATAGTTATTTCGTATATTTAATTTGTATAGTTTATTTTGTGTCCGTCAGATCAATGACACATTCCTCGGGGAGGGGTGGAGTGAGGAATGATCAGGACGCGAGGGGGTCCAGTGCAGCATGGAGTAGAATGGAAGAGATAAGACAATGATATGACAATCTTGGATTGAGGAGAATGAAGGATATGGGAGGGAGAGAAGAAAATAGAGGGAAGATTGAGAGAGAAGTGAGAGAGAAGTGAGAGATGAGGTGAGAGTGAGAGTGAGAAAGGAGAAAAGCGGGTTGTTTTGACTCCTGGAAATATACTGGATTATACTGGAGAATAACGGCGGTCAAGGACTAGTAGGGAGAATCCCACCTCTACTAATCCTCTAGTGCACACGATCCATACTTCTTTCTCACTAGTCGGACTGGATTCTTGATCCTAATATTTCCTTCAATCTTCTTCCTGTTATAATTATGATATTATGGCCATAATTATAAGTCAATCTACTCCGAACACATCCTGGACCCCGGATATCAACGGTGTCCTTATGCATGCACTCGGGATTCCTTGCGTCGTGACAGATCGTCATGGAGATCACGCGTCTTCCTAGTCTCTTAGCCTGTCCATACGGACTCCATTTTCCGTCTGATCTTCAAGTGGAGGATGCGGTGAGAAAAGGTCGTGCCTTTTCGTCCCTGGAGGGGTCGTTGAGGATGATCCACGATTCTCCCGAGGTCCAGATCTGTCTATTTCTTGTAGGGATTCTGCCCCTGAATCGCTGTTATTTACGCGTTTCACCCGTGTCGGAGATTTACTTTTCTTGATTGTGATTGGCCACAATCGTACAGAGTGACCTCTAATTGGTCAGTTGGTAAATTACCGTACGTCTGGTATCCCCTCCTTCAGTATCTATGTGATATACAATATCTATACAGAACCGTATATATATTGTATATATCATAGAGAGATATATTGCATATATTATGTAGACCTATAATAGAGTCAGAGAATGATGAGAACCAAGAGTATACGAGGACTGACTATATGTGACTTGTGGCGTGGTGATCAGTCAATATAGACATGGTACTGTATAGCGTGAGATAGGACTACCCGAGCGGCCACTAGACCCCTCGGCCAAAAGGGTATCATAGACCAATACTGCTGGGTAGTGGCTTAGGTCTATATCATAAGCGAGACTAATTTGGTCATTCTCATTCTCGTATTCAATCCATGACTGGACATGTACATAGGTAGCGACTTCAACTTCGTATAGAATAGAAGATCGGGAAGAGGGTCATACTTGTAACCGATACGAACCATTTCTCCACTAAACTGATGAATACGATATCTTGACAGCTGATATGAAGATGTAGCTTGACTTGGTTCTCCGTTCTATAAATCATTAGATATAGCTACTTAATGAACAATCTCCTACATACTTCAAGTCGTACTAGCCCAAAGAGAATCAAATTCCAGTCAGGTGACAACGAACAGGATACTACTTTCAGGAGAACCAACAAATAGACGATCCATATCGCACCTTTCTACAGCTCACTGTTGTATATATTGATTAAAAGTACACTACCTGCTTGAGAGATCTGACAGTATACGGAGTACTCCGTACATAGTCACCATATCAGCCCATAACAACCGTTCTCAAGTCATCCTCAATGAACGCTCACTCCAAGAATAAACAGTGTTGCGGGACAATAGAAGATATCTTACACTAGAGATATTAGGATTATAAAGTAAATATAGTAGACCTTTGGACAAGGTACTTTGTACACTCCATACTCCGTAGTCATGAAAAGACGTGTTTGTTTGTTTGTTTCCGACTTGCCTAATCCGGACGACATGTTTAGACATTTCCTGTTCTGGCTTAGCCTGTGTCTCCGGACCGGATCAACCTTTCTACAGCGGCAATTTCCTGATCTCTTTCTTTATCCATCAAGTCGCGTCAACAACCTCACCTCCGCAGCCCCTCGCCCCTCCACCACCATCCTCCCGGGCGTTCTCTCGCCAATTCTTTCGCTTCCTTCTGTATCTTTTTTTTTAATATCTTTTCTTTCGATCCCTTTCCCCAGAGGTTGACCCTCTGGTCGGGATCCCCGTTCCTGCGCTTGTCGCTTTGTCCCCGCCAACTCCCGCCATCCTTTTCTTTGTTTGAATTCCTTTCACCCTCCATCTCTCACCATGTCCGACGACTCCATGGTGGAATCCGTCTTCGACGACGAGGGAAGTTCCGACTTCGTCCCGGAACCTGCCCCAGTACGTCTCGCGCCATCTCAAAAATCTTGAAACTCCTCCCTAACAACCCCAGAAACCCAAGGCAAAGGCGGCCCCCAAGAAAGCTGCCCCCAAAAAGGCCGCTCCCAAAAAGACCCAGACCACGCTCACCGCGAAAGGCAAAGGTGCCGCCGCGAAGAAAGCCGTCAATCTCGATAGCGACGACGACTCCGGCGACAACTTCGAAGACGATTCCGTCATGTCGCATACCCCCCCGAAGAAGGCCACCAAGGGTGCCGCAACCAAGAAGGCCGGCTCCAAACCCCTCGCCGACGTCGAAAATGAATCTTTCATCGATGACGCCGCTGATGAACCCCCCAAAGCCTCCGCGGCCAAGGGAACCGACGCAACAGAGAAGTACCAGAAAGTATGTTCCATGTTCTCCTTCCCCGCCCCCTGTCAGCCCCCCCACCATAAATCGGTGTACTAACAATTGCTAGCTCACCCAACTAGAACACATCATCAAACGTCCCGACACATACATCGGTTCCACCGAGCGGACCGAGCAGCAGATGTGGGTCTACAGTACCGAGACCGAAGGCATGGAGTACCGCACCGTCTCCTTCGTCCCCGGTCTCTACAAGATCTTCGACGAGATCGTCGTCAACGCCGCCGATAACCGTCAGAACGACAAGAACATGGACGAGATCCGCGTCACCGTCGACCGCGCCTCCGGCGAGATCAGTGTGTGGAACAACGGCAAAGGTATCCCCATCGAGATGCACGTCAAGGAGAAGATCCACGTCCCCGAGCTGATCTTCGGCCACCTCCTCACCTCCTCCAACTACGATGATACCCAGCAGAAGGTCACCGGTGGCCGCAACGGTTTCGGCGCCAAGCTCTGTAACGTCTTCTCCACCGAGTTCAGCATCGAGACCCAGGACACCTCCCAGAAGAAGAAGTACCGCCAGACCTGGACCGACAACATGACCAAGATGGGCAAGGCCAAGATCACCGACGCCTCCAAGGGCGAGGACTACACCAAGGTCACCTTCAAGCCCGACTACGCCAAGTTCGGCATGGACGGCATGGACGACGACTTCGAGGCCCTCGTCAAGCGTCGCGTCTACGATCTGGCGGGCACCACCAAGGTCGCCGTCAAGCTCAACGGCTCCCGCATCCCCATCCGCAACTTCAAGAAATACATGGAGATGTACACCAAGGCCATCCGCCGCGAACGCGGCGACGACGGCCCCGCCCCCAAGGACGAGATCATCACCTGCAGCCCGGACCCCCACTGGGAGGTCGGCTTCACCGTCTCCGACGGCGCCTTCCACCAGGTCTCCTTCGTCAACTCCATCGCCACCACCTCCGGCGGCACCCACGTCAACTACATCGCCGACCAGATCTGCAACCGCCTCGCCGACCAGGTCAAGAAGCGGAACAAGAACGGTGCCACCCTAAAGACAGCGCAGATCCGGAACCACATCTTCATCTTCGTCAACTGCCTCATCGTCAACCCCGCCTTCACCTCCCAGACCAAGGAGCAGCTGACCACCAAGGCCTCGCAGTTCGGCAGCAAGTGCCCGCTCGAGGAGGACTTCTACCGCAAGGTTCTCAAGACCGAGGTTATGTCCAACATCCTCCACTTCGCCCAGCAGAAGGCCGACCAGATGCTGAAGAAGGGCGACACCGGCCGCCGCTCGCGCATGAACAACCCCAAGCTGACCGACGCGAACCGCGCCGGCACCAAGGACGGCCACCACTGCACCCTGATCCTGACCGAAGGTGACTCCGCCAAGGGTCTGGCCATGGCCGGCCGCGCCGTCGTCGGTCCCGATCTCTTCGGCGTCTTCCCCCTGCGCGGTAAGCTGCTCAACGTCCGCGACGCCTCCTTCGAGCAGATCGCCAAGAACGCCGAGATCCAGAACATCAAGAACTTCATCGGCCTGCAGCACAAGAAGGAGTACACCGAGACCCGCGGCCTCCGCTACGGACACCTGATGATCATGACCGATCAGGATCACGATGGCAGTCACATCAAGGGCCTGCTGATCAACTTCCTGCAGGCCCAGTTCCCCAGCCTGCTCAAGATCCCCGAGTTCCTCATCGAGTTCATCACCCCGATCGTCAAGGTCTGGAAGGGCGACCCCAAGAACCCCACCAAGCAGCGCTCCTTCTTCACCATCCCCGAGTACGAGAACTGGCGCGAGACCCACGCCCACGAGCGCGGCTGGGACCACAAGTACTACAAGGGTCTGGGAACCAGCACCACCGAGGACGCCCAGGTCTACTTCCGCGACCTCGACCGCCACCTCAAGGAGTTCCACACCATGCAGGACAACGAGTCCCAGCTCATCGAGCTCGCCTTCTCCAAGAAGAAGGCCGACGAGCGCAAGGAGTGGCTGCGCCAGTTCCGCCCCGGCACCTTCCTCGACCACAGCGTCGACAAGATCTCCTACACCGACTTCATCAACAAGGAGCTGATCCTCTTCAGCATGGCCGACAACATGCGCTCCATCCCCTCGGTCGTCGACGGCCTGAAGCCCGGTCAGCGCAAGGTGCTCTACACCTGCTTCCGCCGCAACCTGCGCAAGGACATGAAGGTCGTCGAGTTGGCCGGTTACGTCTCGGGCCAGACCGCCTACCAGCACGGCGAGGGCTCGCTGCAGCAGACCATCGTCGGCCTCGCCCAGACCTTCGTCGGCTCCAACAACGTCAACTGCCTGGAGCCCAGTGGTAACTTCGGTAGCCGACTGCAGGGTGGCTCCGACTGCGCCAGCGCGCGTTACATCTACACGCGCTTGTCCCCCTTCGCGCGGCGCGTCTTCCACGCGGCTGACGACCCCCTGCTCACCTACAACGAGGACGACGGGGCGAAGATCGAGCCCGAGACTTACGTGCCCGTCGTGCCCATGATTCTCATCAATGGCGCCGACGGCATTGGCACGGGCTGGAGCACCTCCATTCCCAACTACAACCCGGAAGACGTCGTCGCCAATCTGCGGCGGTTGATGGACGGCGAGGAAGTCCAGACGATGCAGCCGTGGTTCCGCGGCTTCACCGGCGAGGTCCACGCCCTTGGCGGGGACCGCTACAAGTTCAGCGGCATTATCCGGGAGAGCGGCGAGAAGGAGGTGGAGATCACCGAGCTGCCCATCCGCTCGTGGACGCAGGACTTCAAGGACAAGCTTGAGGACATCATCAAGGCCGACAAGACACCCTCCTTCATCAAGGACTACAAGGACTACAACACCCACACCAAGGTGCATTTCGTCATCCAGATGGACGAGAAGCACACCAAGATCAAGCCCGAGGATTACGAGGACAAGTTCAAGCTGACCAAGACCATCGCCACCACCAACCTGGTGGCCTTTGACCCCGAGGGCCGCCTGACCAAATACACCACCGTCGAGGACATGCTCAAGGAGTTCTACGCCGTGCGCCTGAAGTTCTACGAGCGCCGCAAGCAGCACCAGCTCGCGGAGCTGCAGCGGGAGCTCGACAAGCTGACCAACCAGGCCCGCTTCGTGCAGATGATCATCGACGGGGAGCTGGTCGTCTCCAAGAAGAAGAAGGCCGTCCTCGTCCGAGAGCTGAAGGACAAGGGATTCAAGCAAATCCCCAAGGTTGCCGATGCCGTCAAGGCCGGCGAGACCGAGCCCGCCTTGGAGGACGAGGAAGAGCCCGCCGACGATGCCGAGGAGTCCGGCGACATCTCCCCCGGCGCCTACGACTACCTGCTCGGCATGGCCATCTGGTCGCTGACCCAGGAACGCGTCGAACGTCTCCGCCGCCAGATCGGGGACAAGGAGGTCGAGATCGACGTCCTAATCAAGCGAACCAAGGAGGACATCTGGCGCGAGGATCTCGACGCCTTCATCAACGAATGGCGCTTCCAGCTCGACGACGAATACCGTCGCCAGCGCAAGGTGGCCAACCTGGACCGTCGCACCTCGTCCAAGCTCATGACCGCCGTGGGCCGCGGCAAACCGGCAGCGCGTAAGCGCAAGGCGGTCGCCGGCGATGACCCGGATGATGAAGATTTTGCCGCACCCAAGCCGAAGAAGGCCGCCGCCGCGAAGAAGGCGGAGCCCAAGGGTGGCCTGATGAACTATTTGAAACCGGCTGCCAAACCGAAGGAGGAGGACGGGGACCCGGATGTTGACATGTCTGACGTGGAAGAGGTTATGCCCAAGAAAAGTCGTGCCGCACCAAAACCCGCCGCCAAACCCGCCGCCAAGGGTAAGGCCACGGCCAAGCCCAAGGATGAGGATGACGACTCGCTGGACGACGATGATTTTATGGAGATCGCCAAGGAAGAGGCGACCCGACCGGCCGCACTGCCGTCGCGTGCCGCCCGCAAACCCGCCAAGATCACCGAGCTGGACGATTCCGACAGCGACGATGGGGATGATCTGCTAGGAGATGTCAGCAAGATGGTCAAGGGCATCGGGGGCAACGACGCCTCGTCCGAGTCGCGCGAACTGTTCTCGGAGCGACCCCACGCCGGCAACAGCCCGGCGTTGGGCACGAACTCGCGGACCGCCAAACGGTCGGCCGATTTCGATCCCGACGAGACTGACTACAGCAAGTTGATCCCGCAGAACTCGCCGCGCCGGGCCCTGCAGGTCAAGTCCAAGGAGAAGCCGGCGACCGCTGACGAGGACGACGACGACGACGACGACGACGACGAGGACCCAGTAGTGGCAGCGAAGCCAGCAGCCAAGGCCAAACCGGCCCCTCGAGGCAAGGCAGCCGCAGCGCCCAAGGCAACGGCAGCCAAGACTCGCGGCCGGCCCAAGAAGGACGCAGCAGCCCCCACAAAGCCAGCTCCTAAGCAGACGACGCTCTCCCCAGCAGCCAAGGCCTACGCCACGAAGCAGACCAAGGCCGGCGCCAAAAAGAAGGTAGTCGACTCCGACGACGACATCGACGCGATGGCCAACGACATCCTCGATTCGCCAGCCGGCAAGATGGGCGCGGACTCAGAGGAGGACGCCCCGCGCCGTCCAGCCCGACAGGCAGCCGCTCGACCGGCGCGCCGGACGGCCGCTGCGAAGAAGACGTATGTGATTGAGGATGATAGTGACGATGGGGGGGATGATTCTGCGGATGATTTTGATGATGAGAGCGAGTAAGCTTTCATCTGTGATATCCAGTCGTCCGAACTCGAACTTTTTCTATTTTCTATTCTATTTCAGTGTATGTGGCGTTAAGGTCAATGGATGGTTCTGAATTATCTGAGTGTTACGGGTGTAGTTGTCATAATTATCGTAGTCATCGTATTTTATCTCAATCGTATGATGACGTCTTTACCTATTCCTCAATGATTCTAACAAGAAGGGGGGGGGGGGGGGGGGGAGAGAAGAGAGAGAGACAGAGAAGTAGTCAATAAAAACAATATAAACCCTGATATCCAATAACCATACGCAATGCCATCCATCCATCCAACATCCATCTACCATCCAGTTCTAGCCTTAAGAAAGGAAGAAATGAAAAGAAATGAAAAAGAACCCCACCAGAGACCAAACATAAAGAGCAACTACCTAACTGAATCGAACTGAACCGAACTGAGATGAGATGAAATGGAATAACCAAAGTAAAGCACATGGGAATAGACACAGCATACATACATGTATGGAAGAACAAAAGAGATAACCTGAAGTGAAATAAAGATAATGAAGGAAATAAAAAGCCGGGAACTCCTTCTATCAACCAGCCTTGTCCTGTCCATACTTATCTTTGGGTACCTACCTACCTACCATCATCTATGCAAGCATCCATCCCCAAACATATCAGTTAATCAGTCATTCTCAAGGAAAGAAAAATAAAGGGGGAAAAATCAAGCCGAAGCCCTCCTCCTCTTCCTCGCGCCCTCCCCCCCAACCCCAATCCCACCCCCAGCACCACATCCAACACCATTCCCAGCCCTACAAGCCAACGACCCCACAAACTCATCATCGCTGGCTGTAGCTGTGTGAAGATCGAGCAGGGCGTGCGCGGCTTTGACTTCGCGGGCGAAAAGCGCGGCGCTGGGTTTGCGTTTTCTCGGTATCTCAAGGGAGAGTGGATTGGGGGGGTGAGGAGGGGTTGTATGTAGATGGCTTTTTGAGGAGGACGGATTGGATGTAGAGATGGATGTGGTGTTGTAGTTGGGTTTTGTCTGTTTTGCTTCTTGTGGGGATGTGGTTGCGCTTTTTGTTGTTGGTGTTGACGTTGATGTTGACGTTGATGATGCGGTTGGCGAGCAGGTGGGAGAGGAGGATGACGACGACGAAGAAAGAGAGGAACAAATCGGCCTATAATGTCCAGGCGACAAGCCCATCCCACCATCACTCTCACTGCCACTATCTGAGTTGGCGGTTGTAGTAGCAGTATTAGTAGTGGTAGTGGTGGTAGTAACAGTAATAGCTCTTTGCTGCACAGACATCCTCCTCATACAAGTTGACAGCGTCTCCGGCGAGGGAATCCTCTGCTGCAGCCCATCCCGACTGCGCGGCGTATTAACAGGCGTGAATGTATTGCGCGGACTAGCAGACAAGCTGTGCGGTGCTGTGCTCGCCGTGGTGCTAGTCGTCGAGATATCGGTGCTGTAATCCGGGGACGAGCGATACCCTCCCCTTCCCTCTCCGCCTCCCCCTCCCTCTCTACCGTATATCCTGCCAGTATACCCATGATGATGATGGAGTGGTGTCCTCCCAGACTGGGTATTCGTATTCGATCCATCCGGACAAGACCGGTACGGTTGACTATCAAAGCCCACCAACTCCCGACTCGGGACATACACACCCCCTTCGATCCGCGAAGAGACATACTCGCCCCTCTCCATGCATCTATAAACGCTCGTCTCCCGAGTCGCCATCTGGATAACCTGCGGGAGGATGATCATCCTCCCGAACTGGTTCCGATTATCCGGATGGATACAGTCGTTCGGAAAGTCCACGCCGAAGAGAGGTGTTAGTGCGTAGCGGATCTTCCAGCAGAAGGTTGCTGCTATGGCTCTTGCTGCTGTGTAGGGCATCCAGTATCCTTTAAAGAGAGTTAGCATGATATGAGGAGGGGAAAGAGAAAGGGGAGAAGGGAAGGAGGGGGGTACCTTGTGCGGCGAGGGCTCCGCCTGTGATGCTGTGGCAGATTTCGCGTAGGCCGGGGTTTGCGTTGAGGACTTTGGCGGGGGTGGTCTGTTATTCGTTAGTATATTCAACGTGGATTGGGGGGATGTAGGTATGTACCTTGGAGTAGTCCAAACATTTGAACAAATGCGTCGTCCGAACTAAACCGATATTATAATCCCACATAACCGTCCACGGCTTATCCTGCCCTGGTATCTTAAACGTATATTGAAAGACTAAATAAACCATTAGTCCCATCATTCCCATCAAGAAAATAAATAGATAAAAAACAGAGAGAGGGTAACTACCTTCAAAACCCCCCCGTCCAGTCTTCTCCTGAAAGGACTTCTTATCACTATTATAAGGAATATGCCTCGGAAACTCCGCAATATCACTCATGGGATGGATCTGGAATTCACGGTGCAGTTTCGACAGCTCGGCGTCTCGACGCTCGCACGGCGCAAAGCGACACTCGCCTCTGACTCGGCCGCGGTTGAAGATGGGGGCGTCTTTGGCCATTTTTGGTTTTCTGGGGCGGTGGATTGGGAGGGGGACTGGGATCGGAGGTCGTGAGACTAGAGATAGAGGACTGGATGTGTTGGGAGATGATGATGATGATGATTGATTTGGGAGGGAGAACCGGTCTCGCTCTCGCTCTCGGTCTCGCTCTGGGAAAGGAAGAGGGTTGAGGAGGGATTTTATGGATGCCATCGCATACACACACTGGGGTTTATCCTAGATGGGTCTTGTTTGAGTCTGTCTCTTGCTGTGACGATGTCTCTTCGATTTCTCGTCCAGTCAAGGATGGTGATATATCCCAGAAAAGAAAAACCAAGGCCCTGGCAGACGACGGCGTATTTGATCTCGGACAGACAAAGACGATGAGGCTAAGAGATCACCCGGTCGATCCTAAGACATGTAGAAAGGAAGGAAGGAGATTCTAGAAGCCCTGGAGAATGTCTTTAAGCAGACAATGACCGAATAAGACAAGACAGACAGGCAGACAAGATAAGACAGACAGGCAGACAAGATAAGACAGACAAGGGAGCAAGCAGAAGATAAAGATGTGAGAGGTGGGTACGGCAGACATGCCAGAAAGGAAGGTCTCAAATAGTTTGGGAGTGATATGGAGATCTACGAGAGCAACCGTCACCTCCTTTATCATAACAGGAGGTAGATCTATTTGGCACAGGTCCGGTTCGAAGTGGATACGATACGTGACAGCATCTGATCATCAAAGTCGCTCAAATGGCCACACCTCTCTGTTTGTCCTTCCTAGTTCGGCGGTATGCAATCTCAGCTCGAGGCATCACCCTAAACAGAAGAAAATGGAGGGATAGAGGGAAATGGGAGCGGTGAACCCAAGGCCACGACTGGATCAGATCCAGTTGGGTGGAATGTCTTGGATAGGGGGGGTACACTCCTCCCCGACATATGCCATTTTCCCTCCTCACCGGTCCTTGAACAGTGGCAAGGCAAGAGAAAACGAAGGGAAAGAAAAACAACATCACGAGGCACACCCATCACGCTGGTCTCCAAGTTATCTGCGCGAGTCCAGGCTTTGCCATACCCCGTCGACGGCTGATTGGAGACCAGTATAACCGGGACACACCCGACCATTTGCAACAAGAACTCTCATCAACAAGAAGTGGTGGAGGTGAATGCTCACACATTTGGGTTCCATTCGCCGGGCATCATTCTTTCCTTCGCGGGGTGGACAAAGTTGCTCTCCTATGCGGACCGGATCTTCGAGTTCTCCATTCGTTCCACATTCCCCCTTCTGCAGCTACCCAAGACAAGAAGAGATGACGCAGACCCAAAGCGACGAGACGAGACATGGCGGGACCCAGGTTTCAGGGCTACCCAAGCACCCAGCACCCATGTGGAAGGTCACGTCTGGCCCGCGTTGTCGTGGTTGAAACCCGTGTCTCTTGGCTTTCTTTTTTTGCAAACAGAAGGCCGACGGCGGTCTACGCCCAAAGGGGATGACTGGAGCAACCATGGATATTTGAGAGGCTATCGACAGCCATTGTTTCGCAATGCGCTGACCCTATCTACCCAAGGTCGTTTCGGTAGGTTCCATTCTCCCGGATCAGGTAGCCCTTCCCTAGCGGATACCTATTGATATCCGTGAACTCGACTTCAGGCGGGAACCACGGAGGATAACTCCTCAGAGATGGAGAGCCAATGAGCAGGAGAGATACAACGAGAATGGCTCCGCGAGGCGATGATTAGGGAGGTCTGAGACCTTCGGAAAGCTGCAGGATATTTTCTTCCTGTATGACGGGAGATTGCGGTTGCGACCAACCAACGAGTCCTGATTCAGGCAGTTGTGCAAGAGTTTTCTTTTCTCTCTCTCTCTCTTTTTTTTTATTTCTTTCCTTTTGTTTTATTTTTTTTTTCCAATTTCTTTCGTCAGTCTTGGCTGAAGCAGACATGGCGAAATGGGGATAATTCTCCGTCTCCAGTATCAACCCATCATCAACACCACCAACCAAAACACAACATACCCAGCATGTCCAGCAATAGCCAGTATCCATCCAGACAGAGTAGAGAAAAGATGTTACACCCCCGAGATCTCGGAAGGTATAGCGCCGTAAAGGCTAATACGGCCCCTGTTCGTCAGGCGACAAAACAGATCAGCCTAGCGTCGTTAGCATTAACATCAAGCCTCACTATTGCAGATGTCACACCCGGGCTAGCCAGTAGCCTACTAGACATGGTCACGGCCTCCGCAGAAGCGGGTCTCCTCATTGTAGTTAGTAGTCTGGTTCCTTCATTGCCACGGACTGTGTCTGTGTGGTATGCTGGAAACAAAGGAGGGAGGAGTGAGTGCCGGTCTTCAAAGAACCTTCCACGCAGGCTTCTCTGCAGGAGTCCCACTATGTGTGGCGTCTACGAGTGATTTCGTAGCCTTGGTGTGGGCCCCTCGTTTTTGAAGGTCTTTCATGGACATGTCTATATGTCTCCGGGAACTCCACTCTCCACTCTCGGCATGAGATGGCTGTCTTGGGATATGATGTGCAACCTGCCGTAAAGGGACGAATCAACAGTAGGTATGGTAGCTGCACGCATCACCTGATTCAAGAAAGAAGTGTTTGAAGAAAAAAGCAGAGGAGATAGCCTTGTTTGTAGACATAAAAGCAGACAAAGGAAAAGCCAAACAAAAACCAATAATACCTACAAAACAAACAACCTGTAAAAAAGAAAGAAGGATTCACAAGTCAATCACAGGCAAGGCAAAAGTAAGTAAATAAAGATAGATCCATCTTGATCAATAAAGACAAACCCCAGATGAATGAATGAGACAGACTAGAAGATCTAGAAGGTTGAGAAGAGCACGATATCCGAAACATGGCTAGGCTAGATGGAAAGAACCTTTCCTTTCTGTTCTAGGAGGCTTCTGTTTGTTTCTGATTTGATCTGCTATACTGTGCGAGTGACTGTCAGCGGTCTTAGTAGATCGGAAAGGGACAAACTGGAAGATGGAATGGAGGTCACATGGTTTGTCTTCTCTCACGGGACACCGTTTGATGGGTAGGTTGTTATTGGGAACTTCGATATGTAGCTAATGATATCGGTACAGTGGAGCATGGATGTAATGTAGTAATCAGATTCAAAGTATATCAAGAGAATATGATATACAAAGAGAGGTTAAAGTAGAAATAACCCCTAACCCAGATAGGTTAGATCTCCGATCCCAGCAGCAAGTCATGATCTGCCTGAGGTAGTCCACTCACCAGTACTTATGCCAGGCCACAACATCCCGCTATCCAATACTAGGCAAAGAAAGAACCAAATACAATGCCACCAGAAATATAGTATACCCATTCCTCGGGTCGTCATGCCGGTGACCCGGAAATGGGATCATCCCCGACAATCCTCAAACAGTCTTGCAGCAGTGACACCGGTGTTATGGTTAAGCTGGACCCGAGTAGAGTCGGGTCTGTCCTGTCCTATCCTATCTTATCCTACCTCCATGAAGGAATGCCACATTGGATTTGGGGTTAGTACGAGTAGTAGGGGAGTAAAATAGAAATAAAAACAAATAAATATATCATAAACTTTTTTCAAAATGATAAATAAAACGAAGCCAAAAAACATCCGGCACTCACAACTCGGCACTTGCAAGTCCCGTGTAAGGCGGAATCCCAACATCCTCGGGTGAGACTCGACTGCTTCAGACGCTGGATCCACCTTCACCTGTCGCAACGGGAGAGGGGGCACAAGGGGGGGCCTTCCGGGTCCGTCTCCTCGGTATCACACAGGTCATAGCGGTTATGCAATGGAACCCTCGTACAAGTTTGGTCCTTCGGGTGCCGGGGAAGCAAGTTCAGCGATGGGGCATGGAGCACGGCCGGTGATCCGTTCCTTTGGGAGATTCCTTTCTCCACCGGGGGCTTGGCTGGACGTGCGTTCAATCATTCAATCATTCCTTACGGTAGGTAAGTGGTAAAAAGTACACAGCCTCTGATTGGGTTCCCGTAGAAAATACACAAATCCGATGGTGTGGTCCATCTGTGGAAAGACAGAATTTTGGGTGGGGGTACGACACAAATAGGATAGAACGGAACGGAACACAGCAGCGAAGGTTCAAGTCAATCAAGGGAGAAAGGATAGGATGAAAGAGCATGAAATAAAATACGAAGGGGAAATTCCCCTACTGGGAAAGATTCACATCATACCATCTGATCATCGTACAACAACGGATTATCCTTCTGGGTACCATGATATCGGGTCAATTCTCGCTTGGGTTCGTCCCACACATACACACACTGACACACTGCACTGCACTGCACTGCTCCGACTAGACTCCTTCCCGTCGGAATGCAAGGGAAAGAATCCGTCACTATGCCACCAAGCGCCCACCATCCGAAAGGAGGAAGGAGGACCCGGCGGCAGATGAAGGGGCGGCCTTGGGAGCATCCTTTACACAGCCAAGAGCGGCTCCTGTTGGACCTGCGCGGGACGGGAGGTCTCGATGGACTCTACCACGGGCTCCTGCTGGGACCCCTGCTGGGACTCCTGCTGGGGCTCCTGCTGGGGCGCCTCCGGAAAGTCGGAGGTCTTGACGGCGGGCTCGGGCACCGGCTCCTTCTTGATCACGGGGCTGGCGACCTTGGCCATCTCCGGTGAGGTAGAACGGCGCTGGCCAATGTACTCCTGGGCCTTGGCGCTGTAGTCGTCGACGTACTGCTTCATGAGACCGGTGGCCTGGGTCGTACGCTCCTCCGCCAGATCCTTGATCTGGTTGGCCTGGTCGTTGACCATCGCCTGCGCCTTCTCAATCTGGGCATCGATGACTTCACGGTTGTTGATGTAGACCAGGGGACCCAGGTAGGCCACGCTCACCGCAAAGAGGGACAGGCCCCAGAACGGGAGGAACTTGATCAGCCAGTAGGCGGTATAGGCTGCAAAGAAAGACTACCCTCCGTTAGACACGATTTTTCGAACACAAAGGCGATGACCTACAGCAAGGGTGTGGACAATGTTCTCCACGAACAGAACGCGCTGGAACTCGATGAGGACAAAGTCGAACAGCTGCTCGAGATCCTCCAGGACCGCCTCAATGGTCTCCTTGGGGATGGTGTAGTACTTGCGGGGGCGGAACGAGCTGGCGAGGCCATAGGACAGGGCAACCTTGCCGCCGATCTCCAACGCGGCCATGACTAGCGACCTGTCAGCAGCCGATCGAACCGTATGATCGGAGTTAATCTGGAGGTAACTCCGCACGGACACCCGTTCGCGGGTGTCCGTCCAATCGCTCCGGCGGAGATGGACACTTACAGCCAAGCGCGACATAGATGAACTTGAAGAACCAGCGCAGAAGAGGCAGGTAACGGGCGGCGAAGATGAAGACCACGACGCTGGCGAAGGAGGTGGCGGTAGCACGGGGTTGTTCCCACTAGACGATCGGTCAGGATGCGGTGGGTGAGAGTATTGGGTGGAGGGACACTCACGCTCAACAGACTGTACAGCAGGGAGTGGTAATAGGTCAGGGGCTGGCCGGTGGCGGTGGTGGTGTCGGGCGCGACTTTGGAGTTGCTCAACTCCCGGAATTCTTGACCGGTGCGGGAGGCTTCGGATTTGATATTATCCACGACGGGGCCTGTCCGATCGACGTCAGTCTCAATCTTGAGCGGTCTAGATATTATCGATGACATTGATCGATAATCAAGGGGAAATTACCCTTTGTGAAGACATTGCCGGTGTCTGAAGCGTGTTGTCAGTCTGTGTAACGGGGAGGAAATTTTGTGCCGGGAACTAGGTCGCAACTCGGTCAGCTCTTCTGTTTAAATATCTAGTATCCCATGGTTGGAATCAATATTTCACTAACCTTACTGTCACCGTTGGGATTGGGATAGCTGACATCCCCAAAGCTGTTGGAGTCGGCCATGGTGGGTTGAGGTGGACGCGGGAGGTGGAATTCCGAGAGATAAGTAACCGAGTAAACAGGAGGAGGTTAATATGGGGGTTGTGGGGAGAATAAAAGGATTAATAAAGTATGTAAGTAGAAAGAATATTAAGGTAGAAAGAAGATGGTGGGAAAGAAAGGAAGAAAAGAAGAGAGGAGGGAGAGATAGGAGAGAAAGCAAGAAAGCAAGGAAATGAGGAGAGAGAGAGAGCGAGAGCCTGAGGGTGAGGGTGATGCAATGCAAAAATAAGCAAGCGAAACAGACTAGACTAGATAGCCAGCTCCGCATCACCACTTCTCTTTCTTACCATTATTTCAATTATATTCTTCTATTTTATATTATGTATATAATCAGAATAATAATATATTTATCTATCTATCTATCTATCTATTTATCCAAATATCTATCTGGCGAAATCTCAATTCGTAAGAGATAAAACTCCCAACCGAGACATGTGACAAGAGACCTCGACTATTGCTCTCCATGCGCTCATGCAAGGGGTCGATTCACTTCAAATCAACTAGGAATAGATCCTGAAAGTCTCCACTGACAACGAATTCTGTATTATTAACGGAGTAGACTATAGATATCCATCGGTGTCATTAACACACGATCATCGGGATGATCCCCCCACACCCATGAATTCTCCCCAGATAGTATCAAGTAGCGAGACCGTGTCGATAGGAAATTCCCATGGTTGACAGTGGACGGCCAACCCTGGGAGCCTTTGAACCTGTTTTCCATGGTGACATGACATCACCAAGATGGTACCACTTGAAACCGAATAGGTGAGGCAATAATCCATTGTATGCAGGCATATTCATCTGCAGGTTGTGGGATTAGGGATGCGAGGGACTCGACATTGTTCGGTGTGGGTAGTCTTGATGGAATTGGGGGTTCTTAGAATGTGAAATATCCTGAATACTGAATACTGAATACTGAACATCTAAGAGTACAGGAGAGAGGAAGTGATGAAATGACAAGAGCGTTGATATCATCGTGGCCTTATATACCAGGCATGTATATGCTCACGTGATGCGTGATTGACGCGTTCGGGATGTTTTGATCGATTCAGCTTCTCCTTCCTGACAGACCTCGAACTCCGACCACCGCTCGCCCCACGTCGAGACTCCCGCTGATACCACTCGACTCATGGCGACTACTCTATTCGAATGATTGTCTCTTTCGCCCTCTTTCGTTAATTCCTCCCCCCCACCCCCGTTGCTAACCCCGTTCGTTGTTTGTTTACATCATGGCCGCTGCGGGCGCGAGGTCGCAGAAGCCGGTCGGCTCGGCTTCCTGGATTGCCGCCGAAAAGGAAAACGTCGTCAATCTGGTGAACCAGGAATTGGAGGAAGTTGAATATCCTGTGCGCCATGAGATGGACTGGCTGAATGAACATATGGCCGAGATCTTCTCCAACAACCACTTGTTCGTGCCCACCCACATGACAGATGCCGGACTTGGCGATCCATGCTGACTGCTGCATAGCAATTTCAAAGAAGCTTTTAAAACCCCCGGGAAATTACGCGGCAAGACCCCTCGCACAATCCGGAAGAGGGACCCCAATGAGCATCGTGTGGTAGGTTGACAACCATCCCGCTACTTCCCACCCGGCCCCCTCATCGCTAACCACCCCTAGCCCTTGAGCCAGATCTTCTCCTCCTCTCATAACCGCACGGAGGATAAACTTAATTCCAGCCCGGGCATCCACCGCTCCCCGACCAAGGCCATCACCGCACCGAGCCCCTTCCCTCCCCCGTCGGCCGCAAAGCCGACAAGCAAGCCGGAACCCGCGTCGCCCCTCAAAGATGCGGGTCGAACCCATAATCTCAATTCGTTCCAGACCTACAACACCGATTCGGGGTACCATGGCATGTCGGACCACGAGGATGATAGTGGCGTGGATGAAAATGAAGAAGACGACGACGACGACGACATGGTCCTGACACAAGTGCAGCCGGAGTCCCAACCAGCCACCCAGCCGTTCGAGGAAGAGCCCGTTGAGCCCGTTGAACCCATTGAGCCCATTGAGCCCGTCCAGAAAGATACCCAGCAACCGCGCTCCTCCATGGACCTGGACCGCCGCACCTCGAACGCGTCGTTCCACTCCGCCCAGGAAGAAGTTCGCCAGCGTGGACAGACCGCCGAACCGATGATCCTTGACTCGACCCCGAAACAAACTGACGTGCAATCTCCCAAACCACAGCTCGCTCCGGAGGCGCCAGAGTCCCTCCAGAAGCCAGAGCCAGAGGTGAAGCCTCAGGACCCGCCCAAGCCCAAGGCTAGAGGACGGCCACCGAAAGAACGCCCGGCCAAAGCACCCCCAGCGAAAGAAACCTCACCCGAAGAACCGTCCGAAAAACACCCATCCAAGGAACACCAATCATCAAAAGAGCCCCTCGCTGAAGGGCCATCGGCGGTCCAGCAACCGATCCCAGAACCGGCGCCTGAAAAGGAAGAGCCCACCAAGGCGGTCTCCCCATCACCTGTCAAGGCTCCAGTTACCCAGGCGCGCGAGTCCATCCACGAGAACGAGACTGAGTCCAAGGATGAGATGGTCTTGGATAGCTTTGACGACATCGGCTCGCCTTCGGATGGGTCTACCCCCGAACGACCTCCCGTCCGCAAGAGCAGCCTGAGTTTCGCCTCACTGCCGGCCCGAGAGCCGCTGATGAAGAAGAGCCTCGGTGGATCAAGACTCTCTAGGACGAGCTATGTTGACGTGCCCAAATTGACCAATGCCGGACCATCGGGCTATCTCGGTCGGCAGACGGGCGGGAGCAAGGCGGCCCCGGCTGCTTTGGACGACCAACCTACTAACAAGATGGATGTTGACGATGACAAGCCAACCGGGCAGGAGGAGTCTGAGGCGGACGCCAGGGCCAGCAAAATCCACAACAAATCCTCCACCCAGAGGCTGCATGAGAAGATCAGCATGCTTGGAAAGCTCCAGCCGTCTCGACCCACCAAGTCCATTCCTTCGGTGCCCGGATTGTCGGCCCAGGTGTCCTACCCCGAACTTCCCCCCGCCAAGGCCGAGGCGAAGCCAGAGACCACGACCCAGCAAGCGCGCTCCACGCCCGCCCCGGAGCCCAAGGATGCTGAGGATGATTGGATCAGGCCCTTGAATTCGCCCGCCAAGCAACTGGTTCCGAACAAACAGACTCTCGCCCCCGCCAAGACCCCATCCGAAGGACAGCGCCGTGGGGGAGAGGAAGACAAGGCGCCCGCGGTGATTACTCGCGACCAGAGCGCGAGCAAGCCAGAACGGCCCGCATCCGTCGCCAGAGAGCCTTTGGAAGGCACCAGGGGTCGCTCCGCAACACCTCTCTATTCGTCTCCACAGCGCCCGAGCCATAAGAAGAGCGCTTCTGTGTCGATCCCCGACGCTCACACATCGACCACCCCGACTGGCTCCCCGGGGCGCCGGGACGGTCCATTGAGCGCGTCGAAGAGCAGGTTCCAATCCATCGTCCGCTCGGCCAAGGGCCTATTCACCAACGCGGGCGGTGTTTCTGGCGCCGCCCGGATGGAAGCATCATCGCCCAGTGACCCCAAGACACAGCCGGACCCGACCAAGGCGGAGGCTGGTGCGGACAAACCGAGACCACAATCTGCACGTATTGCCAGCCCGCCGCGCCAGGAGGGTCGCCGGACTCGGAGCTCCACGGAACGAGAGGAGAAGCGTCGACAGCGGGAACTCGAAGAACGCGAGGAAGAGGAGGCGGAGCAGGCCCGGACCCAGGAGAAGCAGAGGGCGTTGCAGCTCAAGGCCGCTCAAGAAAAGGCGGCCATCGAAAACGAAGCCCGTGGACCACCCTCCCCGCACAAACCGCAGGTGCAAAAGCAGCCGTCCAAGGAGCCCGACACCACCCACGACGTTCCTTCGAAGCTTCCGACTCAGATCCCCATGTCGCAACACCAATCGAAACAGAACGAGCGTCGGCCAGTCAAACCGGCTCGCGATACGGCGCAAAAGCCGAAGCCGCAGCCGGTGTCGATCCGTGTTGGCAGTGCTCTTTCGCGACAGATGCCGTTGGCTTCCGCTGCTGAGTCCAATGTCCCCGTGCCTCCGCCTTCCGCCTCGAAGCCGCCCACAATCAAGAAAAAGGCAAGCAACCAATCCTTGCACACGGCCTCGTCCAACAGTAGCTTCAAGAGCTCCGTGTCCAGCCAGACCCAGAAGAAAGCACAGCTTGCGAGCGAGCGGAAGAAGGAACAAGAGGAACGGGAGGCCCGGCGCAGGGAGGAGCAGAGACGGGAGCTGGAACGTAAGCGGGCTGCGGCTCAGCAACAGGAAGAGACCCGTCGCCAGGAGATGCGCAGTCGCATGGAGGCGGAGCGACGAGAGCGACTTGGCGTGGAAGATTCCAAGAAGGCCGCTCACATGCAAGCGATCGAGAAGCGACGATTGGAGAATGCGCGCCGGATGGAACGGCAGGGTAGCCAGCAGCCCAGTGATAGGGTGAGTGCTTCTAAATCTGCTACGAGACCACCGCTGACTGACTTTGACCAGACCTCGACCCTCCATCACGAGCGCCCGGCGTCCCAAGCCACCCAAAGAGGCGAAATGGGAACGGCCCGGCCTGCTTCCCGTCTGGGGTCGATCCAGACGTTTGGTCGGTCCATCAACCCGCCGCAACCGAACCCGGCCAAGCCCCCGAAGCGAGGTCTGGATGAGGAGGCGAGCCACCGACCTACAGCACCGAGACCTGGTAACATTCCCTCGGGCGAGGTCAAGCGGAGGAGAACAGAGGACGAGCAAAACCCCGTGATGCGCCCGACGATGGCCCCGCCCATCCGCCAGTCGAACATTCGCAAGGAATCCAATATCCGCAAGGTAGGCCTTAGATGGCACAGTCTTTTGAAGGCAAAATGGACTGACCTCGATTCCAGGAACCTACCAAGTCTTCTATTTTCGGGCATGGCCCGTCTATGGCCCACCCGGGGTCATCCATGCTCAACAAGCCCGCCCAGTCGCAGCGACCCGGAGGCCCCATGGATATGGCCAAGTATGCCAGCGGCAAGATCCCCTTTGCGGAGCCGTCGCATGGACCGTCGCACAAGACCCCCGTTGCCTCTTCCTCCCAGAAGGCCCCCGCCAAGCCGTCTCCGCAGTACCCCAACGGGGAGAACGTCCAGTTGCCGGAGATTGCAACGGACAGCGAAGACGAAGACTCAGACTCGGACATGGTGCCTGTTCCCAAGTGGGCGCAACCCAGGGAACTGGAATCGCTATTGCGACAGCAGGAGGGTATGGAGGTCGACTCGATCTTCGGCCCGATCGCACCTTTCTCTCTAGAGGAGACATTCAAAGCTGACAAGAAGATCAAGAAATTCCGCGACCGCACCAGCAGCGCAAATTGGTCAGGGGCAGACGGACTGACGCAAGACGAGATCCGGCGCGATCTGGCCGAGCGCCAGCGCTTGCGACTGAACGGGGGATGGAGTTTCAACGGGAACTAGTCTGGAGATTGCAGTGCATTTGGTTTATCATTCTGTGGAGCGAGGTCTTGCACCGGTTTTGTTTTAGTAGTGGATGTTTGATTCAGTAGGGGTGTCTATTTTAGTAGGATGTTGGTTTGGGGTTATATTAGGTTGGCATGGTTGGATGGCGTTGCATTGATATGGAATCCTTGTTAGATTATCTAGTACTTTTACTACTTTACTTTACTGCATAGGTGAATAAGAGCAGCATTTTATTTCTACCATTTGATTAAAAAAATAGATAAATAAATAAAAACAAACCCTCACCTAAGAATAAATTCCACAGACAAGTTGGAAAGAAAAAAAGAAAAAGATAAGAATAGTGCATCATCCGTGAATCGAACACGGGCCTCATCGATGGCAACGATGAATTCTACCACTAGACCAATGATGCTTCTATATTTTATTGCGGGGAGTAGTAAAAATAAGAGGGTGCTGGTATTTATTTAGCACTTCATTTTTGTATCAACAAAGAAGAAACGATATTGGGATGATATGTTGACTTGGTATAGGTATATGTATGAGTTTGTTACCTAGTTTTGGACCTTCTCTATGAGTGTGACGAGAAAATAGGATTTTTGGCTCGACATGGATAATTTCTCTTTTCTTGCGAGATGTATAGAGTAGACATGTATATATATCTCCCTCGAGGTTGGCATATAACGAAACCTATCAAAAACGCCAGTCAACCGGGAAGCACCAAGCACTGGCTAATATCATTGTAAAAGAGAGAGACATAATGCAATCAACCAATATCAGAAGACTTGCAGAGATCTCCCCATACAAAATTGGTTAAAAATCATGTTGCTATAACCATTCGCAACTGTCTCATAGCCATAAAAAGCATCGAGATACTTGACAATCTCATTGCCAATGGATCACAATATTACATTCACTCATGTGGCCCACTATTACCCGCTATTATCACACTGAGTCCAACTGACACTGCATACCTCTCAGCTCAGGCCAGAACCCGTCACTCTCACGACAGAACCACTCGATAGTAGCCCCGAGAGCCTCTTCAAACCCCGTCTTCTGCACCCACCCCAGTGCACGCAGCTTGGAATCATCGGTCCAGTACATGCTGTCATTGAACGGGCGGTCCGGGACAGACACAATCCAGTCCTCGACATTCTGGTGACAATCCCGGTACATGACCCTGAATATCTCCTCCGCCACCTCCCGGACACGCAGTTGACTATCCGAAGAAATATTGTACGTCTCGCCCTCTTCCCCCCGATGGAAAATAATGTCCAGCGCCTCGGCTGCATCTTCTGCGAACACGAACGCGCGGGCACTCTGTCCGTTACCGTGGATGGGTATTTTCTGGCCCTTTTGGAGGTGCATGATCAGCTTTGGAATAAGCTCTGCGCAAACGACTTTGTAAGAGGCGTCCCAACAAGACAAGATAGGCAGGCAGGCGACTTACTCTCAGGATACTGATATGGCCCGAAGACATTATTACATCGAGTGACTATAACCGGCATGTGGAACGGCATGTGGAACGACTTGCGATACGCCTGGACAATCATTTCCGCCGCGGCCTTGCTAGCAGAATACGGGTTGGTAGGATGCAGAGCATCGTCCTCCGTGAAGGCGGCAAGACCCCGTGGACCCGACGCGTCATTCTCCCCGTACACTTCATCCGTGGAGACATAGACGAACCGCCGGATAGAGCCAATCCGCCTCGCAGCCTCGAGCAGAGTCTGAGTGCCAGCGACGTTAGTCTGCGTGAAGGAAAGCGGATCGTCGAAGGAAGCGTCCACGTGGGAACGCGCTGCGAAATGGACAATGCCGTTAACGGCGTACTTTCGCAACGCGCTGTCGACATCGGGGAAACTGCATACATCCCCTTTGATGAAATGGAAGTTGTGGAGGTGTCGAATGGCGCGGAAGTTGTCCATGGACGCGCAGTACCCGAGATTGTCGAAGCATACGACCACGTATCGGTCTCCGTAGGTCTCGATCAGGCGACGAACGAACCATCCCCCGCTGAAAAGTGCGCAGCCGTCAGAAAAAAAAGATATAATTCATATTTAGCGAGGGAGTGGTGGTGTTGACTGTCCGCTCACATGAATCCAGCTGCCCCTGTGACTAGGATTGTTCTCACGCCTTCCAACGAGTCTGAGCTTGCTTCTTCCACGCGGTTGATCTCGGCAGGGTGGTAGCCATTCGAAGAGCTTTGGTCTTCTCGCATGAGCATGTTGGGATACTCCGCGTTTCAGTCCCGTTTATGACACTCACTGTCGGGGTGACGGCTGTTCTGTGTCTTATTACTGATCGGTTTTCGAGTTCGCTGCAGATGTCTTCGTTACGTCAATACTTGCACGAAGAGGCCAGCATAGCACTATCCATTCATGATCCTGCAAGACAGGTCAGCTCGTGCACTTCTTGGAAACCGCCATCTATGGACAGGGCACGGGGCTTGTCTGCCTGCTGAAAAGCTAGCCACCGTTGATCCCATCACAATACAGTGCCCATCCCAAGCCATTGTGGACGCTTTATACATCATTTGCCAACAATTTGATCTCTTGGCTGAGATTTTACAGTTGGATTGACAATCGGACGATATGATTGTCTACACAAAGAAGCTAGTATCTCGATAATGGTGTTGTGGTGCGCAACAAGCCAGAACTGGGCGTTTTCATGCCATGCTCTTGCTTGCCTACCATACTGCAAGCTATTATACCGACAGAGAAAGATACCTCCAGGGCTCGTGTGTTGAAAGCTTATGTTAAACTCTCAGATTGTTGCTCAGACGCCGTCATCTATACGGTATCAGCATCGGGACTTGGAATGAAACTCAGATGCGGTCAAAGACGCAGTGATCTCAGGACGAGATAGAGCCGCTCATGCCCGGAATTAAACGGATGTTACTTTTGGGGTTTCACTAAAAACTACTATTAGGATCGAAGACGCCGTTGATCCAATTTGAAGCAGCTGCGCTGATACGACTTTGACGGCTTCCTGACGCGAATGACGCGTATCTAGATACATCTCGGGCATCGCCACGACTATTCGACTATCTACACTTTCGCCAAATAAGGCCTATGCCAAACCCCCAAACAATGATTATGCAGCAACATTATAAACCAAGAAGTATGATGTCTAATCCAATACTGCCACTCTAAACAACCCCCACAGGAGAATACGTCCGACAGTGGGCATCGTCCGGACGCTGCCCAGTCACTCGGGTCACAAAGTCCTCATCGACGTCTCTCAAAATAACATGAACATGCTCTAGCGATCGCACACTCTGCCACACCGTCCGATTCCGAAACCACAAGATATTATCCCCCACATGCTTCCGCTGCCTCATTTCATCCCCGAACGTCCTCTCCAAGAACTCCATGATACACCGACGAGAATCCGCCGTCGGATCGCCCTCCGCATCCACAGCGACAGGCGTCTTGCTCCACACGACCAGATGCACCGTGCCCGGCATCATCGCGTACGGCCAGTCGTTGCGGAGAATCCGGTAGTCCGACTCGTCTGCGAAGGGCGTCGCATTGCGGTAGGCGAACAGCGACGGGCCGGTCTGGGGAGACTCCGGAGTCCACCGCAGCCGGTTCTGCACGATGTAGGTCGTTGCGGAGCCGAACTGAGAGCGGATGTCTCGTGTCCACAGAATATAGTTGCGGAGGTCGGTCGGAGTCCGCCGCAGGAGGGACATGTCTCCGCCGGCTGTTTTGTGTTAGGGAGATGGAATATTGAGAATAGTTTGTCGACACTCACCGATTACGGCTTTGATATCATCCCAGCTGTGAGGAACAAAGTCCTTCTCTGCCGTGTTGAGAACGGCCTTGTCTACATCCGTGAGCTCGAAGGGAGAGTTCTTGATGAGCTCTGCGATGTCTATTACGCCGACCATGTTGAGATTGGACGTGGTGGTTGAATTCATTCACAAGGGAACGTTTGAGATATCTACGGTGTCATGTTTTTTCTCTTCATGCGCGTCGGGGATGCTCCGATCCGTTAATCCGGCGGTGAGTAATGGAATGACTCGTGGTGCAGAAGGTTTACGTGTCCGGAATGCCTTCTTGATAATATGCAGCCACAGACAGTTGGTACTGAAAGTGGCAGCCAGTAGGTGACACGGATCTATCCGATGACTCGAAGTGGCAGCCCGGAGGTCCAGATATAAATGCCCTCCAGACGGCGCAGATGGATGGCTCCGAAGCCAAGAAAATAACGTTTATAATGACGGAAGTCCACATCATCGCCACACTGCGCCCTGTTGTCGGAAAAGAAAACCAGGTTTGCCTCGAATACTAATATCCTTTCCGCTTCTCCGCACTGACGTTTCACGCAGCTCCGAGATAGACTTTTTCGGACAGCAGGGAAGGTGACTCGCGAGGAGCCGGACTGTCTAACTTTCCTGTTGACGGAGACTCGGGATCCCCGCGAGGGCGTGGTGTTCAAGGTGATCGAGAGGCAAGAAACTCTCCTCCTTCCGATGCGAAGTCACACAAGCTGACTCGATACACAGGTGGACCAGTCAAGAAGCCCTGACGCGACACCATGACCGAGATTGGCTGCAGGAGATGTACCGGGCCTTCGAGGACGAGTAGCTACTGGTGGAACCGGAGCATATCGAGTATCTCAGTTTGATCTCGGGATTTGCAGCTCGTTAGGTAGCGTTATGAACTGGGTCAGCCCTTGTTGCGCAGAGCGCTGCTGAGCAGCCCGTCGGGCTGCCGACTTCTTTTAATGAGCGATACAATCCGCCCACTCTGGCAGGAGGCTGGGTTGCTCTGCGTAGTGTGGTGCATGTAGAGTGACCATTAACTGCATCGCTATGACGGCCCGGGTCGGATGGAGGTCCTCAGTGGCCTTTGTGACGGTGGTTGTGTGCGTTGCTGTATTCACCGACGTGTTTCTAGAAATACGGGTTGATTGTGCCAATACTGCCTTTTATCTTGCATGAGCGGATTGGACTTCCTGAGAATAGGGTCCAACGATGGTCGTCGATCCTCCTCGCATCCTATGGTGGTTCCATCCTGTTTGGATCGTGTATGTCTAAAATCAAACAATGAGAGTATATGCCCCACGACTAACCATGTCTACTGCAGTGCTATTCGGCTGGGTTGGCGACCGGACAAAAGCCAAGCAGGTCCCATTCCTGCTGGGGATGATAGTGGTGGGTGGCGCGACAGTGCTCTTCTCTCTCACAAAGACGCTATCCCTGGTCCTCCTCGCACGGCTCTTGCAGGGGCTGTCCACAGCCATCGTCTTCACGATTGGCTTCAGCCTACTGCTCGAAACAGTCGGCAGCAAACACATCGGGCGCGCCGTCGGGTTCACCAGCATGAGCCTGAGCCTGGGTCTCTTCGGCGGACCGATCATCGGCGGCTTCGTCTACGACCGCGCAGGCTACTTCGCGGTGTTTGTGCCGGCTTTCGCCCTGATCTTACTGGAAATCATCCTGCGACTGCTCCTACGGCCGTGTCCCCCGGTTCGACATAGTAATGACCCCGACGAGAATGAACCCCTGCTTCCAGACACAGGAGATACAGACACACAGACTGCATCCGCAGCCACCGCACCAAGCATTCTCCTCCGCACGCCCCGCTTCCTGGTAGCCATGTTAGGCATGTGTCTCCTCAACACCTTCATGACAGCCTTCGAAGCCGTCCTCCCCGTCTACCTCCGCTCAACCTTCCACTACAGCCCCAACCAAATCGCCATCGTCTTCCTCTCCAACACGCTTCCCATGGTACTCTCCCCGCTCAGCGGCGCCGTCGTAGACCGCATTGGGCCCTTCTGGCCGGCCGTAGGGGGGTTCGCCGTGGCAGGCCCGAGCATGATGCTTCTTGCACTAGTCCAGCACAACAGCACGACGAGCTCGCTTCTGCTGCGCGTGTTTCTGTTCCTCTTTGGCTGCGGTGTTTCTATGGCTATGCCGGCGGTGATGGCTGAGATTAGCATGGCGACGGAGGCGGTCGGGGCGCGCCATCCGGGTATCTTTGGTCGTTATGGTGCGTATTCGCAGACCTATGGGCTGAGCAATGCTGCTTTTGCGGGGGGTACGTTGGCGGGTCCCCTGCTGGGAGGGTATATCAGTGAGTGGGCTGGGTGGGGTGTGATGGTTGCCGTTCTGGGAGGGTTGAGTTTGGGGATGGTGGTGTTGGTGGTTGTCTTTACTGGGCGAGAGGCTGTCCTATTGACAAGAGATGAATCGTAGGAATATACGCAGGGTAAGATGTGCTTGCAGTTACGCAGTTGATCTCTCATCTCTTCTCGTGACTTAGTATCATAGGAGAAAAAGTGTGTTTTACCGCGGAATTTTATGCGTCTTTTCCTATTTAGATAGGTCTCTTGGCCACTTAATAATCTATCAATTTGACTCTGCGCGAGTGCTCTAGAAGATCCCATACAGATTCTTAACAAAGCCCTCGATAATTCTACATGGCTGCTTTACAGGGCTATATGTTTTAGTAGTTATCTAGTTTATAGAACAATCAATGTCAATTTAGCCATGTGACCAATCCGTTGAACGAAGCGAGGAATTACAACTTGAGAAATGAGAGATACCTGAAGCAAAACACCAAATAAAAACCAAATAGTAATAACCCACACCATACCAACCTACTTCCTCGTCTTCGTAGGCAAGGCCACTGGATAGTCCACAGACTCAACTTCCGCGGGGAAAACGATCCTATTCTGCCTCCTCACTGAATCCAACACCCTCATTCTCAACAGCGTATCTTCCCATGGGACAGTCATGCTCTCCTTCATGAAATAATAAATGCACATAGCCGCCTCATCGGCCTCGTACCTCAACCCATAAACCCTGTTTGGGAACGAAACATCCACCTCGTGAGTCTTGCTCACCTTCTTGGGCCCCTGCTCGCACTCCACAACACACACCCTCGAGGGGCGCCACGGGGGCCCGAAAACCTGAATCTCGCCTTTGTCGCCCTGGATGCGCACCACGGGGGTGTGGCCGTCTGGATCGTCTGTGGCTCGGAGGCTCGCTGAAGCGATGGCGAGGATGGCGGGGTCTTCTGTTGCCTCTGCTGCAGGGGGGAGGATCATGAGGATGGTTACTGTTTCGTCGACGCCGGAGTTCGAATTGAGGGTCGCGGCTGATGAGATCTTGATGGGATATCGGGGTTTTGCTCTTGGCGACATGGCTTGGAAGACCCAGTGGAGGGAGTAGACGGCCACTGTCTGACGTTAGCAAAGGTTTGATTCTAGAAGTCAGGGGGGAAGGAAGAGTACAATCCATCAACGCCCCGCCTGCCAGCCAGGGAGCAAGCATTCTATCTCCCGTGATGAAGTCCTGCGTCGGGTCCATGCCTAGGCTATTATCCGCAAAGACACGCGTTATCGTCCCGACAGCACCGCCGCGAATAAGCTGGTGCACCGCCAAGCCCGCTGGGAGAAATCTCGTCCAGAGACCCTCCATCAGAAAGCGCTTTTTGGCTTCAGCAACCGCGAAGAGTTTCTTTGCCTGGGCGCCGCTGACAGCGAGGGGCTTCTCGCAGAGGACGTGTTTCCCGAGGTGGAGAGCAGCCATGGCATTCTGGAAGTGGTGGGAGTGGGGGGTGGCAATGTAGACAATATCAACGCCGGGAGAGGCAAGTAGCGATTCGTAACTGCCATGGGGGACGCAGGGGGGTGGAGCCTTGACTTTGGCTATGAAGGCTTGCGCAGTTTCGAGGGAGGTGGACGATGCGACTCCTACAAGAGAGTGGGTGTATCTGACGTTTGAGGGTAAGATTGATGGTGATGGTGATGGTGGTGGTGGTGGTGGGTCAAGGAGGAGGTCCTTGGCAAACGCTGGATTGGGATGAGGTGAGTTAGGGCTGGGTGATGGGAGGAGGAGGAGAGGAGAAGAGTATACATTCGGCGACGCGTCCGGTTGCTGGGAGGCTGTCAATTTCTACCTTGTTGAAGGAATTGATTTGGTATATTGATATGACATACCTAGAATGCCCCATTTGAGAGTGAGAGTTGTAGGGGCTGACATGATGGCGCGGTATGGTTGAGGTCTTGAGCTTGAAGCTGATGCTTGCGTGGTGGATGAATAAAGGATAATAGACACGATAAAGAACGGATAGATTAGTGATATAGGACCACCTGGCAGGTAATCTTCAAGCACCTGGCTATGATCATGTATCACAGCAGATCAAGGTTATCCTGAAGAGTCATCAAGCCCGGTTTAGAACGTCATCCATCCCTCATTACCCCCTCGTTCCTTCCGGTGAAGACCGAAACTTTTCCCTCATACGCAGATACCACATATGTCCCAACCTTATATGCCCCATCAGAAAGTCACTATGGCCCCAGCCCTAATCCCCACGACAACGCCAACGCTCGTCGGCAGCGAGTTGGCCAACATCCAGGATGCCCTCGCCTCCAAGAACCTCAGCGGACAAGGGAAGTACACTCGTCTCTGCGAGCAATGGCTATCCCAATACATGGGTAGTGGCAGTCGAGCCATCCTGGTGTCATCCTGCACCTCAGCCCTAGAGATCGCTGCCATTCTCGCCGACATCCAGCCCGGCGACGAGGTCATCCTCCCCAGCTACACATACGTATCGACGGCCAACGGATTTGCTCTGCGCGGTGCAGTCCCCGTCTTCGTCAACCTCGACAACACCACCATGACTCTCGACGTCTCTCTCATTGAGTCGGCCATCACGTCCAAAACCCGCGCTATCATCCCCGTGCACTACGGCGGCGTTGCCTGCGACATGGACGCCGTCATGCGCACCGCATCGCAGCACAACCTCCTCGTCATCGAAGACGCCGCCATGGCATGCACGTCCACCCACCACGGCTGCATGCTCGGCACAATCGGCCAACTCGGCTGTCTCAGTTTCCAGGAGAAGAAGAACTTTACAGCCGCAGGCCAAGGCGGCGCGCTACTTATCAACGACCCGCAGCTGGTCGCCCGCGCCGACATCCTCTACGCCCACGGCACCAACCGCTTGGCCTTCCAGCGCGGCGAAGTGCCGCGCTACGAGTGGCTCGACATTGGCATCAACGCGACGCTGTCCGAGATCCAAGCAGCCTTCCTCTACGCGCAGCTCCAAGCCGCTGATCAGATCGTCGCGCGCCGTCGCCACATCTGGCACCGCTACGCCGACGCACTGGCTCCTCTGGAGGACAGAGGACATCTGATTCTGCCGCGTGTGCCGACTAACACGACGCACAATGCGAACGTCTTCTACATCCGGGTGGTGGATCCTGCGCGGAGAAGTCCGTTGGTAGATTTCCTGGCGGGGAAGGGCGTCCAGGCGCACCCGCAGTTCATGCCGCTGCATCGGTCCCCGTACGGAAGGGAGCATGGGCGGTTCGTAGGCCCGGACCGAGTGACTTCGTTGGCAGCGGCGCAGATTCTGCTTCTGCCGGTGCATCTGGATTTGTCGGATGAGGAGCAGGGAGTGGTTATCAGTGCGGTGTTTGCGTTTTGGGAAGAGACGGTTCAATAACTTAGGGATATGTGTAGTTGGGATATCAGTCATAGCAAGTCGAGACATAAATTGTATGAGCTATAGCAACGCTACTCAGTTGGATATAATATGCCTGCTACTATTCTGCAGTTTGATATAAGATGTGATTGGGTGGAGTAATGACCTTCAGACAGAATACAGAAGAGCAATAAGCTTTCGGTGACTTGCCATTCACTGGACTCTGCAAACAAAGTTCAGTAAGATCTTGATCATTGCAACCCTATCTCGCTCTTCACTGCCAAAAACTTGACTAATATCAATATCAAAACAGTGTTTCTATTCAACCATGACCTCATATCTTTACAGAGTTCTCTCCTTCCAGCCACACCCACGCGTCCCTGCCCTATACAGGCACCAAATCCCCGCTCACAAACAAGGATCTATACTTTCCCCTCTCGTGTGGCGCCATTGGAGAGTTCCTATCCAACCCATGCTACCGTGGCTGTAGTCTTCAGACCGCCCCCATAGACTAACTTCCCGTGGACAAAGGGTATGGGCGCCATCGGCGCAACCGGACTCGTGATTACAAGACGACCTCATTCGTTGTCTGTAGATTGGAATTTTGGTTCTGTGTCCCGGTGGCATCCGAGGATTGCTCTTCTACTATCCTTGCGGAGCATTGCTGTGAATTACAGGGAATATTTCCCGCAGGTAATAGGTGCGGACCTGGGATTCCAAAGTCTAAAGCTACATCTGGTAGATTGTACACATACACCCTAATTGACCCTGTCATGATGACGCTGATAGCGGCCATCTAAAATATAATAACAGAAATACCACCCCCAAGAACAAGAAGCCATTCAATCCCCAATGTTATGGTACCAACAAGGTACCTCCTCCACTCAGAATGACGAGCATCAGGATAAGCCCACAACACGAGCAGACGCCCATTAAACCCAGGCGCAAAGCGTCAAGAACCCCACTCAATCAAGTCAATGCGCACAACGGCATATGGAAATGCGCTGACTGTCGCGATATTTTCTGCGATAGGCTGCTTGCTTACCTCGTGGCTAGCCAATTACACTTCATTGTTTGTTTCGTGGTAGCATTAATATTGCTGAAGGGGATCGTTGAATCGGGGTGAGTTGAGTAGAAGATGACCTGGCCATGGTGATCATGAGGCGCTAACGGGCAGCTACACAGGTCTAGCGACTATGTGGACCATAGTCTTTGCTTGGTCGCGGCTACTGTATCGATGCTGATTTTCCATTTAATTCACAATTTGTGTTGAGGATGGCCTGAATGTGTCGTGATGGGTCGGTCAACTTGGGAGTGCTTAGCGGTTGGAGGTTTCGCGAGGAGTGAGGGTCATACTCATCAATTAATATCCTGTTGCAACAAGAAAGCGAGATTGTCACTTGGCTATACAGTACATCGTGGCTCTTGTGGGCTATGTAAGTAATCCAATCTCAATGCGACATATCGTCTTAGAGTTCTGTTAGTATACTAGATCAAGACCCTTCTATGGCCCCTATGGCACTATATTTCAAGCCAGAGGCCAGCGGTAAAGGACTATAGGCTACTTTCTTCTGTTATGCCTTCCTACGTGTAGCCATGTAGCCTTTTCCTGCAGTATAATGAAGTTCGTAGAGGGACTTGGCTTGATACGCTCTAGAAGGAATAACCATCACAAAATCAATTAAAGAAGACAACGCCCTCTCGTAGCATCTGTACAAATCTTCGTAATAGCCCCCTCAAGCAATTCCCTAAGATAATCCGTAAGGATGAATGATCAACACCCGGCATCGTTTCGGGGTAAGACCGGATTTTCCCCGCATAATCGGCCTGATCTCCGATCTCGATGGAGTCATAAATACGACCCATCGTGACTTCCAACTGACATTTTTGTCGCTCGAGTAATCAATCTTACTATCCATACCCCCTACAAGAAACATGACAGACTTGAAAAAGACCTACAAAATCCTGGTTCTCCCAGGCGACGGGATCGGCCCCGAGGTCATGACCGAAGCCACGAAAGTCCTCTCCACATTCAACAGCCCCACCCTCGCATTCGACCTCCAGGAAGAGCTAATCGGAGGTGCCAGCATCGACACCCACGGGCAGTCTGTCACCCAGGCCGTGAAAGACGCTTCCATTTCTTCCGACGCTGTGCTGTTCGCCGCCGTCGGCGGGCCCAAATGGGACCATATCCGGCGCGGGTTGGACGGGCCCGAGGGCGGCTTGCTGCAGGTGCGCAAGGCCATGGATATTTACGCCAATCTGCGTCCTTGCTCGGTAGACTCGCCGAGTCGGTCGATTGCGCGGGAGTATAGCCCGTTCCGACAGGATATCATTGAAGGGGTGGACTTTGTGGTCGTGCGCGAGAATTGTGGTGGTGCTTATTTTGGGAGGAAGGTCGAGCAGGAGGACTATGGTTTGCTTACCCCCACCCCCTTTCCCCCGTCATAGATTGAATATCAGTGTGCTAATGGGTAAAGCCATGGACGAGTGGGGATACTCGACCGCCGAGATCCAACGCATCGCTCGCCTCTCCGCGGAGCTGGCCCTGCGACACGACCCCCCCTGGCCGGTTATTTCGCTCGACAAGGCCAACGTGCTGGCATCTTCGCGACTCTGGCGACGAGTCGTCGAGGAGACGATAAAGAAAGAGTATCCTCAGGTAAAGCTACTGCATCAGCTCGCAGATTCCGCGTCCCTGATCCTGGCCACCAACCCGCGGGCGTTGAACGGTGTCATCCTGGCGGACAACACCTTCGGCGACATGATCTCCGACCAAGCTGGGTCCCTCGTCGGGACACTGGGGGTGCTCCCCAGCGCCAGCCTCGACGGTCTGCCGCAGGCGGGCGAGGAGGGCAAAGTGAGGGGCTTGTATGAGCCAACCCACGGGTCTGCGCCTACGTACGTCTCCCTACCCGAGTCATAATTGGGGTCAAGGAAGCTAACATGGCAGCAGGATCGCCAACCGGAATATCGCGAATCCCACTGCTATGATCCTTTGCGTGGCGCTCATGTTCCGCTACTCGTTTAACATGGAGAAAGAAGCTCGCCAGATCGAAGAGGCTGTGCGCGCTGTTCTGGATGCTGGAATCCGCACCTCCGATCTAGGAGGCAACTCGGGGACCAAGGAGTTTGGCGATGCAGTGGTTGCAGCACTGCGGGGTGACGTGTCTGGCAAGGCTGCCTCTGCTGCCAGTAATTAGATAGTGCGCTGCACCTGTTCAATCTAGATAAAATAGTGATCTCAAATTGTCACCGTTGACTATTGTTTGTACAAGTCACATGAGTGACTGGTGCCTGATGGTGCCTGAATGATGCATGCAGCATCGGAAGCATAAACCTGGATTACTAAACAATGTATCTCAACGTGGAGTACTCGGTAGGCATGGAAAGACATCCCGCACATATACTCCATGTAGACACGACATGATAGTAAATAAAATATCAGTTGTATATCGCTGTTTCGCAACCAGCGAGGATTAGATCGAACCCAAAACAATCCATACCCCTCCCTATGATGATGACGACAGCGGCATCTTGGTAGTGAAGGGCTAACCCTACCCACCTGTTTGTCCTGTTTGTCCCCCCGCGCATAAAAGAAGAATCATCTGGCAGACATTCCACCCCTTCGACACCAAACCCCTTGCGGCAAACAATCTCCCACCATGGGTCAGGTAGAGGAGCTCCCGGACGACTTCGACGAGTCCCTTAGACTCAACGACAAGCACTTCAAGGAGGACCCTCCGCGGGAATTCCACGCCAATGTGGACGTACCTCCCCCGCCTCCCGGCGCCGCCGGCGAGGATGAGGCGCCCTTCCCTATCAACGAGGAGCGTCTGAAGGAGATCGAAAAGGACCCGTTGGCGCCAAAGATGTCGGCGACGATGGCGTCCGTCAAGTCGAACACCATGGAAGACATCCAGAGCTACATGAACAAGACGCCCTTGTTCATGACGGATATCGATAAGGCGGGCGACGAGCGTAAGTGGCTTCGAAATATCATTTCTTCTTTTCTCTCCACAGACTGCTTTCGTGATGATTCTATTTTCGGGTCCCATTGAAGCTGTACACAACTCATACTCTCGTACGGCGTGAAATGAATACCAGTGGAATGGTAGAATCTGATAATACATGCGGTCATGCATTGTTGATTGCCGTTTGGCATAGATTGGTTCATATGCTAATGTGGAACGCTGTTGATCACAGATGGTGAAAACCCTATGCTTGATGCTATCCAAGCGATCCAAAACGAGGGTACCCGCGGCGAGGTCGCCCAGAACTACCGGGAACAAGGCAACGAAGCCGCGCGGGAAAAGCGTTGGGTCGATGCTAAGGAGTTCTACACCAAGGCTATCGCTATTCTGCAAGCCAAGGTTGACAAGTGGGACCAGCCGGAAGACCTCGCCGCGGAGGAGAAGCTGAAGCGCGAGGTTGAAGAGGCATCTTATATCAATCGTGCTCTGGCCAATCTGGAGTTGAGTATGTTACTGGCTGCCCCTTTGCCCTCGCCGGTTAATCTCGTGAACATATGCTAATGTCCATGCAATAGAAAATTTCCGCTCTACGACCATAGACTGTGCCTCGGTGTTGAAGCTCAATCCCGCCAATGTCAAAGCCTTCTACCGCTCCTCCGCGGCCTTGTACGCGTTGGACAAGATCTCCGAAGCGGAAGACGCCGCGACCCGGGGTCTTGCCATCGACCCCAACAACAAGTCACTGCAGCAGGTTCTGTCGAAAGCCATTGAACGCAAGGCCTCTTTGGAGCGCATCGCGGCCAAGAAACGGGCCGACGATGAGCGCACACGGAAGCAAAGGCTGCTTTTGAGCACCGCGCTGCGGGCGCGGCAGATCCGCACCCGCAAGACGGACCAGCCCGCCGAGATGGAAGACGCGGGCATCCGGCTGTCTCCGGACCCGCTCTCCCCCGAGAGCACCCTGGAGTTCCCGGCTGTCTTCCTGTACCACATGGATGCGCAGTCCGACTTCATCAAGTCGTTCTCCGAGATGAACTGCATCGAGGATCATCTGGAGTACATCTTCCCCTTGCCGTGGGATACCAAGAAGGAGTACACGATGAACGGCGTGGAATGCTTCATGGACACTGTCACCGGTGGGTTGATCAAGGCAGGCAAGAAGCTCCCGCTCCTGGAGATCCTCAGCGGCGGGAAGGTCGAGGTGGTCGACGAACTGGTTCGGATCTACGTGATTCCGTCTGCAAAGACTGGACAGTTCATCTCCGAAATGAAGGCTCGTAAGAACGGCTGAACGACTTGTTCCTTTCCAAGGTGAAGTATGTTTTCAGTCTGCCTGTGGGCTTATCGGGTGCGGGCGCTGTCTACAATCTTTGACCTTTTCAGGCCCAACAGTCCATTTCTCCCGCGGCGTGGCCACACCTCCCGCGCAGACGATGCTGACTTGCTCGGGGAATAACGTGATCATGACATGAACCCCATACCCCTCAGATACCACTGTAGCATGATGGTCTAGACTTGTACTAGGCCAGTTAACTACTGACGGTTGCCGGCACCACACCCGCCAGATATTAGGATAGTTCATCTGTGTGACTGACGTAGATGTGGGTCGACGACCGTGCAAATCGGTGGCACTTAGTCTTGGCAGATATTAAACTGCTTCGATCTCGGGCCCGATGTCCTGATCTCGGATCCGAGATTCTGCATGTTGAATGTTACAGTTTAGTATGTTCCAGAACTGCATGTGCTCGATTATCGTAGGTCATATAACTAACTCAAGTGGTACTGTGTCACTTGCCAACGGGATATACCCACCCTACCGAGGAGTAAAAGGCTGTTTAACCCGTCTTGTCGGCCGAGTGGCAGATATTCTATCAGAGATAGTGGCATCCCTGACGACATCCGGGACTGAATATTTGCTTCTCTCCTAGACGGAATGTCACTGTTACATGTGCACATAAGCAAATAATCTTTTTATTCTAAATTGAGTTAAATCTTAAGGCGCAAGAGGGCATTCTAAGAACCCACGTCTTTGATAGATGCTATATGCTATCCATAGAAACTATCCTAGGGCCCATGGATGGATACATATAACCCTAGGTTTACAGTTATCCAACCAATAAACAACATAGTCCCTTGATCTACTTCCTGTTGGTCTTTGTCGTTTGCATGGCATTGTTTGCCATGATGATGGTGCTTTTAGCCAAGGCGCTGGGCTGGGTTATCACACTTCCTAGTTTCCCCTTTCTTCTCCACCTCTCCCCTCGTCCCATGCCCAATTTACCCCCCGACGAGGTCATCCTGTATCAGCTGTGATTCTCCATACCCACAGCGTCGTGTCGCTATTCGGGTTGCCCTGGCTGAGGATGTGAGCACCAGAATGGTGATCATAATCCTGCCAGTGGCTTTCCTGTGGCATTGTCGAATCCCCTGCCCATTGGATATATCCTTGGTCGACCTCATTAGCATCGTCATCCAGTGTCTAGACAGGGCCACAGATCTAATGTGACCATAGTGACCAGCAAATCCGGGGCTCGGCTGACGATCAAGAATGTCTTCAACGCGAGTACACGCTGCACCTGCAACAAACCCACGGAAGGCTCAAGTTCCAACCCCAGTTGAATCAACTGCCGGCGAATGATGTCCGCTTGGGTCGGAGGACAAACTAGACTGTGATTTCCGAATGAGCAGAAAATTGGCAGCACGTCTGCAGATAATTTGCCGAGTGGCGCTTGGTTTCTAGCTCGTGCTCCCAATGCCAGAAGAAGCAGCCCATCGTGAGAAAAGCGACAGGGCCTTCACGTTCCTGTCCCCGGTAAAATCATAGAGAACGGTCTTGTGGATAATCAATTCCGAACCATCGTAATGGGCTTGGAGCATTCGCGCATGTCGGGGCCCCATGAACGAGATAATCAAAACCTAGCTCTGTGCGTTAGTATCGGTCTTGAACTCGGGGTATTTACTCTTGGGGGGTAGCAAAGCACAACGTACTGGGAAAATATCGTGTTGCTTCAGGAACGGGACTGTATGGAATTTCTCCTGCATCCGAAGGATGCAAAGCAATTCCCCTCGAGTGAGCTTGTCGTTTTCACCATCTATATCGGTTGTCATTAAGCAGAGAAAATGTGGACGTTTTGGAAAATCTCGACTGTGGCCAAGACCCCATGAAAGCCAAGCCACAGGACCGTTGCACTCCTCCAGGTCGAGTGCATAGTGGTTAGTCCTGTAAAAAGACCACTCGGTTAGCAAGGGCGGGGGGAAAAAAAACCGAATGCATGCTGATGTTCCTCGTGGGGAGGGGGGAGAAAAAGCATACGATCTGCACACTATAGCAGGTACATCGGTACCAGTCCGCTTCTTGAACTCGAATGATTGGGCAAACATATAATCCTGCCAATATTCGAACGTGAGTTGAGCCCAGCCCATTGGTGAAATTTCGTTCGTCTCATCGTAGGAGTGCCATTCCATTTCATCGCCTTCGAGTTCGCCGACGTACGGGTGTTCCTCGAGATTGCCCCTGAAAGGATTGAAAAAACATGGCTTAAAAGTAGGTTCTCCGTTCTCATTTAACGTGAAGGGCTTGGCGGAGATATGGAGGTCACTGAGCTCGGCCTCATTATACAAGACATTCTCCGTGTCGTATACCCGGCGTTCGAGTATCCGCAGACGTTCAAGATGCCCTTTGCGTTCTGCTGCATTTGGAGCGGCTTTCTCGGGTGCGGAAGTCATCCTTGAAGGGGCGGGGGGGATGAGGACGTCCTCCGTAGGTTGCGAGAAGCAATGACAAGTGCTGTGGCGGCGACGGCTGATCTATGCCTCTATGACCTGAAAGCAAAAGAAGATGAACAAATACATAGACAATCAACAAAGTGATGAATAGTCTCGCATAATTGCAGTAAAGAAGTAGCGGAGCGACACAAACATTGAATGAGAGAAAGAGGAGAAACGGCCCTGTTTTGAAATGCGGAGGTGGAGGTGAAGGTTGCTGATAACAAAGCGCGCGCAATCACGAGTTCATGGTTGCCCCGGCACATCGGGGTCTTGGCGCAGGATAGATGCCCTAATTACCGGATCCGGTAAGTTAGGGTCCCAACTTGGAACCATAGGCTGCTGTTGTCACTATATCGTACAAAGTGGCAGGGGTATACAGCGGTAATCACGCTATTATAGGCTGTTACGGAAGAGGGGAGTCGAGGTACAAAAGAGTGGGAAGCGCTCTCTGACTGTCCCGGCTTTGACCAGTTTTCTTGACGGGCAAGTATGTATATATCTCGTTAAATGCCTTTTCGAGGAGTACGAAATCGCTTCAATTCCTCGGTGTTATTTGGATGATCGTGACTACTCTCTTTGAAGGAGCCATGTCATCCGGATCTGGAATCGCACCGCCCCGAAATACAATGCTATGGCGAGCATTGTGGCCAAAAGATGGCAAAACCGATCGAACGACGCAAACACAAGAATTCGGATCAGCCTCCAAGTTTACTTTGGAAAACTTTCTGTCTCTTCGCGTCTTACGAACTAAGATAAGTATACATCGTCTTGATTATGATAAATTTGGCTTGGACCAAAGATTCATCGACGAGGCGAATCGTATGTTGTGCGAGTATGACTCCTGGAAGGTATACTGCGACGGCTTCAAGGACGGGCACGGCAAGAAACGAAAAGAGGGTAATTTTTTCCTGGCAAAGCTTTATCAAGATAGTGCCACAAAGGTCGAAAGCAAAGAAGTCAGCGAGTCTATCGTGTCATCCCCTGCAAATCATACTAGGTCGCGGGCCCAAAGAAGGGCCCTTATGGAGGAGCAAGATCAGTCGCCAACTAAATTGAAGGCAGACGCGAATGCAAGCAAGTCGCTGCCAGCTATACTGAAGGGGTCAAAAAAGCCACTGGCACTCCGGTTGAAAGATGCGAGAGAGCCGTCTGATGGCTCCAAAGGGCCACCAAAAACCCCATCTCCCCCGGCTTCCCCCGCTTCCTACCAGTGGAGGTCGCCAGATACCCCTGCTTGGATGCCCAATGAGACGTTTCCAAAGTCTATTGATGAACAGATCGTCAACACAGCTCTTATCAATTTCCTGAATGCCATCACAGAGCATTTCCAGCTTTCCCAGCACTGGACCATGCACCGGAAAGCATTCGAGGCCTTTGTCGAAAAGGGAACTAAGAAAGAGAAACTCTATGAAGCACGAACCGATGGGTATCTGGCAGATGAGAATGCGAGACGTGTCCGTGCCCTTGTTGAGGTCAAAGCGGCGACTAGGGCCAGCCGCACGCTGGAAATATTCATGCAGGAAAGTGCTCAGATGGCGGCCTGGATTCTGGAATACCCAAACGAGCCTCCGGACCCTCTTGGTCGGTAGGTGCGAAGAAAAGGCCAATATCTGGAAAAGATTAAGGGAGATCTCAAGCTAACACAGTGCAAAGCCGTTTCCAGGTGCTACAAGACAGAAACGAAATTTTTCTGAATTTTGCCAGATATGGAAGCAAGTATCTTTCGTACCTGAGAGGGCAAGGGTCGTTTGACGAAACTGACCCGGAGACTTTCATGACAATCTCTGAAGTTGGGCCTTTCAAGACAAGCAGCCTGGGCCACATGGAAAAGCTAGTTCCGATCCTCCTTGCACTCACACTTCGCGCTGTTGAGGACGACGAGCAGGAGCTCTTGGTAGCCAAGAACAAGTGGACAGTATGTATGGGGTGCTAAACGTGCCACATACTGGGTACAGCCGAGCCTTGGGGTTTACAGACAAGAAGAAGAAAAAGCGCATGAACGCACATATATGGTGATCTTTCTCGAGTTGCCTCGTGTCCAAGAAATCTTTACTCTACTCATTTGCTTCTATATATTCACAAGCATCCACTATTTGTTCCTACTGGCCATGCGTCCAGGACTGGATGAATTAATCAAGAAGTTACTCACGACCTTCAATGTAGATATTCTTTGCCTTTCTTTCCCCATTTTTTCTCCAGGAAAGCGGAAAGCCGTGGCGATCTTTGATATCAAAGTGACGACTAACTTAGTACGGAGACCTCCAGAACGTGGTGGCGCATCCCAAAACATGCAATGAACGGCAAGTCATGGAAGAATTCAATGGTTGGATATCAATTTAGAAAGTACAAATTCGGCTATGACAGCCTCGCTCAGAGACAATTGAGCCAGCAGCAACACGCGGGATTTATCCGGAATTGCAAATGCGGGGACCCCTGTACGAAGCCCATGTCGCGAAGTTGCGAGTATCTTCCCCACCGTTCTCTACCTTTTATCGATCAACGGTGTGTTTCTCTGCGATCTTCAGTGATCGACATGATTGTGATTTAGAAGTCAGTTGATCTACTACAGTTTAATTCTACTCAAGTGCCCGCATGGAAGAGGCATCGCCGCGTTGCAGTTTCAACTCCGAAAGTACGCGTCTCCCGGCACTTCAGGCTGAATTCCCAACGGCCAAGCCACCGGATGAACAGGAGTGATTACTTCAACCAATTAGTTACGGATTATACGCCTTCTGGCCCGACTCACGGTCCGTCAACGGCTGCAGACGAGAGCCAGGAATGAGCAGGAATCAGGAAAAAGTCCCTGTCGATCGTATATAAACCCTGAAGAAACCCGGCCAGAATGAAACAACGGACTCAAGCTTGTTACCCATCCTACTTGAAAATAGCAGTTCCCTGTCGTCATAATGGTCCAGCTATCGTCTCTGGCCGCGGCCCTAGCTGTCGGACTTCTTCCGAATCTGTATGTCCCTACAATCTACGCTTCTCGGGTGTGACTATCTAACACCGCGTGTAGAGTCGTCGCTGCAGGTCTCCATGAAGCCGCCGTTGCAAAAGGAAAATTGTACTTTGGCACGGCCACCGACAATGGCGAATTGAGCGACGCGCCCTATCTCAAGCAGCTGGGCAATACCGCTGATTTCGGACAAATCACGCCGTCCAACTCGATGAAGGCGAGTCGCCCCTACTACATTCCCATGTCTATAATCCATTGGACTATGTATGCTAACTTTGACGTAGTGGGAGTCCACTGAACCCTCGCAGAACTCGTTCTCATTTGCCGGCGGGGATGCCATCGCCGACTTGGCCGAGACCAATGGACAGAAGCTGCGCTGTCATACCCTCGTCTGGCACAGCCAGCTTCCCAATTGGGGTACGTCAATTCTAAACCTATGGGCTACCAGTGTGGTTTATACTAAATTGAACAAGTATCAAGCGGCACCTGGACGAACGAGACGCTCCTGGCAGCAATGAAGAACCACATCACGAAGGTGGCTACCCATTACAAGGGACGGTGCTACGCATGGGATGTAGTCAACGAGGGTAAGCTCACCATTCCCCTCAGCACCACCATTGACAGCCATCGAAATAACGCTAACAATCAAAAGCCCTCAACGAAGACGGCACCTACCGCGACAGTCCCTTCTTGAAACACATCGGCGAAGCCTTCCTCCCCATCGCCTTCGCCACAGCAGCAGCAGCAGACCCTACCGCAAAGCTCTACTACAACGACTACAACATCGAATCCCCCGGAGCCAAATCCACCGCAGCCGCCAAGATCGTCAAGCTGATCCAATCCTACGGCGTCAAGATCGACGGTGTCGGCATGCAAGCCCACCTCGTCGTCGGCAGCAGCCCCAGCGAGTCCGCTCTCTCCAGCACGCTCTCCAGCTACACCTCTCTGGGCGTCGAAGCCGCCTACACCGAGCTTGACATCCGCCTGAAACTCCCCTCAACGGACGCTCAGCTCGCGCAGCAGTCGACCGACTACCGCGCCGTGGCAGCCGCCTGCGTCAAAAACACCGACTGCGTGGGCATCACCATCTGGGACTGGACGGATAAGTACTCGTGGGTGCCTGACGTCTTTCCCGGGGAAGGCGATGCCTGCCCGTGGGATAAGAACCTGGCCAAGAAGCCTGCGTATGCGGGGCTGATGGCGGGTCTTGGGGGTGGTGGTTCGTCGACGACGACGACGGCTGGGACTACGATGACTACGACGACGAGCTCTGCCGCGCCGACTTCGACTGGGGTGGCGCAGAAATGGGATCAGTGTGGAGGCTTGCATTGGACGGGACCGATTGTCTGTGTCAGTGGCACGACGTGTCAGAAGCAGAATGATTACTATTCACAGTGTTTGTGAGGGGTATATTGGGTCATATTTAGGTACGCCATGTCGGGTTGTTGTTCTCTGCCTGGGTGTCGATTATAGGTAGTACTCTGATGTACTAGAGTATGCTAGGCAAAAAATGAGTATCTACGTGACGTACTGAGTGGTAGTATATAGCACAAGAAGCCTATACTGAACCGATATATCAACACCCCCACTATACTGGATCTTATATAGGACAAACAGTATCCGTTGCTCAGGAGAATAGATAATGATATAGATAGAATATGGTCGTATAGTAGGTCAACAGTAGTCACGTGTGTAGCTTGGTTGTTAACTTGTCGTCTGACCGTATCGACTCTCCCACCAACGTACACCATCAAGCATTCGAGGACTTCATCGCCATTCCACCACCATTGCTACTACTATCGATAGTCCATCAGCAGAGACAGCACCAAATGTGAACTAGCCATAGAACCACGTTGAGTGTAACGGGATGAAGAAGAACGGGAAATTGACGGCCGGTCCTGACCGTTTTAATTAGTGATATTTCTCATCTGTGGAGACCTTGTGATGGCGAATCCACTGCGTCGGACACTTACCGAGTTGAAGACGGGCAAGTGCCGCATCCGAGCCGCCCGTTTCCGCTACAATGTCGATGGTTCTGTGGTTTGGCTCGGGCCGACGACGCGGATGCAGTTCAAAGTGGAGCCCGGCCAGGCCTAGAATGGATAATAGAGAAATGAAGATCGGTACCTGGCATGGCTGATGGATTGGGCATAGATCAGGACGATCCGACATGTGTGAGCCTACGATGAGCCTACGGGAAGCTTGGAGACAAGCTGGTGAAGTTGGTACTTTGACGGGGATAAATTGAATTGACAACAACTGCAAGTTACAACAACTACTTAGATGCGATGAAAGCCTCATACGCCTGGACCAGCTCATAAATCGCCGTCACATACTCGGTCGCGCGCGGGCCCCCAATCGTGCCCGGGCCCATATGATTCATGACATACGTGATGGTTATCTGGCGATCGATGTCGACCACCCCGATGGAACCACCCCAACCCCCCCACCAGCATACTCGGCCAGCAGGCAACCAGCTCATTGAATTCTTCTCCTCCTCAGACAGACTCAACGGCGGGGACAACGCGAACCCCATCCCAAAGCGCACAGGCATATCCATCACGATCTCCTTGTCCGGGGACTGCTCCCGAAAGATCGCATCGATAGTCTCCGCGCCCATGAATCGGCGCCCGTCAACGGTACCATTCTGTGCGACGACAGACAAGATGCGGTTGACGCTACGCGCGTTGCCAATGCCGCCCATGGACGGGATTCCAGCGCTCCAGAAAGCTGGCGTCGCTGACTCGGTCGCAGGTAACGAGCCCCCGCCCAAAACCCTCATGACCAAGCTCTCCGGACCGGGCATGTCCTTGAACGGTGGCGGCGGGACCATCTCCCCGATCCGGCCCCATTCGCTCGCCGGCACCCCGAAGTGAAAGTCCGCGGCCCGCGGCGTGGCCAGCTCGTCGCGCACAAACTCTCCCAGCGGCTTCCCGGCCACGCGGCGCACCAGCGCATCCGTAAGATAGCCCTGCGAGAGGGCGTGGTAGCCAGCAACAGTGCCGGGGGTCCACCAGGGCTCCTGGCGAGCGAGGGCGTCCGCGGCGGCCGGGAGATCGTACAGTTGATCAGCGGGAAGAGGCGGATTCCAAGACGGCAAGCCAGCCGTGTGGCCTAGCACATGGCGGACAAGGATATCGTCGCGACCGGCGCCGGCGATCTCCGGCCAGTAGGTCACCAGCGGCGCATCCGGGTCGACCAGGCCGCGGTCGATGAGCAACAGGACGCCCAGGTTGGAAATGGGCTTAGAGAGTGACCAGACGGGCACAATAGTGTGCTCCGACCAGGGTTTGGAGCGTGCGGGATCGGCGTGTCCGCCCCAGATGTCGACGACCGTCTCGTCACCAATGGTAACACACAGCGAAGCACCAAGCTCGTCGCCGCTGGCGATGTTCTTCTCAAGGCGCTCGCGCAGCGGCGCGAAGGCCGGGTGGCAGGTTCCTGCAGTCGCTACTGTCATGGTGTTGATGCGGCGCTCTGGTTGTTTGAATTCACTGGATGATGAACAAGCCCAGGCATCGGTTGAAGATTATATACCTTTTCAGAAGGATTACTTTGATTATCAAGCATGGAGAATATATACCTTGTTAGAAGGATCAGAAGGATCACTCGGATTATAGAGCATGGAGAATATAACTACTACCTTGATAGAAGGATCACTTCGATTATAAAGCATGAAGAATATACTGAACTTACCTTGTTAGAAGGATCACTTCGATTATAAAGCATGGAAAATATAACCAACCACCTTATTAGAAGAATCACTTCGATTATAAAGCATTATAATGGCGTGATGATTAGATGGGGGTGGTTACCGTCGTGATGGGGACAGGGGCCCCTGGTTAGTCTGGGACCAAGAGCGACTCATATCAAAAGTCGTCGCTGGCGGTATGGAATCGGGGAATATGATTACCAAGCTTTTACTAAGAAGTAGCTGCCATTGTTTTGTGTGGGGATGAAGTTGAAGGGCGCCTGCATTCAGTCCTGTCTGTTAGGGCTGCGATGGATGATGTCATCGTGGAACAAGGAGGCCACCACTCTTTCAAATCGTCCTGCATAGCCGACACCCTATGCTCTGTGCCTTTCGGGTTCAATCCAGGGGAGAATAAATATACTCTACTGCCGAATATAACAGCCAGGGGAGCCACATGCCGCAGAGTGACTCCGATCTCCGGTTCCGCGGGTCGATGACACCATCACCCGGGCTTCCGGCCGTTCCTAGAATGAACATTTAACACGACTATCGGGGGCATTCCAGTTCCGACATGCATTCACGGTTCCAGCATGGCAGATTTAGACCAATATAGAAGAGACAGTGCTAGCAGCAGCGCTTTGTCGCAGCTGGATACCGCGCACCCAACGCGCGGCGACACCGCGTTCGCCGGCGACGGGTCGTCGCCGATTAGCAGACACCAAAGCCGCGTGGAGATATCGCGCATCCAGACGCTTCGTTTGACGGCGCAGTCCACTGTCGGTACGACAAAGGGTCGTACACCGCGCGATCAATGGCTGCCGATGGGCGCAGGAAAGGAATACCCGCCGGAGCTGCCAGACCCGGAGAAGTACGTTGTCGAGTTCACCGACGCCGACGACCCGTGCCATCCCCACAACTGGCCGATCGGTAGGAAGGTCCTGCTGTCGGTCATTCTGGCCTACGTGACATTCGTTTCGTCCTTCGCCAGCGCCATCTTCTCGTCAACGGTCGGCGCCACCAGCGAGCAGTTCGGCGTCAGCACCGAGGTCACTACCTTGGGCGTGACCTTGTACGTCCTCGGGTTCGCCGCAGGCCCGACCTTCTGGGCGCCGGCGAGTGAGCTGATCGGACGACGCTGGCCCATCACGGCCGGCGTGTTCGGGTACAGCATCTTCACGATCGCCACAGCGACGGCCAAGGATGTGCAGACTCTGATGCTGACGCGGTTCTTCGCGGGGCTGTTCGGCGCCAGTCCGCTCGCGATCGTGCCCGCGACCTTCGCAGACATGTACAGCAACCGGACGCGCGGCGTCGCGATCGCAATGTTCGCCATGGCCGTCTTCGTGGGGCCGTTCGCGTCCCCGTTCACGGGGGGGTTCATCGTGATGAGCTACCTGGGGTGGCGCTGGACGATGTACATCTCCGCGATCATGGGATTTCTAGGGACAGTGCTGCTGTTGGTCTTCTTCCGCGAGACGTACGCGCCGCTGGTGCTCGTGGAGAAGGCGCAGAAGCTGCGGCGGCAGACGCGCAACTGGGGCATCCACGCGCGGCAGGACGAGGTCGAGCTGGACTTCGACGAGCTGATCACGGTCAACTTCAGCCGGCCGTTCCGTATGCTCTTCACCGAGCCGATCGTCTTCCTGGTGACGGTCTACATGTCGTTCATCTATGGGCTGATGTACGCCCTGCTGGCGGCCTACCCGGTGGTCTTCCAGGGCATCCACGGGATGAATCTAGGCGTCGGCAGTCTGCCGTTCATCGGGCTGATCGTGGGCGAGTTCCTCGGCGGGATATACACGCTCCTGGGGCAGAAGTCATACACGCGGAAGTTGCTCAACAACAACAACGTGCCCGTCCCGGAGTGGAGGCTGCCGTCCGCGATTGTCGGCGGGATAGCGTTTACGCTCGGTTTATTCTGGTACACTTCTCTCGCTTGTCTTGCACCTTTATCGCGCGTACTTTACCTTCCAGCTGGTGCCGGATGAAACGCGCTAACTAGAAAACAGGTTCGGGTGGACAGGCTGGACGAACGACATCCACTGGATGGCCCCCACAGCGTCCGGGGTGCTGGTTGGGTTCGGCATCTTCTGCATCTTCCTCCAATGTTTCAATTATCTGATCGACTCTTATCTGCAATTGTATGCTTCCCCCCCCCCAGATACTACCCTGCATATCTCGCCAAGCGATCGCGATCTCAGCTAACGGGAGATATCTCCGTAGTGCTGCGTCGGTGTTCGCCGCGAACACGATCTTGCGGTCGGCGGTGGGCGCATGCTTCCCCCTGTTCTCGAAGCAGATGTTTGTGAATTTAGGGGTGCAGTGGGCGGGGACGCTACTGGGGTGTCTGTCGGCGATTATGATTCCCATTCCCCTGGGATTCATCCTGCTGGGGCCGAGGTTGCGGAAGAAGAGTAAATTTGCGCCCACGGCGGCGGTGTTTGCGGAGAAGGAGTAGACATATCTGTTTCTTTCTTCCTGTTTTCTGTCTGTAAACATCTGGTGAATTTTTTTTGTTCTATTTCGAATTGATTCAATAGCACGTGTCCTGGAAAGTGACGGCCGAGTTAGGGTTGGCCCCGCACGAGATAGCAGCGTCGCGTCAACCCAGCCGCGGTAATGATCCATGATGATCAAGGCAGTTCCAGAGATAAGATAGGGCATTACCTAACCGACTAACCGAATCGATAGATGCCAAATGAATAATGATCCCCATTTGGCCACCGTCTCCGTGAGCACCGTGATTCGCCATCGGGCGGGGGTCCGCAGGGGGCGAATAAATCGGATTATCAGTGGTTGCCGGCGTCGGTCCCATGGATCCACCGCAAGATGCTCACGCGAAGGGGGATGATAAGAGGGAAAAATTTCGAACCTATTTTTTAGCCGATCGCCCCCGTTGAGCTGGCTGGGTTCCTCTTGTTCTTCCTTTCTCGTTCTCTTTTCGTGTTGTGTTGGTTCTTTTCTGCTCTTTGAGCTTTCCTTGCTGGGTTTCTCCCATCCCTGGAGGTAGGATATCTCCTATTAGCTCCTATTGTATAGCCATCCATCATGGGTTTATCCGACTGGGTGCATCGCACCAACCTCTCGGTGGCGCGGAGCCCTATTGGGCGTTGGTTCTTGCTCGAGAACTCCGGCCATGTATGTACCCCCCATTTCTCTTCCCCTCTCCCTCCCCCTCATTCAAGGGTTGGATGTGAGAATGATGAAGAGACTAACGAAGACAGCCCCGCGAACGCAAAGGTGCCTTCTTTTTCACCGAGATCCGGGCCGGGTTGGCGACTTTCTTCGCCATGGCCTACATCATTAGCGTCAACTCCAATATCACGTCCAAGTCGGGGGGTAACTGCGTGTGCCCCGCCGACGACCCCGACAACTGCAACTCGAACACCGACTACCTGATGTGCGTGCAGGAGATCAACCGCGATATGGTCACGGCGACCGCTGCCATCTCCGCCCTGGGGACGTTCTTCATGGGCCTCCTCGCCAACCTCCCCGTCGCCATCGCCCCCGGAATGGGCCTTAACGCTTACTTCGCCTACACCGTGGTCGGGTACCACGGACAGGGCATGATCCCCTACTCGATCGCGCTGACGGCGGTGTTCGTGGAGGGCTGGGTCTTCCTGGGACTGACGTTGCTGGGCATTCGGCAGTGGCTAGCGCGGGCGCTGCCAGCGTCGATCAAGCTGGCCACGGGTGCCGGAATCGGATTGTACTTGACGTTGATCGGACTGAGTTACAGCGCGGGCATCGGATTGGTCACAGGGGCCCAGGACACGCCGATGGAGCTGGCGGGGTGCTCAGACGCGCTCCGCCAGGATGGACTGTGCCCGTCGGCGGACAAGATGCGCAGCCCGACGATGTGGGTGGGCATCTTCTGCGGCGGCGTGCTGACGGCGTGTCTGATGCTGTACCGGGTCAAGGGCGCCGTGATCATCGGGATCCTGTTGGTGTCGATCATCAGCTGGCCGCGGCCGACGGCGGTGACCTACTTCCCGCACACGCCGCTGGGCGACAACATGTTCGACTTCTTCAAGCAAGTGGTGACCTTCCACCCGATCAAGCGCACGCTCCTCGCCATGGAGTGGGACCTTACGGGGCACGGGGCCGAGTTCGGCCTGGCGTTCATCACCTTCCTCTACGTGGACATCCTCGACACGACGGGCACGCTGTACTCGATGGCCAAGTTCGCCGGCACGATCGACGAGCGCACGCAGGACTTCGAAGGCAGCGCCATGGCCTACATGGTCGACGCGATCACCATCTCGATCGGCGCGCTGCTGGGCACGCCGCCCGTCGCGGCGTTCGTCGAGAGCGGTGCCGGTATCTCCGAGGGCGGGCGCACGGGGCTAACGTCGTGCGTCACGGGCTTCTGCTTCTTCATCGCCGTGTTCTTCGCGCCCATCTTTGCCTCCATCCCGCCGTGGGCCACCGGCTGCACGCTGGTGCTTGTGGGCGCGCTGATGTGCAAGGCCGCCGCGGAGATCAACTGGCGGTACTATGGCGACGCTGTCCCCGCCTTCCTGACCATCGCCATCATGCCGTTCACGTACAGTATCGCGTACGGGCTGATCGCCGGTATCCTCAGCTACATGCTGCTGAACATGATCGTGTGGGTGGTGGAGGTCGGGTCCCGGGGCCGTCTGGTGCCGCCCAACAAGCACGAGAAGGACCCCTGGACGTGGCGGATCGCCGGCGGGTTCTTCCCCCCGTGGCTGCAGCGGTTGTTCCGGGGGAAGAAGGACTTCTGGCGGGGGGACGAGTCGCAGTTCGCGGAGGACGAGTGGCGAGACGGTGAGCCGCGATTAGGCGAGGTGGTGGTGGAAGAGTCGATCAACTCGCAGGAGCCTGTGCGGGAGAAGGCGGAACATCCCAAAGCATAATAATCTTCATTTGTTGGTTTCTTGGGTATCTGGAGTCAGGGTCTGTCGTGATTAGCTTTTTGGTTGGACATTGTCTCGAACGGTTTCTTTGTTGTCCGTGGTGTAACAGGGGCGACGTTGTACAGGGAAGATAATTCCGTTGATTGGGGATTGCATCATGTCGTGACTTATTATATAACTATTCACATCTTTCTTCCAAGATTGACTCCAAACCAAAGACATCAAAGGACAGAGATATAGGCATCGGTATAGATATAGAGATAGAGATAGAGATAGAGGGCAACCCTAAACCCTAACCAGCAGCAATACCAGATCTGGCCGTCCCGGCCAATCATACGTCATAAATACGATACGCATCGGTTCCGCATTCTTTCGACCGAGTCGCATTCATTGCTTTTGTTTCTTCTCCTCTTCTTCTGCTTCTTGACCTGCTGTTCATCCCTTGCGTGTTCTCTCTCTTTCCCTCCACTCCTCCAAACATGGCTTGACTTCTTTTGCCCCCCCCTTCCCCCTTCACCCATCATGGCCGACAGTAGACGTCTTCTGGCCCCCGCTCCGCCCGGGATCGCCGCCTCCACCGACTCCCAGCGCCGCAAGAATGTTGGGACGGCCTGCAAGGCATGCAAGGCGCGCAAGTTGAAGGTGACTAGTCTTCCATCAACCCGTTCAGATTAGGAATCAACAGTATGGAGATCGAAAGAAGGGAAGAAAGGGAAAGAAAGAGAAAGAAAGAAGAACTAACCATCCACCTCCGACGAGTGATGTCCCCAGTGTACCGGAATGGTCCCCTGCGCCAACTGCCACAAATCGCGCCTCGAATGCACCCTCGACACCACTGCCGACCGTCGCCGTCGTGGCGCCCTGAAGCGCAAGATCGATGAGCTCGAAGACAAGGAAGACCTCCTCGTCCGACTAGTCGGCGTCCTGCGTGAGAGCGGCAACCGTCGCGCCTATCCGCTCGTCAATCTCATCCGCAGCAACGCATCCCTGCCCGAGATCCGCTACTACATTGACCACCAGCTGTCGCGCGACGAGGCAGCCCGGACCCCCGAGATTCTCGAGATCGGGCACGTCGTCGACTCGAGGGACGACGCCCGCTCCTTGCGTCGCATCCTCGACACCAAGCGCTTGTCGGATACCCCGCGGTTTCGGGTCCCCGCGCGTCCGTGGACGAGAGTCGTCGAGGATGACGATCTGGTGTCCCATCTGGTGTCGCTTTGGTTCACGTGGTGTCAGCCGTTTGGGGGCTGTTGGGTCGACCGCGGGCGGTTTCTGCGTGATATGCAGACGGGTAATGCCGCTGGGCGTCGCTTTTGTTCGCCGTTTTTAGTGAATATTATTTTGGCGGATGCTTGTGTATGTTTCTCTCCGTTTCTGCTTTTCGTCTTTGTTTTTTTTCCATTCGGCCTGTATTAATGGTGTAGGCATACTCCGACTACCCCGAAGCGTATGCCATCCCCGGGGATGTCGCCTCGAAAGGGGCGCATTTCTTTGACGAGGCCAAACGGTTACTTGAAAGAGAAGAAGGGCGGATCACTCTACCAACAGTCCAAGGACTCGGGGTGCTGTGGACATGGTGAGCCAACTCTCCCCACCATCCGTCCAACAGAAGCTCATCATCCAGTGCCTCCCTCACCCGTCGCGACCGTCAAGGCTGGATCTACCGCAGCCAACTGGCCTACTCGCTGCGCGAGCTCGTCCAGGATAACCCACCCGTCGCCGGGTCCACCGACCCAGACCAATCATTGATGGCCCAAGCCGTCTACTCCATTCGCTGGGGCATCTTCAACATCGCCACGTAGGACCTGACTTATACCCGCCGATGCACCGCTCCATCACCCAGTCCGAAAGGAAGAAAGATGATTGACACGCGCAGGATCCACGCCCTCGCCGAGAAGAAAGTCCCCGCCATCAAATCGCCGCAGGGGGCGGCCTGCGCGCCGCCACCACCCTGCGACCACACAGCCGATCCAGAAGAAGACTGGCAGCCTTATCCCGCGCAGACGGACGATTCCCCGACACCGTCCCACACCGCCTGCGTCCTGTCGGCTCTGTCCAGCCTCAGCCCGATCGTCTACGACGCGACGCGTTTCCTCTACGGCGGAGAAGAGACTACCCCTCGGCACGAATGGTCATCGCTGGACGAGCGCCTGCGCCAGTGGGCCGCCGATCGGTTGCAAGGGTGTTTGGCACGGGGGAATATGGAGCTTCCACATGTTTTGTGCTTGCAGTGTGTTTCCTTTACAATTCCCACCCAACTTAATTTTTCGCCCTCAATACTAACAGGACCAAAACAGCATGTGCTATCACACCGTAACCATCGCCCTGCAGAACACATCACTCACCACCATCACCCATCCCCCCAGCCTGACTCCCAATCCCAACCCCAATTTCAACCCCTCCCCCACCCCCACAAGCCTCGCCTCCGCCCGCAGCATCGCAGACCTCATCCGCACCCACCGCGGCGCCTGGGGCCTCGACCGCATGCCAGCAAGCAACATCCAATGGATGACCGCCGCGCTCTTCACACTCTTCCCACGCCTCGACGAGCCCTTCAACCGCGACGCCTTCATCGGTCTCTGCGTTGCCGCAAAGGCTTTCTCGCGCCGCTGGGAGGCAACCCGCACGACGCTAGGCGCGGTGCAGGCTGTCGCGAGGGAAAAGGGCGTCGTGTTACCCGTTGAGACAGATCCGCTGTTTCAGGAGCTGGATAAGCTTGCCGGGGTTAGTGCGGTGGGGAGGCGAATGTCGGGGGAGACGTCTTCGGAGACGAATAATTTGATTTAATTTGGATTAGATTGGTCTGGTTATATATTTGGTTATCTAAGTGTGTATGGGTTTTGTTGGTTTGTTGTTTTTTTTTTCTTTCTTTCTTTTTTTTTTTTTTTCCAGTTTAGGGTGTTTTGGGCTACTATATTCAAGAGATAGATAGATGTATCCAACATCATCAATTATGCCAACTGTCACCCACCAATATCATAGGAGAATATGGCTGCTAACAACTGCAGTGGTTTACCGCATAATTACCTGTTTATGTTAGCTCCTGAGAATATTTAGTCAATACGTACTCTCCGAGAATCGCATGTAAACTCTTGATCTACTACAAGCAATGTATAGAACTCTATACTATGGCCAAATATGTACTAACTATGTAACTAATTTTTTCTTCAAGCTATAGGTGTGTACGCGGGTGCTGGGGAGGGTCTCCTATCTACCCTTTGGGTACTTTGAGTCTCTACGCGGGTACTTTGGGGGATCCTCTGGGGCTACTTGGGGGCTTGTACGCGTTCCTCAGGCCTATGCTTCAGAAGACGCGAAGTGGATGCTTTACAGAGCTTTATATAGTTTCTATGACAAACTCTATATAGGTACTTTGGTACGTCCCGTGAGACTACTGAAAAAAATTCAACATGCCAGATGCCAGATCCCACTCAACACCATCCAACCCATCCAACCCATCCAACCCATCCAACCAATCCAACCAATCCAACCAATCCAACCAATCCAAATGAGAAACAACCAGAGAGAAAGCAAAACTAAACAGCCGAATCGTTATCCTGCACCGGCTTCTTCATCATCCGAGCTTGCCCGCGCCTAGTCTTAGTCTGATAAAAATGCCACAGCGCCCAAGCCATAACGGTCGCCAGCGTCAACGGCACCGTCACAGCCCAGTATAGCCAGAAGTTCGACGATACGGCCCACGTCGATTGGCCCTGCCCGGGACCATCCATGTCGAAGAAATTGGTTCCAAAAACGCCAGACACAAATGTGCCGGGGAGATACACCAGACTGACGACTCCGATGGTCTTCATGATTGCGCTGTCGCTTTGGGCGTCTTTGCCGAAGCGCTGCGAGACGAGGTTGAATGCCTTTTCATTCCATATTAGCTTTTTAGCCACCCTTTCTTTCTTCCTTCCTTAGTTCTTTCTTTCCTTAGAAAAAGGTGGAAGCGAAAGCAAAAGGAAAAGGCAATGGAGAATCCTCAAAAATGAAAAGAAACATACCAAGTTAATCTCATTCTGCAACCTATCCGTCAACGACTGCGACCGAATCCGCGCAGAGTTAATCTCTCTTGCCGCAAAAACCACCCTCTGCTGCGTCTGCATCCAGGAGCCGCGCATGAGCCCGCTCACGAGATCCGGGTGCTCATCACGCCAGCGGGAGAGCTCATCGCGCAGACTGGTGAGCGTCGCTTCGGCGACTTGAAGCGTCTCCGTTGAGTGGAAGATGTGGCGCGCGATGTCGTGCAAGTTGTGGAAGTCGGGGGCGGTCGGCTTCTCTAGGTTTCGGGCCTGTTCTCCGGTTCTTTTCTTAGATTTTCTTTCTTGCATTGCGCGTTGAGAGATGTCGGCGTGTTTACATATTTGCATGCAGCATTCTCAAAGAAGAAAGCAAAGCAAGCAAAGCAAGCAAAGCAAGGAAAGCATGAACATGCAAAGAAGAAAATCAGACGCACCTTCTCAACATCCCTGACTATATCCCGCAGATACCAAAATGACTGTTTATACATTGAGAGCACTGCAGTTGCAAAGAGACCGTGCCACATGTATGGGTTTAAGTGTCGGTTCTTGAAGGGCGCCAGGGTTTCCATCTGCGCGGTCAAGTCGGCCTCCTGTTGAGGGGGCAGGTTGATAAACCAGACACGCTGGGTGTCGGCCTTGGGGTCCCATTGCACGAGGACAGCGGGTTGCACCCAGTAGTATTTGGCCGGGGGCGGGGGTGCCATTTTGATCTTGAAACAACTCCAGGAGTCTAACAGGGTTTAGTCCATAGACATGTGTTGCGGACAGCCCAGCGAGCTGGGGAGAGGGGACAGCATTTACCATGTCTGGTGATTAACTTTCCGTCCTCGTCATAATCGTAATCACACACGAATGTCCCGTTCAGGTCTTCTTCCACCACAGGCAGGAAAGAAGTTGGGAGCAGCGACTGCGCGTGCTCTGCTAAGGTTTCGGCCGAGGCGAATCTGTAATCTTAGCTTTATATCCTTCTCAGACTGCTCCCATATATACGACGTACATAACAGTCGTTGCACGTGTCTATATTGCATCAGTGTTGGCTCCTAATTCACAGTTCCCATCTTAAGGACGGCCTACCCGGATATCGTTGACTGGGCCTCGTCGGGGGTTCGTCCAGTGACCTGTTTCTACGCGAATCAGCACCCAAATGTCACCCGTATCGAATGACTAGCCGTACCATCCTCCTCGTAGAAAAGGGCATCATTAGGCGGCGGCGGTGGAGATTCGGTCGGAGCTTTTTCCACTGGCGTCGACGCCACTGGGCTTGTCGTCGATTCCATGACTCCAAATATAATATATTCTGCACAAAACTTCAACAAAGTCTAAACGACGAAGAATTTTGAACAAAGAACAATGCGGTTCAACCGCAGATACCAACAAGCGAAGTCATTACAGCTCCCCATCCACGCTCACGACGGTGGATGGGAAGGCTGGCGCTTATGCAGGCTACCTGGCGACGATCCAGGATTAAGCGATATCCAACCAATCGTGTCCACAGCCACGCCTTGACAGGGTTTCTACGACCCTCAGCGCGAATAATCTCTCTTGACCGCTCATTGGGCTCTCACAGAGATGGGTCTCGAACTTGCGCCATGTCTGACTGCACGTATTCCACCAAGACACGTCGGTCGCGGGGCGCATTGACGCCGGATTACGCCTCGCGGTAGGCGCCGCTGCAAGGAGAAACGGACCGACGCGCTCGGCGGGCTATGCCTTCACATTGTGGCGGCCTTTTTTCTTCCTAGGCTTTCTGGAGTGTCTGAGCTTGACTGGTGGACGTGCAGGAGAGAATGAGGTTGGCCTGTCATTTAGTATGTAAAGATCACGTGATGTGTGACTGCGGCTGCCTTGGGCCTCTCGCTAAACTTGATATTGTGATTGTGTGATGTGATTTCGAAGTCTTAGTCGGCTAGAGAATTAGAGTCTTCAATTTGCGCTGTTGAAAGTGTTGAAAATGGTGGTTCATGACATTAACAGGGCTCTCCATGGAGAGTATGCATCTCTAGGGCAGGTGCGACAGGGTGGAACTATGTCTTTTGTTGAAACACAACTAGGAATAAATCATGTTTCTTTGTATATCTCATGTATTCATTGGTCTCCTTTTGCTTTTGTGGCACTCTATCATTTTTATGAATACTAATCAACCGTGATAATGGTGATAACAAGAAGATTGGTACTAGGCTGCCCATATTAGTACTGTTGCATGCACTGGTGTAATGCTATTTTAGCTTTTCAATCACATCAAACTCAAGTCAAACTTACAACTCTGTAATGCAAGGGGTATTCCCTAGAGACACGTTGTGACCTTAGGATCTCTCAGATTGATAGATAGAATGACATCATGGAGTATGTCATCTAGATTAGATAGATGATAAAACTACAATGAAGTGATCTATCACCATATAGATTCACTGTCGTACTCTCTATCACCGGTGGTCCCATGAAAGAACTATTATCATAATTGTATCATCATGATAAATCATCTTTTCACTGTACTCATTACAATGACAATAGTGTTGTACCAAGTGAATATCAGATCCAGGTTACTCCTGGTTGGTAGCACCAATGGTACAACGCCCATGGAAAGCCACGGATGAGATGACCAGTCATTCGCTGTCTTTGCTTCACCGGAAATATATTAAATCAAGTGAAGACAAAGAGTGGAGGGGAAAAGTCAAACGCAGTGTGCCTACAACCTTCTCTCCTCACTATTCCTTTAATCTGACAGATATCCTATCCTCACACAACCCATGGTGGAAAAGGACCTCACAATGGAGAAAACGGAGAAGACAACTTCCTACAGCCAGGTCGCCTGCATAGGAGCCGGCCTCAGCGCCATAGCCCTGGGGGCGACCCTGAAAAGATGGTACAAGATCGATAACATCCGCTTCTTCGAGCGCCACGAGGAGTCGGGTGGAACCTGGGCGATCAACTCCTACCCGGGTATGCATCTCGACTCATTCATACCCCCGCTCTATCTACACAATCGTAACTAACTTGTTTCCAGGATGCGCCTGCGACGTGCCCAGCGCACTGTACAGCTTCTCTTTCGCGCTTAACCCGAAGTGGACCAAGTTGATGCCCTCCTGGAGCGAGATCAAAGCGTACCAGGAAGGTATCGTCGAGCAGTACAGCCTGCGCGACAAGATGCGCTTCCGCACAGAGGTTGTCCAATGTATCTGGCAGGAAGGCACCGCGCGCTGGTTGCTGGTAGTGCGCGATCTTGCCTCAGGAGAGACCTTCCACCACGAGTGCCAGATCTTGATCAGTGCCACGGGCCTCCTCGTGCAGCCTCGAGAGTGCGATATCCCCGGGGCAGCGAGCTTTAAGGGAGCGCTATTCCATTCCGCGCGATGGGACCACAGTGTGAATCTGGAAGGGAAGCGCGTCGTCGTCGTGGGGAACGGATGTGAGTATTGCCCAGCAGATGTGTATATGTGTTTAGAGAGGATTAGCTGAGGGAGGAGCACAGGCACCGGGACGCAGATTGTGCCGGCGATCGTCGACAAAGTTTCTTCCGTCACGCATGTGGTTCGGACCAAGCACTGGTTCGTTGAGGCGATAAATGGCGCGTATCCTCGTATCCTGATATGGATCTTCCGCTTCATTCCCTTCGCGATGCGACTGCATCGACTGCATATCTTCCTACTCATGGAGATGGCCTACCGCCTATTTCCTAACACCAAGGCTGCAGCGAGACTGCGCCAGAAGACCCGGAACGAGGCAGAAGCGTATATCCGCCAGACCGCGCCGGAGAAATATCATGACCTGCTGATACCCGACTTTGAGATTGGATGCAAGGTAAGCTCACAAATAATAAGAGCAAAATCAAAAACAAAAGAAAAGAAGAAGAGCTAAATACTATCAGCGCCGCATCTTCGACCCAAAGTACCTGCCAACACTGCACAACGAAAAAGTGAACCTCACCAAAACAGACATCACCGCGATCCTCCCCGACGGGATCCAAACCACCGACGGGTTCATTCCCGCCGACATCATCGTCCTCGCCACCGGGTTCCAGACCAACAAATTCCTGCCGTACACGCAAGTCCACGGACGCAGTGGGACGATCCAGGAGCACTGGCAGCGGTTCGACGGGCCCGAGGCGTACAACTGCACTGCGCTGAGTGATTTCCCCAACTTCTTTATGATCCTGGGACCGAATACCGGCACGGGACATACATCTGCGCTGATGGCGTCGGAAAAGTATGTATACCCTGACGTCACCTGATGAATTGACCCATAAAAATGCTAATCTGTTCCTGGTAGTGCGATCAACTTTGCGATGCGCATGCTGAAGCCCGTGCTGAAGGGCGAGGCCGACTATGTCGAGGTCAAGCAGGAGGCGGAAGACACATACGCACAAAATATCCAAGCTGCCTTGCAGGATACGGTTTGGAATACCGGATGCACGTCGGTATGACCCTCCCCCCAAAATTTATACGGTCGACAGATAGATGCAGTGGCTGACTGATGTCACTAGTGGTATGTGGGGCCCAATAATTGGAATTCCATGACCTATCCGTGGTCGCAGGCTCACTATTGGTACCACTGCTTGTTTCCGACATGGTCGGACTGGATAGTGAAGGTACGTAAGAATACACACATATCGTTAACTAACTGACTGTGTGTAGAGGACGCAGAAGCAAGTTGCAAAGGTCCATCGCCGCCGTAGAGTGACTGCGGGTGTCATCGCAGGTGCTCTACTGGCTTGTCTGGCGGTGCCACTTGCCTGGAACTCCGAGACTTTTGGATTTGAAATGCCGACTATGGCAAAGAAGTTTGGGGCGAGACTGTATGATGGGATTTGGTAGAGCTGGATAATTGGGTCGCTTCCTTGGAGTAAAACTCTGGATGGAAAGATACGTACAGTATGAGCATGTGGTTGATGTTCATGACGATGTTGTTATTGATCATGTTGGATTCCGTCTTGGTCATTTGTTAATAGTTTAAAGTCATTAATAATAATAATCCATATCCTTAATATGCTGCTTTGAATCAACCTTAACATAAAACATCACTTTCTCAAATTACATGCGTTGTCTTTGCTGGAGAAGAGACAGGAGGCCATATCACATGTCCCCATCTTGCCCTAGTATCATACAATTCACCAGCCTACAGGCCTTTTGGGTCTCTATAATCTTAGCTATCCATGAGGAAAGGTATGTTTCGGCCTCAAGGTAAAAAATTGTCATGATGTACCCTAAACGAATGCTAGATACACATCGAGGTTTCTTTTCCATCATTCCCATACTCAATCATTTCACATCTCCACAAAACGTATCCATCACAAATCTTCCCTTCATCATCATCATGCATCATTCCATCCATAAATCCATAACCGTAATCAGGCATAAGCATCGATGCCCCGCTGGATATGCTTGGCAATACCAGCGGACAACTCCTTGGCCAGATCCTTCAGCGCATCAGGAACCTGAGCGGTAATAGCATCCGCAAGACCCTGCGCGGACTCCTTCTGCGCCGTCAGCGAGGCCGCCACCTTCTCGGACAGAGTATCCTTATCAAAGTTCGGCTTGGCAGCGATGACAGCGTCAACAAGACCACCCACATCGTCGGTGAGGGTCTCAATAGGCTTGACGATGGCGAGCGCATCAGTCGAGCTGAGGGGGTCGAATCCCTTGACGCTGGTCGTGCCGGTGTTGATCACCTCGTTGAGCTTGTCGGAGGCAGTCACGACGGCATCTCCCTTGGCAGAGCCGCCCACGTAGTCGGCGACGGCCGTGTTGACAACCGCAACCTGATCGCTGACGGTCGCGATCACGCCCTTGTAGTCATCGGCGCCGCGCTTGGCGATGCGGATGGGCTCGGCGACGCTGGTGCCGATGAGGCCGAGGGTGAGGAGGGTGGTGAAGAACTTCATTGTGGTGGTATATAAAAGGATTCTTGCGAGACTGAGGAAGGCTTTTGTTTCTGTCTTGTTCTGGAGATTGATTGTTGATGATCTTCTCAATGGGTGGGTTCTGAAGCCCTATTTATACCTGTCCGTCTGGAGTCCGCTCCATCGTCGAGGCAGATGCTACCGCGGTATACCCCACCGCTCAATCCCACCCCTGCACGCTCATATTTCGATGCGATTCTGCAAGGCAATTGCTCATGTAGGCGCCACCAAACCAGGACATCTAAGATGACAGCCTCGGGAGACTCACAAGAATAAGCCCCAGTCACGACATGAGGACTTCACATGCCGCACAAAATGCAGCTGAACAGCATCTTATTCCCTCTCAATGCCTTCTACGCGCCTCGGCGGATCAATCTTACCAAGCCACCAGCGAAGAACAACCCAGCACAAAGAGTCCGGCATCCAGCGAAGCACGGGACAGCCCAGAAGGAGCCAGCCTTGGCCGTGAGTAAGTCCGCGAATGAGAGGGTTTCTGCAAGGGATGTGGACGGTTGAATCACCGCGATCGCGCAAGCCACCCCCGCCTCTCGATATTAGGCGGATGTCACCCTATGTGGGCTGGGGGTTGGTTTTATATTGCCCGCTGGGATCGTCATCCCCGGATTCTGTTCTCGTCATTCCGGGCGCGAGCGCGAACTAGACCGTCTTGTTTCCCCGCATTTGTGCCGATTGTTCGCCCTTGGCGACTGTTTACCCCTGGTCTTTGCTGTTTATGTCAAACTTGTTGTCGGGTATTCCAGCGCTTGGAGAGGCCCGGGTATGTCATTGGTTATAGATGCATGACTAGTTGGATTGATACGAGGATCACGGATGTTACTCGGTTTTTAGTAGAGGGACCTAGTCTTATGTCTCAAGGAGGTCACATACACAGTCGGACTGATATTGCCAACTTTCTCTAGGGCAAACAAGCTAACAATAGTCATTGTTGCCGATGGTCGCGGGATGTTGACTCGTCCGTGCCAATTGATCTAACGTGAGCTTACATCTGACTGTAACAGCTTACTCTATTCTGCAGAAATGTTGCGTTTTCGGACCTATAAGCCCATACCGATTATGATTATTTTTTTGTAGCAAAGCTGCCTCAGCCTTTGCCTCCCTATGTAGGTGTAGGGAATAGTAACATATTATAGTACAAAAGCCACAATATCAAGACAATCCCAAGACAGTATCCAAGATCATATCAAGCTGTGTCATGATATACCGAGTATCAGTCGACAGAAGGTCAAGATCCAACAAGCCAAATATTAGGTTTTCAATAAAGAACGGTCAAGGTATGGAAGTCCATCGCGAGGCAGAATCATTCCGTCCGACAAGTTTACTTGCTTGAGGGCTTACCACCACCCTGCTGGCCACCACCAGATCCGAGGAGAGCAAGAACGACAACACCGCTTCCGGCCATTGTGAAGATCTAGGTAGCTAGTTAGATTGGTTCATGGTGTTTTTCCTTTGTTCTTTGTTTCAAAAGGTCGAACTCACAATTGAATGTTCAGCGCGAAGCTGTTGAAAGTAGAAAGTTTGGAGGCTGAAGGAGCTTGTTGGCTTTGAGATCTTGGAGATTGATGAAGAATAAAAAACCAATCCAGAGGGTGATCTGACGGGGTATTTATAGACAAATTGAGGCCTAATGACTGCCAATCTGCCCAGTATCAGTTGGTGAAGGCGCTCATTCAAGGCCGGGTGTTGACATCAACAGCGGGTACGGACCCACCCGATCGATCGATCGATCGCTTCCACGCTTCCCCGACCGTCCCAAGCGCTTCTCATATCCACTCCCAGATTCTAGCCATACGACTTCACTGTGGAGAGTTCGACCCACGGAGAGCGCACCGGTAGAGTCATAGCCATTGTATTTTGCCCGATCTAACGTCCGCGTTAGGTAATCCTGCACGCACTTCAATATCATATCAATGTCATTGTGCTGGACAATTCCCCGCTTCTATGGCCTGTGTGTAGCATCGTTCGTACTGATATTGCGATATTCAACGCAATCGCTACGCCTTGACGTCAGACTCGGAGATTGGGCGATCAATCGGCTTCCTTGCACAGTGGTCTCTCGTGCCCTTTTGCCATCTTCAAATTCGAAGGCTCGCCACTCGTGGCCATTAGTTGATCTAGGTTGTACGTGATGAGTATCGTGTGGCGGAATCATGGCGACATCCACATTCCATGACGTTTGGTCCATTGAAGAAGGGTAGCAGTCGGTATTAAGGCCATGATGATGAGACCCCCGATCCATTCATGCGACTTACCCCGAGTCAACTCTCACAATGTACACTTTCCTAGACATCCCCTTGTTGGGCGTGCTTTGTTACTCCCCTAGGATGAACAGGGGGTGCTCATTTCCCTCCAACGACCATTGTCAAGATGCTAGAGCTAGCAATCGCCTCTCGTCTCGAAAAGGCCGTGGGTGATATCGAGGAGGTCATGCAAATATGCCAGGCCCCTTCTATATCGTTTGGCGTGGTACACAAAGGAGAGGTAGTCCTCAGGAAGAGTCTCGGACTTAGAGATGTCGAAGGCCAGCTGGAGGCAAATCCAGACAGCATCTACATGCTGGGCTCATGCTCGAAGATGTTCACGGCCGCCGCGGTAGGGCATCTCGTCGCCCAGGGAAAGATGGACTGGCTGGATCTCGTCCAAAAGCACCTGCCGGAGTTTGATCCCATCGGAGATCCAGATATTGGGAAACAAGCAGACATAATCGACACGATGCGCCATTCCACGGGTCTCTCGGATCCAATCGGCCTATATCTCGGGCCCGGCAACACGGTTCTCGACGACGACGAGGGCTTCATTGAGGTGCTCAACCAGATGCCGACAAGCAACGACGAAGGACAGCGGTTCAACTCTTACTGGATGTATAACAACGGAGCATATGGCCTGGTATCGAAAGTCGTGGAGAGAGTCGCACGCGCCCGCTTCTCGACCTACGTGAGAGAAAACGTCTTCAAGCCATTAGGAATGACTCGGTCTGCCGTGACCAGGTCGGACATCGACGGGAACATCGCATACCCTCACGTTCAGCTGGATGATCAAACTTTCACCAAGCTGCCATATCAATTCCTAGGATGCGAAGAGAATAACCCGATGCTCGCGGTCATGGGTATGGGCGCCTCGCTGAACGACATGCTGACGTGGGCCACTGCCATTCTCTCCGCTGAGCGACACGAGCAGCAACAATCCACCGAGGATGAGGCCAGTTCCGACCAGGAGGGATCACCGACCAGCGTTTCCAATGGGTCATCATACAGCTCCCCTGGACGAACAACGCCTAGCCCGCTCAAATACGTCAGCAAAGTCCGAAAAGCCTACTACACAAGGCCAACCAAAGACCGGTTCCAAAATGAGGCAGCCTACTGTATGGGCTGGCTCCGGTTAACAATGCCTTCGTCATTACTCGGAGAACTCAGCTTCAACACCATGACAAAGCCAGACAGCGAACCATACATGCTCGGCCAGGAATCCCCACAACGTCTCGCGATCGGCCACAACGGTGGCGTGATGGGATCTCTATCCGCCATCTGGACGTTCCCCGAGACGGACAGCGCCGTAGTCGCCCTAGCCAACGGCCGCAGCATCGGCGACGCGGCAGATTTCACGGCACAGATCTTGATCCAAGCGCTTTTTGACCTCCAGCCAAAAGTTGACATTGTCTCGTGGGCGCGGAAAGAGCGAGACCTGACACACAAATGGTTTGAAGAGAAGTACTTGCAGCCATGGCGGAGCAGAGATCTCTCAAACCATGACATTCCCCGCCGAGACAGCTCTGCCTATGTGGGTCGGTACCAGGGTTTCAACGGCACATATACCTTCAACATAGTTCCCCAGCCGCCCGAAAAGCAATCGGAGACGGGATCCCAGCTGGCCATGGCCTTCAAGCACAGTGATCCAGACACAATGCGTCCTCTGTACTTCGCCGATACAGATGCGTACACATTCTTTCCGGGGTCGTGGAATCGCTGGCTTGTCGACTCGATGCCGTCCCTGGCATACGAGTCCTCGGTTTTGAGGTTTAAGTGGGACGAAGCACGGTCTAGGATAGAAGGTCTCTGGTGGATTTGTGTAGATGAAAAGCCATCGTGGTTTTCACGCGTGGAAGAGCAATGAAATGCACTTAGAACTTATCTTACTCTTCCTCGGGTAATTTGACAACGTGTCACCGATCTCCATGCTTTCCCCAAGCTCAACGACCGGAAATCTGCAGGTTATTCGTAGTGGTATTCAAAACACAATACATACAGCCTAGGACAAGATAATGTCAATGTTATATAAAAGATCCTAAGGAAACGCCATTCACTCTACAATTCAAGCTTAATCCAACATAAGACCCCTCTGCGGGTCCACTGTTCTCAACCTCACCTGTACATGTTGCGACGCCTGCTCCATCTCAGCCGCGGTATCCGTGTTCAAGGGCCGCCTAACTTCACTCTCGCCATCAGGAAGACCATAAAAAAGCATAGGGGGAATAGGCGTAGATGACGGCAAACCGACTATCCAAATTAGCCACACTTGATGTTATTTTTATCTGTCAATTTGCAATCCTGCCAGTCTCTCAGGCGTTCAACTCATGTTGGTGCCTGTTAGTGCCTGAGGCATATTTATGCTGATCTCATCGAGTATTATAATGCCGATCTTCGATGCCTCAGGCAAACAGGATAAGTCAACTGACGCCGCTCAGAGCAAGCCAGCTTGTAAGTCCTACCTATAATACATCAGTAGGCTAAAAGCGCTTCTTTTCTCACAATATGAGCGTTCTCGAGTCGCGCCTATGTAGTAGTGTCTGATCTATACTGCGTTCAATCGCGAAGGTGAACCGACGCTGGACCACTCTTTCCCCTACAGTGGAACCAACAGGGCTGACTTGCAGAGATTTTTGCGCTTCGTCTATCTTCTTGGACTAATATAGCTGTATGTATCGAATATAAGTTCCTGGATGCCTATTTATAGTAAGTATGCTTGAGTGGCCATCAGGATAAGCAGCTTGGTATTGTATGGATATTCTGTTGGAAGTGGGAGACGGCCTGCATCGTAGATCACGAGGCCATCATCCCCCTTTGCAGATTGTCTATGTAAACCCAAGACTAGACTTCGGTCCAGTTGATTACTTCTTATCTTGGGCAAGATCTGACCTCCTGTATATCTGCCTCTAGCAGAGATGCCTACGCACATACCATCACCCTCAGCACGATCCGTATAGACCAGAGTGTTGTACAATGAGAGAATGATGCGTCAAGCGACTAGGAATCAAGGCAATCAGGATATGGCGACGACAAAAAATTCATTAAGATAGAGGGAATCCGATTTTTGATTTTCATTTCATCAAGACACATCTATTTTTCCATAGATGTACCATGAACGCAGGTTGGGTCCCCTCTTTTCTCGAGTACTCCGGACCTCCCGCTGCTATGACCATATGAACATAAAACCTCAGAAAACATCCTTTAAGCCGACTTGCTCTTGACAGCCTCACGACCCTTGCCGATGCGCTCGAGGATCTGCTCACGGTCCTTGTCGAGGTGGAGCTTGGTGATGACGACGTTGGAGGGGGCGAGAGGGGTGGGGACGCTCTGGCCGTTGCCCTTCTCGCGGGCGATGCGCTCGACGTGGATGCACCACTTCAGACGGTAGACGCTGGTGACCTTGCCCTCGCGACCCTTGTTGCTACCGCGGACAACGGTGACCTCGTCGTCCTTGCGGATGGGGATCGAGCGGACCTGTGAAAGCGACTGCGTTAGAATGATCTGTGATTGGGTCTTCAAATGTCCGCCATCCTTGCTTCCATCTTCCTTGTTCCATTTTTCAATTTCTGATTGTTTTCCGGTCGGCTTTCCTCCCACTCCCTACGGGCCCAGCGAGTCTGATCCCCAGTCCGGGAGTGGTTCTGCCAGATCCATCCAACCTTCGAGAGATTTGCAAATTCACACCGGTAAAATTCGAACGTACATTGTACTTGGCCCGGAGCTCGCGAGACAGAGGAGCGGAGAGGATGACACGTCGTTCCGAGGAAGGGGCGTTGAAGTGGGCGGCGCGCGACTTCCGGCGCGAAGAATGGAGCCCTGAAAACCACGCCTGTCAGTATACCATCTCGTAGCCGGTCGAAATCGCCGAATTGACGAGAGGAAAAAAGTCACGCACCGCGGTTCATGACAGTCATCTTGATAAGAGCCTCCTAAAGGGGATCGTGGAAGAACTCGAACGGGGGTGTCGTCGTGAGGTTTGTCGGGAAGGTCGTCGTCGGGAAGAGTCTGAATGTTCCAGTTTGGTGTGGCCGAAAATATGGGTTGTGCGTCACATGACCCTCCGCCTCGCCTAGCGCCGCATCCGACCTTCTGATTGGGTGGGCGGATCATCCACCGAGCCTTTCAACTGACCTCGACCTTTATCTCCAGTACTATAGTAGGTAAGAGTTAAGGCTTTCTTGATATCCTGTAGATTTCCTACAGGTATCGATCATAATGAGGTTACTGGGTTGTCTACTCAAATTTTCCAATCGGATTTGCACATGACTACAGTAGAATGTCATATATGCCACTCACAATCTACCCCATTATATCCAGACCACCCAGTACCTAGAAAAACTAGATAATTCCCACTCCCAGAAGTACATTGGATCCTTCAGTAAAATATAGGCAAAAGATGTGTATATATTCTATGCGGTACTAAGACTCAAGACCCACAGTGGTCATTCGGGAACCTTGTAGCCAAACTGACATCCAACGCTTTACCACACTCGCACGTAATACTTTATATGCCCAATCACAGCTATACATAATTCCATCCCAAACCAGTGAACGCTATGTAGAAGCTCCGTACAGGCAGAATTATCTTCCACTATGCACACCCGACAGTTATGTTCTGATATTCCTGACAGCCAGATCTCCTTCCCGATTGCTGCAACTCCCGCGCCCCACAGGCTCTATGGCAATATCATGCTGTCTAGTCTTTTGAAGATCAAGATGGATGGATATGCACATACATCAGTCGATGCATCAGTCGATGATCATAAGTGAGGAGCAGGAAGAAAGAATAAGATTCTAGAGATTAATCGAGTTCTTGCGCGGGTGTTGTAGTAAGTCACCCTACTGCTTCCTCGTTGCAACAATATATATAATCCAACTTCTACTGTAGCTGTTGGAGTATGAAGATGGCACTAATAGCGATCAAGAGGGGTTTCGATTACATTGACCCTCAGATATTATGTTCAATAAAATTGGAGCATCATAGTACAGTTTTTATCAATAGATAGATATACTTGGTCACATCAGCTGCCAATGTATGAGTGATCATGTCTTTGCTGAGCATGGTTTGTTCGGGGAAGTTGGTGTTTGAATATGGAACAAACATGTTTGTACTGTATGTACTGTTTGTTGAATTCCCGTGCTGATAACACTAAACCTATTCTTATCTTGCCTCTTCACCAGCTTCACCGACTACGTACAGTACGTAGTTTCCCACCGGATGGGTACGATTATCAAGCATGGACTGCACCTCAGCACCCACCTTGAGATCCAATGCATCAGAAAATTCGTGAAAATATTGTCAACCAGTTGACGTGTTATGGACATCGGAATTCTCACGACTAGTGGTGGCATTGGCTACAAGACGAGTCGCCCTAGGTCTTCTGGATAGATGGTTTCGACAACCATATCGTACAGCGAACCCCATTATCGCATGATCAATTCTAAACCAGGTTCTCTTTCAAGGGGTGGTGGCTATACATCTTCTTCCACAGGCATATGGATAAAACCTAGCTGTTTCGGCCGACTTTGCTCCATCCACCGTCCCAAGCAGTCAAGGGTAGATGCGCCTATGTGCTTAGACAACTTCAAATGGCCCGACCAGAACACCGTAATCGCCCCGGCTGCAGTAGAAAGCATCTAGGCGGCTCAGTCCTAGGTAATCCGCGCTAGTACCAGCATTTTCCTTAAAATTATTGCCCGAAAAAGCAGGTGTTGACTACATCATTGGATTGACCGCGTATATTCCAAACTGTGCCGGCTTCCGATGTTAGGTAATAGAGGCCAATGCAAGTAAGTGGCGATGCTCTCCTGTTGGGAACAGAGGCCTCTCAAGGTATTTCAGTTTCTCCTGCATCCTGGCGGGCGATATTCTTGCAGTAAGGCACGATGTGGTTTGGGTCCGGATTTGCCAAATTATGTACATGCACATGCCGAGAGAAAGTCTAATATTAGTATTCAGTACTCCAGCATTCCTCCCTAGGAAGTGGCCAATCAAAAACTGTTAACCTATGAGCTGGTTATATTTGTCCTCGCTGGGTGGTCGTGTAGCCTGGGTGGCTGACGCCTTCTGGTATGAACCTGTCCCCAACGCATTCCACAGAAAAGTCCGAGATCTATGACAAAATGGCAGTAGAGGCATTCTCGCCGAGGATGCATACCGACTGGCCGTTGGGATTTCCAAAAGGTTCATACACCGAACAGTTCGTGGAATTCTAATGGAAAAGCCATCGTGATTGGATTGGCGCAGTAGGCCTACCCGTGTTGGTGAAGGGAACGCATGAAGGGGCAGATGGTTGAGGGCCCTTGCCTTGACCAGCCAGCCACAGTACGTTTGTTTATCTTGCAGCAAGAGTGATAAAAGTGCATCGACTTGGTGCTACCCACAAAGGTATAAAATGGAGCCAATATCCCGCACTATCCTCCCAATCATCCCAACAATCAACCAGTCTTTTCTTCTCTCAAACGCTCTCTACCAATTTCAATTCACCGAGCCCTCGCTCCGTCAAACTTCAAGATGAACCTCCGCTCGCTCCTGCTCTACACCTCGCTCTTCGGGGGCATCATGGCAACCAAATTCACCATTACTGCCGAGGACCTAAAGAACTCGGAAGGTGTCACTGATGCCTCCCAGTTGCCGGAAAACGTGCACAATTCCCTTAAGACCCATGGCCCCTGCTGGATTGGCGATGACTGTGCTCGAGTAAGTGACCCATGTCGTTTGTCGCCTCCCGAAAACCGATATTTTGAGTGGTAGAAAGAAAGCTAACAGGCGTGTGTGGTATTTAGCGTGGCTGCTGCTTGCGGGTAAGTTTTGCTCCGCAGAGCTCAAATCCAACCTTCCTGACCCCAGACTGATTAATGTGTTTGACTGAATAGGGTGGTCGCCTCCCCGTCGGAATCTGCCAAGTAAGTGAAACCCGCTCGTTGATTGTCCCAACAGATCCCTGCTTGGCTGACTTCTGCAAATAGTGCTAAATGCCTTGATTATTTCGTTTTCTTCCCGGGCGACGCCCCGTTTTGGACGAGCGTTAGCGCGAAGACTTGGTATTAGTATAGGTTTTTGGGTCTCTGATAGACGAGGTTTTCCCCTGTACCGTAGTGCGAATGCAAATACCACTTTATCATGTCACAAATACCGCATAAGTCAGTTAACAGAGGCGAGGAGTAATGTAATAGAATCGTACTCGCATGTGCTTTAAATTTAGTCGACAGCTCTCGACTGACAGAGATGAGACTGCAGAAGGTATGAAATACTGTGAGCTTACTGTATGCTGCATGAATATGCGTGATCTTATTCACGTTAGTATTAGAGAAGAACCAGGAATAGCTATTCTTAACAAGTGGCTGACAGGATAGCTATACCATTAGAAACAGGGAGCACCGTTCTTAAGTAAGATTCACCACGAGATGCCCAGAAATGAGATCAAAGTTTGCTCAAATTACCAGCTCCAGTCCTAATTGAAAACATTGATGCTCCCCTTGCATGCTCTGCAAGGGACCCAGTTGCTATCAACCGGTAGTACTAAGTCCTGAACATACAGAGGTATCCGCATTGAGGTATATGGACCCTGTGGATGTGACAGAAGTCTCCCCCCTTTTCATAGAAGGATGATCTTTTGTATGTATAGAGGTATCAGGGCTTCTATTATTTTCCGCGATTGTGGCGCATGGGCTGTAGCGTCTATTATGTCGGGAGAATGAAACTCGAGATGAGAATTAGATAGAAATGGTCAAAGTAGGCAAAATAGTGTATATGTTGTGGATCGTCTTGAGTTTGCTTTAACCTGTGATAATAAATTCCGAGAAGAGAGAGAGAGAAGTCCTAGGAGAACCAGCAATGGATACCTTAAAAGCCGTAGGACAAGGTATTGAGTAACAAGGGCTCAAAGCATTGCTAGGAGGTCTGATCAAAAAGATGAACCATTGCATATTTACTCAATACCAGTGACTGCCAGAAGTTTATGCAAAACCAAGCATGAAGAATCTCTCCAGTGGGAAACCCTAACCGCAGATCCATCCCCAACCACATCCGAGCGGACCGAGCCAACCCCGGATAATCGGCTATACATCTACCATGTGATGGCTTGACTGGCGGGGAAGTTTAGGTCGAACCAAAGTTCATATTCGTACATATATTCAAGTAAAGTACACTGTAGGCTAATACATCGCGTTTTACAAAACATACTGATCAGTAAAGCACAATGGCTTCCAACACCCGTATGGAACCCCTCAGCTAGCGGTGTCGCATGCTAACTGGAAGAAGCAACACTCAGAACCGCAGCAACCGAGTTACTGGGGATTAAACACCCTGTCCTCCTTGCCGGGATGTTCTCCGTGTCATCACCGAAGCTGGCAGCGGCAGTGACGAACGCCGGTGGACTGGGCGTCTTCGGAGGCGCCGTATACACGCCAGCCGCCATGCGCGAAGCACTGGCGGAACTGAAGGACCATCTACACGACAAGAACGCGCCTTTCGGAGTCGATCTGCTTACTCCCAAGGTCGGCGGAAATGCCCGCAAAACCAAGTACTGTACCGCCAGACAAAATATCCCCCGCCGAGACACCCAGCGTGACGAAAATGCTAACCGAGGCCAGCCACGACTATACCCACGGCAAACTCGACGAACTGATCGAGATCATCATCGAAAGTGGCGCTAAGCTATATGTCAGCGCCGTAGGACTACCGCCCAGACACGTCGTTGACCGACTGCACCAGGGCGGCGTACTCTACATGAACATGATCGGACACCCCAAGCACGCGCAAAGCGCAATCAACAACGGGGCGGATCTGCTCTGCGCGCAGGGCGGCGAAGGCGGCGGCCATACGGGAGACATTCCGACGATAGTCCTCATTCCAGCCGTTCGAAAAATCATCAACGGGCAGAAGAGCAAGTTCACGGGTAAAGAAGTCGGGCTGATTGCTGCGGGGGGGCTGTTTAACGGGCAGTCGCTAGCCGCGGCGTTGATGCTAGGAGCCTCGGCCGTGTGGATCGGGACGCGATTCATCCTGGCGGAAGAGTCGGGGGCGTCGAAGTACCATCAGCAGATGCTTGAGAAGTCAGGGTTTGGGGATATCGTGCGAACAACGATTTTCACAGGCCGGCCGCTGAATGCGCTTGATACGCCGTATATTCGTCGGTGGGAAGGAGAGCGCCGCCAGGAGATGCTCGATTTGCAGGCTAAGGGCATTGTCCCTGTCCAGCATGATCTTGAGTCCAAGCCTGACGATGATGATCTTTTGGACAGTGCGCATGTATTGCCGATGGGGAAGGTGGCTGGGATGGTGAACAGTGTTCAGCCTGCTAAGCAGATTGTGGAGGATATGGTGCGCGAGGCTTGTTCGATGCTGTCGGGGGGTTATCAGATGATGGGGAAGTTGTGATCTATGAAATATGTAAATGTTCTTCACCTCAATGTCCAAATAATGTCTTTCAGGGCGCGTCCGTAGGGTTACGAACGGCGATGTCTCTGCAGACGAATCCTGACATCTGCCAAAATCTACTCATTCGACAGATTTTCTCGAACTCACATTGATGCCGAGGTAAAGTCGAGTGTCCTCATAGACTATGTATGGATCTATCTTTCACAAAGAAAAAATCTATCTACGCAATATTGTCCACCGAGCGCATGGTCCTGTGGCATCGATGATGGATGTCACATAATCGATTGTCAATCCCTTCAGTTCACCTTGTCAAACATTTCAGATCAGGCAGCATTTGTAATTCTGCACCGCAATTGACACAACTGACAAGGCCAAACAGCTGAGTTGGGTCTTGGGTGTAACTCGACGAAGTCTCAAGTGTTGGGATGGCCGCTATATCGGAAGGATTACATCTAGTAGAGCTTCGGATACCCTAGAAGAACGGATAGCTCATGATGCGAGCGCATAACAGAGTCCATCCCCTGTGTCTGAGTGACGATCTGGTCCGTTGTGTTTGAGGCCTTCGGACTTCTAAGACTGGATGATGTGTTGTTTTTGGGCGGATTGTATGTGGTGCCGATACTGAATGGCGCATAAGCAACTAAGTTACCTGCCTCCGGAGACGCCAGTATTGCCATTTCAATACGGAGAGAGTTGGACAAAAAAAAAAAAAAGAAAAAACTTTATAGGGCTGGCCAAGTGCTCGTGACTTCAGACACCTGAGGCCACAATCATGTGCCGCAAGTGGGTCGAATGAGTAATCAATGCGGGGCATACGTCCCACCGCCTAGTCTACCGCTGTATTCTGCCGGTCCTACCATCGGCTTCTTTGTTGTCCTCAAATCTGAGGCCATGACTTCGACAACATTACTCCTTTTCTATACTATCTGAAATCATGCCTCCTCACGAAGGTCTAGTTCATCCCAAAGAGTACGACATCAAAGACAGCAATGTGGAGCTGATTGGATCCGACCTCGACCACCGCGTCAAATACAACTCCGCCGCCAGCGAACCGGCCTGGAACAACGGCAAGATCGGGCAGGAACCGGGACTCTTCATCTGGCGGATCGAGAACTTTGAGGTCATTCCGTGGCCTAAGGAGCGTGCGGGGGAGTTCTACGATGGCGACAGCTACATCGTGCTGCATTCGTACAAGGTCGGAGACAAACTGAGCCACGACGTCTTCTTCTGGCTAGGCAGCAAGACAACGCAGGACGAGGCGGGCACGGCCGCCTACAAAACAGTCGAACTGGATGAGTTCTTGCACGGTGCAGCGACGCAGCACCGCGAGACGCAGGACCAGCCTTCGGAAGAATTCCTGTCGCTCTTCCGCCAGGTCTTTATCCGGTCGGGCGGCGTGCGCTCGGGATTCACGCATGTGGAGCCCGCTGCCCCGAAGGAGGTGCTAACGCTGCTCCGCATCTTCAAACACCCACGCGCGAGCCGCTCAATCATCGTGTACGAAGTCGAGCCGACATGGGAGAGCCTCGACGAGGACGATGTCTTTGTGTTGGATAAGGGTGATAAGATCTGGGTGTGGCAGGGTAAGAGCTGCAGCCCCATGGAGAAGGCCAAGGCGGCCCAGGTGGTCAACGACATGATACTAGCGAAGCACGTTGATGTCGAGGTTCTGTCGCAACTCGAGTCGCGTTCCAGCGTCATCGTGGGCCTGCTGGGTGGTCGAGAGGCGAACCAAACCGCCTTCCGAGCCCCGCGGCCGGGGCGCTTCTCTAAGCAGGCGACGGAGGACATTCAATCTCGACCGCGGAAGTTGTTCAAACTCAGCGATGCCTCAGGAACAATGTCGTTCGACCTTGTCAAAGACGGGCAGCGAGTTAGCCAGCGTGATCTTGATGGAAATGATGTCTTCCTTTATGACGCCGGTAATACGCTGTGGGTCTGGCAGGGCCAGGAGGCCAGTGAGCGAGAACGCGCGTTGTGGCTCAAGGTGGCCCAGCACTATATCCGTCAGCTCCAAGAATCCATCCCAGACGCGTACCTCACCCCGATTGCCAAGGTCGTGCAGGGGTATGAGGGTCCTGGGTTTTTGAAAGCACTCGAAGCGTAAACCACTTTGATCGTTGCTATCTTGAAAATATCGAACGCCTCCATCTAGTACAGCAAATCTAGAAGATTCTTTTGATACAACTGGATCACAGCTGGACTCAAGTCCCAGACAAACAAATTAGATTATTATTCCGTCCATTCAAAATACATGTCATGCTCTGAAATGACAGAAAGGGGAGAATCCTGCAGAGGTAACAGTGTCCATGAAAGAAAATCCTTGAAACTTTCAGCGTCAATTAGCGTGTTTTACTGTTTCGTTTTATGACTCGCTGTCCGACCAGTTGGTCGCGCGTGTTGGCACGGGATATGAAGGCATATGAACCGACGAGCTCCTTATTCAATCAACTCCTCTTCGACAAGCACAAGCTCCCCATTGATATTTCCAATACGTCTCGCCAGCTCGATATGTCTCGGTTGGAAGACCCCCGAATCATCGAGGAGCTCAGCGTGAAGGATAGGCACTCGTCTTGGCCCTTCTCTGGACACTCCGACGCTCCGGGCACTTTGGGTAAAGTTCTGCCCCGTCCAGGAGAAATTTCCTAAGTTGCGGAATAGTTACCTAGCTGTAAGTGCAATGATACTGATGAAAAAGACCAACCGTTCTCATTTCCCAGAAACTCATCGAGGACAATGTCGCTCGTCAGACCAGAGCCCTCTTCGTTGTTGCAAATGGCAACGAGAGATGTTGATCCCCCGGGACTGGGGATGACTTCAATTTGGCAGGCGCTGTCTTGGAAAGACATGATTACTATATTGAGGTGATGTGTTCGAAATATCGCGTTCCTTCTGCTCAGCAAGTGGCCGCCTTGGTCTTAAGTCCTACTTATGAGCAGCACTATTAGAAGGAGATGGTTACGTATTGATGACGCACAGAGAGTACTTCATAAATCATATTTCTTCCTTTCTTGGGGAGACATTTACTTGATCTGGCGCCACTGTAAGGTGGGATGATCGCTGAATAATGTGGATATATCTGGAACCACGGAAACGACTCCACAAACCTGGGGTAAGCTTTTGTAGTCCCATAGTTACATCAAGAAGCTTTGAGCCCATCTTCATTGCTGTATAGTTTTGCTAATGGCTTCACGGATGAGTACATTCTCAGAGTACAAACATAGGATCTACAAAGTGTGCCACACTACAATCTGAAGAGAAGGAAAAAAGAAAAGAGGAGATGAGACATAGATAACACCTACGTTTATTCAAGACAAAACCAACTCCTAAGTCCTATTCCTATCCCTATCCCTGAAAAGCCACTCCAACAGCCAGCTTCACTTATTTCTCGCGCATATGCCACTCATCCAACGCCGCCATTGCAGAATCCAAGTCTTCTCTAAAGGTCCCAATCTCGGCAAGCCGGAGGCTCTGCGTGCAAGCCTCAAGGTCAGCATCGACTTTATCGACATGCTCCTCAACATTACTCTCGGCATCCGAAACACGCTCACGGGAATAAACCGCCATGTAGAACCCGGACGGGCGGGGGTCGCCAGCGTCAGGCCAATCCCGAAGGAGCCCTTCGATGTGCAACTCAGCCAGCGCAGATGCACCTTCAATGTCACCATGCTCTGTCACAACCTCCAGCGCGACCTCGCCGTCACGGGCATCCTCGCCGTGACGATCCCATTCTTCTGTGGAGGTGAACACCCTTACGTCCTCGTGGGCTCGGAGACACTTGAGACAGTTCAATAGCATGATGGGGGTGCATTCCTCGATGCCGGGGCGAAGACGGAAGACGAAGTAGAAGATGTGTTCTTTGGGATTGCTCGTGATGGAGTTGCACATGTTGGAGTCGCTCATGTTGGTATCGTCCATGTTGGATAGTGGTTAGGATGGAGTCTGTGAGGAGGGTTAGTATTTCTCGAGAACGCTTGTTGGGGGAATAGTCAACCCCTTGGCTCGATGGTAGTTTGATGACTGGATCTGTGAGAGTTGGAGAGGTGGTGTGAATTATGGATTGGGCTGTAGGAAGTGACTTATATACCTGAAGATATGGACACGTGCAGATACACTCATGACCTAGCGTCTTAAGCCCATTGTGAGTAGTGCTATCTTGAGGCAACTCGCGATGCCGTCATTATACTCGCTGTGGGGCATCCAGGAGTCGGATGAAAGAGAAACAAAGAAGGACTCAAGTGCATAGTCTGTAACAGACGGCTGCCTTGTTCCACTATAACGACACGTAGACTGACACAAAGCAGAACAAGTAGTCTGGATAAGAGGACAAGACGAACAAAGGGTCATTGTGTTAAGACAAGTCTTTTCAACTTGGTTTGCTCCATTGTCTGCCTGTGCGTTCATTCTAGGGCTATCCTATCCGTCTGAAAAAAAAAGACATCGTTATCGGCCTGATATGCGGATCATCGTGTATGTGGTGTGGTATATGAAGTGCGGTATCTGGTACTGCTGAGAATAACCCATTGTCCTAAATGGATTATCAAGCCAACATATGCTAGATGGAGGGCTCAGCCCATGCGGACACGTATCCTCTAGCATAACCAAATTTTGGTATATATCCATATGCCCTGGGCAAACTCCAGGTTTAAAAATATCAACGCAGAGATCTTACATATCAAACCAATGAGTTGAGTTGATCAGGCACAGAAACAACCCTAGTTAACAAGAGCGAGAATCTAAGTTGACATCACCATCAACATGAAATGGAAGGATATTTTTACGGCAAAGCATACCCCGCTACGATTATTTGTAGTCAGTCTAATAAGTATTTTCACTTGAATTAACAAGCTTGAATAGTGGGATAAATCCGACGAGAAACAAAATGTCAGTAAAAAAAACCTCGAAACACCCAACCCAGCCCTAAGTCGCATACAACGCCTGTCCATTCCGTTCTAATTCCCTTGACCGTGAACCCAATTTTTCCATTAATGAATACACCATACCATCCCATTTTCCGTTCTCAAGGCGCCGTCTATCCAGGGACTAAATCGAACGCCTACCTTCTATACCAGAATCAATAATCAACCCGAGTCCGCTGCGCCATACAACCGAGACGAGAGCACCAGAAGAGAGGAAACTAGCACCAATCTATCAATACAGCCATCAACACATGCCCATCCTCATATACACTCCCCAGTATGCGCTATGTTACAGAGCATACAACGACGATCATTTACTTTCGTCATGGAGCGGGTCACGCGACGAGTCGGAGTATTAGGCGGAGAAGGCACTGGGATCGGTTCGAATTTTGGCATATAACTGGTCGCTGGCTCAGGTTCCGTGACTGATTTAGCCTTAGGCTGGGGAGGTGCGGTACTGTCTGGCGTAGGGGGCTGATACTTGACGCGGCGAAAGGTCGGCCTGGTAACTTTCAGGGCAGGGTGGCGGGATGTGGGCTCGCCGTCGTCGTCAGGATCGTCGCAGGGACGCCATGGGGGGATTTGGACCTCCACTTTGGGGTACTTGGCTTTGATGCTGTCGGCGACGGGGTTGATTTTTGTTTTTTTGACGTAGCTGACGTTGCTGGTGCTGCTGCTATCGTCCTCGTGGACGTCTTCGAGGTTGCGGCTGCCCCAGGCGGTGACCCAGAAGGTGAGGCCGGCGTAGAATTTTATTAAACTGTGGAAGTAAGCAAAGAGGAAGTAACCAGGAAGCATGATGAGATCCTGGGGCTCGCGAAGGAAGTAAGGGGTAAGCTTGACCATCTTTGTGCAGAAGATCCAGATCGCGAGGAGGGTGAGGTTTTGGACACTGCCGAGGGGGCTTTTGTAGAGGGTGTAAGCGAGGGCGGCGTCGTAGAAGAGCGCGAAATTGACGAAAGAGGTGAGGTAGACAGCGTAGACGCACCAGGGCTGGCGGTACCAGACAGTGCGGTCGGTAAAGAGACTGCATGAATTGCTCCGCCAGGTGGTGCGCACCCAGCGGAGACACTGAGAGAGGAACGTCGGGTAGGTGCCGAGAGTCGTCTCAATGAGGGCGTCGGGGCAGTACTGGATCTTGACCTTGTACCCGTGCGAGACGTTCCAGCGGGTGATATAATTGTCGTCATCGGCGTTCAGGGGGCCGAATTGACCGAAGAAGAAGCGCTCGTTGGTGAATCCAGTGAGGAAGGCAAAGCTCTTGATGATCTTGGTGCGGTGGGCAGAGGTGCGCCCGGAGACGACGAACACGCCCCCGTCTATCCCATTGGTCGCGCGGATCTCGAAGTTATGGCGCTCCAGGTAGATGGCTCCGAGCATGTTCCAGAAGGAGCGGAAGTTGAAGCCAGTTTCAGTGCGACGGACGCGCTTGTTGGTGCCGACGATCCCAACGCTGGGATCCTCAAACGGGGCGAGGATCGTAGGAAGGAATTTAGGGGATGGCCAAAATACATGGTCATCCAAAAGAACTGTAATTGCGGTATTGGCGACTTGCACGCCGTGGGCTACCTGGAGGCGCTTGTTAGCATGCTTGGTGGTCTGGACGCTGATGATGGTGTTGGGATATCGCGCTTGGATCGGGGCTATGATGCGCTTGGTCAAGGCTGTCAGCTTGTGTTCTACAGTGACGATTATGATGGCACCTGGCCGATTTTCCAAACACGAGTTGATGCACTCTTTGAAGTCTCTGTTTTCAGGGTCCACAGTGGGTAGGATAACAGTGCAGTCCGATGGATGCAGGGTAGGGCTCGAAGGCACTGGAGTTGGCTTGTACAAGTACCAGAATGAGAAGATGTGCACAATCAGACGGAGGTACCTGAATATAAATAGTCCAGTAAAAAACACTGCCTTTCGTTCTGACCATCCTTTTTTAGACTGGAACTCGAGATTGAGCGGGCGCGTTAGCGCTACCCAATTGCACCAGGCGTTGTTCAGAGGGCTGGGCAGGTAGCGCCATGTGTCAGATATCACTGGTGCGCTGAATACATACGAGACCAAAAGGGTCAGGTATGGTGATGTGAGAGCAAATGGCAAGAGAATAGATATGATTAGTCGGCACATCTTGTGCAATTGAAGTTGGTTATGAGATTGGATATGAGAAGAGAACAAAGAAAGCCCACAGACTATATATACTTGTCGGAATCAGTTGATGTTTGATAATCAGTGAGAACGTCTTGGAAAACGTGATGATATATGATTCTAGGCATCACAAAGAGCTGTATGATGAACATATTGAGTGCAATATCACTGATAAGACAAAGGAGCTGCTGTATCAAAGGATTTGTAGAGCAGAAAGAACAAGAAGCCACAAAGAATACATGGATATTGTAAGAATGATATTGGTATTTCTTTCACTCAATGCCATTCTATCACTTATTCTACAAAGAGCCATTATGCTTCAAAGGGGCGATCCATGGTTTGATATACATGGTAAACAAACACCCAGGAACATTGCTTTGTTATGCAACTCGCTCTATGACAATGACAAAGAATCATCCAATTGGGACCGAATTCTATCTAGGACGAGTATGATACAGGAGAGTATATGCTCACGACTCGAAGGCTACTTTCCAATGCTAAACGGATGTCATTGATACTGTCTGTAAACTCATGTTCGAAGGGCTTCCAGGGACTGGACATTTTACTACGATCCCAAAATCAGATCTTGGCGTAGAATACCCTGGCTCTAGCATGATCTTGGGAATAGATTATATGGGCCGTCCAATACCATGGATAGGAATGGCTTCACCGATGTATGCTATAATATCAAACACGGAAAGGCAATGGCTCACTCCAATGAGCTGCTTTGTTAGCTCTACCTTCAAGACGCTACATATTCTCTACTGCCTGTTAATCGAAGGTTTCTCAGCTCCATCTGTCGAAAGGTATACTCGATCCTTTTGCGGGCCTCATGTCAACCATGAATAGTCCCATTAAACGACAAACAACGCTCAGCAACAGACGATATCAACCACCCAGGAATACACACGGCGAAAACCAGCCAGCGACCTAGTCTACAAACAATATACTATATAACTCTATAAATAGACACAGGCAATGACAACCTCCGATGCAACCGTGTCATAATCTCCCCATCGGTACCATCCACAGAGGGTTTCATGCCGAAGTACGAGATGCAAATAACACAGCGCACGGCAGTGTCAACAAGGGCAAGGTCGTTGTACCAGCTATCTAGCGTATATGTAGACTTTGATACTTCTGGCTTGAGATTCTTTGTCTTCTCTGCAGTTCTAACATTTAATTCTATGTGGAAACTGATTACCTGCCACATGAGTCAAATAATTCATATAGAACTCAAGTCGCACGGGGTCTGCTCAATCAAGACACAAATTTCATCAGCCCATCAGCCCCAGATCTGCCGTATCGGTGATGTGAAACCTACTTGACACAGGACATGTAATTTCTCAGGTTTGACAGCTCGGGATTCGGCATGTCGAAGTCTGACATCAGAAGTTAAAATTGACCTTAGGGCACGCCCGGCTGTACGCTACCGCGGGTGAATGAAGCAAGGTTTTACAGCGCAACGCAGAATCTATCATAATGAGCTCAGATATACGAAATTAGTGTGCCAGGATTAGGCAATTATGAGTCTGCAAAATGAGCCAATTTCCACTATGGAGAACATATAAATGTGTTTCTCCCTGGAGGTCGCTCGAATTCTCTTACACCCATCTCTACCGCTACCTTACTGCGTGCCTCTACCAGGTACTTCCTCCCATCAAAACCAGTACAATTTTATCTCCAAACTTCTCAAAACAAACAGCCTACTTCTGTCTGGAGCTTTAAACACCAACCAGGAAGATGAAAGTCATCTCGATCCTCCTCGTGGCCACCACCGCCCTCGCCTCCACCTGCAACATCAGCGCTTTCCGCTGCCAGAACCGCAACCCCGTCTACGCCGGAAACAACACCTCATTCACGGCTAGTATTTGCAAGCAGCTGGACGGACATCTCTGTGGCTGCGATCGCTACGATGGGGACTTCTGCCACCAGTGCAACACGGAGGATTTCAAGCATCTGTGCGTCAAACCCGGCCAGGGTTGGTTCTGGACTCAGTGCTAGATAACGACGAAAAACTATCCTGGCAGACGATGTCTGACACGTTTAAATTTGTTTGTTTTCTTCGAGGTTATTGTTGGTCGTTTCATGAGCTGCGTAATTGGATGGATGGAGAAGAGCCATGGGGATGTTTGAAGCTTTGATATCCTGTTCTGTGTTGCGAGGATGACTGCCAGATAGTGCAATAATTGACAGCTTTGAAAAGATTTCATAACGTAAAGTAAATTTCTCTCTGTGAGGTCTGTCGATATTTTTACCAGAGTAGGCTCCATCTGATGTTGAAATTCCCCATTGCAGGCCCACCGATAAGTGACCGACTAAAACGTGCCACAGACGCGGAACAGTATGCCCTGCCAAGGCGATTGTACGAAGAATGGAGTATCAGATGTGGGTTTCAGATTCTAACCAGGTCAACCCTTGAAGTGTCTTGCTCAGGGATAGGGTTTCGATAATAGTATTTCCCACATTGCCGGCTAGATCTCTCAAGTTATATAGATCGGGATTTCGCCACGTGGTGCATGCCAGAGATAGGGGTTTGAAAGGCTGATCCACGACCACATTGGTTTAACATTCTAGAGTGACAGATTGTGGAGCCGAGGGAGCGTGGGATGCTCCAGTATTTGCAGTCCTGCAGATATAGTGTCTGCAAGGGATTCCTGAATATTTATTAGGTTTATCTCAACTCCACCCAGAGCCGAGGCACTGAAAAACACGGTGAGATTCACCACGGCTCTCCTTAAGATATCATATTAATATAGCAGCTAGCTCCTATCATCAACCATGTAACCACAATATCTATCAAGATAATCCTCCCTCTTATCATCGCTGAATACATGATCGGATCCTTCCGAACCTCTCCGCACCAGAAGATCGCAATCTCCGCCAAAAGGGTGATACGACTCAATGCAACCATTCGCAGAACCAACGCGCGCGGGTCAGCACCATTCTTACCCCATACATGTTTATCAGCTGCACAAGACCCAGCGAGTGGACCTGCCCACTCGAGGCACAGCAGCGCCGATCGCGGACCCGCCTGGACTTTCCCAATCGCGTTTAGGCAACGATCGTCAGGGCTCCACACTGTCTGCGAGATCATGACAAAATGCGGTGTTTGCTAGCACCTATCTATCTCTCCTAGCCGGGGTAGGTATTAAAGCGGGCTTGTCGCGGCCGAGCGTCATGGCAGTCGCAGCATCTGGCTTTTCTATCCGGTGATAGCGTCGGAATCACTACTTTGCCATGATGTTTACGCGTTCTTCGGTCGCGGTGTTGCTGGTCGCTGGGTTGCAGGGTGTGGTTGGTGCGGTGACTCCCCCGCATACTGACCAGGGGACGTGTCAGAAGACTACGGTGGCTATCTTGTATGTTCTCTCCCCCTCTGTGCCCTCTGTGTGAGGTTATTGTGTGATATGGGTGTTAACATGAAGATAGGGGCGGTGGAATGGCGGGTGTTGCTGCCGCGCAGACTCTGTCCAATTCGTCAGTGCATGATTTCTTGATCCTGGAGTATCGGGACCGCATTGGAGGTCGGGCCTGGCATGAGCCCTTTGGCAAGGACAAAGATGGCAAGCCGTACACGATTGAGATGGGGTGCAACTGGGTAAGCCGATCGTGTATGCGTGTGTGTGCAAATCGGGAAACTGACTCGCGCAGGTCCAAGGGCTGGGAAACCCTGGTGGGCCTGAGAATCCGGTGTGGACTCTTGTGGGTTCTGCAACTCTAGATCGATGGGTCTGTGCTGATCTGGATAGGCGAAAACATACGACCTGAAAACCCATTACTCGAATTACGATAACGTCTCCACGTACAACGAACACGGATACAAGGACTACTTGGACCTTCAGGATGAGTACGACGTTGCGTATGAAGATGCGGAGGAGCGTGCAGGTCGGCTCCTCAAGGACAACCTCCAGGACTCGAATACCCAGACCGGACTGGCGATGGGCGGATGGAGGACGAAGCCGCACGATATGGAGGCGCAAGCGATCGAATGGTGGAACTGGGGTATGTTTCTTGCCCAGGCAGCTCAGACCACCATGTTAACAGCGTGACAGATTTCGAATGCTGCTACGCCCCGCAGGACAGCTCCCTCGTGTTCGGCATAGCCGGCAGCAACCTGACCTTCAACACCTTCAGCGACGAAGACAATTTCGTCATCGACCCGCGCGGCTTCTCCAGCATCATCGATGGCATGGCGTCAGAATTCTTGAAAAAGGATGACCCGCGCGTGCGCCTCAACACCCACATCACGGACATCAGCTACACCGACGACGGCGTCACCGTCCACAACGCCGACGGCAGCTGCGTGCGAGCCGACTACGCGATCGCGACCTTTTCACTGGGCGTGCTCCAAAACGACGCGGTCTCCTTCGAACCGCGCCTCCCCGACTGGAAGCGCGAATCGATCCACAAGTTCACCATGGGCACCTACACCAAGATCTTCCTCCAATTCCCGGAGACGTTCTGGCCCGCGGACACGGAGTTCTTCCTGTACGCGGACCCGCACATCCGCGGCTGGTACCCAATCTTCCAGTCACTGTCGACCCCCGGCTTCCTCCCAGGATCGAACATCCTCTTCGTAACGGTGACAAACGAGCTCGCATGGCGCGCTGAGCGCCAAGGCGACGAGAAAACCAAGGCGGAGATCATGGCCGTCCTGCGCAGCATGTTCCCCGACAAGAAGGTCCCGGAGCCCACGGCGTTCAAGTTCCCGCGGTGGAGCACGGAGCCCTGGTCGTACGGCAGCTACTCGAACTGGCCGGCGAGCACCACGCTCGAGATGCACCAGAACCTGCGGGCTAACCTCGGCCGGCTGTGGTTTGCGGGTGAGGCTACTAGCCCGACGTACTTTGGTTTCCTGCACGGCGCGTGGTTCGAGGGCCGTGCCGCCGGGCGGGAGATCGCTGCTTCGTTGCATGGCTGTAAGGGGAAGAAGGTGCCTGGCTGTCGTGGCCGGAAGCACTATGAGCTGCTGCGTGGGACGACTCAGTTGGCTGATTACTCGATGGTGAATGGGTGGAATGGGAATAGTTTCTATGAGAGTGATCCGGAGGAGGAGTAGATGCGGACTGTATATAGGTCATATGGTGGATTGTATACATCTAAATTTTGTTCTCTGAACCTCAAAGCTATTACAAGTTTTATTGGATAATCATAAAATTGCAGCAAGAGGGGGATTTCAAGAAAAGTCAAATAAGTATAAAGCATTTCGAGGTATGAAAGCAGGCCGGGGCAGAAATAGCCCATAGAACTGGTGTCATAGACCAGTCACTGATATGGAAGGATAGGGGAATGATCAGTGAATGGTGATGCAACATGTACTATATTATATCACTGTGCTTTATACACAAAGTCAATCATGCCTACTGTCAGCTACAAGCTTCCTAGCCCTAACTCATAGGCCCCTATGTGGAGCAAGATGGTTTAGAAGTTGTATCTTGACCAGACCAGAGGTACTAGAGAGTATCTTGTTTATGGACATTATATTGCATTTCTTCCCAGATGATTGTTTTATGATTATAACATATGTCTACATTTTCTTCAGTCTTATTTTGGTGATATAATGACAGTGATTATGATGTGGTAAACACGTTGTTGGACGGTATCAGTATCTGATTATAGTTATCACAAACTCTTCTATTCAAAACTTCCCCTGGTATATTCCTCATTTTAAATACTTTCGAGCTATTCTATGGTATGTCAGTTCTATCGTTCCCCATGAGGTCTACCCAAGCCATCAGATGTCACGGTGATTGTGCGGTAAGGAGAACATGGCACTGGATGGTCAACACGTGCGATGACACCATTGGTTAACCATGAAGCACTTGGATGATACCACCTCTGGTCAGCGTACTTGATTATATCCAGTCTTTTGAGGTGGCTGCATAATTTGTCTATTTCTGGAAGACTGGAGATGCTTCGCGCTAACCAGCCGATCAACAACAGGATATTGCCGTGGCACCTTTGCCTCGCCAAAAACCGCGACAGTCCCAATCGAAAATGCGATCATTGCAACCCACCCAGCAGAGAATGCAGAGTGCATGCAATCCCATGGACAACACAATTAGCAAGTCCCGCCAATAACGCAAACTGGACAGGGACATAGTGTTGGTGCCGCAGGACCTACGTAGCAGAATGACGGGGCTATTCAGCCTTCGCAGTGAAAGCGACATATAATACTCGACAAACCCTCGCCATGCGGTCGAGGTCGGCCACCTCCATCGAATGCAACAACGATTTTCAACCCTCTCGATTGCGCTGGTTATACGATGTCTTATTCGGCGGCGGAAAAGCAGCGGGTCTTTCTCGCGTGCAGGCCGATCTTCGCCGGCTTCCACGCAGGTCTTCGGAAGCTGAAAATCATCGAAAAGCGTATCGCGGATCATGAAGCCTTGGTTCGCCCGATGCTCCCTGGATTTAATCTGAAGAGGACTGCAGTTATTGCCAAAGACCTGCTGCAGAGAGAGGTGTTTCAGCTCGACATGAAAGCCCGAGTGGAGTTTCCAGACCTGTATGTCTCCTCGCCAGCAAAGGAAGTCCAACACGATGCATTTGAAGACGAAGCTGCCCGATCCGTCGCTGAAATCTTGGATGACATCGCGTCTACCTATGAGCGAGACGAGGCGCAGGATATGCAGGAAACAACCCCTGCCCCAATGCCGGCTGCGGCGCAGCAGCCCCCTCCTGTGGCAGATGTAGGCTCCCATGCCACCATCTCTCCTGGTAAGGCCTCATCCACTGGCTCCGCACACTCCCCGCTGACAATCCTCTGCACAGCCACAGAAAAGACGCTGACACCAGAGCCGCAAGCGACGTCACCGTATCCGTCGCTATATCCCTTGTATTTTCCCTATCACGCGCAGCATTCGATCTTATGCGCGGTTCAAAAGACCCTAGAAGAGAGCTGCTTCGACTTCGCGCAAAAATGGCTGCCATCGGAGCTGGAAGACCGTGGCTGGGACTGCGCCATGGCGGTAGAGCTCACCAAGTGGACGAACTTCCTGCCCAGGTGGTCTTCACTGCTCCCTAACGGCTCGCTACAGTTGCATGGTGCGGAGCTCCACGCATTATTGTCAAAGATTCGTAAGATACGACATACTGCCGTGCACCGACTCCCGACAACCGCGCGGGGGATCGCATCGTTTGTCGCGTCGGCCACGAAGCTAGTGGAGGCGTTGGGAGATACGCTGCGTCTGTCGCAGCTGGAGGAGCTTCACGCGGACATACAGGAGAAGATCAAGATCATGGATTTGACGAAGAACGCCCTCGAAGATCAGCTGTCGCGGGACTTGCGAGCCATCCAGCTGCGACGGGAGGAACTAGATCGACAGGAAGAGTTGCTGAGGCTCCAGACGGTGAGGAATGACAGAGAGAATAAAGCTCTGATGGGGGTTTTGGTAGAGGAATATATCGAGGGTCCTTTCCACTGTAGGATAGTGGATGATTCGGGTTTCGCCACGGCAGACGAAGGGGAAGACGACTAGGCCGTTGTCTAAACCTGTCCTGGTCTGGTGGAGATGTCCAGTCATTTTTGCTCTGATTTACCCCGAGACTGAATTCTAATGCTATTCTTACGATCTTATACCTGTTTAACAACCATGCTACAGAGTGACATAGGATTCGAGTCAATTACAGAGAAATGCCACCGTAGTGTCTGCCTGAATAGTGTCAGAATGAAAAGTTTCCCCATACTAGCACGTCCCAATGACCAACCAGGGTAAGTCTAACTCTGCCCTCACGCCAACCCAGCGTGATCAGCATTTAAGTCAATCTGAAAATCCATCTCCCTCTAGCTAAGCCTCCTCCCCTTATTCCAAGAACAAGATATCCCCGATTCCACACTCCCGGTAGAGCATGCCTAAGGTCCGATCCGGATGCGTCACTTGCAAGTATGTTCCCCTTGTCTTTGCTATGAACAGTGAATCTCTATAGTATGCGATGTCATTGGAAGCTCTTTAGTACCAGCTTCGCGCGTTGTTCCTCTCTTCTTCGGTAATTGCATCAGGATGACCGTGTATTATATGCATGTTATACACCTGACAAAGCAGAGGATATATCGATAAAGATTTTTGCATAATTAGGCGTTCCGAACGCATACCCGAGCCGATGCCATAGAACTCGGCATGCCGATCTCTCTCCCAGTACCTAGTATATATTCTGGTACAGACTGGTCAACAGTCAACATCGCTGGCTACCCTAGACGATTAATATCTAATTGGTCTAGCTCTCTCTACCTGCTAGTATCTAGCCAATCATTATCTCGATTTCACAGGGCTATACCAAAAATTGAATGCACATTCGACAAAGAAACTTAATGCATCGAATCCATGCTACCACCTACCTAGTAAGTAACTAGCGCATTCAGCTGACCGCTCTGTCTACTAAGTGTTTACCCCACTCCAACCAGACAACCGAATTTCCCCTCACAACCACATCTCCAATCAAGGATATTACCAATCACCGCCCCCCACTCTTGATAGAACCAGCAACAATTGAACCATGCTCTCCAAGCGATACATATCCAGCCTCATAATTATACTCCTCTTTCTCCTCCTGAGCGCCCTCTTCTGGTTCAATTCTACCCCCAATTCCCTCCTCCCGCAGACTCTCGCGCCCACCATGTCCATCACGCACATTGTCCTTTTCCAATTCAAGGCGGACGCGTCCCCAGCTGCCATCAAAGACGTATGTATATCGAGTTTACCCCACTTCCCCGCCCTGCAGTAGTACCACATACTAGATGTACTGCTTCTGTTTTAGATAAATGTGTTAACCTAAACAGGCCTGTTCGCGCATGCTCGCCTTGAAAGATAACTGCGTCCACCCTACCTCCCAAAAACCGTATATCAAATCCGCGGTAGGAGGGGCGGATAATTCGCCCGAGGGGATCCAGGTATGTATATATCATCCCATTGGCTACATGCATAGTGGAGGCAATGCTAACATGGCGAAAGGGAGGAATCACGCATGCGTTCGTTATGGAGTTTGCCACAGCCGAGGACAGGGAGTATTATGTGTCGAGTGATCCCACACATCAGGCGTTTGTGAAGAGTCTGGGTGGGATTATTGAGAAGGCGCAGGTTGTTGATTTTTCCAATGGGGTGTATTAAAATGGTACCTAGATGCTTGCTGGCTGAGCTCAGCTCCCTACTACTTCTTTCATCTCAATACATACATACAAAAACTTTGCGACGACTACCTTTCCTCGGACGCGACCTGCTCTAAGGCCGTAGACTTGGTGAGTATTGGGCTGCCGAATGCTTTGGGGAGAATTGGCAGGGAGATAGAAGATAGATATTTTGCTGGTTGTTTGTACTTGGCGTATCACAACAGCCTTGGGGATATCCTGGCGCATAGACGTCAACTGTCATCCGTTATACTCCCGTCCGATTCGGTGGCTATAATTAAGAAAGCCCTAGGAAAGGGCTAGTGGATGAACAAAGAATCGTGGTCTTGACAGTCTTGGCCCGCTGCTTCTCTCGTGGGCGGAGGGGTTTGCTTGGATCCTCGACCGGCAACTTCTCTCACGTTTATGCCGCCAGCATCCTCATGTCGATGGTAGATCAATCCACGTTGTTCCTAGGCGCATTCACAGCATCATCGTCACTGCAAAGCAGCTGCAAGGATGAGCACCATACCAGTGCCATATGACCATTATAATTCTTCTTACTTTCTTATTTTGATTGGATGCTGCGGCACATGGCACAAAACGTAATTCCACCCGCCCGTTGAGATAAATGGAGCAATTTTGACGAAGGGCTTTCCTGGGGAAGTCTTCAAGAAATAGTTTGGATTTCTTCGCTTTTATGCAGTGTCTGGTGGAAAGTTTGGCAAGCATGTAGATATGTACTTCAGAATCCACCCCAATCCGCCACAAGAATCAGCACTAAGTGTAGCTTCTCATGCATACAAGACAGGCGTTCAGATGCACAACCAGCGCCTTCATTCCAATCCCACCACATCCTCCGTAACCCCCAAAGCCGCGCCACCCTCTCACTCCATTGTCCCTCGCTCCAGACGGTCTCTTAAGTCCTCAGAGCCAATATCGACCGAACCAGCCCCTTCAGTCCCATCACTCTCTACACAGCAATTAGATGTAAAGTTCTCCCCCACCGTAGAAAAAAAGCATACCTAATTCATCCATTTCCGAGTCAATATACGTAATGGGTCTCTGTTCGATAACAGCCCTATCATCAGCTTGCTCACGGGCGTACTCCTCATTGCTGACAGTATCAGAAGAAGAAGGGAGGTTGAGCTGGCGCTCATAGGCGGGCTTCGCTTGTCTTTCTAGGGGTTGGAACATTTTCACATGGAGTTGTCCTTTTTCCCCTTTGCTGTTGTGGTTGTATGGCCTGGGTCACTAGTAAAGTAAGTTGGCTTTTTTTTCGGGGGTGATAAAGCATATAATTATATGGAGATTGTTCTGCTGATGGGAATGTATTAAATTGATGCTTCTCATATGTCGTCTTGAAGACTGGGTCGACGTGCATTACGACATGGAATAAACTTTGCGGAAACGCCACAACCACACCCGGTCTGTTTGTGGGTGTGGCTGTTGCTATTTCTATCTGCTTCGAGGGCTATGGTCATGTACAAGTGAATAGTAGTATCTGCTGAGATTTGTCTCGTGCTAATTACTCCTCAACTAGGTGATCCACACCTCCTGCTATCAGGAGGTCACTATGATAGAACTCAGCGATTTTAATTAGTAAAGACCATATCACTTTATTCTTTCAAGTCCTCGCCTGCAACCATCATCTAATCTCATTGATCCATTAAAGACAGAAAAGGAAACAAACGCATGCGCCTAAAATGCCAATGTCCTATGCATGCTATATACATTCCACGCGTGACTCCACACACATTACTAAATTGATAAGTACCTCACGAGCGAGACGCAGTCTGCTGCAACTTCAGCGAGTACATCGCCGACTGCGCCGCATACTTACAGCGCTTCCGGATCTGCTCACCATATTTATAGAATATGAACGGGAACGGCAGACAACCGACCGTGAGGAAAGCCGGGACAGACGAGGCCCAGTGAATCCCGAGACTGTCATACATATAAGTTGTGAAAAGCGGAAACACAGCGCCAAAGAAGGACCGCGTGACGGAGTTCGCAGCCAAGACCGACGCAGCGAAGAGAGTGTACGAATCGATGAGGTAGCTCATGATGCCGAGATAAATCAGGAGGACGCCGAATCCGAAGGGGGCGCCGCCCGCGACGCTGGCGATCCAGTGGATCGAGGGCGAGTTGGTCCACGCGAACCAGAACAGGCCGATGGGGATCGTGACCGCGGCGAGCATCACGGGCGGTAGGCGGGCTTCTGGGGGGCGAAACCCCCGTGGCGCTTTTGCGTGTTTTGGTACCGTTTGTTGTCGGGGATGGAGTACAGCGTTGCGAGGATCATGCCCACCATGATGCCGAAGAATGCCAGCCCGCCGACGCCTTGGTTCCAGCCGCGGCCTTCTTGGTAGACGATGGGAAAGGCAGCAAACATCATGAATAGCGCGCCGTATATAATAGCGATGTAGATTGACCTGTGAGAACGTGAGTATGGTCTGTCTTCTGTGGTATATGAAGTAAGTGTTCACTAACAGTAAGAGTACGATCGGCTCTCGAAACAACAGAACCCATGGTCGCAGCAGGGATAGGCCAAACATCCGCTTCACGGACATGCGCGCCCCGTGCTCGATATCCAATTTCGTTCGATACACCTTCCCCGTGATCTGGGATAGCCGCTCGGCTCGACGGCGGAGCAACACGGGGGCGTAAGTCTCAGGGACACAACAGGCCATGATGACCCACATCAGCGCCGAGAAGACCGCCAGGAACCCCTCCACCCACTGCCACCCTGCATTCATCCCCAGGAACCCACCCATGAAAGGTCCCAGCACCGGGCCGAGCCACGGAGCCGCCGCGAACAGACTGAGCGCCAAACCGCGGTGCTCTGCCCTGAACATGTCCGATATAACGCCCCCGGCATTCGTCAGCGGCGCCGAGCCGGCCGCCCCGGCTAGGAATCTCAAAACTAAGAGAGTCTGGATATTGGGTGCTCCTGCACAACCCGCTAAGAACGCCGTCATAGCGCCAAACGAGACCGCGAAGGGGTATTGCCGGCCGACAAATTCGCTCAACGGGGCCCAGAATAGCGGTCCTAGCGCGAATCCGAGAACGAAGAGCGAGAGGCCCAGCGTGGCGAGTTCGTTGTCGACATGGAGATCTTCAACCACTTGTTTGATTGCTCCCGAGTAGCAGGATGATGCGATAGCGACGGCAAAAGTTGCCATCGACACGACGAGGGTGATCGTCACTTTCCTCCAGGTCTGCAACAGCATCGGGTTTCTGGGATCGTTAGGGATCCATGACACCACGTAAGGATCCTGCTCCGTCCCCGACCCCGGATAATCGAACTGCGCGATCTCTTGCGTGACGGCACCCTGGTCCAGCACCTGTCGCCAGTATGGAATCGACCGGGCATGCTGAGCCTTGGCGCCCACGGGGTCCTTCTCTGCGTCTGTTGCTACCATCGCCAAACAATCTCGACCGAAGTGGTGCCGAAATTATAGCGACCGAATCGGGCGAACAGAGATAGACAAGCCGCAAATTTGAAGCATATTTGGTTCGTCCACATATTTTTCCTTTATATGCTTCCGATAAAAAATTAAAAGGGACCCACGACACCATCATTGTATGGCGGCCAAGCCAACGGCCGGTGGGGTCTGTGTGGAGACATTGGGGGAAGCGTCAGGGCGCCAGACGCCGTGAGTGGCCGAGTCGGGAGGTCGGGAGACGAGCCCTGGTTGTCCCTCGGTCCAGGCGGACTTAGCCTAGTAAACCCCGGAGAAAGACCCAGCCCTTTGCGGTGCGCGCCCTGCAGTTGACATCTGCACCCCTCCCCAATCATGATGACATCATGTGTGTTCATTGGACGCCCAGACATCCAGAACAAGGATTGTTTCCAGGATCGCCCCCCAATCTTGGTTTAAAGCTCGAAACTACTGTTCCGAATTGACGCGGCGTGCTCCATCAACGCCGTGACAGTCTGCCATTCCTTGCCTGCAACCGCTAAATCCCATTCCCGATAGGCTGCCGAGACGGCAAACCACGCACGGTCCACTGAGGGGCAGGGGGGACGTACACAGAGCTCCGTCAAGAGAAAGGTTAGCAGATGCCAGCGGGTCGAACTCTGGCGGAAATGCCACCTCCACTTGGCGGTCAGCGTGCAGGTCTCAATAAATCGACAGAACTCGACAGCCTCCACGGCTGTCATAAAGAATCCATCCAGGAGGTCCAGCGGCAGATCGGCCATCTGGTCGCGGGAGAACGGGTGGTGAATGACAAAGGTGACTTTGGGGACGACGCGCGCAATGCCCACGTACCACCGCACGAGAGGGTCTTCTGGGCTAAAATGGGAGATATAGTCCCGGTGTAGGCGCCAGAGAAGGCGAGCGCTGGTTTCGCTGCACATGTCTATGCAACGGCATTGTGTGTGGGGAAAGCACCGTCGGGATTCTAGCTCTCTCCTCATGTCCCACACGGCACGGATAGATTCGTACCGGATATTTGCGAACGTCATGTCCGTGACGCCGATACGCTCCTGGATGGGGTGTGTAGATGTAGGTAGGATGTCATCATCGTTGACGTTGAGTGGAAGACGCACGTTGGATGGGACCGGCAGGAGTTCCGGACAGGTTCCTTGGTCTTCGGAGGCGCGTTGGTCCAGGAGACATAGGTGCCACCAGAGTCTCCTGCGCATTTCAACCTCGAACGGGCTGACCCCTAGAGCAGCTGCGTCGCGATGGAGGCCAGTTTTGACAGCGCGACGGATAATGACAGTGAGCAATGCCCACACATAGGCGGGGTCCTCTGTGTGGTTACGAATCGCGGTGACATAGAGAGCGGCAGCTTGCAGTAGGGTAAATTTGCGTGTATTCCACAGCTTGGCGTCATTGAGTGCGTTCTGTAAGCCATCCCTGTAGCATCGCACGATCGATGGCAGGCTGGCGCCTAGGTCGCGGAGACACTGTGCGGGAGTCATGGTGACGACCGCTGACAAGCACACCGCCAGTAAGAGGGACTTTGTTACGGGGTCCAGCGAGTCTCCAACGGAAGCCGAGTCCATCAGCAAGCTATAGATACTGGGCTTGTGTAAAAGGGGGATGACAGGTGCTACATTCTCGCAATATAATTGCCACAATATGAATGCCTGAGTGGGGGTCGGAATGATATTCCACACAGGGCTTGTTCGATCGGCTTCCGTCAATCGGTCACCGATCCCGCTAGAGCCAGGCCCGTGTTCTTTGAGTCGAGGGACATGTCCCATTGCTGTCTTCTCTCATCAGCAACCAGGTCGTATCACGGTGAACGGAGTTCATACTGGCACCATGGGGTATGACCCTAGTCGTCGGACGATGTAAAATCGGAGACATCGTTTGAGTAAACAACCGAACTCTCCATGTGTTGCACTTGATCCTCGAGACCGTGTCTTGGCTAGTTGTCGTGATTCGCGAGGCTTGACTTCCGGTCGAACGGCATGGCGTGGTGGGGCTATCACCATACTAGACCCGGGGTGGTTCGAGACCATCACCTGGACCAGATGCTCCAATCGGGACAGTCGCGTCTCTAGATCCGACATGACGGAGGTTTCTCAAAGGAGAGTTTGCCCGATCAAAGATGCTCAGTTATTCTCCGAGTTGATGCTGAAGAAAGATCGACATCAAAGCCTTGACGCGATAGAAAACACGCTGACAAATCTAGCACAATGCTTCCCCACATTTCCCCACCATATACAGACAGGTCTGCAACGTCCGATCATGGTCTTGAACCCCATGAGTCCAGGACACATAGAGAATGGATCCATGTCAGAGTAGATTCACCTGAAACACTGAAGATCGCGACAGCGGACAGGCGACGGTAAACAATGGCGATCAACACGCGACAATCCTCCCTTTCTGCCCCACTCTGGCCAGCATAAGCACAGCCTCGTGAGATGCGTTGGACAACGCGATTCCACGAGATATGTCTGTTTCCTAGGTAACAGATCAGACACGGGAATAACATATTATAAGTTTCGTCCTTCGCACTGCGAACTCTTCCAGTTTCTACTCATATCACCCAGAAACACTCGATCACCTCTCGGCTCATTACCCACGTCGAACGAACCTCCACCATGGCAGACATCGAAACTATCGCATCGAAGATCAAAGCCGGTCAGATCAACCGCGTTGTTGTTCTCGCTGGCGCGGGGATATCTACCGCCGCAGGCGTCCCCGATTTCCGCACCCCAGAGACGGGACTATACGCCAAGCTGGCTCCGCTATGTCTGCCCTATCCCGAGGCCATATTCCACATCAACTACTTCGGGCACACGCCCGAGCCATTCTACGCGCTGGCGCGGGCTCGTAATCCAGTCAACCTAAAGCCGACCGTGTCGCATGCATTTCTGGCGCTGCTGGCCAAGAAGAACCTGTTGCATTTCTTGTTCACGCAGAACATCGACGGGTTGGAGTTGGATGCAGGCGTTCCTGGTGACAAGATGATGGCCGTACATGGCAACTGGAAGAGCCAGCGGTGTCACAAGTGCAAGACGCCGTATCCGGATGACCTAATGCAGCAGGCTGTCAATTCAGGCGACGTGCCATATTGTCTGGTTGCGGAGTGCGGCGGGGCAGTCAAGCCCGATGTCGTGTTCTTCGGGGAGTCGGTCGCCCCCCGGTTTGAGGAGGAAGAGCCAAAGGTGCGCGAGGCTGACCTCATGCTCATCATGGGGACCAGTCTGAAGGTGAACCCCTGCACACGATTGCCTCCCCAGGTACCTGACGGCGTGCCGCGGGTGCTTCTGAACATGGACACCGTGGGCGGGATCGGTGGTCGAGCGTCGGATGTGTCCATTCTTGGGGCCTGCGACGACGGTGTCCGTCAACTAGCGGATGCCTTCGGTTGGAGGGATGAGCTGGAATCTTTATGGGCTGGGGCAGTTGCAGCCAAACCGACTGGAGCAGAGGTCGACACTATGGCATTATTGGATGAATCTATTGAGAAACTGGCCAAGAAGATGGAAGGCTCGAGGCAAGTGCCGGAGGGACATCGGCGAATGCTAGAAGCGCATCTGGGTTCGAAATCAACGAACATGGAGTGTGTGGTTCGCTTTAGGCAGTTACGTTCCTTGTCTGGCCCAAACGGCCCTATTACTACCTCATGAAATCAGTGTGTATGTGCCAGGAAGGGAAACCTTCGACTTAAACTTTCTGGCAATGAAACCAGTGGCTTTTTGTTGTTCATGTTGTTTTGGTACTAGCAAGAGCGGGCATGACGTCGGTGCGCCTCTGAGGTAGCCTCTATGTCACGATGATACGATTACACTAAATAGAGAAGAGTATAAGAAGTGGCGTGAACCTCAAGGCAGGCACGCAAATTCCGCTTTCTCAAAGTCTTCCTTCCTTTCTTGTAATTTTCTGCAGCTTCCTGCCTTCCTCCTTCGACAACTCTCACATCCCACATCTCCCTTATCGTGGAGAAATTGAAGATTCATCATATGCCTCAGGTCTCTCGCCATCAGCACTAAGATCTAGGTCTCTACGTCGTTCTCCTCAAGAACCCACTTTCATACCCCCCTCTACGACTCCGTGCGGTAAAAAGACTAGGCTTTTCTTGACTTTACTGTTCCTTTTCTCTCCTCTTATCCTTAAAGGTTTCTTCCTACCGCGATGATTACCCCTGCGGGAGTTACCGACGCCATGGCGGCTACTGGAATACCTTCGCTTACAGACTTACTTGGCCAGTTTCCGGGCGGAGAGCCCCCCGAGGGCGTTAAGGTTGAGGCTGATGTCTCTGTCTCGTCTGACGGACACATTGATGAGCTTCGGGGCGATGGCATCAACAACGAGCGCTACGGCTACCCCGATGAGCGTCATGTTTCTCATGAACCAGAGCCGGACGATTTCGTCAGCCCAGTACAGCCAGCCAACGTATGCCATGTTCCAATCAGTATTCCCGAGAAGGCTGCTTCTTTCAATGCGTGCACACCTGTGATCAAGAATCCACATTTCAGTGGCCATGCAAACGCACTTAGTGTTCTGGCAAGCATGGGCCGTGACGAGGAAGCGGCTACTTCTGCACCAGTCCTCGGCTTGTTGACGCGCGCGGCGCAGCTTCTTCTTTGTCGCGAGACGGGGGCTAGCGCCTCGTTGTATCCGAATGTGTCGGAATGGGACGTACGCGTTGCCGACCTGACAAACTCTTCCGCGGCGATGACATGCTACCCAGGATACGTTCCAGTCCATCTCCCGTATGATATGAGCTGTGTGGCAGCACAGGCCCTTATATCAATATGTGTCCCCGGAGGGGCTGCTGCTTATGATTGGCGTTTTCGGCCCGGTGGTCCAGATAATGACAGGCGAGCAGCCATGATGCCTGCCTATGCTCGCAAGTTGTACCCCGGCGGCAATGCGCAGGTACTGATGATTACCGAGCACGCATCCCGTTCCTGGGTGTTTGGTGGTGCTGCGTTCACACGAGCAGGTCTCAGAGACCTCGAGAGGTGGCTGCGTGCCAAGTTTGGACATGGACTGGTGGATCAGGCGTTCAAAACGGCTGCCGCACTGGGCCACGTTTACGTGGAGCCCCGCATAACTGAGGGTAGCCTTGGGGATATGTTTGACATTGAGCAAGCGACCTGCACTTACGACGGCCATGATCTCAGCAGCAATGATTTTGCATGGGAAGATGACGGCGGTAATCCCAGAGACCCCATCCTCCGTGGGCCGGTAGTGGACCAAGAACGCAGGCCTCTCGGTTTCGACGACGCCGTTATCATTGCACTCCGGGCGCTGCATGACAATCCAAAGGCTAACGGGCACGCATCTTCCACTTCCCAAGCATGCCAGCCAGTTGATTATGAGAATGCGTGCCATCCTCACACCTGCTCTCGCGTTGACAACAAACGGAAGGTAGCATGCGATGCGCCTCTGGTGGACGTTCTCCGGTGGCTCCGTGATCCCACTAATGTGCAAGACCCCAATATTGTCGATTTTGCACAAGGATGGCTCCAGATGCTGGACGGCGGCTTGTCCAATCAGTATCTCGGGTATCCCGAGGAAGATGACTGGAGTGCAATGACGAAACTATGCGGTTTTCGTAACTCTTTTGGGCACCATGACCATGCCGCATTCTGTCTCCCTGGATTCAATTTACGCGCTCTCACTCCACTATTGTCGGGATTTCATATTATCAATGTGAACTTTGGGATACAATCGTCGCTAGATGCTGAAAACAGGCGAGACCGGTTGCGGCACTACGTACACAAGATGCACATTGCACACGTTTTCTCCTGCGTTGGAAAGAATATCTGGCCCGATATGCTTGACCTTGGAGGCTATACGCATGCACAATTGGCAATTCTGTTGCCGCGTGGCCTCCAGGCCCTTACCTACTTGATAGATGGCGGCAGATCAAAACTCAGTGCTCCTAACTGGCAGATACTTGAGCCAGTGCACCGGCTGAAAGGTACTAGGTCTAAGACGGCCTATTATGGCTACACCTATGTCGGCGAGTGGGCGATGCATGACAGCTGCGTGGATGTCAATAACAGCTTGACAAGCATAGCCGCTCTCGACGCGGCCTTACGGAAGCTATGGGTTACCGGTGGCCGTGTCAATGTTGTTAACCACATGGAGCAACCGTTTACCGCTGTACGTGACCTGAATAATTTGTACGCGCCGCTCTCTTTTGCGCCTGTCGTGCAAGAAGGCAGTTCTATAATCAGCGTGCAACTCCATGGTGCAGACAGCCATACACTTGGCCAAGGCCATGCCGACAGAATGTACGCGGTCGTTGCGCGCTGAGAGTGATACTGGAATCTCTTCAGATTATTGTTATAGTATGAAATAGGCAGACTGGAAATGAAATTATCTGAAGAGAATTAGCTATTCCTAGGAACTCGCATGCGGAGAATGCATTCTAGGAATTTGATACATTGCCATGATTGACCATCACCTGTAAATCCTGCTCATTCCCCTTCACTTCTTTCTACAACCTACCCTACTACGCAATTGAACATGATTATAGTGTTTTGGTATTCCTATATTAGTAAACATATCAAACCTGTTGCCAATTTACTCCATCTAAATTGTGAATACACGTCCTCAACCCCACAAAAGCACGCTCTGAAACCACACCCCTTGCCCTCTTAACTGTAATAGGCGACCCCACCGCAGGGTAACTTGCCATATGATGAGAATACAAGGGTTGACGTTGGTGTGGATGTGGTTCAATGTAGGTCAATAACCCTTCCATATTCCTGGCTTATGGCCTCGTGGTTTTGGTGATCGATAATGCCTTTCCAAGCCAGATGAAGGCAAGTCTATAACTTATGTGCTAGACGTAGACGAATACCAATATCTGTGTAGAACATCAATCCCTACCATAGCGCCACCGGAGTTATAGAAGTAGTCCTGTAAACATGTAGCCTGTCGTTGGGTCGGGCATTCTTCAGGATGTGGTCTTGTCGCGTTGGGAACATCTTGGGGGCGGAAAGAGTGTACATCGAGGGTGTTGATCGGCAATCCGTTTATAGAATCTAGCGTGATGTGATCCTTTTTCGGTTATCCAAGACCGTGTCTAGCCATCAAGTGATGCATCTCGCCTGTGACATACTACACCCACAACGCACCACCAGCCACCCGAAACACGATTATCAACTCAAGTCCAATTACCTACCCCAACACATGCCCATTATTTCCATGGAGTAGGCTATACTCACTGAAAAATACATAATAGATTTGGAGGTGAAAAGTGGAGATCTATACCACCGCAGATTTATGCAAACTCCGCCAAATGACGCGGCCAGGCTGATTCCCCGACTTACCTGACATCAAAGAAGGGTCGCAACCTTTCATCCCATCTTCGCCCACAAGTCCAACCTATCACATACAGCATGGACATCCCGCCCTTCCCGGACGATGCCCCTACCATCCCCATCGCCCGCATTTCGTAAGCGGCCCTTTCCGCAGGCGACGTGGTGGAAAGTTAGAAAGTGCTGACGGCATGCATGAGCGATGACTTCTTCTATCTCGACATGGAAAATGACGCGAGCAGCTAGGAGTTACTGCACGAGGCGGATCAGCTTCACGGTCTGTCGAAGGAGCTCTTCGGCACGCCTGTCGACGAGAAGATGCAGTATCTACGATAGGGGCAAGTCGCTGTTTGGATACAAGCCGACTGTGCAGTGAAGACCACGGACCAATCTACCACGAGAGATGCCACGCAATTCTTCAATGCACGATCCTCCAATTCGTCATTCGAGTTACACACAACCCAAAGAGGACCATAGATGACGACGAACAGGTGGCCAAAGACCACCTCCACAACATCACTCTGAGCCGCACCTATCCGCCCAAGATAATCCATTATCAATCTTGGCGATGCAATGGTCAAATTCAGGAATGGGACGCTGAAGTCAGCCAAGCATCGCGTGATCCCTGCCCCTGGCTTACAGGCAACGGTGGATCGGTACAGCGTGGTGTACTTCTCGCGACCGGCCGATCAGGCAATAATGGAGGTGCTTCCACCTTTCTTGGGAGACGGGACGGTGCAAATTGGGGGGAAGTTGGGGGAAGAGGGGAAGAGATACACAACTCGGGAATGGATGGTGCGACGGCTGGTTCAGATGGGGCATTGATTGACAGGGGCATTAAAGTTAATTAAATCATTTGAGACCAGGATTATGAAACGGAGGGGTTGCGATAGCTGACACAGTACGAGGCCATCTCGCCTGGATGCGGCATCCCCGCCGGAAAGAAGCAGATGCCGTAACCGTGACCGATGGAGTAAGCAACCAATGCGCTGGCCTGGCCGAGATTGGGATCTTTGATTATCTGCATGTTCCAGCCTCTTGGGGCTTCCCCTCGTCTAGGAATGCCGTCGCGATATTGCATTCTCGTGTCAGTGCTGGGATCGAATGCTTGGCTATGTAACCCAAGCGAGCCACCCGGGAGTCCGTCGGCCTGCCAAGCAGCGCGGTCAACAGCTCTCTAGACTGCGGAGGCAGCTGCGATGGATATAAATACCCCACTTGGCAGCTCGAAACAATTCTGTCGATGTCAATGGACGTGTTCTTATCGTTATAGCGCCTATTCTTACGATGAAGTACCTTCTTTACGCCTCCCTGGCCTCGCTGGCCTTGGCTACCCCTGGTAAGGGTCCGAAGCCCAAGAAGGTCGACCCGGTAGGTTCTCGATGCTTAGCCTCCAAGAAGGACAAAAACAGGGGTATTTGCTGATAGTATGAACAGCACAAATTCCCCAATGACATCAAGCTCGACGCCCTCCTCGCCGGTTCCCAGAAACTCCAGGATATGGCCTATGCCTACCCCGAGCGCAACCGCGTCTTCGGCGGCGTCGCCCACAATGACACCGTCGACTGGCTCTACGAGGAACTCAAGGCAACGGGCTTCTACGATGTGTGGAAGCAGCCCCAGGTCCATCAATGGACCACCGCCGATCAGACCCTGACTATCTCCGGCGATGATCTGGAAGCCCAGACCATGACCTACAGCCCAAGCGTCAAGGTCGAGGCCGAGCTGGCGGTCATCCCGAACGTCGGCTGCGATAAGGCCGACTACGCTGGCGTGTCGGGCAAGATTGCGCTCGTCCAGCGCGGGACCTGCCCATTCGCTGATAAATCGGTGCTGGCCGCTGCTGCCGATGCTGCTGCCGTGGTGGTGTACAACAATGAGGCAGGCTCCATGAGCGGCACGCTCGGCGCTTCGGTCGACCCCCGCGGCAAATACGCCGCTATCGTGGGTATCTCTAAGGATGATGGCGCGGCACTCACCACGAAGCTGAAGGATGGCGCTGTCAAAGCCAGCCTGGTGGTCGACAGCAAGGTGGAGGACCGGATGACCTTCAACGTCATCGCGCAGACCAAGACGGGCGACCCCAACAACGTCGTCGCTCTCGGCGGCCACACCGACTCGGTCGACGCCGGCCCGGGCATCAACGACGACGGCAGCGGCATCGTCAGCAACCTGGTCATCGCCAAGGCCCTCACCAAGTACAAGGTGAAGAACGCCGTCCGCTTCTGCTTCTGGACGGCGGAGGAGTTCGGCCTGCTGGGCAGCACCTTCTACGTTGAGAGCCTCAACGCGACCGAGAAGGCCAAGATCCGTCTGTACCTCAACATGGACATGATCGCGTCGCCCAACTACGCTCTCATGATCTACGACGGCGATGGATCCTCCTTCGACATGTCGGGTCCCCCGGGATCCGCCGAGATCGAGCACCTCTTCGAGCACTACTACGGCAAGATCGCCAACACGAAGTTCATGGCGACCGCCTTCGACGGCCGCTCCGACTACCAAGCCTTCATCGAGAACGACATCCCCGCCGGCGGCCTGTTCACCGGCGCCGAGGGCGTCAAGACGGAGGAAGAGGCGGAGCTATTCGGCGGCGAGGCCGGCGTTGCCTACGACGAGAACTACCACGCCAAGGGCGACACCATGGACAACATCAACAGCGACGCTTACCTGCTCAACTCCAAGGCGACGGCGTACGCCGTGGCCACCTATGCCGAGAGCCTGGAGACCATCCCGCCTCGGAATGCCTCCAGCGTGCACCATGCTACTCACAAGCGGGGATATAAGGGCCGCCCGCATACGCGCCGCGCTCCCAAGACCAAGGCGCATGTTCATGGCACGGGCTGCATGCACTCGCGGGTGGAAGCCTAATCTTGTCTTCTTCTTCTTCTTCTTCCTCCTTCCTTCCCTAGGTTTAGTTATTCATACAAGCAGAGGCAGGAATCCTCCATGTCAGGGACAGAAAGCAATGAAAATTCGATGTATGTATATACAATGCCACGCGGAGTAAATTAAACACATTCACCACCTAGCCAACCCTCCCCCTTCCCATCCTAAGCGCTTCTCCCAGAGACGTTGTCGTAGTGGTGGTAGTAATAGTGGTGATAGTGACAGTAGTGGTAATAGCATGTGCCGTTACATAACAGCACAGAAAGCTAGTCAAAGGCTATCAGCCTTGGGAGGGTACTCCTTTCCCTCGCGCTCCACCTTGGGCGCGCAAGTGCACCACTCCTCAGAAGGGATGCTATCCATGACGGTAGGAATGTGGTTACCGCAGCCCCACCAGGTGGCCTTGTCTATATCAAAGTCAGTACTGGTATTCCTGACAGAGGGGGGAAGGGGTGAGGGGTAGGGCCAGGGTAGGTGACACGTACGGCAGTTAGAGCAGGTAGCCTTCTTGCACATTGTGAATATATCAATAAGTATGTATAGTATAGTAACTTAAGACGGAGCTTGTAGAGCAGAGATAGAAGGATTCCAGAGTAAGATGGTCAGTTTCATAAGAACAGACGAAGGAGGGGAAAAAAGATAGATAACTGGTGAAAAAACAGCGATAAACCCCGCATTAGTCAGGCGGTCGCCGAGGTTGTGGAGCTTCACGGTATGATCCCCGAATCCCGGATTTCACTTCAATCGCCTCCGTTCGTTGGGGCGGTGTTATGGATGAGGGAGAATCGCCGTTTCGAAGATTCTAGGTAGGCGATGTCTGACTATCTTAGGGTTATTTGCATGCATGTCATCCTGTCATTCCCCCAAGGTCCTTGACGTCGATCTGGGGCAATGCATAAGTTGGATTATCCGCACTTTGGCTGAGTCATCAGTGATGTCATTTAACTATTCATAAGATGAATAGGTCAACGTCGTGTGTTGCCCTAGACAGGCCCATGATATTACTGACACCGAACTTGATAAGTAGTTCTAACTTTCTGTCATCACGAATAAGTCTTCTAGCATGTGCGCTTGGGGCAGATGGTAGACGTTCGAAGAGTGATATCTTGATGTCATGCTGAAGGTTTATGGAAAGGTATTCGGGTTGTACGGTTCAAAAGTAGGGTAGACAAGGTAAAGAAATATTCAAGAATCGTATAGGGAAAGCCGAGGATACCTGTCCAGGTAATTTGTATGTATTCTTGCTTAATTTTCTAATAGATTGAACTTCCTCATGTCGTTGAGTTTGCAACTTCCACCACAGGGGTTGATGGTCATCTCTGTACGATGGCCTTCACATCGTCACGCGAGGTGGAAATGCCCCATCTGAAAGAGGCCAAAACCTAGTACGTAATTTGTAGTAACTATAATCCCTGGATTAGTACTGGTCATGGTTGCTACTGTTCCATATTAGGCGGATACTGTTATCGCACTGTGTCAGATTGTAATGGAACAAGTGCCATTCATGTCCTATGTAAGAAATGAGTCCAGTCGGAACCCATAGACAGGTATCTTAGCATTTCTTCAACCAAATATTTGCACAAATTACTCTAGCCTGGAAATATAATTGATACTTCCAATCCCAGGAGACCATACAGGTTGACCCCGGGATTGAGCTCTGGGTACACCTGGCTCGCAGGATACGACATATCAGCACTATAAGAAGCCCGTTTCCCCTATTCGTGTCCCACTATGTCCTATTCTTGGTTTTTCTCAGCTTCTCAATCCAAGAATACAACATGGCAGACCGTCGAAATTTCGAGGCAGTAAAGGCCCAGCTCGTGGATGACCTAAATATCGATCTCGTACGAAGAGGCACCCCAAAAGAGCACGTCGACCGAATCCTAAAAGTAAAGCCATTCCCTCCGTCTGTCAATTTCCCAACTGACAAAGTTCTAGTGTCTAACAGTCAATATAGCCGGTGGAAAATACCTCCGCGGACTCTGTGTCATAGAAACGGGGTTGATGATCCTCCAACGACCGCTGACCGACACCGAGTTCCACGAACTCGGCATGCTAGGCTGGATGGCGGAAATCCTACACGCCTCCTTCCTCATCTTGGACGACATCCTCGATGACTCCGACGTCCGCCGCGGTCAGCCGTGCTGGTACAAGCGTGAGGGTATCGGTCTATCCGGCAGCCTCGACTCTATCTTACTCAGGTCATCCATCTTTATATTGCTGAAACAGCACTTCCAAAGTCACCCAGCGTACTGCGACATGCACGAGCTGCTCTCAGAGACTTGTTTCCAAACTGATCTTGGTCAGATCGTCGACACGGCCGCTGGAAACGGCCACATCGCCCTTGACGTTATGGATAAGGAGCTGCTGTCTTTTGTCGCGGCGCACAAGTCTTCCGCTTATACGTTTTGTCTGCCCGCTTTGCTAGCGCTGCACTATCTGCATCGTGCCAGTGCTGGAAACCTCGCGCAAGCGCAGAACCTTCTTATGCGCATTGGAAACTACTACCAAGCCCAGGACGACTTCCTCGATGTCTTTGGCAATCCTGCAGTGACGGGTAAGATAGGCACTGATATCCAAGATAACAAGTGCACGTGGGTGCTAGTGCAGGCCATGCGGTCAGCCAACCCTGCGCATCAGGAGGTGCTACGGTCCTCATATGGTCGTAAGAGCGCGATAGATGAGACTCGGGTGAGGCAGATTTTTGCGGGGCTAGATATCAAGGGGAGGTACCTTCAGTTTGAGGACAGGACGTTGCGCGAGATTCAGGAACAGATCGAGAATTTGGACGAAAGTGAAGGTTGACGAAGAATATTTTCACTATCTTGCTTGGTAAGATTTCTCGGCGCAATGCTTGATCAGATATCGAGAGGTTCAAAGAATCTTAGGTGGGTACCAAATAGAGCAGCTCAAGTGGTCATGAGGCTCTCAAGCCCTAACTGGTTGTCATTAATTTGTATTAGAATAGCCCTGTCGAGCACTCCTTATTAACTTTTCATCCTTAACATGGGATATACATCCCTGAGTATCATGATAAACAACAGCAAAGCCCAAAATCGAGCAACAGTATGTACAATCCATACCACAGATGCCACCATTATCATCGAACCCCAGCAGGCAACTCCACCGGCGACTTATCCCCCATCTCAACTGGGATACTCTGACCATCTAGTTCTCTTGGTGTTATGCTGTCAATCTCGTGCGGTCGGGTCGATTCCTTCGCCGGTTCACTGTGCAGCTCGTTCGGTTGTCCATTGTCGAGTTTCGAGTACATCGGGGATATAGTGCGCCCTTCGTCTTGGAAGGATGATGGCGGCTGTGCGCGTGCGCGAGCCTGTCGTCGTCGTCGGAGAAAGAACCAAACGAGTCCGATAATTATAACCACGCCAGCTACGGCACCGACGACAGCGCCTGCGATCGCACCGCCGCTTATCTCGTTCGAGTCAGAGGTTTCAGGGGCATCCCTTACTATCAATCCGCAATATTAGCATCGCTTGGCGCAGAAGAAATCATATGAGATAACGATGGATAAAGGGAAACAAAAATAGCAATACACGACTATTCTATAGAAAAAGACAGAGGATCGGTAGAAGAAATCAAACATACTCTGTTTCACTGGCCCCAAAACCATATACTGCGGGTTATCCGGCTGCCCACTCACACACCCATAACCCTCAGTATCCATATCGCGATTCCAAAACGCCGTCTGGCCCTTCTCGCAGCAAAAATTGCCCTTATGCTCGAACATGTTCCACGTCTCGTTATTGCCGCAATGCGGTCGTTTCTTTAGCATATTGGAGCAGTTGCCCCCGCCGGGGCAACAGATGCTATTTTTCCACTTGCTATTCTTGCTGGGACAGCTCGTGCCCTTTGGGCAGCAGGCGGAGAAATCGCCCCATGTTTTGCCGCAGGATATTTCTTCGTCGGCGAGGCATGAGCCGTTGCGGCGGAGGGCGTAGCCGGCAGGGGAGTTGTATGCGGCTCTGTAGGCCATCCTTTCGACTATGGTTCGCTTTCTCTTCCCCCTTTTTCGTAAAGACAGGCCTCGTTTTCCGGGCGAGACAGAATCCGCGGGCGGAGGGGAGATATGAAGGGCAGGTTTGGCGGGGTATGTGTGGAGAGTCAAAAACAAATGACATCCGGAGAATAAGATCGCAGAAGGATAGCCATTCTTAATAACATCTTGCATGGAGAGATCGGCGCACTCCATCTGAGGTGTCGGCCATGATTATGGCGATCCCTTCCTGAAATGCGGAAGGATGGGACGCCTTAGCTAGCACTGCCTTATAATGTATTATTTTTAACTTCCTCCGAATTCCCTAGTTTGAAGCGCGATTGGAAGGGCTCTCTGGTAGTTTCCTGGGACTGTCTGCAATTAGGTAATTGGTTACCCAGTAGCAATGGCAGTATATGAGGTGCATAATGGGAGTACGTAAACTCGACAAATACCCCAAGTTATGCGCCCTGCTGGCGCCAAGCGTTTAAGTCATGGAAATGAATTCGATATATGCTAGTATTGGTAGACGCGGGCTCGTGTCCGGGGTACACTACCATTATTATGGAGAACACCGTGGGTCGATCGTATTCGCGTGGTCGGATACCCAGCCTAAAAACCACCATGCAGTTAGAAGATTTTAGCATGATACAAACATCTAAGCATTTCATTATGGAAGTGGTGATCGTAGCCAGTCCAACACGCTGATTGGCCATACTAGGGCAGAGATTTTCTCAAGACTTCTGTGAAATGCTGTCACTCATTTTTATAGATCCATTGATGTCCCCCTTAACTTCATTCAAATTCTGATTATTTTATTCTTATCATCAATTGGTGTTTCTAGCATCATGGAAATATATGGACATCTTACCATAGATGGTGATTCTCCATAGGATCAGGTTGTGCTCCGCCCTGTCTTACGCCGGTGTTTATTATTACTGTAGGCCCAGAAATGAGCTTGATTAAACTGGACTTCTATTGCTTATAGAACCGCTGTGTCTTGAAAAGTGTATAATATAAATCTCCTTCAAAGCTACCAAATGAAATTCCCTAGTTGTAGTAGAAAATATGTATAGTGAGGTTCTTACCTGGAGTGTTAGACCATACCGCATAATCAAAATATATATCGCGAACACCATAATACTATTCAACCCCTATTGCTCTAGCACAGACCCTAGAGCATCGAAGTATTTCAAAAAAAGTATAAGTAAGCCTTCTCTAACATATCAAAAAACTCTAGACCGTAAATAATACAGAAAAATGTAGATATACAAGCCACTGAGTTCAGAAAGGTCGAACAAGCATATTTGAATTATTCACCAGTCATGTAGCAAACCTCCGCTAAACTACCCATCAATTGGCAAGGTGGGAGAGCGGTTAATCCGTAAGACTAGAAATCTTATCCCTTCGGGGTCGTCAGTTCGAATCTGGCCCTTGTCGATTATTTTTTGCAATATTTTTCTCTATTGCCTTATCGAGCTTGATACAAGACCCACGTTTTTCAAGTCTAGCGGAATTATTGCCCAGGTAGATTGAATATGGAATTATTTTTTTCAATGTTATGTATGCCGCTTGCATAATGTATATAGCGGCCCTGTCCACATAAACCGCGTAACAAAACAGTTGGGCTCAACAGTACACAGCGAAGCAAGCAAGCAAAAAGATGTTTAAAAAATAAAAAGAAAGAAAAAAAATATGTGCCATTTGCCTACAGACAAGCGCGATCATATCCCAAAACAAACCTACTCCTAGAGGACGGTACAATAGCATAGAATCAACCAAGTATACCCCGTCAAATTAGTCTCCCATTGCAGTATTGGCATTGCCAACAACATCACACAATGAAACTCAAGCTCTTACTACCACCTACCTGAATTCCAAACCCATATCCCATTCGTACATAGTTACCCTATCCCCGGTCCAGGTCTGCTTGTGGCAGTACAATGACCCAAACAATCAGTAACAATTAGGTTATGACCCACCCACACAAGCCTCAAATATGTAAAACCAGGATTTACCGAGAAAGCTTCGCCCAGGCTGATGTAGTCAATTCTGGAAGCAAACTCCATCTCCGGCAACATGGGAGAGTGGTTAATCCGTAAGACTAGAAATCTTATCCCTTCGGGGTCGTCAGTTCGAATCTGGCTGTTGTCGTTGCTTTTTTGCCTCTGTTTAATTTATCGGGGGTTGATTTTTTGGGTGGGTTGTGTGTGTGGGTCTAGTATTTCCCTCTCTCTTTCGTTGTGGGTGTAGTAAAGGGAGGTCAGATGGGGTAGTCGTGCAAGCACTGCTCATGCAATTTTTGAAGCATATTAGATTCATCATCATTATCATAGCTCTATATATATATATATCTATATATCTACAGCTTTCCCTTTTGAATCTCAGCCGGAGGGCCACAGCAGGCCGCCGCTTCAGGGTGCAACGTAGACTGGTTGAATGTTTGCGACGACTGCGGGACGTCGAGGGCGGGGTTCTTGGTGAAGAAGCCATCGGGTCGCAGCATGACGCTGACGCGCTCCATGGGCATAACGGGGAAGTCTTCGACGCGGGGATTGTGGGTGAGTCCGAAGGCTGTATTTTAGTTAGTACCTCAGTATGAAACGGGGGTAGATGGGAGGGGGAAGCATACTATGCCATAAGACAACGTCGTCGTTTTCGACAGACTCGTTGCGAGCAGCCCACTTCTCGACTCCCTCGCTCTCCTGGCTCTGGTTGGTGAATTCGCCCGCCGCGAAGAGCTCGTCGTCGCGGTACTTGGTGACCCAGATGGGTTTGGTCGCGAACTGGGCGCGCTTGAGGCCGAAGGAGCGCGGGCTGGCGAGGAGCATTTGGCTGGGGGAGGTTTGGAGTTTATAGGAGATGGGTTTGTAGGTGACGGGGTTGATCTTGGTGTCGTTGCGGATTTTGAAGACGCGGTGGCGTTCGACGCTGGTGTTGGCCGTGCCGCTTGTGCCGAGGACGGTTTGCTCGGTGGTGTAGCCGACTAGGTAGGGGTTGTTTTCGTCCTCGGGCATGGGGACGCTGTCTTCGTAGTAGACTGTGTTGTTGTGGCCGTCGATGGCGGGGTCCATGCGGAAAGAGAACATGTGTTGGTGGTTGGGGGCCATGACGCCGGGCCCGACGTTGGTGCCCCAGGGGACTGTTGTGCCAAATTTGTGGTTGTCGAAGGGGACCGTGGAGAGGATGCCTGTGGCGCGGATCTCTAGCTCGATGTTGGCCGCTTGGTCGAAGATGAAGGCGAAGATGTACTCGTAGTTGGAGACGGTGCAGATCATTTGGACGACGAGTTGGCGGTTGCGCACTACTGTTGCCGCGCCGGAGCGGTAGTTGGTGTGCTTGTGCTGCAGGCCGTTGTCCTGTTCGTGGAGACAGATGACGTTCTTGAGCAGCACGGGGTTGCCTTGGGTGTCGGCGCGGTATCCATCGAAATACTTGATGTGGCCGAGACAGTCGCAGCCTAAGGCCAGCTGGTTGGCTGTCAGGCCGAACCCGACGTCACCGACGTCGAAGGCTTGCTTGCGGTGGAAGGGGGCGCGGGGGTCTCCGTACGGCACGGTCATCTCCGACACGGACAGCCGGTAGAATACATTGCGGTTGTCATAGGTCAGATTGTGAATGACCATCCCCTCACGACTGTTGAAGCCGACACGGAAGCGCCACTTCTGCCACTGCACCACATTCCCCTTGACATCGAACGACGGCCCCTGCGGCTGTTGCACGATATAAGGCTTGAGATCGGTTCGCAGCGGCGTGTCCAGCAAGTCATGTGCGTACTGGACCGTCTCGACCGGCTTCCACGGCTGTGTCTCGGTGCTCGTGCCATCCGGCCCGCTAGGAAGGTAGTCCATGCGGACGAGCTCCTTGGTGACGCCATCGAACACCGGCGAGAACCTGCACGGTGTCGAATAGTGGTTGTTCTGGGGATGGTCCGTGGCAATGACGTACATGTAGCACTGCCATAACCGACGGGTCTCATTTGCGTTGTCGGTGCCATAGATCCAGGGATCGTTGCAGATGGTGGCGCCAGCGGGAAGCTGTAACTTGGCAACTTCCGCCTGCACCGCCGGGTGGCTCAAGCAGAGCTGTTCAATTTCGACGATCTCGTCGACATCCGCAGGGCCCTGTGATCGGTTAGTGGTACGCTTGTCACTCAATGTAATAGGAACGTACCTGGACTCCCTTGGGGAGCTCCTTTGCGTAGACAATCGACCGAGTGTCCGCGTTCAAGAGAGCCTTATGGAAAGCCCCAGTATCGAGGCGGTGAAAGAGGACCTGCAGCAGGCGCGTGGGCTTGCGTGGCAACGGCTTGCCCAATCGCTCGGCCTCGACATAGGGAACCACCTCCTTCTTGATGGGTTCCTGGGTGTCAATCTTCTTGTACCGTAGAGGTACACCGGGGAACGAGGCCTGCAGCAGCTTCGCAGCCAGCTGGATCTCCCCCGGGGTGATGGGGTCAAAGGGATGTAAAGTGGTCATGTTGGCGAATTCTGTCTGAATCTATCACTGTTCTTGATAGGATAGAGACGATAGTCGAAAGCTGTCTGGAAGAAGGATGGGGAGGGGGGGTTCCACTTTATATACATGAGGTGCGGAGAGGACCGACAGTGGAATGTTGGGGTAAACGCAGCATCTACTCCATCCTGGCGATAAGTACGGTCATTCTCCGTACTCTGAACGTTCCTCGGCGGTTTTACTTCCACGATAAGCAAGGATGTCCGGTTTGCCACAGTCCCATTGGCTGGAGGTCCCGTGCCTCACCCAGCGTATCTGATTCCCGATCCGGTAATTGTGGCGCCCACTGTATCACGTGAAGGATGAAGGATGCTGACTCATTATGCACAGTTTGCCAACGCACTAACTGGATGTGGCTAGTCTACACGTGATGCCAGATGGACAGACAAACACTATCTAGTAATCTACAGCAAACATCGTCTGGATTACGCCTGCGTCAATCCATTCGTATCTCAAGATATCATAATATAGGTGACTCCCAGTATCCCTAGAGCTGAAAGTCCCGTCAGAATGGCCGCTCCAGCGCGATCGGCAGTGGTAATGGCTTTCGGTTTTCCTTTCGCGTCTGCATCCTTTCCCGTCCCCGCACCGCTATTCCCCTTGCTAGTACCTCCCGTCTCGCCCGTGAGCGGACCACGGGTCGTCTCAAGCAAATTGGCGAGGATCACCTCTAGAGCGGACATCTGCTGCCCGACCCCGGTGGTGCCGTCGTAAGTGCCCGTGGTCCACTGCATACCGCAGTAGCTTCCGGTCTTCCCACCCACGCATTGTGCAGCGGCTGCCTCGGCGGACGGGCGGAGACGGGTCATAATACTGTCGTACGTAAACGGAGCCAGCTTGGCCGTATCTCCCATCCACCGCGCCAGGTAGGCCTTGAAGGAGAATTGGTCGGTTTGACAGGTGCCGGCTAGCTCGCAGGCGGACTCGTATAGCACGTTCCTGGAGGAGTCGTTGGTGGAGAGGAAGACCTGTTGCCCTTTCAGAAGCCCCTCGATGCGTGCCTTCCACCGGAGGCCTCCGTTTGTCTGACCTGATTAGTAGACTCTTGTCGAAATTCCAACAGTATCATCCACCACTTACGTAGTTCCACATATGCGCCGCCCCGTGCAAAAACACGCCGTTATTGTACGTCCACTCGATGTGGTTCAGATCGCTGCAGTTGTTCGTATCGCTCGTCCCGTCAAACACATGGTATTCTGGCCCGACAAGTCCCACTCCCCGCGACCAGTCCCACGCCTTCTCCGCCCACTCGGCGTAGGTCTCGTTGTTGGTGTATCGCGCCAGACGCGCCGCCATGTTGAAGAAGCAGCCGTTGGAGATGGCGTTGCGGTAGTTGTACCCGCCGTTAAACGAATAGATCTGCCACTTCAGGCCCCCGCCACATTGCTCGTTATTCCACCGCGCTGCCTGCTGGTTGAATACAGCCTGGACCATGGCGAGCCATGACGGCTTATCGTCGGGCGGGTTGGTGAAGTTACTCTCGGCGGCGCGCATCGCCGTGAAGGCACAGAAGGCCTGATCGTCGTTGCCTTCGGTGCGGGTTTGATTGGTCGGCATGAAATCGCCTTCGGAGCCGGCTTGGTGGAGTAGGGCTTGGGTGATGATGTTGTTGTAGGCGGTGTCGCCTGTGTAAGACCAGTAGTTGACCAGCGTGCCGAAGAAGGCGCCGGCTTCCCACCAGTAGTACGGGGAGGGGAGATTACCGGGGACATCGCCGGTGTTGTTGCCTGTGTAAAAGCTGACTAGGTCCCAGGCTAACTTGCTTGCGACCTGTTTGGTGTTGTCTAGGGGGGTTAAATTCTGTTGTGGAGTGGCTGATGAGTCGGGGACTGACCTGTGTCATCAATATTCAACTTGATTGCCTGGACTGAGCGGCAGAAGAAGCCGACTAGACATAGTGGCAGACATAGTAAGATGGGGGACCACATTTCGGTGGTTTGTGAGACAGGTATGCCAGTAGGTATGATCGATAATAATGTGTGGGTTGTTGCAGAACGACCTGGAAGCTGCACGCGTACGTGGGACACAGAGTCCTGATTAAGAGGCTGACCAGACAGGCTGTTTGTGCGATATGCTGACCTGCAAGACCAGTCACTAGAAGGTCAAAGTGAATGGTGTTCGTCACTCTGGAGCCGTGGTGGCTGACAGGACTTTGTCCTACTCGAACTTCATGTCTATTCACTAGCCATTTACATACTAAGATATCGAAATCGGGTGGGGTTGTCTGCTCAGTTATATCAGTCTCATTGTTAGGTTGAGTAGAAGATGATAAATATACTGTAGTACTGTGAAAAGGTAGCCTGTACCACATACCATAAGTAAGGGTAAGAGACTCATTCTAGAAAAGATGATTTATATATAGTGGACATCGTTTGTACTCAATTGATACAAGACCAAGCATTAATTCCAACCACTGCCTGTTCCTCCAAGCATCTTGTGCTTGCACTTGTACTTTGCTTTTCTAATCCAGTGGATTATTTCAGAATCTTCTCTAGGTGGTTAGTAGGGTGATTTTTGCTATGATCATGCCTACAATCCGATTATTCTGATCTTCCCCCCGATTGGGTTTTATAGACCAAGAGAATCTCTATCTTATCTCACCGTTGGAGAATGTGGGGAACGTAGACTGTTGACTCATCCGCACAAGCATCCATAAGACATACGCATAATCCCCACTCAGCCCTGGCAATATTACTCCCCGGTAGTCTTCCTTTTCACACCATGGCAATTGAAGATACACGCGTAGTCTTTGTGATCTTCTCTTATTTTTCCTAATAAAGATAATGGAATATGAGCAACGCCCGAAGCGCACGTCTAATGCGTTCGTTTAATCTACCCTCTTCCCGTCCCCACTTGGCTGATTGATTCCCCGCAGTTGCCAACGCTGTCGTTCCCGCAAAGTTAAGTGCTCGGGCACGCAGCCGTGCGACAAATGTCGTCAGCGTGGTCAAGATTGTGTCTTTGAGGAGGACCGGAAGATCGTGGTATCCGAAGAGTGGGTGACTGGTTTCTTGACAAGGAGCGGACTGCTGACCGACAGGCTGTTTCGATCGCTAAAGCGGAAGGTCGAGGAGTTGGAGAACTCTCCAGCTCCAGCACATAAGAAAAGAACTAGGACATCGAAACACGATGGGGTTGATTCGTCCACAGAGGGTAGGCTCATGATTTCATTGCGACGATTCCCTATAGTAATTGTCTTCCAGTGCGCACACCGGAAAACCACAGAGAATCGACCCCACACCGCCACGAGGGCAACCCGCATGACGAGCGATTCTCCTCGAACCCCTTGGTCTCCCCGTCCTATTTGAAAAACGAACAGCCTCGAAGAAAGACGTGGTGTAGGTGATGGGTCTTCTGTGCTTCGACCAAGGGGTTAACTCGTGCCAGTGTTTCTCGGTCCCACCTCCACCTGGTCCTACAGTCGCCGCGTCCTCTCCGTGATCCAGGACCGACTCTACCCCAACAAGATCGAGCCGATCCCGCTGGCCGTCGACGGCGATGCATACCAAATACACTGGCGACAGGCGAGCTCGGAGGAATTGCCCGATATCAGCGGACTACCGTCACTGGAGCACGCGCTGTACATAGTCAACACCGTGCAATTCCATTTCGGCTATTTGTACCGGTTATTCGACGAGAAGGAGTTCCTGCGGAATCTTCACGAGTTTTACGACAATGCCGGTGCCAAAGTACACGAGACGCGCCTCTGGTACGTGCAGTTCTTGGTCATCCTCGCCTTCGGAGAGGCATTGCTGGTGCCCATGCGCAAGGCATCCAGCACTGCTACCTGGACGAAACTGTTCTCGAGAGCCATGTCTTTGTTACCGGATATCACCGGGTTGTGGCAGAACCCAACCTTGGCCATTGAAGTTTTGACTCTGATAGCTCTGTATTTCCATTCGGTGGATATGCGGGATACTGCGTACTGCTATGTGAGTGTTTGATCCGTTGTGTCGCGACATCACCGAGCTGACCATTCAGATTGGCCATGCCATGCGCATGGCTCTGGTCGAGGGTTTACACCGTGCCCCTCCAGTGGAGCAGCTGGGACAGGAACTAGTGGACCGGTGCAACAACATCTGGTGGACCGTGTATGTATTGGACAGAAAGTTTGCAGCGTTGATTGGATCGCCTTACTCGGTCAGCGATGCGGAAATCACCACCGTTTTGTGGGATCCTCAGACATGCACGCAGAAGGAAGCTGCCTTGAGTCTGCATGTCAAGATTTCCCAAGTGATCACTCGTGTGCTTGGAAGTATGCTCACCACAACCTTGAGGCAAAATAATGAAATTATCTGGCTGACTCCGTTGCAATAGCGGTCTATAGCCCAGATGGAAAGCTAGGCGGCGTGTTCCTCCGAAAGCTGCGATCGGTCCTACAAGAGATGACAGACCTGTCCCGCGAGCTTGATGCCGTGTTTGCTCGCCGCTTCTCCAGCTCCGTAGATGCCATTTCCGGAGTCACCACGCGCTTAACGATTTCTTGCCACCTGGTTAGCCCCGAGATCTCTCATATAGAAAAAGAACCATGCATCTAACAGGATAGTGTATCATCGTAACAACCCGACCACTCGTCCTGAGCCTTCTCTGGGAGCGACTAAGCTGCTACGAAGCAGGTGAGCCTTTCCGAACTTTATCAGCACCCGTCCGGACCCTCCTCGAAGCATGCATCGATTCCGCCACAAAGTCACTACGAATCTTGTTAGCACTACAGGACCACAATATTCTCCGTTAGTAACCGCCTGAACAGAAAAAAAAAAAAAAAAAAAAGAAACTGACAGCTCCACCAGAATCCTTCCTCCCATTCGACCTCGAAAACCTCTTCTCCTCGTTTTTCATACTCTCGGTAATATCAGCAATCCTCCCCGACACCCAGCCCGACCCGGATTTCAACTATCGAGAGATGGGCTTCAGTCTGCTCGACGATATGATCTCCCGTGGTAATCGCGTAGCCCAGTTGCGCAAATCGGAAGTCGAGTTGCTGGAGGAGCTTATCCAGCCGCTGGTGCAGGCGTCGACTCAGCCTGTTGGACCCGGAAATGATGGAAGGTCCCAGACCCCAGGGATCAATGCAGTTCCAACCGTGAACAGTGTACTACCTGCGTCGACTCTCCCACCTGTGGACATCAACCAGGAAGATGATCTCAGCTTTGACTGGCGAGATTATGGGCTATCGCTGGAGTACATGTTCTCGGTGACTGATCAGCTTAACGCGAATAATCTCGTTTTGGATGCGGAGAGGGAGGGACTGCAGAACGATTTGTGGCTGTGGAGTGATGGGTAGGGATCAACAAGAAAAAAAAAAAATCATATAGACGTGGTTATCCTGTCTGCTGATTGGACTTTGCATTGGATGATAGGGTTGGGTTGCTTTTGTGTTATTGGGTTTTATAGTGAGATGGGTCAACGGAAGAGAAAAGTGGATTGCAACTTGCGATATCCCTAGATACGTTATTGTGTGGGATGAAGTACTGTCACACGCATACAATCACACGGACGGGGTGAGATCGTTCTGGCATAGCTTTTCTCAGTTGAAATTGGTAGAAGGATCTTTCGTTAAGACTGTAAGTGGGCTAGCCCCTTTGATGTACTGGAGTTTAGACTAAACTGCTGTTTAGCAGTGTCTATCGATGATTCAAGCTACATTAGAGATATATGAGTAGGATTTCCGGTTTTATATACCACAGTCTGAACAGAAGAATCAAGACCCAGACATAATTGCCACGATCAAGTCATTTGTTTGCGTGTTGGAGAAGACATTCCTAGCCAAGCCTCGACCTCACCCTGCAGGCACCACGTTTCTATCCCAGACCAACCACGCGTTCAACAAACCTCTCTTGTTGGTCGGATCCCTCATTCCCAAACATAGATCAGGAATGAACGAATAAGAAAACCCCTATCCATGATTATTGTCTCCGCTAGAATGCCAGGGCTCCGTTTTGAGGCCCAGACCATATGGGTTACCTACAAGGGGTGACTTGGGAGGAATTTGGCATGCCTTTATACATTCCCGACCTGGCGAACACGAAGGAACGTCAACAACGGGCATCAAAATTCTGGAGCTAGGCTGATGGTGTATTTATTGTGGCCATTCGCCCGATTTTCTCCCACATGGTGCTCGATTGACAATTGACCCGCTGGATCGGCACTACGATGTCTACTGCGATACTGGAAGGATCCTTCATTTTATAGCAAGCATGACTATGGTATGCGCATGCGGTTGACTAGCCAATTGATTCATCTTGGGACACTCGAAATCGCGTGGATTGGCGCGTTGTTATACCCACAAGGTCTTTTACGACGTATGCATACTGCCCTAACAAGCGCTTCCCATCTCGACACTCCAACTCGACAGCCATTCGCTACTCGCCATTGCGAGCGACCTTACATTTTCTTCCCGTCTGCAAAGCAGCAGCAATAAATGAAGATGCAGTGGAAGGCCTTCCTTTTCCTCGTCGCCGCCAATGTAGCGCTGGCACGCATGCAAGGCCACGAGCGACGCCACAACACCCACAAACATGTCCACCATGCCTCGGAGGTAGGGAACCTCGAGGCGTGCGAGCAGATTGGCGTCGTGACCGACGTCAAAACCGTCACTGTCTACACGACCATATTCGGGGATCCGCCTGCAGAGCCGACAACATCCATCCCGACAACCACCGTGCCGGCTCCAGCAGCAACAACAACAACAACCACTCAGCCCGAGCACCCGGATACCAACACCAAGCCAGACCAGGCCCCCAACCCAGCACCAGACTGGACGCAAATCCCCCCAAACGACAACTTCACCACCGCCGGCTTCGGCGCCCGCACAATCGACACAAGCGGGAGCCGCGTAACCTACCGCGGCAACATCGGTGACCCATGGGGCAGCAACATAATCAGGATCCCGAGCACATCAGCCTCGAACTACAAATACGTACTCAAAATGTCACGCGGCAGCGACAGCCCCAAGCCATGGACAGTAATCTTCTGGAACAAAGTCGGCCCCTCAGGCCAACTAGACGGATGGTACGGACACTCAGCTCTAAATTTCACACTGGAGGCACACGAGTCCGCATACGTTGCGTTCGACGAGAACAGCCAAGGGGCATGGGGCGCTGCAGAGGGCACCGAGCTGCCGAAAGACAAATTCGGCGGGTATAGCTGCACCTGGGGCGAGTTCGATTTCGGAAACGCGGAGAACGGGGGGTGGAGCGGGTGGGATGTTAGTGCGATTCAGGCGCAGGAGGCGGGGCAGGTGGTTCAGGGGATGAGGATCTGTGATCATGCTGGGAAGAGGTGTAGTTATGTTACTGAGGGGGCGAGGGAGGTGGTGAATGCTTATACGAGGGGGGAGAAGAAGGTGGATGGGATTGGGGGGAATGGGCCTGGGGGGGCAGTTAGGTTGGAGGTGCTTGTTGATTATAGGGGTTGAGTATGTTTTTGATATCCCTTTATGCTTTATTATCTTTCTTCTTCTTGAGTGTAGGGTTTGTTGTGTCATTGTGAATTGTAGGATGCTATGGCTTTTGCCGTGCAGCATATAGCTCTTTCCAGTGACTATGGAGACTAAAATTCTGAAGTCGCTGATTACCTCTGAGAACGGCCAGATGCTTGAGGGACTGGGGGATCCTGATAGCTTAATTTGTCTATCTGGAATTTCCACTAGTAGGCTATGAGCATGGCATTGCGACTCATCAATAATAGCACAAATGGAACGACAACGATGCTATCAAGCCAATATATCGCTTCATCAGTTCTCAACCTTGTCCACTGTCGTCTGGCCGTTCTTCCCCACCCAATGATCCACCCCCTCAATCAACGCCTTCGTAAACTCAGCATCATAACGCCGCCCATCTTCCCGCCCAATATTCGCCATTATCCAAAAAGCCCATGTCGTCGCCATGACACCCTCCGGCGCGCGCAGAATCCCAACAGACACATCCAAGATATGCGGCCGATCAACGCAACCATAAAACACCGTCGCGCCGCATCGACCACAAAAAGACCGGAGCACCCCCTCGCTAGACTGATAGGTCTTTGATGTCCCGAGGACCAGATCATCCCCCGGACGAGGGGACATGTGATCAGTAGGTACAAAAACCCACCCTGCGAGATTGGCCCCGTTGACGAGCCGACAGTCGTCGCATACTTCGATCACGGCACGCCACTTCTGCTCCTCTCCCGGCGGAACCCAGTCGCTGTTTGCGGGATCTTCAGTGAACTCTTTGCTTGGGCGAGCGATGTCGAAGGAGACACCGCCGCAGTGGCATTCTGCGCGCAGGACATCATTCTCAGCGTCGCTTGCGCTCACTTGCTCCTTTGACGGGATACTATCTGGGTCATGGGAGACATGGAGCTGATGGCCCCCAACACGCGGGAGCAATCTAGCAAGGTCGCCCGAAGGGGCAGACGAGGCGAAGATGTGTTCGTTTATCTTCCAGACTGCGTCGTCACGATTGGCATCGAATATAGCGGAGGAAATGACCCAGACCGAGTCCCGATCGCCGATGTTACAGCCGCATGTTGAGCAAAAATACCCAATTGAATGGCCCTGGGGGTGGGTGTAGGGAGTGAGATTGCTCATGCTGGACGGCGCGATGAACTCGGGCTCCACACCCTCGGGAAGATTGGCATGGAAGGTGCAGAAGGTACCGTGGGTATAGCGGCATAGGCTGCAGTGGCATAGATGGATGTCCAGGGGTAAGTTGGCCCTGGGTATCGTGATGGTGAAGTGGACATTGCGACAGTGGCAGGCAGCTGTGAGGGTTTTGGTTTCGGTGGGTGACGCCATGCTGGGTTTTGATTGTTGATGTTTACCTGGTCTTGAGTAGAAACAGATGATGGGATGGGCGAGGCAAGAAGAGATTTATTTGACTTCAGATATATTCATTGATTGAAGTCAATGAAAGGGCGTGGAATCAGGTGATATAAGACGTCTAAAAGAGGGGTTTTCTCGTATTCATTTATGACCGACGAGTAACCCCGCGGTCTTGATATTATTATATAAAATCTGCAGTTGCAGTATTGACACAGCACTTCTCAACTTCATGCTACTACCGTGGGAGTAAAGCCCCAACGTGGACAGTCCTTTCGCGACTATCCATCATCCTATCCAGACTTCTTCACTTCATCCATTGCCCGAGAACTCTCACTCTCCGACTGTCGACTACACATCAAATTGTCAGTACCTTCCCACACTGATCTCAATAGTGCTATACTTGCAATGTTTCAGCGGCATCCCTATCAATTTCCGCGAGCTTGGCACAATCTGAATGAACTCGGGCAGCGGCTTCTTGGAGGTCCCGCAGGATCATCCGAGTCACATCCTGCATATCCTGTTAGAAAGTGTATGAAGTGATGCCCGGGTTCCCATCCATTGCTGTCATACCGCGGATGCTCCGCCCTGGCCTTGCGATAAATCGCTGGTGGAGTGGATGAACTGGTCAAGTCGCTTCGAAATCTCTAGGCACTCGCCTGAATCACGTTTCTGCGAGGGAAGAGCGGCTGCCATAGCAGCCGCTGCAAGCACGGTGAGGGTGGCGATCTTCATTGTGGTTATGGTGGGTATTTTTCGAGCTCCGACGATGCTACAGGTGCGATGTGGGCTGAACTGAACATTGGAGCAGATCGAGCTTGATGAATGGGGTATTTATATCCTTCGGCTGAATGTTCTACGAGAGAGGTGCTCCACGATGCGGCTCTTGGATGCTTTCAGCACTGGAAAGAAACAAAGAGAAAGCCCACGAGTTCAGACACCTCATGTTCTCGAGCCATCAACTCGGCCGCCACAAGGCCTGGGTATGGATGCATGCTGTCCACAATATATACCAGACTATCCACTTGATGCGTGCCTCGTAGCACATCTGTTCGTATCCCAAGCGCCATACAGGTCACAACCAGCAGATGATGATGCTGGGGGTTTCTGATTGGGTGCTTTGCTGTGGCTTGCACAAGCCCTTTTAAACCCTTCCAATCACCGAAGCTTGAATGTGCTAGTTCCTCATCAAAACTGGAATTAGTAGTTTGTATACGACGGGCCTTTGTTCCGTGGCCTTGAAGGGATATTCTTTGACTGGGTGAAATCTAGTTTTATTCATTGGGAGGATACTTTTGGGCTGACAGATGATGGCTGAGTTAAGGTCCGTGATTCATGGAGTCCACGTTGTCTATATGGGTGCAATCATGCTGTTCTGATGGGCGCAATACAGGTACTCATTCTTCTCAAGCACATAGTTACTTTGAATTAATAAAAAAAATAAACATAATTATTTGGCCTATCCAAAGTAGCCAAACAGTGCTTCATCAATAAACATTGGAAGGTCATATCAATACAAATCGGTCACCGAATGTACCTCCATAACATCAGTCAAAACCAAGCTACAACACCATCGCCATCAAAAATCCATCGTGCCCCTTCGCCCCCACAGTCTGCATCAATGCCGCATCGACCCGACTGTCTGCGCCAACCTTGTCCACCAACGAAACAACCTCTTTCTTATCCGTTCCTGGACCCACAATCCCAAACCTCCTCATGGCTCCCACGGCATTATCCACATAGACCACACTCCCCGCACCGTTAGACAGCCGAACCCCATAGTCAAAGTACGGCCAGTGGTTCTCCCAGTCGGCATCAATAAGCACGAAGTCAAACCTGGGTCGTTGTCCCTGCTCTATCTCTGCCTCGAGCTGCGGCAGCACGTCCAGAGCAGACCCGAGCAACACTTCCGCCTCATCGGGGACACTGATCCCGGCGTTGCGGAGGTTCTGCACAGCCAGCTCCTGCCTGTCCTTGAGAATCTCAATACTGGTGACTTTGCCCCCCTGTCCTCGTTGTCTGAGGGCCTTCGCAAAGCAAATAGTCGAGTAGCCGCCCAGGGTGCCGATCTCGAGCACGTTGCGGGTCCCCGATAGCCGCGTCAGCAGTGAGAGGAACTTGCCCTGAGCTGGGGAGACGGCTATCTGCGGTATTGCGTGACTGTTGCTAGTGTCGAGGGTATCTTTGAGATCCTGAGCATTGGGCAGGAGGTGGGGTTCCGCGTAGGAATCGACTTCCGTGGCGAAATCGAGGACGGTTTTGTCGGACATTGTGGAGGGAAGACTGGTGACCACTTTTAATTGGCTGAACTTTGTTTGTGAAGAAGTTTTGAGGAGATGGGATACATTTTACCAAGACACGTCATTCGAGGGGTTCTTATAGAGTCGGTCTGGTGATGACGTTGATAGTGATGTCCGAGTCGTTCGGACATGCTCGGTCATGCTGCTTATGCATGGCTGCTGCATCTGAGCGCTATCTCCGACAGACTAGGGTGGGCATGGTTGTTTCGAAAGGCACAACTTGGAAGGAAGTGTTGTTCGGCCATTCCACAGCGCAGGGATGGTCTGGACAAGGATCTGATGACGCGGATGGATCCTGAAAGCCAGAAGTGTTTATCATTCACCGGGAATAGTCTCTGGCAGATTGATAAGATCGGATCCAATGAAGCCTTATCGCCGAAGTGCACGTGCCTTCTCCGACCACAACTCCGAGAGGGGTTCAGTCTCGGACTTCACCATCTCTTTCTCCTTCTCAACTATCAATTTTGGGCCTCGTTCTTATCAGATCTTCTCCTTGCGAGCTCCTTGCAGCGACATTCCCGGGAATACTACCTCCGAACATGGACGATCATCAGCCGACTACTCCCACTGCACAGCATTCAGCCTGGATAGCCCGTCGCAAGCGAAAACCCCTCTCTTGCACGCTCTGTCGACAACGAAAGCTTAGTTGCGACCGAGAGCGTCCGGCTTGTAGTCGGTGTCGGAATGCTGGACGCGGTGACTCATGTACATATGGAGAGAGGCCTCCAAATACAAGCAGAAAGGATGGTTCAAGGTCGGGGATAAGTGAAGAACCGCGGGTGGAACCTCCGTCTCCGATTCGTGGTGACACCCCGTCTTCCTCCGCTCCACTCCTATCAGCCGTCGCAAACAAGCATATATTGCCTTTACCAGCACCAAGTACTGCGCGTAACAATATTGCATGGGGGCTTCCGGACGCTCATGTCACTGGGGCTGTTGCGGGTTCAGCGCGACCGGCCATCAAGGCCGACCTGACGGAGTTAAGCAACCCCGAAGAGCCTAAATCGACCGAGGCGGTCATTTTTCGGGGAAAGAATTATACAACACAGTACTATGGGAGTACCAATCCGACGAGTTTAATCGGGCATGTAAGAGCAGGAAGTACCCCCTCGCGTTGCTGATGACGCTAATGGGATTGCAGTTTCCTGAGCTCCGGTCTTACATGCGGGAGAGTATCAAGCATCACAATTCTCTTGCTAGTGTCCAAAAAGAGCTGAAGGAGTTGGATGTGGGGTGGAAGCATGAAAAACGTAATATTTTGCCCGTCAAGGATGCGGAGCTGCACCTTGTACTGCCGGACCAACAGTTTATGGATGAGGCTATTGAGCTCTATTTCAGCACGTTTGAATCCGTTTACAGAATAGTGCACAGGCCGACGTTTCAAGCGGAATACGACCGACTGAGGAATGACCCGAGAGACGCGAAACCTGCATTGATAATCCTTGTCCTACTGATGATGGCGACCGTCAGCGCGGTACTTGAAACTGGTCGAATTTACATTGGCAGTGCCAGTCTCGGCCGGGAGCGTGGTACGCTATGGATTGAAACGGCAGAGAGATGGCTACGCCATCAAAGCAGAAAGAATATATACTTGGCAATTTGGCAGATCCGGTGTCTGCTAGTAGTGTCAAAGCAAATGAATCGCTACAAGAAGAAACAGATGTGGTCGGTTGCCGGTGACCTCGTGAGAGACGGTATGGCAGCGGGTTTCCATCGTGATCCTAGGCATAAGGTCTTATCGCCCTTTGACCAAGAAATGAGGCGGCGATTGTGGGCCACAATGACTGAATTGGAGCTACAGGCGTCCATTGATCGAGGCATGCCTTCAGCTTTAGCCGCCATTCGCATGGACTGTGCGCCGCCGCTTGATGTCGACGATGAAGATCTGATGCCTGATTTCGAGCGGGCACCTGTACCACGACCATCCGGGGAGTATACATCCACTTCTTTTCTATGCTTGGCTCGGCAAAGCTTTGACTTGCGAGTCTGTCTGAACTCGCGCATGAATGATTTGGATGTGAACCTGTCATACGAGGAAGTGACGAGGTACGAAGAGATGGTCCTGGCAGAACTCAATAAACTCCCTCGACAAACCGAAACCAGCAACGGTCCATCCGCCCGGAAACTGGCCGGACTAGCGAGGACCGTTTTAGACCTCCAACTTCGACAGTTTCTGATATTGCTGCACGCCCCGTTTGCGAGACAGGCTGAAAGCAATTCACGATATACAGTGTCACGAATGGTTTGTTTCAATGCAGCTGCCAGTTTGATTGAGCAGCATTGGACCCTTCTTAAAGACAAAAGTCCCATTCTTCTGCTGCTCAGACACGATTACTTCCGGGCTGCCCTGAATCTAGCACATCACGCTTATATTTCATCGCAAATTCAAGGTATGTCCCTCCAGATGTCCTTCGTCCTTGCAACTCAAGTATCTGACAAAAGTATAGTAGATCTCTACTTCTCGGTAAGCCATGACACAGTCATGCAATTCATCCAAAAAGCCCTGTCTATGCTTGAAGACAGTATCGCGTACATAGGCACGGGATTTACCTTTCAGTGGTATATCTCCGCTGCGTCATCGTTCCTTCGATCTCTTGTCCAGACCGAACGAGCAGCGAGTCTTAAACAAGAGGCGACAAATCAAGTAGTGAAACAGTACTATCGTGTACTTGCAAGCCAAGAACCGTTTTCTCGGGCAAAGGAAAGTACTTGCCCTTTTCATTTCCAGCAGGTAAGGTCCACTTCAAAAGGTGCAATATCTTTGTTAACGTTTCAAAGTCAAACACGCTGGGTACTCCACTAGACCTACCTGGTGTTATTGCAAACCCCACAGAGATGTCCTATATTGACAGTCTATTCTCACAGTCACAAGAGGTAAGTGATCTGCATCTTTTCTTGGATTATCCATATTGACGCCCAACAGTTGGACCCATCAGATGCACCGTTTAGTCAATATTTCTTTGGTGATCCCGCCGCATGGACATTTGACAATCTATGGGGAGTTGAGTGATTCAAGCAAACGATGACATGTGTCAAAGATGGATATACTGTGTGTTCCACAATCGATCAGGGAAATCAATGCTTGGGACTCGTCGGAAACTTAGTTTTACTAAGATACCATTCCCTCAGACGATAACATCATGCGAAAAGCAAATTTCGTCAATTATCTTGCTTCTGGTGGACTGAACAAGACCTGCGATCTGGAATCAATTCTCCGCATCTTTCGCTGCCCCTAGGATTGATGGGTCGTGCATGCTAAACGAGAACAATCCAAGTAATAGCACGCCACAGCTTTACAGGCTTTGGATATTCCACGGAGAGCTAGAACTAGTCGATCTATTTGCCAGTGCGCATTTCGCGATAAACAGCACAAATGAGCTACTTTCGCGGGGTCTGCATTGGAAATCGTGGGAGAATGCCTTCTACATAGTGGACTAAATCCGTCATCGGCCTAATACTCAATCGGTTATCCCGATTTTCCTTTCACATGAGCAACATAAAGTCGATAATGATAGAAGTTATACATAATCACAGGATCTGCGATATAATCTCGCTGAGAAATCAGTTTCATAAAAGCCTGTCTCGCCAAGTCTCGCCATCGTTCCCTGTTGTCGCGCAACGCTTCCCCTCCCGATGATGCCATTCCTACTGTGATGATGGAAACATCGGCTACACCTTTGGAGTGCCGCGTAATTTACCATCATAGATTTATCTTTGACGATCATGCTTGCGGCGTCATTGTCAAAGGTATCATCGTCGTCGATATTTCAAGCATTGACTTGGAAGGGAAACTTTATTATCGCAGGGAATGTCACTTGGATCGTAATCAGACATTGACTACGGCGCTCCAGCGACTAAGCGCAGGGTTTTTTTTCCCGCTCTGCAAGTTACATGGAAACTTATTGGAAATTCTTAGACTTCTTTTTATTAAATTCCTCTGATATAACTGGCTAAGCATATCACAAAGATAGGTGTTTTTTCGCAATAACCATGGCCACGTTTCTTGGCTTTCGCGCGACCTGACTTCTAAAAGGCGTGCCAGAAAATGGGGACAATAAGTCGGGGTATATAACATTCCTCGCGATGTCCAACGGTTGAATTATCTCTTGGCCAGATACTTCAATTTGATACTGACCAAGTCATGGCGGCCAAGACGACCGTCACCACAAATCTCGTGGAGCATCCTAGCAGTAGCTCCTACGAGAGCGTGGTCGATCAAAAAGGCCACACTATTGAAACCACGAAGCATGATGAGGAGTTGAGCACCGATGGGGATAACCCATTTGCAGACCCTGAGGTCGCGGAGCGGTATATTATCCTCTATGAAAAGGCACAGTATGAATGCCGCCATGTTTTTGATCCGACCTTGACCTGGACCCCGGAGGAGGAGAAAGCCATCGTGCGAAAGTTGGATTGGCGTGTGTGTTTATGGGCAGTATGTTCGCCCTTTTTGGAACAGACATTATGCATGCTGATTATTGACATGGAAAGTGCATCATGTTTTTTGGTTTGCAGGTGGATCGAGGGAACTTGGTACAAGCCGTCTCCGATAACTTGCTGGATGACCTTAAGCTATCAACAAATGGTACGTCTTCATGCAATTCAAACCATATCATGTTATCGCTAATTAGTATTTTGCAGACTACAATACCGGCAACATCATCTTCTACGTCTCGTTTCTGTTAGCAGAACTGCCATCTCAGCTGGTATCAAAAATCATCGGTCCTGATCGTTGGATTCCGATACAGATCTCGCTATGGTCGATAGTTGCAATTTCACAGGCGGCTCTGTCTGGGCGGGCTTCGTTCTTTGCGACGAGGTCACTTCTAGGAGTCCTGGAGGTAGGAACTGTCTTCTGATCTCCTGGTCTTTCTATTTTCTCTCTTTGCTTTTACATCCAATTATCTGACTTATAACAGGGCGGCTTCATTCCGGACATTATTTTATGGCTGTCATATTTCTACACCAGCCGTGAACTTCCTACGCGTCTTAGGTATGTTGTCATAGTCTTTCTGTTACATACTCACGCTCACATTGGGATAGCTTCTTCTGGACAGCATACGGTCTGACGACCATTATAACAGCCTTCATGGCATATGGTATCTTGCACATGAGAGGTGTACTTGGATGGGCAGGATGGAGGCAAGGCTACCGCCCCAGATCCTTGCACACTTCACATTCCTAACATACAATTGCCTACAGATGGCTATTCTTAATCGAGGGCCTGATCACCTTATTGATTGGACTAGCCTCTTTTTTCAAGATGCCCGCGTCCGCAGTGGAGACCAAGAAGTGGTTTCGCCCGAAAGGCTGGTTCAACGATCGTGAGGTTAGAATTGTCGTCAACCGCGTGCTTCGTGACGATCCTTCGAAGGGTATACACAATTCTGGACTGTGCATAGAGCTCCATCAATACTAATGTACTGGATAGGGGATATGCACAACCGCCAAGCGGTAACCCCCAAACGCCTGTGGGATGCCCTACGAGACTACGACCTGTGGCCGATGTACCTTCTGGGCGTGCTCGTGTACACGCCCATGGTGCCAATGGGCACATACATCACGCTATTGCTAAGAGGTATTGGGTTTGATACCGTGCGTCCCCTACCTCTGTCCTTCGTATTGCATTGTCATACTAACCAAAGGTATAGTTTGTTACGAACCTCCTGACTATCCCCTCCAGCGTAGGCCATATAATCTCTCTAATCGTCCTGACCCAGATCAGCGAGCGCCTGAACCAGCGCGCTCTAGTCGCTATCGCACAATCCATCTGGGTACTGCCATGCATAGTAGCATTACGGTTCTGGCCTGACGTGATGGACAATAAGTGGGGGACTTATGCGATCATCACTACATTGCTGTGCTTTCCATACGCCCACGCTATTCTTGTCGGGTGGGTCTCGAAGAACTCAAATAATGTGGGCACACGGACTGTATCAGCGGCCGTCTACAACAGTAAGTCTACCATTGTCCAAGGTATCTAAACTGCAGATTCTGTCTCACACGGTACAGTGTCTGTCCAATTAGGATCCGTCATTGGAAACAACATCTACCGCGAAGACGACAGGCCCAAATATCGAAGGGGTAATAGTGTCTTGCTGGCGCTGAATCTCTTAGGGATAGTGGTTTTTATTGGGACAAAGATTTATTACGTGTCGAGAAATCGATACCGTGATCGAATTTGGGCGGCCATGACGGAGGAGGTGAGTTTGGCACTGACACTATTATCAGTATCTTATACAAAAGAGGCACTGACCGTATTTTCTGCAGCAACGGCTGGATTATTCGAGGAATACTACCGATACGGGGAGCAAGAGGCTGGACTTTCGGTTTGCTCATTAGGTTATAGGGGCGGGTATGGGAACTGGACACAATTGATGGAGATGATTTGGGCATATAATGTGAGTAATGTGAGTAATTCAGAGACTCATACTTGGTAGATAAAAAATGATTGATACCTAACGGTCTGATAGTACCTCAAACTAAATTGCGTCAATCGACATGGAAACCATTCTTTGCGTGAAGAATCATGACCATCTGGTATTCCACGATGGGGCATCTCGAACTGTGTTAGCCTCTATGGAAATCATACTACACTTTCTTTAAATCATGTCACTTTGTCCTTCCCAGGATTTCGAGTATCCACTTTCCACCAGGGTCTCCCGTCCACTCTCTACGCGTGACAAGAAGTGTCAATGGGCAGAGCGTTTGTTTCTACCTTTCATAGGTGAAAGCAAGGCCCTCCGTACTAGAGTTGCCACAATTGTGTGATCATAATTATCATGACAGATAAGGGGTTTCATCCTAATGGCATCGTCTTTTACGCATCTTGGCTGCAGAGGTACGGAAACATTTTCAGATTCCGCAATAACCTGTATACTGGACGGTGCATCGCGGTCTTGATTACCCGAAAGACATATCCTGTACAGAGTGCAATTTATCTCCGACAGAAGGGATCGACAGATGAGGCTGCAACAGTGGGGAGCTAACGGTGGAGGCTAGCAAGGCGAGACCGGCTTAGCACGAAGCTAATATAGTAGTATATCCGACAGCTTCAATCACGATAAATAATCGGCCAGTAACAGGTCAGAGCCCCGCTTCCCCGCAGCATATGCTAGAACGATCCGAAACACGGCCTTTCTCCAGCCGACCGTGCCGTGGAAGAAGAGGGGTTCTTTGACTCTGTTCCTCCACCCCGCTGCAAAAGGAGGGTTCTCTCTTCGTCCGCCGCCAAACCCACGTCCTCTGCACTTCTCCCCATCTCATCTCAGGCCTACGACTGCAGACAACATGACGATTGCTGAAGGTGCCTCGTCTGGTGGTACCGCTAGCGCGAACCCCGAGCATGGTAGTCGTCTCGAGCTAGACGCTCTGGTAGTCGGAGGTGGCTTCTCCGGCTGCTATATGCTTCACAAGCTGCGCGATGAACTCAACCTGAACGCGAAGCTCTTCGAAGCGGGCACCGCATTGGGCGGCACATGGCACCGGAACCGATACCCGGGCGCTCGCGTCGACATTGCCGTCCCGGGGTACGAGTACTCGATGGAGCAGATCTGGAATGACTGGAAGTGGACGGAGAAGTACCCGGGGCAGGCAGAGCTGCAGGCCTACTTCAACCATGTCGATAAAACGCTGTCTCTCAGCAAGGACTGTTACTTCAGCACTGAAGTCTGCGATGCCCGTTTCGACACCGAGAGCGCGACTTGGACGGTCAGCACTAAGGACGGCAAATGCGCGCGCGCGAAATACCTTATTGTCGCGGTGGGCTTCGCAGCCAAGCAGCACGTCCCTGACTGGAAGGGGCTGGATACCTTCGCTGGTGACATCTACTACTCCGCGAACTGGCCAACGGAGCAAGTCGACGTCCGCGGTAAGCGCGTCGCTGTCATCGGCACCGGATCGACTGGTATCCAGATCATTCAGGAGTGGGCTAAAGATGCGGCCGAGACGACCGTCTTCCAGCGCACGCCTAACACTGCGCTTCCTATGTGCCAGTCGTTGCTCCCCCCGGGACTGCAAGAAGACAGAGCCAGCCGGTTGCAGATCTTCGAAGACAACAAGACGACCAACTCGGGGCTGGAGATATGGCCCATCCCGCAGAACACGATGGATGTGTCGCCCGAGGAGCGCCTCGCGACGTACGAGCGGCTGTACGGCGGGGGTGGACTGTGGTTCTGGAACACAAACTACCAGGATCTGTTGGTGGATCCTGTCGCGAATCGCGAGGCGTACGATTTCTGGGCGAAGAAGACTCGGGCGAGGATAAACGATCCGCGCGCGCGTGATCTGCTGGCTCCGCTGGAGCCATTGCATCCGTGGGGCGTGAAGCGGCCGTCGCTGGAGCAGAATTACTACGAGTTGTTCAACAAGCCCAATGTGCGACTTGTGAGCACCCGCGAAAGCCCTATCGTCGAAATCCGGCCCAATGGTATCGTGGCGGAGGATGGGCAGTTGTACGAGGTGGATATGATCGCCGTCGCGACGGGTTTTGATACCGTGACGGGTGGGATCAAGGATGTGGGGATCAAGGACAAATATGGGTTTGATGTCGCCGACCAGTGGAATAAGCAGGGGGTGCGGACCCATCTCGGGATGATGGTTGGTGGGTGTCCGAACCTGTTCATGCCATATAGTGCGCAGTCGCCATCTGTGTTTACGAACGGCCCGACGTCGATTGAATTCCAGGTGCGGTGGATTGCTGATGTCATTCGGAAGATGCGGGAACTTGGAGTACGCGCGGTCGATGTAAGCAAAGAGTCGGAGCAGGCGTGGAAGAAGGAAGTCACAGAGATTGCGAATATGACTCTATTGCCTAAAGCCAAGTCGTGGTACATGGGTGCGAACATTCCAGGGAAGCCGGTGGAGCCACTGTTTTACCTTGGTGGGATGCTGCTGTACCGCGAGAGGTGTTTAGAGACTTCTCGTGGGGAACTTGATGGTCTTGTTAAGATGTGAATTTATAGATATGTTGGAAGTGATTGGGTCTGGTCTGCATTTTCAGAATTGTTGCACTAATGCTAGTCGAATTTGCATTCCCGATGTATAGTGTAGGTTGCATTATGGGCGATAAACATGCTTGTAAAGCGTTTTCCGTCAATACGAGCCAGAGTGTCCATAAATCACGCAGTTCGTTGCGACGCGTAACCCCAAATTATCACGAACGTGAGGGTGTTGAAAGCCAGCTGTAACCATAACTCTTTTCTGGTATAGCCAGCCTGGTCCTCCGTCCATAATCAAACGTCTGGAATAGTTCATAATGTACCGCTGAATTACCACTCATTCGGGGAATTATAGAGGATCCGGAGCTTGCTCGGTTTGGATTGTTTGGCGGCTTGGGTTTTCGGGTATCATTCGAATTCGCCAGCATGTATCGTTTTCGTAGCGCATATCAGCGACTGCCAGATGTTGTTCGTTATATAGATTGGCGATTGAACCAGCGGAGTGTAGAATTGAAATTTGCGTGAAAGCCTTCGATATTCCACCAACGACCATGTCAAATCACGCCACTGAAACACCCTCTAGATTCTCGTAGTACCGGCGATCCATACCGGCCTCTGCCCTAGCCTCCATGTTGAATGGCTCCTTAATGTGACCCTTGAAGTACTTTTCGACATTACTGCGGAAGACATGGACCGGGTCAGTTTCCTCCTCCTGGCAGATCCACGTAAGCCATCGATGGCCGGTGGTAACGTGCGTGATCTCATCATTATGGATGACTTCCAGAACATCAACGCTCGGGCTGTCACCCGCCTTGCGAAACTTTTCGATAGTCATCGGGTTCACATCTAGCCCGCGAGCTTCGTGCACCAAAGCAATGATCGAGATCCGCGCCCGGAGGTCATGCGCAGTGGTAAGCGCCGAGTCCCATAGACCGTGGTGGACAGGAAGTGCGCCAAAATGCGAGCCCATTTCTTCAATGCGCGCACGGAGCAACGAGAAATGTTTTGCTTCGTCGTTGGCCACCTTGAGCCAGTCGTGGTAGAATGCTCGTGGCAGGTCTCGCGAGCTGTCCTTGGACAAGGGATCCGTCCGAAAGGTTGCAAAACGGATGCAGATGTCGATCGCAAGGTCGATCGCCCATAATTCAATGTTGGCAAGTGCGTGGAGCATGGAAATCCTACTCTTCAGCGTTCCGCCGCGACCCGCGCGTGGCATATTCCATGGCTGGACTTCCGTCAATCCCTGCCTTGGTGGTTGCGCCGGGGCCTCAACAGTACCACATCCAAGGGGCATGGGTGACGACGTGCCCTCCCTCTGCGAGAATGTGGCAAACAGGTGGGCGGTCAACTCAATTTTGTGTTCTGGGTGAGGCGTATTCAAGATATGAGCGCACCAGTCGCAAAGAGTGGCGTCTTCATCCAGATATTTAGCATCGCCTGTAGACTGCTGGTTGGACGGCGACAAAGGCGCCCCAGCCGTACCGTCCTTCTTCAGTCGGAACTGCTCGCTGACCGGCTCAATGGTCTTCAGAGTAACGCCCTCCGCATTAGGACCGATATAGTGCAAGACCACCGACTCTCCACGAACGTTGACCGGGAACGTGCATGCGGTGATTCCCACGCTCGATTCTCCCGTCTCTACGTTGAAGTCGTATGCATGCCACGGACACGAGACGATGTACCCCGAGTCTTCAATGTCCACTTGAGAGTCTTGCATTGGACCACCGGCATGGGGGCATTCAGCCTCCATTGCATAGTACGACCACCCATCGTCCGTTTCATTGTCCGCCTTGCTCTTGTCTTTGGACGGCTCGATCGCCGGTAACCGGAAAAGCACTATCCGCTTTCCAGTCGAAAGGTGGATAACATAGCGCGCTTGCGTGAAGCTCGAAAGCGAGCCCAGATCTACCTTTGACATTTTGAAATCGGCGCAGCGCGTTGAGACTGGAGGAAAATGAAGATATTCGAAGCTGAAGTCGTTTGATACATGTGGAATTTTGAGCTGAGTCATGCTGGATTAGTCATGATGGCGGGGCATTTATGCACTTCCTGTTAGTGCACCCCAGCATAACTTTATGTTTATTTTCCCCTCAACTTGTCTGAACAAACAACATAGATGTCAATCAACCTCGATCCACTATCAATTGATATACAGGCCAAAGAACGTCTTCTGAGGGACTTTTGTCTGTACTACAGCAATGAGGAGCAATTTAAGAAAGCCACAGTGAAAATTCTTTCCACTACGGAGTACCCTAGCTGAGAAACGGACATACTGTCTTGAGGCGCAATCTGAGGTCATGAAGCATCGGCTCTAAACGATTACCCTTGCAATTACTCACCTGCCATTGAAGTGTCAAGGTTACTCTAGAATTACAAGGTCTATGTTTAAAAAGTACGAGAAGACTATATACCGAGAAATTGTAGCTAGGCGGGAAAAAGGACGAGATCCGCCTCGGCCTATGCTTATGCTGGGATGTATCATACCAGTTATATTAAATTCGACTAAATACTGATTCGGTATAACGATGCATTGCCTGTCAGCTTATGACAATTCTGATTTGTTGGCTCGCACTCGCTTACATGGAAACCAAGCCACTATTCCGCATGAGTCAGTGGTTTGTGGTGGCAGCTAATTCTCAAGATCCCTTTGATACAATTATGTGTTGTATCAGGTCAACGACCAGACTCTCAATTATCACGGAATTCTACACATTTGGCAACCTGTGGTAGTTGAATCACCGATCATGGCCAGAACCCAAGACCATGTTTCCACAGACAGAGGGGGCGTTATCGAAAACCGACACCTCGTCCACGCAGCAGTAGTAGACGCCCAAGGCAAACTGCTATACAGCGTCGGCGACCCTTCGCGAGTAACGCTAGTTCGCTCAGCAGCCAAACCAGCGCAAGCTCTAGCCGTCCTCGAGACGGGAGCCCCCAAGCAATTCGGCTTCGACGACGCCGACCTGGCACTGATGTGCGCATCCCACAACGGTGAAGACAGACACATAACCCGGGCGCTCGACATGCTGGCGAAAGTCGACGCCCGGGAACAGGATCTCCGCTGCGGGGGCCACGCGGCTTTGAATGCGACGGTCAACAAAGCATGGATCAAGAACGACTACACCCCTACCGAGATATGCAACAACTGCTCTGGTAAGCATGTTGGTATGCTGGGCGGGTCGAAATCCATCGGCGCTGCAATAGCAGACTACCACCTGCCAACTCACCCCATTCAACGCCGAGTGAAGCGCGTCGTCGAGGAACTATGCGGCCTGGAGACCGACAGCTGTCAATGGGGCATCGACGGTTGCAATCTCCCGGCCCCGGCATTTCCTCTGCACTACTTGGGCAAGATGTATGCCGCCCTTGCCGCGGCGGCAGATCCCGTGGCTGTTGACTGCTCCGTTTCCGCGCGAGAACGCGGTCTATCCCGAATATTCCACGCCATGACGCAGTACCCAGAGCTCGTTGGCGGCGAAGGTCGATTCTGCACGGCCCTCATGCAGGCATTTGAGGGTTCTATCGTCGGAAAAGTAGGGGCAGACGGGTGCTACGGGATAGGTATCCGGGCGTCAGAGGCGACGAATCGAGTTGGTGCTCCCGGTGCCATCGGCATCGCGGTCAAAATCGAAGATGGTAACCTTGAGATTCTTTATGCGGCTGTAATGGAGATCCTTGAGCAGCTGCAGATAGGGACGCGAGATGTCCTAGGCAGACTGGATGACTTTCATCGCCCGGTTATTACCAACTCTGCTGGTGTTGTTACAGGACATACTTTTCATGAGTTTGTAGTAAAACCGGCGATGATCTTTTAGCATGTTGTCTCGGCTGAAGATACAAGGAACTAGAAGCTCAAGTCCATACTCCCCACAACCCTAATATATTCAAACAAAAGCCTATACCCACGACTACACTATTTCTAACCATAATACCTCTACTGTTCTACGCCCAGAACACTGGTCATAGTTCTAATCCCGCAAGCTCTACATGCCATATTAGTAAGAGTACAGCTCGAACAGCCTAATTGGATTCTTAATGTTCTGTTTTCTATAAAGATCATTGACCCTTCTTTTGCCCCGTCCCGTCTCTTTCGCTTTTCTCGCAGTAGTCTCAGTAGATACCACATAATAAATAAATAACAATCATGTGAAGTGCCCGGCAAAAAATAAGCCCAGTCTGGTTCAATTGTACTATATCTTGGCGTATTCGATTTTGAGTGTAAATTTCCTCCAATTATGACCAAAAAAAGCTGTATACCTTTTCAGAACCATCCACACATTTTTATATCCTGGAAATAACGAACAAGATAATCCACCACACACAAAATAGAAAAAAGAACAAAACTTATCAAACAGCTTAAAAAAAGAGAAAACCTACAAACCAATCTCCCATAAGTAGAAGAAAAAAAGAAACATTCGTGCATCATCCGTGAATCGAACACGGGCCTCATCGATGGCAACGATGAATTCTACCACTAGACCAATGATGCTTGCTTGTTTAAGAGGCTTTCTATTAGATCTCATATTGCAATGGTTCAATTCCAATTGTCCTATAGACACTGAGGTATTAAGGTACTACGAAGCTTAAGCTAGACATGACAAATAAGGTAACTTCCACACCCATTACAGTACCTATTCCATTTAATCATCCTTGTCCTTCGTAGAAGAAAGAAAAAGCCAATCCTCACAAATTGAAATCAGCCACTCTTGACCGGAGTCTCCTCAACAGGGATAGAAGTGTCGCGCGCATCACCGGGAGCTGAGACCTTGAGGTTGCCCTGGACAATCTCCTGTTCGAGGTCCTCCAATCTGCTCTTTCTATCAAGCTTCCGCCAGGCGGGTACTCCGCTGTTGAAAACATCGTCCATCTCCTCCAGTGTGTAACCCTTGGTCTCGGGGGCGGTCAAGAACATGTGAACGAACGCTGCGGTGTTGAAAGCGGCGAACTATGAAGGCAAGAGATGTTAGCGCTCGTCTTAGGGTCCCGATAGGCCAGTCCAGTCCTAGAGCAGGAGAAACCTACAATCATGTACATCTTCCAGTTGATGGACCACAGCAAAGCCGGGACAAACAGCGCCAGCAGACAGTTCCAGATCCAGTTGGACGCCGTCGCCAGCGAGACGGCCTTGGCGCGAACCTTGGACGGGTAAATCTCGGCCGGGTATGTCCAGCTGGTGGGTCCGATTGTGGTAGAAAATGAACACACGAAGAGATAGGAAAGGGCGATAATGGCTTTTCCGACAGAGGGATGTGCGGCCACGGTCCAGGAGATAGCGTCAAGTTTCGGATCCGTGCCGGGGTTCGGTGCGCCAAACCCAGCCTGCAAACCACCCTCGATGTAGAGGAAGACGGCCTGGCAGGCGAATCCAATCAAAATAGCCTTGCGACGCCCAAATTTGTCCAGGTAGATGATCGCGGGCAGTGTGAGTGCCGTGTTCAGGATGTATTGGATCGATGCCGTCAAGAGAGGCGATCCGGTTCCGGTACTCTGCATGATATACACTAGGCAGAAATCAGCGTGCTAGCTCACTTGCGATGAATTCTTGTTTAATCATGAGAGGGGTACGGTGGAGGAGATGCTCACCAATGTAGTACATCATGACGTTCATGCCACAGAGTTGGGACCACATCTGCAGGCTAATACCGAGGATAACACGCTTGAACATGCGTGGTTCAAGGAGGACTTGGTAGCTGGAGTTCGCTTGTTCGCGCTCGACTCTTAGGGCTTCCTCAATCTCGCGGTACTCGGCAAGGACTTTGGGGTGGTTGATATCGCCGTTACCGTGGAGATTGGCGAGGACCTGGATGGCCTCTTCCCAACGGTCTTTGCCTGCCAGCCAACGGGGGGACTTGGGGAAGAAGAATAGACCGAGAAAGAGGATGACGCCCGGCACTATCTGAATGCCCCAAGGGATGCGGAACGCGGCGGTGCTCTGGGTAGGGTTGTTTGGGCCGCCATCGATGTTGCTGGCTCCGTATTGCTGGATTTTGGTCAGTGACCGCCACAATCGGTGTGCAACTCTGCAGGAGGAAACTGACAATAAAGTATTGGATCAAAATACCCCAGGTAATAGCCCACTGCTGTAGGGAGATGACTCGACCTCGGATCTCCTTGGGCGCAACTTCAGCCTGGTAGACTGGCACCATGGCCGATGAGATGCCAACACAGATACCCGCAATGGCACGGCCGACGACCAGGAGGGCTATGCCATTGGACGCGGCCATGAAGCTATTTATATCAGTATATCTTGACTGGCAGTAGTTCTCGCACGGTGGTCTTACACAGAACCCAGGATCCAAAGAATCGTGGACATTTGAATGGTAAGGACACGCGAATAACGATCGGCAAAGAAACTCGAAACCAGAGCACCAACGAGCGAACCGAAAGGCATCGCACAGGTGATAGCACCCTAGGCTTGTCAACGCAAGGTCCCCGTCGAAAATGTCATCCTGGAGACTGACCTGTTTGTACTGGCCGGAACCGACTTGGAAGTAGTTCGTGTAGGCGCTGGTGCCCAGCACACCTGATTCTGTGAGCTCGGACTAACAGGTTCGGTTCGTCACCACTTACCACTCATCGACGAGATATCGAAGCCAAAGAGGCCACCACCTGAGATCCATTAGTCACGATGCGGTCATAATCTTCCTATTTGACAAGCTCTCTTACCCAGGGTGATGAAGCTACACAGGAAATAGACATTGTAAATCGTCTTCATGATGCCGAAGATCGTTGGGGGATTATTCCACAGGTCCCATCGACCGCGTTAACAGCAAGTCGCAAGAAGATGACAGGAGTCAAAAAGAGAAGAAGGTGGGAAAAGGGAAAGAAAAAAAAAGAAAGAAGCTCCAGGGGCAGCCGCGGCAGTCGCAGCCGCAGTTTAAATACTACTGCAAACAACCTTTCAGTGACTAGCAAACCTATTCACTACCCTCACGAACCCTGGTTCCAAGCAAGCAATGACACATGAATGTGTAGTATTCACTAATATCAGTGCAGTCTGCTGATTTCAATCCCACCAAATCCCCACCAGTGACAGTGAGATAGGGGAATAGAGTTCAGCTTAAGACTGGACAAAGGCTTGGGTGACACTACATGAGCAGGCGCCACCAACTTCCAAATGTCTTGGTCTCCTTTCTGATTAGGTCTAAAGTGGTTTTGGGTCACTGACCATCATCTGTTTCTGGAGGAAGCCCCCCCTACTCCGCATCCTCCGGAGCAGGCCCCCGTAGCAAGATTGGTTTACAGTCAAGCCTCCCAGCCCTCTTTCCACCATAGCCCACAAGCTCCACGTGGGGGAGCAATTCTCCAAGCTCATACCATTCACAGTTACCAGCTGACTGAGACTAGTCTTCTTAGTTCGGAAAATAAACCACACTACTGTGCAATCGGTCGATGCGTGGCTGACAACACCACCACCCTGGTCGGTTGTTGTAGAGGGATTAAATCCCCCATGTTTGCAGTCAACCACACCCCGCATCCTGATTGGAAGTCATTTGACGTGGAACGGGAGTGTGCAGTGGGGCCTGAGACCCCCGAAATCAAGTCCCTCGTACGGATGAGTACCAACTTCTGGGATCTGGGGAAAGAGGGGGACGAGAGAGGGAGAGAGGGGGCTTCTCCAGTCACGTGGTTCAGTATCGACAACAAAGGCTACCATTCCATCCAATTGCCACCAACCAAGCACAAAGACCCCAGAAAAATCCGTGCGAGTCAGGAAAGCAGAGGGCTAGCGCGATTATTATACAAGGGTTGACCGCCAAGGGTCTCCAGATGGCCATGGCGGCGGTTCCCCACCAATCCCCAGTTCGCGTTTACGCCAACGGCCGAGAGTGGCGTCGCGATACGACAATTTTGCCTTGGACCAGGCTGAAAGCCGCCTAGTATTGTCGCATCGTGGAGGTCAAGCAGCAAAGCCTTCATTTGGCGTTGGAGACCGACCGGTACCCTGTCGAGTCCACGAGATACCGTTACTGTTACATTTAGGAGTGTCCTACCCTGATGGACCAGTCTAACCAATACGATGCGATGCAGCCCGATTGATCCAACATCTTGCCGCTCCATTGTGATGCCGAGAAAATTCCATTTGAGTATTTGTGTTGCAAGAGATTTAGCCGATTGAAACAGTCCGAGTCAGGTGCTACAGCATCCATCTGATGCGACGGACGGGGTAAGCTCAGCAAAGGGGCAGCTCACGCCCATGTGGCGGTCAGGGCTGTCAGGGTAAAGACTACATACTTCCATCACTACAGAGTACTCTAGAGAGTACGACTTGCAAGAAATGAACCCCATAGTCAAAGGGAATTAGCCGAGGTTGCCTAAAGGACAGACATGGCACAGTTTGCATACGGTGACCCTCTCACAATATACCTTTGTATATTGCCCCACTTATGTCTTGGGAGCCCATAGAGCCGGCGCAACCTAAACAAACAAAGAAAATAGATACGTACAAAGCAATCCCTTGTGCAATGTCTCAGAAATTATCAATTCTTTTGCGCTCGTTGTGTTTCGAAGCGACCGATCGGTCACGTGTCCATATACCGAGGTTGATGTCGCCGTCCAGACCGACATGGAACATCACTTAGGGTTGCGCACTTCAAGATGGAGATCTTTTTCACTGTACAGCCTGCTATGATCCGGGTAGACCCTTGAACTACTGAATACAACCCGAGTCCACAGTACAATCGACGATCAGGGACAGGTGTCCACCACAGGATCTGCGGTGGAGATGGGGCGCATTGATTGGTTGCTCGGTTAACCGATTCCCCATGTTGGAGTCTTCAGCTGCAGTTGCACCTCCACTTCTCATCGTGATGAACAACCGTCGAATGATACGGTCGGCTCGTGTGCAAGATGTCCACCAAAGATGTCGAATTGTCCTCTTCGGAAAAGAAACGCATACGCGACAGACGCGCCCAGAAGGTCATGCGCGACAAGAGAGAGTCGCACATCAAAGCGTTGGAGAATCGCGTCGCATTCTGCGAGCGACATCACCCACCAGAGGGGTATGCGCATCTCACGGCAACGATCGATAGGCTACGCCAAGAAAATGAAATACTCCGGAGTCGACAGAACCAGCTCCAACAAGTCTTCCTGTCGTGGGGAACCGACTACAAGCCACCCACACCCTCAGCCTCGTCCACCCCGGCTACGGACCCCACTATCTCTCAGGACTCCCTGTTCACGTATCAGCCGGGGAGCGAATTAGGGGCAGCATACACGATTCCTTTCCCCGGTGGGGCGTCTTTCCTGCCGAAGAATCTCGCAGTAACGACATCTCGACTCCCCAACACGCAGCCTCGGGATGTCGAACAATCAGATATAACGATCGGGGCTTCACCCCCGACTACTACGGCCCAGTCCATCCACCTACCCACCCTACCGCACCTAACCTCCTCGCAGCCCGTCCCAAACAGCGTCCCAACATGGTGCCTAACGCCGATGAACGAATACGGCCACAACGCCTCCCTCATCCCCGCCACGGTGCCGTGGCTTGCGCACCCCGAACTGATCGCAGCGTGTCCACTCGCACCATCACCCCTAGATCTCCTGCACGGAACACGGCGCAATTTTTTAGCAGACCAGATCCATAGCAGTCTCCGACGACACCGACTCCGAGATCCAGAGTACCTAGCATCCGGCTGGATGCTATACACCTACAGCAAATGGCGCGTCTCGCCCGGCCCAGCCACCTTTGAGCGCCTACCCATCTGCCTCCGCCCCGTGATGGCCCAAATCCAGAAGGGTCATCCCAGCGCGCTGGACTTCATCAAGTGGCCGCAGATGCGGATCAACATGATCGAGAACTGGACCAAATACGACCTGGTCGAATTGATAGGGTACTTGTCGTGCTGCGTCAAGCTGCGGTGGGGGTGGGGTGAAGACATCCTGGAGCGCGACAGCCAAGACAACTTGCACATGCGACGGGAGTATTATGAGACTTTTACGCGCGAGAGCGGATGGGGGTTGACGTCAGAGTTCATCGACAAGTACCCTGAGCTGCTGGAGGGGATGGATGTCGAGGCCATGCGCTTCCATATAGATTTGATATAGATGCTGGTCATCTGAGTACAATCATTCTACAGACTGGAAGGTAGCAAAGCTTGTCGGCCCTACAATATCCGTGATTCCGGTATTCCACTGGAGGGGGATTGTCCGGCTAGCTAGGGCAGCCCCGAATGGCGCCAGGAACAGCCACGACCGAGTCATTACTATATCGAAGTCTACTGGACTTGGTTTTGGCGTCGTGTGAACAACATATCTTTCCTTACATGCAACGGGTAGGTCCGCCGAGTTCCTTACAGGCGGCCGCCGTGGCGGTGGTCAGGATCGCATAGCTCGACAGCCTTACTGACGAACGAGACTAGGCGTATGCAAATATTGGTTCTTCATCTGTAAAGTGATCTACAGCATCATGGGATATTGATATGAAACGGCCAATGAGAATAAGACCATCTACGCGGCCATGACCATTCCCAACAGCTCCGCAAAATGACATCACATGCTTCATGACTCGGTCACTCCGGCCGGGCCAGTGAAAGGAGAACGCGATGTCAACGTTCCGCAAGATCACTCCAAAATTTGATCACATTTTAAAGATGACAGTCAAAATGGACAATACAAGACCTGGTAAAGCCATACATACTCCTAGCCCTATCCACAACCTTGTTATTATAATGTGATCAGCTGAGTAAAAGGTCCAACCCAACGAGCAAACCAGCAATCGCCCAATATATAAACTAAATATGAATCTCTCACAGAAACGTCTGTTTATACTTGGTCCCTGAATGATGTGCGTCATCATCACGCAAGGGGCGTGCAAGATACTCCCCCGCATTATCTGTCATTCCCTGACGGGTGTCGGTCTGAGTCCCTTGCTTGAAATATCCGTAACTCTATCTACAGGGATAAGGATGGTCAGGCCAGGATAGATGGGAGTAGCGATGTACTGTAGTCAGTCTGGACTGATGGTAAAATGTGGTATACAAGATTGTTGTATAAATATGTAGAAATGCTATAAAGGGTATTGTGTGAATATATACGAGAGAAAGCAATGCTTCGACAAAGAGACCACTTTTCTAAACCAGTCTCCACATTTCAATAATTCAGTATCTAGAAAGTCCGTTAGCAAGAGTCCCTAAAATCCACACCAAGATTGAAGCAACTTACGAAAACGTCTCCTGATGGAACCAGACCTCCCTCGCCCCCTTCCGATCAGAGATGATATGCTGCTGAGCATCCGCAGCAGCAGATCCCACATCATGATGCATCGACGACGGACCACAAACAACAACACCAACAGCGACACCGTCTTGGCCAGCAAGCGAGTCAACCTCAGTCCTTAAGTTCGGTCGACCCCGGAAGAACTTGACACTAAACATCGTCGCAGCCGCATGACTCTGCTCCTGCGCAAGGACTTCAGCCTCCTTAGACGGCGAACTCGACCCAGTCGCAATATAATCCGCGCCGTGCTGTTCAGGCCCTGTCTCATGGATATGCACCTCCAACCCGATGATGTTGGATGTCTGCGAATGCCGCTGCTCAATCTCCCGTAGGGCCTCAGTGTACCACGTGCGCATGGCCGGATCCCTCGTCGCAACGATGACTTTCATTTCCTTCTCGGCTTTCGCAGACCCAGCGCGCCGGACGTAGTCTTCGATAAGGGACAGTGTAAACCCAGCGCCGACGCCCCCGCCCACAACAAGACTGCGATCAAACTCCGCGATCGACCGGCTGGTGACACCGCCGTACGGGCCGTCCAAAAGCACAGGAACAGCCTTATTCGGCTGCTGTTCAGCCATCTTCATCAGCCGACCGGTGAGACCGCCGCGCGCGCGCACGTAGAACACCAACTGATTGACGTTTCCGGGCTGCGGCACAGAGCAGATGGTAAAGGGGTGCGCGGTTAGCATGTGGACTCCGCCGGTGAGGAATCGTAGGAAGATGTGCTGGCCCGGCTGCCACTCCGTGGTGGTGTCGATGGTGACTTTCAGGGTGTGGTCTGTCTCGCGTGAGAGCCGCGCTTTGTGTCGCACGCCGAGCTCGAGGTAGGTCTTGAACTGGGCGTAGAACCAGCAGAGGGCGTAGAGGACGGCGGTAGCGATGAAGTAGTCCCATGAGGACATGCGGAAGTCGCAGTGGAAGAAGAAGAAGACCATGAAGACCATGGCTGCGAGGAAGTGCGTGCCTTTGAAGAATTCGTAGTAGCGGTTTCTAGTCCGAAGGTTAGTCCCGGTTGCAATTTGCCGAGCAAGGTATGTATCCTGATGAATGCGCACCGAATCCACGGGATCGACATGAATGTCAGCCATGCTTGTGCGATCAACGCCACCACGCCAGTCACCCAGACACCGCCGGTTTTCCACTCCTTAGCGGTATCCCCCTCTCGCTGGTGGTAGACGATGAAGGGAAAGGTGTGGATCAAGGCCAAGACGAACATGGCCCAGGCGACCCAGTTGTGCCATATGTTAAGCTTCTCGTGAGAGACGCCCGTGAGCGCAGTGATCGGGTTGGCTTTTGCGCCGAGCACACTTCCTGGAATCAGCATCTGCTATCGACCAAAACACCTTAGGGCTAGACATACATGAGAAAAGGCAAGCATCCCAAGGCCATGAAACCCGTGCGTGTCGCGATGGGAGGCGAGCTACCATACTCGGCATCTTTCGTGTTAGGCCAGTAGTAAGGTCGAGGGCCTAGCGTCATTGCTATTGAAGAAGTCAGAATACATTAAGTCTCCCAGCTTGTCAGCCATACCTAGGAAGAACACAAGCCCAGCGGCCCCCAGCAAGATCGTCCCGAGGGACCGAGTGTTCCAGCTTCCAATCCTCCAGGTCTTGTAGGACAGGACGCGGAAGACAGCTGTCAACCGGGACCAGCCCGATGTTTGCTTCAACCGCGGCGGGGCCAGCGACGAGACGATATTCCCCAAGGCGAACAAGATAACTGCTACCATGAAGAATGCCACCGTCGGCAAGGCGAATCGATGATCGGCCTCATACCAAAATACCCAGTATGAGAATTTCAAGGCACATTGCTCTGGGGTCATCATACACATGGCCTCACGGTCCGAGTGCAGCATGACCGGTTGGTCTAGCCATGGTGTCATCGACATGGCTGAGCCTGGTGGTGAGGACGCCTAATCTGCAATGGATGTGAAACTGAAGAGACGAGGGCCAGGACCAGGTGAAGAAAGGTAAGAGGCACCCTAGGAGTTTGTCAAGACTGTTGGAAATGTTGTGATCTCGACAGCGGGGCCGATGTGCATATGAATCTCGGTGTGGATCAATCCGCCATGAGAACATTTGAGTTGCTATTATGGCATGGTGAGTGGGTCTCGCAAACAATCCGAGGCTAGACTCTCGAAGCCAGCCTGTTCAACTATAAGATGCAGGAAATCCGCTCAAATATTCTCCCAAGATATGCCTATTTTGCAGAGTGTTCTATCTCGGTGGGCGTGAGTAAACCCTAAAGAGCCTGGGTATTTGTGGCCAACAACCACTCTCCCAAGCTTCTCTCCACTATTTTTTAGCTTGAGCATGTTTGAGCACATTTCAACACGCGATGAGTTCCATCAGTCGAATATGGGCCAATAATAATACATAAATCAAGGTATTGTGCGGGGCCACAGTGGAGATGGCGGCAGTAGTCTCCGCGGTGGATCGGCCACAACGTCAGAATGTCCCTGACTCCCTAAAAGCGAAGGTTTCGGGGCTCATATTATTGGAGGTTCCAGGAGTTTGCACTTCACTTAATAGAAAGTGTTCTTAGCCATTTATCTGTAGACTCGAAAACGTATGATGAACTGACTGCCTTGTTATATCCGGAGGGTCCCGCGCGTGTCACGGTTGCTTTCTAAACCTTTCCTTTCCCACCGCCAACATGGATCACATGGATATGACAACCACAGACATGGACTCAATGTCCAAGACAATGTCAATGCCATCCGCAACCAGCACCTCCATGGGAGGCATGGGAGGCATGGACCACGGCGACAGCATGTCCAAAGACGGCATGTCGATGCCGATGTACATGTCTGAAATGGCCATGACCTTCTTCACCTCGACCTCCACCCCCCTCTACTCCAACTCCTGGATGCCCTCCAACCGGGGCCAATACGCAGGCACCTGTATCTTCCTCATCGCGCTGGCCGTGATCTTCCGCGTCCTCCTCGCTCTCCGACCGATCCTCGAAGCCCGCTACTGGTCCAACCGCCCCGCACCGCTCTCCCCGCCGTCCGAATCCTCCGTCGAAAAGGGCGTCGAGGTGAGAGAAGTTCCTGCAGAAGTCGGTGGCAGTTTCTGGGGTGATATTGGCAAGGCGTGGTCCGGGTGGCGGGTGAATTCTGCAGGGGCACGCGCGACGTACGATCTTGTCGTGGCTGGTGTTGGATACTTACTGTGAGTGTATCTTTGGGGCGGGACCTGTGGGATGTCTTCGTTTCGATCACTAACTTCGTGGGGTTCACAGGATGCTTGGAGTTATGACGATGAACGTGGGATATTTCATTTCTATACTGGCAGGCGTCTGGTTTGCGACATTTATTCTAGGCGGGTTGGCTGCTGCCAGTCAACTCTCCCATTGATAAAGCGGTGAAGTGAGAAATCCAGCACGAAGGTTGCGATACACCTTAGTGTAAAGAAAGATGCTCATTCTGGATCGCTTCATGTTCGGACATGCTGCGCGGAATGGTTGTCTTTCATGTATATAATTGATCCATCTAATCTTACGAATGATGAGTTTTCCCCCTCAAATCATGATGGAAAATAGATGCCTCAGGCTACCTGGTATTATCGGGATCGTCAGCCAATTAGGTAAAAGTGGCCGAGTCGTCGAAGGCGCGACCTTGGGTAAATTTGGGACGTTTTGATTGGCTGAAAATCCCGGCGCTAGTACCAAGCCCATACTCATTCTCGTAATTAGATACCAACAATTCCCTCACAGTCGTAGGTTGTCCCTGCAGAATCCATGTATACTCGGTATCGCGGGGTAATATTTCATCATTTTGCAATCACTGCCTGAGGACCTTCATTGGACTGGGGTACATTCTTTATGATCTCGGTGGCTAGGCAGTAAACAGCTGGGCTAATTCCGTAGATGGCACGTGTGGCAGTGTCCTGAGACTCGAAAATCCTTATTTATCATGTGGGTCACATCGTAGGTGTCTGATAGAGATGCGCAAAAAAGACGTGTGGTCCTGATACAGGTATATATATATCTGACAAGTCTCGTGCCCACGGATGCCCTAAACACCGAAGATGAAGGACCTGGCTCCGGTTGAGATAGAATCGTTCTGTGGGCAGTGATGTAAAATCTCGAAGCTCGAGGAGAATTGAGGAAAGATGCCATCCTACTGGTTGCAAATGTTGAGCAAAGCCAACAGCGTGAAGGACTATCAGCTGAAGAAGCGTGGCGTGGGGCTAACATAGCCTTACTATATCAAAACAGCTAGCTCTCTCTTCATACGAACAATCCTTCCACCGCAATTGGTCCTGGAGTCAAGCTAATCATAGGGAAAGCGCCTTACGTGGGGGCTATGCTAGATCCTCCAAAATGAAGCTGCACCATAACCCATCGGGGCATGGGCAATAGTTTAACACCATCAAGTTTAGACAGTTTAGGCAGAGTCAAAAGTGTCTGCATAAAAGAGGGGCCAGCCTGAATCAAGGCTTATAAGGGCGAAAAAGAAACAGAAAAAACCTGATACTTGTCCCAGTGGCTATTTTCAACTTCTTCTCGATCTCGAATATCGCCAATCCAGCCTGACAAAATGCACAACCATCTGCAATTATCGCTTGACTACCCCAACAGACTGTATGCACCGGGCGACACCATAGCTGGAACTGTCACCGGCTGGGACCCGAGCAGCAAAAGCTCGGTGTATCTCATTCTCGAAGGCCGCAGCAAGTCTTATCTCCGGTTCAAAGGGAGTTTCGACTTCCGCTACAGGGATCGAAGTCCGTTACTGTACCAAGTCATCCAGTTGAAACCGGCGAGCAGCGGAAAGAGCACAGATGGGCGCTTTATGATCACAATACCAGAAACCACACAACAAGGCCTATCCAAAGTTACCGACTTGACAAAAAAGCACCATTACTGGACGCATTCCTGGCCCAAGAACGAAGACTTCGAGCTCGATACCGGATACGCGCTACCGCCATCTATGATCCAGCCGAAGCGGATCAATCACGGGGCAGCGCAGGACGAATATGGCTGGGGGCACGTTCGATATACAATCACGGCGATACAGTCGGAACCACACAAGAAAAAGAAAGCGAAGGTGACGGGCTCAGCGCTGAAGGTGGTGTGGGTGACGACAGCGCGAATGTCCATGGACACGTATGAGGAACGGAGAGCAGAGGAGTCGGTGTGCAAGGAGCAGAGATTGACCGTCGAAACGCTACGCCTCAACCCTGCTATTGGAAACCGGAAGCTATCGTTCAGGGAGTCGTTCAAAGGCGCCTTCTCAACGAAGCCCAGTCTGCAGTTTATGCCGATTGTTGCCGTTCCCAAGCTCGTTGTTGCTGGGAGTGATACTACGCTGTCGGTCTGTGTGCGTGCGATGCCGATTAATTCCAAGAAACCAGATCAGTTGGGGTACGACTTCCCTCTTCCGCCTATTACGCTGGAGCAAATCACGTTGCGTCTTAAAGAAACCACCAGAATCCGCTGCAAGGGGAATGTGGTGACATCCGAATACTGTAGCGAGTTTGCAGACGCGGTGGTCGCTAACCAGACGTGGGAGACAAAATACGTGTTCTATCCGACAGACGATCATCAAGCGTATGCGTATGAACCATGCTTGATAGATCTCAAAATTCCAGCATCGTGCACGCCGACCTTTCGGACCTGCAATTTCCGAAAAAAGTGGTATATTAAGGGTGACGCGGTGTTTAGTTGTATGTCGGAGAACCTCAAGACATCGTTCCGATGCGATGTCGATATCATCTCGAAGCCACGGCGGTGGAATGCAGTTGGCGATGATCATGGTGATATATCAGGGTTACTAATGGTAGGAGAGGAGGAAGATGAAGATGTTGATGTGTTAGAAATGGCTGCGGCGATGGTGGAGGATGCAAACCTTGTCCTGGAAATCATTGATACTTTGAGCAATCTATGACATTGATGCTTGGGATGGATGTTGGCCCAACAAGATCACACTGGCTATCATTACCATGGACAAGGCTACAGAATAGTGTATATTGTTATATCATACTTTTATTTGTCAGACAGAAGGTATCAAACATGCTCCGTGGCTGCACCAGATGCTATAATAGGGTAACTCAGGTTGTGGTGGGCCGCATAGACTCTGCTGATTCCAATCTATCACTCTTGGGTAGAACAATAGCACGTAGACTGCATTAATTTTTATGTAGGCAAGGCAACGGTATTCCATATCAGGGGACATGGTTTAGATTGCTGGATATCATGATATATTGTGAATTAATAAAGAAAAATGGAACTGATAGACTAAACTAAGTAACATGGTATCATCCAAACAGTCTAGGTCAAATATACTATTCCAACTCATGCCACACCCAAACGTTAGGCTCATCATACTCAAACCGATTCTGTTTTGGATAATACCTTAGTGGCACCAAGCCACAAGGAAGGCAAATCTCAACCAAAGAATAGCCAGTCACCGAACTCAATGCGGTATAATCTCGTAACCCCCCCAGAGCCCTCTGGAGATCCATCCCAGTCCATTCAGACCATTGGTCCATGTTGCCTTGCACAGACATCGAATTCCGTGCGACTTTGACAACATGACCCCCAAGGGAAACATGTTTCCGCAGCCAAGGATCAAAAGGTAAGCATGGCTTTCCGTTCACAACGCGCCCGCCATCTCCCGCAAGAATAGGTCCCACGGGGCCCATCGTGGGGCCGAATCCCCTCTTCCAGGTCACATAATCTGAAATATCAACAGTCGGGAAGTCTGCCTTGCGGGTAGGACGCAGTGGCACCACCAGAACCTCGAGCCCCGTCTCGCGAGCAGCTGCCTTCATACAACCGAGCATCATCTCCGCGAGGCCCTTTGACCGCCACTCGGGCAGCACAGCAATAGACAGAGCGGACAGCGCATTGGGTCGATTATTACTCTTTCTGGTCGAGTCTCGAGCCTGGTCATCTGTGAAGGGTGCCGCAAGTGGAGGGAGGCCCTGTCGGACAAGACACTGCTCGACTCCCCGGGACAAGATAGTATCGTAACCTCCGTCTGGTAGGGATTGTAGGACTTCAGGATGGGAGGATAGGCCGGTGCGTCCGCCGGTGGCTTCTAGCTCGGGCCAGAAGAAGGGAATGGACTGTGCGAATGCAACGAGGGTTTCGGGCTCTGTGGGGCTTTGTCGAACAATAAAGAATTGAAACTTTCTTAGCTCTTCGTAGTTGCGGATCTTGGAGAGGTAGAAGTCATCTGTGAGGTCTCCTCTTAGAAAATTCGCCCAAATGGTGGAGAATGGGTGGCTCTCGTCGTTCCAGTCGGGCCAAAGATCGGGGCGGGATTGCGCAGTGTAGACACGGTATTCACTGTTTGTAGTCATTGTGAAGAAGGACCTAATTACAAGAGACAGGGTATGGGAAATCAGGATCCAATTTGCGTGCGAGTTAAGAGCTCCTGGATTTGTAGGCTTGCTGTGTGATTTATATTGACAGAGTATATAATCAAAATGGGAGATGTAGAACTAGCAATTATATGTAGTAGTCCCTTTTTGAAGCGAACGAAGGCATCGCTTTAACCCCTACTTGTTGCATTAGCCCTACTTAGACGGTATACCATCCATCGAATACAACCACTGAAGCAGATTCCTCCTGAGATGGCTCAATCGGGGATCGCCACTCTGGAGAATCACAGAAAAAAGTAAAGTAAGAACCTAACCATGGATATTGATAGGAAAGTGCAAAACTTGTGTTTGTGCTGACACCGCACAGTCAGCAAGTGGAACCAGAACTTCCTGAGTGACGCAGTGAATGGCACAACTGCTGAGTGGGATAACCCTGAGAAGAACTTACACTAGCTTCAGATTCGTGTTGGCGCTTGCAAAGTCTCAAATCATCCCTGACAAGAATAAATATGGAATAGCAAGACACAAACTCGTCAACTTCAGCCAGCCCAGCTCCGTCGGGCTTGATTCCTCGATGGTATGTATAGATTCCAAAATCTAGCATTTTGCATGGGCCTTGCACTAAAGTGTTCTTCATCTTTTGAAATATGGGCGGCTGCTATCACTGTCTCTCAGGGTGATGTATGGACAAGGTAGTTATACCAGGCCACAGGAACCGCCCCTCAGACTTGATGTGGCATCCGTGAAATCAAGATTCTTCTGTCAAGGAAATAAGACTACTTTCATTCATCTTAAGAGACGGCGGGACTCAAATCCGATCTTGCCACCTGTCTGGCTCTCATCATGCTCCCCGCAGATACGAGACGGGGAGAGTCCCGTCCCTGTCAACGACAAGCCAGCCCCCCTTCGGCACAGATAGAATATTGGACCAGCTGCACGGGCAACGGCGAGCTATCAGCAACAACCGCATTACGCGCAAAGTCGATTTATCCATGCAGCTTGGAGTCGGTCATTAGAGGTGGTCTTTAAAGATATTGGACTTCGTCATCCACACCCGCCCACCCACTCTTATATCCCCATTCATTGGAACTCAAGCCAATAGTCAGCAGTTGGCGAGGTCTATCTCACCCATACCCTCATGCACGTGAATTGATCATGCATCGCGCTCAAGGAATGGTTATCGTGAATGGGGATGATGCTAATTTGGGATGCATCGCGGACCGTGTCGTGGAGGGGACCCGCGCCGCAGGGGTATCATTCGGGTGTATGGACGGGTGGACGGGCTCTTCATGAATTCCTTCTGCAATATAGTTTTTCAAAGGGGAAGTCACTAATCGTTGCGATGTGTGGGTGACACTGTGAGGGGATCAGAATCAACCGGTCCTCAACGGGGAATCCATGTAGGCAGGATTGATATTGTGTTAATTTGCCGCCGGATAGAATTCTATTTACAGACATTACTCAAGATAGACGTCATTTTATATCCGACTGATCAACTGTATCATCATCTTCAGTAAACCATGTTTGCTGGACTGCCATAGCAATCTGCAGATAATCTCCCATGGAAAGTATGAGATGCCTGCCCAATCCTAGTCAATTGTGGCAGAAGGCACGCTAGGGTAGATCAATAGACATACTATTTGGGGTTTATTTAGGTGATGAACTGTTTGTGGTTTGTTTAGGTGACGAACTGTTTGTGGTAATTCCTCAGCCACTTAGCCCATTCCCCTTTTAGAGCAACTAGTTATGCGCATGAAACATTGACTCAAGTTCATTGTTGCACTCAGTAAAGATAGTTTTGCCACCGAAAAGACAAGCTTTCGTCATATAAGGTGTATATCCAGCTCTCTTGACTTTAGAGACCATTTCGAGATAATGGACCCGTATCACGGGGACACAGAAACCCTGAAGCACTGAAGTCCGTGATCGTGGCGCAGTGGTATAACATAGAACGACTATGTACGGAGTAGTCAAATAACCTTAAAGATATGTTATTTCTGACGAGTCACAGAAAATTTGTTCCAGGTGCATCACCAAAGCTGAAGCCATGTTGCCCCAGCCCCGTGTTTGGGATAATCACATACTAAACAATCTAGGCGCAGCTGAAAGTTGCTTACCCCGACTTCCGTGCCCATGTGAACCCCGCAGATTCAGCTTGCCAGACACACAGTTGTCATGGTATTCTAGAAGCGCTCTAATATTAACGAAGTGCCTTATATACAGATTACTCATTGCCAAAGCCACTTCAGCTTCCCGAAACCCACTTGAACCTGAAGAAAGCCCGATCCAATGTACATCAGCCCGAGCCAATGTATATCGGCTCCGTTTTCAGACTTGGCTTGCTGTGGTCACTTTCTATTTGGACGGCTGACGATAGTTTTAATTTTGGCTAGGGCTTTTATTGGGCTATTGATTAAAACCATGTATGGAGCGAGTGCTAACAGGTACGGAGGAGGTACTGTACTCGAAGTCCCTTCACAAATACTGGATGTGGCTTTTGACTCTCCAGCTGAGGTGTTACATTATAGAGCAACAAAGGGGTGATGAACATCAATGTTAGGAACAAGATCGACGAATATGCAGATCTATTTTACACCTCCCTAGATACTGTTTTTGAAGTGGTTCACTTGCATCCTATCATGCAAATCATGTTATAAGTGCACACGGGCTGCTTAGTGGGATAAATAACCCCCAAATTCTTCAGGTACATTACAAAGAAGTAACCAGATAGATCGCAAAAACATGGACCCATTGATCGACTTTCTGATACAGACACGGCTATCGAATCTAGGCCAAAATGGCGTCAGTATTGAGGACGACGAACCCTTTTTTGTGGCAGATTTGGGCCAAGTGATTCGCCAGCATCGTCGCTGGAAGCGGAATCTGCCAGATGTCCATCCTTTTTACGGTACGTTCCCTTCTGAAAGGTACCATAGATATACTGATATCAACCTAACATTGGACCTTCTATAGCCGTGAAATGCAACTCCGACCCAAATCTCCTTCGACTCCTCGCCGAGCTCGGCACCGGCTTCGACTGTGCTTCCATCGAAGAGCTCCGCAGTGTTCTTGCTCTGGGCGTCGATCCCGCACGCATCATCTTCGCAAACCCGTGCAAGACAGCTTCGTCTTTGGTATTTGCACAAAGGGCGGGCGTCCCTTGGACGACGTTTGACAACCTCGACGAGCTGGACACGATTAAAAGATACCACCCCAACGCACAGCTCGCGCTTCGCATTTTTGCAAGCGACAGCGATGCGCTCATCGACCTGAGCAAGAAATATGGTGCACCTATCGATTCCACATGGCGACTCCTACAACGCGCCCAAGAACTCGGGCTCGAGGTGTCCGGCGTTAGTTTCCACGTCGGTTGGTAGCCCTATCCCATAGATATTGGGAAGCACGCGACAGAAATATTGACCCAAGTCTTCCTCAGGAACGGGTGCTTCGAACCTCGCATCGTACATCAAAGCAATCCAACAAGCCAAGATAGTAGTAGAACAAGGCAAAGCCCTCGGATTCGTGATCAACGTCCTCGACATCGGCGGCGGCTTCCAAGATTCCAACTTCGAGAAATTCGCGCCCAAGCTACAAGCAGCCCTGCGAAGGGAGTTTCCCACAGGGATGCGCTTCATGGCAGAGCCAGGGCGTTACTACGCGCGCAGTGCCTACACCCTTGTCTGCAAGGTCATTTCTCGGCGGCTACAGACGGGCGCACAGCCGGAACCGGACATGCTGTACCAGAATGACGGGGTGTACGGGAGTTTCATGAACGTGTTGATTGAGAAAGAGGTGTTACACCCATCGCTGGTACCCAGTGGTTTTCATTCCTTGGAAGGAGGGGGGAAGCGACACAAGGGAAAGCGTCGTTATTCCATATGGGGGCCGACCTGCGATAGTACCGATCGTGTTGTGGAGGAGATGGACATGGAGTCTGAGGTTAAAGTGGGAGATTGGCTCAAGTATACGCATATGGGTGGTAAGTTTAACTTGCGGCTTTTATTTGTTTATCTCAGTCATTTTGTTTTCTAGAAGGTAGAGACTGACTCAATGGCCAGCTTATACTACGGCCACCGCTACTCAATTCAATGGGTTTCCCAGCCACCGCCATGTTATTTATCTCGACAGTGAGCTGATTGGGCATGGAAAAAGCCGAAAAAGTGTATCGGAGCGTTTGTACGGTGGCTGGACGTACAAAGATGCTATTCTATCTATTCCTGTCCGCTATGACGCCAGCAATACGCAGTGACCGGATGTGACAATATACAGTTGAATCACGGTGATATATACATACTGGGATATTCTAAATAACTGAGACACCGTCTACCATCTTGATTGTTCAAATACAATCTGACATTGGAAGGGAAAGTCGTGATTTGTGTTTAGAAGGGTTGGGGTGACCACACGCATCGGGATTTTCACACCGGCATTTTGAATTGTGGTGTTGTGAGCTTGCACAGAACCCTTGCAGCACAATGGTCATACAGTGTATTGAGAGTAATGCAAAGAGAATGGACTTATTAGAATCCTGACAGGATGGTAAAGCATTAGAAATGAGAGCCCATAACTCAAGATAGAGATGGTGCCACAGCGGCTTCTACACTCGGATAGTAAACTTATCTATGACTGACAATTAGGTAGAGGGCAATGTAAACCCAAAGAAAGAATCATTGAACATTTCAAATAACTGAACAGCTTCTGTTGAATTACAACCTATGAAAGCGCACGACTATCTCCATAAGATAAGATGGTTTGGCATACCACATGGCACCTTTTATTATAACTCCACTTTAGCATGGCAAGGTTTATAGTCTAGCGTTCTTTGAAGGTCAACGCCGTGTTTCCTAATGAATTAGCAATCTGTACCGCCTCGGAATATCAGTAAATATCCTTGTCTTGCGAATACCAAGGGCCATTTTACTGTGAAACCTGGGTGTGGAATGAGACTCTGCAGTGCTGGGAAGGACATGGAAGATAATTATGTCTAGACATAGTCTCATTGCATGGCACTCCTGGCATTTGGGAATCTAGATACTCTAGGGTTCCTAATACTACACCCCCCTTTTTTATCTCTCAAGTTTGTTTCCAATTTGTTTTCCGTGAACAGTGACCAAGTTTTTTCTGTTTTGACAGGCCAAGGGTGCCTGGCTTAGAAAGGTCAGCAGATACCATGTTATTTACCACCAGTCTACATTGAAACTACCAGGAAAAAGGGTCTACATGGGGAAGCGGGCATGTCAATACTAACACAGAATACAGCAGCGCCACATACGTCCACATATGAGTTTCCACAGGAATCAGAACTATCCCCTAGGGTTATCGTCACACCTTCCATGCAACCTACCGTGAGTGAATCACTTCCACCTGTTGTACTTCTGCCAGGAAATCTATCCAAGCATGGCAACAGCTGCAGTGCCACCCTTGTCCAGTTGGGCAGGTCACACTGACACGCATCTGCACACATGTTATTGAACAGACCCCTGAACTGTGCATTATCAGGCGGAGTGTGGGCACGCTGGGCGCGATTTATAAATGCACCTATTATTTACTCATAATCGCCTTCAAACCAATACAGCGTCAATCTCCACGGCAGCAATTGCAAGTCTCGCCTTTCTTTTCTGCCCTTTAGCACCCCTTTCTAAAACAAGCCTCTCCACCGCAATGGATGTCTCGAAACTAGCAAACACGGTGTCGGAATCCGCCCAAGTCATCTCCGACTTCCTACAGCAGCAGAACTTGAAGCTGTCGTTCAATGTGGAGGATCCCGACGCCACTGAGCTTTCAGGCCCAGGCGCCAAGCAATTTCACGAGGCCCGAAGGCGGATTTACGATACGGCATTGACCCTTGCCGACCTGATGGCCGGTGATCTGGCCATGCTCGAGTCCTACAATTCAGTACGCAGCGTCAATTGTCTACCCTCCCCACTGCTCATGTCTTACTGACTCGACTGGTTTGCCCACAGGCCGACATTTCCGCAGCTGTCCGCATCGCAAACAAGTTCCGATTTGCCCATGCTGTGCCACTCAGCGGCAGCATCAGCTACGACGAGCTGGCTGAATCCGTCGGGCTGAGCAAATTCACCGTCCAAAGGGTCATGTACACCCTCATGGGTGTGCACATCTTCCACCAGCCGAAGCCCAACAATGTCGCGCATACGCGCCTGTCCCACAAATTGGCCACATACAAAGGCATAGACGCCTACCTGACCATGGGTCAAGAGTACCTGCAACGCTCGTGCTACCACATCGCGGACGCGCTGGCCAAGTGGGGATCCCCCGAAGACCCTCGCAAGACCGGGTTCAATATTGCCATGGGCACTGACCGGGCAATTTTCGAGTATGCGGAGGAGCACAAGGAGCTGCATAGTATCGTGAGCGGGAGTATGGAATATATGAGCTCTTATAAGAAGGACGGGCTGATCTCGGGATTTGACTGGAAAGGTCTGGGAGATGCTACGGTTGTTGATGTAAGTGCGCCTTTGAATCATCCCTCCTCTTTTTTTCCTTCGGGAAGGGAATTGCCTCAACTGACTGATTGTCCCACAGGTGGGCGGATCTCTAGGCCATGCCAGCAAGCAACTCGCACAACAATTCCCAAGATTGCGCTTCATCGTGCAAGATTTCGAAGTTACTTGCCAGAAGGGGGAAGCTGCGTTGCCGGACGAGCTTCGATCCCGGATCAGCTTCCAGCCGTTCAACATGTTCGAGGCTCAACCAGCTCTCCCCGACAGGAAGGTCGTGTACTTATTGTGCTGGATCCTCCACGATTGGTCGGATACGGAATGCTCTCAGATTCTGAGAAGTATTGCACAGGGTATGAAGGCTGGGGATCGTATCATTATCAGTGAATTTGTGCGACCCGAGCCGGGCGCTGGATCGCTTTGGTTGGAGCGAGCTGTGAGGTATGTTACTTTTTGGCATATCTCTTCCCTGTTGTTTTGTATCCCCCTTCAACAAGCTAAGTTAGACACAGCCGGTCTGATACGTACATGCTTTCCGGGAGCAACGGCCGCGAGCGGACGACTGCGCAGTTTGAGGCTCTGCCACGGATGGCGGACCCCAGACTGAGATTAGTTGATATAACGCTGCCCAGCGACTCTTGGACAAGTGTCATTGAGATGGCTTTCGATGAGGAGAAGGAAAAGTTTTAGACAGTTGGTTGTTGTCTAGAAATTTATACCTTGAGATACTTAGCTCGGTATGAGGATATTGGAAATATGTTCATTGATGAAATTACAAGAAGGCTTTATTAAGGCTAACTGATTCATTGAAGAAAAAGGCTTCAACTTTCGAATATCAAATCACTAGTCAAATGAACTACGTCGGTTAGATGTGCATAGTTGACTTTCGATGGACATGTGAGAAAAACATAACCCTAAACCAAAGGTGTAAACATCACAGATTCGAACCAACTTGCAAACAGAAGCATAGACGACCATCAGCCAGCCCAATACATGTTGAATGCATGCGCTCCCCAGAATTTCCCGCATACACTGCACCCTCATATTAGTTATGCCTATCACCAGGACCGCCAAAGAACCCCAGTAGACCTAGCGGTAATACATCGTCAAGTAGGGCCCCGTCCGCTCACTATACGAAAAAGTCAAGATACCCTGCAGATCAGTGGTCTTGTAAACATCCAGTCCAGGTCTACACACTATGTCAGCTTGTCATCTGTCGAACAAAATCCCATCCAGAAACTTACATGTACGAGGCCAAATTATCAACATAAGTCTCCGCATGCCCCGCCCAGCCCCTCCGGCGGAAGAACTCCACCAAGGCATCTGCAATGACCATATCACCCAATCCCATGAGTGGAATATAAATCTTCGGCGCAGGAAGCGGATCAAGCGGGTTCAGTTCGAAATTGAACAGAATGGCACTCTCGAACGGCGGATCGCCAAGCACAGGAGGCCGAGTGGACGAGCGAATCCCCTCAGGGACGCCCAGCGCCTCCCACAGCTCCCGAACCATGGCTAGGCCAGTGAGGGTTTCCTCGTTGTCCAGCCTGCCCCCAAGCGTCCACACCCGCCGGACATTCTCGAACGTGACGTTCTGCTCCTGGACGTATATCTTGAGCCGTGTTGCCTCGGGCCGCACAAGGTCACAACCGAAGGTGAGGACCGTGGGCGGGTCGGGAGCAGTGGTCAGAAAGTCTTGCAGGACTGTTAGCGGTGCGTGGAACGCGCCCCGCGTGTCCCACTTGGCGAGCTCGGTAAAGAGTAATTCAGCCGGAGTGATTCCCAACACGGCGGCCTTGAGGGGCGGCACCAGGTAGAGCTTGACGCCAAAGTCGCCGTCTTTGAGGTCAATCGCAAGCATGAGTTGCGCAGATATGGGTGATCTTAGCGCCGGGCTAGATGCGGGGAGGAGGGCCTGGTCGCTGTCGGTGAGGGTAAGCTTGGGGGTCAGCGTGTGGTAGAGCTCCAGGTCAATGTTTTTGCCAAGGTGCTTGAGTGTTTCTAATGCGTTGCTCGCCGTGGAGTACTGGAACCGGGTGGTGCCGTTGTAGACGGACCTGTAGCACCGGGGCTCCAGGCCGACGCGAATGGTCGCTCCCTTCCTGGTGAAGTTCTGGCTCAATTCCAGATTCCCGGCGCCGCCGATGAGGGTGGAGCACAGTTCGGGCTGTCGGTGGTCCGGAAAGGGTCCCAGCATTGGGATTAGGTGCATTCCGAATTGGCAGAGATACTGGTACTGTTGGTGGACGTCGTACTCCGCGCGGAACAGCATCTCGCCGAGGATGGGGGCCGTTTGGTGCCACCAGCGGTCTTGGTCGAGATTCGCGAATATCAGACATTTGCTTAGAGAGTGGTACGGTCTTGTCGCGGGGATCAGGGCAGATCGTTTGCCCTGCGAGGCGAGTGCTTCCTCTGTATACGCATATGACGACATTGGGTGGTGTGGAACTCGTTGTTCTTGATATGGAAAATGGATACAGTATGATGAAGTGTGTGATATAGTTGAGAAAATATTTGTGGAAAATGCTGCAAGGTATGGGATTGCCTTTGAATATGTGTGATAGTCTGACTGAAACTTTCAGTCATAGACATACAACTACTTGCTTATGTGGAAACTGTAAAGTTCAACCCTAGTAGTGGGATCGCTGGCGCTGGCGATCAGAGCACAGTGTACACCCTCCGGAAACTATACTAATACTGCCAGGAGAGATACCACTTCAGTCAGGGATATCTTACTGTCGCAGCTCCGGAAGTGGCGGGGATATGAGAGAGCCGGGATGGTTCCAGTAGTGGTGATGTGATCACCTAGTGTTCGCGAGGAATGTTTCTCATAATCCTCACTAGCCGCTGCAGCTTCTGGATGTCATCAATTGCGATACTGGCTGCCAAAACTTGTCAAACTTTATCAGATGATAAGATCATAGATGTTGTCACTCACCCCTAACTCGAAAAATCAGGGTGGTTGTTTGTTCCATTGGACGGGACTGACGATCCCTGACCAGCTTTGATTAGGCGTTCCGAGAATTCCACGCTGAAGCCCAACACGTCTGACAGACCCGGACACTAGACACGCTGTTGTTATCAAGAATGATCCTGATCCAGGGGACAAGCCAATCGGTTCATTCTCGGCCAGTAACAAGGGCGAATGAACATATTGCACCCACGTCGATCAGGCTCACGGATCCAGGGGTTAGCCGTGCGGATGAACCAGGCAATACTAGAATCTTGTAAGGCATGACACTGGGATGATGGTTTCAAGCATGCACTAGGCAAGTCAATAAAGCTGACTATGTCAATAAAGCTGACTATGTCAATAAAGCTGACTATGTCAATAAAGCTGACTATGAGAATCTTACCCCGTCAATCCCCGGGTTTATCTCACACAGCAGGTTCTTTCCGTCCGGATTGGCCCGGGTTGAAGCAGCCACAGCCTGAGCGTCACACCGTACGGCAATCAGTAGTGGTCAGCACTTACCTTTCCTCTGAGTCATCGGCATGACTCGAATATCAAGGATTCTATGTCTTGCTGGGTAAAGTTTGATTAGGGGAGAAAAACCCGCTATTGTCCTCCGCTGACGAGTCAAAAAGCCACTTCATCATGGAAGCGCAAGCCACGATATCGCCTGGCGATCTATTCGGCTGTTTCCAGGTTTCTCTCACATGAAAACCTATGTTGATATGGGTGAAGTATCATCATCACTCAGGGATATCCCCGTCTTGACTGATCTCATAAATTTTTTACTTGATGGTCACCCCGCGTAGTGGCGTTGGGGAGATGTCTTGCAACGCTCGTTGGCCAACTGCAGTCGGAATGGCAATACTTGGTGATATAAACGTAATGTGATGGGGTGGGTCGAGCAAAGGGAAAATAGACCACGAGGCCTTTTTTACCAGAAAAAGTAGTGGATGCATGCATCTTGCCGAGAGCTCTGATCTTCAAAAGGCTGGGTTGCACCCTGTTATCGTTCGGCCACATTAGCATGTCACACGATGTATTACGGCTTTAACTCTCGAAACATTTTGCGAAGAACATGAAGCATTTCGCAGACGGAACATGTTGCTGAAATCAGTTTATCTGATCAGGCTCTGAATCACACACCAATTGTTACATGGCACTGATATTGGCTTTTTCTTTCACCTCGATTCCAGCGTGGCCGTCGAGCAGAATGTGACTGCTCAGCGGCCCAAGAGCGTGTCAAAACATTTCGAAGTACAGAGTATTTTGGTTGGTGTCTTATCAAATTTGATAATTCCCAAATCAAGCCAATGATACGCTGCAAGTAAACATCAGGTGTTTTTATCTTCTCACGTCCACTTTCTCCCCCGTCCCTGTAACGCTGCCACATTTAGCTTCGAGTGTTGCTGACATGGCTTGGTGAATTGCACATCTACAATGAACATTTCTTCTCTGATAAAACACCAACTTACTCCAAATCAAAATGCCATGCTGTCATTGAGCTTGGGTCCCCTCGAACACGATTGTCGTGCTTCGGGATTCCTAGACCTGAAACCATTCAAGATACCCCTGCATCGAAATCATGTCGTGTGGACCTCTAGGCAGCTAGAATTCTAGTATTCTTTATCACACTGAGGTAAGTACGAACTGGGAAGGAAAATCCACTATGTTATCTATATACAATTCAAGCCATTCCTAAAAGTGTACTGTTCCCTACATACAGGGGGGACAGGTCGGTCTGTCTCGACGTCTATTCAACGAAATTACAATCATTCATGCGCTTAGATTATCAGAGAATCCCGATGTAGAGTTTTTGTTGGTATCATTAGCGCAGGCGCAGTGACAGCAGCGCGACTGAGGTATCTGGCACGTTCAACGCGTAATAACGCAAATGTTTAGAGACCATGTCACTGTGGATGTCCGCTGAAAATCGACCATATATTCAATTACTGTTTGCATGAAGAATCTATTATTTTAACTCATTTTAGACAATAGAGCTCCATAAACTATCTAGCACTTCGGAAAGAGCAAGTTCAATGTCGCTATCACCAACTCAACCTACCGGCATGTTTCAATACTTCGCCTAATACTATCTAATTCTATCTCGTCACATGCTAGGGATATCAGTCAGATTAAGCCCGATAGAAAATACTAATCAAGTTTCTTGGTGTAGCAGCTAATGTCACACATCACACGCGATCAACGTACTAATCACGGGGGGACAATCGGCTCAGACTTAACAACTAACCACTCTTGTAAACCTCAAGAATGCGAACAAAATCTATCCCCCAGGTCCTAGTAATATTGAGTGCCCTATCGCCCCAATAAGATCCTGTTAACCACCCTTCTCAGTGTTGTCGCAGCGGTCCTTGCGTTGTGGGCGTAGTTTACGAGGCTGTCGTTGAGGATATCGAATCGCTGGGCATTGCCAATCTTTCTAGGAACTTGCGAGATTGAAGTCGTAGTTTGACTTGAAGACTGTTTGATGTTCTGGACCCGAGGACTAGAAACAAGATCAGGCCTAGTCAGGCCGTCTTCATACGATGTACAATATACCAGTTCTATCATTTACTCATTTATACAAAATTTCCATCGCTCTATATCACCCAAACAGAAAGACATCACCCATCTACCAGCTCCCAATCTTCTCCCCTTTGAAATGACCTCTCCACCAGAAACGGAAACAAATACACCCTCATCTCCCCGTCCGCTTCCAACCGCCTCACGGCACTAATGCCAACATCCCCATGAAGCAGCCCACCCAGCGTCAACCCCAGCTCCTCCTCGGCCGCGCCATCAAAATGCAAATAAACATTCCCATCACTCTTCGCTGTCTTTCTTGCTAGAATCCGTTCCCCCTCTTCAGTTACCACACAAACCCTGACCCGATCCCACTCCGTCATCAACAACCCCCCACCCCCTCCTTCTCCGCTCCATCCCTCTCCACCCCCTCAATCCAAACCCTAAACACCGCCCTCTCCCACTCAGAAACAACGATCGCACAAAAATTTGACCCCCGATGCACTGCCCAAAACCGCCCCGGCCACCGCCGACTCCTCACGCAGAACCTCCCCCCATTCACCCGATCTGCAACACCCCCCTCATCAGCCCTCAAAACAGGAAACCCCAACGGCAGCGTATCCCACGCATCTAGAAACTGAAAGAAGACATGTCCGCGCAGCTCAGCCAACACGATCTCCTTCGTCTCCTGGGGTGCAACCTCCGCCGTGCCGATATTGATCTTCTCGATAGCGTCGTAGAGTGCCTTCGGCCCGTCGCCGCACCACGACCACATCTGCGGCGAGAGGCGCTTCAGTTCGTGGAATTTGCGCCCTCCTGTTATGGACTTGTTTTCTTGGAGGACGCGGTAGAGGAGGTCCGCTTTGGAGCGCGTTGATGCGATGAGTAGGTAGCGGTTGTCGCGGCCGCCATTGGGTTTGTTGCTTTCGTGCCAGTGGTCACCGCGGTAGAAGACGAGGTTGTAGAAAACCATACTGTGAGGACTTGAGATTGAAGATGTGAAGGAGTTGTTGGGATGGGTAGGTGTTTTGAGATGGGGGTGGGAGGGTGGTGGAGTTGCCTGATCCGGGGACGACGTCGTATTGGAGAGGGCGGGTGGGCTGTGGCTCGAGGTCCTTTATTATGACATGCTTGCTTTGATGTTTGTGAGATCTTTTTGATGAGTGCTATCGTCTTCAATTTGATGTGCCCCTTTCTAGGATTGAGAGTGAGATGGGCGGCGTGATATCACGCAGATACCATCTAGGCCCTAGCATGTATATGAGAGAAGTCTACTACTCTATAATGACATAGATCGAATTACCGCAACATGTTCCTTTGCTGAAATTCAAAAAGCGCATACCGGCTTGCGTTGGCATGCAGGGGTATAATCTATATAGAAGGGGGAAGCCCTAATCGCACGCTGTCTAATCGCCAACAACCAAGCAGAATGAACCAAACTCGACCCAAAAATCCCTAAAAGCAACGCTCACAAAAAAGCATAAGTATAACCACCCTCGCGGTTCCACCAGCGACAATCAATGCCGGCCTCAGAGCACAAGCCCCTCAACCTCTCCGTCACACCGATCACCTCCTCCTTCATCGACCTGCCCCCACCACCCGCGTCGTGCAAATCGCCCTGGATATCAATCACCCCCAGATCAGGGAACCTGTTCTTGGCACAGCCGACCAGATTCTCCAACTGCGCCACCATAGCGCCCATGTCACACTGGTCGAACTGATCCAGCGCAAGCACCCTCAACGCGCGGGGCAGATTCCCCGCCAACGCCCCAACAGACCCTTCATCACCCTTACTCCAATCGACAATATTCGCCGCCCGCAGCGCGACCTCCCTCAGCGCGGTAAACCCCGCCAAGGGCCCAAAAAAGTCATCCTCGCGCTCCGACCCCGTCGACCCCCATCCGAAGCCGTCATCCAGCCGGAACTCCAGCCTCTCAAGCGTCTCACGGTGCGGTTCCAGCGCGCGGTGGAACCGCGTCGGATTGAAGTCCTTGAGCGAGATGCTCGCGTGCGCGTGCACATACCGGAACGACTTGAGCCCGCGACACGCCCGCAGCAAGTATCCGAGGCCCTGCTCGGCGTGCGCGGCCGTCAAATCGATATCCGTGACGCCGGAGAACTCGCGGCGCTTGAGGAGCTCGGGGGCGGGGCCCGCGATGTGGTCTTCGACGACCATGTGGCCCTGGAAGCGGCGCATGGCCGGAAAGGAGAAGAAGGGGAGGAGTCGTGACGAGAAGATGCCGTTTTCGTGGTCGTGCCAGGTGGCGGAGACTTGCTCGAGGGCGGGGAAGGGCGGTGTTGTGTCGAAGGGTTTTTGGCCCCGCACGGCTCGCTCGAGCATCCGGTTGAGGTAGCTGGCTGGGTAGTCGAGTTTGAGCTTGAGTTGGGAGAGGTTCGGTAAGAGGGGGAGGAGGAGGGCTGTCCAGGGGTCGATCTGGCCGCATTGGAGGGCCTTTTGCCAGGTTTGCTGTTCGTCCGGGGTGTGCGCGGCTGCGCTCACGGCGGGGAGCAGCGTTGCCGCGTTGTATTTGGTGTTTGGTCGGTGCGACTTTGGGCAGTACCCGTTGCGGACGCCCATTGAGAGCTTGCGGACGCTCTGGGCGAGCTCTGGGTGCTCGATGACGGTGTGGGTCAATCGGCTGAGGGCCCAGGGACACAGGTAGGTGAAGTCGATTGAGGTGTATATCTCCTGGCGCAGGAGGGAGTAGAATCGGCGGCAGCATTGCGCGAGGCTGAGGGTGTCGCCGTGGTTGTCATTATAGGCTGCGATGAGCAGCAGCAGCTCATTGGGAAGGTCTTCCAGCGTCATCTTTGCGGCTGTTTCTAACCTAGCTGCCCGAGAGTAGAGAAGGATGCGGTCGTGAGTGTTCTGGTCGAAGAGTCCGGGGTAGGGGGAAATTCGGGAGATCATTCATAATAAATATGACTGAGGCGGGGTCTCCGACAAAGCTGACAGCCTGGTCGACGCTAAGGTGGAGGATTGACACGAACATCAGCTGGAGCTATTAATATTATTTGCCTGCGTTGGATGTGAGGATGGTGCTAAACCGAAAATCTCTTTAGGCGGGCCCACCAGGTCACGATGCGGTGGAACTCGGTCTTCTCTCGTCTCCGGTCCATGGCCGCTGCAAATCCACGTCTGGCCGCCTGGTTTGCTGGTCGACGCATTTAGGCATTGAAGAGATTTTTCCTCTGGATTCGGTTCTCGTGACCTTCGGATATGGCATGATACGTGGGAGTCTTCCATTTTCGGAGACGTGAGGTTAGGGCTGGGAACGGCGAGTGGCCGGCGAGTGGGTCCTCGGCGGTTTCACCACGATTTCCGGTACTTTAAACAAAGCCATGGTCGTTCTTATTGGGTCAATTATTGAATTATTTTAGAAAGATAAAAGAAAGAAAAGAAAAGAAAAATAAAAGAACAGGACTCCGTACGGACGAACCAAATAAGAATAACCGAACGGGACCGATCTTCCCGCCACCTGATAAAGCTGGATCACGGCAGGGACAATGTGCTTGCAACGTCCACCACCACCCCAAGGAAGCTTGCCCGAGCTAAGAACCCAAAATTGTCAGTTGCAGAGTTAATATCAATGCAATCCAATCGAGGAGTGGAAACTGCCGGGTTCAACAGGGGCACCATCCAAGGTTCTTCCATCGCTGCTCCAATCACCAAACGCGCCTCGGTCCGATTCGAGCTGAGTCATCCTATCCAGGCACATCTTGACCGAGAGGGGCAATGATCACGCAAAATGCGGTGAAAATTTCCTCGGGCTCCGAATTTCGGGGATGCGCGTTGATTGGGGTGGCGTATTTAGTTGCCTCCACCGGTCCAGTGCCATGGCCAAAATAGTATCAAATCAGTGCTATTGATTCTCGGCTGCAATCCTAGACGAGGGGGAAGGATCCAGCGCGTTACCAGTAGAGCCGTTCGAACCGGATGTACCGAAAAGGAGAGACCGAGGAAAGAAGACAGATCTCCACGGCCACTTCATGAGTTGTGTCGGTGTTGATGCCCTAGGCTGTGGGTGCTGCAGATATACATTTTGATTGTGCATATCAGGTTTTCATTCCGTACACCGCATGGTCTCGCTTGTCCTTATTTTAGCCATAAGATCGGTGACGGAGCTTGATGCAGTATTCCGGTTTATATCAGATTCATGCCAGGCAAAACGTCCTTTTGGTTAGAATCAGTGCGTGGCTGCTTCATGCTGCTGCTTGCAGTGTGTGCATAGATTATATAAGCATCCAAGGGAACGTTCATAAAATGCATAAAGATATCAAGGATGACTAGGTCAAGAATGTGGTTGAATCCAAACAGCAAATGCAGATGACTTACCTCAAGCCAGTTGACTGACTATCCCTATATCAAAGTAGCACGTATAAATAGGAACCACCATATTGATGACCTGAAATTCTCAAGTACACCTGTGGGAAGTAAGCAAAAGGACTCGCCAAAGGGCAGACCGGGCACTTCGATCATAGTAGGGCCCATATGATAGCACAGCTGGGGACTGCCGGTAGTCACTGTCATAAGCACATAGATTGAATGACGACTCGGATATTCTGGCTCTTGCACAAGGAATGCGTGTTTAGGCAACATGGTATTTGATCTCAACCCCCAACCTAGTTATATATAGAGTTTAATATAACTACTCATTAAACCTAAACAATCCGTTGTTGTGAGGTTAATCTATAGATATCTAGTTATACCAGTTCATTACATCTAACCAGGATGATACTAGCAGAGGGTTAATAGGCTTAGCAAGACATCTACCTTGTTCACCTGTCCACTGATCAATCCTCTGGTTGGATGGCTATAATATATGACTGCTATGTGTGACATGCTGCTATGTGTGACATGCATAGACCCATGGAATTCCAGGAATTTAATCAACCCAATCACTTGTATATCCCCAGTGATATAAATTAGACTCCTGACCAACAGTGCAGTAGCCACAGCTAGTCACTAGGTAAGATTAGCAATAGGGCTGATCCACTGTTTCCTTCCTAAGGAAGATGTCATCCGGCATATACATGCCAGAGAACATGATGAGCACTGGATCCTATCAAGATAGATAGAAGTAGTGGGGACTCGAACGTGTATACTCGAACTCATGAAATAATCATCTACTAAGTGACTATCGAAGTCTGCTATGATATGGATATCATCCATATTATTACTACCATTGTCAGTGAGCTCCAGAAAATTACTGGCAACCATTTACCCACAGTGAATCACAGCTCTTTTATAGTGTTACTAGAGTTAGCTCAACCATCTTGACAGGAAAATTCTGATGGATTGTTCACTTCTTCTCTCTGGATCTCTTATAAATTCAAGTCCCCTCTTTCTCTCTGCACCCCCAACACACCACCCGTGGACGTGTAGTTCCGACCTGTTGTGCTTTCCTTATCATCGAGCTGAGTTGTAAAGCGTCAAGATGGCGTCTGTACTTCTCAAACTTTCCATCTTCTTCATTCTCGCTGTCGCTGCTATCGCGCAGTGTCCTGCCCCTCAACTCCCAGTCGTTGACCTGGGCTACGAACTGCATCGGGCCTTTTCCCTTAATGTAGGTCCTGATCACCCATTCAATACATCGATTTCTTTAACAAGATAGGCATCCACCGGACTGTACAACTTCACCAACATCCGCTACGCCGCTCCCCCACTGGGCAACCTGAGATTCAGAGCCCCGGTCCCCCCCGCCGCCGAGAACCGCTCACTGATCCAGACTGGGGCGCGTGGTCGCGTGTGTCCCCAGGCCAAACCACTCTGGGAGACCATTGCCCCGGGATTCCTGTCGAACTATCTCACTGGTCAGCCCTTTGATCCGTCACTCGATGTTCCAACTCTCAATATCTCGCTTAATATGAAGTTACCCGGCTTGGACCCGCGCATCACGGAGGACTGTCTCTTTCTGGACGTTGTAGTGCCAAAGAAGGTCTTCGACAGGACTCAGAATAAGAATGCGACGTCCAAGAGGGGACTCACGTCAGCTCTAGTGGCTCAGCATAAGAATGGTACCTCCGAGCAGAGACTCGCGCCTGTTCTGGTGTGGCTCTACGGTGGAGGGTACTCAAATGGCGACAAGAGTGGCGTCTCTCCGGCCGGTTTGATCGGGCGTGACCAGCAGTCTGGACGTGATGGGTTTGTCTTCGTCGCCATCAATTATCGCGTATGTTCTCCCTTCCCAGCATCCCAATCCCCCATGTCCACGAACAAACACTAACCGAACCCTAGGTTGGCGCTTTCGGTTGGCTCGCAGGCGACGGTGTTGGCAGGGATGGCACAATCAACGCCGGGCTGCACGATCAACGCCTAGCTCTCGAATGGGTCCAAACTAACATCCACCTCTTCGGCGGCGATCCCACCCGCGTCACCGTCATGGGCATCTCCGCAGGATCCGGCTCCCTCATCCACCAGATCACCGCATACGGCGGCAGAAAGGGCCCCGCCCCCTTCAAGCAAGCCATCCTGCAAAGCCCCGGCTGGCAGCCCAAGCTCTCGCGCGCCGACCAGCAGAACGCATACCGGGAATTCCTCCACATGCTGAGCGTCAAAACCCTCGACCAAGCGCGCAACAAGTCTTCCGCGGCTCTAATCCGAGCCAACGTCCTCCAGATCGCCGCCTCCCCTTACGGCACGTTCACCTACGGACCGACCATCGATGGAGACTTCGTGCCCAGGCTCCCAGGCCAGCTCCTAGCAGGCGGACAATTCGACCACGAACTCAACATCATGACCTCGCACACCGCGAACGAAGGCCTCATGTTCACCGCGCCCTACAACTTCTACCCCGACGGCCTCACCCGCCTCCTGCGCACAAGCCTCCCAGGCATCCTGGACAGGGTCATCGATTTTGCAATCAACACCGTGTACCCCGCTGTATTCGACGGCGCAAACCCCTACAAGGACGCCATCCAGCGTGCGGCTCTAGCCGTCGGTGACGTCGTCTTCCAGTGCAACACGAACTGGGTCAGCCGCGCGTATGGAAACCGCACCTACGCTTACTTGTTTGATATCGCTCCTGCGCTGCACTCGTCGGACACTCTGTACACGTTCTACCCCGAGCAGGGTAATTCTGTCTCAGAGGGCAAGATTGCTAATGTCTCTGTTGCGTTCGCGATCCAGGATTACATCACTTCGTTTGTGCATGACGGTAAACCGCATTCGTCAATTGGGCCTGTCTTCGAGGAGTATGGTTCCGAGGGGCATATCATGGACCTGAAGGTGAAGGATATTACGGTTGTGAGGGATCCGACTCAGAATGAGAGGTGTGAGTTTTGGCAGCCTGCGCCGTTCTATGGGGGTGCTTAGTACCTATAGTACTATAGTGGCTCTTGAAGGCATCTCGGAACGCCAAGATGTGTGGAACAGACTGTTGAATTTGCGATCTTGTAGGAACTGGGGCTACGGAATACTTGTTAGAATGTGTGGGGACAGACTGCTAAGAAATCAATGCATAGGGTCTAGAACAAATCCAGAATGTCATTGTATCTGCATCCAACCTCACTATTCGTAATTCACCGACTACACCCTACATAACACAGCCTCTCCCTCCTCTCCCTCATCTTTCTCTATCTCCTCCCAATCCTCACTCCCCACACAAGTCTCGCAATAAAACATCCCACCCGGATCATACCTCTCCTTAATAGCCCTCAACCGCGGATACCCATCCCCAAACAAGTCCGTCTTCCACCATGGGTTCCGCGCATCCTTCCACCCCAGCGAAGCCCCCGTCATCGGCGCCAGCTCCCTCAACGCATCGCCTTTCCTCAGCGTCGCATCCACCTGAGCCTTCTCAAATTCCCCTTTATCTGCATCACCGGGCAGCGTCGCCATGGGCGCCATCACCGCGCAGCTCCTCCGCCACGCCGGATGCACACTAACATGTCGGTCCCCCGGGTCCTCTCCCCGTCCAACGAGACTTAAGTGGGTCCAGATCGTCGCACGATGCGGCATTTCAGGCGCATTCGTCGCTGTAATGCGCAACATCTCTTTCAGCATCTCTGTATCAGCTGATAGTGCGGTCCGATCTAGCAACCGCGATGTCACCGCCGCCTTTCCATACGCCATCGCATTCATCCCACCAACCGCGTTGAAGTACTCCCCGAACGAGGCATACTCAGTCACCGTCTCCTCGACAACAAGCGACGACCCATTCCGCCAACGCAGAGCATCCATGAGAGCAGTGTCGAGAAGCGCGCGGGAAGAGCCATCACCACCATTACTACCATCGTTCTCGACCCTAGCCACCACATGACTATACCCCCCATTAGCCAGCACCGCAGCGGGAACTCCCGGGAGATGTATCCCCTCGCCGACCTTCTCCACGCCCCAGCTACCTTGTCCAGAGAATTCCCCCTCCGACAGCGCAGGATAGGCCGCCAGAATCTCCGCCACAGCGTCGATAAGGGCCAGCGCACCCGCTATCGGGTCCCGTCTGTGCGGCGCGGGATACACCTGGAGGCTATGCGCAGTGACTGGGCGCGACGGGTGAGCTTTCAACGTTGTCGACACGATTACACCGTAGGCTGTGCTGCTACCACCGCGGAGAGCGAAGAAGAGGTCGGGGTTGTGGCAGGCGTTGGCGGAGACTGTGGCGCCTGATGCGAGGACGACATCCATTGAGAGGATTTGGTCGGCTGGGAGGCCGAGTGTGTGGAGTGGGGGGTGGAGGGTGTCGCTGGATGTTGTTATTTCAGCGGTCTAGGGGTTGTTAGTTATGTGTGAGGTGGGAGTGAATGAGGTATACGTACTTGGTCGGTGTTGCCTATGACTATGAGGTTTTGGGCGAATGCTTTAGTGTAGAGCTCAGCCCAGGTGTAGCCGCCTTGCACGGTGAAGGCGCTGCCGCTCCATTTCGTGTGTGGGCATAGCGAGTCGGTGGGGTAGGATTCGTGGTATTCGGTGCCTTTGCGGATGCTGGCGGTTGAGATGTGTAGTGTGCCTTTGGCGCGGGATCTACAGTTGCCTGTTAGCTGGAATCGCACCGGCGTGAGTAGTGTGGGATAGATACCTTTGCAAGTCATCGCGATCAGATCCAGTAGACACTCGCAGATTGTGACTCTTTGCGAAGACAAGCGCTTTTGCGACGTCGTCTGCTTCCGTGGCGCGGATGATATATGCGCTGGCGGGGCGTAAAGGACATTTGGATAGCATATTTTCGTCGGTTTCCAAGGTGGCTTCAGTTGGTTGAAAAGCTTGCATCGATGGGGTGTACTCCTCATCTCCATATAGTGTGTCTTCACTGTCTGCATCTTCAAATATGTTTGCATCTCCGAGCATGTCCCCTTCGTCGATTCCATCTCCACCCAGCAGGATCTGTTCGATATACTCCCCAGCAGTAGGCTCAACACACTGACCAGCAAGCTCCAAACAAGTATTCTGGTCTTCCTCATTCTCAGAGAAACAAACCTCGATCCCAAGAACATTGGGCAGGACCCTCCCCGCCAAAGACTCATTCAGATCATCCCACCGCGCAAGTGACGGCCAGCATTCATCGCGAGGGCCCTACTGAAGTATTAGCACTTATTCTATAAGATAAATACCAGCCCATATAATGAAAGCAAAACCATACACATTTGCAACTCGCTTCCGCATTCACCCAGCTGGTGCCCACTAGGGCTAGTGCTAGAACCCGCAGAATGGCCATTACAGCTGATTATTCACTATCGATAATACTGTAAGTATCTGGAACATAAAGCCTATTTAAGCCATGCTTTTTCGCCATGTGGATGGTGTAGCGGTCAGTAAACAGTTATACTGAACAAGATGCATGCTGACCGCAGTCAAGTTATTGATTCAACTGCAGATGCCACAGCTGCTGTCGTCACTGTTGCTGTTGTAGTTAGGGCTGATCTTATGCACGGTCGTTGGATATGCAATCGACGCGTGGATGTAAATCAATATCCAGTGTCCGTGGGGTTTCCATTGAAGAGTCGGTGGGTGTACTTCTATCGTATGTAGGAGCAGCGCGGCGTGTATTTTGATGTAGGCTGTTCCCTATCTAGATGCTTTGGGGCCCTACATGTGATGTGTCTTATACTGAGTGGTGATGGCGCAATATGCTGTCTACACTACTTATTCTGCCTATTTACTGTTTGGTCGGGGTGATAATAGGCTTTTCTTTTCGCATGAATGAATTATGGAGACGAAGGAGAGTGCACTTGCCTGTAAATAAAGTTGGATTATCATGCTGACTATCCTATAGTCAACTAAAGCAGCTCATGACCATACGCGACACTTTTGAACTAGCCTGACATCACCAACAGGGGCTGTTTAGGGCTCCAGTGCAGGAATGGTCCAGACGCTTTGACATCACTCCCAGCAATTCTGAAGGTGAACGCAACACATATCCGCAAAGTTCTAGACCAGCTCACCTCAGAGTCATCAACCCCAAACATCAACATTGTGAACCATACATAGTCCGCCCCAGAACCAGACTGATATCTGGGAACCGCAGCCATTTGTCAGAATCGACCTGTCGCGACGTGTCTGGACCAGCTGCGTCCCACAGATAACCCAAATCCCATCTCCAACGGTACACTGCCCTACCTGGACATTGCACGGATACCCTTGGGTCCGATGGACCCTGCAAGGTGGACTGAGGAGGGCAGCGAGGTCGGCGCCCCTGAATATCTCCACCTGAACCGGTGGTTCTTCCTCGAGCTACGCGTTATCTGATCCTGCAGGGGCCTGTTGATCTACACGCAGACTCCTGGGGTCCTGGTTCATGGGGTCCTCCTACCGGGAGTCCCGGTCTGGGACTACTGTTTCGTGTTCTTGTCTGAACTTGCAGTTTGCTGCTGTTGTTGATTGCACGGAAGGATAATTCATCTTGGGCTGCAGTATGGATTTTGGACGGTCGCTCCCTGATCGTTCTTACTTCGCTCTCTTCCTTTATTGATTCTGCCCTTTATGATAAATTTCTCATGGGGTTGACCTCGAGACAATCCACCATGCCGTGCATCACCATCGTACTCTAAGATTGCAACCAGGATGAGAACTGATACAGACAGTGATGCAAAACTGCAGCAAGTGGACCCGAGCAACAGGCCAAACCCAACGACCATGGTGCGACCGGTAGTTGAATTAGCATGCTGTTTCGAACCGAAATTGGCAAGGATCTACCACTCTTATGTCACAGGAATTAGCTGCCGCCAGGATTCAGGAATCCATCGCGGGCGATCAGGAGGATCGCTTAACATGCTGCGTCATTCAATCCTTCGTCTCAAGCTCCAAACGATAGGCAAAACATGATGCCGAAATGTGATGAGAACAAAAGGCGAGATGAGGATGGACACATGATTGATGCCTGAGGCATACTTCTCTTCTCTTCTCTGCTCGGTGCAAAAAAAATCTCTCCTCTTTGCTTCTCCACTGCAATCCACTCCACTCCTAGCCTCCACGGGATCCTGCCTTATCTGTGGCAATTGATTCCTCTGCTTCCTCAACCATGGATTCGACTTCAGGGCAAACTCGATATCATGCTGGGTCGAGATATGTAAACCATGGTGTCGAAGCATCGCGCCCGTTGTCCCAAGCAAACCCCAGCGATAAGCTTGGATCAACCGGATTAGACTTCATTGGCCTTACCAACGATCATTGCTTCAGGGGGAAGTCGTAACGACAGGGACAGAGCTGGACCGGTAGTCCCACCCGGTTTCTCGACCATCCGTCGTCATATCACCTTCGAAGTACAGACACTGACGTCTGAAGCATGACCGTTGCCTGATGGTTTCGTATAGCCACGATGCATACGCGCCTCGGTTAATAGATGTTCTATTTCTATCGAAAATAGTCAACAGAATAAAAGGGACTTTAAAAAAAGAACAGGGGGGCAACAATTGAACAAAGAGAGAACAGCCACAGCCGCGGTGACCCACCACTACCAGAGCCGTACGCCACTGTGGGTGGTCCCTTTCGAGGCCTTTCCCCTGATTGGGCATTGATCTACAGTGAGCCAGCTTTCCCGATGGCGATCTCCAAATCTTCGACCAGGACCGACCAACCCAGGCCGGGGTAGATTCATGGTTGAATCTTAACGACCACCAAGACAGCCATAATCTCAGCCGGGCCCCGTTTCAGGATCGATATACACCTCATCTTGTATATAATGATGAGGCTGGTAAAACGTCATTGGGAAATCTCGTGAAAGTGCCGGTGGCAGGGCCAGTCCTGATTGCCGCCGGAAAAAAAAAGACGTGGGTCCGTCGCCACCGCAGCTACTGCAGGCGTTGGACAACAAGCCGTGATGGACATCTAGTGGACCCACTTCGTGCTGATCAGGCAAAACACTTTCTGTTCGGGGCTTAGAGTCCCATCACACTGCGAATGTTCTGCTCTTTTGCAAGCCGGTCAACTCCATAGGCACCCAAGCTAACGCCTGATCTAGAGGGATCGATGGGCCCAATCGCCACGCTGATTCGTGGACCTGACTAGTCGTATCAGTTCCCAACCTTCTCCCGCCCGCGGCTTCGGCGTCACGCTGGGTCGATTGATGGGATGCCCGTAGCCAACTACCTGATCGGGTACCTGAACCGACACGGTGATGAATCATGGCGGCTGGTTGAGGATCGTCGACTCAGGTCACTGTGATTCGAGCCGTGTCTCTTTTTTTCTTATAAATTGACGGCTCTACCTCCCCTGAGATCTCAAGCTACAAGCTACCATCGATTTTCCTGAACAGTGCATCACTCTATATCTCCAATTCTACGTTCTATCCTACAATACAATCTACAATGAAGCTCTCCACTGGACTCACCTTCGCCGGCATCATCGGCTGCGCCGCTGCCCTGCCCCCTCCGTTTGACTTCCTGCCGGATCCTCCTGCTCTCAGCAGCATCCCCTGCAGCACCCCGAGCGTGAGCCCGACTCCTACTCCCTCGGCTGTCTTCGCCCGCGACTGGGCCGTCGAGGTCTCCAGCTCGGCCACTCCCTCCACTCCCTGCAGCAGCTCGGCCATTCCCTCCTCCACTCCCTGCAGCAACTCGGGCATCCCGACCCTGACGCCCGCGCCTCTCTTCAAGCGCCAGGAGGCCGCTTCTTCTTCCACCGCGACCCCCTCCAGCTCCGCTACTCCCTCCAGCTCGGCCACCCCCTCCAGCTCCGCCCTGCCGTTCGCGCTCTAAGCTATGAATGAGACTTGAGATCAATACCGGGGGCTGCTCTTCGCCGGCCGAGACCTGCAGCAGCCTGGCCTACTCCTATCATGGGCGGTTTTCATATGTTTTTTCTTTTTGTTACCACTCAGATCTACGCTGCGCTGTCTTGACGATGGCGAGTGACGGACTGTTGAAGTGACATTGGGTTATATAGACTGGACTGGGTCATTTTCCGGTGCGAAATCGGGAGTTTGTTTCAACACGATCTTTTTCATCTTTTCTTTATTCTTTCGCAGCGTTATGAGGTTATGTAAATCAAATAAATGAATCTTTCGTCATGTTTACCAACTGGATTGAACCATCAACCACTTAGTAGTGCGCAAGTTGAATAGATGGCGTGGGTGTCGTATACTCAGACCACCAGTACCAAGCTGGTTATCTGAACACAGGTGGTAGTGCACTAGGGCTGTTTGCAACCCGAAGGAGAACTTGCCGTCATACTTTACACTTTACCATTCCTTCCCCTATTTTTAAACATTTCTATGTATAGACGACAGTAGCTGTAGTGCAATCAATCCAATAGAGCAACAACTGAATGACAGCTTAGACATCTCACTCTGAAACATCACCAGTCATATTTTGCCATCCCTGGCATCATCTTTTCCATCGCACCACAGTCAGGGTCGGAAAAAAGTCCGATAAACAAACGCTCCACAATCGGTGACATTGCGTTGCATCTTTACTCCATCAACTTCTTCTAGTCCTGTAGTGCTATTTGCTAAAAAAAAAAGATATATATATAATCATAACAGCAGCAGCGCGCCCCCACCCCCCGCCTTTTGATACCTGTTTATCTCTTCCTACACCACAGACTAATATTACCCCCAGCAGGCCGTCTGCTATTATAATCATACTCATGGGATTAATTGATTTCTTCCAAGATCCGTTTCGTTTCATGCTATTTAGCGTAAGGGAAAGAGTATACTAGACTCGGCTACCTTCAAACCTGGCGTACTCCAGCGTTCCAATCCGCCGCACATGACCAGCCATAGTGCAGAATAGCGTGATGGTCGGATGTATCTCATAAGCTATTGTAAGAAAGCTCAAATCGATGCATTTTGTGGGCCGTTCCGTAGTTCGTTAATTAGTGGTCCTATATCGAGATCGGCTCAAAACACTGCTCACAGATCCACTTGAAGGTTAAGAGAGACTATGTAAACCACGCCTCATGAGAAAAAAAACGTATTCCACTTTCACCAGATGCAATTTCTCGCTGATTTTACAGGGTACTAGAAGGGTCTTGGGAAATGGCCATCTCTATGGATGGGGTACAGATACACAGTCGGCAGAAATGGCGATCTTAGAGCTGCATTGCATGTCTCATGGGGCTGAAAGTGGAGAAGGAAATTAGCTAGGTAAGGGGGTATATGAAAGCGTGATGTTCTGGATCTCATTTGCAATTCAACAGACTACTTGGCAGTGACGCTGTTTCTCCAAATTCGAGAGAATTCCAGGCGATCGATCTACTTGGATTGAAATTCGTTACTGCTAGGGTGGCTATAGCCTTTCTGACTTGAATCTTATAGTTATTATAAACTCAGGAAAGCAAACTTTTTCAACGAATACGGGTTCTGCGAGCATGAACTACTATATTTCTTTCTAAAATCAAGTATGATTTGTAGTAATATACCAGATAGACAACACAGAGCAGCAATATCGATATCTCTCAAACACGGTCTGAGTAGCGAGAGCACAGCCGTTGGATATCACCCCGCATCAACCGTCAAAAGGTTTCAATGGTCTGTTGAACGCTGGCACTTCAGCGAGCCAACGTACTGCGCAGGTTCAAGAGCACCGCCACCATACAGCCAGGGGGCTTGATATGGTCCAGAACAGTCCTCGGTCCTGTGCTCAGTACATCGAGTTAGCGATCCAATAGTTGATTGAGAAGAGGAGGTATATATAGCGCCAGGGGGTCACGTCACGTACAAGAAAGCAAAACACTCAGGGAACGACCCATCAGCCGCGGGGACCATCTGGTATGCCTCAACATCGCTGTTTGCTCCTCGTTAGCTGCTACATCCATGCGTTTGTCACGGTGGGCAATCAAGCTCGTACCCGTTCAAGTCCTGCTTCGCGCACATGTCGTACGGAACATTGAGTTTGATACTGTCGTTTTCGCCGGCGAGCTTGACGTAGACCTGGATCAGGCATGATATTAGTGATTTGCGCGGTGGATGTGGTTTTAGAGTGTTCTATACCGGGACGATTTCGGCTGTTCGGGAGATATGTTAGCTAGGCACCCAATGGTGTTGTGTTTTGGGGACATACCAGCATAGGCCGAGGTGACCCCCAAGGCGAACGCGACGATTGCAGTCTTGGAGAAAAGCATGTTTATGTTGATGAAACAAGTATCAAGCAGAGCAATGTGTTGTCAGGATGAATAGAAACTAAAAGAGACAAATCAAGGGGATAATGCCAACTTATATACTCTTGATCCCTTGTTCAGCCATCCCAATTTTAGCTAGCATTCAGCTGGCATTGGGCCTGCATTCCAGCCTGCATTCCAGCCTGCATCCCAGCGAGGATTGTGGAAATGCATATGTATCAACTATCTTGCCTGATTCGCGGATCACATTATGTCTTGGCGACGCAGACTCAATAGTAAATACAGTGTCACCTTGCTTGACCATTCCCCTGGCTCACCGGAAATGCCGAGCACCTCGCCCTGAGTCAATAGCGCCTCCGTCTAATCGCTGTCACAGAAGATTGGTCGATTTTGTGGCCATTCATCGCAGATTTATTCAGCTCGATACGCTGGGAAACAAACATTTCAGCCGCAGTTGGTAGATCCGGCGCTGCTGCAGCGACGGGCCACACCCGCTGGCAGCTGAGAAGCCAGATTAATCCAAACTCCACGCTCCAGCTACTTCCCACAACGCCGTCTTACACCTTTTGTACCTTGGCTGAATATCCTGATGGAGATCCGAAGGGATCCGCTGATGCCTCACCTCCCCCTCCTGGGTACCGGTCATTCCTGATAGACGACTCCGAGGTTTGCCTGCCCATAATTCCCTGCTCGCTATCATTCTCGTGCATGGCCACCATCTGGATGTCTTCTCCTGGTCGTCCCCATGTATTCTCCGTGCGTTTCTTGCTGCCAGGAAGACGGAGAGTAAATTTTCGGGACCCATCTGCTGTGAGGGCTGAGTGTTTCACGAAGCTAAAGGAGGAGGGGCGATTGTGGCTGCCGCGCATACGCACAAATAGGACGCGGAGGCTAGGCATCGAACCAGCCAGGATGGTCACGCATTCTTCGATGATGGAACAGAGGATGAGGGCTTGCGCCAGGTCTAGGGGAGGGAATCAGCGGGTGATGGAGGAGGGTGGAAAGCGTAGATGACGCACATGTGTAGTCCCTGTATGTGGGTATTGTGTGTTGGTTGCCGGCTTTCAAAAATGCAATTCCCATGGCACTGTATGTGATGTTGTGAGCAACTCTTTCGTTCGTTCTTGTCTTTTGGTCATGTGGATGCCGGGCAACTAACCAAATACCCAGACTCATGGAGATCCCGATGCCGAACTTCTCGCGCTTTTTCATCCGAAGCTTCCAAATCCATGGCCATGGAATCAGGGCCAGTGCGAGGTCCACGAGTCCGGAGTACGCTAGGTCCAGTCAGTGTTACAACCCACGAGCAACATGAAGCCGTGACTCGTACCGTGAGACGTCGTGGTCAGAATTGTGACGAGATTTTGTGACCAGCAGGTACCTGTTTGTCGCAGCGAAGTGTCCCAGAGTGCGGCTGGAGGCTGGCATTGAATCATGTAGATGCTGGCGCTGCCTAACATGAGGAAGTTCATCGTGACTATAAGAAACCAGAGGAAGCCTTTCATAACTCGACATGGTGATACCCGTATTAGGCTAATTGCAAAGGAGGTCCTGCTGAGTGATAAGCAGACGATTCCGATTGTCTGGCCGACACCAAAAAGCACCATCGCCTCGTTCGTCCTTGACTGGTCCTTCAAGTCGTCGAGGTGCCTCCCCGCCACTCCCATCGTTACTGTCCTCGTGTAGATCGCGCCGCTTACTATATGTAAGACCTGTGCTGCGTAGTGGTCAATTCTGCCAGCTTGAAAGAGGGAGTTAGAGGTACTGACTAGGGCAGCGCAGGCTATCGCATCGTCCCATCCACATGCCCGGCTGATGCATCGCTTACAGTACACCCGGAGTAGGATGACCACGGACGAGAGACTCACCAAGACCCACATTACGGCGAGAACGGTTGGGCCCTTGTATGGGCCGCTTGCTAAAGACATGTTCAACTGCAGCAGGATAGGATGCTTCGCCTGAGGGAGGTGCGAGGAAGGGAATGAATCATCAATGGGTACGACGTGGATCGGCTGGCGAGATCGGCCGGCGACATCAAAATAATATATACGATCCGTGTGCCCTAAGTAAAGATGAGCTCCCCATTCCATCGGCCGGGTGTGACACGACATTCCACCGAGGATCCCGGAACTTGAAGAGAAAACCGGGTCGCTAGCAACAAGTCTCTGGTGCTGTTATGGAAGAGCATATCCTTCTGCACTGTACAAGACGTTTGAATTCCCATGGTTAATCTACGCCGAATGGAGTCTCTGTGTAACACCCCTCGATGCGAAGAAGCCTATAGGAGGATACTCTCGTCGATGAGGAGTCCTTACTTTCCACGACCGGATCCGAACCATGGTATTAGGCATCAGTAGATTTGGTTATATTGACTCTCATCCAGCAGTACAGCAACGGCTGCGGTTTGGCCCACGAAGCCTGCGCCTCATAGCAATCTGGCTATCGATTTATCTAGGCCTCAGCCAGACTAGATCGACCGCAGAGCTCGCAGTGTCTGGACTCGAGAGACATGTAGTTGAATTGCTATTGGCCTGGCAGAGAATAGGTGGGTCGACTGGAGCGGTTGAGTGGCCATCGGGCCAGCTAGAATGAGCAGTTCACTGGAGCGTTTGGGTTAGATATCACACCAGTCTAAACATGATAGTATGACCAACCACTGATTGACTCTCCAGGTCCACTTTGGCCATCAGCCACTCGGGACCATGCCGTTCACCCTCGAGCGTTAAACCATTCTTTGTTCCCTGAACTTTGATCTTGTCCCGGGGTTGTCATGTACCACATTTCACGACACACTCGTGGGCCATCCCTGCCTAATCAAGCTAAGAACTGTGACTGGCCTCAGTAGTCGATCCTGTACAGGACTCAGCCAGAGTGCTCCACTAAACGGGCCACATTAGCCTTGCGATTACTTGATAATTGCCTCAAAACCACCACTGACGATCAAGCAGGAATGATGTTCAGATCTTAAGGTTCCTATGACGGAGTGGTCCGTGATCTCAAGTCCTCCATGTTGGTTGGGCACCGTTATTCTCCTAGCTTCCTCCATCTCAAAAGCATGTTTCACAAACGGGTCCTTGCAGTCTGGTGTTTCTTGAGCGCTGCCGGACCAATCCCGAGCCCTTCCATCCCGGCCTTATAAATTATGAGTGCCATCTCCACCTATGTCACGCATTGACTGTGGTTAGAGTTGGAGTGTTCCAGGGGCGAGATCTGTGTATTAGGTTTTAGCCTGTCTTTCATTCGTGCGGCTCGACAGGGGGATTGTTACCTGGACAATCTTGTCATTATACCGGTTTCTTCCAGACATTTCCTGTTGATTGTCATTATGATGGTCAACGCACAGGGCATTGGCTCGGGTGGATACCGAGTGCCGCATCGACCCATTATACGGCGGTGGTGATGTTACTCAAGGATGCGATAAACCAGCAATTAGAAACTCAGGATTTGAAATAGTTCTGTCCGGCTCCTCTCGGGGCTTCCACCTATTTTTGGAACTTCCAGCTGAGTTTCTCATCTGTTCGGCTTCTCTATATTGAGTATGCATGCCGTTCTAGCCACTCTTTCTTTCTTCATTAGGGTTTTCTCTTCGTCGTCTCCAACTAGAGGACGAATCAGGTACACGTTGCGCGTCATTCCACTTCCTTCAAAGACGCTGTTATTGCCTAGTATGGGAGGACCGAGGAACGGTCCAACAATGATTAATATTGATGACTATTAAAGTTTTGAAAAGAGTTGTGAATTGTTGCAAGATTGCAGGTATCAAGAAGTGGGAAAATACCGCAAGTCAGCTGACATGTTGGCCGATGCATGTCCCACTATTAAGATCCAGTGCTTGTATATCGCAGATACGTCTCGACTATTTGTCATAGTGGCTGGTTTTATAAGAGGGCTCATAAGTCAAAGTTACTTAAGCGTGATTGTCTACATTATGTATAAGCGAAAAGTTAACAGTGGTAGGTGTCACTCGGGAAATATATAGTATAGCTTGGAAGTTCGTTCAGGTAGAGCTGAGATATATAATGATCTTCATATTAGTTATGCATGAACAATGCGTCTAAACATACAAGACCAATTCATTCGATCTAAAAGATAGAACAGTTAATACCAAGAGGATTGTAAACAACCAAAAGTGGAAAATAAAACCGCGACACATGAACGCATCAAGTCACGTGCATATATCCACCTCATCCATACCATCACGTGATGACTTACCGGAACAACAATCCCCCGGACCGCCGTCTCCGAGATTTTTTTCCACCACGATAGAATCGAATCCACCCTCAGATAACGACGAACAGCCACGCCCAACGACCAAAAGAAACCCCTCGCCTCACCACCCACCCCGTCGCAATGCATCTGTACTACTACAACGACCCCGCCACCGGCGACCGCGTCTACACGCTCCAGAAGGTCGTCGACGGCCGCGTCACCAAGTCCGCCCACCCCGCCCGTTTCTCCCCCGATGACAAGTACTCCCGGCAGCGCGTGACGCTGAAGCGGCGCTATGGGCTGCTTCTGACGCAGCAGGTGCGTTTTCCCTTTCGATATGGGTGAATTGGAGGTGTAAAGCAGGTGATGGATGGCTAACATGGTTTGTCACGCAGAACAACAAGAAGACCTCCGAGCTCTAAATTTTCGTCGTCGCATGATTGATTGATTGATTGATTGATACCTACCTACCTACCTATCTATCCTCCCACCTACCTACTCTGTCGACCTCCTTCTGTCGAATTCCGCATTGCGAAAAATTATGGGCTGTTTTCTTTTCCACTGTCTATCTCTGTGTGTGTGTTGGCGGCGTTAGTGAGAATTACACTTTACACTTCCTACTACTACTACTACTACTACTACTACTACTATTTTCCTCTACGACAATGCTGTATTTGCTTGTGCGGGGTGATTGAGAATCGCGGGATGGATTGGTCCGTTGTAGGGTTCTCCCTTGTAGGGTTTTCGTGCCCGGGGTGCTGTGTATGATGGTGCGGGATTGACAGGGTGGTTGGATATGTGGCAGGGAAAGGGAATCAGAATCAGGATATGCCGTTGTTGTAGACTGATTTGCGTACTCGGTTGTGAGGGTTTTCGGACAGGATTTAGTAGTTGTATGACATGATTTGGAAATAATACAAATTTTCAATATATGTGGCTGTGTAGGTGTTTTGAGAGATAACGCGCTATGTTGTAGAGTACTCGCAATTACAGTTAGGTCTTGCACAATGACTACTGCATTTATCATGGTGAGAGCACTCAAGTAAATTGTAAATTGTAAGTAGGTAGGTAGTTAACCTGGATATCTGTAGGTATCGGGATATGTACAAAGAAAGTAAGGACGAGACAAGATATAAAAAAACAAGGAAAGAAAGAGTAGTAGGGGAAATATTGAAACAAGTGAAAAGGGCGGGTGGGAGAATCGTGTATAACCCCACAGTGGATGATAGAAATAGGTCAAATAGCCAACCAGCACCCTCTCATTAGTAGACTTTCAAGATAGTAGCGTACCCCATCTGGAGAACACCATCGAGCAACTCAAAACTGCAACACCATCAGCAAGACTACCATTGTTTTCAGAATGCGGGCTTGTCCGAAGTTGATCGGCCGGCGTGCGTTGGGCGTTATATATACGACAACGTAGAAAAGTGGCGCACGGGTCAGGTAGGTATGGTGCTATGGGTCCAAACGCTGCTTGGGGATGGAGCCAGCTGTTGCCAGCGATGATGGGACGGGGCGAGGCGCACGGGTGACAGGATAGAGGTATCGGGTTGGGAGCGGACGATGCTGAGGGCAATTAAGGCGTCTTTACCGCATTGGAAGAAGTCTTGATGGGTTCGTCGTCGGTGAAGTCTACAGCGTCCACGGCGTCGGAGGGCGGGCCGACGTAGTTCTTGTGGCCCCAGACCAAGTACCACAGACCGGAGATCATGACGACGCCGACAAACACGACGCAGGCGTAGTTCATGGTTTCGAGGTCGACCGGGATGGAAGTGGGCATACAGAACAGAGGGACGGCGAGGAGGGTCCACGCTGTGATATTGAATTAGCGAGTTACGTATGTGGAGGGAGACGGAGGCTACTCACAGAGGGTAACGACATTACAGAACACGCCCAGTGGGCCGAGGTTGAAGTTGCCGTTCTTGACGTCCTTGCGGCGGCGAAGGATGAGAGACACGGCAACGGGGCAAGAGTAACTCAGGGTCAGAAGGATGACACCGACGCCTGAGAACGCGTTGAAGGCGGCGCTGGAACCAAAGTAGATCAGGCCAAGGACGAGCTCAACGACCATTCCAAGCATCATGGCGTTGATCGGGATGTCTAAACGCGGGTTGACGGTCTTCCACAGCGCAGCACCGGGAATGGCGCCGTCACGGGCAAAGGCCCAGGTGCAACGAGAGGTCGCCGTCACGCAGCCCACGCCGCAAATGATGCCCAGAAGAATCAAGGGTAACAGAAGAAGGAAAGCACCAACTTCGCTGCCCGTCGCCGCCAAGAAAGTGGGCGGTACGGGCTGGCCGTCCGAAAGATTGTACAGATAGGTCAAATCAGGGAGCACAAAACAAATGGGAACCAAGGTCGCGAGACCAGCAAAGAGGTTGATGGCGACGGTTCCGACCATGGCCTTGGGGACTTGAACCGCAGGCTCGCGGACTTCCTCGCACATCCTATGCTTCTAGTTAGTATCTCTTCCTCGACACCCAGACGGTATATGTATAAAGGGAAACCCACGAGATAATCATTCCAGTCGCCGATGTGGCATAAGCTGCCTGCAGCAGACCAATACAGAACGACCAACCGTCCGGCCAGCCGGACTGAGGCTCGAAGTGACCAAACACCCATTTCGCTTCGTGTCTTCCTTCTTTGGCAACCACCAAGATCGTAATCATGATTGCCACCAGACCGACCATGGTGAAGAAAATGGCAGCGGTCTAAGTTTTAAGTCAGCAAAACCTCCTTCAAGCAATCCAAGCGACTACCATAAACACATACCTCAAGCAACGGAAGATACTTGTTCAAAAACGCCGGAATGGCGTGGGTCACCACGGTGATGGCCAGGAAGATGAGGTAGGTGTGCCAGACCTGGAAGTTGTCGGCAATCCCCGTGCCATCGGCGTAGTGGAAGACATTCAAGCAGGCAATGAAGAACAGACAGGTGCCGAAATTGACCGCCAAGGTGATGGTGATATTCCCGGTCACATAGGCCCAGCCACAGACCCAGGATGCGACGCGGCGGCACCACGGGGGCGACAAGGCAAATGTCTGGTAGTATACCCCCCCTGCTGTCGGAAAGACGGATGTGATCTCCGCCAGCGATGCGGCAACGCACAGAATAATCAAACACACAAGCACCCAGCCCCAGATGATATTCGCAGGGCCACCTCCGGCCAGAGGATAACCGAACGTGGTGGACAATCCATAGGGAACGGACGACAGGATGAAGCACATGAACACCACGTGCCACGTGGAGCGGTTGCGTGACAGCTCCGGGACATATCCCAGGGTCTCCAGGGTTTGATCGGCCTGGGACTTGTCGCCCAGGGCAGTTTCCGCAGCCATAGAGGACGTCATGCTGGGATGATCGTCGTGACCAGGGGATATAAGAAACTAGCGGTATGGAGGAAACCAACGAGAGACGAAGTTTGGGTGAGTTAGCTCAGCTACTGCAGGGTCCCGCAGAGCATCACAGGTGGAAATAGAAATGAGGATTCTCCAAAAAAGAATTTTGAATAAAATTAAAAAAAAGGATGAAAAGGGAAAAAGAGAGGAGAATGGTGGAAGGAGAGAGGCCGGAGAGGAAAAGAAGCACGAGGGGCATCAGCTGTTAGTCCCTGCAAAAATTTCCGCCTGAGGCTCCACCGGTGCCGGAATCAGGCACGTCCATTGGCCCGTGACCACGAGGGCAAATGGGGAGCCTGAATGCCTCAGTCTGATTCGCCGGAATGCCGCGGCTTGTCACTTGGCTGCCTCTTTGGGTTTAGCGCGGGATGCTGGTCACTGATCGACCTGATGGACGATCCAACGATGTATAGAGGAGCTTTTATATTCGATCTCCGCTCTTACCCACTCGGATCCAGCTGATCATTTGAACAGCGTCGAATTCGTCTTGCTCGGTTGAGTGGGGTTGCATCTATGCATCTATGACTAGCACTGATGGCAGGGCGTTGACCCCATCCAATTCCATGCCTGTCGAATACAGCCATCGAACCCTAAAAACGCCTCCATACGCCTGGGAACGCCGGGTTTGGAATTTCGGAATTGCGTCTGAGATCGTACCACCTCTGGAGAAAATGGCTTTCAACTGACCCAGGGTACATATTTGGCCCATAGGAAGGTTTCCGCGGTGTTCCTTGTGCTCGATTCTGCGATAGCCCAACTGAATTGAATGGGCTTCAAAGTTTGACGCATGCACAATCTACACTGCATGAGGCTCCACGGGTTCGTTCCCACTTGGATAGAACGCCGGTAGACAAGTACTTTGGATGGAAAACAACTGATAGACATTCAAAGATTCCTGAGATCTGTCCGTGACTGTCTGTCTGTGCTGTTGATGACGTGGGTGGGTGTCATGAATCATGACGCCAGTGAAGCATCAGTGGCTGTCAACTCGTCGCCAGGAAAAATATTCCCACTTGGTATCAATTCACTGACTGCAGGTTTCCACCTGGAATAGATGCACACTGCGTGAAGCAGGTGAGATTGCTGTTCGAGATGCTGCATACGTTGTATATATCCATGATCATGTGCTCGTACCACTATTTGCTTTTTCTATCAATCGGTCTTGAGAGTTTCTCAACCTGGTTGGACTTAACGTACTCTTTTGGTATATATAAGGCAAGTTCGTTTTCTCTCAAACCGATTCGAGTTCTATGCTGCAGTACAGATATGGCATGGTTCTAGTACTGTCTTTGGAAGAACTTCGTTCAGCTGCTTTTTCCCCAGTACAGCCACCACGACATGCTCAATGTCACGCCGGAACGAGCCATGCCACGTCAGTGATATAGGTCTTATATCGAATACTATGGCGCTAAACATAGGAGTGGATCTGCATGCTCCGCTGCTCAGTTAACCCTAGCTTATGCTGGACCTCCGTTATGTACCAGTAAGGCGATAGGACTGCACTTGCAATGTACACCGAAAATTTATAAACGACGGCGACATTTGACAGCTGTCTTCACACAAGCTAAGTATCTCGCACTAAGCTATCACAAGGCTTATGGACCGTGCGACCGTAAGTCTCCGAGCCGGCGAGATAACCATCCCGGCTTCAAATCCCTCCGCGTCTTGGCACCACCAAACAGACAGATATAAGCTCCTACAAAGCACCCAAATACCAGTACTAACAGACCACAAAGGCAATTGTCACTGAACCTAGACTCCTCCTTAACCCCCACCCCTTCACCCCAGATGCAACCCCCCCAGAGCATCGCCATAGCAGGCGCCAGCGACGTCTCCAAATACCTCATCGAGGAACTCCTCCTCACCCCCAATCGACCACGTATCACACTCCTCACGCGATCCCTAGCCAACAGACCATGGTTTACCACAAACCCACACATCAGCATCCGCGTAACGGAGTACACCGCACCAGCGCTACAATCTGTCCTCGACGACGTTGAAGCAACCGTTCTTTTCTCTTTCCTCCACTCCAACGACACGGGCGTCTACAACACCGCCCACGAAGCCATGTATCAAGCGTGCAAAGCGAGTCGCACCTGTCGCCGCTTTGTGCCCTCTGATTATGGAGGCGATATTGAGCGCTTTCCGGGGCTGCCAAGGTTCTATGATGCGACGCATCGCGCGTTTCGGGAGAAGGTCCTCGAAGGTGAGAGTGGGGATGATGACCACCGCATGGAGTGGACTGTCGTAAATGGCGGGTGGTTCATGGATTACTTCGCTCAGGGAAGTGCCGTTGATCCCACTGCTCTTGCTTATCGGGAGTTAGACGATAGCCAGGGCAGCGAGGTGGGTACGGTGCCGTCCTTCGACCCGACTAGGGTCCGGTCGTATATGAAACCACTTCCGGGAATCTGGCCGCTTGACCTTGATACCTTTTCGGCGGTTATACCAGGCACTGGGGACGAGCCGATCGGGTGGACGGCTGCGCGGGATGTCGCGAAGGCATTGGTAAGGCTGGTTCAGGCGCCGCGAGGGACATGGGAGAGGCACACGTATGTTGTGGGTGAGATTGGGACGTGGAATCGGGCGGTGGAGACTGTGGAGAGGTTCTTCGGGAGGAGGGTTCAGGTGTCGAGGAACCCAGAGAGTGACATCTTCGCTGCTGTGCAGGATGAGACGCTGGGGCCGGAGAAGCGGGCCATTGCGTTCATGGATGAGTGGAATGTGATGGGTGCTAGTGCGGTGCCTATAGATAGGGTTTTGGCGCAGCGCGAGAAGTTCTTTTCTGATGTGGAGTTTCGAGGTGTTGAGGTTTTTTTGAGGGATGCGTTTCAGGGGAGCCACGAGCGTATGGTCTGATCGTGTAGATGGGGCTTGAATTTAGCATCGATGTGTTTTTCATTAGATAGACCAACTATTCTCATCTGTCACATCATTGAGCCCATATGATCAGTTTGATTCCATTTCATAATATGTCGATCATTCCGTCACTGTCGACCTGGTTGGAGTTGGTATTAGGGCTGGTGCCCTGATTCGTAGCCCTTGCCGGGACTTGCAGTTGCGGTGAAGCTTGCAGAGGATGGCCTGTATCTGAGAACCATGGCTATGACTGCACCCCATGTCGAACATGAATGGCTCCTTTATCACATACATACTAGGGACTGGTTGCTGCAACATTATATTCCATCCTCCCTGGTTAACCGTATAGTAAAGACGTGGCCCTGGACATTGTTGATGGACCGTCCGTGACTGCATAGCACAACAAACATGAGCGTCAGGGCCATGACAATACAAGACCTCAGCTTACACCCCAGCGTCATCAGGCATATTACCAGACACCCAGCCTACCACTCGATCCATCCATGCAGATCAGTATTATTTTAGGCTCCGCAATGGGTCACTATCGGGTAGTGGAGGTGCGGGGATACGCTAAGGATCCGGGGTATCAAACACGGGCGCCATCGAGCATCAGCCCAGATTGGCCGCCACGAGCGGGGTAGAAACTCAGTCTGCAGGCCCAGGAGGCATCCGTTGGATTCCCCATCCAATGACAGGATCCCCCTTTAGCCAGATTCGTACCCTCCTTCATGCGTGACTGCCCCTTTACGAGACAAGCGGTTAGTTACTAGTAACCCTGGCCTGTCGACAGCTCCGGTGGATCTGGGGTAGCGGTTGGCCCACCCCCCGCCCCTCCGTGGAGTATTGGGAATGGACGGATAGTTTGATGGCCGAGAGACGGGAAGATGCTTGGTGGGGCGCTTGTTTTGATATTAGGTGTGTAGATTTGGAAGGGGGAGATGTGGTGTGAACGGCCATGTCAGCACATAATGCGTGTGTGTGTGTGTGTGTGTGTGTGACTGGTGTCGTACAAGTTGGATTACCTGCTGACGCGGACAGGAGGTATGATGTACGTGTGGCCAGATCTCTACCTTGATTCGTTTCTTATTGATTGCTTATCCTTGTTGCTGATTTCATGTATTTCCTTTGATTTCAAGTACGACTTTCTGTACTTGTACTGTACTGCATGACATGTATGAGCTGGCCCTAGTACTTTGGCTCAGCCTATCCCCCTGAGATACGCCCATCCCCTTCCTTCCACCTCATCACCATCAAAACAATCAAATAAATAGAGACCATAAACTCCGCCCCTGAAGACAAAAATATTCCTCAAATCAAATCGAAGCATTCCAGCCAGCGGACTGAATCGTAAACATAAACATAGAAAACAAAAGAAAACCAAGACAGGCCAGTAGCTGTCTAGCAAGTGTGCTTTACGCCAGCTTTATCCCCCCAAACTCCCTTGTATGCTCTATTTCAACCGGCTCATGAATTTCAATGTGAGGTAGACAGCGGCCATGGAAGTGTAGACTCCTCCTACGCCGGAAACCCACACCGGTCTGTGGGCGGTCATGGATGTCCGAACGACGTTTGCTCGCTGCCTTCTGGTTTCTGGATGAAGATGTCAGTTGATATGAAGCACACTATTAGGGAAGAAAATCATACCAGTGTTGAGCACGCGGTTTCGAAACACGTTGAGCTGTTGACGGGAGTACTCGCCCACGGACGAGCCCATGGAGCGGAAACTCTGCATGATAGGCGCAGACATCTTGACGACGATGTGTGGAGTGTAATATCAAGTTTGATAAAGTGTTAAGAAGTAGATACTGATGGAATCAGAGTCTTGAGATGATGACGAAGACCTAATCATCCAGATTCCCCCAGATACAGGTTGACACAACCTTTATATACCAACGTCCTTGTCACCTAGATGCGGGGTAGTCACGAGACAAGGGATGCTAGTATCAATGATACATCGACCAGTCCAGTCCTCACTCCTGGACGGTGGTAAGGTTGCCCGGCCGTCACCTCCGTGGCGATGATTGGATGCGATTCGCGCGCATCGCCCTGTTTAGGTTCTGTTGCAGGGTTGGGCCGGCTCTCCCCTGATGAGACACACGGCGTGATTGGCAGAGGGATGAGGACAACATGATCATCGCAGTTGGTCTGAGAAGCTGGTGGCAATAACAAGGGAAGAGCTATCTATCTGTTGCAGCTGGCTGATGTCATTCTGCTTTTCGTGTGGTGGTGCTGTTGCCCGTAAAAGAGTTTACACGGTCGATCAACCCATGGCTATGTCGACTCTTGACTCTGCGGACGGCGATGGTGAATCCAAAGTACGACGCCTCCTTTTGAAATAAGATTGTCCTGTTTTGTGCGTAATTTACTGATGACGATCCAACCAAGTACTCCATACATGGAGGTGTTCAAATGGCGCATCCTGTGTCTTTTACCGGATATGTGTCGTGCGCATTGGTCTATTCAAGAGATGTACCTGTAGCCGTCCAGTTCCTCAAATTTAGATAAGTCATTATAGTGTTCGGATTGTTATACACATGTAACCAGTCGTTAATTCCGTCATATAACTCCAACAGACCATCCTACCACCTTATCTGATTTACTGATGTGGGTATCAGACATCCTTGGAAACCCCTCTAAGCATTTCACCATCAGCGGTCTCTTGCGTGTATAACTTCTACCCATACATACGTTTTCAAAGTCATTGCCTTCCTTATTTCGAAACAATATCGACTCGCATTGACGATAGCGACCACAAATGATATTAGTGCTCCTACAGAACAGGACAAATTATATAGACAATCAACAATGAAACTTGCACGATATGCAGCCATAAGGATACCCTGCACTGTCAGGGTCAGTAAAAGCATCGAACCGATTGGAGTTACTGACTTTCGTAAACTATGGTGATGTTTATACAGGAATATTAAGTTGCAGCCAATCTAGCTGTTGTCTACAATGTATGGCCAGTAGGGCTATGACAGCAACGCCATAGGGGCTTTGCCAACAAGTCTATAGGGACCAAAGCAGGATCTATTTGTCATAGCTAACAGGCACAGAGCTTCGTGCTTCTATTATCACTACTAGAAATCCAAAGTAATATATAACAGAGCAGCATCAATGAGTGATTGCCATATTGCCAAAGGGCTATTTCCTGGAACACCGCTAAGTTTTTACACAGAAGACATGGCCGCTGAGATATGGATTGAGCACACAATGCGATATATCTAGCCATGATTTAGCAGACAATTTCTATATGCATCTCTAATATCAAGTAACCAGGAGAGAACGAAAAGTAACAAGAGCAATATAACCACCTTATCGATAAGCGATAAGATAGGCTGTTCAATCGGCCAAGCCTGACACGTGATTATCCAGTCACGTGCTCGCTAGTTTTTCACACATCGTATTTAATTGCCGATTTCTTGCATTCTATGCAAAAGACTCAAGGATCTTGATGTTTTGGTATAGGGTCAAGTTGGTGACCGCGATATTTCCCGTAGTAAAATCGCAATAGATAGATAGTCACACGTGATCGCGATCGACGTCGACGCGTGTGGTTGGTGGAAAACCCATATCTTTCTCCGACTGAAGGATGGCCGCTCAATCTAGTGGGAGAACCCACACCAGAATCCTAGGTGCCTCAGACTACGATGAGGCTGCATACTGGGACGAGAAATTCGCAAATAAGAAAGATATCGGGGAATGGTTGAATACGGGAGACGCGATCATAGACGTGGCCCTGTCTAGCCTGGACGGTCGGCAGTTTGACGAAAGCACTGGCCATCCCCGCGTGCTGCATCTCGGTCCGGGCATCTCAAAGTTGGGATCAAGACTTCGCGATGCGTTCGTACAGCGTGGTTTGCAAGGAAATAGCATTGTGGTGGGTAGAATGTTGCTAGCTTCTGTGCCATTGTTGCCCACTAACTGTTGCTTTCTCGAGTAGAACGTCGACTTTTCGGCTGAGGCTGTTCGCCTGGGTCAGGATCTTGAAACAGGTCTTGATCCTACCCGAGCAATGCACTGGCTACAGGCTGACCTGCGATCCTGGGCCGATGTCTCCGAAATCTCCTGCTTCGCTCCCGTCGACATGATACTTGACAAGAGTACGAGCGATGCGATCGCGACGTCCGCACCCGTGGCATTCTCATCTTCTTCTGATGTATCGGATACCTGCGAAGAAATACAAACGCTTGTGACAAAGGGCGGGGCGATTACGTTACTGCCTGTCGAGGTGTTGGCCCTGCATCTTGCACCGCTGGCTCGACCCGGTGCCATTTGGATTGCCCTTTCATTTTCGGCCACTCGGTTTGAGAATCTACCTCGTGCCATGGCACACTGGGCTGTGGTGGCCCGGAAAGCGTTGAAAGCACCGCATGGCCACTCCTCTCCATCGGTGCACACACCTGAGGTGTTCCACTGGCTTTATATCTTGAAGCGCAAGTAGCAACACTGTTGGAATTGGCATCTTTGCACTTGACTTGATTGTCCAGTGTTTGAGGGAGTCAGCCCCTCTTGTCAGGCTTTGTTCGGGATGATTGTTTGAAATACCAGATCCCGTCCTAAGTCTGTTACCGCATTGGAGGGGTCGTACGCAATCCCACCATAGGCTACTTGTGTATATCGCGATAGCCTACATCATTTGAATTTCGAAAACATGACAGAATACATGGTATTTGCCTAAACAACTGAAGTATCTTGAATCCGCTTAACTGTTACTGGATTTCAGCTCCTTTAGCTCGTCGGGCCCAAGCAATCCCAGCCCTTCCCTTCGGGTGGGCGCACTAGGATCAAAGAAAGGCTTCTCGGCCAACGCTGTAACCCTAGTCCCATGTCTGGGCTCACTACCTTCATAATCCCAACTTGCGTTGTGGATGGTGATCCTGTAAGGGTGTCAGTGGGAATGCTCCGCGAATAAAAAGGGATCAATAGAGACCGACCTATTATCCCAAAGGGCACTCGTTCCTGGCGACCACTTGAATCGCACCTGAATATCCACGTTTTTCTCGTACACATCGCAGAGGTATCCCAGTATGACATCGCTCTCCGCCTTGTCAAGACCGACAATTCTATCGGTCATGGCTCTATTTACCCACAAGGCTTTCCATCCCGTGCCAGGGTGAACACGGACAAGGGGGTGCTCGCGCTCCACATGTCTAGGGCCCCGCTCAGGGTGGTCACGATCGAGATATGGATGCGCAGAGCGATAAATTGCCGTCTTTCCATCGATTATCTTGCGAAAGGCTGGCGAGAGCTTCTCGTAGGCGGCGTACCCACTTGCCCAAAGGGTGTCTCCCCCAGTGTTTGGCACCGTGTCGTTGTGGAGATGGGTAACCCCAGCTGGCTGGCGCTCGTGCACTAGGTCTGTATGCCAGCGGGACGATCCTCCTGGACGACGGAAATTGGCAGGCATTTCCGTCGCCTGAAGCTCAGGCCAAATAACGGTGACTCCAGTGACACCAGGCACCTGGGGTACTTGAGGCTATAGTAGCTCAGCACGCGTACCGATGAGAGGGAAAGAAAACCGTACATGAACTTCAATTTCTCCGAACCATTCGCCGAGCTCCTTCTGTTGTTGTGGTGTGATATCCTGGTCACGGAAGAACACAACACTGCGCTCGGCAATAAGCAAACCAAGCTCATCGCGTTGCTTGTCATTCAAATCCTTCAGTTGAAGACCGATTATCTCTGTCCCGATATGCTTTGTGAGATCGACTACTTTCTCCGCAGCCGAAAATAAAGCCTTCTTCTGAGGGTCGGCACGAGTTGCTGGGTCTACGTAAGGACGATCGTAGTCCCTGATGCTGTAAACATCGTCCAAGTAAAGAGGCCGGGATGGTCGATACGGGTATCCTTCTGAGAGATCTATCCCGGCCTTCTCGAGCCGTTTGCGAGTTGGTGCTGGGAGACCCAAGGTATCTTTCCTGGGCTCTGCAACATCGACGAACCGGGGGTCGATTGGAGCTGGCGCCATATTCTTCTTTTTTTATTTGATTCTGAAATTAAGAAAGTCCTGGGATAATGAGCTCCACTGCGTGGGACTAGACGACGTGGCAGTTATCGCAAGGCTAAGTGATCTTATATCGCCCATTCCATCTCTATAAGTACTTGGTGATCGATAGTAATAGTATCCATGGCACACCCCCGCTTCCAGGTCATGGATCAATCACATCATCACAACACCGCATGGCGCATTGAATCTTCATCCACTGTACTCACTATTTTTCCATACCTTCCCCTCATTACCTCTTATCTACATGCATACCATATGACTCAAGGCCTGTCATGAGGAATGCTGCTATATCATCATGCAGGGATTTGATGGCGCATCGCGATGCGATTTATAATGGACGGCCAAATCAGGAGTACAAGCAGGGTTTCTGACAGTAGTCTTCATTCTAGACTTCGAGTTTTCAAACTTACGAGATAACCGCGAACTTGCTGAGAGGCCTGAGTATGCTGCCCCAAAGTCAGCTAACACGCTAGTGCCAATTACACCACCGCCATGCAACATAACGCAAGCTGTGTAGTGGCGCAATTCTCATAATACTAATGACTTCCAACATGTGTGTAGATGTTAAAACGTGAGCTTGGGTTTGGAATTATAAGGTTTTCAAACAGCAAAGAACAATCACCCCATGACTCGTCATCAAATCCGCCGTGTTGCCGTGATAGGCGCAGGAATCAGTGGGGTCGTTACGGCCGCGCATCTACTCTCAGCAGGTTTAGAGGTCACTGTGTTTGAACGAAACCAAGCTGCGGGTGGTGTTTGGTATGTGCCTCATCTCCTATGATAGAATCGCTACTGATTGCCATGGCAGGCTATACGATAAACGCAAGCCGCACGACCCTCACTATCCTGCCGTCAAGCCATCAAAGGGCGAACAGACAGTGCATGGGACCGACGAGGCCGCAGTCTTGCTTGAACACGCGCCGCCAGGGTAAGGATATTTGATCGGCTCTCGGGTTCCGAGTTAACTGAAGCAGTGCGTGCTATGAGGGATTGAAGAACAATGTTCCAACCCCGTTGCTGCGCCTCACGTTTAACGCGTGGCCTCCAGGCACTCCCGACTTTGTCAGCCATCAGGTCATCAAAGAATACATTCAAGACACCGCGGAAACGGGTGGCTCGGAGGAAGTCACTATCTATGGGGCGAAGGTGACCCGTGTCTGCAAAGTCGGGCCTGTCTGGCGTGTCTCTTGGGTTACCCGACGTGGTGCGGCACGGGACGCGGGGAGCGAGCGAGAGAAGACATCTGTAAGATCTGCTCTGTGATCTACGTGAATCTATTCTGACGCGAGAGTCAGTATTTCGAGGCGGTGATAGTTGCTTCGGGCCACTATCATGCTCCCCGCGTGCCTGATATACCTGGGCTAGCTACCACCAAAGCGACCCATCCATCTCGGATCACACACTCGAAAGAATATAGGACGCCCAGGGATTACAAAAACAAGGTACGTTCTAAACGCTATTTCTATGCGTTGAAAGGTTAGCTGATCATGGAAATAGACCGTTCTTCTAATAGGCGGAGGCGTCTCCTCTGTCGATATAGCCCGCGAGCTCGGCTCCGTAGCGAAAACAGTCTACCAAAGCACCCGCAACGGGAAATTCGACCCCCCATCTAGCATACTACCTCGAAACGCATCTAGAGTTAGTGAGGTAGTGGGGCTCGACAGTAGCTCAAACGACGATGTCTCTCCTCTAATAGCACATTTGCAAGCAGGACAGACATTGCGTGACATCGACGCTATAATATTTTGCACAGGATACCACATGACCGTGCCGTTTCTTCCCGAATACCACAATGATAATATATCGGCAGACGAGGCAGACGAGAAGGTTCTGGTCACAGACGGGAATCAGGTACATAACCTGCACAAAGACATTTTCTACATCCAGGACCCCACGCTAGCCTTTGTTGGGATTCCTTATTATACAGCGACATTCACGTTATTTGAGTTTCAGGCTATGGCAGTTGCAGCTGTATATTCTGGCATCGCAAGTCTTCCAACCACAAGGACCATGCGTACGGAATACCTAGCAAAGTTGAAGCGGCTGGGCGCTGGGAAGCAATTTCACTCGCTGAAAGATGTTGAGGACGTCTACGTCAGAGAACTTGTGGAGTGGGTGAACAATGGTCGATCTGCTTTCCGTCTTCCCCTGATCCAAGGGCATACAAGGCATTGGTTCCAGGCACAGAAAGCATATAAGGAGCATGTAAAGATACTGCAAGGCAAATCATAGAATCGCCCTGTTAAAGAATGAAAGATAGTGGTCATATGGCGCAAAGCCTAGGATATGTTTATAAGCTGAATATGGCACATTGCTCGCATATAGTGGTTTCCAGTAGCACAATATACCGTAGTAATGACGTTTTGTGCACCATAGCAAGTAAAGTTATAATTTGAGAATCGCTAGCTATGGTCGCGAGGCACATCATGCAGGATCTATATGGCGAGATATTATGGCGGAATGGTGTCTTGTAGAGCCACTAACCTAGCGCTCTAACGGCACAAAAGCACCAAGAGGCCGGACCACGATGGCTATCAACAAGATTGACGGCTTGCAGAGTTCAAATTGCGCAAGCTCCACTATAATGAGGAATATTGGTCTGGGGTGGAGGTGGGGAGGAAGCAAGGGAGAGAGCCTGGACTATCGACCATTACTTCACTCAGATTCACGGCTATTTGAGTTGTAAATATTATGTAGATATTCCACACTTTTCTTTTGCAAATGCGAAACTACTTGTATGACAACGACTATGGCACCCACTGTAGCAAATGTTAACGAGCGTGCCATTGAGCCGTCCCCCGGGGCCATTCAGGGAGCGCCAAAGCGGAGATGGGTCAGCTATATTTGGGATACTTTTGATAAGTCGCCAGAAGAGCGACGACTGCTGTTTAAATTGGACACGGCGATTCTAACATTTGCATCACTGGGTAGCTATTTTATCTTCGTGAGCTAGAAAGACTTTCTCTTTGCTGACGCCAGCAGGTTATTTCATCAAATACCTTGACCAGGTCAATATCAACAATGCATTCGTTTCGGGAATGTAAGTATACCTCGGATAAAATAGCACAACACTGTGTACGCTCTAATGTCAAATAGGAAAGAAGATCTGGGACTATACGGGAATGAGCTGAACTACATGCAAGCATGCTGGACGGTGGGATATGTCATTGGAGAAATTCCCAGCAATTTGCTTTTGACGCGAATTCGACCACGGTATTGGATTCCCGCCATGGAGGTATGTCTCTTCTTGCTTATCCAACGAAACCCAATACTGAGAAGCCCTAGTTGCTGTGGACGGTGCTCACGTTCTCGCTCTCGCGATGCAACACGGCCACTCAATTTTACGTTTTGCGATTCTTCGTTGGTATGCTTCGCTCAATATCAACTCTGGGTTATGAAAGCAATTAACAGAGATAGGTCTCGCCGAAAGCACATTCTACCCCGGGATGCAATACATAATTGGCTCCTGGTATCGCAAGGACGAACTAGCGAAACGCTCGTGCATATTCCACACGAGTAGCGGCATTGCAGCCATGTTTTCAGGATATCTCATGGCCGCAGTGTACAACCTAGAAGGGCGCGGTGGGTTTCGAGGCTGGCAGTGGGAAGTGCATTCGATTTCATTCTTACAGGATCGGGCATACTAACATGTTTCTGCAGGCTTTTCGTGGTTGACGGCATCATTTCTTTGCCAATAGCACTCAGTGGATTCTTTATCCTCCCTGACGTGCCGGAGATCTCGAGTCCGTGGTATCTTAGCGAGCGGGTACGTTGGTTCTAGTGCCAGCTATATTGGAATGTCAACTAATGAGAGGGATAGGAAGTTGAGCTTGCCCAGAAACGAATGGAGCTTGAAGGCCGAAAAAATCGTCAACCTTTCACAAAGAAAAAGTTCAAGAAGATATTCTCCTCGTGGCATATTTATCTTTTGACTATAGCGTATATGTGAGTTACGCTCATATGCATATATCATAAATAACGTGGGGTATTAACTAAAACAGAGCATTCAACAATTCAGGCACCGGAAGCCAGCCAGTCTTTCAGCAGTAAGTTTGTGAAATACAAATGTGTTAGAAGACAGGGTTTAAACAACGGGCCCAGATACCTCAAATCGTCGAAGGACCCAAAATACACCATCGCCCAAATCAACGCCTACCCAACCACTACCAACGCTGTTCAGGTGGTCACAACGCTCATATACGCCTGTATGCTCCATCGTATTCCCCATACGTCGACAGAAAACATACTAAGCGTGCTATGAAAGGGACCTCTGACTCCGTCCTTAACGGAAAACGCTGGCCTCCGATAATATTCGGCGCAGTAGGGATCCCCTTTTGTTCGATTATTATCGCAAACTCAAACCTAGAGCTAATCAAGAGCAGAGTATAAACATAATATGCTACGTGTCTCTCGCTGTGTGGGATATCCCCGAAGGTTGGCGCTGGGCGTGCTATATCCTCTGCGGGGCGGGTTCCGGTATCAGCGGGCTGCTCATGGCGTGAGTGACTCCAGTTTCTCTGTCACTGATAGACAATTATCACCCTCTTTATAATGATGTGTGAGCTAATAACGGTTTGAATAGATGGGCTCAGGAAATATGCTCCGAAGACAATGAAGAACGCGCCCTCGTCATTGGCTCCATGAATGAAATGGCCTACGTGTTCCAAGCCTGGCTACCGCAGGTAGTGTGGCAACAGGTAGATGCACCGCAGTACCAGAAGGGATTTATCACAGTCGCCATATTGTCTGTTATTTTAATTGCCACTACTTGTGGAATCTTTTCCATCCAGAACTCGGAGGGTAGGAGTCATAGGTATGTCAAGATTACTCTGAAAGCTAGCGGTGATACTGATATGTTGGCAATTGTTTGCAGACCGGACAGAAAAGATAGTGAAGATCCAACTGAGACAGAACAAAGTACTGATGGCACAGTGTGAGGACATTCACACATGCAATTTTTTGGAATTTGAAGGCCATAACGTATTTGATACTACCCGAAAATTGAAAGTGGCAACGATTTTGCTTCTGATAATAAGTTCCTGCGGCGCTGTAACAGCTTAGAAAAACCGACACTTATATGTAAATATTCAGGGAATTACTAGATATCATAGCAGTGATGCATGGGATTGTGAGAGACAGAAGGTATCTGCTTATATGATATTGGATATACCCTGGTTTCAGTCCCCTGTCACCATGGAAGTGAATACAGCAAACAATCTAGACATTGCATGAAGCAATCACTTTAGGGCTACTGGCCCAGTGATGCCTGGAAGCCAGATCAGGAAAGTCACACAAAGGATATTGCTGCCTGGTATTTGAGCACGTGATGCTGTTTTCTATGAAGTTATTTATATCGCTGTTTTTCCCCTGCAATCCTCTATTTCTTCTTGTATCGCCATCAGTTGTATGCTTGTCTGCTCGTCTTGGTGGGGGTACACTGAGCTTTTATCAAGTCAACCAAGTAGGCTACTCTCTCCATCCTCATTACTCTTCTTTCGGCCAATACTATTATTAGAGCTAGCTAACCACAAATTGAAAAGACTACAAGATCTTTCACAACCATTTGAGCAGTGATCTTAGTATCTCACCTTCCCAAATCAACCTCCAACATGGATACCGAAAGCGTAAGTCGGAGCTTTCAGGGTGTAGCAGATCTCGACTCACCCTCTCAGGAACGTGCACATGCTGCGAAGCAAATCGAAACTATATACAAATACGTGACTCGGTGGATGACAAAGGTAAACAATGGATGATCAGTAGCACTGAAGAACTTTCTGCTAACTCCGGATGAATGGACAGGAATGTAAAGTTGACGCCTGTGTTGACTGTTTCCTGCGACGCCTATGTGAAATACGAAAGCCGGTCCCCGGCTTCCAGGGGCCCGACCTCCCAGATTTCAACTCATTCGAGGGCGAAGAGGCGCAAAAGTTGGAGGTGATGGTTCAGGAGCTGCGCACTAACTTCAACAACTTACATATTCACTATCCAGAGCAGGAAGGTAATCTTTTGGCCAATGGGAGGGTCTTGAGACATCTGAAAGGCAGATGGAAGGTCCTGTTGCAGCATATGTCAATGCTATCAAGAACCACACCACCCGAGAAGAAAGACAAAGAATTTATTCAGACCATGCAAGATGTGCTCTTGTCGAGTCGGATCCGACAGCTGGATAATTATCTCCAGACAGACAAACCTGAATCGTCTTCCTTGCAAGGAGGTTCATTGGAAGAGACATGCCGCCAGTTACGGGACTCATTCCAGGGGGAAGCGGCTTCGACATCTTTCGTATGTGGAGGCGAGATACAAATTGGCACTTCCACGTCGCTCTCTGCGTCCCCGCCAGTGCAGATAGTATGGTGGGCTAGGGAGCAGCCGATGGGAGACCGACGACTCATCCTCCCCCTTGATGATGCTACCCCTGAGAGAAGTCCCGAGAGGCTTCGACGTCTTGTCGCAGACTGTGAGCCTGCATCATTTGGTAGAGGGCAGGAAGATGTTCTCGAACCTGCGTATCGCAATGCAGGAAAGCTTGATCCCACACAGTTTCTCACAAATTTCCATCCCGCTGACTTTGGCATCATCGAGAGTGTGGAGAAGGTCCTCCTCCCCAACGTTGGCATCAATGTCAAGGACTTGGTGCACTGTCGTAAGCTCACATGGGAGCTTTACAAGTTGAATGTATTACCCTGCCTTTCCTCTATACCCTTGTTTATGTTGCTAATGCTAGTGCCTTCAAGGTCTATTCTGGCCCATCGGGAATCTTTCAGAAACACGTCGACACACCCCGTGCGGAAAATCAAATTGCATCCCTTGTCGTTTGTCTCCCATCTTCGTTCAAGGGTGGGCAATTGTCTGTCCAGCATAACAACCGAGAAGTCGACTTCGATTGGAGCTCCCGGAGTTCCTCTTCCATTCAGTGGGCGGCTTTCTACACTGACTGCGAGCACGAGATCAAGCAGATCACCGAGGGAGAGCGCATAACATTGACATACAATCTTTATGCGACCGAAGCATCTAGAGATGGTAATGCATCACCAAATAACAATGTGATCAGTCCAGAAACACTGGCACCGTATAGATTTCTACGAAGTCTCGTCCAACAACCCGATTTTATGAAAGAAGGTACCATGCAACAACAGGTAATCACATCATAACTCGAAAAAAGCTGACGATTGCGTTACAGGCGGAGTTATAGGTTTCTACTGTTCCCATGCCTATCCACACACATCAGCAGTCGCCAAGACACAGTTACCCAGTGCCCTGAAAGGCTCTGACATTATCCTGTACTCCATCTTCAGATCTCTCGGGATGGACGTGGATGTTCTGCCTATTCTCGACATTGACCCCATTCACGAGTCCCGGTATTATGATGCCTTGATAGATACAGTCAAAAAACGCAAAAACCTGCCGTTGTTTGAAGACATCCCTCTCCCTATGTCCGAAGAGGAGTACCAAGACGTCGCGCGACAGTGGAAAGTACTACTTGTATCTCGTCGAGTCAAGGGGATGGACCGTCTAGGGCATTACGCCCGAGCCTGTGGTTATCCTCTCCGCGAGGGGGATCCGTACGCGGCGGTCAGGGAAATAATCGGCACGGGGCGCCATCCCTATCGCGCCACAAGTCTCTCGCAGGAGTACGGCATGACCATGGTTTGTCTATCTCAGTATTCTTTCCACTATAACTTGATAGCTAACAGAGTACAATAAGGAAAATGTCATGTCCGACTGGTCCTCCAACTACGTAGCAGGTGTTACTTGGGTCAATGAGCCCGCTCATCGCGAAATGGCGCTCAGCTACATCGCGTATGGGAACGAGGCTTCTATTGATACAATGTACTCATCTGCTGCTATCTTGGCGATCATTCCACCCTACGAAGAGCGTCAGGCTTTGTTGTCGGAACGGGCGTAGGCTTCCATTGGGACCATGTACTCGCCTACTGCCATCTTGGTAGTCATTCCACCTTTCGAAGGGCACCATGGTTTGGTATCGAAACGGGCGTAAGGAGTTATTGATGTTTCATGGTTTGTTACAGGATTGCCAGAAGGATTTTCATAATAGTCATAGGAATCAAATGTTTGGATTGCCATTTTCCACAGTAGATATATACACGTTCTAGACTCCGGAAAGTAAGTCTAACTAGTAGAAGTGCCTTGTTTTACCACGCCCTGACTGCTTGTTTACAGGAGGAGAGCGGTACACTTCACCTGATACCAAGCAAAGTTTGAAAAAGCGTATTGCAGATATACACCTACTTCTCGAACCCCACATTTACCCCTAGTCAATCAATCTAGAGAATTTCATCAAGCATGTCGAGTCCCGTAAACTTCGTCGCACAATATATACTATACTCCCATACTAACACCCTATATAACCAACTCCTCCTTCCGTCGCCGGAAAGCAACTTTCGCCCTCGGATCCGAATTGAGTGAGATGCCATTCTTCATCGGCATCACCTTACATCCCTCAGCGAGCTTAAACTCATACTTCAGAAGGATATGGCACAGCGCGATCTTAACCTCATTGATAGCGAAGAACCGACCGGGGCAAGCGTGCTTGCCATATCCGAACGCCATGTGGTCCGGGGACGGAGACACGCACTGGGCGGAGGTCTCGTGGCCGGGGACTTCGCGCAGGCGCAGGAATCGGTAGGGGTCGTAGGTCTCGGCGTTGGGGTATACGCTCTCGTCCCACATGCTGTTGGTGGAGACGAGGATGTGTGAGCCTTTGGGGAGGACGGTTCCGTCGGAGAGAGTGACTTTCTCTTGGACAAGACGGCGCATGGAGGCTGTTTTATTCGCGTTAGGGTTAAGTTATGGGATTCCGGGGTGGGACTAGGTCATTTTACCAATAGCGATGGGCTTCACCCGCTGGGTTTCCTTCAGCACGCTGTCCATGAGTCGAAGCTTGTACAGAGTCGCCTTCTTCCATCCCTCTTCCTGAATCACTTTGATGACTTCGTCGCGCATCTCGTTAACCAGGTCATCCTTGCCGGCGATGTCGAAAAGGACTTGAGTGAGCAGGTCGGACGTGGTGTGAATGGCAGCGACGGAGAACGAGATCTGCGCGAGAGTCGGGTTGTAGGGACGGCCCTTGGCGGATTCTTCCATCCACTGCATGGCGTCGACGTAGCGTTCAGGCTCCCGGCCTTCCTTGAGGGCGGCTTCTTTGGCGGCGCGACGTTCTTCGATGACTGGCGTGATGATATCCTTGGCTTCCTTGAGCTGCTCCCGGATTTTACGGCAAGACGGGAGGAACCAGTTCGCGAAACGTCGAAGGGGCTTGGGCCACATACGGAGGTCCTGGGCGGCGAGGAACGAGTTGACCGTGTAGGTGACCGTGATGCGGAGCCAGGCGGGATCGCGACAGATCCTGTCGCCTAGGAAGACTTTGGAGGAGAGCTGGGCCACAATTCGCAGGATAGTGCCCTTCAGGTTGACTTCGTGCCAGTCTGGGACGTTCAATTAATTGACAGATCGTCTACCGCAAGGACGGACGGAACAAACCAGGGCTGTCGGTCAAGACGGTACTAAGAGCAAGCGCCGTCTCCGACGAAAGTGGCTCCGTGACATTGCCTACATGAATGTTAGCCGTGGATGATCATCGAAATGCACAACATTCGACTACTCACCGAGACTCTGCGTCAGTTTCGTCCGAATAGCATCCTGCAGAATCGATTCGACGGAAGTTCCCTCGGCAAAGGGCTCGAAACCCGGGAGTGTCGAGTGGAATTCTTCAGCTACGCTCAAACCGAAGTTCAGCGCATGGTGGCTGCGAAGTTCAGGGGCGTATTTTGGCGACAGAACTGTCTTTTCACCGTTCTCGGTGATGATGCGGAATGCGCTGGCCTAGTTGACACGTCTTAGTTTACTCTTCACTGTCACAGGCATCTCAAATGCCCTTCATGCCAGTCGGCTTCCTGTACGTCGGCGTCGCGCCTTCAACTATTCACGTACCTTCGCCAGTCCCGCCTGGATCAGATTCTGTGCATTTTGCACAAAACGCCTTTTCGCATTGGTACTTTGGAATTCGAAGCGTTTCTTCCCATTGACGAGGGGAAGTCGCGAACCGTACGACGGTGCCAGCAACAAAACCAAGGTGGACAGGAGCAGCACTCCCGCCAACCCATAGGGTCCCAGACCTGTCGCGTAGGGTTCGAGCTCACGAAGCATGGTGATCGGCTGTCAGTCGGTGATAGCTACCCCAACGCGAGATTTACGGAAAACGTGGGGCAGGGAAAGGACGGTCCTTTATATTGCGTCGGCTCCCCTTATCACAGTCGGTAATAAAGTTCTGCTCGGCAGGAATCGCATTTTCTCCACCACGCGACGCAAATTAAACACCAGGTTTGTAACCGGGGTGCACGGATACTGTCTTCCGCGGGCATAATTTAAACGAGATTTTTTTTATGCCAGGTGTGCCTTGGTTAATGTTGGGCGTTGGACTCCCCTTCCCTCGACGGGTGGAGCACGGGTTGATTCATCGCTTGGGACTCTCCACCAACCATACCGTGCGTCAATGAAAGCGATCTGCACGCGAGGTGCCGCTTGAATCCAGGATAGGCTTAGAGCTGTGGAAGCGCTGATTCATGTCCCCGCAAGTCAACCTCTCACCGGTACCGCCCGTCTCCCCTATTGCCCGATGGAGTTATTTGCAGGGTCGCTTGGCTGCCACAATTTACCGAGTAGAACGGCAAGACGGAACAGCCACGCCCGGACTCTGTCATCTGGCCACGGCCACCGGGGACGGATGTTTTGGGCTGTTGTCTCGCCATCAGGCCGTAGACTATGGTCTATGGTAATGCATCCTTGCGAAATAGTAAAAAGGCCAAGTATAATGCTTATTACCCTCCCCGTCAAGGATCTGTATCCGCATGATTACGACGCACGCATCTCTAAGCGAAGGCATCTACCCCTGTGCATTCCATTCCGGTGCTAAACTCTATCGCAACGTCTCCACCCTTGCTGACAGGGTTTACGCAGCTGCAAATGTGCTGCATTATCATAGTTATGCAGAATTTCTAATATAAAGAAGAGCCGGACTACCGGGAGTGGTTGCAGTGCTTCGCAAAACACACCACTCGGCGAGAACACGGAAATTACTTTAGCAGAGGATGATGATCAGAGGTTCATCCCAGCTCACAAGCCACACTGTCACCTTATGGGCACGGGCGTTTTACAATCGAAGATCAGACACGAGCGTTGACAAGATCTGCTGCGGAGAAATGCGATCGGACCATTCCGAACCGAGGCTGACAGTATTCTGCAGATAGGGCAAGAAGACCACGTGAATTGGGTTGTTCATAGCTAACGCGCCCAATACCATGGTCCATATGGTCCATCTATTCGGATTTTGTGTATGCTGTTCTATGTAGACTTCCGCTGCTGCCTGATATAGAGACCGTATGGACTTGGAGCGTGTATTAAGAAGCACGGTCTCGTCAGTCCATTTCCTCCGGTCGCGTACTTGAAGCGAGAATAGACTGGCGTTTCCAAATGTCAGACACATTAGTGATGATGCATCGGACATAGGTCGCGACCGGGAGTTCGCTGTGCGAATTGGACAGTCTCCGATCGAGCAAGATGTTGAACATGACCATTGTTAGATGCCGGGATAGCTTCACATGATGCCGACATAGTACAGCAGCATCATCAAACGATCATTCAAGACATGATTCGAACACTCGGAAGCTCCAAATACTCCATCCGCAGCTCCAGCTTCCGGAATCCTACATCAATCGCCATTGGACTGGGAACACAGTGACTGCGATACATCATTGACCCAATCCGATACACGCTTGTCTACACCTACACCTACAGCATATTTCGATCAATCCTCGCGCGTCTGACATCCCTTTCAGACCATGACGTAAAATAGAAACTCCATACAATGCCCATTCTATGGCATTGTGGGTCCTTTTCTGTGGTGGCGTGGGAGTTTGACAGATCTGGTGTAACATTCCCCGGTCTTACTAGACCGATTTGCAACATGTTTGGGTGGGACACCAATAGCGAAGCTTTCTGCATCTGCAAATGACTGATTGATTGTCAGCTTTGCATGCTGGCATATAATGTTGAGTATATTCTGAGAGTACGATTTTGCTAGAAATCACGTCCGATGAAAGAGGATTTCCATATATAAAAATACCATTCGCCGCACAATGACAACAGTAATAACAGATCAAGCCATTCTACCTAGCATTATCCGTTTCTTCACAGCCTCCACCCAATCGAGTATACATCGAGCATCATACGTACGAACAAACACGATATGAGAATTACCACCCCCAAAATCGGCGACAAAATCAACCTCAAGGAAGACTGGAAAGTCTGCTGGGAAGATGTGCAACCGTGCGTTGCCCATCACGTATCACCTTCAGCCGCCAAAAGCTAACGACAATCCATCTACAGATCCGACGGCCACGAGATAAGCCTCTGGCTAACCCACTACACTACAGACCCCGCGCAACACACCCTCCTGGACTTGGGCGTGGACCCTACCCAGCAGAGCTGCGTGACTATTCCTGGAAAGCACAGACATGGAATTGATGGCGGGTATGTTCATGCTAATTCTATACCGCGTGCGACAATAAAGACAGAAATGGCTAACTGAGAATGGCGGTTTCCAGAGATGATTATAGAGTCTGGGCGACCAGGCCTGATCTCAAATCGTGGCCGCCGAGTATTCTCGCCGAGTCGGCTAACTTCCATGTTGATAACCCTGTGAAAAGGGAACACTGACTTCGGATCTGCGAAGGAGCCTGTGCTTAGCTAGCTTGGGGGGGGGGGGGGGGGGGGTAGGAAACTAGGGAAGTGTTTCTCTATGCCTGTGAAGCTCATGCGCACGTATGTGATTGTAGGCCAGGTCACAGCGTATAACTTGGGTCCGATATACGTAGTGAAATATCTGGCATGGAACGCGCAGCAACTCTTTCCTTATTGGCGTTGTCGGTATATAAGTTGGAATCTCTGGTAAATACGGTGCTTCGTGGTACATTATTGCGCATATCGGCGTCTCAAACGGTGTAGTAGTAAGTGAGATGTGTTTTGTGTAGGAAGTGAGCGACTGGAATATCATGCAACATATTCAGGTCACTCGAGCGACAATACACACTTCCTCAGACCTAAAAACAGGGGGGAGAAAGGTCAAGCACGGATTATGTAGATTGTCGTTATTCAGTATGTGGTCCTCAGGCAATGAATACCACCGCTATGAAGGACATATATTCCTCAGAAGAAGAGCCAAACGACCCCGTAAGCTCCTGGCAAGGGTCGCTGCGACGACCCGACTCTGAGGAAACAGTCTCGCAGCTACAAGAGAAACGCCAATGCAAACAGTGGCTGCACTCGCAAATGCAGAGAAGAGGCCCAAATACGACAGAAATTCTATACCCGGTCGCTTGAATATGTAACTCTTTTGCTCCCCAGGACGCGTCAGACGGTTCAAAGCCGGCACGTATTTGAATTCGAATAGCGTTTGCTTTCCAAGGCCGGTACCTTCGGCGAGAAGATGATTCCAGGCTACCTTACGTCGGGTCTGTGAACGCAGGGGAAATGGTCAGAATAGTATGTTCCGTGGGATTGGTGAAGCAAAAATAAAAAGGAAGGGATGCCCACCTCAATCAAAAACCGGTCAATGAAAGGCACCTTGGTAACCGTCTTGGCTTGCGTCTTGACCCAAAAGCAGTATCCCCACATAAGGAGGCGGTAATACCAATTTGTGCGAGGGACGTGAAGCTCATCGGCGAGTCGGTCCCCGTTGAATAGCCTGGTCAAGGCATCGATGTATCCCTTGGAAGCGTACAGGGGCGCCGTGTTTTCCAGCCCTAGGGCAATGTTTCTCGCCAGAACGCGCCCCGTATCTGCGGGGGCAAACTCGTGGATAATCATCGATTCGGACACAATCTTTCCCCTGGCGGCTGTTTCAAAGAATCCTGTCGGCGCGCCCATGTAGTGCCCTACTAGACGCCACAGCGCGATGTAGTCCTCGATCTCCTGATCGCTTAGGTGAATCCCTTGACGAGGCAGGCCCAGCCAGACCACTGTGCCGCTGAAGGTATTGATCGTGGCAAAGGAGTCCAAGTCGTTAATGGGAAGACCAAACTTCTCGACGTCGTAGTAGCTTGGGTCTTCCTTGACGAGGCTCATGATCCGGCGCCGAACGGCGGAGTGCAGCAGTCGCACTCGGACGGAGGCTATCTGTCCTTCGCCCCCGGGGTTCATCCCGTCTGTTAGACGGTGCACTTGAAGCGTGTGCTGGGCTGTCTCCAGCAATCGACGTCGCACGACGTGTAAGCTAAACCCGCCAGTTCGGGATAGAGTCTCTCCTACGCGGATTGCTCCCCTGAATATTTGTCAGGATAAACATCATCGCATAGTTTCCGGTGCAGTATACATACATGCCACCTAGTAGACTCTGGAATGATAGCTAACAGCGATTCCACTATCAGTCCAGTCCTATTCACAGCTCAGAGGATACATACCACGTTCGTGATCGGTACGAGATGCCGCCAGAATATGTCCTGACCCCGGTGGATCTGGTCCCAATCTACCCATTCCGGAACCGTGTTGATCTGCGTCCAGAGCTCATCGAGCGCTGGATGGCTCTCGTGGTGGTCTCGCAACAGCGCATATCGGTCTGCCCTCAAGGGTGTGCCACTGTCATCAGAGTCCGCGATGATCTTATCCAACACCTCGCTGCACTCATCCGCGAGAGTGTCACAGGTCCGAGTCAACGGTTCGAATTCACTGTGTGGAAGATGCTCATCGGTCCACTCAAATTGATAGTCCCAAAAATCATATATAATTCGATTTCTGGTGGTGTTCTTCGTGTTTGTCATTTTGTTCCAATTGGGCGGATTAGTTGTACTGCCGCGAGCGGGGCATTAGAATACTAAGGGGTTGTCTGGTTCACATACGGGAGCCTGGAGCCTGAGAACAGCAGATATACATCCTTTTGATATCTCCATGATACCGCTTCAGACCCGCGGACCGGGATCCGTTGGCAGGAGGAGTTCCTTCAAGTTCCCCATGAATGAGGGCTCGACGGGATCGGTGAATCCGTCGAACCGAGTGGTTTGCATGTGAAATGCGGACTTTACTAGCCTTATACCCGACGGGCCGTTCTTGGCGGATGGTGGATATGATGTCTTTCAGGAGGTTATCCAGGGATGTTCAAGCAGCATGAAAGACCGAGAAGCCATCAATGGATGATTTGTCCTGGGGTCTCAAAGAGTGGGTGGTGAAAAAGACCCAATATACAGTGGGCCTATATACAGTGCGACCGCGACTCATGATACTTGAGCTAATTTAATTGAAAACAAGCCCTATCAAGATATGGCTATCGGGCTGCGTGAGGTCACAGTCTCAAAAACATGACTGTAAAGACACACACAAATTATCTAAATACGGTCTCTCAAGTTAGAAGCTCGATAGACAAGAGAAATTGCCAGAAACTCAAAGGGTTGTCTGTCACTTTATCAGCATCTGGCTGATTTTGACGCTATTCCCACCTAGATTAGCTCTGTTGAGAGACGATCCCATTGGATGTCAAGCGGTGCAGTCCCCACACCTGCCCCAGAGCACAATGCAGAGCCTGTCTTTTGACTAGCAAGACAATGAATATCACACGCATACAACCGTTCATTTCCAGCGCCGGTTCCCTGGAACACTGACACAGCTGTGGGGATGTCAGAAATACGAGGCATGACAGAACCACCTAAAATGGGACTAAATCTCTATTGTTTTGGGGAAATAAGTTGATTTCACGGCTCTCAGACCCCCATCAGCCAAGATTACAGCCGTCTGGCGTGCAACGTGGCCCTGAGGATCACTTCTCGCCCCCCTGGCTGACATCGCTCGTATACGCAGATCAGTCTCCATGACTCAATCCAGATAGGGGCTATGCTGTTTTTATAAATTCAGTTGAAGAGTGACGTGGCTTATTGGTCATGTTTTGAACTCGACTGCATGGGGCGGAGAAAGGAAGAAACATGAACTGCATGTGGAAAGATGATGCGCAGAGCAATATAAATGTGAGTTGGCCCTGAACTCTAATATCGGGGTATAGTAGTTTTCCCAAATGCTGGGCTCCTGCCTCAAACGATCATCATCGCAGTCAGCTTATATATATAGCTTTCACTATGTGGGACGGATCCTGTAGGTTCAGCCCCCGCTATGCTGACCATTCATCTGGCTTAGTCGCTGGATTCAATATATAGGTTGATCTCTATCGGAAAATAGTGTTTAGCTTTGTATTTAGTACTGGGCTGGTGCGACATATAACCTAGAGGGTCGCATTTCAGCTAGCCAGCTGTTCTCTTGCAAATATGCCAGCATCGGGAATTGGAGTAATAAGAGTATATGGACACGGTCGGAACTCTTAGCATATAACCGAGTCTCTATACACGCAATCCAAAATGACTCCTAACCTGGTTGAGGAAAAGACTCAGTCAAGAAGGATAGTAGATGGCAGCTAACGGCCAGCACTATTGTCCAGCGCTCATAGGATAACTCTTTCGTGTCTACTTCTTGAGTTATGATCGAGTCATGGCGGCTGACTGATATTGGCATGCCTAGACCATGTAGCGTAGATATAGTAGAAGCCGATATAATTGGACGATTGCAAGTGGGCGTTCATAGTCAGTATCTACAAGTTTGAGTACCGAGATACCACATGAAAGTACCTCAACCACTCTGTATGGTACAGCTAGGAGAGTGGTACCGACTGAAAGAGCTTCAAGGTAGTAACACATTTAAGACAGTCTTCTTCGACTAGGCAGCAAAAGACTGTGAAGCCACAAGACGATGTATGTATTCCTGTCCCAGCAACCTGTACGGCCACATGGACGATCTACACTCTCATTTGTCCTGTATTTATGTTATCATCTGAGCTCTTCGTTCAGATGACTCCCTATGATCAGTTTCGGCCACTAGAACCTGTCATATTCTCACGATACAATCTCATGATGCAGGCAAAGCTAAGCAGCGGAACCAATTACGGTACGTATTCATCGCGGATCCCAATCAAATCGATGACAGACAGTGGAAGCCCGTCTATCTCCGAGTCAGAGTGGATACGAGGCTCTAGGCTAGTCGAAAGGATCGATCGCGACTATTAATGAGTGGGGAGGATCCTGTCGGGTAGTTAGGGGCAATATAATGGATCTCTATGCCCAGGAACCATCGGACACAATGGATAGATTAATTTGCAGCTGTAATTTGTGGCAATTCAATAGTCTTGTGAGCTGAACTAGGTACTTTATTTTGTCTCACATTCCGCCAGCATGGTGATATCGCTGTTTATAGTGACCCGGAATATGGTCCCGGGGGGTGTCGACAGCCGAGGTTACTGATATTGATTTATCCTGAAAGTAAAGCAAATCAACTCGAAACCATCGAGAGACGAAGTTCCCTTCACGTGTAGGGGATGGATGCACGTGCCGCCCCTAGCCCTATCTCACCCTCCACTTAATCCACCAATGCCTCAATTCACTCGCCCTTCCTCGGCCACGATGACGAATCCCATCCCTGGCCCAAGCGTGGGGCACGTAGCATTGTCGTGTTCCCGACGGGCATGCCAAGACTAGGGTCTGCCCCCTGATGATCTCCGGTTCGCCTACTACTGAGTCGAGTATAGCTCCATCAACCTGCAAGTCTACCCCTCTTCCTACGCTAACCCCGCAGATATGGTCCACTCCGAATCAATCCAGTGGGCAGTGGCGCAGGTTCAGCTGAAAAAAGCCGGCGTGCTCTGACACTCTTGATCGCATGGCTTTTAAGCTTTCTTTCCCTCCCGAACCAGACTTTTGGTTCTACTTTTTTATTTTTTATTTAGTTCCCCCCTCTCTTCTTCTTTCCGTTCTATGTATATCACACAAACCCTGCATGAACCAATATGGCAATGTCAGCGGAAAGTGTCACCGGCTACGTGGGGAATCTCGAACCCTGGCAGGAAGAGAGACTGCGCCAGTTCTGGGGGACTCTCATACAATTATGGGACCACAGCAGCAGCCGTAGGACGCCGGAACACACACGCAGGGAATCTCTCTCATCAAACGACACCAACACCACCGCCACTACAAAATCACCCCGACGGGCGTTCTTCTCCCTAAACCGACATAGCAGCACCCAGACAACAGACGACGACAGCCCTCCCTCCCCCGTCCCGCCCATGTTCCTCCCCACGCTCAAAACCCTCGGCGCCACCCCATCAGACCTCAAAGCCGCCTATACACTGCTCACCAAGATCTCCGGAGACCGATTACAAACGGCATACCTACGGGCACTAAAACAAGAACACCCCGACGCACAGCTACTGCGGTTCCTTCGCACCGAGAAGTGGAACGTGCCGCGCGCGTGGATCAAGTTCGTGTCGGCGCTGCACTGGCGCATAAACGAGTACCGCATCGACGAGGAGGTGCTGTGCAAGGGCGAGAAGTATCATCTGGACAGGTCGCGGCAGGAGGAGGACAGTGTGGAGAAGAGAGACGGAGAGAACTTCATGATGCAGCTCCGCTCGGGGAAGGGTTTCTTCCATGGCGCGGATCGGCATGGCCGTCCGATTTGTGTGATTAGGGCGCGCGCGCATACCCCGTCTGAGAAGGCATTGAAGAGCTTGAGGGATTATATTGTGCATTGTATTGAGACGGTGCGTTACCTGCAGGTGGCGCCTGTGGAGACTATGGTATGTGACGCCTTGGTAAAACACGATGTATATGTGGTGTCGAGGCTAATTTGTGGTTATAGACGATCCTGTTCGATCTTACGTCGTTTAGCTTGACGAGTTGGGTAGGTCATTCCCTTGCTTCTCTACTTATACGACATACTAACAAGTGGCCAGGACTTCCCCGCAGTCAAGTTTATCATCGAATGCTTCCAAGACAATTACCCAGAGTCCCTAGGCGCCATAATCTTCTACAAAGCGCCATGGTTCTTCAGCGGTTCGTCCAACCAACACCACCACACCCAATCCCCACCTCCTAACTAACATTGTGCAATAGGATTATGGAAACTGATCCAAGCCATCCTCGACCCCGTCGTAGCCGCCAAAGTCTACTTCATCGACGGCCCTAGAGACCTCGAGCGAATGGTGCCCCCCTCCCAAATCATCCGCGAGCTCGGAGGCCGCGAAAACTGGGAATACCGCTACCAGGAGCCGCTACCGTGCGAAGACGACCGGCTGCACGATACAGCCACGCGCGATTCTATCTTCGCTGAGCGCCGGGCGCTGGGCGAGGAACTGTTCGCCGTGACGGCGGAGTGGATTGCGGACCCCGAGAGCTACGGGTGGGTAGAGCCGCGCGAGCTGGCGATTATGAAGATGCATGATAATTACTGGACGCTGGATCCGTATGTGCGTGCGAGGACGGTGCTCGACCGTACGGGGGTCATTAAGGATGGGGGCATTGTGGACTTCTATCCTGCTAGGACTAATGTCCAGGTTTATGATGAGAAACCGGCTGTTGTGGGGGATTGGGTGATTGGGGTGCCGGTTATGGCGTGATGCTTGATGACTTCATTTTTTCCTCTTCCTTTCCGGTCTGTTTTGGTTCGGTCGCATTTTGGTTGTACATACTCAATGTGTAGATTAGCGAGGGTTTCGGGTTCTGTTATTGATATCATCTCGGCATGGGGTCATAATGGCATATATTTTCCGACATACATTTCACTCCTTCACTATGATCCATACATCACAAGGCACCAAAAAAATATTAGAATTTTAATCAAAACACCACATTCAACCATTATCTCTGTTCATCATCATCCCTCGTCACAGCCAACCCAATCCGATTAAACGGCGTCGGCAACTCAACAGGCGGAACATAAACAGACGTATCCGCCAACTCATACACTATATCATCAGCCTCCGCATCCGACCCCTGCGTCAGCTGCTGGTACTCCTGCTGCATAAAAGATCTCGGCACCAAAGCCGCAGGACTATCCATAACCCGATAAGGCGGGCTAGGACTCAGCGCAAACGCCGAAGGCGTGTTGCTGCGATCGCCCGGGACTCGCAATTCGCCGTCACCGGCATACCGACGATGGGAGTCTGGGTCGTACACGCCTAGCGTGTCGCCCGGGTAGACGTAGGCTTGGTCTGTGAATTGGTCGATCGGGTTGGATGAGGAGATGTCTTCGTCTTGGGAGGTTTTGCGCCATGCGTCGCGGGGTCGGCTTTGGTAGGAGGAGCGGGAGCGGGTGAGGCGGGGGGTGAATTTTGCTTTGGAGGGGGCTGTCATGTCTGTTAGTTTCTTTCTCTGTATTTGGTTTTGTTGATACCTGGGTGGAGAAAGGGTTTGGGGAGGAGTTGGGAGACATACAGGCTACTTCCTCATCGAGGAGACAGCGCGGGAACCCGCTAATGGGGTAATAGGTCGGATGGCTGCGGTCACCTTCCGGGCAGAAGAGGATTTCCGTTTCGGCCATTCTCTGCGTCAGGCGGACTTCGACTTTGTTCATGGAGAAGGTCCCATGCTGCATCATGTCGGAGATGGTCTTGTGCTTGACGAGGTACATCTGGGCGTCTCGCTCGCGGCGCTTCTCGCGAATCAGGAAGTAAGGCTCATGGTCGCGGTGGCCGAGGTTGAACATGCTGCTGGAGCGTTGCTTGAACGCCTGGCCCAGGTAGAGGATCTGCTCCGAGTTGTTGGGGAACCGGCTGAGGATGTTCCCCTTGAGGGTGAAGGAGCCGTCGGGGTTTTCGACCGTGTTGGGCGGGGCGAGCGGCTCGAAGTAGAACGACGAGGCGATGAGCCGGTCAGCGATCGAGCGGACGGTGTCGCGCTCCTTGGTGAAGCGGAACCGCGCCATCTCGCTGAGGTTGTTGAGCTGGCGGACGTCGTCCAGGTGCGGAGGGTCCCCGTCGAGGGCGAGGTTCACGCGGATGTAGCGGTCTGTGAATTGCGGTGGTGGCGGGCTCTTCTCGAGAAAGGTCTTCCATGTGCGCTCGCAGTCGAGGCTGTTGTGAATGTGGTCGATGCCGATCCTGGTCAGTGATCTGACGTGCGAGATGACACCTCGCGAGGCTGGTCTGGACGGCTGGTTGGGCTCCCGGTTTTCTGATTTGGGGTTGTATCCTGTGCCTACGGAGAGGACAATGTCGGGGTGTGTTTCCAGCGCCTCCGGCCAGATATGCCGCTGCTCGCCGACGGCGACCTCGACGGGGTTGTTGTGGTAGATGGCACCGTCTTGGTAGCTCTGTCCCGAGGGGCCGTGGAAGAAAGGCTTGAAGACGCGCGGCGCGGCGGACGTTGCGCGGGCCGCTTCCCAAATCTTCATCTCGCTGTCGGGCTTCTCGGAGCGGTTGAATCGGTACGACGAGTAACCCGGGGGCTGCGTCGATTGTAGTTGGCCAGGACGACGACCGATGCAGCGGTCGTTGTCGCCGTCACGGCCACTTTGGTCAATCGCCTCAGCGACGTAGGCTGGAGATCATGGCGGGAGCCGCCGAAAAGACGATCTTCTCCGTAGAAACTTTGCAGCGCAGCCTCCAGCGGTCGCGTTTCGTACTTGCTGTGGTTGGATGCGGAGATCAACCACTCCCATCCCGGGATGCCGATGCCTCTTCGTTTCGTGAAAGCCTTGGTGCATAGAGACCGGAACGACCGCGTGCAATCTTCCACGGAATATCCCGCTGCGCCCAAGCCGAGCGCGATGATGCCGCCCGTGCTTGTCCCCACGATGAGATCGAAGAAGTCCTGGATGTAGAGGCCGACGCCCAGCTCCCTCTCGATTTGCTGAAGGATCGTTAGCTCCACGATTCCCCGGATGCCTCCTCCGTCCAGACTCAGTATCCGTGTCCCTGCTTGTGGCGGCTTGATGAATATGGGCCATCCGGGCGGACAGTGTCCTTCTCTGTACTTATAGTTAACCACTGATTCTGGCAAATGAAGTGAAAGAAGAAAGAAAGATGGAGAAGGGAGTGCTCACGTCTCCTCGAAATGCAACGGACAAGCCGCAATCTCCACAGCATGCTTCCCCAGACTCGTCCCGAACGCACGCACACACAGCGTACAGAGAACATGACCACACGGCAACGCATGCTCCGGCGGCTCGACAAGACACGCATAGCAAGCTGTATGGCTGATAAACATAGACGGCCCTCCTAGATGACGATAAAAGTTCTTCAGCACCATATCGCGGTGAATGACGGCCGCTTCTTGCATTTCGCGATCAGCGGACCGCCCTGTTGCGGCGACGAGCTTCATCAGCAGGGCTGTCAGGTTCTTGAAGATCATAGATCGGAAGGTCTGACGGAAGGCGTCGGCTGTGAAGGACGATTGGTACTCTTGCACGGCGAGCACGCGTCCGTCTTTCAGCTGGTGACCTTTTGCTTGGTGCCCGCTGCGCACGTTGACGCACCGGCCTTCGGCGCTGCGGTATTCGCAGGGCCAGTGGTGGTCGCAGAAATCGTCGAGTGTGTCGTCAAAGTACTCGAGGTATTCTTTGAAAACGCTTTCCGCGGGACCTAGTATTGCGAGCGTCAGTATACAGGGGCCTAATATCTGTGTATGAGTACCACTAACCTAAGGTTCTGCGGCGAGCCGAGTCCAGCATCACGCAGGACGCCACTAGATAGCTCAACTCCTTGAATATAGTGGGTCCATCAATTCGGTCCTTCCACACTTCTAGTATATCCCTTGCCAGCTTGAGGATGTTTCCACCGAAATCCGATGGGATGGGGCTGTTTGCAAACGACGCCTCCACAAAGTCAAACGGCAGGTCGAGTTCGCGAGAGAAATGGTCAAACGCGTATTGCAGATATGGCTGCAACTCGTCCGAATTGAGAAGCATTCTCCACTGTATTGCCGTTAAATGGGGCTATGTGAAAAGTAGGGACGATGTTGCGCACCTGGGATTTAACCCGACGAGACCGCTTACACGCCGTCTTGATCTCCACGTAGAGTCGCTCGATCTGCTGGTCGATCAGATTGGGGCGTCCTTTCTTTGGTACGCGGACGACCCGGATCGTCGAGTAGTAGGATAGGAGCAGATCGCGAACGGAGGTTATGCGTCGTTGCTTGGGTGCCCAGAACGCAGCTCGCTATATAGGGTTAGTATGCTGGTCGTGGGTTGGGGAGGCTGTTACCTACCGCACGGAGGTTGTGGTTTCTGTCGATTGCTTCTTTAGTCGCTTCCATTAGATGCTCAGTCGATGCGTCGACGTCCCACAGACGAGGATCTGTGTTGTTCTCAGCGGCATTGAGGATGATGATGGCGTGTGGCAGAACAGGCTGGTTCGACGACTTTTCGAGCGCGGCGGCCGCCCAGTCGATCAGTTGGTCGATGACATTCTCGATAACTCTGCGTCAAATCAGTCAGTTTGCGTGGTCAATACAATCCATCAATACCGTGTCCTACCGCGGATTCATCGTGACAAACACGATGGTATCAGAGAATGTATATAGCAGGCGGGGATACAGGTTCCGCACGATATACTCCCGGCTCTGGGTCTTCTCATTGATTGCCCAAAGCAAGTCGCGCTCGGACGCATTCTGACGGACCTTCACTTCCTGTGGCATGTTGTAAGTCTGGAGGTGCTTCTTCACCTTGCGGGACTTGACGCCCATGGGCTCGCGCTCCCCACCGTCCAGGCCCTCACAGTCGGCGTACAGGATCGGGGCATCGGTATCCGATGAGACGGGGTCCGAATACAGATGGACATCTCCAGAGGTCGGCAGGTCCTGGTTCTTGACGGATCCGACGACGGGGACCTCAGAGTTCTGCTCGGTACTTAGGCGCAGCTGGCACACATACATCGCATGTTAGAAGACAGCGGATCCCCAACTCGACAGAAAGACACTATACTCACTTCGATGAGAAGCTTGATCAATGTACTCTTTCCCGCTCCCGTCTGACCCACAAACGATACCAAACCCGGATATCGCACCTGTCTCTTGCGCCCGGACATCTGCGCCATCAGGTTGGCGTATCTCCCATAGTCCTGGAACAACAGGTCACTATCGTCCCACACAGTACCGAACCACGCCGAATCCTCATCCCTCATATGCAGATACGACTGCGTCTTTTCATCGACATCTGTCTCCAGTGTCTGTTCTATAATCCGCGCCAGTTTGGGATCCGTCTTTTCGTGCGGGATTCCCCCGCGCACCGGCGTTTTGCGATGCGGTGGCGACCGCGGCCAGCAGTCGGGGCAGAAGATGCAGTTGCAGGGGTAGCAGAAGAAGCATTGTCCGCCGTACGCGGGCAGCGCTTCACAGTCGCAGCGTTCTTCGTCGGGCGATTCGGAGCTGGACTGGTTGTCTTGCTCTTCGGGTCCGAGGGATAAGAGGGCGTTGCGCGTCGCGGATCTCTGTGAATGGCGCCCTTGTACGGCTTCCATTTGTTCACGGAAGACGGCTCTGCAGGTTATCAGTCTTGGTTAGCCTTGTTATGCAATCACGGACGGGAGATGTAGGACACGTACGGTAAGTCGCTTGGATCGTCAATGTCGAGAAGGCTGAATTCCTGCGCTAGACGCAAGGCCACTTCTTGATCGCTGTATATCTCCCATATTAGCAGAACGTTCTTCCTTTCCTGGAGAGTAGGGTTCGCACCGCTCGACGGGATTGGGTTGTGTTCGATAGTCGCGCACGGGGGGAGCGCGATCGGGATGCGATGGGCGAACATGCTGCTCCATAAGTCAATATCATGTTTCCGCTGGTCTAAGTCAAGCCCATTTTGTCTTTCATCTTGTCTGGGGACTTTTTCAAACTCACCCTGGGACCCTCCGTGTCGCTCGCCGACAGATCAATCAACAACTCCTCCTGCGGCTCTTCAAAGACGGACAGCGAACCAAAGGCCGAGGGCGCTCGACTAATGGGTCCATCATGAGCGGGCCATAGACTAGCAGGCGGAGGAGGATGATGACGAGGCCCCTGGCGAACAATCTCCGCCACAGATTGTATCGCGTTGGCGCGTGCCTGTTGCTGGTCGACGACCTGTCCGGGCACCGGGCGACGCCTGATCTCACCGGTTCGCGGTCGTGAATCCTGGTCATTTCTTGGCCCCGAGATGGAACTCCTACTGTCTAATCCATCGTACGATGCCCCTGGCTGGTTTTGAGAGTTGTGAGGGTACCTCGCCTGTGACGAACTGGGGGGAAATGCGTTCCAGTTGCGATCCCCCATGTTGATGGATCCCGCTCACGAACGCTGGACAAAAAGTTCGAAAAATGACAGCACCATTGGCGATCGCAATGATTCCTGGGATCGGGGCTAAAGGTAGGATTTAAGGTGATGCTATTGTCTAGGATATGAGGGGTTGAAGGTGCTCCGACGCCAGTCCTGCGGGGTCCATTGTCTTATTACTCGGTCGCTGCGGCCGATCCCTTCTTTTCTTTCTTTTTACCTGAGTTTTCTATTTGCAGCAGGAAAAAGAAAATATGGTCCTATACTTAAATTAAAAGCCAAAAGTAAGAGTCCAGAGCGGCGTCAAGTCGCATGGTGAGGAATCAATCGAGTCGCTCTTTGGCGTCCATCAAGCAAATTTCGCCCTCCTGACGCGCCAGGGAGTCGGAGAGGGGTTGAAAAGAGTCAAGCCCGCATCGCACGCACACCACAAGTGGGAGGAAAAGCCAATGATGGATGGTAGGCTGGCATGGTTCCATGCGGCTTGATGCCCACGTCCGTGGTGCGACTGCATGATTGGTTTCCCGCTGCAAGTCTCGGCCTTGCGTTGTGCTGAAATCCTGGCGTATTCCTCTTCTTCGTCATCACGTTGGCGTTTTTTCTTATCCCGGAAATCTCGAGGAAATCGGACCATCCTGGATGATTCTGAGGCCGAGTGTTGGCACAGCCCCTTGGAAGCGACGATCTCTAGTTCTTCTGGTTGGGGGCCGATGACACCCTAGGGCTCGGTCGATATTCATAGGATGGGTCCATATTTCTAGGACGGATCTATTCATCTATGGAGTAGACAGGACTCTGTCGGTACTGGCTGTCAGAGTCAATCGCTCGCACCTCGTGGTAGGAGCGATATTCGCGTTGACAAGACTATAGTCGCATTGGATATAGGGCTACTTACGAAACCAGAAGTATCATATCTTTTGTAGCCTAGGGTAATCACTCATATTTGCAACAACTATTATCACTCGCCAGAGGTCTTGCTTGTCGAACAAATTCGAAGATATTAGGTGATAATGCAGATATTGTGTGACTCAACACCCTACGGGGCAGCGTGTTCCAGTACCTCCCAATCCATGCCTGGTGGATTCCAGGAGCATTGATCGACATGGTTTAGTGTCTAGTGCTAATGGCGAGATGAGCCACACCCTCGAGATCGGGAAAAAGGCCAAGATGAAGCTGAGATGTGGCGGGGAATGCTCGATCTGTCACATGACCAGTGATCTTCTTCATGGCAGATTTGAAGCTTTTGACAAAATCCTTACACTTCCCCTTCCCCTGGAATCACTATGATACTGATTTCCCACAAATATAATATAGACGAGGTGGGGGTAATGTAAATTTGGCGCACATCCTGGAAGTCATAGCGATTGGGCCATGACATCCAACATCATGAGAAGTGTATTCCTCCCACGAATCAATCACACTTCTGCCTGCGCCAACTCAAGTTAGGCTCACCAAACACGGTCATGTTTCCCGAGTAGAGTCTCTGAGCGCCTAAGAATAGGGGAATTCAAACCCGAGAGGTCACACCTCGATCCCTTTCCAAAGTAAGGCCGGAGATTGCAGATACGAGCAGACCCCACCGGTTAGGGACAAAGCGGCTTAGGGCACAAATGGAAAGGGTTCTCTCGTGACGAGAGAACGAATGAGACCAGGTCCTTCTTCCCCACGATCCTGAACTGCCACCATGCCCAGCACTCAGTCGTGTCTAGCGCTTGCTTTCAGCCTCAACGCCTCGTATTGAGGTCGTTTGGGGCGACGATGGTGTTTGCTTCGCTGGTGTATCAGGTAACCGAGCCAGCGATGAGAGACTTATAAAGCCGTCATAGCCCGCGTCTTCGTCTTGGAATTAATCTATCCCATCCATCTTCCAAACCAGCGCTTTCTTTCTACCAAATCAGTACCTATCTCTTCAACTTTTACCAACACTTCATATATCATCATGCGTTTCTTCCCCATCGCCGTCGTGGGCCTCGCGTCCGTCGCCGCCGCCGCCGAGCTCAAGACCTGGGACGACATCATGGGCGACATCCCCACCTGCATCAAGAAGTGCATGAACGACTTCTACAAGGACGGCGGTCTAGAGGCGGAGTGTGGTGCCCCCGAAAAGGCCACCACCGACTGTCTCTGCAAGCCCGCCAGCAGCAAGATCATTAACGACACCATGAGCAGCGTCGACGAGCTGCAAGACTGCCTGAGGGAATCCTGCTCTGAGTCCGACCTCACGAATAACATCGACAAAGTCAGCGCTATGGGCGAACGCTCCCAAGATTTCCAGGAACAGTGTGAAGGCAAGGGTAAGTTCTAACTAGATCTTTTTTTTCGTCGTGTGTGTTATAGGCGCCGTGTCTAACTTGTGTTATTTTAGCCGACTCCGATTCCAAGGACGACTCCAAGGATGACTCCAAGGATGACTCCCAGGATGACTCCAAGGATGACTCCAAGGATGACTCCAAGGACGAGGCCGATTCCAAGGACGATGCCGACTCCAACGGCGCTGGCTCCCTCCTGCCCGGTGTGAGCAAGACTATGCTTGCCGTTGGTGCTATCCTTCTCCCCGCTGTGCTGTAAATTGGAGGATACTCTGGGAGCATGGAATTTGTTCTTGTTGGGATTTGGGGGCTTTCTTCACAATCGATCCTTGGTTATTGCCGGGGTCTTTGCATGTAATGACTGCGATATATCGCCTATACCATCTTGTCATTTTGATTCTGCATTATTTCGTATACAAGTAGAAGTCGGAGTCAGTCGCTCGCTATACTTTGCTAAGCACAGACTGTTGGTTGATCTTTGTCGGTCCACTCCAGCCCTATCCCAGCATTAGGGGAACCGCCGGGCGATCATTACGTGATCCATCGTCATTGCGTCAGTGATACTGACTCAGTATGCGCATGGGCATGCTTTAATTCTCCATCGTTCAAGCGACACAAGGATGATCGATATTTCACTTTCAAACGAATTGTCTTCTGGTCCAGTTAACTCGCTGATAACTTTTATCAAGAGACTAATTCGACAATAGCTTTATACTAGCCTCTGCACCGAAAAGCTGAACGACATTTTGAAAGGGCCTGACCTGACTGGTATCCCAACAGTTTATTTTATTGATATTTTATCATATTCAATTATTATCAATAAGTCTATAAGGTATATACACATCCGTTTTCAAGGTAACCTATCGCGTGGATAGAGTCAACAGAAGAGAAAAAAAAGCGACAAAGGAAAAAAAGTCAAACAAATGGATATCTACTCGCACTTAACAAGGCTTATCCCACTTACGATCCACGCCGCGCACCTGGCACATCAGCAGGCATCTCATAAACCGGATTCACCTCCGCCGGCGCCTCAACAGCCACCGGCTCCGCAGGGACCTCCACTCTCCTATCCTTATCCTCGAGCTCCGCCGGCGCCGCCACCTCCTTGGACGCCAGTTCCGACATTCCCACGCCGTTTACGTCTCCATTGCTGCCGGGGACATTGCTGCCGGGGATGTACGCTGGCGGGTTCTCGGGCGACGTGCCAGCATTGCCGGCTTGCTGCTTCCGGCGGTAGATCATGAAACCGATGGCTCCTGCGACGAGGGCCACGCCGACGACGACTCCGACGACGATACCCGCGATAGCACCGCCCGACAGACCGTCTGACTCCTTGTCGCTGGGCTTGTCACCCATGTCTGGGGACGTCGTCTGCTTCGCTGCGTCCGGGGCGGCAGCCTCGGTCTTGCATTCTGTGCCGGACGGCTGCACAGCGTGGTACTCCTCGTCGTCGGTGATCTTGTTCTGCCAGACGTGGAACTTGCTCTCGTCGTGATTGACGAGCAGGTACGCGGCTGTCAGGAACGGCTGACCCAGATACCAGGTGTTCTCGTTGGGCTGGCCGTCCGTATAGCCGACGAGAATCTCGCGCGACGTGTCGCTGAAGCCGAGCTTGTTCTCATTGACGTACGAGTCCGTCGTGACGAGCTGCTCGTTGGTGATGGTGATCTTCAGATCCGTGTTCAGCGTGATGGTGATGTTGCCGCCGAAGACGGGCTCTTCTATATCGTACAGCAGGCCGTTCGGGCGCAGCCCCGTCGAGTTGCCGAAGTACTTGCCCCCGAAGGAGGACTTCATGCCTTCGATGGTGTCGGCGTCGAAGGTCATCAGTCGGTTGGAGGGGTCGATGCACATGTACCGCCCTTTGGAGAGGGCGTTGTACTCGGTTCCGTTGGGCATGCCGACGTCGACGCTCGTCACGAAGGCGTCGAGGCCTGTCGGGCAGTCGGAGTTGAGGTTCACGTCGAAGGTCTGGCTGTCGCCTTGGGTCTTGGCTTTGTCGTAGCCGCCGAAGACAGCGACGCCGTTCATCTGCTCCGGCTCGGTGTAGCCGTTTAGTCCGAAGAAGAGACCCCAGGATTTGGAGAGGATGGCGCCCTTTTCGGAGAGGTATTGCAGGAAGGTGGAGTCGGGGCCGAGGCCTAGCGAGTTGAAGGTCATGGCGCGCGTAGTGGTCGCGACCGGGAAGTTGTATAGGGCGTAGGTGTCGTTGATGTGGAGGGTGTCGGCGCCGCGGGGCGGGACGCCGACGAAGTCAAAGGCGTCGGACGGGGAGTCGTGCGCGGTGATGTTGGCGCTGGCGGTGTCGGTCCAGCTTTCGGAAGGGTCTGTCATGAAGACACCGCCGCGGTTGAGGATACACGGATCATCGAGGGAGGCTCCACAGCCTTCGTGCCAGTCCCAGAGGAAGGTGTTGTTTGCGTATCTATTCAAAGGGTTCGTTAGTCTTGGTCCACATGTTGTCGGCGGTTGGGGGGGGGGAGATGTACCCGGCCATGTCGAACGCCAGGGCTTGTGGGGGCGTGCCCAGCGAGATCTCGAGGCCTCGCTGCTGGGTGAGGCCGTTGACGGTGACATTGCGATAGGGCAAGGTGATCACGTTGCTGCCCTCGCAGTCGGCCGCGGCCTGCTGTGCCAAAGCCAGAAGCGCCAGACCCAACGTTCGGACGGTCATCATGTCCACGATGAGTTCTATCCCAGAATCAAGGTATCATCCAACGGGTAGGAAAGATTGCGGTCCAATAACCACCAACACGGAACGAAATGAGCGTGGAAGTTGGATGGCAGGACGATGTAAGACGCGCAGGAAGAACGAGGGATGACAATAATGAATAATCCCTAGCTTTCGTCTCCTCTCCCTCCTGGTGGGGGCTTTGCTGCGGCTCAATCCCAGCCATTTTTAGTGTGAGCATATAGTTTCATGGGGTGGGTTGGCTGTGTTGATTAGTTTGAAGCTGTCGCGCAATGATATCCCGCCGCGGTCGTAGTGTGGGTCCGACAGAACTGTCTATTCACCCACGAGTTTCCCTTCGGAGCAATCCCTACGATGATCGGCAAGGCTGTCCTACCCCTTTTTCGTGCTATTATTACATCCATGTCGGTGTATTGCTGGGAAAACACTGCCTATAGCTTAACCGATACTGAGGAATCTATTGTTTCTAGAAGAAAAACTTGGATAGATGAAGATTTCGAGTGCGAACGCTGTTTTACCTTCCCAGTTAGTTCTTCCAGTGGTCGGGAGGAACACCACGCAGTAGTGCTTATAGCGTTTCTGCTGGGCGCACGGGGGCCACAAACCTTTCTCCGTAGAATTGCCCATCCAAAGATCACGATTGGCGTTTGCAGAACCCCTGGATTCCAGTCGTGTGGATAAGATGCAGCCTGATTGGCCTTGGCGTATTGAGTTTTCTGCAATTGACCCGGGTCATTCCTTTGGTCCACGCTGACTCGGGCTGTTCCGTCGGAATCTTGCGCTCTGTGGAGCTTAAGCACCGGTCGACAACGTTGCGACGTGACGTCTCACATATTAGTATTCCAGTGCTCCATATATCATCAGCATTCCAGTCAACTAGAGATGGAAAGAAGGAGGCCTCAAATAGGATGACCAACCATTGATGTGATAGTTTTAGGGCTCGACGGGGCATGTGATTTGTCTGTTAGAGATACATTGATTGAAACTGCACCAGTTGGTCCTGGTAATCAATCCTCGTTCAATGATCCAACGTCTATAGAAGCTTCTCATATAGATCAGACTTAGGAATCTTTCCCCGCTAAACCAAGCTAGCAGGCTTTCATGACCAGGATCTCAGACGATGCTGACAGTCCAGCGACACCGCCTCATTCTTGGCAGTTCCTTGCATCTCAGACTCCCAAGCTGACAGTAAGATCGATGCGGAGTAAATTCCACACGATTCAGGCAATTTTCATCTAATTGTCCTTCAATAAGTCATAACGATACTGGAGTAACTGTTCTTGTGATCTTATCGGTGGTGCTGCAATAATCCAGAATTTAATTTCCCGAGGTTGAGTGGCGTCCTTGGTAAGAATCTAAGATACGGAGTATAGGGAAAATGGGAATACACGAGACATGCATAGAATAGATCTCGCATTGGCATACAATGCCATTCTCCAAGTACTTGCATACTGTTTGGTGGCCAGAGATGGGTCAAGATGCTTTGGTGTGTTGATTTGCGGGCCTTCACGATATATATATTCACTACACTCTTGGCAGATAACCGATGGCGGTTGGAATGACAGGGACTTGAATCCTGTCTCAAAAAGGGACAAGAATTATTGATAGTATCATCTCACTGTAAAATCCTGCATGATCTTGTAGAGAAGTTTGGCTCTGCATCTTGTTTGATCACCCGACTCTGACACTGAGTGTCTGGTTTTTTTCATCGCAGATGTAGATCTCGAGTTCATAACGCTCTTCTCAACACCTGCTTACCAGTACGATCTCTTCCAATCTTAATCAATGATTCTCGAATTGATTTCATCAATTTGTTACCAAACTTTATCAACATTACGAGAAGGATGGCGAGCAAAGATAGACGTTATTCGCCTCGTATTAGATTAGTGCGGGGTCCAGCCTCGCACCTGACGATGTTGAAGACATCCTTTATATCATCCACTCAGGCAGACAGAGTCCTATCCTCTCGATAATATGGCTTAACTCGACTACTATACAAGAGCAAAAACATCACCATGACTTCGCAAGAAGATTGGAACCAAGCCGTGCATCGGATCCGCCAAGCGCAGGCCACCCTGAGAGAAACCTGGACGTCAGGCGCAGTGCCTGTCGAGGAAGAGATCGCGATGCGCGCCAAATTCGCCGAACTGCTTTCCAACGCATTCGAAGTTTTGGGAGACATGGTCGACCTCAATGACTGCATCGAGCACCTCGAGACTATTGTGAGACGGCTGGGCCCACCATCTCCTGCCCGCGCGGAGTATCTCGACAAGTTATCATACTCGAAGATGTCCGCGTACAAGACCACAAACTCCGTGCGAGATCTTGACGAATCGATCAGGTACGGTCAGCAGGCAAAGGACGAGGTAAATCCCGCTGATCGCACACTCCTGTGTCGCATATACCACAACCTCGGGTACAACTTGTCGCACCGGGCGCAGCTGGGTCCCGCGCGACCGTCCGATATCGACGAGGCTATAAGTTGTGGGCAGATGGTGATTGACCTGGCTGACCCAGATAGCGAGGAGTATGCAAACACTTTGATGAATTTAGTATCACGCTTTCAGGCGCGGTTCGAGAGAGATCACCGCGAGGAGGACAGACAGAGCGCCCTCGAGCTGATCCAGCTGCGACTTAAGATAGACACTCCAGAGACTCTCTCGTATGCTTATACTCGCCTTGCGCAAAGCAGGCTCGCAAACCTCGGTTCCGATGATATAGGTGGCATTGATGACGGGATCGCCCGAGCTAAAGACGTCCTGCGTCTGATGCCACTGAAACACGAGGGCCGCATTGACGTGCTCAGAGAAATCCTGGTGAAGTATGAGCGCAGGTATAAAAAGTTCAACGAGCGATCCGATATCATTACCGCCGTGCAGTATTCTGATATTATCCTTGAGGCTGTCCCGCCCGGATATCCGCGCCGTCTCGATTGGGCCGTCCAACACTTGGCTCTGATTGCAGAGCTAGCTGCGTCTAGTCAATCAGTAGATGAACTTGATAATCTCATTAACCAGGCGCGCCGACTACGAGAGGAAGTTCCGACCAGCCATGCGAAACGGCACGCAAGTGGGCTGGCGGTTGGAGCGATCATCGCACAAAAGTTCCTCCTCTCGAAACACCTCGACAGCTTCTACATGCTAGTCAGCCACGCGATTGGTGTCTGTAGCGATCTGAACGAAAAGGAAGACAAGTCAATAGCTGTCAACACTACCTTTCTGTGGCAGCTCTCTAGTTCTATACGCAAAATAAGTCAAGGGTCCGAACACAGCCCTGTCCGTGCCCAAGCTACCGAGAAAGTACACGCATACTTCACAGCGGCTTACCAGGATAGGAAGCTCTTGAAAGGATTGGCTTCGATTCAGATGGAACATGGATCAGAAATTGAAATACTGTCAACACACTCAAATGCGACCGAGCCACTCTCCAACATTGACCTCGACAGCGCGCTTGAGAAAAAGACGGATGAAACGAACACGAAGCTCTCATTACGGCAAAAAGAGCCTGGATACAGACCACGCAATGATTACCACGATCAGTTAACAGGCCTTAGGCACCTGGGTATCGACAAAACCGCAGGCAGAGTCATCATGTCAATGGAAGAAATCGTGAAGGATATGATGGGATACACGGACACAGATGAGCCCCGATCTTGGACCGAACATGCCGAACGAGAGAGCAGACTTGAGCACGAGTTCCTTCAACGTGAACAACAGGCGGGAAAGCACCCGAATCCGAACCTTTGTCGTGTCTGTCGAGCTATCCAGATTATTATCGGACCGACATCGCCTGACGAGGGGTATTCCTGGAATTCAAAGCTTTTTCTACCCCATGGAAACTGGTCGCAGCTGCAGTGCCGACGACATTGTGGGATATGCCGCCTCGTCATCTCGCTCATTACCACCGCGCAAGGGACGCTACATCCACGCCTGGCTGAGCTGGACCAGGAGATTCAGGGCGTACACTTTCACCTGCGGAAGTTGCCTTCGGGGGAGTCGGTGTTGGGCGTTGAATATGGGCTCAAGACAGTTGGGGGTATTCGACTTCTAACACCGACGAACCACCAGGATGCACTGCGTCAGAGCTATCTAAGGGACACGGGAAAGCAGCTCGTTGATACGGCCAAATTGCGGCGATGGCTCAACAACTGCGACTACAACCATGGTCGAATTTGCAACGGTGTTCTGGGTGACTCCCGTTTCAACCAGGACGTCAACCTGATACTGGTCGATGTCCGGGACCGCTGTCTGGTTCGGGCAACTTCTGCGGAGAAGTATTTTGCTCTTAGCTATGTGTGGGGTGCAGTTCAGATGCGTTCTTTACAGCGAAGCACTCTTGAAGCGCGACTTCAGCGCCAGTCCCTGGACGAGAAGACGCTGGACCTACCCACTACAGTAGTGGACGCTATGCTACTCGTGGAATCACTGGGAGAGCGCTATCTCTGGGTTGATGGGCTGTGCATCATTGAAGACGACGAGGGAGACAAGACACACAACGTCAACACGATGGATATTGTTTACGGAAAGTCGTTCGCGACGATCATGGCTGTACACGGGACAGATGCCAACGCCGGACTACCTGGTGTGCGGCCCGACTCTAGGGCGCCTCAGCACATGGAGTCCATCGTGGTATCCAGCAGATACCGAGATCACCTGGGTTATGAGGCCGGCCTGACTAGTGATACTACGGAAGACATAACCATGGTCGCCACACCAATGCCACTGGAGCTGACCTTGGAGGCCTCTACTTGGAAATCGCGCGGTTGGATCTTGCAAGAAGCACTGCTCTCTCGTCGACGCCTATACTTTACCAAGGACTGGGTGTACTTCCAATGCAACAAAGAAACCCACTGCGAGACTCTTCTCGCTGAGTCGGGGCACGCTGAATTCCTTAATAGCCAATTGCCCCTGGCGTCTTCAACGAAACCTAATAACCCTCTGATGGAGCTCAAAGAAATCACATCACCTTCAGCAGAGAGAAGCCTCCGCCAAGCATTCGGGATATACAAGGATCTTGTGGAAATGTACACGCCGCGGAGGATCTCCCTCGCCAACGACATCATCCGGGCCTTTTCAGGCATCCTATCAGTCATGACCGAGTCCACAAACCAGCAGTTCGAAAACGGGCTCCCAACCGGCCTCTTCGACATCTCCCTCTTTTGGTGTCCTGCCGAACCACTATTCCGCCGGTCTTCCTCAGAAGCCAGCTACCGCACAAATCTCGCGACAGTCGCCTCTCTCACCGAAATGTCTCGCGAGCACGGCATCAAATACCGACTGACGCCAGCCAAGGACGAGCCGCCCTCGCTATTCCCCAGCTGGTCATGGGCAGGGTGGGTTGGCCCTATCGAATACCGGCTTACCGACCTCGAAAACGAGCCGCTGCCGACTCCCTCAGTCGACACATTCTCCATCTACCACCAAGGCCGCCACCACGAGATCCACACCCACCGAGCTAGCACCTCCCAAACCACAACCACACACACGACACAACCACCCATATCAGCCCCAGACCTCGGCCCATACACGCTCCAATTCTGGGCTCGCACCGTGCACGCATCCCCCTCCTTCCGCCTCCAACGCCACTTTCCCCCGGACTATCTCAGCATCTGCCAAAACCAGACCCACAGCGAAGGCCAGCAACTGATCCTCCGCATCTACGACCGCCAAAACCGCCACTGTGGGATATGGTATGCAATTCTGAAAGACGACAAGCTGCTGGGGACGGAGCTCAACCTTGATATGGTCGAGATATCCTGTCTTAGTGACGTGTATAAGCGACGAGAGGGCCCTATGCGCGTGGAGGGCGAGATTGACTTGTTCGATAAGGGCTGTTTCCCGGATACTGGGCCTGGGAGTGGCTTGGTCAATGTTGTTGTTGTGCGGTGGGATCATGAGGTTGCGGAGAGGTATACCGTCGCGCAGGTTCATGTTGCAGCTTGGGAGGAGGCTGGGCCTGTGAGGAGGCATGTTCGGTTGGCGTGATGGATGGTCTCCCAGCGAGGGATACTCACATGGTCTAAGTCTAATGCTAAGTGGTAAAGGTTTGGGATGGAAATGGTTGAGTCCTTATATGTTTGCTTTTCTTCTCGCTATCATACTGTGTTTCCTTGGAGACCTAGCAGTTATAGCATACGTGTTGAAGCCGGGATTGCAGCTCAGCCGGTATGGGATGTTTGAGGAGTAGATTGGATTAATCTGCAAACATTATGGGAACCGAAAACCTCATTATGTCCAATTAGGATACTCATAGAACCATCTGCCACTTGACCCGCTTCTCCCTGATCATAGCCAACACGCCCATGGGCAAGAACTTCTGATCCACAATATCTAGGGTCCCAAACTCGTTTAGCAGACTCTCGGCGTATAGCTCCAGAATCCAACGGCCCTCCTCTTCCATTCCCGCCAAGTTCACCCGTCCTCTTACACTATCGGATGCAGCAAGCACCTTATTCGTCCAATCCACTGTATACTTGGACGGGACCTGGCTCAGATTATCATAGCACCTCCGAAGGGGGGAACTCGTGCTATCTCGGAACCGACACCACTCGTCGAAGAACATGAAGTTGCGCTGCTCTGACCACCGCACGACAGGTGGCTTGCTAGAACCCTGAGGCGGGTTCACCATCTGCAGGCGTGCATTGATCGTGCGTTCTGACAGCGCGGCAAATTCCTGAGCGGCCTCGTCGTACGCATCGATGTCCTGTTTCTCGAACTCATCAACAAACTGCGCCGGTCGCTGGGGGAGGCTGTCGCGGACGAGCAGCATCGGGATGAACGGGTTGCGGAGACCCAGCCCGCCGAGCTCCACGGGCATGAAGAAGAACGCGTCTGGGACATCTGGGGCGTCGGGGAAGTGCGTTTTGATCATGTGGCGCAGGTGCGACGTGACAGTCGGAGTGTCTGTCTTGCCGAAGAGCGTGTCGTACATCTTCTGGTATGTCGCCAGAATGGAGTCGACGTGTGGCTGGCCGAAACAGTGTGCGGGCTGCCCGAAGGTGCTTCGGAAGAAGAGCCCGATGCAACTGTTCCAGGTGCGAATCCACGAGATGACGCTATCGCAGTGGTTCAGCTGGGTTTGAAGCTGCTGGACGTGTGCGTCAACCTGTGGTTGGTCGATGACCCAGTCGCCGGAGGTGCTCTCAAGTTTCAGGAAGCCAAATCTGACGGGCCCTTCGGGAAGTTGGGATGCGATGGCTTTGTCCGGCGACTCAGATAGGTAAACTGAGCCCGTTTTATGGTGGTTGAACTCGAGCTTGGTCACTTCTGCGAACTCGTGCATCACTTCCCATGCGCGGGCGCACTTGTCTGGATGGCCGGAAAGCCAGATGTCGTCGTGGAGTCGGTACAGGAGCATGCCTGTTTCGCGGTTGACCGCTAGGTCCATGAAGAAGAGTACCAGCTCTCCCATCAGCTTCTCCGACGCATGAGCCATGGGGACACCCTTTCTGCGGATCCGCGACCCCTTAGGCTCTCGTCCTTCAGACGATTGGTCCATGTTGAGGGGCGACTCGAGATACTTTTTGAAAAAGGCTATCCAGTCCTCGGAGAATCCGATAAAGCGCATGACAGCAAAGATGGTGCTGTGCGAGAGGCAAGTTGCAAACCACTTAAGGTCCGTCTGGATGACTGCCGCCTCGCCGTACAACTGCCGATGAACCAGCGTCTCTGTGGCGATCTTCCTCAGGATCTTCTGCTTCACGTTTCTCCCTTCTTTTTTAGTATCTCCCGATGCGGACTCATCATCATTGTCGTTATCGTATGATCCCATGCCCCGTTCGGACCAAGCTTCCTGCGTTTCCGGCAGTTGGCACAGGAAGTACGTGTGCACAAACTCATTTTTGCGCTTTTCTTCCGGGCTCACTATTTCCTGCTGCGACCCGAGAAAAAATGTCCGGCGTAGGTGATCTCTTGTCGTCATTGTAGGACGCGCCGACCACTTCCAGAGCTTTGAATGCTCCACAAAATTCCGCAGAACAAGCTTAACCCGATTGCATAGCCGGCTGCCGATGTATTGTACGAAGAGTGTCTGCAGCACGTCCTCGTCCATCCAGATACGGTATTTGCCGTTAAGCTGTGGTCGCGGCAAAACGGGAATCCCCTCTTCCCCCGCGTGCCAGTCCCACTGGTCAAGGTCCGCGTAGCGGAAGTTCAGCACATCCGCGATCTCGTTCAATGCCACCCGGTTCTTCAGGAAGGACTTGAGCAAGGCACGCTTTTCTTCGCTCACGAGATCCTCCGACAGAAGACCCTTAATACACAGCGACAGCGAACGCTCGTTGAAGGGCTCCGCCGTCTTCCATTGGCTTGTAGTTTCCTCCATGATCTGTTCCCGGAGGTCCTCCAATGCAGCGCGGCCTTCTTCCCCTGGGAATAGCCCATCGAGAAAGGCAAAGATCTTGTCCTGGTCGGTATCCAGCGGCTCAAATACTGTCGCCTCAAATTGATCGCACAGCTGCTGCAGTCGTTGCTTCTGCCTCTCGTCCACAACTTCGTAATCGTCCTCCTCCGAGGAGTCAGACTCTGAAGCCGCGGCTTTGGTCGAGTGTGGATGCACCCACTCCGTCAGGAGCCGAGAGTACAGATCCGCCATGGCCAGTTTGGCACTGCGCCTGTCTAGTCGTTCCAAGAGCGCTTTCTCGAACCCTAGAAGCATTTCCTCCGGGATGGTAGAGTCGTACCGCGCTTGCTGCAGCCAGCTCGCCATGTTGCTGACCGTGGCGTCGTCGGCCATTTGCGGTTGAAATTCTTTCATACTAGCCAGGAGGGACCAGACGCGGCTGCGAGGGTCCGAGTGCTGTTTTGAGGCCTGTATTATGGCTGCTTTGCGGGTCTCATATGCATCGCGTTGCTTTTGTAGTTCGCGGATTTTGCTCTGGGTCAGCGAGAGCAAGGTCTGAGACAGGGCAGCATCCACGGGTGCCATGGTCACTGATAAAATTATGATTTGTATAGTGCGCAGGAGGATAAAATGTCTATCCCAGTGAGCGTGATTTTCTCACGGCGTTAGGCGGGGTGCGCAAGGGTTCATATAGTCAGGCTGCCCTTGGGTGGGCCATTCCAGGCTCCATTGGAGCCTTGTCTGATCGGCATAGACCCTTCCAAGCCACATGTTTGCCTAACCAACCTCATCCTTCGAATGTCACCGCTTCTGTGGAAATTGCAATTGGGGTGATTTGATTCGACAGCAATATGTCCACTCATCCGGTGTCTGCCTGATGGACCAGCGTCGGGAATGTGTTCCCCAAAATGCATTAAGCCATTTGGGGGCGGGAAGGTGCAGGATGAGACAAAAGTAATCAATCTATTGATGCATGCTACAGTACTGATCCCAGGTTACCATAGCGCGCACGCAGCTAACTATCACTACCCACCGCCCAACAGTCATAATACACTTTAAGAAGCTCCTTCATGGGTTTGAGGCCCAAAAGCTTCGGGTTATCGGACAGCGCGCGGCGAAGATTGCTGGTATCGTAACGTGACATGTGCTCAAAAGCAGCCCACGACAGCATGTGCTGGGAAAGCTGCCCAACAACCAAGGGCGTCGTTACATTCCAGCTTGCGTCGCTGAACTTGGTAAATTCTCCCACCCATTCCGTATTTGAGAGACTTCGTAACGGAGCCGGCGCATGTTGACTTAAAATTTGGAACACCTCCGCGAGGGTGATGACCTTTTCTTGGTCGGGTTGGAGCACGTTGAACGCGTGGCCAATGTTTGAGTCATTTACCGATATGTGCGATATGACAGAGGTAACGAAATCCACCGGGACAACCTGCCATCGCTGTGGTGGGGGTCGAGGGTAGCAGCCCAGTCGTATACAGTTGGTCATGAGACGATTTACCATGTCGTCCTTTCTGCACGCGCCTGTCATACTGTGCCCGGTGACGATGGCTGGACGATATATAGTGACAGGGAAGCCATTGTCTTTCGCATCCCAGAAGATACTCTCCGCCACGAATTTGCTTTGCGTGTAGCCGAGTGTTTCCCTCATAGTGTGCGCCTCAAGGGTCGGTCTCACGTCTTCCGCAATTTCTGTCTCGGCGTCTTTCGCAAGACCACAGGCAGACATACTGGAACAATACTGTATAGATTTCAGACGCTCGCTATTAGCGAAACGAAGAATCTCGAGTATCCCGAGTACATTGGTGCTGCGATGGATTGCATAGGGTAACGTATAATTCGAGTATCCGGCAAAGTGGTAGATGACACTTGCCCATTGTGCCAGTTCTTTGTATCGCTTTTCTTCTATGCCCAAGCCCTTCGCGGACACCTCTCCAGGGACGACGATAATTTTGGATTCGAATTCCATTGCTGTGCCGTACATGGAAAACGCCTCTCTGATCCGTGCCATCCCAGCTTCAGGGGATTCGGCCCGGACCAAGCAAGCAACGGCCTTAACTTGTGGCAGGCACAGGAGCCGAGCCAGAAGAGACGAGCCGAGGAAACCAGTCGCCCCGGTGAAGAATAACTTGCCTTCGACTTCTGAAGTCCAGTCGACAAACTCCCTGGAGATAGGCCGCATAGCTCTGCCCAATGCCAGATCTTCCTGGAAGTCAAGATTCTCATCTAGCGCTGGCGGAAGAGCATCCGCTTGAGTGTTCGGACCCGCAGGGTGGCCGTATCTCTCTCGCAGCTTTTGCAAGGCGATTTTACTCAATCCCCCCACCCGACCAGCGGATGAGACCTCTACCAGCGTAATTTCAATGCCAGCGTTCCGACGGAACCACGTTCGGATTTCAAATGTCATTAGAGAATCAATTGCGATGTCGGCGAGATCCTGTCCGCTGAGATCGTCTGGACGCGACGTGTAGGAAGCGATCAGTTTTCCCAGCTCGGAGGTTAGACGTTGCTCTGTCTTGGGATCATCTAAGATTGCAGGGTTGTTTTTAATTGCGTCCATTTGCTCCCTGAGTTCATCAGTTCGAGACTCCGACGGGCCATCAGCGACGTTCGATAGCATGTTATTCCATGCACTGAACCGGACTTCGCGCATCCACGACCATGCCATTTCATCGCTGGTTGTATGCCTTGTCGTGCCAAGGCCCACAATAAGCTGACTAGGAAGATGGTATCGTTGTGAAAAGACAGCAATTCCCAACGCTTGTAGTAAATGATGTTCTTCTAGCAGCTGTAAGGAACCAGAGCGTGCAACTTCCATAGTTCCAGGATGTGACATCTCTGATACATATCCAATTCCTAGCACGAGCCCCAGGTCGATTACACTTGCCACGAGGCCTTTAGACCGGCGGTATTCGGCAAAGGCGTCCAGGAATGTGTTGGCCCCCGCGTAGTTTGTCTGACCGGGCCATCCGCTAATGCCAGCGACAGATCCAAGTAGCACGAAGAAATCGAGCGGTTTATTTTCAAACACAAGATGAAGGTTCCAGGTGCCTTGTACCTTGGGGGTGAGGGCTTGGGTCCATTCATCGTGCGACATGTTGCGGAATCCTTGGTCCTAGAGAGCGTGTTAGTGAGTCACGTCAATCACTCGAATTCAACAAATTATTAGGAAAAATACATACTCTAAGTACCATAGCCAAATTTATGATACCCGCAATGGGCGTCGGCGATGCGTTTTCAGCCCGACGGACATCTTCAATATTCGCCACATCCCCAGCAACTGTAGTGACGCTACAACCTTGCTCCTGGAGGTCGCGGATGACACTCTCAGCTCTGGCAGTACTGGAGCCCGATCGGCAGAGGATAACCAGGCGACGGGCACCCTTCTCCACCATCCAATTCACGACGGCACGGCCGAGTCCACCAAACCCACCGACTACCAGATACGACGCCTCGGCGGAGAAGTAAGGCGTCGTTTCATGAGCCCGGGTTACTGCAAGGGTGGAAGGCTCTTCCGGCATTTTGATCACAATCTTTCCCATATGCTGGCCGCTTTGCATATATCGGAATGCCTTCTCAACATCGCCAGCCTCGTACACGGTGATGGGTTTAATCGGCTGCGCTTTGCCTTCGTTGAAGTATGCGAGCATCTGATTGGTTAAGTCGCGCAGGTCCTCGGCGTTGTCGTTGATGAGCTGCAGGACATCAACTCCGACAAAGGCTCTGTTCCCAGCGAACAAATCCATGTCTAGTTTACCATGGCCTAGAAAGTCCCGCTTGCCCAGCTCCAGCATCTTTCCGAATTGCGCAACGCATTTCCACGACGCATGAAGCAACTCACCCGACAGCGAGTTCAAGACTATATCTACACCGCGATTATTCGTCATTTTCATGACGTCCGGGAGGAAAGACGCGCTGCGAGAGTCGAATATGTGGTTGGTCGGGATCCCTAATTTTTGGAGATGCTGGATCTTTTCCTGTGACCCCACGGTTGCATATATTTCAGCCCCAACTGCTCGACATATTTGAATAGCTGCCAGGCCTACGCCACCACATGCAGAGTGGATCAAGACCGACTGCCCTTTTCGAAGATTTCCCACGGTCAGTAGAGAGTACATGACGGTCACATAGACGCAAATAACGGTGGCAGCCTCTTCCAGAGGAAGCTCGGGTGGAATGGGAACGCATCGATCTGCGGGTAGTATCCTGCGTGTACACATGAGCCCCGTGCCTGCTAACATCACCTTATCGCCGACTCGAAGGCTCGTGACTCCAGGCCCGACACGACGGATGATTCCGCTTCCTTCGATGCCGATCTCGCCAGTGTGTGACATGAAACCCATCGCGATCATTACATCCTGTTATGTTATTGTTAGCAATGTCCACTGCGGTCAGTGACGAGCAAGCCTTACCCTAAAGTTAAGCCCAACGTATTTCACATCCACTTCAACATGGCCTTCCTCGACCTTAGCCGGAACAAGATCCGCTAACGTCCACATGAAGGAACTGAGCATCGCGTAGGTCCCAATGTCTAACATGCGCGTTCCCGCGATTCCCTCTGCCCACTCCAGCGGCTGCTCCAGAGACTTCCACTCATATCGACCAGCCTGGATTACACCGTTTTGCACGACAAACTCACACTCGGGGTTTGCATCCGGGTCCTCTATCTGGGATAGGAATGTTTCATATGCCCTGATGATCGGCTGCAGGGCCCTCGAGTCAGCATTATCAAGCTCTAACGTGACGAAGTTCTGCGTAACCTCGTGTCGAAGAGTTCGCGCAACTCCCAAGATCAGCCCATAACGAGGGTCTCTGCACCCCAACTGGATCGACTGCGTCACCCAGAAAAGGCGGCTGGTTGTACAGCGTGATAACCAACTACGGAACCGGTCAAAATCTTCCTTTGTCAAATCGAAGAAGAACGGGCCTTCTAAATCCATTAGGGATATGATGTGAGAGCCCGGCGGCGGCGGCTGGTCAAGGGTCGAATAAGACACCTCATAGCCAGCTAGCTCAAGCTGATGCCCAAGCTCCCGGGCCCAATCCGTGGTCCTGTACCTGCAAAGCAGGAATACTTCGCCCTTTTCCAGTTTCGGTGGCAGTAGCCTTGAGACCATGTGCGCGCTGAGCTGATACGGGGCTTCGTTATCGTATCGACAGCATTCGACGCCCGTAAATCCCTCTTTCACTAGCTCACTGTGCCACCGTTGAGTCGAGACATATGGTCGATCAGCCCGACCATCTTCTTCCCCAAGCCACCAACCGGGTAGTAGACCCATTATGTAGTCAACCTTGAAGACATCACCGGCCAGCTCGATAAGAAACAACCGACCGCCCCGAGTCAGGAGCTTCCGGACGTTAGCCAGAGACTCAGAAAGCCTCGGTGTCGCATGGAGAACATTGGAAGATATAACCAGGTCATAATTCTCGGCCTCAAACCCCTGCTCAACGGGGTCACGCGTGATGTCCAAAGTAGCGAAGTTCATATCCGGATAAGACTTGAAACGGTCCTTCGCTTCTGCCAAGAACCCCGGCGATATATCCGTGAACGTGTATTTGGAATATAATCTATTACCGCTCCCTGGCACGAGACCCTTGAGCGCGGTGGAGGTGTCCCCGCCAGTGCCACCTCCGATCTCCAGGATCCGAAGAGCGGGCCTAGAATGGCCTAGCGATTCAAAGAACTCGTGCCACGAGGAAATCTGGGAACTGATTGAGTATAAACCCTTCAGGCCGCCATCTTTGATGAGAAGCTCAATTGGATGTATTTCGCCTGCGAAAATCCCACGGATAGACTCGTGCACCCTTTTAGCTAGGATATACATAGGATACTCGGTTGCCTCGGGGGACAGGTTTGTGTACTCCTCAATTGCCTTCCTGCGGCTACTCTCGTCTAAAGTCCATGACTCCCACACTTCTGGCACCAGATTGGCGTGATTCGCGCATATGAGGTCGTGTTGAGATTGGAGCCACGACTGATACTTCTTGAGATGAGGCTCCACTGGATCCAAAAACTTGGTTTGATGGTATGTATCACACGTGAAAAGGCTGAACATCCTGACCATCGTTTTCCCAAAGGTGAGACGCGTCTGCGTGCCAGGGATTTGTTCTCTCGGGGGAATGAAATCGATGTGTGGCCTAAAGCGGAGACTTGACAACAGCGGCAGATTCGTCCTACCGACATCAGGATCCTGCGTAGAGAAAAAGTGGCCGTTTTGCAGACGCAATGCAGTACCAGATCCATAGTTAAGGGTCGCATCCCCGGACATAGTGCCACCGGCGCCATCGCAAGAGACAGCTAGTACCATTGAACCTCTCCCGAAGTTGACGTGCAGACTTTCCAACCCGATCGGGATGCATAACCTCGTCATGCGGCGCGGAATGCCGTTTGTTGCAGCCACACTGAGCAACTGCAAGGCCTGGTCGATGAGTATAGGATGGAGTGCGTATCGACTGCCGTAGAATGATTCCTCATCCTGGACAGTGGCCGCAGCCTCGAACGCCAGCGGATGCGCCGATATTTCACGCAGTCGGCGGAACTGGGGCCCGTATGACATGCCGCGCTTGTCCAACGCGTTGTACCATTTTCCTGAATCGACAGATCGCGAGTATGGTTGAATATTCTCCGTTTCATACGGTCTGTCTGGTCCTGGCCTTACCTGGCCCATGCAGTGCTTCCTCCAAGTGCCATTTTGATAGGCACTTATTGTAAATTCGTACCACACCGAATCAATGTTATCTGCGAGTTTAGCTGGTCTGAGATTGGTTGAGAGCTCTGTTGTACTTGATGAGTCGAGTATCATGGCAGTCCGCATGAACAGGTTCCTAATAGAGTAGTCCTCTACGCCAGTCATTTGCCGAATAGCCTCACCAGCCATTGCGACGTAGGCCGCACACGGGAAGACAATGTCCCTGCCAATTCTATGGTCGGCTAACCAGGGCACATAGTCTAGGTGTAGAAGACATCTCCATGATGGCTCCACGTCGGAGGATTCGAGTCCCCGAGAGCCTAACAGTTCATGGTGCGGATACTTGCGGAATTTCCATCCATGCACCATGCGGGTCTCGGCCCAGAACGACTCGTCGTGCTTCCAGGAATATGACGGTAGATCGGTTAATACTCTTCCCGTAGGAACCAAATTCGATAACTGAATAGAGGTGCCATGAGAATATAATTGCCCAGCAGTCTCTAGCAAAGTGTGCCATTGGGCGGAATTCCTCTGCAAAGTGGCAACGTACGCCCATTTTTTGCCCTTGTTCTTGCTAGAGTTCATGATCTGGCGAATAGGCGAATGGAGTGCCGAATGTGGCCCGACCTCCAGGAGTAACTTGGGGGTTTTATCAGCGTCGATTGCTTTCTGAACTGCGGTACTGAAAAGCACTTGACACTGCAGATTCTGCGCCCAGTATACCGTATCCAGATCGCGCGGTTCACTTATGCGGGCCGCAATGACGGATGAGTAGAAAGGAATCATGTATTCGTCTTGAGATATCAGAGGACGTATTGCGTTCTCGTATTCTTCCGACACGTCTTTCATGTGGTTAGAGTGGTAGGCGACATTGACAGCCAGGCGTCGGCAGAAGATATCAGGGTGTTCATCCCGTATCTGCTCGAGGGCGGCATCAAGTACAGCTTTATCTCCTGATATCGTCACACTGACAGGACTATTTTCGCAGGCTATCATAATTCCTTCTCGTAAATATGGCCTCACCTGCTCTGGACCCAACCCAACAGCAGCCATTGCGCCAGGACGGCTGGCTGCGAGCTTCTTCGCCACTTGTCCACGGAAGTATGCAATGATTATCGCAACGGAAGCGGGTAGAGCCCCAGATGCATAAGCCGCTGCAATTTCTCCGCTCGAATGGCCCACTACTGATTCTGGCACAATGCCCCAGCCGTGCAGGAGATTGACCAGAGCAATCTGAATAGCAGTAGTTAAAGGCTGGGCGAATTCCGGCTCCCCGACGCGGCTTGTTATGTTCGACTTTGACAGTTCCTCTGTTACCAGTAAGCATACAACAACCTCAGCGGTTTGTAGAGAACGTGCCTTCAATGGTCCACGTGGGAGGGTCATCCAGGCGCTGGAGTGCTTGATCCATTGCTTGGATGTCGCTTCTAAAGCTAGGCAATTGCGCTATGAGCTCGCTTCCCATCGACGACCATTGCGATCCTTGGCCGGTAAACACAAATATCACAGACGGTGATATTGTCCTAGCCCTCTGAAACGGAGCAAGATGGCCATCAAACCCCACTATCGAGAAGGCGCGGTGTGTGAGGTGTTCTCGCCGTTGAGATAGGGAGTAGGCCAAGCTGTGCACTGATAATGGATTTGACTCTAGGTAGTCGGTGACACCCTGTATTTGGCCATCTAACGACTCTTTGCTATTCGCCGAGACCACCAGTAAGTGGCGGTTTTTGGCGCTGCTGGCTTTTGATCTTGCAGGGACATCATTGTGGCGTAACAACGGGGCGGAATCAAGTATGAGCTGGGCTGTTAGCGACGATATATCCAAGTAGACATGAGATCATACATGTGCATTCGTTCCACCGATCCCAAACGAATTGACGCTGATCCTCTCTCTTTTGTGTAGTGGCCATGGTTGAGGCTCGACCGGGACCTGGAGCTTTGCAGCCTCGAAGGGAACTAATACAGATCAGCATACAAGCTACTGCACTAGAGACCCCCGTCTTATCAATAAAGAATGGTAGCATCAAGAAGATTGAGCATACTCCGTGGATTGGGGTCTTTGAAGTGAACGTTGGGAGGAATCGTGCGGTTTTCCAGCGCGAGAACGCACTTGATCACGCTGGTGATGCCTGAGGCGCCCTCCGAGTGACCGACGTTCGGCTTAACCTGTTTGGGTCAACATCGCCTTAACATCAGGCAGTCTGATAGAGCTTCATCTTCATCTTCAACATCATATCACAATCACTTACCGCACCAATATATATCCCATCCTGGCCAAATATGTTCGCAACAACAGATGCTTCGGCCGTGTCCCCCGCGATCGTCCCAGTGCCATGACACTCGAAGAAAGCAGTCTTCCCGATCTCCTCATCGGGAATACCAGCTCGTCCATATGCCCTCCGTACGAGCCTTTCCTGTGCTTCAGACCCCGGCGTGGTGATACTAGGCGTCTTTCCATCGCAGTTAACAGCCGTGGACCGGATGATTGCACGGATAGGATCCCTATTCTCCAACGCATCCTTCAACGGCTTGATATAGATGACGTTAATCGCCTCTCCCCTCCCATAGCCATCCGCCGCAGCATCAAACGTCCTGCAAACCCCACTCTGCGACAGCACCATATTCTCCGACATGGAGACCGTCATAGTCGGGCTCATAATCAGGTTCACCCCCGCGACCAGCGCAGAGGAGCAATCCCCAGCATACAAAGCCTGACAAGCATCATGCAACCCAACCATACTCGACGAGCACCCCGTCCTGACAGCAACACTCGGGCCCCGCAAATCAAACTCATACGAGACGCGGTTCGCGAGCGCAAAGTCCCCCGCGCTCATCACCCGGTACCGGTCGAAATGCTGCGTATCCTTCGCCAGCAGATCCAGCCAGTCCTCGCCGAAGCTGCCCACGTACAGCCCGATATTGGTGCCCCGCCAGCCCGTCTGGCCGCCGTTCTCCATGCACTCCCACACGACCTCGAGCAGGTGTCTCTGCTGGGGGTCCAGCTTCGCCGCTTCGAGCTTGCTCATGGCGAAGAACGACGCGTCGAGGTGGCTGATGTCGCGCTGCAGGAAGTAGCCGTGTTTGGTGCGCACGGCGCCCGGACGCAGCTCGTCGTAGAACGCGTCCACGTTGTACCGCGACTCCGGGACCCGGCACAGCCCGTCGCGCTTGTTGACGAGGAAGTCCCAGAAGTCGGTGTCGGAGTTGACGCCGCCCGGCAGCCTCATGGCCATGCCTACGATGGCGACGGGGAACGGGACGGGGTCGTCGCTGCCATTGCCTTGGCTGTCCACTTCTTGTCTGTCTGACGCGGCGGTCGGTGTGTCCTTGGTGGGAGGGTGGAAGAGGATGTTTCCTGGACTGGCGGCTTCGAAAAGGGTCTCTTTAAAGGCGCGGCTGTCGAGAACCCGAGCCATTCTGGAAACTAACTACCTGCTGGCTGGCTGTTGAACTGTGGATGATCGTATAGATTGGGACGAGAATGGAACAGAGTGACATGTATAGGACAAGGTATAGATTGCTCGCTATTGCACACCACAGAATATATCGTCCAGCATACATTCATCCACCGGATACCGTCCACCAAACGGTTGCGGGCTACCGGTTCAGCATGCCAGACTGTTTAAAGGTATAGGAGAGATACGACGGGGTGGTCGCTCAAAGCCTGGCATTTGGCCAGATCATGCTGCTGCCCGTCCACACACCCGGTGCTATGATCACAGATTGGCTCGTCCTCGATCTAGTCCTCGCCTTTCAGCTTCTGGGGTAACAATGTACGCCGTGGGTGTTTGACAGATGATCTAGCCTCTCGAGACTTGCCTCGAGGTTAGGTCTAATGCCAACCGCATAACACATTTACACATGTGAGCCATCCTTTCTATTCAGCTATCCAAACAAGCCATCTATCTAGCCACCATTTCAGCCATCCCCAAATCCTCAAAAAGGAAGAGCCCATCGCCAACCACCATCTACTATCCAACTCCCAAATACAACACCATAAACCCAGACATCCATCATGCGATGCAAGACATACATACATACATATACATACACACATGCATACATGTACCCAATCCACAGATGTTACACATCACCAGCCCCAACCCAACCCAGCCAACCCCAAAGCCATACATATGTATAACAACTAGGTATACAAGTAACACAAGCCGGCGCGCCTCGCATCCCGTCCCACCAGCCCCATACCCAGAACGAAACCCAGCATAACATAAGAGCACCCACTGATGACGATCATAAAGACCCGTCCTCAGCCCTGCCGGTCTGATTGGAGAATAAATCAATGCACATTTTGCGGCGTAAAGTGTCCTTACCTGTCTGTCTGGCAGATGTTTTAAGACCGGTGTTTAGTTATACCCCGCTGAAGACACGGACGGGGGGTCATCTGCGGTGGGTTTTGGTTTCTTTTAGTTGGATGAGTCGTCGCGTTCTGGTCTTTTGTGATGAGATGGATGGGATTGCGGGAAGTTTTGATCTCGCTTTAGAGGTGAGGTAGTTGGGTAGGTAGGTAGGTGGGTGGGTGGCTAGCCCATCCATCCATCCATCCATCCATCTGTGCATCTTCCTGGAAGTGGGAAGGGGCAAAACAACCATCTTGACGTAGGTGCGACATGGTTACTAGGCGGGTAGGGAGAAGATATCACATGAGTAAGGTAGATTTGTTCTATTACAGCCAATAAAATGTCTTCAGCGGTATATTTACAAGAATAGTAGTTAGTAGGCACCTAGGTAGGTAGTAGACTCCCCTTTCCCTCCTCTCTCCATCACATCCACTTCCAGCGTAGCAGAACAAGCAAGCAAACAAGCACATATACACACACACACACACATACAGCAAATCAAATCAAGAAAAATGATGAAAACAACCCTCTCTAGCAAACACGCCACGCAAAAGGAAAGAGTCAGGGTAGGTCATGTCGAATGATGATACGTTTAGGATAGGTAAAAGAAACAGAAGGTAAGGAAAAGGCATGGCGTGAAATCAAGAATTAAAAAAAGGAGATGGCAAATTCAAAAAAAAAAAAAAAGCTAAGTCTATAACGAAATCTCATCGGGTCGTGCCTCGACGCCCAGGTCCGCGTCGAATTTGTAATGCGTGCTGTCAGAGTCCGGGTGCACGTCTTTGATGGGGTGGAAGAGGATGGATGGGAGGATGACGCGGCCGTGGGTGTTTTCGTACTGGAGTCTTGTTAGCTAAATCGTTATAAAGAGTGCGAGAAATAGATGTATGTACCTTCTGCCCCCCTGTCCCCTCTTTTTTCCAGCCGAGGAAGTTCCAATACAACAGACCCGGCAGGTTGGCGCGGTAGTACCACGATACCCACTCGAAGCGCGACTCGCGGCCCCACGAGAAGGGACTGTCGCGGTTGTTGCCGGCCTTGCCGTCGACGCCGGAGTTGAACCACCGGTCGGCGCGCTTGCCGGGCATCTTCTGGTCGGAGAAGATGGGGTGGGGGACGGAAACGCCCTTGAAGCCGTGGAGCAGCGCGGTTGATGCGGGGAAGATCTCCGAGCCCATGTGGCGGCCCTGGAGGTTCTCCTCGTCCATGGCCATGAGGAGGCGGCGGGAGAGGCGGGAGTGGGTGATGAGGGTCGCGCGGCGCGGGGTGTCCTCGCCCAGGTAGCCGTAGACCTGGTTGCGGATGACCCAGTCGGTGAAGCGGGGGTTGAAGGCCGGGAGGAAGCCCAGGTAGTCTGCGTCTTCGCCGACGCCCCACTCGAACTGGTCGTCGGCCTCGTCGTTGACGGGAGGCCACGGGCCCATGGGCTGCACCTTGCCGCCCTCAAAGTCCGCAATCGGCATGGGGCCCCAGATCCCGGGGGTGGCCTGGGTGGAGACGAGCTGGCGGAACTTGGTGTCGTAGTCGCCGTGGTATTCGGGCACGTAGAATCGTTCGTTGCGCTCCCAGATGCCCTTGCGCGGTTGCTTGCGTCCGAAGGCTCCGACTTGCTCGGTGAACTCGTAATGATGGCCGGTCATGCGGCTGTCGATTTCCCAGTTCCAGAAGTATTCGAATTGTTGGTTATCAAGCATGAAATGCTGCACGGACAGCCACTGCGAGAAGTGGACACTATTGACAATTAGTATCGTACCACTGGAGAAAAGGGGATTGGAGTAAAAGAAAGGAAAGGCGTACTCAATGACACCAGGATCCAGCAGCGGGTAGCGAGCGGACACGGTCGGCACATTCCAAAACTCGGTGATCCCCCAGAATTCCCGGGGAATGTTCTCTTCGAGCAGAGTCTGCAGCATGTCATCCGAATCGAGGGGGACGTCCCAATCCTTGACGTGGACAAAGAGGACGACCTCGTATTCGCCGCCCGACTGGAGCCCCAGCTCGGTGATCATGGCGCGGATGGACTGCTTCTCGTTTTCGGTGTACTCGTGGCCGGTGTAGGTGCGGATCAGGACGACGGAGCGCGGCAGCGGGGCGAGCTCGGCGTTCTTGGGGGTGGTGGGTTTGGTGGACTCCTGATACAGCGACTCCAGGCCGAACCGGTCGGAATTGTGGCCGATGCACTCCAGTTGCAGCCGCCCCCAATCGACATTCTCCCAGTCCACGGGTTCCGGTCGGACCCAGTTCTTCACGTTTTCATCCTTTTCGCCCAGACCGTAGGGACCGTATCTCAAGTAGCGATCGTAGGAAATGCGACCGTCGATACCGAGGAGCTCGTAGGAGCCGAACTGAGGCTCCGGGAATCCTGTGAAAATATGGGTGTTAGCTCGAAACCAGCAGAATCCGCAGGGCGATTCCTCCACGTAACATACCAGTGGGAAGACCAGCGTAGACGCCAACCTGGTCGTCCATACTCTCGTTCAACATTTTCCCGCGGGGGCCCATACAAGCGGTGAATTCACCGCGATGCTTATTCTGGTAGTCGAGGCTCTCATAGTCGGGATAGGGGAGGAAGATCTTGGGGGTGGGACCGGTGCCATGTTTCTGGTAACGGGGGTCGTCGTAGACCTTGGGGTTGTCAAAGTCGTCGAAGGTTTTTAAGCGGTCTAACGTGGAATGGAAGCCTTGAAATTGTCTGGACGGGTGAGCAGGGAACTTTCTCGACTGGGACGGCAAGTCCGTCGCTTACCTAGGAAAAGTTTGGGTTTCTTCGCGGTAGGCGACTTGAGGATCTGGGAGGGACTGGAGGAGGTTAGCTGTTTGGTTTTCTTCATTTTTCTTCAGTTTCTCCTCATTTTCTCCTCATTTTTCTCTCTTCGAGTTCTGTTCCCCCTTTTCCTTCGTATCTTTCCATCGACGGCATTGATGACAGAACGACCAGACAACCACAGAAGAAAAGACGACAAGCCGAAAATCATCACCTCAAAGACTTCACTCCGACGACCCAAAAAAAAAGAACCAAAGAAAGAAAAAAAAAAACTCACCGAAGCAACAACGGAGTGGGGACGCGACAGCATCACCAGCGCCCAAAAGACAGCAGCCGAAGCCAACATGATCGCCAGCAAGCGCGTATATCTGCGATTAGACCTGACCTTGCGCGCCCACAAAGGCAAGGGAAGAAAATCGTGGGAACCCTTTATTGACATGGTTAGGGGCAGAGATAAAAGGGCAAGGCCACAGATATACTGGACAGGCTGTAGGGACCCATGGGCAGGACGACGGAGACGGGGGGGGGGGGGGGTGGAAACTAATTGGAGTGGTGGGTTTGAGTGGTGGGTTTTCAGGCGGTGGGTCTTTTTGTGAATGACGAATGGAAAGGCATTCAGTTTCAGTAGGTTTTATAGGACCCAAACTGGAACCCAAGGAATTGATTTTTGGGGGTGGGTTGTAAGGTGTAAGATGTGGCTCAAGTAGCCACGGTTAAAGTACGGAGAACTTACTGGGGAGAAGAGAAAAGAAGGGATTGAAAGCGTTGGTATGTAATTTGACAGCTGAAGGCGGTATGATTGTCTAGAGTAAGGTCGAGTAAGCTGATAACAGCCGATGGGTTGAGTTCAGATGGACTGAGTTCAGAGGTGGACAGTCAAGAATGATATAATTTCTTATCTTTATTCTTCATTATTTACTCCTCATCCCTGAGATTTTATTATTTATAATTTATGATCTATATTGAACAACAGAGGTTGGACAAATATTCAACCGCATGCAGTGAAGAACGGCCGGTATTCCTGACAGCAAATAATACAGGGCTGAATTGGTGGAATCTTACGGAAATCGGCTGACGCGTTCATACCAAGTCGATTCTGGCCAGACTGATCCGTTACACTCCATACAGTACCAGGTACTGTCTTTAATACCTTGGACCGACCATATACTCCGTACTCTCCGAGGATCTAGTTTGGTACGGTAAGATAGGGGATCCAGTTGGTATTAAGGCCATCAACCTCATCTTCTGCTGAGATATAATAAGATATAATAAGATATAAGACCATGTCAGGAGACCGCACGGATTCCGTTCTACTCCTAATACAATACAATGAATCCCTTCCTCTATCATCCCATGCAAATACAATCACCATCAATAAATACATGATGACGAATAACAACCCCCCGTCCCTGCATCTCTCGCGCCATCCATTCAATAGATCTTCCTCCTGCAGGTCTCCCTCAGTCACGACTAAAACTGGACTACCAACTCCTGGATTCAATTGATGCAAAAAATATCCAGAAACAAGGAGCCAGAAAGAGTTTCATCCCCGCAACCAGCTCCTCAGTCACCCAGGCTCAACCAGCCATTTCCTCCCGGGAAGGATGGATGCCAGCCTGAATAAAAAGGTTGCAGGAACGACGCGGATTCCTGCCGCACCCGGAGTCCCGTCCCTCAGGGTCATACCTCTTACGGAGTACAAGTACCTACAGCAGCGACGGAGTACGGAGTATAGGTAAAGGGAAGTATCATCTCTGCCGCAAATAGAGTGCGATCGGCCGGCCCTGCAAATTACGCCCGTCTCAAGATTTGCGTTCGAATGCGGTTGTGCTTCTTCCGTCTGGCCCAGCCGGGTTTAGTTAGTTAGTCACCTACCTGTAAGGTAAGGGTCGGACTTTTGGGGGTCTCGGAGACCGGTCGGGTTTGATTTTTTCCTTCTTTTTTTTATTTACTGTTTATTTTATGTGTTTGATTCCCTTATGGATTCAATTATTCAATCATACACTACTTTTCATTCATTGTCTCTCTCTTTCTATCACTATTCATCATACCCATCTATCTACCTATTTATTTCCATCCAACTCTCCCATACCATAAAAAAAAAAAGAAGAGGGAAAAAAGGGAAGAACTCAATGGAATAAATCACTGTAATGTGCAATCCCCACAGCCGAAGCCAATCAGTATGACACCCACTTTTCATCCCGCCCAAGCTTTTCCCTTCCATTCCATCCATCCATCCATTCTGGGTTCGTTTTTCTATTCCCGTTCCGGTAGTTGGTCCCGTGACACTACCCTGTTTGACAATGCTTGAGAACAATGCTTTGCACAATGGCATTCATTGCATTGCAAATGGTCCACTTATTTGAATGCTGAGTAAGATCGATATGTAAACATGGTGTTAGCTTTGCCAGAATGTCCGGATAAGGTACAGTTCTATAGTTAACATCATCAATGAGGATAAAGTAATGTATTCATGTAATGCCAACCCCGGGATGCACCAGGCCGTCCCTAGGGCCTTGGCTGACTATGCAGGGAAATATCCCCTAACTAAGACTAGTAAATCGATATATACAGACGAGCAGAGTAAGGAATATAAGGAATGTAAGGAGTGTATAATGTCGCCAGGCTCACGGGGAATCGTCGTCGTCCGGAACATGCTGGTAGATCTTCTTCGATCGACGCGATCGCACCATCCACACGATCCCCGCCACCGCACCCCCCATCGAGCACAGCACCAGGAGGCCGATGAGAACGCCGCCTATCCCATTGAGCGAGTCGTACGCCCGCATCATGGCCTCTGCGAGCTGCTGCGCCGTGGCGGACGCTTCACCCGCCGCGGTGGTGTCGGCTTGCGCGGCCTCCGCGTCCGCCGTCGTGGCGGGGGGTTCACCCTTGACGGGTGCGGGAGCGTCGGTGGGGTAGCGCACGGCGGGATCGTCCGGCGCGGGTCCGCTGCTGTTCTGGCCGTGGTAGCCCAGCGCGGGCCAGTCGGTGGTGACGGGCTTGGAGCGGATGATGTCCGAGACGGTGATGACGTTGCCGTCGCGGTCAAGCGCGTCCGCCGAGATCCAGTCCATGTAGCCGCTGGCGAGGAACATGGTCTCAAAGTCCCGCTTGGGGACGTTGCCCATCAGGTGCCGCGGGTGCTCCTCGCCGGCCTGGGCGTAGAAGTTCCACGACGCGATGTCCGTGGCGCCGTTCCAGCTGATGTGGATCGTCGTCAGCACGCTGGCCTCGTCGGCTGCGTAGACGGAGGCTACCATCGTGGGGGCGTAGGCGGGGCGTCCGACGAAGTCGTACTTGTACGCCCGGTAGGTGTTCAGACGGCCGGAGGCGAACCGCGCCGAGACGAGGTTGTCGCCTTCGGGGGAGAACTCGCTCTGGTAGCCGCGCTCGCTCCAGCCGACGAAGACGTTGCCGTTGGGCAGCCGCTGCACGCTGCCGCGGAGCAGCGTCATCAGTCCGTCGGGGCGGGGGTACCGCTGTTGCAGTTTGGCAGTCATTGCCTCGGTGTCCAACTCGACGATCAGAGCCGACGAGACTTCCTCCTCCTGCTGGTTCTCGTCGCCGGCGTTGTTCAGCAGCGAGATGACGTGGTGCGTTCCGCTGGACTCGAGAAATTTGGCGTCGTGCTGCTTGGAGAAGACAAAGTCCTGGACAAAGTCGGACTCCTGGCCGCCCAGCCGCCAGATGACGTGGCCGTCCTTGCCGGAGATGAGGTAGATGGTGTTGGTGAAGCGCATGGAAATGAGATAGTCGCCGTCGGAGTTCTTGTCAACCGCGTTCATGTGCACGTAGTCCCAGCCCGGGGGCCCGTCGGCGGGGTTGTCCGGGTTGAATTTGACCGACTCGTGGATGGCCAGGTGGTCGGTCGAATCCCAGGCGAAGACGACCTCTTTGGTGGTCAAGTTCCACTCGACAAAGCCGCCAGTCATGAAGAAGGAGGTCACGCCGGGCCGACCGACATCGTCCAACGGCAGTTCCTTAGTACGGTAGACGCAGGCCAGCGCGGACTCCCCTCCGTTGAGAACGTTGAACTCGTGGATGTTGAACTCGTAATTGTCCTCCAGTCTCATGATCTCCTGCTCGATCTCGTAGTGGCTGTTCATGATCGTCGCGCGGCCTCGCATACTGTCATCGTAATTCCGCTGCGCGATCAGCGATAAGTGCGTCTCGTTCTGCGAGTCGGTGAACGCCTTGAAGTCGAAGACATTACGGTCGTAGAAGATGGGGGGGCCAGCCCAGATGAGAACCTGTGATGCGACCGCGTTAGTTCGACCTACTACTCAGTTGCGGGAGGGCGGTTTGACATGGACATGTCGAGATCTGTATGCATACCCCGTCGCCGTCATAGATGTAAGGTCCAACCTGGTAGGGCTGAAATTTCTGGGTGGGAGTTTCCGGCACGATCTTGCCGTAGGGCGCCACAAACCAGTAGCCCGGGCTCACGCGCTCCCGATCATGGTAGACGACCTCCCATTTCAAGGCACGGATCTCAGGAAGCTATAAAGTCAATCAGAATAAAGCTTTTCTTATTTTCCAGAAGAACGATGTCAAGGCGTACCGTCACAAAGGACATTAAGTCATCATCGCGGCGGGCAATCACGCCATGCAGCAACGACAACGCTAATAGGACGAACAATATCATGGTCTAAAATGAGTGTCGCGAGTGGGACTCGGGTATAAAACAAATTAAGCCAAAGGGAAAAGAAAAATCAACAAATCAAAGCAAAAAAGAAAGGAATGTACGAGGTGATGACATGCAATTAGAGGTTCATGTCACCCCCAGCAAGAATGATCATTGAATACGAAGAAGAACAGAAGCAGGAGAGGGTTCGCCAGCCGCTACAAAAGAGTCGGAGAATGAATGATAGGTCTTAGGGCTTTGACAGGCTAAGATCCAGGGGACCCGAAATAGTGGAGATGCGGGTTGTTATTACATGGTGTTAGTCATGTAGGTGTTTCTTTTTTGATCCTGTTCGCCCATTTCCTTGACTGTTTGGTGGTCATGGACAGCCCATCGGTGGGAGAAGGGAGAAAAAACGGACGGAAAGCGGACTCCGTAGGGGAGGAAATGCTTGGCCCGACCACTCTCGGCCAAACACAGTGCGATATAAGTGCTTGGCATCCTCCACAGGGCCAGGGTCATTGGCAAGATAGGGAGAGCCCAGACTTGCCGGAAATTTGGCCGTGGGAACGGGGATACTTTCGGTCTCCCCTCACCATGACCTCCATGACACGGTGGATAAACCCACCAGCAACCATGTTTCATTGGCGATGATTTGGCGATTGCGCATCCTCTCCATGCTATGTCCGGATCTTCTAACGGGTGGGTCCGCGGAATAGGAGACAGAAAGTCAATCCGAATCCAAAGCTGCAAGTCGAACGGACTCCGTAGTATCACACGAACTCAGTACGGCGTCGATTCGATGCATTGGAAACACCGGACGATACTCTCCCATCAGGTGCTGATCTTTTTCTAGGGGCCATGTGTCCTTTGTAGTTTCAGCCGAGTGGTCCACAAGGCGTGAATAGTGGATTGTTCTCCGTGTTCTATTTCTAACGCCAAGACGGCCCGAGAGCCGATTTGGACTCGATTCTGCCATCATGGCCTGTCTTATTCATTCTCACCACGATGTGGGATCGCCTGTTCTTTCGCTGCTCTATCATATATTGATAGAGCTTTCGTAGCTGATTCTATCATATAAAAATCATATTCATTCCCGTGCAAAGGGTCAATGACATTGACAGAAAGATTGGTGGAAATGATGAATGGACAAGCCTGTCGATGAGAGATGTGATGTGAGAGATGTCTGGTGTAGAGAAAGTGAAACATTCAGACTGCTTCCCAATCAGGTGATCGGCTAGTATTTGACTAAGTTATTCGTTGCCATTTATGCAAATGAACTATTCATAACAAAGATCTCACATGATGTTTAAACACATAACAACACCACTAATAATTATGAAGCTTGAAATATATACTGATCAAGTTCATACCCAAAATCCACCCTAATGAACTACTCTGTACGAAGTATACTTGAGGTCTGCAGAATTCATGCATGCAGCCCAGCATACCGCCACCATCTCGCCAATATATATTTCAGACCAAGCGGCAAATAAGCATTGTGATTTATAGCCACACTGGAATATATACCTAAATCTGCCCACATCCCTGTTGCAAATCCTACCAATGGGACTACAAAGAAACTGTGTAGTTACTAAAAGGAGAATATAATAAAACTAAGTTATGTCGGTTGCACAGGTCCGATCAGCATGGCCCTGGATAGAACCTTTATACCGACCCCCATATATGTAGACTTCACCACTCATTGGCAGAGTCTATATTTCATCCGGGTTGCAAGGAATATGCGATCATGGCCTGACCACTGGATACCCTTGCTTTAGGCGCATACTATACTGCAACACAACATAGTAAACCTACGCCTAGTCTCGTTTCGCCAACCCGATGGAGAGAGCGCGTGCATCATGTTGTGTACACAACCCGGCTTGACCGCTCCTATCGCATCGTTTGGTCCAAAAGTCAATGCCAGGAGGTCACGATGAAAACCACGCGGGTGAATGGAATGGTACGCAAGGGGTTGCCTTTGTCGGAGGGTTTGGGCGCGTGACAAAATACTGCTCAGCACATTGTGTGGTTGTAATTGATGAGTGCCAAATACCGTATCGAATATATGATCGTCATCGAGAATTCTAGTACTGACACAAGGACTGGACAGAAATGTTCTACTCCGTACGGGGCAGTTATATATACTCCCATATGACACGTGACCATGCAGACTCTTTGTATGCATCTGAGAAAACTTCAATGCATCCCACCACTGGCGCTACAAAAGGACTATCCATCAAGCAGATAGACTGCAGCCACCAGTAAGGTACATGCAAACTCTACAGACTATCCCCCCATTCGACGCGGATCGACGGAGAGAAATGTCTGACAGGCGTTCCGGCCAGCTCGTATCCTCATGCAAATAAGCAACGAAGCTACAGGTAGGAGCCCACTGTTGTGCAGGAAAGCTCGTATGGCTTTAAGGGGCAAGCCTGCCATTGGCCTCCTGGAGGATCAAGTGGACAGAACGGGTTACATCACATCCGAGAGACGCACCCTTTTCGTATGTGATGATAACTCAATTTTGAGGCCCTGCCTGAGCTGAAGGTCGCCTGATATCCCCGGCAGGAGTACTCATAAGCGGGGATTGAAGAGATATTTAACCCTCTGGTGTCCTCGGCGATATGTCTAATTTTCTCATCTAACACACCGAGTCTTGACCAAACTAGACGATTCTCGCTTTCTCGAACAGTTATCTTCTCTTGAAACTACAACTACATCGGATACCTGACAATGCATTTCAGAGATATCGTCCTGGTTGCCTTTGTTCTGGGCGTAGCAACAGCCCAGTCCAAGACCTGCAAGACAGAGGCAGACTGCCCTAAGGAATCCCCTGTTGTATGCTCACCCTTTTCCATTAAGAAACTGCAAATACTGGTATACACAATGACTAACGAGATAAATAGTGCTGTGGGTTTATCCCTACCCACAAGTACTGCCTGCCGGAAGGAACGGTCTGCTAGGAGATGCGGGTATAAGGGTCTGGTCGTTGGCACAGCAGGCTCGGTTGGGGTATTTGGATGTTGGAGGGGGTGTACTGATGGCTTGGATGTGATGTTGCTTCTGTGAGCTTTTGTTTGGGAAGTTTGGCTTGTTGGATGGAATGAAATTTTGTGATGTTTTGACTGGAGTTTCGTAGAGCTATGGCTGTAGAGTGCCGAACGCCAAATAAGCTATGCCCCGAGTAGAATCGAAGGTTAAGACCATGTATCTATATACAAAAACGCATGGTCCACGATGACTGTCAGATCTAACGACCGTTTCTTATCAAAGAAACCACGTGCCCTTACCTAGTACAGCTATCGCAAGAAGCTCATATATGTAATACAATCATTGACACATACCAAAGCCCCATCCGTCCGGCGACAGGCCCAACGGAGCGGCTGAATGTACTTCGAGATACCGGCCCAGGTCGCCTTAAACTGATTATGTAGAACAGAATGCCGACGTTAGAACAGAATGCCGACGTGTATTTTGGTTGGAACATTACTTTCAATTAGACAAAACCAGCAGAAAAATATTTACCGGTATGACATGCAGATGTCTTTGAATCCTGCGACAGCATGTGCTGGAAATGTAGTCCATGTGTACTAGTCCCTCCTGTGTTTGGTTATTGGAGGAATCCATGCGCTTGCTGATGCGGTGTGAAAATAGATGGAACTAGTTCCATGTTGGACCAATGCCATACCATGGTGAATTTCTTGGTAGGAATGAAGATGTAGCATCGCGATGAAGTCTAGATGAATACACAACCACGCCTGTTTCGGGATTACTCGGTGAGTATGTCGAATTAGGACCAAAAGGAATGTTCTTACAAGTTTGATTGGGGAGACTATATTAGCTCAATTATTGATGACTGTAGTGGGTGACTCTTAACAACTGGATAGCGCTTACTGTTCAGCCTTCGATATTCAGCCTATGACACTTCAAGGAATCCGTCGTATATGTACGGATGCCTTCTGGATGTCAGCCGTAAGGTACCTATCCAACAACAAAAACACACAAACTATAGTCTACGACGCTCGTTTTGTTAAACATGGACTTGAAACGAGAGCTACACAATGCGTTGAGCCGGGCCGATATCCAGTTTGCTGTCTTTGATATCAGCAGTCATATCCTGAGACGTCGATGATGGGATACTATATGTAAATTACAGCGCCAATCTGATCTATGCCGGAATTGGTAACATAGGGCTCTGGTTACAATGGCTGTCTACAATAGGTGAAAGTACTTTGTACATTCAAACTCAGACATATTTAAAAGATCATATACAAAAAAGAATGTGAATAGATACATAAATAAAAAAGAGAGAGACAAAGAACAACCATCTTCATACAATCAATGAATGCTTGTATCAATTCAAATACAAAGACAAAGTGAACCATGAACCATGATGTCGTGGCATGAGCTGGATGGTGTTGTGATTGTCTCGTTGTCTGTTCGTAGATTAGGCGACCCTAGACACGTCTAAAAAGGCCCAAGCACAGATATATAGCATCCTGAATTTTGATTTGATTTATGTCATTATTATATTAATATTATTGCCTAAAAGTATTATTGTAGGCACAGGGTAGGGTGGGATGTGTGTATTCAATCCTGGCATAAAAGCTGACATTCACCATTCTGCTAGCATACTTGCTTATCACTAAATTCATCTTGTTCAACACTCTACCACCAAGCACACCAAAACATTGTTCCATATAAGCTGCAGCTGAATTCCATTTGGCTGTGTCCACAATGGCCAAGCACACATCCCTTCCCCCGCTCGCCGCAGACATGTCTAGCCCTGAGAAATCTCACCAACAACAGACCCCAAAAGCACAATTCAGCCCCAAGCGCCGCTCCCTCGACCGCAAATGGTACATCACAACAATAGCAGCCCTCCTCACCAGCTGCTACGTGATAATCTTCATATCCGGCACACCACGAGGCGGCCCAGCCGTCAGGGAGCGGGTCCTCTCCAACCCAGGCGGCTGGTCGCACATCCTCGGCGGACTAATCTCAATGACCATCGGGCCCTTCCAGTTCCTCATCACCTTCAACAAGCAGCCTCCAGCCATTCACCGTTGGCTGGGCCGCATCTACATGGCAGCCGTGGCAGCCGGCGGGGTGGGGAGTCTCTCTCTGTGCGTAACAACTGTTGCTTATCCCGCCGGGGCGTGGGGGTTTGCGGCGCTGGGTGCTGTGTGGCTGGCTACTGCGGCGTTGGGTTGGCAGGCTGCGAGGCGGCAGAATTATGCTAGACATCGCGAGTGGATGATGCGGAATTTTGTCCTCACGTATGCGGCGGTTATGTTGCGGTGGCAGCTGCCGCTGTTGCTGTGGTGGGGGTATTCGGTGGTGGAGGCGCTTACTATTACGGGTTTTTCGTGTTGGGTTCCAAATGTGGTGTTTATGGAGTGGTGGATTGGGCGGGGGGAGAAGGAGAGGATGGAGTAGTTCTTGCTGTATAGGGTGTATTGTAGTTGTTTTGGGATTTGGGTGTATATTGGGGGGCTTTCCTCATCTGGAGAAGAGGGTAAATAATTGTATAGGGACTTCTTGATGATATGGGTAAGTAGTATGAAATTCTACGCTTCAATATTTCCATACTGGCACTCACTGATGTATGTATATGCTCATGGTGTATTCCGGTAGAAGTCATCGGTGTGTACACTCAGTCACCGGTAATTGTGAGCAGCAGCTGTCATAGCTGCCTTCTCACTAAAGTCGACGACTCCTTTATAGTATGTCTTGTCGAGCAATACTCTAGCAATCAACATTAACCACAAGACCATTAGCTTGAAACCAAAGAACAAGTATTGTCATAGAACTCTATTCATATTTTGATCGATCACTCATCCCAATATAGTTGAGACAAGGTAGTATCTTCACAGGAAACAAACCCATAACCACTAGAAAAAATTAAAAACGAAAAATCTGCTAGAATTTTCATGACACGACTCCCTCATAAATAAGGAAAAAGCAATCACAACGCCCATAAGATCAGGTATCAAACCAACGCAGTAGGAATCCACATTTTCCCGACCCATTCCATTCCACACACGAAAAGGCCATCTCAATCCATATCCATATCCACATCGACACCGCCGTCGACTCTCGCACGCAGCTTCTGCTTCTGGGCACGGGCGACCTTGGCCGGCGCCGCAGTCTGGGTCGCGGTCTGGCCGTCGGTCTGGGCCGTGCTGCGCAGCTCGCGGGGCAGCAGGTTCTCGTGCTCGGCGACGAGCTTGAAGTTCTCGGCATTCTCGCGGGCACGCTTGCCGGCCATGCGCTTCTTGTAGAAGACGCGCTCGCGGCGGGTGCGGATCTCGGTGACACGCTCCATGGCGTGCAGGGTCTGCGCCACGAGCTGGCGGTTGTACCGGGTGGGGACGTTGCGGCGGGCGGAGAACTGCAGCGTGCGGTCGACCGTCATCTCCTTGCCGGCTTGCTGGCGCGAGATCTTGGTCCACTTCACCTTACGGGCCTGGCGCTTCTTCGTGAAGGCCCGCTGGCACTTGGACCGGCAGAATCGGAATGCCTTGGCTGTGAGGGGTGTGGTTAGTAAATATATTATTCAAGGTGTAGAGAAGCTTCGAGAAGACGGTACCATCGTTCCGCACAAAGGTGATGCCTTTGCTGGGGTATGTCGGGCGACTGGAAATATCGTAGGTTAACTGGCTGCTCGGTGCGGACGAAGTTTTCAAACTGGGTCGAGAACAAACCTGCAGAAAAAACAATTTTCAATTCTATATGCTGTTAGTACTTCCGATACTGTATAAAGGAATATGGGAGCACGACATACCTCATGGTGATGGATAAAAGGACTGCAGTCCTTGCGAGCGGCGTATGATCGGGATCATCTGGAGCAAGTTGATGCCCAGCGATAAAAAAAAAAAACTTCGATAAAAAGGCGGTGAGCAGTGGCATTTCAATAAAATTCCCGATTAGGTAAAGCGGCTCATGTGACGCGGGGGCGGATGAGTCATTGCTGACTAACCTTGGTCTTTTCCAATCAGGCAACCAGGCAACCAGGCAACATATCCAGCAACATTCAACGTATAGCTTCATATTGTTGCGCACTACTGCTACAGATGATGGTAAGAGTTGTCTGACTGTATGAGATTAAACTCTTCTATATGTATCACAGGGGCTATAGCCCAACCAAGCAAGATAATCGAGACTGCTGACGGTCAGTATGACAGGTACCATCCCATCCCCCGGCGCTCCCAGGTTGTTACAAACGCCATCATAAGCCGTAGATGCATGTCCCTTCCTTCCGTTTCATGGAACTAAAGCCACAGGATTTATCGGCCTCGGGACGCCAGCCTATCATCGACGTGGATCCTTCGGAATCTCGGAGTCCATATCGAATCAGACCCCACTCGGGACTCCCTGCCAGCTCTATATAATCGTGACTCAACCCCTCCATGTATCTTGACCACGTCCATCCCTTTACAGCCCACGAAATGGCAGCTTCTCCCCCGATAGGCGAAGTCGTATCCCTACCTCGAGCCCAATTACCAAGCCCGAAGACAACATTACAAGGCCGAACCGTTACTCTCGAGAGACTCGGCCTGCAACATGCCCCCGACCTCTTCGCCGTGATCGGCGGGACCGAGCCTTCCAACACATCTCTATGGAACTTCATGCCCGACGGCCCATACCCCGATTACGAAGAATTCGCAGCTACTATATCGCTTCGCGCCGAAAGCACCGACCCTTTCTTCTTCGCCGTCATAGACACCAACAACACGACCTCCCACCGCGGCAAGGCAGTCGGCTATCTGACCCTGATGCGCATCACGCCCGACCACCTGTCCGTTGAAATCGGCCACGTCATGTTCTCCGCCGCGCTGCAGCGCACGACGGGCGTCACGGAGGCCGTCTATCTCCTGGCGGAGCACGCCTTCCACGACCTCGGCTACCGCCGCGTGGAGTGGAAGTGCAATGCGCTGCATGTACGGTCGCGCCGTGCGGCGGAACGGCTGGGCTTTGTGTATGAGGGCACGTTCAGGCAGCATATGGTGATTAAGGGGCGGAATCGCGATACGGCTTGGTTGGCGATTCTGCGGGACGATTGGGAGAGGCGCGAGAAGGGCGTGTTGGAGAAGTGGTTGGATGAAGGGAATTTCGAACAGGGTGCGCAGAAGAAGAGCTTGGATGAGTTGCGGGCGGATTGGGGTTCGTGATGTCTTTTTACTCAGAGCTGGTTTTGGATGGCTTGCGTATTGTGCCCTTGGGTGGCTCCTTTCCTTCGGCGGGTCTATTAGTCCAGTCGACTATGGTAAAGTTGTGCATTGTCATATGTACATGTCTATACATTTATATATTTACAGCGCGATAGAGCAGTTTATAACAACCCCCCACCAATCGCCTCCAAATGCTCCTCGTCCGTACCACAGCACCCCCCGACTACCTTAACAGCAGGCAACAACCCCAGAGCATCACGGAACCCATCCAGATAAGTCGGGATGTGGCCGCGATCCAGCGTATCAGTATTATCCAGCTCATCATGTGTCTTCTGACTAGCATTGCCCCTAACCATACCGATACGCGCACGCACCTCACTCGACATTTCCCTCAGCGCAGCCGCAATCCTAGCCGGATGGGCACAGTTGACACCGAAATACGCCGCATAGCCACCCGTTGCCTCGTCGACCGCGCGGATGGCGTCCTCCAGCGAGTTCCCGCCCAGCAGACGCCCGTCAGTGCCAATGCTGAACGACACTACGATAGGGAGGCCGACCTCGCGAGCGAGCTCAATGATAGCAGTCGCCTCGTTGAGATTCGAGATGGTGAAGAGGCCGAGCAGGTCGACGCCTGCGTCGGCGAGCGTCTGCACCTGCGGTCTGTAGGCGTCGCGCGCGGAGTCGAGGGTTACGGTCTGAGACGAGTCCTCGTAGGCATCTTGGAGCGGACCCATCGTGCCGCTGATGAGAACGGGGACGTTGGTGCTGGTGGCTCTGCTGTGTGTGCGGGCTGCTTTGGCGAGCTGGACGGCGTCGCGATTGGCGGCGAGGAGCTCGGCAGGCGTCATGTTCAGGGCGGATGCCCAGGGCGTGGAGGCGCGCCAGGTGCGCGTGTCTAGGATGATGCCTGTGTTGTGGGCTGCTGCGATGGAGATGTAGTTTGCGTAGAGGGAGGAGATCAGGGCTCGGTGAGAGGGGTTGGTGAGGAGGGGCAGCGAGGAGAAACTTGGGAGGGCGATTTGGTGCTTGTAGTAGAGGGTTGTTTCCATGCCGGGTTCGCTGAGGAAGGGCCTCTCGAGGGAGGGCCTGAGGTGGGGGAGAGACATTGTATTGGGTTATTTGGTGTTGTTGGAGTGGATGGTTTGGAATGGTTGGAGTGAACGGGGTGAAGTTGCATGATGGGGATCCACGCGGGTTATAAATATGGTCTGGTGGAGACTGCGAAGGAAATGTGGGGATTGTCCATTCCGGACCCAGTGGGTTGCCGAATATATTTTGGTTGGACCTGACGGTTGAAATTGGCTATCTATTAGATTTGTCTACAGTTGCTGGTACATATTAAACATCGCGCATCCTGGTAATACATCACAATCGGGCTATCTCCCACAAACCCTACTTTCCGGATAGCTTCGACCATCGTCTCAATGACGTCCCTCACCAACTCCCCGGAAGCGACATCCACGATGCTCACAGTGCTATCTCGCCGTCCAAAAGCCACATATGCTCCCTGCACAGCCATCGCCAGGACATTTGCCCGACCAGCAGGCCCAGTATCCCGCACCGATCCGATGGCGCTGTATCCTGGGACAATGGCGAGAATTATGATGCATGTTGCGTCGGTGGAGAGGGCTTTGGAGATGGGTTGGGGTATTTTGCCCGGTTGGTTCATCAGGTGGCTCTTTATAATATCTAGTAGGGAGTAGTTGAGTAGAAAGCTGTTGGAAGAATAGGTTACTGGGTGAGTAGTAGTACTCCAACATGGATCGTGTTTGTATGGTGAAATGTCCCTCATGTTGGCTGATGCCTTGTCTTGGAGACCGTAATCTGACTACTTCTTAGCTTGTTGGTCTATAGATGCGGTATGTTCAGTTATCTTAACTTTGAACTTCTATTTCTATCTATCTATCTATTTTTTGGGTGCTGTGGGTGTATGAGATTACAAGTATTGCAGAGCAATGTCTATACAAGGTTGATGCCTCAGCCGTGGATTGTACTGCTCTTGCATAACAGCCATAATTCAACACAACGAAAGTCACAAGGATAATTCACAGCAGAAGGATATAATTTTGAAAAATGAGGATAAGCATAAATTGTGGTGATTCAACCAGGAAATCAAGAGGAAGTCGAAAAAACGGAAATAAGAAATGAAACAAAATAAAGTAAAAAAAAACTAAAATAAAACAATTTACCCTAAATCTGACCTGAACATCCATGACCGGAATGATACTCCCCAGCTCCAGTTTCCAACCTATCAAAAATTCTCCGCAAATAAAGGATACAGCCCATTAAAGGACCGACCAACGTAGAACAGATTTTTTCTTTTGAAAAAAGGCAAGAATATTAAATTGACCGTGGCCATTTGGCGATTTCCGTGCTTCTTGAAAGACGTTGGACAGGATGGTACGACCACGGAAACTTACTCGCCCTAGTTTGGGCTCTTCTTTTTTCAGGAAAAACTTGGAATGAACATAGTGTCACCATGCAGGGGCCTGATAATTGCTGGGGTAGGTTGTAAAGGAAAAGATACATCGGCATGTGGAATTATAGCAACAGGGGTAGCCCTTCGTAGTAGCAACGATTGGTTCAACAGCTGTGTGAATTATTAAGGGAAAGGCTCTTTTGATAGAGAATAGGGGATGAATTAAATCTGAGTGATCAGGTCAACAGTCCTAGAAAATGTATAGAGGTGTGTGGTGATATATTAGAACCAAAGTTTGGGACCAAGAAAGGGAAAGGGAGAGAAAATCAGATAGACAGACAGACCGAGAGAGAGAAAGAGAGAGAGAGAGAGAGAGAGAGAGAGAGAGAGAGAGAGAGAGAGAAACATTCATAATTTGATATCATTTTAGATGGCATACAAGTATTGTATTCGACCCATTACATTCCTGTCATTGACATCACTTATAGGTACTATATCAAACCAGACAGATTTGGCAAGGAGCATATGCAGCCTGAAATAACTGATTCACTGAGCTCGAGCTCAACAAGTGACCATCATTATGGGTGACTGCCAGTGATTTCTCTACTGCAGTGATGTACTGTATGCTGCACGCGACATGACGCGGGGCGTACTTGCCAATATGTTGTCTTGGTGGACCGTGGTTTCCAACAGTGACTGCAAATGGGCCCTCGACCTTCTAGTGAGGTTAGAAACTCGACCATAGGATTGAATCTATCTTGTCCACTACTACAACGGCAACCACAGTCAATTGGACCAAGTCGACAACCTTCGCGATGGCTTTGAACGAAAAAGACATCGGCAGCATGCGTATGCATGGTGGTCTCCAAGACCCCGAGCAGCCTGAGCCTGCTCATCACTCCAGCAATGAGACTGGAGAGGCAAGCTCAGGATATTCGGTTTGATCTACACTCCCAGATAATGCTGTCCATGCTAACCTCGACCAAGGCCGTCGCGGTCGGATACCGTGAGTATCGCGAGGGTCTGCATATGGAGGTGTCTCATGAAGACGTGAGTCTGTTCACAGCCAATCCTCGAGCCCCAGTTGACCCGGAGTAGAATAGAAAAGTCAGATGGAAAATCGATTTCGTCGTCCTTCCTATCTTCATGGTGACCCAGGCCCTGCAGTCTATGGATAAAACCGCTCTCAACTACGCGAACCTGCTGGGATACCAGGAATCATTGGGTCTGCGCGGCGAACAGTTCAACTTTCTCTCTGCTAGTGAGTGGTCCCAATTAGGCTGGTGCTGACAGACATTGGGAGAAAATGATTGACAATTCTAGTGGTGTACGCTGGATATTTCTTCGGTCAATATCCCAGTGGCTTGCTTATCGGTCGATTTCCTGCTCAGCGCGTCCTCGGAATTAGCTGCTTCCTGTGGGGCATCACGGTTATTGTCATGACCCAGTGCCGTACGTATTCAAGCGCACTGGCGATTCGATTCATCATGGGTCTGTTTGAAGCTGCGGCAACCCCGGGTCTCACGCTGATGACGGGATTCTGGTATACACGGAAGGAAATCCCCCTGAGGCAGTGTATTTGGTGTTCGTCTCTGGGCTGGGGCGGTATCGTCGTTTCCTATGTCTGCTACGGGATTTCCACTCTTCCAGCGACTTTCAAGCCGGACCGTTGGGCGCTGCTGTTCTACATCCTTGGGGGCACGACATGTCTCTGGGCACTGGTCATCTGGTTCGTTCTCCCTGACTCTCCTTCCGATGCTTTCTTCTTGACCCGGACCGAGAGGGTCATCGCAGTCAAGCGCGTGTCTACCAACGAGACGGGCATCAAGAATCGTGTCTTCAACCAGAAGCAAGTGATGACATGTCTCAAAGATCCCAAAGCGATTCTGCTGTTCATCTCGATTTTCGCGGGTTCCGTTCCCAGTGGCGTCCTGAATTGCTTTTCCACCGTCATCATCAAAGACATGGGATTCTCTGTGACCAAAACGACCCAACTGAAGTCTGTCGGCGATGCGGTGCAAATTGTGGCCCTTCTGATTGGAGGCACCATCACCCTCAAGGTTCCCAACTCCCGTCTTCTGACTGTCACGGCGTCCAATGTCATTTGCACCGTCGCCGCGGCGTGCATGGCCTATATTCCACGACATGAGACTTGGGCCCGGCTGGCTTCATTTTGGCTGGTCAACGTGCAGTCCATTGCATCCGCTGTACTGCTGGTCACTGTCTCCTCGAATATGGCGGGTTATACCCATCGGGCGATTGCCAACACCATCGTGTTGTACGTACATCTTGGCTGATTTGCTAGCGCCATGCTAACTAGGGGTAGCACGGCATACTGTTCGGGCCACTACGCCAGCCCATTTGTGGTCAAGCCATCGCAGGCGCCGGCGTTCAAGGGTGCAGCCATTGGGCTTTTGGTGGGATTCACTATCAAAGCCGCTTGCGACTTGGCTCTCTTGGGTAGGTTCCTGCCATCATTTCTCCGAAGATATTCCACTCACATATTGGCAGCTTACATGTATTCCGTGAATCGAGGCCGAGACAAGAAGTATGGCCCAGCGGACAAGGCTCTCAGCGACGAGGCGGGCATGAAGGACCAGACCGAATTTGAGAACAAGAATTTCCGATATGTTCTATGATTGCTTCGGCCGGGAACGAGAACTCCACGAATGGTTATTTAGAAGACAGACTGGACATGTCTTGTATTTCTTTGTCTCTATGCGTATGGAGTGTTCGCATGTCCATGCAGCGTTACATAGCCGCAGGTTGTCGTATCCTAGAGACATATGATTGATATCATCTTCCAACATTCACAAAAGTTTATGTCGTAGTATGTTGTTAGAACCAATAGAATCGATAGTTGTGTTTTATTGAACGTGTTGCAAAAGTCTGGTCCACCGGGTTGGTGTGCATCATCTTCATGGAGACTATCTGGTATGAGCTAGACAGAGCGAGGTATCAAGTGTGACTGAACGGTCTTAGCATATTAACAACTCTAGACCGCCACCGCATTATATTCAAGTCGAAAAGAAACCATCCAGAGGAAGCGCCTGCTGTTGGACCGAGCATTCCTCGGGCAAAAGACAGGAATGGTAATAACAGAGAATAGTTAGGCATCTAGGCCTCAAGACCTCTTGTAGTCCTTGCCTGGGGTGGCGAAGGCATGTTATGCGAGCCAGCCCAGCAAGGAATGGATTCGACTTATGTGAGAGTCTGGAAGGATTCTATTTCCGACTAGAAGGCAGCAACGAGCGCCCCTGTCTAGAGACTCAAACTAGGTCTAGAATTTCTTCATCCCAAGCATCTTCGCGCCAGGGGAGGCTACCAAATGACGTCAGCGATATCCCTCGAAGCCTCACGCCCAGCCCTGCATTGAATTGATGACGTTGTCTGCTGGGCTGTTCTTCTGCATTAGGGCTAAGCGGTGGATGAAACCCGTATAAAAGTCAACGAACGGTGACGCCTCTCGTCCGAGAGGGTTCGTTCCTGGCTGCTTGCTCGCTTGTGCCTCTGGAGCTGGGATGGACCTGGTCCTCATGGGCAAAGTCCATGTCTCGACCTTTTGGATACTTACCCTATTTAGACAACCCGGGGGTTGTCTATCAGCGGTGCAGGTTATAGGCAAGTGACGGTGGACCCTTCATCCACATATTTGTGGGGAGGGCTCGGGTATCCCGCAAAGGGTAATCCGGGTCTGGACCGACCGATGTTTACTGAAGGAGGTGGTAAGTAGCCCCTACAGATGGTCGGTATTCTTCATGTGCAGAGTTGATTGAATGGTGTTATTACAGCTGGGTTTGTTATCTTTGAGATAGCAATGTGTGGTGATTTCTTGTTATTGGTGAGTGTTACTCTGGACGCGGTGATTGTTCGGGATCGGCGCCGTTTTCGATATAAGCTTATTCGAGACTGGACTTGACTTACATGACGAAATTTATTGCTGTTGGCCACGGTGTCTATGACATGTTTTGTTTATATTTATTTTATTGTATTTAGGTTTTATCTCGATCCTCCGCCTCAAGGATTTTCCCAGATAACTCAAGGAAGGGGGGAAAAGACGAACGGACCTCATCCCTCCGCCTCATCCCCGAATCCGGCCAAAGCCCTAATCCAGTCCCTGAGATGATGAAATCAGACCTAATCCGGCCCACACGGCTCGGGGCGGACTGGGCGCATGGTGGCTGTAAGGTTGTACGCCGCCGATCCGTGCAATTTGCCCCTCGTATGCATTTCCATGCGCCGCTGGATGCGCGGATGCGCCCTGGTGGTGGTCTGGCTTCTTCATTCCGGAGCACAGCAACCCATGCGTCCAGAATGTGCTTCATGGAGGGGTGAGGACTGAGACGGTGGCACCGGGACCCACCTAAACAACAACGGACTTGGATGTGTTATCACATTCCTCGTGCAGAGATCGCCTCAGGATCGAGGGATATGACGTTGTTGGTCGATGTGTTGGTCGCGTCCCTTTGGCGGTCTCTAGTTTTTGCGGTCTCGATGGCACTTTTATGGGGGTCTGGATGATGAGGAATTATGGGTCGGATCCATCTCCGGGACTGCTGCTTCTGGGAACAGATCTGCGTAGGAGGGAGTATATCTTGCTGGGTTGCGCCTGTGTTTCTTGAATCATAGAGCAACATCAACAACTCGGAGATTGACACTAGACACTGACTGACGAACCGACTGTCTGACTACCTGCCTACCCAATCGCCCATCTCCTACCACAGCCCATCACCATGCCTCGCTTCGATGACGCCGACTTTGGCGTCGAGGTCGTTCCTCAACTCCACGTCAATGAGACCGCCGCTCCCATCAAGCCAACAGGCTCGGTCAACAACATCGAGATCCCCCCTACGCGCAACCCCGTCAGCGATGCCTCCGCCCTAATGCACCATCTCAGCCTGTCGCCCTCCATGAAGGAGCGACGCGGCTCGCGCAACTCCATCGGGACATCGCTGCCCATCCCACGCTCCCCACGGCCCTCACGCCTCTCCTCAACCACCAAGCCGCGCATCAACGCGCGCAGCATCCTCGCCGCCCAAGTGCAAGGCATGGCAACGGAGAAAGTCGCCGCCGTCAAGAACATGGCCTTCGCATTCGACATCGACGGCGTCCTCGCGCACGGCAACGAAGCCATCGAGGAAGCCAAAGTGGCCCTGAACATCCTCAACGGCGACAACGAACTCGGCATCACCTTCCCGTACATCCTCCTCACCAACGGCGGCGGCAAGACCGAAGAAGCCCGCTGCGCCCAACTCACCTCCGTCCTCGGCCACGAGGTCCCCACCGCCCAGTTCATCCAGTCCCACACCCCCATGCAAGCCCTCGCCGAGTACTACGACACCGTGCTCGTCTGCGGCGGGGAAGGCTTCCAAGCGCGCGAAGCCGCCGAAGCCTACGGCTTCAAGAACGTCGTCCACCCGAAGGACATCCTCGCATGGGACCCGACGATCTCCCCCTGCCGGGTCTTCACAGATGAAGACCGCGCAGGCGCCCGCCCGCGCGACTTCTCGCAGATCAAGTTCGACGCTATCCTCTGCTTTGCTGAAACTCGCGACAGTATGACAGACTGCCAGATCATCGCGGACCTGCTCCTCTCGGAAGACGGGCAGCTGCTCACGCAGGCGGCCGATCCCTCCAACCACATCCCGATCTACTTCTCGCAGGGCGACCTCCTCTGTCCGACGGAGCACAAGGGGCCCCCGCGTCTCAACCTCGGCGCGTTCCGCATCGCCGTCGAAGCGCAGTACAAGGCGCTGACGGGGCTGGACCTCGAGCGGGTCGTTTACGGCAAGCCCGAGCGGGCGACGTATGTCTGTGCGGATGAGGTCCTCCGCTCGTGGATGCAGGAGATACACAACGAGAAACGGCTGCCGCAGAATATCTACATGGTCGGGGATAATCCCCAGAGTGATATCATCGGCGGGAACCTCTACGGGTGGAATACGTGTCTGGTGCGAACGGGCGTGTTCCAGGGTCCGAAGGGGTCGAATGATCCTCATAATCCGGCGAACTTTGGCGTCTTCGATAATGTGCTGGAGGTGGTCAAGGCGGTTATTAGCAAGGAGTTGGGGTCGGATTTCAAGCTCAGTTGGAATCCGAATGTGAATCCTGTGACGCAGGATGATCAGTTTTCGGCGATTGAGTAATTTTCTCTCTTTCTCGTTTCTTCTTGCTATAGACTTTTCTTCTTTCTTCTTTTGGTTTTGACTCAATGGCTTTCTTTGGTTATTACGCTTATGAGTACGATAATCTCCTATGGGGGGTTAGAGAACGGGTGGGTTTTAATAGATGCCTGCTATGCTAGACGTTAATGACTACATCTCATTATCCAACAGTTGACCTAACGTAGGTGTCTTGGATAAACCCGAGTAGTTCTATACCTAATTCCTATTATTCTGATCGTTTTATTTACTTTACACGTGGGACTAGTCTATCAAACCCATATTCATTCTATCAAACCGGAGAGAAATAGGGTTACCATCACCACGTGGTCACCACATCAATCAATTCATTCAATAAGCAGAATCTCTATATCTGTCTAATGGTGAATATATTCAAATATGAGTAAAGCTCACATCTACCCCAGTCACGCTAAAGACCACCGGCCAGTCCCCTAGCCAGTCCAACCCTTGCAGATCCTCCACCGCAAAGCAAGCTGAACCAACCAGCTGCAGCCAGTTCGCCGTTATCTGCTGCTAAATGCTGACATTGAAATTAAACAACGTTGCAGAATTTACCCCCTCTTTTGCACTCTTTTCAGCTCCGCTTTTGATTTTTGTTGACGAGTCTGTGTGTCCGGATTGAAGATATAACAGAAAAGAATAGAAATGCACAAAACGGGCAGCGTATCCGAGACGGGGGTCGATCTCGACCCCCGCGCGCAGGATGATCGCGATATGCAGCGGCTAGGCAAGACGCAGCAGTTCAAGGTGTTTCACAGACTAATATCCCGAGCGAGGAGGGCATGAGCTAACAGGATAGAGAAATTTCCGGTTCTATTCGATTTTGGGGTTCACCACTACGTTGATGGCGACGTGGGAGTCGATCTTACTGTATGTGTTTGCTCAATGTAGACAATGTGCATTAATTGGTCTGACACCTGGTAGAACGAGTACATATGGATTGACTGATGGTGGTCGGGCTGGCATGCTCTATGTCTATCTCGGTTCGTTTGTGGGATTCTTTGCGTCTGTGGTGTCGATGGCGGAGATAGCCTCGATGTATGCTTTACTCCAAGGAAGACGAAGAAAAGAGAGAGAAGAAAGGGAGAAGAAGAACTGACTCAACAGTGCCCCCACATCCGGCGGACAATACCACTGGGTCAGCGAATTCGCATCTCCCCGATGGCAGCGCTTCCTCAGCTATCTCACTGGTGACCCTCCCTCCATATCTCTCTATAAATATATCATATACTAAATCCAACAGGTTGGCTCTCGGTCTTGGGATGGCAGGCTGCCCTAGCCAGTATCTGCTTCCTCTGCGGCACACTCATCCAAGGCCTCTTGGTATTCAACTCCTCGCCAACGGGCTACATGTATGAGTCGAAGCCGTGGCATGGCACCCTGTTCACCATGGCCATGGCCGTCCTCTGCACGGTGGTCAACACCTACGGCGCCCGGTTCCTCCCCGCGCTTGAGCATCTCATTCTGGCCCTCCACCTGCTTGGATTCGTCGCTGTCCTTGTTCCTCTGTGGGCGATGGGTCCTCCGCGTGCCCCCTCATCCGTCGTCTGGACCGAGTTCACTAATTCCGGGGGGTGGTCCAACATAGGGCTTGCCTGTCTCGTTGGCCAATTGACTCCGATCTTTTCGTGGGCGGGACCAGACGCCGCTACCCATATGTGTATGTCTCTTCACCTATATCACGATATCAACCCTAATTAGCGATACGCCTTGATATACAAACTAACACCCCCCAGCGGAAGAGATCCAACACGCAGCCCTCATCGTCCCCTGGTGCATGGTCTCCACAGCGCTCGTCAACGGCGCCCTCGGCTTCATCATGCTCGTCTCCCTCCTCTACACAATGGGCCCCATAACCGCCGTCCTCGACCCGGCATCAGGCTTCTCCTTCCTCCCCGCCGTCCACCACGCAACAGGCGGATCCTTCCCAGCCACAAACGCCACCGCAGCAATCATCATCGCCCTCGAAACCTGCAGCGCAATCAGCATCCTCGCCACAGCCTCACGCCAAACCTTCGCCTTCGCGCGCGACCACGCCCTCCCACTGAGCGACTTTCTCTCCCGCGTCTCCCGCCGCTCTCACACCCCAATCCCTATCCCCGCCATATTCCTCTCAACCACTACCACCCTCCTCCTCTCGCTAATCAACCTCGGCTCCACAGCTGCGTTCAACGCCATCGCCGGCGTCATGATCGCCGCGCTCTTCACTACGTATATCGTATCTATCGGGGCGTTTATCCGGGCACGTCTCGTCACCAGCGGCGACCTTCCCCCTGCGCGGTTCTCCCTCGGCCGTTTGGGTCTGCCTGTTAATGTTTTAGCTGTCGCGTGGCTGTCGTTTGCGATCGTGTTCTCGTTCTTCCCTACGGCGGATGACCCCGTTCCGGTTGATATGAACTGGTCGGTTGTTGTGCTGGCGGGCGTGTTGTCGTTTGCTATCGCTGCTTATTTTGTTCATGGGAGGGGGGTGTATCGTGCGCCTGTTACTGTTGTACGGAGGGATTAACCTACTATCTGACTCCATACCAATCATCCAGATAGTCATATATATTATGAACAAGGGTTCTACCAAATAAACTAAAGCAAATACTCCCCTCCCGTCTCCTTATGAATAACATCAAACAGCGGCTTCGCACTAAACCAGCCCGCCTTCGGCGTCCCAACAGTCTTATAAGTGAACGCCGCATCCGCATCATCGATCTTGATCGTCGCTCCGCCGCGCCCGGCAGCCGCCGCATCAGCGAGCAGCTGCGCGTGGCAGCACTTCTCGAGGCTGACGAACCAGAACACCGTCTCTTCGATGGTGGCGCCCACTGTTAGAAGCCCGTGATTCTGCAGGAGGGCGGCTTTGCGGGATCCGAGCGCGGAGGCGATGTTGTTGCCTTCTTCGGCTGCGAGGACGACGCCGTTGAATTGTTTGTATAGGACGTGGTCCTGTCTCTAGCTTTAGCATATGCTTTACGTGTATTCTCTTCCTGTTGGATACAATCCAGACGGAAAGAGAGGTGGAATGAAGGGAAAAGAGAGGACATACGTTATAAAAAGCGCACGAGTCCTGCGTGGTAATATCCAACTCTCTGCCCAGCGCACAAAACGCCCGTCCGTACAAACTATGACTATGCGCCGCGCAGAGCACATCCGGACGCGCAGCGTGGATAGCAGAGTGGATCATGAAGGCCGCGGCGTTGAGCAGTCTGCACGGTCCGCCGTCGATGACTTCGCCGCTGTGGTTGACGAGGATCAGGTCGGAGGATTTGATCAGCGAAAAGGCGACGCCGAAGGGGTTGACCCAGAAGGCGGAGGGGTCGACGGGGTCGCGGAGGGTGATGTGGCCTGCGACGCCTTTATTTTATATTGTTAGTATTTTATTGTTCATGTTGGGGTGTTTCTTTTTTGTATATGGGGTGGGGAATACCTTCATCGTAACCGTTCTTGCCGAAAATCCTGAACGCAGCAGCCAGTCGACCCTTGAGGTACTCGCGCTCTTTGTACTTGTCGTCGAATGTCGGAGGCTTCATCTGGGAGATGGGCATCTTGATTTTGGAGCTGTTGGCGCTGGCTTCTTGGGTCTGTTGCGGCTGAACGCTGACGGTGTCTGTTGCTGTTGGGGGAGACATTTTCTTTAATCTTCTTGTTCTTGTTCTTCTTGTACTTGTCTTCAGGCGTCAGTATGTTGTTGGATATGTGAGATAGATGGAAATCCAAGATCTGGAGATGGAGCGGGGAAAGAATGATATGAGCGTGGGGAAGTGGGGTAATCGGACCATAACCGACTATCAACCCGAGGCTTCTGATACTTTTAATAATCAAGATAGATACAACATCATTGCTCAATCAGCAAACAAACTATACCCAAAAACCTATTCACTTATATCCAACAACTACAGTCCAAGAAGGAGATCACTTCATCCCCTCAACCCCCCTCACACTCCCAATCTCCCCCACCCACTCATCCCTCCTCTTACAATAGATCTCCGCCCCCAACGTCCCACACCACTCGCGATGCTCATCGTCCAGCGTCCCCCACTTCACAATGATAATACTCTGATTGTCGCCGGGTTGAGATGTTAGCGGCGTGCCGCAGTCGCCGCAGAACTCGCGGCGCACGGGGAGTTCCCTGTCGCTGGGGCAGAGGTGGATCTTGGGGGCGCCTTGGGTGTAGGTCATGCTCGGTTGGGGGAGGACGAGGTTGGAGGAGAAGCTGCTGCCGGTGTAGCGTTTGCAGGAGGTGCAGTGGCAGAGGATTACCTTAACTTGATGTTAGTTTCGATGTCTTGCTTGTTGGGGGAGAGGGAAGGGGGGTGGTCGCGTATATAGTGGAGTAGAGGGAATACCTTGGGTTCAGGCTCAGTCGCAGGTAAATCCACCTGGTAAGTAACCTTCTCACACAGACATCGTCCGGTTAACGTTCTCTGCGCCATTATCCTATGGTGAGGTATCCTGGTCGTATCACTGTCTGGGACTGGTTGTCCAATCTGGCCTGGTTGTAGTGATTGTGGTATGCTGGCTGAGCTTAACTTGCCCAGTCCAAGGCCAGGGAGAGGCTTATATATATTGACGGGGGTTGAGACCCCAAACCAAATTTGTGTAATTGATCAATTCATAGTACGTGGTACTAAGAATGTTGCCTATCTCCGGTGAAGTATGCAGTGTGATTTGTTGGGATATCACTCAGGTTAAGCCTATACTACTGAAACGTTGGCCAAAGTTTTGGCGTTGTGGCTATGATGGTTTGGTGTGGGTGGGATTTGCGATCGTTGAGGTTATTGGTTGGGGCATTGATGTTGTCTGGAACAGACAGGGACAGATAGGCACAGCCTCAAGGTACATACAGGCACAGGCACAGCGTTAAAAGACAGGTTTAATACGAATGTATAATCCTGAGATATATGTCTACTATACAATCAGCTACAATGGTAGCTGCCGACCCAACAGTCCACTCTCCAATGCATCCCAGGTCTTCTCTGCCGGGAATAAAGTTTCTACATGTGCAGGCCCCAGCATCGGCTTGAGATCTCCCGCGCAGGTCGATCCAGGCGGTGGTAACTCTCCAGTTTGGAAGTAATGGCGAATAAAGCTAGTAGTGCAGAGCGAAGGGGCCGCAGCAGTGGTGTGCTGACCAGTCAGCGCAAGCCCAACAAAACAACCTAGTAAGGAGTGAACTCACCCCCTCTGAGTCCTGCTCTAGTACGACTGACCCCGGGAATTTGCTCGACATTATCCGCGCACTACCTCTTAGCTTGTCTCGTGTCAATAACAAAAAGGAAGGACAGCGTACCTGCGCATTGGCGTCACCGGATCCAGCCGCATGCTGACCAACAGCAAAGGATGCGACGTGTTCCCCGAACAAGGCCCTGATCTCGTTAAACCCCTGCCCAATGTTCAAGATAAAGAAACACACCTGGCAATATCCACCGCGGTCTGACATCCCACCCGGCACAGCCCAACTCAATCGACGACCAATAATCCCCAAGCATTGCACTATCCCGCTGCATAGCGGCCCACGACTCCGCGAACGCCAGCTCATCCCGGTCCTGCATGTATAGTGCATCTGTACACAAGATCGCTGACGAGACGTACAGCTCGTTCTGCCCCGGTGCCTGACACTCCGCGGACCACGGTCCCGTCCGCAAACACTCCGCCGTCGGACAGGAGGGCGTCCGCGCCCGGTGCTTGAAATCCGCTAGGGCGGAGCCGTCCCCCCGGTGGAGGAGGTCGCTAGCGAGTTGGGCTAGAAGCGGGAAGCCGATCATGGGTTGGTAGAGCGAGATGCGGAGGACGATCTTGAGGTCCGTCCAGGTGACGACTTCGGGGCCGCGGGTGGTCGACGAAGGGACTGCCACTGAGGCGTGGTATAACTGTGCTTCGAGGCGACGGTACGCGGTTGCGATGGCGTCGCGTCCGCCGGGCGTGTATAGTGGGCATTTGTCGGGCCCGGCGCGGTCGCAGTACTCCGTAAACCGGTCGAATATGGCGTCTGCGTCTACGATCGCGTTGTGTCCCTCGTCGAGGTAGTATTTGTCTGTGTCGACGACGCCGTCCAACACCATGCGCTCGATGCGATCGGGGAACATGCTCGCGAATGTGGCTCCCAGTACCGTGCCGTAGGATCGCCCCCAATATCGGAGCTTCTCGCCGCCGCGGTGCCAACGCGTGCGCTGGACAATGCTCTGCGCCGAGTCGTAGCCATGGAGCTGGTCAATCCGCTGTTGTTCTGTCCGTCCCTGTTGCTCCCGCCACTCTCCATGCCGCTCCACGATCTCCAGCATATCCCTCGCTACAGGTGGCGTGTTGATGTGCTCGCCCAGTGCCTCCGCACCGACCTCAGGCGGTGTAGACAGACTGCGCGCGCAGCCTACGTTGAGCGCCCGTGTACGTTGCCAGTTGCGCATGAGCGAGTCGCGCGTGCTGCCCAGCATGCCGTCTGCCTCGGCCTGCAGTTCCCAGTTCCGCTGGGCGAACGTGTTGGGGAAGCAACTAAAGCCTGGAGTCGTATTGTTGACGCCGCGGGGATCGAACCCGATGATATCGTAGTAGCGGGCTGTTTCAGTGGTGTTGTGGCCGGGGTCGGACTCGGCGTCGACGATTGTTTGTAGACCGCGACCGGCGACGAGGGCTTGGAAGACGCCCGACCCGCCGGGTCCGCCTGGCAGGGTTAGACATGGTCGTCTTTAGGAGAGGATGCAGTCAGTACCAGGGTTGATGAGGACGGCGCCGCCGTAGCGGGGATTGGTTACGGGCACTTTGGCGGGGAGGCGGATTATCGCGACCGCGACGCGACGCCCAAGACCGTCGGCGCGGTGATAGTCCATGGGGACATCGAGGCGGGCGCATTGATAGCCATCGAAGCAGGGTTCGTACTGAAGGGTGGGCTCGGGGTTGAGCTGAGCAAATTAGTATGTTAAGTATGTGATATCTATGAGAGTAGAATCAACGTACCTCTGCCCAGGTAAAGGGTGTCTCTGTCTCGAGGGACGGTCGTTCAAGAATGGGACGGGTGTGAACGCGCGAGATGTGCCACCACGCCACCACCACAATCAAGACCAGCGCCACGGGTCGCCATGTTGTCGATCTGCGATCCGAAGATCTTTTTCTTTCCGGATCGTTGAGAGACCCCATGGACCGTGATCGTCTTGGTCCGACCGTTGTTACCCCCAAAGCCAGACAGGTGCTTGGGGAACTGCAAGTCAATTAGGTGTCGCATCGCAATATATCCTCCTGCAAGGCGAAGTCACTAGTGAAGGGAGCAAAAGCAAGCAGACTATCGACGAATCACGCTACATGTCCAATAGAAGGGGAGATATTAGGAAGAGCGTGGTCGCTTCGGGAAAAATAAATAACATAAATCCAATCCCCAACACGCGCTCGGACCACGCGTCCGATGGTGCCCAATAATAACACTTCTACATGGTTGACCCCAGAGTTCATTGGCTTTCTGACTCGAGGGATTCACAGCCAAACATGGGAAAAGAACGGAGAAAGAATGGATTCAGTGGATTGTTGAGTCCAGGTAGCCTGGTGGGGGATTGACACATTCTGTCGCGTTATTGGGTCAAGATAGGATGGGACCGTGGATCGACGGCGGACCTGGCCAGCATATCTATCTCATCTGAGGATGCTCTGCGAGTTGATGTCTTGTTCAATACAGCGAGTGATGTGTGGATACCAATCACGCATAATTTGAATGTTCTTTGCACGGTATGGTTCTTTTAGTTGTAGGTGATCTCTGGTATCTCAAGTGGAGCCCAAATTAGCAGATCCAGCAGATCAAACCAGCCTTCCTGTTGTCGCATAGAGAACAACTCTTATCCCACTATAATCGAACGTCAGAGCACATTGTGTTAATCAGTGGTGGGTCATTCAACCAAGGAACCCCGCCTCGAGCCCCTTGCTGAAGAGTCTATCTTGCGGGGTTCACAGGGGTTGTGCCGGGATGCAGTCGGAGAGGGGTGAGTTGATATAAGCCATCGAGCTGCAGGATGTTATCACTAGACACTGGGTGTATTGATGAGATTGATGTTTGGACAATGAAGATGATTAGATGGAGATATCCATGTCACGTGGGAAGATCCCCATCACTGCCTGGGGCAAACATGCCTGGCCCACGATGCCTCAGGAACACCATGAGGATAAGAATGGATAAGCTGGATGAGCTGGATAAAACAAGGATAAGATGCGATAAGGATAAGATTCTCATTTCTTTCTTTGACTTCATTCTCACTTCTATCCTCACTTCTCTCCTCACTTCTGTCCTGCCCTTTTATACTTTATGGATTCCTCGGTCCCCAAGTGGATCAATTATAAACACGGATGGATGTAACCATGACGATCAAATTTTCCTTCTTCATGCACCCCGTCTGGCAAGGTGACCACTTCGACATTAGTCCACCATCTTATCCCATTCATCATGCGATAACTTGTCGATCCTCTCCATCCCCGACTGGTAAGTGGCTTGACTTTGCCCCTCTGATTGGCACGAGAATCTCTCCCCCCCACTCCTGCACCGTCCGCGGTCTCCTCGCTTCCCCACTGATCCTGATTCCCTCCAGTCTCCCGGTCTCTTACGCCTCCGGGATCGGTCACTGCGTGGCCAATCCTCGGCTGTCTAGCCCTCCACAGCCTAAAACAGGGCGATTTTCTCCCCGCCAACAAGCACAGACCGGTTCCAATGCCCCGTATATCATTATCGTAAATCTCGAACCGGTGGGAAAAGAAAAGAAACAACCGTTGACAGTCCCGTTCGACTCGTTCGACTACCCGAGCGGTCCGTTCTCCTTGCGCCTCCGCTTTTGCGGAGTTGGTCGTTTAATCTATCGTCTCCGCACGGATCAGCGGGCCTTGCTGCGCTCGTCATCCACTGGCCATGGCGCTCTGGCGCCGCTTCTTTGTCCCCAAGAGGGATGAGGAGCGCTCCGCCAATTCGCCCATGGAGTATGACGAGAAACAGGTCGGGATCGAGGTCGAAGTGGCCGAGGAGCCCGTCCCTGAGGCCAGTGGAATCGCGAAAATCGAAGCTGTCGAGGCGGTCGGGGGGCGCAAAGGACGCTATTTCCTATACGCTGGGTAGGTGATGCGACAGCGAGATGGTGATACCACAGCTAACGCCGACAGGTTGGCCATGATTATGATGATCTAGTAGGTGAAGCAGACACAGTTTGATCGAATTAGACATACTAACGTCGCAGCGAACTGGACAATTCGACCGTGGGCACGTATCGCAATTTCGCATCGTCCGCGTTCAACCAGCTGGGCACGCTGGCCACCCTGAACACGGCCGCCAGCATCATCTCCGCCATCAGCAAGCCCCCGATCGCCAAGGTGTCCGATGTCCTAGGCCGCGGCGAAGCCTACATCTTCACCGTCACCTGCTACATCGTGTCCTACACCCTCTGCGCCTCGTCCAAAACGTTCAACATGTACGCCGGTGGGTATGTCTTTTACTCGGTAGGCCAGGCCGGCACGTCCATTCTCAACTCGACCATCGTCTCGGACTTGTCCTCGATGCGCTCCCGCGGCTTTTTCTACAACGTCATGTACATCCCCTTCCTGATCACCCCCTGGGTGTCCGCCTTCATCATCGACAGCGTCGTCAACGGCATCGGCTGGCGCTGGGGAATCGGCATGTTCGCCATTCTCATGCCCATCTGCGCCTGCTGGATTATCATCACCTTGCTGTTTTACCAGCGCCGCGCCAGACAGTCGGGCCTCATTCTCACCGAGCGACTCAGCGTGCCCGAATTCTGCTCGCGCATCGACCTCGGTGGCATCCTACTACTAAGCAGCGGCTTCGCCCTAGTCCTCATCCCCATCACCCTGGCCGCCGACGCCCCCAGCCTTTGGAGCACCCCGTGGGTAGACGCGCTGATCGCCATCGGCGGCGTGGTGCTGATCTGCCTTTACCCGTACGAGAAGTACTACGCCCGGCACCCAGTGGTCCCCGTGCGCTACTTCCGCACCCTCTCCGTCGTCGTCTCGGTCGCGCTGGCCTGCATCGACAACGTCGGCTTCGGCTGCAACCACACCTACCTCTACGTCTGGTCGATGGTCTCGCACAACTTCTCCGCCCGCGACGCCCAGTTCCTCAACTACACCAACTCGGTCATGCAGGCGGCCGTCGGCATCGCCACGGGCCTGCTGATGTACCGCATGCGCACCTACAAGTGGATCGGCGTCGTCGGCGCCGTCATCCGCATGGTCGGCTACGGCGTCATGGTGCGCTTCCGGACGAACGGCAGTTCTGTCGCGGAGCTTTTCGTCGTCCAGCTGGTGCAGGGCATGGGCAGCGGTATCATCGAGACGGTCCTCATCGTGGCCGCGCAGATCGCCGTGTCGCACGCGGAACTGGCGCAGGTCACCTCGCTCGTCATGCTGGGGTCGTACCTCGGCAATGGGATTGGGTCTGCCATTGCCGGCGCCATCTACACCTCACGACTGCGGCCCCGACTCCGTCTGCACATGGGGCCAGACGCGAATGAGTACGAAGTGGACAAGCTGTACAAGTCGATCACGGGGACGCTGCCGGCGTGGGGGACACCTGCGCGCACGGCAGTCAATCAAGCAGTACGCCCCTCCCCTTTTCCCCCCTGCACTCCCTTCTTGTTCCCACTAACATGCGTAGTACTCGGACGTCATGGGCTACATCACCATCGCCGCTCTCGCCTTTTCCGCCCCAATAGTAATCCTTTCTATCTTCATGCCGAACCAAAAGCTAGGGTATGCCTCTAACCTAACCTTATTTCCCTCATCTTACTCTGCTTAATCCCCCCTTCCTTTGCTAATATATAAAACAGAGACGGCCACAACCTCGTCCAAAAACCACCCCCACCAGACCCCTCCTCCTCACCCTCCCCCGAACCCGAGCCCGAAAAACCACCCGAGTCCAGCTCCGAAGCGACCCTGACTCTAATAATGGACGAGAAGCGTTTACAGAAGAAAATCGAGGACTGGCTAGAAGGGCATACCGGACATGAGCCGGATGTTCGATGAACGTATTCCTTCTATTTGTTTTAATAATTGGTTGATGTTTTATTATTCTTGTCAAACTTAAGTATAATGCCGTGCAGAATGGTTGGATGGATTTGATACCATTAATTGATACCTTAGTATATAATATGACTCGAACGGATCTTATGTTTTACGGCGCAGGCTCCACAATGTCCCAGACAATCAGGAATAGGGCCTCTTGTCAAATCAAAGTGACTATATTTCCGGATTTCATCAACTTCCGAGTGAGTAACTAATGGCAGTGGTGGGAGTAATCACTGGCTTGTAGTTACTGACATGAAATGCTCGATTGATGATATAACCAGGATGTCTCATCGTGTTTATACAACTCAGAGTACTGGGGAGATTAGACTAGATATATCCCGCCTTTGATATATAACCCCAGAATAAAACCACTACACAAGTTAACGACCATCTCAACAAATCATTCAAACTACCCCGTATCCAATCCATCCTCTCCAACCCACCTTTAGGCTATTCACCTTCCTTCCCTTCAGCAGAAAGAAATCCCCAAACGTCCACCCCACGCCAAGAAACCCTATCTCGAGTGACGAGCGGGGTCCGGCATATACCACGGAGTAGTAAGGTATCGATGTATGTATCCCCCACGCGCTACCAGCCCGTACTGCACGTTGTCCCTCTTCCCCGGATTTTCTCCCCAGTCGCTTACCGGTTCCTGATTGAGTTTGGGTTGTTCTTGAGGACTTGTGGGATGGCGTGCTTTCGACTCGCTCGGGTTGGTCTGGAAGTCACACGGGACGATATACGGACGGGATATTAGATGCGTGACTTGCGGGGAGATTTCATTCGTACTGTATATAAGGGGTGGTGTTTGGGCCTAGATGGCGCACGCGGGGTAATACCGGCCATTCTCTTTTCTTTCTCCAGGTCGTTTCTTGCTTATTTACCTTCGTCGGTGTATATAATCGCTGAGTGGTAATCTGGTTTATATGACTGTACATCCATCTCTATATGAATAACCGTCCCTCGAACATCAGTCTTACCAAGCATTACAAAAGTCGTCATGGCCGAAAATGCAATAACAGACACCGAAGCCATGGGCGAAGCGGCCAAAATGACCCACGAGGAAGTCACGCAGTTGGCGCAGCTCACGCCTGAAGAGAAAGCTATCGAGAAGCGTCTCCGTCGCCGCATCGACTGTATCGTTATGCCGTTGGTGATTCTGGTTTATTTGATGAATTATATTGATCGGTAACCCCCCCTCCCCCATACTGCTTTCTCGCTTGTGGGGAGTCCTTCGTTTACCCCGTGCGGGGAGCGAAGATAAATGAGTGAGCGAGGAATGAAACAAAGGCTAAATAAGGCGATAGAAACAACTACGCCGCCGCAAAAGTCCAAGGCATCAAAGGAGACCTCGGCCTTGACGACGCGGAGTACCAGACCGGACTGTCGATCTTGTTCGTGGCGTATATCCTCATGCAGGTCCCGTCGAACCTGCTGTTGAACTACATGGGCAAGCCGTCTTTGTATCTCGGATTCTTTACGACCGCGTGGGGCCTTGTGTCGACGCTGACGAGCCAGGTGACGGGCTACGGGGGCATCGTTGCGTGTCGGTTTATTCTGGGGCTGGTGGAGGCGCCGTTCTTCGCGGGCGTGCTGTTTTACCTCTCAAAGTGGTATACGAAGCGGGAGTTGGCGTTTCGGATGAGTATCTTTTATTCGGGGTCGTTGTTGTCTGGTGGGTTTGCTCTGTTGTTGGAGGGGTCTGGGCTGGGCTAACGGGTGACTAGGTGCATTTGGCAATCTCATCGCGGCGGGTATACTGTCAGGCATGCAGGGAAAACGGGGCCTGTCGTCGTGGCAGTGGCTGTATGTGATTGAAGGCGCCATCACCATGTTTGTCGGCATTGGGGTCGCTTTTCTGCTGCCTGACTTCCCAGACACATGGCACATGCTGACGCCTGAGATGAAGCATGTTGCTAACCGGCGAATGGCCATCGAAGCGGCAGAGGCGGATATCGACGAGGCGGGCAAGATGAGCCAGGTGAAGGGGTTGAAGCTGGCGTTCACGGATATCAAGACATACGCGCTGGCTATCGCGTACATGTCCATCACCGGCGCGAGTGGATTCCAGAATTACTTCCCAACGCTGACTAGCACCCTCGGCTACGACGATACCATCTCGCTGGTGCTGGTGGCGCCGCCGTACCTCTTCATGGTCGTGTACAGCCTGACGCACTCGTTCCTGTCAGACCGCGTGGGCAACCGCTTCTGGTTCTTCGTGTATCCCATCCCGATCACCATTGTGGGATTCATCATTTTCATGACGACCGATGCGTTCGGGCCTCGCTATTTTTCCTTTTTCCTGATGATGTTCGTGTTCGCGCAGAACGGTACCGTGTATTCGTGGATTGCGAACGCCATCCCCCGCCCGCCAGCCAAGCGCGCAGCCGCATACGCCTTTATCAATTCAGTCGGCAACTCGGCTAGCATCTGGACGCCGTACACGTATCGCGAAAAGGACAGCCCGCACTATGTAACAGCGATGGCCGTGTGCATCGCGCTGCAGGTGCTCGGGTTCCTGATGGCTGTGTTCATGTATTTCCACCTCCGTTCGTTGAACACGCGGCTGGAGCGGCTCGAGAACGCCGATGTGACCCTGACGGAGAAAGAGCTCCGGCGGTTGCAGCATACGGCCGAGGTAGAGGGCATCGATATCGCCGCCGCGCGACGCCTGCAGAAGGGATTCCGGTACATGACCTGATGACGGTGGGGCGTGTACCGTAGTACCGGGGTGAGATCCAAAGGATCAGAATCAAATCTACTCCTGAGTCGATGAACGGGTCTACGCTCTCCCACTGTAGTGCGGTAGACGGGTCATGACATCAGACCCACTTAGACACTGCTCCACTGCGGCGCCCTGATAACCGTCATCAGTACGGAGTAGACCCACGCGTGTTCGTCGACCGCTTGCGGATGGATAATCCGTATTGTGGCTGCATAATGAGCATAGTCGGCTGCTGACGAAGATTGGCCTGGCTCGACGTGTTCATGATTTGACTCGAAGGAGCGAGCTGGTGGCCTTCGTTGTGGCATGCTTGCATGCAGCTAGACCCGATCGGGACCGACTCGGTTGTGACCTGTCAATCTGGGGAAGGTCCATCATTCATCCATCATCTGCGAGGCATTGAACGTGGTAGGTTGTGGAGGAGCTACGGGGGAGCTACGTTGTTATGAGACGAATGCCCATCGCCGGTCGCTCAATGGAGAGTCCGATCTTAATCGCTGGGACAACGATCTGAAGCCCTGGTTCATATGGCCTGGTTCATATGCCGATAACGCCCCCTGGATTGCTCTGCTTAAGCCATTTAAACTTTCTCCAGTCCATTTGGCTGGCGAGTGGAGTGCGCGGCGAGCGAATAAGGGCCAGCTAGGCAAGACAAACAAAAAGCCCTCATCATATTAAGTAATGCGTTATGACGCTATGGCGGCTGTCGGATTCCAACCGGCCGGAGGACGGGTGTCCGTTCAGGCTGAAAGCCAAGGAAGGTGAAGGAACCTGACCCAGTCACAAAGGGAGATGGATTCTTTATGATATCATCCCACATGGTTAGTCGCGGTCCTCCAACCAGGAGGGCCAGCTATGACCCCTTGCATGCATAATCCTGGCCGAATTCCCATGGATCGCACCACTCTTTGCGGAGATCAGCGCGCCGATCTGGGGAGGGGAAGAGTGTGGCAGTGACGGAAGGGAGTCGTCCGACGCCCAATGATCCAACAAGATCGCTGCGTTGCATCGCGGTCACCTGACCAGGGGGGAGGCGATGGATGCTCATGCCCACGCCTATATAGTCGCCTAGTTCCCACAGGCATAGCTTCTTTCCAGTTAATCACATCTACCCCAGATTTCCCTTTGCTTTAGACGCTAGGGTCCATCCGAGATATCCACTGTTCATCCTTCCGACCTGCCAAACATCCTCCCATCTGCCAAACACACTGTCGATCATCTCCACCATGTCGCATCTCCATGCATCTCGCTCCCTGGTACGTGCCGCCGGCGGCCACCCAACCCCCAAGCGATCCTTCTCCATCGCCATCCCGGCCCGGAGGGAAGGCGAAATGGCATATCCCAAGCCTCGGGGCTTCCTGGCCGAGTACGTGGAATCCCGCCGAGCCCGTTCCTGGGATATCAACGCATGACGTCATGTTATGAGGATCGTTCGCGTGCTGACTTGTCGCAGAAAGGGGCCCTTCACCCACCGGGATGCTGCCCATGAGGGCAAGTTTGCTCGCAACCAGGAGGCCGAACAGATGCGGGTCCTGCGACAAAGGTTGTCGGAGCAGCGAGGACGGATTGACGAGTTGGAGAACTACATGTATGTGGCTGCGATCTTCCACAATACACGAGAATAGTTGTTAACGAGTTGATGGACAGGTCCCAATCGAGAATTCGCTAGACCAGACGCAGTGAAGCAGCACTAAGAGCGCCATGATATGGCAGCCACCTCCCATTCACTCATTCGCGCGCCGTTCGCGCCCCGTCTCCTTTTCGCATCTTTTGCTTTCTGATACCTCCGTTTTTTATTTCGGCCATTGGTTGCATACTGGAAAAGCAACCCATCTCTGGGAGAGATCGAATGGTCCCTCCCCACGGTCAGGGATTTCGGGTTGGATCTCACGTTGACGACGCCACGGAATCGCACCTAGCCCCCATCACTCCCCGCGCCGACTGTCCAGCAGGGCTAATGAGAGTGGCGGAAGGGGGACCTCGAGCATTGCATGTATATGTATATAAGAATTGCATGTGTAGTATAGAATGAGACATGATCCTGAAATGCATATATCATATTTTGCCGCCGTATATATCGTGGTGTAATCTGACCAAAAGTTGAGGCCTGAGGCTGACCTAGCTGACGCGGCTGACCATACTGTCGGGTGGGTATCAGACATGGTGACAGGGAAGAACATGAAAAGAATGGACGAGTCAGTTCGTGACACAGCAGCGGAGAATCAGCGGTGACCGGGGTACATCCCATTGTATCATCTGAAACAGCCGATGGATCACATTGTGTAGCCGTATCCTGCGGTCATCGCTTGGGATGGAACGGGGTCGATCCGACTCGGAGATGGACTTATCTCCGAACAGCAACTGCCGGGGAGTCTGCATGTGACACGACAGAGACCAATCCATTGTCGAGATAAGCAGTGGGAGAGATCTATGATGAGAGTGTTCGACGAAGCTGATGTTGGTGGAAGTGACTGCAATCGGATGGCATGTCAGCTCACCTGCAAGGCATATCCCACACTCTTTGGCTATTTTTGGCTATTTGTGTTGTATCATTCTTGCAATATTCTACATCCTTTTCATAGAACAGATATCTTCTATTTCATTTGTTCTGACTGTTTTCATGGCGTATTCCACAACCCTGTCAGATCAGCCACCCGCGCTAAAAAAATATACCTCGCAGGGTCACACCAACCACGTTGTTGTAGTTTATTCCTGACGTGACTCCAACAAAGTAAGGATTAAAATAGGCAGCCAGATATCTGCAGTCATTTCGATTGAGGACCAACACCGAGACCAGTCTGTTGTCCGTGCATAGTTGACAGTATAGTGTAAAGTGTATAATCTGCATAGTTTGTGGTGAAAATCGGGAAATCCCGTGATTATCTTCTGACTCAGCGGAGGTTAAAGTGCCTCGGCTTTGAGCCGCCGACCGCTCGGCTTGTCTGCGCCTTCAATTGGTGGAAATAGCATGAGTCAGCGGAGTCGGAGGTCAAACTCAACGTCCCGAAGCCGATCGGGGCGTGTTTGCCCCGCCCCCGACTGACCGCCCCACTTTTGCCATCTTTTTCTTCTACTTTTCTTCTCCTGATCCACTGTTTTATCCTTCTTGTCGATGATTTGGCTTCACTCCCTCCAGTCATTCGCTGGGCTGGTGTTGCTGCTCCACCTCATCAGAGCCTCGACCTAAATTAGAGCTATTGATTATCGAATTTTGCACCATGCTTTTCCCTGTTGACCGTCGCCTGGGTTGGTCGGATACCGCAAAGCGACTCCCACGGCTCCACTTCGAAACCACGCGAATTCATATCCGTCTGTCATCATTGATGCATATCGAGGCACTATCCTCTTCTTGGTCGTCGCCTCCTGATCAATAAGCGGAATCCCAGTCAATCCGACGGTCCCTGAATGCGTGGTTGATAACAAAGGTTGACCCGGTGGATCCCGTCTCGGCCTCTCGGACTCGGACATAGCTGGCTTTGCTTCCTCCGCTGCCTTTTTAGGCTCCACTCCCATCATGCTCCGGCCTTATAACGCTGGGGCTAGCTGCTGGTCGCAACTGGTATCGAGTGAGAATATTTTTACCTTTTTCATTTCGACATCCTATTTGGTTTGATATCCCCTCCCCTACCGAAGGAGATCTCACCGCATTCCTCCCCTATTCGTCCTCGCGACTGTCTGCCCGTCATGGAGGGTCAGTTCTTGAGGCCGGATAATACTCGGGATGACACCGACAGTACCGCTACGGTGCTGGGGGACGATGCATCCTCACGCAACGAGGTCAATGTCGACCAGAACAAAGAATGGAGCCTCTTACCCGTGGTGAAACAGCAGCACCAGCGCGATGTCGACTCCGGATTCAAACGGCGAGAGCTAGGTGTCACATGGAAGGACTTGAGTGTCGAGGTCGTTAGCGCTGAAGCCGCCGTCAACGAAAACTTTCTCTCTCAGTTCAACATTCCGCAACAAATCAAAGAGTCCCGCAATAAGCCGCCCCTTCGACGAATCCTCGACAACAGCCATGGCTGTGTCAAGCCCGGGGAAATGCTCCTGGTCTTGGGCCGTCCCGGGTCCGGGTGTACCACCCTCCTGAAAATGTTGGCCAACCGTCGGGGCGGGTATCGTTCCGTCGAAGGGGATGTCCGCTATGGGTCCCTGTCTGCCGATGAGGTAGGAAGATACCGCGGTCAGATCGTCATGAACACCGAGGAAGAACTCTTCTTTCCCTCCCTGACTGTCGGCCAAACCATGGACTTTGCCACCCGCATGAAGATCCCCTTCAACCTCCCCAAGGGGGTCGAGTCACACGAAGCCTTTCGCCAGGAGATCAAGGACTTCCTGCTCGAGTCGATGGGCATCTCCCATACCACCGACACCAAGGTCGGCAACGAGTACGTGCGCGGTGTGTCGGGTGGTGAGCGCAAGCGGGTCTCCATCATCGAATGCCTGGCCACGCGGGGTTCCCTCTTCTGTTGGGACAACAGCACCCGGGGTCTGGACGCGAGTACAGCCCTGGAATGGACCAAGGCCATGCGTGCCATGACCGATGTTTTGGGCCTGTCCACCGTTGCCACCCTGTACCAGGCGGGCAATGGAATTTACGACCAGTTTGACAAGGTATTAGTCCTGGACGAGGGCAAGGAGATCTACTACGGCCCTATGGCCGAGGCGCGGCCCTTCATGGAAGAACTGGGCTTCGTGTGCGGCGATGGCTCCAACGTGGGGGATTACCTGACGGGCGTCACCGTCCCGACAGAGCGTAAGATCCGTCCCGGCTACGAGGGCCGCTTCCCCCGCAATGGCGCCGAGGTGTTGGCAGCCTACGAGAAGTCCGCCATTCGCGATCGGATGGCGACAGAGTATGACTACCCCGACTCGGAATTGGCCAAGGCGCGAACCGAGGATTTCAAACTGTCCGTGGCGGGGGAGAAATCGAAGCGCCTCTCCAACCAGAGCCTCTTTACGGTTGATTTTCTCGATCAGGTCAGGGCCTGCGTGGTCCGACAGTATCAGATCCTGTGGGGCGACAAGGCGACCTTCTTCATCAAACAGCTGTCGACGCTCATCCAAGCCCTCATCGCGGGTTCCCTCTTCTACATGGCCCCGGAACACTCCGGCGGCCTCTTCGTCAAATCTGGTGCCTTGTTCTTCTCGCTGTTGTACAACAGTTTGTTGGCCATGTCTGAAGTGACTGAATCCTTCAGCGGCCGCCCGGTCCTGATTAAGCATAAAAGTTTCGCGTTTTTCCACCCCGCCGCATTCTGCATCGCGCAGATCGCGGCCGACATCCCCGTGCTTCTGTTTCAAATTAGCATCTTTTCTGTCGTCGTGTACTTCATGTCGGGTCTGACATTGTCGGCGAGCGGTTTCTTCACGTACTGGTTTTTGGTATTCACTGCCACTATGGTGAGTCAGATCCATCCCCTTTCGCAGTTCGAACGCTTCTAACCCGCACCGATGCGTAGGCTATGACGGCGCTATTCCGTGCTGTCGGCGCGCTGTTTAGCACCTTTGATGGTGCGTCGAAAGTGTCCGGTTTCCTCATCTCCGCCTTGATCATGTATACCGGATACATGATCCAGAAACCGCAGATGCATCCCTGGTTTGGTTGGATCTTCTGGATCAACCCGATGGCCTACGGCTTCGACGCCCTGCTGTCCAGCGAGTTCCAAGGGAAAACGATCCCCTGTGTTGGTCCGAACCTGATTCCGAGCGGCCCTGGTTACACAGATCCTGCCCACCAAGCCTGTGCGGGTGTGGGAGGTGCCCTTCCGGGCCATAATTACGTGACTGGTGAACAGTACCTGTCGTCCCTCTCCTACAGCCACACCCACGTGTGGAGGAACCTCGGTATCCTGTGGGCCTGGTGGGCTCTCTTCGCCGGGGTTACCATCGTCGCCACGTCGCGCTGGAAGGCCGCATCGGAGAACGGTAGTCTGCTGTTGATTCCCCGTGAGCGTCTTGACAAGCACCGTCAGGTGGCCCACCTGGACGAGGAGTCTCAGGACGAGAAGGGTGCCAAAACCCCGCAGGACTCTAGCTCCCAGACGGAGGACGACATCGACAAGCAGTTGGTTCGTAACACGTCGGTGTTCACCTGGAAAAACCTGTCCTATACCGTGAAGACCCCCACCGGCGACCGTGTTCTCCTCGAAGACGTGTACGGCTGGGTGAAGCCCGGTATGCTGGGTGCCCTCATGGGCTCCTCAGGTGCGGGCAAGACGACGCTGTTGGATGTCTTGGCCCAGCGCAAAACGACAGGTACCATCAAAGGTTCGATTTTGGTTGACGGCCGCCCGCTGCCCGTCTCTTTCCAGCGTTCCGCCGGTTACTGCGAGCAGCTTGATGTGCACGAACCGTTCGCGACCGTCCGTGAAGCCCTCGAGTTCTCTGCCCTCCTCCGCCAGTCCCGCGACACCCCGCGCGAGGAGAAGCTGAAATATGTTGACACCATTATCGACCTGCTGGAGTTGCACGATATCGCCGATACGCTCATCGGACGTGTTGGGTACGGCCTCAGCGTCGAACAGCGCAAGCGTGTGACCATCGGCGTCGAGCTGGTATCCAAGCCGAGCATCCTGATCTTCCTGGACGAACCCACCTCCGGTCTCGACGGCCAGTCCGCCTACAACACGGTCCGCTTCCTGCGCAAACTGGCTGATGTCGGCCAGGCCGTCCTCGTCACCATCCACCAGCCCTCCGCTCAACTGTTCGCCGAATTCGACACCCTCCTCCTACTCGCCAAGGGCGGCAAGACCGTCTATTTCGGCGACATCGGTAACAACGGCCAGACTGTCAAGAACTACTTCTCCCGCTACGGCGCTCCCTGCCCCGCCAACGCTAACCCCGCCGAACACATGATTGACGTCGTCTCCGGCGTCCTCTCCCAGGGCCGCGATTGGAACCAAGTCTGGCTCGAGTCCCCCGAGAATGCCCGCGCCTCCAAGGAATTAGACGAGATCGTCGCTGACGCCGCGTCCAAGCCCCCCGGCACCCTCGACGACGGCCATGAGTTTGCCCTGCCCCTGTGGCAACAGACTAAGATCGTCTCCCAGCGCATGTCTCTCGCCATCTTCCGCAACAACGACTACACCAACAACAAGATGGCGCTGCATATCGGCTCCGCCCTCTTCAACGGCTTCTCGTTCTGGATGATCGGAGACTCGATCGGATCAATGCAGCTGCGACTCTTCACAGTGTTCAACTTCATCTTCGTAGCGCCCGGTGTCATCAACCAGCTGCAGCCCCTCTTCCTGGAACGACGAGACATCTACGACGCGCGCGAGAAGAAATCCAAGATGTACTCATGGGTAGCCTTCGTCACCGCCCTGATTGTCTCCGAGATCCCCTACCTCTGCCTCTGCGCCGTACTGTACTTCGCCTGCTGGTACTACACCGTCGGCTTCCCGACCGACTCCGACGCCGCCGGCGCCGTCTTCTTCGTCATGCTAATGTACGAATTCGTCTACACGGGCATCGGCCAGTTCGTCTCCGCCTACGCCCCCAACGCCATCTTCGCCTCGCTCATCAACCCCCTCATCATCGGAACCCTCGCCTCCTTCTGCGGTGTGCTCGTCCCCTACGAGCAGATCCAAGCCTTCTGGCGCTACTGGATCTACTGGATGAACCCGTTCAACTACCTCATGGGCTCCATCCTAACATTCACCATCTACGACGTCGAAATCACCTGCGATGAGTCCGAATACGCCCTGTTCAACCCGCCCAACGGCACAACCTGCGGCGAGTACCTCTCCGACTTCATGCACGGCATGGGCGCCTACATGAACCTCGTTGATCCTTCGGCTACGTCCGACTGCCGCGTGTGCCAGTACTCGCGCGGAAGCGACTACCTGGCGACTATCAACCTCAAGGATTACTACTACGGGTGGCGTGACGCGGCCGTGGTGGCTATCTTCGCCATCTCGTCGTATGCGCTTGTGTATGTGTTGATGAAGCTGCGGACCAAGGCGTCGAAGAAGGCGGAGTAATCCATTAATCACCCAACACATCTTCACTTCGCTTTCCCTTCCTCTTCTTTCGTCCACCATCCCTCGTCCAGCCAACCACCCTGGATATGGACATGGACATGGATGGATACCTCGGGTGCAATCCGATCTTTAATTTTACATTGTTATCGTTGTATTTCCCTTTTATACCCACCAACCCCGACCAGCACAGCTAGCGTCGCCAGACGACGACTACTCACTACCCCTGCATTGTGGAGTTTGTTTTCTTCTTGCTCCATGGCCTGGCTTACCATGTTAGATAGATATTGATGATAATAGACGGTTGTTGGTTTTGGTGATGTTTGTTTATGAGTGGGTATATAATTTCTGAAATATTATGTTTCTTATACATATGAGTGTGTTTTATTATGGCTGTTCTTATGCTGTTTTGTAACTTGAGTAATCGGTGCGTAAAGTGGTAGGATAGGTAGGATAGAATAAAGTAACAAAGCGACATCTCAATTTAGGCCATAGCCAAAACAACTACAGATATGGAGCATAACAACAAAAGAAAAGGAAAAAAAAAAAAAGACAACTGGCAATCTGCAATCTGCAATATCCCGACCTTCACAATCTCGTCCTCCCCGCGCTCCGCCCCCTCCGGCGTTCCCTCGTGTCCCAACCGTTACAAACTCAGTAGGTATATACCTAGGTGGGTAATGGAAAACAACATTACTCCACATTGACAAGTCCCGACTTCCCCGCAACCCTACCAGCCAATTCCATCAGCGAGGTACTACCCAGAATCTCCAAGATCGACACTGTGCTGTCCATGCTACGGGCGATCCACTTCCTCAGCTCGACCGCCACATGGGAGTCAATGCCGTATTCCGCAATCGGGGCAGTCGGGCTGATGGCGTCCGTTGGAATTGACAGGTTTGCTGCTATCTTCGCGCAGAGGGCGGAGTAGACGACAGCGACTGCTTCGTCGATGGACGGGGCGGAGGAGAGGTCCGCGCGGAGGGTATCTCTTGCTCGTAGGGGACCTGTTTTCCCGTTGCGTGTGTCGGCTGCGGAGAAGATGTGGCGGAAACGTGAGAAGAGGGGGCTTTCGGAGAGGATGGGGAGGGATTCGTCTTCGTGGTAGTCGCCTAGGCCGGTGATTATCTGCGCCGAGGGGCTATGGTGCTGCTGGGTTGGGGTGAGAGCCGTTGCGATTAGGGTTAGGAGGGTGGGCGTGTCTGTGCCGTGGAAGCCTTGCTGGGCCATGCGGGTCGCGAGGTCTCTGTTTTCGGCGAGGTAGCCTACGTCTGTGATGACGCCTAGGTCAAGGGAGACGGCTGGTAGGCCGAGGGTTCGTCTGTGTGCGGCGAAGGCGTCCATGAAGGTTGAGCCTGCGGCGTAGGCGGCTTGTGTGGCGTTGCCTATTATGCCGCTTATGGAGGATAGCATGAGGAAAAAATCTAGGTCTTGGGGGAGGTAGCGATGGAGGTTCCATGTTCCGATGGTTTTGGGTCGCAGGACTGTGAGATAGTCGTCTAGGGTCATTTTCTCAATATGCGAATCCTGGCTGGGTTAGTATCTTGTCTTTGCCCGGATATTGTTTCATTACCTTTACTACCATTGCTGCGTGAATGAGACCTCGGATAGGAGGAGCTGTGTCTTTTAGATCTCTCATTATTTTGGAGACCTGGTCACTGTCGGATACATCGCAGGCGCGCACAATCACACGTATGCCCTTTTCTTTCAAGGCTCGCGCGGCAGCTTTGGATGATTCCTGTGATAGTCCACTTCGATTTAAGAATACTAGTGTGCGCGCTCCAGTTTCAGCCATCCAAATAGATGTTGCTCGACCGATACCACCTAATCCCCCAACAAGCACGTACGATGCATCGGGTCGGAAAAGAGAAGAAGGCTCTTTCGGCGTGAGTGTCTTTAAGGGTCAGCGTCTGATCTAACCTCGTGGAAATAAAAATACCTTAACCACATCATTCTCACCAACTGTGACAATGATAGAATGCACTCGAGGATCCGATTCGAGAGCGTCCAGTCCATTTGCAAGGTTGGATACACTGTATCTCGGTGGTAGCGGGATCTCGTGAAGATCGCCATCTCGCAAGTGAGATGAGACATTGCTCCAAATCTCGTTCACCAAATTGGCATCACGCGTGAGTAAGTCATTGAAGTCACACGTCGCAAACAGGGAATCGCCTAGAAGACGTGGTATTTCCCACATAGGCCGTGTTGACGACTCCAGACCGCGGAGTTGGATAAATCGACCCCCTGCACTCATGCAACTCCACAATGGATGAATTGAGCTTATCGATTCCATGCAATTAATGATTACATCCACCTTAGTGCCACTGGTTATTCGCTTGAGCTCTTTGGCTGTCGTAGAGCTATGCCGCAGTGTCCCATCTCCAGGGACTGCGGGGGAAGAGGTAGCCGAAGTTTCCTCACCACCTCCGCTTATAAGAAACATTCGAGCCTTAGCATAATTGATAACTTCCGCGAAAGCATGTCCTAGCGTTTTGTCCTCACACACTACCAGAGCGCGATCCCCAATTGCAGCATGCGCAAGATGATGTACAGCGTAAAAGGCCATACAGTAAGCCGATGGTAGAATGGTTGCCGAATCAAAGTCCATGCCAGATGGAATTTTCTGGAATGCAGACTCCTTGTTTTGATAAAAGCCGGCTACAGTTCCTAACCCGAGACAGGCCACGCGATCATTAGGGGCAAAGTTGGACACCTTATCTCCAACAGCTTGCACGACTCCGCTGCATGCCGAGCCTAATTTAGGCCGTCCACCATTATGATACAAATCAGCCTTTAGATCTTGCTTTGTGGTGCTCACTGCGTGGACTGCAATGCGGATGCAGTCATCTGGAAGGTTTTCGACCTTAGGATCATTCTCGAAATGAACGCCCCCCGGCCCAATATCAGCGTCGATGACTGCTTGGAGAGGCCGAATAGACGAGGAGACTATTTCATCACTGATGACATATGACTGCTCCGATGTTGCTAATGTCCGGTTGAGCTGATTATCTTCAACCAGCCGCGGGACGAATACTGTCCCTCTTCGCTCGGCGTACTCGGTGTCGCGATCGTCCTTGTCCTGCGCTGGGGCGTGTTCTTGAATAATGTCGTATATTATTTCGGCGATCCGAGTTTCTGACGATGGCGACTCGCTGCACAAGTCAAGCGTGATGATAGGCCCCACTCCAGATTCCGAGCGTGCTGTTCTTGCAAAACCAGCCGCAATGCCAGCATCAGGATCAGATGGGTTTAGCGTTGCACCTGTCGTGACCCACAGAACACCAGCTGACTCAAGAAATAGTTGCTTGACTGTAGAAAATACCGTCTGCTTGGGGTTTGACAATACTGAGCTGCCGATATCTCCGAGAACGATACAAAACTTGCCTTGCGGCGTGATGCTGGTCAAATCCGCCACCCTCACCGTTTTGCATTTTGAAGCCAAAAGAACCTTCAAATGCCGAACAGAATCGTCGTTTGCACTCTTGCCCGTGATAATGAGGATTTCATCATAGAGAGTAGACGGTTTCTTTGAGGGCCTCGAAACAATCATGGTATACCCATCGGGAGATTCTGTTGTCAAAGCAGTTCCACACAAGCCAGCCTCTTCCAGACCAGTGTTTATGTCGAAATTTTGACTATCTGCCGATCCGTGCTGCTGTCCCTCGCTCGACCCGAGAACACCAAAAGATCGCAAAGAATCGCCAATTTGCTGATGACTAGTGGGCGGGTCAACGAGAATAAAGTGTCCTCCTTTTCGAAGTAGAGCATGGATGTTCTTCAAATATTGCTGCTTGTGTTTTACAGTGTGGATACCACGCGGTGCAATGACAACATCATAGAGATGACCCTCGGATGACTGTGCGCCCAAGTCACCCTCTATATCGAGCAGAAGAAAGCCCAACCAATCGCTCCACTGGGATAGTTCAAGCTTGGCTTTGTCGAGTAGATCCTGCTTTGAATGTGCCAGGGTGTACTCGATGCACTGAGGCTGGGAGTCACCCATCAACCTCTGTAACAGTTTGCCTGACATGTCTCCGGAGCCCGCTTCCAACTCTAAAATCGAAATCATCGGGTTTTTACGACTGATGAGGTCTATGTAGACCGCTACCCACTCATATACTTGATCTTTATAGGCATTTGTCCAGTACGCTTCTAGAAGTGCTGTCTCGTCCGTCAAATTCTGGAGATCGGCACTCCCTGTCACAATGTTCGACAATTGCCCCCTAGAGTCGTTAGGAGATTTTGTGCCATGTTGGAGTTCTGCAACTCGGCAATGTTAAGGTTCATTGCGTCGGCGAACGAGCCTAGCGACTGAATCTGTGTGGCTATGTCTGTGAGGAATCCTAGACGCTCGTCGATGGTGGGGAGACGCTCAGGTGATTCGGTCAGGGGGATTGCATCTTTGATAGGTTCACCACCCTTAATATTCTGGGATTGATCCTGGGTATCGTCTCCTTGGCTTTGTAGGATGTCCCGGAAGTTTTGCTGAACAAGGAAGTCGGGATCAGGACTCCACTCTAGTCGGTATGCTAGTCGAGCTTCCTTAGATGTAGTATCCATCGAACTTTGCTGGATGTTCCTGCACCGCAGACCCGTAATGGAAACCGCAGGAGATCCATTGTTATCAAGGACGGAAATAGACGCAAGAAGATCCCCCTTTCTACTCTTTCTGACTTTTGTACAAGTGTCCAACGCCGTACCTGCTGTTGTTGGCGTCTTTAGGGACATGGTCATCTGCTTTATGTACACAGGGACAGCAGGATTCTCTTTCATGTTTATGTTGATGAAAATCGTCTGTATTATACTATCGAGGGTGCATGGGTGTATCAAGTGCGGGTATTCGAATCCTTCTGGCATAACTGATGCGGTGTCCGGGATGGATATTTGGGCTATTGAGGTGTCGGATGTGAAGTGAGCGTGCTTTATGTTGGTGAAGGTGGGTCCGTATTCGAGTCCAATATCAGAGAGCATTGTGTAAAATTTATCAAGGTCAAAATCGTCAGAAAGAGGGCATTCGGGGTATTCAAAGCTCTCCATATCATCAGTGCTGATAGAGTCCGTTGTTTGGAGGCATATGACCCCTTGGCAATGTTCGGTCCAGTTGCTTTCTTCTGTCACCGAGTATATGCGGAATCTGTAATAGCCCGTTGTCGTAGCGTCCTGGAGCAATTGAAGCGAGATCATGACCTCCACTGCAAGTGTTTCGTTCATGATGATCGGTGTCTTGATTGAAACATCCTGTAGGCATACAGTGGCAAGATTATTGGTATCCTTGCTGTCCATGGCATGCTGGACCACCGCCTCGATAGCCATGGCAATATATCCCGCTGCTGGATACACAATATTGGACTGAATTTTATGATCGGCTAACCATGGATCTTCCGAGACACGGAGAAAGTTCTTCCAACGGGGTTCGAAGGGACATGAACCGCGATCGATCACCCCAAGGAGGTTAGTTCGAGGGTGCTTGCGGCTACGGAACGCCTTGCTAATCCTCGGTTCGGTCCAGTACGACCTTGAATGGTTCCAGCTATACGTTGGTAAGTCCACAAGGACGCATGGATCCCTGGAAGGCGATGGGTCATTGATCGCCTGGAAATTTACCGGGTATCCGGAACATGCCAGGGAGGCAGCCATATCCAGTGCCGTTGCTACCGCATCACTTTCGCGAGATAGGGTAGAATAGTAACGAATGTTGGCCTCGCTGAGCTTTTTATTGTGTTGTAAAATCTGTTTAACGGGCGCGGCGAGAGCTGAATGTGGCCCTATCTCCAGCAGGCAGTCGATACTAACCTTACGTGCGGCACCCAAACGCCTTGTTCTTTTCGTATCCGGAACAGTAGATGAACCTCGGATAGCGCTTGTTTCAAAACACTGCGCACACACGGCATCAGCGAACTTCACCTGGCCCAGCAGGTTCTTGACCCAATACGTCGGGCCTAGCTCAGCTGTCGTCATTTCCGCCCCAACGACAGATGAAAAGAAGCGCACCCGGTTCTTCTTAGCCTGATTCGAGGAGCTTTGTCCAGAGCATGTGCCTAGGGTAGATATTGTAGATAGGTATTCATCGCCAACGGTCTTCATATGATGGGAATGGTAGGCGACTCCAACGGCCAGCCGACGGCAGAAAATGTCTTGCTTGCGGACAATGGACTCCAACTCGTCAATGGCTGGGCTGTCACCGGATACGGTAATGCTTGTTGGGCTATTGACGCAAGCCACAACCGCTGAACCTAGCATCAGAGACTCTAGGTAGGGCTGAGCATCATCTGGTGATAATCCTAGAGCCAGCATACCACCAGCTTGGTATCCTTTCGAAGGCAATTTACTGGCAACTACCCCACGGTAATAGGCTACCATCAGGGCATCCCCCATAGTCAAAGCGCCCGCTGCGTAGGCGGCAGCAATCTCGCCGCTGGAATGACCACTTACTGAGTCTGGATAGACTCCCCATGCTGCGAGTAAGTCGACCAAAGCAATCTGCAGAGCGGAACATATGGGCTGGCTTAAAAGCGGGTAATTCAGCCGGGCTTCTTCTTCTTCGGATGTCAACGCGTCTATTCAGAGTAAAATAGCCTGCGCGTCAGTATTAGAGACCTAGACTTGTAAGCTTGATAGGGAACAGGGGAACGAACCTAAGATGCAGAATGGAGCTCCCATCTGTGCCATATAATAATCTATCCGTTGGATGGATCGTCGAAACACGGGGTAGACTTCTAATAGTTCTTTTCCCATCCCGCGCCATTGCGCACCCTGTCCTGTGAAGACAAATCCGACAGCAGGTCTGCGAGGGGCCTTTTGGACTTTGACACGTTGTGATAATGCGGTCGCAACGGCCACTGGAGAATCTCCGATAACCGCGGCCCTAAAAAGATGATTCGTGCGTCGCTCATTTAGAGTGAATGCTAGGTCATGCATTAGTTCGTCTGTGTTGGTCGACGCTTTTTGGCTGAGATATACACGCAATTTGTGAAGTTGTTCAACAAGGGAGCTCTCCTCAAATGCGGACACCATGAAGATGCGGCGTTGTTTAGAGTCCTCGGAAGAATTGCAGTGAGAGCTATCTGTGAGTGTGGGACTTCGTACTACAAATGTCAAGTCCCGCTGAGAGAAATAGCCCATGGCATCTTCCAGGATAACATGCGCATTGCTACCCCCGTAACCAAAGCTGTTGACAGAGACGCGGTGAGGACCCGCTGACTTCCAGGGCTCGGGATTGAGTTGTATCTAATGTTGCTTGTCATTAGAGGAGAACAAAGCTCGAGAGCCTAACCACTTACCTTGACTTTCCAGTCGTCAAGCAGTATTCGCGAGTTCAATGACTTGAAACCCCGACTGGGAAGGAATGTGCGGTTCTCTAGCATCAATATCGATTTAATAACTCCAGCCACGCCACTCGTTCCTTCGAGATGCCCGACATTGGTTTTTATCGAGCCCACTCGCAGTGGTTGCATCGGATCCCGGTCCTGGCAGAGCACCTTTGCCAGGGCACCGGTTTCGATTGGGTCTCCAGCTTGAGTGCCAGTTCCGTGAGCTTCGACAAATTCCGTTGCCGCTGGGTCTAAACCTGCAGTCTTATATACATGGCGTATCAGTGCCTCCTGTGCGACGCCGCTAGGCAGCGTGATGCCAGGAGTCCTTCCATCCTGATTTGAGCCCGACCCTCGAATAATGGCTCGAATTGGGTCGCGATCTCGAATTGCATCTTTGAGTGGCTTTAGGATTAAAGAGCCAATTGCTTCGCCACGCGCGTACCCATTAGCGTTCTGGTCGAAGGTATGGCAGCGGCCGTCGGGAGAAAGAAACCTGGTCAAGGATAAGCTACACCATTGATATATGTGGCCTGCACGTACTTCATCATAGTCATGGTTGACATGAACTCATGGCTGAGAATAATATTGACACCCGCCGCAACCGCCATGGTGGCATCCCCTGTCCGCAAACTTTGGCATGCCAGATGCAAGGCTACTAGACTCCCCGAGCAAGCCGTATCAACCGTAACGCTTGGCCCTTTCAGGTCGAAAAAATATGAAATCCGATTTGCTGTCATAGCACGCGACTGACCGGCATTGGTGCACTGGTACATGGGAACACACTCCGGGTCGCGGAGCAGGAGATCCGTATAATCTGCATTAAAGGAGCCCACGAAACAGGCGGTTTGACTGCCCATTACTTTCGAGAGTGGGATCCCAGCTACGAATAATCAGCTCCGGTATGTATCTTTCAGTAGGGCCAGCGCACCACTCTCGAGCCCTTCGTATGTAACCTCCAACAAGAGCCGTTGCTGAGGGTCCATTGCCTGTACGGTCTCAACGAGTCGCCCGATATTTATGTAACTTTGTGATGCTTACCGCTGCCTCATCACTGCTCATGTTGAAAAACGGTGCATCGAAGAAGGAGGGGTGCTCCTCGAGGAAATGGCCCCCTTCCACGTTGATCTGTCGGTGTTCAGATAATCTTACAAAACAACTCGCACTGAAGGAACACATATCAAACAATGCTTACGGTTCCATGTCTGGCATAATCAGAATGATGAAAACTTTCCATCTTCCACCTGGAGTCCGGTATCTTGCTCCAAGTCTCTCGGCCTTCAATGATGAGGTCCCATAGCTTCTGGACGTTCACGGCATCCCCTGGACCTCGAAATCCCATGCCCACAATGGCAATGGGCATAGACGCGTCCTCCGACAGAATTGAAAGATCATCGTGCTGGAGAGACTGGGAATCGGTAGTGGGAGTGTATGATGGAGTGGGAACGGAAGTAGGTGAGGTCGGAGGGGGAGGAGGATGAGGGCGATTGGCAGTCATGGCGAGGCAGCGTCACGTGCATCCGGACAACAAAGTCACAAGGTCGCTTGACGACGTACATCAATGTTGCAATATCTGTCAGTAATTGTAGGGCCCAGCACCAGCAGACAGAATTATAGCCATATGCGCTGCGTTGGTTAATGCCCGACACATGTCAACCAGGCTGAGACCAAAATACCCCGAGGATCTGCGGTGAGTTTACGCGTTGCGATGCACAGTACAATACAACTACTAATCCTACAGTAGGTGTGGTTATTAGACTATAGCAGTCAAATTGATCTACAAGATAATCGAACATCTATCCCATTACGCGACGCGTGCATCACCATATTGTCAAGGCCTGTACGGATAGCTTCCGTACAGCGCTAGCTATAGCCGACAAATTCTTCTTGTCCCCCGGAATATCATGCCCACGGCTGTGCACCACCCACGACGATCGGGATGGATCACACAAGCCATGTAGGGCGAGTGAGTACTCGAGCCAGGGGTCTTGGGCGCCGCCGATGTGGACAGTGGGGATGTTGATGTACCCTTCGACATCCGGGTCAATGACAGGATCGGTGCCGGGATCCATGCGGAATGGCGCCAAAGCATTGATAAAAATGGCGCAACGAAACAACGGTGATTCTTGGGGGTACAACTTGGCATGGTGGATGAGAAAGCTGGCCGCCAGTGTCCCACCATGTGAAAAGCCCAACACGCCGTCAAAAGGCCCTTCCTCGTCGATCGTCTCGTATAGCCGATCATATGCATCTAGTACGGATGCACCCTCGGGGTCCGGACTGCTCACCGGTCGAGGAAATTGGTGGTAGCTGTAGTAGGGACCGTCGTAGAAGCCTGCGATGCCGGGGCCCGGGACCGAGTCTACGTCGCCCTCGAGGAAGTGGAATGTTGCCGTATGGTCGTGGCGCAAATTGGCCATAAGACCGCCTGAATGGTTAGGTAGGTTGGACGGATCGAGGGCAGGTGCCACGTACTCAGCTGAGACCGGAGAATCTACCCGGGTGGGTGTCAGTGTGACGCTCAAAGTCGGGGGTGGGCTTATCGCGAGGCTCACCTTGACGTTCGTCCCCCAGCCGTGAAGGCATAATAATTTCAAAGGCATTGTCGCTGACGTGTGATAGGAAGACCGAGCACCGCGGTTGCTGCACGCAACTAGTATATATATCGCGTAGCCCAGAATGCTATCAATTTGAGATAACAGCATAGTGCAAAGGGCGGTCTATTCCAAAAGTTCCCGTGCTACGCCGGGTCATTTGTCCCAGCAACGGCTGGATCTATCGGGTTGGAAAATGTTCTTGTTTATCTTGCGTCATCTTCGGAAGCCTGCCTAGAAGGTTCGGACAGGGTCTAACACCGTTGGGGCGTGTATGGCCCTGGGCATGTTATGCGGTTATATCAGTATCCGGAAGCGCACAGCATCGACTGTAGCATTGGAGACCTATGGAAGATATAGGGTTAGGTTTTCCGGATCAATTTGTCTCGGCCCCTCTCATCACTCATCACATGAATTAAGGTGGCTATACTGCATGGCAAGGCCTACGGCTCAATTGCCTGTCTGGAATCTCAATCCCAGCCAAAGTATGGCATCGTATGATGCGAGACTGGGGAGAACGACAGCAGGTAATTATGACCCCACCGGCCGGCGACTATGACAATCACATGCTTCGTCCTATTTCCAAATGTCCCACATGTTCAAGTCAACTGAGTTTGCAAGTGTTAGCACTAGTGGGTAACAATAGTATGCAGTAAGGAGTAGACAACTGCGCAGGAATCCCACTTACCAGCTTGAACAATTCGCTGAATCATCATACCTGTAAGCCACACTATAGTTCATAAGCTGTGTCGACTTGTCGATTTTTGGTCAAGACATCCTGCGATTAAGGTCAACAATACGCAGCATCGAATCTTAGCCACCGCACCACAAAGACCGATCGAAACTTTGGGAGGGCTTTAACTGACTGATATCCTCACAACCACATATCAATGACATCAAAATTGTGACCCCCTGGGAATGTATCCGCAGGCATAGCCGTCCTTCCGGAAGACGTTCTTTCCAGGTCCTGACTCTTACTGCATAACCCTGGCTCGTTATCCTACGTAGTCAGAGGGTGCTTTTTTACAATATACATAACTACTAGCTAGTAATAAAGCAATATCCATTTTTGATCCTGCAACAATCTCGGCTTCTTTAGTACAAATAATCCAATCCAAGCCTATCCAACCCACGGTATCATCCAAGCAGCATAACCAAAAACCAAGACGCCAGCCCAACACCATCTCGCTAGATATATCATATCACCCAAACCTCACGCTGTCACTCACATCCAAATAACGACATGCTATACCGTTGTCAGCCATATCTAATACCGCGACGATTCCTCCGGTGTATCTAGTAGAACAACAACAACGTCAGTCCAATCCAGCACCGCAGAGCAATATCAATCTCATCCCCGAAAACATACACGCAGACTCCACATCTCTCGGACCCGGTGGCACAGAATCCCGATGAAATACCCCCCAATTCTTGAGACGCACAGACCGCATATACCGTTCCTGCTCGAGAGGATAGTTTCTGAGGCCCTGGGGCTGGGTGGGATTCAGCTGTTTGGTGAGGGCGGCTCCAAGGGAGACTGCTGCGAGGCAGGCGACGATGACGATGACGATTATGGCTGCTGTTGTGAGTTTGGCCATTTCCACTTCCTTTTTCTGTGTGGTTCGATGGTTATCGATGATACTGGCGTCGTTTGGTCGATATGAACTACTCGAGTGGATCGATATGGGGTGCCGCTGGTACGGCTCCGATCATCGCCGTATGTGTGGTCAGATAGTTGGTACTGGTGGGTGCGCTTTGCAGCAACAATTAACGGCTAATGCATGATGATGCGTAGTGTATCAATATGTAGATGGATGAGATAGAGCAGAAGATGGGCAGAAACCACCGTAGAGAAGGTAGAGTAAGACGAGAGGAGATGAGATGCCGCGGTTCGCCATCGCCCCCGCCATGTTTATTTATAACCCCGTGCAGAATGACACCTGAAACAGCTCATTCACCACCTTCTACTACCACCCAATCCTGTGCATCCTTGAGCCATGGCGTGCCATTCAGCGGTCATTGGTCAGCTGAACTTGCTGGGGGGTTCTGAACCGATTGGTGGAGCTTGGTGGGACCCGCCAGCGAGATGCGCAGTCGAATGAAGTGGACAGTTCGATTATCAATGGATGGTTCAACGAGGGTCTGCTGTGGGCCTGGGGTGTACTTTTCCATCATAAACATCTAGCAAGATAACATTGATAAATCGTAGTTTTTTTTTTATATACAAAACAAACAAGCAACAAGAAGAAAAACGATTTCGTGATAGTCACCCCCAAACCCTAACCCTAACGTCCTACACAAGCTGACGTGTTTTGGCTCCGATCCTGATCCCCAGTGGCGCGTCGATCTCTGCATCGCAACAGCAAGCCCAGTTCTGTCCGAATCCTACTTCCGCGAGTTGAACACCAGATTCAGTTCACCCCAGTAAATAACGAAACTATCCCTCGAATCCTTGAAGGTCTTCTCCCCTGTCTCACCCGGCGCCAGCTGGATGTCAAACTCGGTTACCAGCCGGGCCATGGTGGTGCGCAGGTTGAGCAGGGCCACGGGGCGCCCGATGCAATTGTACTCGCCTATCACGTCTTGGTTAGTTGATCATTGCCTCTATAAAGATAGTCGATCTTTGATGCACTAGTGTCAAGGTTCTAGACTCACCGATTGTGAACGGGGCGAAGGCTTCTTTATGCTTGATCAGCTCGGGATTTTTGTACCATCGCTCTGGAATGAAATCGTTCGGTTTCTCGTAGTTAATTTCAGCTGCTCCAGTTAGCATCTTGTATTTATTGCTCTTTTCTTCCCTGTATAGTTCTCGTCGCGCCCTCCCTTGTCTAGGGTAACTTACATCTTCCCATCGGATACATAGGGCACGACACTGTCACGTTACCCGGGATGTGTATGCCATCGATGTCGATGCCCTCAGGCGGCGTCTTGCGAGGCAGTACCCCCGACACAGGCGGATACATTCGGAGCGTCTCATTGATGACACCGTTGAGATGGTCGAGGTTCGCTATATCAGAGTTCAGGAAGTGACCGTTGGCGTTGCGGAACGGCTCTAGCTCGGCGCGTAGCTTCTCCAGCTCAGCGGGATGCTTCAGCAATGTATGAAGCATGATCACGAAGGTTCCTGCGGTCGTATCGCTGTCACTGTTGTTAGAAGCTCTCCTGTGGTAGATGCGTCTCCGTGTCCTCATAAGTACTCACCTGCCAGCAACGACAATCAACCGCGAGTCCCCAGTTAACAGACCCCAGTCGTCCTTAGTAGGCTTCTTATCCCCCAAAGCAGCGATCAACGTAGAGCTGATATCCGGGATGTCCAATTTACTCTATCACTCCACATTAGCCCACACAAAGAAAGACCACCACCACGGGCGCTCCCGACATGGCCGACTGGAGAGAGAAACAGAGGGGCACCTACACTCATCCGTTCTTGGAGTCGCTCTGCACACCAGGCTAAAAGCCGCCACCAATCCGATGATAGCCCCGGGATGTTAGTGAACACACGCATCAGCCAAGTCGGCAGGAACAGCCCGAAGGAATTCATCGTGCCCATTATGGTCGAAACCGCCCAGTGCTCTTCACCAGCTTCCATGCTCCCAAACCCCTTCCCAAACGCCAGATCACCCATGACGTCGAAGCTATACAGATTAGACCACTTGCGCCAGTCCACCGGTTGCCCATTCATGCTAGCCAGATAGTCTATAAGCTTATCTTGGTACACGCGCACACGCTGCTCATACCCGCGAATCAACTTATCGCTGAAGGCGGTGCTCCAGACGCGGCGCCGGCGGTGGTGGCTGTCGTAGTCGCGGTACGTCTGCAGGGAGAAGTTCGGAGCGGCAAAGTCGTAAAATTCAGCCTTGGAGCAGCGGGACTTGGACCCGTAAATGGCTTCAACGGCCATGGGGTGGACTATGGAGAGATCGGAGGACCCATTACGTACAATCGGTCCGTATTTGTGGTGCAGTTTCACGAGATCCTGCGTGTTCTGGCGACGGTATTGGATCGAGTACAGGGAGGATATCCGGGCGCCCACTGGGCCCGGGAAGTGGCTCAGAGGGTGTAGGAAGAGCCGGTAGAAGATAAGGTGGCCGTATACGCCGGCGAGGTATGAGCCAAAGATTTGGGCGACGGTGCTAGTCGCTTCACTCCAATCGACGTTTTGGGTGTAATGCAGCGCTGAGATGGCAGCTGTGACCCCCACCCAGGCAATCTTAAAGTATGCGTTGCCGTAGAGCTGGTGTTCGCCTCTGTTGAAGTAGAGGATATGGGAGAGGGCTCCTGCGACGGCCGCAGTGGCCAGTGATGAACCAGCGGTATAATCTGTCATTGTGTTCACACTATCTTTGGTTCTCTACTCCTGTTTGGAGCGGGGGTTGTCTCTCTATTTATCCATGCCCTGTTGGCGCCCGAAAAATACAATAACACTTTCAGCCTCATCTCGAGCGGGGTTATACAGCTCTCACGGGTTGAAACTCTGCTCCCCTCTTGTTCCGGTCTCTCTTGTGGAGCGGGCGACGATCAACATGCCAACAGCGTCGACCGTTGACATACTAGCAGGGATGCGTCCAAAGAGGGGACACGGCTCGCCCGGTGACAGCCATCATAATTCTGCAGGTCGTTTGACCAATACATGGTAGTGACAGGACTGGCCAAGATCAGGACCGGCATGGTTGCATATAACGGCTGTTTCACTAACCTCAACCAGTATGCAAGTCCGTTAGCTTATCCATCCTGGAAATATTGGGCGGTTAGTATTTCGATGGCTGCATCTCTAGCAGGAGTTGATAGTGCAAGTCATTGGAATTGGGAAATGATCTGTCTTATACACTGACACGAGGTTATAATCTAATGCGAGGCTCTCGGAGTGGACCCGTCCAATATACACTATACTAGCCAAGGAGTTAGGGTAATGGCCCGCACACGCATCCCAGCAAAAGCGTCCATTGGCAGATACAACCCCACGTCAGCTATATACAGAAGTCCAATCTCATGCAACCACCACTAGGCCCTCCTCGTCTACCACCATTTACAAAGCGATCAGCGCATTGTATGCCTCCTTGGGCTGGTAGCTGGCGTCGAAGAGCAGGGGGCTCTCATCCGCCCGCCACGAATCCTGTAGGACACACCCATTAGTTTCTTGTGCGGTTTGTTCTCAGGAGAAGACTTGCTCACCTTGTCAGAGACTCCCCAGACGGTAATACCGACACAGGTCTCGATCTCGAGACAGGCGTTGAAGGCCTAAAAGGGAAACATTAGTGACGTCCCAGACTCCAAGAGGGAGATCCCTTACGTTGACATAGGCGTCGGGGGCGGCTCCCGCAATGTCAAGCTCGGTGATGGCCACTTCGGAGACACCGGTGCTGGCAAGAGCCTCCAGAGCTGTATAGCTACGTCAGCTTTGTTGTTCAATTAATTGGGTAATTCGGGAACACTTATCCCTTGACACCCTCCGAGTTACCAAATCCTTCGGCGCTGTATCCTGAAGTTAATAGATATTCTCGTCCACAACCGGGCAAGCACCCTACCTCAGATGGCTTTGAGAGCCTAAAGTTCTTCACATCAGCATTCTATCCATCATCTGGCACGGACAATATATTAAACTCACCAATGCCATCAATGGGCACACCGGCATCCAGCCACTTCTTCACGGATTCGACCATGCCCTGCGTCTTGGCGTAATCCGCCGAGTCCAAGCTAAGCAGCAAGCGTCAGTAACCCCGCAGCGGACTTTCAATTCTCCCAGTTGACAAAAATACGAGACACCCACTTATAATCGTTGATGTATAGCTTGGCATCGGGGTCCACCTCACGCGCCGTCTCGAACGCGATGCGGACAAAGTCCTCGCCCAGGACACGGGAGAAGACGCTGTCACGGAGCCCGCCCTCCTCAGCAAAGATCTCGTTGACGACATCCTAGTACCCTTGTCAGCGGTCGCTTTGCAGACTTATTTAAACGGGAGCGTCCTCACCCAAGCATAGATCTTGCCCTTGTAGTGCTCCATCACGGCCGTGACGTGATCCTTGATCACCTGGGTCAGGGTCTCCTTGTCGCCGATGGCGTCAACCCACGCAGGGAGCTGCGAGTGCCAAACTACATGCAGCGATTGCAATTAGCATCTGACATGAATGCTGCGGTGCTTCTTCCTTATACGAACCGAGAGTGTGGCCGCGGACGAGCTTCTCGTTCGCAGTCGCGTACTCCATCTGGGTTTCGTTAGCTTGACACTGCTTATTTTGATACTTGCACGCAGCGATACATACCAGAGCATCACCGCCATCAAAGTTGAAGGCACCTTGGCTCGCTACAGATATGAACGGACTTGTCAGCGTGCGATCCCGTGCATGCTGATTATCGTCAAGACAAGGAAGGCTCACGCTCAGTGGCATCCCACTTCATGCTGTTCTCGGCGGTCAACTGTCCGAAGTTGGCCTTGAGGATGGGCTCGTTTTCGGCGCTCGTCAGCAGGGCTCCGTCGGCGCAAGTTCCCACATACTTCTTCCCCTTGCCCACCAGGACGTCATTGAGGGAAGGAGTTCCCTGGCGAGCGCCGATGACGGACGAAGCAGCCAGAGAGGCGAAGAGGGCACTGCCCGTGAGAGCCTTGAGGTAGACCATATTGCTGAAGCTGGGTTTGTTGACTTGAGAGATTCTTGATAATGAGTGTTGTGATAGTTGGTGGTTGCAGATTCCAGCTGGTGGTAGGAATTGCGCTCCATTTATACATGCGAATGACTTCATACACAGGCCTGTCGGTTTACGGGAAAGCTTTAGGCTAATCTACGACATTTGGTTCAGTGCCTCGGACGATCGGAGAAGGTTCAAGTTTCAGTCTGTTTCAGGCAGAGTCTAGGTCGATTAGAGACATTTCGCGCTGGGGTTCGGAGTAGTTCCGGCTATTTTGCATTCAGGTACGGCAGGCATCGAAATAGATCGAGGGCGTCCTCTGCGGTATTTCGCCCATCGCGCCCTAAGGCTTAACGGATCGACAGGCCCCTCTTTGGCCTGTTATTACCGTTCTAGGCGATCTGGCAGTCGGCCTGTCGAGGTCTGTCGCGGCAAATGTCGCTCTCATTGTACAAGGATAATTAATTTCCGCCTATATCTGGCGACAGTTAAGGTGGTGGATAAAACATATAACTTGGGCCATCTGCCAGGGAACCCCTGCGTGTGGAGAAACAGGTGTTTAAGTGTGTGTCAACGGAGAAATTCTAGATCGAAGGAGTGATGAATTGATTAATGATCGGCGGTGCAGATCTCCACATTTGTTAGTTCTCGTGAGTTTCCCCGTGTTTGACTAGGCATCTGTGTTGGACCAGGATTATTCACGGCTTTCCTGGCAGCATCAATTGCCGATTTGCTTCAGGCTGAATTGGATACAAGGTTCATTCTACATGGCATCACATGGTCGGAAACACGGTTAATCAGGAGGATTCGATCGTGGCTGTCTAACACTCCACCAGGTCCTTGTTTGGTCCTTTTAGGCTTCAATGAAGACGAAATTAGGGATGTAGTATCTAAGACCTTCACAATATCTCATTTTCTCTACTCCAACAACAAGGCAAGTGCTCAATCATTACAGTAAGCTTGCCAAGTCAGCCAGGTCATAATGAATCTCCAAATATCATAGCACTGAACCTTTTGACAGCAACCTTCGGGCCACTACGTCATTCTCTCCCTATCACTACGTCCCAATTATATGAAAACCGGAGAACCAGGTCCTCGTCGCCGAAGCCATTACAATAGACATTCAATTGATGATCAGTGTCCGGGAAAATGCGATTGCAATCTGCACAAGAAAGCTAGCTAAGGCTCTTTCTCCTCGCACATATACTGAGCTTCAAGGAAATCTTAGTTCTCACTCCCCTCCAGAGTGGGACCTAATCTTATGCTATATCTTACCAACAAAAAGGCCCCGACAGCATGCGGACTCGCCCGTTTCAAGTCTCACAGTGGTCATGGACTGTTAGACGCCAAGATCTACATCAGCGGCCGGTCTAGCTCTTCCATATACTTTGCGTGGCTTCGTCAAGATCGGGAATGATGGTGGCTAGACATCATAGAGGATTGTCGTTGTCTCTGCAGCAAGACCTAGCCAACCCCTATCAGGGACTAGATAACTGGCCCAGGCAGCTTTGAGGTACTAGGTCTCGGATAATTACCGAAATGTTATGTTATATGGGGAATACATGCACACGATGGAGTATGCGCTTGGGACATCTGACCAAGTCTGAAACAAGTCAGTACTCGTGCTATTCATCTAGAGGAACGATGACAACGTATATAGTAGACGTTACAGTCGTAGACATAGAGCCACGGGGGGTACAGTATATGTCACTTCTTGCATCTCATCGGCAATTGTTCGGTCTATTTGGCTGTTCCTAGGGTATACTCGCCATAACTATGAGGAGCTGGCTGTGGGCCCTAATTAGGGCCTTTTTCTCCAACGAGATTTGGTCAAATCCAATAGTAATATTTGTTTTTAATTTCCTAAAGCTTCTAATTATTCAAGATTTACCTTTCTCTTTTATCTCATTGCATACTCGAATTTCTTGATGTCTGCGATCTTTCTTGGAGGTTCTATAGTTAGATCTACCATGTATCATCTTTTTAGTATAGAATTGGTTCTCTCGCCCAGGGGATGGAAAATAATGCAAAAAGATTAGATGGTTAAATGCTCCTATTTTTGTTTATGCTTTTCATTTATTCTCCTTGAATGCGTCTGATTGTTCTTGATTCCTTGCGCGACGCACGTATTACCCCAAGATATATCTCTACAACATATCTCTACCGATAGGAGTACCAACGTAAATTTCCATTAACAGTGAAGATCAAAAAAATCTTCTATAATATCCCACTACATTGATCAATAAGACCACCTAAATATAACATTCAGTCGTTATTACCAAAGTTAGTATTGGACAGACATGCCAGCTCATCTGATTACATTGGCAGCCACAAGGCGGTGAGGCCACTCTGGATTGTCCCCGCAACTTCATCTATCCCAGCTGTCAACTTTCCCCGACGTCACCTATTCCCGTCCATCCATTTCGCACCACCCTCTCAAAATGAAGCTCGTCTACATCGGAGTGCGTTCTTATTCCCCCCTCAATATACGGCGACCGGTTCGATAAAATTTCCACCACTAACTCCTACCAGGTCCTGCAAAATGCGCAAACCCCGGCGGTCGAGCTCTGCGCCGAACGCGAGCTGAGCAGCTACTCGCGCTTCACCAGAAACAGCGTCTCCGAGTTCACCACCATGTTCAGCAAGACCGTGGCCGAACGCACGAAACAGGGCCAGAGACAGGATATCCAGGAACAAGGCAAGTTGAGACGTGGACCCTGGATGGAGGTTCACCCCTGACCCCCTTTTGCCTCTCGCAGATTTCACCTTCCACGTCTACGCTCGCACCCAGGGAATTGCCGGTGTGATCATCAGCGACAACGAATACCCCTCCCTGGCCGCCCATCAGATCCTGTCCAAGATGCTCGACGAGTTCCTCGCCCAGCACCCCAATGCGGGGGCCTCACGTGACCCCGTTTCCTTCCCGGCGCTCAAGACCTACATTACCTCCTACCAGGACCCGCACCAGGTGGATAGCATCATGAAGATCCAGAAGGAGCTGGACGAGACCAAGATCGTGCTCCATAAGACCATCGAGAGTGTATGTGTGGGAGGACCCTGTTGCGACCGGCGGCTGCTGACCCGACCGATTAGGTATTGGAACGAGGCGAGAAGATCGACGATCTGGTGTCGAAGAGTGAGGGGCTGAGCGCGCAGAGCAAGATGTTCTACACGTCGGCCAAGAAACAGAACTCGTGCTGGTACGTGGATTTTCACCCTGTATCCCCTGTGTGGTAAGCTGGACGTCATCTAACCGCCGCAGCGTGATCATGTGAGCTCGTATGCCGTGTCCCCGATTACCACTGCGATCTTTGTCTTTCAACATCTGTCTGGTTTTTGCACGCAGCCTACGCCAGCTGTCTTTTCTTTCTTATATCTTTTTCTTTTTCTTTATTTTATTTTATTTTATTTTCCTTTCCCTTGTTCCCCTTTTTTTTCTTGAATCTTTCTCCAGAGCGTTTTCTTGCCAGTCGATGCTTGCATTCATCTTCCATTTGCAAGGGAAGTACACTTAGTTGGAGGGGAGGTTCCGAGTAGATCTTTGCTGGGATGATCGGCCACCTTAGCCGCCAGATTCTAATGCGACCAATTTTTGATCACGTGCTTTATCACCGCTGTGCACCCTCCAGAATGGAGTTCACTCTGTAAGAAGCAACCGACGTATTGCCCGGTGGTATTGTTTCGGCGATGAGGGCGCTCGGCGTTGAGCGGACCTCCGCTAGCCTTCCCCACAGGAGAGTAGGTAGGAAGAGATAGGAACAGCCTCACCTCGATAGGATCTTAGTCAGCAAATGACTGGGGAGTTATAACTAAGCCTTGTCGGAGACAGCATGCTGTACAACACAAAGCCAACAGTGATCTTCAGGCCAGGTGTTCGCTACGTTGCAAGATAGGGCAAATGACAGGGAGGCCACGTTGACGGTCCTTACAGCGGGTCCTGCCGAGTGTGATGGTGGTTCTCTCCGATCCAACCGCAGAGATCTCGCCTGCACAAAATCGCTCAAGAGGCGGTATTGAGCGAGTGCTGCAGACTTCAACCCGATTTCACCCATGAAAACCCCGGCACGACGGTGGTAGATCATGCGGAGATCAGGGCCTCAGCGAGTTAACAACTTAGGGCAGGGTCTGCCTCCTTCAGTTTGGGGCAACTCCACCCGGCACAAATCAACACTTCTAGAACCCGGTCCACCAGGAACTCCCGCTGGCCATCGAAGCTTAAGTGTCCACTTTTCCTGTACCATTGGCATTATTGTTCGATATTCAGTCTGTTAGTCGATTTTATTACACATGGTTTCGGCCTGGAGTCGCCTATGATGGGCGCCCGAGGGTACCCGGGTTGCCGGCCCGGTTGAGCTGTGATTGGTGGGCCGCGCCGAGAGCCAGCGGACTGAAGTGGCAGCTCTATACCGTTTCTTGGGGATTTGGGGGTGGGAGAGGGGCGATGAATCGTGACTATTCAGGGCTGTGGGATGGTTGGGCATCGTGGACTGACGTGATCTGGCTATTTATCTCCTGGCTGCCCCTCTCTGTTGGTTGGGTCTGCTGTTCTTACCCTATATAACTATACGTACCCCTTATCCGTCTCCTGACTGTATACACGCACGTACGTCACTCGCAGCCCTAATCGTCTCCAGCCCATCCACGGTATATACGTCTTTGTTCCTTCTCAATCTCCCAATTCATTCTGTTCGAATTTCTCCCCTTGTTGGATATACGACAGAGGATCCATATACTGGTCGAACACCCCGCGTACTGTTAGCCTGAACAGTCAAATCATGGCACAAGACCTACACCCTCGTCATGGCCTGTCGTTCGAGATTCAGCGAAGGAGCCGTCTGGTGGAATGTCTCACGGCAGATGCGCTCGTTGCTGCCGGTTCAGCAACGCTGGTGACGCCCGCCGTCATGATTCTCGACAGGTACTAGGTCATCTTCCCATGCCCACGACGCACCCCGGACTGACACACCACCAGACTGGTCGTTGAGAAATCGTCCCACAATCAACCGCTCCTCCCGGCATTTCGTCGACACCTCTGGCTGTCCATCACGCAGCCCGCCACTTTTCTCACCTCCCGACCTAGTCTGCTCGTCTGGGGCCTCTACACGGCAACCTTTGCAACGGCCAACGCAACAGACACGGTCTTATCGCAGGTCTACCCACACATGGACCAGGCGATCGCCGGCCTGACGACCTTCCTCTCCACCTTCGTCGTCAACTCGTCCGTCGGGATCTGGAAAGACGTCAAATTCGCCCAGCTCTTCGGCCAACCACACAACCCACCAGTGACGGCTTCCCCAACGCCCACTTCAACGCCCCAGGCCGGAGCACCGCGCACAACCACCCCACCAGCGCCAAAAAGCGCAATCCTCCGCGCAATGCCCCGGTCCAAGATCCCCCTAGCCACCTACTCAGCCTTCCTCCTCCGCGACGGCCTCACCATCTTCGGATCCTTCAACCTGCCCTCCATCATCTCCCCCTACATCCCCGACGAGGTAGCCTCGGGCGAGTTCTCCAAGATCCTGATCGCGCAGATGGCCATCCCAGCCTCGATCCAGCTCATCAGCACCCCAATCCACCTCTTCGGCCTGGACCTATACAACCGGCCACACCCGCTGTCCGCCCGCGACCGCATGGCGCGCGTCAGCCGCGACTGGATCGGAGCCAGTCTCACACGCATGTGCCGCATTATCCCCGCGTTCGGGATCGGCGGGTTCGCCAACAACGAGGGCCGGGCATTGCTTCATGGCCAGCTGCGCGCGTGGGACGAGGAATGAACCTAAAGCGCCCTTTGCATCAGCAGCATCAAGTCTGCCTCTTCCTTTGCAAAAGTGCCCATTAACCCATCGTTTCGTGGGCGCCAACTGGCGTGGCCGAGTAGGTGGGTCCTGGTGATCCACTAGGCCAGCCATCCCACCACGGTTCCCTCTCTCTCTTCCATCTTCCTTACCGCTCTACGTGGGCTCGGTGGGATCCGGTTTCTGCAGTGGCCCGGGTATCATCTCCGGCGGACGTGAGCGAGCGTGGGTGCAGCAAAGAAATTTTGCACTCTGCAGGTTGGCAGGCTGCGTTCCGCGTCCCCGTCCCCGACAGGCACTGACCGGGCCGGTCAGGTCGCGGTCGCGGTTATAGGCGGTGGCCACGTCAAACTTTTTCATTCATTGTCCACCTTTCATTCCTTTTATTTCCTTTTCTTTTTTTTATTTACGATTATTATATTTATGGATATATATAGATGTGTGGGTGGGTGGGTGTTTTTTCTTTGTGGACTGCTGGATCAGAACTAGGGATTTTGTTGATTCTCTTGGTGTCCATCATGCGGGGGCCCGGGTGTGTGCTGTGTCACTGCCGGTGGTTAGCCCTATCCCTATCACCTATTGATATGGATGGGGAGTCGAGGCCGAATGACTTCTGGATCTTCGGGGATATAGATTAGAGATAATATAGATGTTACTTGCTTTACTAAACCTTGGTAGTGATGTTATTGTAGGTTGTGCATATTAGCTGTGTCATTATGTTGTGATATAATATGTAAAGATTACCACGGACACAGGTGTCATGATATCTTTTATAGCTGGGTGGTAATTCCTTTCATGACATATTATCATTCACAGTTGGGATACCAGATATATCAAGCCTGACTGACATGCTGTGCACTATTTTAGGGCAGTGAGCGATGTACTGCCAGTGATATAGTGCTATAAGTCACTGCCTGCCACTGTATGCTCTATCAAATGATGTCATATCTATAAGTGTCACATATAGATATCAAAGTGAGTCCAACACATTCACTCATCTAGGTCGTCCTGTCACTGCCACCAGAAGAAGATCAAGTGAATGAAAGCCAGTTAAATCAGGCTATATAAGCAGCTCACGATGCTGTCAACTGCTCATCTACACTTTCCTTCCTCCACCCCCCATCGTCCATCACCCATCGTCCATCGACCATAATCTACAGCACACCCCCATCAAGAACAAACACAAAACACTATGGAAATGGCGAGAACCAAACAAACCGTCACCCCGGATATGGCAATCCACGACGGACTCGCAATGTAAGGCTATCCACTCTAGGAACTATCCGACCGGAGCGAAACTAACTGAAACAGCATCCACGAATCGGGCAAGCTCTCCGACTTCACCATCATCGTAGGCGATACCCAGTTCAACGTCTCCAGGATCATTCTAGCCGCGCAGTCTGGGTACTTCCACACCATGTTCCTGGGTAAATGGAAGGTAAGAACCATCCACCCGCTCACGTACCCACCACCCAACCCTACAGCAAAGGAAGAAACCGAACTAAAGAACCGATCAAATAGGAAGCAACCGCTACAAACGTGACCCTCGAGGACGAAGACCCAACCACCATCTCCGATATGCTGGAGTACATGTACACCGGGGTGTACAATCCCACCATCGCCTCTACCCCCGAAGCGCAAAACGCAGCTACAGCCGCCACCAGCACCACAAACAGCGAAGGAAACATAGAAGCGCACAAAGCAGCCATCGTCGCACACATAACGCAGTACACCGTCGCCGACAAATTCTTCGTCCCCTCGCTGCGGTACGCCTCGAAACAGGCCTTCAGCTTGACCGTAGACAAACTGCACGATCACGCCGTGCTGCTGGACGTGCTGGACGAGGTGTACGCCACTGTTCCAGATCTGAGAACCGCGGTGGCGAAGTGCTTGGTGAAGCATATTGAGCCACTGCTGCAGGATGAGCGCTTCAAGAGGATGATGGTCGAGGTGGATGGGCTGGCTGTGGATATTTGCGGGGCTGTTCTGCGGTATGATACGAGTGTGAGGAACCGTATGGTGTGTTTGAGTTGTGGGGATAATCATATGGCGGTTCGTGGGAATGCTGGTGTGAGGTTTTGGTGTGGATGCCGTGGGTCTGCTAGGGCGGCGCAGTGAGTTCATTCTCTTTTTCTAGTATTGGCTTTTGTTTTGTCTTTAGGGTATTTCGGATGGTGTTGGATATGGTGAGGTATGGGTAAATTGTGTACTATTCACGGTGAGAGCATCGGGATTTATGGTTGTGACAGATTCTTTAGTATGTTGATTATGATTATGTATTGCTGAGTTTCCAATACCAGATGAGGATATCAGACTTCAGCCTCCAGACGCAGCACTCAATAACGATGACTCCATACCACCCTCCCCCTCCATCCCATCCACAACCCAAGACACAGGCCCAACGCCCTCAAACCCCGCCCCCATATCCAAATCCACATCCACATCCACATCCACATCCACATCCAAGTCCAGATCCAAATCCAGAAAATCCAGATTCAACGGACTGACCCCATCACCCTGCCCATCCCCACCGTGTCCCAAACCAGCCAAACCAACAGACTTCATCCCAACAGGCGACAGACTGCCTGAACCAGGGTCCCTCTCAACCTGCCGTCGACCAGAGTCACGATTCTGATTCGATAGACCTTCCTCCTGGGAAGAACCCACGTTCCCACCCTCATCTTGAACAGAATCCGTGCGGAATCCCCCCGTCGACAAACACATCTGCACGGTAGCGACGCCCATGCGGGCCAGCGCATCGCGACAGGATTCCGCGTGCGGGTATTTGTCGATCATGTCGGTGAGGACGGACGTGCCTGCTAGGAGGGTGTAGTCTATTTCGTCGAGGGTCTGGCGAGGATTAGTGATACTTTATAATATATGGACTATGATGGGAGGGATAATACCAGGCGACTGCGCACGAGAGGTGAGTTCCAGATCGTGAAGAGGAAGAAGCTGCCTGCGTACAAAATAAACGTCAGAAACGGATATACCAAAGGCGAGCGGTAGGAATAAGGGGGACGTACCAGCCATGAAAATACTATGCGTCGCCAGATAAGTATAGTTGACCAGCCGCACATGATGCATCATGCGGTATATCTGCAGCACTTTCTGACTTGCTTCTGCGACTTCAATAGACACATTCTCATCCTCCTCATCCTCATCTTCATCCCCATTTTCATCAACCCCAGGCCGACCACCCAGCCCCAAACCGAACCCCAAGTCTGAATCCCAAGCCAAACCCCCCGGCACGCGCACACTCCCCCGGTACAGAAAATTTACCGTCAACCAGTAGTCGAGCTCCAACAGCGCAGCAGGGAACCACGCGCCGGGACGTCTGACGACAGGCACGCGCGCCCGCCATGCGTCTAATCTTGTGCGGACATTGCCTACCCACTCGCTGAACGAGCGGACTCCTAGCTTTTTCAGGAAGCGGGACGCATTGGTCCTGTGACTATCGCTATCATCTCCTACTGGAGGAGACGGAAAGGAGGCAGCAGCAGCAGTTACATCACCAGAAAAAGCTGCAGCAGAAAAAGCAGAAGAAGAAGAATCCCTCCCTCTAGCCGCACAATACCCCAACACCCCCTCATGCACCTCCGACTGCAACACGCGCAGCTGAAAATAATGCCTTGCGATATACTTCGAGCAAGGCACGCACCCCGCCTGACGAATCGCCTGGTCCGCAGGGATAGCAGGAAACCCAGTCGAGATAACCTGGTCCGCGATGCCGAAGGGGCGGCCCGTGCAGGGAGCGATGAGGCGGTCGAGACTGTAGACGCACCACCAGAGACGGCGACGCTGGTCGAGGGGTGTCCAGCATGTGGATTTCGTTGGTGTTGATACTGTGGTAGTAGTGGTGGGGTGGGGATCATCGTGACGGTCCATGTACAGGCCCATGTCGATTGCGGTTCGCAGGGCGAGACTCGCTGTGTGGGCGGGTCCTGGGGCAACAGGACGGAGGAGGGCGAAGTGCGCGAGGAGGATGACGGCTTGAAGGGATTCGAGGCGAGTGAAGTCGTTGGTTGATGAGGAGGGGGAGTGGAGGTGGGAGATTGCGGCCGCGTGGTATGCTTCTGGTTGGCTTTTTGTTGGTTTAGCGCGCTCGTTTGCGTCCTCGCGACGGTCTTCGAAGACGATGCCGGCGCCGATGGCGAAGACGATGAAGAGGAAGAAGAGAGTGCGCGTCGGCCGTGCGGTGTCCGGCGTGGCGTATGTCGCCGCTAGTAGGTCGGTGAATTCCCCGCGGTGCAGGACGGGGAGTTGCGGGTTGGCGTGCTCGAAGTAGAGCTGGACTAGGCGGTTGGCGAGGTCGCGGTCTGGGAGGGACGAGCGCGTGGGAGAGAGGGCTCGATTGCTAGGAGGTATGGATTCGAGGAGGGCGCTGGTGGTGTTGGTGGTGGCGCTGCGCAGGATGCTGTTGCTGCTGCTGTGGCGGCTATTGTTGTCGTCCTTATCCACTGGCTGTTCAGCTGGGCTGGGCTCTATATTGGAAGAGTTCTCTGCATCCGAATCGAAAACAGGGTGTATCTCAGCGGTCGGTGACGTCGCCATCGCAATCTGCTTCTCGTCGAAAGCGGCCTCTGGCTCAAACGGAATCTCATGCTTCACTAGCACGCTCTGCAGATATGCGATGCGGGTCTCAAGAAAGTAGACATAACTGCGCGGAAACTCGCGGCGCGTGATCGGATCGTAACTGATACAGCGCGCGCCGACCTTCTCGCAGGGTCGACATCGAGGAAGACGCTGATCGCAGCGACCCTTACGCAGACGACACCGTCGGCAGGAGGAGACGTTGCGAAAGGCGGATGGTTGGGTTAGGGCTGGGTCGGGAGTATCCAGTTTTCTTCTCTTCGCGGAGATGTCGACCATTTTGTTGATTAGATGTTATACAAACATCACTGTCACCATTCACAATATTGTAAACAGATACAATATCATGACATGAGTCATAAACAGTCTACAGCTAAACTGATATCGCAACCCCTCGCTGAAGACTACCGGCACCCTCACCCGAGACAGCACCAGCAGGTTCTTACCCGATCGCAACTGCAGTGGATTGCGGGGAATATAATCTGGAACCGAGCAGCCAATTATACAGTCGGACTGGGCAGTTTGGGTCGGGATTACTCGATAGAAATGTCAGCGATGGGGTAATTCGACAGACTTTCCGCGGTAAAGATGCGATGTGGATCGGGGAAGCGGGGGCTAGCCCTAATCGAGGGGTGTATAGGTGGCCTCGTCGATCTTAATTAACGATGAGGTACGGGGATGGAGGAAGACAGCGTATACGGATGTATCTATTATGTGCATAGATGAAGCATCACATACAGAGTGATTCGATTGAATTTAGTTATGGGAGGGTGGCAAGATTGAGTTGGACGTCCTGGTACGGCCCACTTTGACATGAAGTTTGGAACATGGCTTGTCTTGTACACCTCGAAAGCCAATACAATAGCAGACAATATGCTACATTCATTTCATCCATATCGATATATACCCCAGTTGTAATGAACCCTGCCACACTCCGCATTGAAAGTACAAAACGCCGAGGGAATATCGCCACCACCAAACCCAAACAATAACTCCAACGCAAAAACCCCCACACAATAATACTAAGCACCCACTTTCCCCTGTTCCGGCGTCCAATGCCGGAACGCCCTTGTAGGCAGTCTTAGCGCGAACATCATATCCAACTCTGCCGCAGACCGTCCACGCATCTCGGGAATGTACAGCCAGACGAGTGCCAAGCTGATCAAACACAACGCGGTATACACAAACCCCGTCTTGACGCCGATATTGCCCTCATCGGTGTTGTAGATGTACGGGAGGATGACGGCAAACACACACGCCGTAATGCTGTGTATGATCCAGCCCAGTGCCTGCGTCGGACCCCGCAGTCGCAGGGAGGACGTCTCCCCTGCGGCGAGGACTGAGGCTGGCCAGATGCCGTTGCCGGCGACGAAGATGATGCAGATCATGCAGGCTGCAGTGACCCTATACTTCAAGTTAGACATAGTTTCCTTCAAGGTCTATATTGTGTTACTCTTGAGGGAACATACCAAATCGTCGAGCTCAAGGTTGGGAACCACCCCGAGATCCCAATCAGCGTCCACAGCACAAAACAGATCCCCAGAGTGACCAGCATGAGCGGTCGACGTCGCGCCACGGACATGGTCCAAACAGAGATGATATTGGCAATCAACCCGACCGCAATCCCCGCCATCAGGATCAGCACGCTGAGATTCGGCTTCATACCAATCGTCTGGGCGAAGTAGCTCGCGTTGGACATCAGCCCCAGCCCGAAAAACTGCGGCATGAGGTGCGCGATCATGACGATGACCGTACGTCGCAAATCAGTGCCTTTGAAGCAATCGGCGAAGGTGATGCTTGATCCAGCCGTCGCGTGGCTGTTCTGCCGCTCCTGCTCCAGCAGCAGCAAGAGTTTGTCGACCTGCGCGTCAGTATCCACGCTCTTCTCATGCAGTCGTCGCTGCGACCGGCGCGCGGCGTCGATTTTCCCCTTGCGCAGCAAGTACGGCGGACTCTCGGGGATGAACACCGCGGTGATGACCAGCAGCAGCGACAGCGCCCACTGCGACGCCAGCGCAATCAGATACCCCCATCGTCCGGGTACCGACAAACACCCAAAAACCACAAGACCCCCGATCAACTGACCCAACATTGTCATAACAGGAATCAGCGCCTGTGTCGAACCCCGCAGACTGAGCGGGGCGATCTCCGACGAATACGTCTGCGCCGTGCAGATCACCTGCCCCGCCGCAACGCCCTCGATCAATTTTCCGAGCAGGAAGATCCCGCGCCTTGTGTCGGGGTCGGGTGAAAAGGCCGAGCAGAAGCAAGCGGCGATGCCCAGCGCGGACTCGAACGAGCCTAGATGCAGCGAGAATCGCCGTCCCCAATTGTCGTATACCCAACCTGCGACGCCCGCGCCGAGGACGTTGCCGATGCTGGGCGCCGCTGTCCACACGCCTAGCCACGACGAGGGTAGAATGTATTTGTCGCCGTATTTCACGCCGTAGTCTTCTCTGTTGTGCACCTTATTAACTATACATGCTCTTTACCGCTCAAGACCAGGACCACTCACTGGAACCCCGGCATGGCAGTCAGCGTGCTAACAATAACCATGTCGAACCCGAACAACAGAATCGCAGGACACACAGCGAAGATGTACGCGACAATCCGCGGAAACTTTCTCACAGCAGCCAGCAGAGTCAACGTCGTCTGGCTGTCCTCGCCATCTAAGACGACGGTGGCCTCAATTCCATCTTGGTGGCCCATTTCGTCGCCGATTCGTAAAACACGCTGAACACCGTTTTACATTCTCCTGTCTCGAAGAAGTCGAAGACAGAAACAGAAAGAAAGGAGAAATGAAGGCGACAGCCAGACAACACAGTTCTTATCTCGTCCGCACCGCACGAAGCCAAGACCGCAGATCCACGAATGCGGGGTTCGCTTCGAGAAAGGCCTCTCATTGCTGGGATGGATGGCGTAAGGCGTTGGCGTAGACTTGTCACGCTGGTTTCTTGGACTAGTTTGCCCGATCCCTGCGACAGATTCAGGCCGTGCCGTGTCGGCTTTGGGTATAGTTCGTCTCGCTGCTCTGGTGGGTAACCCGGTAGATCATGATGGGGTGCTGGGTGGGTTTGATCGACTGGGATGGAGATTCTGGGAGCACTATTGTGGGGATTATCATCTGTGTCTGTTGCTTATACTTCAGCAAGGGGGGGATTATGGGGTTCATGTGAAAGGATTACACCGAGGTGTTCCCAGCTAATTGTGTAGACTAGGGTGGTTGTGGCGGTGATGGGGAGGTTGGCGGGCTGAATTAGACACGCGTTGGGATTGGTTTAATGACTAGTTTGGTTCTGGAAATGCGGGGAAATTTCAGAGATGATCAGGTGTCTTTAGTTATATTAATTGTATTGTTGAGTGAACAGATGAGGGTTTATTGACGCTGGTGTATGTCCCCACCCTGCAGTTCGTTATGGAATACAACCTGGACGGGAGGATGATCTGTGAGATACACCCTCCCATGATGCTGACATGACCACAGAATGAGGAGCCGGACGGCCAACACGCCCTCCAACCTTCCCGAAAATCAATCTCGCGGCGACGCATACACCAAGTGGCTTGGCGCAGTTGGTATCCGACGATAAACGTCTAGACGCGGCCATAAACGATGCTTTGACGGAGAGGGGGATCGGCGAGTGGTGCTCCCGATGGTGGTCTATTGAGATGTTTTGACGGGGACCAAATCTTTGGTAATAGACATGAGGCCTGACTAGAAAGGACAATATATAATACTAGCAAAGCAAAGATAAAACGTAGCAGCATTTGGACTTCAACACTATTACCGGTATGTGTCATCTTATTCCAACACCTAACCACATAGACACGGCAAGGGACTGCGTTAGACATGTCGCAAGGATCACCGATCATTTTTAGACATGTTGCGCTCGGATTGTATGAAAGTCACAACGAGATACTAGAGAACATACCCAAGGTTAGTCACTGAAAGTGTACTACTTTATCACAGCGCCCCTCACGCCAGTTGATGCCTCATCGGTGTAATGGTGAAACAAGATCACTTAGTATTAAGGATCCTTTATTACAGGCGCACTGGGGGTTGGGTCCTTCCTGTCAGCCATCATCACAACAGGATAGAAGCATATGGCCCCTTAGATACGCATGGTAAAATTGGAAGTTGATACAGTCACTCGATCAGAATCCTCGCCTGCGTGCAAGAGGGAACCAGACATTGCTAATGTCATTTCTCTTGTTGTTTCCAAATACTGACCTTGCCGTCAGTGACTGGCTCTCTTATGTATCCTCCCTAGCTGATCCTCAACTTAGCGATTATGTAGATGAGGTCCTTTGAATCGCAATATTATCAGGGATGCAATTTGTTGCACTGGGGGAGCTTTCGATCTGCTATGGTCAATCGCCAGAGTGGGATATGGCGTGGAAGATGAAGCACGGCGGAGCACGTCCATATATAAATCAGGGAATGATGACACGCATAGAGGATGTAGATCCCTGCAAGTCATGCTAAGTTTATAATAACGCTGCTCAAGGGGCGCTGCTCAAGGGGTGAAATAAGGGCGGATACCGCTGGATCTTAGAATTTTCAATGGATCGACATTCTTTACAACCCTTGCTTAGGGTTGACTGGATTGTCTTATATGGTTTAATCACATTCTCATCGACAATATTTGACGATTGCAGTTGGATCTCCAGATACAGCTATTGCTCGCCAGATAAATACCATCTCCAGATATAATATCAAACCAACTACCGGGGATGGGACAGTTTAGAATATAGAATGAACCCAGAAGCTCTTCCCATTTGTCATCTATAATTATAAGGAGACAATTTTCATAATTATGAATGATACATTGACCGATAAACCCATATATACATCAAACAAAAAAAAAAAAAAAAAACACGCTTACAGCTTCAATTCAGCGACCGGCGGCTTGCGCGCGACCACCACAAACCGGGGAATACACAAAGCAGCGCCACGCTGCCCCTCGGCAGCCGACTCATGCACAAAGCGATAGAAGCGGTTCGCGCCATCCTTCTCCCCAACAGACACCAACCGATCGCCGAACTCCTCCATCGTACACAGATGCTGGTCGCCAAACGGCCGGATCAGATCGTCCTCGTCATCGTTCAGCTCCATCTTCGCATCAGCGAACCCGATCTCCTTAAGCAGCGCCGGCAAGTCCAGCATCCAGTCATGGCGGCCTTCCGCCCAGCACGCCAGGCGCAGCTGGTCCAGCGCGGGAGTCTCCATGTTCGGGTCGATCTTCTTGACGCGCGTCCGCACCGAGTCCATGTCGTCCCACTGCAGGTAGCCGCCGGGCTTGAGCAGACGGTAGAAGTTGGTCATGGCGCGCGTGCGGTCCTCGTTGGTCAGGACCATGATGACCAGACGTACGTGCACAAAGTCATACTTGCCGACCATCTCCTCGGGCACGTCGTCGAACAGACTCCAGTGCTGCAGTTTGATGTTCTTGGGCATCCACGGGCTCGGCGGGCACTGGCTGAGGTTGATGTCGAGCCCGTTCAGCTCCGCGTTCGGGTACTTCTTCGCCACGTCGATGAGCCACATGCCCGTGCCAAAGGCGATATCCGCGATCGCCACCTGGGCGTCGCTGGCCTTGGGGAGCGAGATGGACGGGTGGACGACGTAGCCCAGGGCCTCGCGCCAGAGGTAGTGCTGGAGGTTGAGGCGCGAGGCAGCGCGGAAGTGGCTGTCCAGCATGTAGCCATGGCCGTTGGCCAGGTTGAAGTCGGCGTCGGGTTTAGGGGCCATTGTGAGGAGGTGTGTAGGGAGTTTGGTGTGGTTGGAAGTGGGGATGTCAGGATCATGGCCATGCTTAAATACCACCACGGGTGGAGCACCACCACCTACGGGGCGGAGACGCGGTAGGAGAGGGATAAGCCGTCCGAACCAGACCCAATTTGTCCAAAGTACTAGCTGGCTACGATGCCGACCCGGCGCTGATTCGCGGCGCATGGTCGGGTGTGGCCCATGGACCACATTCCCACCACGACGATCCTTTGGGTTTCTCGGGGCGACAGCACGCTAGTCTATCTCTAAGCGTGCAGCTAGGGCAAACGGTTCACGTTCCGCAGGACGCTTTCCTCCCACCGGGCCTGACTTGACAGGTCCTCTCTGGTCAACTATTGGTGGGCGGACACAGGGTGGGAAGCTCCAGATAACCCCTCCTTCTACTTCTTTCAAACCGTCAAACGCCAGTATGTCGATCAGCACCGAAGGGAAAAGTAACACCGCGAAACGGGCCCCTCCCCACTTACCAGGGACTTCCGTCTCCCAATCATGGTCCCGTGTCATCTGCATCTTGCCCCGGATCCGTACCATTGACCCCCCTCCTGTTGTCTCCTCCTGTCATCCGCTACTGGAGCTAATGGCATGGCGTCCATGCTCGGAGAGTACATCGAGGTCCTGTGCCGCAAGCCTCGGTCCTGTCGGGGGGAAATCCGGTTTGTGAATGGGGCCAATCTCGGTTAGGGTTAGGCTAACCGTATACGAACCCCTATACTCTGTTGATGATCGATAGCCACGGAAGTAGGAGCAGAGATGTTTCCTCGACCACCATGTGAACAACAGAATGCAACTGTGGACCACCAGCACGTCCTCCACAGCCCAACGCTGTGGTGGATGGGACGTCCTGGCCGTGGTGGGGTTCTCGTGACAGCCGGTGGCAGGGGGGGTTGTCGGAGAATATGCAGACCCCGGTCAGCGTGGTCTGATCTGACCCTCCTGTCTCTGATTGCCCCCTGGGATTTCCGGAGACCAATTGGACATGGCGTCTCCATCTCCATGCGAAACATCGTCGCATCCAGGAATCATAATGCAGGGTCATAATGCAGGGGTTTATCCTAGTCGCTGAGTCAGCTGTACACTCCCGATATGGCCTAGCGCCTTGGCATGCCTGCCGATCGCTGCATGCTTACCTAATCCCAGCAGTCTCTGCTTTCTTTTTTATCAATTTTTCCTCATTTTGTCGTCGATCAACACGATAGACTGAGAAGAACATGACCGGCGTCCCTACATGAGCTGCACATCCTTTACCACCCCCCCTACCACCTGAAACCCCCGGAACCACCTTGATGAGTTCCTCCCCCGACAATGGCACCCCGCCGTACGCCAGCATGGCCGGCAAGCTGGATCCCCAGCTGCTGAAAGCCATCGATGCGATGGGCTTCACGTCCATGACGCCGGTGCAGCACCGCGTCCTGACTGAGCTCCCCACCTGGCGCAGCGACTGCCTCGTGCAGGCTAAGACCGGCACGGGCAAGACCCTGGCCTTCCTGCTCCCCGCGCTCCACAGCCTGCTGCACGGCCACGCGCCGCCCCCAGGCCAAGTCGGCATCCTCATCGTGACGCCGACGCGCGAGCTTGCCCAGCAGATCGCCGTGTCGTGCGACCAGCTCACGGCGACGCTCGCCCAACGTCTGGAGTGCCACATCGCTGTGGGCGGCACCGCGCGCGCCTCCGCCCTCTCGCGCTTCCTCAAGGGCTCGCCCTCCATCCTCGTCGCCACCCCCGGCCGTCTCAAGGACTACCTGTCCGAGGCGGCGCCCGCGCGCAAACTCGCTCACATCCGCACCCTCGTCCTCGACGAGGCCGACACCATGCTCGACAGCGGCTTCCTCGCCGACATCCGCGCCATCCTGCAGCTCATCCCCTCCAAGGCCAGCGCCAAATGGCAAGGCATGTGCTTCTCCGCGACGGTCCCGCCTCGCGTCCGCGACGTCGTCAACGTCGTCCTCAACCCGGGCTACCACACCCTCTGCACAATCTCCAAGGACGAAGCTCCCACCCACGAGCGCGTCCCGCAATACCACATGCCAATCGACAACGTCGGGTCGACCTTCAACACCCTCGCCGCGCTCCTCGAGCGCGAAGCCCGCACCAACGCGAAGATCATCGTCTTCGGCGTAACGGCCAACCTCGTCGCACTCATGGCCCGCGCCTTCTCCCAAGGCCTCACCACCCTCCCCGTCTTCGAGATCCACTCGCGCCTCAACCAGAGCGCGCGCACGCGCACAACCACCCAATTCAAGGACGCCCGCGCCGGCGTGCTCTTCGCCTCCGACGTCATCGGCCGCGGCATGGACTTCCCGAACGTGGACCTGGTCATCCAAGTCGGTATCCCGGCCTCCGGCGAGCAATACGTTCACCGCGTGGGTCGCACAGCGCGCGCCGGCTCCGACGGCCGCGCCATCGTGCTCCTCACCGAGCCGGAATCCTTCTTCCTGCGCAACAACCGCCACCTGCCCATCAAGCCTTATCCCGAGGCCGACGCCGTGCACGCCACCGCGGCTACCCCCAAGGTCCGCAACGGTGTCGCCTCGTCGATGCACCGCGTCGAGGAGTCCACCAAGCAGCGCGCGTACTCGTCCTACGTCGGGTTCCTGGCTGGCTCGGGCTTCCTGAAGCCGCTGCGGCTGGATAAGCCCGGTCTGGTGCAGGTTGCGAACGAGCTCGCTGTGAAGGGTATGGCGTGTCCTGAGCCGCCTGTCATGGACCGGAAGGTCGTCGGCAAGATGGGCATGAAGGGCATTCCTGGGTTCAACTACGGGAGTGGTGCGCGCGACTTGGACGGCGATGGTCTGGCCCCGCGGTCTGGTCGTGGCGGTGCGAGAAACAAGACTCGCGATGCGTTGAGCCCTGGTGCCGGGAGAGATGCGCGTGGTGGGATTGAGAAGTCTGGTGGGCGTGGGCGTGGTGGTGGTCGCGGGCGGGGAGGCCGCGGTAGAGGACGCGGCGCGCCTCGCAGGGGGGCTTGAGTTATGTATAGACAGCGCTTGAGTTGTGTTCTTTCTTATGACCCTTTAAACTTTCATGTTAGATAGATAGATATTAGACTGCGCTCTAGATAGATTTATACCCTGTCCTACAATGTTGTCGCTCAAGAACAAGATTAGAAATTGAATAATGAATGGACTGCAATAGCAACGCTATACCCATCCTGATGTACAGTAACTCCCAATGCCTCAAAAAACTGAAGTGAGCCACAACTAGTTAATCTTCACCTGAAACAGATACCGCTGTCGAATCTGCGCCACATCATACACAATATACTCATTGTAGCACAGCCCACTGGGTCCCTTCCTAGCCGCAGTCGCAACCGACGAGTCAGGCATCTGCACCCCCCGCAAGCTATCATGGACACAGCCGGCGTCCGTCCACGCGCCGGGGATCGAGCTGCCGCGGCCGAGTGTAGCGTACTTGCCGGCCTTTTTGACCTCGGAGTCGGCGTTGTAGTTGGAATCGTTCAGTTCCAGCATGGGGTCGCCCAGTTCGACGTCGCACAGGAGTAGCAGGCCCGTGCCGCCGCTGTTGTAGGAGCAGGTGTACCCCGCGGACTTGCTCGAGATATCGGCGAAGTAGACGCCCTTGCCGAACATGTAGCCGCTGACGGGGGCTTCGGGGGGTGCGATCCTCAGGCCTTGGCTGAGGATGCCGCCGAAGTTGGTGCTGCGCGATCCGTGCCAGAGGAGGCGGCGGTTGCTGTTTTTGAGGTCGGCGTAGGGGGAGGATTCGAACCGCTCGGTTTCGCCTTGGCGCTCGATGCGGAAGATGTTGATTATCTGCTGGAGTTAGTTGATGTGTGGTGGATTGGAAGGAATGCGTTTGGTTGGGGGTACCTGGTATCCCATGCGGTGCGTCGAGCCGCGTGATTGCTGGAGGTAGTTGAGCAACTCTTGGAACTCGGTGCACGTGTGGTCCACTGTCCATATTAGTGCGGTCGAGTGTACCGGGGTCGAGCCAACTTACAGGCTGTCATCTCTTCCATGCCCAGGCTTTGGAACTGCCGGTCCAGCTCGTGGATGTTATCCTCCCGCTTGGACTCCATGATGGTGTTCGCGACCTCCATCTCGGTCAGGGCCTCGAGCAGCTCGATCTCCTTTTTGATTTGCGCGTCGGTGTTCAGCACGGGCGGTCGGTTGCGGCCGAAGACGTGCGGGATGGTAGTGAAGTACTGATCGCTGAGGTCTGCCATCGCCGTCGCACACGAACTGTTGTACTTTAGCGGCGCCAGTGCAGGGTTGCCGGCAAGCTCCGACAGGTCCTTCAGTATTTGAAACCCGTTGCGGAGGGTGCGTTTGCTCAGCTTGCCCAGGGGGAGCTTCAATGCGTCGTACGACATGGATGCCATGACGGACATGAAGTGTTTCTTGTTGAAGATGAACGACATGAGGTCCTGGACGGGCGCGGTCAGGGTGCTTTGTACGGGCGGACGCTTCTCCTCCTCCCCCTTCTTCTTCTTCCCCCCTGCCTCGTCATCTTCGCCGTCCGAGTCCTCCTCGTAGTTGCGCTCGATGAAAGTGTACTTCCCTTTCTTCGGGGGGTCCAGCCGCTTCTCCCACGACAGGCCCGACTTGGCTTTAAACTTCTTCTCGAATTCCCTCTTCGCCGTCTCCAGGGCGTTATCGCCTAGCAATGCGCTTTGACCGACTTCACCGACGCGGCCCCAGCGCGTCCACGTTGAGAAGGTCTGTCCCGCGGGGTCGACCAGCAGCTGAAGGCGGTAGAACTTATTATTGTTGGCGGCTGCCACGGTCTGGTTCAGCGCGGCATCCCAGATCAACCCCTCGTCATCAATGTACACCGAGCGGTCTAGGCGCGAGATGCGTTGTCAGCAACGTCCGATGGCGGTGTTTCGTGTCAGTCAGGGGTAGTTACTGGTTAGAAAGCACGCCTCGTCCACGGGGATATTCAACTTCTTAGAGCCGACTGTCTGAGCATCCTTGACTCTTTTGCGGGCGCTATCCTCATCATCGTCTCCGTCTACATCCTCGTGAAGGACCTCTTCAAGCGTACGCTTCTTCTTCGGGCTTTCCTTCGTGCCGTTCGCCTTGTTCTTCCCGTCGACCTTGTCCTTGCTGATGCCCAGTGCGTAGTCGTCGACGGCCAGAGGCTTGCCCTCCTTTTGTGACTCGATCAACCAGTCGATGGATACGATCTCGCAGTTGTAGACCTTGATCGCTTTGATGTCTAGGGCTGTCAGTATGCTTGCATGAGAGCTGAACACAGATAGGCCACCCACACTTGGAGTTCTTCCGGTCGACCTCTCTCTGATTGGTGATGAAATGGGTACAGTTATCTTCCACCCCGTAGAGGTATGATCCCCCCAAATTCTTGACGATTTTGGAAATTTCCGCTGTCTTGGTCAGCTCAGTTTGCGCGTCTTTTGGTGTGTACCGTATCAACCTTGGGTATATCCGGAGAAAGACCCGCTCGCAGTGACGTGGATGTCTTTGAAGCTGGACGACATTATGTCGGTGGAATTGGAACGAAGCAACGACAGATAGGAAGCAAATTGAGTCTGCGCGAGCAGAGAGAAGCCACCGGAGAAGACGACATGGTGTTCGTATAAATACTCGTGACTGCCGCTTGTTGCTCTCGTGTCTGGGCCTGAGCGATTAGGCCCCCCATGTCGGTGGCTGCATGCTCGCCGCGCTGTGATTGGCCCGTCACATCCCCGAGTCAGGCACCAGACCACGTGACCCTTTCTGCCTAGAATTCCGAAAAAGGACTAGCGTGTTATCTACTCTCCAACATCTGATGGATCTTTGGGGATGAGAAGGTCTGCAATCGTTAACTATGGTCGACAAGATTGATCATGCCCTTGCAGATAATGTCAGAGCACACCGACTATAATTTGCTACTGCATGATTAGCATGAGCTGAATGATGCTGCATCCAGGACGACCCAAGATATATAACGCTTTGATTGACGTCGCGAAATATATCAAACCATTCACGGTGTCCCCTGATATCAACTGGTGGTTTAGTCTGATAAGGAATTATCTTTTACCGTATTTGAGGCAATCTTCAAGTCATCCAAGGCCAATCGAAGTGTCAGATTTCCATGGATAAAGGGAAGGTGGAACGGTCCGTTCCGAGAGCAAGGGGGCCTATCTGAGACGGGATGGCATCCGTCTGGGCTGGGGTATTTGAGGGCATCAACTTTTGATCACAGCATGCGTCTCACGCTATGTTGGACGGATGGAGAACTGTCTCGTGGAATAGATGAAAACGAACACAATGTTCGGGTGCAGGGTAAAGGCAGGTGATAGCCTCGCCGAAGCGGACGATCGATAATCGGGCGCCGTCGACCTACAAATGCACTGTCTTCCGATCAACGCCATTGGATGTGCTGCAGATGACAGGCGAATGGCCACTTCAGCGACTATATCGACACGTTGTAATTCATTGACACTCATCAAGAGACAGACACCTTCTTCTGGCCTGTTGGAAATGGTACACGATTGGTAGCGTCTTATGGTGGACAGTTGAATTCATTGGATTTGTTCAGACGCAGACTGGGAGTTGTTCAATTACTCCCTGTTGAACATCTTCCAGCAAAATGTCGGCTTGATTTTCCGGTCATGCCCGAGATGGTGGACCTAGTCCCCACAGCCGTCATCTCTGAGTAAACAGAACTGGCCGTCTATGGAACGGGACATGCATGCTGATAGACGAGCAGCACATTGCCTGCCAATATGAAAATCATCCGCCATGTCCAATTTCAGCTTTTCATAGGCATGTTGATCACAGAAGTGAACAACACATGTTACCTGGATGATGCGACCAAACACACAAGGATGTGATGCCACATCCCTTGAAGGATGCGAACAGGGGTATGAAACGCATGAGACCCCTCTTTAGAGAGCAGTACAGTTCAATAGTCATGCCAGACTGGAGTGTCGTGCGCCCCGAAGTTCACTAGGACAGAGGTTAGGCCCAAAAGATATTCAATCGGCGCGTACATGGATCCTGTCAGGGTGTACTGCATCCATAGCGCTGTCTTACGAAATTAACCCTTTATCTCTTCCTGACCAAACATCGACACCAGTGGGCTGGAAACCCAGAGAGAAAGCCCCGGCCCGGTCGTGGGGGCTAAGCCGTGGATAACAATCGCGGTTTGGTACGACAACCGAGCCAAATATAAGCCAAGCATGACACCGATCCTCCACATTAATAGCATGGCGAACTCCTCTCAGATGATTGAGCCACATAATCGGGTACTCGGGCACTTGTACCTGTCATAGCCTATGGAACAAGGCTACGCATGTTGATCTCCTAGAAGGATTCTTAGACCCTGCAGGAATCGAGGCTTAGTTAGCGGGCGCCTCCTGTCGGTATACTTCTCGATCCGACAACCGACCCTGCGCATTTCTCTCCCCGTTTATACCTATCTGATTATAGTGCTCTGACTGTAACCCGCAACTCCAGCGAAGACGGAGTATAAATACTTCCGACACGCAACTGTCCACTCAAATCCTTCAAAACCTACCCTGCCACGCACTGATCCTGACTGCCAAGATGGAGCGGATTCGTGCCGATCACGATCCATATTTCCGCTAAGGCGTCCTGTTTACAGCCTTCCAGCGGGGCGATTATCATTCACCGAATGGGGTTGTTATACTGCAGAGTCCGCTGGCGTTCCTTTAACCTTCGCAAGGCTAGGAAGTCGATCGTATACGAATTGGACTGAGTAGGAAGGGTCCTGTGGGGGCATCTTTTGGGTGCGCAAAGGCTGAGATAGTAAATATTATATATGACCCGTCTGTCACCTCTCGCGACAGAATTATCTTTCATCCATCACTCATAACAGCACCAGTATCTCAATATACGAAACGACAGGAAAATATACATATCCATCCACCATGAAATCTAGCATTTTCCTCCTCCTGGCAACGTCCCTAGCGCACGCCGAAGCACGCTTCGCCCCCGGAAGCACCACCGACGAAATCACCATCCCAGAACACGATACCCTAGACGACAGCATAGTAATCACCACGCCCGAAAACGCCCCCAACGCAATCGACCCCAACAGAGGCGACACCAAGAAACCCCCCTATTACCTCCTAGTCGGCGACTCCACCGTCGCCTCCAACACCGGCTGGGGCGACGGCCTGCTCGCGCTGACGTCTCACCCCGACAACGGCATCAACTGGGGCAAGGGCGGTGCGACGACTGTCTCTTACCGCGAGGAGGGCCTGTGGGACCAGGTGATCTCTAACACGACCGAGTTCAAGGTTGACCACGAGCCTATCGTGACGATCCAGTTTGGTCATAATGACCATAAGGTTAATTCGGGTATCTCGCTGCATGGGTTCGAGGAGAATTTGAAGAATATGGCGCTGGATGTTAAGAAGGCTGGGGGGACGCCGGTATGTTTTCCCTCTTTCATTGTTCTCTCCATCATATTTGACCGAAGACCCGACCAAGAGCACCAACTAATATACACAGATCCTCATAACCCCCCTCACAGTCCGCTCCTTCGAAAAAGACATCCTAGTCGACAGCCTCGCCCAACAGCGCGAGAAAGCCATCGCAGCCGCCAAGGCCGCCGGCGTGGATTTCATCGACCTGAACACCGCCAGCAGGAACTACGTGCAGAAGATCGGCAAGGAAGGCTCCGCCAGCTACGACCTCAACTCGAATGACCAGGTCCATCTGAGCCCCACCGGGCGGGCGGTGTTCGCCCGTATGGTGGCCGATTTGCTGGTCAAGGCGCGGCCTGATTTGGAGAAGTCGTTGAAGGCGAAGGATGAGGTTAGTGAGAAGATTGCTGCTGGGGAGGTTGTTACTGTTGATCAGGAGAAGCAGCAGTAGGATTGGGGGTTCGATTATTTGGATTGGATTCAGTGAATTCTCATGGCGATTGATGGATTTGTTGGGATAGAGAATTCAATGCGTTTATATTGTTCTAAATATATGTATAAGAGACTAATATTATGATGTGACAATATGCGATGATAAGCAAGAAGATGCTCACAGCACCCCCCCCCCCCCCCCCCCCATTGAAACAACTATGCCATAGTATACAAAACTCAAGTCTAAAATTAATTCTTTGTGAACCTCTGTCGCAGGCGCTTTCCATAAGTGTAAAACACAAACGGAATCAACACCATAGCCAGGGAGATAAACGCCAGCAGCCACGACGCCCACTGCAGGCCCAGCTTCTTATACATCTGTGTAGTAAAGAGCGGGAAGGCAGCGCCGCCACCCGAGCGGAGAAAGACCTTTGCAGCGAGCGCAGACGCCGCGTATTTGTGATAAGCGTCGATGATGTAGTTATTAACGCCGTAGTAGCAAAGAACCATGCCGAAGCCGAAGGCGATGCCGGAGGAAGCGGGGCCAACCCAGATGATATGTTTGAAGGAGGTAGCGCCGAGAATGAACAGGGCGATGGGGATGAAGGGGGCGCCGACGAGGGCGCCGATAAGCCGGTCTTCGGGTGTGGGATCGCGACGGGCGCAGATGGTGCGGAACTGGCGCTCGATGAGCGGGGTGACGAGGAGGGCGAAGGCGGCGCCGATGAGGATGGGGATGAACATTAGGCCGATGAGGCCGTCGTTGTAGTTGTAGAGGTCGCCGAAGATGACGGGGTAGGCGAAGAAGAAGGCGTAGAGGAGGGCGTAGATGAGCATGATGTACATGCACATGAGGTCAAGGACGGGCTCGGTGAGGATCATGGTGATGGGGCGGACGAGGCTGGTGCGGACGATGTCGCGGAATGTGAGTTTCTGGATTTCTTGCTCGGTGATGATGTTCGGGTCGCCAGTTTCTTTGCGCATGCGTGCTGCGCGCCGTTTGAGGATGACGGGCGCGTAGGTCTCTGGGATGGAGCCTACGAGGAGGAGGACTACGCCCGCGAAGGCCATGTTGACCCAGAAGAAGAGATCCAGACGGCCTGAGCCGATGTTGATCCAGCCGCAGACGATGGGGCCGACGACGGGGCCGCAGTAGGGCGCGGCAGCGAAGTAGGCGATGGCCATGCCGCGGTCTTGGATGCTCCAGACGTCGGCGATGGTGCCGCCGGCGAGGGAGAGACCGGAGCTGGAGAAGACGCCGCAGAGGAAGCGGCAGACGAGGAGACCACCTATGTTGGGCGCGAGCGCGCAGGGGATGTTAAAGATGACGTATAGACCGAGCGAGATAATATAGACGGGTTGACGGCCGATGATCTCAGACAAGGGTGACCAAAGAAGCGGCCCGACGGCGAAGCCGCAGACCATGATGGAGCAAGTCAGGATGGCTACTTCTTCGGACACGCCGTACTTGTCCTCAATGAGACCAAGGCCGCCGGTGACGATGGAGGAGCCGTATGCGACGCAGACCACCAGGCCCGATGCCACCATCGTTACGTACCACCGATACAATTTCGACCAGTTTAGCGGGTTTCCGGGGTCGTTGGTGGTGAAGGTGACAAACTCGGCCTCCTCCGGGATCTTTTCTATATCCGACGGACGGCGCGTGGGCACGCGGCTGCGGATCTCCGTGAGCGTTCGTTCCGGCACGAGACCCGTGTCGGTCTCGAGGGTATATTCCTCGGGGAAGAGAGGGTAGTCATCGCGACCAGCTTCGGGGTAGTTGAAGTCTAGAGGAGGAGGGGTCTCGGGCACGCCCTTTTCGCTGAGAGTTGCTCGAGTTTCGGTGCGATGTAAACGCAGGACGCGGGAGTCCACAGAACCTCGGCGGTCCTCCATGGGGTTCGACATGTTTACCGTAGAAGATGGGATGTTTCAATTGTAGAAAAGAGTTTTGTACGGGAACGCAGAGCTTCTTATGGAGGGATCAAACTCTCGACGTCATTGTTAACTCTATATCAATGCCGAGATATGCCGGGTTTTCGCCGCATCCCCATGCTTGATTTGTCTTGTATCAATCTATAGATACTGATCAATCTATAGATACTGGAATGGAGTCCAGAGCCATCCATGAACCCCTAAATGCCTCATCAGAACCGGTTTTTCGGGCCGTGATGGCAACTTCGTGATGGCAACTTCATCCGTTGAGTCACCGTCCTTTCCCCACTTCGGCATACCCGGGACTGAATTCTCATTGATATGGCATTGCCAAATGATTGCAATGATCGCAATGGTGGTTCCCGTATAAGAGCCCGAAAATATCGATATATCGTAGCAAATCTTATTGATATAGTCGATAACCCGGGACCAATGGCCAAAACGCACCCTAGTCAAGGCAAAGATCAGGATCTTATCGGAACCTCGTGGATCAGCCATCGCCATATGTCTATGATGTCATGGACGAGACAACATATTTCTATCCTTGGCCAGCAATTGGGTTTGATAGAACGAGCTATCCATGGTCCTGATGTCGCGGCCCGAGCGGCAGCTGGGTGAAACTCGGCAGGAACTCGGCGATGGGCTGTTCTTGAGGGATTATGACATCGGTCAATTGATGTTTGAATTGAGGGAAATCATGAAGTCTAGACCGTGCGAGGAGAGAAGTTCCAGATCTGTCGATTCTTCAAGAAATAATCAGTGTGGGTTAGTCAGGTACCATGGTTGACTGCCGGCCTGCCTTATATTCAAAGCCCTAATTGTTTACTCTTCCATCCAGCACTTCTGGATAACCCCATTGGACTGGCGACTTCCTTTGTGTACAAGTTTTAATGTTCGACTAGACTGAAAACAACAGAAATATACACTAATTAGTTGCAGCGATCCAGCACTACATAATACTATAGCCTACATCGCTACTACCTCGCTACTACAATGGAATTGTACCAATGAAGAATGATGTGATACTGTCAAAGACCAGCTATCTAACTAGTAGATTGCCCAAACCCAAAGGGAAGTCTCGACGATCACAACAAGCGAGCCCGAAGGCAGTCGAAAAAACAACATCGGTAATAAAAGACCCATCAATCAAGGCCAGCCATCAATGCCAGCCGACAAGAGACCAAAGAGGATTGGCGGACTAATATCCAAGCATGAGATTCATATTGACACCGACAGGGCAGCCATAGGTGGCGTGGTCATCGTTGGGCTTGTGGTAGACGCCGGGGCAGTCATCAGAGCTGCATTCAACCATGGGACAGTTGCTCTCATCATCGGGGATGAGGGCGTATGTATTGCGGACGAACTCCGATCCAGGACGCAGGTTGATGGTCGACATGTCGCGGAAGATCTTGTCGTTGGTGCGGGTGTACTCGAACTGCAAGACGTTGTTGATGTCGGGAGTCCCGGCCGCTATCTTGATGGACACGCCGCCGTTGGGGTTGGGGCTGAAGCGGTAGGATTCCTTGTGGGCGCCCCACATAGGCTCGAGGGTGATCATTGGGCCCTGTTTGGTGTCCACGGACCAGAGGTAGACGGGGACGCGGAGGTGGTTTATGATGGTGACGGCGCCGGGCGCGGCTTCGATGCTGCTCACTTCACCGGTCTTGATTTCGGCGTCGATGAGCTCGGCCACGGCGGAGTTATGGTCGGCAAGAGGGGAGGCTAGAGCCAGAGAGAGGAAGGCCAGGAGGAAGATGATGAAGTCGTGGATGAACTTCATGTTGGAGGTTGGGTAGTTAGGAGGGTTTATTTAAGGTTGGAGGACGAGATGCTTGTTGGAGCAGAGGATGATTGTCAGAGGTACGGGATGAGGAAGAAGAGAGATGATTACGGAGGGAAGAGGATGAGGATGAGGATGGGAGAGAAGAGAGCAAGAGGATAGGAGAGGGGAGATGGAGGACTTTATAGCCAACGAAATGGTTGAATCTGTGGTTGTAGTTATACAGTGATCGTGGTTTATCACCGGTCAAGTCTGCTGAGATATGGTGAATTATGGACATGCTGGACTCATCTGGTGGAGCATGTAGAGATGGTGATATAGGATAGTGGTTAATTATCGAGAAGAGCCCTGTTCAGATCGAGTGACAAGAAGAACAACGGTAGACATCTGTCTGTTAACCACAGTGATCGAGTGATAGGACTCGATGAATGCAAGATTATCCACGACTGGGCACTGGCAGACAGGATCTGGCCTCTAAAACTAATATCACTCCAATTATCAAAACAGTGTTGTGGTTGGACTCTAGTGAGAAACATAGAATTATAAAGAAATTCATATAGTTACTCGAAACATGGTGAAAATATGGGATATGAATCATAGCTCATGGACTGCAATGACATCCATTCTATCTAACTAAAAGCCTGATGGAGGCCACATAATATTCCAGTCATATATGGCTATCAATATGGGTCCAGGGCTTTGGTGGTGCATAGTGACATCTTCATCTGCATGGTAATATAGTGTGGGTTGAACTATTATAAGTGAAACAGTAATGTTTACTGCCAGTAGTCTATTATATAGAATAATTTACATTCAAACCATCTTGGAAGAAGGGGGCCATGTTAAGACAGAGGACTAGTGGCTACAGAAGGCTTTCAATCACGGCTTGAAGAACCCCTGCTAGGACGCAAACCCACTTCTACAAGTTGGGCCATTTCATAGGTACAGAGAGGATGAAGCGATACCTGAGGTCTAAGAGACTACCAATAAACCATTATATATTTACATCATGCCCCTGTCCCTTGTGTACAATAACTCCAACAAACTCCAGAAGACCATCAAACCCAGCAATATCACACATTCGCATCATCACAGAATGTACTAGGCCTCTTGCGCACAAATGTCCCCCGGATTGGATCTCCTTCATGGCGAAATGCCTTCCACTCCCCAATACCATATTCTTCCGGTGCGCGCTTCACACCCCTCCCCCCACCCCCCACAATAACATTCCCAGGCCGATAGGTGGGATCTCGTTCCATCCGTTGGATCACAGAGATATGGATCTGGGCATCATCCGGGATATCCCGCACCTCACCCCGTGGAAGCGGCCACGAAATCGGCTCCCACGAGCCATCTGGCCGGAGATCCATGCGACGAAACGGAAGAAACTCCATGAGTCGCCATATGAAGGTCGAGATGTTCGACAGACCACCGCCATAGCTGAGACTATCATGCACGATGCCCCGCGCCATCGTCTCATGGAGGACCTCGTGGAATCCGTGTCTAGGGCGTTTGCTCCGATTTTTGGCATTGAATTTCCGGCTGCGGTTTTCGTCGACCGACTCCTGACAATCGAATCGTTTTAACTTGACAGGATCAAACTCGACGCCTGCTGCCTGCGCCTCTTTGACCATCCACACGAGCGGAATATGGCTCAACGGCCACGGGTCGTTGGTATCGACTCCCCACCCGCCGCCAACATCAGCGTGTTCCCCAGCGAACCACACCTCCTGGACATCCTGCCTCCGGGGAAATTTTTGTTCAGGCGTCGGCATGCTCAGAGGCGAGAAAAGTCGGTCCGTCGCAGTGCACTGACGCGGCGTCTTAACAATAGGCGAACCAGTCCAAAGCCGCAAGCTAGAACGGGTCGATGACCGCCGCCGCGGCGCGCGATATATCGTCTCGTCATCATCCTCCGACGAAGAATCATCCGACTTCTGCCCCCTATCCTCCTCCTCAGCATGCCCGTTCAGCAACCTCTCACCCTCTCCATTCAAGGCGTTCTCCTCATGCCAGAGCCTTGACGAAAATGTCCGCTGAACACCCCGCGGCCGTCCCTGCGACACCAAGTCCTGCCGAAACTTCGCCCTCCGCTCATTGATAGCCACCGCATGGCGCACAACCCTCGCCTTGCTGCGCGAACTATACGGGAACTGACTGCGGCCCATCCACGGGCCCTCGAACATCGGCACGCTATTCACGGTATCAAACAGCCCCAAAAACCTCACCGGCTCAACCGGCCAGCTAAATGTCTCCCGAAACGCCTTCATATACTCGAACAGCATGCGCGTCTCCTCATCCTCATCGCTCCCGCGCCGCAACTGCCAGCGCGAGAACTTCCTCCACGCAAACGCAATCAGCTCCTCGTTTCCCGGCTGCAGCAAGCCAATATAGTCGAGCATTTCGGATAGGAATCGCGCCGTGTACGCCCCGCGACTGAAGCCGAACATGTGGATCTCGTCACCGGGTGTGTAGTGGTGCATTAGGAAGCGGTATCCGCCCAGAACGTGCTTGTCGAAGGACGACCCCAGCGCGGCGTCAGCCGCTTTGCGACAGGAGGCTTTGAAGCGCTGGAAGAGGTTGGGGTCGCTGTCGAAGTTGTCGGCGTTGACGTAGGTGCCGATGCCGGGCTGGTAGTAGTGGTATTGGTGGCTTTTGGTGCGGTCGAGCATCTAATCGGTTAGTATTTCCTTCCCTCATTGTACTTGTTGAAAGAGACAGAAAAATAGGTCCCTTACACGATAGATCTTCAGCAAATTGGTATCAGACTCATCCCCCGCAAATTTATTCCCCGTGCCATCGAAGCACAGGATAAACCGATGCCTCGGCGGCAGAGGACCAAACGGATCCATATCGACCGATCGTGGCATTATATCTCCAGGTTATACCTAACAACAGGAACAAAAAGGTAACAAGCATAGACCCATCGTTCCCGAAAGCTGGATCCCACCGTCTATATAGCCTCCCCGCGCGGCGTGGCTTAGACCATATGCAAGTGACAAGAAATACGAAGGGGGTCGCATATTGCAGCTGGAACTGGGGTTTTTCTTTCCCCCTATTGGACACGGCGGTGAGTTTTGCGGGCGCAGCCTTGTGAAGGGCCTTAAGGCTGACGATCTGACTAGTCGTCCCTAATGCAGGGGCTGGTTGGACGGCGGTTGGTCTGGGCGCGCGAATGTGGTTCTGCGCCTTGTGGGCGGGCGCCTGGTGTGGGGGGGGTTTGGACCTGTCAGGTAGTGGGATTTATATCGTATTCCGGTTGTTTGTTCGGTGAGAATATGGACTATTGGCTTGGCTGCTTGCTGGTGGTGGGGATGGGTTTAGTCTCGGTTGCAACGTTGATGCTAGTCAGACGAATGTGGATCATGCAGGAGTTAGTCTTGGATTGCGTTAATGGAGATTTTGTCTGATTGAGGGCTTTGAGTCATGGTGTTAGGCTACCCATGTTTTAGATGAATGAAGGTGTTGTTTACTATATGTTACTGTCTTTGCTAACTCACCTGGGTTACAACATGAGACGGGTGGAGTAAACATCATCGGGCTGTATACAAGCGATAATCGATTATTCTCGTGCTTTGCCCGTAGTATGCAAGTCTTAAAACATAATAATTTCCGATCTATACCCCAGAGTACGGAGTATAAATAATCAGATCTAAATGTAAACTCTAAGCCACGTTGCTATTTAAATCCCGAGCCTCGTGACACAACTGTATATTTAGTAGTTTCGGGTTTCAGGCCAAGACATTTATTAGATTGGTCATCAGTATGCATGCAGCTTCAACGTCTAGTGTATACTTTTTTGTAAGAGTTGTCTAAGACTAATAGCCAAATCCAGTATAAGGTATTTTGGCTGGAACTGTCCTCCAGAAATGATACATGCTACCACTGAAAAAGAGAGCGGGCGGAAGGAAGATAGATCGACTACAGTCTACCCCTAATAGGAAGCCTGAGCTGCAGGTATTCCGACCAAGTGTGGCGAGTCATGTTATAGTACATATGAAACTACGAATGATGGCATCATGCACAGTATTAGTATGCACAGTTGGAGCAATAAATGTTGAAAAGAGCAAAAAGCCAAGAGAATATGGACGACCTACCTATATAGTCAATCTCCAGTTATTGATACATTGCCCTGTTCAAGCAGAGTGGTACTATCGTTTATTCATACAACAGTCAGAGGCTTAGCGGTGAAACATGAGTGGTCTGTAACAGACTTTTCCGAATCGCTGCAATGGGACATAAAATGGAATATCTGTAGATTGTAGGGGAAAAGTCAGGACCTGATTTTCGGCACTCTAAAACAGGACTTATAGAGAATTGTTGTGACTACATTATGGACCCCAGAACCAAAATGTAAAAGAGAGAGAGAGAGGAGTTGGGGGGGGGGGGGGGGGGGCATTTTGATGTAATGTTGGAAATAAGATGACTATAAAAGATACTCGCAGAGCTCAGAAATCTCTACATATCTTTTGTAGCCGAGTGGTATTCTTTGCCTTGTGCAATAGCAGTCCCAGTGTGATTCCAGTGTGATAAAAGTAGACATTCAAATTGAGGAAGTATTTTGAGATGATCCATGACTATCATCGAGCCACAGACGTAAGAATAATTCAGACCATCAGCACTACTTCCTTCATCACCGATCATCATCAAACAAGTCTCTACCCACCAACTAGAAGTCAACACAGACCGTAAGATTATCACGACCAGCAGGTAAACCATCGCAAACCTGCATTACAGGTCAAACCTATAAGTACCCGTCTGATTCCAATGACCTCCCCTCAACACCCATTCCAAGAAAACCAATATACACCCCTAAGAACAAACAAACCACCACCATGAAGACCACCCACCTAACAGCCTTCCTCTCCACCTTCCTCCTCGTCTCCGCCAAAAACCACTGCAACAAATCCACCTACACAAACGAGGTGTCCGGCGGCTCCCCCAAAACATCCGACTGCAAGACCCTAGCAGACAACATCTCCGGTGGCGGAGACTGGACCAGCTCGGGGGCCTCGCAGCGCGAACTAGCCAAGCACGGAAGCTGCCGGTTTGGCACGGAAGAGGCGGCCGGCGAGGGTTCCCTGAACTACTATGTGGGTAACGAGGATATCATCGATGTGATTAATGAGATGATCAAGCGGTTTGATCCTGAGGGGAACGGCAGACTGGGGGGGTCGGGTGAGTTCCATTGCGATGTGCCTGCGGCGAATGGCGGTAGGGCTGGGAAGATTAAGTGGGGGATTTATTAGGGGGAGCCATCCAGTGGTAATTACTAGTGGAATATGCTGGTTGATGTCTGTTTTGTACGTGTTTTGTGAGTTGGACTGGCAGAGATAGGGCTTGTGAGTTATTACTGTCTGTCTGTTGATAAGGGTGTGGATACGGATGTAGTGGACGCAGTCTCGCAATGATGGAATTCTATGACATTGCTCTTTGCAAACTATTATCAATTATGGGTCAGCTCTAAGGTTGGGAGTAATGAGGTATTACATATGATTTAGTATGGAGAAGTGGAACTATAATTCAGACCAACCCGCAGATCAGTTACATAATATATAGATGAGAATGCATAGTAAGTATTGAACCTGGAGAAAACTGTGGATAATCTTGGTCAGACATAGGGCAAGTCCATAAATAGTGCTTACCAGCCCCCAATCTAAACATTAGTGATTACTCTACCGCTTCACTCCATGTAAGATATTACGATCCTGCTGAACATCTGATCTTGTGAAGTGAGCCGTGCGGTGGCTTGGACTTTAATTCTATACACACTGGTGACTTTGTCAGTTGTTCTATTTCCCGGATTCAAGACGGCTGTTATCTACATAGTGTGAAGATCATGTGCATACTGGGATAACCCCAGAACTATCTGGAGGCAGATTCCCCAGCATGACATCACTCCATGTGAGTTAGTACTTCACCAATCCAAGGATCTATACCAGACACCACTGGAAACTACATAATCTGTGTCCGTGGGGTGCTTCTAGCTCATGCACAGTACTACATTTGCAAAACTCCACAGACGTAGTGTTCGGTGGGTGGGCCTGTTTGACAGGTACTCTTTGATAAACCGACGCTTTTACTAAATATGGCATGGGAGCAAGGGCTAAACTTACGGTTCGTTCGGGTGTCAAGTATATGGCACGTCTAGGTGATGGGGATTCCAAACCCCGCATAAGTTAGACTAAACGCGTCTGTCCACTGATCCAGCCTTGGATATTAGGGATCGCCGATTTGTATGTTTATTTGTAGTGCCCCACATGGGGCTATAACGGAAGAGATCAAAATGCGGTGATTATTTATAGAATGTGATTATAACAGTTAAGGAAATTAGTAACATTTCAAGTGGACTAATGAAGACATATAACACCAAATGATACAGAACAGGAAACTTCAAAGAATCTCACACTATCAAACCCCGTCAAACCCCCCCTTAACATGAACCATGGCTCTAGAACGGAATATTCCGGAGCATGGGTGGTTTGATTCTTGAAGAATCTCTCATTGGGTGGACCGTATATTCCGTATAGACTGTACTCGCCGATTGATATCCCCGGTTGATGGGCCAATTTATGTCCTAACAGGACTCACGCGTCGGCCGCTTTCCAAAACAGCGAGTCGTAACGTGGGACACCCATCTAGAAGTGGTATTAAAAGTTAATCCCACAAGCCATGACCAGAGTTGATGATTTCGCCCCGAGTAGCTGGTATTGGCAATCCAGGCACTATAAAACTCTTGGGGAAATGACCTCACTGGGCAGGGGCGGATGCCAAGCCCGAACTCGGATGTCCCGATCGGGCAATAATGCTGGCAACATCGCCGATTGACGGCCGAGAGCTGAGTCAGCCGGATGGCGAATCGGGCTAATCATGCAAATCATGCAATTGTGCAGCAAGCTCGAGAAGCTTAAATGTTTTTTCTTCCCCTCCACATTGACTCATTTTGATCCCACCCCTGTTTGGTGTGTTTTCTACGTCGTTTTTGTTTCTTGCAACAGGTGACTCACTCAGTTCCAATGTTTCGCCGTTCCGTCACCTCCACAGCTGCCCCCGCTGTGCGGTCGGCGCTTAAGGCCCAAAGGGGCTTTGCGTCGGCCTCGCCAGTGAGCACGGCCGCCCGAAACCACAAGGTCGTCGTGATCGGCGGTGGTACGGCCGGTCTCACCATCAGTCACCAGCTCCTGCGGTCGGGGAAGTTCGCCCAGGATGATATCGCGGTCGTTGACCCCGCCGAGTTCCACCACTACCAGCCCGGCTGGACGCTAGTCGGCGGCGGCCTCAAGACCAAGCAAGAGCTCCAGAGCCAGCTGAAGGGCTTGCTCGACCCCAAGCTCAAATTCTACAACACCAACGTGGGCACCTTCGCCCCGGAGAAGAACGCCATCACGCTCGGCAACGGCGACACCCTCGGCTACGAGCAGCTCGTCGTGGTGCCCGGCATCACCATCAACTACGACGCCATCAAGGGTCTCCCCGAGGCCCTCGCGAACCCCGACGCCCCCGTGTCCTCCATCTTCGGCTACGAGACGGTCGACAAGGTCTGGAACAACATCAGCAAGATGAACAAGGGAGACGCCATCTTCACGCAACCCGCGGGTGTGATCAAGTGTGCCGGCGCGCCCCAGAAGATCATGTGGCTGGCGTTGGACCACTGGAAGAAGCAGGGCTTGTACAAGGCGCACTCCCCCGAGTCGCCTATCAAGATCAGCTTCGCCACGGGAACGCCGTCCATGTTCGCGGTGCCCAAGTACAGCGCGACGCTGGAGGCGCTGCGCAAGGAGCGTGGTGTTGAGGGTCTGTTCCAGCATGACCTGGTCTCCGTCGACGGCAACAACGCGACCTTCGCGCGCGCCGAGACCAAGGATCAGGTTACGAAGCGCTTCGATCTGATGCATGTGGTGCCCAAGATGGGTCCCCACGGCTTCGTCAAGAACAGCCCGCTGGCTAACGAGGCCGGCTTCGTCGACGTCGACGACTTCACCACCCGCCACAAGAAGTTCGGCAATGTGTGGTCCGCGGGCGACGCATCCAGTTTGCCGTGCTCCAAGACGGCTGCGGCTATCACCGCCGAGGCCCCCGTGCTGGTGGGCAACCTGATGCTCGCCATGGAGGGCAAGGCGCCCGACGCCGAGTACGACGGGTATGCGTCGTGCCCGCTGTTGACGGAGTACGGCAAGGTTCTGCTGGCAGAATTCAAGTACGGTGGGCAGCCCAAGGAGACGTTCGGCAACCTGTTTGGCATTGACCAGGCGGTTCCGCGTCGCGCATTCTATCATCTCAAGAAGGACTTCTTCCCGTGGGTGTACTACAACTCGATGGTGAAGGGCACGTGGGGAGGCCCGAAGGGGTGGCTGTAAATGTATTATAGATAGATAGATAATATTCCTCTCTTTTCTTCTTCTTTCTTTCTCCCATATTTGTCTATTGTATAATTTTCGGTATAACCACCGAGATCACCTGACCTGGAGAGAGCTATAGTGGGTCCGTGCCTAATCGCGATATCCACTCTGTCTCTCCACCCCATCCATATAATCGATCCCATCAATACGATCCATCATCGTGACCCCTCACCCGTTGGACCTCCGTTTAACCTGCGGTCAAGACCACCCGATCCCCGTCGTGGCGTCAAGACTATTCCCAAAGTAGCCGTCCCCGCACGCCTTCACCCCCCCTGTCGACGCAAGGACTAAGGTCATGGCGTGCTCGATGTCAGCATTTGCGTGCTGCCGGAGCCAGTCATATCGCAGCAGTCGAGCCGTGTTGGCATCAGGTGGATGGACAGTTTGGAATGGGGCGTCTCTCTTTGCTTTTGATTTAGCATGCCGTGCTCGCGCCAAGAGGAATGCTGTGCCGTGCTTGTTTCCTCGATTTTAAAGTATTTCTTGTCCAACTTCTTGGAAGAGTGGGTATACGTTTGACGCGTTGTCGAGGGAATTACATCCCTTGAATCGGATGGGATAAACACTCGCCATGGGACTGAAAGGGACTCCGCTCGGGATCTTCCGAGCTTACTTCTTTGGATTCTTTGTTTGTACCGCGGGATTCTTGTTCGGATATGATACCGGCATCGTGGGTGCGTCTCTCCCCCTCTATCCTCTATCCTGCTCCCAGATGAAGTCTTGCTAATACTTGAGTGTTGCAGGAGGCATCCTCACCTTCAAATCCTACCAAAATGACTTCGGCTACGGCGACCAAACGACCGTCAACGCCGTGATGGTCAGTCTCCAAAATGTCGGTGCCTTCATCGCCGCGCTGGGCATCTTCCCCGTCTCGGAGCGCTACGGTCGTAAGATAACCGTCCAAGTCGCCATGACGCTCTTCTGCGTCGGTGTCATCCTGCAGGTCGTGCCCTCGCACTCCCTCGTGTGCTTCTACATCGGTCGCGTGGTGTCGGGACTGGGGCTCGGCGCCGGCACCGCCGTCGTCCCCGCTTATAATGCTGAGATGGCACCTAAGGAGATTCGCGGTATGCTAGGCTCCGGCATGCAGTGGCTGTTTGCGCTGGGCGTCATGGTGAGCTACTGGATTGATTATGGTGTTAAGGTTGGTCTGCCTGTGTCGTCGAAGCAGTGGCAGATCCCCGTCGGGTTGCAGCTAGTGCCGGCTGCGGTGCTGGGGTTGGGACTGATCACCCAGCCGGAGAGCGTGCGATGGCTGGTCAAGAAAGAGCGGTATGATGAGGCGTGGGCGAGTTTGACCTGGATGCGCGCGGACGATGGTATTTCCTTCTTTCCTACCCGAGCAACGCAGTCCATGCTAACAAAACAGGCGACGCCGTCAAAGCCGAGTTCAACGAAATCCGCGTCGGCCTCGCGGAAGAGCTCCGCGCGACAGAAGGCCTCCGCAAGCGCGAGCTCCTCGAGAAATCCAACATCTACCGGCTAGTCCTCGTCTTCGGGATCTTCCTCGGCCAGCAATGCACAGGCATGACAGCGCTCGCGTACTTCGGCCCGCAATTCTTCAAGCTCATCGTCGGCGACGACACGAACCAGTCCCTGCTCATCACGGGCCTCTTCGGCGCAGAGAAGTTTGTCATGGTCGGGATCTACATCCTCTTCTTCTCCGAGAAGTGGGGCCGCAAGCCTACCCTTTGGATCTCCGCCCTCCTAATGGCGACCTGCTTCATCATCGTCAACGTCGTGACCGAAACAACCCCCAAGCCCCAAGGCGAGACCACCTCCGCAGGGATCGGCACAGTCGCCATGATCTTCCTCACGAACTCCGTCTACCAATTCTCATGGGGCCCGCTCCCGTGGCCATACACGGCGGAGATCTTCCCGTCGCGGATCCGCGAGGTCGGCACGTCGGTGGCGGTGTCGACGCAGTGGCTGTTTAACTTTTTGTTTTCGCTGGTGACGCCGTATATGATTGCCTCGTGGGGCAGCTACACGTTTACGTTTTATGCGGTGTTGGATGTGATCATGGCTGTTATGGTGTTTTTCTTTGCGAAGGAGACGAAGGGGAGGAGTTTGGAGGAGATGGAGACGCTGTTTGAGAGTAGGGCGGCTTTTGATGTTGAGGCTGTTCGGAACAAGGCGTTGTCTGTTTATAGGGAGGGGGCTGTAGAGGGAGAGAGGGAAGAGGATGGGGAGGGAGGGGGAGAGGAGGTGGAGAGGGTGGATGTTAAGGCGAGTAAGGCCGTGCCGTGATTGAGCTTGGTTCTGGTTTGTTGGGATTGATATTCCTGCATTATGCACATCAACTATCATGGCGAAACTCCCATGACAATACCAGATCCCTCTCTTGTAATAGTAGAATAAAATATAATATGTGTAAGATTTCACCCACGCCCCGGCAATCCACCCACACACATCCAACGATATCCTCCATCTACTGCACCTACCGTGCTAGATATGATATATTCTTATGAAACTGAATAATATCCTCTGGTTGAAACCTTACCTTATTTTTGTAGAGGTCCAAGGACGGAAGCTCAATCAGCCAAGAATCAACACGTAGAAATCAATAACGTCAACGACTTTGGCCATTTTCAAACGTCATTCTTATAGTTATCGAAAGACCTCGGGTGACAAGAACTATTAGCCAGTCAAGTTCTACATTTGATGTAATGTTTACGGAAGTTGGTTATGTTTACCTGTGCAGGTAAGTACTATATGATCTGTGGCTTGGGGCTGTACCCAAACGGGCGGTCTCTGCGGAGACATGGCAGATGTCGGGGACTACGTGGATCAAGGAGATTAGGCGACGGACAAAACGATTGTCCTCGGAGATTCGTAACAAGCATAAAAATATACTCTGCCCAGTGACGAGAAGGAGCTAGCTGGCTTTTACCCTCCATATGCGGAGAACCAAACAGACACTCCGTCGTTCGTCCCACGTCCCTCAGACCTCACGCAGTAGACTCCAGCAGAGACGATGGAGCAGCAAGTAGTCAATGTCAGATCGGAGTACTGTCTACCATGGCGCATTGGTTAGATCCTCTACGCAGTAATCAGTAGTGTAAATTACTACTCTGCCACTATCCTGCCATATCCGGTCTTCATCCCAATTTCTTCTTGCTCATTTACAAATAAGCCTCCCTTTCCTATTGGCACGATCTTGTCATGACTACCTAGATAGTGTGACAGGGGTTCGAGTGAGAGGAGCCCAGGCAGACACCCGATAGAGCAGGAAGACGTTTTTGATATTTTCAGCTATACGCACTGGTCCGAATCAGCAAGAGCCTGCGTCACGGGCCGTCCCGGCCAGACTGCCCTATACACGGAATCCAATCTAACCTGACTAGCAATCTCTAATTCAACAGTTCGATGAAATGACCCTGTTCAGGAGAATTGGCTTCTTATTTATTATATCATTATATATAATCATGTGAGGTTTCTTACTTTTAGACTCGGTGACACACCCTGAAATCACATCTGATTTTCCTATCCAGAAGCACGGGGCCCCGAAGGACCTATATCGCTTCAGGACTCCGAGGCCACCCTAAATACCAATCAATTCAACACGTATAATTTGTTTAATTCTTTTTCTTAGCTATCTTCTTGCTTGTGTACGAGGGCTGTGGCTCTTTCAACCACTATGGTGCGACGAATACTATCCCAGTACAGCGCTGGAACCAAGCCATATGGGCGTCCTCGAAAGAGCCCCTTTCCAGATCACCCTGGCAGGCACCCAATAGAAGAAAAATCGCAGGGCATCTAGCGGAGCCACAATATTCGTATCTTCTCAGCTGACACTTATCCCTGTTAGAACACCTCATCACAGCCAATTGATTCAGTTGCAGCTGAAAAACTAGCGACCGTGAGGATCAGGCTGGGATATCGGGTCAGTGCTTTGAGACAGCCAAGATGTTGGGCTTGGGTGGTACGTATAAAAGGAGCCTGCCTCTGCCTGTGTCAGAGTGGGTTGGATTAGAGTGATTATCTGGAGATATCAATAAGGTTACCTATCTGTTTGAACTTCTGTCTTTGGGTACAATTGCTACAGCAATCAAACATGCCCAAAAACACCTACAACAAGCATGACCATGCATCCTGGCACCTGGCCAACGTGGGCACGGTCGCCGGTGCCACCCTGCCCATGCCAAACCCCATGGGTGGGATACAGAATGCTCAGGCGGCGTACAGTAAGCGCCAGTATCAGGATAGTGTAAGTTTTCTCAGACTTGCTCTCTTTCTGTTGCGAGAACCCATCTTGCTAACTTTGTCTATTTATTGCCATATAGTATCGTTCGGGCATGAAGCAAGCCGTATTGAATGAGGACGCGGCAAACCAGAGACACCGGGAAATGCAGACTGATCAAGTGCGGGCGTCGGAAATGACCTATGGAAAGAATGGCTATACCAAAGAGAACGGGTATCATCTGGATAAAGATGGCAGGATGTATTATGATGGTTCCAAACAGTGAACAGATCCATGAGCGCATGTCTGTGGGGGGGTTATATATATGCGCAAAATTATATAACCGCACTGCACAGTGTGAGATCATAAGTTCGTGGCTTTGTATACATTTCTTTGTACAAGAAGAAGAGGCGGAATTGTCACTGTACACGCCTTCTATTTTCGATTGGCTTGAGTATATACCCAGTTTTTATCAGGGAAAATTCTCTCTTATGGCTGCCAGATGCATAGAAATCATACATCAGAACATGGCAGTCTCCTTTTCTTAGGGGTCCAATGCAGGAGACATGCCGGGCTATATATAGTATAGAATGATTTACTCTGTATATTATTTAATAGGTAATTACACATGTTCATGCCACTGCACGAAGTAAGGGTTTACCTCATATTCCCAGATATAAAGGAGAAGAGATCTCGTCATCATAGTCTTCAAACTACTCTACCACGTCCCTCTAGTTAACAATCAATTCCCCTCACGGCCATTACACCTGTATATGAGGACTGCGGTCTTTACACCCATTGTGATGCGACGAATACGATCCCGCATGCCGCCCTCGGAGACCATTTCATATCAGGGTCTTCGATCGAGTACAAGAGGTATACTTCCCATATCACCGGTACCCAGTAGAACAACTCATCATATCCGATAGACCCATTTTCAGTGAAAATGTCCAGCGGCTGTGCGGATGAATGACGATAAAATCAAGATAGTGTTTTGACACGGCCAACGTGCTGAGTATGTTGAACGCTTGATTACATTCTGGTTAGGGTGCTGTGTATCAGAGAAGGCCTGCCCCTGACTGGATCAAGAGTAACAGGTATCTGAATCACATTACCTATATCTTGAACCTCCGGCCGCGCAGATAGTTGCTACCAACATAGAACATGCCCACAAACCTCTATGACATGTTTGACGGTGCATCCCAAATTCTAGGAAGTGTGGGCTCAGCCGCTGGTACGGCCACACCCCTGCAAAACCCCGTGGGTGGGATACAGAGTGCCCAAGCTGCGTACCATATGCACCAGTTTGGGAAGATTGTAAGCTATTCTAGATTTACTCTGACCTGATCCATTTGCTTATTATATAGAAATTTCAAGGCATGAGGCAAGCCTTACTGAAAGAGGATACGGCGATCCTCAGAAACCAAGAAATGCAGACACCACAAGTACAGGCCTCGGATATGAGTTATGGGAAGAATGGAATCACCCAAGTGAATGGGTTTCAGAGGGATGGTGAAGGCAGGATCACCTATGGTGGTGGGTCCAAACGATGACGGACATGAGCATATTTTGTGGGTCTATATATATATGCAAATTTAAAATACCCTGGTTGTACATGAGAGAATTAGTCTATGACACTGTCTACATATATCTATACAGAAGAGGTTGAAGTATCATTATACAAGCTTGTTGGTATGTGTATATATTGATTGTTATCTAGAGAAAGGCTCCAGACGCTGGAGAGAATAACATCAGAATATTTAAATCTTCTCTGTTGATTCCTATAGAGCCGCTTCACAGAACTATATATCGTAAATTATATGGTTTATATAATATTCAATAAGTAATTCCACGTGATCAAGCCACTCCACGAAGTAAGGGTTTACCTCGTATTCCAGATATAAAGCAGAAGAAACCTCATCATATCCTTCCAAATTATCTCCAGTAGACCTACTATCTACCTAACCCCATCACAAGATACATAGTATACAAAATGCAAATCACCATCCTCCCCGCCTCCTCCAAAACCGCCCAAGCAACCATCCGCTCCCTCCTCTCCACCCCCACCAACACCAACCTCCACATCCGCGGCCTCTACCGCGATCCCACCCGCGCCCCACCCGAGTTCACCTCCCACCCAGCCTTCCACGCCACCCACGGCGACATCCGCGATGCGAACACCCTAGATTTGGCGGGCACAGACGCCCTCTTCGTCATGACGCCCCCGCGCCATGACGTAGATGATATTTTCCAGTGGGCGAGGGAGGCGTCGGAGAATACTAGGGCCGCTATTGAAAGAAGTTCGGTGAGGAGGGTTGTGTTGTTGTCGAGTATGGGGGCGGAATTTGAGTCGGGGACGGTAGGTTTATTTAGTTACTGATATATAATATTGAATATATGGAAGGAGAAAGAAAACGAATCTAATGATGACAGGGCGAAATCCGAACCAACCACATCGCAGAGGAAATCCTACAAGATGCAGCACCGGAAGTGGTCATCGTGCGCGCAGCGTATTTCATGGAGAATTGGGCGGGGGGAGTTAGTTCTGTCAAGGATCAAGAGAACCCGTATTTCGAGTCGGTTATTACCCCGCTGGAGTATGAGGTTCCTATGGTGTGTACTATCCTCCCCCTTATTGTCATCTTATATCATGATTTTATGATTCCATTCCTGGGGCCATCCCCTAGGGCAGTCATGTCTAACTCCAACAGGTCGCCATCAAAGACATCGGCTCAGCATGCGCAGCTCACCTCCTCACCCCAACTCTCCCAGAAAGCCCATACATCTTTGAACTGCACGGCCCAAAACCATATAGTGTCCTCGACGTTCAGCGCGCATTCAAAGACGCCACTGGCAAAGATGTAGCCGTCCGTCCTGTGGAGAAGCAAGACCTCCCTGCGTTCTTTGGACAGTTTCTACCCCCCGCGCTGGTTGGACCGTTTGTGGAGATGACGGTGGGGTTTCTTCCTGGGGGTGTGATGGCTCAAGGTAATCCTGATGCGGAGAAGAGGGTGCAGAGGGGGAGGACGGGGTTGGGGGATGTTATTGGGGGGTTTTTTGAGGGTTCTGCTTGATCACACTCATACTTACAATTATATTAGTAACCCAGGAGTGTTGATGGATGAAGAGCGATTATATCAAGACAGCCCTAGCTTATTACCTATTACTATATCTCACCTGAATCAACACAAAGCACAAGATCAACCAGAATAACAACAAGAAAGACAAAAAACAATAGAAAAAAAAAAGCTAAATAAAGGAATTAAAAAAAAGAATAACATCAAGAAGAGTAAGGTCAAGCCCACTGCTTCCCACTCCAAATCCCCCCCACCATCCACATCCAATAATCCCTCCCCTTCATCAACCACACCACAAACCCAGGAATCTTATACCCCATCAACGCGCCCACACCCTTACTCTTCCCAATCGGCACCAGCTGACCCTCGCGCATATCCTCCTTGAAGATCTTATCTCCCCCAACCGTGCTTTCATCCTTCCCACAAGCGATCAGCAGATCGCGCCGCACATTCGCCCCCAATACTGGAACTGCAGCGACGATGTTGTGCACCGCCGGCCGCGCATACGTCGAGCAGTCGCCTATGGCGTAGACCCTTGCGCCGGTCCGATCCACACGGAGCGTTGAGGGGTTGGTTTCGACCCGTTTGTCGTCGGCGTTGAGCAGTGACGCGTCTAGAAAGCCTGTGTTGGGAGTTGTCCCTGTCGCGGGAATGTACAGGTCGGCCGTGATGGTGCGGCCGTCGTCGAGCGTAACTGTCGTCGGCACCGTGAGGTGTGTGTCTGCTGCGCCGGCGGCGGGGGGGTCAATAGACACCACGCGCGTGTTCGTCAAGACGGTAACGCCGAGTTTAGAAAGGAGGGACTGCGCACGCGCGGCGAGGGACGGCCGGAGCTGGGGCAGCAGACGCGGGCCGGATGTGACGAGCGTGATGCGCACTTTGGCGGTGGATGGGGAGGAGGAGCGGCCGTTGAGGTGCTCGCTTAGTTCGCCGGCTGTTTCGACGCCTGCGGGCCCGCCGCCGGCGATGAGGATCGTTTTGGTGTGGGGGAGCGCTTGTCGGAGGGCGGTCCAGCTTTGGCGGAGGAAGGTGGTGTCTTTTGTGAGGCCTAGGAGGGGGGATGGGGTTGAGGCGCCTGTTGCGAGGATGAGGGCGTGGTAGGTGAGGGTGTTGGTTTCGTTTGTGGCGAGGGAGATGGTTATCTGGCGGTTTGTGTGGTCTAGGTTTGTGGCTGTGCCGTGGAGGAAGAGGAAGTTCTCTGATGGGTACTGGGAGAAGGATTTGGGGATGGAAACGAAGAGCTTGTCTTGGGGGAACATGTCGTCTGATATTAGGGCTCGCGGGCAGGCTGGGCGGTTGACGACCTCGGTGGACGGGCTGACGAGGATGACCTGGTAGGTTGTTTTGTCGGGGAGTTGGGGAACGGTGTGTTTGAGGATATGGTGGGCGCTGGATATGCCCCCGTAGGAGCCTCCTACGATGATGATGTTCTTCTTGTCGGTGGACATGGTGAGTTAACACGCGACGTTGGTGGTTGGAAGTTGATCGGGAGCAGGATGATCTACGTATGATCGACCCGAGTATTTATTTCTAACTACACATGCCAGCCTTCTTTGTTTCATTCCTGACCAAGCTGCACGGACAGCTGCGCTGACCAAGCTTGACAAACGAACCGACTGACCGGGTCGATGCTTTGTTTGAGGCATGAGATAGCTGGCGCCACGTCCCAAGCGGGTTAGGGCTTACGGTCTCAAGGGCAACTTTGACTTCCAGCATCACGGAGATCCATGGACCGGCACCATCAAAGCCCGAGCCCCGAAAAATGACCAATCTGTGGTCGTTCAATGAACAAAAATCGACCACGGGGACTAATTTCATGTGCTGGAGTTGGATGAAACAGGCACGACACGAGCGCGGGATTCATTTCGGCTGGGGTGCACCGTCTACGCCGGTCTGACGAAGTAGTTGAACAGGGGACTAGTCGCACAGAAGGTTCCAGTCTACAGAAACAGGATGTTATTTTGGTAAAAAATGTGTCACGGGCACGGCGAACGGAGAGGATTGCTGTCGTGTCATGTCTTGATTCGGTAATCGTGCATGAGACAATCTATGATGCCCGTCCTAGTTATGAAAACCGATCCCAGCCCAGGATGATATCTCTCTGAAGAGCACGCGACAAACTTCCGAACAAGCAAGAATGGTCTCAAGAATCCACCGACGTCTTCCGCAACACGATCGCCAGTTTGCCCTTATCCACCGGCTTCCCCAGACCCAGGCCATCTTCGCCGTAATAATACACCCTCCATAGCCCTAAGACCACCTCATCGTCCGGTCCCTCCTCCTGCATGTGGGGCTCTGAGTCGCTCACCCGAATTGCGATCCACTTGAAGCTCTCGTCCAGTATGATCGACTCATCGTCGTCGGGCGCCAGATCAAACGGCCCGCTCAAATTCGCCTCACGCTCCTCGCGGCCCCCCCATTTCAGCTCTCTTGTCTGCACATCCACATATACCCACCGCACCTGCGGGGGCTGCTCGTTACTGGCTGTCACTAACCCAGCCAGATTGTCGTCTTCGAAGTCCGGATTTTTGAAGAAATGGCCATTGAATGGGGTCATAGACGGGGACGGTCGCTTCGTGACGTACATCTACCCGGACAGCGTTAGCTGGGCAGCTAGCTAAGTAGCTAGCAAGCAATCTAGCTAGCAATGTGGACCGGGCAGTGAAACCTTATGGTCCGAGCCAAGATACAGCCGTGCATTGTGAACCTGGGCCCGTTCGTCCTCCTCCCCCGCCAAGAGGTCGCAAGTGGACTGGATGTGGAAAGGCGTCTTGCGAACATTGTCCTTGCGCTTCTGCTCCGAGTCCTGCGCGCCGCGACTCGCTTCGTTCAAGCCGTAGATTGTCGGGATCATGGCTGACATCATGGCGACTCCGATAACCATTTTGGCGGTGTTGTGCGTACCACGGTTCGTATGGGGTGTGAAAGAAAAATGGATGGATCATTGACACCACGAGCTTTCTCAACACTGGGCGGACTGTCACCATTTAATACCCACCCTGGCGTGACAGCTAGGTGGCATTCCGCGTTCGGTTAGGGCTGCGCGGAGATACGACTTACCACACCGGTTGCTTGGAGATGGACCAACGCGGAAGGTGACGTTGCGGCTGTCTCGGGACTCTGTGAATCATATACTATCTTCTTTTCGATTCGACCCTACCTATATCTACAAGCGGACTGCGCTCGCACCGCACCGCACCGCACCCAGCACACACCACAGACTCCCAACTCCCCCTTCACCCGCACCCCCTCCGACTCCCAGTCAACCTACACAATGCCCGATTCCACGACCGTCAAAGATCCCAAGTACGTATCATCCACTTTTACCTTATCCCCCATCACCTGTCCAAGAAGCAGACTAACCCGGTGATTGCAGCCAAGCGGCCGACACCGGCGGTGAGGGCGGCGATGAGAGCGCCGACGACGACATCGGACCCTTGCCCGTCGGCCCCTGGGGCGATCGCGGCGTCACGTCCCCCAAAGCAGGCAACAAGAAGCCCAAGGCCAAGGAGTCCAGTCTCAACGTGCGGATCAATCTCGACTTGAGGGCTGATGTGTCGTTGGAACTGCATGCCGTGATTCAGGGTGATATTACTATTGGATTGTTTTAGTGGTATCTTGGGCTGGTCGGTGGAGGTGCTGTGCTTTGTGTGTGTATATAAGGTCTTACTTGTCTCCTGTATACTACCTACCATGGCTGTTTCCCTTCATTGAAGAGGGTTGAAGTAGCCTCGGCAATATATATACTCGACCCGGTGCCTATTGTGATCTATTGTGGGCCTCACAACATGTTTATCATTGTCAGTGTAGCTGGGATCTGCATTCCACAGACATACTAGAAGTAATCTGAGGGCGATCATGGTACGAATAATATTCAATTAATCCCATGTCTGCGTTGTAGACATGATATAGACACCCCAGGCTACATATTTCCGTTTGCGGAAGCCCCACATCTCAGTCACCTCCAACCAATGAAACGTGAAAAGACAAGGCGGCCAGCCAGCTGCAACCATCACAACAGACATTCTGCCGCCTTATCGACGCATTCCTGACATCTTCATCAAACCTTCCATTTGACAGAACATCTGGCATCATTCTTAGTATACTGTTACTTTTTTAGTTGTATATCTATTTACACTTATATCACACTAGTCAACCCATCCAAAGACCTATACTGGCAGCATCCCGTGGACTCAGCCGATTGTATCAATCACCTATGACGTCGACGCCTGGTCGATAAGCGCAACGCCATGGCCCGCTCGCTGGACGAACTACATGAGCAGACACGCAAGCTTAATATACGAGATACGTCGAGCGCCGAGGAATTTTCATCGGAAGATACAACACGGGAATGCAAATGTCAGCAGTCCTCTTCCACCACACAGCCGGCACAATGTCCCCGCCACCCTACGCCACAGCATGATGCACCATCAGACAAAACGGATACCGCTGAGGAGCCAACACCAGAAGGCTCTCATGTAGACCCGTCATGCCGATGTATCGAATGCAAGATCGACAGGGATCAAACGGAACCGGAACAGCCACCCGGGACGGAATCCGCGCCACCAGACGAAGGAGGCGCTACCGAAGAGGGGAAAGAAAAGGAGACAGACAAAGAGGATGGAAAGGAAGAGGAGGAGGAACGAACATTAACGTTAGAAGAGTTGTTAGAGTACCGGGAGAAGCAAGGTCTGAACCCCGGCGATTATCTGCTCGAGTTCGGATTCGGGTTTCCCGAGGAAAGGGAAGTGAATTTGAATGTGCAAATCGAGGGGGACTTTTCGGTGACTGTGTTGTGAGTCTATTCTGAGTTTACTTTTTCTTGTTCGATTGGGTACTGACTGTTGGCAGGATGTGAGTGGTTGGTAGGTTCTGCGAGGGGCTGAATGGGATTACAAGTGCGTGGTCAGGGATATAGTTGGTTTGTATAAAATATATATATACGGGATTTATGATACCAGAGTTAAATCGTGCAGATTCTTACGGATGTTCTAGCTATTTCAAATGACTGGCTTCGTTCAGTGTATATAAGTCGACTCGGCCAGGGATCGCGCTTTTGCAATGAAGGGATACGCATGATACCATCAGGTATTTTCGATAGAAACTACATGCTGCAGGTATTACGACTCATAGAACGACACCCTTGGGCCTCGTAAGTAATCTTATATCAATACAACACTATACATATATCGTCCTTAGTATACAACAGCCACTGCACCAAAAAGCCGACCGACACTGTGGAAGACTTCAACTGACTGATATCACCGGTATATACATCAACACCTTACTCCAGATCGTCAAGATCCTCAGGGTCATGGCCGTCTCGATCGACCCATATCTCAATGCTTTCGACATCCCACGTCACCTGCCTCGGGCCCCACGGCACAGTCCGATAAACCTCCTGATCGTCGTCCCCCACGTCCTGTGTAAATACCCCCATTGAAAGACACTCGTCAAGCACCAGTGCAGCGCCATGCCCCGGCTCCCCAAATACCAAATCCTCGTCACGGATGTTCCAACCCGGACGGCCCACAATCCCGTCAAACCGCCGGGCCACAGGCGACAACTGAAACAGCAGAGTATTTTTCTCCACGGGCTCATTGCCGTACGGTTCCTGCGCCGGAGTGATCGCTCTACCATCCTCAACAGGGTCAAGCACAAACGCCCCAAACACGACCTTGTCGCCCGTTAACGGATCCGTCCCGGACACGAGGAAAACGCCCTGACGGGGTTCCTGCCGTATCATGCGCTCTAAGCCGGTGGCATCCAGGCCCTCCATCTGGTTGACATCCCAGCTATACTCGTCGCGCAGGGTGAAGCGGCCGAAATACATGTCGCGCAAGAGCATCATAGTCAGCAAGCCGAACATCGGGGCCGTCAAGATGCGTCCAAAATGGGGAACGACCCGCCGCGGAAAATCGTGATCATGGGAGTCCGCCACCACGTCCAACAGAACGCGGTCCAAGGCGTAGAAAACGGTAGGCTATACAATTACAATATCCAGAATCAGCCAACCAGACCTAAACAAACAAACGGAACAAACCAGCCCAAACTCACAAGCATCGCGCAACCGTCCTCGAACATCTCATACGTCACGCCAGCCCTCGCATCGCGACAGAACGTCCGCACGACACACTCCGCCACCTCATCGAGCCCACCCAGTCGCTCCTCCTCCCTGATACCTGCCAGCTTCACGTGCGAAAAGACCAACCACCGCGCCAGCGCTCGAAAATCCGCACGATCAATACTCAAATGGTGCAGCCGCACCTCATCCCCATGCAGCTCATGCGCCAACGGGACGAACTTCTCCATAACGGGCTGCGCAAAAGGGACATAGTCGTCCCAATCCCAGGGCATACAGAAGCCGAGGACCTCGAGCAGATGGTGGAACATCTCGTCGCCCTCGTCGTCGCGGTTACACTCCGCATAGTACAGCTCGCTCTTGCGCCACCAGGGGAGTTCGAAGGCGCGCTGCGTCGCGCGCCGCCGGGCCCCGTCCTCGTCGTGGGGCAGCCTCTTCCCGTCCGTCCCCCGCGCTAGACTCTGGAAGAGAACCCGTCGCTCGTCGGCTGGCGTGCGCGCCCGGTAGCGGCTGCCCATGGGGTACACCAGGTACTTGCCATTTGGGAGAAGCCAGCCCAGTGCGCGCCGGAACTGCGCTAGTGTTAGCTGGGGGGGAGGCGCGTCCGGCGGGCCTAGTAGGAAGTTGTGGAAGGGGATCCCCGCGGCGTACAATAGGCTGCGGTACAGGATTGGGGTGACGTCGGGGAAGAGTGTGAGTGGGGAGTCTGAGACTGCGAAGAACACTGGGAGGGCCGACTGCGGGAGGATGTTCGGTTCGGTGGTGGTGTCGGCGTAGCGGTTGAAGTGGTGCATTATGATATCGCTTATGCTAATGCTGTCGCAGTCGCCGCGCATGCAGTCGGTGAGGCGCTCGAGGATGATGTCGGGTGTCATGAGCCCGTCGCGGGCCCAGGCGTCGACGTCGGACATGTATTCCCAGTCTTTGGGCATGTTGGCTGCTGGTGTTGGATGCTGTGTTGAAGGAAGAAGAAGAATGTGCTTTTAAATGTCACCCAGGCTGTGTATCTTGGGCTGACGCTTAGCGGTAGGAGGACTTCCTAGTGATGATCATGGAGATTGATTGGTCAGTTCGTGAGAGGGTGGATGGCATAGTCTTGTACGTGGGCCCACGTCAGCCGCACGTATTCGGTTAGATGGCGGGAATGGCTGTGCATGTTCCCGTAGGAAGTCTTCCTTTTATAGAAAAAAAAGATGAGGCTGATATTGGTAATCTAACACTATGATGTGTGTTGGATAGGACCGTGTTTCGTATTTCTAAATGTAGCTAAGGCGACGCCGGGTTAGGGCTTGGGATGTCACTGACGGCCACATATTTCCCTCCCATGCAAAATCCCTCTCGAATGATGCATTTGTGCCAGACAGTTATAGCTAGGAAGACTATTCATTTATTATACATTGTATGCATGACGTCCATATGCCCCCGGTCAAATTCGTCAACACCATCTTATTTTCCACCGACAGTCTACAGTTGAGGACACCCACGAGCTAATACGCCATCACGACCCATCCAAACCACCAAAGCGTTGGCCTACCGTCTGCTCAAGCTACATATCCCCAACCAGAACCCTAGAATGTCAACCGCCACTCCCAACCAGTCATACCAACATAGGTTGTCAGATTCGAGACGCGGAGGTCTTTCCCCTATAGGCAAGCCAAACGATTGCCCGAACCATGTTCATCCCATGGGAGTTTGGGGATTACCATCCCCGAAACATGTGCACACCCAGAGCATCGGGTAGATGCCAAGCCAGTCAACCAAGAATAACATGCCAAAGAGCAAATCAGAGTGGATCCAGAACCACGGTTCGGTAATGCACGGTGCGGTATTGCACGGTTCAACCACCCCATGATCTGATCTCCCCATCAAACTGATCGGGCACCTCTCCTCGGCGAGCTCTTCCGGCCACATATCGGCCGAGCTCAACTGGATCTCCAGCCGGGCTCGTGAGTTTGGAGCTGAACTTTGTTCCCACCTAATATCTGGGGCTGATTGGAGCTCCCCTGTCACCCAGCTACACAACCTTGGTCATGATGTCACTCATCCAGCCCTAGCTAAACCTTATGTTCTCGGCCTCCCTCGTCCTCGCTCGTCCGGGCGTCGTGCGAGAAGATATAGCCGAGGGAGGATGAATCTGAAGATGTGGCAGATGAATTATAAAGATTCATGTCTGCGCCGATCAGATCGATTCCATCTGCATGACATTTCCTATCATCCACACCAGACTGATTCAACCACTTTACCACTCCCACTACCACATCAAACCACCTCCAGAACAAGACCACCCCAAATAAAGACGAGAACACATCAAAAAAGATGCCCGTCCCTCGCCCCTCCGCCCTCATCCTCCTCTACCCGGGCTTCAACACCCTCGACATCAACGGCCCCTCCGAAATCTTCTACAACACCGGCATCACCACCACCCTCACCGCACAAGACGACCTCACCACCTCTCAAGAGCAAATCACCATCAAGCGCACCATCCCCCTCGCCGAGGCCCACCGTCGGCTCGATGAATTCGATCTCCTCGTCATCCCCGGCTCCCGCTCCCTAGACACGAGCACCTGTCACAACCCGGACATCCTCGACATCCTCTCCGCATTTTCCCGCCTCACCCGCAAGACCTCCTTCTCCTCCCCACTCGCCTCCCCGCTCTCTTCACCCGCCTCCTCACCCGCCTCCTCGTCCTCCTCCCCCTCCCCCACCCGATCCAACGAGCGCTCCATCCTCACCGGCGCCAACGCCTCCCACCTCCTCGCACAAGCAGGCCTACTAAACGGCCTCTCCGCAACAGCACACAGACTTGCCCTGCCACAACTGCGCGTCGCCGTCGACGACTACCAGGAGCGGAACTGCAGCGCGAGCGGCACGACAGTCCTGCCGGGGCGGGGGTCCTCGGAGAAGTTGCTTTACGTGGATGGCGGCGTGACGGGTGAGGGAGTGCGCGTGTTGACTACGACTGGGCCGTCGGGGATGCTCGATGCGGCGCTGTATTTGGTGATGAGGGTGTTGGGGAAGGCTGAGGCGGAAGAGGCCTCTGCTTTTATGGGGCATCCTTGGCAGGTGGATGATTAGTTTTCCTCTTCTTCTCGTTTGGTTTTCTTTTTTTTTGTTTTTTCTTTCTGTGATACCAGCTTCTATTTGCAATACTTGATATCCAAATCCAATGTTCAATGTGCGAATTGTCTATGGATCGTATGTATAAAGGCATAAGTAGATGGCTGGAGTAGGAGAACGGCTCTTCAGGGACAATGTAGTTTTTCTCTTGATTCATATACCCTCTCTTATATAGGCTAGTTACATGCTGTAGTTATGGTCATGAGAGACGAGCTGTGGTTTTTTCTACTCGGCATGGGCGAAGAGGTCAGTATATTGACACGCTGGGTAACATAAGATTGATAAACATGGTGTAGTTGAAGTACTCCTTGACTGATACGGTTGTTCCAAGTCTAGTTGGTCTCAATCGTCGCTAAATGTTTAATAATATTCCGCAAATTCGATATTGCTCATGAAACTATTCCAAATCCCTAAATAACACCGAGCCAAAAAAAAAAAAACAGTACAACCATACCCATCTGAAATGGACCATAGTCCTTCAAGATCCAAACTCCCAGATCATTCGCCTCCTCCATCCCAGCTAAACAAACGCCGCATTCCCAACCGTTCTAGGCAAGCAAATCACCCGATACGTCTCCACCTGCACACCCCGCTACCTCTCAAACACACCTCAAACAGCTCCTTCGGATCAACCTCTGTATCGTCCACCCCAGCAAGCACACACTCGCACCACGTCTCCCCCATCGCAAGCCACCTCAGCGGGTGGACGCCACCATCCCCGGCTAGAACGAGCCTGCGATTCGCGGCGAACATCTCCTTCGCGAGCTCGAGCATGTCCACCCCTGGCAGGACGAGCCCATTCAACTCCATCGTCGTCAGTCGTTGCATTCTCGGGATGACAGTGTGACGGATGAAAGGGAGGTGGCCTGCCTCGATGGGTAGGGTCAGACGCTCGAGGTCGTCACACTGCAGGATGGCTTCGCTGAGGAGAGTCTGGGTAGCGTCGGTGCAGCCGGCGCAAGGGCGGACATGACCTATGTTGATGGCGCGCCAGTGGGTGCCTGTTGCTTGGAAGGGGTTTGTCCCGCGGCGGTGGGTGGGGGTGTCTTCGTCGTCGCCGTCGTCGAATTCTTCGTCGTTCGCGGGCTGGAGATGGGCGCCGCCGTTGCCAGCGTGGTCAACCTTAGAAGGTCTGCACGTAGCCATGTCCACGTTAAGCGAGTTGAGGGTTTTGTGAGGTGCGAGCTGTCTGATCAGCTGGGTGACATCGTCAGTGAGGATATCCACGTTGAGACTCTCGATGTTGGTTGTATCATTGAAGAGCTCCACGTCGATAGGGCCTCCACGGTTGTTTGCGAACGCGATGTGCTGTAGTTTGGATGGGTCGAGTAGCTTTGTTAGATCAATTTTCCTGGATCTGGTGCGGCCCGGTAGTGGGAGGAAGCCGTTCCCAAGACGTAGGGTCGTCAGGCCTAGGCGATCACCGTCGTGGAGCCGGCGTTTCTCGTCGAACAGGTCGATCAGTTTGCCCAGAGAAGTGGCGGTCTTTGAGATAAGGCGTCTTTCGACGGAGATTGTCAGGTCTTCCAGGTCGGGCGAGGTGGCTAACATCTCCGCGATACTGGGAAGTCGGCTCGTTGCCATTGTGTGCGGGATGTTCTCGAGGTGCAGTTTCTGCATCCCCTGCCGGTTGGGAAGGACCCAGTCGATCTCGGCTGGGATACCGTTCTTGACCATGGTGTGTAGGACGACGGAGAGGGATTGCATATGTGGGATTTGCTCGAGTTGGCTGGTGAGGATGGTGTTGTAGTCGGACTGGTCTTGGGTTGATGGCTCCCTTCGGGCGGCACCCCGGGTTCTCGGTTTATCCTCGATGACTGGGATGCACAAACTGGAGAAGTACAGTCAGTTGGTATTCATAGAGAGATACATAGTGGGACCATACTCTATTTCCCTCAGGTTCGACATCTTCCCTAGAGCGACAGAGAAATCCACCCATTCCTGCGTCACATGGCGTCGGGCCTCCAAACAGGCGATGCTGAGTGTGCGAGTGTAGCGCACATACGGCGACTGAGACAGACGTTTGAGATGGCGTTTATGGATTGCAAAGAGAGAGACGTGTCGGTATAGAAGCGGCGTGAAGATGTTGCAGAACCGCGTGGATACCAGACAGAGGGCATGGAGGGTGGAGAGGTTGTATTGCAGCTGGTCGCCGACCATAAGCCAGATGTGGTCTCCTACGAATGGCATGGTGTAGATGGGCTTAAACGCTTGAATTGCTTGGAGTAATGGAGAAAGGGAAAGAAGATAGATGGTAGTGGAAGGAATCGGAGATGGTTTTGTTCGTGAGGACCTGGGGGGTTAACAGGCGTATCGCGTCATCAAGGTCCGCAGATTGAGTCATTGGTATTTTTGACTATATAATTGTATGTCACTGAGTAATATATATTCACTCTTTATAATATCATACTAAATTTCTCAATTATGAGGTGTGAGGAGTGAATTTCATGATGGTGGCTTCTATATCCAGCCCAGTCGCAGATTCCACAGCCCGATTTCGGCAACTCCTCAGATACCCCCAACCAAGTGAATGGCCCTTGTCTAGGCTATATACGTTTCAAACGATGCGATTGAGACTGAATCCAACAGACAGACATCTGAAAATCTTATATGATAGCCAAAGTAATATCCATATTCACCTCGACCCTATAATGCAGCCCCGCCGATCATTCCCCGGACAGGCTACAAACAAGGAAGTGATACTGCCGATCTCAAGTGATAGTAATAGATAAAGAGAACCCGGATACTGCATGGTCTGAAGTGGCCATCATATGTGGTGCAATAGACATGGTAAACAACTAGACTTGTCATAGTCACACTGATAATGACCCGTCAACAGCGCTGTTGCCACAGTAAACTACTGTGAGATGAAACAGGAAGTCATAATACGGGAAGGATAGCAGAAGCCATCTGTCTCTATGACATACTCCATATGGTACCACTAGGTGATATTTTCATGGTTTAGAAGACTATATCATGACCTAGCCTCAGGCAGTACACGTAGGGCAAGTCACGTCACATGCTTCAACAATAGCCAATATATGCATTCCTATAGATACTCCCCAAAGACATCAACTAATCATCCAATATCTGCACCTTGATCGCCCCCGACTGTGGGTTACTAGCCGTTTCAAACGCCTCCAGCCCCTCCTCCAGGCGATACCGATGCGACACCAACGGCTTCAAGTCAACCAATCCGGCGGAAACCAGACTGATCGACTTAGGATAGATATCATGATACCGATACTGGAACTTCAAGTCTATCTCCTTAGCCGACATGTGCATGAACGGGATATTCTGGAAGTCTTTCCCGACTCCGATCACGAAAACGGTGCCTCCGAATCGAGTTGCCTGTCACCATCATTAACTTTCATGCATACATCAGGCTCAGAAGATACCATGTCTAGCCTGGCACGAATGAATGGAGGGAGGGTACTCACGTAAATACCCGAATGCACACTACTCTCCACCCCCGTACACTCCATAACAAGCTTCGCCTCCTGTCCCAACGCATCCACAATCCTCTTCCCCACATCGACAGCGCTTTCCCCGCGCTGCACGGCAATGGGCCTCACACGCGGAACCAGTTCCTTGGCCTTCGCGAGCCGACCCTCATCCAAATCCGTGATGACGATCGGTTCTGCGCCGGCTGCATTTGCCGCTAGCAGCGTCACCAGTCCGATGGGACCCGCGCCGCAGATGACGAGCGGATCAGCCAGACGTAGACCTGAGCGGTCGATGCCCGCCAGCGCGACGGTCAGTGGCTCCAGCAGCGAGCCCTCTTCAAAGGAGACATTATCGGGGATCTTGTGCAGCCAGGCTTCGGGGTGCGCGTGGTACCGTCGGAGGGTGCCGTGGTGGGGAGGCGTCGAGAAGAACACTACGTCTGGGCATGCGTGATAGCGGCCTGTCCGGCAGAAGTCGCAAATGGGCTTGGAGCAGGGCACGCCGCATTCCATGGCGACGCGGTCGCCTGGATACGTTAGCTTTTGTTTGTCGTATATAGATGGAGTTTATAGAAGGGGGGTAGAATGGGAGTACCAGGCTTAAAGCGCGTAACCGACTCTCCCACATCGATAACAACACCCGCACTCTCGTGTCCGAGTCCATTATCCCCCGTCACGATCATGGGTCCAATATGGCCATGTTTCCAGAAATGCACGTCAGAGCCGCAGATACCCGTGGCGCGGACGTGCACGAGACACTGGTCCGCGGCGAGCTTGGGGATCTCACATTCTACCAGACGGAGATCGTGGGCGGGGCTGGTGTGGATGGCGTGGTTGATGGGTTTCTGGGTGCGGATGTCCATTTTGAATATTCTAAAGGTAAATGTTGGGGCACTGCGATAGTAGGTGGTACCACGCAATTTATATGTATAGTGAACTGGCATAACCCCGCCGTCGATCAGGTGGGATACTATACCGGGATGAGGTGAAGGCCAATAAGGGTACAGCGGGTTGATGTGCCAATAACGATCGATTTATGAGTTGAGGATGAGACGCTGCAGTGGAACGTGCGGAGGTATCCCTGCTGCCAATCAGACCAGCTTTGTGCGCAGTAGGGTTTGTATCTTGTTTTTTGTCATGAAGCTCATAGCACGGTGTTGCAGCTGTTCCTGTCTAGTTTAACTATAGATCTGATACCGACTGGAAAGCGCGTTCTCGCAGATATGGCAAGCTCGAACAGGCTCGTGGATATGGCAGGATACTGTCATAGAACTAGGTCATTGGCATCCGTCAAAGGCTTTTAACTAGAAGACCAAGACAGTCTCGGTCTGATGATCTACCAAATATGCGTATTGACAAATCTATGTACATATCTGTAGACGGGATTAACCAACCCTGTCTAAACAACCCTATATATACACCAGCACTACACCATCCACTTCAACAAAACACCCAACCAGATATCACCCACTCAATCACCCCCCATCCCGAAGACAGCAATGAAAAACATATAATTATATCTATTCATACAGAGAAGGGGAGAAAGAAAGAGACGTAGAGAGAAAGATAAATCAAAGCAAATCCCCTATAAACTCAGTCATATACTCCACCTTCCCCAACGGCACGCCCTCCTTCCTCAGAATCCCATAAGCCGTAACAACATGGAAGTAAATATTCGGCAGATTAAACACCCGCGCATACTCCGCGCCACTGATCTCCACCTCCTTCGGGCCCAGCAGAGTCGACTTGATCACTTCCGCTTTGGCGTTGACTTCCTCGGCGGGCACCGCGTCCAGAATGTCCTTGACGGTCTTGATGCGCGCTTGCATGTTGTCGATGGTGGTGAGGTTGTTTTCGAGGGCCGCGGGGGGGTCTTGGAGCGTGAGGCGCGCGGCGAGTTTCATGGCCATGAATGTTGCGATGTGGACTTGGAAGGAGAGGGGCTGCATGTCTGGGTGGAGGCTGGCGGTGGGGAGGGAGGCGGGGTCCGGGTGGGATTTCTCGGCGGTTTTGAGGATGTAGGAGAGGGTTGAGAGGGCTTGTTGCGCCGTGCGGATTGAGTCGTAGGGGATTGTCATTGTGACGGATAATTATTTATTATTCTTTGAATTTGGTGGGATTGTGAATGATGGTTTAGATGGTGCATTGGGGAACCAAGGTACGTGGAAGACGCGACCTTTTATACTACTCCGCACTGGCTCGGCCTCGGATAGATCGCTGCTTCTTATCCCCGCAGCTTAATAATTCGATTCATGCTTGTTGTTTAGTGGCTGACGTGATACCAACACTCGCAGGATTCATACCCCACCCATACACGGCTTGAAGCGACGATGCTGACCAGGCGGTACGCTGGGGGAGTGTGTACTGGCTGGGGGCGTCAGAGGTGGAGCTGAAATGGACCAATTTGACCTGCCAATATGTATTCCTACGTAGTATATACCTGAGGTTTGTGACATGTCTAATCGATGCTAACTAGATCCACGCCCACTACCCAATAGATCGGGCAATCAACGACTCTCCCAGAACTGCGCATCGATCGCCACCAACCGATTAAACAGCTGATTCCGGGACCTCATCCCCGTCAAGTGGAACGAGCGCTCCGGCTCCGTACCAGACACAATCAGCCCATCAGCCGCTTCCTTGCTCCCCGCCGTGAGCTCCACAATCATCTTGCTCTTCCACCTCAGCCCCTCCGTCTTCTTGAGCTCGCGGATCTCCGTAACTGGCATCTGGAAGAGCACGGAGCTCTCCTTGCGGCTCTCCAACCGGAGGTCATCGTCGAGCTTACCCGACGCCGTCGTGGTAAAGTACAGCACGGGCGGCTCCAGCGTCGAATCGATGACAGCCGCGCCGCGCTTGCGCTCGAACTTGGCTTCGAACTTGAGCGGCCCGTGTGGGGCCGACACCCACCCCCGCTTCTGCAGCATGCCGATGAGGTTCCGCGTGTGCGCGTTTCCTGCGATCGTCATGGCGCGGTCAAACGCCATGTGGCCCTTGATGGCGGTTGAGATGGTGCGGCGCACGAAGCGCAGGATTTTGCTGATGAGGCGGCGTTTTTCCTTGGGCGGGGCGGTAGACGCGGGAGTCTGTTGCCGCTGGAGGTCGGTGCTGGATGTTCGGTCCAGGCTGGTGGTTTTATCAAGGCTAGTGGTGCTGGCGCTGGAGGGTAAGGCCTTGGGCTTCTTCTTCTTGAGGGGCCAGTCGAGCTCCCCGTCTTGCGGGCTGGGTGGGGGTGGCAGGGGGGATCCGTTCAGTTCTCCGATGCGTAGTAGGGTTAGCGTGAGCTGGGCGTTGTTGGGGACGCCCTTCAGCAGGGTTCTACATGATGTTAGTGTCAAGAAGGTAAACGGGTCCGCGGGACATACTTCTGCAGGTCCAGCTGCTCCTTCCAGTTCGGGTAAATAGCGTTCAAAATGTCCAAGGTTCGCGAGAAAACCGGATCGCCAAAGAAGCCGAGTCCGGCGGCAAATGCACCCCCTTTAACGATCATATGGCCTGATGCCATCCGCGAGGCCACCAGCACAGCCACCAAGATCCCGACCAGGCGCATACGCGCCGTGATCATGGTGAACGGGGGAGTGGGGGAGAAAACGCTGGTCCGTCAGTACAGCCACAACAACCCAGTATGGTACCACTTACTTGGCGAACTTCTCATAAATATCGGTGATATCGCTGAGGATGCGCATGGTCTGGTCGGTCCCGTTGGCAATCTTCTTTTTCATCGGCTTTTTCGTCTTGTCCACAGGCGCCCCATTCTCACCGGGCGTCTCGGGTGTGGTAGGCTCCAGAATAGGAGGTTCCGGCGGGGAGGGTTCCTCAGGAGTCGGTTCCATCACGGTCTGGCCGTATTTCGCAGCCGCACTTTCCATGGCAATATTGGCAACACTATTCACAAAGTTCTTGGCTTCCTGTTCGGCGGCCTCGCCTTTGTGGGCCTCCGGGGCACCGGTGATGCTGTCATGGAGCTGGTTCTGAATCTCACCATCGTCGGAAGCGGGATCGAGCGGCGGGGCGGGAGGGAGTGGGAAGAGGATCGGTCGGACTGATCGGGAGAGAGCCAGTGCGATCAGTGTGCTGACGATCACCGGGATTAGGCAGTCCAGGAACAACGCGGCGAAATACACCTGCGATGGTTAGCCTTCGAGTCACACGACGTGGATTTTGAGTACAACCATACTCCGCAAAAGCTGGCCGTTCGTCGGGGTTCCTTCCACGAGCGCAGTCGGGCAATATGGCTGAACAAGGCTGTAATGCCCACGATGACCGAAGTGTAAAACCGCTCCAGGGTTATGCGGAGTTTCTGGGGCGGGAATTGCTCGTCTTCCGCGCGGTTGAGATCCAGGTCCGACCCGGCAGGATTGTCTGCGGCCTTGACATAGTAGATTTGCTAGAACAGTCAGTCATCATTCCGATCCTTCGTTTGAACTTAGAGTAGACACCTTGTTAAATCGTCGAATCAACATCCACACATCCTCGTTGGACAGTCCAGCTGCCAGACTCTCCTCCACCGTCCGGGACGCCTGTCTGTAGGCTACATCCTGTGTCTTCCTACTACTGGTAGTGCTGGCGGTGGAAACCTTCTGCAGCGGGCCAGATTCCTCCGGATCTACCTGAACAAAGTCATTATTGTCGGTGTCATCCAGACCTCCGGGGATGTGTTCTTCGCTCATCGTGTAGCTGGGATGAGGACAAGAGAAGAGCGTGCGGAGAGAGTTGAAACGGGCCGCGTCAACCAGGGGAACCCAGCGGAGGGCTTAGACCTGGCTACGTCATCGGGTGATACGTCGATGTGATTGGTGTAGTGGAGTTTTCCCCGTCGGGCGGGCGGGTGGCATGTCACGTGGCAGCCCAACATGGTTAGTGCCTTTGTTTATCGATATCTTATCTTATCGACAGCTTATCTTATCGATTGTCTGTCTTTGGTTGAACAAATCTATCAAAATCATGTCTATCTCAACATCAATTCTATACACCAGTAACATCTAGTTTAATCGCTGCTCTCTTGTGAAAATAATGAACGGAGTGACAACAAGGATGGATAGTAATGTCAGAACTGTACAATCAAATTAGTCTACTACACCCAAGATGTTCGGGAGACTTACCCGGAACAAACTGATACCCATCGTTGAAGCACGACCGGACCACCTGCTGCGTCGCAGTTGGGAGAGTCCACAGATACTTCGAGTCTTTCAACACTTGGTCGATGATCTGGATCGGGTTAACATGGTCCGCCTACAAAACACCCACAGCATCAAAATCATACCTCCTTTGCCGACTTCACATCCATCCGGCCGAAGATGGAACTCTTGAACAACGCATGTACCACCGCAGACGCCCCAGCCGTCCCGATGATCGACCCCAAACGTTGAAAGAGATGATACGCGCCGATTGCAGACGTCGACGATCCTTGCTCTGACCGTGCAGTCATGCCCACGAACTGTGCCGAGCTGATAATTCCATTGGCGATTCCCATCGGGATGACAACGAGGGATCCCCAGGCCGAGGTCGAGGTCCCTTTACTCCAAATGAAACAGAGAAGCACATTCAGTGGAATGCTAATCAGAATGCTGACGACCGACATGGCGTGGTATCGTTTGTATCTGGACTCAGCAGTCAGTATAGCGGGTGTCCACGGGGGCTGTCGTCAAACCGTTTCATGACCAGTCCAGATGCGATGCCTCCCATGGAGTTTCCTAAACTCATGAAGCCGATGTATAACGATGCGAATGTGGTATCGAGATCGTGGACTTTGGTGAGATACGGGACGAGGTTGGCTCGTAACTGTCGCGACACGGATTAGCATGCAGCCCTCCGTCCATCGCGATAGCAATGGACACAGGGTGGAGGTAGGACATACCCCCTCGCGCCCCCCAAACGTAAACAACTGCGCCAGCCAAAACATCCCCACATCCTGAACCATCGTCAAGGGTATTAACGGTTTCCTCGCCCACGACAGCTCCAACCACACGAACAACATCGATGAAGCGGCACACACGACCGCAAACCCCAACCTCCACACCGAACCAACACCCCCATTGATAGCCAGCACAAGAGTCGCAATCGCAACAGACAGACACACAATACCAGGGTAGTCAATATGTTTCAGCTCCTCGTATTTGCTGACGCCTTTGCTGCGGGGTGGTATATCGTCGCGGGTGTGTCGATTCGCTAGCCAGGCGCATGCGACGACGATGGGGAGACGGCCTGCGAAGGCCCTACTGTAGCATTAGCCCTCTGGATGTCTCGTACTTGTCATGACAATAGTGGAAAGAATATTAACCATCTCCATCCCACCGTCTCGGTGACCAAACTCCCCAGCGGGGCCCCGAGGCCCTGCCCCGCCATGTTCAGTGACCGTTTGTAGCTTCGCAATAGCGCTACCTCGCTAGACGGTACACTATCTGCTGGAGTCAGCTCTATCGTCAACTTTGTGTGTCTTTCTCAGGAATTGCACCTGTGATCAGCACCGACGTGAGGATCGTCATGCCCGCACCGCCAACACCACTGATGATCCTGCCCACGATAAGCCACACCAGGTCGTTGCTGACGGTACTATCTTCATCATTAGTCGTGTCCCCTCCCTGGTAATGATGAAGAAGGAAGGAGTGCACCAAAACAAACACCCCATCCCAAAAATCAAATACGCGACGAGAATTCCGCGCTTACACCCAAACACATCGCTCAGCGCACCGTACTGCCATTCCACGTTACCATCATAACACCTACATAAAGTTCCAGGGAGGGAAGGCGTACAAGCGGCACCGAAATGCAATAACCCAGTTTATACCCGATCAACAGCCATATCCCCTGTGCTTGACGATTGAAATCCGACGCGATGATCTCGTACGTTGCTGTGACGATGGAATTGTCGGTGCTCGTTAGGAAGGCGCCTTCGTTGACTTGTCAGCACTTCCTCTTTTCTTCTTGTTCAATTCAATCCATATCAACAGGATATGGATAACATCTGAAAACCTACCAAGATAAGCCACATAAATAGCAATCCTATCTCCCCGCGACTCATCCTCCGCCTTCTCCGGCGAGGGGTACAGCGGCTGTTGCTGTTCATCCTCGATCTCGATCTCGAGCTGCTCTTGCATGGTCACCGTTCACAATCAAACAATCAATTAGTTAATTAGTATATATGATAATGTATGTAACGTCTATGTAGAAAGTAAGATAGACTCACTCGGCGAGAAAATCTTCAGCAGCCCTATCCCCTCCCCGGCGGAGCCCTCTTTCCACTCACCGGGGTCACTTGTTCCTCTCTTTCGAGCTCTAGATCTCTCCCTTGCATGCAATCCCTTCGCATCGTCCGTCCATCCGTTTATCCCGCGCATAATAAGTCTTGTTGTCGGCCGAGCTAAGCAATGAGTTGGCGTACGGACTATATATGTAAACATTCCAAATCTTCAAAACACGTAATAAACACATTCGATATATTATATCCAGCAAAGCAAATTCCAATCATCACGACGCGTCAGACGCGCAATCATCTAACCAGTAATCTTGAACCACAGCTGTATATACACTGAATATATGTATCCAATCGCACACCTCGTTCATGCAGTCAGTCCCTGCAGCCTACTTACTCCCTAACCAGTCCCTATTCCTCTTTCCCTTCTCCTCCCCATCTCATCTCATCTCGTCTCTTCTTTCCTCCAATCCATTCAACAATAAAACTACCATTTAAACTACCTCTCCTCACCCACACAAGTCAATACCACCTATCCCCCTGCTCAGACCAAAGCACCCCACCCCACCCCTACAAACAAAGAAACAAGCGAAGAAAATCCACCCTTGCCCCCCACATTCCACACCCCTCTGTTCCACTCCGCATGCCAAACAGACTGTCCCGGACCTGCAATGATCGGCGCGGAATGTGCACCACGACGATCATGACCCATACACCACATGACTACCCGGATCTCATCTGATCTGACTCTTTACTAGGGATAGATACACCGGCCTCGTCTTGCAAGAATACTAATGTTGGGGATAGCAGTCCTGTCAAGCGCTTTACGAAGGACTCCTCAATGTATCTTAGGCTTACCAGCTAGTATGATATGTCTCCTGCAAAGTCCAAGCAATCCGTACTTTGCTGGAGTCCGTCGCAGGGATTCATAACGCATCGACCAGGCGAGAGCTGTGGAAGATCAGATAGAATAGGCAAATATAGTGATGGTTTTGATTAACGAAACTATAAAGAAGATTGGAAAAGCTTCCAAGATAGGAAGAAACATCAGAGTACGAATAGTATGAGAAATATGCAAGTCGCCTGACCGATTGCAGTCCCTCTACGAAAGCAAGCTCGCTGCAGAATCGCTCCATGATGTCGCCGCGAGACTTACATCCCGACGCATCATGCAGGCACTGGTTGGTCGCGTCGTATAATCTCAAGACCGCGACGCCAAAACCTTGATCAGCCTTTGGTATAGGGCTAAACCTGGCTGATATACCCAACATATAACCCATCCATACAAATAGATTACATTCTCACGGCCACTGCACCAGTATACTCACGAGCACTTGGGCAGGGCTTGACCTAAGTAGTAGAAGTATTGGCCTCTATATACCCCTGATATTCCTAGGATTACCCCTCCACGCCATTGAGTACATGCACTGCCTACAATTCAACCAGAAAAATGTGATGAAACCAGACGAATCTGGTAATAGTAATATGCCCGCCCACCCGACCCGGTAATAGATATAGAGATAAGCCATACAGTCCTGTGAGATGCTGCAGGCACTGGGATAAAAAATATCGATCTCAAACAAAATAAATCAAAACGAGATAAACCATACAGTCCTGTGAGATGCTGCAGGCACTGGGTTAAAATATCGATCTCAAACAAAACAAAATCACAAAAAGCCACAAACAAAGGAAATCCTCAACCACAATCTAATACATCCTCCACCGACACCGATCACGAATCGCTCCTAGATCATGTTAGTCACTCTCTACCAACCTTTCTCATCCATGGAACCTACAGAAGAGGCCGTGCATCGGGCCACCACACTCCCATCTCCGACGACACCGATGACGCAGTCCGACTACTATCCAGTGAGCCACGATCACCCTCGACTTGCATGGACCCGACATACCGAGACGGTCTGGCACCGGGCCATCACGCCGCACCCTTCCGCCGATACCGACGACGTAGCTCTTGCTAAAGGTCCCCAGTCAGCCACGACCAACAACCCATATAGAAAATACCTACTCAGAAACTCGTGCATCGGTCCGTTAGACAGGGGCGTAGTCCAGTGAGCTCATCCTACACGTGTTCAGTCAGCCATCGTCATAGCATGGTCAACCACCGGTCCACAGTTACCTGAGATGGTGCTGGATCGCGCCAACAGTCTGGCTCCTCCGAAGGTCAGGCCGCAGCCACCGCCAGCCCCAAACCGCCATCCATCCAACTGCTCTGCCGGCGCTCTCGTAAGTCACGCCGACCGAAGGACAGGATCGTGCCATCTACCCCGCTGGGGTCACGGATGGTTGCCAACGCCGCCGGAAAGGACTACGACTTATTGTGTGCGTCATTACCCTTTCGGAACCTCTCAACATTGGCTTCCTCTGCAATTTTTCATAGTCAGCACCGCTCACCCCCGCGAAAGGGACATTGACATACCCTAGGTGCGAAGCGTCGCGCCACCATTTCAGGCAGGAATACGTTGGCCCGCTCTATAAACCCGTCAGCCGAACCTGGGGTGGGAGCCTCGGCACCACCCAAGACGGGCACCACCCAGGTTCACCAAATGGAAGCTTGGCCTGAGGCCAGATACAAAAGAGTGTGGGTACGTGACGTAAGGAGCGGCAAGTGACCGGCGATCACCACCGTGTTGGCTTGAAAACATCCAACACGGGGATGATCCACCGATCAACTTTTACAACAGTAACCCTGTCGAAACGAACTCTCTTCTTCGGCTTCACCTCGCCGCCCACCTGGGTGGACTGCACGGGGGTCGGCTTCGGAGAAGAGCCCGCCACGACAGGGGGGCAAAGAGCGACAGGAGGGGAAAGAGTGACAGCAGGAGAACGAGTGGGAGAAGGAGAACGAGTGACACTCACGGAAGGAACGGACGGCTGCACACGGTGCAGCCCCTTCAGACGCTCCAGCTCCTGCTGGTGAGCGACCCTGCGCTTGGCCATGCGCTCAAGCACAGGGGGGCGGCCGAAGGAACGACGGACCGGAGTCGGCGGGGCACGGGATGGCGGGCCAAGAGGCGGGCCGAACGAGAGACAGGTGCCGGGCCGGGGCCGGGGGGGAGCCGGATGGCGGGCCAACAGCCGCGCCGAACGAGAGACGGCGGCTGGGGCTGGGGTCGGGGCCCGGGTCGGGGCACGAGCACGAGCCGGAATGGAACGAGAGACAGGCTCGGCATCGCGGGCCGAAGGGCGGACGAGGAAACGAGGGGCAGGCCGCGGCGCCGGGGCCGCGGCCGGGGCACGGGCCGAACGAGTGGCGTGGACGGAGGAGGCCGCCGCCTGGGAGGGGCAGCGTGACGACCGCTGGAGACGGGTCGACCGCTGGAACAAAGGAGGGGCAGGTATCGGACCTGGGAGGGGGGTCAAGAAACGAGTGGATGGCGCAGGCGCCGGAGGGCAAAGAGGGAAGCCGAGACGCGATCGTCGCGTGATGTCGGCAAAGGAGTGGGCGCCAGGCTGGGTGGTGATGGCCGGCTTAAAAGAGGGACAAGGAGCCGGGGCGAACCCACGGTTGATCGCAAGCCGGGAAGTTAAACGAGTGACTGGCTGCGTCGACCGGGGAGCCCGACCCTTGGCGGAGGCGAGAAGGGAGGCAGCACCACGAGGAACAGTCAGGTACCGAGGCATCAAGACTGTTCCGGGTGGGCGAAGAAAAAAAAAAGAAGGAACGCAAGAGTGATGGTCTGGCTTGGTAAACGTAAAGTGTGTACACGATACTAACGCAAGTGAGCATGCTCTGGGGAGAGAAGGAAGGAAGAACATTTCCAGCGGGAGGAGGGGGAGATGGGGGTGTTTATACGGAGCGTTATGTTGTCAAAAGGGCAGGTACGGGGACAGGGAAAGAGGACGAGGATGAAGGGCTTTGAGGCAAGTATGGATAGCTGCTCCTGCCATGTTTACGGCACCGCAAGATGTGGGATGCTGACTTGGTGGATTGCATCGAGTATCAAGCTATTAGATGCTACAGCCAGCTGGTAGGAGGGTAAGAAGTTAGCCCTAACTCGAGATCTTTCTCACACGCGCAAATCACTTGGTAGGTCGTATAGCGTTTGGTAGGTCAACGCATTAGCAGAGAAGCTCTTCGGTGAGGTTCTGTCTTGGGAAGCAACCCCACCTTCCTCATTTTCAGCGATATACCCACAGAGCACCTGCCTTCAGCGAGGGACACGGTGCTCTGTTGACGTCACACTGATCGAGTTGCCAGAAGGGGTAAACAGTGTAAAACAGAGAGATACCGCTGTTATATGCGTTGACTGGGAGTGTTGTTTTCATACCAGTGTCTATAGTTGGGTTAAGAGGCGGGCTATGTGGGAGGGTAGATGAGAAGGTCAAAATATGGATGATATTGATGGCTCATGAAGCCATGAGGTCGCGAATAGTCGTAATAATGCAAGAAAACATGCAAAGCCAGAGACTTATTTCATGTAGCCACACACCACAAGTAGCCAATGCTGGGTGGTTGTATATTTTACATCCCCACAAACTATAGATATATATTGCGCTTTATCGAGACGATATCCCGCGGATAGGGAGATGGTCAAACTGGTGGCTACAGCCTGTATAAACTTATCAGGTCAGATACAGTGACTTGCAGATAGTTATACGTATCTGGTATCAATCACTTGATGTAGTCTGGACAGCTCTGTCGATGGCATTTGACCTCCCTAGTCTGTCTCTCCCGTTGTTTATAGTGAGATGTAAACAAAGCCAACACGCAGCTGGCTCATGGAACTTTTTCATAGAGACTATGTTTTGTATGTTGCATTTATTTACAGCCTTCTTAAATTCCTATCAATCATCGAAATTATCAATATCTTGGCTGTTTTCATCGGTCCTCCCACAGCCGCGAGGCGTCGTGGATCCTGTTGTTATGCCGCCCTCTGGGGGTGCCGACCATACCACTATCCTAAAAGACCAGACACGCATATCCAGCTTCCTTGTTTGATATTAAAAACATCTCTGTATATTCTACTCTGCGCCCAGCCTGTGCCCCCGCAAAATCCGCAGTCCTTCCGTTAGGTCGCACCCCGGGATGCGATCTCAACACCCGCCAGCATCGGATGTGAACTAGCTTAGGGCTTGTTCTATGGATAGCATATATTTCTTCTATGTAAGCTTTCGTCTAGTGATCTAACAGCTGCGATAGTAAGCGCAGAATGTGAATCCCATCTCCGCTCTCTAGTCTTTTTCTACCAGTGGTAACCAGATACACACTGGACCACAAGATAGTGCAGCCTCAGGCATAAATGTTGCATTAATGACTGTATCCACTTATGCAACACCTGACCGCTGATGACAGCACGTGACTCCATCCCAGATCTCCACTGAAGCCATAGAATTCCGAGATTTCACCTCTCATTCCACGGCAGCATCACACGTGGGCATGGCATGATGGGCGATATAATAAATGTCACGAGGCTCTTTGGAATTCGACCACCCCTTACGAGCCGCTATTTTCCCAATCCACCGGATGGACGAACCAGACTATCGTTACCATTGAATCCATCACGCGACTGATCCATGCATCTATCTGTCCACTGAAAGCATAGCTGCATCGGCTGAGGGCCATGTATAAGCACAGCATGCCACCCGGGTACAATAATACACACGAGGCTGGCATAAGTCTTGCACCGGAGGAGCCTCGTGTGGTCAACAAAGACGGTACCCAACGGGAGTGGGTCCCTGAATCAGCGGTGCCACCCGCCGGCGATTATCTCCTGGGATGGTTGGTGCCAGTCAGGGTCGAAAGTGGAGCACTGAATCAGTCCTGTTCCCCCTTTTCCAGTCTCCGCATCTGATACACCGTGCATAACGAATTTTATGTGCCATTCTCATCGAGGAATTGTCCAGGGATCATGGGTCAGAATAAGCAAGGAATGAAGGTTGATCATGGATTCTGCGCCAATCCTACGCAAACATGCACATAGCAAACAAACCAAACCCCTCTGGTCCTACTCTCGTCAAATCACGAACTGAGCGATGGCTCGGAGGTGGAAGACGGTGTAGTTCGCACAAGTTATGAACAGGCCCGCATCGGCCAACAAACGAGGCAGATCGGGTGCAGCTTCAGCTTCGGGTCTCTGATCCCGAGAGGCTTGGCTGCTTTTGGGTCGTTCTTAATTTTCTTCTCTTTGACCTGTTTTCTTATTTATATCTGCGTTCCTCTTCCCTGTCCCGGGAATCGGTACTTTATCGCTAGAGCTGGCTCACCCTACCTTCCGACTCTATAATACCCCTGCATATTGTCTTAATTTACCCATCAATTCTACGACCTTAATATTTGATCCTATCCATTGCAAAATGGATCCTCCCACAGACCAGGAGGACAAACGGTCCAGCACCTACAGCGAACGACCCCAGCCCGGCGACGAAGAAGCCGCCATCTCCCACCAACCCACCAAAGAAGAAGCTACCAAGGAGCGTGCCTCCCTCTACCGTTCGACCACGCACGTATTCCCTGAGACAGACCTTGACCGCGGCATCGTAGGCTGGGACGGTCAGGATGACCCCGCCAATCCGCAGAATTTCTCCGACGCCAAGAAATGGAGCCTCCTAGGGCTCATCAGCGCCTTCACGTTCGTCTCGCCCTTGGCGTCGAGTATGTTCTCGCCTGCGGCTGAATACGTTGCCATGGATCTGGGAGTGAAAGATCAGATGTTGTTGTCGTTTAGTATCAGTATCTATCTGCTGGGTTATGCGGTACGTCCTTGAGCAAACGGAGCAGCACGCACACGAAAGAAAGGAACAAGTCACTAACATATGCCAACACAGTTCGGGCCCCTTCTCCTCGCCCCCCTGAGTGAAATCTACGGCCGCCGCGTTGTCCTCTCAGCCTCCAACTGGTTCTTCGCCGTCTGGCAGATCGGCTGCGCCCTAGCGCCCAACATGGCCAGCCTGATCGTCTTCCGCCTTCTCGCCGGCATCGGCGGATCCGCCTGCATCACGCTCGGCGCCGGTGTCATAGCCGATATGTTTCCCGTCGAGAAGCGCGGCGCCGCCACCTCCATCTGGGGCGTGGGGCCCCTGCTCGGGCCCGTCGTGGGCCCCATCGCCGGCGGCTTCCTCGGCGAGGCCGTCGGCTGGCGGTGGATCTTCTGGGTGATTCTCATCGCCGGCGGCGTGACGCAGGCGGCCATCGAGGTTCTCAACCGCGAGACGTACGCGTCGGTGCTCATCCGGTGGAAGACGCAGCGACTGAGCCGCGAGCTGGGGCGGACAGACCTCCGCAGCGCGTACGAGCTCGATCGCGATGAGTCCGCCCCGCCGGGCCGGGTCCTCTGGCAGGGTCTAAAGCGCCCGATGTTGCTGCTGTTCAAGTCGCCGATCGTGCTCCTGCTATCGACGTACATGGCGCTCGTCTACGGGCTGCTGTACCTCTTCTTCACGACCATTCCCTCCGTCTTCCGTCTCCGGTACGGCTTCTCAGCGGGCCTGGCGGGCCTGGCATACCTGGGGATTGGAATCGGGTTCATGGTCGGCCTCGGCACAGTGGCGATCACTAGCGACCGCCTGGTCGTGAAGCAGACGGCGCGCAACGGCGGCAAGTTCAACCCCGAGATGCGTCTCCCCGCGATGATCATCTTCGCCTGCATCCTCCCCATCAGCTTCTTCTGGTACGGCTGGACGGTCGAGAAACATGTCCACTGGGCTGCTCCCATCGTCGGCATGTTCCCCTTCGGCGTCGGCATGATGGGCGTGTATCTGCCTATCCAGACTTACATCATCGACTCTTACCCCGGGTATGCGGCGTCGGCTAACGCAGCGCTAACAACGACGCGATCGCTCGTCGGCGCGCTGCTGCCGCTCGCGGGTCCGAGGATGTTCGGCGATCTTGGTATCGGCTGGGGGAACTCGCTTTTGGGGTTCTTGGCGGTGGCGTTCATTCCGATTCCGATTATCTTTATCCGGTATGGAAAGGTTATCCGCGAGAAGTTTCCGGTTGATTTGAGTGGGTAGGCTGCTTGTTGCCTAGGATAGAAATAATATGGTGGAAGCATATAGACTTGTACATAATGTAATATCGCATGCGTAATGACATCAATGATTTCACTACTCTATCTTCAATAGCTATCCACTAGAAGTAATTCTCCGACATGACATGTGCAGGCATACTTGAAGATGAGCCGTACTATCATCTCTTAGCCGCTACGCCAAAATGCTGACCAGCGTTTGGTATAGGGCTTAACCTAACTGGTATCCCTAACATGATCCTCCCAGACTAACTCAATGCCAACTCCACACATATCAAGCTAAGTCTGGACGAGTCCTCATTCCCAAATGATACACCCTCCAAACAGCATCCAGCATCATACACCCTACTTCACCCTCCCCCCTCCCCTTGAAACCAAGGATAGATCGAAAATATGTATAAAACTATAAACAAGGTATATACAAGCCAGGCTCCCCTCACGCACCGCGCGATAAGATCACCCACGCCAGGGTTACAAACTCCCGGATATCAAACTCCCCAAACCTAAGCAGTGAAACGGATAACATAAGGGCAGGGGGTATCGCTGAACCCGCTGATGCTGTTCTCCTGCACCTGGTTGACCCTGTCGTTGGGTGCGTTCCACATGCGGTCGCCGGAGTCCCTGCCTTGGTTAGCATTGCCGTACAGTAGTACCTAGGTAGGAAGGAGGGGGAAAAGGGCAGGAACTAACATCATCAGACCGACGTGGTGGATGGAGCTGGGGTCGTTGTCGCAATCGCACGAGCCGCCGAAGAAGACGGCGTCGCCGGGAAGGCGCTCCTCGTAGGGGTATTTCCTGTATTTCATATTAGGATCTGGCGTATTGTACGATATGTGTGGGGGATGATGAGGACATACTTGTAGCCCAGAGCCTCCTCGCTGGCACAGTACATAGACGAGGTAACGCGCAGACCCTCGGTGAACAGATCACGGCCGGTCACCTGGCACACGGCCCAGCAGACCAGGCCGGAGCAGTCGTAGCCGGTGTCGCCGTACTGGTAGGGGGGCTGGTCCGCGGACGGGCCGTCGCAGGAGCCGCCGCCCCAGGCGTAGGGCAGGCCATCGGCAGTCTGGGCCGTGGCGAGGATCTGCTCGCCGACGGTGGCGCGGGAGACGAGGGAGCGGGCGGAGGCGGAGGCCAGGGTGGCGAGGAGGGTGACGGCGGTGGTGGTCTTCATGTTGTTGGTAGTGTAGGAAAATGTATTAGGATTAGAGTGTTGGATTGAGGGGACTGAAGTGGGATGGGGTTTGTTATCTTATATACATGTTGGCGGTGGTGGTGTGGTTGTCGATCGTCATTAGCTGAAACAGCGATAAGATTGCACATTGTCTGGAATGCATCTATTTCGGACACCAGATGGATCCGTCGTGTGGGGAAAGTGTCATTCTCCCACACGCCACAAGCCTCGGATAGATAGCGCAGTCCTTCATGGCCTTCTGGGCATAGTGGTACCCATGTCTCCACGTTCTCCTGCCCTGACAGCCTGAGGTTGCAGAATACGAGAAGCCAAGAGTCCTTGCCGGGAAATGGCGTCCCAACCTGGTAAAGGCCTGGTCGATCTCCGCCGTATTCCGCCTATTTATAGTCTGGGCCCGTGTAGGGTGGTATACATTGTATGGGATTGTGGATTTGGTCGCCGGAGCAGGGATATTGGTGTTGCATGCATGGAAATCACACCAGGGATGGGGATGGGGGTGGGTCTGTTGTATGGATCTGTGATGGTGGTCCCTGTTTTGTCGGACCCACCAGAGCCCTACCCTTCTTTACCTTCTGAGTGGCGTATTCAGAGAGGGCTTGGCCGTTGGTATACTGACTGAATATGGTCTTGCATGTTCTTCAGTGTCTGTAGGGTTGTCTATACTAACTGGAGGTACTTGGTCAAGTATTTATTTGATGTTGTGAATAATATTTTGTACCGTCTATATCTTTACATTGTGTGGGACTATTTAATTATGGATATATATCTAATTCGATAACTCTTTTCTTCTACCATGTATCTCTAGAATTCAAATAAGTGAGACCATTTAGCAGTTTATCCATGAGAATTATGTACATTATTGACTCCACTGTGCAATATATCCCTACATTGGCTAATCACGCCCCCCTCCCCCCCAGGAGCTGTGCAGATATAGAACATAAACAAAGCCATGCGATTACTCGACGTTGCAATAGATAAGGAGGGTTATTAGTTACCACCATGCTACAATAGATAGCATAAGTCTCTTGGCTTTTGCAGGGTACCTTGAATCCAATGCGACAATTGATCGTCGCTTTACCGTATCTCTAGGGTGTCAGGGTACCTTTAGCAAAACCACCGAATCTCGCTACGTGGTACCCCGAAGCCCCGAGAGGGCTGATGGAGTAGTGCTCTCGTATGATAGGCAGCCCCTGCTAATACTATACTAGCGAGGAATACCAGACAACCTGTTCTACAGTCCTCTGAGTCGCGCATCATCTCTCCATGAACCCCAATTTTATAAACAATGCTGAGTTGAAAATCAGCTACTACTGCGAATACCCAGATACTTTTGTCGAGCACGGAATACACTGTTCTCTATAGAAGTAAGGTCGCATTGCACTGCCTTTGCAATGTTAAGTTCGCCCATGTCCGTGCATAGCATTCATGCCTTTGCCTTATAGTTGCTCCTAAACCACTTCTCAGCAGTCGTCAGATGAGCCTCTGATCCACTTTTCCCCCGAGCTAAAGTAGCAGCCCTTTTCAAAGTCGCCGCAATATCAGTTGTTCCCGGGACGTCCCCAAAATATTTCCCATCTGTTGTCTGGCCAAACCGAAAGAGCTCTCGGTGGTCATCTAGTTCGCTGACCCCAGGAGCCAACGTCTCCCCCGCAGGTATAGGAACATATCGAGCTTTTTCGCCGGTCACTAGTAATGGCACAGATCGAATGAGCAGGGGGGGTTTATAGACATATTTTTAGAAAGGCTCGGGATCAATACGCACCTTTTTCGAAGACACGCGCGAATTCATCCCACGACAGAATTTCACTGATCGCGGGAACGGGCCGTTGATGATACTTTTCCGGCTCCAAAAGCATGCCATGGACGAGATCTCCGAAATCCTCTCGTATGCATATCCAGGGAATTCCAGTGTTGCGCGTCTTGCCCCACAGCGGCATGTAAAGTGTCTTGTATCCCTCTTCATCCGCGTAAAATGGGAAGCCACCCATGACTTGGGCGACTTCCTTATTGAGATAGTTCTCCATGTACCACCCCGCGTGGATGGAGCCTACGGTGGAGAAGTGTCCCGAGGCGACGGCATACTTCTCGATGCGATTTTTCTCTATTGGATAGTGGTGAGTAGGGACGGTGCTGTCGACTGATGTGTGCAATTTACATACCATCCATTGTTTTCATGGGTATTGCACCATCGGTGAACTCGCTGGCTGAGACGAAGGAGCTGTATACCAGGTTCTTGACACCAGCAGTAATCAACCCGTCAACTATCGTCTTGCCCAGATCAGATTCCATGGGGCCTTGCTTGTCTAGAAACATCTAGGATGGTTAAGTAGGCCCATGTTTTAGCGTGATAGCCTCGACGATTGGTTGATTGAGAGTAGCATTCCGGACATACAGGATCGTCGGAATTGGTGTTGACAAATGCAGCCCACGAGCCCTTGAAGGCGTCCGCAATCTCATCCTTGTCCCAGCCGTTCGCTTTCACGATAGTAGCGCCAAGACGCTCAAGCTCCTGTGCACGCGGAGATTCGGGATCCCTGCTTATCGCCCGTACTTGGAAGTCCTTGTTCTGGAGTAACGACTGAGATACCGAGCCTCCCTGCGTGCCGGTGGCACCAAATATGGTAACTATCTTGGGGGATCTTGTCATAATGGCGAAGATATCACAAAGATGAGGTCGCAGACGATTTCGGATTGTGATGTGGTGGGAAGGAAAGAGGTGAATTTAAGGGCTTCTTGATCAAAGCCACCCTAGTTATTGACTTCGCGGGAAAGGTATGTATGATATACACAGTTAAGAATAATCAAATGTGCACTGCCGCAGGAAAAGAGGAAAAGGGAATATTAACCGGGTTAGTGAGCGCTGCAAGGGTCGGTGACTGGCGGTCTGGGCTCGGTGTTAGTATGTCCGTGATGCTGTTAATCCCCACCCTACGCAACACCATAATAGGCAGATGAGGCCCCCTTTGTGGCACTAATGTAAGCAATACATTGCCCTTATGCGGTGTATCTCGCTGGAAAACTAGTCATACGCAGTCTGACCAAATACCGATTTAGTATCTTGGTGTAGTGGCTGTCATTCATGCAAGGACAAACCAAGACAGCATGAAGCCCAGCAGAAGCTAGGAGAAGTCATGGCGTCATGATAGCGTCTTAAAATTAAGGTAGAGCGCACTCGAGAGCCCTTGGTCTATCTATCCTTTGCCCCTCTATCATCAAGCTAAGAAACAGACCTCGCGTTTCGGGAATATAAATCTGATATTGAGGTGTCAGGGCTTTTTTGTCGGCCGCTATGGAGCATAGGCTGTGTCACTTTAACTGTCACATTCACTGCAGAGTATTGTAAAATTGTTAAACCTAAAATATACCAGCCTGACTCTTAAAGATCCATTATAACTCCCGAAATTTGGCTTGTCGACTCCTTTCCAGACGGCCATATATCGACAATCCCGTTGAAAGTTCCCCTGGCCAAGCTTTGTGCTGTTGACCAATTCCTTAACTCGATACATAGCTTGCCATTGATTCCAGATTTAGAATCTACCTTCCCAATATGCAAATAGACCGCGTCTGCTGCGGGAGCCGAAGCTTCAGGCCCTACCACATCCACAAGTGGAAGGTTATCCTGATTTTGATGTTGCATATAGCGTCTGCAAATGTATTTGTCGAACGTCATGATAGGCACCTCCTGGCCTGGCCCAGCGGGAAGTACCCGTATCAAGCTCCCATCCCATGAGATCTTTGGCAGGCTCTCCAGGAGGTCTATCTTAATATACATTCCGAGCGGGAACAGATGACCATCCGATATAACCTCGGGCCATGTAGTGTGGCGTAAAACATCTGGAAGCGCGGGAGTGATTAACAGCTGCCACTGGTGTCTTTCTAGCAACGGTTTGAAGAAGCGTAATCTTGCCTCCTCGTAGCTGATATTCTTGTATGCGACGTCCACATTCTTGAGATCTAATGCACCGACCAGAGCCCAGTAATTATCAAGATTGGTTGCCGTCGTACGACGACTGGATCTTCCGGCGAGGATGAAGAGTGCTACACCGCTGGTATAGGCAACAATACCGGACTTGATAAGTTTCGCTAGATGTTCTTTCATCTTCAACACCAACCTGGGTGATTGTTGAAGAATATCTATCAAAGTGTTGATAGCGGGATTCTCGTTGATGTGCAGCAACGCGTCTGCGATGTTGCCTGCGAGCAATGTAGCTCTGCGGGTTATGTCCTGCACGGTAGCACGCATATTGAGATGGAACCTCTCATCGACGAGCTCTCCTCCCTTGTAGTCTATAAGCGGGGTCTCTTTTAGGAGGACATCTTCCTGGAGAGTCCAGATAGATGTAAGCCACGGCTTGGAGCTCTGGCTGTTCTTAACCAGATTGAGAACGGTATCGCAAAATCTTTCAACTTCATGGGCCTTTAGAGGCCCGTTCTCCAACAACAACAGAGATTCGATGTGCAAGGAGCCATACCACGCGGTGCCGTGGAGCCAAAAAAATGCTCTTCTTTGCTTGATGGTAATTATTCCTAGTATATCATGTCTTCTGTCAGCTGAGAATTGGACCACACAAGGGAAAATACCCACATTTGCTTGCCTATCTCCTCTCGTGCTGCTTGCGCGTAGTCAAAACTTTTTGGGTTCTGGGGAACGCACATCCAATCCCACCAGACATATTTGAGGTGCATTGTCTTGACTGCGGCGATCGTACGCTCAAAGGTAATTTTGAGGCTTCCCGGAAATATGTACTATGATCGTCAGAGTTGTTGCATCAGTGCGGGCTGTGGACCAGATTGTTGACGCTACTTACGCGAAATGGGTGTCAATGGGTATGTTGAGGCTTGCCCATCTGCCGCTACTCTTGAAAATGTATGTTAACGCTGGTAAACACTTATAAAAGGTCGGCGCTCTTGCTCGTCAATGAGGTGAGCAGTCCCTCAAAAAAGCGAAATATACAGTGTTTTAGTTCAATCCCAGTTCTACAACGAAAGGATATGTGAAATATTAAGGAAGGGTCAGAGGCGTCCTGCACTATTATAGGAAAAGTAAGGTATCTCCTCCCTTTTCCGCGCCGCTCAACGTAGTTTAATCTACACTCGGCAAATTATATCCTCTCATTTAAAACCCCTCGCCACATATTCCAGATCATGAACCACCCTTGAATTCAATAACTTCCCATATCAGTATCGCTCCATAATGAGCCGCGTCTTTAGCACGTCTTCCGGTAGAAACCAACCCTTCTTTTGCAGAAAGTCGGCTAAGTGGCCCAGCTCGAGTGAGGCTGTCGTGTGGCTCTTCGTCTTGAAAGACGCCTCGACGAAGTACTCAATTCCTGTTTCCCCGAGGTTGAGGAGGGGCCAGACCTCAACATATAGCTTCATGTTCTTCCACTTGCCAGTAAAGCGCCTCGCAAGGACCGGGCCAAAAACTCGTGATACCGATAACGCGCTGGTGCCCCATTCTCTGTGCTTCCAGTTGTCGAACTTATCTGGCGCTTCATCGATCAACATCTGACGCGACTCACTCGTCCCTGGCAAACCCATCCCATCATTCTCAGATTTCGATCCGGTTTTTTTGCGGCTTATGGAGAGTGTCTGGTTCCGGTAACCCCATTCAACCTGCGCCTCGTACTTCGCGTCACCAGCGTTGAAACCATCCCCATTAGCCGCAGTAAGCGCAGCGTCGATGTCACCGCCCGTGATGGCATACCGCTTCTTATATGTCAGCTCGAAATCGTCCTCGTTCTCCGTCTTGCGGATGCGTGGGCTCCAGCCGGCGGCATAGATCTCCTTGCAGTTCCTATCAAGGAACTGGACATTTAACTTAGTGTCGGCCGCGAGCATATCGAAGGTCAATAGCACATTTTCTGCTAGTCTGTGGTCGGGGCCAAGAACCTCGGCTGGGTTGAGCCGAAGTCTAACCTCGTATTCGGGCTCCATATTTGGCTCTGTGTCCTTGAGGGAGATAAGGTTGGCGGCCATGGACAAACAGCTAATGCGGAGAGAGGTATAGAGTAGATTGAAGTTTGGGCAGGGCTAGGATAAAGGGACGAGGGTAATAGAGCAGCAGTAATGGCAAGGAAGATCAAGTTGGCACGTTAATAATTACTCGTGAACAGGCCGCCAGAAGCACTGTTGCCAAATATAGTTAGGGGTAGATATCGGTCAATTTTGAATCTTAATCGTCAGCAATCAGCACATCACATGTCTGATGTCAAATATAAATGTGTTAGCTATAGACCGACAACAGACTCATTCCCAAAAGCGACTTCTAGATACGTAAATTTTCGAACCGCATCATTCATGATGGAATGAAGGTGTAAGCCAGTTTGAGTTTGGCATCGATCCAGTGATATCCCAGATCCTTCAACACGGAGCCAAGAATCTCTTGAATGCTGCGCTCATTACCCTGACTCTACGCAATTGCCATAGACTGGCTACATGTACGATAGCAAAAGGGTTGTGTGGATATCCTACCCGTATCAAAACGGGCGTGTTAGTTGACGTGAAATCTTGCTTGGTCATCCGCCACACGAGAGTCAAAGAAACTTTAAACCTTTCCTTAACCTCGCGTCTACAAACTCTAAAATTGAGGTTCCTCGCGAAACAACTAAAGTTAGTACAAGGTTGCAGGTTCGGATGATCGACGTTCGTCATGTGGCGTACCTGGTCATCCGTTTTGGGCACTCGTTTTTTTTTTTTTTTTTTCTTTTTTTTTTCAGATAATACGAGGGGGGACAGGCTGATTACACTGGTTCTTTGTTATAAAATGTTCATATTTCAGCCAGCCTAATTGAATTCGTAATCCTAAGGGCGTTGGATTGGCTGCTGTTCGAGGGTTCGTTACTATAATGTTCCGAAAGGTATCGTTATTGTCCATGGCTTGTCTATATCGAACTATTACAACCCGTGTAGCTGAATTGGCTCTGCTAAGGGAGCATAATACAACCACGCCAACAATATTCTATTCATCTTTGGTGGAAGCGTGTTCCGCTGCGTATCGTATGTCGCTCTATTTACGGGTTGAACTCACGGTGCGATAGTACACTATTGGGTGGCTATTCCAAGCCGGTTTACTTTGAACCATAAAAATCGGTTTTTGGAACACCAAAACCAGTTACCGCGGTTAGCAGTGAGGTCAAATTATACGCGTTAGCTTTTGGCAATATAGGAAGTCTAGAGGGATCGATCCGACGTTGTTTTAAATTCTACGCGTTCACTCTTTGGCAATATAGGAAGTCTAGAGGGATCGATCCGTCGTTTTTTCAAATTCTACGCGTTTATTCTTTGGCAATATAGGAAGTCTAGAGGGATCGATCTGACGTCGTTTTCAATTCTACGCGTTAGCTTTTGGCAATATAGGAAGTCTAGAGGGATCGATCCGACGTCGTCTTAAATTTTACGCGTTAATTTTTGGCAATATAGGAAGTCTAGAGGGATCGATCTGACGTCGTCTTAAATCACTACAAGGTAATATTCCACTAGCATTTTCCTTGAAGTTGAGATCAATGATGTAAACTATCAGTAGTTACTGTACTTACTAGTGATGTCAAATACATTCATCAAAATCCCATCTTGCCTATAAAATCTACTTCATCTCAGGCGGATCGCTTGGATTTAGACACTTTCTTTGGCTTAACATCAACTGATTACTATAGGTTCCAAGTAAGTCCCTTTTTCCATCTATATACTGTATTGAAGTGATTCTAACGAGGAAATAGCCGATCACCGGTACTATCGTCAGCCTCACAACCTCACAGCTCCGCTATTTCATCAAGATGTAGATACATCCGATTCACCAGATCCATTAACTGAGCTAACTCATCACAGAAATATGTCTAACACTGTCATTCCCATTGCGGATACTTTCCACTACTACCACAAAGGATCGGATTCAAGGCCAGCTTGGGCCTACAACAATGCTCGACAGCAGATCGCGGGTAAATGGGCTGGCTTTATGAAAGCTATGCCGGATACAGCAAACGTTAAAGTTCAGGATGTTGTATTCGAAAATCTAGGAGGGTCCATCTCACGTTTGGGGGTTTTCCCTAAGAATGTGAAAATTTCAGGTGCAGGAAGTAAGACCAAGAAGTCCTGGGACGGAAAAAGGACTTGGGAGACGTGGTTTGATGTTGAGTATGAGCTCCAACTTATTTTTGTGTCTTTAGCGGATGCGGGGAAGGTTGGGGGTGGCCTGTCAATTGATGAGATCAATAAGGGTATAAGTGCTGCAGGTGTAACTTAAAAGTTATTTCCGAAACATCGGCGTTTGTCTGTTCTGCTGTTATTCAAAATTGCACATTGATTAAATGCGATGATCTTGACTTTCAGTAGTTATATTGTCTGACTGCTTTATGTATAAGAAGCTATGACCTTGGTCTCTGGATCTCCCGCTAATCCCAGTCGATCAGGGGTCGGTCGATCTTGTCTTCCCTTACAAAAAAACACAGCATGCTAGCACTGGTGCATCCTTTTCAACTGCGGTCTAGCACTCCCACTAAACGGCTGCGGCTGATAACCCGCAGGGGCGAGCGGCAATCCGGATGGGAGTTTGCTAAGAGGTAACAAGCATGGAAGGATGGAATTAGGTTTTTATCACTCGTCTATTGTGTGCGTCAGATGCTTGGCACTATTGGGATTGATGAGGATTGACCGGAATGTTCTGACGCGGCCCGGTAGATCTTCCTGGGTCCAAAGCCTCATCATGGAGATCCCTCGTTCGCCCGTTTCAAACCCGTGAAACATGGTCGTAGATCCAAGGTAGCACGCGTCAATAATGCATGGGAAGTTCTGAAAGAGATACCCGCCAAGAAGGTCACTAAAGACGGTTGAGTTCTAAGGCATGTCAATGGGTGCAGGAAGGGGTTGAGGTTGAAAGCCAACATTGCCACTCCCCACTCCTAGACCATGATATAAACCTTGAGTTTGCCCGACAAGAAGGGTATTATCATTGCAGTGACCACTCTTACAATGACGAGCTTCGAAAACCCTTCAAGTTCAACCGTCGTCCAGGAAGTTCCTTCCTACTCGCACATACCGTCTTGCAAAGGCTCTGAGAAGCGCTCTTTCAGAGCCAGGCTGAAACAGTTCTGGCTGGGGGAGATCGATGTCCGATGGACGGATCTAATTCTGCTGGCCGGCACCTTCGTCAGTGGTCTCATTGACGGGCTTGCATTCAACGCCTGGGGAAATTATGTCAACATGTACACCGGTATGTCACACATCATGAACCCATACGGACCTCCCGGTTCAACCACTAACCAAAAACAAGGCAACACCGTCTTCATTACCCTCGCCATCTCAGGAAAACCAGACTACTCCCACAAGCTCTGAATCAGGGCAGCTATTGCCATCGTCAGCTTCCTCATCGGCAACTTCTTCTTCATCCACTACGGTCGACTCCTCGGCCCCCGTCGCCGCATAGCCGTCGTCAGCTCCTTCGCCGTACAGACCTTATTCCTGCTCGTCACCGCTCTTCTCATCAAGGAACGCATCATCAACCCGCAGCCGGACCGCTTCGAACCCATCAGCTGGATCCAGCTCGTGGCCATCGCGCTCATCTCCTTCTAGGGCACCGGCCAGTTGGTGGCGTCGCGCGTTCTGGCTATCCCTGAGACACCGACTGTCGTGCTGACGGCGCTGGTTGCCGACCTGCTCATGGACCCGTTGCTGTATCAACGTCCTTGGAGCTCTAACAGCAAGCGGAATCGGAGGGTCGGTGCCATTTTGACCCATTTCGCGAGCACCACAGCTGGGGGTGGGATGGTCAAGCACACTGGCCTGGCTGGGGGTTGTGGCTTTGTGTGGCGCTCAAGGGGGGGTATCACTTTGACGTTTGCCGGGTGGAATGAGAAACCCCCTGTGCCTTCGAAGAACGTGGTGTAGTGTATCCTTCGTCTAAGGAAAGCAGGAAGACACAAATGAAGGATGAACGAAAGGAATCAAGTTGAAACCAAAGTGATATCCCACCAGCTTCAGTAGCTAGACAATCCAAATCAACCATTCAGTACGTTACCTTTTACTTAAGAATATCGACCGGATATACGCCAATCCTACCAGAGACACTCTAAGTTCCATAACCCCCCCACCGACGCCAGAATACGCACCACCCCCCAGTGCCCATTCCGCGCAGCCCACTCTCCCGCATTCTTAGTAGCTACCACCCCCCTCTCAAGCAACATACGCACGACACCCTCCTTACCAGCCTGGGCAGCGAGCACAAGCGCAGCTCCCTCCTGCTGCCTTGACACCTCCACATCGTCGCTTTGGCGCGCGAGAATTTCGTCAAGCAATCTGTTCGCGATGTCGACATACCCACACGCCACTGCGAGCCCCAACTCCGTCAGAGTCATCCTGTATGGCGCATTGCCTGTATGGAGCGTCAGACGACATCCATGCGAGAGAAGCACGTCTACTGCGGATAGGTGATTCCCGATAACGGCTAGCTCGAGCGGAGTGCGGCCGCTGCGGTCTGGGTAATTAGGGTCGACGCCGTGGTGGAGGAGGACGGTGATTATGGCAGCGTGGCCGTGCTGGGATGCGAGGGTGATTGGGTGCGTGGTCTGCGGCGCGGTAGTGAGCTGGATGGGGGTCGGGTGGCCGAGGAGGGTGGTGGTGGTTGTCGTGGCGCTGTTGTAGCCGGAGCTGAGGGGGACGGAGACGCCGTGGGCGAGGAGTTTGGTGAGTGTTTCTGGACGGTCGTGCGTGGTAGCCCAGATAATGACGGGGTTCAGCTTGATGGAGGGGCTGTTGTTGTGCTGCTGGATGTGCTGTCGGTAGAGGTAGGGGTTGATGGTCGTGTATAGGCGATGATTGAGCTGTGAGAAGGCGTTAATGGCGGCTGTTGAGAGGCCATGGGCAATGTGGAGGTGAAGTTCCGCGGGGAGACTGAGAAGGCAAGTCATGGTTGTTTTTCACATTCCTTGTCGGTTCGTTCGATCAAATGAGATTATATCAAGCTATGCCTAGGGGGTTGGTTCTGGGGGTTGGAGTGAGACGTCGATATGACCCCTCGCTTCACGGTCCAACCCTTGCATATTCAGGCCACAATCGTAGCCCTAATTGGCTTGCTTTGCATGGTGATTGATTGGTATGCGCACTTGGGCGCGTAAGTTGAGATGTAATCATCAACGGTACGGTCAGCTATATATGGTACCCGCAGCTCTCTGCATGATTTGATAGTGAGGGGTCTCTCATTGTTGAAGATCGTGCAGAACACGACCGTGATCTTCGCTGTTGAGCAGTAAGTAACCCTAAACTATATCACCAACTATACCATTCCGCAACAACCAAGATTAAGCATCTCAACCATGACGATACCCACCGGAGGATGAATCTAGAACAATATGGTGAATTTTTAAGTGGGCCGCCACACCGGGGACCTCGGGATCGACGTGGGTCTGCCAACCATGGTTTCCTCCCACGGACATCAGACTGACAAGGTTGACACTTACACTCCCTGACTGGCGCGCCAGGAAGCTATCCCAGCGGATCCCCCGCAATGCCACTCCCCGACAAGCCCTAATTTGATATCCCTTCTTTCAATCGCCGACGGCCATCGGCGATAGCATCGCCAAATAAACTATAAGTGAACGATGAATTCACCAGGAAAAAGTTAAAACCAAATCATTCCTAAGCATCTATCGACCATGGAACCCATCGTCCACACCGTCTTTGAACCTACCACCGGCACCTGGCAGTACGTCGTGGCCTGTCCATCCACCCGTGCCGCCGCCATCATCGACCCCGTCTTGGACTTCGACTTGGCATCCGCCACCATCACCACCCGCTCCGCTGACTCCCTGCTTGCCCTAGTCAAAGAGCACAACTACACCGTCGCCTACCTCCTCGAGACGCACGCCCATGCGGACCACCTCACGGCCGCCGCTTACCTGCAGGAGAAGCTAGTGGCGTCGGGGCAGCCCCGGGCCCCGATCTGTATTGGCGCGCGCATCCGCACCGTGCAGGAGACAGCCGCCCAGAAATACCACATCCCCGAGTCGGAGCTCGCCCAGGCCTTTGACAGACTGCTCGCCGACGATGACCAACTCCCCCTCGGCAACCTCTCCATCACCCTACTCTACCTCCCCGGCCACACCCCGGACCACATGGGCTACCGCATTCAAGACAACATCTTCACTGGCGACTCCATCTTCAATCCCGACGTTGGCAGCGCCCGCTGCGACTTCCCCGGCGGCGACGCCCGCGCCCTCTTCCACTCCATGAAAACTCTCCTCAGCCTGCCGCCCCACGTCCGTCTGTACACAGGCCACGACTACCCGCCTGCGCCGGCCACAGAGGCAGACGCCAAGCGGGCGCCGCTGGCGTACGTCACTGTCGCCGACCAGAAAGAGCGCAATAAGCACGCCAAGGACGGCAGCGCGGAGGAGGACTTTGTGCAGTGGAGAGCGGACCGCGACAGCGGCTTAAATGAACCCCGGTTGTTGCATCCCGCGCTGCAGGTTAATGTCCGTGGAGGCCGAATGCCGGTCGGGATGGAGATGGCGATGACGCCCGGAGGGGACAAAGTGGGTCTGCGGTGGGGTTGAGAGGTCCCCGATCGGGATTAGGGCTCTGTAGCCCGGTATCCCCCAATTGTTCGGGTAGGTTGAGGCTACGGGATAGGGCTGAGGGCCCCCAACAACTTGTACATATGCTGTACTTCCCATTGATTGGGAAGTTCTTGCCTACTCTATTTTTTTTTTTTTCTTTTCCCTTTCATGCTACTTCATTTGACAGACGGGAGTGTTGTTAACTGTCGATACCGGCCATGCGTCGGGGACGTCGGCTTTGGTGTCATGGTCGCCGAATCGGGGATCTCGGGAACGAAGCCTCCTTCTGTCATTTTTATGATTTTCCACAGGACGTCTCGCCATCGGACATCCGTTTGATATAACCTGCCGATCTGCTGGGGTTTTTTAGTTTGATTATATTTTATTTTCTATTCCTTGTATAGTTGTATTTGTTATGGTTTAATTTAATTTTATTTTTTCTTCTCTTGTCTATCTATACTCTATTCAATTCCTTCGTTACAGCATGTCCCGTCCCTCGTCCCTAGCGTGCGTTCCCTGCCGCCGTCGCCACCTTAAATGCGATGCTCGCATGCCCGTCTGCTCACGCTGTTTATCCTCGAATACTGACTGCGGATATGTGCGGTCCCGGCGTGGCTTGCGGGGAAATAACGCTGCGCAACCAATCGAGCATGGCCTGCCTCTGTTTGGGGGAGACAATAGTCTCACAGACTGGTTGAATGCCACAACCTTACCAACAGACCTCGATGTGCGTAGTTCATCATCTTTAAGATATCAAAAGAAGCAGGATTAACAAACCCAGCCAGGAGCCAATTTTCTGGACTCCCCACACACCCTGATCGACCTCCCCAGTCTCCCGGACGATCCGCTCTGGGCGCCCCAAGCCCTAACCAGCTACGACAACAACAGTAACAACAACCACAATAATGACCGCAATAACGATGGTGATGACTCCGACGATATCGCCTACGACCCCATGATCCAACTCTACTACCAAAACTTCCACCCCTCCCATCCCATCCTTCTCCCCCGAAAGGCCCTCCACACGCCCCTCCGCCGCCACCTCCCCCACTACCTCGTCTCTCTAACCCGCTACATCGGCGCCCACTTCTACCCCCACCCAGCCTTCCAAGAAGCCTACGTCCGCGCCGCAGACGCCGCGCGCGTCGCCCCGGACACGGACGGACCCTTTAAAGTCCAGGCGCTGCTCCTCCTCTCTATCGTCGACCATGCCCATGGCGCGGAGGACCGCGCGCTGCTCTCCCTCCATGAGGCTATCTCTCTCGCGCTTGAGATAGGCATGCACCGTGCGAGCTTCGCGAATGCGCATTCTCGCGATAGTTCACTCCTCGCGGAGAGCTGGCGCCGCACTTACTGGGAGTTGTTTGTCGTTGATGGGCTTATGGCCGCTATGCGCGATCAGGCTCCGTTTAGACTGTACACTCAGCCTGCGGATGCGGGCATACCCTGTCAAGAGATTGTATACAATGGTGTGCAAGATATGGTACGCATTCATTCCCTCCTTGCTCCCTTACATCATCCACCCGCAAAGAATAGTAGAGAAGTTGCAGGATCTAACGAGTCATACAGCAACTCCAACACCTCCCCCCACCAGTCCACGACTTCTACACCTCCTCCTACGCAGCCCGCATCGACGCCGTACGCACCCTCGGCCGCGTGCTCGAAGTCAACCGCTCGCTAGAAATGGACCTCGAAGAGCAAGTCGAGTGCGTCGACGCAGCGCTGTCCTCCCTCCTCATGCATCTCCCCTCGTGCACCTCCTACGACACCAGTCCTGAAGTCGACGAGATGCTTTTCCAAGCTAAAATGATCACCTACCTGTACCTCTCCCCATATTCCATATATTAAATCAACGCTAATAACCCCAAAGAAGCCAAATCTACCTCCACCACCCCCGCTCCACCCTCCGCTTCGCCTCCTTCCAACAAGCCCGCTCAGCATCCTCCTCCTGCACGCGCTTCAAAACACTCACCCCCGCCGAAGCAGGCGGCGCCGTAGGAGGCGCCGGAACAGAAGATCCCACCGCGCTAGACATCCTCCCCGACCCCCCTCAACCTCATCCCCGCTTTTCCCCCCATCAAGCTCCCGCCAACGCACACACCCACACCCCTCCTCAGCACCCTCCTCCTCGAACCCGCACGACATCGACATCCACTCGCGCAAGTTCCTCCGCGCCGCTGACCACCTCTCCAACCTCGCCACGCTCCCCTCGGCCATTACCCGCCGCACGCCGTTCTTCACCTGCGCGCTGGCGATGTGTGTCGTGGTCCACACGGCTGCGTTTCTGGTCGTCGGGTCGGGAAGTGGCGGCGGCGGCGGGGGCCAGGAGGCTGCGACTGCGGCTGTGAGTGCGAAGAGGGATGTGCTGCGCTCGAGGGTCCAGTTGGGGTTTGGGGGGTTGAATGTGCTGGGGAGGGTGTGGCCGCTGGCGAAGACTGTTAGGAGGCAGATGGTGGAGATGGGGAGGGAGGTGGGGTTGTAAATTCCCCTTTCTTCCGATCTCTTTTTTTTTTTTCTATCTCTATGTGTATACGGGGGGTTATATGGATAGAGTCATTTTTATGTATTTGTATGATATTTTTGTAGTGTTGTCGGTGGCGTTGGGTGATTGCGCAATTGTGTGGGGTTTATCTGGTTCGGTCGGTTCGGGATTTATATATAATTATTTGCCGGGCGCGGGTGTTCGGCGTTGCCTTTTTCGGGACATATATTAATTTCGTTTTATGGTTCAGATCCTGCGACTAACTAGTGATTCCTTCGCGAACTATATCCAGGTGGTTATTAATCTCGACTATGGCTGGGGTAGGTATTTGAGATCATGTTAGGTGGGGTCCGTTGACTTGGGTTGTTATCATAGTCTATGACAAGTATTGATTGGGATTAAGTAGTGTATTATGACGATATTGTTCAGCGCCCGATGTGGAATTTAACCCATTTATCCTGTTCATAATTTTGACTGGATTATGGCCCTAATCCCGGCCAGAAGTCCAAAGTATATCGATCTCAATATATACAATCCACAGGATATCCATACCAGGCACTCCAAACCCCATTCACCAGTACCCAAGGGTATCAATAAACCATCATCAAGAAGCGTGCGAGTAGCCGATTGTACACGGTGAAATCAATATGCGAAAGAAGTGGAAAGAAGAAGAGAAGAGAAGAGAAGGAAACGTCGCGCTAGCATGAGTCGCACTCATTTCCGCCATATTCGGAATGGCGGCTCGTGGCCGGCCGCAGCCCCCGGGGAGTCCCGGCTCGATTGGGAAACATGCTCTCCCTCCGACGGGTATGCGGGTTCGCTGGTGATCTCAATGGTCGTGTGCTGGTACACTTTCCCCATCGGAGTCATCTCGATGCTGCTGGGCTGGACGATGCCGTCCGTCGACCCGTCCCGCATTCCCGTATCGTCCAGCTCTTCGCCGCGGACCGTGCGCAGCGCACTGATCTCCGTCCGGTTGTAGCTGGGGTCGGCGGTGAATGTCGCGAAATGGTCCGTTTTGCGGGTCCGTGTGCTGGGGAACTGGTTGTAGCTCCGGTCGTCGCTGGGTTCTGATTCCAGGATGAGGTTTCGCCGGGTTAGCGTGTACAGAAGCACGTCGACCAGGCCTGAGCTGGTGATCAGGGCGCCAGCGATGCAGAAATACACTAGGCTCGGCGTTTTCCCTTGCGCGGTGGCCATGCGCCCTGCGGCTAGGGGTAGAGACAAGACGATATACGCGATCGGATATATGACCATGTATCCGATGACACGACGGAGGCGCTTCAGGCTCTCCGTGTGGCTGTGTCCGAGAATCGCAGACTGTTGGATCCGACGACGCAATTGGAACCACATGACAGCGTATAGGCAGACGGTTCCGAACTCTGCCAGGAAAATCCAAAGATAGTGTGTCCACAGACGAATCGGCTCGTATTCTTCGTTAATCCAGCACTGCAAGCCTGGTTAGTGGTGGGAGCCATTAGGAGTAGGAAGAGAGGTCATACCCAGGCACCCGACGGAATGAATACCGACCGCCCATATAACCCAATTGGAATGATAACTAGAATGGCAACAAATACCCAGGTGCTGACGACACTGATCACGAACATCCGGTGGCTGATCTTACGGCCCATGGTCACGAGGAAGAATGTGTGGATCGCGATAGCGAGTACAAACAACCCGCTGGACGGATCCCCGATCTGAAGCCAGAAGCCCTGGAGAAAGCAGGCTGTCGAGGAGGCCTCGATCTTGTCCGAGACGATCCATTTGAGACAGATGAGGAAGGCAAGTGATTGTTGCAAATCAGCCAGCACCAGGTTATAGATAAGGACGATGTACTGGTTGTAACCGATGTATCGTCGATAGTTACTGCGCCAGAACACCAATCGGTAGGTAATGAAGGAGATTAAGACAAGGGTGGCAATAAACGAAAGGATGGCCATGATGAAGACCGCAATCAAGCCATTGCGGTGGGCGCTGGGTAGAGGGTCGATGTTCCCGGTAGAACCCCCTTTGGTATATGCCAACCGGGGCAAGAGACTGTGACCCTCGTCATGGTGGGGCCCTAGCACACTTGACAGTTGAACGAGACTCATTGCTGAAGAGTCGCTGGTTGATAAAGCCCTGACGATGTTGCAATCATCATGTTCCTAGGGCCGAACAAACAAAACTGCGACCAGATCCAGGACACTGGGCGAGTATAAAGGTTTGGAAAGGAGAGGGGGAAAAAGAGACGCCTCCGGCTGGCTGGTGTTTCCCGCGGAAGTAGACTTTGCAAGTACCTAGAATGGACCCGCCCAGGCCACGACGATGGGCGCTCTCCAACGGTCCACCTCAGGGGGTGCGGCTCGTACTTCGTTTAGTCGCAGTGCAGTCGTCCAGATGGCAAAGGAAAGGAGGAGAACAAGGGGAGGCAAAGCAAGCGAATAAGTGTCGGGGAGGCGAGCCACAATGGTAATCCCATCCCAACTTAAATGAGATCGGGGTTGGACTACCCACATTCGATAGTGGGTGCGGTGGGGGAAGTCCTGAACTGGGCAAAGCTTAGGCCGGGCTAGGTGGGCTAAATCAGCATATCAAGTCTAGCGATCCGACGGGCGGGCTCTGCCACAGCTAGGCTCCAGAGAAACGCCCAATAGACTCACTGACCTTGACAAGGAACCGGGGGAGAATGCAACGTTCTATAGAAAAGCATCAGCCAACACTGGCAGGCTGTGCTCGATATATACGGGGAATCGTCTTGGCCAGCGAGATTGAAACATCGGTAACGAGCTGGAACGTGAAATAAAATGAACAAGGCTCTAAATCCCAAGCAAGTTTAGGCTGTAGCGGTTTTGATCACCGTCCGGTGGGCACACTCACATGTTCGTGTACCGCTAGCGTACGGAGCAGGCTGCTTAGAATTAACAGGCGTCCAGTTTGAGCGGCGGGGTCGCTAAACCGATGTCTACTCTGCTATCGAATGCAGCAGGACACCTAGTGAGTAGATTGGCTCTCGAGATCGACCCCCTAGCGGGTACGAGGGCAAGGAGATCCAAGTATAGTGACGAAGCCTACGAGTCATCGCATCCATCGGACAAGGCTGTCCGCCACGGCCCCTTTTTGAGGCCCCTTCGTGAATGCCGGGCTGAACAGTGGCAAGGGGAGAGAAGAGGCATGAACGTCGCATCAACCCCGCAAGCACCCGAGCCTATCAAGGATCTCCTTAGCGATATGGACGACTGGGATAATCACAAAGGGAATGTGGATCTAGTGAGGATTGAGTTAGGGCGGCCGACGCGCATTGGAGCCAATTTGGCCATTCCAGAATTCGAGTCGCCCCATTGGGAGACCCACCAGGTCGATCAGATGGACCGGCAAAAACACACCGGAGGACCTCCTGGCCCCGTCAAGCACATTCGAGGAATTCCGGACAATATCCGTCCTGCGAATGAAGATCTTCTCTCTTGGGTCGCTCCCGTCTCATTGGATCAATAAGCTTTTCATTTTATAATCTTTTCTTCATTTCTCCTCCTTCGCGGTGCCCGGATAACTGAGGGTGTGAATACAGACCGGGAGCTTTGGACGACAACCAGCCAGTGGATCCAATCTACCCATGCACCCTGTCCATACCACACAGACCTGGCGTACCGACGCCATCATTATCACCCCCTTGTCCCTTGTCATCTCGTATCCCCGATATGTGAGAAAGAGATAGGCCGCGGGGGGAGTCTAGAAGGAAAACACATGGCCGTCCTGTGTGACCACCGTTATTGATCGTGTCATCCACACGAATGGAATCGATTATCGTTATGGTTCAATAGTATCTCGTCCAACATATCTCTATCTGAGACAGTACACTTGCACTGATCCAAGGGCGCAGGTGGGGCCGTCGGTGGAGAGGACAGTGATTCATTTAGTTTAGGAGCGTGCCCATTGGACTGCGCAACCCACGTCACTTTCCTTCCCTTGTAGGACTTGGAGTCCAGGGCAACGTGAGGTCCAAACGCACAGGTAGGTGGCCTGAGACAATGCTCCATCGCTTCCACCCAGTGTGATGGGGCTGACAGGATTATGGAGTGAGATAGGAACAAGGGAGGACGCGGAGGAAGCGAGAGAAGTTGGTATGGTAGTAATTGACTTACCCATAAATACGGCTAGTCCCGTTTCGGACCGCATCCCTGTCGCACTTATATAGATGGACACACGATCTACAAAGTACGAGGTAGTATTCCGTGGGAGTCTCTACGAGGAGAGTTTTAGTTGAGTTTTAGTTATTGGGTGCTCCGTCGGTTTTAAGCCGATCGCTGTTTCAAGGGGAGAAGTTTTTACGATTATTCATCAGGAACCGAGTCCCAAGATAAACACGATGACACTACTTCAGATAAATTACGCCTGGTATTATTACCGCCATTCCTCCCTCACTCAATTGTCTCTCCTCAGCTTTCGCTTGTCGTGATAACCACCTTAATACTCCCTCTTATGCCTTTCAGCTACTACTCCGTAGTTAGTTAACATCTTCGTGTCTGCAATCCTCTTCCCCAATTCAGGCACTGGTTACGGCCCGTCTCTTGCCCTGAGTGGGGCTTCACATGTACATTCCTATTCCGGTCTATTCGTGCATAAATACGGGTACTAAAAATGGCCATTGTAGTCTGGTACCCATACAAAGTGGGTTTACCTTTTTGCTTGACTTCGACCATCCATCCACTAAAGAAGCGAACCAGCCAATCTTGTGCGCGAGAAGAATGTCTCCATATCTCGCCCAGTACCCACATTCTTTGCCCGCGCCTCTTCCAAGCACGCGATATGATGCGGTGCGAGATAAGGAGCTGCGTTTGAGAGCCTCCCCCGTCAGGACACATAGTCGTCGGGTTTCTTGCCCTAGAGAGGATCTACCGACAGAGTTTCATATACAGTGAATCCTCCATGTGGACGATGTACCGTTATGGGGATTTAGCTCTGCACGTCTATCACCTGCAGCATTCCCCTCCAATTGCTGGAGTCCGTATCCCTGGGGTCCCGGGTGGCGTCTTTCTTTGTTGAAAAGTGACTTCAAGCCGTCAGGTCAAGTTCTACTTTTGGAAACTACCCCCCGTAGAGACTGACGCCGTCGATGTATACGAACTGACTACCGGTGTTATCTTTGTCAGGGTGGCTCCTGCAACCGTCGATCATGGCTATATACCATCCTTCTATTGACCATCGTGTTCACTCATCCCAGCGATTCACGTGTAACTGCCCCCACTCGCTCGCTCGTGTGGACTTGATGTTTAGTTGCAAATATGATCAGGTTGGCTGGAATGTAGACCTGGTCGTGTTGTCTTTCCAACGGGCGAGGAGGGACGTCACTCCGCAGCTGACATATCCCTCTATTTGCAGAGTACTCCGTATAATCCACAAATTCCGTATGCCAACTAAATGATTCTGAAATGGCTTGTTTTTCCTCTCGTTTTATTTGACCTTACTGAGAACTCAAAAAACCTCAGCCAGATCAAACTTTCCCCAGAATTGAGGCAATTTAATCGGCTTCCCCGATCACCGGAACTACAGGTCGTGTTGCCGTTTTGAGCCACCAACTCTATTTATCCAATAGTTCCAGGAACTGAACTTTATCCCGTCGTGTTTACCCGGGCACCAATCTCATGCTTCCTTTCTTGACGCACAGGGCTCCTCTCTTCCTTCGCCTATGGCCGTGATGTCAATTTACCAGGGAGGTCACCGACTACCAATTCCAACCTCCAATGCGAAGTGATGCGTCGGCATATATTACCTTGATGCGGGGAGAATAGGGCTGCAAAGGCCGAATATCCGCAACCAGATCTTAGCCCCGGACTATCTCAGGATGCCGTGGCTATCCAGCCGATCAGAACGGGTATACCGAGTTATGATTATTCCGCCAATCAGGGTTATCAATCAAGGGATAGTTTCTCTTCGATAGCTTGGCAAATCTGGTTAGGAATGTGGGGAGCACCTTGTTCTCCTTGTTCTTTCTCTACCTCTAATGTGCCTAGAGTTATAGAGCGATGATGGTTGTTTTCCAAAAAGCTAGTTTACGGATGTGAATTGGCTCAATAGCACCAACAAAAACTTTGTATTACGGGTACTTTCTAGCAAAGATATGTCCTGACCACATCACGGCCACCCTCAAAGGACTGTGAAGATTGCCATCAACACACGGAGCAGTCTTCCAGCACCACCAGCCTTAATGAAACCACCGATAGAATAAATCAGACCTCGATAGTTTTCAGCTACTCGATACTTGGCTTTCTCGCTATAACTGCTGCTTATCCCAGACCCCCGTGGTCAAGAACTGGAGTTTCTCATCATCAATTTCAATATCTCGTTTCTCGTTCTCGAGGGATAGTTGGGGCTCTGAGGAAGAGCCTTTCGAATTCCAGCACCAGCGGCGCTCCAGTGATGGTGACCTGATTGCCTCTTGTTCTTGTGACAACAATCTGTTGCTGGCGGCGACCATGCTCAATTTCAGTGCTTTCCCATCTGTCGATGATGATTCTGGGCTCATTTTGAGCGATTCGGAGAGTCAGGACGGACTTAACCTCCCCCTTGGGTCCCCTCGGCCAATAACGCACATCTGACCGTAGTTTAGATTGGGTTTCACTGTACGCAACTTCCAGTACAAAACTTGGCCAGTTGTCGGATCGATCCCGGGGTAACCTGGCTGAATGCCACGCTCTATCGGACTCCTTTGCGCCTATGGTCGTGAAATGAGTCGCAGCGCCCATGCGATGGAGGAGGGCTCCAAAAGAGACATGTTGCGTTTTCGTGTGTTTCCGACTTTGCGATATTGATCAGGGGGAGCGTGAGTGTCGGTCATACGCACGCTAACGTGAGAAGGGAGCTTCTTCTGCATCTAGGAATTCGTAGTAAAAGACTTATCATCCATATCAGTGACAAAAACCCACTCCATGGTAGTGTGGACAGTGCGAAATGCGTGGTTGAGGTGGTTTTTGAACTTCCCCGGCCACGGTAGGGGTGATTTTGGAATACAAATGTTAGACTATCCAGGAAGCCACGACCGGGGTCTTCCATCATTATCAACGTTTCTGGGTCCTGTATCAACGGACGATATCTTAATTGCCAGAGATAATGAACACAAGCACAGTTGGGTTCTGTAAAAGCCTCGCCTTCGCTCTGGATGGTTTAAGCTCGGCAATTTGAAGCATGCATAAGTATGATATCACCGTTCGCCAGAGCCGAAACATGTGTAGGTGGATCGATGAAAACAGTCAAAAGGATAATAACATTGATGACTGTGAAGAGTTGCAGATAGTTGCGAGATTGCAAGAAACATGTAGATTGAAATAACAATTAAGTGGGAAAACAACGTAGGTTACTTGAAATTAGCCGGTTGCATGTCTCGCAACAATATACTTCTAGGGAAACCGTAATCCTACAACTTGTGAACCAATTTTTTCTGATCTGAAAAATACTGCTGTTTATGGCGTGATTAACAGTCACTGTCAGCGTCATCTTCACAGGTCCTCATATTGTAGTTGCAAAATTGAGCAGTGAATGCATGTCATCCAGTCGTCTGTCAATGCCACCTGACTGAGAAGCAGAGTCTTAATTTTCTCTTGATATCTTCTCTAGCCTGGAACCTTTTCATCGAAATATCCCTGGATGTCATCCTATTCTAAAACGTTATCATTTCCACAATTTACCTACGTAGGTCGTACAGTGGGACCACGAAATCTGTCGGTTATGAGGTAGGTCGTGGCACCAAGGTCACAGTGTTTTTGAATGCTGAGGATGAGTTGCAGGGTAGGCTCATCTGTGGATAACACTGCCATGCACTTATCTGTTTCCTGACTGCAAAAGGAGTCTGTCTCGAAACCGGTAAGTGAATGAATATCTGGATCTCTCAAACTACAGCTATATCACGGCTAGAGATATCTGGCTCGACTATCTTGAATCATGTGTCGATTACTCTAGGCGACGACTAGCTCACAGAGCCTATATGTTGCTTGGACACGGATATATATTTCCATTTCCTTTCTCTTCATATACGCTCATCGCAGTCACGTTAGACAATTGATCTAAACCCCTGTAGCAACAGGCTTCCAGTACTCCAGGAAGGTCTTCGCTGCACAAGAACCGGTCGCAGCAGCATACGCTTGCCACGTCTTGTTCTTGTGGCTATCAGCATAGTCGCACACCCCTTTGATGATGATGCAGGGGAAAATGTCCCATACACCGGCCCCTTCCATCTCAACACCAAGCACCTGCTCCGTTTTGACCAATTGATCCCGGTCCCCTCCAGATTTCATCACCGTACTAGCAGACGCGACTGTGCCAATATGGATAGAGATATTCTCTGGTTCCGTGCTGTATCGGAGACGACTGATTTGCTCCTCATGACAGCCAAGCTCGGTACAGTTTTGAGTTGCCGCAATTTGACATCTAAAGTTGGCATGATCTCCATTGAAACAGAGGCACTCTGCCGAAGAGGTTCTGTCATGGTGTTTGTGGTGATATGCGGAATCGAAGACGACATCGTTGGTAAAGCGAGGGCGTTGCCACTTTTCGTTCGATTCATGGATTTTGTGCAGATGCTGCAACACGTGGTCCTGGAATTCTCGGCGAATGCCACTTGTTTTGATGCCAGCGAGGATGTTTCGAATCTCGCTGTCCGGATTTTCAAGAGTATCTTCGATAGCAGACTGTCGCTGAAACCCACTTGGATACCGTTCGCCAAAGTCATACTCAAGCACGGCGTCGCTTATCACAACATCACCCAAGAATATGTCTTCATCACCAGGTGAACGTGGAGTCCCCCCACAGATACCGACAACCAGACCAATCTCAATATTGGGGTAGCTAAAGGGCATATTTGAAGCTACCCTCGCGGCACTGGCCTTTCCCATCTCAGGCATGTAGGCCAGGACAACATTATGGACGCCGATCCTTCCATTGATATACGCATTGATGTCATTAGGATCTTTACCATAAATCTTGCTTAGGCGATCGAAAATCTCATCAAAGTGCTCTTCAACAGCCTCGGCTTCCACAGTCAGTGCGCAAATGATCGCGATCGTAAAATCGTCACGGCTGTTCGGGCGCATTGTAGAGTAGGTGAATCGGGATTCTCCAATGTATTATGGTTAATTGAGAAGTCACAATATACTGACCAACTCAGGAATTACGGAGTCTATCAAGAAGACATAAACAGATAACTGAGATTTTAAGCACAGCCTGACTGAATCCTCCACACACTCATTGTTGATGCACTACCAACCAAAAGGCTATATTAACCGCTTGGGGATAGCCTCGTCCTTGTTTCGCCAGGCGCCCGACCACCAAAAATAGCCAGCGACACGCCAATCCCCATGGAACGGGTAGCAGGATAAGCTCTCAACATTGACGTGTAAGACAACGCTAGAAGTCAGTCAAGTTTGCATTGGCCCAAAATGCCGCTTTCCTGGAAGATGGCGCTTGGTCGAAACTGCTTGAATCATCTTCATCACGTAGCTTGTGTTTTCCCTTTGCTGGTCTAAACACTCTCCTTAGCATGGGTATTATAACACGACATAAATGGACTTCATTATTGCAATCCATTTATCGCGCATGCATAACTCCGCGGCTTTGCCAAGCTGAAGCAATCCGTTAATTGTCCGTCTTTCAGCTCCGCTGGGGGGGGGGGGGGGGGGGGGGGGGGGGGGGGGGGTTTCTATATGTATAGCATGGTCCTTGCTTCCTTCATCGTTCTCTGAACGCTGTTTACTCAATGGTCAACAGAAAAAGCACACAGGCTTCACGCATCTCAGTTGCCTTTGAGTCGTGATAGTTTGTGTAGAAACTCGTCGGGGCCTTGGTTTTCAACAATCGATCTTAAGTCCCATGGATCATGAGCTTTATATGTCTTAATGGGCGAAACCGATCTGCACCAGTCAATTTTGTTTTCCCTGCTCCCTCCTCCACATTGGAACCCACACGGCTCGACACTGTGGAGAATCATCATGAAGGCTGACGATAATATGGGACATAATGTCTAGATTGGATGTCTCCACTTACCGACAATATCGGGGGAGCAAAGGTGCGGGGTAAGGTTGCACTGTTTACCTGCTCCGCTTGTTCACAACGCCATGATTCCCCTGGTACGCGCCCATACAGCTTGATCTTTCCCCCTTCTTTTACTGATATGTTTGCAAGGACTCTATTATAGCCAAATGATAAATCTGACCACCAAGGCAATGACACTTCTATCGTGAAGTGTGGGTGGACTTTACGCTCCATGTTTTAGTATGGGAGGAATTGGGCCAACGGTAAGTGAGTATCACAGACATATGCCGGTCTCCACGGCAGACCGAGAAATATTGTCGAGCTCCAACATACTTACACCAGCAACTAACAACAGCAATTAGCCGGCTTCCAGACCGTCTCCGATTAGGAAATGGGGAAGAAGCGAGGCGAGTCAAGCACAAGCTTTGGACTCTAATGTCAATCAGGGGTTCGAGGAATACAGTGGCGTGGGGTGATCCTTAATGCTCAGGATGTAACATCATGATGCCATAAACTCGGCACGACCAGTCAGCATGTAGTATGGAGACGGTATGCAGGCTGAGGTTGCAACGGTCAGTTATCGGGAATTTCCAGGGCTCGATCTCCGCAGCGTGACCGGGGTGCGCAGGAACCCGCCAATATATCCGAGGTGGACTAGTACCGATGTTGGCACCACCGCCACCTTCCACCAGCCTGTCGATGATCTCGTCGTGTCACAGACTAGATGTCCCTTCGAACATTCCGTCCATTCCCTGCGCTCAATTTGCGACCGATCGACATGCCAACCGTGATGGATAGCATGCATTCATGTGGTCCGGGCGGACTCCGAAGACTATATAAGGGTCTGCAGTGATCTCTAGGACCAGCACTCTCAAGCTCTCAACCAACAAGTCTTACAAAGGTTCCAATCATACCATTGTCAAAATGCTCAGAACTCTCGTTGGCCTCAGTGCCGTGCTTCCCGCTGTGTTGGCCTCGCCCTATCAACACCAGAAACGGGCCGACATCGATGCGTTCATCGAGAAGGAAAACCCAATTGCTCGCGAGGGAATCCTGAACAACATTGGCGCCGATGGGAAGCTGGTTCCCGGCGCTGGCCCGGGCATTGTCGTCGCGTCGCCTTCCGAGGAGTGTATGTCTTCCAATTAGAGTGCTTCCTGACTGGCAATGGCTAACCTACATATCTAGACCTTTTCACCTGGACCCGTGATGCGGCTTTGACCTTCCTCGACCTGATTCACGAGTTCATCGACGGCGATAAAGAGCTTGAGCCGCTCATCCAACAGTACATCACCGGGCAGGCGAAGCTTCAAGGTGTGGCCAACCCCTCCGGATCCCTGGAGGATGGCGCTGGATTGGCTGAGCCCAAATTCCACATCGATTCCACTTCTTTCGAGGAAGAGTGGGGCCGACCCCAGCGTGACGGGCCAGCTCTCCGTGCGCAGGCCCTGATTGCGTACGGAAACTCCATTCTCGAGGGCAAGAAGGAGAAGGTGGTACAGAACATCTGGCCTGTCGTTTCGAACGACCTGTCCTACGTCGGGCAGTACTGGAGCGGGGTTGGTTTCGATCTGTGGGAAGAGGTCAACGCCACCTCTGTCTTCACCATCTCGGTGCAGCACAAGGCCCTCGTCGAAGGCGCTGCCTTCGCTAAGGCCCTTGGCAAGGAGTGCGCCGGCTGCGAGGTCGCTCCCCAGATCCTCTGCCGTCTCCAGGAGTTCTGGGATGGCAAGCAGATCATCTCCAACCAGCCCAGCAACGGCCGCGGCGGCTTGGATCTCGCCTCCATTCTGACCTCTCTGAATGCCTTCGACTCTGGCGCAAAGACCTGCGACGACAAGACCTTGCAGCCCTGCTCTGCCCGTGCGCTCGCCAACCACAAGGCCGTCGTCGACTCTTTCCGCGAAACCTACGGAATCAACGGTGACCGCAAGGCCGGCAAGGGCGCCGCCGTCGGTCGCTACAAGGAGGACGTCTACCAGGGTGGCAACCCCTGGTATCTCGGCACCACCGCCGCCGCCGAGCTCCTCTACGACGCTCTCTACCAGTGGGACAAGCAGGGCACCCTGGAGGTCACCGATCTGTCGCTCCCGTTCTTCAACGACGTCGCACCCGACGCGGCCGTCGGAAAGTTCGAGAAGGGCTCGCCCGAGTACAAGACCATCACCGAGGCGATCAAGGCCTACGCCGATGACTTCATCGCCGTCGTCCAGGAGTACACCCCCGAGAATGGAGGCCTGAACGAGCAGTATGGCCGCGACGACGGCCAGCCTACCTCCGTCGAGAACCTCACGTGGTCGTTCGCTGCGTTCCGCTCCGCTGTTGCCCGACGTGCTGGTAACGTCCCCCCCGCTTGGGGCAGCGATTCTTCCGCTTCTGTGCCGAGCGAGTGCTCGCCTGACACCGTTGAGGGCGAGTATGCTCAGCCTACGCCCGGTGACTGGTAAATGTTAGTGGACGTGGGCGAGAGATGTCTCTTGCTTTGTTTAGGTTGTTTTGTTTCACCCCTGTAGTGTATATTTCTTACAGTGGATAGTGACATATCCAGCCTGTCTCTTGAATTCAGACTTGGAATAGTTCTTTACGTTTATGATTAGTTTGCGCGGTATCTGTATCTACGTACGTGGCTATTTACCAGGGTTTTCGGACCTAGACACAAAAACTGCGTCTTTTGCTGTTCTTGGGGGAGACCATTGTGGTAAAGCCCTCCTTTTGTGGAGACTCTAGTCTAGGTATCGGTTGAGCAAAAACCGTGTCTAGTTTGCTCAAATTCGTCAATCGCGACTTATCCTACGGTCTACCTTTAGGAGTATGTTTTTCGTAAACCTCTGTATATTTGATTCCCTCACCGGAGTCAAACCAACTTCCAACGTCTACTACCCGTGTAGCTATACCACCCGGCCTCGCATCATCATCATCTTCTAACCCTCCTCGGACTCCCCACATAATTCACCGTAAGCTGTCCATTCTTGACATCATTCCTGATAAAGACACCGAGTTAGTATCATCCATTCAAACCCATCCACACCACTATAATACATACTCCTGTCCAGTAGGCACACTCCCACAAGCCGCACACCCATGATTAATCAAATCCTGCACCAACCGCTTGGCGTCGGCCGCGCTGCCGCCATCGCCAGTAGACTGGAAGAAGGCGCAGAAGCCAGAGCCGATCGGGTCCACATCGCAGGCGATGTGGTCGCCGTTGTTGTAGTGCGCGTTGTCGTCGATGGCGTCAATCTTGTTCTTGATACGCGAGAGCCGCGTGCCTGAGCCGCTGCTGGCGTCGCCGCAGAACCCGCTGCCGCGGCAGTTGATTCCTAGGGCCGTGGTGGTGGAGGAGAGGCTGAGGATGGTGGGGATTAGGAGGGTGGAGAGCTTCATGATGATGGGTTGGGTGTGGTTGAACTGGAGGTGCGAGTGTGTGTTGTTTTGGGGATGAGATGAGTGGTAATGGGGAGACTTGGAAGGGGATGGCTGTTCCATTTATGTCTCAATGGAGGAAGGAAGAGATCACACGGTGGCGAGACTTCGACCAGCATGTCTCGATATGATTACTACGTGGTATGTGGGATATTGGACATTGGTTCGTTCCATCGTACCTGGGAAGGCTGTATATACAGCCCGTGAGCTTATATTGGTCCTTGCGTATCAACCTCAGCTGGCATGGACGCGGCCCACCACCAGCGGGACGGAGCGAGCGGCGCGACCAGAGGCCAGTGGAACAACACAATTAACAAGTTGGAGGACACAGCCAACCACCAGCAAAACAGAACAACCAAACATAACCGAGGGAAAGAAAACGAAGGGACCACTAACATCCCCAAGGAACCTCTATATCCCTGCAACCAGCTGAGATCACAAACATATCACATACTGACTCACTCACAACCAAACCAATGACTAGTAGTAACACGATGCGGCTGAATACTCGTAAGGCAACACAGCCAACCACTAATAGGAGGACATGGCCCACTACTAGCAGGCACCACAGCCTACTACCAGCAGATAATTTCAATCGAAGCCTCGTCTGAGCTAAGTGTTCTAGATGGCTGAAGCGTACTGTGCTGCGCCAGACATTGTATAACGGCAGAGGAAAATAACGAAATTGATTGTATTATTAGAATGCAGAATCGCTAAAGAAGAACTAGAACAATAAACATATAGACGGTATAATATACATGTTCAGACCATGGATCGACCATACAGACCATACACCTGCATTGCTCGCTCTGCCAAACCAAGAACAATCACGTATACTTCAGCAATAATGCAATGGCAGCCCTATCACCCAAGTCCTTCGCATATCGAATGGGCGTCTTACGATAGGCGTCCTCAGCCTTCACATTAGCACCCGCATCCAGCAGTGACATGGTAATGGTGAGATTCCCCGTCATAGCAGCCCAATGCAGGGGTGTCCTGCCCTGATCATCCTCGGTTTCCAGACTCGCCTTGTTAGCAAGCAATTTGGCGACGACGAGGCGACATTTGTTGATGACGGCCCAGTGTAGAGGCGTTCTGCCTTGGTCGTCGCACTGCTTGATGTTGGCTCCCCGGGTGATCAACAGACAGGCGATGACTTCCTGTTGGCTCAGAAACGCGTGCCATAACGGTGTCAGGTTATCGCTATCCCTGCCTTCCAGATTCGCACCGTAGGAGAGTAATCGCTTGACGGCTTGCTCGCGGCCCCCGATGACGGCGAGGTGGAGTAGGGTTCTTCCTCTTTTGTCCCGGTGCTCGATGTTTGCTCCCTGGGACACCAGTAAAGCAATATTGTTCCCATTGCCCTTTAGGACGGCATGCCATAGGGGCGTCATGTCATCTTTATCCGTTGCCTCCACGTTGGCGCCGTGGTGAAGTAGTAAACGGACGGCTGTCTCGAGGCCCATTATCGCAGCCTGGTGTAGCAGGGTTCTGTGTCCATCTTTGCCCTCAATGTCCGCCCCGTACGAGAGCAGCATTGAAGTTATCACCTCGTCCCCGTGAAAAACGGCTAGCCAAAGGGCCGCAGTACCCGGGGGCCTTTCCGGTTTGGCATTACCGCCGTGGGCAAGTAGAAGTTGGACGACTGGCGCATGGCCCTTGGCTATGGCCTCATCGAGTACATTGAGTCCATGGCGACCGACACTGACAATTATGGCCCCACGAGATAGCAACAATTGAGTGATAGCTTCGTCGCCGGTGTCAGCCGCAAGGCAGATGGGCGTACGACCAAGGCTATCCATCGCTTCGATATTTGCGCCATGGTCGAGTAACAGTTTAGCGATCGATACATGTCTGTTGATGACCGACCAGTGGAGCATGGTCCTCTGCTCTTTATCTCGCCATTCGAGGTTACTATGCACGTGAGGAAGGAGCAGGCGAACTATATTATCATGCCCATACAAGGCTGCTAGCCATGTTGCTGATCGGTCAAAAGTTTTCTTGCCTCCTGTATGTGCTTCGGCCCCATAGGCAAGGAGAAGACGCACAACCGCTTCGTGCCCATTTGCAGCTGCGTATATCAACGGCGTGTGGTTGGCTGCGTCTCGCACGTTGGGCCCAAGATTTGTCCTGGTCAGAAAGACCCTCACCGCAGCCACATGCCCAGCTTCTGATGCGTGACATAGCACAGTGCGCCCAGACCCGTCCTTCATGGAATCTTGCGAGACTCCCTGCGCCAGTAGCATGTTGATCATCTTTGGACTTCCTTGCTTTGCGGCATATAATACAGGGGTAAATTGGGAATTGTCCCTGTCGTCGACCAGAATATCGCCGCGAGTAAGCAATAGCCACACGATGTGTTCATGACCGCCTTCTATTGCGTATGACAGGGGGGTGCGTCCTGCCTGATCCTTCAAGTTGACCTTGACTTTTTGAGGAGCTAGTAATAACAAGGATACAATATCAGTGTGCCCTTTTTCTGCAGCATATGACAGTAGTGTGCGCCCATTCTGGTCTTGTAAATTGACATCAGCGTCTCGCCTCGACAGTAATGACTGAGTCACTTTCATGGTCTCTGTTTTTGCAGCGTGGTAGACTAGACTCAACTCTTGGAGATGAGTATCCAACGCCTTTGTAGGGGCAGAAGGTGGTATGTCCCTTTCGTCGGCAGCCGTTCGCAGCCACTTGTCAAACCACTCTAGCCCAGGATCTGGGAGGCTCTTCAGGGGGGTGTCATGCTCGTTTGGGAGCTTGACTGGAGTTCGAAAGGCGGAACGGTCTGTTCGCCGGCTTGTCACAGCTAGCCGTCGCTGTTGAATGCAGATCTGCCGGAAAGGGAACTGAAAGGGTACAAAAATTGACAAGTCAAGAAGCTCTAACTTATGGTATCGAATTCGTTCAAATCGCTCCATGGTCAGAGACTGGTCTTGCAGGTAGATCGCAAAGAAAAGATCTTCGTTGTCGCGTCGTGTGCAGGGCAAGATTCCAAGACCCAGACCTCCATGGCTAATCCCCACAAAAGGTAGTTCTAGATGAATACCTTTGTTTGTCGTCGTCCAAGCAGACTTGCTCATGACCCGCGGATCTTCCGTCAGAATAATATCCCCTGAATCGGAAAACGCATCGACGGAGGGTGCAAGTAGCCCTCCATGACCTGGGCTCTTGGCTTTCCAGGCAAAGATGCTGTGGTCGTCAGACATTCTTATAATCTCCTCCTGGAGCCGAATAAATGCCGCCTTTCCCTCGCCATACAGCAGAGGCATGTTGATACCGAACAGACCCATGAGACAGTAGGCTTCGTCTTCCAGCCGTGATGTCTTGCGGTTTGCCGCCCACGCCATCCGCTGTGCGACACTTGCGTCATCAACGCGGTCTGCATCGGACAGAATCTCGACGGGGATGTTGGTGCGCTTAGATATAATGTCTTGTAGCGTTTCCTTGGTTCCAAGCTCGCTCCACATCCGACTGTAGAAAATCACAGTAGCCGGAGCGATGAGTTCCTGCAGGGTGAAGCCTCTCTCAAACCACCTGCTGCCGGAGATCTCGGTCGGTGTTTCGACATCTATTAGATAGGCGTAACAGATGGATGCCTCTTGGTACCAGCGGTACATTGAATTGATCGCCTCGGACAACTCCGTGCTGCTCGTCTTGTCGATGCAGCATGTGTCTATCCAGACATAGTCCATGCCTTGGGCTCTTGCTACAGAGCAACAATCTTGTATCTTTCGATAGCCTTTCTTGTTGACTACGTCGGTACCATGCATGTCTTGGAAAGTCACCTCTTCGCCATCCCAGGTATGAGAAAGGATGGCGTATGGAGGGATGTCTTCATCTTTGAATTGGTGGATAATAAAAGGGCCTGCGATATTCTCATGCGTATTGACTAGACGCATAATGACAACTAGTATCGAACTTCTCGCAATATCAAAAATGGTGATTAATCGGTGAGGGGCAAGGGAACGCGAACGACCCCACGATACAGAGGTGTCAGCTGGATCTTGTCGAAACAACTATCGTCATTCCCGGCCAAAAGATGCTAGATCGAAGGATAGAGATAGAAACAACCGGAAAACTGCAGCTTTTGTGGTCATGGTTATAATGACAGGGGAGTGGGGGGCGTTTATTTTAGGTAAGGCACAAGGCTGAATCTGATGGTGAGGCTGTGGATCTGCACAGCCTCGCGACTTTCATACCACTTGGCAAGATCTTCTACGTGGTCAAGTATTCAAATGTTGGGGAGGTTGACAATAGTGACTATATTGAAGTACTTACAAATTTAGTAATGAGTTCACAAGGAATTTCGCAAATTGTGCATTCATCAGGAAGCTAGGCACATGGAGCCAGGTTCTCGGAAGGCTGCCCTACTCTATGATGCTGTATAAATTATAAGGGCTACTCTTGTTGAGCTTTGAGGCATGTCAGCCTTGTTACATCATTTGATTCTTTATAATCTATTAGTTTATTATTGCCTGGAGGATACTTATGACTAGACTCCGTGGCCCATTGCAGACAGGACTTTTATAAGAGACTTGGGATACATATACTAAAATTGGTGATTGTGACCCCAGGGTTCACTAAACTCAGGGAATCTTAATTCTAAAATCATATTAGCCCCAGGATTGAGTCATTCAAAGAAAAATAAAAACATTATTTTCAGAATTGAGAACTTTATGGAATTACAATCCCAGGATTCATATGATTCAGGATAACATGATCTTGGCTTATCAAATGCTAAGTGAATGCTAATTCTGGGAATATATATCCTAGGATCAGCTGGTACCATTGCTCAACGCCATAATCCATAATACCACATACATTTACTAGACCATGGTATTTTACATCGATACTCTTTTACATCTAACAAACACTGCCTAGACCCATTAGGTATCTGTTGGGTACGTGGGAGAATGGATGTCAATGCTCTGGTGATCTACCACCTCGGACGATCTCGGTGGGGGCGGAGTGTGTGAATGGTGGTTGAACGAAAGTACCTACGATCCCTCGGCGACTGTTCGATTGGCAGAGGTTAGGTATGTGTTGAGAGTTTGTGTAGTGGAGTATACGTTTATCTACCAGCCATAACCTTGAAACTACCGCCGAGCTAGAGACCGGGCCGCATTGGTGAGAAGGAAGAAAAGTGGACTGTTGGCACAGGTCAAACGTATTAGGTGAGACATTTTCTGTTGTACGGAGGACGATCCAACCTGATTAGACTATATAATCCGATCACAACCCCCTGTGTGATTGCAGCTGTTCCTCCACCGGTTCCACGCCCATTGACTCGGTGAACTTCACACTCTTACACGCGCTATTCTGCTTCACACCACCCAGGACCTACTCTAGTCTCAATACATGTTGGATATAGTAAGTCATATTTATTCTTGCCATTAACATACATTGAGCTAATATGCTAGTTGTGTCTAGCATATTCCTGCTGTTGTGGCATCATATACAGCGACATGAAGACTGAAGACCCGGAAACCGCCGACCCTTCTCAGACCGCTAGGATCAGCCTTAAAAGACAATCATTGGAGAAATGTGTGGTTACCATGGTGGCGTTGTACCTTGGTGGGGAATTCATCTACTATGTATTGGGCGACTTAGTTCCAGGCAAGGCCAATAACCATCCTATTCTCACATTCCTAATATTGTTCTCGGTCCAATGGTTGTTCGATTACCTGTACAGGAGATATAGAAGCGTGTAGATACATATATCAATCTTGGGAAATATGTGAGCGACGATGATGAAAGCCAGCGTCAAGCTGGGTGTTACTGCGTTAGGCCCATGCTGTGCCTAAAGTATGTCCGCATCAACTAATGAAGAACTTGATAAAATCATCATAGTCCTCTGCTTATGGAATATGCAACTGGAAAGCAAGCTGCTGTAGGATAGAACGAATTGTATATACATCTTTGGATCTCATCAGCTAAATCTTGGGGTGATGACCGACGTGAGCCGGAACACCAATTTGGTGGAGACCCTATCGAGCTTACGATGTCCGCAAATCCGGGAGAGAGACTTGATGGCTGCCCTGCAGCATTTGATTGACCATGGAGGCTCCGCCGACACCCGATGCCCCTCCAACCACTTTGCGTTGGGTCTCGGCGTCAACAGGGTATATCCCCGCCGCGAAGCGCGGATTCTCGCATTACAAACCGCCCCCGGGAACCGAGGCCGGGCAGCAGACGGTGACAGAGATGGGGACGAGATCCAGGCCCTTCTGGATCAAATCGATGCCAATCCCAAGGTACTTGACCAGCGAGAGCCCGAAGAATTTCTCATCATCAAAATCGGTAATTTGGTCCAGTCGCTAGCTCGGAACGACGAGAAAGGACTGGATCTTCAGTTCCTGTCGAATATTGCCATTGACTACCTGATTGCTATCGAGGCCGGGGCCTGAGCACGGCGCAAGCTCGGGATAGATATTGCTCTGACCGAAGTTTCCTCGTCGAAGAATGTGGCCGACCTGGCGAAGCTGGCTCTCAGACCGCTGCGACAGAAATATGACCAGTTTCTAGACAAGGCGGCGACCTCCTAACACTGCCAAGAGCCAACCGGCTTTATTTACAAAGGTAATGTTATTTTGTAAATTATGATGGCCACGGTGATGAAGTAGATGCAAAACAGTGGCTGTGTAAAGGAAAACAACCCGTTCGGTCCGATATATATTTCCACTAAAACTAGTCAGGTGATCATTGATAGGCAGCCTTGACCTCTGATCTTCCAACCATCCACTGCCTTGTAAGATCTGAGGCTTATAATCAAACATTCAATGCGCAAACCTTGGCATCGGTGGCGTTCGTATATTTATTGAGACCACGAAACATCCCCTCCTCATTGGAAATAAGCTGTGCTTTGAGGGCCTCCCTTAAACAGCGGACAAGCTCGTTGTCTGACGGCTAGATTTTCTATTCCACCTGACCCCGCACTGGGCTAACTTTGTGAGTGGGATAGTCTGTCTTCGGAACATAATGAGCTTTGGTTTCAGCGTTGGAGACATTTTGGCAACCTTGAGGCTTGCCGATGATCTCAAAAAGCGCTTTTCCCAGGCCCCGAAGGAGTTCAGGACAATTTCAGATGAGTATGATGACCAAATATTTAAATTGGCTTATCAAGGATCAGGAATGATAAAACGGATAACGCTAATATGGCGGAGTTGAAATAGAGTCAAACGAGTATGGGCCGTTCTGCATGATCTGGATGATATTCCCATCGATGGTTTGAATCAACAGCAAGGGCGAGATGTTCAAGATATCTCGCAAGGGTGCCGAGAAGTCCTGGAGGAATTGAAAGTGAAGCTGGACCGATCACAGGTTCTAGCTTACACAAACTCTGATTGGAGGTCAAAGGCTCGTCAAGCTTGGTGCAGAGTCACCTGGGACCAGATCGAGATTGATAGGCTTCGTGACAGAATCACAACCACGGTAACAGTATTCAACTTGCTCATGGGCAAAATAAACCGGTGAGATTCCCGCCCTAAATTCAGATCCTGTAGTCTCGGCCTACAATTTCACCTTCTAATATATTCCTCTACACAGAACCCTAACATTGGAGATTCAAAACAATCTGGATGTCTTTTACGAGGAACAGCGTGACACCTCTTCACGGTATGCTCTTTCAAGGATTAGCTCAATCGACGGTTGGACGCGCCACGCCGAGAACTTGAGTGCTCAACAACCGGGGTCGGGAGCTTGGTTTATCAACAAGCAGGAGTTTCGAGCATGGTGCCATAATGAGAAGCAGCTCTTATACTGTCCCGGTATGCCTGGAGCAGGAAAAACAGTGTTGTGCTCTGTTGCTATTGAATGTTTAGAACAGTCATTTGCAAGCCAGGATGACATTGCCATCACATATATATTTTTCGACTTTCGACAGCAGTTGAGTCTGTTTGAGATCTTAGCTGCACTTCTCAGACAGCTTTTGCAGGGCAAGCCAAACAGATCGGTAACGCGGCACCTGAGAGAAACTACCAAGGAATTGATGAAGTTGGAATGGGTACAATGTGAACTGAGGACACTGGTTTTGGGCTTGGGGAAAACCTACATCGTTCTCGATGCCTTGGATGAATGTGCCGCTACTGGTAGTACCTTGCGACAATTAATCGAGTTTCTTCTCACTTTGCGTCGGACGGCGAATATCAATATTCTTGCTACCTCGCGATACAATGAAGAAATTGCAAATTTGTTCACACAGGACGGGGTGATCTTGGAGATCCAAGCCAACGACGATGATATCCGCGCTTTCATCGACCATCGAGCGGCATACTTTCCACAATTTGTGGCTAAAAAGCCCGGTTTGCTCGCATATATTCGGGACGAGATTGTTAAAGCGTCACAAGGAATGTAGGTAGTTGATGTTCCATCTATCATCCACTGCTAACTGACATCTTTGAGGTTTTTACTTGCCAAAATTTATACCAGCCTGGTACAGGACGAGATCAACGAGAAGCAAATTCGAAAGGTGATCGAACGACTGCAAAGCAACCCCGGAGTCTATGACAACGCGTATGATGAATCGATGATGAGAATTGAACGCCAAGGACAGTTTGCTCAAGACATCGCCAAAACTATCTTCGGGTGGATATTGTATTCCAAGCGCCCCCTTTCACTTCCGGAGATCCAGCACGCTCTTGCTGTTGAGATAGGCGAGTCTGAATTTGACGACACCAATATCATCGACATCGAGCAGCTGGTGTCTGTTGGCATCGGCTTGGTTATGGTCGATAGAGAGTCGAACTCTCTCAAGTTCGTTCACTACACCACTAAGGAATACTTGGAACGGAAATTGCACCAGTGGTTTCCAGATATCCATCGTATTATTGGCCTCACTTGCCTGACGTATGTGTCTCTCAATGTTTTCGACCACGGGCCCTGCGACAATGAAGAAGCCCTCGATGGTCGACTCACCTGCTATCCATTCTACAAGTACTCGGCTCAAAATTGGGGTCATCACTTTCTGGGACAAGACGGAGCTGAATCCATGGCGATGGAATTTCTAGCATCTGAGGGCAAAGTCCATGGAAGCTCCCAAGTCATATTCGGGTTCTCCGATGACACAGGGTCTAAGGGCCAAGTATCCTTTGTCAGTGATTGGAAAAGACGTCCTATTGTCATCAAAGAACCATTGACTGCAGCCCACCTCGCGGCATTCTTTGGACTAACGAGACTTTTGGCGGGCATGTTGACTTCAAACATGATCGAGGTTGACATCCATGATCATGTGGGGCGCACACCCTTGTCATGGGCTACTGCTTACGGACACGAGGAGCTTGTCAATATGCTTCTTGAACAAGGTGCCAACCGTAATAGCATGAATCGCTTCGGGTTTACACCTTTGTTCTATGCAGCCGTCGGGGGCAGAGTGGGGATTTTGAAAAGTCTGATCATGGCAGGAGCGGATGTCAATATTGCAGATAAGAATGGTAGGACGCCACTATTCCACGCCGCTGCTGGTGATTCATCACACATGATGTCCCTTGCTTTCGAGGGCGACTGTTTGGCCTCTGTCAGACTCTTGCTCGAATACGGAGCCTCCGCGACGCAGATCGACAATTTTGGCCAGACCCCACTTTTCGCAGCTGCCAGCAATGGACGAGACTCAGTGGCCAAACTTCTCATTGAACATAACGCGCATCTAGACTATGCTACGGCGCCCGACTCAGTCCAATTTGACCCATTGGCTTATGCTGCCATGAACGGCCATGCATCGACGGCGAAGTTGCTGTCTGAGACTGGGGCCTACATAGTGGCGACCCAGAGTGGGAAGGATGCAGCATCCTACGTGACCCTAGCCAATCTATTGAAAGCCGGATCAGACGGTCATGGTGATGTTTTCAAAGACCTGCAAGACAGCGGCGCCGATCCCAACATACGTGATTCACACGATCGTCTACCTCTACACTGGGCCGCATTCAGAGGAAACGATAATCTGCTCAAATGCCTTCTGGCGAACGGCGCCGATATCAATGCTCAAGATGTCTTTGGCCGAACGCCCCTATTCTATGCAGTCTTTGGGGCCCGGCATTCTACAGCTTTGTTGTTACTCGACGATCCGAGTATTGATTTTCAACATACCGACGTATTCGGCGATACCCCCCAGATCCATTCTCGCAAGAGACAATCTAAGGAAGAACACCAGTGGAAGATTTACAATCTCTTGAAGATCAAAAACGGGGACTACGAAGGCCTCCTCCACAACACTAGCTATGCTCCCCCTCCGCAGGCCCACCTGTATGCAGCCTGTGATGCGTGTCTTTACATTGACATGTGTATTTTTGCTTGCACAAAGTGTACTGCTCCAGTGCCACTCAGGAATGACCCCAGGAAAGACCGAAGTCTTGATCCACAATATGCTGAAAGTCTCGCGAACCGTTTGCTAGAGGGGATGGGGTCTCGCTGGGCTATGGTGAGATACTGCTCAATTTGTGTTTCGGAGGACAAGCCATGCCGGTGTCCGCTATGTGGTCAAACGCTCCATAATTTGCTCATCTAGAAGACTTTCTCCGTGACATCTATAGGTGGTAGGTAGTTACATTCCCGGGAATGTATTCCACCAACTTTACCTATCCACAGACACCGGATATATACACCTGTAGGGCTTGGAGGCCAGGTTTCCCGTAGAGCTGGCGACCCAAAACGAACAAAGGTCCACTATTTGGTCTTTTGAAGTCCATTCATGTATCAAAGATTTACTCCAAACCGCGGGTTACAGCATTCTTGTTCTCGACAGGACAAACACTTCAGCAACCACAAACAAATCCATTCACCTAGTACTTTCCTCAAGCAGCCCCAGCCTTCGTCCTTGGGGTATGCTTCTAAAAAGATTACACAGCTTCTCTATATGTCTTATATCTATTCTTCTCAATGTTGATTCTCTGCACCTAAGAAGATGCTGGCACATTATTCAAAACCCAATTCACCCCATCCACAACAATCTCCGGCTGCGTTATCTGAACAAAATGTCCACTCTCCATAGCAAAGACCAGCTCACTCCTCGTCGAAAGCTTCAAAAACTCCCTCATAAGGCCCTCATTCTTCACATCAACCGTCCTAATCATCTCCCTCACATGGGCCCTCTCCTCCTCCGTCCCATTCCCCTTCGCAACACCCGCCCTATACAGCCCACTCCAATCCCTACTTCGCGTACCAGCAATCACATAAACAGGCCTGTCCCCAACCAGCGGCTGCCTCTTACCCAGCTCCTTCTTCCGCAGCGTCTCAAAACTAGGACTATAGTTCTCGACTGCCTCCTTTTGCATAATCAACTGGTATTTTTCCGTTGATTCAGCCGCCCGGAAGGCGTCCCACTCTTCCTGCGACAGCTTGTGTTCCGCCTCCACACCCCACGCGGAGTACGGGTCCACGCCTGCGGCTACAGTCCACAGAATAGGGTCGTTCACGTTCAAAACTAGCGGGGCTGTCTCGTGGTTGGCGTCGACGAAAACTAGACCGGCGAGGTGGTCAGTGCCCTTGAGAGCTATGTATTCGTGTATGAGCACGCCCGCCCAGGAGTGTCCCACCAGTATCAGCGGGTTCGGGATTGGGGCTTTCTCGATTAACAAGGAGAGCTCCAGCGCGATGTTCTCGGCTGAGGGAGCCAGTGGTGAGTACTCCGAGTTGTTAAATCCGGAGCGGTCGTACGTGTAGCTCCGCACTGATGGACTCAGCAGTCGTACCACGGCTTGCCAGTTGAGGGCATCGCTTGCTACGCCAGAGATGAATAGTACGACTGGCTCGCTAGCGCTGGTGGGCTCTGGGCCGTGTGTGTAGAGAGCCAGAGAGTGGGTGCCGATGTTGACGAGTCGGCCGTTCGATGGGAGGGTTGAGGCCATTGTGGAAGTGGTTTTATAGATTCTGAGGTGTGTATGCGTCTGAGGCGTGACTGGTTATATTGAGGTCGTTCATCAGCGGGACAGTAGAAGTTTATCACCGTATGCTGTGAAAGCGATGGAGGGGCAGTGATGGAGGGGCAGAGGTGGAGGGACAAAGGCGAAGGGACAAAGAATCCAGAGGCCGGGATCCTTAGTTCGTGCTTATCAGGGTACGGTTTAGCGTTGTCGCAGGGGCGCCAGCCCCTGTTCGCCCCTAACGGTTTTGGAGGTCGTGATTGGACTGGGTACAACGTTGTCTCACATTCGTAATTTTATATCAGTTAGCGTTGCTTGATCGTATGAGTACGGGATTCCAATATCGACCTATTGATTTTCATTGGTTCAACATTGCCCTGCATCCTCTGTGTTACTGAACTAGTATATCGTGTACTCGGTCCTGGCGGCAGGTTGGGCGGCCCGGAATTAGGGTTATTCGGGGCTTCGCGGTGCCTGCATTTCAACGGTCTTTATAAAAGTTTATACATCGAGACATTGATAACAAGATGTTCTTGATGAATACAACGTACACTATCTTGCATACCTTAGTTAATTAAAAGATGTTTTTATGCTAAATTGGGAGGAAGCACATGGATCTACAGGAGAGTTGTGTGGCTAAACGACTGGGTAGTTTGGCGTGGCGCTCTGGGCAAATACCAACCTGATATACACGGATTGATTGCTTCTATACTATCCTCCGTACATACTTTTGGTTTACGCATCATATTTACCAATCCGTAACTCTAGACTGGGGGTTAGATGCGATGCTCGGGCTACTTGCGCCAAATTCTTCATCTTGATATCTAGAACCCTTCATTCCATAACAAGTCCTCCCTGCCCTGCTGTGGTATACATGAACCCGGCCAGACATACTGCATTGACGTTACCATACTCTATATATACCATTCAGTAAAGAGAATTAGTACATACGACCATAGGGTGTGGAGAACAGGGCTTCCCGTCCGCTCAGCCGTACTTAAGCCACACGCCGGCCGGTTAGTAGTATGGTGGGTGACCACATGCGAATCCCGGCTGTTGTATGTTTTTCCTTTTTCTTTTTGCTATATTATGTCGGAAATAAGTAGGGTTCCTACGTGAATTAGACCAGCCAGAAGACAGGTCGCGATAAAGAACTCAAGCGGCTTTCAGCAGAAACAGCCACCTCTTTAATTTCACCTTTTTTCCTCTTTGGTCTCTCGAGAGCTACACAGAATAGACATGAAGTATGCAATCATATATTCTTCTCCAACATAGTATCTGTTCTGTTGCCAAACGTTTTCGAGTATCATATTGGTTTTTCGGACTTAGGCGTTTGTATTTGCCTCAGGCCTCCAATCGAACGAGGGCCCTGTGGCCCCCTGGATATAATCTGGCGCTTGTATCTCAGACCGCTGTATTATACATGGAAGACACACCCAACTTTACATGTCGGTGAAACTGAAATGGGTGGTTTTGTGTGTGCTCTTGAAAGCTATTGGGTGGGTTGGCCAAGCATGCAGCAAAGGTGCATGACCTAGGAAATGTACTCCGTAGTAGGTAGGGTTATGCTGTGCCCACGGTATGTATGATCTGACTGTGGCTGGCAGGATACTGAAACCAAACGGTCATTAGTCCTGGTTATGTTTGTAATCATACAGCTTTGACACGTTCCATGTATGCCGGTCTGGCAGTTGAAGTGGCATGCGCAATTACTTGGAGCTGTGATGATGGCTACAAAGAATTTGATCATACTCCGTACATTAATTACAACCACGGCGTTTGGTAAGTGAAACTCAGCGGTGCGGGAAGCTTTTATGTCATCTCCAGGCCTAGGAATGACAGGAGACAACTGATCGCGTTGATTCTTGTTCCCCACAGACCCGCGATATGACCCTGCATATTCTTTGAGAAAGTGGCGTGCTTGAGCTTCCTATAAGGTAGCTCTATTGTATGTAACTTATCTAGTCGTAACATCTGGGTCATGATTGGATACCATACTCTCAAGAGATCGAAGCCAAGCCTGAGGGAAGAAACCCCGAGTAAAAGACCTGCCTAATTGACGCGAGGGTCGATACCTATTTGCTAATTCTAAAATTCGTGTCTCGATTGGTGCGTTGCTGATGATCTTGTAGGTGCTAATCTCGGGACCTACTTGCAGTTCCAAAAGGTTTAATATGGAAGATGTCACTTTGCATCGGAAGGAGGACAAAAAGTAACTGAGCAATGAGATCAGCACATGCAAGTACTACTCTACCAGTGAAGAAGAAACATAACTCAAGGTATGTATGAAAACGAACAGTTGAACATGGCTGCGGGGCGAATGCTGCTATCTACCACTGTCTTTGCGACGCGTGTAACTTGACAGTAGTATGTAGTATAATTGCCTTAAAACTGCAGCATAATGGCGTATTATACAGGTACAGGATGACTACCTCACAACCACTGTAGTTTTCCTGGCTATTAAGGAGGCTGGTCGCTTGCATCTCCTATTGTTATGTCATATGGAACACTAGGAGTATATAGAGTGGCCCCGAGGTCGTCCAGTCCAATCCCAGTAAATCTCCGCCATCTCATTACATTTCCTTCTGTATCAACTTTCCTGTCGCTCATCCATTCGCTGACCCTTGCCATTCAAGATGGCTCTAGACCAGAAGAACATCCAAGGTGACATCTGGTTGGTTACAGAACAACGGGCCGCGATATGGATATATAACTAACAGTCACAGGCCGCGACTGCCCAAAAAAAGTGAAATCTTCTTGTTTTGTGAGATCACCAATAGTGCCAAGTTCAAAGAGAAGCTCAGCGGATTTTCAAAACACCTTACCAGTGCCCACGACGCCCAGCAGATATTGAGTGAGATATCTCGACGCAAAACAAATGGGGAGCTTGGTCCCGACGACATCATCGACGCCATGGCAGTGAATCTTGCATGTTCTGCCAAGGGTCTCAAGAAGGTGAGTGTTTCCAGAAACTGAAGCTATACAGAAACTTATCATTTATGTACCCGTCCATTTAGCTGGAAAAAGAGGACCAAGGCGATGACGTATTCAGGAAAGGGATGTATAATGACATGGTGGTGGAGGGACTCGATAGAGAGGCGGAATGGCACGGTGAATTCAAGGGTCGCGTGGTGTGATCCATGTTGTCTTCATTCTCGCCGTCAGTACTGAGGAAGCCGTTCAAGATTTTGTGATTAAAGTCTTGAACCCAACATTCAAGAATGCCCCAGACCGCTCAGTCAAATATATGTTTGCGCAGACTGGTGTCGTATTGCAGCATGAGTGTGAACAGTGAGCGGATTCCACGTGCATTTCCTGCGAGGTACAGAATTGCTCACTGATATTGACTCAATCTAGCTTTGGGTGGGCAGACGTCGTTTCCCAGCCGTTGATCAAGGGGTTGGATAAACCTTCCTCGGAAAAGCTGGCGCCGCCACCTGTCAAGCCTGGGTAAGTAGATAGACCCTTCAATTAAAAGCTGGCTGGCTGACAAGTTCACCCAGCATCATGATTGTTGGAGCGGAAGCTGATACCGCAAACCATCCCGCATGGGCCAAGGACGGTAGCTTCATGGTGTTCCGGAGATCGAAGCAGCTGGTCCCCGAATCCATCCAGTAATGCCCCATGACCGCTTAACTATCATTTGAGCTTGTAATAACAGATTGGTTCGCAGATGGGTCACCGAGACCTTCAAACCGCAAGCGACAAATGAAAAGGGTGAATTGATGATGGGAGCGTTATCGTGTCTGTCATCTCGACTTATGGGAAGATGGCGTGATGGTCAGCATAACCGCCCATATTTTCGCCCTGGAATTCATTCACTAACCGAAGAAATTGGGATTTAGTCGTCTCTTTGGAGCAGAAGCCACATGCTTACGACGTTATGAACGACGTGGCAACGGTGGAAGACGGCTTAAAAAAAAGGTTCTGCCCATGTAGAGCTCATGAAGTCCAACGATTTTGATTTCAAGGATGTGCAATGGTAGGACAAATGTCCCTTCGCCTCTCATATCCGCAAAACGCGGCCTAGAGGAGATCGTCTGAACGAGAATGATGATCTGGATGATACGCATGCCATTGTCCGCCGAGGGATTCCATATGGACCGCAAACACAGAGAACAGAAACGCTATCGGGTATTTCCATGCATGATCGAGGGCTACTCTTCGTTTCTTACCAGAGTAACCTTCGCCACGGGTTCCGTTACATGCAAAAGGGTAAGTTCACCGGCTACTCCTCCTCATATCAGATTGGGTCAGGTTTATAACATGATATTAGAATGGTCGAATAAATTCTCTCACCCCGCTGGCAAGGACAAGAACTACGGTGGCGCGCAGCCAGGGTTGGACCCAATCATTGGCCAGTGGGCGGAGGGCGATGAAGAAAACAACTACGCGAATGTCCCCAGGCTTGACGACCCCCGAAAGCTTGAAAAGATCAAACTGGAGCGGATTGTCATTGCGGAGGGTGGCGAGTGTTTCTTTACTTCCTCGTTCTCTGGTATCAAGGATTTGTGCAAGTAACTATTATATTGAATCACAAGATAGATATGGTCCACGGGTATCATGGGCTCATATATCAGAACACCGTCCCCCCCCCCCCAGTTGCCTTAACGTACGAATTGGACTTTGCATGGTACTCTTAGAATAAAAGTCCTCTCCACGGTACATGATAACGTTGAGAAATTGAGCCAGCGACAATTTCGGCCGCTCCATGTTCGCGGATGTAACTAAACGATATACACTTTCTGTGGGATACATATTCCACATGGTAGGTCTAGTTTGGCATCGAACAAACGCACACATCTTTCACAAACTACATCTCTGTTATAAATGAGTTTTGAGGGTTTGGCGCTTCGGAATTTTGACATGAAAAAGTAGCTCTGCTGCCGGACATCGTGCGTCACTATACACATTAATCGAACCACGCAGCCGCTCGTCTCTACACCTCTCCTCCTTTGCATCCTTTCAACCACGCAGCCACTCGTCTCTACACCTCTCCTCCTTCGAATAGGTCAAAACGAGCGTGGCCGGCACCCCTGGAAAAGCCATTTATACCTATATCACCAGGGGGAGGACTTGCAATATCCCCAGGGGACTGGGAATACCCCTGAAAATCCCTAGCTATCCCTAGCTACCTACCTAGGGGTCCCATAAAGGGTCACCTCTTGCCTAATGGGCTTAGAACTCTAAAGGAATCTCTTATCCCATGTATTTGATCTGGTATATATATAAGCTATAAACTTACTTAAAGTGACTAGGAATACTAAGTAACTATAGATATTATATATTTAGAGTCAGACTTAATAAGTATTCTTAAAGATTTAAGTTATAAATACTCTAGTTATTATATTCTGATATATATCTATTAAAAAATCTTAAAATTATAATTATACTATTATATTATCTCACCTTTATTAAACTGATAATCCTCTTTATAATTATGCATAAAATACTAAAACTTTAGTTATATCCAGCAGGCTACACCTCCCTCTCTATAATTAATTCTATAAGAACTATAGTTTCAGCGCCTGTGTGAGGAGGCCTAGGTAGCCTGCTAGTATTACTACTCTTTCACCCCTATACCAAGTACCCAAGATAACATTAACCCATAATCACAATGCTGATGCGAGCTGACAGGCCCTACTTGGGCCCCTCGGCCGTCAGGGTCTTGGAAGGATCCCGGAAACAGCAATATATTCAAGGATAATGCATATCTCTCTCTCTCTCTCTCTATACACATTAATCTCAAGACCACTACACCAAAACGTTGACCTAACGTTTGGTGTAGGGCTTAAGCTGACTGAGATACCCAGCAATTAATGCTAACTTTTACAAGAACTAATACTATTCCTTGCTTATATATTCTATTATAGTAATATAGATAAAATCTAGCTTGAATAATGTCATCTATCTAGTAGTATACTTATTTTACTTCTATCATTATGTTCAAATCTACCAGAACTTAGGTCTTAAATGTCTTCTTGTAGATCCTTGGGGAACTCGATAATAGGGAAGGGACTTGGTAGATAAGGATAAATATTACCAACTACAGGTGTTGTCCACGATCAACTCAAGCGAAACACCATATCGAGCACCTAGCTCCCTTAGCTCATCCCTCACGCTCGGACCCCATTCACCTATATCAGTATCTATATAGCTTATAAGCAGAGTGACACCGCGCAAATATGGCGTGCAGGTTTTCCAATGTTCTAGCCATGTTTGTATCAAGCCCAAGATGGCACGATCTTCCCATTCCCATACAGGCCAATTATGTCGCTCATCACTGTGAAACATATCATCCTCGTTCTGATTTTTCAAATTGTCACTGATGAATAGAAATTCAATATTCCTTGGGATCACATCCTGCAACCGCCTCGTTGTATCTTGCGCAAAACCCACCAAGAACACCCATGGAACCTCAAGCCTCTTAACCATATCAAGATTGATGAGTACATCCAACAAGCCTTGAGTCTTGACAGCAGGGTTAAATGGTCCACCCCTTCCACGGGCACAGCTAGCTGTGATGGTCAAGTCGGTTAGAGTCCCTCGAACATGTGATATCGCACCAGCAAGACGACCCAGATCGATAACAGGTGTAGCGAACTGATCTCTGAAAGTGATACCCTCATCGTAATGCCAGTGGTAGTTAAGGGCTTTAAGGTTTCTGGTGACAGAGAGCAGTTCACCAAGATATATCTCCCAGACACTGGTCAAATGAAGTGATGTCAAATTCAGTGGGTCCGGTAAGTGTCCTGTGGGCCAGGTGAACGTGACCGGGTTCTCAATTGAGACTGACAAGTGTTGTATATTTGGTAGATAAAACAATGGCAGGACATCTGCTGTGTTTCTAATCTTTTTATCATGGGCTGGATTCTGACATTCACAGAAGAGCAAAGACACATCTTGGAGATGCTGGAAGCCGGGTAGCTTATAATCCATGGGCTTGAAGAGAGACAATCGGAAAACCATACCAATCAATGTGCTCTCTTGGGTGAAAACATTGCCAAGATATAGATATCTCAGATTCAAGGGTTGCGCTAATAGGAGAGCAACAAAAGCATCTATCCTACCATTACGCAACGCCTGTATCCAAAGATCGGCATACGGGACTCCAGTGCCCCGGATGAATATAATAAATTCATCCATGTCAGAACCGACTGGAACTTTTGGAAATCCCTGGCTCCAAGCGCATCTCCAGGGGAAGTCAACATCCAGGTGAATATTTGTGATGTAAGCAGCCAGCTGAGGCTTGCATATAATCGTCCGCAAGAGTAGAGTAATTGGAGGAGGAGGGTGACCTTCTTTCCATATCCACCGAACTTTTGAGTAAAGAAATGGCTCGGTCGCTGTGCAGAAATCTTTGTTGACAAAACATAGTACACGAAGTTCAGCAGGTGATAAAAACTTGAATATCAAGCCCAAGATTTCAACCGGGCAGGTATGAAAACCTGATAATGTTTGATGTTTCTAGTAATATTTTAGTAAGGGCCTTGCATTATCCATATCAAGCACCTACAGGTTCCATTGTCAGTGCCAATCCCAGTCAGAATTCAGGTCACTGCTTTTTTCATGTATGCGTGCGAGAAGAAGAGTTGAAAATTAGGATGGGGAAACTCAAGAGTCAAGTCATGGGGAGAGAAATCTGAGCGAGAAAGCGGTCTTTAAGAGCCTCAAATAATCAATCGTACCCCACCAGGTTTGTAGGTACTAGGTGGCTTTCATATTCCTCCGTCGCTGTTGATGGGGTCTATCACTACGAGTGACGTCTTTCCCCCCCACTTGACAATCTACTAAGTCAATACCATTGAATCGCCTAAACGAGGCTCCCCGTTCAGCCTACCTATTCTTGGATCGCCGATGGGGCCAATCTCCAAGGCTAAGCACCTTATTATCCTATCATTCATTAGTGATAGCCGTAAACCCTCGCTTCCCTCGGCGGCTTGATTACATGGCTAATAGCCGCATGGGTGTCTGTCGGTCTGCGCGAAGACGCCGGAGAGTAATGCAGTTCTAGTCTATGGTTAGTTGTTAGTGCTTTTTCCTGGCCTGGGCCTGATCAGATACATACAGGGTCAGCATTACGATAGGGCCCGGGAATAAGCAGCTAGAATAAGCAGGGGGATCATCACCCCTGTTTGCCTGCGGTCTGGGAAAGGCTTCTTTTCTGCCGTGAACCTATTGACAATTAGTACCTGGATAAACTGGCTGTTTTTTAAAGATTCCAAGAATATGACATCTTAGCCACAAGCCAAAACATTAATCAACTTTTGGTATAGGATTTGACCTGATTAATATCCCCAACATTGCATAGTTTATTAGGGTGTAGGAAGGTGTGTTACGTGAAGATTGCCAAATCCCATGCTTGTCAGGTAGTTGCTTGGCTCAGTGGCTGTGAGGACCGCAGGGCGCGGTCTAACAGAAGATCTGCGTTGCCACGCAGGACATGTAGCATACTACGGAGTATATACATCCGGGTAAATATCTGAGAACCATCTGAGCCCCAAACAATCTGAAACTCATTATAACTTTTCTATTATAACTCTTCTAAACAAATAATCCAGTACATACGACCATAGGGTGTGGAGAACAGGGCTTCCCGTCCGCTCAGCCGTACTTAAGCCACACGCCGGCCGGTTAGTAGTATGGTGGGTGACCACATGCGAATCCCGGCTGTTGTATGTTTTTCATTTTTATCTTTTTCTATATCTAATTTTTGTTTCAAGAATCTCAGACTGTGTTGTTGATGTTGGAGTAGTAGTTGTTGTTGACATGGGGTTGATCCAGTAACCGTGGTTAATCCATCCTACGTAACCCTAATCGAAACATGGCCGCTCTATCAGCCTACCGAGTCAATGACATTGCCACCAACGCCACGCATGCGCGTGTCGGAAACAAGCCTAAATGAATTATATGGCCCTGGACTGGAGTGACGCGCTCTACTCGGCGAATATGGACGTGCATTCTGATCCAACCAGTCCCTACGGTAAAAAGCAAGGTTGAGATCTGGCATGCCAGCGTTAGATATAGATCAAGGCCGCAGAAGCCCTACGGACGGCGAAAGCCCGTTTCATTGAACGTTGAAAGTAAGATTGTCTAGCAAGATCTGCTCTATTGTCATCACTTCATTTCATATCCGTCATTGGCTCCCTGATCCCCATTCTGGGAGACATGATGATAATAACCGTTTACCACGGCTCCTGGCTGCCGTCGTGCTTGAACAGCTTTCCACTGTGCGTCTTCAGAGTAGAGGCGTCAATCAGCTTAACAACACCGGTACAGCTCTGCTCAATGGTAAGAGCAGCCTTCTCGAATCCAAAGTAATCAGCACCTCGGTTGCCGATGGCGGTCTGGACCCAGCTATTTCGATGAAATGGTTAGCGACCTGCGAGGAAAGAAGACGTCTCAATACACGGCGATGCTCACCCAGGGTCCACAGGGAAGGCGTTCAGCCAAGGATCCTCCGCGGAGATCGCTTTGGTGTACCAGTGCTGAACGAGTTTGGTGGGGGCGTATGCAGCGTTTTGCATTGGAATATAGTTACTGGAATGGGTCAGTAAGGTCACCCATATATCGTGTCCACTTCCAGTGGAGTTTCAAACTCACTGCAGGCAGCGTTAGCAATGGTCTCGTGTCATCGGTCTTAAACAATTATGGGGAAACATACCGCCAGGAATGCGGAACCCGACCCAATCGTCACCCACTTGGGCTCCTTGGCCTCCTTGAGAACCGGTCGAAAAGCCTGGTAGAGCCGAATAAAACCATACAAGTTGACATCGACATGCTGCTGGATTTCGTCCACCTTGACTTCCGCAACCTTGGGCCAGGTGAGAGCGATACCGGAATTGGCGATAAGGATATCGATGTGATTGATCCCCTTGGCGGCCAGCTCCTGCACGGCGGCAACCTGGTCGGTGGGGGAGAGAGCATCGATCTTGACGATATGCAAAGTGGTACCTTCGGCTTTGGGCAGGGATTCTAACTCCTTGGACGTCGGGTGGCTAGGATCGCGGTTTGCAGCGATCACGGTGTGGTTAGGCTTCTGGAGGTACCGCTCCAGGATTCCCTTTCCAATGCCGCGGTTGGCACCGGTTACGAGAACAATTGTGGGAGACATGGTGAAACCTTCCGACCTCGTCATTGGGGAAAGGGGTTTTGGTTTTCTAATTGAGGCTTGGGAACGCGCAAGAATTGCAACGTGAAGAGTGTAAAGCACAAGACTCGGCGATGAGACGGAGATGAGGCAGGCGCAAGGTTAATTGTTGACAACACGATCTTGCTATCAAATGGACAGACACGCACACCAACGAGTATTTATTACTGCTGCGCGCCTGGAAAGTCTTGCTTATCAACTAGCAGATCAGAGCTTGCTAATCGCCGCTGTGTCATAATATACGGTAGTCTCCGAGATTCGGGCATCCTCGAGTGTGTTCCAGAAGATCACGCCATCAGGAGCGAAACAAAGACGGGCGTCCGACGGCCTACGCCAAAAGTAATCAGGATCTAGTCTATGGTTGGCTGGGATTGCTACTGCTTACTGCTCGCTTGGACCTGATCAGAGACATGACGCAGGGTCAGCGCTAATGCGGGACCTGGAAATAAGCAGCTAGAATAAGCAGCTAGAATAAGCAGCGGGGATCATCGGCTCCGTTTGGCTGCTGCTTTGGAGTGGCTTTGTATTCATTGTGTGCTCATTGATAATTAGTTCCCTTGATGACTTGACCGCTCCTTGGGACTCTAAGAATGTTGTATAGTGTATTGGGGTCTCGGAAAACGTATTATGCGGAGAGTGCCAGATGCCACGCTTCTCAGATAGTCGCTTGGCATGGACTTCACTCCTAGATTATCGGTCTTTCAGTACAGACTATTGCACGCGGTGAAAGATTAATGCTCGAGGTCTCCCCTGAAAGGCAAAAATATAGAGAATAGTGAAATTAAGGCATCGGAATCCAAGCAGTATTGTCTGAATTCCGGCGTCGTGGATCTATTCCTCAGGCGTTCAGTGTTCCATTCATCGCAGCCTTGATGAAGTCAATTTGAGATTTCAAGATATAATATGAGCCGTCACCACTCATTACAGTCAAATGCCCTTTTCCTTTTGCCAAATGGAACTTCTTCGGCTGTTGGAACCTTTCAAAGGCCTTGATTTGCTCACTCGGAGGCGATATGGTATCAACTCGGTTGTGATCATCATAACAGGAGTAATATCGACCAACTGGAGACTCTCCTTGGGTTTCTACATGGCCAGCTTGTCGTAGCTCTGCGGAACAATGTGGCAGTGGAAGTTGGGAGCCCCACAGTCAATGACAACATTCATGAAACCGTACGCTCCCCCCCCCCTCCAGCGACCTAGCCATCTCAATCGGATTCTCCCCCTTGTTGTTGAAAGGGAGCAGATCGAAAGTATCATTCCCGCCCAATTGGGATTGGGGATCTTTGGTAAGTCAGGAAATTGCCCCTTCTTGATTCTCATGATTGGCAAAGCTCAAGATCGGGCACACCATGACTAGTGCTTTCACTCGACGACCGACTGCTGCTGCAAGCGCTAACCGTTTCCCCAACAGGCATTCCCCAGAGGGTGATGCGAGTCCCATCAACACCTTCTTGGATGCATTTGCCACCTTCCGCCAGTCCCTTGGCTTAAAGGCAAATGCTGTGGATCTCGGTTTGATTGGGGACGTTGGTTATGTTGCTGAACAGGGTGGTATGGACAGCCACTTTGATAAACGGCAGTGGATACCCATGTTCGAGGGCACATTGCGACATATCCTTGATCTTTCGATCGTGCAGCAAACTTCCTCGCCCATCAATGCTTCCAGTAGCGCGCAGTTAATCACTGGTATTGGGTTCCCTCTGCCCGACGACTCGGACCTGATCCGCGAGGCGAGATTCGAGTACCACTTTAGACGAAGTGCTGGAGTCGGATCGGGGGGCAAGGATGGCGGAGGCAAGGGAGACTGAGCTGGAGCCGGCTAAGTCGTTGATGGCATATGGACTGGATTCCCTGGCGGCAGTGGAGCTGAGGAATTGGGTGAGCTCGGAGCTAGAGGCGGATCTCACCACGCTGGATATTACCAACGCCAGTTCCCTGGTTTCACTTTGTGAGAAACTGGTCTCTAAGATGCCCCAGCCGGCGAATTCTGCCCCTTGGGGCTCATATGGAAATATGAAGGGTATCCAGATAGTTGAACGGATATCATAAATGAATCGGTCGACGAAGTTTGCAACCCAAGCTTCTTTCTGTCCAGCTACCTTCTCACTAGATGATAAAGAGTTTTTATTGAAGTATTCTCAGTTGATCGAGCTAATCAGGAGGGGGAACATCCACCCCGCTCGCAATTGGAGTATGGATATGTTGGATATGTTGGATATAGTTTAGCTGACTAGACCAAAATGAGACAGACTAAGAATGTCCCTCGTAGCCTGACGTCAGCTTGTCTACACCGTATCACTTCCGTTTGTGCATTCTCTTTGTTGTCCTCTGGTTCATACCAGATCACCCTTCACAATGGCCACATATCGGTATGACCTACCATGATCACAATGAGACAAGCAGCTAACGCCGTTTCGTAGCGAAGCTTGGAGTCTCTTCCAAGATGATGTTGTGCTTCCTTCCAGTAGTACCGCTAATTTGTCCAGCGGGACAGAGCTGCCAGGTCAGAGCGCAGCATCGAGGACAGTGTCGAAAACAGAACTCGTCTCGGAGCTTCGGCGTCTTCGACAAGACTTGCAAGATCTACAGTCTACCAGGTAAGCACTCTCATGAGCACAATTTCATCTCACTTACTTCTAGACTGTCACTAATCCCAGCCCATTTTCCCAGTCATCCCAACCAAGATCCCCACACCACGTTTTCCTCCACCCAACCAGACAATTCTCTTCCCCGAGAACCAGGGACCGAGAAATTGGAACCATATCGCTGTTGGGAATCCTGTTGCAACGGCCGAGTATTCTCCACTCGAAGTAACTTGATTCGACATCAAAGAGAGCGAAAGGGGGAATCGGCCAAGCTGCGATGTTCCTTTTGTGGTGCGGTTTTCTTGCGCAGCTCGGCTCGGAATGCGCATGAGTCTGCCAGGCGATGTCGTCGGTGATGGAAAAGAACACCATCACTAGACTTTGTCTTTTTAAATTGGTATCTGAATTAGAAGAAATTTTCTAAACTATTAGTTAGTAATGGTAGCCACGAGTTGTCAATTTTGTGAGAGCGCATGTCTTTTGGTCATGTTGGACATGGTACTTCACCACCACATCAGCAAGGCTAAGATAGGGTAGATGGTGTGTATTGTTATTCTGGTCGTAATGATAATCGAGCATAGCAATCTTGTCTACTCAATAATGAGCAAATGGCCACTGTTGATGGATGATGATCCGAATCGGACGGGAGGGATCACGGTCCGGCTTTGTTGATCCTTCGGCGAGGGATCACCGATATGTTTCCAGGATATATATAGCACAATACTTCCACACAGTAGTCTCTATTCTCTTTCATCAGTATCATAATATCCAAAATGGTCTCTCTAAAAACAGTCCAAACATCCAACACCGGCCTTCGAGCCCTCCCCAACATCACAGCCCTATTTGTCGGAGGCACCAGCGGCATCGGCCAAAGCACCCTGCGCCAACTGGCACGTCACGCCGACAGCCCTACAGCCTATATTGTCGGTCGCAACGAGGCTCGCGCGCGTCCGTTCCTATCTGAACTGCAGCAATTGAGTCCCAAGGGCCGATTTCACTTTATCGAGGCGGATGTGTCCCTACTGCGCAATGTGGACGCCGCATGTCGGCCGATCCTCCAGCAGGAGAAGCAGTTGAATTTTCTGTTCATGACACCGGGGGGGATCTCTCTGGGAGGGCGAAATGGTATGCAATCTCATATTATTTCAGGGAGTGCAATGAGCTGACAAAAGATCCCAGAAACCATCGAAGGCATAGACCACCTCTTCTCCCTCCGCTATTACTCCCGCATGCGCTTCATCCAGAACCTCCTCCCTCTGCTCTCGTCATCATCATCATCCGGACCAAGCAGAGTCGTCAGCATCTACGGCGGCGGCTTCGAGTACTCTATCAACACCTCCGACCTCGACCTCAAGTACAACTTCTCCCTGCTCAATGCCTACAAGCACTCTATCACCATGACCTCGCTCAGCATGGAACACCTCGCCACCACCCACCCAGCCGTCAGCTTCATCCACGCCTACCCCGGTCTGGTGGGCACAAACATATACAGCAATAGCTTCCCTGTGCCGGTGTCGACGTTCTATAATTACGGACTGTGGCCGTTCATGTGGCCGTTTTCTGTGGGTCTGGCTGAGAGTGGTGAGCGGCATTTGTTCCATTTGAGTTCGGCGCGATATCCTGCTCAACGAAGCGCTGGGTCGCGAGGGGTTCCGCTGGATATAGGCACTGGGGATATAGCGAAGGGTACGAACGGGAAAATCGGGAGTGGTGCCTATCTTCTGAATTGGAAGGGCGAGGTTAGACCCAGCACCAAAGTGATGGCGCGGTATCAGGAAGAGAGGATACCGGAGTTGGTTTGGGGTCATACAGAGAGACTCATGGAGGAGGCGGTGCGTCGATAGATATCTAGGTAGGATACCCCATAGAGCAATACTTGATAGCTGTTACTTCTGGATGATCGGTCTAACCATACATATAATGCTTAGGACGCCGTGAAGCAAACTAATTGCTAGTGAGACACAATCTGCTGGACTGTGGTTATTTGTCTCTATCTGGGAAATCTTCCTTCGTTGCTGCGTTGAGATCAAAAACAGGAAGAAGAGGGATCGTGGAGAAAGGCACATCTAGATTGGACAAGTCAAAGCCCATATTTGGGAATTGGCTCCAGCCCATCCCCATCTCCATCTGATCTATTTCCGGGAGGTCACCGAGACGTTGGCATACCGCAGGGGGAACACCCTCGTCCTGCATCTGCATAAAATCAGGCGCTTCCTTCCCCGGGAAACACGATTCGGTAGCCTGGGACATTGACTGGAGATCAGTGCCGAGGGGTGGTTCGAGCGAAAAGCGGACTGTATCCGTATTCACGTCCGTTGACGCCAACGACAACGGAACCCATGACGCCGGGCCTTGCGAGCTGGAATCGACCATTGTTGCATCATCCGAGGCGGCTTCAACCATGTTGAAATGGGTTTTAATCTCCCATCCAGTAAGCCACGAACCAGCCTCCTCCCCACTTTCCAACCACTCCCGCATTCTAACAAGCACAGTGGTCAGTTTCGTCGCAGGCCACAAAGGACCCCACCCCGCAGTCATCTGGATCACGCGATCAAGACGTTCCGACACCTGCAGCCTGTCGATTTGCAACACGGCGGCGTCTTGAGTGGGGAGTTTGGCTGCTGCGAAGTGCAGTTTGACCAGGATCAGGAATGTGTAGATTATCCGGATGAGGTACATCGCGGGGAGGGCTCGGATGGTTGACATGTCTAGCGAGGTGAATACCCGGAAGATGTTGTCTATTGTTTGTGTGAACTCGGTTATCGCGTGTGGTTCGATTGTCACGATTGGTGGGCTGTCTTCGCTGGGAATATCAACATCACCCGTTGCTGTGCAGTGAGCTACTTCGTTGATGTACAAGCGTGAGAGATGATACGAAAGCTCGAGGGACTCTACAGCTCCTCGTCAGTCCTCGGCAGGAAGTCAAGGCAGGGAATCAAGGCCAAAAGGGGGAGTTACCATCCCAACCATCAGCAATGCTCCCAAGCCATTCGTCCAGCTGCCGTTTAAAAGCACGATGGATATAAATCGCTCGTGATTCATCCACAGAAGAAGTCCCTCCCGCAGACAAATGCATCGCAAATTCTTCGGTTATATGCTGCAGCCGGATATGCTGACAGAAAAGCCTATCCGATGGAAGGGCAGCCGGGGATGTTTCTAACACCCCCAGACATTCGTCCATCAGACGGGTCCATCTCATGACGTTTGGGGCGCGGAGGGACATTGAGGTACTGCATGGATTTGGTTAACTCCGCGACGCTTCCCGGGGATACCTTGTTTTCTCTGTCTTACTTGGAGCAAATATAGTGGCATCCTAGCCACACTCGCCGAGCGGGCAGTGACTCTTCCCGGAAGACGCTTCCAGGACGTTTTTCCTTCTCCCGAGAAGATATGTTGATGTTCAGTCTCTCCCCCAATCTCATTATCAACGCCATATTAGCCGCTGTGTGGCTTATCTGATAGATATCCATCTGTTCTCCGGGCATGACAGGCTCAATCGTGCGATACCACATGGCAGACACAATCAAAGCCTGGAGCAATCCGAGCGTATACTGTTCAGATCGAAGCATGCAATGCACATAGAGCTGTACAATTAGCTTCCGGAGATTTCTTTGTGTTTCGAGCGCACAGAATCCCGACGAGGCCACGTCGAGAATCGCCAGAAAGAGAATGGGGTTGTCGCTTCTGACGTCTGCTGCTGTGGTACTCGGTGGGAAGACGACGACTGGGAATTTGGAGGCCATGTTGGTCAGATATCGGCTGAATATTGTTTCTGTGGTGCGATCGTCCAGGTCTGTGATGTTGGCGTTTAGCCAGGATTGGATGGTCGATTTCAGATCTTCTATTCCTGAACTACTACTACCTACCCGGGTAGACGGACGGTTGACCATGTTAGCGATGAATATATATACAACTTGCCACTCCGGACAAACCCACCATTGAACGGTATGCCGGCTCCCATTGGCGGGTTCCAATCATGCTGCCGGTTGTTGCGCGACGATTCTGAAAGCGAATGCAGAGGGCTTGTCGCCGGCGGGTTATCCCCAGCGCTATCCCGCAACTCCGCAGACGACAATATCGACTCAATCCGTGACTCAATCTCCAGGATACGGTCGTTGAACTGGCGCCGTCTATTCCCCGGTTGACTCGCGGCATCAATGCAGGGCTTGCCTGATCTCTGGCACCGGAGACATGGCATGCTAGGGTCAGGCTGGTCACATTTGACTTTTGAGGCACGGCATGGCTGGCATGCTCGTGGGTTATTGCTGTCAAGTCCAAAAAGTCGGGTAAATAACACACGTCGGCGATGTCGTCGGCTTGAACATGTTTCATTACTCACAGGTTCTGGTACTGAGCTTGCTTCTGCTGGGATCGCTGCTCTTCCCCCATGCTCGCATTCCCTGATTCTGCACTGTGGGATTGATCGGACGAGGGGGTATATAATCAGGACATAGAAAAGAGAAGCGGCCACATTCCCCTCCACGGTGACATCTGAGCCTGAGTAACATGGGGACAAAGAGCTGTGCTTACTTAGAATATGTTGGGTTAAGTTTGGCCAGTAAAAGCTAGTTTCTAAGCGCAGCGATCTAATTATACGAAAGAAGTAAAGGGCACTAGTTAGTCTCAACCACAGCACCAAAATAGGGCTTTATATAACTGATCCCAACAGTTAGCTAATTAACTACACTAGTCGTATACCATGCGAGGACTGATGATAACAGTCAAATGCTAAATCAGTTTGATGATTCTTATAACACTGAAGATGGCGTGAACGGTTGTAGAAGTGAAGGGTCAATATATTCCTGCCTGGTTAGATTATTGTTGTTACTGCGCATGTTTGATTTAATAACCCTGGCTAATCAGAAGTACCTACGTAGCCCTAACACTAGCCTTGGATATATATAGCTATATGCATTCCCCTTCCACCACTATATATTCCATCTACAGCACCACCAGACAGATACTTATACCGTAGTCAGCGTGAATCTTCATGTGCCATTAAATTATGTGTAGGTAAAGTGCAATCTGCTCCTTCCTTCCATAGGTACATACATCCATATATCCATCCTCCCATGTCCATCTCCATGTACAGACGGAAAGTAAAAACGCAGCTAGCGGGTGATTTGTGTTCATTGGATCGTGAATAGTAAGGGTTTCGTGACGTGGTGCTGTGTGCAGATAAAAGAAAAGAGACACAAAAAAAGCAAAAGCAAAACATAGAAGGGAGAGGTGGAAACCTGCGCAAACGAAAACCATAAATCGATGAAACCAGAAAATGCATCGAATCGTCATCCTATCTGGGAGTTGTTTTCCTCCAGACAAGGCTGGGTATTATTCGCGTGAACTAGCTAGGCAATTGCTATCGTCTTCGACGGTCCCTTCTGTCGTATAGCCCTTCATCTCCCTCGTCTTCTTCCTCCACCGGTGCCGGGGTGCGTCGTTCCGTGCGTCGTTTGGGCCGGCGCCGGCGGCTGGAGCTAATATTACTGGCGGAGTCATCCGGGGCTAGGGAGTAGGTGTCGTCGAGGAAGTCGTCTTCGGTGCCGCTTTCCCATCCGTTCAGGGCTGATGCCGGCGTGCCCATCCGCGCTTCTACGTACGAGCCGCGGCGGTTCTGGTTGGCGACGGAGAGGCCGGCTCCGCGTTGGCGCAGGGCTAGACGCACGGACTCAGCTTTGCAGTGTAGCACCTCGAATGCGTCTTCCAGGGCTTCCATGCCGAGATAGATGTCGCGTTCGATTTCGGCCAGCGCGGCGATTTCCTGCTCTTCGTCGAGGACGATGGGTCCGCCGGAGGCGGGCGACGGGGAGCTGCCCGGTGGTTGGCTGGCTGAGCGGAAGGTGCCGTCTATGTGGTTGGGTGTGGGCCCCCGCGAAATTCCCCCGGTGGTGAAGGGGGTGTTGGCCCGGCTGTTGCTCCAGCGGGGAGACCCATGCGGAGGGACAAAGGTGTCCTCGGCGCCACTGCGGAGGAATCCGTCGAAACGGCCGGAGATCAGGATGTCCCACTCGTCGTCGCTGATGGCCGCGAGAGTTGCTATTACGTGGTGGATGCCCGGGTTGTTGAGCATGTAGATGGCGGTTTCGGGGTCGCGGGGGAGAGCAGCGAGGCGGTACAAGCGTTGGATGGCCAGGGAGGATGACACTAACAAAGGCGGTCGCGGGCGAGGCTCACCGTCGGGACGAGGGGTGGGTGTTGCGGAGTTGATTCCGAGAAGGGAGCAGAAGAGCGGACGCTGCTCGGCCCCAAGGTGAGTGAGCATGGCAAATGTTAATGTCTCATCGTCTACCCCGTCAGGCGCGCTCGACCCCTGTCCGGTTTGTTCGTTAAGCCACTTGTCCACCGCCACCTTGGTCTTGCGGGACTGGCGCATGTAATGCTCCCGGTACTGCTCCGGAACATCGATGTCCATCTTCTGCATCGGAATATGCTCGTCACCGGACAGTTCTGCACCGTCCACCGGCATCGTCATTGTGAAGGGCGGCCAGCCGGGCAGCTCGCGGCGTCCCGAGACAAGCTCGAGAACCTCGCCCCAGCTCACCCCGGTATGCGGCTCCTCCATCCCGTTATGCTCGCACATGAAACATCGGCACGTTTCCGACGAGATGTCACGGGCAAAGACAGCTTCCAGCCGATCCAGCAGACGGCGTGCCACCGACCGATATCCCGTCGCAACGGCCAACGAACCATTTTTTGTCATCACATGGTGGAAATCGTCTAGAAGTCGCGTGAATGGGTCAAAGATACTGGCAGCAGCAGACTGCGGTTGGAAGCTCTGGTAAGGCGGTGGGTCGGGGGCATCCGCGCCCATCAGGAGTGTTCTCGGCACCCGGCGGTTCAGGCCGCCATGCTGAAGTAGATAGTCCACCCTTGGGATGGTCACCGGCATCTCTGGCGGGGGCGGAGGCGGGGGAGGAGCGTCAAACGTGGAGCTGGCAGTCGGGGGTCGGCCGTAGTCTCCAGCGATGTCGACCGCGGGGCGGCTGGCGGGACGATTAGACATGGACGAACGGTTCTGGGTGCGGGACGGAGGCTTTTCAGGACTCTTGTGCTTCCGTCGATATGTCGCATTGATGGTGGCGTCCGAGCCGTTTGCTGATTCGAAGGCGGCATCACGGACAGGCGCTGGGGATCGAGGAGGTGTGGCCGTGCGGCTGCTGGGTCGCTTGGGGTCCTCGAAAATCTTCGACTTTGTCGAGTTGCGACTGGCCGTGCGGGGAGGCTCTTCCTTGTCCTGGCTCGACCTCTTCGACTTGGTGGGCGTGTCAGCTCGGGCGGTCGTGCTCGACTTGGTCCCGTCGTCTTTCTTCGCTCGTAGACTCGACGACGACCGGTTCGCATCTGTTCGTATACGGATCTTGGTTTTCCCATCCTTGGCCTTCTCCTCCGTCACTTTATTCTCTTTATCCCCGACCGAACTACTCTTGCGCGAATGCTGGTCCGTGCTCGTCAACGGTGGGCTCGGAGGCGCATGGTGGTTGTCCGAGCGGCGGGGACGTTCTTCCTTGGCATCGTTGCTGCGTTCGGTCAGATCGGTCGGATCGGGGGTGGGGATTCCCGGTCGGCTAACGGCCTCTTTGCTATGAGCCTTGGAAAAATTCGGATACGGCAGGCTGGTCCTCGACTCGAGGAACGAGGCCGTGCTGGCGCCGGGGTTGTCGACGTCCGGCATGGAGGAGCGGCGCTTCTTGCGGGACTTGGAGGCGGATGTGGAAAGGGTCGAGGAACGGCCCGTGGGGTCGTCCGGATCGTGTTCCTTGGTTGAGGTGCGGCTGGGGCGTCCGTGGATCGAGTGGTGTTTTCGGCTCTTCGTTTTGGAGGAGGTCGACGATGACGATGCTTTACGCTGGCGGTCCCTGTCGCGATCTCGGTCATTTAATCTCAACGGTAGAAACATGACGTGGAATGGTTCGAGCGAGGTGGACGGGAAGAGGAGCTGAACGACGACCAGCTAGTGATCGGTTCTTCCGAATTCCTTAATTCTTTTTTTCCACCCCTTCCTCCCCTAGTGTCGGTTCGACCGATTTGTGACGTTCTAGTTACCTCAGAGATCAAAAAACAATGGAAAAAGAAGAATCAATCAATCAGCGATCGATTAGGCAGCGAGTTGCAGGAGGCGGCAAGTCATCCAGGTGACCTGATATGAGAGGCTCCGATCGATCGGATGCTCTGGCGCTTAGAGACACAGAACAAACCGAGATGTGAATCTCACTGGTCGATAGGTCACGAAGGCGCTTATGTCAATCCACGGAAGGACGGTCCGCAAAAGGGCTGCGACATGCCGTCGCGACAGAAGCAAGTCAAAAAAATAAAGTAAAATCCAAACCCAGATCGAAAAAGGAATAGTAGACAAGTCACAAGAGACGAAGAAGAAGATCAGGCACAATGCATGAGGAGAGAAGAGAGATGGAGAAGAGGCCTGCCTAGTCAACTCGGGGAGGGGGGGTTGGTCTTGCGGTGAGAAAAGCGACTGGAGACTTCTCCGCAGAAACAATCGACCCGGTGCTTTTCTTGTCTTTTCGATTTCTTTTTTTAGTCAAGAAGAACCGCCTTGACTCGTAGTCTAATTAGTTTGGTCAATGAGCGATCGAGGATCGTAAAGTGAGTGGGACCACTCCGAGCGAGGCCCTGGCTGCATGGAAACCCAATGAAGTGGGGGCAGAGAATCGATTGTGGAAGCGTGGTCTGGCGTTCCTCGAGTAACAGAGGAGATGGAGATGAGGCTGCTTCTCTGGGACGATCCAACAATGTTGATCGGATGGACGTTTGATTGAAGATGCAAGGAGAGAGAAAGATGGAATTCAGCGAGTGAAATCGAGATCGAGACTAAACACCTGGACACCTCAGGCAATGAACACGCTGCGGCCTAAGGCGTGGGGTCTGTGCCTTACGGAGATCCATGATCTGGACAGTCACCACCACAATCATACTTGTAAAATAATACAATGCTCATTGGATTTCATGAAAAATTGACTGATAGCTTAAGGGTATCTGCGCTGATAAAGTCTAATCCGAATCCGAAACCATGCAAGGCATGTGCAATCAATCCCAATCCTGAATCCCAACATAGCAAACTCCAGATCCTAACAATTACAATAATAATGATGACGATAACAAAACAGGCAATCAAACCGCACTCCCCATAGTAAGTCCGTTGGCGACCTTCTTGACAGGCGACGTCTGAAGAATCCAGTTTCCGTCCTCTTCGTGCGCTATCCCCCCAAGACGGGCAGCGTGCATCGTCTTCTCGCTCGCGGGCGTTCGCTCTCCCGTATGGTAATCCCACGCCCAGCCCTCCTTGAGCCACATCCATGTCAAGTAGGCGCGTAGCTCCTTGTCCTGGGGAAGAACAGTTTTCCATTCCGGAACGAAATCGCCCTCCGCAGCATCGCGCCCCTTCCAGTCCGTAGCCCGACCTCTCAGTTCGTCGCGACAGAAGATCCGCCAGCTGTCGAGGGAGTACGCCCCAACACCGGGTAAATGAGCAATCTCCCAGGCCACGCGGGGATCGTCATATTCGATGCACTCTTCCTGGCCAACGTCCCGGCCGTCTGTTTTGCAAGGGTAGTGCAATTCTCGGTACCGCTTATCTTTACTAGGCGGGTGGGCCAGCCAGGTCTGTGCGAGACCGATACATTTCTTCGCGCGTTGGTTTTGAAAGCCCAGGCAGCGGATCATGGAAACAAGAGAGGTAGGATCAGCCGTTGCCATGGACTCAATAGTGGGAAACTGGTCGAAAACTTGGAAGAGAACCGGCAGAGCAACGGCCCCGCGGGTTCGATTGAGAAAGATAGTCGCAATAAGCAGGCGGAAAGGGTCGTGGGCGAGCTGTTCTTGAACCAACCCAAAGGACGATTCATCAATAGGCGGAAAAGGAAGGCACGATTCCAATGCGGCTGACGCGGATGGAAAATACGGGGATATCTTGGGAAGCTTGAGACGCGGTGGCTTGAGAGGCGCAGGGGAGTCCCTGTTTGGAATCAGATCCCTTACAGGCGTTGCTGGTGGAGTAAATAACGTGTTGCTGCGAGGGACGTCGCTCAAGGACGAATCTGACGAGAGAAAGTCCCCTGGCAACCCCAAGTTTGTCATGATCTCCCGAGTTTCGGCGGGTATCGTCGGGCTCCCGTTGCCAATTCGTATGTTATGAAAATATTTAGACCTCACCTCATCGCGGATGGTCAATCCCAGCGAATCATCGGGTGTTAAAAATCCATGTCCCAGTAAGGATCTTCCATGACAGGGGTATCGGGGTCGGGCCGGAGGGCTGTGCGGTTCAACTGCTTTTCCGGCGTTCGAAGCAGCGGTTGTGGCTCGGGGCTGACAGCAGGGGACTGCCGACCTTCGTTTTCGGAACGCTGACTAGTAAGACTGTCTCGGTACTTCTTGGACTTTGTTGACTTTTGACGTTTGTTCCTCCGACGGGTCCGTCGCAGTTCCCGCTCTTCCTCTTTGCGGCGACTGTGGCTGGCCAGGGAGGTTGAACGGTCTGAAGAGCGAGTGCTCGCATGCGTAGGAGAGGTCGTATTCCCTTCGTTGCTAGTCTCATATATCTGGAAAGCCGTGGGAGCGGCCACCTCCGGGGGGGTGTCGTTCATCACAGGATTTGCATGCTTGGAAGGCTCCTCTGGCTCTTCATCCACGTCGCCATGTGCCGACTCACTCGTAGGCTGACGGGATACAGCACGGCGAACAATCGGCCTGTACCCCACGTTGATGTCGGGAGAACGAGACGAAGAACTAGCAGAAACAACCACAGGCTCATCGTCGCTGTCGACGTTGATGATTTCGGGCTCTGGTTTGTTCTGCTTTTCAGCAGCCGTAGCAGGAGTAGAGGAGCTGCTCTTTTTCGATTCCTTGGCCTTCTTTTTGGGACTATCGTCTTTCTTGGCCTTCTTCCTGGGACTATCGTCTTTCTTGTCCTTCTTCCTACAATCATCATCTTTCTTGGCCTTCTTCCTGGGACTACCGTCTTTCTTAGCCTTCTCCCTAGGATGATCGTCCTCCCGGTGTCGCTTTTCCTTCGACCTCTTCAACGACTTCTCCCGTCCACCATCTCCATCAGTGGAGGCTTCTCTTTCTGTCATGGCAGTCTTCTGCATGTCGCGACAAAGTCCCTTGACATAGTTCTCCAGCCGGCGAATAGTCGGTTTATCGACATTCGCCAGGCCAGCCTCTTTCCGCAAGTCGGACACAAAACGCCGCCACTTCTTGCGCTTCGCGCGGTATTTGGGGTTGGTGACGAACGAGTGCGAGGTGATGAAGGATACTAGTCTGTCCCTCTGGCTTTCCTCCAGGGTTTCCAGAACGTAGTCGTCTTCGTCTGCGCCGGCCGGGGTCTGGGTTTGGAGGTTCGGTTTCTGGGCGGGAATCTTTCGCACTTCGATAATGTCGCAGCTGGACGATCTCTCGGGTTGGTGTTTGTCCTTGGTGCGTCGTCTTTGTGGTTGTACCTCTTCTTCCTGGTCCGCTTCCTCTTCCTCTTCCTCTACCTCCTCCGCCTCCGCACTACTCATCCTCGTAATATTCCTCTGCGCCACAGGCCCTTTCTTTATGCCTTTCACCTCGGTAGCAAAATACGGCGAGCGATGCTGAGTCCGCTTCTTCGACCGCTTCATCGGACGTTCCTCCGGCGCCGCAGCAGCCAAACCGTCATCGTGAGTCCCATCCACCATTCCACCCGCACTCCCTTCATGACTGTAGTCGTCAAAGTTACTCTCGACGCTCGGATCAGAGAGGATCTCGTCCACCGTGCGCTCCACTTCTTCGTCGAACGACTCGAACAGGGTGAGGTCGATACGTGGGGGTGGGACCACGACGGAGACTCTGTCGGTGCTGGGTTCCATGGTGTCGTTTTGCTGAAGGACGGAGCTTTCGGATGTAGTTGCGAGCTAGGCAGTGTACTAGCTGATCCAATCGGTCCAAAAGACAAAGTTGTAACCGGTAGGAAAGAAAGAAAGCTATGAATCGGTAGAGAAAGAAAGGAAGAAACGACCGTCGCACATGGTCAGAAGATCAAGCGGGGAGGAAAACACAGCAAACACTGTGAAGAAAACATCTGTCAGTGATTGTTTGACATGATGGCAACTACTAGAGGGAATCAATAAAGCCATTCACTCACCAGGAGACCGTTTCACGGCCATAACTGGAAGTTGCAGCTGGTAGCTAGAGCTCTGTCGCCCATGAGAGCTAAGCTAAGCTAAGGTTTCCAGCAAGGGCTGACTAGCTTACTTGTAGTGAGTTTGGAAGAGACAGTGAATGGATGAAAGACAATGATTATTTGTTTAGTACAAATTGAAACTGAGACAGAGCTGGACAATGGTTCTGTAAGAAAGTGGGCCATTAATGTAGAGATAGAGTGATAAAGATAAAGCTGTTCGGACGCCAGAAAACGCGGGAGCACAGACCACTTCGCGATACGGTCGTGTCCGTAATTGATCCGTCACTTTTGCTCTATCCAGTGGACAGGTAAACTACAAAAAGGAACAAAGATGGAATGAAATGAGATAGATAAAATAAATATCTCGCATTGACTTCATATTGACAACAGCCAATTACTTCAATTATTTACTCGTATCATCAATATCTTAACTAAACAGCTATCCCTCCCGAATTCAACTGCCTCGGCTCACCCGCAGCATCAAACGTCCCATCCGGAAGCCGACGGATCGCCTGCGCGGAGCTCTCCCCAGGCGCCAGCCAAGTGACATTATGGCCGAGGGACTTCATGAAAGCGACAGTGGAATTGTCATAAGAATACTCGAACTGCACCTCGCTGGGGATAAGCTGGTCGTGGAGACGGGGCTGCGCCAGCGCTTCTGCGGCGGACATGCCCTCGTCCACGGCGTGGATGATGTTCTGCAGTGTGGCCGTGATGATGCGGCTTCCGCCTGCTGAACCCGCGATGAAGAATACTGTGCCGTTGGGGTGCGTTACTATCGCGGGCGTCATGGATGAGAGGGGGCGTTTGCCGGGGCGGATGAAGTTCGCGGGGGAGGGGATGTAGCCGAAGGAGTTGGAGGAGCCAGGGGTTGAGAAGTCTGGGTTGGGTGGTTAGTTTGATCTTGAAGTGGGAGTACTATGCGCTGCATACCGTCCATCTCGTTGTTCATGATGACTCCTGTCTCCGGGACCATCACTTTGCTGCCGAAGAGCAGGTTGATGGTGGTGATCTCGGAAATGGCGAGGCCGGTGTGGTCCACGGCTGCGATGTGCGACGTGCCGGGTCTGGGCGTGTCAGCAATAGGATCCTTACAGGGGCAGAGGGAACTTACGTGTTGAGACTCTCGAGTCCATCGGGGTCGTAGGCCGACGCATTCTGGGTCCTGGTATCCAAAATCTTGCCATGGATCTCCTTGATCGTGGCGTCGGACAGCATCTGCTTCTGGTACTCATCCAACCCGTCGAGGAAGTACGGGTCTCCCAGATTAGTTCGCTAGGAATAAGTCAGTTAACCGTTGTAGCAAGGAAGCAAGCCTATCGCCATACCTGACCGTAGCCGAACCGGATCGCCTCATCCATCCGGTGGGTGCTAAGGTTCACATTCCCCGGGGTGAAGAACTCGTCGTACATGTTGAGGACCTTCAACACGTTGAGGACCACTATCCCCGAGGAAGGTGCCGTTGCACTGGACACTTTGTACCCACGATAGTTGATCTGCGCGACGTCGCGCATCGCCACCGTGTAGTTGCGCAGGTCCTCCATGGTCATCGTGCCGTTGGCGGCCGTCAGGGCCGCGATAGTCGCCTCTGCAATTGGGCCAGAGTAGAAGGCCTCCGCGCCGTGGTTGGCGATCGTCTCCAGCGTGTCGGCGTAGCGTCGGCGCGTGATAGTGTCTCCAAGACCGAGACGGGTGCCGTTGGGGGCGAAGTCCAGCGCCCAGGTGGGGTTCTTAGACAGGAAGTCCTCGTCATCTCCGACTGCGGATTTCATGTAGCGCACGAGGTCTTCGGTGACCGTGAATCCGTGCCGTGCGGTCTGGATGGCAGGCTGCATCACAATCGACCAGGGGAGTGAGCCGTACTTCTTGTGGAGATACTCCAATCCGCGCACCTCGCCGGGGACGCCACTGTGCACCATTAGCTAGTCTGAAGTTGCCAGACCTATCGGTAGGATCTTACCTTGCTAAGCCACCCTTCGTAGACGCATCGGGTTTATTCTTGAACATATTCTCAAAGGCCGCCGCAGGAGCCGATTCGCGAAAGTCGATGAATTCCAACTCGTTATCAGGGGTTTTGATTAATTGGAAGCCGCCTCCTCCGATGCCACTATGATACATTCCTGTACATGATCAGCATATCTCACTCGGTTCTGGCCTGGGAAACACCAACCAACTACACCAATACAAAACGTCGTCGCAACCATCTATACCTCCGATTAGCCGTCCACCTACCCAACACAACAGCACAATAGGGAAGAACTCACAGCATCCGCCGCATTCCCACCCATCAAAAGCATCTCCGTCCCATGGCGACTACAAAGCTCACTCTCGCTCGCGACAGCACCCCGCTGACCAGGCCCAATAGTCCCCAGCGCCTCCGGCCCACGCGCAGACACCAGGGGATCAGCCAGCAGCGGCGACGGCACTACCCCGGGAACATGCACCAGCAGCAGCAGTGTCAGAGCCAGGGAGCCAGCAAAGGCAGCCCTCAGAAGACGAAACATTCTCCTTTGTTTACCCGTGTGTGCACGGTCGGACTGCGATGCGAAGCAAGCGTGCGGGGGCTGTGAGTAGCACTGTGTCAGTAGCTACAGCGCCCAATGGAGAAGAAAGATAAACAGAACAAGAGGAGAAAGAGAAGGGAAAGAAAATAACAGTATAGGCCAGCAATTGCAGGGGGGGGTAGCAGCTAATTGTATCCCAACCAGCCAGACAAACAAACCTGCTTCTCCACCTCATAGCCCCAATCCCATCCCCTCTCGCGATCGCGCACGCGCATTGCGCACTCACTACCGTGCCGTGCTCGGCTTGTCGGAGTCCTACCGCCGCTTCCCTACGTCTAGCTGTAGGTAGCGTACCATCGGCGAGATCCTAGCGCGAGGACGATCGGCGATTTGGGCGAATACCGTTGGGGGGTATTATCAACGGAGTCTCCCTTTTGGGGTCTAGTTCGAGAAACCGGCGGATTCGCTGTCCCTGTCGACAAAGAATGGGGTGGGGGGTTTGAACCCGTACAAAGAGCATCGTGGGCCATTTATGTTTCTTTTCTGCTTTCCTTCCTTCCGTTGACCGCTAATGGAGAGAGGGCCGGGTTGAAAGAGTCGGACCCGATCGGTTGTTATTTAGTAGGAGAGGGAGGGATCGGCGGGGATGATGGACGCATTGGGGGTCGCGTGTTCGTCCTGACAGGTTTGACAGGAGATAAGGCCGATAAGGCGTCTCAGGTGTTTACCTATCTGGAGATAACACGAGAACCTCACCGGAGTTTCTGTTTCTCAGTTATTGTGAGTCTATTGGTGAAATACGGATAGTATTACATATCCGTCGATCTATCGGGTGACCCCATCGCATCTCCATCGTGCATCACCAGACCCACAATCATCCAGTCTGACTGGATCTCATTCCGTAAATAAAGACGAGAACGGACAACGTATCCGGTCTACACACGTCTGACACCATGACTGTTCAATGGTTGGTTGGCTGGTATCATTCAATTCGTATCTACTTCTATATCCAACCCCACGGCTTGCCGCGTCCACGCGATAGTCTCCGCCCACGTGGATGGAATATCCCCCGCGCCCTGCAACACCGCGGCCACCATGCGTCGGCCCCAGTCGCCGACGTACCAGCTCTCTGAGAGCAGATGCATGCCGACGCCGTAGTGCAGGAACACCAGTCGCGCCATCCAGTGCCCGTCCCTCAAACAGGAGAGAAAATCCTCGTCGATGTTGACCGGCCACGCGATGAACCCCCCGTTGGGATGGCCCAGCGGCCATCGCGTGGTCGCCTCCTGCAGCAGGGCACAGGCTTTCCGGTAGCCGGATTGGTGGGATTCGTCCAGTTCGTCGATCGCGATCTGGAGCTTTTCGAGCGATTTCTGGAGCGCTCTGCGGGAGTCAGTATGTTTCTCGAGGGAGGAGGGGGGAAGAGGGCGCATGACATACTCTCGAAGTCGCACAAATTTGGAGTCCATGGGTCTAGGGTTGGTGGTTAGTTCGGTGATCTGTAGGCAAGGAGAACAGAGACGGATGCCTACATGGGAAGGTGTCCGGTCTCGCCCGCGCCGTCGTTCTTGTAGACCAGCCAGCCGCTCAGCTCCCCGACATGTTCAATACCGTTCAGCTGCTCAAACAGCAAGGCGCAGCCGGCCATTAGGCGGCGCACTTCGAGCACTTGGGTCAGCGGGTCAAAGGCGTGGAGGTGACTGTCTTGCGAGATACAGGGGTAGGCGGTGGCGCAGAGCATGATGAAGATGGAACAGATAAAGGCGGGTCCGCTCTCTTCCGGCGTCAGCTCGGCCAGGACCCGACTAAAGGCGGAGCATGCGCGGTTCTGATACTTGAGGGCCGCCTCCAACCACGTTCCCTTGTCGTCGGGCTCCCGCGTTGCCAGATGCAGCGCGGCCAGCGCGAGAAGACTGTCCAGCAGAAACGGGGCCCCAATGGCCAGTCGCGGCACAACCATTTGGAAATGGTCGGATCCTAGGTTGGCCTGGAGCAGGGTCGTGTAGGTGTCAGTGAGGTAGTGATGGAATAATCGCATCTCTAGCATTCGTGTGGGCAGCGACAGCTCCTCCGCGGGCGCCGCGGCCTCCTCCCCGCCCTCTCGCGGGGTGGATGGCGGCCGCGTATCACCGTCGCTCGAACTGGGCGGGGGATAGATGCATTCGAGTTTGCGCTTGTGGCACAGTCCACACTTGGGAGACCCTTCGTCGCACTGGATTGATGTTAATACCAGACAGAACCGATCGGGTAAGGTGCGATGGCAGACACGGGGGACGGTCTGGTCGCGTGGAAGACCAGTCACGTCCCCTCAGTGACAGATGAAAACGAGAGGCGAAATACCTTGACATGTCTCCGTTTACAGTGTAAACATCCCTTGCGGGACTTGGTATGACTGCGTCGCGAGGGCATTCAGACAGGGGATCGGAGAAATGACGTATGGCGGGCGACCCGATCAATGAATTAGGTTTGGTCGCGACGATTATCAACGAGACGGGTTTGATTGGAAGACACACCCAGGGGATGGGGCCGGCCCTGACAGGTTCTCGTGAGTCAATCCGTGAATGCGCTCGTCCGGTCTGCACTGTCGAACAGAATAATGGACGGCAAAGCCTGTTTGATCATGGATGTCTGGGGAAAATTGGAGACGAAATTTGGACTCCGTTCCGGCAGGGGAAAAAAACATGGGGGAATCCGGGACGTTCTGGCCGATCGTCTGACTCAGCCGTTGACCAGTTGGCGCAACTTTTCGGATGGGGGGAGCAACAGCAACAGGTTGAGAGTTTATCGGATGAAGACTTGAGAGGCTTAGACAGATAGTTGAATAGTCCTACTGTCTCACAGCCTGAAGACATCCAATGGAGTGGCGGGGGCGGTCTTCCGGTACCTGGTGAACCGGACCAGTTTGCATTGTGGCTGGATCTGCACGCGATGCTGCAGGACATCAGGTCGCGTCAAATCGATTGAAGATGACTCTGATACAAGAGCGAGCCGGATAAAAATAGGATCAATCGAGTATACATCCACCAGACTGTCTCACTGTCAGACGCAGACGACGCGAGGGGTGGAACAACTCATCTTCCGTCCATCGTATGCTGTATGCCGACCCACCGATGACACACCTTGCTTGAACCGACAGCAAGACAAGCTTCGGGATAATCAATCAACCGAATATTCTCTAGCTGCATGTAGTGGGTCAGAAACCCCACGGTGTGGACGCTAGACGGTGGGATGGCGTTCTGACCGTCTTAGTTTTCCGAACGTGACCGGGGGTTGACATCAAACCACACAAAACCTTGTCAATTTTTAGCTATAAAAACAGATTGAAGCCCCAAGAAGTCGGTAAATGCTGTTCATGTCCAAAGAAATCACGTTTAGCTAAGGAGAAAATATCGACAGGATCCATCCCGTCCGTTGGACTCCGTTAAAGATAGAGCATGCGACCGGAAAATGTCTCGTTCTAGACGTAGCCGTAGTTTCTCCCACGAAATCCATTCATGAGGGGCTGTGAAACCGTGGTCATGTACAGAGTTCTGCTGGCTGACGGGTCCACTCTCGGTGTGGTCAACTTGAGCGAAACTGTGCGGTGTGGGCCTGAGGCCGCTGTGTCCCTACGGATTAAGGTGTTGAAGTGCATCTGAATGCCATATGAAAGACCACTGTCGAGACTATGAAATAATTATATGAGTTCAGGTAGTTCCATCAATTAATATATCATCCTGGCTCGTGGTAGTGGTCATTATGGTGGTGGTAGAAGGAGAGTGGAAAAGAAGACCGACCATCGGAGTATCAGATCAGATTAGATGGGCTGATTTTATCTGATGGAAGTTTATTCTGTCGGATCCTGATACCTCCACCGCACTCATCAGGGAGTTTCTTTTTATTATCACAATCGGAAATAGTATGATAATCAAGATGATTATGATTATGGCATATTTTACGAATCTATCAGTTTAAGATCATTGTCCTCTGCCTTATCATCAGCGGTCGCACTCACGGCATCCCCCGAAGCCAACGATATCAATCAGACCACACCATGGGAATTCAATGGATCAGTGGCTGATTGCCAAGGAACTCGTCCCGTTTCGTCCCATTTAGTCTCTGCCGGCGTTGACCTTGTGTGAAATCACGGCTTAGCGGGTCCACCATGGGAAAATGAGACTCGTATCCGAAGTCTATAGTCATATATGAGAATTGACATCTGCGCACTCGAGTCCAATCATCATCCATGAAATCTGATTGCTGGTCGTCCAACATCACATCACCTTTCTGACCACTGGTAATGCCGAATTCCGGAGGATTGAGGGATGGAATGCAGCTGGCCTCGCGTGGGATCCCACAGGAACGAATCAACCGGTGGATCCGAGTGGGGTCATGGTACGGTCTCTGACGAGATGACTGGCACGTCCACTACCGCAACCGGTCGACCGTGCTCCCTTCGGCTATCTGTCGAGGTCGATTGCAACGCTGGTCGATTGTCATAAAAAGAGATGGGGGCTTCAATTTCGCAGAGGGCAGGGAATTAGAGATTCTGTGGCGGAGAAAAAGAACCGACGGAAATAATAACCGGGATATACCACGATACCGAAGGATATCAGAAGATATCAATTGATTGATAATTCTCAACAGATGAAATCAGTTATCTGATCCGTGGCTGACGAGCACTATCTGATCCGACACCGCGTCTGGTGCGGTCCAGGGGAAATTTCCCTCACTCTCTCAACTCTCTTCTCCACTGCCGATCCAAACTTCTTCTCGTCGGACCTTCTGATTGATTAATTTCATTTCCCCTCCCACTTGGTCCGCGATCCTCTTTTCTCTCTTCTTTTTTTCCTTCCTCTTTTTCTACCTTTTAAACATTTTAATTTCTCATGGTGGGATCATCCTTAATGTCCTTTCCCTCCCCAACCTCCTCTCCCCCTATCCCGTGAGATCCTAACCATCGCTTTCCCTCTCCGTGACAACATCGTCAAGTGGGAATCCAGCGCTACTCTTCACGATGGGTGTTGTCGACAAGATTCGGGGTCTCTCGGAAAAGCCCGCCGCGACCACTACCAATCTCTCGGGCGAGGTCTACCCCAAGCAGGAGGCGCCCACGGACGCTCCTGTCGAGTCCGACTCGGATGACTCCCGGATGAGTCTGGAGGAGCGCGATGACCGGGAAAATCGAGCACATCCCGACCAGGTGACGCAAGATGCCCAGCTCGGTCAGCAAAAGGCCGAGGCCATGGCCTTGGTATGGAGCAAAAAGGCCCTGTTTGCAACCTACGCCTGGTAAGAGCCATCGTCCTTAGTCAAGGAGCTCAACTAACAGTGCGAATAGGATCTGGGTCTGTTTCTTTTTGCTGGCCTTGCAGTCGGGCATTAGTAGTAGCGTCATCAACAATGTCTACGCCAACTTCAAGTCCGCCCCGCAAGTGAGTACCGCCAACATCCTGTACACCATCATTGGGGGTGTGCTCCGCTTGCCCATCGCCAAGATTCTCAACCTCTGGGGTCGTGCCGAGGGCTACCTCGTCTTCGTCGGCGTCTACACCTTGGGGCTCATCATCACCGCCGCCTGCAACAACCCGGACTCCTACGCCGCCGGCTACACGCTCTTCTGGATCGGCTACGAGGCCCTCTACTACATCCTCGACGTCTTCATCGCCGATACCTCGGGGTTGCGGAACCGAGCCTTCACCTTCGCCTTTGCCCAGACGCCGTTCATCTGCACCGCGTTTACCGCCCCCTTGGCCGGCCAGGCCTTTGTCAATGGGCCCGGCTGGCGCTGGGCCTACGGGGCTTTTTGCATCATCCAGCCCGCCATCTTCGCGCCGCTGGCCCTTGTGTTCAAGCACTACGAGCGCAAGGCCGAGAAGGCCGGCGTGCTGCGGCGCGAACGGAGTTCTCGCACCGTGATGCAGTCTATCGTCCACTACATCCACCAATTTGATAGTACGTGCCTCTTTCTGTCTCTTTAGTTTATCTTTTCGTATTAATTCGACCCAGTCATTGGTGCCGCACTCCTCATGGCCGCCTGGATCCTCGTCCTCCTCCCCTTCAGTCTGCAGTCGTACGGTCAAGCGCAGTACAAATCAGCCTCCTTCATCGCCATGCTCGTCGTCGGATTCTGCCTATTCTTCGTGTTCGCCGCGTGGGAGAAGTGGGTGGCGCGCGAGCACTTCATCCGCTACGAGCTGGTGAAGAACCGGACGGTGCTCGGCGCGTGCATCATGGCGGCGCTCACCTGGTTCAGCTTCTACTGCTGGGACCAGTACTTCATGGTCTTCTGCCAGGTCGTCTACGGCCTGGACCTCGACATGGCCGGCTACATGCTGCAGACCTACAACGTTGGCTCCTGCGTCTGGGGCGTCATCTTCGGCCTGTGGATCCGCTACACCCGCCACTTCAAGTACTCGTGCCTGTTCTTCGGCCTGCCCATCATGATCCTGGGCTCGGGACTGCTCATCCACTTCCGCGGCTCCGCGCAGGGCATCGGCTACGTGGTCATGTGCCAGATCTTCATCGCCTTCGGTGGCGGTACGATCGTCATCGGCAACCAGATGGCTGTCATGGCGGCTGCCGACCGCGACGGCGTGCCTATGATGCTCGCCGTGCTGCAGCTGTTCAACAACCTTGGTGGGGCGGTTGGGTTAGCCGTCTCTGCGGCTATATACAACAACACTTGGGCTGACGCGCTGCTGAGCAAGATCCCCGCCAAGGAGAAGCCGAACTGGAGCAAGATCTTCATGGGCGGCTACCTGGAGCAGTGGAAGTACCCGATGGGATCGGCGACCCGCGACGCCATCAACTATGCGTGGGGCCAGAGCCAGATGTACGGCGCGATCGCGTCGACTGCCTTCTTGGCGCTGGGGATTCCGGCTATCGCCATCTGGAAGAATTACAACGTCGATCGCAAGCAGAACAAGGGAACGGTTCTGTAGGTGGGTTGGGTGTCGAGTGCATGTCGAGTGTATATACATATGGGAGGAATTGTGATACCCGTGCTGTGGAAGGGGGACTGACGCAAGGAGTACATAGTGATGAGTACGGATTAATGTTGTATATTATGTTTATGACTATAAATACCTTGGTTATACCATCTGGGATCAGATCCTTGATCGAGGGGTTACATTTCCCCGCATTGATCTAACTTCCAATATCATTCCTACATTCTCTATCTGTCGATCCATCCCCATTCGGACCCCCTGTCTAGCGATATAAGTTACACTGCATCTCCAGCATGCCGTTCAAAAGTCCCCCCATCCCTTGACCACATCCAGCATCACCACTTCTCATCCCATCTCCACCCCCAACGGCCATGCGCAGCTATCTCCCATGGCTCCCCTTCCTCTGGACAGCCCTCGCCCAAGGCAGTCCCACTCCAGATCGCAATGACAATGACATCCTCCAATTCGTGGACCCCCTCATCGGCTCCACAGACGGAGGCAACGTCTTCGCCGGCGCCAGTCTCCCCTACGGCATGGCCAAAGCCGTCGCCGACGTCGACGGGCAAAACACAGGCGGATTTTCCACAGACGGCAGCAAAGTGACCGGGTTCTCTGCACTGCACGATTCAGGCACGGGCGGAAACCCATCCCTGGGAAACTTCCCCCTCTTCCCGCAGTTCTGTCCCGATGATCGGCTCGATCACTGTCGGTTTCCTAAGGCCAACCGCGCCGTCCACTACAGAAATGACTCGGTCGTCGCCCGCCCGGGATACTTCGCTATCGGGCTCGACAGCGGCATCAACGCGGAGATGACGACCACCGCGCATGCAGCGCTCTTCCGCTTCCACTTCCCTACCCGACCTGCAGCGTCCGGCGCAGACGCAAGTCCCATGATCCTCCTAGACCTAACAGACCTCTGGGACAGTCGCCAAAACGCGTCCATCGACATCGACGCAAAGACAGGCAGCATCCTCGCCAACGGCACATTCCTCCCCAGCTTTGGTGCGGGAACATACAAGTCCTACGTATGTGTCGACTTCGCTGGCGCCTCTATCCGCGATACCGGCATCTGGGTCAACGACGGCGCGGACACCGAGCCCAAACGCCTATCCTTCGTCCCCCGCGGCTTCAACAACTTCTACCTCCAAGCTGGCGGGTTCGTGCGCTTCAAACAACCCCCCTCGGGAACAGTCACCGCACGAGTAGGCGTCAGCTACATCAGCACGCAGCGCGCGTGCGACAACGCCCGCCGCGAGATTCCTCACCCGCTTACCGACTTCGACGCTGTGCGCCATCGCGCTGAAGACGCGTGGCGCGACAAGTTGAGCCCCGTGAGCATCGTCCCGGGACGCGCCAGCCGCGAGTTACAGACAGTGTTCTGGAGCGGCCTGTACCGCACAATGCTCGATCCCCAAGACCTAACAGGCGAAAATCCGCTCTGGAACAGCGACGAGCCATACTTCGACTCCTTCTACTGCATCTGGGACTCGTTCCGCGCGCAACACCCACTTCTGACCATCGTTGATCCCGAGGCGCAGTCGCGCATGGTCCGCAGCTTGCTCGACACGTACCGCCACGAAGGCTGGCTGCCTGACTGCCGGATGAGTCTCTGCAAGGGCTGGACGCAGGGCGGGTCAAACGCGGATGTTGTGCTCGCCGACGCCTTCGTCAAAAACCTCACGGGTATCGACTGGAAGTTAGCATACGAGGCGCTCGTCAACGACGCGGAGAACGAGCCTCTCGAATGGTCGACCCACGGCCGAGGCGGCCTGTCAAGCTGGAAATCCCTCCACTACATCCCATACAAGGATTTCGACCCCGTTGGGTTCGGGACGAACTCGCGCAGTATCTCCCGGACTGTCGAGTACGCTTATAATGATTTTTGCGTCGCGACTGTGGCGAGGGGTCTGGGCCATCACGCCGACGCGGATAAGTACCTCGAGCGCTCAGGTAACTGGATTAATCTGTTTAAGGCTGATCAGACGAGTAACATCAATGGCCCTGATCCGGGGTTTGTTGGGTTCTTCCAGCCACGCTATAGAAATGGGACGTGGGGGTATCAGGATCCGATCGCGTGTAGTGCGCTGGCGTCGTGGTGCTCGTTGACGAGCAATCCTTCCGAAACATTCGAATCAAGCGTTTGGGAATATCAATTGTATGCTCTCCCTCAGCCCTCCCTTCCTATCCGCCTTCTACATTTCACTATACTAACAAAGAATGAAAAATAAAAGCTACGTCCCCCACTCAATGCGCACCCTCATCGAAACCCTCGGCGGCGACTCCCCCTTCACCTCCCGGCTGGACTTCTTCCACGAATCCGGCCTCGCGGACCTAGGCAACGAGCCTGTCTTCCTAACAGTCTTCCAATACCACTACGCGGGGCGGCCTGATCTCTCAGCGGCGCGTGTGCGCTCTTATATTCCCTCCCGCTTTAACGCCTCCCATGGCGGGCTTCCGGGGAATGATGACTCCGGGGCGATGGGAGCGTTTGCGTTCTTTTCGCTGGTGGGATTGTTTCCGTCGGCTGGGCAGAGTGTTTATTTGATTACGCCGCCTTTCTTTGAGGAGGTGAGGTTTGTTCATCCTGTTACGGAGGGGGTGGGTGTTGTTAGGGTTGTGGGGGGTTCTTCGCATTCTTCTTCTTCTTCTTCTCTTTCTTCTTCTTCTTCTTCTTCTTCTTCTTCTTCTTCTTCTTCTTCTCCGTCTTCATCTTGGTCGTCTTCGTCTTCGTCCTCTTCCTCGAATTCCTCGTCTTCTTCGTGTTCTTCGTCGTCCTCTTCATCTTCGTGTTCTTCGTCCTCTTCTTCATCTTCATCTTCCTCTTCGTCTTCGTCTTCGTCTTCGTCTTCTTCAAAAAGAGAAGGAAAACCGGCTAGGCCAGTCTTCATCCAAAGCGCAACCCTCAACGGCCACCCATACAAGAAAAGCTGGATCAGTCATGACTTTTTCACTGACGGGGGCGTGCTTGAGTTGGTGCTGGGCGAGGAGGAGAGTGATTGGGGGCGTGCGGTGGAGGATAGGCCGCCTAGTTGGTAGTTTTCATCTTTGATATACTATCTGAGGAAGCAATGACTATAGCGCTAGTTACGTATAATACCGTTTTCCAGCCGGGTGGATTTCTTTGTTCCGCATGATTTACTTGTGAATAAAGGGGTCTTCGCAAGGCATGATATGAATTACATAAATGCATTGATCTAGCTTTGTACAAGACCTGTTAACTAAATATCAATCAATGAGTGATGTAAAGAGTAATGACCGCGCCGAATAATGCTCGCTGCAGGTCATCAATATCTAACTAGCTGCATACTTTCGTCAACGTAACGGAAAATAAAATAAATAAATAAAAAAAGGATAAAAAAACAACTAGGCGGATGTCTTCTCTTCCCCAGATACCTCGCCTGCTGCACCGGCATCGGCATCGACATCGACATCGACATCCTCACGGACAGGTGCAGGTGCAGGTGCAGGTGCAGGTGCAGGCCCAGGCCCAGGTAAAACATCACCTTCATCAGGAACTTCCCCAGCCGTTTCCTTCTCCTCAACCTGTTCTTTCTCCCCAGCCTGTTCCTTTCCCTCAACTTGTTCCTCCTGTTCCTTCTTCTCCTCAGCCTCTTCCTTCTCCTCCGCCTCCTCCGCCTCCTCCCAACTATCAGCAACAGGCTCAGGTTTCAAAATCTGCCTCGCAGCACCAACACCCGACCTCAACACAAGCCTATTCTTCCGCTGTGCGCCCACCGCAGCCCCCGCCGCTGCAGAATCTCCCATAAGCGCAGCATACATAGTAGCACCACCAAAGGACGCCGGCGTAGGCGGCGCAAGCGGCGTCGAGCTCCGACTGCTACTCCCGCTAGGTCCACCCCTTCTCGACGAAGCGGCAGCCACCTGCGCCCAGCCGCCGGCGCCATCGCTGCCGAGGGCAGCGCGGGCAGCCTCGCGCTGGGCTTTGGCTTCTGCGGCCGCTGCGCGCTGGGCGTCTCGCTCTTTGACGCGTTCGCGTTCGCGGAGCTTGACGCATTCGGACACGCTCATGCCGCCGATGCCGATTGTTGTCGTGCCGTTTCCTGTGCCGAAGGGTGGGGGGTTCCATGTTGTGGGGCGGAGGACGAACACGTGGCGGTGGGGTTCGGGGTCATAGCTTTCGCTGGTGAAGCCCCAGTCGGAGGCGAGGGAGTGCGTGAAGGCGCGGAGGGAGGACTTGGCGGGTTGGAAGCGGACGGAGCGCTGGGTTGTGGGGTTGAGCGCGAGGGATTGGAGGCTGGTTTCGCAGGCTTGGATGGCGGAGAGCGGGGAGGAGGAGGATGCTTGGAGGTAGAGGTCGAGCGTTTCGGTGGAGTAGGGGAGGTTGTTGGAGGTGATGTTTTGCGCGATGGTTGTTGCTGGGTTGATGTCTACGCCGAGGGCGGATGCGAGGGAGCGGTTGCGCTCGAGGCGCGCGCACTCGTCGTCGCAGGTTAGCGGGGTGGAGGCTGGTGAGCGCGGGGGTTGTTGCACTTGGCCTTTGGAGGCGACGGCTTTGGCTGCGCCGCAGAGACGCGTCTGGCGTAGGCGACCGCAAGGACATGTTACTGTGAGTTTGGTCGGGCAGGGCGTCTTCTCTGGGCAGGGGTAGGGCGCGTGGCATGGTTCTGTGCACGGGTGTCCGCACATGGCCTTCGTCTTCCCGCAGGGCTGCTGGCACGGCTGCGAGGCGTCCTCGCAGTCGCCCGGTCGGTGGCAGTTCTTCTGGCAGGTGTGCGAGCCGCATTTGAGCAGTTCGCCGCAGATCTGGCCGCACCGCGCGTCGGTTAGCCAGCAGGGCTGGTTCTTCAGCGCCCGGCGGCCGCACAGGCAGGTTTTCTCCGTCAGGTACGGGCACTTGGGGCACTGCTCGTCGTCTGGGTGGCAGTTGTGTGGTGTTTGGGGATGGCCGCATGGCTTGGGGCGTTCGCAGGGGAACGAGCACGGCGGCGGCTGCGTGCCACAGGGCAGCGGCGGGTGGAGGACCGTCCGGCCGCAGTGACACGCGACCTCCTCGAAGATCGCCTCCCGGCAGGTGTTGCAGGGCCCCTTGTGGCAGATCTCCGGGCATGTGTGGCGTCCGCATTTCAGCATCCGCCCACACACCCGCGTGCAGATGTGCTCGGCTTCGACGTCTTCGTCGCTGGGGCGCAGGTGGGCCTTGAGCTTCCGCCGCATGGCCTGGCGCTCGAGCGCCTTCTGCTCGCCGGGGCAGCATCGCTCGGTGCACGCATGGCGGCCGCAGTGCAGCCCCGCACGGCAGATGCGGAAGCACTGCGGCGGCTCCATCGTCCCCTGGTGGCAGATGGTATTGAACGTGTTGCGTCCGCAACGGCAGCTGATGGGCACCGTACGGCGACAGACGCCGCACGGGCCCGTGTGGCAGATCATGTCGCATGAGTGTCCGCAAGGGAGGATCTTGCCACAGGCCTCCAGACAGTTCGGGATCGGGTCCTCGCACGACGTCCGCGGCGCATAGCCCGGAGTCTGGTCCAGCGGTGTCTTTCCACAGGGACAGTCGAGGACGACGTCCGGGGACCGCGGACAATGGGCGGGTTCCGCGTCTTGCGGATGGCAACTCTTCTGGCAGAAGTGTACGCCACAGTCGAACGGCCGATTGCACTGCTCTCCGCAGGCAAAACAGCCCGTCCACTGCTCGATATGCCCGTCGCGCTGCACCTCGCTGTCCATCTCCTCGTCCTTGGAGCTACACAGCATCTCCGTCTCCGCCTTCCCGCAGTAGCAACGAGCCTCGACCTTCACCTCGCACGCCCCGCAGAGACCCTCGTGGCACGGCCGAGAACATGTGTGCTCCCCGCAGGGCAACAGGTCCCCACAAATCTCCCCACAGCTCCAGCCATTCTCATAGTCGGTGTCTCGACATCGCTTAGTGGTTGAATTCCTCCCGCAGAAACAATCCTGCGTGGGGCCCATCGCCGTACAGGGGGTACACGGACCCGCGTGGCAGGTAGCATCGCACGGGTGCGGGCAGCCCTTGCGCAATCGCGAGCAGGTCTGCCCACACGAATGCGGCGGAAGACCAGGCAGTGGACGGGGGTCAACCTCCTTCTCGCACCAGCACGAGTAGCTCGAGGGGAAGACCTCCTGCGCCAGATTGCACCCGGGACATCGCCAGGCGCGGGGCTGTTGCGAGTCACCCTCCTCGCCGCGCCGACGGGCCGCATCCTGCGCCGCTGCGCCTTCGTTCTGCGACCACTTCTTGACACAGCTCAGATGAAAGACAGTCCAGCACAGTCCACACGACCACACCCGCGATCTCCGCCCCAGTTCCCCCGTGCAGATCGGACATTCGTAGAGCGTGTGGGCGATGTCTTCGTGGATGCGGGTGGCGATATCCGGAGCCGTCGATTTGGTCGTCACCTTGGGCGGCGGCGGAGGGTTTTTCGCCTTCGCCTTGGATTTCCCTTTGGACGCACCCGCGGATTTCTCCCGGGGGCCTGTCGGGGCGTCTCCATTTGGCGTCCCACCGGGTACGAACGCCGGCGCATCAGCCCTCAACCCCTCCGCTACGCTGTTTTCGTGTGATTGTTGTTCATCGCCTTCTTCCGCTTCCGCCCCCGCCACACGTTCCGGCCGAGTCAACCGGCCCTGGAATCTCCGCCCGGTGTTCAAACCTCCCGTATCAGCGTCGTGAGCGCGTCCTTGACGACGATTGCGACCACTCTCAGAGGGAGCGCCTCCCCCGCGACCTCCTCCTCTGCGCCCTCCCGTCTTAGGACCTCTGCGGGGACGGGGTTCATCGTTTCCGGCGGCGGGTGTCTGCTGCGCGCGAGTCTCCGGCGGTGGCTGTGGTTGAGATGGCGGCTGCGACTCCGTCTGTGTCTGTGTCTGTGTCTGTCGTGGCGCGCCACGATTGCCGCGCCCTCTGCCTCCTCGGCGGGGATTTCTCGGGCGGGGGGCGCTCCCGTCTGGGATGGCTACCGGGACGTCTGCCATTGTCGAATGAAGGGGATACGATGGACTGTTGGGTGCACTCATGCGGTTATCGATGGTGGGAAAGATCCTCGTGGTAGATAGGTAGAGTTCAACCTCGGTCAACGAGGGGTAAACACGAGGATGGGCGTTGTCAATAGCTGTGCAACAGGTGTGTGAGAAGACAATCCACAGAGTCTAAGGTTGAAACCAGATTCGAGAGGGTAAGTGAGAACCAGAGGTTCTTTATTAACTTGAAGACAGAAGAAGGAAAGGAATCAAAGAATGAAAAGAATAATAAAAGAAATCAAATGAAAAAAGTTGGAGTGGCGGAGGATCGGCGGCCGCTGATTGGACATGACTCTTGTGCTATACAGGGTGAGTCATACTATTACTCATACGCATTATTTACATATTTTATATTATATTTCATATTTATTTCCTTGTTTTGGATTCCTTGAATCATTCGGTGATCATTCTGATGTATTGATAATTAATAGAACCAGTGAATTGAAACAATGCTATGCCTGAAATGCCTCCACCTAAATCCCCTATGCATCAATATCTCATCAACCATCGTCAATCGTCAACGTCAACGTCAACATCAACATCAACCCAATTTAAAAGAAAAGCACTATCTCCCCCCTCTCATTCTGCTTCACCCGTAACGTCCGCCACAGTTCCTTCTCATCATCCAAGCGCCTCTCCCGGTCCGCACGGCTCCGTCCCGTCTCCCGTCCCCGATCAGCATCAAACTCATCCGTGACGTCGCGGTGGAACCGCTTCAACACCTTGTTCATCGAGAACCCGCGTCCGCTCTCGGGGCCCTTCGTCACGAGCGACAGGAAGTGCGACGCCATCTCCTGCTGCAGTGCGTCGGGGTGGTTCGGCTGGCCGTAGACGATCATCTGGTGCCCGTCTTCGCCGCGGGGCGCGGAGTCCGGGTGCTCGATCTCGCGCAGCCGGCGCGAGGGCCGGTCGCCGTCGATTGGCGCGCTGCTCTTTCGCTTGGATTTGCGGTCGTCGGGGGCGGCGACGGGGGCGCCTCGCACGCGGCTGGTCTTTTTGGAGGAGCGGGTGTCTGCGGCGGCGCTCTGGCCGTCGTCGGAGGAGCCGCGGCGGCGGCTGCTGCGGGCGGCGGAGCGAGCGGCGGGGTCGGTGCCGTTGCTGCTGGTTGAGGCGACGGAGCCGCCGAACATGGAGGAGACGAGTCGGCCGGCTCGGTTCTTCATGGAGATGCCTAGGCCGGCGTCCCCGCCGGCGGGCTCCTTGTCGTCGCGGCGCGTGCGCTTGATGGGCGAGGAGGGATCCTGGTAGCGGCGGCGCGGGTGGTCCGAGGGGCCGTCGCCGGCTTCGCCGTCGAGCGACGGGGACCGCAGCATGCGGTTGAGCCCGCCGGTGAGGCCGGAGTGGTTCAGCATGGGCGTGCCGGGGTGGTTGACGACGCTGGACGGGGCCTCTCCCATGGGGGTGTCGACGTTGTCGCGGCCGTGGTCATCGGTGCGACGCTTGCGTTTCTTGTCGCTGGTGGTGACCGCTCCGTCGGCGGTGCGCGAGGAGCGATCCTTCTTCTTCTTCGGGGCGGGGGTCATGAACTCCATGGAGACGGTGGGGGCGGCCTTGTTGGCGTAGACCGAGGGCGGGATGGGACCCGAGCCGTAGGAGAAACCGTTCTCCTTGTAGGCGACGTCGTGATTTTTATCGTCGTCGTCGTCGTCGCCGTCATCGGCGTCGGCTCCCAACTCGGCCATGGCCTGGCCGGTCTCAAAGACAGACGGGGCGTGATCCACCATCTTCATCTGCTCTTTAGGACCACCTACGGAGACCTTGGACGCGTTGGGTGTCTCCGAGGTCACAAGGAAATCGAAGACGTTAACGGGGTCGGCGCCTTTCTGGCGGGGTGTCGCATGGGTCGGTTTCTTGGTGTCAGTGGGAGGCGGTGTTGGAGCAGGCGGCGGGGGAGCGGCTTTGCTCGCGGCGTTGTCGGCATCAGGAGCGTCCTCGACGTAGGGTGCACGATGGCCGTTGGAGGGTTTGGGGGCCTGCTTGGAGTTGTTCGTGCCCTGGTTGTTGTTGCTATTGTTGTTGTTGTTGTTGTTGTTGCGGCGTTGGTTTTTCTCGGGCTTGGGCTTATATAGGGACCCCTCGTACTTTTGGGCCTCCGTCATGCACGTCTGGAACAAGGAAGCCAAGTCAGTATTCGGTCTACGGACCAAATCATCTCAGGGCGTCGGAGCTGTCATCCCCCACTCAGAGCCGGCGTGGCCGGCCAGGAATGGACCCCATTCGCGATCCGGGGTTCCACTCGCAGCGACGAAACATCCGGTTTCAGAGGTAATGTACACGCGCGACCAGCACTCCGCCTAGTTCCAAAGGGAGACAGCCATCCACGACCATAGGAAAGGACATACCGTATGCGACCGATACTCCGTGCCCCAAAAATGGGTCATGCAATCAATGCAGGTAAAGGTGCAACCACGACAGCGATTGCGATGGGGATCGAGTTTCTTCTTGGTGAGGATATCGCCACAGTTCTGTAACCCAGCCGATCGTGTCAGTTCCGCGATAGTCGGTCAGGGCGAGGCGCTTGACTGGGGTGGGAGTGGGGATGGGGGAAGGGATGCGTTGGTAGTGGATAAGCGATTCACCACCCAGTCCGGAGTCCCACGCAGGGTACCAACTCACCTCGCAGGAGAAAGAGACCATGTTGACCCCGCTCTTGAGTCGTTGCGCGACTCTGGTTGGGTTGCAAGAAGTCGGTGAGAGGGGGAGATGGCGTCAAAGGAATCGGGCGGACGAGCTGTTCTGGGGGAGACGCTAGACCGAGTGATGCCCAAATGCGACACACGATGGGAGTAGTATTTATGAAAGGGAATGGAAGGGTGAGTGGTCGAAGAAAGGCGACCAGGAAATTTAAACCTGTTGTCTGAACGCGACGAGAGTCTGCGACTGGAAGGGAGCGTTCGTTATGCGACGCAGGAGAGAGCGAAGAGGGAAGAGTGAGGTGAAGGTCAGATGTCGCGCCTTGCTGGACCTTTTTCAGGTCAGACAATTGTAATAAATTAGGCAACGAGATCCAACTGATCCGTCGCAAATGGCGAGAAATTTGAAGTAAAATTGAAGCAAAACTGAAGGAAAATAGAGAAAAATAAGAGTAAAAATAAAAAATGCGATAAAAAGATAGAGACGGCGCTAGTCCGGTTTGGGACGTGTTTGCTGCCTGGGGAACAAGGCGTTCACATAGATAAAGAGATAGATCGATAGATAAGATGGATATGATAGATATAGAATAGATATAGAATAGATATAGGATAGGATAGGATATAGAATAGAATATGATATAGAACAGAATATAGGATAAGATAAAATGATACAAAATAGAATATACTTCAATCCAGAATCCCAACCAGCCAATATATCAATGCGGCAGAGCAAATTACAATCCCATCCTCTCCCCCAAAAGTCTCACCAAACTACCCCCCCAAGGCGACCATCCCCTGTTTCGTCCTCCGAAGAAAAGTCCTGTTTCATCTTCCATCAAGCCCCCTCCTGGCTGATCGAGCATTGTCAACCGGTTGTTAGGAGGATCGACATCCCTGATCACTGACGCTGTCGGGTGGTCATGAAACAATGGTCACGGAGGGAGGAGGGAGGGTGTAGTGCCGATTGCCAGGGCTGGTCAGCCGCGCTGGTCATGGATTGGGTGGTGGGATGGGGGAGTCATTTGGCTGGGTTTTTCATAGATTGTTTGTTGTGTGTACTATATTCTTGATTTGATGGTGTTGGTTTTCAATATATATACGCGGACGTATGTATACATGTATAGATGCAGATATAGATATAGTATATAGATAGATGAATATGATATAAATAGATATATGTACAACGAATTGTTCTATCCATAACACCCCCGATTACAACCACATGCTGCACCGGAGAACATCAGAACATCCCAGATCCCAAGACAAGTCGCATAGATCTGCACACGTACATGTTCCAGTCCGGATCCAGATCCACCCCCAGGCAGATCCAGGCAGAACAAGAATTCCTCACGCTGGCAGACCCTTCAGCGGACCCTTCCAGCGATCCCGCGCCAGTCAATGGTGTCCGCCCCGGATTTTGATACAATCCTTGAATGCCCGAGCCACTTGTCCTGGGGTCTGCCAGGATTGGAAACGGGGGGATGGTAATGGCTGAGAAGAGAAAAAGGAAGAAATAAGGTGAAAGAAAGGGAGAGAAAGAGAAAGAAAGGAAGAAAAAGTACGAATGTCCTGATGATCGCCGTCTGGTCAGCAGCCTGTCGTGCGGGGAAGACGCAAGGAACATAGAACAGGTAGGGCGAACACGAATAGTCCCGTGGATTCTCACCTTCATTGCCCTTCCTCAGGCGGATTCCCAGCGCCTACTGCATCCCTCTCCTTCTTCGGCGAGACGCTATCTCCATCTCCATCTCCCTCTCCCTCTCCCTCCTCCTCCCCAGAACACCCACAGTCATAAAAATCCCCAATCTTATTACAGTCAAACTCAGTCTTCTCCAGCATCGCATTAACCTCATTATGGATGAAACACCCCCATCCAGCAGCCGCGTTACGCGACGACACCTGCGGCGGGTACTTTTGCAGATGGCCCTGGAAATGTGAGGCGCATTCACCGCTGGAGTTGTCACACAATCAGCTGGACGGACAGGATAGGATTATATTGTAAGCCTGCGATCGCATCGCATCACACCACATACCACGGGTAGAGTCGCGCGAACATGTAAATGTAAGAGCGGAGTGTCTCCTGCTGCTCTGTTGTCGGTTTCTCCGGATACCGCGCCAGCATCGTGTGGAAGTATTTCCATGTCGCACGGCCTAGTTCTGCCCTGTGTTCGTTTCGTATTCCGTCAGCTACTGTATAATATTGCATTTATTGCGATAATTTTTCAGTAAAGTGAAGAACCCACTTCGCAGTCTCATTCCCCAACCGCGGCATCACCACCTCTCCCCGCGTGAGGTCATCCTTAGTGAGCTTAGCCGCCACCGAATGATCGATATGCCCCGGGGCGCGAATCGCAGGACTCGGCGGTCCCTGCGGGCGAACGAAGAAGAGAAACAGGAAGAAAAGCAGGCCGATCGCGCTGAGGAGTATACGCCGGGTGATATGGCGGTTCGCCATGGGCGGGATCGTCGGGGAGGATAGATAAGGGGTTGGTAGGTGGGTGGTGTGATATCGTGGTTCGCGCAGGTCACCAGGACCAGTAGTTGGAGGCGCTTGAGACGAGGTGTCTATTCGGCTGGGAGTTGTAGGGTCGCATGTGTGGAGGGAGTTGAAGGAGTCGGACTAGAGATCTGGACAAGTATTGTGGTTCAGTTACTTTCCTAGAGCGTCTTATGACGGTGGAGGATCGTGTGGTGTTATACGTTGATTAGTCATTATGTTGCATCTGTCTTCACTTATTCATATCGATGATTTCCTGAAGAGGAAACAATAAGATGAATAGAAATAGAAATTCGAGGATAGATAGTTGGGTAATTACTTTCTCATAGATACATCTGTTATGAATGTTGTAGAATAAAAGAACGTTAGTTCCAATTATTACTGAGGTATACCAATGTCTCCAGTACGAGACACTAGATTATATATAGTGTACTATACAACCAGACTCTCCGGCGGCCCCATATAGGAAGCCCTAACACCCCCCAAATCAACAACCACCTTCTGGAAAACAACCCCCGGCTCAACGGCCCATAACTTTAGCGTATTCTTCTGCCCGCCCCCAAGAACAGCATGGCTAGTCGTATTCGACCACACCCCATTACTAACAGTCGTCTCCCAATTCGACGGCAAAGAGCCTAGCGACGTGGAAGGTACAAACTGCACGACTTCAGGCTTCGCGTCGTTGAGCGCAATCGCATACTTCAGCGGCCGCGAGGGGTCCGTGCTGAGCGATGACCCTAGGTATACTGTTGCCTTGGCGGTCGACGTGTTCGAGAATAGGTACATGTCGTATTCTAGGCGTGGAGATGACGGGGGTTTCTGTGTGTCTGCTAGAACGGGGAGAAGAGTCACGCCGGAGAGGGTGCGGCCGTAGCCCGGGATGACGGTGTAGGAAGTGTCGTCTGTGGAGGTGTTGCGTGTGGCGTGCGCGGCTTCGATGCTGACTGTTGCGTCGGACTCGACGAAGCCGTGGAAGGATTTTGGGACGGCGGTCTTGTTCACAGGGAGTTCGATCGTCGGCACGCCGAAGTTGCCGTAGTCTTTGGAGTCGATGGTGATGTCGATGGATACGGTGGTTGAGCCGGAGGGGGCGTTCTCCCAGTCGACGGAGAGCTGGACGCGCTTGTCGGTGGTCTTACCTGAGGCGGTTATGGTGCCGGATGAAGGGCTCGCTTTGACCCATGGCTGCTTCGGGGTGACCTTGAATGTGAAGTCCTCCGTGCCGCGCGAGTACACGTCAATCCACCGGCTCTTGGGCCCGTATGGGTCGATAGGTGGTAGGGTAAGGATGTTGCTCGATAGGTCGTGCCAGTTGTCGTCGCCTGGCACTGTCGCGTTGCTTCCTTCGGCTGAGACGCCCATTGGGCCTGCGACGCTGTCCTCCAACAGCTGGGTGTATGCAAGTGGTGGGAGGGTGTTTCTCATCGGTTGTTGCCTGTATCTGTGTCAGCGGATATAAGAGTATAATGTGGGTGAGGTGCTGACCAGTAATCATAGCCCAGATGGGTCTGGTCCATGATATGATTCCACTTTCCGTCCAACAGACGATGGTATCTCTGCGTCAGCTCGTGGTCCTCCTTGAAAAGACCAAGCACATCATCTGCCAAAGTATTGGCACTATTCCGTCTCTGACTAGCATAGAGATTGTTTCTCGCCGCCGTGACATGGATATTGGTCACCACGTAACCAGCCGTGCATGGGTGCAGCACCAGCTCGAAAAACGCAGGACGCGCAGCCTCGCTCAGTCGACTGTACACCTTCTGCGCGTCCCGAGCAAGCTGCTTCCATTCACTCAAGACGCTGTCCGCCTCGTCGTAGTTGATCAGACTGAACGTCTGCATGTCAATCAGCTCGTACTTTCTCCTCGCGGCATACATGCCATAGCGGTCCATGATACTAGCGACGTCTTTGGCGAACGCGGCGCCGAACTCGCGACGCGCCCAGTGTTGAAGCCATTCGTGCGTGCTGTCTGGAGCCGACCACCGCGGCATGTCGTATGCGATGTCGAAGAAGTGGTTCAGGGGATGCTCCTGCAATATCGTATTAGCCCTACCCTACCCATATTACGGGGTACATATCAGCAACTGAACATACCAATCCTTTCAAGTCCCCGATATTCACAAGCCACACCTGCCGTGCGTGACGCTCATACGCAAGATGCATCTGCTCCCACGTCTTCTGCAGCGATATAGTGTTGATCCACTTATAATCCCGCGGATCGCCCACATAGTCAAAATGATAGTAGACACCAGCGCCAGCCGCGCGATCCGTCTCGTTCGCCAGCGGCAGTCGCTGAATATTGCCCCAGTTATCATCCGCCCAGAGCAGTGTGATATCGTCCGGCACTCGCAGTCCCTGATGATAATACTGGCCAACCTCCTTATAAACACACCACAACTGCGGAATATCACCCACATCGTCGGTGCCAAATACCTCACCCAGCACCTCCTGCTGTGCGTTGATAATATCCTTCAACGAGTCGGGCGTAATCGTCGGCGAGGCGTTATCCCCCAACCCCCGCATCCCCATCGTATACAGACTCTCGAACCGCTTCGACCGCTGCGCGCCCTCCCTAAAAAACTCAGTAATATTCGCCTCATTCGTGTCCCAGTTCCAGTCTCCCTCCACAAACATCGACTGCTCGTTCGTCCACCGCATCATCGGCTCCGTGTGGCTCGTCCCAATCACAACACCGTACTCGTCAGCCGTGACTGAATTCTCAGGATCATCCACATGGAACGCATTTCCCCACATCGCAGGCCAGAGATAATTCGCGCGCAGACGCAGCAACAGCTCGTACACCCGCGCGTAGAAATCCGCACCGAACCCCGGCCCGTACTTCGCGTCTGGGAAGTTCTCTCTAATCCAGTTCGTCAGACCCGGCTGCTCGTCGTTGATGAATATCCCCCGGTACTTCACAGACGGCGACCCCTGCGTCTTGCGCTTCTTGACCGCGTAGATCTCTGCGTGTTTTGCGGCAGACACATCCGCGAACCAGTACCACGGCGATACCCCGATCTGCTCGGAGATATCGTACAGCCCATAGATGGCGCCACGCTTGTCAGCTCCAGCAATGACCAGCGCGCTCGCGATCCCCGCCATCGGCTCACGCACGACCCCCGTCTGGAACGCCTCCCACTGGCCCTCCGTGTCCGTGACGTTGAGCTTGCCCTTTTGCACGAGGCTGTCGATGAGCCGCGATTTGCCGATCGTGCCGGCGATGATCACGGGTTTGTTCTTGTTGCCGGATGCGATACTGGCCGGCGCTGTGCCGTTTACCATCAGTGTGCGGGTGTAGTTCGACCCGCTGACGCGGCCGAAGTCGGTGGCTAGGTCGTCTGCGGCGCGGATTACGCCGGGCCAGTCGGCGCCGTCGAGGAGGATGATGCCCGGTTCATGGTGCGGTCCGGATAGTTGGAGGGCTCCGGTTTGGTGCTTGAATGAGATGATGGGGTCTTGGCCGAGGGCGGAGACTGTCTGGACTGCGCATGCTGCTGTTAGGAGGGCTGAGAGGAGCATGGTGGCGGTATCTTCTCCTGTCCTCTGGGGGAAGAGAGAGAGAGAGATCAATTGCGCATGTCCAGTATACTAGCGACGGCGCAGTCTGCTCTTTTAAGGGAACTGCCTGCCTGCCGACGCCAATCTTGCGACGGGGAAAATTATCCCCATCTCATTTAGTGGCTTGCCTGCATCGGCTAAGAGCTGGGTAATAGCATGGTAGGTTGGAGCCGGAAATATGCCGTCCATACATTATAGGTGATTGACTGATTCTACTCCGTACGGGGGATATACTAATGCGTTCGGGGGGGTCATTTAGGCTAAATCTCACGGTGTCGGTTTCTCCTGTGTTGGGGTTGCCGGGGTAGGTCGGGGTGAAGTGAAACAGGATCGATCTAATTTCCCCGCATACTTGGCGGGGATATTGGTGCTTTTGTCTTGAGGAAGAAGTACGATGTGGGTGGATGGTTAGAGGGTGTGGTATTTATACATTGTTCGAACCGAATTGTGCTCCTGTGATAAAGCGATGAATCTTAGACTACAGCGTGATGTAGAAGAAGCTTTAAGTCGTGAATCTATTCGTGGATCCTAGAATGAAACTCGTGACAACCGAAGTAAATGACCTGGACACCATCTCAATTGCACAAAAGCCAGACCAGACCAGGAGAGATAATGGCGAGCGTTTGACACGCGTCTACCCACGTGGACGAAAGAGGAAGAAACCGGGTTTGAAAAGGATAGAAAGATAAAATATCTGGATATTATTTCATGCCGGTTCACGACAGGGCGGAGGGATATTAGGTGATTGTATCAGACTAGGAATACAAGGCTTGCGGATGGAAGCTGAACTCGCGGACCGGCGTCAAAAGGTCTTCCATCAAACAGACGCCGAATAGGCTGGGTATCTCTAAGCACACTTAATCGTCCCCGACGACTTCCTCCATGACAAAGTCATGGATGTGATCAAAGTAATTCGGTTCGGCGACACTGTCGTTGTGGGCCCCGTTGGGCAGCGTGCGCCATCTCTTGCGGGGCGAGTTGCAGCTCGCGAAGAGCGCAGTCATATTTTCGGGGCTGCAGATCGTCAGTCAGGTGGGTTCCACGGGGGGATAAGGTTAGAGGAGTACTGACGGAACGATTTCGTCTTTTAACCCACTCAAGAATAGGATGGGCATGGAGGTGATCTTGGGTAACAGCTCCTCGCTGTTCCAGTTCTGGTGACAGAAGCGCGCGAGATACCTCGCCGGCGGGAAGACCCTAGACCACGTCAGATTCAGCCTTTCTTGGTTTCATGGTCAACAGCATACGACGGAATCAGTTTCCGAATACTCAGGAAGGTGTTTTCGAGAATCAGACCCGCGATCACGCCATCTTCCTGGTTGTTCGCCGCCAGATTGATGGCGACCGCACCTCCCAGACTCTGGCCATAAACAATGACCTTGTTGTCGCGCGTCTCCGCCCGTTGTCGGACATAGTCGAGACCCGTCTGTCCATCGATCTTCAACCCATTCTCATCCGGTACACCTGTCGACAGTCCATAGCCGCGGTACTCCACCATGAGCACGTGGCAGCCCAGGACATCCTGCAAGACCTTGGCAATGGGGATGCGATGACCGATATTGCCCGCGTTGCCATGAAACATGACGACCGTCAATTTCCGATTGACGCGGCTGTTGGAAGGGCGCATGAAGAGGGCATGGAGCGACTGGCCGTCGGGGGTGGGGATCTGGAGTTCTTCGTAGTCGGTGATGCCGAACTGACGGGGCTTGGGGACATTGGTGCGCGCATCGACGGGGACGTTGCGAGGGTAGATGAGTTCACTATCATCGCGCTGTTAGCCTCAGAAAGATACGGGGTCGTCTGGAAGTTCGTCTGGGGGTGTCTTGGGGTTCGTATGGGGCTCGCTGAGGTCCGTCCCCCAGGTCTCGTGAGTAGGTACCGACTTTTGCTTGAAATATAATAAACCACTGGCCAAAACAGCCAGACCTGACGAGGCCAAGACAGGCAAACGCAGAAACTGAACGACGTTGCTGGCCATGTTGCTGAAGCTCCAAGCCGGTGGATGTGGGGATGGGGTTGGCGGTGGAGATTCGGACATTATTGAACGGGACAGCGAGGAGAGAACGGGGAATATTCCCCCCGCGAGCCAAGCGACCGAAGGCAGGAGGCGGTATAGTAAACTTACACAACCGTCCCTAGAATATGACAGGCTGGATATCTGACACAATTCCGCCAGAAGTGAGGAGAGATTAGGTGGAGAGATTAGTGGAAGACGAGGAGAAGAAGACAGTGTAGTCTGTATGGATATCTGGTATCTATAGTAGTGGAATAGTAGTAGTAGTAGTAGTGGCAATACTAGTAGAGTACAGAGTAGTAGTAGAGTTGTGCGTGGTAATAGTAGTCCGAGGTAGTAGTAGAGTAGTAGAGTAGTAGTGTGCAAAGTAATTATGGCCGTGGCTTTAAGAATTCCGTCAGAGGTGGGGAAACACGCTCACCGCCCGACTCCAACGTAAGTCACGGGCGCCTACCCAGTCCGCCGTCCGAAGCTCCGTCAGAGCTATCGATCTACCTGGTTAACCTCACCTTCATCTCTACCTCCATTCTCCATCCCCCCTTCTTTCTCTTCTTGACTCAATCACATTGTTTGAAGGGTCATCTTTCAAATTCACAAAGACATCCATAATTTATACGCTTCCCTACTCCAATCAGGAAGATGGTCAACGCTCACGGTGTGACGGGCGTGCTGGGAGAAGGTTGGACATCCATGGCTATCACAGTACATTATCGCAACTAACCGGCCTGAATGTAGATGGTATTCACGTTGATATGCAGCACTTGAAGAGTGGAGAGGTCAAGTAGGTTCTCCCACCCTGCGCAACTCATCTTTTGCTAACCCTTCCGTCTACAGCCTAGGAACATCGATGTGAGTGCGACGAACCATCCCAACAACCCACAGCGTATTGACGAACAACTCTAGTATGGCAATCAACTTCAAGGACGGCGTCATTCTAGGAGCCGACAGTCGGACGACAACCGGAGCCTACATCGCCAATCGAGTCACCGATAAGCTGACACAGGTTCATGACACCATCTGGTGCTGTCGATCCGGGTCCGCCGCCGACACCCAGGCCGTGGCCGATATTGTCTCCTACCATCTCAACATGTACGCCATCACGAACAACGAGGCGCCCAGCACTCAGGTGGCGGCGTCGCTCTTCCAGGAGCTGTGCTACGAGAACAAGGATATGTTGAGGTATGTCGTGGACGTTTCTTCTCTGTGACCGTCCTTGCTGACCGGTTCCATAGTGCCGGTATCATCATCGCCGGATACGACCCCCGACACGGTGGTCAAGTGTATCAGATCCCCCTCGGAGGATCACTCCACAAGCAAGCATACTCCATTGGCGGGTCCGGTTCGACCTACATCTACGGCTACTGCGATAACCACTGGAAGGAGAACATGACGGAGGAGGAAGGGATCAACTTTGTCCGGGGCGCCTTGCAGGAGGCCATCAAGTGGGATGGTAGCTCGGGTGGTGTCATCCGGTTGGTGGTGCTGACGGCCAAGGGTGCCGTGAGACATCTTTACCTGCCCGACACGGGCTATACGGCACCGGGCGTTACCAATTGATTTTATGGCATGATCAGTTTCGATTCCTTTATGCTTTGGTGTTAGCCCCTTACTCTCTTCCTCTTCTACGAATATATCATGGACCGGATGTCCAGTATGACGGGGTGATGGTCTTAGCGGACATCCACGTAGAGGTAGAGGAATGGTGACACCGGACGCACTGGAAAGTCAGTGAAGACATACTATAACGACCGATTACCATAATGATGAGATTCAAATAAACGGTTCGTATCCTTGTAGAGAGTGTAAGAAGACTGGGTGTGTGGCTCCTGGGCAGATATCGTGGCTTTTGCAGGAGCGGTGCCTAAAGCCGTACTCAGTCAATTCATCCATGCACTTATATATACACTGATACATACACCAATACAAATATTTAAGTTGGGTACACTCGATAAATCACAGACATTTAGTCTGGACACTAGCAAGTCACTAATAATGTGGGGGGAGCCTCAATTAGACTCAGGCCCTTCTATAAAGTAAGGTACTTTCTTCCAACAGCGCCTCTTCGGAATGGGAAAACATCTCCAAGATTATGATACTAAGGTACTGTACAATCTAGGTTCACCAATCGACCGTCGAGACGCCTCGTCCCTTGAGTCTCGACTGGAGTCTTGACCCATAATGTCCAGAGAATTACCGTACCTGGTTGCCGAACTACGTCCCCACTCCCCGCACCCTAACCCTATACTGACACTGGGATATATCATTTTCCATCCTCGAATACTACCTACCTATCCAGTCGGGGATAGGCGTCAGCTAAATCCGAGTTCTCCAACAGGGAGATTCGAACACTCCCCGCACGATGAAGCGAAGGGGTTTTCTTTTTCTTTCTGGGGGGTATAATCCTTGGGTACCCTTCGAATCCCAATGATCAGTTCTTCGTCTACATCTATACCAGAAAAAACTCATTCCCGCAGCATACAACATGTCTGACATGGATATCGTACCCCTCATTATCGGGGGAGAAGACATCGTCTTGACCGGAGAGCACCAGGGAGAAATAGCCTCCCCCATACCAAATGGACCGACGAAATTCCAAGGCGCGACGACAGAGCTAGCCATCAAGGCTGTCGAGTCCAGCGCCGGCGCATTCGCATCGTGGTCTAAGACGCGTCCCCAGGAGAGACGGGCCAAGCTGCTACAGCTCGCTACTGTAAGCTGTATTCCCCCTGAGCATGATGCACGACAAGACTAACGCGGTGTAAAGGTCCTGCGCCAGCGCGCAACAGAGCTAGAAAAGCTCGTTGATGAAGAAATCCAGTGCGGCGAGCTCTGGGCTCACATTATCATGCAGGGCGGCATTGAGCTCGTCGAGGAGACGGCGGCGCTCATTACTACCTCTACGACGGGGTGTATCCCCGCGACGGAGAAGGGATCGTATGGGTTGGTCTTTAAGGAACCTCTTGGGGTTATTTTGGGGATTGCGCCGTGGAATGCACCGATTATTCTTGGGCTCAGGGCTGTAGTTGCGCCTGTTGCTGTTGGGAATACGGCGATTCTTAAGGTGAGTTATGCATTCACATGAGTTGACTGGTTGAACGACCTACTATGAGCCTAGACAGACACTAATAATGCCAACAGGGATCAGAACTCAGCCCACGAACGCACTACATGCTCGCATCGCTCTTCCGCGAGGCGGGATTCCCGCCTGGTGTGGTCAACTATATCTGCCATCGTCCGGAGGATGCATCGGACGTCTATGACTCCATGATCACGCAGCGCGCTGTAAAGAAATGCAACTTTACCGGGTCGACTGCGGTAGGCCGCATTATTGCGTCCAAGGCGGCTCAGGCGCTGAAACCGGTCTTATTGGAGCTGGGAGGGAAGAATTATGCCCTTGTGCTGGATGATGCGGATCTGGATCTAGCAGCCGAGCATATCGTGCGCGGTGCATTTCTAAACGTGAGTTATCATCCTTTCTTGATGCCTTAAATGACCCATTTCTGACTGATTACAACGACTAGAACGGCCAAATCTGCATGTCCACCGACCTCGTCATCAGCTCCAAATTCATCAACTCTGTCCCGGAATCAAAGATCCACACCCTCCTAGACACCATCAAAACCAACCACATCGTCATCTCCCAGCCCGCCAAAACCAAGCTCACTAACCTCCTCTCCGACAGCCTTGGCAAAGGCGCAACCATCCACTCCGCCGCGACCTCCACCGACGGCGCCCACTTCCCAGCAACCCTCATCCGCGGCGTCACCCCATCCATGGACTTCTTCCATACCGAGTCGTTTGGCCCGGTCCTGGGAATGGTCACCGTGGACCACGAGGACGACATTGCGGCCTTGATCCAGGAGTTCGACTACGGGTTGTCGTCGGCGATTTTCACGCGTAATCATCACCGCGCGCTGGGATTGGCGGCTTCCGTTAATGCTGGCGCGGTGCATGTTAATGCTATGACTGTTCATGATGAGGCGACTTTGCCGCATGGGGGCGTTGGGCATAGTGGGTGGGGACGGTTTGGGGCGGGTTGGGGATTGGGGGAGTTTTTGCAGACGAAGACTGTTACGTTGAGTGGGTGAGCATTCTTTTCTGTCTTTACTGGGGATATTATTGAATTGCTCCAGTTGCGAAGGCGTCCTTACTGCTGGTGTGGCACTCTCTGTGGTGTAGTTGATTCATGATTAGGGGTTATCGGGACGGAAGTTGATGGCTTCTAATATCACCTTATTATATTGTTCATAATATGAGGTGGACATACTGCTATCCTGTAATAAGATATACAGATCTGATTGTGTTGATGTTGAGTCTCCCGACTTCATCTTGGAAAAAAATGACTAGGCGAGTATGTCGGATTCAAGGCTTGATCTCGCGGTTTCAGGAATATCGGATGATGGCCTTCATCCGGTGAATGTCCACCTACGAAGATCCCAAAATGAAGCAGCTTTACGACGACTCCAGCGAGTTCGCCGCGCTTGACCAAACCGGCGCAGCGGCCGTCATTGACTTCTTCCCGTGGATCAGCAAGCTGCCTGGATTTCTAGTTCACGCGCAGAAACACGCCAAAGCGCTCCATCGCCGGGAGAAGGCGCTTTACTTGAGCCACTGGCTCCACGCCCTGAGAGACATTGCGCGCCGCTCCATCCGGTTGTGCTTCTGCGTCGCAGGATGTTTAACGCCCAGACGCAGGAAGCCTTCAGCGACGACCAGGCGGTCTTCAACCTGGACCGCTACGTCGGGGACGATCAGAATTCGGGCGACGCCGCTGCTAACCTGGATGCGCTGCAGCGCGACGTCTACACGTTCGGTGCTGATCGTCGCATCTGTCGGGGCATTCTTGTCGCGGAGCGCAGTCTGTTTTTGGGGATGTCGCAGAGGAGGAATGTTGATACGGCAGAGCATGGTGCAGGACCCGTTGTGTTGAGAGATCTGAACTCTATATAGAAGTCTGAATAGAAGTATTGAGATCGAGACTCATATTCAATATGAATCTTATGATCCGTATATATGGATTCACTATTTTTAGATCAATCACTGAGGCTGAGGACACTGTATACAAAGTAGACCGGCTCACTATATGTACGTTGTACAGCGTCTCGACCCTCTGTAGAGACTGAAAAGGAGTTTCTTTTCATGATGAAAATCCTGTCCAGTAATTTCCACTCCATATCGACGATCCCAATACCTAATCAAGGGACGTGGAAGATGGAGGATCGAGAAGCAGAACCAAAACCGGTTCTTGAGTTCTGCCGTCTCTAGTCAGTCCACTTGACCGACCGTCTCTTCCTCTTCTCTTCCTCACTTCACTTCTCTTCTTCCAACTCTCTTCTTCTCTCACTCCATCAACCATCTACTCTACCTTCATCCCCTCTCTCGTCTCCTTCTTCTCAATTCTTGTTCCTTTAGAGAGGGGCCTATCTATCTTCATCATCCATTCTTCCGCGCAATGGACGCTTCACCCGCTCTCCATCGCCAGTGAGTTCCCTGAACCCGCATCAGCCTGGGTTGGGTTCGCGGCGCCCCTCCATTCCCATTAGGTATGTTGGTGTGCTCTGGCCTTCTTGTGCTCCACTGTTTCAGGCTCTGCCTAGACGGGACCCTGTCCATCCTGCATCCCGTTTGATGATTTCCCCTCGTTTGTTGCCTGGGGTCGCGTCCGGTTTGTCCTTTTCGCAACCTGGAGCCTTCCCTCTTTTCCCCCTTCTCCTGAATCTATCGGCCGTGTCTTGTTCAACCCTTCCAAAATCACTCGTCTGGTCGCTTCGGGTGGACAATTTCAACGAAAAATCAAGAAGAGGGGGAGAAAGAAGAGAAAGGAAGAAGATACACACAAACAGATCGTCTGAATCGCGATCGCTGACCCAAACCCTCCCAGCCAACTGGTCTAGTCATCTCCATCGTGTATAACTTCCCCCGCGGGACATGGGATCCCGGGTCCTCAATCATCGACCATCGGAGGATTTCCACAGCTCCCTCTCCATCATGCTCGGAGGCGCCATCGCTCCATCGGAATCTGGCTTTCGACCTGCATCCAATCCGCCATCGCACTTAGAGTCCGGGAGCTCTAGATCCACTCCCTCGTCCAATACCACCCCCACTTCGTCCGCCGCCCCGCCGTCAACGTCTGCGGTTGGCTCAGCTCGCCTCGCTGCCCACCCGCAGCAGGATGTGCCTCCCTACATCAACCGACCGACGCCCACGTCCTCCCACTCGCACTCTTCGTCCCGGTCGGCGTCCGTAACCCCCGGATCATCCCACCTGCATCACCCCCGACCTCGATGCGCGCCTCACACCCCACGGCCCATGGACCTACTGTCGACTACACCACCCGTCCGGCGGTGGACGACCCCGCCTCAACACCCACCGACCCCTCGCGACCGGCCAGTCACTCCTCCCCCGCGTCGCCCCGACTCCGGCCGACCTTCCGGTCCCTGCGCTCGCTGGGCGGGTCGGAGGCGAGTTCGCCCAGCCGCATCAAGGTTCGCGACCTCTCCCACATCCAGAGTCTGGCCAGCGAGGAGTTCCTCGCCCCCCGCCAGGGAGACCAGTGGTCGGGGGCCTGGGCGCCGGACCGGCAATATGAGATCAGCTCCATGCCCGTCACCGACATCATCGAGATGGTGGCGGGCCTGCTGACCAAGATCACCACCACCAACGACGCGCATCACGAACAGGTTCATCGACACATCCCCCCCGCCGATGGCGCGTCCAATCTCAGTCCCCAGGCCACCAGCGTCCTGGCGTTCCACGGCAAGAACGTCCCCAGCATCAGCATCCTGAGTTACCTGACGCGCATCCACAAGTACTGCCCCACCACGTACGAGGTCTTCCTCAGTATGTTGGTCTACTTCGATCGCATGACCGAATTGGTCAAGGGCCAAGTGGGCTGCCTCCAGCGCCGTACCGCGCCCATCCAGTCCGATTTGTCCGCCCCGTCGGGGGAGTCCTCGGCGCAGACGTCGCCGATTGTGACGCCGCCGCCGTCGGCAACCATGGCTGCGCAGGACCCCTCGACCCCCTCGTGTATATCCCCGTCCCTGCATCCTCAGGATGGAGAGGACCCGTTGTCCCATTTCTTCGTTGTCGATAGTTTCAACATCCACCGGCTGGTCATCGCGGGCGTGACTTGTGCCAGTAAATTCTTTTCCGATGTATTTTATACTAATTCGCGATATGCTAAGGTACCCATCTCCATTGGTCGCAGCCCGTGTTCCTGAACTAACTCATCGACAGGTCGGAGGCCTCCCGTTGCTGGAGCTGAACCATCTCGAGTTACAGTTCCTCCTCCTCAATGATTTCCGCCTCTCCATCCCCGTCGAGGAACTTGAGGCGTACGGCACGATGCTGGTGGACTTTTACGCCCGCGAGATTCTCGCCCAGAAGCAACAATCCTCGCCGCCGTCGGTTGGGATCCCTCGTCCGATGGACCCATCTCCGTCTGACACCTCGTCGGATGCTATGTACATGCGAACCCGCGACCGGCCCCATCCTCGCGAACCGGAAGTCCGCCAGACCCCGACACCACCCTAGCGGGTAGGTCTCCGGTCGAATTGTCTCGCCGGTGCTGCCCCGGCTTTCGCCCCTCCCCCTTTGACAGGCGGGAGGGAGAGTCCCTTTCAATGTTTGTTTCTCTTGTGGATATACGTGTCAATGATCGATCTTTTTTCCCTTCTACGATTGGCGTCACATACCCTTCTTTCTATACACCATCTGTTGATTCTCCATCTGCGTGGCGCATCTTCGGGCACACCCCTCCCCTTCGATACCTTCGATTTATAGTATAGAATTGTGGATGCTACTAGCCTGGTCCCGTGCGCGTTTGTCTTCTTGCAGCACCGTAGCCCTGCGTTTCATGCCCTGTTGGCAAAGTCACCCAATGGTCTCCTTCAGTCGGTGTTTCTGTTTTACATGTCTGAACAAGGTCGTTTGTCTGGCTTCCGCCGTTGAACCCTCTAATGTGAGCCCTCTACCTACGGATCATCATTTGCCCTCGCACCTGTCTACTTGTATCCTATGATTAGTCTGGGCCGTGCAACTGCAAACCATGATGGCCCCTTGGGGGCCTCGTCACTGCAATACCGGCTGCGGAACTCCACCGAACTTGCCCAACGACTATGGCGGCAGGTCAACTGGTGTGGCTAGTCTATGATTGGTCGGAAATCCTCCTCGAGATGCAGCGGAAACGATTTCCAGGAGCCGGACGGCGGCTTTAAGTCAATCACCATGACCCCAACTGTTAAACCGCTCTCATTGGGTCAATTGGCTGCGCAGCTGAGGTCATCGTCTTCTGGAATGGTGGAATGCGCATTCCACCCCTGGTTTGGCCATGGGTTTACTGCGAGCGGGCGCCACGTCCCGGGTCAGTTCGATCGAAGACGGCTCGGCATGGTTCAAGGGGCAAGAAAGGAATGACGGAGATATCTGTTTGTTGACTAGGCTCAACTGTGGCTTGTTTATTGCTTTGCCTCCGCGCAGATCGTATGCAGAAGCAGCCAGTTCATTCCGCCTCACATACCGTGCACATACTCTCACATACCCCAGACTATTATCTGGTTCGCTTTCGTGTGATAATCAGGTATGCGATAGAAAACAGCATGCAGGCTATCTTCGCTGCAGAATCTCTGTGCCCGCATGTTTCGAGGCAGTCCCGAAGCATATACCCCAAAAACACAGTGCGGACGAGCATCAGTCCCATCTTTCGCCCGATGCGGTCCTCTCGCGTCATGATTATGTATACCATATACCTTGAGAGGCAAATGGAAAAAAGCAGCCAGAGAAGGCGACTCTGAAAACGGCATCAAAACAGCCATCTTTAGCCCCTCAAGGCGAAGCTTATATATCGCATGATCGACCTTCCTTTCCGACTGCAGGCCTCTCCCTTCCATTCCATCGATCACATTTCAAGCCCCTGCATCGGACGATCTTCTCGAAGGGTTCCCCCCAACCACAGCCCGCCATCGTGGTGCCTCTTTTTTTTATCGTTGTCACATACCTCGCGACGCAATGGTTCGACAGGCGGCATTCGTCATCCCAGCCTTGCTTCTGCAGGCTGCGGTTGCCCATCCCGCCGGGCCCGAACTTCCTCCTCCCGGTTACGAGGTCAGTGTGGTAGAGATTTGTTACCCCGTTGTCATACCAGGCGATGACAACGGCCTGGGGTCCGCTGGCCCCTTTCACCCTGGTTCTTTGGAGCCCGGCCAAGGCTCCGGGAATGTTACCAGCCCCGGTGTCCATGGGGGTAGTGAAGGCGGCAGTGGCGGCAATGACGGCAACGGTGGAAGCACTCGTGGCCCCGAAAGCGATAACGGCGGCAGCAACGGTGGTAGCACCGGGGCCTTTGGGGCCGGTAACAGCGGCAACAACGGCGACAGCATTTTTGGCCCTGGAAGCGGTAACAGCGACAGCGACCGCGGCAACAACACGGGCGGTGCTGGAGAATTCCTCTCTGGCACTGGCGGTACCAACGGCGGCACCAACGGCGGCACCAACACTGGCGGTGCTGGGGAATTTTTCTCTGGCACTGGCGGCGGCAGCGGCGGTAGCAACGGTGGAAGCACCGGTGGCCCCGGCAGCGACAACCCTGGCAATGTCGGCAATTCTAATGGCAGCACCGGTGGCCCTGGAGGCGACAACGGCAGCAACAGTGGCAGCAACGGTGGAAGCACTGGTGGCCCCGGGGGCGATAACGGCGGCGATAACGGCGGCAACACCGGCGTTGAACATGCACCCACTAACACGGCCAGTGCCCCTAGTGGCAGCAATATCAGCGGCCTTGGGGGTGATAATGGCAGCAATGGTGGTGGCAGCACTGGTAGCCCCGGCGGCGACAATGGAGGCAACGGCGGTGGCAGCACTGGCGGCCCTGGAGGTGATAACGGGGGTAACAGCGGTGGCAGCACCGGTGGCCCCGGCGGTGATAACGGCAGCAACGGCGGTGGTAGTAACACTGGCGGTGCTGGAGAATCGCCCTCCGGCACGGCAACCAGCCCTGTCTCCAGTGGTGCCCAACAATCGCCCACCGGAACCAGCGACACCCAGCCGTGAGTACTATTTGCAAACCCAGGTTGAACGACAGGTATACTAATATCCTATCTAGAACAACAAATATCAACCCATTCCCTTCCACATCTGAGTGGTGCCCCCCTGTCACTGTCACTGACTGTCCCACACTCCCTTCCGCATCTGAGGAGTGCCCTCCTATCACGGTCACTGACTGTCCTATCATCACGCCATCTGAGTGTCCCGTTTTCACGGATGTCACTACTATCACGATCACGACTGCCCCTGCTGGATCCAGCGGTGTGCCTGGCCTGTCAACCACAGACTGTCTGACAGATGTTAGCACCATCACGATCACGATTCCTGGGTCAAGTGATTTGCCTGTCTCGCCTACGGACTGTCCTACCGTTACCGAGCCTGGCCAGACTATCACCTTGCCTGGTCAGACTATTACAGAACCGGGTCAGACCCTGACTTTGCCGGGCCAGACCATAACCTTGCCGGGCCAGACCATTACCGAGCCAGGCCAGACTATTACTGAGTTTGATCAGACCCTGACCTTACCTCCAGTGACTATCACTGAGCCTGGTCAGACTATCACTCTACCCGGTTCTACTATTACAGAGCCCGGGCAAACCCTGATCTTGCCTCCTGTGACTATCACTGAACCTGGTCAAACTATCACCCTACCTGCCCAGACTATCACTGAGTTTGGTCAAACCCTGACCTTGCCCCCTGTGACCATCACTGAGCCTGGTCAGACAATCACCCTACCCGGCCAGACTATTACAGAGCCTGGCCAAACCCTGACCTTGCCCCCTGTCACTGTCACTGAGTTTGGTCAAACGCTGACCTTACCTCCCGTGACCATCACTGAGCCTGGTCAGACTATCACCCTGCCTGGTTCGACCGTGACAGAGCCCGGGCAGACCTTGACCCTGCCCCCAGTGACTATCACCGAGCCGGGTCAGACCATCACCCTGCCTGGTTCGACCGTGACAGAGCCTGGGCAGATCTTGACCCTGCCCCCAGTGACGATCACCGAGCCGGGTCAGACCATCACCCTGCCTGGTTCGACCGTGACGGAGCCCGGGCAGACCCTGACCTTGCCCCCAGTGACGGTCACTGAGCCGGGTCAGACCATCACCTTGCCCGGTTCGACCGTGACGGAGCCCGGGCAGACCTTGACCCTGCCCCCAGTGACGGTCACCGAGCCGGGCCAGACTATCACCCTGCCTGGTTCGACCGTGACGGAGCCCGGGCAGACCCTGACCTTGCCCCCAGTGACGGTCACCGAGCCGGGCCAGACTATCACCCTGCCTGGTTCGACCGTGACGGAGCCCGGGCAGACCCTGACCTTGCCCCCAGTGACGGTCACTGAGCCGGGTCAGACCATCACCTTGCCCGGTTCGACCGTGACGGAGCCCGGGCAGACCTTGACCCTGCCCCCAGTGACGGTCACCGAGCCGGGCCAGACTATCACCCTGCCTGGTTCGACCGTGACGGAGCCCGGGCAGACCCTGACCTTGCCCCCAGTGACGGTCACTGAGCCGGGCCAGACTATCACCCTGCCTGGTTCGACCGTGACGGAGCCCGGGCAGACCTTGACCTTACCCCCAGTGACTTATACTGAGCCCGGTCAGACTATCACTGAGCCTGGTCAGACTCTTACCTTGCCTCCAGTAACTATTACTGAGGCTGGCCAGACTATCACCCTGCCTGGCCAGACTATTACTGAGCCCGGCCAGACTATTACCCTGCCTCCAGTGACTTTCACTGAGTCTGGTCAGACTGTTACCTTACCCCCAGTGACTGTTACTGAGCCTGGTCAGACTATTACTGAGCCCGGTCAGACTATCACCCTACCACCTGTGACTGTCACTGAGCCGGGTCAGACCATCACCTTGCCCGGTTCGACCGTGACGGAGCCCGGGCAGACCCTGACCTTGCCCCCAGTGACGGTCACTGAGCCGGGTCAGACCATCACCTTGCCCGGTTCGACCGTGACGGAGCCCGGGCAGACCTTGACCCTGCCCCCAGTGACAGTCACTGAGCCTGGCCAGACTATTACCCTACCAGCAGAGACTATCACCCTGCCAGCTGAGACTATTACTGAGCCTGGCATGACTATCACACTGCCCGCTGAGACTATCACTCTACCAGCTTCGACTGTCACTGAGCCTGGCCAGACTATTACCCTACCAGCAGAGACTATCACCCTGCCAGCTCAGACTATTACTGAGCCTGGCATGACTGTCACACTACCAGCTGACACTATTACTCTACCAGCTGAGACTGTCACTGAGCCTGGTCAGACTATTACTCTACCAGCTGAAACTATCACTTTGCCAGCTGAAACTATTACTGAGCCTGGTATGACTGTCACACTACCAGCAGAGACTATCACCCTACCAGCTTCAACTGTCACTGAGCCAGGCCAGACTATTACTCTACCAGCAGAGACTATCACTCTACCAGCAGAGACTATCACCCTGCCAGCCGAGACTATTACTGAGCCTGGTATGACTGAGACCACAACTGTTACTGCGCCTGGCCAGACCATCACCTTACCTCCGGAGACCGTGACCGAGCCAGCCCAAACCATCACCATCACCGAGCCCGGTCCAACTCAAACCCTAACCATCACCGAGCCTCCTGTGACTCAGACCATCACCGAGCCCGGCCCAACCATCACCGAGCCCCCAGTAACCATCACCCAGATCATCACCGACACAGTCACAATCACCCAACCCCCACAGACCATAACTGAAGTCGCCACGATCACCACCACCGAGACCCAGACCGAAACCACCACCGAGACAGTGACCAACTGCCCGACTTCGCCCCCCGTCGGCAGGCTCGACTACGGCAAGTGCACCGACCCGTCCATTGACTGGGAGTACGGGCTCGAAGGCCACAACGAATGGCTTTTCATCACAAACAACCAGAAGGACTTCGAGCATCAGCCAACTCCATCAATCGACACTCTCATGGGCCACATCTGTAACCGTCTCAGGAGCCCCTGCGACGCACCCCAGTCTACACTCGACATCTGCGCTGCCTCTGCCCAGCAGGTGGCCGAAAGCGGGCTGACGGGCCAGGATGCGGCTGATTTGTGGAATAGTTTGATGTTGTAAAGTTACCCTTCTTCTGATGGCTAGATAGACTTTTTGATGCTGTTCTTGTTGGATTGTTTTTTGGGATTAGGTGGAGTCATAGCAGTTTTTCTTTTGTTGTTTGTAATGATTCATTGTTTGTTTGTTTATTTCTTACATATCGTGTAGCGTGAGTGAGTCTATTTTCTCTAATTTAATTTGGTTTATTATTCCATGGCCTGGCTTCTGTTATAGTTTGATTTTATCTTTATCAATCAAGCTTCTTTGAATTATACTTGCATCATATATGCTATAGATAACAGGTGTAATAACTATCCTATACGCTATTGTTTCTATTGAGGTAGATAAATATACATCAGCAGCAGCAGCAGCGCCATAAAAAAAAATAAGTATACAGTTATCATCTCCAAACAGGGAGTGAGATTCCACAAGTAGGCGGGATAGATGAACACTATAAGACTTATCGCTCCTACAATAGATTTCAAGGAAGGCGTAAGATAAAAAAGTAAGGCAAGAGTATACATACATGCATGTGGATTATCCCACAATCCACGGAGCATACTATAATATAAATCAGCCATCATCATTTATTGTATATTCATTTCATGTCATTACATTGAATAATACCTAGGTCTATAGTAACATATAGATGGGTATGTATGGTGATATATATGAATGCACATCATCAATTCAGCATTTCAACAAGAAACAATGCCATATGCCATATGCTATGCTATGCTACTGTATATTATGTACCGTGTAGGTACCAAGTGCCAGGTACCATTCCATGACCGTGGGTGTGCGTGTGTGGGCCAGCCCAATCGTTCAATTCCATCCAACCCATCCTATCCCATCCATCCTCTATCCACTACCAAAATAATAAAAGTAATGATATGATATAGATAAAAGCGCCGGTATGAGCCCCTTATACTCTTTTCTTTTTTGTCTTTTTCTTTTCTTTCTGTCCTTTCTTGCCATGCCATGCCGTTACCGCTAACCAATAGTGGAGATCGTTGGATCATTCGATGCGGGGTGGACTGTTGGATTTGTTTCCTGCTGGGCTGAGACTTGCTCTGTTGGATTGAATCGTTATCAGGGTTACTTCTTAGTATACTTGAATATAGAGTGGGTAGAGAGGAGGAGGCATACGATCGACGTCTCTCGCCCTCTTTCCGAAATCCCTCGATGATCTTAGAGATTTCCTTCCGCCCAGATCGGGCGTCGACTTTTCGACCCCCGAGACTCATGCTGACTTTTTCACTAGCATTTGCCGTTAAGAGTCTCTTGAGGAGCAGATGTCGCATGCTGAGACACACAAACACGCCGCAGTCGCTGCCGTTTTCCTGCATCGGCGAGTCCTCAAGATGCACGAAGCGGATCGGCCGGTTGAGGAGCGTCCCGAACTTGGTCGTCACTGCTCGCGCTTCCCAGTAGTTCCCCGGGGGCAGGGAGTCGTAGTGGAAGGCTATCCCGTCGACGATGGAGATCAGGAGTAGGGACCAGTGCGTGCCGCCTTCGGCTTCTGTGACGTTGCGGCAGTCGTTAATCGGGAGGAAGACGTGCGTTGTTTGCGTGAAGTCGGGGAGGGCTTCGCGGAGGGAGTGCGGGTTGGGGGTTTGCAGGATCATGAAGGACATGCTGGGGCGCAGGAGGACGATGTTGGAGGATTTGTAATGGGTGAGGAATTCCCGCTCTAGATATCTGCCGGCGTGACCCCGGGTTAGTCTCCGTGGGGTTAGAGTTGTTATGCAATAAAACTTACTCCTCCCAGAAGGAGATGATCTGTGATGGGTTAGCTCGTGGCTGACCCTGTACTTCAGAAAGAGGTAAGCACCCACATTATCCGTGAGCCAGTCGTTTTTGAGAGACTGCATGTCTTCTCGTGTTACTGTGGATGTTATTAATGCCTTGCCTTTTCTAGCGCGCACCGACGAGGAAACCACAGTACATACACCGAACATCATGATCTATAAACTCCAACTTGGTCAATCTTCTTTCCTCATTTCAATATAATATCATAAGGGATCAACAAAACTCACAGCTAAGGTAGGCATCATCCGGATTCAACTACAACAGTCTATCAGCCGAAATCCCATCCATCCACCATCATTCCTAACCCATCCAATAGGGAAAGGAAGGAAAGAAGGAAATAAAGAAATAAAACCCACCGAATCACCAAACCGCCTCATCCTCTTCTGCAACCGCCCCAATCCACCGTCCCGCATTGTGCACGATATCTACCAACGCTCGACGCGATCGACTTAGTCTTCCCTCTAAATGCCGACTAGGTCGGATAAGACAGAGCAACAGTTGAGTTGAATGACCGGCCTGTGAGGAGTAACTCAACGGGCGGGCGGACGGGCGGGCGGGTGGAAAGTATGTCTCGAGGATATATATATAGAACAAGCCGAGCGCGATCGTTGTCCACTATCGGATCGGAGACAAGGCCGTATCTCTCTCGATGTCTTCGTCTAGAGAGTGAGTTATATCAACAGGTGGTGGGAGGTAGCCTTTCGCAACCAAGGGATTGATTGATTGATTGATTGATTGCCGGTCGGCCGGTAGATGGATATATCAACAGGGAGCGCAGTCGACTAGTCAAATCACTTGAAGAATAGAATAGTGTCTTTCTACCTCGGAAGACCAAACTGGGAGTGGGGGGAGGGGAAGGGAGACAGGGATGCGAAACGAAGTTAAACTGGGGAAAGAAGGAAGTGAACCTGGTCAAGGCATGTTGTCCGTCATCCGAGGCTCAAGACGTCACTGTGGCTGATGTGGCTGGTTGTGGCTGGTCTAATGCACGTGATATCTAGGTGTGTCCCTGCCTTACGCCTTACGCCTTACGCCTCCCGTGCTTTGATCTACGGGGTAACTGTATGTGGAAAGTCGTCTAATATAAATAAGGTATAATAGTAATTAATCAATTCTCGGTTCGGTCGAGGGGGTATCTAATAACAGGTAGGTAGGTAGGTAGCAGGTAGTAGGCACATTCCAACACTGGCAGAGGTGCAGCATTTAGAATCAATCAAGAATCAACAATCGATCTGTTCATGCCACGGTCTTCGCAGACCTTCATCCACACGCCAAATCTCGTTTTCTCCACTTTCCCAGTGGTCGGATGTGTAACAAAGTAAAATAGTAAAAGACGAAAGACACACAATGGATGATATTCCATCATGACGCTGTCGTTGAACCCTACCGTTGGAACAGTCAAGGTCGAAAATCAGAAAAAAAAAACCCCACGAAACACACCCAACACCACATTATCATCACAAGATTGAAACCGAACGCTCAGGGAGGCAGAAGAAAGAAAGAAATTGGCACAAAGACTTGGGGGTTCAAGTCGGTTACTCGATTTTGAGTTCCCAGAAGAGGCAATAGAACAGAAAAGAAAAAAGAAAAGAGCAGAAATAAAAGGGCGGGAAAACAAGATAAGTGAGAGGTTAGGAGGATAACTTGGCAAAGTGTTTGTTCCAAATCCACCCCACCTGCCCCGTCGAGTCGTCCTGGTTCCTAGCCAGCCAGAGCTCTCCCTTCTCCGCAATAACGTCGAAGATCTCCCCCGGGACGTAGGTCAGATAAGGATACCCCGCTTCACGGCGCGCCCGGTCGATATTGAACTCGTAAATGCTGGCCGCTAAGAACAGCACGGCAGGCGGTTCTTTCGTGTGATCGATCTCGCCCGTCTTCTCCTCCTGAGGGCTGTCGGACATGGGCATGGCAGACGAGAAGAAGCCCGAGTATCGACCACCCGGTGAAGTGGGGTTCTCTTCCGGTGCCGGCTCCCCATCGGTGGGATTCCCGATCATATCGGCCAGGAATGGAGAGTCCAGGCTCAGTCGCGGGAGGCTGGGGAAGGACTCAGTGTTGGAGATGGACTGGGGCGCGGACTTGGAGGATGGACTGGTGATCTGCTGCAAGGCTTGGCTCTGCGGAATCTCGGGGGTGTCAGGCGCCGCACGACCCGAGAACGTGGAATCGGCCCGGTGGCGTCCATGCGACATGAGGGACTGGCCATCAATGCTGGGGGATTGGAACGGACGGATGCTGCCGAAGTCGTGAGACGCCTTGGGCGATTCCTCCATGGCAGATCCCATGCGCGTACTCGAGCTGTTGACAGTCGACGGGCGTCGGGGCGAGCTGATGGTGGCCCCAATGGAAGGGGTGTTGAAGTTGACCATGTTGAGGCTTTCCGCCAGCAAGGAGCCGTTGCAGATCCCAAGAGACGACACCTGGGCTTCGGCAAAGTTGAACGTGGCGGTCCAGTCCATCACCACCTTCTGGACATCCTCGGGGAAGGACTCGACCAACGGCCCAAGCTTCGTCTGCAGCACACTGTACCAAGTGGTTTGGATCTGCAGGAAGTTCTTAAGGCAAGCCTCCATCAACTTGGCGGTCAGGGAGTAGAGTTTGGGCAGCTCGTCCTTGAGAGTCTCGTTCAACGCCACGAATTGCTCCCCTTGCTCTGCCGTCTTCTTATCGGGCTTGTCCCCCCGCTCCTTCGCGCCTTTGAAGCGTGCATAATCCATCAGACGCTTGTCACGCTTCTTCATTACCCGTTGCGGACCTTCGTGCAGTTTGAGCAATGTGACCATTGGATCGATGACACTCTTGCGAACAATACCGAGCTGGAACGAGTCAGCAATAGGGACATTGGTTGGATACGGGGGAAACACTTACATGCTCAGGTAACGTCAACGCCATGATATCCTGCACAGTCACCTTCAAATCACGCCACTTGCCTTCCAATTCAGAATAGTTCGTCGAGGACACATCGATGAAGGCTTCGATCGCAGCAACGTATTCGGTAAAGCTGTCCATGGAGCTTTGCGCTTCCTGCGTGTATGTCTCCGCATCGCGCATGACCACCTGCAGCTGGAAGAAGTTGTCCCCGAATTTTTGGGCCAGGGCATCGTACTCCTTATCCTCGAACAAGTCGGAGAGACCGACCTGTTGGCGGAACTTCTCCGTGCGGCGACCAAAAGCCTTGGACAGACCGGTCCTCACATCGGACTCTTTGCGTCTTCGCCCAACGACCTGGCCCACAAGGTCGGCCCGCTTCTTCATCTCGTTGATGCGAACGGAGATCTTGGTGACCTCGTCCAGGGCGTTCATGAGATAGGCACGATCGGGGTGGTCCTCCGGAGTGGAGTCGATGAGCTCCGACAGCAACAAGGGGTACTTCAAGATCCGTTGCACGGGCTTGACCAGGAGAGAATCGAGATCCCATGCCGCTGTCAGGTCCGAGGCCCACTCCCGGCACTCTTTGAGCCAGATCGCCACCTTGGGATTCCGCTGCAGGGTTTGGAGCTTCTTGTTGGCCGCGTCGTGGTTTTTCAAATAATCCGAGTAGACCTTCTCCATGGTTTCCACGTGGGTCACAAAGGCCCGCCCGATGGACGTGGCCCGGTCTCTTTCCATATCTGACGCCGAGGCCCCGGTCAATGCGTCATGGTCGATTTTGACGGAGTTCCGGTTTCGCCCGTTCCGCCTGCTGCTCCACCGCTGCGACTTGGGCATCACGTAGACGCTTTTGGCCGCTTCCTTGAGGGTGTCCTGGAAGGCCATGGAAAACTGAACCACCTGGTCCGAGTTGGCGAAGAGGATCTTCACATCCTCGGTGGACAGATCCAGACAGGAGCTGGACGTCCCCTTGTAGATGTCGTCAACGACTTTCATGTCCCGGCCAAACGTATACTCGGTGTCCACCAACTCCTTGATGACGTGCCGTCGCTTCTTCAATTGACGCTGCTCGGGGGAGGGGGACTTGACCACGTCGGCGGCCGGTTCTGAGGCCGAGGGCACCAGTGACGTAGCCGATGAGTGCAGGGCTTGCGCAGACGCAGTCGTCTCCAGTCGTTGCAGGGAATTCTCACTACTACCGACGCTCTGGACCGGATCCAAGGGAGAGAAGATAGTCGCCGACTGAGACTCGAGAGACCGTCGCGCCGACGGGAGAACGTAAGGGTGCGGGGGCAAGGGCTGTGAAATGATGGCGGTGCCATTCTCTTCGTGCTCCGTCGGCGGAGGGGGCGGCTCGTGGGACGGTAAAGGGGGACGAGCGTCCGGCACGTCGAGCGTTCGAGGGCTTTGGACGTCGCCGACCTGGCTAAGGCTGCCGTCTGCCTCGTCCGAGCACGGCTGGCGCGAGTCCGGAGTCACAAGCCGAGGCGTGGGCTCACCGTCGGCTTTGGCGCCGCGGTGTTCCTGCGGAGACGATTCATCGGCCGCAATTTGCATCCAATCCATGATCGACGGAGAGGCGTGTTCCCAGTCATCCCGGAGAATTAGACTCGCCGTGTGGGCGTTGCGATTGGACGACGGGATACCATCAGCGTTGGACACCAGGACCGGGTCGTCGGTCAGACTGTCCGTCCGCCCGTCGGCACGCTTGCCGGCGTCGACGGATGTGTGGGCGGCCGGGATGGGCAGACGATGCCCCCTCCCACGCGCCAGTTCTTCAAAGTACAGCTGCGTCACGCGCTTGGAGTCCCATCCGCCCAACTTGGCCAGACTGGCGGAGCGAGAGTGGTCCCACGGGTGCGTCTGCGATCCGCCGTCCGGCTTCGCCTCCGATGGCGGGTGAGTGGGCACGGACAGGTTCTGGGAGCGGCGATCGCCGGCGACGGACGGCGGGGTGCTGGAGAAGGCGGAGCACGACTGGGTCGCCAGTCCGCTATCTTCGGTGCAGGGTTGCAGCTGGGAGAGGTCATCCCCGCTGCCTTCACATTGATCGTCGGTAGAGTTCTGGTTGCGGAGCGAGGAAGACCACGAACTGATGCTCCACCGGTTGACGAGCGCGTTCGCCATCCGGTCGTCGTGTGGGGGGTAGTGCGTCCGGAGCTGGTGATAATCGCTGCTCCCCACGGAGGCATCGCAGCCGAGAGGGTCATCGGGTAACATGATCGGAATCGATTCTTTATCCTCGTTGTCCGAGAAGCTACAGTCACGGTCGTCGCACGAGGAGCTGCTGGGGCTGGACTCGCGGATCTGCATGATCTGGCTCAACAGGGTCCGGTGCGATTCGTGCAGGGTATGACGGGACAGCTCGGTCTGCGGCTCGGGATCGAAGGCCGTGTCCCGGGTGGTGGCCGATTCCGGGGTGACGGCCGAAGCGCTGGTCGGAGCGCGATCCTGCGGATCGCCAGCGACATCAGGCCGTCCTAACGTCGGCGAGTCCATCGCAGTGAGAGGCTCGACGGACCGGGGGATCGGTGCCTGCGGCACGAAGTTGGTATCGACTCGGAGCGGGGGAGGCGAGTCCGCATCGGTGAGGCCCGGTACGACGCGCGGCGGGGTGGTCTCTTCAGGGCTGGCCTCGGGAGCGTCCTCGATCACGGTCGCGGAGTCATCCATATGGCGTGGGCTCTCGATTTGGGCCGGGGGGCTCGCGGGCCGTTCTGGTGCCGCCGAACGGGGCGGAGGAGGACCCTTTTGTTGCGCCTGGGCGTGCCGTCGGAGCTCCGCAGCCTTCTCTGCCTTGCGCTCATTCTCCTGGACGGTGCGGTTGAAGGCCTGTTGGATGCGTTGCCGTCGCGTCGCAAAGTCGACATGTCCCAGTTCGGGCAGTCTGCGCTCCCGCGGCCGGGCACTCCGCGGCTCGTGGTCGCGGTTGATCTGGCGCTGCAGGTTCGACACGGTCTCGACTACCTTGGATCGGGGTTTGTGAGGGGGTGCGGTGCGCGAGACGGGATGTCGGGGTCGGGAGCTGCGGAGGGGAGGCGACTTCTTGGGGCCGTCGGCGGTTATGTAGGGGTCGGGCAAGGGACCCCGATTCGGGGCTGGGTGTCGTTGGCGATCACGGGTCACCGGGCGTTTCGCAAGCGGACTGGTCGCAAACGACGGTGGGCCCTCGTTGCTCTCGCGGACGCGAGGGGGAGTGGGGGCCGGTTTGGGTAAGCGGCTAATTCCTCGGGGTGGCAGGGGCACGGGGGCGGCGGCCCGGGCGCCCCAGGACGGTGGGGTGGTCTTGGCCGTGGGCGAGGAGTCGCTCGAGCTGCAAGGCGAGCTGAGGCGGTGTGCCGAGAGGGGAATGCGGGACTTGGAATGTGGACTCTCCGGGGGGGTCCGGGCATCCAACGGCAAGGGGAGCGGGATGGCCATGTGGGAATCGGCAGTGGGCGCGGCGGCGCCACCAGGCCAGTTTCCGGCTAAATCACTTCGCGCGCGTCTGTGCGAATTGGCACTGGTGCCCGTCGTCACTTCTTCGAGATAGGGCGTCCGGCCTAGATACCAGGCGGTGGGGGTCAAGGGGGACCGGCCCGGAGACAGGTCGCGGGTCGCGGGGTGCGGACTGGGGATCGTCCCTTCGGATCCTCGACGTTGGAAGGGTGACAGGCCGAGCGGCTCTCGGCTCCAGACGTTCGTATCGACGGCCAGTCGGTCTCCCACGGGATGCGGTCGAGGCAGATGGGCGTTGGTGTCCCAATCGGCCGGCGACGGGGGGTCGAGGTCCTGTGTCCGCAGTGGGGGCGGGACGAGAGTCAGCGGCTCTTGGCCGGGCAACCCTGTCGAGTGCCCACGGAGCAGGGGGTGTCGTCGGGTCGAGGATTCGAGCGTTTCCCGCCGATGCGACAATGCTCTGGCGCGCGCGTGGCCGTCGATGGGGCTCGCCGGGCTGGCGGCTCTCGACGGGTTCCGCGATCTAGAGGGAGTTGCGGAGGGACGGGGCAGCACCTGGTCGACGTTGTTGTTGAACTTGTTGACCAGGTCCTTGAAGGAGGCCTGTCTGGCTCTTCCGGTCACAGCCCCGGCGAGCGGACGTTTGGCGGGATCGGGCTTGAAGGGTCCCTGGGACGAATCGGAGACGGAGCGATACTGGACACCGTTCCCATTCGCATCAAACAAGGACGTCGGCTCGGATGCCACGCGCTGGTAGTATGGGGGGTATCTGTCGGCGGCTACGCTGTTGCTGATGCCGACCATGAATGCCCTCGCCGAGTCGACCGCGATCTCATCCCCAGGGGTGGATGCGGGGGGGTGCGTCCGGTAGAAGTCGTCCGGGTCGGGCGAGGAGGACCGAAGCTGCGCGTCGTCTGGATCGGGATGAAGGGTCAGGGATGCGTCGCAAGGCCGCGAATCTGTGAGACCCGGAGGAGGGTATGTGGTACTGGGACGCAAGACGGGTGTGGGGACGGATGGCGCGAGGAGAGATGCTTCGAGAGGAATCTGTGACAAGGCGTCGTCGAAAGCATCGGAAGGAGTGGGAGAAGATTGGCGTGGGAGGTGAAGGGCGTTGTCATTGCTGTCAAGGAAGCAAGAAACGTGTTCGACATTGCCGCCGGACATCTTGCATTCTTCAGGCCGACAACCCGCTATCCCCCCTCGCCAAGATAGGACGCGAGAACAGTCCTTAATTTTACTATTGTTTGTTTCCCTTTTTTTTTTAATGATTTTTTTCTTTTTTTTCTTCCCTCTCTTTGCCCTTTTTCCTTTTTCTTTTTTGCCTTTTTCCCTTTCGAGGAAAGGTCAATCACATCAATCAATAAAATGGATTGAGAAAAAAAGAAAAAGAAAAAGAAAAAAAATCAAAAAAAAGTGATTGAGCAGTCAGTGTCTTAGGTTTTTTTTTTCCGCCCTCCAACCAGGATTGATTGGCAGATGGCGGTCTTTCCTGTTCGAGGCCGTTAGTTCTGCGATAGATGTGTTGGCCGCAGCTGGTAGGCCACGGAGGAAAGGTTGCAGATGATCCGACCTGGAACTACAAGGCAAGCATCACCGGGTAGCACCAGCCCAGGACGGCGTCATATTTGGGGGGTAGAAACAAGGCCAGCGAGCTGAATGATCCTGGGTTGAGAGATCGAAGGATTCGGGGGGGAGAGGTGGAGGTGGATGTGGTGATGATGACGATGATGTTTAGTGTTTGTTTGTGGGGGTACACCAGGTCGATCGAGAGAATCGGAGTCAGACAGAGGGCAAGGAAGATCGGACCGGAACAGCCCGTCGGTGAAGGAAGAGAAGAGAGATAGATCGATGAGTCTGACCGGGATGAGAGGGAGAGCGAGAGGAAGAGGGAAAGGATGGTGGGGAGAGGTAGAAGAGGTTGTGAGGGGAAGTAGAGCAGAAAGTAGAGAGAGAGAAAGAAACAAACGAGGTCAACAAGTCAGGCGGAGTGGGGGCCTAGACTGTGAGGCAGCGGACCAGGGGTTGTCTTTAGTTCACTAGTTGGATTCCCTGTACTTTCTACTCTGTACTCTCGGCTCTCAGCTCAATCATGATCTATCCCTGATTATTCCTACAATCTTCTCTGGGATATCTGATATCTGATCTATTCTATCATCTTTGTTCCCAAAAAAAATGAGGGGAAGGGATCAGACCAGTCAGTTGTTCTTTACGATGACGACGAATGATCCCATGCCTTTAGGTATCAATTGGGAAGGGCTGCAGATGTGGGCCACCCCAGCTACGTCCGATGTTTAGGGCATTTCATGGGTACCAATCAATCCTCTGTCATTTATTATCATTATTGATTGATCATGATCTTGATTTATTCTAATAGGATCATTATATACTACCCATATCGATTGAGGGGAAATACTATATACGACAAACAGACATGGCATCCATGAATTGAAGACATCTCTTAATTACCAGATGATTCTAATGTCAAGTACGAATACAATCTAGCCATAATGGTACAAATACTCTAAAATCAACAGGGATACAAACAACGGTAATGCAACATACCGAGTAATCTCCATCAATGGTTCACGGCTGGAACTTTCTCTAGCGGCCGACAGATCCGACACCCGCCGACTCCGACCATTCTTTCATCATCTTCAAGCAATTCAATTGTATTGTATTCCAGACCATCCTCTCATCCCTCCACCGACGCAAGGGAGGGCTAACTGTAGCCCGGATTTCCTCCGCCAAATCCTTTGAACTGGACCAACGGGAAGTCGGTCATGCATTCTCCGACACTACAAAAGTCCGGTCCCCAGGCACGCCAGGAAAGAAAGAAAGAAAAAGTCAGTCGGGAGGTGTCCCAAGGAACCAAGTCAGCAATGACTCCACCGGGCCCTTTGTTGGCACTCTCCGCTCTGGTGAACACCGCGCCCCACTCTTTCCCATGTGTAAGACTCTTATCTCTGAGACTCCATTTAAAAGAGAGAGGGGGGGGGAGAGAGAGAGAGAGAGAGAAAAGGTGCTGTATGCACGCATCACATCGGACATCAAATCCATCAAGACATCTTTCCTAAGAATTCTAGGAATATTCCATTTTGCAGCACGGGAGCTTAACCTTGCGTTAGTTTTGAAAACAAGAAACAAGAAAGTCTTTCGGTATTTTTGAAGACAACCACACTGATCGGTAGCAAATGGACCTCATGGCAGCTGTTACCCTGTTCAGCAAATTCATTGACAGACTGTTTCATTCTCAACCATCAACGAATACCTCTACTATAATCAAGACACTTCATCCTACTCCGTACTGTGGTTTCATCCTGTCCCCCTCGTCTCCCAAATTGAGGTGCAAGGGAGAAATTCAGGACCAGACAGACAGTGGAGCAATGTTGGGGTACTAGCTCGTTCGGGCGATGTCGTTGGTGCGGATATCGGCCTGGATGTGCTGTACACTCCTCTAAAAACGGGTTGTACAACTGGCCGGACTATTCCAGATTCATTCCGTACATTCTCCTTTCTCAATCCTCCAGGAATGGAATGATCCTACGGCCCACTGCCAACTCAACTTTAATTTATTAACAACCTCTACCTCTCCAGTATCATCCTGTTGGTCGGTATTTACCTGGCGGTCAGTTTCCGCCTGACAGATCACTCGGTTTGGGTCACACCGCTTCCTCCTTTCTGTCCTTGCAGTATCTTGATCAAGATGATAGGTCTGATGTTGATATATATAGAATAATAGATATATTAATCTATCAATACAAGTATATACAATAATAACCATAAGATAAAATCATAAACATATAATCAAATAGATTGCATATAACAGTATTGTATGTAACATGGCTAGCGTCGGCGCCCTTTCTAGACCACCGCCCGTTCCATCGATCGACTTGATTGTTCAGTTATCATTCTCGTATGGATCTTCCTCTACGAGTCTATTTCCCTCTTTCTGGGAATAGTCAGGAACAGAGTACCGATCGACAGTGGGTTTTTCCTCTTCTGGCCTTGAACAACAATGGTAGACCCACTTACCCACCCTATCCACTGATTCCACACACAATGGTTTTGAGTCTTACCGGCTTTTGACAGTACTCCGGAGTATGCCTCGTCCTATACTGCCTTGCCTAGATAGCCTGTTTACTTGGTTCTCACCGATATTCTCTCAATATCATCCCAAATTTCATTTCCAAATTCTTCTATCATTTCCAAATTCTTCTATCCGACTATCAAACGAAAGGAAAATATCTACCCAAGTGGCAACTATCAAATCTGACAGAATCCTACAGGGATATTCCTAAAGCCTAACTACCTGCTCATCCTTGGCGGGTCTCAGTCCAATTTATCCCGCACAGCAATCATACCCTTCTTCGCCCGCCACCCGTCGGCCCGTCGGGTGTTGCCTCCTCGCATCCGTCCAGGGAAAAGTCGACCTGGGTCCTGTCCTGCACCTTAATCAAGATGTAATCTGCGATGGGGGAGGGATGGTCTTGCCTCGTGTGAGACCGCTTTTCTGGAAGGATCGTCTCGAGATATCACATCCCGATCGGCCTGGGATTGGTGGCTGGGCGGGTTGAAGATCATCATGGTGTTGGTTGGGGTGGATGTTGATCAGTTGATAGACCGTCGGCTGGGTCTATCTATCGAGTGAGCATTGACTGAGTGAGGACGTGTCTTAAGTCGGGAATAACTTGCGGTTGGGAATACAACCCATCACACGTATACTACAGTACATCCAGTCTACCGATCTCTCCCCTCAAGAGAATCCATCAATAGTCAGTCCCTCATCCTCACATCTCGCGATCGGCCGAAACATGATCATCCGCCCACCCGGGTTGACGGGGCAGCCCGCTGAAACACTAGAACAGACATGACAGACCCAACCAACAAACGGATTGTCTTTTGATACATCATCCGCCACAGTCCCCAATCTAACTCGCGCTTCATACCAACCTACCCTCTATCCTGTCCTCCCATGTGAAACAGGCCCGACCTTCCAACAATGGCCCCAACTCTCCAGGTGCCGACTGAGGAATGTGGCGAGTGGGGTCGGTCCCCTGTCTCACTTCAAAACACCGCCTCGCGACCGGGTCGGGTCTAAAATTAGTGTCCTTCGATTTGATCTCCTGGGGGTGGTGTAGGGTGTGTCCTTATCGCTGACTGACTGACCGACTGGATGGGCTGGGCTGGTGGACGGGCGAACTCCAGATTAAGTTACCAGGAGTATCCCAGTCATGCATGAAACTGGATACGAGGTGAATGTGCTGCACCAGACTGACGGAGACTGGGGGCGGAGATACTCATCAACAGGTAGAAATTTCTATGTCGGATTCAACAGTGTCGTGCGATTCTCGCCCAGCATTCCAGATTGGGATGTCTCATCTAATGAAAGTCTGGAGTGTAGCCATCGTGTTCGAGTGAGCGCACGGTGAAGTACCCCGTAGAAAGCACATGGACTCCTCCATCCACCCACCAATCCCCATTATACACCCCTTGTTGTGGCGGGAGCATCTACCCACAGTCTATACCTCCCAAACGCACCATGTCCCAGACATACAGGGTGCTCATTTCCGGCATACCAACTCACAACCCAGTCCTGGTACAAATCCAGATAGAGACGAATGGGAACAGACACCCAACGCTCGTCGAGTCCGTGCTTCCTAATTCAAAGACAGCCAATCCTATCCGTCATCGGTGTTGTGTCTTACCTTTCTTTCTTTGTAGTGATGTGAGCTGTTGGTGTGTTGAGCAATATGGTTGGTAGGCTGGGGGTGAGTGCGATTCCTTGCACGCTGGGCATTAGGGTCTTGTTTGTAGGCTGGCTACTCATTGTGTGTTTACTTGGACTCTGGAGGGGGAGATTTTGTGTCTGTTTGAGATAGGTTGACAACTGTCATGCTGTGACCCTGGAAAGAATGTAAATGAGTCAAACGAGATTGGAAACAGTCAGGGCATACACTGCTGTAGACACTTGTCTTGCCGTTTGCATTGTTGACCCTGTTGGTCTGTTAGTAGCGTGCACTGTAGTCTGTGCCATCGATTATATATATCGTAAATGTGTACAAGTATATACTTAGAGTAACTACCATAACAAAATAGATTTAGGGATTTTTAGATATGCTCAACTCAACAGGACAGATTTATAACTACTTTTTTCCGATATCGATCTGTATTGTTGAGATATATTCCTGTTGATGGTCTATCTAATGTACTAATCTACTGATTCTTGTCAATTACATCACACTTATTTAACCAATTCACAGTCTTTCTTCCTCATCTTTATTTTATTCTTTCTTGCTTTTCTTTTTCTATCCACAATAATAAACAAAGTCTAATCAGTCAATACAATAATAAAATATTATCCATGATCGTAGATTGCATCAGTCGAGAATTTCCCCTTTCAGCCATCCGCGTTCCGGCGCGTCTCGGCGCGTTCCGTCGGGCAATTCAATCCTCCATCTACATCATTCTATTTCTACTCCCCATAAACAATCCCAACGTACCTGCCACTGGTCAATTCAACCACTACTATAATCAAAAACCAACTCCTGGAATCTGTATCAATGGTCAATGGGCAAAAAGAGAAAGAGACCCGTCAAGGACGGTCAAACCCGCCCCGCCGGTCTGTCCCAGCCATCCTCATCCACCACGGCTCCTGAAACCGCCGTCGGGTCTGGAAACAATGAGGCGGTCTCGAAAATCTCGGGCGATTCTTCCCGGCTCCTGTCGCATCCTGTTCTGTCGCTGTACTACAATCGCGTTGTCTCTTTGAGACAGTACCTTCTGGGCCAGATTCCTGTGGCTTCTAGGTCGAGGCGTAGGAGGATCGCCTCTATCGGCTGTAGGACTACCGGGGGTAGTCAGGTGGGCAGCAACAGCAGCAACAGCAGCAGCAACAGCGATAATAATGGGCTTGCGGCTTTCTTAGATACGACCCTTGTGGGTGTGTTGAAAGAGACACCTCCTACGATTAGCCGGGAGCGACAGCGGGATCTGGTCGCCTTCTCCCAGTCGCAGTCGCAGTCGAAATCTCAACTCTCGACTTCTGATAGCGGGTCATCTTGTGCGCAAGCAGAGGTATGTCGGACGGCTTTTTCTTTTACCTCATCATCCCATTCGCTGCCCTGTTGCATTTTCACTCCCAGACTGGCTGGCATGTGTACCTTGTCCCATGTGCCTGTCGACCTTGCATCCCCAATACTCCCCGTAGCAACACAGTGTACCACATTCCTTGCAGAACTAATTCCACCCAGATAGTCGACTTCGTCATCACCGTTCTATTCAACCGCAATGGCATCTCGTATCGAAAGCCCCAGCACCTGCTGACCCATGGGTACCAGCGTGCCACCGCATTTCTGCCCCCGGGGAACAATACCGCTCCCGCGTGCAGTATACCTGGCCTTGTGGCGCGGTTCCCAAATCAAAATGTTGTGGCGCTCAAGCAGGCACCCTGGACGGAGGTTCTTGGCCTTTTGGGGAGTAATGGGGATGAGATTATGTTGAGGCTTTTGCTGGATTGTGGTGTGTTTGTGTCGATTGATACTTGGAAGGGGATCTATAACCAAGTTAGCGGTATGTTTGTTGGACGCACCCGATAGATATGCGTTTGCTGATTTGTCAAATAGGTCTCCCGCTGTCTGATCTCGACCCTGTAGAGAAACAGACAGAGGCAAATGAGGTGGTGAATCCTGGTCTGCAGGGTGATGCCGCGCCAGCTGCCACCGGGAAACAGCCACCCACGGCAAAAACAAGTAAAGCAGCACCAGTGTCGCCTGTACAGCGACCAAACAGTGTTGTATTCCTTCGTCGACGCATGCTCTACGCTCGTCCGAAGCTGACTTCCAAGGGGAAGATCGACTCCGGCTTGACAAGTCTGCGTGAGTGTCTCACACAGGCAACAGACAGACAGTACTAACGGCGATAGACGTCCTGAACCGATACCAAAACACAGACTCACTCGAAGAGACGGTGCACATCTTGAAGTATATCTTCCCCAGACAGTTCGGCCTCCACAATGTGTTCACTTCGCACGTTGGCCGTGAAACGGCCCTGCCCTTCACGGACTACTCCGCTCGCGAAGACGAGATCGCTCGACTAGAGAATCAGAAACAGATTCGGAATCCGCGACTGAAACTCAACAGCGTCTGCGAAGAGGGTCACAGCGCTGAAAGTCCTCCCAAGGTGCCGAAAAGGCTGCGAGGCGAAGCCGTGGCGCTAGCTCAGCAGATGCGGAACCGTCACAAACGGTGCTCGTATCTACATCTGCTAAATTATTATTGCCCGGAAGAGGTATGTCTAAAACCCTGCTTTCTACGGCTGAGGCTGACTTACTCAGGGGACCGGCCCATGGTCTCTCGGGCCTGTCAACTCCCAAGACAGTGAACTGTCATCGTCGACGACAGAGCCCTTAATCACCCAGCCACATGCTGCACCCGCACAAACCCCTGACGATACACTCCCGGATCTTCAAACCAACCCACTGCCAAACACAGCAGTCCCAAACCCAAAGCCCACCCTCACCGACCATGCGACACCCCCGTCGTCGGTGTCCGCGTTTTGTCGAGCAGTGCTCCGAAAGTTGGTCCCTCCTGGGCTCCTGGGCAAGGACGACAACGGGGCTTCTAACCTAGACGTCATCCTCAACCACGTCGATCGATTCATCCGCATGAGACGCTACGAGAGTCTGAGCCTGCACGAAGTATGCGACGGCATCAAAGTCACATCTATCTCATGGCTGCAGCCTCCAACCTCGCACGGCAAAATATGTCTCTCAGATCTGCACAAACGGACAGACCTCCTCCACGAAATAGTCTACTACATCTTCGACTCGCTCCTCATCCCGCTCGTGCGCGGCAACTTCTACGTCACCGAGTCCCAAACACACCGGAACCGGCTCTTCTACTTCCGCCACGACGTGTGGCGCCGGCTGACGGAGAAGCCCTTCGCAGACCTCAAGTCCTCCATGTTCGAGGAACTCAAGTCTGACAAAGCCACGCGCGTGCTGGAAAACCGCTCCCTGGGCTACGGCTCGCTGCGCCTCCTCCCCAAGGCGACCGGCGTCCGGCCGATTCTGAACCTGCGTCGCCGCATGCTGGTCAAGACTAACAGGGGCGGACGGGCGGGCCAATTCCTCGGCTCGAGCATCAACTCCACCATCACGCCTATCCAGGGCATGCTGAATTACGAGAAGACGCGCCAGCCGGCGCAGCTAGGCGCTTGCATGTACTCCGTCGGCGAGATACACTCCCGCCTCAAGGCGTTCAAGAACACCATGGTACAGAACGGACAACTGAGCCGCACCCACCAGCCACGTCTGTACTTCGTGAAACTAGATATCCAATCCTGCTTCGACACCATCCCGCAGCAGAAACTCGTCCGGCTCATCGAGGAACTAGTCTCCGAGCAAGCATACCACTTCACCAAGCACGCCGAAGTCCGACCCGCCGACGAATTCAACACCCTCTGGCCGCGCAAGGAGGCGCACCCCCCGCGCGCGATGCGCAAATTCATTGGCAGAGCCGCCCCCGCCGCCAAACCCACGCCCCTCGCTGAAACCATCGCCGCGGGCGGGGCCAGCCACCGGCGGAACACGGTCTTCGTGGACACGGTCGGCCAGCGGGACTGGAACACGGAGGATCTGCTGGACCTGCTCGACGAGCACGTGCGGAACAACCTCGTCAAGCTGGGCAAGAACTTCTTCCGCCAGCGACGAGGCATCCCGCAGGGGTCGGTGCTCTCCAACCTCCTGTGCAACCTGTTCTACGCGGCGATGGAGCGCGAGGTGCTGGGGTTCTTACAGTCCGAGGAGGCGCTACTACTCCGGCTAGTCGACGACTTCCTACTCATCACTTCCCGTCCGGACCTCGCCACGCGCTTCCTAGAGACCATGATCCGCGGGCAGCCCGCGTACGGGATATCCGTGAACCCAAGCAAAAGCCTAGTCAACTTCGCGGCCTCAGTCGACGGGAAGCACATCCCCCGCCTGGTAGACACACCGCGGTTCCCATACTGCGGGAGTCTTATCGACACGCGCACGCTAGAAATCTACAAAGACCAAGACCGCCTCCTCGACGGAGAAGAGTCCGCCGCAGCGAACCTGTGCAACTCGCTAACGGTGGAAACGACGCGCGCGCCCGGCCGTGCCCTCCACCGGAAAGTACTCGCGTCGTTCAAGCTCCTCATGCACCCGATGTACCTCGACACAGCGCACAACTCGCTCTCCGTCGTGCTAAGCAACCTGTACTCGAATTTCATCCTTTCAGCTATGAAACTCTACCGCTACATGCGGCTGCTGCCGGCGCGGGCGCAGCCTGGTCCTGGGGTCGTGGTGCGGACGATCCGCGATGTATCGCAGCTGGCGCATCGGCTGGTGCAGGCGCGGCGTCCTGACGGTGGTGGGAGTGGGGTTGGGAGGGCGTCGGGGGCGTGTACGGTTCCTCAGGCGCAGATTGCGTATTTGGCGGCGGCGGCGTTCCGGTTCGTGTTGCTGCGGAAGCAGACGCGGTATGGGGTGGAGTTGGACTGGTTGGGGAGGGAGTTGAAGCGGACGAGACCGCGGGCGGAGGGAGCGTGGTTGAGGCTGGGGCGGGTGGTGAGGGGTGGGGGGAGTTGTATGGGGGATGGCGGTTTTGATGGAGATCTACTGGGGTGGAGATGATGTCATGGGGTGTAGGTATAGGGTATAGGTTATATGTGGTGTGTGTTGTACTGGATTGTGTTGGTTGTGTTGTGTTGTGATAAGCAAGGGATACGATCTGCTATGGTGGCGACTAGCGGGATTGGCTTAGGTAGGGTGGATCAGGATCAGGGATCGAATGGAGGAGTGATCGAGGTATGTAGATATGACATTCCTCTTGTTTTCTATAATAATAATAATGATAATAATAATTTTGTCGTTCTGATAATATATATATATATTAATTGTAAATCTTCCATTGTTATGTCCATTATATACAGTAATCGAGTGGTCTATAAATAGATCGATCGGGCAGACCCGGTGGGAGACAGAGAGAGGGACAACCAGACCCAAGAGGGCACATACCACGGGACGAGAGTATAGAGAAAGGGGGAGGCAAATTTGGATGTAAACATGAATTGTTATGTAGAATGTATGAAGAAAGTACAGTAAGTAGAGTAAGTAGAGTAGAAAAGTAGAGTCAGTAAAGTAGAGAGAAGAGTAAAGAGAGTCCTCAGGTGTCTGTGTGGCTGTGCATGGATCGTGGCTGGCCAGCGAACGGCCTCGTTCTGAAACACTAGACATAAACAATAATACTAACTAGATATAATCAAAATAGATAGAATAGAATATAGGATAAACAAGAGACAGAATGAATGGAGAAAAGGCTAGAACGGATCATCATCTCCGGATTCAGCACCACATGGGGCCTCAGGCTGCACTAGCCGCATCCATCATCCTCCTTTTCTCTTCTTTCTTCCTCTCTCTCTCTCTCTCTCTCTCTCTCTTCTCTTCTTTACCTCTTCTCTTCTTACCTCTCCTCTCTTCTCTTCTCTCTCTTTGTCTCTCGTTTCTTTCGTTTCCTCTCCATATCTGGACTCTCTCAATCCCATTCGTTCTTTCCCCCTACCCTCCCCCCCTCCCTCCCTGCGTCCCTCGCTTGTCATTCCTTTCCCCCCTTCATTTCGGCTTCTCCGGCCATAAGCCCCCCCCAATACTCCGTACTAGCCACCCCATCCCCTTCGACTCCCTCGGTCTGTCTGGAACGGTAGCCTGTTGGCTTACTTGGCTGTGCTTTACTGTTTTGCTGTTCCTTTCTCTCCCTGCAGCTTCATTGCTTCGACACCTCCGTCGACAACTCACCTCACGATCTCGTTTATGGCCCGACTCCCTATTAATTAATTCTCGTCTCTCGTTTACGCTGTTTCCTTCCTTCTCGTTATCTCGACTCTTGATCGATTAATCGACTATTCTATTCTTTATTCGGTGTGTTGGTTCTGGTTATCTTGGGTCACTCGTCGCGCCGATATAACCTCACTTCGACCCCTTCCTATCCACTCGACCCCCGTCGGTGGATCGCCCAAGAAGCAAAATGACAACCCTCTGCACGACGCCAAACTCTCCCCCCGGTCTCTCCGCCTCCAAGTCCTCCAAATCCTCCTCCTTTCGCTCCTCCGACCAGCTCTCCGGCCCCGACGGCATCTTCGCCGACATCTCCAATTTCGAAGACATCGGCCTCGCCGACGATAGGTCGGACATTCAGTATGCGGACGGTGCGCCCCCCTGCGGCCGTGGTGGCATCCCCCGGTCGTCTACCGCGAGGCTGCAGGCCAAGTCGCCCCAACCCACCTCGCGCGACCTGACCGCCGCCCCCTCCAAACCCTCGAGGACGCCCTATCCGGCCCTACAGATCTCCCAGAAGCGCAGCAACTCCCGCCTCCGCGCCGGGGGCACGCCCTCGCAATCTCATCGCTCGCGATCAACCTCTCCCCTCCGACCCTCCGCCAACCTGGCCCCGTCCCCATCCGGCTCTGCCCGCAGTCCCTCCTTGTCGCCCGTCAACGCCCGTCCCCCCCTCAACCGGAAGCAGTCGTGGCAACCCAACCGGAAATCCCTCAAGGACCTCGAGGAGGAATACCACGACTCCGACGAGGAATTGCCGGAGGATGCCAGTCTCTGGAACGTCCCCATCTCCCCGCGCCCCCCTCAGGAGCGTGCCCCCTCCCGCGCCGCCAGTCCCAACGGCCGCAGTCCCGGCCGACGCCCGCTCCCCTTGTCGCACACCGACTCCCACCACATCCCTCTCTCCCCCGCCGCCCGCTCTCCTGTCTCGAAGCGGTCTAAAGCCCCAGCTGCCGTGCGTTCCAGCTCCGCCGGCCCCGAACGCGGCCAGATCTCCCCCGCAACCCCCGCGTCTACTCCTACAACAGCATGATGTCCGATCTGTCCGAGGAGGCCAAGATCATCACCGAGGCCCTCGAATTCCACGCCGACGAACACGACCGCCGCCGCGGCGAGGGGCTCCAGAGCGGTCGCTCGTCCGCTTCCAGCATCGATGACAAGCGAGGCTCCAAGGGTGTCGAGCTGCCGCCGTTGCAAAAGTCCAACATCATGATTGATCCGCTGCCCATCAGCAAGGAGAAGGAAAAGGTCCTCACCCGCACGCGCCCCAGCTGGCTGCCCCCTAAGGACCAGAAGGAGGAAAAGCGGCACTTGAGGGAATACAAGCAGATGATGGCGCAATCGCGCGATGCCGGTATGCCCTCCACTGTCTATTCCCTACCATCAAAATTGCTGACCCCATCCCAGAAAAGCGCAAGGCGGCCCGGGCCGTCTCGGCCAAATGTGAAAAGGACCGCACCCGCGAGGCGCTCCAGGAGATCTGGGATGCACACGTGTATCCCAGCTGGGACGCCGCCCTCGGGGAGGGCCGCACACGGGAGTTGTGGTGGCGCGGGGTGCCGCCTCGCAGTCGCGGGGCCACCTGGGAGCGGGCCATCGGCAACGAGCTGGCCCTCACCGAGGAGACCTACAAGAAGGCGTTGCACCGCGCCAAGGAGGTGCGGTCGGCGCCCGACAGTGACACCGGCGAGAGTCACAAGCGGATGCGCGAGTGGTTCGATGTCATCGACGCCGACGTGTCCCGCGCCTTCCCGGACCTCCACATCTTCCAAGAAGGGGGGCCCCTGCGAGAAACGCTGGTCGACGTCCTCCAGGCCTATTCCATGTACCGCAGCGACGTGGGTTACATCAGCGGTCTTCACGTGAGTGCCAGTCCTCCCTCCCGGATACCTTACCCCTGTCAAGACACTGACCGTGCAGACGATCGCGGCGTTGCTCGTGCTGCAATTTCCGTCGCCCGCCTCGGCGTTCTTGGCCATGGCCAATGCGCTGAACCGCCCCCTGCCCGTCGCGTTTCTCACCCTCGACCGCGGGGCCGTCGATCGGACGTACACGCTGGCGGCCGCGACGCTCCGCTACAAGTTCCCCCGCGTCGCGACCCACCTGTACGAGACCCTGCGGCTCTCGCACGAGGAGATATGGGAGCCCATGTTCCGCTCGATGCTCACCAACGGGCTGGATCTGGAGCGCATCAGCCGCGTCTGGGACTGCTGGGTGTTCGAAGGCGACCGGATCATGATCCGCGCCGCGGTCGCCATCCTCGGCTGCCTGCAGACACAGCTGGACGGGTTCACCCAGCCCGACGACCGGAGCCGGATAGCGGTGCGGGATATCCTGGGCTGGGGTCCGCACGACGTCGGGACCAAATCCAAGGAACACCGCCACAGTGCGCCGGCGTCGTCGACGGGCGGGTTCGGCGGCGGACAGCTCGCGCATGCCGGGGAGGCAGATTACTGGATTCTGGACTCGGCGGGTGATGAAGACGGGTTTATGCATCAAGTTCGGGAAGCGGGTAAGGTGCGGGACTAGGCGTTATTCTTTCTACTTTGATTTTGGCGCCACGATCATGTCTTGCTCTTTTTTTTTTTCTTCTTCTTTTTTTTGGAATGCTCTACATTCGACATTCCGTCCTCCACGCGCGGTTCGTGTTGACCTACGGGTTTGAGTTCCTTCCTTCTTTCTTCTTTCTTTTTGTTTTTCTTTCCTTGATCTGCTTGTTTGATGTTTTTGTTGGTTATCTTCTTCTTTGTCTCATCAAGATGAGTACACTCTTTTATATTGTTTTGGTTCGAGGGGCGGATGGATGTATCTACTCTCCAATAGCTCAGATCATGTCCTTGAGCTTGATAATTACTAGTCACTATTATCATATGCCCTATACTTTGATCTCGGTCCTATACTTTGATCTCGGTGATATGTGTAGTTGAGATGTATGGAATTGTAAGACTGATTATTGTTTATAGGTATAGGTGAATATAGACAAGTAGATACCATGCCTTATTCTTTCTCAGTGGCGAGATCGACGAAAACAGTCAATAATTTTGATTTGAGAAAGACGCGAACAGTTAGTTACAAGCACGAACATGAACATGAACATGGACATGAACATGAAGGAAGCCGAAACCAACAGGCAACAGAGTATATCAACCGGTTTCATGTCTCACTCACTGTTTTATCGAAGTGGTTACTTTGTTGTAAGCATCATCTATCTATCTACCTACCTACCTACCTACCTACCTATCTATCTATCTATAATTAACTTCTTTCTATAGGTGTGTACGAAATAGAGTACCCAAATATCCGCATATTTATATAATATAGTTCAATGTTATGAAATGGTAGATAAAGTTCCCGCTAAGATTTCGTCGGCATTAGCATTGGCATTAGTCTTGGCTGGGGTTTGTTGTATCTATCTATGTTTGTATATAGTATCTGTCCACGACTCTAGTCAGTGAGGGTTATATGTAAATGTGGGATATGATTGTTAAGGCGTGGGTATATACCTATACTTGGTTGTGGACTTGATTACACGTAACTAGTTTGGTGCGTTGTGTGGATTGTTGATGTGGTTGGTTTTGATTGTTCAGAGCGGATAGTGCATACCATACCCACTTATGCACCTGGTCTCCTGAAGATCGGGTGATCACTTTTCTATCTATCTATGTATCTATCTACCTTACTATATCTCGCAATATAAGACAGTGCATACAAGGGTACCCACAGAGCTCAGAAGTGTCTAGATATCTTTTGTAGCCGGGTGGTATATACTCTTTGCAACACTATATATGCAGAGTACGTATTAGTTTCGTTGTTTCCGGTTGATATTGTGGAGTATGTATTGATTATGGTATTCCCCCCGACACCGTGACGATTTGCTAAATCTGTACTGTGCTACCTGTCAATATCGTCATGGGATCATCTATGTCCATCATCCACCATCCACAAATCCATCCAAACACAACCCATACTAAGATAGTATCACCACGCTATCCGCGCAATCACACTCCCCGGAAACACCCTCACAACCAACTTCCTCAACTCATCCATCAGCAAAATCCCCAGCGCCAGACCGAGCGGAATAAACCAAAACTCAATCGGCACCGACGCCGTCAAAAACAGTCTCTGAATGCCAGGAACCTCCGTCACGAAGATGGCGATCGCGAGGGATACCGCCATCGCGAGCGGCAGCCACGGGTTGCGGCGCTCGCGGCGGAAGGGGTCCGCCTGGAGGATGGACATGCGCTTGTTGCGGACGGAGAAGATGTTGCCCCACTGTAGCATGACGAGGCTGACGAAGTAGACGCATTGGCCCGTGTTGTTGAAGTGGGTTAGTTCGGCTTGGGAGTAGCCGTAGAAGCCGGCGGAGTAGTTTTCGAAGGCGAAGACGAGGGCGTGGAAGGGGATGCCGGCTTTCTTGTACATGTAGAAGAAGAACATGCTGTGCGCGCAGAGGGTCTCCATGACGCCGGTGAAGAGGTAGGCTTGGTTGTAGATTTTGAGGTTGATGAGGTGGTCTTTTTTGGTGTTGCGGGGGGGCATGCTGAGGAGGTCGAATTCTTCTTTTTCCATGATGAGCGAGAGCGAGAGGAAGAGGTCGGTGAAGACGCAGATTATTATCATGAGGAAGGAGCTGAGTGGGAGGGGGACCCCGATGAAGACGTTCATTAGCACTGGCCAGATCTCGGACCAGCTGCCGGCTGGGAGGAGGTAGGCGATGACCTTTTGCAGGTTTTGGAAGACGAGTCGTCCGAGGCGGATGGCTTCGGTTATGGAGTCGAAGCGGTCGAGGAGGACCAGGTCGGCTGCCTCGATCGCCACGTCGCTGCCTGTCACCACTGCGATTCCCACATCTGCTGTGCGGAGGGCTGGCGCGTCGTTGACGCCGTCGCCGGTTACTGCCACGACGCCACCCCGGGCCTTGAGCTCTTCCACGATGCGAAACTTCTGCTCCGGTGTCGTCCGCGCGAAGACGATCTCTTCGTATTTGTAGATCGTGTCCCAGTGCTCTTCGACCAAGGATGAGATGTGAGATCCGTCGAGGAGGAGACTGTGTCGAGAGCGCGTCGTCTGCTTTTCGTCTGCGCCGAGGTCGTCCACGGTGTCTGGGGGGGCTTCGCCGTTGAAGATACCGACATCGGTCGCAATGGCCGCAGCTGTCAAGCCAAAGTCACCCGTCACCATGAAGAATCGGATCCCCGCGCGTCGGCAGTCCGCGATGGTCTGCGCGATCTCCACACGGGGAGGGTCGATGATCCCGAAGATTCCGATGATGGTAAGATCTTGCACGCCGTTGGCTAGGATCTCTTCGTTCAATTCGTTGGTCCCAGTTGCGGCGCGCGGGGTATAATTTCGCTGGCACAGCACGATAACACGCTCTGCCCGCATCGACAGTTTGGCTTGGTATGCGGAGAATTGCTCCCTGGCCTTGTCGTCCAGAGCCTTGATCTGGTTGTCACGACCAGACCGATATGACGTGCATTTTGGAAGAAGGACGTCCGGGGCTCCCTTGACGAGCAGGCGGTATCCTTTGGCCAGAGCGGGATCTTTGTGCACAGTGAGCATCCATTTGTTCTTCGAATTGAACGCGATTTGATGGATTCGTTCATACGGCGCAAGCTGGTCTTGGCTCCCAGGCTGCATTGTCTCGGCGAACCGTAGGACAGCAGCGTCAGTGGCGTTGCCAATGACTTCCCGGTCGTTGATGGGTAAGGCAATCGTCCTCGGGTCGAAGAAGGCATCATTGCACAGAAACGAGCCTCGCAACAAGTCCTGAAGATGCTCAGGCTGATCCTTAAAATTCCCCTGGGGCCCAGACAGATCCAGATCCACTTCGGCATCCAGTAGACCAAGCGACCTCACAGTCATCTTGTTCTGGGTCAACGTGCCTGTTTTGTCCGAGCAGATGATGTTGACGCAGCCTAACGTTTCCACCGTTGCCAGGCCCTTGGGAAGGATGTTCACCTGCTTCATGCGTCTTGCGATCATCATGAAAGTCAGTGCCACACCGACGGGCATGCCTTCGGGGATGAAGGCCACCACGCAGCCCATCACGTTGGTCAACATCGTCACCACATTCATGAATTCGTAGTGGTCAACGCGCAGCCAACCGACCCACGTGAATAGAATGAGAAGCACCAGGGTGAGGGTCAGGGCGATGATGATCATGACGAACCGCGTGATCTCCTTTTGGATAATCGTGGGCTTTTCCTTGACGCCGACGGTGATTTTGGCGATGCGACCCATGACGGACCGGCTGCCCGTGAGGACGACCACGCCAATGGCATTCCCGTTGGTCACGCTGGTGCCCATCAGGGCAATATTTCTGGTTTCCAGGAAGTTCGAGTCGGTGGAGTCGATTGCTCCTTCGATTTCATCCGCTTCGCCGGTAAGGATGGCTCGGTCAAAGCGGACATCCCCCGAGCTTTGGAAGAGACGCATGTCTGCCGGGATCTTGTTGCCAATCGAGATGTAGACAATGTCACCGGCAACCAGCTCGGTCGAGGGAACCTTGATCTGTTTCCCGTCACGTAATACCAAAGCCTCCGAGGGCAGCAGGTTCAGAATGGAATTCATCACCATCTTGGTGGACCAATCTTGGAAGGCGGAAAAGCTCGCCTGTAGGATAATGACAATGATGACGACAATGGCCATGGCTAACATGGTCGGGGACGGGGGGTTGCTCAGCGGTCTCCAACAGATGAAAAAGATGATGACACCGATCCATAGGATGGAGCAGAAGCCTCCAAAGACATATCCTAGAATCTTCTTTAGATAGTTCTCCCGATGGTGGGAGATGACGTTCTTTCCATCGCGCTGGAGTCGAGTAGCAGCAGCTGAGCTACTTAGCCCGACGCGACGGTCCACATTGAATTCTTGAGTCAGTCTGTCGATGCCGAGTACATGGTAATCCAGGCTCTCAAAGTAATCCTGGTCGGAGTTTTTCGAGCTCTCGCTTCGGGCTTTGAGAGTCTCCTCGGGGGCTTTTTGTGTCTCGGAGATCTGAATCGAGAGGGTTCGGAACTCAATTGGGATACCGGCATTGCTGTTGCTTTGAATGCCAGTTCTCCCGCTTCTGGTGGTATCCCGGCTCAGCGAACGAGGCCGACTCTGTTGCTGGGCCTGACCACCGCCAGTGAGGGTAGTCTCCGATGGGTCGTCGAATCGAATGTGGGTTTGACGGCCCAGTCGACCCGAGCGCTCATCGTCCCCCGTTTCCAGGTCTTGATCAGAAGGGTTTGCCATTGAACTAGTCTGATGTTGATGCGCACGTTTAGAACAACAAGAAAAGAATACACAGTATCAAGGCAATGTGACACCTGCTGAGATCAGACGGATCCGGAGTAGAAATTGAGCAGACGAGCAGAGGGTGGGAAAGAAGAAGACATCCGGGCAATTGGGGGACCAGAGCGGACTGTTTATACCTCTGAGGAGGCCATTGCTAGCCGATAAAATCCATTGACTAGACTTGAGAAGGAAGGGCAACGCGAGAAAGAGTCAAGAGGGGAAACGAAAAAAAAAAAGAAAAGAAGAGTCTTGGTCGAAATGAAACAATCAATCACGCTCTTCGCCTCCAACGACGGCTCACGCTGGAGGATGGAGAGGAGAAAAGCAGGCTGTGCAAACCAAAGAGGCTAAGGAGGAAACAGCAAGATCAACGAAGATGGATAACGAGCCATGGTTCATTGTCGCCGTGGACGGAGAGGTGGTAGCCAAAGGTGACGGTGGTGGAGTGGTTGAAAACGAGATGGAAGACGGATAGAGGTTGAGGGAATAATTCCAGCCAAACAAAGGGCCAGCCCGTCAGAAATCACAGCGGATCCCTCGACCATTTTCCCTTCTGCTTTCGTGTTTTCGTCGACCTCGACCTCATCACGACTATACTTCAACTGGCGATGTCAAATGAGAGTTTCACGATCTCGATTCTGATTGGGTCCGGGAAATCCCCTCAGAACACCTTGGCTCAACATGCGGCTTTTATCAGAACGAACCGTCAGAGAGTATATCATGCCCATACGGACTTCCCGATACGCCTACATATGATTTCTCCACTTCCACGAGGCGATGGAATAAGATTCTCTTGGGGCATGCGACGTCGGGGAGCCGGGTTCGAGCATCCACCATTAGCTCCGTGGTCAACTCGGTGAGATGAAAGTACGTGAGTATCAATTCACTCACGCCACAGTCTAGATTGGCGACACCGTCCCGGGAGAAATGAGCCACGAGATGACACTAGGCACCCGCTTTTTAAAGCGTACCACGTTGGTGGGAAGTGGGCGAGATTATTGGTGGTTTGCGCTATCTTTGGTAAAGCATCCTGATAAGCATGTTTTATATTCTCCGTGACTTGAACCAAAGAAGGAAGCAAATTCAAAGTAAAGGAAAAGAAAAGAAAAGGCAAAACTCGTGGTCTGAAAGACTACCTGCATTCGACTATCTCAAGTCAGCGCCATTTCTAGACACACGAGGAGATCAAGGTACCACCAACCGATCCAGGCGCCCAGCCTCAGAAGCTAGCAACAAAGAGGTACAAGCTTGCCGAGAGTACCACCGGAAGCTCGCTGTTTCCAAGACATGAACAGATAAAATCCGTCATAGCGTGAGACTCGAGGTAGTAGCAGCACGATCCAACATAGGGCTCAACGCAGCCGCACCGTCTCCCATGGGTGCACTGACACTTTCTGTCCACATAGACGGCTAGAAAGCGCCAGTTTAGTGAATGTTATGCTATCAGCATTCCGAACTGTCTGTGTACGGGGCTGAGAAAGTTAAGCACATGGCGTAAGCTTTGTCGTGACCGTGGATGAGTGTCTTCCTCGTCATAGTAACCTTGTCTGCGTCTGGTCGGGAACGGTATCCTCCCCCTGTCCCTGTTCCTTGAGACGAAGATGCAGCTGCATCGTCAAGGCTGCCATCATTTGGAGAACACAATGCTGCAGCAATAAAGGGTCGCGACAACAACGGTTCTGAGGCACCACCATGGCAAGTTCTATGTTATGAGAATAACATGGGAATTAGATCTTCTCTTAGATTGCCCGAAGGACGTATGCGGGAGACTTACAGCCCAGCTTACACTCGGCATAACGGCGGACGCATCTCCCTCAGTAAGAAAAAGCGAGTCGATGTCATCTTCCAGGTCATCGTCAGCCCGGTCATCGCCGAGAGAGCTAATCTACGGATGGATATGATTGTCAACGTCACAATTATTGATAAGGGTATGGTATTAGTGAGGATTAATTGAAGAAACAAAGGGTTTGACCTCCGTGAGTCCTGAGCCTGAGAAGCTGCAGTGGTAGACGGGCTTAGATTAGAGAATTAAGGGTCTAGAGAAAGAGGAGATCAGAGAAGAGATGTGTGGATGATTTGATATGAAAGGAGTAGATGACAGTTCCAACAATACTGGTGTGAGTGTCAAGAAGCAAGGAGTCATGAGGTGAGGGAAATCAACAAGCGCGAGTGAAGTAGGCGAAAGATACACAAATGCTGATTATACCTCATGCACGTCACACCTGTACTTACACCCAAAACCCCCCAATTTTATGTATCACCCTGCATATAACAGCAAAAGTACCATTCCCCAATCCATACATTTCTATCTAACAAAATCACAAAGGGTATATAAATCAGACTAGCCGTTCACAGCTTGGCCTTGCCTCCAAGAGCCTCACTAAGAGGCGTCACCTCCACCATCATTTTACCCGTATTAGCACCCTCGTACAGATTGACCAATCCCTGGGGCGCAGCCTCCAGCCCACCCTTGATAATGTGGTCCTTGCGCTTGAGCTTGCCCTGCGCGAGCCAAGTCCCCAGGTTCTGCAGCGCAGCGGGGTATTTCTTCGCGAAGTCGAAGACGATGAAGCCTTTCATTGTTACCCGTTGGGACTGCGATCTGTCAGTAGGAGTCTTACTTTAAGTATTATAATGTAATGCAGAGGATAACTCACAATAACGTTCATAAAGCTGGCCGGCCCGGTAGGTTTCTTCGCATTATACTGACTGATCGCACCGCAGATCACAAAGCGGGAGTCGCGCGCCGCCCGCGAAAGACACACATCCAGGATCTCGCCGCCAACGTTATCAAAGAACACGTCGATATACTCCGGCGTCGCCTCCTTGAGCTGCTTCTTCCAGTCCGCATCCTTGTAGTTGATCGCGGCATCGAACCCCAGCTCGCGGCGCAGGAACTCGCACTTGTCCGCACTGCCAGCCAGCCCGACCACGCGCTTGGCGCCCTGGATCTTTGCGATCTGCCCGGCGACCATGCCGGTTGCGCCTGCGGCGCCGGAGACGACGACCGTGTCGCCTTTCCGCGGCTGGCCGATCTCCATCATGCCGAAGTAGGCTGTGAGCCCGGTCATGCCCAGCACGGACATGGCGTCTGTGGGCTGGCAGCCTGGCGGGACGACGACCTTTTGGGCTTCCTTGGGGAGCAGGGTGGCGTACTCTTGCCAGCCGGAGTAGGCGATTACCCAGTCGCCTGCCTTGTATTGGGTCTTGAGGCTGTCGCCGACGGCGACGACCTGGGCGATGCTCTGGCCGCGCATGACGTGGCCGCGCTCGACGGGGGCGATGTAGGAACGTTTGGCGGTTAGCCACTGGCGCATGGCGGGGTCGAGGGAGAGGTAGTGCGCGCGAACGAGGATCTTGTCGGTGGGGACATTGTTGGGGATGGTGGATGCGTTGAGCTTGAAGGTGCCGTTTGTCAACGAGGGGTCGATGGCTGGGGAGGGCGTGTTGGCGTAGATGATCTGTCGGTTGTTGATGGGCATTGTGGTGGTATTGATGATGGATATTTTGATAAGAAGGTTCGTATGGAGGATTGAAAGGAGGAGGAGAAGGACCTAAAAAGGTGTTGATGATATTGTCGCTGAAGAGTAATCAAGGCCGCAGTCAGACTAATCGAACCTCGGATGTTTGTCCGCCAACCGAGCTTAATCTGGAGTGGAGACGGGCTTGGCGGGGAGATTTGCTGTGGGGAAACCATGATAAGCTTGCTCTTCCAGGCTATTACTCCGATCCCCAATCCGAACCGACCACTTGATTGGAATGGTGCGATGACCAGATCCATTTATTCCTATTTAAAGATTGCAGGCGTCTCGTTCGGTCAACTATTGCGGAACACCTTGTTAAAATTGAAACAGGTTTCTGAATATATATGGCCCGGGGACCGCATAGCGACAATCTAGTGCTTTCGTCTAGTTATGCAAGAATTTATACCAGAAGGGGGCGAATATATAGTTCCACGGCCAAAATGCAAAAGTCGAGTTGCGTGCACAAGCCAGAATGATGGGTTGGCCTAGTACCGATATATACAGAGGCAAAAGGGTCATATTTCCACGCCTAATTCATTGGATGGAAAATTGATAGCACCTCATCTTCCATCCCGTGACGACGAAATCGGGATTTGTCGTCTCTACTGCCCATCCGTGGTCGTGGGCATCGGGATTGGACCCCCCGGAGAATCTTCGTTCCGCGCAGTCAAGATCTCAACGCCGGTTTCCGTAACAAGTAAAGTGTGTTCTATTTGTATGTCAGCATTGAGCATCAGTAGGAATCTTCTGTACTCACCAAACTGAGCGGTCCATCTGCCATCCACCGTGGCATTAGTCCAATCGTCCGGCCAGTAGACCTCTTTAGGCTTTCCCAGCGCCAGGATAGGCTCGATCGTAAAAGTCATCCCAGGCTTGCAGACACCCACCGCTTTGTTCTTGCCGTAATGGGGGATCCACGGTGGGGGATGGAATTCAGTATTGATGCCATGGCCGCCCCAGGTGGTGACGATACGACAATCTCTAGACTTGGCATGTTGTTCAATCACCTTGCCAAATTCTCGGATGGGCGTTCCGGGCTTCACGATCTCGATCGCCTTGTCTAGACATTCCCGTGTTGTTTCAACGATCCGAACGGTATCTGGGTCTGCTTTGGCTTTCTCGCCAATGTAATACGTCTCGTTGAGATCGGCGTGATACCCTTCATGATATAACGAGATGTCGAGATTGAGAATATCACCATCAAGCAGGACCCGCTGGTCGGGGATCCCGTGACAAATGACCTCGTTTGGTGACGTGCACAGCGACTTGGGAAAGTGATAATAGTTCAAAGGAGAGGGATACGACTGTCCGTGTCAGGGATTTTCCACGCCACCTGGTAGGCTGCACTTACACCTCGTTCTACACAGGCCCGATGACACACCTCATCAAGGTAGTCCGTGGTGATGCCCGGTTTGAGCTCGGCCGCAGTGATGTCCAGGACCTCTCGAGCCAGTCGACAGACCTTGCGCATGGCCTGCTGGCCTTGGGCGTCTAACAAGTCGATCTTAGTCCGGCTCAGACGCTGTTCGGCCTTGGGGATCCCGGTTTCCGCCCAGTCCGGGTGTCTGATTGACTTGGGGACGGTGCGCATGGGGGAAAGGGGATAGACGGGTCGGACTGGGCCGGTGAAAGAGAAGGTCGGGAAAGGATTATACGTTCCATTTACTGAATCGGATTTAGCGAGAATCCCAGGCAGAGGGGTTTGTGAACCATACCATCTTGTGTCTTGTCTTTGAGTTTTTGATGTAAGGACTTATGTTGATTCTAGCGCGCAGTCCTCGGTCAGTCCTGAGGTTCTGGAAGGTTGAGAGCGCAGCGACATACCCAATTTTTCTTGAAGCAGTCTTGGGAACAGAAATAACTGTCGTTGAGGCCGAGTTTCAGACATGTTGGGCATTGTAGGTTTCCAGCTTCCTTTCCGCAGTCTACTCCCTGACATTTTCTCTCTGCTGAATCGACAGTCATAGCGGTTAGGATGGAGGGGAAGTAAGGTCCGGTAGCAAAGAGCAATCACACCGAGACAAAGACGTTGCCGCCGCTTGTTCACGGCGTACTTTAGCCAAGTCACATGACCTTTGGGATGACTCGAAATTTATACCACCCCCCCTGGTAGATTCACTGCAACATAGCCATTCTGGGAAGCGGATCAAAACCTTACTAGACCTCAGGCCATACCTGATTAGTTTCTGTATACACATGGCTGGCCAGGAAGTTTCGCCTCGACCCACATTGGTGCTTTGTACGGACCGTACCGAATGCTTGGATAGCGCGGGGATTGCCCTGGTCAGACTGTTGAAAGATGACTGGACGGTAGGTTTTGACCAAAAAGGTAGGCTAGACTACGCTGAGCCTGAAAACAAGCTTTCTAGGGAAGAAATAATATCTGTTTCCGTACGGAGGACAGTAGACGATATAGATCAGAGTAGTTGCCGCTGTCGAGGCTGGTTGTGGTGTAATTATCGATGGTCAAAAACATCTATAATTATGGTTAAACATAAGAAGAAGTTTATAAATCTTAAAATCATTGACTAAGTTTGGCATAGTTATATAGTCTCACCATACTGTTCAAGATCGATACTAACCAGTCATGCAAGCTTATTCTTCTATCACTTTATCCTTCACTAAACAGATAAACCAATGCCCTAAACAGCGCACCTCCCGCCTTTTTCTTTGAAGAATTGTCTGATTATGCCTCTCAACTACACCATTTGACTCTGGACGCAGGCGACACTAGGTAGGGTGGAAAGACATTGAACGTGATCAGTATCCATGCCGGATAGACTGACTCATGTTCACAATGCTCACAAGAGAAGTAGTACCATGATTAGAAACCACTTGATCGTCAGTTCTTTCGCCCTGAATCCGAATTGTTCTCGAAGCATCAATTGTTAATGCCAGTCTGCCAAAATGACGTCATTCGGGTGATCTTGACCCGAATGGGAGGGGGTGACCAGAATGACGTCACACTAGGCATGATGTCGAAGGCGAGCACGCTGGATGGCGTTGGTATATAAGGCACTGCTGGTTTCTGTGTTTTGCCATCTCAACATCTCAACCTCTACTACTCATCCTATTACGAATCCAACTTTGAATCACCATGACTACTCAACCCCCTCACTATGCTTCCACCTTCGGGACTCCTCACCAGGATCCCAGCTCCACCACTCCGACAGGCACTCATCTATCAAGTGCCAACCAAGCGGCCTCTGAGCATGAGACCACGGGGGTCGGACACCAGACTGCGCCATTGTCTAGCAGCCATCAGCCGTCGTCAACTGGTGCTGGCGCGGGGGGCTCCGAGGCGGCTAAGAAAGGCGAACAGCTCGGACAGGGAGTGCATTCTGCTGCAGCAGGAATCCATGTACGTTGAATCAATCCACCACCTACCATTGCTCGATCAGCGCTAATATCAACAATAGGGTTTTGGAGAGAGCTTGCGAGGCGGGCTAAATGCGGCCGTTGACAAAGCCTTTGGCCACGACGAAGGAGTCGCGAAGAATGCGAATATTGCCGAGAAGGGCGAACGACAGGTTCAGTCTGGCCATTTTTCTGGTCATTGAGACTAATTGTCTTGATTGACGGCTCAAGGCAGACTGTGGATATGATACGATGTTACGAAAGAACTCATGTTTTTGTTGTGTTATTACTATTGAAAGCGATGTACACTATGGAGCATATGGCTGATTTGATATGGTTATTTGGCTGTACGATTTACTGTTGGGAACTTGGCCCACATAAACTTCAAATATAACAACAATGCCCCAATACCAGACAGATGGTTTTCTACCAATAAAATATACAAATAGACCCGTGTATAATATACTATACTCCATACTATACTATATATACTGTAGAATCATGCCGGACAGTAACGTGGCATCCCAATCGGGTTTAGCTCGCCTCCACACCCACGTTTCTTCCCACTTTGACTTCCATCTTCATCTTCATCTTCATCTTTCTTCTCTCTCTTCTTTCCATCTTTCTTTATATACTCTTATCCACTATACTCTCTGGTCGCTAATTAGGATGTCACGAATAACGATGATCTCATTGACCACAAATACCCACTGGATGGCTCAGGATGAATGGTCAGATCCTGATCCCCACTCATGACTCTACCACCCACTGTGAGACCCGACGATCGGACTCAACCATGGAGAAGATTCCATCATGATCTTTCCAGAATCCCAGAGCTGTGAACTGGTCGCAGACCACTTATCTCCACTCTCCACTGCCGTTATTGGCCGTTACTCGGCACCGTTCCAATAAAGCCACCTAGTTCCAGCTGTTATTTCCACACGAAGAGGAAGTTTCACCCGGCCGTCCCGGAGGCTGTGTACGGAGTGGAACCGGTTTGCACTTTTTTTTCTTATTTCTTTTTTAGTTTTAATTCTTACTTTCTTTCTTTTTTCTTTGTTGGAGTCACCCGCACCTCTGGAATTGCCCCCGTCATCATTGACACATCTTTTCTTCCCTCCAGCCTTGTAACACAACCGGGCAATACTTCCTCCCCAGCGTAACTCCAATAGCGTCGTCGGGATTTAGTGCCCCAGGAGAATCCACCAACAAGCCTCGGGGCGCATCTACTCTTTAGACCTCGTCCATGGCGCAGTTGGAGCGCGTCCTATATCGACAGGCCGAAGTACGAATACGGTTCTCCAGCGCCCATCCATCTCAAGCATTCTAACTGTTAGTGCTCCCTCCAGACCGCTTTCACATGTAATGGATCGCTAATGCAATGCCTTCCTGCTTTACAGCTGCCAGCCTCGTTCCATTCCGTCGTCGTTGCGTGTCCATTGCGACTCGTCATAAACCTTCCACACCTCCTCTGATTTGGCCTTATCCGCAACGTGATTTTTACCGGGTTCTTCCAACGCTACCCCCTGAATGCTGCTAGAACGTATATATCCGCTGCGTCATATCAACCGACCTCAATCATGGCTGTCCCTGCAGTCCCATCGAAAGACCGTCGTGACCCGGTCACTTCCCCCGTAGAGGCCTCGCGCGACCCGGAACTTCTGCCCCCGCCCGAAACCTCGAGTTCCGACAGCGAGGAGCAACTTCTCTATCCTGCCGATGCTGCCCAGCAGGATGAAGCCAACGCGTTGGTCGGCGTCAGTATCGGGCGCGCGCAAAGTCGCATGAAAGCCCGCCGCACCCCGGCCGAAGAGAAAAACCGGATCATGGAACGCAATGGTGGCTATTTTGACGCTATCCCGGACACGGTCGACGCGGATGGGCTCTTCACCTCACAGATCACCGCCGAACCAGACACCCTACCAGTCGCGGATACAAAGCCCGCAGCCCGGGGGCAAAGTTCAAAATCCACGCCGGACCAAGGAGGAGCGCGCCCGGAGACGCCACCCGCCAAAGAGGCCGGTCGTTCGAGTTTCACACGGTCGATCTTGAAGAGCAGCTTGCCCATCCGCCCACGGGCCTGGTCCGGTGATTTCACCGACAGTCTACGCCTGAGGAGGTTTCTTCCAGACTTCGGTTCGTTGGGCTCCTTGACCAAACGGGCGTCGTTGTCTTCTCGCGGAGACTCGTCCCACAACCGTTCTCGGAGTCAAACTCTGAAACCGACCCCGTCGAGACTCACCGTGGATCGGGAGGTAACACCGCCGCCTCGACCGCGGCGCAGGTCCCTTACCGATCAGGACCGAAATAGTGTTCTCCTCGATGAGCCGGTCTCCGAATTGCAACCTCTCAGTGGGGCGACGGCGGCCAAGCATTCCTACACTCGCCGGCCCAGTGTGTCCGTCACGGGGAGACCGCCCTCGCTCCACCGATCCTCGTCGGACAGGTCGTTGTATCTAAGAGCATCCTCCACAGCTTCATCGTTGGATCAACGCCCGGAGTACGAGAATGTGCACACACAAGTCAACAGTCGGTTCAAGGCCATCAAGGACAGTCTGCAAGATTCTAGCAACCGCCTGCTTAGCATGCCCACGTTGCATCTGCAGGACTTGCGCAATGACTGGGGATACAAGCCGTTTATGTCCGATGTCTACAACCGCAAGGGGAACAACTATGCGCAAAATCCCGAGACATCCACAGATGATGTTAAGGCCACTCCCACGATTCCGCCGCCACGCGTACGCGTTTCACGAACGAACTCGAATCCACTACATCCGATTCTCTCAGAGGCTATGGCGGAGATGACCGGTGACGTGGTGATCATGGGAGGGTATCGAGGGTCTATCCTTCGCTCGGCCAAGCCGCCACAGCGGCAGTTGTGGGTTCCCATGAAAGTCGGGCTGAACCTCCGCAAGGTCGACCTGGAAGTTGGCTTGGATCCGGAAGACGAAGAACGGATGGAAGAGACCATCATTCCGTCCGGTGTGCTGTCTCACATCGGACCGGTTGATATCTGCCGCCGACTGATGAAACGCCTGCGGAAGTGTGACAACGCCCTTGACGGGAAGCTCCGAGTACACGATTATGGGTACGACTGGCGTCTGAGTCCACATTTGCTGGCGAAGAAGTTGATCACTTTCCTCGAAAATCTCCCGTGCAATGCGCCCGATGTGCCGCCTGAGCGCAGGGGCGCATGGGTCATTGCCCACAGCCTAGGCGGGTTGATAGCACGGTATGCGGTCAACAAGCGACCCGAGTTATTTGCCGGAGTCCTCTACGCTGGCACGCCGCAGCACTGCGTGAATATTCTCGGTCCCCTCCGTAATGGCGATGACGTTCTATTGAGCTCGCGGGTGCTCACCGCACAGGTGAACTTCACTTTCCGGACGAGCTTTGCCCTTTTACCAGAGGATGGCCACTGCTTCATCAACCCGCAGACTCAAGAAGAGTACCGGGTCGATTTCTTCTCTGCAAAAGCCTGGGACGAATACCACCTTTCTCCTTGTGTCAACCCTGCGCTCCCGCCAATGCACCGGCCATCGGGGTTCGTGGACAACATCGGGAAGCGCTTCTCCACCGTCTTGGGCAGCAAGGACAACGTTTCGACAGACGAAGCCAGCCAAAGCGAGTCATTTCCCCAGCCAAACGGCAATCACAACCCTCGATCAACAAAAACCTGCCCCGACTTCACCAACACCGCCCTCGAGCACCCAACAGCGATCAACCCCCCTCTCGAGGGCGCAGTCGGCCCCGTTTCCAACATGCGCGACTCTTCCAATAGAGCCACACAGACCTCCACCATCCCCCACGCCAAAGCAATGAGCTACCTCGAACGCACCCTCACCGAAACCCTGCAATTCAAACGAGAGCTCGTGTTCACACCGTCCCACCAGGCCAACAACCGGTACCCGCCCACAGCCGTCCTCTACGGCAAATCCGTCCCCACGCTCTACGGAGCACGCGTCACCTGCCGCGAAAACATCAAGCACCAAGACGCTTACGATGACTTGGCTTTTGCCGCGGGCGACGGCGTATGTCTCGCATCAGCGGCAATGCTACCCCCAGGATATCGGATCATCCGAGATGGTCTGGTCAAGAGCGACCGCGGCCACGTCGGTCTCTTAGGCGACCTCGAGGGCGTCGGACAATGCCTAAAGGCTATTCTCAAAGGACGACGCGAAGGCGTCGGGATGGGAAAGTCAGCCCCATAAACACACCCCCCCCCCCCCCCCCCTTTCCCCTGCTCTTCTATCATATGACCGGCGTTTCCTCCTCCTTCCATCTACTGTCATTTTTTGTCTGACTACTCTGTGAACTTCAAGCCCCTCTCATCTCTTGCATTTCTTTTCCATTCATTCATCTAAATACCCAACCCATGTTAACCTACTTGTACTAAATCTTGACCATATATTTACACTTACGTTACACCTCATCATTGCAATATCAGTGATATTGACGATTCATCTCAGTCATCTCCTTTGAAAACATGCATACCCAGTCTTATGACATTTTGATATGTGCAGTGGTTGTGGCCTTGTCTTTTGTACATTCTTGGCGCATTTCTCACTGTGTATGTGTATATATGTGCGTATGTGCGTATGTGTGCATATGAAAAGACATTGACATCTAGAGTTATAGATAGATAGAACGAACTAACACCATCATATTGTGCAATCAATCATACAGATAGAAACCAGTCTATTCTTGTCATTTGCAGGTTCACTAAGTAGTTACTCCCTAAAATAGAGATTTAAGACGGGATATACCCTATATAGTAGGAGGTAGGTAGTTTCAAGCCAGACCAAGCCGAAACAGACGAAAAAAGAAGTAAAAGAAGACGGACACGCCTATATCAACCAAAACGGGCAAAGATCCAAAGTCCGAAAGTTATTCAAAGCTTATAACCATAAAAAATCTAAAATGATATAAAATAAAATCAAGTAACGAAAAGAAAACTCTATCCAGTCCGCGAATTGGCAATGGTGAGCACCAAAATATCCGACGCCCCGACCTTGGTCAGCTCGTCCATGACGGTCGCGACCTTCTTCTTCTCGACCATGGAGCTGACGGCGACCCAGCCGTCTTCTTCGAGGGCGGTCACTGTGGGGGCGCGCTTGCCGGGGGTGATGTTCGAGGCGGTGGCTAGCTCGGCGCGGGGGATGTTGTATTGGCAGAGGACGTATTTTTGGGCGGCTGCTGGGGTTAGTTTCTTGGGACTGCATAGCTTCTATGATGGAAGGATTGAATGGGGGAGGGCAGGGGGGGTAAGGGGGAGAGGGAGACGTACTGATGACACCGTTGATACGGGAGGTGATCAGGTCCACGAGGGGGTTCTTGGTGTTCTTGGACTTGACGAGGACAGAGGTGCTTTCGACGACGGTGTCGATGGCTTTGAGGCCTGCTGCTTTCATCGTCTCGCCGGATTCTATACAGCCGTTAGCTTTCTACTCTTTTCTTTGCCGTCGGATTTGAGAGTCCTGGATAGAAGAGGGATACGCACCAACAAGATCAACAATACCGTCGGCCACACCCAGCGCACAAGCAGCCTCCACACTCCCACCAACATACTTGATATCAGTGCGGAGGTCGCTCACATCGCTAACGCCTTCCAGCTTAGAGAAGAAAGCACCCGTCAGACCCGTAAAGCTGGTCACGATATTCCGGCCAACCAGCTGCTTTGCCTCCGTGATATCGCCCTTCACCGGCACCTGGACCTGCAGCTTGCAGCCGCCGAAGCCAAGGTCCATGATCTCCTCGACATTGGAGGTAGAGTCCGCAGGCAGCTGCGCATCGTGCTCGGCGACCTGGTCGCGGCCCGTGATGCCCAGATCGACGCGGCCTTCGCCGACGAAGGTCGGGATGTCTGCGGCGGGGAGGAAGATGAGCGCGATCGGGAGGTTCTTGACCAGGGCGATGTCGAGGCGCGTCTCGCGGCGGAATTGGATGTCGCAGCCGGCGAGGAGGTCCAGGGTGGCTTGTTGGAGACGGCCCTCTGTTTGTGGGGATGTATCGTATTAGCTGTGTTTCCTTGGGTCATGTTGTGTGGTGTGTATCGTGGGGAGACGTGTGGCTTCGCGGAAGCGGGGAGGTGAGTGAGTCACGGCGGGAGGGAACTTGCTCTTAGGGACGGCGAAGATGAGTCTTCCTTCTAAGCTGGGAGTATGTCAGTACTGGACATGATTCTAGTATATAGCAATGCGTTATCCGGAGACAGCAGGGCGATTGACTCACTGGTTGACGAGATCCATGGTGAGCGATGATCGGAGCGCGGGGCAATCGGGAATTGATTCAAGTATTGATCTGGCGCAAGGGATGATTAAGGATAACTAAAGAGGTCAGTCAATTGGATGTCTCAGCTCAATCACAGTATTGGAGAGGATAAGTACAAGAAGTGCCCGGTAGGAGGGTTATGAGCGACAACGCGGCGGAGTGGGGTGAAGGAGGAAGAGAGCGAAGTCGCTCCGCAGAGTCTGAGTGTGGAAGAGATGGAGGGGCCGCCAGCTTCCTCAGGCCAGCTTCCCGCTCTCCAGCCTACTCAGGAATCTCCAGCGCGAAACCACAACAGGATGAAGGATATTATACATTCCGAGATACTGAGCATGATACTACATACATACATACATACGTCTATCTTTGCTTCCCTCTTTCTTCTGGCCCTCTCGTCGGATCAAAGATATTAATGCCTAAGGCAGAATGCTCCGAAGTCATGACAGCCTGATAGATCAGGCCACCAGGCATCCAGTCTCGCGACAGTTGTAGATCAACATCAACTTCAGGCTTGGATCCCACAATCGACGCCCAACATCCGTATAAAGAGTCAATCTACAACTGCTCCGCACTCCTCACAAGCCTCTCCATCAACCCCTCCTCCTTATCATCCTCCCCACCACCCCCAACAACACCCCCCACAGCCTCAACAAGCCCCACCAACCTCCTCCTCCGAATACTCGCCTCCAACTCGGCGCTCTTCACCTTCGCCAACTCGATCAACGAGCCCGGCAAATTCGCCAGCCTTGCCACATTAAGCCCGTAGCTGCGGTGCGCGACGCCTTCGCCCACCTCATACAGGAACGTGATGTTCTCGTCTGACCCCTCCGTCCCGGACTCCGTGAACCGCATGTGCACGTTGCGGAGCTCGTTATCCGGGAAATTGTGCACCATGGATGAGAGGTGTTGGTAGTGCGTTATGAAGAGGGTGAGGCTGCGGAGTGTCCGCACGATGTAGTCTAGCACGGCTTGCGCGATGGCCACGCCGTCGTGGGTGGATGTCCCTCTGCCTAATTCGTCGAGGATGACTAGCGAGCGCGGGGTGGCTTGCTTGAGGATGTCTGCTGTTTCGGATAGCTCGACCATGAAGGTGGATTCGCCGGCGAGCATGTTGTCGAAGGCGCCCATGCGGGTGAAGACTGCGTCGAGCATGCCTAGTTTGGCGGACTGTGCGGGCACGTAGGATCCGATCTGGCCCATTATGGCGATGAGGGCGATTTGCCGCACGTAGCTGGACTTGCCGCCCATGTTGGGGCCGGTTACGAGGAGGGCGCGGGTTTGGTCCGTGTCGAGGGAGATGTCGTTGGGGACGTAGCTGTCGAGGAGGAGCTGCTCGACCATTGGGTGGCGGCCTTGTTCGACGTTGATGCATGTGTGGTCTGTGTATTCGGGTTTCACGTAGCCGGGCTGCTCGGCGATGGTGGCTAGCGAGAGGAGACAGTCGAGGGTGGCGAGGGAGAGCACGCAGTCGCGGAATCCTTGGTAGTTCGTGGATATCTCGGCCAGGAGGTCCGCGAAGGCCTGGTCGCAGGCGGCTGCTAGGGCCTCTTTGTGCTGGTCTCGCTGGCGCAGCATCTGGATGACTTCGGGGGTGTGGAATCGCGACACCTTCTTGGTTCCGTTGATCTTCACCCACGACGCAGGCACCCGTTTGATAGCCGCTCCGCTGTTCTCGACTTCAATGAGATGGTCGATGCCTGAAACCGTGGCGTAGACGACTTTGCGCCCGAGGGCCTTGCCTGCGTCCGCGCGATGCTCCTGTAGCTCATGTTCCACACTGCCAATACCTAGCTTTTGTTCGCTGATCTCCTCCGTTTCCACCGATTCCCTGAAGAACTCGTATTTATCATCATTCCTAGCCGCGTGCAGGTTTATCCGCTCCAAGAACGAGACTACCTCCTCCAGCATAGTCGGCAACGAAGCAATCGCTTCAGTCAAGATCGGCGACGTAAACCCGCTATCCCCAGGGGTCTTGACGTCTGAAAACTCCTGCGCAATCATCTGCAGCGTCTGCAGGAGCGTCAAGAGTTCCGGCCGTGTGCACTATGTCCCAATCAGTAATGTCCCTCCTCCTGCCATCTGGGCAACTCACCTTGCCATAATATATCCGAATCAGCGACTTCTCCAAATCCGTCCTAATCCTCCCAATCAACCCCCGCAACCGCTCAACCATAGTCCTGTTCTTCGAATCCTTGAGCTCACTAACAGCATTAACCCTCTCCTCCAACTTCCCCTTATCCAGCAACGGCCGCCCAACCCACTTGCGCAGCATGCGCTGCCCGAACCGCGTGCGCGTGCGGTCCAGCGTCCAGAACAGGCTGCCTTTCGTAGTGTGGTCTGTCTGGTTGTGGTAGATCTCGAGACTCATAAGTGTGTTGCCGTTCAGCAGCATGTGTGTCCTCGATGAGAAGTGCTGGAAATACTTGGTCAAATCGAACACATGCTCCAGCCCGTACTCTTCCATGTGCTTTATCATCGCGGATAGACACACGGTCACTAGCTCGGGCAGATTCAGCACCTTCTGCAGAAGATCGGCGCTGTGCGCGTCTCCGGCGCCTTTATCTGCTTTCATCTTGTCTGCGTAGAAGCTCGATATATGACTGTGTGCTTCGGCCGCTGCGGTCTTCGACTTGGGTGCTCTCGCGACGCGGATATTGTCGCCCAGTATATGCGACTTGCTGCCTGATAGATGCTGGACGAGCTTCTCAGTCGCACTGGACAGTTCCCCGACAATGACCAGCTCGCAGGGCGCAATATGCAGCAATCGGGTCTCGATCTCGCTGCGCATAAACCCGTCCTCGAAATCATCATACACCACGTCTCCTGTCGTAGGCTGGACAGCCACGATGCCAACATGGACCTTCTCGTCGTTGCCCCAGCCTCGCGCGTTCGACTCGGAGATGCAAAGCATGTAGCCCGTCGCGGGGGATACGCCGCCAGATGCAGCTGGCACAGGCCCCTCCAGCCCTTCCATGTCATCCACGTATGTCGCTTTCGTGTACAGGTTCGTGAGCTTGCGCCCGAACGGCGCGTTCCGGTTGTCGCCGGCTGCCTTGAGCGCTGCTGTCTCGATCTGCCTCACGATACCGACTTTGTGTCCGGCCGTGACCAGCCGTTTCACATGAACGTGCAATCGTTGGATGGGGATACTCGCCGACGCGAACCGACTCAGATGCGCTTCTGACGGATCTAAACAACACAGCACTTAGCATAGACCCCATAACCATGACAAAACAAGACGCATCACAACACTTACGTTCATCAAACCTCATCTTCCCCGGAATACAAACAATCCCCAACTCCCTCGCCGCAACCCTCGCATCGTCTCCAAAAAATCGAAACTTATACCCCACCTGCACCGCCAAAACGGCGTCCATATGGCCCCGCTTGAACTCGATAATCTGCTTCTCCAGCGGCGTCAGCTTGCTCCCCGCTTTCCCAGCCGCCGTTCCTTTCTTAACTGGACGCTGTGGCTCGTCATCCTCGTCGGCTTCTTCGGCGTCCTCCCCGCCGATGGAAGTATCGTTTGCGCTGCGACTACCGATTCCGATTATGCAGTCTGCGCCGCCGAGTCGTCGCACGAATTGCTTATGCAGCTTCTCTCGTTCTTTCTGCCGTTGTCGCCGTTCCGCCTCATCCCCCTCCTCTATCCCGTCACCATTGGCGGGTGAACTAGCGAACTTGAATAGTTCTGTTCGCTGGCTGCCGTTTAACGGCGGTTGCGATTGTGGTTGCGATTGCGATGGGCGGTCATCCACCGACAGCCCTTTAGAACCAGATATCCCATTCTGCGCCTGCAGCCCATTTGCACTCATCCTCGCTCTCTTCGCAGCAGGTCTCACCACATCCTCATCGTCATCCTCCTCCTCCTCCTCCTCCTCCTCCTCCTCCCCATTCCTATCCTCAACTCTACCCACTAAATCGCCCTTCTTCGGCACAACCACAGCCTCCTCAACTTTATTTCCCCCCGACACAACACCCTTCACTGGTGTTTGGGTAGATCCATTCCCCTGGCCCTGCGATGCTATTTGCGTTTTTGATTGGGATTGGGATTGGGATTGCGACCCCGATTGCGACCCCGTTTGCGACGATTGCGGTTTCTTCGTAAAAAAGCTCGAGATAGACGGCTGTTTTCGTTTTAGATGCTGAGAGGACGAGGGCGGGGATTGCGACTGTGGTTGGGATTGTGATGAGGGTGGCATTTTTTGACAAAACTCCTTCCTTGCAAAGAAGCTTCGTAGGTGAATATAGAAGCCCTGTCGTTTATCGTATGTGGATGTAGATGTAGTAGGGTATGGATTGGGTTGGGTCAGAAGTGACTAGCAGGGGTGGCGATGGGATGGTTTATTGAGATTGTTTAGCGGCGGATCAATGCTTCAGTAGCTGTTGGTGAAAGGTTCCTGTGGTGGATTGCACATCACAGTTTATGGGAAGAAAGAATATCTGCCTGCATGCTGTGTAGGAAAGGATTGACCGCTGGCAGCGACTTCGATGGCCATTGCACATCCGCACCTTGACGCGCGACGCGCTCGGCGTGTCGAGCTCATTAAAGATGATTACTTAAGCATCTACATCATTGCCATGATACCTGTCACAAAGTGTATATAATTCTCCGTGTGATTCTATCAATACTATTTGATTCAACAGGAGATAGTGTTTGTATAAATACAGTGTTTCATCCTTCAATGTATGGATGCTGTTATACAGATGCCGGTGTTAATATATAGGATGACTGAAAGTAGCCATCACCAATAGCTCTCGTCCATAGTACTTCCCCAGCTAGGACGACAAGCACTACTATCTCTTGCGACGACGAGAGAATATCAAAGAGTCTTAATAGCGAGCAGCTGATAATAAATGACGGAACAGCGGTTCAATTGATGCTTCCGTCCAAATAGAGCCGATCAAAATCATCTTCTTCCAAGTCGGAAATTGTCCCGTCAGGGGAAGCACCCCGCAAAGTGGAATGAGACTTGAAAGACTGATTGACTTCGGCAGAGTATATAGGGTTATCCTCGTGTATATTCGAAAGCGAAGTGGTCAAAGGATTGTATGAGTATCCCAGCAGACTGTCGTGACTGTCGAAGGGGCTCAGCCCCATCTGCTGCTGGGAGTCACCCAAGAAGAAATGCGGGGGATAACCGGTGTTGGCAGCAGGCTGTCGTCTACAGACCGGTGAGTTCCATCCCACGAGGGAGTCAACTCGGTCATGACCATCTAGAAGAGGCTCAACGTTTTCTTTGTCTGTCGAGGAAAAAGCACCTCTTCCATGGATCGAGTGTTCGGTGCTGTACACGAAATGGGGGGAGCTTTGATCAAGGGCACCCTGGCGGAGAGAGACGGGATCGATGAACGAAGGCCCCTCAGAGCCTATTTCCCCACATCTCTGAGTCAAATCAGACATGTACGGGGCTTGTCTGTCGTGAAAGATCTTCAGCCCGTGGTGAGATTCGCTTTCCTGAGTCCGGAACGTCAGCGTGAAATCGTCAAGACTGTCTGCCCGAGAGCGGCTTCTGTAACGGACAGGCAGTTGGGCCAAAGGACTCTGCAACAGGTGCAGGCCATGGAAGTCCGGATCTTCATCGACCTTTCCCAATACTTTCTTGGTGGATTTCTTGCTTCGTTTCCTATTTCCTCCCTGTCGAACATTCGGATCAGCTTGAGCAAGCGCACGTTTGGTTCGAATTGTTCGCCGTTTCGGGATCGGAGTCTCGCCTTTCAACGGGCTGCTGTCTTCAACATTGCCTGAAATCACACGTTGCTTCCGCAGGACGCCACTAGGCGAGAAAACAAGCTCTGTCGGTTCGACACGCAGCGACGTCTTTTCCATCATCTTCAAGATTGCTTCATCTTTCTTTTGGTTGCGCTTACGCCTCATGTGCTCCGTTGCCGAATCGAAGATGTCCATTCCCGGCCAAAGAACACCTTTCAGCCGGGCAATTTCATCTGCCCTCTCCTTGTCTTCTTCAATACCGTCGGCGTCGTCGGTGAATGGGTCATAGCTTAGCTGACGTGCCAAGGATGGTGGGCTTGGGGCTGTTCTGTGTATAGGTTTTCGGGCGAGTTCGTACGGACTAGCATGTGTCATAGAGGCCCACTGGTCTTCAAAAGGAAGCGGGTACTCTTGCTTCGGTGGGCAAGTGTCTTCCTGTGGTGTCATCAGTGCGAGGCTATAATCTTCCCGTTGGTATTCTCGAATGCTCTCTTCCGATGGTGCCGTCGAATGGAAGTGTGAAGGCTCGTTTGCCGGTCCACTTTCTACTCCAGAACGTGGGTGCACATAAGGACTCGACAGGCGTGGGTCCAAGTAGTCGGGGAAAGCGTTATGAGCCAGAGGACGTGCGGTCGTTGGGGGTAGCCTCCCCCCACTACTTCGCTTCACTCCACAAGCCATCTCATAGCTGGGGGGCTTTCCTTGGGCCTTCTTCTTCCGAACATCCTTCGACGACATCCGGTCCGACAGCAACTTTGCCAGATTATTGGACTTATACCAATGATCATATTCGTCGAGAATGACAATAGCCTGGGATTCCTGATGGCTGCGGACTTGTAGTTTGAAGTAGTGAGAAAGGTGAGCCTTCGACGCAACATGAGTCAATAAGTGAGAGATATCGCTGAATTTCGGCCGTTTCGGGCAGATGTTGCACAGCAGCGCGGTTGTATCCATGGTGTATAAGGTCTAAAGCAGAGTATAATATAGGCAAGATCGAAATATCAAGAAGCAACAGGCACGATCCACCAGTGGGTGGTTACTTTCTCCAAGTATGAACGATTCCGGTATGGGACAAGAAACCAAGATAGAAAGACTGGCCCTGGGACAAGCATTGGGGGTGACAGATGATTGAAGCAGTGACGAAGGAAGAGTTCAGGCAAGCAAGAACTCGCCGTCAACAATTCCGCTGTCATCGGGTTGAGTAGGTGGTGTAGGAGGAAGGAGGAACTTACAGGGCAGGGGAGAACGTGACATGCTCGATTGGGAAGGCAGCAACCACTGGAAACTACCCTCAGGAACTTACTATAGACATAATTCTGAGTAGGCACTCCCGCAATCATTTCCCCGCTAGACCTTGAAAGCATTGCTAGAATGGCCGACAAGTGAAGGAAAGATGGACAGTATCAAGAAAGGTAGGCAGGAATAATAGCTAATATTATCATAAATGAATTCAAGCTCACTATATACATTCATGCTATCTTGAATGATGTGCCACTGTGTCTTAACAGCCACTAAACAGGCCATTGTGAGGGGGTATGAAGCGGAAATAAGTCACAGTGCCAATTGCTCTTCTCCCGCATTGTATCCCATAGTCCATGGAAGGAGAACTAAAGGTTATTAGATTGCAGGAGTGGTCACTACGGTTGCGAACACAAATAGGTGTTTCACCCAGGAACATTTCTACCTGGATAGATACTTTGCTGTTATTGACTTTGGCATACAACTGGTCACAGTTAGTCGTTGTTCTGGATGGCAAAGGGGACAAAAAGTAACATGGGTTCTTACTAGACAGGATCCACCTCCTTGATGCCATCAAACCCCAAGAGGCTGAGACCAGCAACGGAAAAATGTGTATGGAACACATCAACCACATTTCCAGGCCTGTCCCCGAACCCGCCATTCTCGGGGTCCTGATCTCGGTCAGTCGGATTCATGTGGCACGGGAGGATCATGCTGACCTGACAACGCAGGATAAAGGCGGCGAGCTTGCTCCCATCGATCCAGTGGAGTCGATCGATCATCGCCAAGCTCGCCCCAACCCACCAGCTGTAACATGCATCCGGGAGCTTCTCAGGACGCCCGTTGAAGCCCCCTTCCTCCACCTGCCGCTCACTGAGCCAGCCACCTAACCGGTCCTTGTTGACCAAGTCCAGTCGCTGGGCGATGGCCAAGGCACCCACACAGGTAAACACTTGTCCCGCATGGGATTCGGCGCCGGGGCAAATGCCATAGCCTCCATCCAGGTTCTCACACTGCTGGACATAGGCAACCGCCCGGGGGACGTCGACGGTGTCAAGAAGGCCCAGGAGAGACAAGGCATTCAAGGCACCGTACAAGAAGCGGGTGTCCTTCTCGCCCCATTCGTCCCCCATGAACGATCCCGTCTCGCCATCTTGTAGCCCTGCGATATCTAGGTCATTTAGCACTTCCGGCAAGGAGTGAGGTCAAATTCGAGTCAAATCGTACAAGAGGCCACTTTCTGCTTGTTTGCCCGTCCACGCTTGTCTAGTTCATCTACCGCATCGAGCGTTACGAGGACTTGCACGGCGGACACCGTGTATAGCATGTGCGCATCGTGGCCGGGGGCCGCCCCAAAGCCACCGCTTTCGTGTTGGCACGAGAGCACAAAGTCGACGGTGGCGTCCCGAGGAAGTCCTTCGGGACAATCCAGCAGATGCAGGGCGGTTAACCCCCAGTAGAGCCCATTTAACCGAAGATGCTCGGTGAGCCAGTACTCCAGCTCCTCCCTCCTCTAGCATCAGATGTCAACCACCTTCCCCGCCATGAAGAGAAGAGTCATGGTTGGAATAAATTGACGCACGCTGTCCAAATTCTTGATATAATCCACATGTTTTTGCACACACAGGGTTTGATTCGACTGTGTGTTCGGCATTTTAGCAGGACCTGATACTGAAGTCATCCCGGGCGGGCGATGACGCGGGGTAATAGTGAACCCTTCCGGATTGGTCAGTTGTCAGAGACTAGCTGCGTCCAGCTAGCTAATCTCAGGGCGGTATGTGCTATAAGTGCGACCGAACCAGACAATGATAATTTCCAAAGTCAAAAAGGGGGGTGAGGGGAAGTGGTGACGAAGCAAATGATCCGTAAGGATGAAGCAGCTTCACGCCCGGTCAGTGTCAGTTAAAGTCCAAGTGTGGTATTAATCCATTCTTAGGAAGCGGTCCATGGAAAGGATCGGAATGGAAAGGACCCTTGGTTGATCCGGCAGGATTTGGATCGTGGAGGAGACGACCTTCGTTCCTGAACCCTGGTGAGGGGAGTAAAAAAAAAGTTTTGCAGGGAAGAAGCAGCGGGAAGTGGGAGCCTGAGAGGTCAAGGCTTACCAAGGGGGGGATAGCGCACGTGATTTTAGCGCTGCCGGAGTAGGAAGTGGGGCCTCGATGCCTGAAGTGTTTCAGAAAGGAGGAGAGAGTTTCGACGGGCGGTGTGAAACCCCTGGATAGGAAGAGACTGGGATATTACATGGTTGCCACTGCTCTTCCCCTATTTGAAATACTATGTCTATTTCCCACGTGTCTCAGTGAGGTATTAATTGTTGCTGAATCGAGCAGGACTATGGCAATAGTAGGTTAGTTCCCGCCTGGTCCTCCTTCCCACTTGGCTCATGGATTATTTTTGATTTTATTCATATTTATTTTACGATTTTGTTTATTTGATTCTATTTTATCCATTGACAATACAGTAGAATCTGATATACAACCTGTCGTTTCCGAGTATGGGTCATTTCGGTCTTTTATCCCGGGCAAATCACGAGTCTCGTGACCGGACCATGTATCAAATTCAATTTATCCCTCTGGCTGGTTCATCTTTTTTTATCTTTGGTCAACCCCATGATTGTATCCAACTGTCCCGAACCATGGTTGATTGTATCTCGACAGCTCCAACCCTTCACCCCTCACCATTGGTTCCCCCTGAGCAAGGCACTAGTGCTCTGCACACAGCCTGGAGTACTCGCGTTGTCCACCGTTGATTTGTCGGTGTCAGTTCCGCCCCTCCAGCAACCGGTGGTTGGCTTCATCTTGTGGCCAGTCAGGATTGCTGCTGTCTGTACTGGAGTGGGTCCCGAGTCAGCCTGTACCTGACTAGGCATCCACTATGTCTGTCCACCGTACCACCGTCGGTCGTGGTACGGAGGATCCAGTATGTCTGTGTCTTTCATACCATTCTGCTCAGCGATGCTCTATTAATATCTTCGTAGTAAGATCATCGTGACTATTGTGTGTGAGGAGAATCTATTTGATTCCATCTTCGGGGAATATTCTATAATACTATATAATACTATACAATACTATATCATACTATATAGTATAGCATTATATATACTCATTGTCAGGATACTCCACAACTGGGTGAGTCAAACGTCATCCATCATCTTACCAGCCACGGTCTTCCTCGCCTTATGCCCCTTTTCTTTCTTTCTTCTTTCTTTCTATCAAGTCGGAGTGTCCACGGAGGAGTCCGGGTGAAGTGCTTTTTCTTTCTTTTTCCTGTTGTTTTGGTATTTCAGTATGTTATCTATTTGTTTATTTATTTATCTATTGATTTTCTTTTGTTTCTTTCTTTCATATCTATTTATTTATATATATATATATATTTTCTTTCTACTAGTAGAACAGTCATCTATTATGCTGATTCCAGCATCCATCGTACCTTACTTCCCTCCTCTCTGGCTGAACCAACTGTTGTTTGTTCTATTTATTCCTTGGATGTAATCTGGTACACTAATCTTCTCTTGTATATATTAATACTGAAAGTGATACTGATCCATACCACCTACTTAGATAGGACTAGAGTCTCAAGAAGCGGTCACATCATTACTCCTCTGGGACAACAGGTGGACAACTGATTTACAGCTGATCCTTCTGAGGCCGTCAGTCTTCGCGCTAACAGATAGACTTCTCTCTCTGACTCTTTTGGAGTCTTGCACAACGCCATTCTCCACTATCGCCATCTCCCCTCTCTCCCCCCCCACCACCACCATCTCCGGCCCACCCCATCCATCCCCCTTAAAGACGGAGTCTGACAACTCCCGCGCTTGCATAATCGCTGTCAAGGAATGTGGTCGTTCTTGATCTTCTCGAGTCTGAGCACTGTTGGAACCGTGCGGTTATCGCTCTCGTGTCGCTCTCGACACTACTCCTCTTTGGGGAATCCTGATCTTTGATCATTGTGTTTGGTTGGACTCTTTCTTACATTGTAATTTTGATTTCCGCCTTTTGGCCCCGGTGTTTGTCATTTTTATTCCTTCGTTGCTTGATTGGAATTTATTTTTACGTGCCTTGTTTTTGGATTTCATTTTCTATTTGACTTATTTGATTCTATTTTATTTTTTTTTAGTCTTCCCATTTTCCTATCTTTGATTCTTTTTGTTTTTTTCATGATTCTTTCTTTTGGTCTTCAATCTTATTGTTCGATTCTGCCAACAAACTCTCTCCTCCCTGCTTTGCCTCGCCGCGCTCAACCTCCCCAATTTACCGGCCACCCTCTTGCAGCTCCCCGACACCTTGAGCCACTCGTCGATTGTCCAGCCGCGATCGAGCGATCGAGCGACTTCATCAGATACCATTGTTCCCCCGAATCCCCGAGCCCGGTTGAAAAAGAGCGGAGTTGATTTGGATCTAACATGAGGAGGGGTTGCGCTCTCTGGTACGTGATGGATAGCCTCCTAGATGGTTGGCTCTCATGACCCCCTCAACCCCCTCAGTGTGCTGGAAGAAATAAGACCTCATTCCACCCGGAATGGTGGCTTATTGCTTCACTGTGTATCGAAAGCGCGCGATGTGGTGATGCCGATGTCGCGTGGATCCCTGCACTTTCTTATCTCTCCGCATCATACAAAACACATTGCACTTCCAGGGACTGTGTCGTCAGGATTGTCTCCACTGAGTCTCACTAATCCCTGCTTCTCCTCATAGATTTGACCACCCCCAAGTTTCATCTCCTGAGACGACACATTGCTCTGAAGAACTGCCGACGACACCGACTTTTGGCAAGATTGGACGAGGCTGGCTCCACTCCAATCATCACGGTAACCACGACTCCTGATAGATCCTACGGTTGAGATACCCCTGAGGGACAAGGAGTAGGATATTTCGTGTCGAAGTCCGGTGAACAATCAGTGCGGATTCTGGAACCCAAGTCAGTCCATCTGAGCTGTCGCTTGACCGATAGGCGCAATCCTGGGTGTCGCTAATCCGGACTCTCCATCCTTAGACTCTGTTGGTTCGTTAGAAACGTGAAAATCCAGCAAGCTATCGACGGCATCACCTTTGCCTGGGATCATCTCTGAAATATTCCCGCGTGGTCCGTCCTTTGACCCACGATAGACGCCTAAAATGCCATCGAGACAGTCCACTGTTCCCAATTTAGATCTTAGCTCTGCCACGCTCCAGACGAACGTGAAGATCGCTTCTCCACTAACGCCCGGTGCCCAAAGCTCCGATGGGCCGAGTCCCCTGACGCCCCGTTCCCCTAAATCCTCCTCTAGCTCGCCATTTTTCAAGGGGGCCACCATCCGTCCCGTCACCCAGGACTCCAACAACAGCAAGTCCAATAGCCCAACCTTCCCGACCTCTCCTGGCCTCGCGCCCCAGCCATCTACCCCGGGCCTCACTGCTATCCCCCCGTACCCTCCCTCCCCCCGAGAGACCCCCAAACATACCCGTGACACCTCCCGCTCCTTTTTCGCCAACCTCAAGGCACCCAAGTCGTCGCACAAGTCCCAGAGATCAGACGGGTCGGGGAACTCTGAGAAACCCAAGAGCAGTGGGGGTTCATCAGATCGCAAGGGCCAGATTTCCGCCAAGTCGTACGAATCCACGCCGGACCTCCTCGGTGCTCTGGAACGGTCCCGGAAAGAGAACCGTAAGTGCTATCCGACCCCTGGGCAGCAAAGGACGGTCCCAACTGATGATATGTGTCTGTAGACGGCGACAGCGCGAGAGACAAGCAGCCTTACCCGTCGGAGATTAGAAAAGTCGGCACAGAGTCCGAAGCTGGTGGCCTGTCGAAGAAGAATAAACCCCGTTTTGCGAACCTCCTGTCCCGTTCTCGCTCCATTCGGGTAGACGACTCCTCGTCCAACAGGATCCCCGCACGACGTCCATCGACCAGCCTGATGAAGCTCGAAGAGCACTCCAAGCAGGAGGGCTCGGAGCCCCTGAGGCTCACCGCGTCCCGTGGAGATCGCGGCACCACCCCAGTACAGGCGAGCCCTGCCGCTCGCGGTTATCCCGTCGATCGTCCAGTGGACCTCAATGGCAATGCACGGAGGGAAAAGCCACCAGGAGGCTCGATGGCCCCCTCCGGGTCGCTCAGTCAGGTTTCAGGGGCTTCGGCGGCATTGTTCAACAATCTCAAGCAGTCGTCCAACGGCGCTGCCAACAAGCTTGGCAAGGCCAGCAAAGGGTTTTTGGGCAAGATTACCCGGAGTGGAAGCACGAATGAGCGGGACCTCATCAACGACGACGCCTATACCTGCACCGTGATCAACCTGCCGCTCATCGAACAAGCGCGGAAAACGCGGATCGCCAAACGACTGGAAGATTGTCGTGATAAGACGGAGTTTTGGATGCCGGCGTTGCCGTATCGCTGCGTAGAGTATGGAACTCTCTTCCGGGTTGTTGAATTGCTTTGCTAATTCTCTCTCAGTTATCTCAATTTCAAGGGTTGTGAAGAAGAAGGCCTCTACCGTGTTCCGGGCAGCGGGAAGGAGGTCAAACACTGGCAACGGCGTTTCGATACAGGTACGTCTTTTGTCCCAATGGCCCGACGCCTGTGCAACGGATCTGACTTCTTTGTAGAGCTTGATATCAGCCTCTTTGACGTGCCCGATCTCTATGACATCAACACCATTGGCTCGATGTTCAAGGCATGGCTCCGTGAGTTGCCTGACGAACTGTTTCCGAAAGACACACAAGCCATGATCGCGGAGAAGTGCGAGGGCGCCACCACTGCCCCGCAGCTGTTGAAAGACGAGCTCTCCAGATTACCCCCCTATAACTACTACCTCCTCTTCGCCATTACCTGCCATCTCAACCTCCTCCACTCGTACGTCGACCAGAACAAGATGGACTACCGCAATCTGTGCATCTGTTTCCAGCCTTGCATGAAGATCGACGCCTTTTGCTTCTACTTCCTTGTCTGTGACTGGAAGAATTGCTGGCAGGGGTGTTGGACCGAAAAGGAGTTCCTGGAAGTCGAGAACATGATGGACGAGAGAGAAAGAGCCGCCAGGGAGGACGCCCAATTCGACTACTCGCACGCGGACGACAGAGCTATCTCGTCCGGCAGTAGTCAGAACGCTACCGAAGAGGAGGAGCCGATCCGCCCTGTCACTGCTCGGCCAGCAACCGCTCGTCCCGCAACAGCGAAGACCCGCAGACCGAAACCGGAAAAAATCGAGACGTCGCATTCCCGGAGTGTATCCCAGCTCCCTGAACTGGGGCCTCCACTGTCACCTATCAGGATGTGAAACCTCCACGACAGCGGTGTCCATATTTCTGCCGCGCAACACCCAGTTTGTCTCAACCGCCCCGAAACCAAGGTACCTCTCAGGGGTCTTTTTCGGTTAGGCTGGCCTATCCTGTCTTACCTCGCCACGTCGCACTGAGGTTAACATCTCGGACTGGATCCGCAGAGGAACCTTGTCAGCATATAAGGTTATCAAAAACCGTTTCAGTTCCGGAATATACCTTGGCAGATACAGTGTTTTTCAAATTTCAGATAATTGATTATGGCGCCATCTCGCAACGCTCTGGAAGGTTTTGTGCTTTTATCCCCTCTCTCTCCCATTCCCGCTCTTACAGACTTCCTGTTGTTCCAACAGTGCATAGCCTGGCGCCTTTGCAGTCGGATGGCGTCGTTCAACCCTTTTTCCCCTCTCTTCTCGATCATTGCTGTATAAATTGACCCATTGCTTTCCGCTTCCCGTTGATTGATATTTGCGTCTGGGGTTTTGATTTCAGCATTTGCTTTATCATCGGCCGTGACATGTGCCTGTTTCTTGATTCCCTGATTCCCCCCTTGGAGCCTTTTCACTCTTTTCTGGCCGTTCTTGCTGTGTCTGGTTCTGGATTTCTGTGCTGTGCTTTGCTTCTTGATGTATTGTTGTGGGGCACGCCTTTGACATATAATTGTAACATAGATCAATGAGTATGCAACTTAGGTTGACCATGTTTTTTATACTCTTGATGTATGGGAGTGTAGGCTGGATACTTGAAGTAAGGTAATAGAAGACTTTGATTCTTGTAGAGTATACGTATAAGGGCTATCTCCAACCCTAACTAACATATTGTGAAAACTGGACGGTAGATATAATAGAACGATATGTATGTAACATGGCTTTTTCAACTCAATGGCAGCAGTTCTTTTCACACAAACAGACAGACAGACAGACAGCATCGACATGATTGATTGATTTAAGACCGGCGACTCCAATCCAAACTCCATAAGGGTAAGTAAGCCTAGGTAAGGTAGCGTTCCAAACAAACAAACAAATAACAAGACACATAAAGACCCGGCCAAATCTAGAAAATTATCACACAACTTTTCCCCTTCTTTTTTTTTTCTCTATCGATCTTCTCAGTTCGTCCTCCCCTTCCGCTCATTACTCCTCATCTTGCGCTCATTCCGACGTATGCGATCCTTACGCTCCGTACGAGACAGCCCGCGAATCGAGCTCCCCTTCTCAACAGCGTCCTCCTCCTTCTTCCAGTTCTTCTCGTCGACCTCAACAAGCCACTGCTCGTCCGCAGACTTGTTCTTCCCCTTGTATCCCCAGCGCGGGACCCACTCGTCCTTCTCCTGGTCGTAGACGAGCTTCTTGCGGCGCTCCGAGTCCGCCATCCCGGCGCCCGGCCGCGTGTTGTATTTGCCGATGCCCTTCTTGCGCGCGAACAGCTCCCACTTGGTGGGCGGCTTGGGCGTCGGCAGGGGCTTGAAGCGCGGGAGGATGGTTGTGGGCGCGGGGAGCGTGAGCAGCACGCCTTGCGGCGTGGAGGTGATTGGGCAGGTGGTGAGGAGCTGGTTGAGGAGGGACTGCGTGCCGTCGCGGGCGGTCGCCTTGAGCGTGCTGTCCAGGGATTCGGTGGGAGAGGTCTCGATTGGGTTGGGGTCGTTGGCGATCAGGTGGCGGAGGTCGAAGGTGTAGGGCGTCGGCTTGGAGACTGTTATGGGGCTGTTTGGGGGGTTAGCTGGGTCCTTCATTGAATGGGTGCGATGCAGATTTGTATGCTGGAAAGCGGCGCATGGGGATGATGGATGATCACGTACAGTCTCTCCGCCTTGCCTTTGGAGGCAGATGCTACTTCTGCTGCGGACATGTTTTCGAAGGAGATGGTATATCAGACTTCGAAAAGAATTGCGAGGAGAAGGGGATGTGGTTGAAAGATGTTGAGATAGAGCGAGAACCTGCTAAGAAAATCGAGGCGGAAAAAAAGTAAAAGCGGGTCGATAAATCTCGGGGCGCTGCTTTTAGGCGGCCTTCACCGCCTGCGTAGAGCAGCGAGCGCGCTAGTCCCGAAGGAGTAAGGGAAGTTCTTCCGCTCCGATCCCAAATTGTGCTCCGAATTTCCCAAACCAATTCATCACGGTCTCTCTGTTACTTGATGCTTCGACCGGACATCACCTCTCCACACATCCCCTCCCTCAATTCCTCAGGGCCCGTTTGACTGTTAGTCTCTGGCCGTTGCGCCAGAGTATTCCAGCCACAATGGTTTCTTCTTTCTGTTGGAGCTGCCTGACGCGGCTTCCGACTCCGCGTCCTCTGCTCTCGGCCCCGGCTACTATCCCCAGGGCAGCTTCAGCAGCCGCCTCGTTCCACACCTCCACGGCGCGCGCCTTTCCCATGCCGACGAAGAAGAGTCGCAGCCTGGACAGCGGTCCCAAGTACCGCCAGGCCAAGTCCGCCAGGATGAAGAAGAAGAAGCCCACCGATAAGCCCCGTCCGCCTCCGATCGGAGAACGCAAGGCCCTGCGCAAGCGCATTGTTCTCAGCAATCCCAACGCCCTTGAGGTTGAAGGCATGCAGGATTTCGATGCAGACACGATGGTCGACTCGCATCTGCATGGTGATGTGCTCGGTCTGCCGGTGACTATGCTTGATCAGTTGAGGGCTGTGCAGGCTTTCAAGCCGAAGCAGGGCTGGTCCATCTTCCGCCGTCCGGGTACGGTTGTCAGACGCGAGACTTTGGAGATGGGTAGACTGTTTGATAGGATCTCGGGTGATGGGGCCGATAAGGGGAAGGTTGTGAAGAAGATTGTCACTGGCCCGAAGGGTTCGGGTAAGACGGTCCATATGCTGCAGGCTATGGCTATGGCTTTCACTAAGAATTGGGTTGTTTTCTCTGTGCCTGATGGTGCGTATTCTCTACATCCCTCTCTTTTTTCCCACTAACAATTTTACAGCGCAGGAACTTACCTTGGCGCACACCGGCTATGCCCCGCTCTCCGATGAACAGCCCGACCTCTATGTCCAGAAAGATTCCACGGCCGCCCTTCTTTCTCGCACCGCGATCGCCAACCAAGCTGTTCTGAAGGACCTCCGTGTGTCCCAGAACCACCCTGCTCTCAAAACTCCCGTCAAGGAGGGAACGACGCTGGAGGATCTCACCAAGATGGGTATCCGGGACCCCGCCCTGGCCTGGCCAGTCTTCGAGGCGCTGTGGACCGAACTGAGCGCCACCTCTCCTGCCGCCGGGTTCGAGAAGAGCTTCAAGCCTCGTCCGCCCATGCTCGTGACCGTCGACGGCCTTGCCCACTGGATGAAGAACTCCGAATACCTGAACATGGAGTCCAAGCCCATCCACGCTCACGACCTCGTCTTCGTGCGCCACTTCCTCTCCCTGCTGAAGTCTGGCTCTCAAAACCCCACTCTTCCCAACGGAGGCCTCCTGCTCTACTCCACCTCGGCCTCGAACAAACCCAGCCTCCCCACCTTCGAAGTTGCCCTGGAGCAACTGGAAGCCCGCCAGGCTGGCGTCAACCCCTCCTCCGCGGAATTCCCCCAGCCCAAGGCCTACAGCAACCCCGACCCGCGCGTGCTGGAAATCGCCAACGTATCGAAGCCCGCATCCGCCAAGGAGGGCCCCGTGGAAGTGCAAACCCTGGGCGGCCTCTCCCGCGAGGAAGCCCGCGGCTTCCTGGAATACTTTGCTCGCAGCGGACTCCTTCGGGAAAGGATCAGCGACGAGATGGTCTCCGAGAAGTGGACTCTCGCTGGCAACGGCGTGATCGGTGAGCTTGAGAAGTTGGGAAAGCGGCTCCGTGTTGCTGCTCAATAGTGACCACCCCTTCTATTGAGTTGTTGGAAGCATCCTCGCGTGCTTAGCTGCATACTTCTCGCTTTCCTCTGTTGTTTCATTTCTCTTTTCCTTTTTCTTTTTTTATATTCTTGAGCATCGCCCCAAGACCTGTCTAAAGATTTATCTTTTTGTACTCTACCTGTTGTTTTTGGGCTTCGCGTGTCTGTCTGTATGTATGCATATAATGGAATTTATAAGACATGTCTCTTGAATGTTGTATTACTAGCTGATTAGTCGATTGGCTGAATCTGCAAACTGGTTCTGACAGCTCACCAGTCACTTGAAGAGCGGCCAGGTGCTGGATAACCTCTGTTAAGCCCGTGCTATTGGTCACGAGCTTCTTTGATTGAGTCGGTATGGGATGTATACTTCCTTTGATCTTCAAGTCTATCTTGAGGGAATGATTGATAGATGTTTGATAAATCAGGATTTTATGCTCTATATATAGCTGATATGTAAACTTAGTTGACATAACGAGATATTTGATAAATAATGGCAAAAATATATTTTAGACATAAGCCGATCTAAAACTAGTTCTTAATAAGAATGATATCAAAGCAGCCCCACAGAATAGCAGTAAGATATACATCATATCATGTTAAAATAGCATCCTGCATACATTCCCATGACCAGGATGAGCGATGATAACCATCCTCAAAGTAACCAACAACATCCAACCCACCTACCCCATCACCCGAATCAACTGTTCAAACAACCGATCAGAATCAAGCTGCACCGGCCCAGCCAACGCCAGCGCATCCCCAACATCAGCAGGCGGATAGATCAACTCCTGATTAATACGCATCTTAACACGCTTCGCCAAATCACCAGAAACCTTCACCTTCTTCTCATCCCAGCCGCCCGCCACGACCGCCCCCCACGCCCCCAGATCCAAACAGCAGTTATACGTCGGCTGCGAGTACTCCACAAGCGGTTGGCCCAGGAGCTCCGCGGCCGCGTTGTAGCCGGATACCCGGCCGAGCTGCAGCGCGTGCTGGCATGACATGAGCGCGTAGTTACGTTTGCCGTCTGCGAGAGCGGCTGCGGCGTCGCCTGAGGCGAAGACGCCTTTTGCGGAGGGAACTCGCAGGTACGCGTCGACGTGCAGGCGGGAGAAGGGATCTCGAGGGCCCGGGATCTGCTGCGTTAGTGGGGTAGCTCTGACGCCGGCGGTCCAGATGGCGGTGTTGGTTTGGATGCGTTCGCCTGATGAGAGTGTGACGCCTGAGGGGTCGACGGCGGCGATGCCTGAGCCTAGTTTGGTTTCGACGCCGAGGGCGTCCAGGGCGGTGGTTATGGTGGGGCGAGGGCCGGAGCCCAGGGTGGCGCCTAGCTCTGGTGCGTTGTCGACGAGAATGATGCGGGGGTTGGGGATGTGTTGGAGGCGCTTGGGGAGTTCCGCCGCCAGCTCGATCCCCGTGAAGCCGGCGCCGCATACGACGACGGTGTCGCGGCTGGGGCTGGCGGGACGGGACGCCAGGCCTTCTAGGTGGGCTTCTAGTTTGATGGCGGAGGCTAGCGAGTCGATGTCGAAGGCGTGTTTCTGTAGGCCGGGGATGCTGTCCGGCCGGATGACGGAGCTGCCTGCGGCTAGGATCACGCGGTTGTAGGTGATGGTGATGCTCGATGCGGTGCCGGATGTCGGCTGCACGTCGATGGTCTGCGCATCTGGATGGATGGCCTGGACGGTGCCGGGGATGAACTTGATGTCTGCAGCTTGGAAGAGAGTGTCGAGGTTATGGACTAAGCTGGAGGCGTTGGACTCGTACAGGCGTGGACGCATGACCAGCACGGGCTCCGGGGCAACAACTAGGATCTCGAACTCGCTGGCCTTGCTGGCCTGGTTGATTAGACATCGCGCGGAGAGGGCGCTCCAGACACCGGCGAATCCGGCGCCAATGATGACGATCCTGTTGGCCATTTGTGGTGAAGGCTTGCACTAGGGTTTAGGGTTGTGGTGATGAACTGCTGGAGTGAGAGGAGAGGATGCTAGAACAAGAACCAGCGTTGTGACGCCGTCTTATATATTTCGAAGCTGCCATTCTTCGGAGTTTCTTGACAGGTTCCCGTGTCGGGCGGCGATGGGGAATCCCGAGCATCAGGACGCCGTGAGGCTATCCAGGGCTTTGCGGATACCCGGATACCCGAAATCTCGGGGAATGTCAGCAGTCCCGAGTACCCGCACCCATGAACAGCGTCCGCCATGACATCACATCCCAACTCCATGCATCCTCATGACTCCCACGAATACATCGCCAGAGCGAAAGGGCAGGGCGGTGCGCTCGTCCCTGGCATGTCTGCCCTGCCGCTCGCGTCACCTGAAGTGTGATGGGAAGCGACCGTGTTGCAGCCGGTGCGCGGAGACCGCGAGAGACTGCGATTATGCGAGATCGCGCCGCGGCGGCTTGAACCGCGCAGCGCTCGCAGAGAGGCGTAGATGCCCTGCTGGGGTAGCTGGGGACTCGAATTCCCAGTCATCGACGAGGATCCGGCAGGGTCGGAGCTCGACGTCGCGATCGAGGGAGGCGGACTCGCCCGGCAGTGGTGGGCTACTTTATGCCATCAGTACGGGGGACGAGGCCGCTGGTGTTGCGTCGCCCGCGGCAACTCGAGTGCATACGGATGCCATGGGGAGTGATACGTTGATCGACGCATATTACATGAGCTTCCACCGATTTCATCCGTTCATCCTCCCCCAGAAACACCTCACGCGGCTCTATCACGATCCGAGCACACAGTCTAGACTCCGGCCACTACTTGCCATCTTACGGCTGATTGGAAGTATCATGAGCTCGCGAAGATGGTCAGCTTCGCTGAAAGATCATGTTGAGGCCTGTCTCGCAGAAGCACCGCCTACGGACCCAACCATGGTTCAATGTCGCCTGTTGTATTCCATGGTGTTGTTCTGGTACGGCTATGAAGCCGACGCCAAGCGGGAAATGGACATGGTGGTCCGACTCGCGACTGATCTCCAAATGTATCTCCGGGATTTTGCGGTGCTGCACGGGGGCGAGGATGCTGCTCTCCGGGAAAGCTGGAGAAGGACATGGTGGATGGTGTATATCATCGATGCTTATTACGCAGGGACTCTGGGGACTAACACGTCCGATTTGTGGAATATTGACATTACAGCTGAGTTACCGTGTGAAGAGCACGAGTTTGAGTCGGGGGTGAGTACTGTGAAGACAGACCCTGCTACCACCCTTGTGTCATTATTGTGATTCCACTGATCAGACGGCTTACTTGGTCACAGGAGATCCCCAAGCCCAAATCTTTGAGTGAGTTTGAGTCACGCGAATTCGCCTTGGACAGTATCCCATTCTCCTCGTTTGCCTACCTGATTGGCGCCGTACGATGCATGGCCCTGGCAATGTCCACAGCCCCGAAGAGCGCCAGCAAGCAAGACCCAACCCATATCATGCAGGCCGCCGACTCCTTCCTTGACGGATGGCGGCTGCTGTTACCGAAAAACCGCAAGGAGATCATATCGAAGTCAGGAGAAATCGACGAATTGATGTTTCAAGCACACAGCCTCATCAACATGTAGGCAACAGTCCCTGCGCCTTGATATAGAACCTCTTTAACCTGTGATCTCCAACAGAACAACAATCGCCATCCACCGACCATTTTCCGACCTCAAATTCAACCCCGTAGAGGATGTCTCCAGCTGTGCCCGGGAGCCCCCATCCAACACCCCGGTATCAGATTCTGCGAATATGCACACTGTACGCGTTCTTCGATCTGTTGAGGCCCAGGTTCGCCTGCTAGCCTTACCGACACGCCAGTTCCACCATACCCCGTTCGTTACATGCATGATCAGCGGCGGAGCACTGTCCCTGCTATCAGCATGTAGATTTGTGCTCCAGGGAAAGGACCTGGCGATTGCAAGGGGCCAAATTCGCATGACTATCGGGTGTCTTTTGGCGATCGGCGAGGTGTGGCCGCGGGCTGCCAGGAATGTGCGCGAGATTCAGATCATTGCGCGCCGTGTGCTCGACCTTGAGACCGGGACGGCGAGCAAGAGTGAAACAGCCAGATCTAGCGACGTGCCAAGTCTGTCGGATGGCGAAGAACAGGAAGGTACCGCCCCGGATGTCGACGCTCCCATCAATGACCCTGAGGTCTTCCCTTCGTTTGCATCAATCGACAGCCTCGGCGGGTGGTGCAATTTGAGCGACCTGGATCTGGACCTTTCGTGGGGATTGAATAACGGATCAGGATTTTGAGTCTGCCAGCTTAATCAATCTGCCAGCTAAATCAAAAAAGGTATACTTTTCTTCTCTAGTCTTGAACAAAGTTTCTGGGTTTTTGTCCAAGCCACTAGACCCGTATAAACACGGTACCTTGGTATGATCTCAAGCACACCTCTATTCTAACTACAGCTTCCCGTCCGCTCAGGTCGTACTTACGCCATTATTATGAACGCGGTCAAACAATACCTGAGCCTTTCAGCCCTTGCCGCTCTATGAGTGATAGATGCTAAACCAGAGAATGGGTGTGGGTGAGCTGGGTGAGCGAGTGAGTGAGGGAGGAGGATAAGTCAGTAGGTGAGTTAAGATTAAGAGTCCTTTCTGTGGATATAAATATTCCAGGGCTCATCTACCTCCTGACTATTACTGTATACTTCATTTTATCTACCTTAAACCTCAACTCCTCGAGTTTATCGTCCAAATAAAAAAGTGACAGGAAAAATGATCCTGTCTACTCCAACCAAGGTTTTTGAGACAACCACCCCGCGGTCTTCATTAGTACGCTGATGGTCATCTTCCTTCACGGCCCCCTGTCAGTAAGAATCGGATTCATCTGCCATATGGAAAAGTCCTTGCCAACCTTCGTCTGAGCTGGATACAGCTTCGACATTCCCGTTGCCCTCATGATTACTCCTCGCACCATGAGGTAATGCGACTCAAGAACTTCTACCATCTCCTCTACCGACTCATCATACAATATCCAGTTTCCCACCATCACCTTGATCCTCACTTCAACAGGTTCGCTGACTAAGACCCAAGGCTGGGTCCTTGACGGGTACCGGTACCATGGGCTTGGGCGGGCTTTGGCGACGTCTATCCACAACGTCTCAGCGACGTTCCAACCGTGATGTAACGAGAGCTACATACCGTTGGCACGCCAGGTGGTGACCGTATTGTTCTGTCGGGTGGAGGAAAATTGATGTAACTACGGTTCCATTGGCTGGCCCAAACATGTTCCACGACATACTAAGAAAATTGGGCCATGACATATGTGACTCACTCCACTCAATATACCTATCAATCCTGACAGTATCCACCATTTCCTTTATGGTAATATGACATATGGGGTTCGTAGTCGTCAGATCTCTTCTAGTAGTGCCCAGCAAGCATGGCGAGCAGAACTGACCGTCCACAGCAATACCACTGCTGAAAGCGATCGTGTTTGGATCTCGGAAAGATGGTGGAGAGACAAGTCAGCCTTTCAGCCCTACTGCAACAAAACGAGTCGTTCCGCAGCGGTCCGAGATAATCGAAACAGACCGTCTATAAGGTATGGCCAGATGCCTGGAGAGTTCCGGGGTGTATTTCCTTCCGTATGCAGAACGATCCTTGAAAGTGTACTTGTCATTTGTCTATGTCATGGACCCATGCTCTGTTAGCCCGTCATCATATAACTCCCTAACACTACTCCGGCGGAGCATCAGAACGCTAGCCTAAACACCCATTTTCCAAGAGAAGGCTTCCACGATGCTTCTATCGGGGTATTTCATAACGATCATAAACTATCTCGGTCTTCAATACCCTCTGGGCCCCCAGCTAGATGTACCGGCACCGATTGAAGGCCATGTGAAGCCTCACCTCGAGCAGTTTGAACCCTGGGTACCACCCGGCGCTATGCCGGACCCTGGAGATCCAGATAGCGAGCCTATCAAGTGCGATTACAGGGCAATGGTGGCGGATGGGTATCTCCCCTCGCGCCCAGAGGGGAATCATGAATGGATTCCGCATAAAGATGACCCAAACCTTCAATACAACATCACCACCGATTATGATACTCGCACTCCCATTGGCACGACAAGAGAAGTGAGTCTTCCCAACCTCTTTTCCCCAGATCCCTTGATGGCTAACAACTGATCTAGTATCACATCACCGTCACTGAAAGTGATGTCCAGGTATGGGACGGGAGAAAAATTCGCAGCAGGCCACTTGCCGATGGAAGATATCCAGGCCCGTGGATCCGTAAGTTTTCCGCAATCCGCTTGCGATATGAGGATCTAACAAACTCGCATCAGAGGCTTGCTGGGGGGATAAACTCAGTGAGTAGCTCCCCCCCCTCGGAAGTTGAATGGTCGGCTAAGAGAGGAAGAAATCACTGTCCACAACAACTTGACGGAGGTCAAAAATGGGACTGCAATCCATTTCCATGGGCTTAGACTTCTGAACAGCAACCTTGTTGACGGGGTACCCGGGGTTACGCAGTGCCCAGTCGCCCCCGGAGACTCTTACACGTACATCTTCAATGCCACCCAGTATGGCACGTCATGGTACCATAGCCACTACAGTCTGCAGTACTCGGATGGCTTGCTCGGTCCGTTGACTATTCACGGACCGACATCCGCAAGATACGATGAACCACTGTACCCTCTTGTATTGTCTGACCACAATCACCGGAGCGCCTTCCAAGAATACTATATAGAGCAATTTGGCCCGCCTTTTCCCAACCAAGAGAGCATTCTCATCAACGATCATGGTAGGTGGAACGAGACAGTCGCAAATAGACAGTCGATATCAGAATTTTGACGGTTGATAGGGAGTTTTGCTGGACAATTCCCTGATAACCAGTACACACAACCTGTGCAGGGAGTAAGTCGAATTAGGCATCCCAGTACGCCAAAGGGGGTGGGAACTAATCTTACCGTGGTGTAGGGGAAAAGATATTCACTCATGCTTATCAACGCCGCCACGGATACCACGTTCGTTTTCGGCATCGATGGGCATACCGTGACTGTCATCGGCATTGATTTAGTGGCGGTCCAACCGTTTGAGACTAACCATGTCCGCCTTGGAAATGGTGGGTAGACAGTATGATTCTAAGCATGCCACGCCCGACTAACAATGTACTAGGTCAGCGATATCACGTTATCCTTGAAGCAAGGGAAGATGTCCCAGACGGATCATCCTTCTGGATCCGAACATATCCAGCGGAAGGCTGCAATGGTTTCCGTCCTCGGGCACCCGACGCGAGACAGGGGATTCTCTGGTACTCGTCAGGAAATGAAACCTCGCCGCCTGTACCAGAGACTAGCCCTATGAACTACACCATTGAGTGTAAAGACATGGTGCATTATAAACCCATGGTCCAATGGACCGTCCCCGCGATCCCTCAGCTCGGTGACGGCAGTGTATATGACATCATCGACACTACTCTCAGTGTCTGGCAGTGGGATCTTACCAAGGACACTAACTCTGCTCCCGATGACAAGGTATGGTCCTGGAAAATTCTAAAGGATCATGCCCGGGTGGACTACAAAAAGCCGTCAGTGGATCATGTGGACGAACTCGAACCTGATACTTGGGACCACACTGCGGTTATAGACTCAAAGCCAATTAAGGATGGCGAGGACGTTTGGAACTACATGTTGATTGTTGGAGGGAGAGCTGAAAAACAGGTTGGTGGAGGCATTGTTGTACCACCCGCCTATCATCCCGTAAGTTTGTCCTTTCTTTCATCTTGGGACCCGCTGTGATTCAGCTAACCGGCATCTGCCGTATCCAGATCCATCTGCATGGCCATGACTTCGTCGTCCTCAAGAATTCCTCCACCCCATATCAGGGCTACGGTTCACTAGAGGACCTCCAACTCGACAATCCCTTGCGGCGCGATACCGTCCTCCTGCCCAACAATGGCTATTTAGTGATTGCCTGGAAGTCCGACAACCCCGGCGTATGGGCATTGCACTGCCATATCGCCTGGCATGCCTCTGATGGCTTAGCTCTGCAGATTGTCGAAGGGAGAGAGAAGCTCAAGAAACAACTCGATCTCGAGAATATCTCCAATCTATCCCCCGACGAGGCCTTCTTGGCGCAGCAATATCAGACTACCTGCAGCAACTGGGGCATATGGCAGGATAATCGGATCGGAGAATTGAATGACGCGAACTCTACGGAGCGTTTCCAGGACGACTCGGGAATTTGATTGGCCTGGAAATGGCCTGGAAATGTCCCCAGAACATGGACGGCATGACATGATGAAGTCTGTAAGGAAATAACCTGTCGCAATATAAGATTGGCTACAAAATGGCACCCCACAGAGCTCAGAAGTGTCTAGGTGTCTTTTGTAGCTGAGTGGGATTCTTTGCCACATAAATCAATTCAATGATTGAATCGAAACATGAGTTGGCTTTATTACATGTCACGTTTAAATTAGTGGATTCCTCCAGTCGAGCATCCCTACAGTCTGGGATATCCATCGTCCAGCTTCCCATATTCAATGTATAAAATATTGTACTATTCCCAGGGAGCGTGTTCCAATTCAGGCACATATTGTACGTGCACATGCTGCCCTTTTATTCAACATACGGTGTCAATACATTGATGCGGACGAGCAATACCTAGAAAACGAATAGAGACTAAAAAAAGATGCAAATAACATGATCAATGGCCGACATCGCACCTGTTTGTCCCGAAATGATCATGCACCAGAAGAATATGGAAAAATTTGAAGGGCTCACTATTACTCGGATCTAAAAAATTGTACAGAATACTGTTCCTGTCCATCTACACTGATCAAGCATTTATACTAGGTCGGGAGGAAAGGACAAACAAAGAAGTGAACTTATACAAACACTAACACAAACACAGATATAGACACAGACACAAAAGCGATAACAAGGACAAAGACAAGGAAAACAACGAGAACGAGAAGGAGAACGAGAACAGGAGCAAGCAGCGAGAACGGGAACGAGAACAAAAACGAAGACAGGAACAGAATAACAACAAGAGCAGAAAAGAGCAGAACAACAACTAAAACCAAAAATAACATAACAAAAAATAATAAAAAAGTTACCGCCTCGCAACCTTCCGTCTGGGCCTTCGGCCACCAGCAGGAGGGTTTCCCTTCGTACGTTTTTTCTTAGCCTGCCCATCAGCCTGCTCTTCTCCTTCGCCATCTTCCTGTGGGATATCCCCTTCTCCTGTACCATCTTCCTGCGGGATGTCCCCTTCTTCTGCACCGTCTCCTTGTGGGATATCCCCTTCTTCTGCACCATCTCCTTGTGGGATATCCACTTCTTCTGTACCATCTCCTTGGGGAATATCGTCCCCTTCTTCAGCGCGATTCTGTCTGTTCCGCTGGTGCTCGCTTCTCCCTCTTCGTTCTTCGACGTGGATCAATTCATCGACTGTGAGGGCCTTGGCTCTGGGAGGATTGATGGCCTTGTGAGGGTGGGCGGCCTTGGTAGGGTGGGCAGCCTTGGTAGGGGCAGCGGCCTTGGTAGGAGCCTTGGCCTTGGTAGGGCCGGCGCCCTTGGCAGGGATGAGGGTTTTGGCAGGGTGGGGAGCCAGAGTAGGGTTTATAGGCGGAGGGACAGGCGGAGGATCCCTGCTTGCATATGTACCATCGTCATCGTGGTCGGCGCCGCAAGCGCAGGGCTTGCCCAGGACCCGAGTCAGCGATCTCACGGGCGGCTTCGGCCCGTCAAGGTAAGAGAGGAGGATCTCTTCGCCTTGCTTGATGTTTTTGGTGGCCCATACCATCACGCGATTCGGGACCTGCCTGTCGTAAGCCCATGCGGCGTTGCTTTTGTCCCCGCAGGCATGGTTGAACATGCTGAACCCAGGGAAGAGATATAGGTTTTTGAAGTCCGGATCGTGGGGTTCGAAATTTCCTGGATCCGCTATCCATCGGTGCTGCACTCCAGCGCTTGGCAGAGTTTTGTCTCTATATGGTTTTTTAGTGCCTCGCAAGGAGCGATCCCACGGGAGGGCGTTGACCATTAGCTTCCTTAAGACGGTTTGGATCACCCAGGTGTCGAAGCTGAGATCGCGGAAGATGTCCACCCCCAGTTGCATTAGGATGTTGAAGGGGACTTGGATGTTGGCTGCCAGGGTGAATGGGAAGCTCCGCGAGTCCCAATCGTGGTGGTCTTCTAGGACGAGAAGCTCGTCGATCTCATGGGCCATGAGATGTGGGTTCTGCTCACGCCTGTGGAGTGTCACGTCAAAAACCTCTCTTAGAAGAAGGCTCAGCAGCGTGCCATGGTCCTCATTGGAGTGTGAAAAGTGGTATTTGCCGGCCGTGAGGTAGATGGATGCGCAAGGTCGCATGGCATCATGGAGCCATCCCCAGCTCTTTCCGCAGGCCCCAAAATGGTAAAGTTGTCGAGCAATCTGCGCGCAAGACAATTGGCCTTCTTCTAGAATTTGTGCTGGGCAAAATAGGGCTGATATCTCTGCATCGGCACATTTGCACCCTTCAGGGTGATCGTCTCCGGTCAACTGGTCTTTGATTTCCTCATATCTGTCCAAGGTGTCGGCTGGGATATCCTTACGGCAATTCTCACATCTAGGGTCGCGGTATTCGAACGGTGGTTCTGCCCCATACAACCTAGAACAGTTGAGATGCCCTCTCATCGAAGGTTCTTCTGCAAAAATCAGATCTCGACTCGGGATATCTTCCGCTGCGAACACCCCGAGGCCCGGCTTCTGGTCCTGGTCCTGGTCCTGGTCATCGGTGGTAGTGGCGTCGTCGGGAAACATTCTCTTCTCGATCTTACAAGACGTCCAAATAGGCCGATTGTTCCGAGCAAACAGATATTGGCTCAGTCGGTCCACGAATTCGTCATCGTAGCGGGATTTATCATCCAGCTCAAATGGGTATCTTCGGCCACCAGGGATGCTCCCGCTGTTCGTCTCGTGGAAGAGAAAAGGCCCCGCCCCTTTCTTCCTCTCGCGTATGTCATCGAGGCACCGCTGCTTCACGATCAAAAGCCTGTTCGTGAAGGGCTCCGAGTCACGCGCCGGCATGATGGCTTTCTGCCTGAGATTGTTCTCCATAATCCTATGGTCGTTCCAACCCTGGAGCGCGAGCAGACTGAGATTGGTGATATTCTGGGCGGCCTTCCGAAGGGTCGGGATGAAAGAGTTGACTCCATTTCCCCGGCGCATCATCTCCAACGCGTCTACATCCCGTTCATCATTGCCCATCGCAGCAACCGTAATATGCTCTTCGATTGCATGCCAAATCGACGTGTAGAGCTTGGACTGCCGGTTCCGCCGCAACGGGTCGAAGAGCACTTCGTACAGGAGTTGTGCGCGGTAGGCATCTCCAATAGCCAGGTCAAAGAAAGCCTGCTGATAGTGACAGTAGGCTCTGCTCAGCCAGTATGCCGGGTTGTAGGGGCTCAATATAATGGCGCAGGTGTACATCTCGAGACAGTTATAGCGCTTGTTATTCCCGTCCTCAAGTTGGACGGTGTATCTTGTATCAGTTCCTCGGGCGATCCCCCAGTGCGAGAGATCGCTGCGCCGCAGAAAGCTATATCGCTCGTGGTAGTAGAGGCGTTCGCGTAACTCGCGTGAATTCAGACCCCTGGAGAGGACCCCGCGCCTCTCCAGTTCCTCTCTCAACTGGATGACCGTCCAGTAGGTTGAAGTCAGGACATCGTACCCATGGACCCGAACGACTTTGGTCTTGTCGCCCCGTAGATCGTCTAGAATCTCCCCATAGCCCCAACTCCTTCGGTCCAACCCGGTCGCCCGCCATTTGGCCTCCCATTCCCCCTCTGTTGGCGGCATTAGGTTGTCTCGCATCAGATGTTCATAGACGTTCTTGGCCAACACATGCATGGGCATGGCTGCCGATTCCTCAGCCGAGATTGGATCCAAAAAGCGGGCTTGGTTACCCATGGTAGCCCCCAGCTCCCCATCCGGAAGAGACCACAAACGGTAGGCCAATTTCGCATCGTCGCGACACACATGTGGCGCAAAGGTCACCTCATTGTGCAAGTTGGGCGCCGGCGGAAACGGAGCGCGCTTGATGGCTCCGGAGGGTGGATGTCGCTCATAAATTTCTCTCAAACGCTGCATTGGGTCTTCGGGCGTTGATGCCAAAAAAAAAAAAAAAAAAAAAAAAAAAAGCAATTGTAGATGTCTATGTCTCAAGGGTGAACCCGGTAGGATAGATATTGCAATATAGTGAGAATCGATGAAGGAGAAACAGGTTGCTATCCGATAATAACAGACAGACTCAGAATCATCTGGGTCAGGACGGGGGTGTTGCGCGAGTAGAAATGCCATGGAGGACAAAGGAATGGCACACCTGGGACGGCGCGCGAGCACTCCTCTGATTCTGGGAAACAAAGAAGCATCTTGAACCCTTGGTTGTCATTGAAAGAAGTGCCATTGCCATGTCTGTAGTGGTTGTGTTCCTTTGTTCTGAGCGGTCGATTTGGGGTCAAAGAAGTGGCGAAGCATGTCATCTTTTCCGACTGTGAAGCAAACCATCCACTATACTACCCTATACGGGCCTATAAAAGCAATGAGATGGGAATCCCACTAGTCGTGTCTGGGGTCAATGGTGGTTCCTGGGTAGTTTGCGCACTAGAGTCCTTTTAGTACGTACTAAATATAGTCAACCAATTCCGATCCACTGCTTTGGAGGAAAGGAGAACAACAATGATCAACAGAACAATCGAAATAGAATCAAGTAGTCAAGATAAACAAAATCAAGACGGGGGAAAAGTGACGACAGAAGTTGAAACGGGGAGAGATTCAAGTAGAAGAAGAAGAAGAAGAAGAAGAAGAAGAAGAAGAAGAAAAAGAGGGCAGGAAGAAAGATCATCACGGGATCAAGTCGATCAACAACTCCAGGTCATCCGATCTTCTCTCTCTCTCTCTCTTTCTCTCACTTGACTCTTTCCTCTCGTTTATTTCTCTCCCCATCTCCTCTCTTTCTAGATTTATCCCTCCATCATGATCAACGAGCATCTCATAATCGCCTAATACCCCTCTTCTTGGAATTCGTATCCTTACTAGAAGTGCGCCAGTCATGGCTGGATCGAATCCTTATTCGAATCCCTCAGGCTCACAGGCTTTTGGCCCTCCCCAACCAGAATGGCGTCTGTCACCACATCCACAGCAGCCAGCGAGGCCTCTGAGCGCCGTATCCCCTCCACCGACTTCAGTCCCGACATACAACCCGAATACGTATGGTCCCATGTCCGGTGCATCTCAAACAACCGCGACGACCGGCGCAGACCTGTCTCCGGTTCAGCGGCCTGGGACAGGTATGGACACCACGGCGTGGGGAGTGAAGTTTAATCGCCAGCCACATATCAAGACACCCCCACCACTGCCGGTGAGTGCTCGAAGAAGATAGCTGAACCAACCGAGTGTGACAACTGGAACTAGCCCCTAATTCATGCTGTCGCATAGCCCCGACCCTCAAGTACAAACCAGGACTCGTCTCCGCAGGTGAGCCCGCTGGACTCCCATAGGCCACCGTTTCCGCCGGCGCATAGCCAGCCATGGTTCGCGAACACTCCCTACGCCCCGCCTCAATCCCACTCGGGTGCCGCCTTTCTTCCTCCGCTCCCGCCCCCGCCCCCACCTCCGCCGCCGCCTTTTCAGTACAATGACCTGGCCGAACGACCACCCCCTCAACCCCCGTGGACTTACCAAACACAAGTTACCTCCGAATCTCCTCACTCCACGATCGCTCCACCAGTGCCCCCCAAGACTAGCCACAGCGCTCTTCCCGCCAATCCCCTTACCGGATTTGTCGGGCCTTCGGACTGGGAACATTTTTCTGCCGACCACGGATACATTGAAGATGCAGAAGCAATGCAGCCGAGAAAGGGCACGACCCTTTCGCGGCAGCCGACCGCAACACTGTCCCCGAAAAGTTGCACCGCGGTGCCCAACGCGCCGCCGGCCCACCCGTCCGAGGCCGCTGCGTCACCGTCAAATGTGTCCCCGACGATCCGGGTTGCGCATGCCCATGAGGATACTGGGATGCAGTCCAAGTACTCGCCGGTGAGCCCGGGAGCCGGATACGCACCTCGAGATCCCACCAGGCCCGTCCGAGTAGACAGCGCGAAGTCCGAGTACAGTAGCATTGCCGGCGCTGAGACCGCAGAGCACATTGATGGGCTGATCGAAGCCTGGAATCAGCCGGTGCTACCAGAAACGGAAAGCATGGCCCAAGCGCCATCCCCATTGCAGCAGAAAGCCAGTCCGATAGAAACGCCCAAGTCCGGGCAGGATTTTACGAGCCATCAGAAGAACATGCAACTACGCATAGATACGGGGGGTCCAAGTCCCACCCCTGGTGGCGCAAATGCGCACACAGGGGTGCCGGTGACCCCTGCGAAACCCGTCGATCCTTGCGAGAACTTGGAGCCTTGGTCGAAATCCTCTCTGGAGCGATTTGTGGCAATGCTCCATAAGGAACAGGTCGCCGATTCCGATGCGGAGCGTTTTAAGATCTTTACTGCATTTATGGCCAAGGAAACGAAGCTCCGAGAGATTCTATATAATGTCGAACAGGGTCCAAAAACTGAAGAGGACACCGCTAGGCAACAAGCGACACCTTCGGGGCCGCCGGCGGAACGATCAGATGCCGTCACCCCTTTTATTGACTCTGGCTTGATACCGGTGGAGCTAGAGGAAGACAGCTTTCAGACACCTTCGTATCCTGCGGAGGCAGAAGATCCCGAAGATGGAAGTTATAGTCCCGGCGGGCGCCCCATACTACCACGACTGCATACGCCTGCCAATGTGGATCTGCATAGGTCTGCCTCGCAACCAACCACTCGCAAATACGGCCCCGACAAGAACACACATGCCCCATCTATGCGGTCGACGTCAGTTCCCCCGTCCAGCGATAATAGCCAACAGAAACAGGAGTTGACACCTCTGGCGACCAACCCCCCACAAGCAATATATACTCCATTCCGCTACACTGAAGGTCCTCAGAGGGGCTCTGACAAACTGAAGTTCGACCGGCCTGCACACCAAGCCTACTCGGCTTTGCGCCAGGCGTCTGCAGAAAGCGGACGACTCATGGCGAACGCGCCGATCCCCCGTCCCGCGACGGCAGCCCAGGGCCTGGATAACCAGGACGAGACCTTCATTGGTCTCATCCGAGAGAAAAGTGTCGCCTATCGGACGAGCGAAGGCCAAGGAGCATCTTCTCCCTCGCTGTTACCAGCTTCCCTGCGACAAGGAAAAATGCCTGGTCCTTTGGATGAATTGCGCTCGATGGTCTCCAAGCCTCTCTCCAAACAGTCGGAGAGCTCATGGCATGTCACCACGAGGAAAGAGCTCGAAAGAGTTCCGGACAATTTCAACTATATGGCTGAGACTTTAAAGTCGACCGAAGAGTCTCGCAGGTCTCGCCGGGAAGAACTAGACAAAGAGCGAATGCGCCGTCAAGAGGAGTCAGAGGCGCATATCGATGCGCTGTTTAACGACAAGGAAATCGGGTATGCCGATATCAATCTTCTGGAGGAAGAATTCCGTCAGACAGAAGCACGGGCTCAGTTGGAGGAAGAGCGGGGCGAACTAGCGGATTTTATTGCGACTGTTTTTGATCCCTTGGATGGTCGATTGAACGAGGAGATATCGTCTCTTCGAACCCAGTATGATTCAGCACTAGCGCAGCTGGACAACGAAAGCAGCAAAATCAAGGAGTCAAGCAAAGATAGGTCCAGTCTGTCACATACGATGAAGACTGTCAATGCGATCTATCAGAAGCTGGAGATCCGTTACCAGAAACGCTTGGGGATTGCCCTGGATCGCGAGCGTCGCCGGAAGAAGGCCGAACGACGACCGCTCGTTTTCATGGGCGACACACTTGCTTTGAAACAGCTCGATAGCGAATTCGATCAGATGGAGCGACGGAACATTCTGGAAGCGGCCAAGGATCGCGATGATCGTGCGAACAGGCTCATGGACTCTTTCGATGACGCGATCATGCACGGACTAGGGGAGAACCAAAGTCTTATTGATGAGATCTCCGCCAAGGTGACGGATCTGGATGCATCGGCTCTGCAGGCCTCTGGTTTGACCGATGCCGAGATAGAGCAGACATTAAAGTCGGTATTCACTTTGGTTGAATCGCTCCGGCAGGACTCGGAGTCGATACTCCACGATTTCGGCATCGCGGATTCGGGGCTCAACAACGCAGATTACTGTGTCTCTGTCGCAGAGGCACGGTACTCGAATGCCGACCCAAGTGTCTCCCGCAGACTGGACCAGGAGAAGAAGAAAGAAGACGCTAAGATTCAGCGCGATCTTGCCTCCAAGCTGGACAGTATTCGTGCTGGGCCGGCGGAAATCACGTCCAACATCAACAAACTCCTTACGGCCATTGGGAAAGGCCCTGTGGTCGAACAAGAGATCCCATCTGAAGCCGTCCAAACCGACCACCCAATCGACAGTCTGCTCCCTGGGCCTCGAGCACCTACCGTCGGCCCTGGCGCCAACAAACCGACCGGAGATCCGGACCATTGGCAGAGAATTCGAAAAGCACTAGACGACGCAAAGAAGAGAAATGCGGCCAGAGCCAAGACTTAACTCGGTGCAGGTTTCATTTCATCCACAACGGTGACGATGAATTCACGAGGTTACGAATTTCTTTTTATACCCCTTTATACGATTCTTTCTCGCATTCCCATGCGTTACAACATATAATTGAAGGGTAGGATCCTACATGTAGATTCCATTGGTTTCAAGATAATCCTTCAGCCTGAATTTGTACTTACCACCCAATATTTGAATAGTAGTTGAGCCGTTTGTTTTTCTTCATTGTATTGGTCTTAGCTTAGTAGGTAGTACTTCTGACAAATAGTAGTAATGTCTTGATCTTCAATGCAAAGACCCTCTTTTCATCTTGGGCGACCTTTATATTTTCGCGTGGATTATTCAATTAGGCAGCAGAGTAGGTAGGCTACTAGGCCGTGAATTGCCAGCTCAATACTGCGATCACTTGGTGAGTCCTCCACAAGGCTTGGATAGCACACACTCATTCCACCACGAGCGACTGGTAATGAATCTAACATAGAGTCCTGTCCTTCTAAGTCCCGTGGCTGATAATCACACGCTCATAGAATCCTGCCGAAAAGTATCTGCGCCGCGCGCCCCTCAACGAGGCTTGACAACCGCAGGTGGCGCATTCGCTGAAAGCCTTATTGTGCCGCTTTGGTCTTTACGCAACGGATTACCTGGGTATGCAGAGAATACACAAACTATGAAGACGGATTATACTCCCTATCTGCAATATACCAGCCTCATCCATCTATTGCCCCGTCTATGGGGTACTACCGTCTGTATGCCGCGTTAAATGACGGGTGCAAGAACGCTCAGGTGGCTCGCTCTACAGCCAAAGTGTATATTACCATAACAGTCACATAGACCCCGTTCATGTGGGTAGGCATGATAAAACCAAGTATGTGGCTCTGGGCTTTTTGTAAGGCACGGTCTAGATATTATCCAACACTCATGGCCTTTAACATTGCCCTTTCAGGCCTCATACATTGCTACCGCAACTCCCATACGAGTGCGGCGCATGGAACATAACTATCACTTGCGGGGAGGAAAGTCCGAAGACAAAGGAAGAGGATCTACCCTGCGCCTGCGCCACACTGGACGTTGACAAAGGAAGTATATCCTCTTGTCGATTGGTTCCTGTGCTAGTTTTGGCGTGTTCAACCGTGTACCACGAAGAGACCTAAACCCGTGACCAACGATTCATGCGTCAGCTCTATTTGGGTTGCTTGTCCTGCACGGTTCTTGGAAGCTGGATATCTCGACGGTCCTTTGCCATAGTGACACCATCTGGCACAGATCTCGAATTACTGTATTGAAATCTCATGTCCATCGGGCATCCTTCCTCTCGTTTAAGTCTGGACTGTTCCTGTGCCGCGTGCCACGGATTTATTAACCCTGGATAGCGAGACTAGGGTTCCGGTTCCTAGGCGTAGGATACGCAATGACGAGCCATCTCCTGTGCCCTTGAAAGATTGGCAATACTGGTGTCTGCGGCAGCCCTGCGAGATTCCATGGAAGGGCCGTGACCATGCGGCAAAGGCAGACGCGGCTGAAAGTGCGGCGCATGCCATTATTATCTCGGTTTCTGGATAAGTGTGGGGTCGCATATACAGATCGAATTACGATGTGCCAGTCAGTGGTAGCTGTGGTTCAATTGCCCGCTCTCATCCATGGTTCGTGATAACTCTATAAATCCTCGGCTCGGAACAGGCAGTTGCTCTACCACATTCGACAACATTTGCTCATTTCGAGATTACGAAAGTATTGATTCAAGCAATTCAAATCCCATTCAAACAATCGATCCTCTCATGTCACTCCCTACCAGGCGTTTGCACCGGCTCTCGATTAGCAGCGACATGCCCGATCGACGTTTCCCGGGGGAGGGACCTGCCCGTCCTGACAGTGGGCAAATCGAAAGCAGCTCAGAGGAGAGCGAATCAGAAGAAGAAGCGTCTCCTGAAAGGTCTACGATACAGGGGAGCTCCGGAATTAACTACAGCCTCGACAGGCTGGACAACGACGCCGAAGCGAGAGCTCTTGTCGGGCTAGCGAGCGAGTTCGATATAACCACTTGCAGTAGATGGCCGACGGGGTATCATTTTCAGCTCTCGGAGCATCGACAGGTGCATGTTGGTCCGGATGGCTATACTTGTACTTGCTTGACCTTTGTGAGCCGTCCTAATGTGGCGTGTCAGCACATTTTCGTGAGTTCACCGCGCTTGAAGCACATTCCTCCATGCCATACTAAGACCAAACCAGTGGCTTCTCGACAGACTTCACAGCAACTTCACCCCCCAAGACACCCCTAACACCATCCCACTATCAACCGACGGCCACCCCCCAGGCCACCCCCGCATCGAACGCCTCCTCCACGGAAAACTAGAGCAGATCGCAGACCAGCACAACTGGCCCTACATCCGCTCCGAATCCGAAGGCGGCATGACCCGGCCTCAAAAGGTAAAAGACATCATAACAGCCTTCAGCGCAACCATCCTTCCAGAAGACTTCCGCCCCGACCTCACAGACGACCCCGCCCACCGCCGCACCCCAGAGCAGTGCGTCGTCCAGGGCGACTTCGAAGCCACGATGTTCAGACTAGCTACCCACGACGACGCGGTCTACTCCCGTCTGTGCAAGGCAATGCCCCCGGCGCCTGCGCAGCTATCTACTTTGATAAAATCCAGGGCCAATCTCGCAAACTACTCGCTGATTTCGACCGCTACGCCCTGACGGGCCACCTCCCCGCTGATGACAACAACAACACCAACCCCATAGACGTCCGCACCGTCCTCCACAAAATCCAACTCAACGTCTACCGTATCCAAAGCAATATCATCGCGCGCGCCCCGCACGGCACAGAAAGCGCATCCAAGGCCCTCATCACGCTCCTCGAAGACATCTGCAGTCGCAACAAAGACGCCCTAGACGGCAACAGATGGGGCCGGACGACCTTCCACGGCGAAGACGAGGACAGCCGCAATCTGTACCATCAGCTTATCGGCACTGCCGAGGAGACAGGGCGCTGCTTTGTGCTCGACGCCCTGGAGCATCTGCCTGCGTCGGCGCTCCACCAGTTCCGGGATCGGTTGATGGCTGTTCAGCGTAAGGCGGAGGTGAACCGTGCGCCGAAGGCGTATATATTGAAGCTTGGGGGGCTGGTTCGGAGGGCTGAGGCTGTGGGGGCTGTGCTGGGTCAGAAACGGTTGTCTACGGCTGCGCCTAGGGGGCAGAGTAAACGGACGCGGTAGGGGTGGGTTGGTTGATGGGCTGGGTTGAGTCTGGTTGGGCTGTGGAATTTGTGTGGTTTACTATCATAATACCCAGTGTTCTTGTGATTTTTGTTAGAGATTGTTATTGAATGGTTGCTCATATCGCGCTTTGGGGGGCGTTCTATTATGGGCTGAAATATCTGAACTCTCAAGACTGAGAAATGGACCCTACCTACTATAGTAGTAAAGCCACTAGACATGTGTTCTATGCTTCTGCGAGAAGCCCGTGGATTTGCATGCAGGTGTGCTAGGTCGTAGGCTCTATAGGTTGTGTCCATAAAGGGTGCTACGTTGCAGTTTTTTTTCAGACTTTCAATAAAATTGACTCGCAGACCAATCCTACGTGGTAAATACACATTATCCTTCCTCATAACGTCCAATTTTCAACCTTCCATCAACTTGAGCATGGCATCATCATCCGTGAACCCAAGTTCGAATCAAATATCAAAGCCAAAACACAAACCATCGCCAAACAAATATTCCCGGTTTTCAAGAAATCAACAAACTACTCACGACAGATCGAGAACAACCCGTCCCTGCACCTTACCCGCCTCCATGTCCTGGAACACCTGGGTCAGGTTCTCCATTTTCTCCGTTCGGAAGTGGGACTTGATCACGCCGCGCGCGGCAAACTGCATCGTCTCGATCGCTTCGGTTCGGTTGCCCACCGCTGATCCGGTGATGGTGCAGTGCTTGGCGATAATAGCAGCCGGGAATGCTGTGGCGATAGCCTGGGGATCATTCTCAGGCAGGCCCACGCAGACCATGGTGCCGTTGAACCGCAGGAACAACAGTGACTGGGCGTAGGCGGCGTTTGATGCCGTGCAGACGACCGCAGCATGCGCGCCCAGGCCGTCGGTCAGTGACTTGACATGTGCGGAGATAGCCTCGCCCTTGTCGTCTGCGGGAAATTTGGTGACGTCGACGAAGTGCTCGGCGCCTGACGCCTTGACGAGCTCTTCTTTGCTGCCGTGGTCGACGCCGATCACGCGCAGGCCCATTCCCTTGGCTGCAAGCTGCACGCCCAAGTGGCCCAGTCCACCACCGGCTCCGGAGATCACAACCCACTGGCCGGGACGGGCGTTGCTGCGCTTGAGGGCGGCGTAGACGGTAACACCGGCGCAGAGCATGGGAGCAGCCTCATCTGAGGGCAGCCCCTCCGGGATCGGGGTCACATAATTGGCGGGGCCCAGGGCGTACTGCTGGAAGGTGCCTGGGAAATAATAACCCGAGATTTGTTGATTGAAGCACAGTCCATCGGCGCTGGCATGGCAAGGCTCTGTGTTCCGTCAGTACTACGCTCCAATTCCGACATTCGGTGAAATTGATTTAGTGGGAAGCATGAGACATACGGCAGTTTCCACAGGCATTAGCGACCCACTTGATTCCGACACGGTCACCGAGCTTCAGGCCAGAGGACTCCGCCCCGGGGCCCAGCTTCACGACCTTGCCGACGCCTTCGTGGCCACCAACCTGGCCGGGTTGGGTCGGATAAGGAAAGAACTTCCACTGCAGTGGGTCAGTTTTCAGGACCGATCTATTTTAGCGGGGGGGCTGCGGAAGATCTTACAGAATTGGTCATGACGCCAAGGTCGGAATGGCAGACACCAGAGTGAGTCCTTCAGCGGATATGTTAGAGAATCGAGATTTAAAGATGATTTGGATATTATGCTCCCAAAGCTTGACTTGTGATGGGTACGATGCAATCAACGGGTGTTCACGTACAGGTTGATCAAGACCTGGCCCGCACCAGGCTCAGGAACATCCGCCTCGACGACCTTGGTTGACACGGTACCAGGCTGGTCATAGATGACCGCTTTCTGCTTGGTAGGTATCTCAGGAGCAGCCATGTTTGTAATATTCTCAGTAAGGAGTAATGTAGTTATGATGGTGGGAGTTTGTCGACAGGGTGATGATGTATCGTGATACTGAACAAGACAGAGGGTAGTTGCAAGGACAAGAGCAGCAGGGAGACCACGGACATGAGCCCCTCTTTATATAGTGGAAAGAGATCAGGGGGAGTGAATGAGCCCATCAAAGGGAATCAGTGCCAAGTAGGTGGCATCGCTGATGATCAACCTAGTTTAGACCGAGGAGAGGAGAAAGTGGGGAAGCTGGACTCCCTGCACTCTGGATCCATTCACTGGTCTAGTCATCAAGTATTTGTATCATGGATAAGAATCTTGCCAGTGAATAAGACAGTTTTATGCACCTGTGCTTGATTTCTTCGTTTCACTCTTCTCTTTCTGTGGCGTGGTGGAGATTAGTACATTCTGCTATCTCTTAGTGGATAGATGATCAGTGGAGTCATCAGATGTTGCAAATCCAAGCCAGTACAAATGAGGGGTAGAGAGACTGTCTCACTGGAACCTGAAAAGCCTCGGTAATACTGTGGCTGTTTGATAACCATCCTTCTCTGCTGATGTCAGGTTAGAGTCGCAGAGGTGGAAAAAGTATGGATGTATAGAATGATATATATATAACAGCGGGCAGTCTCGTGACATGGACACCTTGGTCTTTGGAGGATTATGATACTCCCAGATAAATATAGAGCCAACAGAATAAGAATATTTAAATAACAAGCATAATAAAACAATATATTCATATAATAGTATCTACTGTAGCAGCATGATTACCTCCAAAAAAGAATGTGGAGATTATGCGGGGTTGATGGGTGATGGCAGCCTCAGGCACCCGGCGCATCTCATTGATCGACTTCCCTCTCCTTCTCTTCTCTTTCTTCATCCACTCGACTCTTCCTACACGTCTCTTGGTCAGTCGCACGACAGGGACTCGGCTGATCCCTTCAGCTTATTCGAGCAATCCAACACTGGGGAATTGGACTATCCGCAGCCTGACATCGACCTCGGGACGACAATCAGTATGTTTGATCGATGACCGAGCAACGTGTGCATCTCTAGTTGAGCGCTTGAACACACCAACCCCCGTTCGCTACGGCACTATATCAAACCCAGCAGCTATGGCATCAATGGCTTCTACTCAGGAGGCTTCGCTCTGTCTCTCAACCCATCAGGACAGAGACAGCGCAGACGAGTCCTGGTCCGCGGTGGATAGTGATAACGATCGTCCTGGTCGGAACGGCTCTAGCGAATTCCATAGCCTGAAGCGAAAGCGTCCCCTCACCGTCTCGTGCGTATGGCCATGTAGTAGCCTTCCCGCGTGCTTTTCATGACCCATTCAGCTGACAAACCCAGGTGTGAACTGTGTAAACAGAGGAAAGTCAAATGCGGTATGTAGTACCTTCTAATCTTGTTGGAATTTCCCATATGTAGCTACATTGTCCCGAATTGGTTGACTGATCCGCTCCCACAAGATCGTGGCCGCCCCGGCTGTGGATGGTGCTCCCGTAATGGTCAGCTATGCGAGTATAAAGAACGGAAAAAACCCGGCCTTCGAGCAGGTTACGGCAAGGAATTAGAGCAAAGACTCGGTTAGTCGACCTTCGTCCCATATGTGTTTGATATTTGCTGAATCTTGGCTAGACCGGCTGGAGGAAGTCATCCGGATACAAGGGCGACTGATCGAAACACATATCATTCACAATCAGCCTCACTTGAACCATGACCGATCAGCAACTCATGGACCCAGCCCACACAGTGCCTTGGAAGCATCATCCCTCACCAGCCCTTCGGACATTTCCGACAAGAATCCGTTATATCACCGCTTGTCCGGAAACTTTGCTCCGCCGCTCCCGCCGCAGCCTTTATCACATGTCTCAAATGCAGTCCCGCCGAGTGATTTCTCCGGAAACGAATCGTCCTTGAAAGTCCCAGTCAGCTTGTTCTCCAACCAGGAGCAGTCATTTGCAGATCCTGAGCTTGACCTCCCCCCGTACGATCTGTTGTATGCTTTGGTAGATCTCTACTTTGAACACATCAACACATGGTGCCCGATTCTGCACCGCCGAACTACCTTGCATACCTTCTTCGGCCCGTCTCCTATCGATGAAGCGGATCGCATGGTTCTCTATGCGATAGTCGCCACCACCCTCCGTTTTTCGAGCGATGCTCGACTGAGCGAACGGAATCGTAAACGTTACCACGACTCCTCCAAACAGAAGGTGCTTCTCTATGGCCTGGAGAACTCTTCGGTCAAAGCCCTCCAGGCGCTAGTGATATTAGCCTTAGACCTGGTAGGTTCTTCGAACGGGCCTCCGGGATGGAAGTTGTTGGCTCTCATCACGCGCTCCGTGGTCCAATTGGGGCTGGCCGTGGAAGCCAAATCCGCCCTCATCGCCCCCGTTTATCCCTCCATCTACACTCTGAGAGCAGTCACCTTGCCTGAGCCAGAGACCTGGATCGAGGACGAAAGCAGACGCAGGCTGTTCTGGATGGTGTACCTCCTGGACCGCTACTCCACCATCGCTACCGCGTTTGATTTCGCATTGGACGACAAGGATATCGATCGCAAGCTGCCGTGCAAAGACGAGTACTTCGCCAGAAATCAGCTGGTGGAGACCCGACGGTTCCACCACTCCGGTGATCGAGCGGATTATTCCAGTCGTGCCGAATATGTCGGTTCTTTTGGGCTTTACGTCGAGATCCTTGGCATCCTCTCGCGCATTCATCTCTTCCTGAAACGCCCAGTGGATATTGGGTCTCTTTCCGGCGTGGAGGAGTGGCAGACAACGTACCGCAAATTGGACAGTGAATTGACGTCCTGGGAGTTCGGTCTCCCCCCAGAATACGTGTTTGAAGATTCGCCGCGGTCCAGCGGATCCAAGCACAACAAAGACATCCACTTGGGCTGGGTCCAACTTCATTCTACATATCAAACGTAAGCCAGAGTGTCTTCAATATGTCCGCCAATTTGCATGCTAACCCCAGCCTAGAGCTGTGATCCGCCTCCATTCCTCAGCTGCGTACCCGACCACGCGATCACCCATTTTCACCCCATCTTACAGCGCCAGTCAAAGGTGTCTCCTGGCAGTCGACAACATCCTTTCGGTGACACGCTTCGTGGTAGACAACAACATGCTCGACAAGCTCGGCCCACCCTTCGCCTTCACCCTCTGGGTATCAGCTCGCCTCCTCCTCGTCCACGGATCCACCATCGCCCACACCGTGAACCCCAACATCACCTTCTTCGTCGACACACTCGCCCACATGGGAAAACACTGGAAAGTAGCCGAACGCTACAGTTCAATCCTGCAGCGCGTCCTCGACGAATACGGTGAATACCAACAATCCAGCGCAGACGACACCGAGCGCACAACCCCCTCAACAGTCAAAATCCTCGCCGACATGCGCCGCTGCGCCTTCGACCTGGACTTCCTCATCTCCCGCCAACCGCGTTCCTCCTCCTCCCCAGCCGGCCCCGAACCCGCCTCAACACCCGCTATCCCATCTCGCAGCCTGGCGACACACGAACTGGAGTACCTCGATGTCTTCGGCTTCTTCAACGTCCCGCGTGTCCCTGCACCACGCGCCCCTGACATGTCTGCCAGTATCGATATCAATGAACCCGCCAGCGACCCCATGTCAATCCATGGTTTGACGGCGGCGGCTGGCACCGTTCAATCACTCGCTGATAGCGCCCATGCCAATACGAATGAATTTAATATCACTAACTACCTTGTTCCGACGCCCGAGACGGACTGGCTTTTTCGTCCGGGGTGATCTTACCGAGTCAGAGCCCGAAATATATACAATGCGCAGGGCCTCAACCTTGAGAGACAGCTCCAGCATCACAATACAAACCCGGAAAATGGAGTCTCACCTCCAGCCTCGCTCTCCCTGGAATATAGCTCAAACGCGTGTCTTATGCCCTGGAACTGGGAACAGTTCGCATACGGTTAACTCATATATGACCATATCATGTGGACTGGCCTGGAATAACTCCGCTCTGTCGGCCGCATGGGGGGCATCCTTTTTGCACCGTCGCACAGAAGCTTTACAAGAGAAGAGAGGTTCGGACGGTAGCCTGCAAATAAGTGTTGCTTGTAGCGGATTCCTTCAGGACGGATCATGGGTAAATGATTCCGGGTTGATGTTACGTTTATAGCTGGCTCTGGCTCTGGCTCTGGCTCTGACTCTGCATCACTGATGGTAGTGCAATGGCTGCGCCCTTCTGTGAAGCACCTCCGTGTATATCAATTACCATCTACCAAAACACCCAGATAATATTGTTTGTACAACAAGAAACAAATCCTTTTTATTATCTGAATTTGCTTTCGCCGGACTCTGCTATGCACACATCTGCCGGATTCGAGATCCGAAATCAAGGGGAGGGAAGGGGATTGGGAACATGGAGGGAAAGAAAAACAGAAAAGGGAAAGAAAACAAAATCATTTCAGTCATAACAACGATTTCACAAATCATACAACTCTAAGAAGAGGATCCAGTCCCGAAATCGTGACGCACAGCACATCACAACAGAACAGAACAGAAGAGAAGAGAAACAAATGGCCGTGTCGAACCGAGATACATTCCACATATCGTAAGAATCGTGTCTAGCCAGCCACTGACAGACAGGCAGGCAGCCGGCACTCTAGCGCTTTTGGAGCCAGATGGAAGGGAGCCAGTGAGACCTAGCGTCCGACAGTAGATGGGTCATCGTCGGCTGGTTCGATCCGAACTAGCATTTCTTCGAGAAACCCTTCTAAGAACGTCCCGACATCTGAGCCCATGCCGACGGGTGCCTCGACGTCCCAACGGTCAATCCGGGCGAACAGTCCGCACAAGTCACCCACAAGGGCTTCCATCATCTCCTGGACATAAGCTCGGCGCGCGTGAAACTCTTGTTCATCAAAGGTGCCTTCGCTGGGGTTGAGCTGTGAGTTGCGCGCAACATGTTCGTAGCGACGAGCGCGACGACGGATGGCTGCCCTCAATGCCGGGACTATGACGCCGTTAAGAGCGGTTAGCTCATTTGATCGTGGCCCATTCATAATAACCTGTAAGCTGGCGTCAATGCTCCTGTGGAGCTGGCTGAAGTTGCTGGAGATCCCGGGAGGCTGCGAGCTTCGCAAGGGCTGTGGGCTGCGCAGGGGCTCTGGTTGTAGCCGTGGAGGCGATTGTGGCTGAATCGGAGGCGAAGAGTGCCGTGGGGTCGGTGGAGGCCTTGACTGTGGACTGGCAGGCATCTGGCGTTGATCCAGACGTGGCTCCATCGAAGACCGAGCGGCCGGCCCTAGAGGGTTCCGTGATGGTGAGGTTGAGGGCGATGGTGGCATGCGGTCCTGTGATGACAGAACAGGCGATGACTGGGGTAGAGGAACCTGCTGGGGACCTTGACTGCTCGCAGCTGTGTGACGCACCCCTGAGCTCAGGGAAGTGGTTGGGGATTGGTCAAGCTGAAGAAAAGATAGGTCCTGGGCCAGTGCCTGCTGAAGAACCCTGTCATAGTCACTGCCTGGGCTTTCTTTCGGCTGCTGCTGAATGGGTCTGTGCAGATGTGCAGGCGTCTGGGGTCCAGCCTCTGCGGGTGCCTTCTTCACAGGGGAAGGGGGTAGTGGGACTTTGGCGGGGGACAAGGCTCTGGGTGCTGCAGAGACTTTCTTCGGTGACTCCAACTTCGACGATGAACTGGCTTCCGGCTTGGGCGTCTCCTCGGGAGAGCTATCCTTCAAGTCCCACTCTACTGGCTCATTGCTGCGGGTGTTCATGTCTGCCTCTTTCATGGGTTTGAGGCCGGGAGCTCGTCCCGCCGGGCGGACGGTGCCAAAGTCCCACAGATCGTCGTCTTCTTCGTTGGCGACCATCTGGCTCGGCGTGTGGTCCAGGGTGCCTCTGTCTTCGTCCTCGCCATTCTTATTACCGTTCATGGCATTCCAGCGCTCTGAACGCTCAATCAGCTCGGTGAGGTAGCTAGTTTTTTTGGCCCTCTTGACAAAGGGATGCTCTAGCAACTCTCTAGCCGACGGGCGCTCTCTAGGATCGCGTCGTAGACACAGGTCGACAAAACTTTTGAAAGATTTGCTATAGTTGCCTTGCAGCGTGGGTGGTGCGTTCTTCGGGATCAAAAACAGCACCTTCATGGGATGGATATCGGAATATGGAGGCTCTCCTGTGGCAAGCTCGATAGCAGTGATGCCAAGCGACCAGATGTCGGCCTTGTAATCATACCCCGATTGCTTGATCACCTCCGGGGCCATCCAAAATGGCGTGCCCACGAAGGTGTTCTTCTTGGTCATGGTCGCCGACAATTGGCCCGAGACGCCGAAATCCGCCAGTTTGACCTGACCGTTGGAAGTGAGGAGGATATTCGCCGCTATGGCAGTTAGCTTCGAGACTACAGACCCAAAAGTGGCTGGTATGTCGGGGGGTACCTTTGACATCACGATGCAACTTCTTGTCACGATGCAAATAATCCAAACCGCGCAGCAACTCCTTGACAATGATCATGATGTACTCCTCGGGGATGGTGCCCGGGCGCATGAGATCGGAGCAACTGCCGCCGGAGCAGAATTCCATGACAATCCACAGTTTGGATCCCTTCAAGAAAGACCCATGGTATCTGGTCACATATGGAGAATTAAGCTCCGACAAGATAGCGATCTCCTGGATGATATCTTCGACTTCGTCCTCGGCATTCTCAACGTCGATTATTTTGATTGCGACCGACGCACCAGTTCGTTTATCGACTCTATGGTTGGTTAGATAAACCGTCAGCGCGAACTTCCCGCAGCTTCCACGAGAGTATCATATGTACCCTTTATAAACTTTTCCAAAGCTGCCACCACCTGTACCGGAGCAGAGCATTAATTAGCGCCGAAACCTTGACCTCTAGGTAGGGCAAGGGCCTACCGATGCAATTCTGCCTCATGTAGATCGACTCGGGATCCACGGGGCCCTCCATGTTTGCGGTGCTATAGCTTCTTGCTCAAGAGTCAGACAATAGTTTTAACAGGGCTCCGTCACAGGTCGGCGCTAATTAGGGTTGATAGTGCGGAGAATGGAGCGGGAGGAAAGGTGAATGCGATCAGTTTACAGGCTGGGAATCACGAAATTGGCAAGCAGGCCACGATGCAGAAGAGGGGAGGTGTATCAACAGAGCGATTGACTATGCGACTATTCTGTTCGTTGCTGGAGCGGGTGGAGGCAGGAGGGGAGAACGAGGTGTTGTCAGGGCTCAGCTGAGTTCGACATACCGATTGCCTGGGGTAGTCGAGATCTAGATGGACGAAACGCCTGGGATGTCAGTCAGCTCAGCCCACAGCCAAGGAATGATACATCCAGATAAGCTCCTGGATCCACACAAATAACGACGAATGGAGCTGCAAGGGGGAAGGGTTGTTGGAATGTTCAGGAAGAGCGTCACGACTTCGAATATTATTTATCTATTTTCTTCTGTCTTCTCTTTTGCTTCTCTTCTTCCTTTTCTATGTTTGCGTGACCAATATTGTGATATTTATGATTGATGGTTCATAGGCGGGGGAAGCGGCGGATCGAGGTCTCGGAAACTCCACTTACTCGATATGAGTGCTCGATCTGATGATTGGATAGCACAAACCAAGCGGTTCGCTCAGAATTGTCTCAGCTGCGAGCAGCCAAATTTTTGGGGGGAAGTTCGAGGGTTCAGCAGAGACGCTGCTTGGATCCTTGCTTCCGAATCAATTGAATGCACGGCATCTACTCCGTTGAGTTTAAGAGAGGCTGTTGGTTGATTGGAAGGGAAAAAGCGGGGACAGAATCAGGAGATGGAATCAGACCAGATTCAGCAGAAACCTCAGAAAGAAACAAGATAGGATAAGAAGAAGAGGAGGAGGAAGAAGAAGAAGAAGAAGAAGATGGTTCACTTCAGCTCATTGTTTACTTCGATCCCCGTGATTCTGCTGCGAGCGGGGCCTTTCTGCCTGGCGGTGAGAATGGTTGGCCCCACAGGTTGCCCCAGGCGGTGAACCCGATCTACTACGATCTACAGAGTAACTGGTACGCAGTATGAGGACTGGTAGTGTGGATGCTTGCCATTCAATCCTGGGTCTAAGGTTCATGGGAATAAAGGAAAGAATGCACAAGAACACCTGTCAGGAACATCCCATTGCATATTCATTCAACCATGAGTTAATAATATCTATCATGTTCACGCACACATCTCTCATCGGGACAAGAAGACAAAGTAAAAAGGAGTTGGGAAGGGAAAAAGGAAGGAAGGAGAAAGAAAGAAAGGGATGACAATGTTAAGAGAGCCGAATGTAAACTCCCAAAGAAAAAAGCGTCAATGGTGAGACAAGGGTGCATGCCCAGTCCCTCCCCCTTCTTGCGTGGGGCCCTAGCATATCATTGGAAAAGCCTCCGATCCAACGCCCCTGCCAAATGCAAAATCGAGGTCCTGGAGCTACGCCAGAAGAGGTGATCCCCTTACTCTTCCACATAGCCGATCATCACTGTGCCATTCTTCAGGCCAGCATCGGCCACGCTCTGCTCCAAGGAGTCGAATAGGTTGTGACCCATGGCGTTGAGCTCGAATTCCACCCCGGCCTTCTCCGGCAACGGCGGCTCGGCCTTGAGCCACTCGTAGATTCTGCGGACCGGATCGTTGAGGGCAAACCGCCGGATGACCCGCCCGGAGGGATGGCGGAACTGGATGCGAGTGGTTGTGGCCGGGTCGGCGGGCGGCTCGGTGTGGGGGCGATCGCTGGCGATGGATGCGAAGGGCGACGGCTCTTCGACGGCGCCCGCTTCCTCCATGCCGACATCGTCCGTGCCCGGGTCCTTGCCCTTGCCTTTGACATCTCCGGTGCTGCGAGTCAGTTCGTCGGGATCTTCCAGTCGCGGACCCTGGGCGGTCGCGGCCTCTGCCCCCAGACTGTTCCGCATGGCCATCTCCAGCATCTCCTCCTCGGTCATCGCGTCGATACTCTTCTCTTTCTTCTCGGGCTTGCGTTTCGCCACCGGGTTCCGCACATTATGATTCAGGCTGTAGCGGTCGAGGAATTCGTGGAGCTGCATCAGAAAATCGGCCGTTTTGACCACCGGAGCCCCGGACCAGACCTTCATCTGTTCGCCCGTCCGCGGGTCGACGATGGCAATGTGGGGGTAATTGTCTGACACGTCGCTGCCTTGGAAGTAGTACTGCAGATAAGGAGCCGCTCGGGGGTCGTCCTTGGAATACTGCAAGAAGAGGAAATGCTCTCGGATCGTGTCTCTCACCCCGGCGTCCTTCCAGAGGTCCCGGTTCAACACCTGGCAGTCAAAGATGGAGGAATCTTGGATGTTGACCAGCAACCACTTTTCCTTTTCGCGACCTTCGTCGCGAGCCACATCCCACGGGAGGCGCGAGATGATCTCGAATGGCGGCCGGTACATCTCCGCCAACATCGTGGATTTGTTCGACGAGTCCGAAGCGCCTCCTGTCGCTGCGGACAAAGTTTCGCGATGCCTCGCATCGTCCTCCTCATTCCATATCGATGATGTGTCTCTCTGGTTGAAGATACCCGGTCGTCCTAGAAGGCAGTTCCATCAGTCACGGAAGCTTGGTCAAAAAAGGGGAGAGACAGAGGGATATACGGACCGGCCCGTTGATGGTGCGCACGCAAGTGGCCCATGATACTGGCCGGCATATCGCCATCATCATAATCCGCCCCCGGTCCCACCAGTGTCTCCGTCGTGCGAGCCATCGGCGCACGCACATCGTCGGTGTTCTCATGGCCTGGCCCACCATACATCTCTTCTTGGAGGCGACGGGCCATCGCAGCATCGTCCTCGAATGCGGCGTCGTGGCCGGTCTGGTTTCGGGGGGTCGATCGGGATTCATCGACCGTGACGTCGTCGTCGGAGTCCACATGCTGAAATCCGGTATTGCGGGGGGCACTGTGCGGGGCTGCTGCAGAACTTTCCTCCTCAGTCAACGGAGCGCCGCCATTCTCAAAATACAACTGCATGGCTTGCTCAATGTTGAAGTCGGCAAGCTGCAGGTACTGAGTGGCCAACCCCTGGTTTGACCCGGTGATCTCAGTAAACTGAGCCACCACGTCGGTGTCCATGGTGGATCGATCAGTGACAAGCGGGTTAGGATGAGGAATAAACAGGCGCTAGATAGAAAGAATCTGCAGACCCTTGGCAGGTATGGGTAGGGGATGGGATCGCGAGGTTGTAAGTAGTAGAGGCAGGAAGGAGAGTTATAATGGTCGATCAATCAATGGCAATACCCATAAAAGGTGAAGCTCGGTGATGCAAACAGCTGCAAACTTGGACCTTCTTAGCGTAGAAAAGCAGCTGGCTCTTTCACTTCAGAACAGTGATAGATTCAATATTTGACTTGGTGAAGATAGAGAGACCCAGTGCAGGGGGTATATAGCAAAACAATGTCCTCGAGTGACCGAGGGAGATTAGGTGAAAGACCGTTACGTCGACCGACCAGAAGTATAAGGTCACGACGGTAAGGCAGTGACGCACCACTTGATGCCTTCCAATGGGGATCGGCTGATCTGATTCTCCGGTAACGTGCTTATGTCATCCTCTTCTGCAGGTTTGCATCACGTGGACACCAAGCCCTGTTAGGGCTAAGCCAGGAACGCGACGCGCCCGCGCGACGCGTCCAGCCCAGGCAATTAAACCGGGTTGGGACCTCAGGCACATAGCTGACCCTGGACTACTGATATAACCTCCCCTGCCTGGATTCCTCCCTATATTGACGATCATTTGGCTCTTTCCTCTTATCTTCGTTCTCTCTCTCCTTCTCTCTTTCCCTCTATCTCCTTCTCCCAGTTCCTGCCTACTGTCAAGAATCCCCTGATAGACATTATGGCTGCCGCCGTCCTGGGCAAGCGCCAACGGGGAATCATTGAAAGTGAAGGTACGATACTGCACCAGTTCCTCTCTTCATATCATATTTGTGGATCTTTATACTGACTTGAATTATGTAAAGGCCCAAATCTACCTTTGCGTAGTGGGAGCAAACGAGGACGCACGCAACCCCCTCGTGTGATCCGCGAAGACAGTGCCTCGCCGGCACCACCGTCACGCCAACTCCGATCGAGAACACGCAATGGCACGACACCGCAACAGGAGAATGAGCCTGTTGTCAAGGAAATCAGCGCTAAGGATGCGCGCACCAAGCGTGATCCGGCAGAACACGAGAGCGGATCGCCTCGGAAAGGCAACGCCCAGCTCGGGGCCTCGAAATCAGTCAATGGTAAGCCATTAATCGTTAGGTATAGTCATTCGGTTGCTAATCGACGCAGATGAGAACTCCAAGCCGGTTGAGGTGAAGACGCCTTCGAAGTCGCGATTCCGGGATGCCCTAGAGTCCCCCCCTGTTACACCCAAGCATCGAGTTCAAATTGGGAATAAGTCCCTGACCCCGCGAACACCACGACAAATTTCGGCCCCATCCACGAACCACACTATCTATACGAGCGCGAAACAATTATTCGCGCGCGGCGCAAGTTCCGGTCGATTGGTCGGGCGGGACGCGGAACGGGAGAAGTTGCGGTCGTTCATCGAGGACGCCGTCGCATCGCGCAAGGGAGGCTGTCTATATGTTAGTGGTCCTCCGGGGACTGGGAAAAGCGCCATGGTCCACGAGCTGTGCCAGGAAATCGACTTGACGTCGGTCAAAGTGACGCATATCAACTGTGCGAGTATGCGCAGCGCCCGCGATGTTTACAGCAAGCTCCTCGAGGACTTTAGCGAGGATCAGCAAATCTTCAGGAAGAGTGAGGCGGAGAGGGTGAAGGGGATGTTTCTGCCGGATGAGTCGAAGCAAGACGATATCTTCCTGGTCTCGCTCGACGAAATCGACCACCTTCTGACCGCGGACGCCGGTGTTCTCCAATCTCTGTTTGAGTGGTCGCTGCACAGCAAGTCGAAACTGATCCTCGTCGGAATCGCGAACGCTCTCGATCTGACCGATCGGTCATTGCCTCAATTGAAAGCGAAGAACCTCAAACCTCGACTCCTCGCGTTCTTGCCGTACAATGCCAGCCAAATCGCGAATGTTATCATTAACCGCCTCCGTTCTCTGCTGTCAGCTGGCGAAACCGATGATGCGAGCTTCGTACCGTTTATCCAACCTGCAGCCATCCAATTATGCTCGAAAAAGGTCGCCTCGCAGACCGGCGATCTCCGCAAAGCCTTCGAACTCGTCAAACGCGCCATCGACCTCATCGAGCACGAAACACTACAGCGCCTCGAAAAGCAAAACGCCACCTCCGACGCACCCTCGAACACGATCCTAGTCGAAAACAACAACCTCTCCTGCCCCATCAAATCCAAACAAAACCCCACCTCAAAATACACCAACATCACAGCCCCCCGAGCAAGCATCGCCCACGTCGCCCGCATCACATCATCCGCCTTCGGCCAAGGCACCATCCAAAGACTTCAAGGCCTCAACCTGCAACAAAAAGCCGCCATCTGCGCGCTTATCGCACTAGACCGCAAACGCCGAGAAGGCGAGCTACCCAGCACACCGTCGAAATCCAAGAACGCCCCACCAACAGTCAAGCAAGTCTTCGACACATACTGCACCCTCTGCCGAAAGGACAACATCCTCCACCCCCTCACAGCCACCGAATTCAAAGACGTCCTCAGCAACCTCGAAACCCTCGGCTTGGTCGGCGAATACCAGGGCCGAGGCCGAGGCGGCACCGTGTCAGGTGGCTCGGACCTCCGCCGCACGCCGTCCAAGTCAGGTGGGCCTTTAACGCCTAGCAAAGCCCTCGACGAGCAGGGTCTCGTGTGCTTTGTTTCCCAGAGGGAAATTGAGGGCCAGATTGCTGGTGCGGGGGAGGGCATTTTACGGAGGTTGCTCTTGGGTCAGGGATTGTAATATCACTATGCATATTTGTACAGTCTTTTGTACGGATTATTGATGTTTGAGTTGGTATCTGTTATCTGTTCTTTGGATATGGTACGATACCATTTGCATCTGCATCTATGTATTTCTTATTTTCAGCGTTAAGCATGGCGTGTTTGTGTGTAGGTTAAGGTTACAGGTTGCAGCGCTACAAGGTTATACTTTACTAGAGTTAGTTACCAATAAACAGCAAATACAAATGATAATCATCAGTCATAAAAATAACAAAAACCCAAGAACCCATGGGGAGCTGTCCATACAAAGAGAAAATGAAATAAAAACAAGAATAGTAAGAAGAAAATAGTAAGAAAGATCATAGGAACACTTCTTCAGCCGTATCTTGGCGAACCACTCACTAGATGGAGTTCTAAACCTCGCTGGATATATAGATATATAGATAGATAGATAAATAAATAGACAAATAGATAGACAGATAAATGCTATACAACCAACCAAACTACACAACATTCTATCCACACTCGAGCCATCTAAACTCTAAGCCCGAATAAAAAACCAATCACCGATACATAAATACACAAACCCGCAAAAAAAGGCGTTCGTTCGATACATAGACGGACACGTATGCGTACATACACAAAATGATGAAAATCAATCAATATAGGTAGGTAGGTAAATGTAGTATAAGGTAGTAAAGATACATAGCGGTTGGCATCGGGTATGGATATGTATGGATAACAGAGTTTGGGTTGTGGGGGGGTGATAATAATGGACAGCATGATAAGATGATAATAAAAATCCAAGGGATGAGGAGTGCTGGACGCTTTACAGCCTGATTTTTGAGTCAGGGGGGGTTTGTTGGGGAGAGGAAGAACGAAACGAATCAATCAATCAAATAGACAAGACAAGACAAGCAAGTAAACAAAACACCATTAACTCTATCTGTGCGGCGTGCGCACGTTACTTCCAAGCCGGCTGGAAGTTTGTGCCCAAGGGCTGACTGACTGACTGACTGCCAAAAATAGAACAATAACAAGGAAACCCAGTTGGTGGTTTATACCCGAGCTCACTTTTTAAATAGATACACGTATGCACCATGTCAGCTGGTCGAGCGCGTGGTAGTCGGGACATGGGTCCGTCTGCAGTGCCATAACGGTTGCGTTTTGCGCACTTTGCGTTCGCTCAATCAGGAGATGACATGGCATGGATGCAGTGGCCGAAGCGTCGACAGTTGAGGTCGTATCTAATCGTCCATGGGCTTGTCTTCCAGGGTGACTCCCTTTGGTTCGCTTGTGGCGATGCTGCTTCGCTTGCTGTCTGTTCCGGCGTCACTGGGGAAGCTGGAGATGCTGCCCAGGCCGGGCTTGCGGGTGAACACGGTCCGCGGGGTGGACGACCGCCGTTCAGACTCGGGGAGGGACGGCGTGGGGGTAGGCGTGGGGGAATCGTCGGACGCATTGGCCGGCGGGGGGCTGGACGCGTCGAAGCGACTTCCGTTGCTACCGGCTGACGCCGGGGACTCCGTCAGGGAACCATTGGTGCCGATGGGCTCGGCCGCGTTGATGTCCACGGTCGTCAGCTGCTCCGGTTCTTCAGTCGGGGAGCCATTGCGGATCGGAACATCCAGGCTGTTGCGGGAGGTGACTGTGGTGCGTCGTTCGGTGGGACTCGCCACGTTGATCGGGAAGCGCTTGGTTTCCGAAGGGCCGCTGGAACGATCCCGTCGGTGCTTGCGTGGGGGTGCTGCCGGGCTGTGGGCGCGACTGCGGTCCACGATGGCGCGGTTCCGGGCCTCCATGGCCGCACGGCGGTTACTCTCGTCGGTGCTCACGGCACGGGGGCGGTGGTTGTTATTGGTGGTGGTGGTTGCCGCGCTTCCGAGGATAGTCGACTGGCGCTTTAACTCGCCAAAGATGGTATCCTTGTGGGCGAACAGGTCGCGGATCAGGCGGTAGCTGTGGCGCTCGTTCATCGTGAGGCTGCTCTCCGTGCGGGGTCGAAGCACGCAGGGGGACAGGGCTTGGGCCAGCGAGGAAACGTAGCCTTCGTCGGCGGAAGTCAAATCAATCAATCGTGTAAAGTGAGTCATAATGGCATCAAGCGTGGCAATGTTGTTGAGGCGGAGTTGTCCGAGGGTGCTCTGCAAGACCTTGATCCGTCCTTCCTCCGTGGTCTCGTGGGCAGTGGTAGAGTAGATCGTCTTAACAATGTCGTAGACCTGGGAGGAAACAAGCGAATCTAAGAGATCATTAGCGAAGGATGTTCCACTCCAGATAGTTTTTGAGTCTCGACGAACCGGGCAACTCAAGAAGGTACAGTTTCAGCACGCTAGCCGCAACGGGAACCTCGAACTTCTCTAAAACATCGCGATAGTCCGCAGTGCTATTGTTCAAGGCGTTACGGAGATGGTGGGTTGCGGCCAACGGAACGTTGTACAGCCAGATTCCGCGGCGGGCCTCATCACCCTCGAGTTCGGGATAGCCTGCATGGTGCATTAGAATAGGGTCATTCTGAAGGGCTGTTATTCTCTTACGGTTGTCCAAGAAGGTCAAGATAGTGGTCACGAGAATGGGAACGCGCTTGCGGTCAGCCCGCGCCCTCGCCTCGAGGTCGACGCCGAAATTTTGATCTATAATGTAGAGAGACTGTCAGCTTCTACCGCGACTCAACCATCTGCAAGCGGATCATACCTTCGACAGAGCCGTAGTAATTCTCATACGCCTGCACACGGGGCACAAAACCGCCGGTGCGGTAATTTTCGAGGAGATATCGCAGATCGCCCAGAGGCTGGATGGTCTCCTGGTACAGCATCATGTGATCCACGGTGCTCTGCAGATTCGGGATCACATTGCTGATGGCACCGGAGAAGTCGAGCACGACGGCCTTGATGGCCTTGAGACGGTCCAACTCGCACTGCTCCATGAACTGCAGGTTTTCGACAATCTCCTGCTCGAGCTTGCATCGGATGAAATCCAGCTTCTTCACGGCACTCTTGTAGCGTTCGTCCGCCTCGCGGGCCTCCCGGCGCAGTTTCTCCGCCGGGGTCTCGTTCGGGTAGGGGTTGTTGAGAGGGTTCCAGCCCGCCAGTATTTCCGAGACCGAGGCGATTGGGGATTCACTGCCGTCTTCGCTCGAGGCCGCCGAGGAGACACGCATCAGAGGCTTCTTCTTCTCGGGAACGCCGGTGATCTGGAACACTTTGGGACGCCACTGGTAGCGCATCTTGGAACTGTTCGCAAAGGTACTCCCCATGTTCCCGACCAATCGAAGGAGGCCGTTGTCGACCATGTCCTGTCCGATCTTCTCGGCGTAGGTGATGCTGGTGCCATTCATAAACTGCTGCGTGTATTCCACAATGTCCGCGCCGCTCGAGGTGTTCTGGTAGACACCAAGGATGGGCACCTTGATCTCGCCGATCTTGATGTTGTCCAACATGTGGGTCAGGAGAGTCTTGAGGTCCTCGGGCGAATACACTCGGTCTCCGATCTCCAGCGGCTCCTCCTCCTCCTGCGCCTGGTCATCCGGCAGGACGATCTTGGGGGGCGGCTTAGCTTGCGGGCTGATCTCGGGCGCCTGAAAGGCAAGCTTGTTCTCCTCCTCCAGGTCCTCGACCACGCGACACTTGTTGAAATAGTGGCTGCGCAGCTTCTTGACCAGTTCGACCTGCTTCGCGTGTTCCTTGATTCGCGCTTGGAGGTCGTCGTGGGAGTGTTCGATGCGAGCCTCGTGCTGGTTGCACCAGCGGCGAAACGGGTTGACGACCAGCTCCCGGATGTTGGATGCGATCTTCTGGTGATTCTTGGCGGATTCGACCATTTCGGTGCGGACGCCTTCGTAGGCCTGAAAATAAACGCCATTCTGTCAGTAACCCAGGATCTCTTTCCTAGCACACACAGAGCGGGGGGGATCGACCCACCTTCCTCACACTGGCCCCATCATCCTTTCCAAACCCCGTCGATATGCGATCGACGCTCGGCGCAATATCCCCGAGTTTGACCCCATACTGGTCCTCGGCATCCGCACGCATCGAAGCAATCGTGAGGATTTGCTTATTCTCAGCAACCCCCTGCTGCAGCTTCCCGTACAGCACCCCGAGACCGGTGGCATAGTCCGGGGTCCAAAAGGAATCGGCAAATCCAGGCATCGCGACGGGCGGAGTCTCACAGAACCAGAGGGTTGAAATCAGATTGCACGCGAAATATCAGAAACCAAGGCCGATCTATCACTTCCCCAAAAGAAAGACAAAAAACGAGGTACAGAAGGAAATAAGAATGACTCGGTCAACCAAGTTCACTCCCCGCAAAAAGGCAAAACTTCCCAAGACCGCAAACTAAATCGAGGAAGAAAGATAGAAAGAGTAGCGGCTTTGTTTCTCGGTTGATACCCAAATATAGACGAACAACGAGCGACTAGGGCGATTTTCACGACGGTCGTAAACACGTTGCTGGGAAATCTCTTGCAGTGCAAAGCGGCTCCCGCATTGACCGGTTGGCCGGGACCTTGGGTCGGGTTGGAACGCGAAGGCGGGTAAAGATGAGGTGACGAAGGAAGAGAAGCAGGAGTCCGGTGTAGGAGTTGTTGAACGGGACGAGCGAGAGTGTGTGTTGGGTGGAAGGACCGGTAGTTGTTGAGGAGAAATATAGATAGGATAAGGGGGAGAAGGAAGAGGATGAAGAAGAAGAGGAGAAGGTTCAGATTCTCTCAGCTGGTCTGGCTTTCTTGTTCGCCGACCGAGATCTGAGGATGGACAACAAGGCACCAATAACTTGCGGTGTAATATTACTGACGGTATTTCGGAGCATTGGGGCAGTACGCCATTCATACCGCTGTACCTGAATAGTCAGGAGACGGACAGCCACTGTGTACCTGAAGTCCGGCGTAATTTATCTCTCTACCAGTATGATTGAAACGGTGTGACAGGTACCAATACCGTTTCCCGTTCTGAAACTTGACGGTTGCCGCCTCAGCCTCACGTGTCTCCGCTCTGGCTATTTTTGGCCTTAATATTTCGGCGTCTAGACTAATAGACTGGCGCTCTTTCATCCATCTATACAAGGATATCCTACCTCTCATCCCCTTATTTCTCCGGAGGGAAATCAACTCCAAATATACCACCGATCAATGCAGATGGAGACAAGGAAGTAAGGGTCGCGGGAAATCCTCCGAGTGTTTCATACATGAATGACCGTCACACTAGCCCGCTTGCCTGGATGCTAGTTCAATAGGGGCCGATCTTCCCAGATCGACGGCCCCCTCCACGTTGACGATATAAATAACTGTTCTAGAAGATGCGACCTACGCTTGGCAAGTAAAGCACGGTTTCCACGGACTGGGACAGCAGCTCCCGGACGATCGGCTACGGGATACGCGGTGCTAGCGACGATAGCGATCGGCGATCCTTGGTTTTTTATGCAGAGTAATTGTACAGGGCGTGGCGGAGATGACATTAACCTCGCCTGTGCCGACACGAGACGGATGCAAAGTAGTAATCATGATAATGATAGTGAGATTGGATAAGAAGGAAAGAAAGAAAAGGACACATGGGAACATAGGACAGTGAAATCATGAAAACATGGGATATGGGAATAACATAAAAAAAAAGGAAGAGGGAGAAGACTCGTGGGACTATGCGTACAGACTATCACAGGTCTAGCAGAAGAGCTTGTAGAATTTCTTCCACGCCGGCCAGCTGGCCTGCTCCGCCCGTTCTTGGTCAATCAGGTACTGAATGTCCAGATCACGACGGCCGGTCTGCAGGTCCATGTCCCGGGCGCGGAGGAACGGGGTCTTGTACCAGAGCTTGTAGGGGATATAGAAGGCCAGGACCACCGGTGCCGCTAGGTAGACGGCGAAGAAGTTGTATGCCAATTCCATCGGAGTCTTTTCGGCATAGCCCACGGGGGCGAAGCCCACCCAGAACTGGGCGATCAGGACGAGGCAGTTGAACCCGAACCCGATCCAGGAGCCGACGAGCCCCGGCTGCGAGGTGAAGGCCAGTTCCTTGAGGCTGTGGCCTTGGACCTTCCAGGCGCGGCGGAAGCGGATGTGGGCCAGGCAGACCGAGCCCCACGTGAGGACGGACGACAAGCCCGAGATGGCCATCATCCACTCAAAGGCGACCTCCTGCTTGCTGGAGGCAGACAAGAAACCCAGCAGGCCCAGGGCGGAGGAGACGCAGATGGCCCAGAGCGGGCGACCCTGGCGATCGATGTAGGCCAGGAACTGGGGGGCCTGTCGCTGTTCGGCCAGGGCCGCCAGGGTTCGGGACGAGCCGTAGACGGATGCGTTTCCGACGGACAGGACGGCGATCATGATGACCACGTTCATGATGGATGGGAGGGCCTGGATCCCCGCATTCTGGATGGCAATGACGAAGGGGGAGGCTTTGGCATCCGCGCTCGACGAGCCATTCATCAAACGCTCGTCGTTGGACGGGACCAGCAGGCCCACCAAGGTGAGCGACACCACGTAGAAGAGCGAGATCCGCCAGAACACTTGCTTGGTCGCTCCGGGAAGGGACTTGCGCGGATTCGCCGTCTCGGCCGCAGCCAGGCCGACCAGCTCCGTCCCCGCAAAAGCAAAGGCGGCATTGACGAAGACACTGCAGAGGCCCTTGAATCCGTTGTTGAAGGCGCCAGGGTCGTGCCAGTACTTGCCGCCAATGTAGCCGCCCTTAGGACCGCCTCCACAGTTCAGGATGATGCCCAAGATACTATCTCCCGTTAGTCTATCCTATGGCTTCGGATCGCAGGGTAACTTACATGAATCCAATCACCGCCACGACCTTGATGAGAGAAAAGACGAACTCCGCCTCTCCGTACCCTCGGACGCCGAACAGGTTGATGGACACGATCATCGTCCAGAAGATGGCTACCCACGCTGCATTGGATATGTCGGATTCCCAAAAGTCGACCGTGATGGATGCTGCGACGATCTCCAGCGGCAACACGACGAGCCATTGAAGGGCATAATTCCAGCCCATGGCGAAGCCCCATGCCGGGTCAATGAAGCGAGTGGAGTAGTGCGCGAACGAGCCCGCCACGGGGAAGAGAACGGCCATCTCACCCAGGGCATGGACGGTACAGTACAACATGCAACCGATCAAGATATAGGCGATCAACAGGGAGGCCGGACCACCGGTGGCCAAGACCTTGCCGGATCCGACAAACAAACCGGTACCTAGAGACAACTCATCAGTATGGAGCGCTTACGGTCTACAGGCGAGTGAAAGATCGAAAGAAAAAAAAAAAAAAAAAGAAAGAAAAAGGTATGATACCAATAGAACCACCGATGGCAATCATCTGCAGATGACGACCCTTCAACTTGCGCTGCAAGGGAGACGCAGCCGTCTTCTGCGCCGCATGTTCGATATCAAAGGACTTTCCGTCCCCTGAAGAGCTCACGGAGACATGGGCGTTGGGATCTCTCTTGAAGCTGTCAATGATGCGCCGGCCAAGACCCGCCTTGGTCGCTACCGCATCCCCATGCACGGGTGTCGCGTCCGGAGACGGAGGAAGCTTATCTTTGGCGGGTCCGATCTCGTCTTTCTCCATCATGACGGTTGGTTCTCGAAGAATTGGAGTTCAACGAAACTGCGCTCCAGCCAGCAGTTTAAATATTCCCCTCAATATGCGGTTGAAATAAAACAGAGATAACACTGAAAGGGGGGAAGAAGGAAAGATGACACGAGACCAGGGGGACTAGACGGGAGGGGGGGGAGAGAAACATGGAACAAATGACCAGTGACAAGGGAAACCCGAGTGAATTAGTAGGCCAATCCAGATGGTAACTAGTCCCAAACTGAAGCGAACCCAAACAGCGCCGCAGATGTCTGGAAATACTACTCTGAACAAGCCAAGGAAATGAGGGACTTCCGTGACCCCGTATTTGAAGGATTGGGAGAGGCGGGCGTAGAAGGAATAGGTCAGACCATATCAAATCAAATTAAATGCGACGCACGAACCCCTGCGACCTAGAATGCCCAAGCCCTTTGAATCCTTTAAGTAATTCCCCCATCCGAGGGACAGAAACGAAAGAAAGGTGGGAGGGAAGAAGACCATGGGACAACGCTTAATCGCGGACTAGGAGAGAAGCGGAGTCACCGATTTCGAATTAGAATAGTGTTTATGGCTGATAAGCTGGGGTTGGCGGAAGACCAACGGACCAAGAACAAGGGAAGCGGGGGTGGAGAGGAAAGACAGACCACGATTGTAAGAGTCAATCCAGTCCGAGCTGAGCAATCCGTCGGTTAGCGCTGCATCTCAATCTAGATCCATGTCTTTATGATGCCTCGATATCACGTCGCCATCCAATGACATGGCCAGTTGGCGGGCGACGCTTATCGGATGGTCGTTCTCGCTGGGTCATCGTCGGTCTGGTGGCTGAAATGGCGTTGTCAACCTTTTCCTTTCTTGGTAAAATCAATCTTTCTGGTCTTTTCTTTTCATTAGGTTTTGCTTTTAATTTCCATCACTTGGTTTGACTTGATTTGGCTTGATTTGAGGAGTTCGTTCAACCAACAAATCTTCGTCTCCAGTTGCTTCCTCTATCGGACAGGGCTTGAATTCCTCCACACCCGGTCTGCTAACCCCCAGAGTTTACCACATCCACCATGTCTGAGTTGTGAAATCATGAATCTGGTCATGGTCGACAGGAGGAGGCTGGGGAGTTCCCTGGCACACCACCAGAATCAAAGATAATCTCCGTGTACGACGTAGGAGAGTTCAGTGGAATAACATGTCGGTGGCGTACGTGTCGCAGCTTCTTCCCTTCCGTGCAGCGACAAGGTTACCTTGCGTGGCTTTCCATCTGGGCCAGATCAATTTCCAATCCCACCTCTAGCCATCGATTGGTCTCGTTGGTCCCACTCCAGTCCTCATGACCTGGGGAAAGCAAAGGAAGAAGGGCAATAGGATATTTGGACAAGTCTGGTCTTTTGGGCCTTACAAGCGTTCTATTTGACATTACTTAACGGTCGTATGCAGAGATTATTCGTTTTTCTTCCTTTTTTTTTAATTTTTGGTCTTGGGTTTTGCAGAAGAACGTGGATATCATCAATTAGGAACCACCAACGGGGCCTTCCCCACCCGGGATCAACTGCACCGACAGATTAGAATTGAGAAGAGGAAGATCCCCGGATATTGTCCTGGTGAACGGTGTCAACTTACCATGCAGACATTGTTGCCATTCAGCAGGATCTTGGGCAGCTTAACCTGAGCGCCAGAGTAATCACTGTATCGGTTAGCCAAGGACTATCGACACGATGTCTCATCATTAATATCATGAAGCTAGGATAGCTTACAATTCCGTCACATCTTCCAATACCATGTCTGGTCCAGATCAGCCTGCGTTCCTGTCGCGTTTCCGGAACGGGAAGTCGACTCTACTTACTGACGTAGTCATCAAAGCCCAACAAAGTACCGGCAAATTCTGACAACGGTCAGCTTTCAATAACATCTTCAATGCAGATACAAAGGGCCTACCCTTGTCATTCTTCATGATCACCCAGATCCTCGATCCAACGCACTTGTCGATCAACTCTGCCATGGCGATTAGCGAGCCCGTCACTCATGCACGAACAAATCAGCCATTGCAACCTTACCGAGGGGCAGAAGCTGGGACGCCATCTTGTTTGGGGATGGTGTACAGAGGCAGAAATCTAGAGGGCGTTCCAAAGCAGACGAGACCAGATCCTGCGCGAGATGGAACTAATCTGGGATGACATAGATGGAGGATCCTCTGATGATTGCGAGTCCATCGTCCACCGCGGACAAAACTCTTGGCGTCTCGGGTCATCATCCCTCCGCCCCGATTGTCAATACGCTCCACCGCCTGGCTTTGTTTCTTCATGATATACCTGTTTAGTATTTAGTATTTACAACAGTCACTGCTGTGTCAGTGATCGAATTATTTCTATTAGTCTATACAAGAGGAGTAATTGCAGAGTATGCTTTAGTGCTACTGTATGGATCTCTCGTGTTTTCCAACTCATAACCTCCCGCGATGACCAAATATATAACGCCTACTTATCTCTATACATGAATGGAGATAATTAAGGTCAGTAACTTCACCTCGGTTCTTGATACGTGTATGACTAATGAAAATTCAGTCCATTCCAAATTATCTTATTTGCTCTCCATAGCCGGTGGAGCATTCTACCAAACATGCCCTCAAAGATGCTGTTTGGTAAGCCCAGGATACTCGGTGCCTTAGGCAGAGTCACAGTGTCCTGTGGCCCTCTATGCCACCTTCGGTCTTACGCCGGGATACCTCGACCTGCTGGAATTCAAGACCTCAAGCAATGGACGAACTCTCTCATATCTGAACCCAGGCAGTTACGCGGTTTCGCGTCCACTACCCAACCCACCATCGAACTTACTGAAACCCCCAGAAGGCCCCGGCAATCAACGCCCTCACTTGCTGGTAACAAGACGCAATCCAACGGGGCCAGAAGTCTCGTGGCAGAACAGCGGCCTAGCCCCTCCTCACCCAAATATTGGAGTCATAGCCAATATAAAGGCTCGGATGGAAAGAACATCACCGTGCATTACTGCCGGACTCTCAAGAGCACCGAAGAAGTAGCGCGGTACTTCCTAGACGACAAGGTAGTAGGACTCGACCTAGAATGGAAAGCTCAGGCCTCCGCCTCAGACACCATCCAAAACAACATGTCGCTCATCCAAATCGCCAACAAAGAACGGATCGCCCTATTTCACCTCGCGCTCTTCCAGCCCGCAAAGAGCATCGATGACCTGGTCGCCCCGTCTCTCCGGCGGATTATACAATCGCCCGACATCACCAAAGTAGGCGTGTCCATCAAAGCAGACTGTACCCGTCTTCGGAAATTCCTAGGCATCAACGCCCGCGGCATCTTCGAGCTCAGCCATCTATACAAGCTAGTCAAGTACTGCCATTCTAACCCGGCGCTGATCAACAAACGACTGGTCAATCTGAGTGATCAAGTACTGGAACATTTTGGGCTACCTCTGCAGAAAGACGACGACATCCGGTGCGGCGACTGGACTTATCCGCTGAACTACCGTCAAGTCCAATGTAAGTTCAGAACACTCCGCGAAACAGTAAAGAGATACTAACGAGACACTGCCTGATAGACGCTGCGTCCGACCCTTACGCCTGTCTATGTCTATTCTACACGATGGACACCAAGCGACAAGCCCTAGACCCCACACCTCCTCTCCCAGCGCACGCGGAGCTCGATCTTCCGATCCGCATCGTGCACGAAACGCCCGTGAAGACCGAGCCGGAGGATGTCGAAGTCATCGACCCTGCAGAAAATCAGGGGAATCTCACCAAGTAAACCCGGATGGTCTGGCTTATTCCACCTGACGCACTCGATATGGCACGGCACACGGTGCCTGCACACACCCACCCCGCTCTGAGTATACAGCGAGCTCTTGCTGTGGCCATATTACCCAAGGCGAGGCTCATTTAGATTCTATGAGTCATTGGTAGACGGCCTTGCAGAAAGATCTACCTGTGGCATCCACCACAACCACTCGCACCAACAAACGCGACGGACCGTCAACTCGACGAATGTACATTATGGGAAGAGGATCGGTTCAAGGCGTTCTATTGCATGGGTCTAGAAAGAAAGGGTATATGTATATGTAAAGACATAGGAGCTTATGTACATGCATGCATCTGACGAACGGAATAAAACGGAACAAGGAACAACATGCTGTTTTCGTGATCGTATATAGAAACCTACCCCCGTAGAGGCAGCACCTTGGACAGCAGCACGTCCTGCCGACAGAGCGGACACTCGGGTTTCTCGCGGACCCAGTCCCGAACGCAGACCCAGCAAAAGACATGGCCGCATGTCGTGACGCTCGGGTCCTTGAACGACTCCAGACACAACGTGCATTTGCTTTGCTGGCCCTCTGGGATCCACGGGACGGCCTTGGAGTCTTCCTCGAGGTCGTAGCGGGCCGTGTTGGCAGGGAGGAGCGGAAGGGCGGAGGGGTGCTCGATCGAGCGGCCCAGGGTGTCATCCTTGCCGTTCGGGCCACCCGCAGCAGAAGAATCAAGCTCCCGGTCTTCCTGCTGGAAGCTGTCGCCGACTCTCCGGATGTGCAGGATGCTCTGGACTGCGATCTGCAAGACGAGCAGCACGCCGAGGACTTCGTACCCGACGCGTTGCTCGTCGTCCCCGACCTTCTTGGTAAACACGTACCGAAGGCCCCAGAACCGTTTCGCGAGGTGGTAGTATGAGCCCGAGAAGTAGAAGGTTGCGATGTTGAGGGCGTAGATGGGAGAAAGGGACGTGATTGAGTCGAGATGCTCGAGGATGTACTTTTGAACGCGGAGCTTTGTGAAGAGCGGACGGGATTGAGACTGTCCTCCTTTCGTTAATTTCGACGCCTCGTGTTGCTGCTGCGCTTTGAATTGCTGCCGTGCGATGCTGCGCTCTAGCTTGGCGCGTAACCGCTGTCGGAAACCCGGGAGGATTCGCTGGAGCGACCAGGGCACCATTATGCTGCTGAGGATATAGCCCGCGCGTCGGGCGATGGATGGAAGGCGGAGCGTGTCATCTTCTAGCTGAACTAGGTCGCAGTATTCCTCTCCGAGGGTGCGGTTGCCGACTAGGGTTGTTAGGGAGAAGTACAGGATCTCGGTCAGGTTCTTGATGGACTCGGAATGGGCGTGGGCGTATCGGGCGCCGCGGAGAGAGCGGGCTATGGACTGCGCTTGGTTGTACAGGCTAGCTGTGGTGAAGACATCCTTTTCGTGCGATCGGATGATGTCTGGGGAGGTTGCGAAGGGGTAGAAGTAGGCCGAGGGACTGGGAGCTGCGGGCGCGGTGGGCGCCGACAGTGAGAGGTCTTCGTCTGCCATGATGGTATCTGGCCGATTCAAGGAGACTATAGATGACGATGATGAGAGTAAATCAAGAAGTGTCTGTGAGACAGTCAGATCTGTGATGGCTTCTGGAATGAGTTCGCATTGTTCCCCGTACTTCTCGGACGTCTTTCCCCGGACGGCGGGCGAGCAGTCCGAGATGCCTCGGTCCATGGACACGTGACTACAGCGGATACATGTCACGTGGAGAATGCAAGTATGGCCTCAGGATCATCAAGCTCACCGCCACCATCACCGCCCACCGGATGCGGCCAAAAAGTCCAGACGGGCCTCTTTTCGGTCTCCGTGAAAGGTGGACTTGTTTCTGGATAGATTCAGGAACGAAAGACGTGCTTTTCGACTCGGTCAATACCCTCACTTCTAGTCTCTCATTTTGCTTATAGTCTTTCTATTTCTGCTGTTCTCGTGATTCTTTGTCGTTACTGGGGTCTATTGATTGAACCGATTTGATACTCTTATCTTATCCCCCACCTCTCCTCCCCTACTCCGATACTAGAAAGATCGATCACCTCCTCGGTGCCGTCTCCTCGATGGAACATGGGACCTGATCAGCATGCTCAATTGGATGACTTCGGTCTAGCCTTTCCATTCCCCTATCGGGTTGCGGCGCTTCTGCTCGCTGGTATGATTTGCACTCATTGAGTTCAATGTTATGTTCTGTCCTGATTGGTATTGGTTTGATAGGCTTTTGGGGATGGGGCGTCAATCTGAAATATCTCTTGAGTTATAATGTCGTAGGTGCTCCCTCTGACCACCTGTTTACCCCTTATGTGGTTGTCTGTTGACTGACGCCTCGCTAGGATCTCGCCTCGTTGATCCGATACCCTCCCCGGCAAGCGTCGCACCAAGAGCCACATCACACCTCCGCCCTCCGTCTAGCGACGGTTCTTTCCGTGCCCCTGGGACTTTCGTTTCTCTTTTTCTGGATCACGACGCGCGGTACGGTGGAACAGGTTGAGAGGCTGGACATTATTCCGCAATCCTACTTCGTAATAGCGTTATTCCTTCTGATATTACCGGTCAATCCCGTTTCGCGCTCGGGACGGCGCCGCTTTCTCCTGACTCTGAAACGGATCAGTATTGGCGGTCTGGCGGAAACGCAAGATGGCAAGTTCGGAGATGTTCTCTTGGCGGATGCATTGACCAGCTACGCCAAGGTTCTGGCGGACCTGTACGTTACCTTCTGCATGTTCTTCACGGGGGGCATCTCGAGCACGTCCCAGCCAGATCGGATGTGTGGGAAGGGCTACATCGTTCCCACCATCATCGCTATTCCGAGTATTATCCGACTCCGACAATGTTTGACCGAATATCTACGTGCCCGACGAGCTGGCCTCAGCCGGGAGAACAGCAAGGCCAACCAGCATCTGGCCAACGCATTGAAATACTCCAGTGCCTTTCCTGTCATTATCCTTGCTGCCAAGATCAGGAACTACAACCCAATGGAGTTCTATGAAATTAGTGAGATAGGGTTTTCACGTATACTGTATGTCTCGCTAAATTGCAAAACCCCAATCCACAACTGACCAGTTCTAGGCACTTTTTCGCTTTGATCAATTCGTCCTACAGCTTTTATTGGGACATCACGAAGGACTGGGACCTGACTCTCTTCACCTCGGCGCGGGCAGACCCTGACCACCCGTTCGGCCTGCGCCGCCACCGTTACTTTTCAGACCGACAGTACTATTCTGCCATGGTCATAGATTTTTGCATTCGTTTCTCGTGGCTCTCGAAATTCGTATCCGGCCTGACCTGGCTCAGCGAGAAGGAATCTGGCATTTTCATCTTGCTATCTTTGGAAGTCGCACGCCGCTGGATGTGGGTGTTTCTCCGGTCAGAGGCCGAACTGAGTACGTCGTCCCAGCACTGATCCAATATACCTGCATTACTAATATATTGTCATAGTCCGCAACAGCCGAGGCCCGGTCCCCGATGACATTCGCCTGGGCGAAATCAACGGCAAGCTAGACGCGGATTAAATTATCTAATCATGGGACAGATACCCTTCACACGGTATCCGTCCCAACTCGCGTCCTAATACACCAGCGACGCGATCTATTCTCTAGCATAGGAAGAGCCTGGATCTTGCTGTTTCTATGCCTGTTACCACTACCATTCTATGTCTGCATCAATTTGTTGGGATTTGGATTTGCTATCAGATATACTAGCGTTTCTACGCTGGAAGGATGGATGGATGGATGAGGGTGGGCTATATTTTCGCATTTGTATTATTATTATGAATACCTATTAACAGACGCGTTGTCGGGGCTGATCTGTACAATATCGGTCTTCCTCTGACACGGGTTTTCTCTTCTCTGGACTTTTCCAACTTTCTCTTGATTGTAGGGATAACGCGCGTAATCACTTGGTATCTGAATACACCAATGGCTAGCTGTTGTTGTAGACGGCAGGTTGATTTATTGATTGAATGAATGAATGATTAAATGAGGTGCAGTGAACGCCATGCTGGGATATAAACATTACACAAGACGGTTGATCCCACACAAAAATAGTATGTATGTATGCAATTCATGCTTTATCAACGGATTAAATCAAAGATTAGTTAAATGCAAAAGGACTAAACAAGAACCAGGAAGCTAGGTTAGGTAAGAAGGCAATCAATCAAATAATCAATCAATCAATAAACCGTACATCGATCGTCCCTCGTAGAAAAGAAGAAAACAAGATATAGTGAGCAACCGCGTATCAACCCCGATATCGCTTGTTTTGGTTTCTTTGCGGTGCGTGGTTCTCGAAGAGGTCTTCGAGGTATGCGCTGGGTGTTCGACCCGGTGGTGCGGGGGAGAGGTTGACGTCGCTGGTTGAGGAGCCGTAGTAGGGTGCTTGTGGGCCGCTGGGTGTGTGCTGCTGTTGTGTTGGTGTTCCTGGTGGGCTGGGGCCTGATTTTGTCCGCGTGTAGCCTTGTGCCTGGGGTCCTATTCCGGGGAGGTCGGAGAAGTGCGTGTGGTGGCCGCCGCCGCTGCCGCCGCCGCCGCTGCCACTCCCGCCTGCGGTGGCATTTCCGGCTGCGTAGTATCCTGCGGGGAGGTAGTTTGATGCTCGGTTTCCGCTGCTTTGCATTCCGGCTGTTGGGGAGAAGAAGAGGCCGCTGCTGGAGCTGGGGACCTTGGTTGAGCGTTGATGCATGTGGCTGGAGCGTTTGTTGCCGCTCATTTTCTCGAGAGATACGGGCGCGACGGGGCCTTGGGGACGGACTGTTGACCTCTTGCGGCGGGACCGGAGGAGTCCTTTGCTTTCCGAGGAGTGTACCAGGGCTGCTTGGCGGACGGAGCGGTTGACGGACCAGGCGACCATGCCGCGCCATGCGAGGACTGCGAACCCGAGGAAGCCGAGGACGGCGCCGACGGCGATGAAGACTGTGCCTTCGGGCGTGTTGGACTTTTGCATGTACGGCGCGTCTGCCGTCGGGGGAACCGTTATTTCTGGGTGATCGGTTGTCTTGGAAGACGAGGTCTTCTCGGACGAAGATGTAGTCTCAGAGGAAGTCTCGGAGGTGGTCGACTCGGAATCCGTCGTGGTCTCTGACTCCGACGTCTTGGTACTTGTCGGTTTCGAGTCTGTCGTTTTTTCCTCCGTCTTCGTCTCTTCAGTGGTCTTTTCTTCACTGGACGTCTCCTTGCTCGTGGGTTCTTCCGTCGCCGTTTCTTTCTCAGGTTCTTTCTCCGGTTCTTTCTCAGGTTCTTTCTCAGGTTCTTTCTCAGATTCTTCCCCAGGTTCTTTCGCAGATTCTTCCGCAGGTACCTTCGCAGTCTCCTTATTTTCAGGCGACGCGACGTCCGTAGCCGCAGCGTCGGGATTATCCACAGCAGTCTTATCTTGCGCAACAGCGGAAACCGCACACAAAGCGATCACCAGAACCACGAGGAGCATCCACGACGATCGCCGGCCCCCCGAACGGCGCGCGGGGAATAGAATCATGGCGGAATGCAGATGCAGGAATGGTCGGATAACGCGGCTCTCAGGCTATAGAATAAACAACGAATGGGCGATGATGATCTGATTTGGAACGGGAACGACCGTCAAGGCATCAGTGCTGCCTCTATCAGTATGCGATATGTTTGAATAATGTTCTATTCGCATAAATCGCTCAAGCGATGAGGGTGTCGATAAGAGTACTCCGCAGCTGTAAGCGTGGATCTCTCCGATCTGAGGCTCCACCCAAACACCGGGTCAACAATGCAGGAATCAATCTCGGGGTATTATCAGTCCCCCGCAAAGAAAGACAAGGCTGTATATGCAGCGACTAAAGAAAGAGCAGTAGAGAATGTAGATCGGCTGTCAGGATCAGCCGTCAGAGACCAGAGAGAAAAAGCGCAGGCGAATCTGAGACGGTCGAGTCCCTGAGAGTCACGGGGGCGCCTTTTGGCGGGCGTTGCCTGATTGGGTTGGCCTCGTTGCCCCGTGCTAGGTCACGTGGTGGGCACCATTACTGTGTCTATGGAATCTGGATGGATGGAATAATCACACTTGATAGCATAATACAAGGATAGTTCGCCAACATGAATCAACAAGGTGTATCATAGCATAAGTAACGTCTCCCCCCCCAGATAAGTTCATCAATCACTGCTGCTTCTTCTGCACCGTAGCCGACGTGTCCTTCTCAAACGCCGCATAGGGGACCTGCAGGCTCAGGAGAGCGCTGAGTCCAACGTAGAGGATGGCCAGGAACAAGAAGGTCGCCATGAATCCCATGAAGATACCTGCGGATGTTAGTCTGGTCGTTATCAAGGTCAATGTTTGGGCCAGGCGACGCACCGGGAGTGAAGTATTGGTATTCCTGGAACAGCGAGCTGTTGGACGCAGGCTGTTCCCGACGACCATGTGCCGAGTAGTCCCGCTTCAAGTCCATGTGGACGGGATCTTGGGAGGATCCGTGGTCCGATTGAGACATGTCGTGAGTGGGCTCTTCGAACTCCCTCGGCGAGGTGACGTAGAGGATCGTGTACTTCTTTGACGACGGAATCCGCTCGACGACATCAGACAGAAGACCATCTACACTTGTATCAGTATGTCTCTAGCGGGGGATAAAACGGTCGACTCGCATACCGTTGTCCGAGAGCTGCTGCGCGCGGTCCGACCCCAGGGAAAGATTGGGAAAGTCCACCAGAATCACACGAGGCTCAGCCCCGAAATCAGAGGGATACGATCCCGCTACACAATCCAATTAGCAAGATGTTCAACAACAACGCATTGTCCAACAAACAAAACCTACAAGAACCATCCACGACAGTCGTCTCCGCCCCACACTCCTTCTCCAGCACGTCCTGGATCTGCTTGGCCTCCAACGCCCCAACCACCTCACTGACAATCATCTTCGACCGAATATCCCGGTCCTTGCCCGTCATCTTCGCGCCGAGGCGGGGAGCGGCGTTGCGCTTGGAGAAGTCGGTGCTGTGCACCCCCGGTTGAGAGGCGAGGACATAGTAATCGGAGGGGCAGCCACGGAGGGCCGAGGAAAGGTCATCGAGCAGGTCCGTCGCGCTCTTAAGGTTTGCGGGTTGCGTAAGAATTCTACCACGCCCGTTAGCTATCCCGCGACTACCTACCTAACTACTGGTGGCATGGATTGATTAGCGGGACAACGTACTCAGAGGTCGAGGCAAGGAAGAAAGGAGAGGAGTCTCGGAAGGCGTTGGCGGTTGCTGCTGCCAGAGCGAGCAGGGAGAGGCCTCGCAGATGCATAATTATATGAGAATCGACCGCGGGTCTAACAGAGTCGAGTGGAGGAGTCCTGGGGAGAGGAGAGAAGTCGATAATGAAGGATGATGATGCCGCAGCCTAGCTATTAAGGCTGGCGGTTTGTCGGACCGCCGTTTGGACCGCTTGATTGGCCGGCGGTCTCGGAGGCGGTCGAGCCAGTCCAGCTTGGAGAACTAAAAAATTGGAAATCCCGCTAACTCTACACGGACACTCCTACGATTGTATATCTTTATCATTCTCTTTTTTCTCTCATTTTCTGCCTTTAGTCTAGCTGGATATTCTCTGTTTTGAATATTCTACATCAATCGCAGTCTACACCGGTCCAGCCATATCCCCAAACAAAATGGTCCACCCCTCGGCAAAACGCCGCAAGGTCGCGACCAAAGTCGAAGAAATCAACTTTGATACAGACGCCCGCCAGGAATACCTCACAGGGTTCCGCAAACGAAAGCTTCAGAGACAGCGCAATGCGCAGGAGGTCGCCGAGCGCAAAGCCAAAGAAATCAAGCGAGACGAGAGGAGAAGGGTGCGTCGGCTGTCCCCCCCCCTCAAGCCCAGTGAAAAAAAAAAAAAAAAAAAAAAGAAGAAGAAGAAAGAAAGAGCGACCTAACCCGGTGATATTTTATTAAATTAGATTCGCGAGCAACGAGCGGAAGACTACCAGCGCGCGTTTGAAGAACATCGACGACAACTGAAGCGGTTGAAGGAGGAGGAGGATGGCGATGGATCCGGTTCTGCGAACGACGACGACGACGATGAGGAGGGAGAGGAGTGGGGTGGGATTGAGGAGCCGCCTCCGGTGGATTATGAGGCGGAGTATATCGATGAAGATAAATATACTACGGTAACGGTGGAGGAGATGGATCCGTCACGGGAAGGTCTACTTAATTACCATGGGGAAGATCGCTCAGATGAGGAGAAAGAGGGCGGCGATGCGCGGGCGACGAAAACCGAGGAGGCACCCGAACCGGCGAAGAAGAAGAAGGCGCAGGATAAACCTAAGAAGAAGAAGAAGAAGTTTAGGTATGAGAGTAAGGAGGATCGCAGGCTTACTCGGACGAAGCAGCGGTTATCGAACCAGAAGAAGGCCAAGGCGCGGCGCGAGCAATAACGGTGCGGGGCAGGAGGTGACATTTGATCATACCCAGGGACAAATTACCTACGCTAGAAGTCTCACGATGATACATTTCGTAGAAATACACTGTATCTACCTTTCAGAGAAAAGTATCTGTTAAGCCGGGGAAAGCATCTGTTAAGGTCCAGGGGAAAGGGGGGAGCGGCAGATGACCGATGGATAAGGACTAAAGCCAGCTGCGCGACAAGACAAAGAAACACTGCGAGATCTGTCGCCGGCTAATGGACGGTAATCAGACGGGCTGCGATTTGCAACTATAAAAACAAGAGATACTGGAACGACCGCCGAATCCAGCATCGGCCCCAACTCCACGCCGGTTCTCAAACCTGCCCTTAGACATTGCTTATAGACACCTCCAGATCGTGCAGCTCCTTCTGCAACTCGGCGTACTTCTTGGCCATCTCCTCGTACTTGCTCTCCCACTGGTCACGGGACGATTCCAGGGCCTGGACTTTGCGCTCGTAGTGGCCGGCCTTGACGTCGGTTTGGCGGAGCCTAGTAAGAAATCGTCAGTCATCCAGTTGCTTGTCTTTTGTCTTTGTTCCGGGTTCGAAAGACATACTTCTCGTTGGTCTCCCGCAGGTTCCGATCCGCATCCTCAGCCTCCTCCTCCAAGACCTGCAGACGTCTCTGCAGAGACTCGTTCTGTGTGTCGTGCTGGGCACTCTGGGTGGCCGCGTCCTTGGCCTCCTTGAGGGAAGTCTCGAGCTTCTCGACCTCATCCTCCAAAAGCTGGTTCCGGTGGTTGAGAGACGTGATTTCCTGTTCCTTGGACAGGTTCTCCTGTTCCAGAGTCTTGACCTTGCCCTTGAGATCCTCCACCCTCTCGCCGGCCTCGTCGGCCTCCAGACGGAGCTGGTTCATTCTCTATACATCGTTAGTTGGGTTCGCGTCATCAGTTTTGTCATTTCTTTGGTGCCATTTTCACTCCTTCCCGTCTTTCTTTTTCTCCTGATTTCCCTTGTTTTCCTCTTTATTGTATTTTTTTCTTTCGAGAAAGACCGGGAGAAGCTAAAATCCAAGAGGTATGTGACAACAGGCCAGGAAAAGCAAGGGGAAGGAATGGTGCATGTGCATATTGACAACAGCCAAGCTACCCCGCCAAACAGGGGAGGGAGTGGCGGAGAGACCAGAAACTCACCTCCTTAATCTTATCCATGATGGGCGACGGGTAAAAAGGTTAATCTGGTGTGTGGTTCAACAAGAAGAGAGGCGATGAGATAGAAAGGTCTTCGCTCAGCGAGAAACCAGAGGGAAGATAGTCGGGAGGGGAGAAGTGAGAGGGGAGAAGTGAGAGGGGGAAATCGGATCGATAGAAAGATAGGTAAGGGATTGGGTTAGGTAGGTTAGGAGACGACCGAAGTGGAGGAAGAGCGGTGGCCTTAGGTCGATTTAGGTAGGTAGATAGAACTAATCATACGCATGTATTCAACTAGTGGTAATTAGTGCTTTATTATATGAGGATCTGATAAATTACTGTTCTATAATTACCAGATTATTATTATCATCTTCACCCTTATTATGATTATTTTGGGTATTATTATTGCTATTATTGTTATTATTAGGATTATGCCAGCCTGGCAATCAGTTGGATCTAACCTGTTTAGGACAGCCAACCGTGGCTGGACCAGAGGCGGTGAGGCGGTGCGCTGTGGCTGACCCAGGGTTTCTTTCCCGCCGGAAGAATCCCCACGGCAACCACCAAAACACCTATCATTGCATCAAGGAAGTCACGTCCAAGATAGTACCATCCAATACTAGTTGTCTTCCCTAGTACCTCATTTGATGGTCCTTCTTGCTCTCTCTCCATTCTTTTCTTTTCCACCTACCTATACATCGTACTCACCACTGACAAGAAAACGACTGGCTCTACTCCGATCGAATTCCGTGCATGAGTAAACCGCCACCATGTTGGCTCTCCGAGACCAGGAGAACCTGGTGCACGCCCACCAGACGGTGGCCGCTTCGAAGCCCTTGAATCAAGGCGCCAGGACCCTTCAACCGAAAACCCCGGGTGCCCGGGCCCCGAAGACCCCGTTCAAGATCCCGCTGAACGACGAGAACGATCCGCTGGCTTTTGGGAAGAAAACCGTCAAGGGAACTGGGAAGCAGAAGGAGACGACCAAGCTCTCTGTGAAAGATGCGTTTGCTACACCAATGGGTATGTAAAAATGAAGAGAGGAGAGGGGGAAACCTATACCTATTCGCCCACCTGATGGATTCGGAGTTTACTAACTATGACGGTAATAGACACCCGTCAGCGGGCCCCCCTCGGAATGAAAACGACCAATGCCAAGGCGAGAGGCCTTCAGACCCCTGCCGCACCGGGGACGATGAAGCCGGAGAGGACGACCAAACGAGCTTCCACCCAGAAAGTCAAGAAGTTCGCCCCGTTGACCGAGCCGAGTCAGCCCGAGGTGCAGGCGCAACCAGCCCCGGATGACGTTCCCGACATTGAATACATGCCGCCCAAGCCCAAAGGTGAGCTCCTCACGCGACTTCTACCTTTCGACCAGTCCGTTCTAACATTCCTGCAGCACTTTTAGATATCCCTGATGATATCACATACGACACCACCTTCCCCCAGTTCCAACCGCAGAATCTCGCGCTAGGACTGGAAAGCGTGTATGGAGACAATGAAGTTGGAGAGGATGGGCTCACCCGCCGACAGCGCAAGTTCCAGGAGGATTCCATCGCGGTCGACAAGTTGGTCGACGAGATGATCCTGAAGTCGGTGGAGAGTATTGGGTTCGAGGAAACCCCGCAGGTCACTCATCCGCGCAAGACCCGCGCACAGGAACTCCCGCAGCGCCGCACCAGGGCCACCGCCAACAAGGCCAAGGAGAACAGCCACACCAATATCTCCACCGTCCGCGCTCGCAATGCAGCCGCTGCTCTGTCCGGCACCGACAGACCAACCATGCGCACCAGGTCCGCCGCCCTGCCGAAGCCCAAGCCCCGAGTCGCCTCGTCCATGTTTGCATCCCGCAAGCCTCGTGCGCCGGCCAACCCGTCCCCGATGCGCAACACCGCCGCGGCCGCCCGCTCCCGCACGACGGTGGGGTACACCAAGGGCCGCGACATGTCGTCCAAGCTCCATGGACCGTCGCCGGCCACCCCGGAGGTTTCCGATTCCGTAGGCGCGAATATTCTGTCCCCGGAGACCTATCTGCTGCCTTCTCCCGCTGGGTCGTCACTCTTCGACAGCGAGATCCCCCATGTCCCGCAGCCAGACGAAGGTTTGTTGGCGCCCGCCGAGAAAGAAGAAGAGAGGCTCCCGATGTTCGAGGAGGATGAGGAAGCCCAGAACTTCCAGCTCGCGTTGTAAACAGGTCCTTTATTACATCGTTCTCCAGAAGGAGATCGGATACGTCGGAATGCCCCGGGGACTGCATTAGCGGTCAGGACTCAGGAGTCTCATGGGATGAGGTGTTATGCTATGCTTTGCGTTTTGCTCCGTTTCTTAATTTTTTTTCTTATACTGTTCTTCTTTATTGTCATCGTTTTCATGAATGCTTCGCCGGAACAACGGGACGGACTGGCTATACAATGGGATGGGGGCCGGTAACAGGGAAATTCCACCAGAGGGTGGCGTTAATGTGTATGTTTACGAATGTTATTCCAATCAGATCAAAGGTTTTCTTTCATCCAAGGAGCGAGTCAGCCCAAAATGGTTGGTCGTCGTCATCAGTGAAACAGGTAAAGAATGCGACAGGCGATTGTGTGGATGGGGAGATTGCTGGTGTCGATCATGCAGTTTCAGGACATGCGAACCCTTGGGCCAAACTAATTAAGAGTCCAGACCTGAGTGGAGGACTCGAGGGAGCCTTGGAGGTTCTTACATGATTGCTACTTGACTGAAGGATATTATCCATTCAATAAATCCAATCCTTGACCGCTACAGGAACCAGGATTGAGATCCGCATCAGAACTATATCCCAGAATAGATGAATAATAAATACTTTATGCACCTCCTGAAGCACCAACCAATCATAGAGAGATATCACCCAGGCGGTGAGGGGGAATAGCTCCCGCCAGGTACACTTTAGCTCTCGGTACCTTGGCCAGGTGGCTGTTTGTTAGTGTCTCGAGGTACCTTTCCTACCTGGTACATTGTACGCTTGGACTTCCGAGCCTGGGGCCAGTTCTCTCCCCCGTCTATTTCTTTTCCTTCTTCCTCCTCCTTCTCTTCTTCTCCTTCTTCTTCCTCTCTCCCCACCATCCCCTTTTTCCTTTCCCCCCTCTCTCCACCCTCCCCTTTCTTTTGTCTGTCATCATCATGGCGACAATTCATCCCGAGTCCCCAGAGGACTTTGAGTTTATCAAGACTCCGGCTGCCGAGTGTGTCACTCCTGCCGAGGACTGTGGTGTTCGGACTACCAAGGTACGTCAATTGTCAATTGTCAATTGATTTCTCTATTGATTATATCAATTGATTCTATATCAATTGGATTGTGCAAGAAAAATAAAAATACATGAAGATGGAAATGAAAATACAAAAAAATGGGGAAAACAAAATAAACAAGAAACAGAAAGAAAAACATGAAACCATGAAGCCGAAAACAAAGAATTGAACACACACGAATAAAGCACAATTCAAAACAACACGCGCAACAAATGAGAAACCCAATCTGACATCTACACAGTATCCCTCCATCAAGAATGCCCCCGTCCCCGCCGACTCCCCCGGTAGCGACAGCTTCTCCAACATCCTGCTGTTCTCCCTGCTCCTGCTCATCCCCTGGTACCTGGCTCGCCAGGTCGGTGGTGGTTTCTACACCACCATCTTCTTTGCCGTCTTCACCACCATCCCCATCTTGATGGTCTTCTGGACCGTCGCCTCCTCCGTCTCCCCGCGCAAGACCGAAAAGGCCAAGTATGCCGGTCGTCCCGTCGAGCACTACCTCCGCTTCAACAGCGAGCATGACCGCGCTACCTACCGTGGCAAGAGCAAGATCCCCATGGAGACCTTCTACGAGAAGTACTTCAACGGCGAGGTCGAGTTCAAGGGTGATGCCCTCGAGGCTCTGGAGTTCCGTCACGACTGGGCGAGCTTCCGCTTCACCATGGGTCTCTACAAGCACTTCCTCCTTGGCTTCATCCCCGAGATGTTGGTCCACTCGCGCTCTCAGGGTTCGTCTTCCCCTCTGACCCCACCAAGAGAAACGACTTTCGAGCCCTGCTAACATATCGTAGACGAGGAGCAGGTCCGTGACCACTATGACCGCGGTGATGACTTCTACGCTTGGTTCCTCGGCCCCCGCATGATCTACACCTCGGGTCTGATCGGCGACATCAACAAGGAAGAGTCCCTCGAGGAAATGCAGGACAACAAGCTGGCCGTCGTCTGTGAGAAGATCGGCGTCAAGCCCGGTGACACTATTCTGGACCTCGGCTGTGGCTGGGGCACGCTGGCTAAATACGCTTCCGTTCACTATGGCGCCCAGGTCACCGGTATCACCCTCGGCCGTAACCAGACTGCTTGGGGCAACAAGGGTCTGCGCAACGCTGGCATCGCCGATGAGCAGAGCCGTATTCTGTGCTCGGACTACCGTGACGCTCCCCGTGTGTCGGGCGGCTACAGCAAGATCACCTGCCTGGAGATGGCCGAGCACGTCGGTGTGCGCCACTTCAGCACTTTCCTGTCTCAGGTCTACGATATGCTCGACGACGATGGAGTCTTCTTCCTGCAGATCGCTGGTCTCCGCAAGTCCTGGCAATACGAGGATCTCATCTGGGGTCTGTTCATGAACAAGTACATCTTCCCCGGCGCCGACGCGAGCACTCCCCTGGGCTTCGTTGTCGACCGTCTCGAGGGTGCTGGATTTGAGGTCAAGGCCGTCGACACCATCGGTGTTCACTACTCGTCGACCCTGTGGCACTGGTACCGCAACTGGTTGGGTAACGCCGACAAGGTCAAGGCCAAGTACGGCAACCGCTGGTACAGAGTGAGTGATCTCTTTCCCCTCCATAGCCCTTGAGGCCCATTCCAAACCGATATAATTGGTATGGTTCACCATGCTAACTCTCGCAGATCTGGGAATACTTCCTGGCCTACTCCACCATCACTTCCCGCCAGGGCGGTGCCACCTGTTTCCAGCTCACCCTCGTCAAGAACATCAACTCCACCCACCGTGTCGAGGGCATCAACACCCAGCACGGCCTCACCGGCGCTCTGCACACCGCTGCCGAGCACCACGACGGCGTCCGCCCCAGCGCTCACGTCGCTTTTAAGGCGTAAACGGTACATCTGTCGGCGTCGCCTGGAGCTGACCCTCCGTTGGTCCCGTTGAACGTGGCCAACGAAGGCTGGACCCAGAGATGAAACTGAGAGAAAAGGAGTGGCTTTTGCCTGATTGCAGCCGTGAAGTGGGTTGAACCCAGTAGGCAGTATCAGGCTGAGCCCGAAGCAAAAGGGGAGGAGAAAGACGACCGAGATCTACGGGGGTGCTTGTAAATTAGGCATTCCGATCTGGTTTATGTACGATGACTTTCCGATCTGGTTTATATTGATATTTTTTTTCCCCCATACATCGTTCATTTATTTTCCTGTCTTTGACTCGGAGCGGTCAATGGATGTGTACCTCTTTTTCATTTCAGGAGACATGTGTTAATGAACGAGAATAGAAAGAACACTGATTGATGATGAAGCGCTGCCTTTATGACCCTTATTCTTTTCATGTAAAAATAAGATAAATAACGTAAACCAAATAGTAAATGGTATCTTGCAGAAATATAGAGACCAAAATCTATCTACCTGTCCAAACTCCCCCCATATTCCCCCTTTACATATAACCCGCTACTCTAGTAAGTCAATTAGTCGACTACTCCACACGCTTAAACAGCTTCGCCTTGCCAGCTCCCGCACCACCAGAGCAGCACGCTGGAGCTGGAGCTGGTGCTGCTGCTGCCGGCGGGTGCAAGGTCGACTGGTTAAACGACTGAGACGACTGCGGGACGTCTAAGGCGGGGTTCTTCGTGAAGAACCCGTCTGGGCGGAGCATGACGCTGATGCGCTCCATGGGCATGACGGGGAAGTCTTCGATGCGGGGGTTGTGGGTGAGGCCGAATGCTGGGCGGTGTTAGTTTTGATTTCATGATGGGGGAAAGGGGTAGTGGTGTATATAGTACTGGTTTGGAAGGATTAGGGAAGGGGTATGTGGGGGACTTACTATGCCAAAGCACTACGTCTTCATTCTCGGTATTATCGCCTCGCTGGACCCATGTCTCGACGCCGTGCGCACGCTTGCTCTGGTTGGTGAATTCGCCGGCGGCGTATAGCTCGTCGTCTTGATACTTTGTGACCCAGATGGGTTTGCTGGCGAACTCTGCGCGGCGATGGCCTATGGCTTTTGGGCTGAGGAGGAGCATTTGGCTGGGCGCGGCCATGAGCTTGTATGCGACTGGTTTGTAGGTGATGGGGTTGATCACGTTGTCGTTGCGGATCTTGAAGACGCGGTGGCGGGCGATGTCGGTGGTTGCTGAGCTGGACTGGTGGATTGTGTTTTGCTCGGTGGTGTAGCCTACGAAGTAGGGGTTGTTTTCGTCTTCGGGGAGTGGCACGCTGTCTTCGTAGTAGATTGTGTTTTTGAAGCCGTCGATTGCGGGGTCCACGCGCAGGGAGAACATGTGTTGGTGGAAGGGGGCCATCACGCCTGGTCCGACGTTGGTGCCCCAGCGGACGGTTTCGCCGGTTTTGTGGTCGAATGGGACCGTGGATAGGATTCCGGTGGCGCGGACTTCCAGTTCGACGTTCGCTGCTTGGTCGAAGATGTAGGCGAAGATGTACTCGTAGTTTGCTACGGTGCAGATCATTTGGAGTACCAGCTGGCGGTTGCGCACGACGGTCGCCGCCCCAGACCGGTAATTGGTGTGTTTGTGTTGCAGGCCGTTGTCCTGCTCGTGCATGCAGATGATGTTCTTTAACAGGACCGGGTTGCCCTTGGAATCCGCTCGGTATCCGTCAAAGTATTTAATGTGACCCAGGCAGTCACAGCCCAGCGAGAGCTGGTTGGCGTTGAGACCGAAGCCGACATCGCCCACATCGAAAGCCTGCTTTCGGTGGTACGGGGCACGAGGATCTGTCCATGATGTTAGAACACAAGTTCCAATCTTATTACCAGGACGATACTCACCTCCATAAGGGACCGTCATTTCGGAAACCGCCAGGCGGTACAGGATGTTACGGTTATCGTACGTCAAGTTATACAGTACCATGCCCTCCCGGTTGTTGAACCCCACCCGGAAGCGCCATTTCTGCCAGTAGACAGAGTTACCGTCCGTCGAAAAAGAAGCACCCTCGGGTTGCTGGACAATGTAGGGTTTGAGGTCTGTTCGCAGCGGTTCGTTCAGAAGGTCATGGGCATATTGGATGGTTTCCACGGGCTTCCAAGGCTGCGTTTCGGTGCTGGCTGTGTCTGCTCCGCCAGGCAAGTAATCCATACGCACTAATTCCATAGTATGGCGGTCGAAAACCGGAGAGAATTTGCAAGGAAGAGAGTAATGGTTGTTTTGGGGGTGGTCCACCGACACCATATACATGAAGCATTGGAACAGTCGGCGCGTCTCGTTGGCATTGTCCGAGCCGTACATCCACGGGTCGTTACAGACCGTCACCCCCGGAGGCAACTTGAGCTTCTCAATTTCGGCCTTGACCGCCGGATGTTCCATGCAGAGGCTTTCAATGTCGATGAGTTCGTCGATATCAACCGGGACCTAGCAAAGAAGAGATATCAGGAAACCGAAACCGCGCAACCGGAGGCAAGTCGGAGACACCCACCTGGACACCTTCGGGGATCGCCTTGGTGGAGACGACGGTTTTACTGTCCACATTCACCAAGCTTTTGTAACATGCGCCGTTATCCTGGCGGTGAAAGTAAGAGTACAGCAGACGGGCTGGTTTCGGAGGCAGGGGTTTTCTCAAACGCTCTGCCTCGATATATGGAACGACATCGTTCTTGATCGGCTCATGGAGATCAATCCGATTGTACCGCAACGTAACTCCCGGAAACGCCGCTTCCAGGATGCGGGCCACCAGTCGGATCTCGTGCGGTGTGACGGGGTCAAATGGGTGGCGGGTGTGCGCAGTGGTCGGTGCCACGCCTTGCGAATCGATCGACATGGTGTTTGAACTGGGGCGATTTCTCCAAATATGGTAGAACGGTGGAGGGAAGATGAAAGATCTGGGTCAATCACGGTCTTAAGTAGCGATCCAGATTCCGTCGACTGGATTTATAACAGCAAACATGGTGATCAATATCATAGGCTGTTGTCGCAACTGCAGGCTTGGATGTGATTGTACCACAGCGCACGCAAGGCCCATCTATCGGCCCTTGAGTCTCCTCCACCGGGCCCGCATGGACCTGCCGATTCAGGAATGGTGGGTCGGGATGGGATATCAATATCTGGAAAGCCACCATTTCTCAAGTAATATTTGTAATCTTGTTAGTGGTTAGATTGAATAGAGTTCTCCTTGAGTATAGTCTGAACTCACCCTTGTTCTAATAGAAAGGAAGAGATATATAGAGATATAGATATAGATATAAAGAGAGAGAGAGAAATGAGGGGAGCGGGGATGCTTATGTCAGCCACTGATAAGCGTATCGCATCCCGTCCCGATGAGGCTTAGCGCGGGTAGCTCCTCAGTCGGGTCACTCTAGTTGGTTGACGGTACTTGGTTTCTCTTTTCTCTCTCCATCTGTTGGGCTGTCTCTGTCTGTTTGTTGCTCTTCTATCGGCTGGACACTTGGAATTGAGGTCGCTTTCGTCATTGATCAGGGACACTCCTCGGATCATCCGTTACCCCCTCCAATTGGGTAAGTTGATCAACTCCGTCTCAATCCGTGTCCCTTGCAGTGCTGGAGGTATAGTACCATTGGCAACGATACTAGTCTTGAAAACCCATCTAGTTTCATGCGATCAGTTCGTACTAAGTATGGTCATCAGTGACGCTAATACTTTGGTTGGCTAGCTGTGAGGGTCGCTTTGATACAATCCCACCCCATCGGGACCTGTTTATCAACGGAAAGCACATTGATCCAGTCGTGATGCTCTCCGTGGGCAGCCCCGCGCAAGCCCCGGCAAGAAAACGATGCCGAAGGGAAGGTTCAAAATGGACGAGGTCCGGTTGTCTCACGTGTAAGAGGCGTCGAAAGCGCTGCGATGAAGAGAAACCGAGGTATGCGTGGTCATCCCGAACGTAGTCTCGCCTCGACTGACATGGCAGATCAGTTGCCGCAGTTGCGTGAGATTAGGGCTGAGCTGTGAAGGCTATGGGTCAATCTGGGCAAAGCCGCTCAACCCGTCCGACCAGGTGTTCCAGCAGTATGAACCGGTGCCCAAGCGTCGGAGGATCGACGCCTCGGCCTCGGAGTTGGGGTCATCTCCAGCATCCACACGAGAGCCATCGTCCCCGTGCTCGACTGTCTCGACCTGCCCGTCCATCTCTCTCTCATCACCCTCGGACAGCAATGCAATCGAAATACGCACGCCGTCCGCGGACAATTCAGACTTCGATGATGTGGATACTAGCCGTGGCAAAGAGGTGGTCCCGTGGAATGCGCCTGTCGAATTCGGTCTAGGGATCCTCGATCCCTCGGGACATATGAGTAACCTCTCCCACCTGGAAACCCATTTTCTTCAATACCACATGGAGCAAGGGTCCAAGTTGCTGGCAAACCTGGACAGCGACGAGAACCCTCTACGTTCCCTGATCATCCCCAGGGCCCTATCCTCACCCCTCCTGATGAAAGCCCTCTGTGCCGTGTCTGCGATGCATCTCGCCAATCGGTCCCAGGACAACCTGCACGCCCAGACGGCGGCGGCCAATTACTACATTCGAACAATGAGTGGGATTCGTGCCGCGCTATTCCAGTCTCCTGGTCAACCTTTTACTGATGACTCCATCCTGTCGGTGGCTCTTCTGGTGAAATACGAGATCGTACGGGGAAGCGTGAAGCAGTGGGCCACGCATCTCAAGGCATTGGAAAATCTGGTCATCTCCCGCGGTGGCTTCGCGACATTTGACACCGACCTGGCGGAATTTCTCTGGGGCCTGTATGAGTGATCCTTGAATGTGCGGGCGCAAGAGACGTCGATCCGCTAATCGTTGCTGTAGGTTTATGTACGCGCACAACCTGGCCAAAGTGACCAACCGCAGACCCGTCACACAAGAGCTTATCCCCGGCACGGAGCATCTCAGCCTCACAAAGCTTGACAGCTATATCGGTTACACAGAGGATATTATCCGGATATCGGCCCGCATCGCCGACCTCCCTTGTCTCCGCCATGACCCCGTCGCCCTGATCCTAGAAATTCAGACAATGTAAGTTTCTTGGTATCTGCGGCCCATGCAGCACGCTGACCACACTTTAGTGATTCGTCCCTCCGCAGTTGGACCCACACCATGAAGCAATACAACCTTCCTCGGGGCATCACGGCAGCCGCCATACAGCGCCTCCTCATGGTCGCAGAGTGCTTCCGCGATTCGTCGTACATCCATCTCCATTCCATACTGAAACGTATGAGTCAGGAAATCGCCGGGCCAGATCTGTATACACTATGGTCTTCGTTTGTCTCGACGTCGAAAGATGCGGCTTTGCAGAGCTGCGTAACTAGGCTCAGGTCGTTCCCACTGGATCAGTACTGCGAGTACTCGGCTCTCACCTCCCCCCTCTTCTTGGTTGGGGCCGAGAGCGAAGATCCCGCTACGCGGGCTCTTGTCATCGAGTCATTGGATAAGCTGCAGTCTAACTTTGGCATTGGAAATGTGAAACGGGCTAAGGAGGTGTTGCACCTGCTTTGGGATGGAGAGATGAGGCATTGGCTGGACGTGTTGGAGCACCTCCAGTGGGACCTGGTACTCGCTTGATTCATGCTCTTGATGAAAATCCGAATTGACACGAATGGCCTGACGCACACGGCCTGATTGTCCGGCACAGGAAGGTCATGCAAGTCTCCAAAACTTGGAAATCTATGTGGCAGATTGAACCATGTCACCGACTGCATCGTGCAACGAATCACGCCCAGTGTATCTATACCCACTTCACATGCCGTGGAGATCTACCACCGGCTGACATTGCACCGACGGTCAGGGCTTGAGGGAGAGGATTTGGCGGTGCCTTGGATTGAGTGTGCCTGTCCTCCAGACTGCCCACCGCCGCTCGAGTCATCATAGTACCCGCTCCCCCACGGGACCCGGACTTCGTCGGCACCTGTTGGATATCCGTATGCCTCCGTCCGCCCAAAAAAAACCGCTTCAACATGGGAATAGAACCTGTTGCCGAGTTCGGAAGTGCGCGAGCACACCTTGTCATACGCACATTTCTCTTCGACCTGCGAATTCCGCGCTCCAAAGGTGCTCTTTGGTCTCAGATGCGGGGAAAAGAGAAATCTGCTTTGCTGGTGATTGGTCAATTTCCTATATCCCGACGATCCCGAGCCTTGCATGCTCACGCGAGCCTGCACTGTAACGTCCCTCAGGCCTCGACATCGGCAATACCAGGTTTCCCGTTCCCATTATCCGACGCCCCAAAGTGGAGCTACAACAAGGACTGTACCAGCAGGCAGGTTTTTCATTCCAAGTCCGGGGCAACTTGTGGAGTTGCTGTGATGGATTTGTAAGAAAATCCTACCCACACAGCTATTTAGAATGCGCATTTTGGATCTCCGGAGTCCACCGGAGTATACATCTTTTTTCCTCTTTTGTTCCGTCTGAATTCGGCATGCAACACATCCACGACATGCGAACACTAGGCACAGTCTCCTGGGATCATCCTCGCCTGCAAGCCTGTAATCTTGCTGTGGTATCAATCCTGATCATGGAGACAGACCGTTGCGTGGGGTCCTCTTTTGTGAACTTCTCCCCCCCCCTTCTCCTACTTCTAGATTTGGTAAGAGGAACGGTCGATCCCTCAGATGGACAGAATCGGTCCCCTTATCAACAACTAATGTCGGGTTCCGGCTCCAGACATTAGGATTAACCCCCTACTCTTTCAGGGAAGTTTGGTCCCTTTCCCACCATGCCGATCATTTCCAGTTAGTACCCTGTCGATCATCCCCATCGAGAGGGAACGACTACGGGCTACGGGGACCATATCGTGAACACACCAAGCAGGGAGGGGCCCAGTTCAACCCATCATGGTGGCTGACCTTCATGTACCTCGGTGCCTCCCTGTCGATTGCGGGCCTATCACCACAAGGGAATAGGCGACCTCGTTGTACCCCTGGCGATTTTTTTCTTCCGCATCGCGCTAATGCACCCTCGGGTGGAGCAATCGGTTAATATTAGTTAGCATTGATGTCCTTCAGCCTCTTAACAGCGCCCCCCTATTCTTCTCTCCGCTCATCTTCTCCAGACTGGCGTCCGCCCCTGCGATCGCCTCCTACCTCCTCCCCAACCTGGTTTAGATGATGATACTATTCAAGGGGCGATTGGCACCGGGCCCCCTGCTAGACATGTCTTCGCAGACCCTGAACTGTAACTGGAATAGAATTGATGATAATCTGCGGCTCGCTTCCAGCCAAGCCAGTCAAAATGGATCAATTTTCCGATTGCTATCGATTCAGGGAGAATAAACGGCCAGTTAGCTTCTCGGACCGATCAGCTAGACATTAAGCAAATGGGCACCTTTCAGCTGGCAGGGATCTCCACCCCCTCTACCGGTGGTCCAGTACCCGACTATAAAGGATTTGACGGTTCCTGGATCCTGCAACCTTTTTCCCTTCTCCCCTCTTTCCCATGATCTATCACTCTGAGATCGGGGTACGAACATCACTTTATCTACCATGATTGTCTCTCGTCTCCTTGGCCTCCTCGCCGCCTCGGCTGGCGTGGCCAGGGCTGTCACCCTCGATGGCTACGAGTACGTTATCGTCGGCTCCGGCGCTGGCGGTGGTCCCTTGGCCGCTCGCCTAGCCCTCGCCGGCCACAAGACCCTGCTCATCGAAGCCGGTGACGACCAGGGTCACAATGACAACTACACCGTCCCTGCGTTTTCGGCCAAGTCGTCCGAAGACGAAGAGATGGCCTGGAACTTCTTCGTCCGTCACTACGCGGACGACGACCGACAGGCGCGGGATTTCAAGACCTCCTACGACACCCCCGATGGCCAGGAGTATACGGGCATCGACCCCCCGGCAGGCTCCACCATGAAGGGAACCCTGTATCCTCGCGCTGGAACTCTCGGTGGCTGCACCGCGCACAACGCCCTGGTGACCGTCTACCCGCACCGCTCCGACTTCGAATACCTCGCCACCCTGACCGGTGACGAGTCCTGGTCCCCGGACAGCATGCGCGAGTACTTTGTCAAGATGGAGAACAACGGCTACGCGCTGCCCGGCCTCCCCGGCCACGGTTACGACGGCTGGTTGAGCACGGAGACCGCGCCCCTCACCCTCCCGATCAAGGACCCCCAGCTGCTCAGCCTGCTGCTGGGCGGTGCCTTCGCCCTGGGCAACGAGACCAACGCCGTCTTCAACCTGGCCACCCTCCTCGCGTCGGATGCCAACACGGATAGCAAGCACCGCGACACCTTCCCCGGATACTACCAGGTCCCGCTGGCCTCCGAGGGCGGCAAGCGCATCGGCCCCCGCGAGTTCATCACGGCCACCCGCGACGCCACCAACGAGGACGGCACCAAGAAGTACCCGCTCGACGTCCGCACCAACTGCCTCGTCACCAAGGTCACCTTCGACGAGACCGCCAACCCTCCCCGCGCCACCGGCGTCGAGTTCCTCGACGGCAAGCACCTGTACCGCGCCAGCCCGCGCGCCGGCTCCGCCGCCCCGGGCACCCCCGGCTCCGTCAAGGCCTCCCGTGAGGTCATCGTCGCCGGCGGCACCTACAACTCCCCGCAGATCCTCAAGCTGAGCGGTGTCGGCCCCGCCGACGAGCTCAACAAGTTCGGCATCCCCGTCATCTCCGACCTGCCCGGCGTCGGCACCAACCTGCAGGACCACTACGAGGTCGCCGTGCAGGGCCACGCCGCCAACGAATACAAGGTCTTCGAGGGCTGCACCTTCGGCGCCCCCGGCGCCGAAGACCCCTGCCTCGACCGCTTCGAGACCCCCATCCTCGGCGACCGCGGCATCTACTCCTCAGGCGGCTTCGCCGCCACCATGCTCTACAAGAGCACCACCACCGTCGACGACAGCTACGACACCTTCGTCTTCGGCGGGCCCGTCAACTTCCGCGGCTACTTCCCGGGCTACAGCGTGAACATCACGGACGCGCACGACTGGTTCACCTGGGCCGTGCTCAAGGGCCACCCGCGCAACACCGCCGGCTCCGTCAAGCTTCGCTCGGCCGACCCGCTCGACATGCCCGACATCCTCTTCAACTACTTCGACACGGGCGTCGGCGACCACAACGCCGACCTGCAGGCCATGTACGAGGCGATCCTGCTCGCGCGCTCCGCCTTCGACCGCCAGCCCGTCCACGTCGCCGAGACCCTCCCCGGCTCTGAGATCCAGTCCCAGGAGGAGATCGAGAACTACGTCAAGGACACCGCCTGGGGCCACCACGCTTCCAGCACCTGCCCCATCGGCCGCGACGACGACCCCATGGCTGTGCTGGACTCCAAGTTCCGCGTCCGCGGCGTCGCCGGTCTCCGTGTCGTCGACGCTTCCGTCTACCCCCGTATCCCTGGTACCTTCACTGCTGTGTCGACCTACATGGTTGCGGAGAAGGCTGCGGATGATATCCTGAAGGGTCTTGAGGCTGATGCTTAGATTTTTCCATTTGGAAGATCTTTTTAATTTTTTTTATCTTTTGAAAAAAGGGGGGTGTGGAGAGTCTAGCTGAGGGCTAGGCTAGATGGATGGTGTTGTATTTTACTTTCGATATTCATCTTTTCAATTTATGTGTATATATAAAAATAGATTTTAATTCTCATGAAGTATATTGACGGTTCTATCAAAGACTGAGTTAGGGAGTAGGCGGTTGTTGTTGAAGCTGCTTTCCGAGGTGATCGTAGATAGCTGGGTTCATGAGCAGGGGAAGGTGATACCATAACTAAGAGAGAAAGAAATGTATACAGATAGGAGCAGAACACGCTGAGGGTATCTTCATTGCCTATATCCCAAATCCTATGCAATCCAGATAGCGGATCCGCTGGCAATAACTACAGATAGATCGCTTGAAAGATAACGAGAATAGAACGTAAAATAAATCAATCAACTTAACCCCATATTCACTTCATCTCCTAACCCCATCTCTCGTTCGGCCCGCTCGGTGCCCCCCGTGGCACGCGTGCCCCATCGATCCAGCCGGTCTTGGGCCTGGACGATCTCCTTGTCGCGCAGGCTGGCGCTGTCACTGCCGTGGGCGCTGCCGTGGACACTGCTGCCATCCCGGCCCCCGGAACTACTGCTGAGACGGGAGACGGGGCCCGAGGGCCGCTGCGGGGGCTGGCGGGACGATGGGATGTTAATCGGTCTGGCGGCGTTGTTCTTTGGAGGATGGCTGCAACTAGGGCTAGAGGTTACTTTCGAGACATCCACGGAATAATCAGGGTTGGTGCATGGCGGTGACGCGGATGCGAGGCTGCCGGATTTGTCGCTTACACTCTTCGAACCCCCAAACCAGCGTCGTCGTCGGGTGGCGGATGCCGTCGACGGGGCAAGACTGTGGGCATCGGAATCGGCTGTTGAAGCGTCCGTAGGTGCTGTTTCACCCTCCACCTCCTTGACCTGGGCCAACGCCTGGGTTAAACCGGATGTCGCGTCCGCCGGGCCGGATCCAACCTCGACCAGCTCGGCGTCGCGACACCACTTGCGTCGGCGGGTGTAACGGTCCCAACCATCCTGGCCGCGACGTCCGTCGTTCCACTGTCGCCGAAAGTTTTATTTCGCGTTAAGCGTGTCCATTTCAAAAGTGAAGACAGGGGAGTGGAAAGAAAGAAAATTTCAGCAGGCAGGCACTCACCTTGTTGTCATAGTAGATCCAACCGCCGCCGTCGGCGGCTCTCGTGTCGGCCTTGGACCCCGACTCGTCGGCACCATCGATGCGCCATTCGCTACCCTCCACCCAACGCCACTTGGCATTGCCACTCTGGACTTCGGGCAGTTCGAATTCCTCGCGGGACGGTACGTTGTTTAGGTGTTCATCAGTCCAGGCGGCGCGCTCGGAGGGGAAGAGGGAGTAGGTCCAGCCGATGCCCAGCCAGCGGCGCTGGTTCTCGTAGATGACGAAAGTGAAGCGGACGCCCGAGGAGTTGCTGCGGCGCCGGGTAGCGATGCTGGCGGCGTGACCGTGGCTCTTTGTAGGGCCCTGAGCAGGCGCACCGGGGGTGGAGAAGGAGAGACCGGTGATGATGGCGCAGATGCGGCGGATGGTCAGGGAGCGCCACAGGATGACGCGGATGACGCGGGCGGGGCGGGAATGGTAGGTCAGGGCGACGGTGCCCACGGCCATGAGCACGCGGCGGGCGGTGATCAGATTGATGGGGGGCACGGTCAAGGCGACCCAGAGCGGGGTGACGAAGAGGATACGGAAGAAGAGGGTGGTGAGGGCGGGACGAGTGGTGGCGGAGGTAGCGGAGCGTTGGGTGGAGAGAAAGTCCGTCAATTCCAGGAACGGTTCCAGGAGAATGTTGCAGCGGGTGGTGAAGGTGCGCACGGTCTCGACGATCTCGTCGAGACTATCATGGTGATGCAGAGAGCCATCGGAAGCGACCCGATGGTGACCGTTCTTCTCGGTAGTAACGGTGCGGGACGACAGGGGCGAGTACCGTCGCCAGTACATGGCCAGAATAAGGGTCATGACGACCAGCGGCGGGCCGGCCCAACAGATGACGGCATCTCCATAGAGCACGACGGACCAAAAGGTGGCCAGAAGTAGGAAGCTCTGCCACGAGTCGCCGGTCGTCCACGTCAGGAGACCGGCCAAACTGTTCAAGGGGAGGATGAAGGGATGGGAGTAGGCCAAGGCGCGAGTGATAGGGGGCGGAGTTGCGACGAGCAGGGGAGATTTGCGATGGACGATGATGCTCGAGCGTTGTTTGGAAGTCAAGGAAGAGCCCGAGATGGTGGTAGGTGAAAAGGCGGCGACGGTAGGCGGGCGCGCAGTGGAGGCGGCGGCATCGGCACCCCCGTCCTGGGCCGACGTAGAAGGGGCCATGGAGTCTATCCACGGAAGATCATCTACATAGGGTGAGGGTCAGCATCAATAGAGCTATCCCAAGAGAGAGGGGGGAGGGAACGGACCGAGAGCTGCCATATAACAAGGAACGTCATAGGAATGGGATCAATGTATGATCCTGTTGGGAGAAAGGGGAAGGGAAAAGGCAAGAAAAAGGAGAGATCGACTAGGGGCCCATATCGAACTTGCGGGGAAGACGAAGACGAAGACGAGGAAGAAGAAGAGGAGAAGAGAAGACGAGATGAAGTCAGAGAACCGAGCGGAGAAGAAGAAAGCGAGAGACAGCGAGAGGGGAACATGTGACGGTATTGGGTACCGTATACATACCGTAACACCGGAGTAAATCAACCGCAATCAACCGGTGGGGCCCGTAATCCGGGGTAAATACCGCCTCTCCCGAGGAACCGACGAACGAACCTAGGCTGATCTACACTTACAACTTACAACACTACGAATATAGAGTGCTCCATTCTCTGCAGATATCCGGACAAATTCCCTGGTTTCTCTCTATCTTTTGCCTTGTATTGATCGGTGTCACATCCAGGCACCGGTGGGTCAAGAAACCCAGAGTATCCAGCAGATATCCATCCACAACGGCCTATCCGAGCTCAAGTCTCAAGTTCCACGGACGGACCATTCGATACAATGCACGATCTCTATCCATTCAGTTGCCTTTCGAGATGGCAGACACGCCTAGGTGGAGATCCAAGAGACGTGGACATGTCATGGACGATAAACCCGCGCTTATCCACTCGAACAAGTCATTGATCAGCGCCGGAATGCATGATTGGCGAGTAGACGTATCCAGACGTCTAGCGGCCAGACTGATGGAGAAAGCTTGACCTAGGATTCTTATGGTCGGCATTCTCTAGGGCTGGGTGATAAACCCCGACAGATTGATTCACTGACATCAGCCTGCCCCAGGTCCAGGACTGATTTGAATACCAACAGCAGGACCGTTGTCATCTTACACATGGGGAGTATATATTCCCGACCTTGGATGCATGCAAGGAGTAAGGGCATAGGTAGGAGAGTAGGACCAGGTGAGATGTATGTACTGTACCAGCGGTGAACTTCAGACATGCCAAGGGAGCTGTTCAATCCCTTGGTGGAGTAACTAGTCTGGACGCTGAAATTAGGATATCCTCCTTGTCTCTACCCCGGATTCTTTGGGGGGTACTAGAATTCAAGGTCAGATCATAAAAATAGCCAGATGTGCCAAGTTACAGTCCAATGTCTCCGACTGTTCTTTTTTCTTATTATCGATCATATTATCTAAGCGTATCATGACAGCTAGAATTCCTAACATCGTCCTCATCCTCTACAGTTGGAGAGGCTACCGGGTACATACGGGTATATATACCTAGTGATTCTTGAACATTCTTCAAAACATTCAAGACCGTGTGGGGTAAACCGGATTGAACTGTTTGTAACTACCTAATACACATCTAATCTATATGAAATAAACACGAGAGTTAATTAAGAAGAGATGGACGTATAGATGGATACTCTGGTAAAGACAGATGTATAACTCGTATAGTATGGAGTTATGCACATGACTCAGCCACCCGATTTGCCGCCGAAATTTTCCCCCGAAAACCGATTCATAAAACATTCTCTTCCTTTCTATTCTCCACCATCACCTTCAACTTCACCTTTCTCCTCTTTCGGTGACCCGGTTGACCTTTAATTATGGTGAGTTCTTTATTCACTTATTATTCTGTCTCCTAGATACTAATCAGCCAGGCCCATCGCATCGTCTCTCAGGTCGTCGTCACCGGCGCCCGCGTCTTCGGGCGGGCCTTTGCCGAAGCCTACAAACAGGCCTCCGCCTCGTCCAAGTACGCTTCCAAGAACAACGGCAAAGGAGGCAATGCCTTTACCTCCTCCGGTCTCACCCTCGACGAGGCCTGCAAGATCCTCAACGTCAAACCCCCGCAAGGCGCCGAGTCCAACCTCGAACAGACCATGGAGCGCTTCAAGAAACTCTTCGACCAGAACGATCCCAAGAAGGGGGGGAGTTTCTACCTGCAGAGTAAAATCCTCCGCGCGCGCGAACGGATCGAGATGGAGGTTCGCCAGGCTCAACGACACAGCGCCCAGGAGAAGGAGCTCCAGGAAGGCTGGAAGCCCAAGGTCTACAAGGACCGGTGATCTTCCCCTGGATCCCCTTTGCCTCTGAACCGAGACAGAGACGTTGTTTTCATTGTGCGACTTTCTTTTCAGGAACTCTCCCGAATTTCTGCGGCATAGCATGGCGTTTTGTTGGTGATCAATCAGTTGGAAGAGACCTAGATCAGTCCTATTCTGTTCGGATGATTATATGCGTGATTTTTCTACTTCTTTTGGGATCTTAATTTCTCCACTCTAGCGTCGGTGAAACCCTTGTATCATAGCCAGTCTGCCGGACTTATATCGGATTAAACATGTATCTATATATCTATACTCAACAAATGAGTCGAGAAAGTCTGATCTGACCGCCTGCGGAGTTGATCCCGATCGTCCATATCGTCCACACGTACACTCTCTCCTCTTCATCCCCCTCACATCTCTCGTCCCCTGCTATAGAACCCCCTGCTATTAATCCATCATGTCCAACCGAGGAATGTCCGCGCGAATCCCATCTAGGCCAATCGGGGGTGAGGATGACACCATTTTGGGGCGGGACGATGGCCCGCCTGTGTCTTCTTAGAAATCGATTTTTTCTTCCTTTCTTTCCTCGGTCTCTCATTCAGCCACCTTCTATCCTCTGTTCTCGAGCTGTCCGGGGAATCAGTCCAGAAAAGAAAGAAAGGAAGAAAAAAACAGAATAAGAAAGAAAGATAAAAAAAATGGCTCCTCTATCAGCCACTCTGGCACCCTTAATTATGGGTACCGCCACCTTCAACTCCCAGTACAACGCCGATCCATACGCCCTGCCCACCACCGAGCTCGTGCATCGCGCCTTGAACAGTGGCATTCGCGCCTTCGATTCCTCGCCCTACTACGGCCCAGCCGAGGAGTTACTCGGTCGCGCCCTCGACACCGACTTTGTCCGCACCAATTACCCCCGCGACTCCTACCACCTCCTCACCAAAGTCGGTCGCATCGCCGCCTCCTCCTTCGACTACTCCCCCGCCTGGGTGCGCCAGAGCGTCCGTCGCAGCCTGCGCCGCCTCCACACCACCTACCTCGACGCCGTCTACTGCCACGATGTCGAGTTCGTCTCCCCCGCCGAGGTCCTCGCCGCCGTCCGCGAACTGCGCCGCCTCCGCGACACAGACGGCTCCGTCCGCCACGTCGGCATCTCAGGCTACCCCGTCGACGTCCTCTGCGACCTCGCCGAGCTGATCCTCCGCGAAACAGGCGAACCCCTCGACATCGTCATGTCCTACGCGAACTTCACCCTGCAGAACACGCGCCTCCGCTCGCGGGCCCTCCCCCGCCTCATCGCCGCCGGCGTCGACGTCGTCCCCAACGCCTCCCCGCTCGGCATGGGCCTGCTCCGCCGCCGCGGCGTCCCCATAGGCGGCATGGGCGATTTCCACCCGGCCCCGGACGCCCTCCGCGACGCCATCCACGCCGCAGACCAGCTCGCCGACGCTAGCGGCGACAAGCTCGAAGTCGTCGCCATCCGCTTCGCCCTCGAGTCCTGGCTGCGCGACGGCGCCCCCGTCGGCGCCCTTGGCCCGCCCCTCGCGCGCGCGCCTCACTCAGACCCAGGCTTCCTCTCCGTCGCGTCTATGGGCACAGGCGAGCGCCTCGGCGTTAGCGTCATCGGCGTGAGCACCGTCGACGAGCTAACCGAGACCCTGCGCGTGTGGCACAGTATCGTCGACGGCCTGGAGAACCGCGACGACGACGTCGACATCGACAACACCGAAGCTGAAAAGACCAGCCCACAAGACACTATGCCAACAACACTCACCCCCTCCGACGGCCTCATCACCGACCGCGCGTGGTCGCGCTCCAGAAGAACTCACATCCTCGACCTAGCGACACAGATCCAGTCCGTCCTCGGCCCGGAATGGGTCGACTACGTCTGGGCTAGTCCGGGCCCGGATTTCGTTAACATCCTACCAGCTGACCATTTGGCTGCGTTGGAGAAGGATGTAGACGCAGACGCAGAGAAGCCTGTTGATGCCCTTCCCCCGGCAGCGGCAGCAGCAAACGCCATGGTCACGCCTCCCATGGAGGCCATTGATCAGGAGCAGCGGGACCCGATGGTGGCTGCGCCGGCGAGTATTACTCTGTAGATTGTTCTTTTTTTTTTTTTTTTTTTTTTGCCTGCCTGGTAGATTTGTGATTGAATGATTGTTATGTTATGTTATGTTATGCTATGTTGTGCACATACCCTGTTTATATCTTCTTCTGCTTCTTCCACTCCTCTTTCTTCTACTACTTCTTTTTGTTGTTGTTGTTTTTGCTGCTGCTGCTGCTGCTGTTGTTTTCCTTCCGCTGCATTCATACACTCACCTCTGTTCCCCGGGTATATATGACCCGGCTTCATCAACCATCTGCATGTTGTTCACTACCTACCTAGTATACCATCCGCGTTAGAGATAGACTCATATCCCATATATACTGTCCATCCATGCCATGCCATGCCGTGCATCGTACTGTAGTTCACAACCCCACAAATCAACCCCCAACCCATCCCGTACCACCGTGTATCACATTCCAAACTCCCACCCCATATCTCTCACCCCCCCCCTCTCCAAGCAAACGCATATAGCGCTCCCATAGTGAGGAGGATTGAGGGGAAAGGAAGAGGGGAGGGAAAACGTAACATGGCAAACGACACAGAAACCGAGGTCTCCACGACGTCTGGCCCAATTCAATTGATTGGTTTCTAAACTCTCGGCTGTCTGGTCACATCGTGTTTCTGGTCATCCAACACATGATGTATACCTACCAACCGGTATCTATTTCGGACTGAGCTTGAACCTGGGCCTGAACCTCGACCTGAATGCCGGGAAGCGTAATCGTGCCTGAGCCAACAGTTCTGTAGGTCAACAGTTCTGTAGGACCGTTAGCGATATCACATGGCCTTGGTCGGGTTCAAACACCTCCACAAGGCCAACCCTGGTCCTCCTGACCGAACCTAGCCAAACTCGCGAGATGAGTGAACTCCCAGGCCCGTCCACGACGACCGCTGCGCAATCAAGAGACGAATCCACCATCCGAGAAATAAAACTCCAAAACAGCCACGCCCGTGCGCCAACTCAAACCATCCAATGGGTATCAGAAAGAGAATGGTTACAATACAGAACATGGGAAAGACCGTCGCTAGCATCTAATGTACAGCAGGGGGCCATTCTCGAAAGAACAACCAACACATCACGTCAAAAGGAACCTCGACCCCTATACTTTAGGGGAAAAGAGGAAGACGGCGAGCAAGAAAGAAAGGAAAAGAGTTTCATCATGCCGAATTGGTCTGCTTGGCTTCTTTTTCGCGAAGAATGAGGTCCTTGTCCATTGCGGATTGGTCCTTGTACCCGCCAAGACTCAAAGCTCTCTCGTTACTAATGGAGGATGGAACCGAGGGTATGTCCGGACGCAGACGCCGAAGACGGGCAGCACGCTCCTTTGACGCCTGCTGCTTCCGCTGGGTCTTCGTCAGCTTCTCCTTCGATTCGGCCGGCGGCGGCGGTTTGGCAGGCAGCGGCGGCGGCGGCGGGGGAACTGCATCAACCGGTGGCGGCGGCATTTGAGGTGGCGGCGGCGGGGGTGTGGGCGGCTGATGATACTGGGCGAACCGGGGGTGGGTCTGGAATACCTCATACAAATGGGCCCTTTGGTCTGCATACTCCTCGTAGTTGGCGGCGATGATAGCGTCGAGGATGCTGGCGTGGGCATCCCCGGCCATGGCGGCGGAAACCATCCGATCCTTCAGATACTGATATGCTTTGGAGAATGCCCGGAAGATCAAAGCGATCTCCCGAGTGCCGCCGGAAATATCATTGTCGGGGTTGTTCGGATCTTCAATGGCAAGGCGAGAGTTGTTGTTCTCTTTGTAGGCCTGATAAACTCTCTTGTTGAAATACCCCGGCGGGTCCATGCGGATGCCGACGGTGTCATAATCGAAGCGGTCTCCATAGAATTCGAAGAAATCCATGAGAATACCGCCTAGGTTGGGAGACATCCGGCCGTGGGGCAAATGCTGCAAGAGGCTCGTCACTAGGCAAGTGATTGAGAACCCACCCAACCCGCCAGTCGGCACCTCATTGAGACCGCGGAGCAGCAAGAACTGCTTGATCACGGAGACGATGACAGGCATGGCCGGATACTCATCCCGCCACTTGACAAAGGTCTCGTTGGCAATGAGCCCGCTGTCATTATCGAACGACAGATCCACTCGCAGCCCGGTCATTCTGTCCACGAACTTCAAGATCGGCACCCGGGCAAAGGCAATGGCCTCCACGGACCCTGGGACCGCAATGTCCTGGGTCCTCAGATACGCCGCAAATGCATAGATCTGCCCCTTGCGCTCGCCAAATGCCCGGACGCCAGACCGCATGAAGCTCGTGGAGAGGAGGACCAGATCGATGTCCGCCGTAGGCAGGTAGAGCCCCGAGGCAAACGATCCAAATGATCGGATCTGCACACCGTAGTATCTGCTCTGGAAGGAAGACTGGAGCCGCGCCACCAAGTCCGCTCGGACGATCTGTTCGTAATACAGTGGCTTGACCCAGTGGTAAAAGCTCAGGATCTCCGTGTGCAGCTTGGTACCCATGTGCAAAGACGGCTCCATCCCGCTGAGCCAAGGCGCGCTTGGCCCAGAAGGACGTGCTCGCCATTCATCTATGATCGACCCATCGCTATAGAACTTACTCACGGGTTTCCCAGTTTTCTTGGGTGCGCCCTTGATCTCATCATCGTGTGTTCTCTTGCGACTCCCGAGGGTGGCATCCCCAGACTGTTGCTGGCTTCGCGGGCCCGTGGGGGCGTCCTCTGGTGGTTGTACCGCTTTTTCCTCCTCGTCCACCAATCCGCCGAGCGAGATGAAGTCTTCGTTATCAGCCACAGCATCCGTTTTCGTCTGTTGTGACGCGGTCGCCGCAAGCCGCGCCTTTCGAATCAGCTTGACGACATCCACTTTCTTCGATTGGGTCTCATCGGGAGGAGGTAGCGCCGTGTACGGGTCGGGGTTGGACCACTTGGGCGCGGGGGGCGCAGGGACCGGGCCTCCTGCACCCGAGCTGCTTTCCACGGCGCGTCTTTTGCGTGGGTGGGATGCTTCATTGTCCTCGTCCGACACGTCCATATCGGTTTCTTCGCTATCGCTGAGGTTCTCGATCCGGGCAAATTTCCTGGACGGCTGCTCATCCCCGGTACCCGAGGCCGTCAACAGCTCCGGGGTCGCCTCTCTTTTGGATCTCAAAAGCGGACGCTCTGCTGTTCCCGGCCTCGGGTAGCGAAATGAAAACTCGCGCCGTCCTTGATAGTTGTTGTTATATGGCCGTCGGTCATTCCCTCGATTCCCTCGAAATTCGAAGGCTGGAGGTGGCATGGTGGAGACAGGACGCCACAGTCGATTTCAGGAAGAAGAAGAAGAAAAATAAAAATAAAAATAAAAGAAATAAGAGAAAAGGAAAACAATAGGAGAAGAAGAAGTGGGAATGAATTGCACGAAGATGAGAGAAGTGAACGGGGAAAGAAGATCTAGATGGCGCACTGTCGAAAACAACGATCGCGACTCGGTCGTGCGTCCTTTCCTTTTTTTTTTCTTGTTGGAAAAATGCGACAAATGGCCGAGGCGGTGACAGGCTGGATTGGGAAGGCGGTGAGCCCGAACTATACAGGATAGGGCACGTCTCTATAACCACCATCTGGCGATCATGGTCCTCTACAAGGAAGAATAAGTGGACAAGATAATTGAACGAAAGCAGGTCCATATACTACTGCATGTACTCTATTGGTCCTGTCCCGGCGGTTTCAAGCACCAGGTTGTCGCTCTCGAACAATCTGCCCCGGGCCCCATTCCTGTAATCCAGCCGTCAAATGCTGCATCAGGGTCCGATCCAAGGCCATCTCCTCGAAACTGACCCTCCCGGTGGCCCATGCCACCCATTCTTCGGCCATGGCTCCGCTGCCGGCCTGAAGCAGGCCGACGCTTACGTCCAGAACGCGGGGTCGTTCGTCGCAATGCCAGAACACCGTCGCCCCGCAGCGGTGGCAGAATTCCCGGTAGATGCCCGGAGAGCTTTCATATCGCTGCATGGTGCCTGTGCCAAGAGGGTGCGGTGATCCATCTGCATTGCGGATGTTAGATATGGGGACAAACGCCCATGACTGGATGGGAAACCCGCTGGCTAGGCGACACGTGCGGCAGGCGCAGCAACCTGCCAGGTACCGAGTGTTCCCGTCGCGGAGCCACCACTTCGCATCGGTCGCATTCGCAGAGGATCCGCTATGGTAAGGAACCAACAGATCTGGCCATGGGGAGGATGCTTCGGTAGAGGAGGCATCTGGGGGGGTGATCCGCAGGTCAATGCCTGTGCAAAAACACCGGACTGGCAACTCTCGTCGGTCCTGTGCAGACCGCTTCGGTCTCGATTCACCAGCCTGTTTGGAAGGATCCAAAGAAGCGTCAAGCCAACAAGAGTTCGTTGGATACGCCACCTCCGCATGGCACACAGCTGCCAGTCCGCCGTCTCCAGTATCGTCAGTGCCCCAATGTCGGATCGACTTGGTCTCGGGTGGGCGCTCCAGCAATCCCGCAGCAACGAAATATTGCTCCGTAGGTTTCACATACGCAAAAACATGGGCGCCGCAGGCTCTACAGAAATATCGAGTAGTGCATCCAGAGTGTTGATACGCGACGAGTCCCTCTTGGTGGGTCGGGGGGGACTGTAGGAGATAGTATGAGGAGCAAAGGACCCCCGTGATTGACCTGCAGGTGGTGCAATGACACAAGTTGAGACTCGAATGGTTCAAAGACGGTCCTAGAGCAACCTCTTGCGCAGCATTCCCGCATATGCAGGAGATGCGACATGTTGCCCGCATAGTCTGCATGGCAGTGTCACTAATTGACAACGAGGCTGCAGTCCATCCAATTCCAGTTCTGTAATTGCGGTTGAGTAGAGAAACCCATACAACCGAGTGGTGTACTATCTTTAGGAATGATCGTATAGTCCAGGATCCTATGCGTGGGTAATCAGGCACAGTCAGTTTCAGACCCTCTAGCGGGGTAGGTCGCAGAAGATATGTAAGAATGATCTCTTGTGTCCTTCAATTTAGTCCTTTTTCAGCATTGTCCACTTCTATTTTCCTGAGTGAGATCCTCTCCCCAAACCTTGATCTCTTTAATTGAGGCATCAAAGCACATGGTTGGTGGCGAAGTACGAGGATGAGGAGTCGACGTGCAGAAATGTGCTCAAAACCGAAGCACTAGCTCCTAACATTATACACCTCCTAGCAGTCCACAGTCAATTGCATTGTATTAATAACCGCATCGGGAGATCGAGTCTGAACCAAGGTTGAACCATTGCTGGAACTGGAGAGAAATGGAGAAAAATGACGGGGCAGGAACGGGAACAAAGCCAGGCACCAACGCCGGGACGATACTATATATATAAGGCGCTCCATCCTCCTCTTTTTTCCACTCGGACTTTTCTTACAACCTACACTCTCCTCTTCTTGAACACACTTACGAACCTCACGAAATAAAAAACCACCTCTTTCAACACACCATCATAATCATGTGTAAGTCCCTCTTACTTCTGATACCCTCCATAAAACTACGCCATCCCCTGTCTTGTGGTTGGTAGCGGGGTAATGATTGCTAAATGGCGGGGTCGACCTGACGTCTCATTTGGCGCTTTCCCCTCCCCTGCTGGCTCCTGGCAAACAATCAAGCCCGAGGATTTCCCAGATATTGGATCGCGGGGTCATGTTCCATGGATATTATCGAGACTGGTGCGCTGACTTTGGTTTGTTTAGCTGATCACGGTTGCTCCTGTGGCGCTTCTTGCCAGTGCCCTACTGGTGGCTGCAAGTGCCCCGTAAGTGTCGCGCTTCTGGCTGGTTCGATGTTCCTTTACTGACCAGGTTTGTCGTATCGCAGAAGAAATAAATTATGGGCAAGAGATGAAGAACGGGAGAGAGAGTAGACACGGGGGAATGGGTTGAACTCGGGAAGTTTAGAGGGATATCACAGACAGCGATTAGGGTGGCTCAAGAGTTGATGGGAGAGCTCGGTCATTTTTTAGCTATCTCTTGATATTCTTGCCAACAAAATCATCAGGAGAGACAGCGTCGTGGTTGTTTGCCTTTCGATAACCGCGACAGTAACGTTGTAGACTCGTTTAGAATTACAGAGTTTGATATCCCCATGGCTCGCTAGCAACGTAGTAGGGAGTATTACATTACCACTGTCGCCTCTTCCCTACAGTTGAGGGCCACAATGGAACAGTGGTATGATTACAAGATCACCAATATGTTGCAAGATTGCAAGAAATTACCACTCGGCTACAGAGATAACACGACCCTTTCAACCTACACAAGTAACTCTATATCCAGTGCGACAATGCAATGAAATCGCTGGGCTGCGTCGGGCAAGTGGTAGCATCCACTACACATGCACAACCTCAATCTCCCATCAACTTCGGCCGTGCGTGTGACAAGGCAAACCCTTGCTCTCCCATCCATTTGGTCCTAAATCCTCCGGGCTGTTCCATCTCGGAGCCCAAGTGGAGCAATACACTGGTCGTGTTCATCCGAGGACTGAGCCTTTTTTCGCGTTTTGCGTCTTGCGCCTTGCTGGTGGTCCGAAGTTTCCCCCCCACCCTGCGTCTTTTACGCTTCTGCTCGAGGTGAGAATCTTTGACCGCTGCATTCTTTTCTTGCGGCTTGCGCGGGTGGGTTCACTGGGTTGTCCGATGTGCTGTGAGGCTTATGACTGGCTGATGGCTAGGTGGGCGATGGATCATGTTGGATGTTGATGTCCCCACGCTGCATGTCACCACTGCGTGATTTTTCTTTTTCTTTCTTTTTCTTTTGCCCTCTCTTTTTTCATATCATCAGTCAATGTTAGTTACCAATAATGGGACCGACTAATAGCAAAATTCGTGCAGAAGCTCCGACCTCATGGAGACGATGGTGGGTCACTGGCCAATAATACGAGAAAGACCTAAATCCGAAGAGAGATTGCGAGTGACAAGTTACTATATCCCTAGTCTCCTTCTCACTCTCACTATATAGCAGTATTTGAAAAGACGTCACAGACTGGAGTTATAAAACCACCGGTCAGCATAGAATATCCCTATCAAGTTAGAGGGGGGCATGCAAGCCTGTCAAGTTTCAACCATAACATCCAATATCCAGTATCCAGTATCCAGTATCCACAATATCATGACGTTTCAGGCACCTACCTTCCTAGCTTCCAGTATCTCGGCTTTAGATCGGTAGTGGAGTACATACTGCAACAGGCGAACGACATAACATACCGGGCTAGCAAACTCTCTCTCTCACTTGCTTTTACTTGCTTGCTGCCTTACCTCCATCATCCCCGCCACAAAACCCATGTAACTTTACTCTTGCTCCCGACCTGTGCGCCCCTCCTCCAAACGTGGCATGATAGTCGAGAGCGGAGCGTATCATATCTAAATATCACACAGTGCGTTCGGAGTGGATCGCACCGACCTGGTTTGTCCAGTGTCTCTGTCGTCTTTGCCCGACTGAATCCGTGCCAGACGGGAAATTCGTAGAAGCTTGAACGAATTAGAATAGAATACAATATAAACCATGAGAGGGATGGTGGGAAAGTAGACCACACGGCAGATGCAATCTGGGCAGCCATCCACTTAGCCACGCCCTCCCACCCCCCACTCATACTCGTGAATTGAGAGGACCACAGCCCAGATGCAGCCGAGCCAGATCATCATCAGTGCGTCTAGAAAAGTGAGCAGATTGGCTGAGACGATAGTGGGAGAGGTCAGATGGAGTATGACGAAGATAGACTGAGGTGGGGTGAAAGAGTGATGGACAGAGAGAGGGAGAGAGGAGGGGGAGGGAAGTTAGATGCCAGATGGTGCCTGATTTGGCTTACTTTATTTTATATCTGAATTATATATAAACCTTCCCACCCGGTTCTGACCTTGTCTGTTCTCAGTCTTGAATCCAACCGTCTATTGCCTTCTTATACCTCCAATCTATATCAATCTCCCAAGGAATCTCCCAACCTCCCAACCACCAACCACATCCACCATGTCTCCCTGCTCCTGCAACTGCTGCCCCGGAGAGTGCAACTCTTGCTCTTGCAACACCTGCTCGGTTAGTTTTGTCTACCTTTATCTAGCGTCTGTTCGCATGACTGACCTCAACAGCACTAAATCAATAATACCACCGTTATGACTGTCTGACACCGGGCGACGAGCATTGAGTATGGACGGAGGAGGACTGAGTCGGAGCTGACCGGCGCACTTGTTTGGCATTGTCGGCTTGCTCTACATGACTTGCGCGGCGTGGGATCGAGTGGGCGTGGGGTTGTTCTTACGATGTGACTAGTTGTCCTGGTTGATCGAGACTTTATGCTTGAATATAAAAGCCTTCTGTGCTGAACCTCCGGGTCTAATCGACAACTCTATATACCGTAGTGAGAGTACCTCAACGTGTATAACTGATAGCAGGGTCTCTAAATGAAAGAGTGGAGCTAGGTGAATGAATGCTACAAGTCAAAATTCCTATATGTAGATAGTGACACACTAAAGCTTTCCTAAACATCTTACAATTCGTCCTTGTTCCGCGGCGGCGCTGTCCCTTCTTGCCCGTCCGTGCATACAGCCGGCGTCGTCACCTTCATAGAGTACACACACTTCTCATCCTCGTTGATCTTCAGGATCTCGTTCTCCTCGCCACACTCCAACACCACGGTCGTGGATCGGCTGGGGCCCTGCCAACAGGCCTGCCCGTTGGCATACTCCAGGGTCATCTTCTCCACCGGGACGATCTCGCCCGCGTTGTTGAGCTCATCCTTGGTCACGGACCCGATGCGCACAAACTTGCCCATCCGAACGGAGGAGCCGCCCTTCTTGGAGTTCTGCTTGGTCTGGTCCAGGAAACAGTGCTCGTACGAGTACTCGCCCGAGTCTCTTGTGGTGCACACGCCCTTCAGCGGCCGCAGAACAGAGCCAGGTCCGTAGTCGGTTTCTAAATCTGACTGGTGGTCCTTCAACTGTGTCTTTAGCTCCCCGAGCCGTTTCTCTTCCGCCTTGACGGCGTCGCGGGCTTCGGTCACGACCTTGGACTCGGAATCCGGGCTGCGGTCGGTCTTGGGCAGGATGTCGTTGTTTTCAAGGAAGCCCCTCAGCCGAAGCGCCTTGTCTTCGATGAAGCGCACAAGGGAGGGCGGGAGGTAGGCCGCCAGCTTGTAGACTGCAATTGATTAGCCCCCATCGTGACATCAGTAGTCCAATTCACATACCAGTGTCCACTTCGCATCCATCTTCACCCTCGTTCTCCCAGTGCTCCCAGTTAATGCCGGACTGGTCATCATCCGGCTTGCTGATCTCGTCCAGGTCGCGATCTCGGGCACTGTTTTCGAGATCCTCGGATGTTCCCCGAGCCGCATAATCCTCCCAGCTACGCACCGCACGCTTGACCCCCTCGTCGTTGAAGTTGGGGTTGTACTCGACCTTGAACTTGGACAAGATCTCCTCCAGCTCCTTGACACGAGACCGGGCCTCATCGCGCTCCTTGCGAGTCTCCGTGAGAGCGTCCCGCAGTTCCTCAACCCGGGTCTTGGCCAACCCAGCCAAGACATTGACCTTGCCCCCCTTTTTGCCTTTCACGACCTTGCTCGCCTCCTGCTTCTCAATATCCACTAGATCGGCCTCCATATCCTTGACCTTGATCTCCTGGCCCTGGATCTCCGCCTCGAGGGCCCTGATCGCATCACTGATCTCCGTCTCTTTCCGCGCCGCTTCCACAAGCAGCGCCTTCTTCTTCTTCAACGCCGCCGTCATGGACTTCTGCGTCTTTTCTTCCTTCTTGCGCCACGCCTTGCCAATCTCCTTGCACCGGTCTTCGCATTTCGTTCCTCCGACCCGCGCCCACTCGTCACTCCCGTCGCAGCATAGCTCGTAGTCACAGATCCCATCGTTGACCCGCTGGAAGGGAACATAAGCCGGCCGATGACCCTTGTTCTTGCAGTAGAATCCCGGCAGAGCGGGGGCCAGCTCCATGTCGCTATAGCCCGGGCGATCCGCAGGCGTCAGAGCGGAGTGCCGGGACAGGTGGGAACAGGCTGACGTCCCGGGCTCGTCGCTGCCGTCGGGACAGTCACAGTAGTCATCGTTTACCGCCGAGAAGGGAATCTCGACCGCCGGATGGGAGATGCAGCTGAAGGTGGTGAGGTCTTTGTAGAACTTGGCAACTATTGCATACGTTAGCACCGTATTCGACCCGAGAACTGTCCAAGAATCGGAGGGTTCCCCACTCCCCTCCAATTCCTCAATGAGAAAATACAAAAAATAAAAAAAGAAAACTCACATTCTGGACCAACTCCCCGTGGCCGCGCCGAACCATCACTGGCACCCTCCACCAGCGTCGAGCACGCGACTAGGCTCGCGAAGAAAAGCGATCCCTGAGGCAATATCATCATGACAACATCGGGCTTGTGTGCCAATTCCGGGGTTAGTATTCAGGAGAATTGAAGAGAGAAAGAAAGTGTTGGGGATTGAAGAAGAGCTGCAGTGGGCGAGGATGGACGATGGACTTGGCCAGCTGTTGACTTACTGTCTCCTTCGAGTCTAGTTGAGTCGGTCGTATTTATGGTATTGACTGCGTAACACTGGTAATTAAGGCAGGAATCTGGGGTGAGCTCCACCTTAGTCATCCTCGCCTTCTTCATCTTTCTTATCGGTGGCGGGCCGCATTTCATTAACCATTCTCTTCGACAGACGTTGTGTCGCAAAACTTTTTTGACGATGGGTAATGACGGTGGAAGGTGAGTAGAGACGCCATTCTATGCCTGTTATCTCTGTCAAGATTACTGACTCACCCATCTCTAGTATCCCCACTCGCCGCGAGCTCGTCCGCGAAGCCGCCAAAAACCCCAGCACAGCGCAACTCAAAGAAGTGCAGCGCGAACAACAAGAGCACGCCTGGACGACCTGCCCGCTCTCGCACAAGCAACTAATGCGCCCGATCGTCTCCGACAGCCTCGGGAACCTCTACAACAAAGACGCGATCCTGAAATTTCTCCTCCCCGGCGAAGAGCCCGAGGGCATCAGCTCCCGGGCCGACTGCGAAGAGTTCCTGGGCGGACGGGTCAAGGGACTGCGCGATGTGGTGGAGTTGAAGTTTGAGATTGATACTGAGCGCGAGCAGCATCCGAGTCATAAGCTTGATAGGCGCGAGGGCTGGATCTGTCCCGTGACGGCTAAGCAGCTCGGTCCTAGCGTTAAGTCGGTGTATCTGGTTCCTTGTGGTCATGTGTTTTCTGAAGAGGCTGTTCGCCAGTTGAAGGAGGATAAGTGTTTACAGGTATGTCATGCTCTGGATAGGTAATGCGCGAAGGGATATTCGGACTAATGTCGAGCGCAGTGCAACGAACCGTACACGGAAGACAACGTCATCACTATTCTCCCCGCCAAAGAGAGCGACAAGCAATCGCTCGTCGCGCGCAGCCAACGCCTGGCCGAACAGGGCCTGACGCATTCCCTGAAGAAAGCGCCTGGCACCAAGAAGCGCAAGAAGCACGCCAACGGGGAGGCGAAGGTCGTCGCCTCCGAGAAAGCAGCCGGGTCCGGCTCCGACGCCCAACCGCCCAAGGAACAACCAACCGCCGGACGAAACGATAAAAATACCCCCAACGGAATTAAGAACGCAGCAACCGCCACCTTGACAGCCCGGATCCTGGAAGAGGAGAACGAGAAGAAGAAGCGCCGGAAGATGATGGGCGGTAGTGGGACCCTGGACAGTCTTTTCAGCAAGACGGATGGCCGGGAATATTCGAATACTGACTTTATGACGAGGGGGTTTTCGCTTCCTGCGAATGCGCGAAAGTGATGGACTTGTTGCATTGACTTAAGGCGTTTCTGTTTTGGGGGATTATTCTCATTTTTCTTGTTGTTATATTTATTTATTTATTTTTGCATCAAGGGAGTTAATTCTTAGTACAACCGATCAAGCAATATTCAGACCCATCATTGTTGAATAGTTAATTGTTTTCAAATTTCTATAATACAGAAAGACCTCTCAGAATAAATATAACATGCTACAAGAACGACAAGACAAGGGAGCAGCAGACAGGCCAGCCACTCTACTCGATCAGGCCTCGGGCGCGCAGCTCATTCTCAATGACCTTCTTCCGACCCAGCTCTTCATCCTTGTCCGAGGGCTTCTGCCTCTTCGTGAAGATCTTGACGTTCGGCAAGTCAAGGAGGCTCTCATTACCTGTCAGGTGCTCCGCCAGCTTCTTGGGCTTGGGCTGGATCACGGCTTGGATGTGGTTCACGGCCTCTTGCACGGTCGAGATGGATTGGATGACCGGGTCCGGGAAGAAGTGGCCGCTCAGCTGGGACAGGCGCTTCAGGTACTGTTGTGCGGGAGTTTGTTAGCCAAATATCTCTCCTCCACTGTAGTTGAGGCGGAAGGGGCATCACTTACAGCGAATTTAAGGGCCGGATCGTTCAACGGCAGCGACAGGAAGCCGCTATCCTTCACATCCTGGTATCCAAAGAACGGCAACCGGTGACCGTCAACCTCCGCCGTTTCCTCGTATTCAACCGCCTCGGCATCTTCCTCTGCGGCTTCCGTCGCATCCACCGGCGCAGCAGCAGCCTGGGGCTGGCCCCCGATCTGCTCGAAGATGTAGACGAGAGCATTCTGCGCTTCTTTATTCGGGTAGACCAGGGCGTCGCCCCATTGGCCGTTCGCGGTGGGCTGGACCTTGCACTTCCAGAGTAGTTTGAAAACGGGCTTTTCGTGCTCCGCGACATCGCAGACGCTCGTCAAGGGCTTGCCGAGGGATTGCATCAGGCAGAGCTCCACCGCGGCTTGGTGGGCAGCCAGAGACAATTGGCCCTTCTTGGTGAGTCTCTTGTTCAGCGAGAACCTAGGTAGCACGAATTATCAGCGAGGGTCCTTAATCTCCCAATTGAGGCATTAAAACAAGAGAGAAAAGCAGGGAGGAAAGAAGTAAATCCTCCGACAAAAGAAGACCGGGAAAGAACATACGATTGGTACGTATCAACCTCAGAAGGACCATAATTCGACCACTCCCCAAGATGGCCAACACGCGTAAGACCCTCCCACGTAGTCGCCGGCTCATACGTATCATCAGCCGCAACCTCCTCAGCACCAGCATGCTCATGCTCAGCGCCGACAGCCGTCTCCGCAGCCTGCTCGCCCTCCGCCTGCTGGGTCTGATTCTTCCGGAACTTCTTTTCAAACACACCCTCCCCTCCATACGGGTCCTTCAGGCCCGGCGGGTTATCCGTGCCCCAGATCTTGCGGCGCACACGCTCCGTGACCGGGGTGGTGTTGGACGAAGCGTTGCGTAGGAATTGGCGGGCGATCAGCGGGCGCGGACGCGCTTCGTGTTGGCAGACCGTGCAGACATAGAGAGACCGAGGCCCCTGCAGGGACGAGGCCTCCAGCTTCAGTAACCGCAGTGAGGGACGCATGGTTGGCTGCGGTGGATGGGGAGGATTGATCAATCGGCAAATGGTCAGATCGGACGGGGAGAAACTTTGACTTTTTGGGGCGTCGGCGGATAATTCACGTGACTGAGATAATGTTTGTATTAGTCATCTATGTACATAAACAATAGTTGACTAGTTAGATACAGAGTAGGAAAAGGTAATGAAGCATCGCTGTGTTTTCTACAAGTATTACCTCTTGAGAAGTCTAATATTATCTATGGATGTGCTGTCGTCTGGTTCGAACGCAGACCCTGTTGCTGCTGTCGCCGGAACGAGTCGATGCAGCCTTATAACCACCCGACCCAAAGCTAGCACTATAAGTACTATCCAAGACCAAGAGAGAAACCTGAAAAAAAGATGGTGTGCAAGATGCGGGCTACTTAGTCGATGTGGATGTTCAAGGAAGGATCACGACAGTGCTGTTTTTGCTTGGGAATCGAGGAAATCATTTTCAGTTTGGCTCAATACAGTGCTGGTATCGTTATAATACTTCTAAGCCCATTTTCATATATACATAGTTCATGCCACCAGTCATTTCTAGTCTATTCCCGCACAAACATGCCGGCCATACCCATGCCCGTTCCGATACACATGCTGACCACACCGACTTCCTGGCCGGTGCGCTGCAACTCCGGCAGAAGGGTAGCCAGCTGTCGGGCACCGGTAGCACCCAGAGGGTGACCGATAGCGATGGCGCCTCCCTTGGGGTTCACCTTGGCTTCATCGATCCCGAGTTTACGGGTGCAGTAGAGCGCCTGGGAGGCGAAGGCCTCGTTGAGCTCCCAGATGTGCACGTCGCTGACGTTCATGTCCAGCATTTGGAGGAGCTTGGGGATGGCAACGGCCGGACCGACGCCCATCTCGTCGGGAGCGCAGCCAGCCACGGCGGTGCCGACCCAGCGGCCCTGGATGGACGAGGACAGACCCAGTTCGGTGGCGGTGGAGCGGCGCATGAGCAGCGTGGCGGCGGCGCCGTCGCTCACCTGCGAGCTGTTTCCGGCCGTGCTGGTGCCATCTGCCGCAAAAGCGGGCTTGAGCGAGGCCATCTTCTCGACGGAGATGTTGGGTCGGATCCCATCGTCCCGGGTCACTGTGATCTCCTGGGGCGGCGCGTCGGGGTTCTCCGGGTCGATGGACCGCGTCTTCACGGAGACGATCTCGGCGTCGAAGCGGCCTTCGGCCTGCGCCGTGGTGGCCTTCTTGTGCGACTCGGCGGCGAAGACATCCTGGTCGGCGCGAGAAATGCCGTAGCGAGAGGCGACGTTCTCGGAGGTGATTCCCATGGGCATGATGCAATCGCGCGAGTCGTGGGAGGGGGACTCCTTCAGTTCGGGCCACAGCACCGTTGGGATGGCGCGCGAGCCGTAGTTGCGGGTCATCGACTCCATGCCGCCTCCCACGCCGACGTTGATGGCGCCGGCTCGGATCCCGTTCGCGATGGTGCTGATGGCGGCGAGACCGGAGGAGCATTGGCGGTTGATGGTGTGAAAGGGGGCGGTGTGGGGGAAACCCGCGTGGATCTGCGCCATGCGGCCCGCCTTCGCACCGCCGAGCTCCTGGAGAACGGAACCGATGGCGACATCATCGATCAGGGCCGGGTCCAACTTCGGGTTGGCCTCGAGGGTGGCCTTGAGGACATGGGCGAGAAGCTCCTCCGGGTAAGCATCCTTGAACCCGCCTTTCTTCGCACGCGTTACTGGCGTCCGGAGGGAAGAGAGGATGACGATATCAGACGGCGATTTCTGAAGGACTTGGCGAAGTCCCCGCGGAACTGGAGAAGCCATGTTATGTAGGAGTTATATAGAGAGATCTCTATAGAGGGATAGATAGATATATGTGGAGTGGTTCGGCAGTGTTATTTGATCTGCAGCCGATAAGGGTAGATGACTAGGAAGAGTCACAGTATATTACCCCGCACGAAATACGCTGGGAGACAGTCGCATACTTATACCACAAACCATCAGAGAAGAAGAAGAGAGAGAGAGAGAGAGAGAGAAAGCAGAAATAAAAGAAGGATCCGGGGGGAAACTCGGTCGGCCATTGAAGCTGGTCCGGCAACGAAGATCGGCTAAGAGCTCATCCGCCGAGGGTAACGCGCATCGCAGTCAAGGTGGAGACCGGATCGATCAATCGCGTTTATGCGGGGGGAGGAACTGGACTATTTGATTCGCATCCATCCCTGCCATTGTCAAGGATTGTATCTCATCTGGACGAGATCGAGGCACGAAGACAGGACAATCGATAAGCTACAGTTCGGTAGAACGAGGATGATGGAGGTGCTTACGTCAGCGTATCGGGAGGCTTATCGGATAAGATCGATTATGGCGGTATATCGAATGAGGATAACCGGGGACAACAGTAGAAGGAAAAATATAACAATGGATTAAAGAGAATAAATATGAAGATAATGTCCAATCAATCAACGCCGACGCCCTGTTCATAATCTGTCCGAGTGAGGCCTGGTATCTTTACAAAGAAGAAAATCGAGTGAAAATACAACAGTAGAAGAAAACAGAAAAAAAGAAAAAGCGGTCATCAGTCCCGGATGATATGGCTATAGTGACCGGGAACCTTGCGACGGCATTTGTCACAGTCACTTCGATAGCCCATCGAGAATCCCACTTTTTTCTTGCTGGTGGCAGCCGTTGTCCCAGACGATGACGGCTGTGGGGACTCGACGAGGAACCCCCGGGGAGGTCCGTCTGGGGCGACTTGCCATTTCCGGGGCTGGTCGCGCGGGGAGAGCGGATGAAAGGTCATCTCGGTGTCGCTGGGGGAGCATCTCGCGCTAGTCGGATAATCTGCGCCGTCGCTGACCGGACTGGGCAGGCGTGGCACCCACCACCCGTCCGGACTGGGACCGTGGTTGTGCTCTGGAGTAGACGAAGGCATCGCGTCTCCTGCGCCGGATCCCATGGATTGGAAGTCGCTGATAGTGAGGGACTCGTTGATGCGGCTGGACGGGAGCGGTGATGGCTGGAATAGATTCGGTGTCGGGTCCGAGTCCGGGTCCGGGTGCAGATGGTGACCGGAGTCCCTCCCACTATCAATGTCCATCTCGGTGCTTGCCGACCGGACACGCGAGGGTAGATTCTGGTGCGCATGCCGGCTGTCTATCCCGGTTGGGGGTCGACTCTTCCGGTCATCCTCGTCCTCGGACGATTCCACCGGGGTCAAATTGGATAACCCGACTCGGGAGTTGACCCGGGTGGCGGGAGCGACGGGGGGTTTATGTACGGAAGGGGAGGTAGAGGTACGGAGAGTCAACGGACGGAGTCTCTAGAATGGAAGTTAATTCATCGGACTCGAACTAGAGAAAGGTAGTATATCACCAACCCACCTTATTTTCGGGATATCTCTCACACGCGTCCCCCCACTCTTCCGTCTCTCGTGGGCGTTTCCCCGGAAAACCGAACATGACGGAGAACCACTGAAGCCAACTCCACCGTCCAATGGAGTGTTATGGGTGATCGAACCTCGTGGGGTCGACCTCGGATTCGTGTCCGGAAGGGAGTCGGTCGATTTTCTATCGGGGAAACGCAAGGGGAGAGATCGATCAAATACGCCAATCTGGTCCATCACACAAACATTTAGGAGAACCGAGACATGACGGGACTCGCCTGTGAAACGAGGGGTGAAGGTCAAGACAACATTAAATGATTTCATATACAAGAATGTAAAAAACAAAGTAAGATTCACAGATGAGACCGGGGGGGGGGGGTTCATGGCTTAGGTAAGAATTGAGCTGACTTCACACTAGTCAGGAACCATTTCGACTTCTTCTCTTCCTCTCACTTCTCATCTATACATCTATCGATCCACAAGGGGTTCCCCAGTCAGCCGACAATGGATTTCACTTCCTTGCATCCCCATGGATGGAACCGTGGATTCCATCTCCCTGATTGACAGCTGAGGATCTTTGTCAACGCGCATCAAGCAAGGACCACAGCGAGACGTCCATCGATGAGATCAGCCTAGTCAGCCTACGACAGCCACCAACTCTCTCTTTCTCTCTCCCTCTCTATCTCTGGTCAAGTTGAACTTGTCATCAGACCTCCTGGTCCACGTCGGAGGGAATCAGTCCATGTCCAGGAGAACTGGATGGTCAGATGGAGAAGAGTACCGATCGTATCATCACACTTCATCCTTCGCGCCATGGAGAATATCCAACGATAAAGACGGAAAGACGGAGAGATGGAGTCGAGAATCCCCACTGAAGAGACGGTCGAGCCAATGGAATCCACCGTCAAGCTGTGAATCATCCAACTTTGGTCTCCACCACAAAAGTAAAAAATCTTTATTTGAGTGTATTTTTTTTTTATTGATGACTCCTCCCGAGCGATCGCTGTTTTCCTGATTGTCATCATCTATTTATTTTCTGCTCTCTCTCAAGGTTGTTTGTTTTCCTTGGCCAGACCGTGAATTGCTCGTATCTCCCTTGCGTGCAAGAAATTCTATAAGAGATCCCTCTCTTCCCATCCTCCTCGTCCATCGCATCCATTTGATTACCCCTCCACCCGTTCTCCCAATCCCAGAACCCCTCGTCACATCATGCCTCTCGTCAACACCACCGAAGTTGTGGAGGACAGTCGCGGTAAGCTATCCCCCTCGTTGTCTGCATATACATAGTGATAAGTATATATATTAATCTCTATCTAGTCTTTGGCTATGACCCGTTGTTGTCCCCTCAGTTCCTGCAAAATGAAATTCCGGCTGTGAGTCATACCCCTCTCCCACCATCTCCTTTCCCCCAGACACTCGCGATCCGATGTGTAGAGACGAGACTAATCGTTTTCGATATAGACCCCCGAGGTCCTCGAGGCCGTCAAGGCCGGTCGCAACCAGGCTGTGGAGATCATCGAGCAGCGCGATGACCGTCTCCTGGTCGTCGTCGGCCCCTGCTCCATCCACGACCCGGCTACCGCCCTCGAGTATGCCTCCCGTTTGAAGGAGCTTTCCCAGAAGCTGTCCTCGGATCTCTGCATCATCATGCGGGCCTACCTGGAGAAGCCCCGCACCACCGTCGGCTGGAAGGGTTTGATCAACGACCCCGACATCGACGAGTCCTACAACATCAACAAGGGTCTGCGCGTCTCGCGTAAGCTCTATGCCGACCTCACCAGCATGGGCATGCCCATCGCTAGCGAGATGCTGGACACTATCTCCCCCCAGTACCTGGCCGATCTCATCTCCCTCGGCGCCATCGGTGCCCGCACGACCGAGTCGCAGCTGCACCGGGAGCTGGCCTCCGGCCTGAGCTTTCCCATCGGCTACAAGAACGGCACGGACGGCAACATCACGGTCGCCATCGACGCTATCGGCGCCGCCGCCCACCCGCACCGCTTCCTCGGCGTGACCAAGCAGGGCCTGGCCGCCATCACCAAGACCTCGGGCAACGAGCACGGCTTCGTCATCCTGCGTGGCGGCGCCAAGGGCACCAACTTTGACCGCGACAACATCCGCGCCGCCCGCGAGTCCCTGCGCGCCAAGAAGCAGCGCGAGATCGTCATGGTCGACTGCTCGCACGGCAACTCCAGCAAGAACCACCGCAACCAGCCCGTGGTCGCCAAGGAGCTGGCCGACCAGCTCCGCGAGGGCCAGGACGCCATCGTCGGTGTCATGATCGAGTCCAACATCCACGAGGGCAACCAGAAGGTCCCCGCCGAGGGTCCCTCGGGCCTGAAGAAGGGTGTCAGCATCACCGATGCCTGCATTGACTGGGAGACGACGGTCCAGGTCCTGGAAGATCTGGCCGATGGTGTTCGCGGGCGGAGAGCCGCCAAAGCGTCTGCTTAAACTGAATAAAAAATTAGAAAAAAAAGACCGAGGCAAAATCAAAGGGCATGAAATGAATGAAATCAATGCAAATTTTTAAATTAAAAAGAAAATCTTCCCGTAGACTAGATTAGGGTTCGTGTCACTAGCGATTTTTATTCGTCGTATATAGATCCGAGGAAATCTCCCTGTGCTGATTGCGTAAACGAGAGGAAGGGGACAGAAAGATAGATAAATCCACACGATGCTCTATTTTGCGACAACAAGAAGTAGTATATGTACACAGTATAGCACAGACCCAGTATTACATAGGTTTTTTTTCAATCAAGAAAACACACACCGAACAAGACGCCGCAACCCCTTCCCAAACCAACCACCGGATTGGGATAATAGGAAGGGGCAGAGTAGAAATCAATCCAGATGCCATGCACAACAAGAAGTAAGTCGACGTCATCACCATCACAGCGGGGGAGAGGAAGGGAAAATAAAAGGTCTTCCCTGATGGGCTTGTTTCCTTTTGTATATTCCTGGTTTTTGTTTTGGTTTGGGTTTTTTTGGGGCACTCCGTTGCGTTTACCGCCCGGTCAGCCAGCTCTTCCAGCTTTGTGCCGTTTGCTTCGTGGCGTCCTCTGCGTTTTGTGCGAGCGCGTCCAGTTCTCCTGAGGGTGCTGCACCGCTAGGTACACTCAGTTTGGCTTCTTGCGCGGCCTTCGCGTCCAGGGCCTTGAGAATCTCCGGCTTGTCGCCCGCGGCCGGGGTGGGTGTGGCTTCGTCCGTCTTCAACCCGCCAAACAGATATTCCTTGAGTTTGTTCAACGGGCGCTCCTTCTTAGCCTCCTCCTTCTTCTTGTCCCAGATCTCGCCGATCTGCTCATTCCGCAACAGTTCCAGTTGCTCCGGGGTCGCTGCCCCGTTGGCGTGGGCCGTCTTCGCGTCTTGGAGCGTCTGGAGCTCCCGCTCAATCCAGAGTGTCCGCTGGCGCCGGTTGTAGAGAGTGAGTGATACCATCGAGTAGACCGTCAAGGCGCCGCAGATACCTAGTCACGAACTGTCAGTCCAACCGCAGCTATCTCAGCGTTCCCCCGGGAGGTCCGCTGGAGCATATATAAATAATGAAAACATACCCGACGCAGCAATCAAAGAATACACCATCGTCTTATGCGCTTTATTGGCAAACCTCCGCCCGACGTCGATCATCTGATCCATGCCCGAGGACGACTGTGCCATACGAGCTGCCCGGGCCTGCGCCCGCAACCGCTCGACCTTCTGCTTGGGGGTTTCGGGTTTCCCGTCGGGTCCGGTCTGCTGTGACTGTGCATTGGAGCCCTGGTTGGCCATGGAGCCCGGGAGTTTGTAGGGGGCGGCTCCGGGCCGGGAGTTGGCGTAGGGGCCTGTGGCCGTGAACCGCGTCGCGTCTGCGGCGGAACGGGACATGATGGGCGTGAGTGGGAGTGTGTTGTTGGGTGTTTTTATCGCGTCAATGCTGGGCGTGGACGGAGGAGGTTGTTTGTTCGTGAGGTATGTCGTATGATGTCCTTTCTGCGTTCGTCTTTTCGGTCGGATCCCGGGCAGAGGGGGGTGGGCTTTCACCACAGCAATCTCATCGATGGGGATGCAATTTGGCAGGGAGACGCGAGGTCTATGGGACGGGCGGCCGAGAGTCGGTGGGTTATGGAAATAGTATAAATAAGATGAGGGATGAGGTGGAGAGAGATCAAGAGAGATACCGGGAAATTTTCAAGAGGAAAGTCGGGAATGGAGCTAAGCCAAGACAAGGCACTCAGGCCAACACCATCCCGATCATTAGTCAGTCGGAAGTATAACATCATGAACCTCAACTTCAACTTCATTTTCATCTTCTTCGTTCATGGGTTTGTTATCTGGTCCACACTATCACTCCTGCTGTATAAATGGAGTCTCAACAATACAATGCAGCGGACTTGACGTCTGTCCTGCGCACCCTCTCAGCCCTATCGTCGCATCCCCCACCGCCAGAGAAGGACTCCCCAGCGACAGCGCACCACACCCATGTCAAAGACGATGAGCCCGAGGATGAAGATACATACGAACCAACAGATTCCCTCCCCCTCTCTACCCCAGCTCCAGCTCCACAGACACCACAAGGGAAACAACAACAACAACTTTCCTCCCATCGTCCCCCACAACCAGCGCAACAACACCCACCACCACCACCACCCCCAGGAACCAAAGTAGACATCTCCACAATAACAACCTGGCCCTCCGCCCTCCGCCACGTAATGCGCACAGTCGGCCAAAACGAATCCATCCAGCAGCGCATCCGCTTCCTCATCCAACGTCAGCACGACCACGAGAAGCAGTGGTGGCGGGGGCGTGTCGCATTAGTCGAGAAGCAGAAGGCGCGAGCGGAGAAGAAGAAGGAGTTGGATGAAGTTTTGTGCGTTTCTTATCTTACTTGATTATCGTTTCCTTCATCTGTTGTTGTTTGAGTGAGTGAGTGAGTGACTGACCGTGGATGATTGCTAGACGCTCTGTTGGTGCACCTGTGGATTCGAAGCAGGTTTCTGTATGTTTGTCCTTTCTCCCTCCCCCTCCCCATCTATCTCTCTACAGTAACCACCGTGAAACTAACATCCAACAGACAGCCGAAGAAGACCACGCAGAACTAACCAACTACGACACCAAAGTCTACCGCGCGTCGACGCAAATGGCCGACGCAATGGCGAGCGAGCTGCGCGCGCTACAGATTCCCTTTTTCTACCGCAACGGGCGGCCATCAGCACATGATCCGGCGGGAACAACTCCTCGTCGTGCGGGCACGGACGCGCCGCCGGCGGCCCCTCTCTCGGGTGATGAACTGGTTACCCTCCAGCGGAGAATGCTGGAACTGTTACAGGATTTATGTAAGGAGTGACCAGTCATCGTGTCTCAATGAGGATCCGAAAGGGGAAAGATCATTCATGTTAAGAACGACATGATATTACTCCACGACGAGGGTTAGACGAGGTACATAACAGCCTCCCTCGTCACTGCCCACTACCCACTATTCCATAGAAAGGGAAGAGCCAAGCGAAGCTCTCGGTGACACTGACAGTGACAGTGACGTGATATCAGCCAGATCCCCGATGCTCGCATTAGCTTATTATCAATCATTATATACACCGAAAAGAATCTATCCCTAGCTGAAACCGTCTATTTCCATTCGCCTAAGGGGAAGAAAAGAAAGAAAGCATGCTGCGCTCCCAACGACAAATTTGCAATCCACCCACCCGTATATGCAATACCAACCCATCCCGAGAAAATACGATGCACCGGTTACAACCACAATGGGTTCAACAGAAGACAGCGGGGGAAGGAAAGAAAGAAAGAAAAAAGGGCCGAAAACCCGTCGGCGGGGGCAATCTTGGCTGATCCATATGGAAGAGCACTGGAGAAAGGATCGTGGAGAAAGGAACCAAAGATCAAACGCGGAACGCCTCGAATGCAAAGCAATGAACACCATTTCCACAGATGACTCGTGCGCTGAAAGAGACGGACGGCTCGGCAGCGCTGATGCCCGAGCCGATCAGATGCCAAATATGGGAGAAAATAAATGATACGTAAATAGATGAAAGCCGCTACGGTTGTTCCGACACGGCAATCGCCACGGCCACCGCCGCGCCGAGGATGGCACTTTCGGGGGCCGGATCGAGGTGGATCAGGGATGGCGAGGGATCAAGGGACTCGCGGGACGCGGCCGTCTCGTGGGTGAGTTGGTCGAGATAGGCTTGGCAGTGATCCCGGAATCCCGGATACTTGTTGATGACGCTGCCGTCGCAGGCGATCGATAGGCTCCGCGGATTGCCCTCGCGTTCGATGACGGTGACCTGCTTCGGTGCCTTCCCTGGAACGGTGTCCGCGGGGGATTCGGCTTCGGCGTCGGCGTCGTTGTGCAGGGACCACATGCTGTGGATGGCGGTGGCCAGGTACCCGGCGGCGCGTCGCGAGACGGTCTGGCAGACGCGGCGCAGGAAGCGCATGTCCTCGGGGCGAGGGGCGTGGGTACCGGGGTGCTCCTTTTGCAGCAGAGCGGCGGAGATGGTGAGCTGGGGGGAGGGATCGGCCTCGATGGCGGCGAGGAGGCTGGTGTCGAAGGAGTAGGCGTCGCGCATGGAGTGGGGCAGTTCGCCGCGGAAGAGGTGGGCGGTCTCGACGGCCTCGACGATGACCAGGCGGACGATTTCGCCAAGGTAGCGGCCGGTGATCATGTACTCGAGCGGTTGGTAGTCGGGACGGAGGTGTGTCCGATTGAGGATCTCGTCCCACCGCGTCAGGGGCAGAACGGCGCCGCCGAACATGCTCATCTCGGTGTTGACGATGACGTGCGGGGCGCCCTCGAACCAGGCGGGGGGCCGATCGCCGAACTTGGCGCGGCCGATGCAGTCGACGGGGTAGTGGATGGCCATGTTGGTGCCGGTGCCGAGGATGAGGGACATGCGGGTGGTGGGGTCGACGTAGGCGCGGGAGAGGAGGGTGGCAGAGCCGTCGTTGACGATGGCGTCGACGGCGACGGAGAGGTTGCGGCGGCGGCAGGCCTCGGTGATGAGCTGACCGAGTTCTTGGCCGACGGTACCGGTGGAGCACATGAAGCCCTTGCCCATGTGGATGAGCAGACCGGTGTTGTGGGAGGTCTGTTCGAGGGGGAAGGACCAGGAGAGGCCGACGGAGAGCGGGACGGGCCCGCGGCCGTCCTCGGCGTCGACCTCGGCCAGCATGGTGTCGATGTGGCTGGCCATCCAGTCGAAGAAGCGGGTGCCCTCGAGCAGCTTGACCTCCTCGTCGATGGGGGTGGAGGCGACGTGACGGATGGCCATGGTGCCCTGGCCGGCGAGGTGGACGAGGGAGACGCGCAAGGTGGAGCCACCGACGTCGAGGGCCAGGAAAGTGCCCGTCTCTGCGCCGGTGGGCAGGGTGCGGGTGTAGGAGGGCAGCATGTTGATCTGGCTGGACTGGAGGGCCGCGGACAACTGCGCGCGCATCTGGTCGGACATGGCGCACATGTTGGGCGGGGTCAGGGGAGCGGTAAAGAGGCGATCGACCTCATCGGCCAGACTGTCGAGGGAGCGACGACGCCAGTAGGCTGAGTGGAAGGGACCGGGGCGCGTCCGGAAGGGATCGCGGAAGAGGGCGGGGAAGAGCAGCATGGTTTCGAGGGCGGCGACGAGGTTTGCGACCAGATCCTGCAACCTCCGCAGGAGTTTGGCCAGGGTCATGGCGGGGTTTTTATAAAACCGATCACCACGGAGGAAGCGTGGTTGAGGAGAATGACGATATCGAATGACAATGGGAGGGTTGACTCATCCGGACATGTGTTGATATCAAGGCAGGTGTGTGTGGGGAGAAATGTTTGCGGGGAGAGGGACAGAGAGATCGAGAGAGGAAGGGCGATCCGGGAAGACAGGGAAGACAGAGAAATATAGGGAGGAATGACGACGGAGAGGAGCAGCAAGGAGAGAACGAGAGAGAGGGAGATACAGGCCGAGCCGAACGAGTGGTGATGAGACCCAGGCGTCAAAGTGGTAACATGGAGGAGACGCAAGGGTAGCAGCGGTGGAGGGGGGTGGGGGAAGGAATCAACCCTGCGTGAAGTGCAGTGGGGGGAGGGTCAGTGAGCGTCGATTGTCGAAAGGAGGGAAGAAGTGGCGTCGAGGTGGAAGTTGAGGTGGTTGTGTTATTGAGTCGAGATGTGGAGTGGGAGATAGAGGTGGTAGTGGAGTCGCGATGGTGTCGTGGTGGGGAGAGTGGTATCGATGACACCAGCCGATCACCTGGAACCAGACTCGGAGGTCTGATCCGAAGTCCAATCGGGGGGGAGGATTGGAAAGAATACGAGACTGATAGAAGAGAAGACGAATGGAGGAGAGGAGAGAACAGAGAAGAGAAGAAAGAAGAGAGAAGTGAAAGACAGATAGAAAGAAAGATAGAAGATAGAGAGAGAAAGAGGGAAAGATACAGGTGTAAGAGAGAGAGAGAAAACAAAGAGACAGAGTAAAATACGGTAAATACCAGACCAATGACACTACGACCCTAGCAAGACGGGAGTGCAACGGTGGTAATCAATTCCGCCATGAAACCGACACCGTTACACCTCTTTCTACACCTTGACTTCTTTGACTTCACTTCTTCACTTACTTCTATTCTATACTCTCTCCACTATACTTCTATACTCTCCACTCTATATCCTCTTCTATTATTCCCATGATACTACCACAAATGCTTTGTACTCCCCATCAAAGAAACTTTACCCAACTCTGATCCCAATCTGGTTCCAAAGAGGAGGTCACATCGACCGATGTCACTCCGGGGAATTAATCAATCTCCCGTCCCTGGTCGGCTCTGCTTCTTGAATACTAGACTGAGTTATTCATCATTAATCATCTGCCAGGGACTCAGGACCGCTGCAGGTCTTTCCCCTTTGGGGCTCGCGTTCTTGGCATCGGGGCTCGTTGTAACCACAATCTGTCCCCCTGCTCTGGCTACCCTGTGGCTCATGAACCATGAACCCATGAACCACCTGGATCTTTGAAGATACCTATCATCCTATCATGCACGGTGTGTGGCACTGTCATGGGAATCGGTCAGATCTATACATCATCTCTTCTCGGTTCTGTCAGATGAGAATCACGGAGAAATTCCTCTCCGGACCTGGATCCCTCGACTTTTTTACACAAAGACAGAGAGAGGTGGAGAGACATAGGTAAAGATAGAAAGACACACAGAGAGATACAAAGACACACACACACAGAGAGAGAGAGAATCGGATGAACCCCCCGGACCCCGACAGCGGGGTCAATCTCCCCTCCTGCCTCGGTTGCCAGGATCAGATAATTGCCGACGTTCCTCAGCATCGCTCTCTCCCCTATCCATCCAAAAGCACCCATCCTGAAGATCCCTTTGTCAAAGCTCTCGTAGTCTCGTACCGTTGGGCCTGCCCTGCACAAATCACCATGATCCATCCCCAGTCGATCCCCCCCCTGACCCGCCCTCATGCGGGGCCGCAACACCCTATCCAAGGCTCCAAGGCTCCAAGGCCCCAAGGCCCCCCGTCAACGTTGATTCTAACTTCTTCCCCATCCCCGAACAACCACAGCGGTTTCCTGCAGAATGACCCGGTCGATGATCAAGCTTCGATCCCCGTCACTTCCCGACCCTTCGGGCTGGGATATGGAATTTTTCTAGATGTCGCGTGCCTGTCAATTAAAACCGTTGTCGATCCCAACTCTCCCTTTCCCCCCAACCGCAGGCCTCCCCTCGTGATTCGAACGACATGCTCGTGGCGCGTTGATCGTCGTCCTTGGGTCGATCTGCACCACCATGTCTAGGACCCGAGGCCCTCAATGCCGATGGGGGCTTGCCAGCAGGTCCGAGGCCCGGGGCTTCTCCTGACGAGATCCCCAGGAGTCTCTCGTCGGCCTCAACTTGTCCTCTGCCCCAACCGTTGCACAACAACGGACCCAGGCAGAACCTCTCCCCTTGCAGACCCTCAAGAGCCCGACACGATGAGACTCGGTCGCTCGATATCGACGGCTCTGCTGTCGTGGTTGGTCACCTGCCCGGCTGTGTCAGGGGCAGCTCTCCCCCGAGCGGATTCGTCCTCCCACAACGACCTGGAATCCATCCTCGCCGGTCACGCCAACAGAGGAGACGACCGGACATCGCGAACCGCCGCGGCTCTCGCGTCGAGGATCGCAGATGCCAACAACCAGTCGGGCCCAGGAGATCGGTCCATGCACCAGGCCTGGGCCAAGATTGAATCCATCTTCAACCACACCGATCGCGCCGATCAACCGGACCTCTTCGACTATGCCGACGGTCTGGTCTCGCTGGACCTGATCCCGTCCGACATCCTCTCCTTTCTGAACGGCTATCTCGATTGGAGCATCAATTCCATCCACAACCGGAACCCCGCCGTGCCCGACGCCGGCATCTACCCGTCCAAAGATCCCGCCGATGCGCCCTATAGCGTCGCCGAGGCGGACCTGCGCGCGGCCATCCACATCCCGGAGTCTTTCTCCTACGGCCAGCAGGGGAAGAAGCCCGTCATCCTGGTACCGGGCACGGCCGTCCCAGCCGGCATCACCTACCATTTTAACCTGGGTCAGCTCGGCCATGCCGCCCCCGAGGCCGACGTGGTGTGGGTCAATATCCCCCAGGCCTCGTTGCGCGACGCCCAGGAGAATGCCGAATACGTGGCATACGCCATCCACTACATCGCCGCGCTGTCCCACACCTCCGTCTCGGTCATCTCCTGGTCCCAGGGCGGCCTGGACACCCAGTGGGCGCTCAAGTACTGGCCGTCGACGCGGGCCCAAGTGGAAGACTTCATCGCCGTCAGCCCCGACTTCCGCGGCACGGCAGTCCGCTCCATCGTCTGTCCGGCCCTCGATCTGCTCGTCTGCACCCCATCGCTCTGGCAGCAGGGCTGGGAGACCGAGTTCATCCAGACGGCGCGGGCCGACGGCGGCGACTCGGCCTACGTCCCTACGACGACAATCTACTCGACCTTTGACGAGATCGTGCAGCCCCAGAGCGGCGACGACGCCTCGGCCCTTCTGAAAGACGCGCGCTCCATGGGGGTGTCCAACAACCACCTGCAGACCGTGTGCGCGAACCGCCCCGCCGGCGGCATCTACACGCACGAAGGCACACTGTACAACCCGCTCACGTGGGCGCTCGCGATTGACGCGCTCACCCACGACGGGCCGGCTGATGTATCCCGCTTGGATTTGGACGCCATCTGCCAGCAGGTGCTGCCCGAGACTTTGGGATTGGATGATATTCTCGGCACGGAAGGCATCCTGCTAGTGGCTGTTGCGGAACTGCTCCTTTACGTGCCCAAGGCTTTTAAGGAGCCCCGCATTGCAGACTATGCTGCCTAGTCTGGCGAGGGACGGAGCGGATCGCAGGTAGATAATGTGGAGTGCGTCAGGGACCCGAACAAGTGTGTCGCCTTGCATGGGCAGATAGACAGGTGGGATGTAATCATAATATGTGGTACGGAGTATAGGGTTAGTTACGCGCTCAGGAGTGTCATGATATCTGTTCAGCCTAGTGGTGATTGAAGTAATATAACAGAACAACCTTGATATATTATCTGGTTGCACCTAGCGTTGTCTCTAGCGTTGTATCCTGTCTGCTTCCTTCCCGAGTAGATCCATCTATGTAGTCTACAGTCGAAGTAAAGTCAAGTAAAGTCAAGTAAAGTCAAGTAAAGTCAAGAGTCGAGATTCTCCCATTGCAATTAACTACGTACTGTATTTTCCGCCAACGCTGCATAATACCCAGAATACCACCACCAATAGACCCGAGAAAGAGGGAAGTGAGAGGATGACCCAATGTCCCTAGTACACCGAACGCCAGGAAACAAACTAACAAAATTAGAAACAAAGAAAGAACGTAAAGATGAGAAACAGAAAAGAAAGTAATAAGGAGGATGGAGAGAAGTTACATAACCATTCTCAACGCCTTAGCTTTCCTCCCAAGTACCTGTAACTCCCTTGCTAGACGCTCATCTTCACGGATCTGGAACTTGATAGGATTTATCATCTGCTGTTCCAAATCGAGAAAGACAAAGCAACCAACAAAACCACAAAGAAAGGAATAACGCCAAAAGAAGAAAAAGAAATAAGACAGAAAGCTAGTGCAAAACTACATAACCAACCTTAACACCTTCGCCTTCCTCCCAAGCATATGCAACTCCCTCGCCAACCGCTCATCCTCCCGAACCTGAAACTTCACCGCACCCATCATCCGCTGTTCCAGATCGCGCGCCACCCTCCGCAGCGTCTCGTCACTGAACATGACCATGCGGAGGCGAACATTAGCCTCGTCCAGCTTGGTGCCGGTGCCGCCCTCGCCGCCGAAGAAGAGCAAAGGCAGGGACCAGAGCTCGCCGATCTCCAGACGGATAGGCCAGTCGTAGATGCGCATGTCGACGTGGAGCACGCGCAGGCTCTTAAATGCTAGCGCCATGTCTTCGCAGGCGAGGTAGAAGGCCATGTCGCTGCGGGCTTTGTAGATTCTGAATTCCGTCAGCCGAGGCTCGTTGTACATGATGTGTTTGAGCTCGACGTGGCGGATGGAGGCCTGCGCGTCGGCGGGGGTGATCTTGATGAAGCGGGTGATGGCGTTGGTGGTCGTGAAGACGAATTGGGTGTTGGCGTAGAGGAGGAGAATGGTGTCGGAGTAGATACTGCGGCAGGTGAAGATGAGCGCCATGGGGAGCCTCTTGAGCCACCAGCGGCCTGCCCGTTCGGTGTTTCCCTGGCTCTTGTCCTCGCGGGGGCGCAGTCTCTTGTTGTAGAGGCGGTAGCGGGGTTTCTTGGTGCCGTTGGTTTTTTTGTCTTTCTTGCGAACGATCTCGATCCGGTAGGTGGTGAAGAGGTAGGCGTAGATTTTGAGGCGGAGTTCGGCTGGGAGCTTCTGGAAACCAGAGGGCGAGGGGGTATTGGTTTGGGTCTCGAGCTCGAATTGCATCGTATCTTTGGTGGACTTGTCTTTCCCCATTAGAGTCGAACCCTGTCCTACAGAGGGCATTGGTCTGTTCCAGAAATCTTTGCGTTGGGATGGCTTGGCGGGAGCGGTTTTGGACGGTGCACCACCCTTGCCGGTTGTAGGATGACGTCCAGATCTCCGTGACGCTGGATTGGATCCGGTCGAGTTCTAGCCCAACATGAATAGTCAGCGAGCATATCAGCGTTACTTGATGCTGGATGCTCATACCTCTTGAGATGGTGGCGCTCGAGTACTCTGACTTTGGGAGGGTCCTCCTGGGTTTGAATGCTGTGGTTGAGCGGAAGGGTCATTGGGTGAAGGCCTTCTGGCATTTCTTCCATTGTGGTGTTTACCACAAAAGCGAGAAGTGACGGGATACATGCTGAGAGGTGTTGTGAGTTGATCGATGGGTTGAATGATGGGTTGAACAATGGTGTTGTTTGGAGTTGACCAGGGGGGTGAGGGTTTAAATAGTAGGATATTCAGTGGGAAAGGACAACCTGGTCTCAGTCAGGAAGTGAAGTCAAAGAAGGCAGTCACTACAGAGAAGGAGTGAATCACAGAGTGAATCAGAGAGTGAAGATGAAGCAATCACCATCGATCTCATCTTCATCGTGATATCTAGATCTATATCGACCCAATCGGGCTAGACCGGTAATCTATCTGTCATGAGAGTGTATTGTACGGTACAGGATGTCTGCCGGAAACAGGCACGCAGGCACTCAGGCACACTTCAACTTTTCTCTTTTTTTCTCTTTTTTCTCCACGAAATCCGACAATCCGATTGACTTCGCGATCTTCAATCTCATTCTCCTCTTCTATTCTTCCTCTTCTCGATCCTCAATTCAATTGTCCTCTCCCCCCCTCAACCACTCATCAACCCACCCAATGTCCCTCGCTGTGCCGGCGTTTCGTCCCTCATCCTTGTTACTCTCCCGACCCCACCGGGTGTTGCGACAACTACCTCCACTTGGCTCTTTCGCCCGTCCCTCTTCTTCTTCTTCTTCTTCCCCCTCCTCCTCCTCTCCCTCTCGTCCGTCCGCCTCCCGCTCTCACTACAGTCGCTCCGAGTTCAAAGTCTTCCCCTTCTTGGTTCTGTTCGTCATCGGCTCCGGTTCCTACGTCCTCTTGGTGAAATCCCGCACTGGTGCTCGCAAACCCGACTCGTCGCCCCGCTCTCCTGATTCTTAGGGGGTGTTCTACTATATACGATTGAACTATCCTCTCTCAATCCAACCCACACCAACAACCTTATCCCTTTCCAAACAAAGAAAAAAAAATAAAGAACAAAATGTCCTCCGAATCCACCCCCCGCTTCTCCCCCTCCGACGTAACAGTCGTCTTCCTCCTCGGCGGCCCCGGCAGCGGCAAAGGCACCCAGTCCAACAACCTCGTCCGGGACTACGGCTTCATCCACCTCTCCGCCGGCGACCTCCTCCGCGCCGAGCAAGTCCGCGAAGGCAGCCAGTACGGCGCCCTCATCAAGGACTACATCCGCGAAGGCAAGATCGTGCCGATGGAGATCACCGTCGCCTTGCTCTCCAACGCGATGGCCGACGCCCTGCAGAGCGGGACCGTCCCCGCGGGCCACCGGCCGCGGTTCCTCATCGACGGGTTCCCGCGCAAGCTGGACCAGGCTGTCTTCTTCGAGAAGACCGTCTGTCCGTCGCGGTTGACGCTCTTCCTCGATTGTCCCGAGGAGGTCATGGAGTCGCGGCTGATGAAGCGCGGTGAGACCTCTGGTCGGGACGACGATAATGCCGAGTCGATCCGCAAGCGCTTCCGTGTCTTTGTGGAGACTAGCATGCCTGTTGTGACGGCTTTTGCGGAGCAGGATAAGGTTGTTACTGCGTTGGCTACTGGGTCTGTGGATGATGTGTATGCTCGGATCCGGGAGGGGTTCACGGCTCGTGGCATTAACCCTATCTAAGCTTGAGCTTGTTTTGTTCTTCTCTTCTTCTACTCGGCTGTGTTATAGATCTGTCATTTAATTGTCTGTGTTTAGGCGATGATTCATATAGAGTCTACTTCTTCCTTCTTTTGATATGGGTAGTTTTTGGGTAGTGTAGTTGGTAATTCAATTGGGTAGTATGGTAGTAGGTAGTAGGTCGTACTGGTAGTACTACCTAGTACTGGATACATAACTGGAAAAAGTGCATCACCATTGACCAACCCGTCTAAACGATAAGAGATGGATCAAAACATATAAACTACCATTCCAACGACAGAAACAGCGTCGTCCTGAATCAACCAAAAGCGCAAGGGGGAAATGAACAAGATAAAAAAGTAAAAAAAAAAAAAAAAGAATAATAAATAATAAGAATAAAAAAGTAAAAACAAACATGAAACAGTTGGATCGTATCAAGATGAAACAAACAGAAATGAAACATATAGTGGGAGAGACAAGCATCGTCAACCCTCATGCAAACCGTGACCCTCCTTCATATTTTTTTATCTTGTTGGTTTTCTTTTTGCTGTTCTGGTCGTCCATGTTCTGTACGAGAACTCGTCATCATTTCTTTTCTGTCATTCTCGCTTTCCATTGGCTTCTATTTCCATACTATAGAATTTTCATAAAAAGTGTAGAAAAGGAGTTAAAAGAGAAGGAAAGATAGTTTATTCGGCAACCGCCTCAACCGGGGCAGACGGCTGCACCGCCTGCGGCTGGCGCGGTCGTCGGTCGATGGGCTTGCCACCCTTGTCCCCCGACTTGGCTCCCTCCTCGGCGGCCTGCGCGGCCTGGATGCTCTCGCGCACGAAGCGTTCCCGCTCGCTGCGGACGGTGCCCAGGACGTGCTCGAGGCTGCGGCGCCAGACCATCAGGCGGCCCTGCACCTCGGCCCACTGCTTCTCGCCGAAGACGCGGTAGGTGGCGCGGTGGACGAGCAGCTCGGAGCGCAGCTGAGACAGCTTGCCCTCGACGAGGCCGGCGCGGATGGTGTCGATGACCCACTTCTCGACGTCAGCGTCGGGCACGCGCAGGGCACTGGCGATGGTGGCGTAGGGCAGGGAGCGCGACGGGGTGGAGGCGGCCAGGGAGGCCAGGGTCAGCAGGCGCATCTTGGTCTGCAGGGCGTCGCCGGCGTCGGCGAGGACACCGCCGGAGATGGTGGCGAGCGGGGTGGACTGGATGAAGGCCTCGTAGGCGTCGAGGGTGTCGGCGGTGAAGACCTCGAGCAGCTCGAAGAGGGTGGCATCGCTGGCGCGGAGGGCCTGGACGGCGTCGGAGGCGGTCAGCGGGGTGAAGTCGAAGACGGCGGGGTGGGTGAGAGCGGCGGTCAGGGCGCGGACGGCGAGGTCGCGGGAGGCCGGGGCGGCGGCCTGGGCGGCGGGGATGGTCTGGAGGGCCTGGATGATGTGCGTCTGGGCCAGCTCCTGGTCACCGGCGGCCTGGGCGGCGTCGACGACGGCCAGGTGCAGGCGCTGGGTCTCCTCGTCATCGAGCTCCCAGGCGGACAGCCAGGCGGGCAGCTGGGCGGTCAGCTGGGGCTTGAGGGCTTCGAAGGCGGCGGCGGAGGCGGCCTGGCGGATGACGGCGACGATGGCCAGGAGGACGTGGAAGCGGCTGGAGTCGGCGTCGCCGAGGGTGTTGAAGATGGTGGACAGGATGGAGATGGCGAGGGTGGGGCCGAACTGAGGGGAGGAGGCGATGGGCTTGGAGAGGTAGGCGCAGATGCGGGAGAGGAACATGTCGGGCTCGGAGGCTTGATGGACGAGGTGGATGAGGAGGTTGTAGGCGGGGGTGATTTCTGCATCATCAAGTCAACTTCTTTGATCTTCAACCTCTGGATATAGGAAGAGAAATACCCTTCTCAGGCGCGCCGTTCAAGACGGCGGCGGCGGAGACGATCTTCTTCAGGACCTCATCGCGCTGTTTCCGATCGGGTTCGGCATCATTCTGTTCCTCTTGGCGAAGAGGCTCGAGGAGGGGGGCGATGTCGGCCTGGAGACTGGCGGCGTCGGATTTGCGGACGGCATCGATGTACTGGGCGAACTCGTCGGCGAGTTCGGAGAAGGAGCCCTCGATGAGGAGGGTGTTGGTGGGGGCGGGCATTTTCTTTTATGTAGGGGTAGGAAGGGGTGGGGGGGGGAAGAGGAAGAAAGGAAGAAGGGAAAGAAAGAGAGGAAGAGGGAGGTCCAGAGGGGGATCAAGTGAAGGGAATGAAGTGGAGAATGAGATGAAGTTGAAGATTTGAACGAATTTCTTTCTGTGGGAAATTCTCTTGGCGCGGGTGCCTGGGGCATCGACTCCACTTATTCATACTTGACTCAACCATTCAAGAATACTTCGATCAACCATTCATTCAATACTCAATTACATGGTTTGAATAATCAGTATAATTACGATTCCATTAAAGAGTGACGATCCCAATCATACATAAAACATGCTGTTCATCAAACCCATGCACGCATAGTAACGAAATACAAGGCTAAGTCAAATACAAAACGTCCATTCCGCAGACACCATTACAGGACCCCGTGGAGTCCATTTTACCCCGATATCATCGTGATACCGGTCTTCTTACAAGAATACGCGCAGACCGACAAACAGGGCGGTGGCCAACACACCCGAGGCGTGGTCCTGCATCAGACGCACCGCCGCATTGCTGGTGGGAGACGGGGTGCTGGAGCTGCTGTCGGTGGTCGTGCCGGCGTCCGACGACTCCTCCTTGTCGGTGGAGCTGCCGGTCGGCGAGGGGGAGGCCGAGGACGACGAGGTGGTGGAGGTCTCCGAGGCATTGCGCGAGCCGCACTGCTCCTTGGCGGTCTTGCACTTCTCCTGATCATCGAGGCCGGGGGAGCGCGAGATGCACTGGCCAAAGTTGGCTTCGCAGACATAGTAGGGGACGGTCTCTATGTAATCGGTGGAATTGGCGGAGCTGCCATCATCACAGGTGCAGTTAAACTTGAGGGTTTCCTACGTGTTGTTAGTATGAAGGATAAGAAAAGAAAGAATGAGAACAACTCACCGAGTCACACGAGTTGTCGTTGGCGGAACCGTCACACATCTTGGGGCAGGTGTTGCGCTGGCCGCGACACCAGGCAGCTGGAGAGATGGTCAGCACTGCCCATCGCATCACAGAAGAGAAAAGAAGATACCTCGGTCAGTGGATTTGATCTGGTTCAGATCGAAGCCCTCCGGCAGCGAGTACTCCGAGCCAGCCACGGCGGTGGTGGCCAAGAGGGAGGAAAGCAGGAGAATGGGCAACATGGTGGAGAATGGTCAAGGATCAGCGACGGGACGATCCAGATCGATAACTCAATTGATGGAATATATGAAGCGAAGAGATGTAGAACAGGGTCAAAGTAGAAGAAGTTCAAGAAGTAAACAAATGGAGCGATGAGAAAGAAGAGAAAGAAAAGAAGAGAGAAGAGAGAAGAGAGAAGAGAGAAGAGAGAAGAGAAAAGGCAGGGATGAAAACAGGGAAGAAAAAAGAGGGGAAGATTAAATACGGCGCGGTTTGTTTGTTGGAAGGAGCTAACTCTGTAGGCAGTTACACCCTGTCGCTTAAGTCGTTGCAACCCCGGTCGTGCTTCCTCAATTAACAGTCAATTAATCCTAAACACTCTCATGTTTTGGAGACCTCTCATGAGTCCTCAAATGATGGGAGAGCAGTCCGTTGCGACGAAAACGGACATACCAGGGTTGTCCGGAATGCGCCATGAGACACTGCATGAGAGTTGGTCAGTGTACCTATCTGGTTAGACAGGGTCGCCGGGTGAACTGGATCCTACTACTGGGTCCTGCATACTCTACTAGACTGATAATGGATCGATTGGATTCATTGATCTGTTGATAACCCAATATTGATATCAAGGATGATCCTTTCCTGAAATGACGGCCTCAGGCCAGCCCTGTTGCCGATCCTGCCGAGGTTCTTTTGATCTTTGATCTTTTTTTTCTTCTTATTGACTTTATACATTTTCTATATTTCTTTCTTTGTATATACATTCATTTATCTATATTATTATACACATTCACTTATAATCTCAACTATACAGAATCATATAATCAAAATGTCCATCATGATCGACCCCCTCCCCCAGGACCAGGCCAACCTGCATCCCTTCCAGCATCACCCCTTCGCCCACCACCTCCTCCAAAACCCAGCCTACTACCCCATCCAGACCTGGTCGCGTCTCCCCAAACCCTCCACCGGCGAAGACGGCTACATGGCCCAGACCCTGTCCACCCCGACCACCATCCCCCACTGCCTCACCCTCCGCCGTCGCGATCTCCGCTCCGAGCATCTCCCCTCCGCTCCGCCCGTCTGGCCCTCCCCCACCGCCGACCCCGCCCACTCCGCTCCGTCGGCGCGCGACCCCGACGCCATCATGATGTTCGACTTGGCCAGTCCCGGTGTTAGCGGTCATCCGGATATGGCCCATGGGGGTGTCGTCGCTGCGCTTATTGACGAGACTATGAGTATGGCTGTTACTCTGCATTCGCCTCCGTCTTTCACCTCCGCCTCATCCTCCGACTCTGTCTCTGTCTCTGCGGACAGTGAACCCCCCACCCCCCGCGGCAAACTGTTCACCGCCCAGCTGGACGTGCGGTATAAACAGCCTACCACCCTGCCTGGCTTGGTGGTCGTGCGCGCCAAGGTCGTCGCCCGTGTTGGGCGCAAGTTCTGGGTGCGCGCGCAGGTCGTGCAGCCGGGGGATAAGATGACGGAGGAGGTTATTACTGCGGATGCGATGGCGTTTTGGTTGCAGACTGTTACGCCTGGGACGGCTCGTCTTTGATCTTCTTCTTTCTTTCTTTCTTTCTTTCTTTTATTCTTCTCTTCTGTACATAACATAGACTTGACACTGTATACTTTATAGACATAATAAATAGATCATATGTACACTCACTCACTCACTCACTCACAAGACCCCCAAATATACACCCCCAAAGAAACCAGAGCTCAAATCTTCGCCTTCTTCCCCAAATTCCGACTCGAACTCACCACCAACCCAACCTGACTAGCAATAGCAACCACCTCGCCCCCCTCATCCAAAATAACCACATCAATATCCGTCCGCCCATCCCTCATCACCTTACTATGAATCCGACTATACAACCAATCCGCCCCACCAACCGGCAACCGCTTCTTGAAATCCACATTATACGTCACAGTCGGATACCAAAACCTCGCAATCTTGCCCCCCTCCCCAACCCCACCACCACCACCACCACCCTCCGCACTCGAAGCCATCGAATCAAATCGATCCAGCGCCGCAGGAAACATATCCGCCAGAAACGCCACCGCGGCGTCCGTCCACTTCCCTGCCCTGTTCCCCGCGGGACAAAACTGCGCCCACTGATCCACGACGCCCGTCTGCGGCGCCTCCGCCTTCTTCGGGTCCGGCCCGTAAAGCCTAACCTGCCGGCCCGCGCGGCGGAACTCCGAGAACGGCACGGGGAGATACGACCACACGCCGTCACTATCGCTCTCCCTGAGTTTATCAAGGCTCACCTTGCCCCCGCCCCGGAACCCCCAGGCACAGCAGGGTGCAGGCCCCAGTGCGTGGGCGCGGTGATGCCCACTTCGGCAGAGCTGGGACTGACGGTGATGTAGCCGGCGACTTTGACTTCGAGGGCGTGCGGCGCTTTCGGGCTGGGTTGGGAGAGCTTTGCGTGGATGGTGCTCGTGCGCGCGCCGAGCTTCATGTCTTCGACTGTGAGGATGGCGGGGCCGGTTCCGGTGCGGCGCAGGAAGGTTAGTTGCATGGAGATGGGCGTTGCGGGTTCCGTGTAGTGGTTTGGGTGGGCGTGCGCGAAGTGCGTTAGGGCTAGGCGGTAGAAGACGGAGGTTGTGTAGCCGCCGTGGGGGACTGTTTTGTTAGTATTTACTATACATATATATATATATATATATATGTAATATATTGTATTAGGAGAACTCACCAGCTCCGACACACCACTCGCCCTCCAAGTTGGCTTCATATCGCCCTCCGCCTAAAGGCTTGATCTGTGTTGCGTCCTCGAACGCGGCATTGGCGGCGGGGACGTTGGGGCTCATTGTTGACGTTCGGAAAGCAATTGCGAGTCTGATAGGAGGTGGAAGAGTTTTTTTTTTTTTGAGAAAAAGATGAGAGTCAGGAGGTGTAGGACGGATAGAGTCCACCTGGGTTAGAACTTAGTAGTCGTCTGTCATAACTAGTCGGCCGTGCTAGTCTGTCCTGCTAGTTTAATCCGTCAATCTACGAACAGAAAGTGATCGTCCCGGGGTTTCCCCGCACGAGACAAAACAAAGGATTCCCGTCAGACCTCGGTTGACTGGTATATCCACGATAAACGAGTACATTTCATGTTGACAGAAATAGATATATGTGAAATGAATAGATACATACGATGTGTGATAATGTACCTCGAAAATAATAGTTACAGTCAACCCTATCCCACCACCCGTCACTGATTATTCTATTCATGTCCTGGCAGTGTCGATCCCTTCACGGCGCCATGGGAACCGCCTCGTGAGCTCGTCACTCATCTATACCGATCTAATCGTCCTTTTTTTTTTTTTTTTTTTTCTCACTCGGTTCAGTGCGGAGTGGGCACGGCGGCCAGTCGTTCTAGGCAGGATAGAGCGCCTACCATAGTCAGTATCTTGCTGCAGTGAAGGGAAGTGACAAAGGAACATACCAGCCACACCCTGCGTCAAATACGCTTTCGCCTCCGTGCTGCGAAACCCCAGCGTCACCGTCATCACGTAGTTCACCAGCCGCGCCCGTTCCAGTTTATTCGCCCACCGGAACACCGGCTCGTCGTCTCGTCCATCCCCCAGCGCGAGCAGGAAGTCCGGACGTTGCTCGATGTCCCCCCGTTCGCTGTGCTCCAGGCACCATCGCCACACCAGCGCTGTCGCCGTCGCCTTGTTCGTGTCCGCCGGCTCCACCACCAGCGAGTTGTCCACCGGGATGGCGTGCACCCCTTGACTGGCGCACGCGTCGTTGATGTGGCCCGCGCACGCCGACGCCAGCCGCGAAGCCATCTCCTGGTCCTCGGCCGAGCCGTAGTGGAACACGTAGGAGCAGTGCCGCTGCTCGATCCAGCTGCCCTCGGCCCGCTCCTGGTAGTACGCCAGGATGTGGCTGACCCCTTCCTTCCAGGCGTCCGTCTGCGCCCGGTCCGTCAGGCTGCACCACTCCTCCGCGCCCGGTTCCCGCACGAAGCAGCCGTTCTCCGCGATGAGGCCTAATCGGCTCACCAGCCGGAACAGCCGCTCCATCTCCTCGGGCATCCGCGAGCTCATGACGTAGACGATGTTCTTGGGGTCCTCGGTCAGCTCCGCCAGCGTGTTGATGGCGCGCTGGGGCGTCGTGACGATGATGCTCTTCGGGGAGCCCCACGAGGCCAGTGTGCCCTCATAGTCCATGATGATGAGCCGGCAGGCCGACCGGTGGTACATCTGTTCCAGCTTGTTGACAGGCAGCCGCGGCACCGCCATGATCTCCCGCGACGACTGTTCGTTCCACACCCGGTTCAACGTCTCGCTGAAGGTCTTGACCCAGTTCTCGGTCGAATTTTGCAGCACCGCCCGGTGCAGCTCCGTCCACACGCGTTGGCGCTCCTCCTCGCTCCGCGAGAGGGCTGTGTGGATCGCTTCCGCGCATTGCCGGTAGTCCCACGGGTTGACCAAGAGCGCGTGGTGGCCGAACACGGAGGCGCTTCCCGTGAACTCGCTGAGGATGAGAGACCCGAACTTCTTCTTGGATTCGTACTTGCCATCCTGGCAGTAGACAAACTCATGGCTCGTCAGGTTCATCCCTTCGCGCAGGCTCGTGATCATCAGAGCATCCGCAACCGAGATCAGGGCTAGGTACTGGGGGAAGGCCAGATCTTGCTTGAGGAAGACGAGCGGCTGGTGCGCGAGGTTGGAATGCGTCGAGTTGATCCGCATGGCGATATCGGAGATGGTAGCTTCCAGCTCGGGCTGCTCTGTGGTACTGGTGGCCACTTGTATCAACACCACCTAGAGGTACAGATCCCATGTTAGCCCTGGGTGACGGGAGAAGAAGGGAAGTAGACAACATACCTGGTCTCGCCATTCCGGGTAAGTGTTGAGAAAGAGCTCATAGCTCAAGAGCTTCTGACGGATACCGCGGACCTGATCGATCTTGTCGCGAGATACAATCAGCCGCTTCCCCTCGTAGCGCTCGGAGATGAGCTTGATCCACAGGTCGACGTCGGCGGCTTGACGCCGTTGGTCCCACGAGGTGGGGTCGATGCCGATAGGAAATTTGCCCACGTTTACGAATCGATCCTCCAGCTGCAGCCCGTCGTTAGTGGCTTCAACGTTCAGGATCCGGCTGCACGTCTGGAGGAAGTGCCGGCAGTACTCGTCGGTCTGGAAGCCGATGAGGTTGGCCCCGAGCATGCCCTGGAGGAGCTCCTTGCGCGGGGCGAGACACCGAAAGACCTCGGAGGACGGGAAGGCGATGTGGAGGAAGAAGCCGATCTGGGCGTCGGGGAGCAGCTTCCGCAGCATACCCGGCACCAGCAAGAGGTGATAGTCCTGCACCCAGATGGAGTCGCCGCGCTTCCAGGTCCGGGCGATCCGGTTCGCGAACTCCTGGTTGACCTTGACGTAGTAGATCCACGAGTGATCTTCGTAGGCCTTGCTCTTGGGGTTGTCGGGGATCTGGTAGTGGAACACGGGCCAGAGGATGGTCTTGCAAAAGTGCGTGTAGTGCCCGTCAAAGTCGCCGTCCCGGACGTAGACGGTGAGCGACCCGTACTCGTCCTCAAGCTTCTCCTCAATGGCGGCCTTGGTGTACGGGGGCAAGGCATCGGTGGGCATGCCCAAGGTGCCCACCCACACCTTGTCCTCCAGGTGACCGGCGTCGGTGGCGGACCGCACTGCATTGCGCAGTCCCCCGTTGCCCTGCTCCGCGATCTGGATCGTCCAGCTGGCGTCCGAGAAGGAGACCTTGCGGCTGTCCCTCCGGCGGCGGTCGGTCAAGTAGGTCGGTACCGTCACCGGCTCCACGGCCTTCGGCTTCGGCTTCTGCTTCTCGGGCCGGGGCTCCACGGCCGGAGTGGTCGAATCTTGGTGTTTGAGGATGGAGGGCGAGGGCGAAAACGCGGCCTGTGGTCTTGGCTGGTTCAACGACAAGGTTGCACCCCAGGCTGGCGAATGGGCCTCACTCTCCGTCATGCGATTGATGTTATCATCCGGGTTGGGGAACGGGAACCCAGTGCCGTGATGTTCCGCCCTGTCGAGGGTGGACGAGAAGATCCGCTCATGCTCGGTGGTGGCCCCGGGCGTGAGACCCACCGTGGGAGGACCATTTTCCTTCTCGAACAGGCTGACGGGATTGGGGGCTGGATTCGGAGGGTCGGCGGATGGCTGAGGAGGTGGGGGACTGGCCGGTCGGGGACACTGGTGGTTCGAGTCATGGACATGGAAATTGACGGTGTAGGGGAGAAACCTGAGCGTAAGCGCTTATCAGCATGATCTCACAATAGCCAACAATGGTGGTTGGGGGAGTGGGAGGGTCGTTTCCTACAAAGAAGCGATATAGATCGTCATAATGACGATATCAGAGGGCGAACCGGATAATGAATTGCAAGATTCCAAGTAGCGAGAAAAAACAAGGCAGGGAGCAGTACCCCCCGCTAAACACCAGAGAAAGACACAGAAGTAATGATCGAGCAAAATTCTGCAATGTCCAAGAAGTGGACGAAGCTGCAAGTGGGATGGAAGATATTCACTAAGTGGGAGAAGCTAAAATAAAAAAAATAGAAGGCGTATGTATTTTGGGCTCAATGCAGGAAAGATGCAAGAATTATGATGGGATGAAAGCAATTGACAGAGTAATTGTAAATTCAGCACTCATCGCTTTTCTGTCTGATTTTTGAGATGCAATGATACAGGAGATGAGGATGTGAAGAGAGAAGAAGAAGAAGAAGAAGAGGAAGAAGTAAGACAAGAAGCCGCTAGACTTGCTTTCTTCTTATCAATACGTCATGTGAAGCGTCAAAGACTCTGGGTGGGGACCGGTATTGTATATACCGTACTTTCTGCCAGTTGATGTCAAATAAGGTAATATCGGTATTGAAAGATGGTACGTGTATGTTACGGAGTCCACCGGGCGATCGCCCGTGTCACGTGTGGCGATCGCGCCCTTATCGGTGCTGCCTGGGGCAGGTGCTCACTTATTCAACAAAGTCCGGAGAACCAATACAATTACCTACTACTACTACACTCGATCCTCATCCACCTCTATATATGATCCCGTCATGCCCCTACGGGTCACATCTGCCCCCGTCTCCGGGGTGCAGAAGAGGCGACGAAAACCCGCGGACTCGAAACCCCGCGCCTCGCCCTTCGCCGGCCACGCTCGTCGCAAGGCCACCACCACCAGGGCACCCGATGCAGCAGACGAAGACACAGACCCCCTCCCAGACGTCGGACTGTCGCGATATATTCCCGAGACCGCACCGGTGGAGAACGTCGTGCAAGCCTTGAGTTACATCCGCGACAGTATCTTCGACGAGATCCCTCAGCGGGCGGGGATGAACAGCACCCGGATCGCGGAGGTGCTGAACTTTCGCCGCTCACTGCCTCCGTTGGTTTCAGTGGCTCACGTTCATACTTTGCTGGATGCGCCGACGAGGGTGGAAAAGGAGGTCATGGTGTTGGTGTCTACCGGCCGTGTGCGCCGTCTGGTGGTTCCCGGGCGTGGCAACGACGCCGCCGGGCTGGGTGATTGTCTTGTTCTGGTAGAGGATTGGGAGCGGCTTGTACGGGATAGTAATGCCTTGGACGCGGCGCTGAAAGGTGCGTTGCCCCCGATTATCTCAGGAAAAATCCATCCTTTCACTAATTCCTCCAACAGACAAATTCCTCTCCGTCCTCAGCCAAATGGGAAACACCTCCGCCATACCCGGGCTACTGTTCTCCCCCCCAGAACACACATCCCTCGTGCGCGCCGGATTCCTCGTCTCCTCATCCTCCCTCGCCAAAGGCTCCTCCAACATGGCCTCCCTCCCCAGTCTCCCCTCCTCCTCCACCACCACCACCACAGCCGGCAACACCGCCAGCCGATCCAGCGATGGCGCACAATACAACACCACCCCCACCAACCGCTCCCAATCCAACTTTCACACCGCAACCCTCTTCCTCTCCCTCCCCAACACAGGCCCCTACCTCCGTCTCCTAGGCGCAGGCCGATCCCACCTCCTCACCATCCTGAAGAAGTCCAGCTCGCGCGAGATTCCGCTATCTCTACTGCGAGACCGCTGGAACGGGGCCGTCGAGTCGGAGACAACCTCCAGCGTGGCTAAACGGATGAGAGGCGAGTTCACGGGTGTCTTGCCCGGCAGGACGAAGAAGTGGAAGGATCTGTATGGGATGAAGTTCCGGTGGGTGTTGGAGGAGGCGATTGGGGCGGGGCTCGTTGAGCTGTTTGATACGGGGAGTGTGGGGCCGGGGGTGCGCTGTCTTTGATTGTATTTGTGATTCTGGGGGATTATTTGTTTCGTTTTGGATGGGTTTTGATTATTGGGTGTATTATAGATTGGATGGTTGATTATGTAGCTACGAGTGATGATATATAGATTCATGATAGGGAATAGAGTAGAAGACTACATCTATCTATGCTATAACTATACACATGTATTATTCCGTATTGTTCTAACCGCTATGCTACACCACCCAGTCAAGCCCAGTCAGGCAGAAGACCATAGTCCCATCGACGTAGCATCCCCTAGCTCCAACGCCGTCAGGCATCGGGCGGGGTTGGGGCTGGGGCCGGGGTTACCAGGGTGATGAAGACGGGAGGCTTCCAATAGAGTGGAAGCCACAGGATATAGTTTACGGTCAGATGCATGCGGAGATAGAAATCACAAGATGGTCACAATCATGATTAGAATACAGGATTATGTGGTTATAATGCGGCTTGACAAGCCATACATTGAATGAACGATTCTGTCCAAGATCTCTCGTATGTGTGGATCTGATCGGTTGTATTGGTGCCTCCATAAATATGAACATAGAAATCCAAAACGGCTAGACTATCAGGCGGTAACAAAATAAATAGATAATAGAAAGAATGAGAAAAGAAAGGGAAAAAATAAGATAAAAAGTAACCCGATGGTGCCCCTAGACTCCTGGGAATTTGGATCCGACAAGATAATGCTGATGCAATACGTACAACATGCTCAATACAGACAAGAAGGATAAGACAGGCAAGTGGGGGAACGAAGACGGGGGGATGATTACAAGTAACAATTCGACGCAGAAGAAACCAAGCATCTTGTAGGAGAATAGAATAATAGAGTAATATGAACCGTCGTATAGGACAGGGGGGAAAGAGACAGACAGAATGCCGGGTGGGTCAGGGCACACGGTGTCAGTAAAGATCGCGTCTCGCGAGGAGACTCCAATTTTCATCATCAGTTCGGCGTATCATGAAAGCTGTAAGAGGTGGATGGCGAGACTAGAAGGAGGGAAGGAAGAGCATGAACGGGAAACATCCCACGAAGGAGAGAAGATCAGACACTGAAGATGTAGGAAATATGACCACAAGAGAGAGGAGACAGATGAGCGGTGCCAGGAGAGGAAGAATAGAATGAATAATTATTATAGAGAATGGAGGGAGTGCGGGCTACATAGGCGAGCACGGTCGAGTATTCGCGGACGTCGCCGCTCACCGGTGCGCCGGACTGGCCGAACTGTTCTCGTGGCCCCCCAGTTGTGCTGACGAGACCGCCGGGGCAGCGAGGCTGTTGCTGTGGTCAGTGGGACCGGAATGGGACGCCAGCTGGGCGCGGAGCGTCGCGACCTCCGATTTCAGCGCGCCCAACTCGTCGTGGACCGTCCGGATGTACCGCCACAGGCTGTCCTCCCGTTCCCGGCCAGGATCGACGTAGCCACCATCGGGGGGCCCGGACCGATGGCCGCCGTTGGTGGGAAGGCCGTCCGGACCCGGCTTGGGGGCCGACGGCGGGGGCGCGTGGAGTGTAAAACGCGCATCTGCCGACGAGGCCATGCCCGGCGGCGGTGGCAGCTGTGGCGCCCCAGGCTGGGGCGGGGCAGGCCCAGACCGGGGGGCGGAGCGGAACCGGGGACCGGCGCCTGGGAGATGGACCCGGTTCGGGCGTAGGGCGGCTGGAACGACGGCGTCATGCCGGGCGAATGGGGGCGATGGAGGTGGTGAGGCGTGGGGTCGGGCCCGGGCCGACCGAGTGCGAGGCGAGGGCGTTGGGGGACAGTGGGCGCGGGCTGCTGTCGGCGACCCCGGCCGGCGGGAAGGCGGAGGGAGGTCCCGTGGCCTGGTGGCCGGCGGGGGGGAAAGTGAGGCTGCCGGGCTGCGAGACGGGCGAGGCCGACGCGCTCGAGCCGCCGTGGCTGGTGGGCGGCGGGAACAAGCCGCCGGGCGAGGGTCGCCCCGCGGCCAGGGGCGGATAGGTGCTCGGCTGGCGGGGCGGGGGGTAGCTGGCGCCGCTGGGGGCGGGGAGGTCGTGCTTCTTGATGCTCGGCATGTTGAGGCGGCGCTCGTCCTCCTCGTCCATGCGCTCCGGCTCGGCGTAGACGAGCCCCTCCATGGAGTCGTCGGGACCGCCGGGGCCCGTCGGGTCGCCGTATTCATCGTCGGGGGCGTAGCTCCCCATGCTGGACCGACGGCCGGCACAGCCGCCCTGGCCCTTGTTGTGGCGCGCCAGGGCATCGCCCCGGGCGAAGCGGCGACCGCACTTGGGGCAGATGTGCGGACGCTCGCCCGTGTGCAGCTTGGTGTGCCGCTTGAGGTCGTGGAGGCGGCGGAAACGCGACTGGCAGGTTTGGCAGACGTAGGGTTTCTCCTGGCTGTGGGTGAGCAGATGGCTCTTGAGGTTGTGATGGCGAGTGAACTCGGTGGCGCAGTAGGGACAGCGGTGCTTCTTGGCCGACGGCGACCGTTGGCCGGCCTTGCCGAAGCCGGAGCCAGGCAGACTCAGGCCGCGACGCGGGTCGGCCAAATTGCCCGTGGGCATGGGGTAGGAGAAGGCCTTGTTCCCGGTGTCCTGCAGCAGCTCGGTCTCGTCACGATGGCGCGGACGGTCGCCATCCTGCGAGGCGGAGTCCTCGATGGGGCCGGGACTGGCGACCGTGGAGGTGTTCATCAGGGAGGAAGCGGCATGGTCGGCGGCGGCAAAGGCGTCGGGCGCATTCCCGGGGGTGGAGTGGGAATCGACCTGCATGTGATCGGAGACGGCGACGGCGTCAGTGGGGGGTGGCAGCGGGTGTTGTTGCTGCTTCTCGCTGGCGCCTAGGGCCTCACGAGCGACCTGCGAACTGTTGCGCTCCGCATCCTTCTCCTGGTCCAAGGGCCGATCGGTCGGGCCCACGGTGGACGGTGGCGTGGTCATGGGTGGCAGAGAGTCACCGCGTCGAGAGACGTTCAACCCAGCGTGTGCGATGGAGGTCAACGAGGAATCAGGTTTGGAGTGTTTCAGGTAGGCGACCGAATCCGAGGGACTCGCGGTGACGGGGTGAGACGGGGTAGGTAAGGAATTGGAGAACGCCACAGAATCGTTATTTGACTGCATCAACGCGGCCATGGACTCGGAAGGATTGACGCCAGCCTGGAATGGATGGCGACCGACAGGAGAGACTATATGGACCGAGGTCATGTCAATTTAGGTGGCAGAAACGAGAAGAGTGAGGCGATGTGGCTTGAGGGTCATGATGTGGTTGAGCCGGGGGGGGGGATGGAGAATCTGAAATAGCGAGGGAATATCCGGGGGAGAAAAAGAAGCAGGCAGGACGAAGAGGCTCAGCCCAGGCGAAAACAGAAAAAGGCAAAGCGCGTTAAGAAGCAAGAAGGGGGGGGGTGGGAAAGAAGTGAACGAGTGAGATGGCTCAGAGGGCAGTGTAATGTCAGGGAGTCTGTCTCTTACCTGGAAAGCCAAGTGTGGCGCAAGCTGACCGGGGGGAGAAGTGGGCCAACAGAGCTGGCACTTCAGCTGTCTCTCTCTCTCTCTTTCTTTTCCTCTTTCTGTTCTTTTCTTGTTCTTTTTTTGATTTATTTATTACCCTCTCCCAGAGGAGATCTCGAAGAGAGGTGGAGGAAAGGGGAAAGATAACCAGACAAACAAAGCATCCAGCAAGAAAGTATATAACAAAATACAATCAATTCAATTCCATGAGATCCAATCACACGTCACAAATTAAAAACAAGAAAGTAGAAAAGAGAGAGAGAGAGAGAGGATGCAGGATAAAAATAGCGATCAGCCTTGTGTGAAGGTGAAGGGGCAGAGTATCAGCACGGAGTCATTCGACACGGACGATCTGGATCGATCTGGAGATTCCCACATAGGGAGATTCAAAGTGGCTGGACAAGAGACTTGAGTTTGAGATATGATTGACAGAAGACGAGTTCGTCCAGGATCAAGGTCAAGATCCAACTGACGAGAAAGACTGAGGATTGTTGGAGATGCGAGATCGATCAGGAGCGCTGACTAAGGTGTATCCATACCATACCATACTACCTGACTGACCATACCATACAGAGATGGAAACATATCATACCATCCATACCCTGTTCATACCCATCCATACAATACCCCAGATCGTGATCCTATTCGATTGTGATCAATCCTGCATCCATCACACTTCGTCCCGGCGCTTCTCATCACTCCAATCATCCGCCATACTCCTGCATCCTCTATCTTCATCCTGCATCACTTTGGCGCTTAACCAGCCCTCCTCTGCCCTTCCCCTCCAGTCATCACATCTGATTCGAGGGAACCCTGCTTAGCATGTCCTTCACCCCGTTATACTTAGAGAGTCCCTCTTCCAACATGGCGCCTGCTCCTTCTCTCGTCCTTTGGGATCCTCTTCTATCGTTCAGTCAATGACCTTTTCCTCCTCTCTCTTTCCTGTGTCTTTCCAAAAAGACAAAAAGAGAGAGTAAAGTGAAGAAAAGAAGAGACGAAAGTCAAGAGACAGACAAGAGGTTGAGAGCAGGCTCTCCCCTCTTCATCACTCAGCTGGTCTTCATAGTAAAGGTCATACTTGACTAATCGGTCAGCCATGGCTCCCCACGCACAACCAACCGTCGCCTCTCAAGAACGAAGCTCCTCCGACTCGACTGTCTCCTCCTTGAAGAGTCCGCGGACCGCTCGTTTTGCTGAGGCGACCACGGTTCACTCCCCGACCGACCCCACGGCCCACAAGTCCCCCTTCGCCGACCCTCCACATCAATCCCAGACCCCACCCGATGTCTCTGACTTGGGCTTTGGCTATGTCACCGCTGCCGACCCGGCGCATCATGCCCATCACCATGCTCCGGCCTCTCCCCTCCGGAGTGCCCTCAAGGTTCCCGGCACGCCGGGACGCACCTTGAACCCACTCAGCCCCACCTTCCGGGAGGAATTCTATGTGGAGAAGCAAGAAAAGTCGGCCGAGGAGGAGAACGCACGCGATGTGGTGAGTAGATTCCTCCCCCAATCCCCCCAGTCAGGATAGACGTGGCTAACAAACCTCAGAGAATCAAACTCCGGGTTCGCATCGCCAAGATCTTCCTGCGTTTCGTCAATTTTGGCTGCAGTCTGATCGTCTTGACCATCCTGGCCACCACCTTGACCATCTTCCATGCCACCAAGTCCCTGCCTTCCCGCAGCGGCTTCCCCGCATGGGCCAATGGCACGAACCCCTGGACCCAGTACCTTCTTCTGGCCGTCTCGGTCGTCTCGCTGGCCGCCTGTCTGATGGTCTTCTGGGCTTATTGGAAAGGCGGTCACAAACGCGCCGAAAAGGTGGCCGTTTACTACACCACCTTTTCGGTCTGTTTCTTCGCTTTCAGTCTGATCATGTGGGTCGTCGCCGCCGCCCTCTACCAGAATGAAAAGGCCAAGGGGAACGGCAAGGACCTGTGGGGCTGGTCCTGCAAGCAGAATCCTCGGGAGAAGTTATTCCACAATGACATTGATTACGCTTTGCTCTGTCGTCTGCAGGTGAGTCAATCCCGCCTATCTCCCTCCCCTAGGCCTCCATACTGACTGTAGTAGGACTGGGGACTGGTGTGCGCCATCATCGAGATTGTCATCGAGGTCTTGATCATCCTCATCTACGCCGTCGTCTTTTACCGCTTCTGGACCAAGCGGCGGCTGATGAAGTCGATGGACCGTCGTGACAAAGCCCGCTCCGACTTGTATCTCGCACAGCTGCGAGTCCAGTCGGCCCCCAACACGCCTGGCTTCCCGCGCACCCCGAAGACGCCCTTCGTGACCGCGGGCCCGGCGCAGGACCCGTATTCCGCCGCTGAGAATGGCGAATCCTGTGCCACCCAGTTCGCGACGCCCCGCTCGCCCGCGAAGCCCCAACCGACCTTCCAACTCCAGCCCCCTCCCATTCGCGTGCAGCATGCGACGCCCAAGCAGGACCAGGCTGAATTCGCGGCCCCTCCCGCCCCGGCGCCCATGTCGCCCCCGTTGGAAGGTCCCGCGCAACACATGGAGGCGGCCCCGGGTGAGCGGACATATGATGCCGTTCCCATTCCCGAGGCGTATACCAGCCCCATGGCCCCGGGCTTTCCTCCGAATGCTCGGCAGTGAGCCGTCCGATTAAAAGGCTGAAAGGGAAAAGAAGAAAGAGAAAAGAAAAAAACAAAAAAAAATAAGAGGAAAAAAAGAAACTAAAGAAAATAAAAAAAAGAAACCTGCCAAATGATTGATTCATCTATGCTTCTGGAAGCGGCAGTGTGTTCATTGATGGTGCTGTATCCGCTCATCACCAACATATAGCTGGAAAGTGTCTCTTCTTTTCCTTTTGTCTTTTTCTCCTCCTCTTCTTCTTCTTCTGTTTTCCTTTTTCTCTTTTCTTTCGTGTTGTAAGTGGCCTAAGGCATGGGAGTCGACCTATTTGTTATAATGTGTACCTGTTTGTCTTTGCTTTTACTCATGTTAAATACATCTATTATACCATTCTGCGAGTCATCTTTTTTATCCTCTCTCTTTCCATCTGCATTGTCTCTCTGACACATACACACACTCTCTCTCTATCACCCGTCTTCTATGGGCGCTCTCGCTCTCACTCCCGTCCCAGACTTTTCACTGTGGACGGGCTGTATACAACAAAGATTGAATGAAGTTTATCTAGCACCATACATACCCTTCCATCGCTAGTCGCTTTTTAGCTAGGTAGGTAATTACTCGCCCATACGAATATAATAGGGCCAAGAATATTTACAACGATAGTTCATCAACTGCTACGCATAAGTATCTCATAGTCCAAATAATCATGAATATCAGGATTGTGTTCAGTTTCATAAAGTAAAATAAAATAAAGTAAAAATCAAGTAGAAAACCCACGCCCGTCCCAACCCAGAGAGCACGGCCATACCAATGACGCCTTTCCCACAGACATAAATCAATCAATCAATCAATCAAACTCGACCAACCGCAACCCATGTATACTACCATAGGTCATGCAACATCTTTCATACAGCATACAACGAAGGGAAAAAGGAGAATAGAGCTGAGGAGTCCGGGGGCTATACATGGACCCCTCGGCGCTTACATTGCTCCTTCTTCGAGGACGGCGTTCGCGTCTTTGGCGATGAAGATCTCCTCTAATTTGCCGGCGCCGAGGTTGCTGAGGGCATCGTCGTTTTTGAGGATGAGTCCTTGTTCGTTGGCTAGATGGAGTAGGCAGATGAATCCGAATGAGGTGCTGATGTCGCGGAGGGTCTCCGGGGCGTAGACTGTTTTGAGGGCGTTCATGACGCGCGTGAATCGTAACTGGTTCTGGTCCTCTGCGCCCTCGCTTCCAGGGATCAGACCCTTGTCCTGCGGCGAGGAGCTGGGAGGTGCGTCGGCTCCGCTGTCGTCTGGCTGTGGTGGAGCTGGACTTGAGACGGCCGCTGCAGAAGAGGCGGAGTCGAACTGGGACGAGGCGATGAGCCGCTCTCCCATCCCCCTCCACATCTCCAACTTCAGCCGTCGCACGTCGACCTTCTTGGCGACCCGAGCGTATGCCACGTAGTCGGGGCGCGCTCTCCGGCCACCCTGCGTGACTAGTTGGGATCCGTAGCCGCCAGCCCCCTGTTGGGAAGAACCCGGGGTGGCTCCGACCATGTTCAGGAGCGCGCTGAGCCCGGTGGCCCCGCCCGCGTCGCCCGTCGCCGCCCCTGGTTGCCCATCGGGCGGCGGCGACAGCATCTCGCGGGCATCGGCAAACGGCAGATTGTCGTCGTCATCGTCACCCAGGCCAAGGCCGTTGGGGAACGCAAGACCGTCGTCGTCCGCAAAGAAGTCCGCATCGTATGCGCCTGGCGCACCTTCATCCGGACCTTCGTTCGCCTCCGTCTTATGATTGGCCCAGAACGCCTCGTCCATCTCCCCGTGGCCGGAGGTCTGGTCCTGCCGTCGCTGGTTGAACGACCGGGAGCCGACCAGCTTCCGGGAACCCATCCGGGCCTTGGGCTTCAGGAACAGACGCAGTAGCTGTCGGGAGTTAAAATGCTTGTCGTCTGGGAGGAGGTTGCGCCCTTTGGTCTTCCATTGGGTCTTGGGGAGGGAGATGGTGGAGTTGGAGCTGGCGGGGGTGTATATCAGCTCGGAAACGGACGGGTCCAGAGGGAGGTTGAAGTCGATCTCGAAAGGTTCCTTCTCTTTCCGTGGCTTGGGCGCTGCGTTGGACGCGGTGGCCGCCGTGTGTTCTTTGATGCGGCGGATCTTCCAGTGCTCCGGACCGGCCCAGTTCTTCTGGAGCGCGTTATCGAAGTAGCTGAGGATGTTCTCATGGTCTCGCTTGTCGGGCTGGTGCGTAAGGGAGATGGAGTAAGCGTCGTTGTCGAACGCGTCGCCGTCGGGATTCTCCTCGCCGTCTTGGTCCACGCGATGGACCTTGAGCATCGGCTCCAGGGCCGCTTCACGCGCCCAGGCCTCGCCGCCATCGCCGAAACCCGTGTCGCCGCTGAGGTCAAAGCCCGCCAAGGACGCATCATCGTCGTCGAAACCGACCGCGTTGTCATCATCAAGCATGATGCCGGACGGGTCATTCATGTGGCTGTCCTCCCCGGGGTCTTTGTCCTGTCGCCACTCCTCGGGCGCTTTGAGCAGCGGGATATCCAAGGATCCGCTGGGATCTCCCAGGTCCAAGTTCTTGAGCGAGGGACAAATGTCCTGCGCTTCCAGGCGTTCCAGGTCGGGAAAGAATTGGCGGGCTAAGGGGCCGATGTCGATCTCCATGCTGTCCTCGAACGTACTCTCCGGGGCCGACTTGGCCGGCGGGGGAGTCCCCTGCTGGTCCGGATCTTCCGAGGACTCACGCGACTCGTCCCCCTCTTTCGGGGTCTCCTCGGCCGCATCGTCGCTGCTGTCGAACACAATTCGCCCTTGGCCATCAATGGCCAGATGGTTCAAGAGGAGGCCCTTGGCGCCGCCTTCGTCGAAATCGGCGGATGCCTTCTTGAAGAGGGGATCGACGGAGAATTCGAGTTCGAACTTTTTCAGTTGGAGCGCGGCAAACGAGGGCGCCAGGGTCGCTTCGTGGGTGCGGGCCTAGGGAGGCTCGAGTCAGTATGGCGGGTTGGGACGATGTGGGATGCGGGGGTACCGTACCTTTCGGCGGGATTTCCTGGTCCCTTCTTCGTCTTCGTCCTCGCCGTCCTCGCCGTCGGCATCGGCTTCGCGCGCCTTTCGGTCGCGGCTGTCGGCCAAGCCACTAAGCAGCTTCCCGGTTTCCGTCGCGACACTGTCCACTCGACTGGTATAAATCTTGACGCAGCCATCTAAAGTGCAGCTAGCCTTTTGGAAGTTCACGCCGTCGCCCTCCTTGAGCAGGGACATGTCGTGAAAGTAGTCGATGAGGGCGAAGTTCCAGGAGTTGTTGGCATTGATCTTGTTGTCGGTGGCCATCTTCATCCACTCTTCGAAGTTGGCCAGGATGGGTACGCGCTTCATGGGGGTGACGGCGCGTTGGCCATTGACATCGCTTTCGCGGCGGCGACTGCCTGAGCCCCGCGGCGTGCCGCCCGGACTCACACTTTGGCCGCGATCGTAGCTGGTGTATCGGCGGGGGGGTAACGGGGTCTTGACGGCGGCTTTGATCTGGTCCATCTGACGATCATATCGGGCTTGTCGAGCCTCCATGCGGGCGGCCTTCTCTCCCATATCATCATTGAGAGGGATCCTTGAGCCGAGTTAGTCTTGTGCCACTGGTTATATGTGTATGATGAAAAGGGAGGGGCGGGGTTGTCCCGTGACAACGAGGTTGGAGGGGAGGATGCGTACTTGATGGGCGAGTTCTTATGGGGGGTGGAAGCACCGCCGGAGCGGCGATGCTTGGAATTAGCCACGCGGGGCATGATTGCGAATAATTAACCCCGGCAGTAAGGGATAGGAAGACTACCAGGACTGGCGGGGTGTTGATGTGGATGGATCACGATAGGGAGGGGGACGGAGGGTGGGGAGCGGTCACTGAGGAAGGCTCATATCCAGTGGATGGCGATCGACGAGAGATTTTCAAAGAAGTGTATTGTTGGAGACTGTGGTTGGTATGATGAGTATGATCGTGATGTCGGAGAAGAGGATGATGCTGACGCTGGTGCTGATTGATGGTGATGGGGGAGAGATTTCCGCCGGAGCCAAAGAAGCATCAACAAAAACAACCTGCCCAATCGGGGTGTCACCTGATTGCATAATTAGTCATCTTTACTTGTGCATGGTACGGTGTGTATGGTACGGTATGATACCATACGGTGATGACATCAGACATGATAACTCACTTTCTCCTGCTCTTCTTATCGCATTTCTCTACAGGATCAATTAAGGATGTCCTTGAGATCTGCTCTATACGAAAATCTGTCTATATTCTTATAATAATCGATGGTGATCTACATGGATGAACATAATATTGGAACGACCCCCCTCACCGACTGCATATGAAATATACTTCGATGGATCATCCCCCTCTCCTCCCCTTCCTCAATCTCCGACGACTCTCGCTCTCTCCAGTCTCCAATTTTCCACGTTTCGTCTCCACATCCATCACTTTCTTCTCTGTTCGACTCCATATCCCTTTCTCAGCATTCCTCACTGCTCGATGAACTCTCCTAGACTCTTCTGCCGTTCATAATGCGGCCCGTCCTGTCGTCATCATGCCCCATCTACCGTTATCTTCTCCCCCTCTACCTCCCTTGATCCGAGGGAAGACGCATCGCAACAGGCGCCAATACTCTGTGCGGCCGTTCTACTATTCCCTGCTGATCTTGACGGCCCTGGTGGCCTTCAGTTGGGTCGTCCGTCACTTCGAACATGCTGCAACCCGAGTCCAGCTGCCAACGACGCCCGATAAGCTCATTCAAAGCCGGGGCGTCCATGACGAACTAGAGGTATCTTTCCCCTCTGTTTCCCCCGTCCCCATCGTCTAGTGCGTCGGACTGTGATCGCCACATGATATATATCAGCTCAAAGACAGCCAGCTGACCATCTGCGCCACCCTTTTATAGTGCCGCTTGGTCCGAAATGCCAAGGATCAGTGCGCCTTCGTCCGTGCCAACTGCCTCGACTATGAAGACGGCTTGCTTTCTTATCTCCACTTCTATTACTGCTCCCTGGCGGATGCCAAACCCATCGCTTTCGTCATCCTTGTCCTATGGCTCTCCCTCCTTTTCAGCACCATCGGCATCGCCGCCAGCGACTTCCTCTGCATCGATCTCAGCACGCTCGCCAGTGTCCTCGGCTTGAGCGAGAGTCTGACGGGCGTCACCTTCCTGGCTTTTGGGAATGGAAGCCCGGATGTTTTCTCCACATTTGCCGCCATGAAGTCCAACAGCGGGAGCTTGGCCGTCGGGGAGCTTCTGGGAGCGGCGGGCTTTATCACCTCGGTCGTGGCTGGTTCCATGGCGCTTGTCCGCCCCTTCAAGGTCGCCCGGAGGAGTTTCGTCCGTGACGTCGGCTATTTCGTCGTGGCGGTGAGCTTCAGTATGCTGATGTTGGCCGACGGTCGTCTGCACGTCTGGGAGTCGGCCACGATGGTGGGTCTCTATTGCTTTTACGTGTTTCTCGTCGTCACCTGGCACTGGTACATCGTACGCCAACGTCGGTCGTATGATCGGAGTGTCGTGGCCCGGTCTCATTTCAATATCCCTGAAAACCAGGAGCTCGACATCGAAGAATTCGACGACGACGATCCGATAGTCGCGTCGGAGTCGGCGAGCCTCCTGCCCGGCGTCTCCGTCGAGGATTTCGGAACCCTCGAGGAACCCGGCGTGCCGGCCTGGAGAGACGGGGAGGAGGATGATGAGACTCGCAACCGATACCTGGCCGAGATCCGGGACAACATGCACGTCATCCGCCCTTCCGCACGCAGACGGAACACCTTGAACCCCATCAGACCAAGCCTAGTGGGGGCCCTGGAGTTTCAGTCCGTCCTCTCGTCGTTGCAGAGGTCGAAGAATGTCCATCAGGATGGGTCGACCGGCCTCGACGGGTCTCTCGACCAGGACAACCGGTCTGTCGCGTCCCATCCGCGGATTGATCGACACACGGCCGCGGACCGCCCGTCCGTCGACAGTGAAGGGGGGACTTCTCGCGTGCGAGCCGTGTCCGCCAACGACGCCGCAGGTCTGAGGCTAGACACAAGCTTCTTCCACCCTGGGGAGACCCGACCCCTTTTAACCGTCAGTAGACCGTCTGTCGGGGATGGTGGATCACCCCCGACCACGCCGAGTCCTCAAGACGAGCGTGGAACAGCGTCAAGGCTGACTCCACCGCCGTCGGGTCCCTCTAGTCGTAGTCCAAGCCCGAACTTACTAGCGCCCCCGGACGTTTTCCATCAGCCTAACTACCAGGCCGAGACGCCTCAACCACGCTCCCCGGTCGACGTATCCCCCCGCGGCACCGCATTTGCCCGGGGCAGTGCGGAAACACAACTGGAGAGCCCCTCAAGCCCATTTCCTCCGTTTCTGAATACGTCCGTCCCGACCTCCAAGGCTCCAAGCATACGGCTCCCGTCGGCTTCGACCCCGACAGAGGCGCTGCAGATCCACGACCGCATCTTTGAAGAGTGTCGCAGCCCCTCGATCACATCTTACTCGTGGAGACGGTCGTGGTCTCTTCTTCTCCGGTCTTGCGTGCCTGTCCTCTTTCCAACCCTGGATGGCTGGGGGGCGAAGGGTTTCGGGGGGCGTCTTTTGGGCATCATCGCGGCCCCCAGTGTGTTCCTGTTAACCATCACGCTCCCCGTTGTGGAACCCGCGCAACCCGGGTCAGACGCCTCGTCTGGTCCTGATGTCTCTCCAATCGACAACAACTCACCTAGCCCGCGCGTGCGACTCCCAGAGGACAGTCCGTTGCTCCTGCCGCCTGACTCCGGTCCTGGGTCGATCCATCAACCCGACCAGAACGGCAAAGTCCAATCAGTGCAGAACAGACGTCGCTGGGACTCTGAACTCCCACCCCCTCCGCCCCCCGCAGACAGCTCACCTCAATCATCCAGAGAGTGGTGCCAATGGCTAGTCTGCACGCAGCTCTTCACGGGGCCCTTCTTCGTATCCCTCATCGTCTGGACAGCCACAGACCCCGACCTCCAACCCCGCAATCTCCTCCTCCCATCCATGGTCGCCCTCCTCTTCTCCCTAGTCTGCCTCTTCGGCCTCACAGCAAGCGCTCGCCGAACCCGCTCCCCCCAGCCCACCAACACCGTCCGCCCCTTCCTCGCCCTCCTAGGCTTCATCGTCGCCATCTCCTGGATCGCAACAATAGCCACCGAAGTCGTCAACCTGCTCAAAACCCTCGGCGTCATCCTCAACATCAGCGACTCCCTACTAGGCCTCACCATCTTCGCCGTCGGCAACTCCCTCGGCGATCTCGTCGCAGACATCACCGTCGCCCGCCTCGGCTACCCCGTCATGGCCCTAAGCGCCTGCTTCGGCGGCCCCATGCTCAACATCCTCCTCGGCATCGGCCTAGGCGGCCTCTACATGACCCTGAACGCCAACCCGGAGACCGTAGCCGCCAACGGCGGCTCCTACGAGATCGCCATCTCCAAGGTCCTGATCATTTCCGGCGCCACGCTGCTGATTACGCTGGTGGGATTGTTGATCGTCGTCCCGATGAATAAGTGGGTTATGGATAGGAAAGTCGGGTGGGGTTTGGTCGTGCTTTGGTGTATTAGTACGTTGAGCAATGTTGTTGCTGAGTTGGTTACTTAGGGGTTGGCTGGTTGGCTGGTTACTTTATTTATAGACTTATCTTTACGGGGTTTGGGTGCTATGGGCTTGCTTTGGACTGCTACATACTTCCAGTGTGGTGGCATTGTTGGTCGAACCAGGTGTATATATGTTAGTATTGGTTATGTTACGAACTGATGATTCATGCGGTTCTTCTTCTTCCTCTCCAATTACTTAAAATAAGCCTATCTATGTTGGCTCTTGAGCCATATTCGTTAAACAATGCCCTATTAAGAGATGTATATATATATATATATAGTATATTCGATACCGAACGTAGATTGAGAGACTCAATACAGTATGACTAAAAGAACGGATGGTGCTAATTAAAAAGAAAAAGAAATAAACCAGTAAAGGTGGTGTTTGACTTGATCGTCCTTCCTATGGTGCATGCGGGAAAGAACCTCACAGCACGCGGCCGGCTGAATTGCTGGAGCTCCTGTCGTTGGTTTGGGCCTTTCTGAGGCGGCTGCCTGCTTGGATTGATGCCAACAAGGCACCACGACCGCCGGCCGCCGCAGGTGCGGGTGCAGGCGCAGACGGGGGAGCCGGCGGGGGTGGTGCACCCGCGGGCGGAGCGGGAGGCGCGGGAGGGGGCGGCGGAGGGGCAGCACCCGAGGGTGGGGCAGGAGGGGCCATAGGAGGCGGAGGAGGCGGCGGGGGAGCACCACCTGCACCTGGTGGGGGAGGTGGAGGCGGCGGGGGTGGCGGGGGAGCGCCGGCTGGAGCGGACGGGGATTCCTCAACTTCAATAGCCGGGGGCGGCGCCACGGGATTGCTCTCCTGTACCGGCGTAGGGGACTTCGACGGGGACTTGTCGTCCATGGCGCTGAGCGGTCGTGGGGGCGCCATCGTTCCGAACAGGATGCTTGCAAGCTGCTTCGCGCTGCCGCCACCAGGTCGCTCATCCTCATCGTCAGAGGAATCGAAGTCGGAGCCGGCCGCGGACCAGTCATCGTCTTCTTCAGGGCGCGCGCGAGACTTGCGCTCCAGCGGGCCAGGGGCCGCGAACGAGGGGGCGGGCTTGACGTTCTCTTGCTGTTGGGCGAGACGGTGGAAAGGATTGGTGGACTCGGATTTCGGCGAAGTGACGGAAGTCGTGGGTTGATCAGCGGGGTGGCTGAGGTTCTTAAAGTAGGGGTTCTTGGACTCGGCGTCGGCCCCACCGCGGCTACTGGGCGGGGAGCTGACAGGAGTCTTCATGGCATCCGACTCAGGAGCGGGGGCAGGGGCCGGAGGAGGTGTGGGGGGAGATGCCGGTTGGGCATCGGTAGTCGAAGGCATCTGGCTCTGTGTCGGGGTGCTGTCCCGACGAGGGATGTCCGTGTCCCAATCTTCATCATCCGAAGAGCTTTCCCCGTCCAAACCCTCCAGCTCCAACTGGAGTTGTCGCTCCCGCTCCTTAGCCATCTCGAGCTCGGCACGTTGAGCCTCCAGCCGAGAATCTTGGTCTCTGGCTGCGCGCTCGGCCTCTTCCTTACGGCGCTTCTCTTCCTGTTTCTTGATCTTGCCCTGCTTGACTTGCTCTTCGAGGGCCCGAAGGCGAGCCTCTTGAGCCTCCTTCTCCTTCTGGATTTCTTCTGCCCGACGCTGGGCCTCGTCCCTGAGAGTGTGGTCAGCAACGATGTCAACTAAATGCTCTTCAGTAAAGAGAACATACTCCAGGCGCCTGGTTTCTTCCTCCTGAGCGTGCTGTTCCTCTCGGATGGCCTGCTCGCGAACATCATGATCACCCCTTGCCGGCTCTTCAGCCGCCTTTCTAGCGTCGGATTGGCCGGCGCTGTCCCCGCGGACTTTGCGCGAAGGGGGTGCTGGGGGAGGCTTCTTCCCAACGGGCTTGACGGACGACGGGGCAGGGCGACCGCCCTTCTCCTCCGCCAAACGACGCTGCCTTTCTTGCTCCCGCTTGGAGTCTTCTTCCTCGGCCTTCTTCACCCGCTCCTCACGCTCTTTCTTTTCTCGCTCCTGGCGTTGTACCAGGGTCTCCGCGGCTTCGTTGTTTGGCCTGAGCCCAGCCGCGGCCATACGCTCGGCAATGCGTCTCTGGGCACGCTCTCTCGCAGCTGCGACACGGTCCTCATGGGTAGAGCCAGGCAGGGAGCCGGATGACCCGACGGACGGCGGAGGCGAGGGTCTCCGGGCCGGGGCGGACTCGTCTCGAGGCTGTTGCCTCTGTGCAGAGGGCGACCTGGATGCGCTGGGCAAACATGTCAGTCCGATATCCAAACATCTATGTACTTGAATCGGGGAACTTACTCTTCCTTGCGGACATGCGCGGTCCGTGCATTGCGCTTCAGGTCATAGATGAAGTCACGAATGACATCCTCAACACCCAAAGCATCTTCCCACCGCCGCTTCTCGTGCTCACGCACCGAGCTTTCACCTCCTTCCTTGAGGCTGTCCTCGAGACTGCGAGCAAACTCCTTCACGCTCTCTTCCACGTCGCGTGTCATGGACTCGTTCTTCTCTCGGTCAGCCTTGACATTGGTGTTCTCCGCCTCGAGTCGACGCGCCGCGGCTCCATCATCGTCCTGAGAAGCCGGAGCAGGCCGGCCGGCAAGCTCAGCAGCGCGCGCTTGCATGCGGGCACGAGCGCGAGCCTTGATACGGTCGGCTTCCGTAACCGTACCACCGGGGCCGGTCCCCACGATGTTCGATGCGCTATTCGGGTGCGCCTTGGCATCCTTGAGGCGGAACAGCTCAAGTTTGGCTTCCGCGATCTCGCGTTCAATGCGACGGACATCCGAAGCAACCTGAGGGACCTGGTCCTCATGGGCCTGCAACTGACGGCGCAGGGCTCTCCGTTCGGCACCGTTATCCACGTTGCGGAAAGAGGCATTCGGATGCGTATCGATGTCATCTTGCACGCGCCGAATACGGTCCAGAAGACTCTCTGCCTCGCGGCGGTCGCGGCGATCCAAAGCCTCATCCTCCTCCACACGACTCTCATCCTGGAAATCAGTCGCATCAAGCATGATCTGAGTCTCGCGGATCTTCTTCTTCAACTGCTGGACGGAAAGTTCATCCTCGGATGCCTGCGACGAGGCGGGAGACGGTGTCCGGCCGCTATTACCGACGCGACGCCGGGCGCTAGACCGGTAGCCAGCAGCAGCGCCATCATTGTTCTTGAACAACGTAGCGTCTTTACGACCACCGCCCGGAGAAGCGGCACCACCGCGGAAGGAGTGGTCCTTGAGATAACTCACGCCAGTCTTCTGGGGCTGCAGGAATGCTCCGGATGCTTTGCGAGACTCGGCGTCCTGGGACAGCATGGACTTAATCGTGCCAATGGAGTCATTCAGGTTCCTCGTTGACGGGGGGACGAGCTCTGGGGGAAGTCGGCTCGGGACCGGGTAACCATTGAGGGTTCTGTAGATCAAGTGCATGGCCACGGCAAACTCATCCATGTTGAGTCGTCCTCTATTATGAGGATCTGCAAGCGTCCAGATGCGCTCTAGGTCCTTCTGGTTCAAGCCACTCTGGCCCATAATTTCAATGGCGGTCTCGCCACCAATGAAGCCCTTGTGGAAACCATCCCAGGCACGGAAAAGATCATCGTAGATCTTCTTCTCCTCCTTCGTGATCGCCCAGGGAATATGAGCGTTTCCGGAAAGGCCAGCTGTCGAAAATCCGCCCTCGCGACCCGGCTGCGGCATGAGCTGCTGCTTAAGAGCCTCAATGTTCGGCAGTCCTGTCGAGGGAGCATTGACAAACCCCCATTGGCCGGGCACCCCTGTGGGTTGTGCGACCAACCCTCCCGTCTGGGCAGGGCTAAGGTTGGATCCAAAGCCAGTGGGCATGGGCGGAACCGGGGGACGCGGTCCACTATACCCAGTGGGCTGGGGATTGTTCATGAAGGCCGTCTGTTGTGGCTGCAGGAATGACGACTGCTGAGGCTGGCCAGGCATGCCTGTAGCCTGGGGGGCAAGGTTCACGCTCTGACCCGGGAACGAATTCTGACCGGGCTGGAAACCCGTCGGTTGCGGAGCGAAGCCAGTCGGCTGCGCCGTAAGCTGCGAGAGAAGGTGCGAGTTGGTTGGCTGCTGGGGCTGGGGCTGCTGGGGCGCCGGGGGAGCAGCCTGGTTCTGCAACAGCGGTGGGTCGAAACTCGGGACATTTGTTCTCGCGGCCGACTGCGGTGCTGTGTCGGGAACCTGGGTCGCGATAATGTCAACCATGCTGGAGACCTCGTTCCTTATCGTCTCCGGGAGCGCATCCGGCAAGCTTCTACCCGTAATGCGAAGGTTGCACAGGTACATGGCCAAGGCGAATTCCGGGAAAAACAACTGCCCGCACTTGGTGGAATCACACAAGATCCTATTGCAGTCAGCAACACTCATCTCCTACCCCTGCCATTGTGTCGTCTTCGCATGCTTACCAGATTTTGGACAAATCACTTCCGCTCAGTCTGGACCGCATAAGAAGCTCCTTGGCCTTGTCACCTGTTGACGGACTGTCAGAACCTCTATCCAACACGACACCGAGGGTTTGAAATCCTACTGACCAGTCATGGTCTGACTTTCTCCCACCGCAGATTTGAACAGCTGCTCGAACTTGGCCTGGTCCTGGGCCGTGATAAACGAGAGACGGATGTTGGGGACCTTATTACCCGTCGGTTTCGGAGGCGGGGGAGGGGCAGCACCACTGCCATCGGTGAACGAGTTGGCGATCTCCGACGACGTCTGGGGCATGGACCGAATGGGAAGACCGGTGTTCTGAGGCGGGACCTGTAGCTGCGGGGGGGTATTCTGAGGAGGATATCCGGTGAACTGAGGCTGTTGCACAGGAGGAGACTGGAAGCCTGTCGGTTGCGGTGCCTGGAAGCTTGTGAATTGGGGTTGAAGCTGGCCACCCGGGAAACCCGTTTGCTGAGGCTGTAGCTGAGGGCCTCCATATCCGGTCATCTGCGGCCCGTAGCCGGTGGGCTGAGGAGCAAACCCATGTTGGGGCTGCTGTTGGGGCTGCTGTTGAGCACCGGGAGGGAATTGGGTGTACTGGGGCTGCTGCGCAAACGGAGGCTGCTGCCCGGGGCGGCCGCTGTTAGCGCCGCCCAGGTAGGAATTCGAGGACGAGTACATTACGCCACGCAGTGTCGCATGGGCGAACAAGGGACGTAGATGTAGGACAAATGAGATAGATCAAAAATGAGAGTATACAGGTTCAAACCAAGTCAAAGGAGTAAAATGAAAGGATCGGCAAAAGGAGGGAGAAGCTATCACCGGGAATCGGGTCTAGTTGTAGTATCTGGAGGGGGATTGAGAGGGGAAGGAGACGAAGGAGCAGCGACAGGAGATAACAACGAATGAACAAAAGGTCGGACTATAAGCGGGGAAAGGCTAGCTAGGGAGATACCATCCGGTGTTCCTGAAAAGCCTGCGTCGTCCTTTCAATGATGTCGTAAGTCCAGAGAAGGTGAACGGTGTCCAACGGATCAGGGGGACGAGAGGAGAGCCCCGTTTCACGTGGTGTTGACTCAGCGCTGACTAACCGGTCCACTCTATTACTCCACTACAACTACGGGGCAACTACGCAAGATTAGATGACGTTGTATGATGGATGGTATCTCATTTCTCATATGTCCCTCGAATGGCAGGATCTCAGGTGCCACCGGTCCTGACTTATTAGCCATACATTCACAGAATGTCCACCGGTGCAGGTGTCAAGACTTGATGTCGAGACTATCCGCCACAGCCTGGGAAAGTGCGCAATGCGAGGAATCTAGGAAAGGATAGAAAAAATTAAAGAACAGAAAAGAAACGCCTTCAGCCCTCACGATGGTCACAGCTGAGAGTGTGACAATGACAACCACAACGCCCATTCCTTTCAGACACACAAGGCACAATTTTAGATCCGTAGATACCACTTCAGCTCCAGTAAAATACATCTCATCACGATGATGGGCCCGCCATCCTCTCTCCAATCCATAGCAACAGAATGAACCGTCGCCTTGGTTCGGGGAGTCCCGTCGAGAATGTGCAAAGAGAGCCGATGTGGCTCAGAAGGTCAGATTGCATCAGGAAAAGATACCACACGAGACCAGCTGCGCAAGGTCAACGTGGCTGCCACTCGAGGTGGATCTAGACTCCGTCGGCATTGCCACCCTGCTGCTGGTTGGCGCCCACCATCTTGCGCAACTCATACTCTTTGGTGAATTCGCGGGAGAGAATTCCCAGATCTCTGACAAGCTCATGGCAGGCAGCGATGACAGCATCCTTGGGGGTGATTTCGCCGTCGGTCTGGACGCGAAGGATGAACTTGGGAACCAGAGGGTGAGGAACCTAGCATGCACTTGTTAGCCTAGTATACGGGGTGTTCAAAGCATAAGAGATTCTCATATCATACCTTGTAAGCAGCGAATAGAACATGAGAGCTCTGGAGAAGACGAGAGCGGATCATGTTGCCAAGAGTGTGGTCTTCCTTGTTGAAGGTGAAGATAGAAGTGTTGGGAATACCTATTGAACCTGGTAAGAATCTAAAGGTAAGGTAGAAGATGGCATACATACGGGTATCAACTTCCATATCAACCTTGTTCTCGCCATTGCCGAGCACAAAAGACTCGTATCTATCCAGCATTCCATTAGCAATCACATCTTGCGGCTATATGTTGCAAGAGAAGACAAAACAGGATGCATGATGACAAGAACACAAGCTGGCTCGGTGAGGAAGGGTAAAATGAGCAGACCTAGGCTGCTGATCATGAGAGACATTGACTGTAGTCTGGCATCCTCTGCGGGAACCACCAGTACGAGCATAGGCCATATCGGTGGGCATGATGAAATCTTTGCCAAAGTCTTTGCCAGACTCTTTGCCAGAATTCATTGTGATAGTGGTGGATAGATCAGGCAAGAAGATGATAAGATGCAGGATGACAGAACGCAAAATGACAAGATCCAGGATGGGCTGGGGATGATCAAGAAACGTGGGCAGAGGCAGATAGTAAGAAGGGTAACAGCAAAGACAACAAGAAGAGTAAACAGGGATCGTGATGTTTTCAAGAGAGAAGAGCGCCGACTAATCGCCCAGTGTTAGGTGACACCCCCAGCATCTCCAAACACCACCAGTGAGACCGCGACGGGCCTTCCATAACAGGAAGCAAGACGCCATTCAGGCAGCATTCAAAGAAACAAGAAAAAGCAGAAAAGAACATAACATCTTACCTATCAGGAGCGTTCATCTTGATTCCAAGTAGATCCTATGATCTCCAATCTTTCAAAAACAGAATCTCACTTCTCTTTGGAACCCAGCACACAAGGCCAGATAACAACCACAACTAACAAGTGGCCACTGGTCAAAGACAAAGATGCCTCGGGAAGCTAAACAACACAGATTAGCATGCTTTTCACACTGCAGGCTACTCCGCCCATCAATCAAGGCCGGATATCATCGACTTCTTACATTTCAATATCAGAGTTAACCAAAATCAGAGAATGATCAGATGGGAGGACAGTGTAGTAAGTGATACTGATCAAAGTGGCTATTCCAAAGATCCAAAGCAGATGTAATGATACGTGGGAATAAGGAGGTGGACTCGAGAAGTAGATCTCGAGCGAGATGGTTGGTTCGTCACTGTTAAATCCGCGATGATGATCTTTCCGCTGTGGTCCCGTGACTATAGCACGTGATCTATACAACATGATGATAGTATATAATGAATGACTGAACGACAGTGAATACAATAACTAACAGTAGATAATAATAGATATGGATAATCACTCATGTTTATTATCTATCACAGCTGGTATTATCACGGGGTAGCCTGATGTCTATCATGGGATTGGTTGTATATATCTACATATTCTCATGTACTAGACCAGGCCCACTCTATATTCCTACCAATCTCTATTTTAGAACACTTATATTATACAATATACTAGTTAGAAGCAGGGTTACAAGTTAATAGTAAAAATCTACACCATGATAGATGATAATCCACTGGTCTTTATACATCATCAACTACCACTCCATACCTCGGTAATAAGCAACCCAAATGATGTCAACATCAACGTCAATGTCAACACCCCCACATCAACTCACCCCCCCTCACAAACACAATCTCTCCCCCCCAGAAACAAAACCAACACAAAGACAACCACCACAACCATGTCCACCAAACCCACCCTCCAAACAACCTACCCCTGGATAACCACTCCCCTCATAGCCAGCGCCCCCATGCTCAACATCTCCCTCCCCGCCCTCGCCGTCTCCGTCTCCTCAGCCGCCGGCCTCGGCTTCCTAGCAGCCGGCTTCGACGTCTCCAACCTCGAACAAAACCTCGCCGACGCCGCCAACCTAGCCGCACAGCCCACCTCCCCGCTAAACAAGCACTACACCACCACGGGCATCCTCCCCATCGGAGTCGGCTTCATAAACTGGGGCGCAGACCTCGCGCAGTCCATCGCCGCCGTGGAAAAGTACAAGCCCTGCGCGGTGTGGCTGTTCGCGCCTGACGACCAGCCCGCGGGCCTGGTACCCTGGGTTGAGCGCGTGCGGGCCGCTACGGGCGGTAAGACGCAGATCTGGGTGCAGGTTGGTGCGGTCTGCGAGGCTGTGGCTGTGGCGGAGACGCTGCGGCCTGATGTGCTGGTTGTGCAGGGCGCCGACGCGGGGGGCCACGGGTTGGCGCGGTCGGCGTCTGTGGTGACGCTTGTTCCGGAGGTTGCGGATGCGCTTGAGGCGCGGGGGTTGGGGAGTGTGCCTGTGTTGGCGGCGGGTGGGGTCGTGGATGGAAGGGGGATGGCGGCGGTGTTGGCGTTGGGGGCGTGCGGGGCGGTGATGGGGACGAGGTTTCTTGCTTCTGAGGAGGCGAATGTTGCGCGTGGGTATCGGGATGAGGTATTGCGGGCTGAGGATGGGGGCGTTAGTACTGTTCGGTCGACGGTGTATGATGGTGTGAGGGGTATTCATGGATGGCCGCGTCGGTATGATGGGCGGGGGGTCATTAATCGGAGTTATCTTGATGCTGTGGAAGGGGGGATGAGTGCTGTGGAGAATCGGCGATTGTATGTGTCGGAGATGGAGAAGGGTGATGCTGGATGGGGGCCTGATGGGAGGTTGACGACGTATACGGGCACTGGGGTAGGGCTCGTCAGGGAAGCGCTGCCTGCTGGGGAGATTGTGAAGAAGGTTCGACTGGGGGCGATGGATATTGTGAAGAGGATCGCAGAGGCCGAGAATTAATGGTACTTAGTCGGTGCCTACATTTACAAGCTGATAGAAGAATGCCGCTCGATCGAATACATTCATCTGGCTGATCCAGCCCTTCATTATGTCCATATCTAAATGGAGCTCATACTGAGATACAATCGCTCAAAGGTTTAAGTACAAATGGATGCTCATAAGGGAGTGTAAAAAAAAAAAAATCTTGCAGGTCTGTCCGAACCCCAGCCGTGAATAACGCCGTTCCAAAAAGAAAAGACGAAAATTACAACGATAATCATAATGCAAATTGGATTTGACGTTTGGACCCGTCAATGAACCGCTAGAAGAGAAACCTGGATCCAAAAAGAGAAAACGAAACATAATGGACAGGAACAGAAAGAAAAAAAGCAAGAGTTAGTAGTCATCATATTGCTTTGCGTCGGAATTTTATAGTCGAGACGGAATTAAGGGTATGGCTCGGAGTATGAAGCGGACCCGGGACTCTCCGAAGAGTCAAAATCGTTAGAGACATCGCTGTTAATGTACCGCATTCAAAAGGTCACCGAAACCGTTCGTTTCCTTCTTTAGCTTCCAGTTGTCGCGCTTCTTTTCTCGTTTCTTCATCATATCGGCCCAGCCTTCGTCTTCATCTTCATCTTCATCCTGTCGGACCCGGTTCCCTTGCACGCTGGCCGCGGATTTGCTGCCACTGGAGATGGGTCGTTGAGCCAAACGCGATGCCGCAGGCGAGGCAACAGAGAGGAAAGACTTTTGGTTTTCATCATTCCACTGTCGAGGCAAGGAAGCATCGGCCGAAGTCGCAGCTTCCGCTTGCATGGTCGACACTGGTCGATATCGGGGCGCGAGCCCCACATTGCTACGCTCCGATGGTGCAATGGACGGCGCATAGCCTTGGCCGGCTGGGGTGTGTGGCCGATGGGCCATTGGGTTGTACGGCATGGGAGCGCTGTTCAGCCGGGAAGAGACGTTCGGGTCGAGCATGCTCAGAGTCCTTTGGTTGGTGGGGTACCCGGGCGAGGCATCGTGGAAAGGACCCGGCGAGGGCATCGACGGTGGCAGCATGGCCGGATTGAACCCTGGCGGGAATGGGAGACCTCCCGAAGACATTGGGGATTGAGCGGGGCCTTGACCGCCTTGCATTTGAATCATTTGCTGCATCCACTGCATTTGCATCTGCATCATACTGGACATCTGCTGCGACAGTTCGATCTGTGCCTGTTCGGAAGCGGAGATTGCGGGCGGGGGTCCGGCTAAGTTTGGCGGAGTCATGTTCATCATCGTGTAAGGTCGAGGGACGCCACTGGGATGGGCCGATGCGGCTGGCATACCCGCTTGGTATTCGTGCATAGCCTGCATGTTAGGACTCCCTCGTCGCATCGCCCGCGCTCGTTCTTCCGTGGCGATGACACCCACCAGACCCCCGGGAGGTAAACCTGGGGAAGGACCCACAGCAGCTGTGGGGCCCCCATAGACCGAGGCACCTCCCCCAAATGCCAGGGACTCGCGGTTGGGGGGGTTCACCAGACCGGCTCCGTAGTAGGGGTCCCGGGGCAAGTTCCTCGCGAAGACCGGCAAGCTGAAGCGGTTGGAGGAATCCTGTTCGACACCCGATCCCGGGGACGAGACATAAGGCTGGTGGTGGTACGACGCCCGCATATTGGGGATGGAGTTCGAGGGGGCGAGGCGGCTGGGCGGACGGTTCCTATTCGGAAACCCATGCGCCGCCAAGATTCCCAGAGGGATCTCTTCATCCTCATCGCCTTCGCTGCTCTTCCCGCTCGCTGATTTACTCCCAGGATTCAAGGCCGGCGTGGCCAGATTCGGGGCGCTATTGCTGGCGCGGTCCAGTTCGGGCCGCAGCGGTGGAGCGGCCAATTGCTGGCCAGTGACTTTCATCATCTGCTGTCTGTACACAGACAGATGCGCTTCCTGTCGTCGTCGCTGTCTCTCTACCTCACGGCCCTTCTCCACCTCGTCCTCCTCATCCAATTCGCTGTCCTCGGAGTTCTCACTCTTGGAGGCATCGCTATTGGACCTCTTGAGCTCTTTTTGCTGGCGGTAATGCTCGAACTGAGACGGGGTCATGACTTTCGTCGAGGTAGCTCCCGGTGGCTTAGTCTTTTCGTACTGTGCAGCCAACCGTGCATTCGCTGCAATGGAATGGTCAAGGTGGCTTTCCGCCACGCCGGAAGAATGGTGTGCTCCACCAGATTGCGATGCTCGGGGCTCGGCGTGATCCACGGCGGCCGCACGATCATTGCTGAAAAGAGGCGCGTCGTTTTCGTGGTCCGAACCGTCATGGTCGAAAGTCAATGGGACCTCTGAATTTCTCCTGTAGAGAGACTGCATGATCAACTTTGCATCGTCATCTTCCACGTCCTCGTCATCTCGCTTGCTGGAGAACATCACACTCCTCCGTAACCCTTTATCCACGCCCCCCTGGGGCTTGTCGAGAGCCCGATGAGACGTCGTGGAAGGCATGGCAGTAGCCAACGGGAGAGATTTGCGTCTCTCCCCATATGAAGGGGACTGCGTGAAACCGGGTCGATCTGCGGAAGAAACATCATGGGGGGAGTAGGATGTTGCCAGAAGGCCTTCTTCTGAATGCTTACTGTCCCATGAATAAGGGGAAGGCTCGACCTCCTTTGAACGACTGGTATCGATGGGTGTTGGGCGCGGGCTTCTGTTGTCTGTCCGAGGACCGGGTGCCGGATTGGCCGACCCCTCGGCCATCGCGACTCGAGACGACGATTCCCGCGACTTATCCCGCTTGCTGAAATCGATGTTGAAATCATCCCCCATCGAGCCGATCTGCAAATCCGTCTCCATTAGTCTCGGCGGCGTCGCGGTGCTCGACGTGCTGTTTGTCATTGCTCTATGTCTCGAGGGTGCCGGGGTCAATGGCTGTGGTGGCGCCGCTGCCTTGGAGAATCTCCCACCAAAGGAGAATGTCCGACCAGCGGCGCGTAATGCACCCGACAATGGAGGGATCGGGATGTCGTACAAGCTTCGCGAGTGCGGCGAATCAGCAGTTGGGCCGTCCGTGGAGCGACGAGTCGATGAGTTAAACCGAGAGCCTTCGTGTACAGCGCCGCTACAACCGAAATCTGTTAGCCGCTCTGGCTGCCACGAGCATAATGTGAGGGGGGGGGGGGGGACATACGAATTCCTGGGGTGCAGGTGATCCTGTCCTGCAAAGATGTTCTCCTGGTCCTCTGTCGGCGTGCGTAACAATTGGCCGTCGCTCATCCGTTTCGAGAGAGCATTTCCGTCACTGAACGATTTCCTGTCTGCCGAAGGACGTTCGATGACTCGGAAGGACGAATGCTGTGGAGCATCGCCTTCATCCAACACATTTCCAGCCGATTTTCGCCGGGCAAAGCCTTTGGGAAGCTTGATTGGCATGGATGCTGATATCGATCGAAGGCCACGACCACAAGCGTCGGGGTTGAGATCGAAGGAGACGGTCGATGTCTTCCAGATTTTTGTGTAGCCTTGGAGAACAGCAAGACAATTTCAGTAGCACGGGCTATACCCCATAAATACGTGGAGAGGACCCGTCGCGTTAGGCGATTCGGCACCTTTGTGCACTGACCAGCGTCCGATTCCGACGGCGCCTTCGTACGGCAGATATCGAGTTATGGAGTTTTTTTTTTTTTTTTTGTTTTGGCGAAGACGTGGAATGTTAAACCACTGTTGAGGGTGTTTTGATTTTCCGAAACTGGGGGGAATCAATCACAAGGCCCGCGGGAAATTCCAAGTGGGCACACAGTGTGATTGCCGAGTCGCAGGGATCTGGAATAGGGGGGGAAGTATTTGGACACGGCGCTCACATGTCCTGAGGCAGGCTCAGGAATGGTGGTGGTGTGGTATTAATTAAGAACGAGAGAGGGGTCGCAGAGGGGAGTGGCCGAGGGGAGTGGCAGAGGGGGAGACTGGGTCTGCTATATACGTGGTGGATCCGGTTCGTTTGACAAGTGTTGAGTATGGTCGCAGGACCAGGAAGAAAGCCGACTCGACGGGTGGGATTGAGAGCCGGCCTAGAACAAAGAGGAGGAGGAGGAGGTGAAGAAAGTAGGAGACGTGGGAGAAGTGTCAGGAAGAGAAAGAGAAGAGAGGTAGAAAGAAGGACAGGTCAGTGAGAAGTCCAGATCCAACAATAATGATGGAGATAGTGTGGCAAGGGGAGAGAGGATTATTTTTGACCCCATCAAGTCAAGAAAGGAAACCAGAAAGGAAAAGGCCAATGAGATGGACCGACTGGGGAATGAATGGGCTGACCCCCGATGGCTTTGAATATTTATTTATTGATGATACAGCGTGGTACGGCAGCGAGACACTTGTACAGACCAACAGAGTTGGGAATAATACTATAATCGACCTGGAGAGTGGAGCCCAATGCTAGTTTGGCATTTAGTAGCCAAATTTAGTAAGGCTGTCTTTTCCTCAGGAACTAAACAAACCAAAAGACTCTGGATTGATAGGTAGCTAAGAATATATCGAGCTGGCCAAAGTACCTTACCGGGAGATCCACCGGTCTGGCAGGTACATGATACATGTACATGGACTTAAAAATAGTCCTTACTAGGAATATCATGATAAAGAAAGACCAAAAGATAGAAAGACCGAAAGACCGAAAGCAAGAGAAAGAGGAAACAGGAAGAGAATGACCTCGATTCATACCTGAAACAACACCAGATCCAATAATCTGGCTGAAATCCAAACGGCTGCAACTGTACGACCGTACGGGCAGATACCACGATCCTGACAGAGTATTCCGATACTGACATTCACTAGTCCTAGGGAGTTGCATCCAAACATACCGTACCGTACAGACTAACTCTGCCCAAGTTGGCCTGGCCTTTTGAATTCTCCGTATTGAGGAAATCAGGATGACCTGTCAAAGCCAACTGTGACCGACTGAAACATTCCCCATCTGCTGAATGATTCTTTGGTATCATCTTGGTCTCCATTTTGCTCTGCAGATCTGGGAGGTTGAAACTGAAGATCTATCCTAGATCTCCCTAGGAAATCATCATAATGGATAGAGAGATCGTAGTGTCAATTTGATCCAGCCATGGTACGAAGGGGAAGCGACCTCCAACTACGGAGAGGAACTGCATGAACTGACTAGCAGTATGTACAGTACTACCGGTCAGGATTGTTTCATGTTTACCACCCATTACCGCCCTTTCAAGATATTTATATATTGCCTTGTGGCGCGTCTCAAAATAACCCCAGGATCTGAATCGCCAAAATTCCAGGTTTTTGCACAGTTCCTGATCTCGAAGACAGGTTTGCCACCATGGGAATTCTTCACTGGATCAGGGGCATTCCTGAAATTCCGACTCTGAGACCAGCCTCGATACCTCAGGCGGCAGTCCTTACCGAGGTAGGTAAGGTATCAACATGGTCAGATTTCGGCGGTTTTTCACTCGGTCGGCGAGTAATTTACCCCCCTCGGTCCCTCCAATGAGTCGAGCGAGACTCAGGACTGGTGGGGAGGTTGACTCAAAAGTCTCACTCTGTCCCGGTGGGTTCGATCCACTGGGCAAGTTCAACCCGGTCTCCCATACTATCCTCGCTAGTAAGGGACTACCAGCTGATAGTGGTCTATCGGGCTATTCCTGGAGGACCCTCCCCCCAGGTGAATCATTTGGTGGGTCGCTTGGATCTAGCCACATCCACTGGCGGCTGAATGTTGTTATACTCCATTTGCATTTTTTACAGGTTTGCATATGTGGGAAAGAATGACCATTCGGTTACCGAGTACCAAATATCAAGACCCTTTTGTGCTCCGTGAGTAATCTTATAGCTTTATATTGCGACAACATATATAGTGTCGAGTTGATCACCCGTTTACCGTATAAACCTACAATATACTCTTAAACTTACTTGCCACCCTTTGATAGTTAATTTATCTAGGTGCGTGCTTAGACACTTGGTTCCATCGAACAACTGTAGAAGCCATCAACACCACCGGAGCTCATACCATCCACTTCACCCCATGTCCCCTGCTCGTTCTGATCGCCTTCCAGCAATGCTCGAGGGAGCTCGGCCTGAAAATAACATTCGTTCGTAAAACCGGCCGAGGCAGCTGATATAAGGCGAACCAGCGCAACGCCGAGCCCAGGGCGTGTTCCGAAGACTTCCCCGATTTTGTCGCCGGTCGCGCGCGGGTGCTATACCTCGACGGGTAGCTTCAAGTCGTGGTAAGCGACTGTCAATGCATCTTCCCCGTGAGGATTGCGCAATTTCCCCCGTTGAGGCAGACGGGTAGTTCTTCATAAGCTCCTGTGGATCGATAGCTCTTACTCGGCCCTTCATAGCTTGGTAAAACGGCTCTTGCTCATGGTGGTAAAGTGTTGTCCGACCTGCAACAATGCCTGGAAGGGACCTGACTGTCCGATTCGGTAGATAGAGGATTGCCCGTACATCTGTGAGGGGCTTCAAAGTGGGATCCCGGATGACAGTGAGAGGCACTGGCTGCGGCGGGCTTGCAGTCTCCATCCACGTGAATGACCCGGACTGCCTGAGGTTTCCTTGCCCAAGCTTTGTCCGAGTCCATAACAATTCTTCAAGCATTCCGGATTGGAACTCGCTGTTCATCCCGAAGTGTTAGCAGGCGGTGCAGAGATAGATGGTCGAGGAAGATGGCAAAGGACGAAGGCAGAGGTTGACGGGCCAAGCAGAAAGGAGGGCGCTGGTCTTGATGGAGTGAATGAATGGCAGTGATGTGGGCAGGTCAGATGGACGGATTCTTGTGAGTCTACTGTAGCTAGCTAGCAATCCTCGAAGTCCCTATGTTATTTACTAGATTACTCTACACTCGTATTCATAGAGTCTCACAGGAAGCTGGAGGCGAGTTTTGTTACTAAGATTATTCTATTTCCATGATACTGCGACACCCGTTGACTATAACGGCGCATAATTAAGCACTTCCAGTGTCATTAGACCCTTCAAATCTGACCCCCTTCAACAGCAATACGTTCCTGCGCCTTCAATCCACCGATTAACGCAACCCCAACAGGAACTCGAACTTCCTGTACATTAAAACAGGCGAAGGCGACCAGTTTCTTAAGCGAGGGGCAACATCGGAAAATGCGCCCAATGAGATAGTCATCCATAATGGTGTGAAACGAGACATCGAGCTCCCGTAGTTTGGGGTAAACTCGGTCATCTGCGAATGCTTCTTCGAAGGCTTCACGGGAGATATGCCGACAAGAAGAGATGTTCAACTTCTGCAGGGCACGGCCAGAATGGTTCATCAGTGCAACGAACCCTTGAGAGGCAAGTCCAATTGCATCCGCAGGCCCATCTGCGTTTGAATTGTCCACGTCTCGTGTAGAGGAAAAGTCCACGAGCTCCAGTGCAGGATTAGGCCAGTCAGTGAAAAGCTTGGAGAACGTCTTGTCCGTGCAGTTGGAATTATTCGTGAATCGGAGTTTAGTCAGGTGTTGACAATGGTTGTGGATTCCTTCGAGAATACGATCGTCTGCAGTCGGGAACCCTTCCAAGGAGAGTGTTCGTAACTTCGGACCAACTTGGCCGATCATGTCGAGGAGTTTCTCAGCATCCGTCTCCTGGATGAAATCCAGAGACAGGTGTTCTAACGACGATAACCGCCCAATGGCCTGAAGCGAACCATCGCCCATTTTCCAGCACTGTTTGAGCTTCAGCCGTCTGAGCCCCGTGCAGCATTTGGACAAGACTTCCACGGTCTCGTCATTAAACGAATTATCGAGGTTGGACAGCTTGAGGGTTTTCAAATCTGGTCCCAGCTTCACGAATAGCCGTTGCCAACACGTATCCGACACAAGGTTGGCAGAATCGATCTGGAGATGCTCGATTTTGAGTTCTCGGTCCATGGTATAATCTAAGACTCTGTCCTTGAGCTGACTAGCAAATCGAAGATTGACGTTGTTCAAGTCCGGCATGAACGTAAATATTTTCTGGAAATCATCCGTTTCAAGCTCTGCAGAACATTCAACGTTAAAATTCGCGCCCAGAGGGAAAGAGAAAGGGAAACACGGGAAGCCATACTGGCGGTATCATAGATGTTGATGGATCTTAGTTCCCGACGGAGGAACAGATTGAGAGTCCTTGGTGTCAATGCCCGTCTCTTGGACAATATCTGGCTGAGACGGTGAAGCAGCGAGGATGGCAAGTCTCCGAATTCTTCGATATCGTTGATATTGTCCGCGACTTTCTAGAAGAGATTAGCATTGTAGACCACGAAAACTAGTGAGAGAGCAATACCCTAATGCACGACTCGACCAAAGTCGAGGCACCTTGCTGGGCATTTCCATCCAGAAGGTTGCTCTGATTCTGGCGACGACCAATCCTCGCTCCGGCTTTCTTCGCCTTGGGTTTCTTATCGCCGTCCGCTTGATCCTTGGAACACTTGGCACAAAGAAGACCCCCGTTCGGCCCTGTCTTACTATATGGTGTGACAGTAAACCGTTTGCTGCATATCTCACAGTTCTCCAGCTGACCGGGCAGTGGTCGAGATTGCTCGGACAAGATGTCCCTTGCCATAGAATCATCATCATCTCCCGGCTCTCCTGTACGCCGACTCTTCCGACGTGCGAATTCTTTGCTCTGCTTTATCTTTGCTAACGCGGCTGTCTCCTTCCGCTTGCGCTTTTTCCGCTGCTCGGGTGACTCGCTAGTACCCTCGGAATCATTACGTTCGATAGGATTTGGCGTTTGCTCTGCGACCGCTGTGCGCTCGGCAGCTCTAACGCGCCTTTGGTAATCTTCGCTGATCTGCGCGGCAGAGATGTTGTTGGACTAGAAACATCAAAAAATCATCAGCAAGCGACCACAGTATTCGAAATAAGAATGCTCACAGCCAAGAAATCGGTCAACGCCGACTGTCTGAAAAGTTTCAACTGTTAGCGAGCTTGTAGGAAGAAGTTGTCGCCTATGCGACGGTAGTATACATACGGTCCCCGGATTTGGTTCCTCGTTTGCCGTCTGTCCGCCCTATCGATAATTAGCATTAGAGATATGTTGAGATAGGCAGATTGCGCCATACATATTAACAACCTCAGATAAAGTAATTTCTTCTTTTCTCTCTGTTTTCCTGTCTCTAAGCCAGCTGAGTGTCGAGGAGCGCAGGTGAAGTGAGAAGGTCAGGAAAGTGACGAGTCACAAGGATCCGTGGCGATTTCGCGTTCCACTTAACGCGAGGCCGGGCCCGCGGCTTATTGACTCGTGTTCTGGGGAGTCAACGCTCGGACACCAGGCAACAGGACTGGAAAAACCAAGGTGGCGTCCGCCTTTGAGAGGTATCAACCAAACACCTTGCTCAAATCTTCTGCGAGGTGGTCCGGGTGTTAACAGGTCCAGCTTGAGGAAATTTCTTTCTTTTCCAGACTTTCACTCGTCCCGATATCCGCAAGGGGCCAGGCATCCATCCGTTCCTGCATCGCAGAACCCACATCAACCTCGCCACCTCGCCACAACAGGCACTTTCGCAGAGCTGGCTGGTGCTTTAGTTGAAAGCCATATCGTCAATGTCGTTGCTCTGGAGGAATAAGATTTCCTGATTTCGAGAAATGGCCAGGATGCTTGCACCGAAGCCGAGTCATGATACGGCATTAGGTGAATACTCTTATCTGGGCCCCCAGTCCTTTGTTCTAGAGTTGCTAATCGAATCGAAGACCGATCTCTAGATAGCCCATCGTCGTTTCCGAGACGCACCTCCGCGAGATTGGCACGATCAGCTTCCAATGTTAGGCCAAACCAGATTGATGTGTCGGTCGACGATACGGGGAACGACTTGCCTCCCGCCGAGGAACTACGTGCCCCTCAGAATATCAAAATGCCTGCTATAGAGGTCGCTATCCCGACGAAGAATTACTCTCCTGGACCTAGCCTAACCCGGTCCCCGTCGTCCTCTATAGTTGACAATTCTTCTGCCGATGGAACCAATGGATACACTACTCCAGCCACCAGTGTCGCCCCAACCCCTGCTGAACAAGATGCCGCGGAACCGAAGAAGAGAGTCAGTGCTGCAGCTCGGGCTCGAGAATTACGATCCAGCACACTGGCAATTAATACGCGGGGAGGGAGGAAAAGGACCAGCGCTGCGACATCCGGCGACGTAAATCCACTCCAGCAGTCCGATGAGGCCATTGCTGCTGCCCTTCAGGCAGAAGAGTACGAAAAGCCACCTACGAAACGACGAAAAGTTTCTGAAACCAGTGACTCTACCGGAGAAGAGAGTGACTTGACGGACATCACACTCAACGAAGATGTGGATGACAACGACTTGACCGAATGGCAGCCAACTCGCCAGACTAGGAGTTCTCTCCAGTCCCTGCCCAACCCTAGGACATCAAGTTATAGGGAGTCGAAACCTATCCTGGGAGATAGTTCTGCGGACGAACAGGACTATCATGATGAGAGTGATTCGGGCTCCGATCCAACTAGCTCTGCATCTGCGACAGACGAGGATGTTCCGCTAGCCTCCCAGAGAATGTCGAGAATTCGTTCCGCAGCGCGTTCCAGAACTCGTGGTCAGACTCAAGCTCGAGTACGCTCGAATATTGACGATCTACGCCGGACCCCTGCGGAGGCGTGGATGAGCCGTCGTGTAAGTAATGCCATCGTTCGTTCTACGGACCCCATCGCTGATTGGTCTATAGGCATTTAGGGAACGCAAAAAGCTCGAGAAGCAGCACCCTTGTGTTGTCAGCATGTGGGATGATTTAAGAAATTCTCCTCCTATAGCGCCAGTGGCCGCGGAACAACCTCCAGGCATATCAAGAAGTCTCAAGTCATTTCAGCTTGAAGGATTAAACTGGATGATCCGGCAAGAGCAGTCACACTACAGGGGTGGATTACTGGGTGATGAAATGGGCATGGGGAAGACGATACAGGCGGTCTCCCTCCTCATGTCTGATTATCCCGCTAAAAGTCCGTCGCTTGTGGTTGTTCCACCTGTTGCTTTGATGCAATGGCAGTCTGAAATCAAGGTTCGTTCCATGCATATTCACAGTTGACATTATTCTCACGGATTACCAGGAATACACAAGTGGTCAACTGAAAGTCCTCGTCTATCACAATTCGAACTCCAAGCTCAAAGGTCTTACAAAGAAAGATCTCCAAGCATATGATGTTATCATGATATCCTGTAGGGCTGCCTCTTGACTGAAATTGGCGTTTTCCCGTCTAACTCTGTATACAGACTCTGGCCTTGAATCGATCCATCGCAAGCAATGGAAAGGGTGGAATCGCCAGGACGGAATTGTGAAAGAGGATAGTAAGTAACAGCCCCCGATTTTCAAGCCTATTGGGCTAACGTTTTTCAAAAGGTATCATCCATTCTATACACTATCACCGCCTTATTCTAGATGAAGCCCACAGCATTAAGGTGTGTTTACATTCCTTTGGGTCTTCCGTAAGGATTGTGTGCTGATGTTACCAGCAACGCACTACAAGTGTTGCCCGTGCGTGTTTCGCCTTGACGGCAAATTTCAAGTGGTGTCTTTCGGGAACCCCTGTCCAGAATAGGATCGGAGAATTCTTCTCTCTGCTGCGTTTTCTCGAAGTCCGCCCATTTGCTTGCTATTTCTGTAAGCAGTGCCAGTGCCAGGAGCTGCACTGGTCACAGGATGCAGAGAAGCGCTGTACCAAATGCAAACATAGGTACAGTGCTGTTGAATATCTTCGAGCGTCTTTCTCTTGTTACTGACACTTTCAATAGTGGGTTTAGTCACGTCTCTGTGTTCAATCAGGAGATTCTCAATCCTAGTCAGTACTTGCCCCAGCCTCATGGTAGCGGTTCTAACTTCCAATAGTTACCGAAAGTGACGACGCAATACCTCGGAAGGAGGCTTTGTCTAAACTTCGCCTTATTACCGACCGAATCATGCTTCGGCGGGTCAAACGAGACCACACTGCTTCGATGGAGCTTCCCCCTAAGCGGTAAGTGGTATTGGTACGATTCACTACAGAGCTCGTGCTGACTGCCGGTTTCAAGTGTCATCCTGCGCAATGAATTCTTCGGGGAGATTGAAAGGGACTTTTCTCAGAGTATCATGACCAATTCTAGCAGACAGTTCGATACTTACGTGAGCCGTGGCGTGATGCTGAACAATTATGCAAATATCTTCGGACTCATCATGCAAATGCGGCAAGTTGCAAACCATCCGGATCTGATCTTGAAGAAACACGGGGAAAGCGGACAGAACGTCCTTGTCTGCAGCATCTGCGATGAGCCTGCAGAGGAAGCTATCCGTTCTCGCTGCCGCCATGAGTTCTGTCGGCGATGCGCCAAGGATTACATCCAATCATTTCAAGAAGACACGATCATTGATTGTCCTCGATGCCATATTCCCCTCTCGATCGACTTCGAGCAGCCTGATATTGAACAGGAAGAAGAACACATTAAGAAGAACTCCATCATCAATCGCATCAAAATGGAGAACTGGACATCGTCGACCAAAATCGAACTGCTTGTTTATGAGCTGTTCAAGCTGAGGAGCAAAAAGCAAACACACAAGTCCATCGTGTTCTCCCAGTTCACATCTATGTTGCAACTTGTCGAGTGGCGGTTGCGACGCGCCGGCTTCAACACCGTCATGCTTGACGGAACCATGACACCTGCCCAGCGTCAAAAATCCATTGATTACTTTATGAAGAATGTGGATGTGGAGGTGTTTTTGGTCTCTCTCAAAGCCGGCGGTGTCGCTCTGAATCTGACTGAGGCGTCGAGAGTCTTCATCGTGGATCCGTTAGTCCCCCTTTCCTCCCTCGATTTCTCCACAGTAATGAGTTGGATGGCTAACCTCGGGTTTAGGTGGTGGAATCCCGCGGCTGAATGGCAGAGTGCCGATCGATGTCACCGTATCGGCCAACGACGCCCATGTGTTATCACCCGGCTGTGTATTGAGGATTCGGTCGAGTCTCGTATTGTCTTGTTGCAGGAAAAGAAGGCAAACTTAATCAACGGGACGATCAATAAAGACCAGGGCGAAGCTTTGGAGAAGCTTACCCCGGAAGATATGCAGTTCCTGTTTCGGGGGTCATGATATACTGGACTTCGTCAATTTACCCTCTGGATGGGAAGAACGTTGGTCGCAAACTAGAACGATTCCCAAAGGCCCATAAGCGAACCATTTGATATGCAGCTAGTATTATTTAATTTTTGAATGTCAGAGTGCCTTTCTCCACTTCTATTCTGCCAAACAGGGAAATCAACTAGTCACTGGCATTGTTCCAATGCATTTCTCTCCTTTGCCTCGTCCTCGGGTGCTGTCTCCGTATCTATTCATTTTCCGCCTTTCCATTTATTGTTGCATGTCAGCCCTACGGGGATGATGATGTCGGCCAAGCCTCCATGCATCCGGATATGCGGCATACAGGTCAGTCGATAGTTTTTTAAATCCTGGAGCCTAGCTAGTATTTCAGGTGCCTAAGAATGTAGATAATCCTTCAACCAGCCCTTGTTTACTCCCCCCCTTCTTTTCATCTCCGGAACTCCAATCTCCCACCGGCAATCACCTAATCTATCTCGTCCTTCTCCTCTGGTTCTTCCCGTATCAGCCTTATACAAGCCGGGACTTGCACGGATCCGAGCGGGGAAGAACTGGATCGGCCGAAAGCTTAACCTCGTCATAGTGAACTTATAAGTCAGCCTGACCTAAACTCACCCGTGGACCCTCCCGGCCGTAAGTTCCGCAACTCCCCCTAGTTCTGCGACCCCTCAAGGCAACCTCTTTTTTTAAACTTTGGTTCCCTTTTTTTTTATTTATTTATTTATTTTTTTCGGTTAGTGTTTTTTTAATCCTTTATGAAGAAGGGGCGCACGCCATTGTTTCATCATCCTACTTTATGTTTCGGCCGTCATCTCGAGGTTCAGCCAATTTTTACCCCCGTGAACTCCCCGTGTTAGAGCTTCTGGCGTGAGGTGACTTGCATCCCTCCTGCGTCCGCCGCTGATCCACCCACCCCAGCGTTGGTGGCAACAACGCCCGGGCGGCAACAACGATACAAGACAGCACCTGATGGAAGAAGTACACCCCCAGGGACGGCCGCGGCATCATGTTGACAAGTATGCGCCGAAAATCCATGACAAGACCGAGCAACTACAGGGCCAGGCAGCCACTATGAAAGCTGCTCTGCATAGCGACGGGGCGCAACACGAACCCGCAGGTGGATTCGATAGCACCCCGTTTCCCCACGCGCCCCCAGGCCACACCCTCAAGTTTACCTTCCATCGCGGGATCAACCTCCCGTGCGCGGATTTTGGTCGCTTTACCTCGGACCCTTATATCCTGGCCCAACTGTTGGTGGACCTCCCTCAGCGGCATAAACAGGACCCAATTCTTACCTTCCGCACGCCTACGGTACGCAAAAACAGAGATCCTATTTGGGACAGCGAGTGGATTGTCGCCAATGTCCCCTCTTCGGGATTCAAGCTTCGCTGCTGCGTGTATGATGAGGATGCGGCGGATCACGATGACAAGCTAGGCAATGCGTACGTCGACGTGGGTTCGATCGGCGAGGGCTGGTCTGGGATCCATGAGCAAACCTTCAAGGTCAAGAAACGTTCAGGCAGCAAACGCGTGTATCTCTTCGGGAATATCGCCGCTCTGGCTTCGGGACGCCTGGATGTCGGTTCCCACGTCGTGGTGAGCGTGGAGTATCTAGGGAGAACTCCGGGGACCGAAGGAGCCCAAATGTACACGTTGGGACCGAACTACTGGTTCAAGCATTTTTCGCCCATGATCGGAAGGTTGACAGGGACCAAAGATGAAGGTCAAAGCCATAACGGTCAGAAGAATGTCTCTCGCTATAAGTGGGTTCTCCTTCCCGGACAAGAAAAAACAAAACCCCAGATCGACCCTCCCGCTAACGTCCGTATAGTTTCCAGGCGATTCAGATTCAGCTGAGGGGGCCTGTTCCCTCGGAGCTGTACCATCGTTATGTCGAATTCAGACCATTTGTTGCGGGCATGTTCACGTCGCAAAGTCTGCGGGGGCGGATCCTCAATCGGGCTCTGCACCACCAGCACCAACGGATATACAATTTTGATAGGACGACCCTTCATGAGCAATTGCCGTCGCCGTGTACTGAGCTTACTCAGAAGTTCCTGGAATTTGTCCAATACGCGCAAGGTGGTCGGATCTTCACCTATGTCCTTACTCTCGATGCCCAGTTTCGCTTCACTGAGACCGGAAAGGAGTTCGGGGTTGACTTGCTCAGCAAGCACACCATGCATAGCAATGTGTCCATCTACATCGCGTATTCGGGGGAGTTCTTCCTTCGTCGGCGCAAGAATCGGCAGAAGCACCAATCCGCCGCGTCGCCAATCTCGGAGACCGAAATCCCGGTGGAGGAATCGCCAGAATCTTCCGAAGTCTCCACCGATCCGGACGACTACGAACTCTACATCGACAATGACAGCGGGACCTACCGACCGAATGGCCAGTGCCTTCCCTTGCTCAAACAGTTCATTTCCGCGAACTTCCCTGGCCTCCACGTCACCACTCTGGATTGTCAGGACGACGCCGAGCGGATGGCAGAGATGAAGGATGAGCAGCGAGAGTTCAAGAAGAGCGAGAGCGGACATATGACTTTCCTCCAGCAAAGCAGCACCTCGTCGCTTTCCATCTCGAGTTCTGACGAAGAAGAGCTGGACGAACGCAGTGGCCTCCGGGCCAAAAAGCGAGGGGAATTCTCTCAGAAGGTACATGACATGCGCGACGTGAAAGGTCAAATGATGAAGTGGGCCCAAGCCGACGAGTATCGGGCTAAGAGCGCTGGGAATTCGAGCGCCTACTCGGGCAATCAGCACGCACCGGTTCGAAGGGATCGCGAGGCGCCTTTGAAGCTTGGGAAAAACACCACCGTTGACGAACGAGCTGCTGGTTATAATAGTAGTTGAACCTTGACATCAACACAACATGTCCCTTGGTGGGGCTGATACGGCCTGCTGCTGGCAACACCGGGCCTAGTTCTATCTCCGGATACTGTCGATGCGACTATTTCATATCCTTCCTGCCATTCTTCTTCTTCCTTCTCTTCTGCAACTCTTCTTCTTCCCCTCTTCTTCTTCTTTCTCTTCTCCTCCTTATTTGTCTTCTTTATCATCCTCTTTACCTTTATTCTTCTCCTTCCCCTTTTTTTACTTCTTTCCTGTCACCTGGCCTTCCTTGGTGTTAATTTGCATGGTCCTGGGAACTTCCTAGCGACCGTAATATCCTACCATGCCTGCATTGGGGCGTGTTTATCCTGCGTGATTATCCGCTTATTGTTACTGTCATTCTTACCATAATTATCCATTCTGCCTGTCTTTTGGTGATCGTCTCGATCAGCAAACTTCCAAGACGAAGCGAACTATCCTCGGGTACTCCGTGTAAGATTGTGACCTACCATGATACCATCCACAATTTTTTTTTACTGGGTCAGATCAACCAGCGAATAATCAATGAGCATCTTATTAGCAGATGGGTCATGCAAACAAGCTAAGTAATAGCTTAAGTAGTCAGCGACTACGGTCACGATCTTTCCAAGGGGATTTGAATGACGGCGATGTAACCCTCCGGTCTATCAATCATCGCCTACCAGGTAGCATATCACTTACTACGTCTTAGTATCCCATTGAGAATATTAGAAGGGTCTGTTGTAGACATGGTAGATGATTGATCAGTTAGTTCTTGATCGGGATAGAGACGGCAAATACCTGCATTCTTCCGTCGCACGTGTCCGGAAACAAACCGATCAGTAGTATTGAACAAACAATAAATTAAATCAATCAACCATAGAATACTCATCAGCTTCATGGTGACTCGTGATCATATTCAACCTCTATTCTCTACCCTGTGTAGAGACAGCACGACCTCCATACTTACCCACTCCTCACTAGTAAGTAACTTTACCACCGCGCGGGTGACCAGCTACTAAGGTAGTTTAGCTGCTCCTCCTCCTCCTCTCCTCTCCTCCTTCTCCTCATCCACCTTTAATCATCAGTTCACCAACCTACTAACTAGTCAACCCTGTCCCTCACTCCACCACTTCCCGCCCCAAACTCCTCTCCTTTCTCCTCTCATCAACCTCCCCTTCACCATCCAATCTCTTCTCCAGCCAGTGGTTTTGTCTCTGGTCTTTCCGACCTGGTCGGTGGTTGGCCTTTGAGATAACGATCCGCCCCCCCTCTCTCCAATCAACATTTTTTTTCTTTCCTTCTTAATATATTCTTTACTCGCTCGCCCTCCTTTTCCTCTGGAGATCATCTGTTCTTGTCAGGACTTGGTCTCGCCTGCGTGTCTTCTTCATCCGTTTCACGCATCGTCGGCACTGTGCAGTTACAGGTCCCGGATGCATGCTGGATGACCACCCGCCCGTTACGCTTATCGTCCTTCCAATCCCACCTCTTCTTATCCGACAGTGGGCGCGCAAACCGTCGATGATTACCTCCACCTGTCCCCGTTTCCTCCCCGGACTGTCTCGTCTGAGCAGTGACTCAATAAATCCTTAGTTTTTTTCCACCATGGGGATTGTCGGTAGTCGCGTCGATGACGCCGGGAGCCTTTATTTCAAGGACCAGTCGAGGTGTATGTCTCAGCCTAGCGCGCCGGGCGGCTTCGCCCCAAATCCCTTGTCGCCTGGTCGCGAGCAATGAACTGATACATTTGATTTGCAATAGGCACGATCGCATCCGCGGTGGTCACGAACGGGAGGGGTCGAGTGTTACTAAATATCGTGCCGAACGCATTCCCCGCAGCGAGGTACACGGCCAAACGGGAGGTTGGCGACGAGAGTCCGATCGAGTACATCCAGGTATGGCCACGGATACTATCAGCAAAAAAAAAAAAAGAAAAAGAAAAAGAAATACGTTGTATCGTCCCACTAACCCCGCCACTTCTGTCGCAGGATCCTGATCTCTCGCCTTCCGCCCAAACGCCGACATTCCTTTTACGCCTGTCCAACGAAGAGGACCTCGAGTTCAAATTCACCTTCGTGTTAAGGCAGACACAAAGCGGAAATGTGACGAATTCCACGGTCAACGGGGTCTCGACTTCACTGCCAGAGGTGGCGGATACTGCGCTCACGGGGCTGACGTTCGCTCATGCCCCTAACTCGAAAGAGCTGGATAATCTGATCACGAGGGAATTCCATGCTAATCCGAACCTGCAAAACAACTCCAACGTCCAGCTGATAGGCGATTACTCGACAAATGGCAGCCCGTCAGTCCAGTTTGATTGGACCTGGAGGTGGAAACCTCCCAAGCCGACGGAAGAGAAAGGGGGCGGCTGGAGGAATAGCTGCAGCCTCTTGGACTATGATCAGCGAGCGAACCGACTCAACACCCTTGCGCACTTTTCGTTCTGGGTGCAAAACACCGTGCGCCCGTTACCGAGCCCTCAGATCTCCTCGCCGAATCTAGAAATCACTCTCCCGCCTCGAAACCGCATACCTTCGTCGCAATCGGTTCTCTCCCACTCCAGCGATGCGGATGCGACGTCTAGCACTCAGGTTCTTCCCGGGGTATCGCCCGATACCAGCGAGCCTCCCCAGTCGATACTGCCTCCGCAGCCAGTGAAAGTCGACCTGCCCCATTCACGGCCTGGGGAGGACATGAGTGTGGTTGAGGATGGCCCTCTTTTCCGGGCGACCATGAAAGCATTAGAGCAAAAGACCGGGAACATGCGCACCAAAATGAAGAAGGTTCTGAAAAAGGCAGAGGCCGCCCAGCAAGCCCAGAATGCGTGTAACGATGCCGTGGAGGCGTTCTTGTCTGCACTGAATGATGCGTCGTCTTCTAACGCGAATGCCATCCAGCCCGCACTCGATCACTATTTCGAGAAGATCGCTCGGCAGATTCTGAACTATGAAAGGCTCAACAATGTCCAGCTCCAAAGGCTTGTCATTGAGCCATTAGTAAAACTCTACAACAACGACATCAAACAGGCGGAGGCCAAGAAAAAGGAGTTTGAAGAGGAAAGCAGGGACTATTACGCCTATGTCAGCCGCTATCTCGGACAGCGTCAAGATTCGCTCAAGGAGAAGAAGCGCGCAGAGAGCGATTCGAAATACCAGACCAAGCGGCGGAATTTCGAACTCAGGCGGTTTGACTATTCGTCATTCATGCAAGATCTCCATGGCGGCCGCAAGGAGCAAGAGGTCCTGTCGCACCTAACTAAATACGCAAGTACGCAGGCGCAGAGTTTCCTCACGGCGGCCAAACAGGTGGACGATATGACGCCGCAGCTCGATGCCCTTATCCATGAGGTCGGCCAGGCCGACAAGGAGTTCCAATTCCAGAGGACAGAAAGGGAAGAGAAGCGGCGCGCACTCGAAAAGAGTAGCAACACGTACATGGAGCCCGATTCCTTGACGACCGCAAATGTCACATCGGCGCCGGTCTCTAGCGGTAATGGGAACCAGCATTCGGATGGTGAACTGGGCCGCGCAGACAGCACAGGATCGCAATTGCGGAATGTGAACAGCAATACGTCTTCATTGTCTGCCCAAGCGAATACGTCAGCTATGAACACCTCGGCAGGGGCTTCCGCCGTCCCGTCAACAGCCAATCCATCAGGTACGTTATTCCCGTGAACAATGTGTGTTCCGTGGTAGAGCTCAAGTGTGAAAAGCTAAGTATATGATAGGTCAACAGAGGAAGGAAGGATTACTATGGGCGCTGTCTCGGCCAGGATCCCATATTGATCCCAAGGGCATTAACAAACAGGCTTGGCATAAGTAAGTACAAGCACAACCGTCTTTTCTGCTTCCCATCCCTCCTCCGTTGCCCGCCTCTTCTCCGACATGCGATGCTCATAATTTGCAGATTCTGGATCGTGTTGGACCAGGGAAAGCTCTCGGAATACAGCAATTGGAAACAGAAGTTAGATTTACATATGGATCCGATCGATTTGCGCATGGCCTCCGTTCGTGAGGCCCGGAATGCGGAGCGGCGGTTTTGTTTCGAAGTGATTACGCCCCAGTACAAACGCATCTACCAAGCGACTTCTGGGGAGGATATGACCAATTGGATCAGAGCCATCAACAATGCCCTCCAAAGCGCCGTCGAAGGCCGTGGCATGCCTTCTCCACCCATTTCGTCTGGCAATGATAGCTCATCACTCCGTCGTGATATTGGGTCTGTTTTGACCGGGAAAAGCTCGTCGTACTCGGGCCAGCATCCGAATCCGACGGGACAGGCCAATACTGTTACTCGCCGCACGACAGTAGGGGCACGGCCGAGTTACGTCCGCGGCGATGACAGCAATTACGAGGAGAATCCCTCTAAGCTCCTGCAAACGGTCCGGGATGCCGACCAAGGCAACAACTGGTGTGCCGACTGCGGATCCGTGTCCAAAGTTGAGTGGGTATCCATCAATCTGGGGATCGTTTTGTGTATTGAGTGCAGCGGTATCCATCGCTCTCTTGGTACGCATATCTCCAAGGTTCGGTCACTCACCCTGGATGTGAATTCCTTCTCCAACGACATCGTCGAGATTCTACTGCAGATCGGCAACCGCGTCAGCAATATGGTCTGGGAGGCCACACTGGATCACTCCCAGAAGCCCGTTGCGTCTTCTACCCGGGAACAGCGACTCCGGTTTATTACGGCCAAATATAGCGATCGGGCCTACGTCGAACAATTGCCTTCCCCGTTGTCCCGGTTCTCGTCCTCGGATGAAACGCTCCTTGCGTCAATCAAGCGGAATGATATCCAAGGCGTTCTCTATGGCATCGCCCTAGGTGCAAATGTGAATGTGACCGATCGTTCACGTAGCACACATGCCGTTTTCCTCGCTCTCGCCGCAGCCGATCCGGCTTCCCCGGCGTCGGCCTCAACTCCACCATCTAGGCCTACCACCGCTCCTTCAGCGAAAGCAATCCCATTCCCCATTGCCGAACTCCTCGTCCAGAACGGAGCGGAAATCCCATCCGATCCTCCACCTATCCCCCTCTCATCCGCCGCGCAGCTATATCTCAGCCAGCGGACCGCACGAATCGCTGCCTTTACCAGTCCTGCCGCATCTGGTTCTGGAAAATCCCCGGCCGACGGAGTCGGGTCGCTGCCGACTATTCGAGGGACAGGGAATGACAATCCCGCCTCATCGCAAGCACCAAGCTCCTTGGACACCAAGGAGCGCGAGAAATTACATAAACGCGGGAGCGCGGGGGCCCGGTTCGCAGGGAAGGTCGCCTCCCTTGGCATTGACCGATAAGAGTTGACCCGGCGCCTCTGTTCCGGGATGCCTGAACTTCCACATGGGGTTCTTTCACCGTATCCGCACCCTCTTCCTCTTCGTGTCCCCTTCGTCTCCCCTTCACTTTGCGAAATTCTATCATAGTAATTATACCTAGTCAGATCCTGGGGCTCGGATGCCTCATGCCCCCAGGATGCTGACTGTTGTCCAGGGTCAGCCGGCCGGCTCTGCAGATTCGATCTGCGTCGGCCTCCATACTGCACCCCCCTCCTTCTCCTCTTCCCCCTTGTTTATACTCTTCTATCATTCCTGTTGCCGTTTAATTGGTTCCTGGCCGTTTATCATCCCGCTGCACCTCTCCCCAAGAGGCTGCGGATCTACTCGCACTGCAGTTATATCATGGAAGCCGAGGCACGTTTTGGCCTGACAAGATGTCCTCCACTTTACGAGCCCTGTCACGCTTTTCTTCTTACTTTTTTCTTCTTCATTTTTTTTTTTTTTTTTTTTTTTTTTTTTGTTTTGTGTATTAATCTGGCTTGTGCCCGAATTCATCTGTACGCTGGCAATTGACGATTGCCATTAATTGTTTGCTTTGACATGATCCGTTATGACTGGGCTGGTACGGGTGTTGACGACGGATAGATGAGGCCAGCGGCCAGCGGGAGCTTTGAGACCCATTTACTATTAATTGACATATATTCGCCTACTCCGTCTGGTAGACTAATTCTGGTATTCCATTCGTAGGTGGACCAGTCTGTTTGGGACTCTATATATGACGAGTGAGAATGATCTCAGTATCTCTAGCTCTCTCGTGTGACCCCACTTCGTTGGTTTGCAATGACAGCATTGGATCTCCTGTCGCTTATATTTTCCATCATGATGATAGGGAAGTGGGTTCGTGTCCAATCTCCGGTGGGAAGCCACTGACATCGTCATCGCCCAATGAGGAAAAAGAAGGCGCGCCATGATGTCATTGATCTCCTCCGACATGGGTCGATGAAGGAGTTCTCTCGAAGCTTCTCACCTTCAGTACCGAGGTCCTCGTCAACCACATGAGACTGACTGTATATGATTCTTTGGATCGACTGATCCAATCGCAGAAAATTCTCGACAGTCATATCCAGAGGCGAGAGTAGAGACAAAGGGGATCTTTTTAAGTTTAAGTAACGGACTTACTCAGAACGCCCAGACAGTCGGATACGCACCGAGCCGAGTGTCAAGTTCATGAATAAACAGCGTCTGGTTCTTCCCATTGGCTTTTTTGTGGTCCGCCATCTCCACTGCAGGACATGGGTCTTTGTCATTGGCGGTATCCCATCCCGTCTGGGCTTTTTCCTCTGTATCTTAGTGGTTCCTGTGGAGTCCCTGGAGAGTGTGCTTCAGTGCCTGCCAAATGGAAGGGCCTCATTACTCAAGTCTTCTAGGGAAGAATTCGAGGGTGGCGAATATAGGTAGGTACCAGTGGGAATCTTCAACAGATCAACTGCAAGTCAACAGATCTCCTCGGACAATGCTTTGATCAATCAATGCATCCAGTCCCTACTGCATAGTGGTGGAACGCAGTGGTCTCACGCCATGTTCGAACACCCAACCATGGCCCGTGATGCGCAGTCATCACGACAGGGCCTGAGGCACTCGATACCACTAGTCCGAGCCTTACCGGACTGGTGCGGTGTCTGTTTCTTTTTTCCCTTTTCGCCACCACGCTAGGGCCCTGATCTTCATCTCCATCTACATCATTACCCGCCACGGTGTCTATCATGACCCTCCTCCAGGTGCACCTGATGCTGATCCACCCATCTTACCCTCGTTGGTTTCGCTAGGACCGCCGAGATTCTAATCCATGGATCACGCCCGACGCCAGGGGTCGAGGAGACTAACGGTTGGTCAACCATTTAAAGACAAGAGAATGAGACCCCACCGTTGATGCTGTTGATGATGTGGGCTGCTGCTGTTTCTGTCTTCTTTTTATGGGCGGTTTGCTTTTTTTATTTTTATTTTTCTGCTTTCCTCCCCACCCCCCGCCCCGAGCCCCTCTTACTGACGTCGGGGGGAATGATCTCGTTATTTATGGAAAAGGAAAAAAAGGGAAATCTAAAGAAGGAAAAGGAATAGCATGGTGTGGGGGGGGGGGAAGCTTTCTCGGGACCAGAAGGCACCGTTATATAGTTTGATATTTATATGCTTACTGGCTTGCCACTTCATCTTCTGTTGATTGTCTTTCTCTTACCTTTTTGGCGCCGCAGATCTCAGTGGACACGACTCGTTTGCTACACTATATCTGCTGCTTTGATCATTGCCATCGGTGGCCCCAGAGAGGTATCTAGCAGACTCTTGGGGCTTCCACAGCCTTACAGTCAACCCACTGATCCAGTCAGTTGGGGTTGCTGGATAAGGTCATCCAACTCAAGAGAGAGGAGGAAAGAAGGGAGGAAGAAAAGTCAGAGAAAGGCAACACGAGAGCAGAGATATTGGATGCATAAACAACGGATACCAAGGACTCAAAGTGCCAGGCGGACAAACTCGACCTATATACCTACCAACATCACAAGCGACTGTTCTATCACATCGGCCAGTTTTGATACATTCTGGTGAGGACCCTCTTGCTCACAACCGTGATTAACAAGAGGCAAGCGCTCGGTCCATCCAGACAGGGCTTGCTTTGTTCCGTCGGAAGCAAGCGGGGTGGCACTCTTCAGGCTTCCCTTCCAGCAGAAAGTCCCAGAAGATTTGCAACAGTAGTTTGACTGGTGGTTTCGTACTCTGCGCGGGAAAGCTTTGTTCTATGGTCTCTGCTTGGCGGGGCAATCGATTGGGTTTTAACATCTTTTACTCGACAGAAGCCCGCTTCCCACGTTGGATTTGAGTAGGTATGTTCCTCTGGCATCCGTCCAGCTTGGTTGGAAGTGTCTGGTCATCAACTCGCCACTAACTGTCGAGGAAACTATTGTAGAGAGGACTAGTCATTTGAGACAAAGGCCATGGAGAACGCGTACTCGGGACAACCGCTGCTGGTGGTAGAAGCCCCACGAGGCAAGGAGCCGGCATCGTCCAGAGCAAATCGCAGTTCAACAAAGGCCCCTCAATCGTCTGGTAAGTCTGTTGCTCGTCAGACCCTTGGTCAGACCTCTGCTCTAGTGTAATAATTGAACTTCATGCTGAGGAATACCGTGGGACTCTAGTAGGTACCAAATCCTTGCGTCAGACGGGTCTCAGACGGAACAATGTGCCTTCCCATGTATACATGGCCCACCAAGACCGTAGGCCTTCGCCGTCACCTTGGAACACGAGCGATATGATGTCGGCGCTGCCTAGCTACCCCTGCGGCCTTCTCTTTTACGATCAGCGGTGCGGACAGCAGCACATGATTCCTTCTGTCCATCCGCAGAGCATGGTATATCCCATGCTACCAATGCCGTCGTTCTCCGGAGAGCCTATCGCGGGCGAAATGTCGGCGTACGGCCCACAGGTGACCCAGAGTTATACCTCTTACAGTCAGCACCAACACCAGAGCACGCATTTCCAACATGGAACCTCCGTCCACTCACCCTCAGCCCCGTTTGCTCACCCGGAAGCTGGTTACCAGTCTACTTATCATCCCGCCCAGCCGTGCATGGCCTCCAGCGGATACAATCCCGCATATCCGCACCTTGCTTCCATGCCGCAACCAGATCTTCACCACCGCAACTCACAGGATCACGTCAGTGAAACCCCATCTCCATCGCCGGAAAGAGAGGGGCAGCGCGCCCCGAGCCCGGAGTACGACGTTTTGAAGACCATCGTCGACGGATCGACCCCGCTGGGGTCCAGAATACAATCATCGTCACCAGGTAGGCCAAGGACAAGCTTTCTGCTCCTGGTGCGACAGAAAATACGAACGCAGAAGTAGCGACAGCAGAATCAAGATATCTTGCTATTTCGAGCCGCTAACTTTGAAGGTTCCAGGTTCTCCCGCAGTATCCCCGGGCACTACCGGGTCTTTGGCACGCAAAGGCTCCCCTAGGAAGCCCAAGCAATCCGGTCACGCTCTATGGGTGGGGAATCTACCTTCCGGGGCGAGCATCACTGATCTCAAGGAATTCTTTGCGCGGGAGACGAAGGAACATGTGGAGAGTGTCTTCCTCATATCAAAGAGCAACTGCGCCTTTGTCAATTACAGAACGGAGGCAGCCTGTATGGCGGCCTTATCGAGGATCCATGACTCCAAATTCCAGGGCGCTCGCCTTGTCTGTCGACCGCGCCGGGGCGATGGCTCCCCGACCGCTCGTTCCAGTGCCACAAACGGCTTGGTCCGCTCACCCTCTACGAAAGATCAAGCTGTGGACGACATCGGTCGGGTGAGGGCCGGGGGTGATGGCTCCGAGTCTGAGCGAGTGGCTCACAGGTACTTCATCGTGAAGAGCCTGACGGTGGACGACCTCGAAGCTAGCCGTCACAGTGGCATCTGGGCGACGCAGGTACAGAATGAAGGTGTTCTGAACCAAGCTTTTCAGGTGAGCTACGCACTGTTCCTGGATAGGCTACTTGCAACCACAGTCGGCCTCGCGCTGACCAATCCCGTAGACCGCAGACAACGTCTATCTGATTTTCTCGGCCAACAAGTCAGGCGAATACTACGGATACGCGCGGATGATGTCGCCGATCCAGGAGAACGGCGATCCGACCCTCCAGGTGCCGTTCCGACCGCGACAGAGTGTACCGGGGTCAGAGGTGCTGAACCAGACCGCCACACCGGCAACGACCTTCGCCCCATCCGGGCGGATCATCCGAGACCTAGGCCGGGGAACGGTCTTTTGGGAAGCTGACTCGTCCGAGGGCGAGCCGGAGGAAGAAGAAGAGCGAAAGGAAGCAGGGGTCGACGACGCTGCCGACGACGAATCGCCAGGGCCGGAGGGCGTCGAGGTCCAGTCCATTGGGAGACCGTTCCGGATTCAGTGGCTCTCCGCCGAACGAGTGCCTTTCCATCGCACGCGGGGGTTGCGGAACCCTTGGAATGGGAATCGGGATGTGAAGGTCGCTCGAGATGGGACTGAGATTGAGTCGACTGTTGGGGAGAGACTTCTTGGACTGTTTCACTCTGTTTTGCCTAATTGATATGGTCGTTTTCATTAGGGGCCCGTTCGGCTGCGCATGTGCAGTAAATCGCATCTCTCGTTTCGATTTTGTACGAGCTTACGGTGCATCCTGCCAGAATTCCTCTAGGCCGGGTCGCTTGAATGGCTCTGACTGCTAGGATGTTGCATGTGAGGCGGAGAGATCTGGAAGACTCAATGTTACAGAGCACGCATGATCCGGGGGAGCTGCCATCAAAGACGATGAGTTAGAACAACTAGAAATTTGATCTCCCCATGGAATTTTACAAAATACTTCGAGGGTGTTTACCGGACAGCCTTGGTTGGAGTTCCCACCAGACATCACCGTAGCGGCGGAAGTAGCCAGACTTGAGGGTCTCGGCGACGTCCTTCTTCCAGAACCGAGAAGAGAGGGTGATTATCGGCCACCGGGATGACGGGATGTATATCAAGATCCATTCATGTTCGACTGCAAGACTAAATTTGACCCCAGTCCAACCTTTCCCTCCCCAGCCACTGGCCCGTAGTCAACGCAAATGCAATCGACCTGAGCTGCTGGGATAGCTCCTCATGCCCCGGGATCATAGAGGAAAGTATCTCAAGTAGCATGTCAGTATACTCGGGCAACTCAGATCTCCGCGCTTTGAGTGAGGCGATCTCAAACCCATCAGGGTATATCCCCGCGTCGCCCCAATCAATCAACCACACCGTTCTATCCGAGCCTACGATCAAGTTGCGAGGCGCGATATCCAAGTGAGTGAGAACCAGTCTGTCAAAGTGAAACAACGGGGCATCATTGGGCGCCTGGTGGAATTTCTTGGTGATGTCCAGCCGGCGGTTGAACCAGGCTTCCATATGCTCCTTTGACCTGAACGGACCGGCTCCAATATCGGTAAACCAGTACCCGAGAGCTACACAACCTTGGCCACCCACGGGGCCAGGCTGGTCCTGTTGCTCTTGAGATAGGGGAATAGAGCGCAGAATAGAGATCATTGAAGCCACCTGAGAGATAATATGCATGCGCTCTGATTGTTTTATATCACCCCAGCATTGCTCGACTGAAACGCCATCGATGAAGTCCATCAGGATGATGCATTTGTAACCGTATATCTCATCTGGTTCAATATTGAGAACCCGGTAGACCTTGGGCACTTGGATCGTTTCTGATCCGTCATATTCGGCGATCAGGTTGAGGATGTTGGCCTCTGATGGGGCGTGCACCTATACCGCCCTTGAGGACTAACGTGTGTGACACGCGCACAATGCGTGTCCCTTCATACGAATGGAGAGCCGGTGCGGTGTTGAAGAGAGTCGTCAAGGTTTCGTCGGACACCTGGAACATGTCACAGCTGTCAAGAGGGAAACCCGGACTGCAGCCTGGAATGGGTCTTTCCATATCGTGTCTTGCAGACCATCGTGACCATCTTGAGCTCTCTATAAAGTGATGGCCTGATCGGCCTCAGGCTAGACTCCTTCCGGCCCGCTGATCGGCAAACGGTAACGTCGCCTGTGGGGTAATTACCATACCGTACGCCTCTTTAGGTGGAGGTATCATCCGAATCATATGATATCATACTGGACGGTACGAGTCAATTGCAGTCAAGCTCATCGCCCACACCGAACTAAACTCCCCACCAATCCACCGATCTTCCCCACTCTCTCTCTCTCTCTCTCTCTCTCGCCTGCATCTTTCTTCTCTCCTCTCTCTTTCTCTTTCTCTCTTCTACTCCTTCCCCCTCGTCTTCTCTTCTCATTCTTCTTCTTTTCTACACTCCACTTCCTTCCTCCTCCTCGATACCTTTCGAGCTTCAATCACCCCCCACCAATTCAGTTTAGAATAGTGTCGGGGAAGCCCAACTAAGGTTTCCCCAGGTCAAACCCAGGGAACTGGCCTCTGATCCAGTGAGTAGCTTTCAATTCCCACGCCACCAAGTCTGTCCATTTCATCACCCTCCCATCCTATCGGATCTGCATATCCTTATAAAACCGCGGGGACTTTCCTCAATGCCTGCTTCTCCACCCAATCTCTCTGTCCTTCACATTGCATTTATCCGAATCTAGTGAGTTTCCCATCGACGGGGCTTCTGGACAGCGAACACACTTCCATTGTATAGAGGGCAGGAAAGCGTAACGAAGAGGGGGACAGAATTCACCGTCGAGTGTGCCTCGCACTTGAATCGTCAATTCTGACTAACGTCCGTTTTTTGATCATACAGGTGGAATTCCCTTTCTCAATACTCGACGCCGATCTTCTCGACTGTCCTTCCCGTTAATCTCTCGACACGGCAGGACTGATTGAACGTCACCCTAATAGCATTCTCTGAAGTTTAGTCTGCTAGACATCTTCTCCAAACTCCGACCCTCAACCCATTTCCATCAACCCGCTCTCCATCCGTCATTTCACGTCGCACCGTTCTCGCTCGTCTTAGAAACACGGAGCTGTCGACACCTTTCCCAAAATCTTTCTCCGTACATCGACTGTGCGGTGATTCCCCTCGATTCCCCTTTTCTCTCGTGTCCAGTATCATGTCCAACGACCGCTCTTCTTCTCCCATCTCGGTTCCCCCCTCATCCGCCCGTCCCCGTCGGGCTTCCCTGGCCACCGGCACTGGCTTTGCCGACTACCTCTCCAAATCTAGTGGCCCAATGGGCAACACAGGCACCCCAGCGTCCATGACCAACGCCGCGGCCAACGCTCAGGCTAATCACGGTCGGAGACTCTCCATCACTACCTTGGGCCTCTCCGGTTCACCAACACAGCCATCTACATTTGGACCGCGGCATCTGCGACAGGGCAGTGTGTCCAGCTCGGCCGGTTCTCAGCCGTCCAATATCGATGAGGCTCTCGTGGAGGATAATGAACACGGAGTTTCTCAAGCTACTCCGAGTTCCCCTTTCGCTCGACGGGTCTCTTTTGGCACCCAAGCGCTACGGGATGTTCGTGGAGGAAGTATAGGCAGCGGTACATATCCCTCCCCCGCATCCTCCCTACCTGGTGCGCGTGGAAGTACTTCATCGGCCAGCGGTACTCCCCGTCGGCCATCTGGGGTATTTCCTACAAGTACAGGTCATGATTTACCCCAGAACAAGCCTTCTAACGTGTCACGGCGACCATTAGGTGAGGGCTTCAATTGGTCGGAAGCCCTACGCTCCCGGGCGGAGCGTGCCCCATCCATCGGAGGCATCTCTCCCACCGCGCCTCCAAACCACCAGGCGTCCAATTCGGGTCGACAAACCCATCATCAGCGGGCTGCGTCCATTGCCTCGATGGAGCAACCCATCCGAGAGGTGCCGAAGCAGCCCAAACAGAACAAACCCGATTTCTTCCAAGAGAAGATCCTACGGGGTGACTTTATGGACTGAACTCTGCCCCTGTTCTTTTCTTTTTCCTTTTCTTCTGTCCCCTTTCTTTTCTTTCCTCCCCAATGCAGGCTTCGGTGTTTTTTCTCTTTTTGACTGCTCTTTCTGTTCTTATATTTATCGGTTCTACCTTCTATACGGAAAAGATGCAGTTGAAAAAAAGAAGTTCGAGGGTAGAAGGATGATGGGTGGGAAAACCAAAGTATTCGGCGCTTATATTCAGGTATGCGTACAACATCTTTGATTCACACTTTTTGGAGTCCTGCAAGGTCATCCCATGTGATCATTCCATCCACGGATCCACCGGCACGAATCGACTATCAGGGCTGTGGCGGGCTCGGCCCAGTTTAGATGACGTGCAGTGAGACCGTCCCCGAATGCGTGCTTTGTCTTTGTCTCCAGCGCTAGTCGCTTGTTAGTTTGATTCTTCTATTGTCCTTATTCCTGGTGAATATTTGACTCTTTTTCCTGTCTATGAATGCTGCTGCGCGGGCTCTCACTGTTGGTTGATTAGCCAAACTTTTAAAGAAATTGTCGGAAACACCAATGTGCAGCAGCGAGATGATATAGGTTTCTTATTTGTAGCTATCCTTTGTTTTTACTTTTTTTGACAAGTATCAGTACATGGTGGCGTGGCATGGCATCGTGACCAACAAATTATCATTATCTTGTTTGTTACTAATCATTACTATTTCCTTGAGACTTGCCTTTGATACTTGCTCATCGTGCTATAAACATTCTATCAGAATAGTATAGTATAAGTCACAGTGTCTTTTGCAGAACTGGAAGGTTCTCTTCGTGGAGTACATAGAAAGGGTGAAAGACAAAACTCCATATACAGATGGTGTTCCCATTGAAAACAGCAAATTTCAAAGACACATATGGAAACGCAAGGGCAGAACAAGAAAAGGGGAACAGAAAAAAGCAAAATCTGTTTACTGATCCAATATCCACAAAAATTGCCCAGAAAAGATATGCAAGGCAATAACTAGTTCAATCAAACCAACCCTCACGCTGACGGACCCGGCGCAGAAGGATCATCAATATGCTGATTCCCCTCACTATTCCGCTTATTCGTATCCTCATCCTGGGAATACCCCTGCGCCATCCTCTGGTCGAGCAGATGCCCCGTCGTCACGCGCTCCTCCGGCGCAGGAGGCACCCACTTGCTGCTCTTCCAGGGCGGCACGTGCATGACGTACATCATGTCCATTTCCTCGAGCGTCTTGCCCTTGCCCTCGATGACGCAGAAGTAGACGACCAGCACCGCGAAGAACAGACACCCTGCGAAGACGTACCCGTACGCGAAGTCGATATCCCCTGTTATGAACGGCGTGAAGAAGCCGATGAGGAAGTTCCAGAGCCAGTTGGAGGCTGTTGCTAGCGCCATTGCGCGCGCACGGTACCGTGATGGGTAGAGCTCGGCGACGATTGCCCACACCATTGGGCCCCAGGTTGTGGCGAAGCCGCTGTGCGTGGTTATTTGCGTTAGCAGAGGGATATTTAGACATTCCAGGCTTAACCTGGTGATTTGTGGGGTGAGGGACAAGGGATAACGTACGTGATGAACAGACAGGCAAACACCACCATTGCCTTTCCGGCTCCGGGAGTCGCCGGCGGGTTCTTGATATCCAGAGAGAAGTGACCGATAGATGCAAACACCATGAAGCAGATGAACATCCAGATCCCACCGGTGATGAGCGACTTGCGCCGTCCAAAGTGTTCAATGATGTACAGACCCCCAAAGGTCGTACCGAAGTTGACGCCGCCGAGGATCATCTGCGTGACGAAAGTATTTTCGATACCCGCGCCGTTGAAGATGACCGTCCCGTAGTAGAAGAAGTAGTTGGCACCGGTCAACTGCTGAAACGCCTGCAGCACGATCCCCAGACAGATGCGGTACTTCATCCGAGGGCCCTGGAACATCTCGAGCCAGCCGAGCCAGCCGCCCTTGGCTCCGCTTTCTGCTTCGAGCTGCTGCTTGATCTCCGCGAGCTCGTCTTGGATTGCGCGGTGGTTCGACGGGACGCCGTACAGTTTGGACATGGTGTCCTTTGCCTGGTCGATGCGCCCATGGCGGTAGTCATAGCGGGGGCTTTCCGGGAGGAAGATGATCCCAATGCCCAGGACAAGGCCCCAGAGGAAAGTGATCCCGAGAGGGATGCGCCAGGAAGCCGAGTTTTCGATACTTTCCGTGCCGAAATTGATGCAGTAGGCAACGAAGATTCCGAGGGTGACGAACAGCTGATACGAACTTGAGAACAACGAGTCAGATGAGGGAAGCGCGTAGGAGACGAACTAGACACTTACCAGACCATGGCACCTCGAACCTGCCGAGGCGCACTCTCACCTTGGTACATGGGAACTAGCAAGGAGCAAGACCCGACTCCGAAACCAGTGACGAACCGCCCCATCATCACCTGGTACCATTTGGGCGCGGGCGAGGATATTTGGATGATGAGACCGACGTGGAGAATAATACACCAAAAGGCGATCGACCATTTGCGGCCGATACGATCAGCCAAGGGGCCTGCAACCAACGCACCGAACAATGTACCAATCGATAGCTGTCCTTCAAAGTCAAAGACTATCCTTCGGGTGGTTATTCAATATGGGCGTGTAGAACATACCAAAGAAACTATAAGACCAGACCGGACATTGTTGAATTTGTAAGTGCCGTCGCCCTGGGGTTGACCGAACCGCCTCTTGAAGTCGTGCATTTCAAGAAACCCCGAAATCTGACCAGTATCATACCCAAAGATGATACCGCCAATCGAGATAAACGCACCCAGGGCCAACGTCCGCCATGTTACGAAAGGCACAGGAGTGTCGATCTCGCCCGGACCCTTCTCTTGCTCGGATTGGTCTCGATAATGCCCAGCATCGAACTTATTCCGAGGTATTATCGAGGGGAGCTTCATTTTGGAGCACGTGTCTCAAAAAGGCTAAGATCAGGATCAAGTATGCTTTATGTTGTATATGCTTTATGTTGTATATGCTTTATGTTGTATATGCTTTATGTTGTATATGCGTTATGCGTGTATGTCTTTGTGTGGATTAGTGTGCGCGCACGATGGATGTAGTATCAACTATATAGATGTACAACAGCCGGGGATCCCCGGAACAGACGATCGAAGAAAGGTATTGGAAGCACCGAATAGATATCGAAGAATGACGATGTTGTAGCACTGTACCGCTTTAGGGCCACTCGTGTTTAAGTAGTGATGCTACTCTCTGTCATGGGGTTCCCAGTATATCGCCACTCTGAGACTCGATACGAACCGGATCGCATTCGAGGTCGTCATCGACAGCATGTTCGGGTCATGAAAGGCATGAATCATCAACTGCCCCGTGATCATTGATGCAATCCAGAGATAGTCGGGGACATAACCAAACTCTCGTTCCTTGAGGTACCCTTGAGCTTTGTTGCCGGGTTGGATCTTCCCCTGCAGAGACGCCATCTGTTCCTTACGCGAGCCGCCCTTCTGGGTCTGCTCACCACCCGGGTGTTCTAGCCGAAACTTCAAAGTAAAGATGTAGACTGATACACGACAAGAATGGGAATGGGCCATGTGAGGCCACCCCTACGAAGTCATGACGTCATAATCACGTTTGGTACCTACGAAATCTAAACTTAACCCTGGCCGGATAAACCCTTCAATGGCCAATTGGAACTTAATTCTCGGTTGCCTGACGAATTAATCTTGCATTGACAACTTTGGGGCGTATTAGAAAACTGATAAATGTGAGGACAAGCGTAGAATGATACGCTTGAACTTGTCCAATTATATGTAAAGGCGCTGGTCAGCTCGCGATGACAATCACCGCAAACTGGCATTTAGCGGGTAGAAGAAGAGAGCAAAAGAAAGAGCAAACGAAAGTGGGATGGAAAAGGAACGGCACGTTCATGTCCACGGGACAGTAGACAAGGCTCGAAGCCAAAATAGACAAGCCACAAAACGAACGAGCGGATCTTAATGAAGGCAAAGATTCAGTCATGTAAGCCTATCAGTCAGCAGGCCAACTAACCCTAGTAGGGAATCCCATTGGTCATAAGCTGGAACTGATCGTATCCTTTGGTAGAGACGCTCATGTACGATTTGCGGGTAAGCTCGCGCATGTGTTCGGCTGCCTCGCGCTCGCTTTTATCTAGCACAAACCGGTCACGGAAGTTTTTCAAAGTCTCAGGCTTGAAACAGGGCAGACCACTGTCAAGCATCAGTGACACGATATGTGTTAATTGTGAGCAGTAGGGGCGGGAAGCCAGGAAGGCTTTCACCACCAATGATTCAAACCATCGGTATGGCTGCGTGCTGGTGGGATCAGAGCCCCCTGGAAGATGGGCGTGTGTGTTATGGGAACCACTCATCACGGCAACCATTTCAGAAGTGAGTTTGAAGGGCGCGCGCTCAAAGCGCACACCGCCCGGTGCAATATCGAAGCAGAAACCAAAATCGATGTGTATGATGTGCCCGGCGTCGTCGACCATGATATTCCCATTATGCCGATCCTTGAACTGCAGCAGGTATGAGATGACAGAGTATGCAGCCATACTCTTGACGAAGTTTGTTCGGGCTTCCTGGAACCGGATGGAGTCTTCACCTCCATACTTGGAAACGAAATAGTCGTACAGTCCGTTCACAGCCTCACGTCCTAGCATATCGCGAGAAATGGAGTTAGGGAGAACATCAATGACGCCGCAACCTGGAGCCGTTGATGTTACTCGGTAAGGGAACACCCATACGTCGAGTCCGACTCCAGTGAAAATGCTTCGAAAAGCGGCAATCATTTGCAACGCAAGCATGTCTTGCCGGCAGTCATCGCCAACCTTAAAGATTGCCGATTGCCAAACTTCATATGTCTCCAGATTTGGTTCGGGCGTCGAAGAGTGAAAAGGCTGCGTCAATTGGGTATTTTCAGGATTTTCGGAATCGGCGTTGTTCGTAATCTCATGCCCTTCTCGAGGCCTTGTCTTTTGAATTCGGAAAGTGGCCATATATGGCGCTTTTGCATGACTCTGGAGAGGTTTTCCTGACTTGCGATCGATCCCAACTACAACACCATCTGGGTTGCTAGGAAGGTAGACTCCGACTTCTACCTTGATTTTGCGAAGTTCCTCTTCGATCTTTTCCTTCTTCTCGGGTTTGCTCTTCTTGATGTATGGTCGAAGCTTGCCTGAAATGCCAGTAATATCATTGAAGAAAGAGAACTCCCGCTCATAGAACTCTCTTTCTTCAGAAGTGAAGCTTGAGATCAAAGTATCCATGAACTTGTCCAAGGTCGGCTTGAGTGAATCCGGCTGGCCATTCTCATTAGTAGACCGTTTGAGGTCGGGTTGATGATCACTTACAATCTGCGCATCCTCATCTTTGTATGAATTCGCCTTCATGTTCCAGATGACCTGGTGGGCAAATAGCTGGGATTGTTTGGCCGTCTCCAGAATATAGCGTTCCACGTAACCCAATGCATCGTATCGGAGTGCCTGCACTAGCTGTGGAACGAAATAGAAACGAACATCGATAGGGTGACTCTCCAAGGCTTTCATTGCATATTGTAGGATGAAGGGGTGATTCCCGTAAGAAGGCATGAAGTAGGTTATGGCCTCGGTGGGGTTCACAGGAGCCCAATATAACAGGTACTGTTCCAATTAGCATTAAAACAAGGGGAACTGGCCAAGGATGATTAGTATCGACTCACCTTTAGTTGAACGGAGACATCAGTAGGGAGCGTCGCCCCCAACATTATCTCGAGACAGCTTGGTTCTTCAATGACTCTCTCAGGGAAATTGAGAACAAGCCAACGAAGATCGTTCCTAAGCTTCACGGATGGGAAGCGCGAAGCAAGTTGAATAGCTAACTCCGGGCTTTCAGCCCACGCAAACCGTAGTAAGGATGCAGCTTCCTGTAAATAAAGAAAAAAAAAGATTAATACTCTCCCATACAATAGGTATTGGCCCTTTAAAAGGCTTTTGTTGCCTGAAAAAGAGGGGCATTGAGTGTATGGGGTTTGGAAGTGACAGACCTCGGAAGTGTTTCGGTTTCCTGAACTCTGCGACATGTAGTGTTTACGCTCCGGCTCCAAAGGAAACAACCAAACCCGAAGACGTGCTCTCTCGTTCTCGATGAGCATTTGCAGGAGATCTTGTTTGGCTTGTAAGGACTTGTGTGGTCCTTGCGTTTGAGAAGCAAGGCTAGCAACATATCCCAGACCAGATAACACATCGCCCAGGATCTTATCTTCGGCTTTCATTTGAAGTCTGTTGCCGCCGAAAGACCATCTGGTAGAGTATTAGGGACAGTCTTCAAAGCGTGTATGGGGTTAATGCGTACCTAGGTGGATATCTGAACCAGCCAAGAGCGGCAGACAGGATCTGATCTTTGACTTTCCAACAAGTCACTGAGTCCAGGGTAGTGAAATGACGCAGGACCCTCAGTGCAAATAAAACAATCCGGAAGTGTACCTCTCTGGCAAGCGGGTGGGCCTTCGTTCGCAAAAGGCCTACGGTTGTCCGGTCGATAAGGCGACAGAACAAACGCTGGTCCTGCATGTTGCCTAGTCGAATAGCACTGAAGTGACTCTCAAAAAACTGTAGGATAGACAGATGAGGTGCCAGTATGTCTTGTGCTCTTTGTTGATTTTTGAGCATCAAGGCCTTGTCAGTTGGCAAAAGATCGATTCTCGTGTATAATGGATCCACATAACTGGTGGGTGGTCCCCAGGTCAGTTACAAAGAAGTAATCAGCTTTAAAGAGTGCCCTTGTACTTACTCAAAGAACGGGTCAAAAAGACCCACACCGCGCTGGATGGTTTTGTCCCAGGCAGCGGTGATCTCAGCGAGAAGTTTCGGCTCCATCCTGGGGTTTTCGTGCATAACCCCTAACCAGAGTGGGACACCGATGTTGATTGATTCTCTCGTGAATATCTGGAATGGCAATGTTACCAGATAATGGGCAATGGAAGCATGGCGTCCGCTTCTAGTGCATAACAGAGCAGCAGCGCGCCGCAACAAATCGCGAACTTCGTCAAGGCAAATGTCATTCCCCAGCTCGGCCCATTGACACATATGGGATAAAGCATCCTCCACATGTTTACTTGTCTCCAAGACAGATACACTTGCTGCTGGAACTTCAAACCCTAAGAATTAGCCAGTGTCACCTGGACGACCCATGTCAATGTTTGCGGGGGACCAACTTTTCCGTTTGTACGTATCATCCCCTGTTCCATCACCCGAGACTATATCAGTAAATCGATATTTCTGGCGTGTGGTGTACTGAGCGATGAAGTCAGAGGCCACATTGATCTTGTTGGTCCCTGATATATCGATAGATCCTGGACGTAACACTCATTAGCCTCTACATGGACTGTGTGAAGAGATATAGAAGGGGAGTTGTACCAAGACGCTGGTCGCTTCTGGGAATGAGTGAGCCCATTTCGAGTGCAAAAGAGCGTCCCAGTGATATATGCCCAAAATCGCCGTTGTCCTCAGATGTAGATAGATACGTCTAGTTTTCGGTCAGATATGCACGGCAGTGAAGGTGTCGAGAAAGACAAGGTACCTGAAGAAGGCCTTTCACATCTAAAGGAGCCACATCCATCACGGTTGTAACCCAAACCCTTGCTTGCTCAAGGAACGTATGCAAAGTCTTCTTCCTGAACTGGAAGTTGTCAGACAAGTCAACCTTGACAAGTCCCAAACGTGACGTGAATGTGGGCTTCCACTCAAACTCATCGAGCTCTTCTTCAACGCACGAAAACCACATGACAGTCAGTAGCTCGAGGAGCGCAAATAGGGAGTGTTTTTCGCACAGAGACGATGGGCATTCCTTGATAATCATGTTCGCACAAAGTGTGGCGGCATTCTGGACCCTCTCTATGCGATGGCAGCAGGCCATAAAAAAGCTAGCCAATTCCTTTGAGAGGTATGGGATGGAGAAATCCTCGCGCTTCCCCGTTAAGGTTAAAGAAATATACCGGCCAACAACTTTCTCGGCAATGGCGTTCATGCAACTGGCCATCTCAACAGTGGATAAAGCGGGGTCCCGGAAGTATTTTAGTATTTTGGTACATTTACCAGAAGAAGCACGGAAACCTTCGACAAGTAGGGCGGCATTGAGGAAGACGGCCCGAGGGTAGCTTAGTCGTTTGATCTCAGACTCGCGAGTAGGGATCTCGGTCGCCAAATTTCTCTTCTGTTCCTGCAGATGCTGGGGCCCCATACCACGCCTAAGGATAGTATTTAACTCCACATCGCTTTCAAGCATTTCCATGCGATCCTCAGCAACAAGAGGTGGCGAGTATTTGGCAAGCAGGCGCAATTCCTTCATATGGCGTCTAGCAACATTCGAACTGAGAAATATGCCATGAACCGCAATATTAAACCAAGCATCGCGGAACAAGGTAGAAACGTCCTGGTCGTACTCGGGGTCCGCTCCATGCTGCTCTTGGGTACCGATTCTTGGAGAAACGAGCAGCGCCAGCGGCTTCAAGAGGGGACTGATATCGTCCGGGGCCAGGATAATATCCTTTTGTTTCTCGCCCTCAAAATCAGTGGCGTCTCCCTTGTTCACGATACTCCCTAACAAATGGACCAAGTATAATTTGTGCAGCGGTGATTCTCTTGGCAGCGTAACAGACAGATAGGCCATTGCATCCTGGACCGCACTGACAATGCTGCTATGTCCTTTGGCAGAACTATCCCGGTAAATGCGATCATAGAATTTGAGTAACAGCTGAAACTCAGAGGGTCCAGTGCTAGAGCATAATGCAGCAGTTTCCCTCACGATGTAAGAATCGACAGTAGTGTCGATCTTTCCGATCTTCTGGAGAAGCATTGATTGTGCCAAAGCACTGATCTTTTCGTCATTGCAGCCACTGGCAATTGTCACAATGGCATGGATAACATTTTTGTAGGTGGTGTTGTCCCTTTCGCCATGGATTGAAAGGTTGCTAACACTGCCATTCCTTCCCTGTGCCAGTGGAGCAATGGGATTCCCATGCCCAGCAGTATCAGCAACGACATGAGATTGGCGAGAGTTCTCCGTTCCAAATCCAGGACTTAAGACATTTCCCAGCGAGTACAGAGTCGTAACAATGGCATCTTCCGAAAGGATGGCCAAGACTTGGGCGAGACATTTTGCGGCAACGAAGCTCGTAGATCTGGTCGACACGCCGCCGTCAACAATAAATCGTAGAAGGGAACGACTCCCGGAAGATGCGCTATTCAGAGACATTTTCGCAATAATGGCTACACTCTTGAGAGTGGCTGTCGCTAGCTTATTGCATGACATCTGACCCGGATCCACCAGCGTATCCTCTAGCCAAGAAAGGAAGTGGTCACGGTTGGATGCATCTTCGCTCAGAATGACACAGTGAAGAAACCCAGTTAGTGCAAGCGCTTTTACAGAAAAAGTAAGTCTCTGCTGCCAAGGCGAACCGAGCTGCAGGTAATCAGAGCCATCTTCCAACAGTTGGATCTGGTCAGCGACGATCTCTGTTATGCGGTTGATGAGTGAAATTTCAGCGTGGTCATGGCTCCTGGCAATGCCAACGCCATTCATGTAGTCATCCAAGAGTTCATCGTCCGACATATTCTCTGCTCCAATGAGAGACGTGGCGCACGATTTGATGAACCGCATGAACGCCTCCTGGAGTAGCATGGCCCCTAAAGGACGACCTCGAGTAGCATAAAAACGATTGTATCTCCTCCAATCCCCAAGAGAGGGATCGGCCATTCCCGTATTACGGATGGTGGAAGATGCAGTCTCGATAGCTATCATGAAATGATCGGACAACATCGAGCGCATACATTCAACAATCTGTAGCTTTTCACTAGCAGACCAGAAGGACGTAAGTAGCGTGGAGGCCTCTAGAAAGCCAACAAGCGACACAGTGAGTGACAAGACATTGGCGGACTCATTTACTGCATTGTATCTATCTGTTCCATGGTCGTACCCTTTGAAGGTTGGGACAGCATTGATAGCTTCTGCGCAATTGTCCAAGTACCCTTTGATGGAGTTGTAGACAGACTCTCGCAATGAAGGGTAGTCCAACCCCAGGGAAAGCAGTCCGAGTGTAAGATTGTAAGTGAGGGATTCCCATGGCGAAGGCTGGACATTATGTAGGAAAGGCGAGGCGCGAAATCGTTGGCAATGCGACTCGGGAATGTACAGCGACAATTGAGAGACCAATCTAGAAGCATGCTCGGGCTTGTTTACCGAAGATGAAGCCTTGCACAAGGCAATAAGGACATCTAGTTCTCGGATACCCTACGAAAGTTAGTAAATTAGTCTTTGGGTGGCATAACCAAGGAGGGGGGGGGGGGGGGGCATAACAAACCATAGGTATCTGAGAGACTGGAGCCTGAGTTTGCAGGACTTCATTGAGCGGACCATTAGGCTGGTGTGTCAGGTGCTGGCATTGTCCTGCGAGCCGCGCAATGTCGGATTTTGCATCGTCATCTGGTGCTTTCACTGCAATTCTTCCTAGCTTCTCAAGTGCCGAGATTCTTATATTCTTGGGGAACCTATACTCGGATTAGCGCCCTGACTTCAGGGGTATGGAGATCAAATGACTGACTCATCCATTGTTGCGGTTTTAGGTTCCAAACAGATTTACAGAGCTCGCTATTGCTGCTAATGACTGTCTTTTGAACCCCCCAACTCTCCTGTGGATGTGTCAATGGGGGAACGGCACATAGGGGTGATGTGTACGGAGTAGTTGTTAGTACCATCATACCCACGTGGGTCTAAATTCATTAGCAGCTGCACTTAGAAGCTAAAAGCCTTGGTTCTCGGGTTCCTCCAGCGGTTTACAACTAAGTATAGTATTGAGATGGCAAGTTTGTTTTTCCGCTCCCAATACCGGCAGATACATGGATATCTGTAATTTACATGCTGTTATGGCGATAGTGAGACCACCCAGTACGACCTCGGTATTAAGATGATAACATCACTTAATACATGTCAAACAAGCCAGTCATTGTGTGGTTCTCCACTGTGGAGGTCTACAGCAGTTGGAGTATGCCAGGAACCTCTCAATACTTCTATTTATTCACTGTAGATCTTAAATTACATGTTGCCAGACAAGTTCATTATTCCCTTAGATAAAGGTATAAGCTACAAATCCCACTGACACTTGTAATATCTATGTACTGTGCGGCGTGTAGTAAATCTTTGGGGTCCAAAAGGCTCCGTATCAGGGTGCGGCTCAGGTAAGCACCGCCCCAATGTATAGATACGAACTAGGAAGAGTGTCCTGGTACTTTACCGTTGTGTCCTCCGTGGTAGGAGGAAGCTACCGGTAGCCAACTAACTTTGGAGTTCATAGGGCAAAGCACAATAGTTAACCGCTATTTTTTTTTCCCTCCCTACCTAACCTCTACTTCATTCCACCTGATTAATTTAACTGTATTTCCTGACAAGGCAGCTTCTCTATTGATATTCGCATCTTGTTCTCAAGGTCGCCTTTTCTCAGCGGGACTTCCTGAAGAACCTCTTGAATAGCAGTCCAACTCACGTTGAATAATGTGTCAGAGATAAACAAGTTTCCATTTCAGAGGCAACAATGACACCCCAAACAGAGCAAAGCTCTCTCAAGCGCGGCAGGGTAGGTAGCATATTGATGGAATGCACATGACGCCGCTGATGAGCCATTCTCAACTACAGATTAGTGCAGATCACGACTCACAAGATCAGAAGAAACCAAGGCGTTCTCAAAGGATCATATCACAGCAATCTCAGGGCACCCCAATCAATGACTCATATCTTCCTACACCGATGACCCGCCAAGCTTCAACTGCTACAGACATCAGGAAAGAAACAACAGCGTCTCCACCGAAACCCTCTGCCCGAGCTCGTTCTCACACTCCGCCCGATTCAGTACAGTTTCCAGAATACTCTTCGCCTCCGGGTGATACCCAGGCGTTTTCTCAATTTGTATACCCACCCAGAGCTTTCGCAGATGAGGTTCAAGATGAGGCCGAAGAGGGGGTTTGGGGATACATAATCCCTCTTGATGATAAAGTCCGAGATGCCCTTGTATTGAGAAAGAGAGGAAGCTGTGAAGGCGGTCCATCCAAGTCCAACAACTCCAGAAAGGATGCCCGGGGGGGATGCGGACAAAACAAAGAAAAGGCCCCGACTCCTGGTGGGTATCTGGTCGGCCGTCACCCAGAATGCGGTAGGTCATGGCGATAGGCAAGGTCTGCTGGATTATGATTGACAGCATCTAGATCTTGTTCTTAACATCCCCACTATCTCCAATCGACACTTCCTAATATTCTTGGAAAACCGGAAAGGGGATACCGTCGCAATTTTGGAGGACCTGTCCAGCAATGGCACGTTTGTCAATGACGCGATCATTGGGCGAAATAAACATCGCGAACTAGAAGACGGCGACGAGATCACAATCTTGGGTGAGGCGCGCTTCGTCTTCCGGTATCCTCGAACGAGGGACACGAATGGGTTTCGCCAACAGTACAGGATTCTACAACAGCTCGGTAAAGGCCATTTCGCGACCGTTTATCTCTGTATAGAGCGTTCAACTGGCACCCAGTATGCTGTGAAGTTATTCGAAAAACGCCCCGGCGATTCCCAGAAGTCCCAGACCGACCCTTTACATCAGGAGATTGGTCTTTTGATGGGTGTCAGTCACCCGAACTTATTGTGTCTCAAAGATACTTTCGATGAGAACGATGGTGTGTATCTTGTTCTGGAGCTTGCCCCGGAAGGCGAGCTGTTCAATCTCATCGTCCGAAAACAGAAGTTTTCAGAGAATGAGGCTAGACACATTTTCTTGCAACTTTTTGAGGGCTTGAAGTATCTTGTATGCTTCCTCCGTTCTTGCATCAGAACCCCCAATTTTCCTGTTTATGAAGGTGCTGATTTCTCGGAACAAGCATGACCGTGGAATCGTCCATCGTGACATCAAGCCCGAGAATATTCTTGTTGCAGACAAGAAGATGACCGTGAAGCTCGCCGACTTCGGTCTTGCCAAGATTATCGGGGAGGATTCATTTACAACGACCCTGTAAGATTTCAGAACCCCGAAGTTTGCGAAAGTGGAGAAATTTGAAATCTGACGTTCTACCATTTCCAGATGTGGAACACCAAGCTGTAAGTCATAACGGAACTTGTGATAGGATCACTAGAACTTACTTGTCAGACGTTGCTCCGGAAATCCTACAGGAATCTCGCCGCCGACGGTATACCAAAGCGGTTGATATTTGGTCACTTGGTGTTGTCCTTTACATATGCCTCTGTGGCTTTCCGCCATTTTCCGATGAGCTTTATACGGCTGAGAACCCGTATACTCTGGCGCAACAGATTAAAATGGGACGTTTTGACTATCCATCCCCTTACTGGGATTCCGTGGGCGACATTGCTTTGGATCTCATCGATAGAATGCTTACAGTTGACGTTGACAAAAGAATAACAGTCGAGGAATGCCTAGAGCATCCCTGGCTTACGGGAAAGCACATCCAGGTATCGGACAGCACTGACGGACTCACTGGGGCGCTGGGAAAGCTGGATTTCTCGAAACGGAAGATCTCGCGTGAACGAACTCTTCTCAGCAGTATCAACGACGTCGACTTCAGTGAGCGTACAGAGGGCAATGGGGCTCCGGTCAAGGTTTTCCACAAGAACAACACCGAAAAGCGCTTGCACAATCGGCAAGCCAAAGGCTCCCAGCCGCAATCCCCGGGTGGTAAGAGCGCGCCCAGAGATTTTGTCAACCTTGGGGAGAAAGGAGATCCAGTTTTGTTTGAGGAGGACCCCACTAGTCGATACAAATAATGAGGCAACCGACCCCGCGTGAACTCTTGCCAAAGGTATCTCAAGATCAAAGGTCTTCGCTTGCTAGTGTAGGGAGTCTATCCCCGATGGACTATGAGCTAGTCAATTGGCTGTGTTAGGACTACTACATCTGCCGATATTAAGAATTGCCCACCCAGCGGCATCCTAAGTGAGTCACTCAAGAAGGTCTGGTTATTGATTAAACACCGCTGTGCGTTTACATCCATTGGCGTTAGATTTCCAGCGGACAATTCATCCTAGAATAAAGTTCCATATGTTCAAGTGAATTCTGTGGTTGTTTTAAGGGACAGAAGATGCTAGTGAACCAAAAGTGGCCAAGGCAAAGAACAAAAGCACAAAGATCTAGTAGAAACTGATTCCTCTGTACATCACGGCCTGCGAGTGGGCGCTCTAGAGACTAGAGGGGCTCAAATATTGCTAGAAAGATGGTCGTTTGTTGTTTATCAATTGCAGCGTATAGAAGACATTAGATAGAAAGTTCCACCTGAGGGATGATTGAACGCCACCTAACTTGGTGGTGGGGTCAAATTACTTTTAATCGCTCCTCACTCCTCAAGCTCGTCAATTCTACAGCTGTATACCAAGTATACACCACCAAGTGCCCTGAGGTTAGGAGGTAGAAATCTGGGGACTGTGTAGTAACGTGTTCTCGCCACTGCGCAATCAAGGGGTTAGTATGATGTCTGTATTTTGCATACAGTATTGCAAATTTCCAACAGGCGGGGCCCACTGCCCAGTGAGAACCTTTAAATTACGCACTGCCCCCATAGTACCATGGATATCTCATACCCATTAATTTCACATTCCGTACCTGAATACAAAGCAGCGGCTAGAACCCCGTACACCGACATTGGCTCCAATTAGGAGGTACCTTACCTAAATTACAAGGCACCATCAAATCGGGGCCGTTTACTCTTTTTTCCTCTTCGCCCCCGAGTATATCAACTGCACCAACTCTCAAATCTCTGATCGACCGCCTTACAATTGGTCTTACAAACTACAAAGGGGTTTGGGGCTATCTCGAACTTTTCCTTCCTTCACAGATCTAGGAGAGTGTCTTCTGTGCCGGCCACTTCTCTCTTATGTCTTGCGCTTAACCTGATTCCTTGCCCCCCTTTCTTCTTCGTCGCGCAACCATGGGTCTCCTCGCGGCCATTCTCAGCAACATCTGCGAGCACTGCTCAAATTTGTCCTTGAGCGTGCTTGTTGGAATCGGACTATTTGCTGTCGTTGCTATTTCAGTTTTCGTCAATGTCTTCAGACAACTTTTGTTCAAAAATCCGAACGAGCCCCCCGTGGTTTTCCACTGGTTCCCTTTTGTCGGAAGCACTATTAGCTATGGCATGGAGCCTTATAAGTTCTTTTTTGATTGTCGCAAAAAGGTATATAGTGTACCCAGGCTCTGTTTCGACATGTTGGTCTCATTTTACTGACTTCTCTCAAGTACGGAGATATCTTCACCTTCGTGCTCCTCGGCAAAAAGACTACGGTCTATCTAGGTACCAAGGGAAACGATTTCATCCTCAATGGCAAGCTTCGAGACGTTTGCGCAGAGGAAGTCTATTCGCCACTCACGACTCCGGTGTTCGGGCGTCATGTCGTATATGATTGCCCCAACTCTAAGTTGATGGAGCAGAAGAAGGTAAACAAACCCTGACAGTGGGTTCTTCTGCCAGTTGCTAACGGGTATAGTTCGTCAAATTCGGTCTCACATCTGATGCTCTGCGCTCGTACGTTCGCTTGATTACCGACGAGGTGGAAGATTTCGCTCAAAACTCCCCTGCTTTCAAGGGTGAGCGTGGTATCTTCGACGTTTGCAAGACAATTGCCGAAATCACCATCTACACGGCTTCCCGGTCCCTCCAGGGCAAGGAGGTCCGCTCGAGATTCGACTCCACTTTCGCGGAAATGTATCACCACCTTGATATGGGATTCGCTCCTATCAATTTCATGCTCCCTTGGGCACCCCTTCCCCACAATCGGAAACGCGATGCCGCTCAGAAGAAATTGACTGAAACATATACGGAGATCATCCAGGAACGTCGCAAGGCTGGGACTGAAAAGGACTCCGAAGATATGGTGTGGAACCTCATGTCGTGCGCATACAAAAATGGCAAGCCAGTTCCGGATGAAGAGATTGCGCATATGATGATTGCCCTGCTCATGGCTGGGCAGCATTCGTCCTCCTCTACTGCCGCTTGGATCGTTCTCAATCTCGCCAAAAACCCCGAGGTTATGGAAGAGCTTTATCAAGAACAGCTCCGTGTTCTTGGGTCGGATTTGCCTCCACTTACTTATGAGAGCTTGCAGAAGTTGGAGCTGCACTCTAAGGTCATCAAAGAAACTTTGCGCATTCACGCCCCTATCCACTCAATCATTCGCGCTGTTAAGAACCCGATGCCCGTGGACGACACGCCCTACGTGATCCCGACCACCCATAACGTCCTTTCTTCCCCTGGTGTCACAGCCAGATCGGAAGAATACTTTGCTGACCCTCTCAAATGGGATCCGCATCGTTGGGATGAGACTGACGAGAAGACGACCGAGGATGAGGAGACGATCGACTATGGGTATGGCTTGGTCACCAAGGGCACCAATAGCCCATATCTTCCCTTTGGGGCTGGACGTCACAGGTGCATCGGCGAACAGTTCGCTTATGTCCAACTCGGTACAATTACTGCCGCTCTTGTGAAAATGTTCAAATTCCGCAACGTGGCCAATGTCGAACAGCTTCCCGATACGGATTATTCGGTATGTTGTCCAAGTCGCAATAGACTTTGTGAAGACCACGTTAGCTAACAAAAATTTAGTCGCTGTTCTCGAAACCTCTCGGTAAATCTTTCGTGGAATTCGAGAAGCGCGATACGCCCTCCAAGGCATGAGCTTTGATCCATGCAGCTGTCACGCAATGAGTATTGGTTACATGGATATCTCCATATGAACCGTTGGGCTATGCAATCCAAGGAACGCCGGTCACTCCTCGGGCACTGAGGTCAAAGCCGCTTATTCTTCGGATGCGCATGTGGTCCTTTCCTACTTATACGGCTGGTGTACATTACATAGAATTATTTCGTGGGCGTCGCCTGCTATACATATCTTTTTAACATTATATGATTATAATCAATATGAAGTCACACGAATCTTGCGCAAAATTAAACAATGTAAAATAATGGTTACATAGGCATACATGCATAGGCCCTCCAGTCAAGAGTATGTCAACCTAATGATCTGGCACAAATACTTTGATTGTTGTTTCCTGCTGTGGAGAATGGGAATTCATTGGAGATCCGAAAGCCGCCATTTCGCGTATGCAAATGATATTATACAAGCCGCCTATGCAGCTGAGACACACATAGAAGAAGAATACAATCATGCCGTTCCCTTTCGCCTTTCCTCAATCCGCTTGTTGGCCCGAACCTCAGCACGCCTCCTTTCACCACCATCCACCTTGTGGCCTAATTTGTCCTCCCACATGCCCTCTTGAGCCGTGATCAGAGCTGCGGTCCCGTTTGTACCCTTGATTGGTTGCAAGAACGGGCCTTTGAGCATCGATCCGCGGTGGATCTTCATGTGCGCGAACTTCTGCAAAGGAGTCGACAAATCGGGAGTATATTTCGTGGCGTCAGGCGGGAGGTTGACGATAACCTTCCTCATCCCCGGGGTCAGAGTTGCCGAGGCGTTGGTAGGGCTCGTGGAGTTGATCGCTTGAGAAGGGGCTTTGGGGTCCACGGGGACCTCGACAACGCGCAACTGTGCTGCGCTATCGGCAACGTGTTGCAGATCACCGCCGGGCCCGTAGATGCCCTGCCTGAACTTCTCCCGTTTCCGAAGGAGGTATCGTCGCTGTCGCGCGGGTTCAATGCCTAGGTCTCGAAGTTCGGCGGAGCTGAGGGTGAAAAGCTTGTCCCAGGATGGTAGCTTGCTCGCGTGCTTGGACATCCCGCGGCCGATAAGAGAGAGGAAGGTTTCGACATTGGGAACGAATGGAGTCGGGGAGGGCACAGTGGAGGGTTTGCTGGTCTGACCGTGGAAGTGTCGGATACATTGGTTGGCGATAATAGAAGGCCTGATGGGTCGGAAGGCCAGGAGTTGGGGGTTGCGCAACGCCATGGTTGGGTTGTGTATTGTCGAGTTTGCAATGGATTGCTAATAAATGTCGGGAGCTCGGGGCCACCAGGAATGAAGTGGGATTTCCTAGGCTCAATTGACAAAGAAAAGTGACCTCACTGGTGTATACTATCCATTCCAGTTGTCAATGTCCAGGTCGGCGAGTAGCGAACACCGCGGGTGTCAGAGAAATTTCGGCTACACTGGATCAACGTAACTCCGGATTTACAAGGCCTCCTAGCGTGGTCCTACAACACCTCATAGAGCTGGAACTTCGATTCCCGTCTTGCTCTTCAAGATTGGGCTCTTTCCTTGTTAAATTTCAGGCATTAACCTCTTGCTTCCAGGAGTCAAGCAAGACGAAGGACGCCTGTTCAAAGGGAGTGTCTCATAGAAGGATGCTTTGCTGATTATTTAATCCCCCGCCTCCCCTCCCAGGGCTTTGCGGCGAATTTGTCACTTGGACATTTGTTCTGACGCTGTGTCGCCATACCTTGATTTCAAAGGCAGAGACGGTCACAGTGACTGAGAACTAAAGGCGATGGCAGTCTCACCTGTACTCACTCGGTCCCCTTCAGTGGCAACGCCCTCGTCCAGTGCCGCGATCAAACCGGTCAGGGTATCTTTTCAGGCCTCACGTAATGCGCAGGAAAGCCTACAGGTGCCTGAAACTTCTCAAACAGATGCAAACCGAGAACTCACGGAACAATTGAACGATGATGTTCGACATAAGTACATCAAAGGTATGATCGCCGTGTTTATTTGCTGATCTTCCTCCGCAATCGCTCTCATCCCGAGTCTCAGCATAGGACTGACAGATATTGTAGAAAAAAAGCTAGGTGAGGGTACCTATGCAGTAGTGTATCTCGGCCGGCTTCGCGCCGATCCGTCGTCATGTGTGGCTATAAAAAAGATCAAGGTCAATGCTGAATACAAGGACGGACTCTCCATGGATGCCATCCGAGAAGTAAAATACCTCCAAGAACTATCGCACCCGAACGTCATCGCCCTACACGATGTGTTCTCCTCCAAGGATCAAAACCTCAATTTGGTGTTAGAATTTCTACCTCTGGGCGACCTGGAAATGCTCATCAAAGATGGAAATATACACTACGGTGCTGCTGATATCAAAGCCTGGATGGGAATGCTTGCCAGGGGCGTTTGGTTCTGCCACGAAAATTTCATCCTGCATCGCGATATCAAACCAAACAATTTGCTTATTGCGTCGGATGGCGACGTTAAGCTGGCAGATTTTGGCTTGGCCAGATCGTTTGCTGACCCCTACTTGAACATGACACATCAAGTTATCACACGCTGGTATCGACCCCCGGAGCTGTTGTATGGCGCCCGGCAATACTCGGGTGTCGTGGATGTTTGGTCCATGGGGATGGTGTTTGCAGAACTCCTCTTGCGCGTCCCATTTGTCGCCGGCAACTCCGATCTTGATCAAATCTCCAAGATATGCGATGCGTTTGGCACACCGTCCGAAGACAATTGGCCTGGGGTCACGAAGTTACCACATTATTTACCCGTCGATCCCAACCACATTGTACCGCTTCAAGGTCGAGACTTTTTCCTTCGGCAATTTCCCACCGTGGGTCCGGTCGGTGCCGATCTGCTCATGTCGATGTGCGCGTTGGACCCCAGGAAACGGAGCACGGCACGCCAGGTTTTACAGCACAGCTGGTGGTCCACCGAACCCAAGCCAACGGCCAAGGATAACCTCCCCAAGAAAGCTGGCGGTACAGAAAAAATGGGCAATGATCTTACTAGAATGGGGGCAGATATTGATGAAACCCAGTTCGCACGCGCCTCGCGACAGTTGGATTTCACTGGGGCTAAGCGGTAAAGTTCGCAGCGTGGAGATATCATTGATAATTCAAATTATGGAACCAAATGCAAATGTTAGGAGTATGGGGTTCAAACATTGTACTTGGGACAGCCGCATTATTCCAGTAGTTAATAGTAAACTAGGGTGCTGGCGGAGTTGATCGTCCATTGCCATGCTAGGACCGTGCATCAACACACTTAAACTATCTAGTCTAGGGTTATAAAGTCCGCTGAAAGAGGCCCAAATATGGGGGTATAGTTACAGCCCAAAAACTACAGAATACCTGATGAGCTATCCCTACGGTGCTACGAACTTTGTATGCAATCCAATAAGTTATGCAGATATGTATAAGCCAAGAACACATCCACAGGGCTATATTATACCTTGATGAACATAGGGTGACCGATCAAGCCATTTTACGCCTACGCCAGGCGGGGAAGTCAACGATTGGATTGAAGCGCCCTTGCGGAATCCATCCTTGAAAAACCTAGACAGGGGACAAAAGTACCAAGGACCGTCTTAAACCTCTTGCCCCTTGAGCTTTGACTACCAATGAGATACTAGTCCTGGTCCGTCTTCCAAGGTTATTGTTGGTGAGCCGCTTCCCCGGGCCGCTTAGGTCTGACTACCTCTCTCGTAGTAAGTAGGAAAGTAACCAGGTACTCGACGGAGGACAGCGGACGATGTACTCCGATCTGTATTTCGTACGGAGTATGGAGTATCTCGTACATTGTATCTAAGCAGATCACTTAGTTAGGAACAAGACTACTGACATTGGCCCCTGTATATGCTATCCAGTGTATCCACAATATCAATACTCGTCTGTTCTCTAATTTGGTGCCTGCAAATCGCAATCTTAGACGGGAGACGCGAGTCGTAAAGTGGTCCATGATAAGCTTAACTATACGTATGATCATCCAACTCTGTCTTAAGTTCTGAACGATATTTAAGATTTATTTCGTGAGTCTTGCCACGTGAAGCAGCTTGAGTTTGGTACATTCATAGTTATCTCACACGAGAAAAAGAGTTTGTTATCGTTGGTTAACAAATCCACCTAAACTTTAAGGATGGGGTGGCCCGTGGTTCTGTATTTGATACCCCGTACCTGATGGGATATGCGGGAACAGGTGTTGGTGAGCACTATCGGTTCTAAACTAGTGGGTGCCCACTTAGGATGATTACCTGTAATTTACCATCTGGCAGGTCTTTACTGAGCTTACTCCTTGTCAAAGGTACGATTATAGAGATGATGATCCATCTCTCAGCAGGTAAAGTTGATACCGTACCTACAGGTACCAGGTACCATTACTAGCCCACCTAGTATCTACTATTAGTTGATACATATGGTATACCCGTACGTAAGACCTTATTGTCCTCGTGGACAGAATCTTAAGTTTATTAGTATTCTACAAGCAAGGCACAGTGTGTCGTATACCTGTAGTATCATGTATTGATCGGACCGTTCCACCGCAACATACTGAAGTTCTTTCGGGACGAAGAAAGGACATGTCGAAAAGCATCATGATGGACAAATCCAATAAATTGCTCCGGGTCTGGAGCTCGAGTTAAGATAAGAAGAACACGTTAATTGATTAGTCTCCCCTTGGCACGTTCTCCCCATCCGCCATAGAAACCGCCCCCCTCCTGTTTCCCCTTTCATCCAGAAATTAGCATCCACATTTTCTGTCCCACGGTTCAAGACGCGCCTGGAGTTGACATTTGAATATCGGTCCCCAAACAGGCTTCTCAAAAAAGGCCGGGACTAAATGTGTCGCGTCTATGATCAATTCCTCCGTTCCTCTGACTCGACTTCCTCCGCGGTCGAAATAAAGACGGGGCCCCTCTTTCCTGGGCTGTTTGTTTTGGGCCTGTATCTTTGATCAGCACTCGGATCTCCCTTACCCACCACGACTCTGCCATTTCGACGCCCATTGGTGTCGTAAGCGGCCTGCTGTCTGTCGCACGTCAACTCCGTTCATCCTTCCACGGCGACAATTATCTGAAGGGCTCAGCTACAGCCTGGATCTGGAATGCGATCGCGGTGGAGCTAAACACTTACTCCACCTCCTCTCCAAGGGTTTACCTTACCTGTTCCTCCGGATAAGGTCATTTAATTGGTGGAGATTCCATCTCTGTTTCTCGTCGGATCCTTCTTTGCCTCTTCCACCTTCTGTACCCGGCAGCTCTGTCTCATCACGAACAAGGCCACAACACCCTGGAAACGCCAGGCCCCAGGGATTCGCCCTAGCTACAACCTTCCCTTTGGTCTACCGGCATATATGGTGCCAGAAATTTGTACGTCCTGGCCCTTTCGCCCCCTTCTTTCCTTTCGTTCCCCAATTTCCAGTGGACCAACTGGCGCCTAACAGTTAACCCTTGAATATATAGGAAGCTCCCGTGATCAAACCCCTGCTTTTCTGTGTAGATATCGCTCACGCGCGTTGACTTGGTTCAACATACTACATCCTCCTATCACAAACCGATCAAGTCAAGCCGTACGGGTATCTAGCAGCATTGCGCAGAAGAACCATATCATGTCGTTATCCCAACACGCGCGCCCCGTTGGGGACCCTCCAGCTGGCGCTATACCCCCGCTCCCGGCGCCGAAGACGAGGAAAAGCTTGCTCGTGCCAGCGGATATATCGAGGTCGACATCACCGTCCAACCTGCCCTCCAAGATGAGAACCCCATCAAGCCCCAGACCCTCGCTCAGCAAGTCCCCACTGTCCAATTCCGCTTCCAACCTCGGCTCCCCACGGTCAATATCCGGCGGTCGAACGCCCAGTAGTCCGGAAAAGTCTTTGCGCAGAACAGTCAGTATCGCGGCTTTCCCCCAACCACCAAAGGGCGGAAGCCGTCCCTCCACTTCGTCTTCGCTTTCGGGAATTCAGAACGTTCACTCTGCTGGAAGTGTCAAGGCGAAGAGAGATTCGAGGGTCAGCGTTCGAACAACCAGCAGCCACCGGAGCTCGAAAACACCATCTCTATTGAACGGGGCGGCCGAAGGCAAGTCGATCCTGAATTCGGAGGCGCGAGACCAAGAGGGGTCCCCCTCCCAAAGTCGGAACTCGTCTGCACAAGGATCCTATTCCACTAGTGCAACCACATTCGATGACGTGGATGATGCAACGGGTCACTCGAAACCCGGTTCCAAGTCTAAGGAAGCAAAGGGCAATGTGATCGTGAGCGTCCGTGTTAGGCCTGAACCGGGCGGGGCTGAAACCCCCAAGGCTAATGGCGACTGGATGGTGGATGGACGACGGGGTCTCATCTCTGGCGGGGGCAAAGAGGGTGGTGATTATACCTATGGTAAGTACCTAAGGTCTTCCTGGGGCTTCCACATGTGACTAACAGAAGAGTGGTTTTCTTACGGCAGATAATGTTTTCTCGACACAGGAGCATAACGCAAAGGTTTACGATTCCGCTGCAAAGCGCCTTGTACGACGAGTTATGGAAGGATACCATGGGACGGTCTTCGCCTACGGAATGACCGGTACTGGTAAAACCTTTTCGATGCAAGGGACGGCAACATCGCCTGGCGTTATACCGTTGGCAATCACAGACATATTCTCTTTCATTCGCGAAACGCCACATCGAGAGTTTCTCCTTCGCGTCAGCTATCTGGAAATCTACAACGAAAAGATCCACGACTTGCTTTCTCTTTCCAGCGGAGGAGCCACCACCCAGCAAGAGGAAATCAAACTACGCGAGGACAGCAAAAGGGGAGTGTATGCGACACCTTTGCGGGAAGAAATCGTCCAGAGTCCGACACAACTTCTTCGAGTCATTGCAAGGGGTGACCACGCCCGAAGGACAGGCAGTACACAGTTCAATGCTCGCAGTTCTCGAAGTCACGCAGTCGTCCAAATTGTCGTGGAAAGCAGGGAGCGAGCTCCTGCGGGAGGTGCTCATGACAGACGGTCAGGCATAGCCCCTGGCGGAGTGCGTGTGTCGACGCTTAGCCTGATTGACTTGGCTGGCTCTGAACGCGCCGCAGACGATAAAGAACGGCGTACGGAAGGTGCACATATCAACAAGAGTTTGCTCACTCTAGGTACAATCATATCAAGACTGTCGGAGACCAAAGAAAAATCTGGTGATGGTGATGGCAGGCACTTACCATTCCGAGACAGCAAACTGACACGACTTCTCCAGCCTGCGTTGTCTGGAAACTCGCTTGTCAGTATACTGTGTACCATTCAACTGGGCGGGGCCACCAATTCCCATTCCAGTGAAACTATGAACACCTTGAAATTTGCCTCTCGCGCCAAGAATAGCATTGTCAGTCATGCTAAACGAGCAGAAGAGGCTTTCGGGGGTGGCGGCGGAGATGCAGGGAGTCGAGTTCTCTTGGAACGCTATCGGATGGAGATCCAAGCTCTTCGCGGCCAACTCGAGAATCAGACAAAAGAACAGGCCGAAAATACTATGAAAATAGAAGAAGAACAGTTTGAAAAGGAAACCCAGGCTCGCCACGAGGAACAAATGCTGGAGATGCAGTTGGCTCGGACAGCATTGAAGGAACGAATCGAACACCTCAACCGTCTGATCCTCTGTTCCAAGTCAACCGGCGTGAATAGCCATGGAAGCATGTCCGTCCTTGGCCGGTTCTCGCGATTGTCTGCAACGGATCTCGGATCTCGGTCTTTGCGCTCTTCGGCCAGTCAGTCAACCTTAGCGGCGTATGGACACACGCTTAGTCGACCTGTTTCTTTTCTCTCTGCGCATAGCAACGAACCATCCGGCACTTTGCCTGGCTCGTTCAGCAATGAAGACGAAGACGACGTGATGGGTGAGTTCGCGGATGGCAATGCCAGCGCCCAAGCACAGATCACGGCCCTCCAGGCTGATCTTACCGACAAAAACCGATATATCTCCACATTGGAAAGGCGCTTGCTGCAAGCAAGGCGTTCCAGCCAATCCCGGATGTCAGTGGGAGCAAAGTCTGGAACTAGCGTCTCGGAGAGCCCCGATGCTACGGCTCTGCTTCGTGAGAAAGACATGGAAATAAATGAACTTCGCCAGCAACTTGATGATAAAGACCGAATGCTCGCCGCATTCCGTTCAGCCGCCCGACATCGAGATCTGGCACACATCACCACGGACACTCGTCCTCTGAGTACCAATGACAAGCCAGATATCAATATAGGCGGCCAACCTCTAAAGGCTGACTCCGATGGCGACCTTGCGTCCAAAGGAGGGGAAGCAGAGGAGAAGCGAAGGAGAAGCATGGACGATGTATCACGGATCTTGGACGAAATGATCCATGACCGCGTTAAGAGCGGACATCTAGTGAAGGGCGCTCGTGGGAGTGTACGCATTCCTACAGAAAGCCGACGCGCGTCCGAATCCATGATGAACGTCCAAGGCTTGAACCCAAGCAGCCCCCTCAAATACAATCACAGACGGAGACGGAGACGGACCAGACATCGGCATAAATCTGTCCTTGGTTAGAGCTGTCTTTGTTTAAGCATGATCTTTCTTGTCTTTCCGGGCCATGTAACCACGCCCTTTCCTTTTCTATTTCCATCCGGCTTTTTTTCTTGTTTCTCGCATGTATGCAATTTGCTTCAGCTTCATGTTCGTCAGATACCCAGGATACTTGTTTTCGTTGTTATATAATTCAAAACATTCGTGTCCCGGCTCAGCCAGAACATAACATGTCAATTCTTCAATTCTTCAATTCTTCTCTGGTTCAAGGCTGGTTTTTCCTTCTTTCTTCAAGGTAGAGAGGGTCATGCCTCGATGTTATACCAACCGGTTGACCCATCAAAAATTTCTAGTCCGAAGATGTGATCGCGATTGTCTGGGTTTCTCTCCCAAAGATTGCAAGAAATCCCCAATCTCTAGAGATATATTTATATATATAAATGCACGGCCAGCCTCTGCTTTCTGCGATGCGCTGTTCGGGGTTGTTTCCGACCAATGGCTCAATTATAAAAGATTGAAAAATACACCTGTGTCGCTAACATATATAAATATATACAAATGAGCAATTAAGGCCATGATAACCCACATTCGTAATTATTGAACCATGGAATCAAGCAACAATCTCCAGCTCTGAGACTCTATCCTTAGCATACTCGTCCCTCCACCGTTCCCACAACCTCTCAAGCTCCTTCACATATTCGTTATGAAGTTGATCGATGTAGTTGTCATCGATCTTGTTTCTGTCCTTTTGTTGAACGACCGGGATTGGACGACCAACAACGATGTTCAAAGGGCGGCGGTATGGCATCAAGCCAACATCGTAGTTGAATACACCACGAGCATGGAACAGGGGGATCGTGAAGCCCATGGTCTGCTTTACCAGCATTTGCAGTTTGTGGATGATGGGATGATGGTCCGAGCGCACTTGCTCGTAAAGATCATTTTCGCCGAATGCTAGCACGGGCACCAGATCAGCACCCGTGCGAACAGCGAGTTTTACGAACCCCTTGCGGCGTCTCAGTACAAGACGTAGTGAGTGAGGTAGGGCATCGAGAGATTCACGAGCGCCGCCAATAACAATGGTGATGGCCCGACCCATTCCCTCCCCGTCGCTACCACCCTTGGTGAGCAGATTCTCGCACGATTCTCGAGACACGCTCGCGACGCCCATGGCCAGCGCATATTCTCTGTAGAACGGGATTCTGAAATTCGAATCGAGGGTGAGCAGCGTATTTGTTATTCCTGGAAACAGCCTGGAAAACCCAAGGGCCTCCGTCGAGAATGCTGCGAATGCGCCATGCGAGATGATTCCGTGTGGGTGATATCCGAATATGTACTTTCGCGTTGGCAGGAGAGGTTCTGAGCGATGCAAGCGCGCAGGAAAATACGATGCATAGATCGACCAGATTGGGAGTGAGCGCAGGAAATTGCACCTGCCGCTCAAATTCCCCGATGTGGGAGCCGTAGAGAAAAGAGAGATATAGACCAAGTACGGCACCAGAAACGGCCAAGACAAGGGGATGGCACAAGTGAAGAAGAAGATCGTCAAGAATATAGCGATTGTTAGGGTATGGCATAGGACCACAAATGTCTGCAGGCGCCGTTCAAGACCAACATTCAAGGGGGCCCAACGAATACCGCTATTGAATATTGTTAGATACGTCGTCGTCATTCGTTATTTAAGTGGATAATCGACAGAAGGGAGATCAAATTGGCCAACCTTTTCTGTTTATTCTTCGTAGCTTCCCGAGTATTGCCAGCAGTAGCTCGACCATGCTTCCGTTCCTCTTCCGGTTCCAGGTGACTTTTTTGGTTGGTAGTATCGGCACTGCCATCTTTGGGCGTATCACGCTTCCCGTTTTCCATGGAAGCTCCATGTTCTTCATTCAAACGTGCGCTCATATCTGCGAGCAATCCAATATTTCCAATAGGCTACTGGAAGTTTCCAGGAAGTTGATACAAGATCGCAGGACAGCACTGTGCCTGGTACCTATCAGAGGCGGGCACAGGTTGCAGCTCGGGGTGGTTTCCAGCAGTTCGGCGATAAGTAGAGCCCGGATCATGCGGTCGGGCTACGGTGGCGGGGTCCAGAACCATGGATAGGCGGTAAAGCTATTTTCCCACTCACCGCCCGGACATTGTAATGGCAATGGTGAACGATAAGAGAGAGATAAGGAATGTATGGAATGGTACTCCGTAGTAGCACTTGCTCATCCTCGCCGTATGTTATAGGGCTACAATCGGACCTGTCCCGGGTTTTCCAACTATATGGTTTTGATATATGACGAGCGCAGTATTATTGTTATAGAGACGATGTTCATTATTTGATTGTTCGATATTCTATGAAGCCGTCAATACCAAAACAGGCCTGGCCAAGCCCACAGTCCGCCAGGAAGCTAAGAACCGTATGTTTCCAAAGCCCTTTCTATACATGCCAGCTATGTTTTGACTGGTCTTGAAACTTGGAAACACACTCCCTGAGGAGCGCAGCATAGCCAGTGCGTCTCGGTCAAAGCCAGGTGTGTCTGTCACCCCTAACCAAGATGCTTCCACGGTCTAAGGTCGTAAGATTTGTGTATGTTCTATAGTCTTTTGCTGATCGAGATTGACAAGGTCATTCAAGTATTGTGGCGCAACCCAGTCAAGATAGCTGGCATAAAGATTGAGATATTATTGTGTCAAGTCCGAGCGATGTTACGATTTGATCATGAATATCTGCAGCAGTTAGTATGGAAATCTTGTCATACTACTCAGTGACATGTTAAATACCTCATTCAGAGACTTGTCATCCATGACAGCCCTCTTTTTTTGTTGAATATGTCGACTTCTGAAGATCTGTCGTCCAACTGGGCGGCGTTCCCTCGAGATTGGTTTGACATCTGACGATGATGAATCCTTGGGCTCCCCTCGACTGGCCGTGGATACCGAATTTGAATCCGAGGTGCCCTTGTCTAGGCTATCATCTTTGTTGTCAATATCCTCAAGCTGTTTTCGTTTCTTGTCCTTTTTGGCTCTTTTTTCAGACTTGGACAGTCCTTCGTCGGCCTCGCAACGCCGACTCTTCTTCTTCTTTTTCTTCTCTTGGCGGTCTGATTTATCTTCACGCTCGGTATCATCGGCCGCGCTTTTGTCGCTGCTTGATTTTTCTGCGTCCAAAGCACTGGGTTTTTCTTGAGCCAACAAGCCGCCGCTTATGAATCTGACTGTCTGCCATTTTGTCGCAGTATATTGAGCCACCTTGATTTCATCCCGTTTTTGTTGATCGGCTTCCAATTCTGCATCGGACTTTCCGTTGAGACGACCTAGCAATCCCTTGAAAGCATCAAGACCGGTGGGTTCACCCAGAAGGTCACGCCCCGGCCGTGCTCCCAGGCCGAGGGTATCATCTTTGAGCGTCACTTTAATGTGAGATGCACTCCCAGCGGTGAACATGTCAGCATGCGCTGCATCTCGTGCGCCGAGGAAGCTCCCAGGAGTCCATCCCTGGGAGCTCATGATTTTATGTCCGAATCCACTGGTCGACCGCGACCAGTTTGTATTATTGGGGTCATGAGAAATCTTGGTTCTCCTATAGAGACGTTAGCCATGTCGGATCCATTTATGCTGAATCAAAAAGTGCGACTGTACGTACTTGCGAGGCGCTGATAGACCCATCTGCGATTGGCAATTGCCCTGAAAGTGAGCTACGTTATATAAGGGAAGAAATGGGAACCGGCAAGCATTGAAGGGAGAAAATAAAGTGGAAGGTAGAAGATCAAGGGTTTCTCAAACAGCATCAAATAATAAATCTACCACGGAGTAATGAATAACTCCACGATACTCCTGCTGATTTGGAGATTGTTGACCCGGGAAAAAAAAAGAAAAAGAAAAAAAGAAGCATGATATGGGTTGACCGCCTACGGGTCTAGGCCAAGCGTACCAACATTCTAGCGGGGTTTGATGTAATGATAGATTACATGGACTCTTCGAGGCAAGTCGGTAATTTATAGACTCAACTCCTTTTACAAGAAATCGGCTCTTCAACATAGAGGGAAACAAGCACGTATTTTGTGTCTATTCCAAGTGGAAACCCTAGTGTCTGAGAATACTTAGTAACAGGTAAATTTGCTGACAGTTTTGGCAAGCAAATTACACCACCACCTTGTCCAAGGTGTTCGACGATTGGCCTGACAGTCAATGTAATTATCGTCATCTTGTCTATTGAAACCATGTCGAACTTGAGGGTCCTTTCTAAGGATTACCCTAGACGCATTCTCGCCCTGACAACCAAAAACCACGCCTTGATATTCCAATATAATTTGCCAGAGCAGTCGATCAATTCTCAACAGCGGTATGACAATGTACCCCGTTGCCAGGTTGAATTCGCAAGTCTACGTTCAGTAGACTTGACAGGCTATCGTGTGCTTGGTGATGGACATGGCACGCTTGGTTTAATTACCCTTGATGAGGACGTTTTCATCTGTGTTGTTACTGGTTCCTCCAGAGCTGCCACTGTCCGACCAGGAGAAACAGTCTCACGAATTGATAATGTGGACTTCTGTACGTAGACTATCCCTGCGGTGCTTGTCATTCCGCTAACCAACATTAGACTGTTTGAATCGCTCGGACCATGATGCGATTGACAATATTTCAGAGGCCTCTTTTGGAGCTGAGGAGCTTCACAATGGAGCTGGCTTTGATGGCAAAGATTCCATCACTGATCATCCATTTCTAGCTTTGAAAAAGCTCCTCAGTGATGGTACATTTTACTATAGTCTAGATTTCAACCTCACAGATCGGCTTCAGGATCGGTGAGACGGTACGAATGTCCAGGCGTTTACCGCGTAGTTAACATCAACTCTAGGTCAGACAAGGCTGCGGCGTTGGACGTTGACGCCCTCAATGAGGACATGCTTTGGAATTTACATATGATCCACCCTCTGCTTCTTTTCAGAAGCCACCTACCATCTGCTGATAGACGGCACCTCGACAACTCACAGATTCTGACCTGTGTTATCCGTGGGTTCTCCGGCACTCTGACTATCCCCGCGTCGGTCTCCGTTCTTCCTCACGCGCAGACCCATTTCCCTTCTGCTATAACTATAATTTCGCGCCAGTCTTCTCGAAGGGCGGGTACAAGGTTCAATTCACGCGGCATAGACGATAATGGCAACGTTGCAAATTTTGTTGAAACGGAAATCATCCTCTGGACCCCTCCTGGTATCACCTTTTCTTACGTTCAGGTTCGTGGCTCGGTCCCTATTTTTTGGGAGCAAGCTGCTGTGTTTCTGCCAGGGCAGCAGAAAATTGAAGTCACTAGATCCACCGAAGCCACGCGCCATGCCTTCAACAAACATTTTGAGGCTCTTGAGCTACAATATGGAGCAGTACATGTGGTCAATCTTCTCAGTGAACTAAAATCCGGGGAGGCTGAGCTTTCTGCCAAGTTTCAAGAGCATGTCAGATCTAGTTATAATAAGCAGAAAGCAGAATCTGGTTTGCCATCTGACCACACACTTCTGCGGATGACAAATTTCGACTTTCATGCTGAGGCTCGCGGACCTTTGGGATACGGGGCTAGCAGCCAAATCAAGCATGAAATATCTCACTCCTTATACGGCTTTGCCCATTTTCTGTCAGAAGAAAACAACACGACCATGTCTACTGACGAAATACCCAGCCCGTCAAGCAGATCTTCTGTAATTTTGCAACAGGAAGGGGTCTTTCGGACCAATTGTTTAGACTGTCTCGACCGGACCAATCTTGTGCAAACAATCATCAGTTCGATGGCCCTTGAGGCCTTTGTATTACAACAAAGGGGAACATATAGTTCTGATATTCAACTGAGGCATTCGTCCCTCTGGGCTGACAACGGCGATGCCTTGTCAAAGATATATGCCGGTACCGGCGCATTGAAAAGCTCTTATACGCGCCATGGCAAGATGTCTTTTGCTGGTGCGCTCGCAGACGCACGCAAAACTGCTACGCGGCTTTATGTCAGCAATTTTGCAGACGGAGGCCGCCAAAGAACTATGGACCTTTTATTGGGGCGATTAGCTGATCAGGTGCCAGTGCACATCTATGATCCAATTAATGATCTAGTGTCAGAGGAACTGCTTCGGCGATCGTCAGAGTACTCATACAAAAAAAGCATCAAGATCTGGACTGGAACATTCAACGTCAACGGACGTCTCCAGGGACCAGAAACAGATTTATCGCCCTGGCTGTTGCCCAGACTCAGCCAGCAAGATGATGATCCACTAATCTACGCAGTTGGATTCCAGGAGATTGTAGCTTTGAGTCCGCAGCAGATAATGTCGACAGATCCTACTACTCGCAAAGTGTGGGAAAGTGCAGTCAAGGATTGTCTCAATGCTCGTGCTGAATCGAGAGGAACCGCAAAATATGTCCTCTTACGGAGTGGTCAGCTTGTGGGGACTGCTCTCATGATCTACGTGAGGGAGGACGCGTTGAAAGATATAAAGAACGTTGAAGGGAATATCAAAAAGGTCAGTCAGTGTAGCTGCCTGATTAGCTGCATACTAATTTCTTCAGACTGGACTTTCGGGTATGGCAGGCAACAAAGGCGGTTGCGCAATCCGCTTGGAGTTTTCTAACACTCGGATATGCTTCGTCACCGCCCATCTTGCAGCGGGCTTTGCCAATGACGATGAAAGGAACAGGGACTATGATACCATATGTCATGGTTTGAGATTCCAAAACAACAAATCCATTGAGGACCATGACGCCATCATATGGCTCGGTGATTTTAATTACCGTGTTGGTCTTAACAATCAACTTGTTAGAGATCTCATATTAGAGGGAAACTACCAAAAGCTTTATAACAACGACCAAGTACATTTACCTTTCAAGTCGTCTATTTTTGCCTGCTAACCGCATAGTACAGCTTAATCTCAACATGTTGAAAGGGAGGTCCTTCAGGTTTTACACCGAGGGACCAATTATGTTTCCCCCGACATATAAATTTGATATATACAGCGATAACTACGACACCTCGTAAGGCACCAACTCGTGAGTCAAGGTGAAAACTAAGTTTGTCTAGGGAAAAATCACGTATACCTGCCTGGTGCGATAGGATCTTATGGAGGGGTTCTGGCCTTTCGCAGTCGAATTACGACTCGGCAAAATTGTACATTTCAGATCATCGTCCGGTCTGGGCTATCTTCTCATGTACAATCAGCGTCATCGACGAGGATAAAAAGAATACGCTCAGGCGTACTCTGTACACGGAAAGACAAGATGATGTCCACAACATCCTGTCCAATAAACTCGACCAAACAAACATGGGAGACGAGGAGGTATCTCAACCCAAGCCCAGTGTCTCTGAATTGCCGTTGGCTAGTTCAGACAATCATAAATGGTGGTTGGAAAACGGTATGTGAAACACAATTTTCATACGCAACCCAGCCTTTTCATTCAACATTTCCGCTCCCCGTTATGCTTCCGATCTTATAAGCATCCAACCCTAACCAGTCTATTAGGCGCCCCTGCCAAGTCATTGGTGGATTCACCTGATGGGTATATCTTAAATCCTCATCGCAGATCCAATCCATTCTATTTTGATGAAGAGGACGACTGGGTCTCTTCGCCCAACTCAACAAACACCCAGTGGATTACAAGAAAGGGTGATGATATCAGTGGGGGACACCGCTATCCACCGAGGGATAGTACTCCACCAAACCGCTCGAGTATGCATGGTGATTTGCTTGACTTTTCATCGGAACACGAATCCGAAAACACCGGAAGTGTCATTGCTCAGACACAGCTCCACACTGCACAGAAAGCACCACCAATCCCACGAAAACCCGTCTCACTGATCTCTCAGCAAGGAAGGTCCATGCCTATGTCAGACAATAGCATGTCAGGTGCTGATGCCCATAGTTTAAAGGGACATCTTGAAGGTGATATACGCTGTGATACTTCCTCAAATCTGATTGATTTGGCTCACATCCACTCAGGTGAAGACAGTAATTTGCTTGATGGACATGCAAGTGAAACTCTCGGTTGGAAACCCCTTCTCCCTCAATAATGCTTGATAATGCAACACATCCTTTATAACTCGTGCATCAAAATCTCCTGTAAAGTTTACGGTTTGGTTTCTGGGTGCCTAGTAGCCTAGAACATACTTTGAGATAAAACATTCTTCCCTTCCCCTTTATAAACTTGCACTCGACGTAAAATGGATTGAACAAGAGAAAGTTTATTTCTGCGATATCGATTGGACAAATCAATGCTCTATAGGGTATATCCGCAAGTCACAGCAAGCTAAAGCCTTCCATGACTTCCAACACCACGAAAGCCTCCAAGCTTCCCAACCTAGAAAGAAAAACGAAACGCACAATATTGACAACTGTCCACAAATCTAGTAAGACAAAACATGAATTTACCTACAACCCCGAGGCATGAGAAACCAATCCCGTCAAGACGAGAGGAAAAGCCATGCCACACCAAAGTAGACCAACATAACTAGACCGAATCAAGGATTTATAGTCCAAAGCTCAAACCACCTTGCAGAGTCATGTGTGATTCCGGAGATCTGAGCGATGACTATATTTTGATGACCCAGTCTGTCACATAACACGGCAGCAATTTCCGTGCTGGACGACTACTTTAGGCTTTTTTCCCGCTTTTAAAGCCTTCTGGAATTTCCCACGGTGGTTGCCAACCATCCACATGGCGAAGGCCCCGGGATCGGGGGCTTTTGGCCGGGGTTTCTTAACGCCTGCGAAAAAATGTCAGCCTATTATGAAGGACATGTAGTGTCCCAGAACCGAAGCAAGTGAGGCAAAAGTCCAACTGAAGACAAAGCACCCGGGTCACCATATAAAGAGAGGTTTCATACCTATCCCCTCAAGTTTTTTCTTCGAATCGCCCTGGTTCGCAGCTTCTGCCGCAGGCGCCACAGAAGGTTGAGGTGGGGCTGAAACTTCAGAACCAGGAGGATCTGCAGATGAGGCGGGATCAGGATCCTTGGGTTTCTCCGGTATAGGCCACATATGCATTGTGATAGCCCAGTCCGGTTCAATGACGGTTTCCCAGACCTGTGGAAGTATTATGTCGCCATTTGGGCCGATCAGATCATAATGCCCTTCGGCGACATGAGGCCCAATTATCTCGATGTGGAGGAAAGCTTGGCGGATGAGATTTTCCATTCCCTTCACGCAAAGGGGTCAGACACGGCATAGAGAGCTTTTTGGGGTTGCGATCAAACGAGACAAGGGGGTGCCCTACCTTCCAGGTGCAACATAGATCATAGGGGAAGCTGAACTTCCTACCCACGGCATCTTTGAATTTGATTGGTTTCTTCTTTTCCGCGGATTTACTAGCAGCTGCTGCGGTTGCAGCAGCAACAGCTTCTGCTGCCGCTGCATTTGCTTTGTCGGTAGCCGCTGCGGCCGCCTCCTCTGCTGCCGCTGCCGCTGCTGCCGCTGCAGCTTCCTCTGCCTCTTTCTTGGCTTTTGCAGCCTCTTCCGCGGCTTTTTGCTCTGCCTCTGCCCTAGCTTGAGCAGCGGCTGCTTCCGTGATCCTCTTCTCATGTGCAGCGCGCTCTTCTCTAGCAGCTTGCTCGGCGGCTTCCTGCTCGATTGCAGCCTGGCGTGCCGCTTCCCTAGAATCTCTAGCCTCGCGCTCGATTCTCTCATCCATTATTAGTTTCTCTAGTCGCACGAGTGCCTCATCTTTCGCGGGATCTGTAGGCTGTGGCGCTGGAGATCCATTCGACTCAACTTGGCTGGGAGAAGGCACACGAGGGTAGTTGTTGAAATAGGGCGGAAGCATCCCGGGAACCATTGCATATGGCTCTCTAAATGGATAATAGTTCCCTGGACCATAGGGAACCATTTCATTGGGACCTAATGGCGGGCCGCCATATTGCATGGGGCCACGGGATGGCGGCATGTGATGAGTGATTGAGTGTTGTGGCGAGCTGTGACCGTCGCTTCGCAGATGAGAAGATGGTGTCGGGTGATGCACAGGCTGCCCCCCGTGGTGATCATGAAGGAAAAACGGTGGCATTGGCTGGCCGTGGGCGTGGGGCATGGAAGGGTTATAGCCATAAGCCGAATGACCATAAAGCGGCGGCTGGCTATGTTGACCATGATGGCCGACTCTTATAAGTTGATCGGAGGGGGGTTGCGATGCGCTTGGATGTGCAAATGTACCATGAGGCACAGCACCATTGGGATAGGTATATGAAGGCCCCGGCGAGGAGCTACGTGCATAACCTGGTCCCCGGGCCGCTGGTGACCAATATCTTCTTTCATTAGACGTCCGACCATAATGAGCACCATATTCATCCGCCGAGTCTATACTCTCTGGAGATTCTGAAGCAGGATGGCGGCGAGAGCGTCGTGGGAATGATTCACGCTCCGGCGCAAACTGACGTCTTGTTGAATGCCGTCGATCAGAAGACAAGCCACGTACCGGATTACGATTCCTTGCTTGATGTGATGTCCTAGGTCGAGAGGCAGAATCGGAAGGTTTTATTTCATCGGGGTACGATAAGTGCGCCCATTCGTCGTATGGGTCATGGTAATCATGACTTCCGGGAGGTGAAACCTGCACTCCAGAAGAATCCTCTTCATCGGATAACGAAGACCCATCCGAGCCATGAGGACTAGGACCAATTCTGATGTTAAACCTGTGCGGCCGTTAGAACTATATAGAATAGAGGGGGAGAGAGAGAGAGAGAGAGAGAGAGAGAGAGAGAGAGGAAAAATAAATAGAAAGTAAAGCTATGTATACTGGAACGTACGTCATTGAGTTTGCCTATGGGTTAGATACAACGCGAAGCACGGTATGCGATTGACACAATGTTGGCTCGCTCGAAGATCTCCCGGCGCTTTCAAGTGATGTTTTGAACACCATCAAAAGAGAGAGGAAATCCGACAAACTCGAGAGTTGTGATTGCCAAACAGGGGGAGGGAGGGGTTTTCCCCCCTAGAGATCTTAAAGAAAGGAAGGAAAGATATACAGATGATGTAGTAGTAGTAGTAGCAATGAAAAACAGAGGATGGAACGGAGGATATTGTTTGTTTTGTAGCAATCCTCGGGGTTGGTGACACAACTCAAGAGTGATGGTGGATTGGATTATCTTCGAGAATGCTCTCAATAATTCGCTCGAGGGCCATGGAATTAGCGCTAAGAGTTAATTATGCAACATGACATTGGAAGCAGCCCGAATAGACTCCTTGGGAGTGTAAACTAAAGGATGTAAGTTTCAGGCACGATTCCAATATGTGTGGTTGGAAAAAGGAAGGCAAAATAATGGGTGCAGAACAAAAAGTATAGACAGAAGCTAAGATAGAGGTGTGTGTGGATGAGGGGTAGGTACGGAAAACGCAGTCGAAAGTGGCGAGAGAAAGTCGACTTAACTAGTCTAACTTGCGCGTGAAACTGACTATAGTTGGGCCTTCGAGTGGAGTTTCGGGCATATCACTTTCCAAGAGGGTTTTTCATCTACGACCTTTTCCTGTTAGGCACTGAGCTGGCGACCTTATTTTGCAACACCGATTCGCCAGCGAGCTGCTGCCCAAGTGCCCAATGAACGTTGATGCCTTCTGCACAGTGGCCTGCAGCGACCAGGTACTGTATACAGTGTACATATCCCACAATTAAAGTTTTGTATTCGCTTCCTACACAATCATGATTATACACAATTTAGGGATGGTGAGTCACTCTGGTGTCTTCAAAGGCCCGCATGCCCACCAGCAACAGCACCTTGGGAAGCGATAGGTAACATTGCTCGGCTTGTGTCTCGAGTATTGCAATATAAAAAGTACCATGGTTTTTCCCATTAATGGTTCTGCGCTAACATACTAGTCTCTGGCTTCGTCAGGTTGTGTCCTGGAGGGAATCCAATAGCTCCTTCGCTGCTATAATTTCTCCTTGGCAGGACTCCCACAACTGATGATTCGATGACCGTAGTTCTATAATATGTTCGAGACGTCTCTTTGCAAAGATGTGTAACTTCGAAATTGTAGCTGCCGGGATTGTCTTTTCCCACTGCGCAGCTGAGATCTTGAATCCAGTATCTCCTTGTTTCCCATCCAACAAAGGTAAAGTGGCCTGGGAAGAGGTATCAATTAGGGGACCACATTTGATCATCGCAAGATCGATTAAGACTAACCATGACAAGGCCGTAAAACCCCCTTAGGTAATCATCACAAAGCTCAATGCTCCGGCAAAAGCATCGTATAGATCTTACTAAGTACTGGCCAGATGTCTCATCGCCCGAGCGAGCACAGATATACAAAACTTCGCCCAACCGAGCATGGATCTAATTCGATTCATGGATTTCAGCGATCTTTGGTTGGAGTAACATAATGACAGAGGTTTGTGGGAAAGTGACATGGGGAGTGAAACGTAGATATTGACTGACAATCCATACTTACATTCCAGGCATTGGCTGCAACCAATAGAGACTCCTCGAGACAGAAAATCGCTTGGTGTGCCATTCCCTGAGCCATATACAAGTCTGCAAGCTCGCACCACGCTTCAGCATCCGTGGGAACAGCCTTTAATATCTCCACCAAACTGGAGATTGCCTCCATAGGCTTCGACATTGAGCGCAAAATCGCGACTCGACGCTTAAGAATTGGCTGCCAAAAAAGGGTCAGTCCCTGGACGTCAATGACTACTTTGACACGAACCAAATTGACCGGATTTTCTGAAAGTATCGAGTCGTACTTCTGCAAGCATTTCTCTAACCCATTTGTTCCCTTTGCAACAGCTTCTTCATAGATGCCATACAAGCCAGAAGTTCGTTCATTGGAAGGACCAAACCGATCGCTTAACAATTCAAGACATTGTAGAGCAGACTTATCATCACCCGTTTGCAAACAAGACAAGAAAAGTTGTTCGAGTAAGACATAGTGGCTCGGATCTTCCTGTTGAGCTGGCAACAAATTTATTTTCGCAGAAGTAGCTTTTGCGCCAAGTATGATGGGCGCTTGTTGTGAGAATCTGACGTTATCGACCAAGCTGGAGCTGTGTGAATATTGGTCTTCTAGGGATGGGTGCCCCATATTGTTGAAAGATCGTGTCAGGACACAAGTTATGTTGCGAGTGAAACCACGTATAGTACTATGCGATCGTTCAAATCTGAAAGGTTAGACAATAAAGAGGATACAGACTTATAGGGTCACAAATAGCAATTTAGTAAATGGAAGGCTTGAGAGTCAATTGAGTGTGAGAAATCCAATTATCGTGTGTAAAACAAACACCATATAGGGGTCACCGCAAGAAGGTTGTCAAACTGCGTGACAATAGGTAGATGTACCTACTAACCTAGTTAGGTACAACGAGGTTACGTCACGTATCTTAGTCTGCTGATAGGCAGATAGGCGCAGGCCGGGGCGGAGGTGACGGCGTGACTAATCCTTGCTCCGAAACCACAATCTTGGTCAGAAGTATACCCACGTTCTCATCTGCGTCTCTTCCAACAGTTGTATGAGCATACATTATCCTTTGGGGATATTATGAAGTGTTATACTTGACCAACTGCTTTCCTTGACGATATGATGTATTAAAAACATGAGAGATATCTCGACAAAACCTGAGGCAGACTAAGACCATCAGCAACCGCTGACATCTTTATACAATATGTTAGTCTCGTTGTTGTGGTATATATTCTTGCTGACATTGTCGCGGCAGGTTTGAGAAATCTCTCTATGACCTTATAAAGGGTCTAAGAAGTCATAGAACTGCAGAGGATGACTATATACAGAGTAGTTTACGAGAATGTAGAGCAGAGGTCAAATCACAAGACATGGGTATGTTTCGCATCACTCCTGGCCCCAATGTGTCTGGCCGACGACTGAACAAATCTAGACAAGAAGGCCACTGCTCTTTTGAAACTGGTATACTTGGAGATGTTCGGATACGACATGTCTTGGGCCTCTTTTCACGTATTAGAAGTCATGTCATCCTCGAAATACCTTCTCAAGCGAGCTGGATATCTTGGAGCCGTACAGAGTTTCAGAACCGATACCGAGATCTTAATGTTGGCTACAAACCTGCTGAAGAAGGTACAAAATTGAAGTTCCTACCACGATCATTTTCGCTGTCTAATGCACTTGCAGGATTTGGCATCCCCGGGCGTCCCAAACATCTCGCTTCCTTTGATAACTCTGCCAAATATCATCACGCCTTCCCTTGCTATGTCGTTGGTATCAGATGTATTATCTCGAATATCTCACACGCATGCCGTTGTCCGTAAGAAAGCTATTGTTTGTCTGTATCGACTGGCCTTGGTTTATCCGGAAGCGCTCAATGTAGCCTGGCCAAAGATAAAAGACCGACTTATGGATGAAGATGAGGACAATAGTGTGACCACAGCTGCCATCAATGTCGTGTGTGAACTTGGTTGGAGAAGGCCTCATGATTTACTTCCATTGGCACCAAGATTGTTTGATCTGCTGGTGGATGGAGGAAATAATTGGATGGCAATAAAAGTCATCAAACTTGTATGTCAGTTTCCCCGGACCTGTAGTTCGTTTCTAACAATGGCAGTTTGCAACTTTGACACCTTTAGAACCCCGACTTGTCCGAAAGCTTCTTCGACCTCTGACAAATATTATCAGAACTACCTCTGCAATGTCTTTACTCTATGAGTGTATCAACGGCATAATACAGGGCGGGATACTGGACGGTGACGGGGCTGTTGATGAGACAACCGAGATCGCGAGTTTGTGCGTTGGGAAACTTCGTGGCATGATAGTCACTGATTCTGACCCCAATCGTACGTAATTGACGTCCACTGCCTCAATGATAGTGCTGATTGACTCACCAGTGAAATATGTCGCACTGCTTTCGTTCAACCGAATCGCAGGTTCATACCCCAGGCTAGTCTCAATGCACCAAGATGTCATACTGGGCTGTCTGGAAGATGCGGATGTTTCGATTCGTTTACAGGCACTTGATCTTGTATCTCAAGTAGTGACCAGTGAGACACTTGTGCCATTTGTCAACCAGCTAATCAATCAACTGGACGACGAACATCAAGTGTTCTCTGATGAATATGAGGCTGATGAGGGAGACATGTGCACGGAAAGTGGCATGTCTCCCAAACAATACTCAGTGCTTCACACAGGGTCTTCATTCTTGCCGAAGGATTACAGCATTGAAGTTCTACATCGGATTCTTGATATCTGCTCCTATAAGAACTACTCTAACCTTCTGGACTTCGAGTGGTACGTGGGTGTTTTGTTGCGACTGGTCAAACTCGTTCCCACAAGCAGTCGAGGAAATTCCTGCTTCCCATCTTGGCAAGGCCGCAATCAAGGTAATATCGGACACCGGATTGTTTCCGAAATACGCAATGTCTCTGTTCGTGTGAAAGAGGTTCGATCAGAGGCGACCACAGCAGCGGAATGTCTGATCCTCACCAAAGAGGATACAGTGTTCCCCGGGGTCACGGCAACGGGTGCCGATGTTTTAGGGCCACTCGCATGGGTTGTTGGGGAATTTGCACAGCACCTTCGATCACCCCGTGAGACACTTCTATCATTGATGGAGATAGCCAACACGCCAAATTCAGCACATGCGGTTCCACTTTCTATACAAGCAATCCTGAAAATCTTCGTGAGGACTATTCTCGCAGAAGATGTACCGTGGGATACGCAGGGGAGAGGAGAAGCTACAATTTTATTGACTCGCATTACTAGATTCCTCGAGGCTTTGACAGTTCACCCGGACTTGGATGTGCAGGAGAGGGCCATCGAATTTCTGGAAGTCACACGCTTGGCCGTGGATTCAATCCAGTCGGAAAGCCACGCAGCAGATGAGATCCCTTTTCTGCTGTCTTCAATCATTCCCGGAATGTTTCGTGGTTTAGAACTCAACCCGGTGGCTGCCAGCGCCCAGAGAAAGGTTCCTCTGCCGGACAATCTTTCCCTCGATGAAGCTTTCAAAAAAGATTTACCCGGCCTCTTCAGTTCTCGCCATAGTCGACCGAAGAAGCCTAGGATCCAATCATTCACGGAAGATTTCTATTATCTGCAAGGAACTCCGACGTCTGTCGAACAGTCTAGCCCCGGTGATTTCGGCTATGAGATTTGTTCCAGCCCGTCATATCAGAACCATACCATGCGAGATATAGACGGGGTGGCCGCTTTGACACTGAAGAAGGCAGAGCGAAGGGAACAGTATCGAGACGACCCATTCTACATCGATAGCGAGAATGGTGCAGGGAATTTGAATTCCATCGGTCCGGATGTACATGGGGTAGATCTTGATTCTATCCCGATAGTGAACCTGGGCTTGGAAGAAACTGGGAACTATCACAAGACCCCTGCAGGTCGCAGTAATCCAAAAGCTCCTCGACGAAAAACAAAAAAATATGACATTATGTCTGATGAAATGATTGGTCAAGATGATCCAACGGATTTGGAAGACTTCAATCAGACTCGCAAAGCTAGGTCATCTTTACTTCAGGTTGACTCAAGTGGATTGGGGCAGCTTCCCCTGGGAAATGACAGGCGCTTTTCACCCTCTTCGCACGATCCCACGCGGATTGGAGATGATGCGGAAATGGCGAAGGCAATGCAAGAAGTGGAGCGAATGCGTTTACAAATGCAGAGAGCATCAGAAAGGGTTCATCTTGAGGGTTTCCCTGCGGAAGGGACTTTGGTCAAGAAAAAACGGGGGGGTTGAAAGGTCATGATTTTGCCGAGGCGTCCGGGATCATGATAGCCAGAGTAATGATGATATTGCTATCCAGGTTAGCAAACCTAACAGAAAAGGGCACAAGCCTAGATCTGGTAAGAAGAAGAAGGAGAGAGCAAAATCTCTTTTAGAACAGGAGGAGTAACTTTGGTGACACTTTCTGAAAGATTTTGTGTTCTTTATCTATATCAAGTGCTCTTCTTTTGTTTGATTCTCTCCTTTTATTGTCTGCTGCTAGCTACCTTACGGGGGACGGGTAGTAGCACTACTACCTAGTGGTGGTAGTAGTCCTTATTATCCTGTCCTAGCTTGCCTAACTAATCAGCTGCCATGCAGGGTTGAGCAGGTCGCAGCTCTGCTTGGAAAAACGTATGGCCTGTAAAAAGAGAGACTATCGTAGTACTTATTTTCCGCCGAAGGGGGCAGTGAGTAGAGTGGGTTAACCTGACCGTTGTACCTTAACCATAACCTGACTATCAGGTTAAGATATAGATTTCTAATTAACTACCATGGCCAGGCTAGGTTAAAGCTCAAGATCTAATCTACCTACTATTAATTACTAGCTAGGAAGATTAGGTTATAATAAATAAGTTAATAATTACTAGTTAATTAATAATTAATATATTTATATTATTTTTATAATTTATTATAAATATTATATATTTATAATATAATATTAATACTCTCTTAATTAATAATTATTAATCTTATAATTTTTTATTCTAATTCTTTAAATTATTTATAATTAAGTTATCTAAATATTTAAGATTTAAAAAAAGATAAATCTTATAATTTATTATTTATTTTTTATATTATCTAGAATATTATTAATAAAATTAAAAAGATTATATTTTTTTAATTATTTAAATAATATATATAAATTCTAGTAATAATTTCTTCTCCTTTTTCTTATTTATATTATTATTTATATTATTAATATTCTTATTATTACTAATATAAAATAATATCTTTATTATATTATAATCTTTTTTCTCTTTTTTCTTAGATATGAAAATAATGAAGTCTTAGTTAATTTTATTAAGAATATTTTAATATTTCTTATTAATAATAAAGTAATTAGTATATATTTATAATATAATAGCCTTGATTATATTCGAATATAATTAATTATAATAATAATAATAAATATTATAAGAATTATTCAAAGAGATATTTAATATTAATATTATTAATTATAATTATAAGAAAGTCTTATATTATATAATAAAGAATAAAAAATTACTTATAATAAGATTTCTAGTAACTAATAATATTAGTTTAATTAATAATATCTTGTTAATAATTAGTAACAAGTAAAAATATTAATAAATATAATAATATATTTATTTTTTATATTTAGATAGGTTTTAAGCTTCTTAAAGATTTTTAATAAGAAAATAAGTTTTTATTATTTTAAAAGATAAAAAAGTATTTTATTTAGTCTAGATAAAGAATCTAAAATAAATAATTATATATTAATACTTAGATTCTAGTTATAATAAAAGTAGAATACTTTCTTAAAGATAATATAATATTCTTGATATTAATTAATATTATTATCTAGTTATATAATTATTTTAAACTTCTTAAGCTTAGATATAAGATTAAGAATAATTATAATAATATAAATATAATTTATTACTTAATATATTTATTAATAATACTTCTAGAGCTTCTTGTAGATTTCTTATATTTTTTTTAGAATTTATTATTTTTATAAGACTTTCTTATTCTTAAGATAACTAATAAAAATATCTAAATAATTAAAGAAATTATTATAAATATTATATATCTTATAAATAATAAGACTAGTATTTATTAAGAAACAGGATATAAAAATATAAAAGAGATATAAAAGCTTTAGAAGATATTCTAATTATTTTTATTTAATTAATATAAAATAAAGATAACTAAGGTTATAATTATTCTAATACTAAATAAATTTCTTAATTAAATAATAAAATTTTAATATATATTATATTATAAGATAAAAAAAAGTTTTATTAAGTCTTATAATTAAAAAGAAAATAATATATAAATCTAGAGTTTAAATACTAGATAAACTAAAATTATTTATAATATTATAAATTAGTATTTATAAATTTAATAATATTTTTAAATATTTTTAATAATTTATATAATATTACTAGATATATTAAGAATCTTATTACTATTTTTCTAGATATAAGAGATAATATTATTCTTAGTTATAATTTATAATTTACTTATAAAAAAAGTAATAATAAGTTAAATAATATAAGTAAGATATAAGATATAATATTAGTTTTAAATAATTTAGAAAAACTTAGAGTTAGTTATAATATTTTAAAATTATAAATTCTTATTAAATTAAAAATAAAACTATTTTATAAGAATAAAAAATATAATACTATTATTACTTATATTATTTATTATTATCTTTAATAAATAATTATAAAGATTATACTTATAAAGAATTAATAATATAATAATTATAAGAAATTTACTTATATAAGAGCTAGATACTAATTAAAAGTCTAGAATAATCTTATAATAATTTATATCTTTTATTAAGAAATATCCTATAAGTATAAGAAATATTTTTTAATCTAGACTTATCTAATAATCTAGAGTAATTAATATCTTACTAATTATTAGAAATCATAAGAGAAATTATATATATTTTTTATTAAATAACTTAAGTAATCTCTTCTTAATATACTTTTAATTTAATATATTTAATTAATAAGATAACAAGGTAGTAGCAAGATTAATTAATTATTTAAATTAAATATACTTAATAATTTAAAAGAATAAATAATAATAAAATAAAAACTTTAATTAAGAAAATCTTATTTATTATAAATAATTATGAAGTTCTAGAAAATAGAAGTTATTAATATTAATTAATATTATAAAAAAGATTACTTTACTAGCTTTTTATTAAGTATCTAGATTATTATTTATTTAAATATTATAAAGAAAGACTTTCTTCTATAATTCTTTTAAATATAATAACTTATTAAACTAGTTCTAGAATTTTTTATTAATAAGTATTAGAGTAAATAAGTATATAAGATATAAAAAATATAAGAAATTTTATCTAGAAATTCTATATTTTTATAAATTTTATTTTATAAAAAAAAAAATCTTTTTAATTAAATTAAACTAATAGTTTTTTAGTCTTTCTTTACTTTTAAGTCTAGATAATAATATTTTATTATTTTTAAAAGATAAGAATCTTTATTTAATTACTTAAATATTAAATAATTTTTTAAGTTTTAAAAAAATAAATAAAATTAAGATCAGGAGTAAGAGAATAAAAGAAATAATTATTAATATTTATTTAATTATTAATAAAGATTCTTATCTTTTAGAAATAATATAATATTATTTTATAAATATAAATTAAGAAAGTTAGATTAGTTTATTATAATAAGTAAAAACTCTTTATTACTAATTATATAAATACTAGAGAATAAAAAAGACTAATATCTAGAAGTTATAATAAGAAGAGAATATTATATTTAAACTAAAATATAATTTATTTAATATTTATAATATAATAATTATAATTAAGATAATATTAAGATATAATATAACATATTAATAATAATAAATATAATATATTATAATAACTATATATATAAAATAATAATAATACTATTACTTAGCTAGATTTAAACCTTTTTTTTAGTTATAACTAGATTCTTATAATTAATATAAAGAAAGCTAAAAAAGTCTTTTATAACTTTCTTTAAGTTAATAAAATTATATTTATAACTAATATTTTTATAAATTATAATTATTAATTATTAATTAAGAAACTTAATAATATTTACTCAAGTAATAATAATCTTACTTAGTAAAATAATAATTTTATAATATTAATTATTATAAGAATATTAAAAATATAAATTTTATTAAAAATATATAGAATAACTTATATATTAAAGTATTATAATTATAATTAATTAATTTAATATCTAATATAAGATTTTATTAAAATCCTAATATTAATATAAATAAAATAAAATTAATAATATAATTATATATATTTTAACTCTGTATCTTAATATAATAAGAACTTTTTATTAAAAATAAAGATTTTATTTATTATATTTAAAATAAAGAAGCTTTATAAAGTTAATTAAAATAAGATTAACTTATATTTATTTTTAATATTTTTTAAAGAATTAAATATTCTTTCTCTTATAGATTTTAAAAAAATTAGTTAAAATAATTAGATTAACAAGTAGTTAACCTGACTAGAATCTAAATTATACTAACTTAAATAAGTAAGATATAAGTGTCTTGACACCAAGAATAATCAAAATAATTAATTATTACTATTTTTTCTATACCATAGTCAGGTTAAGGTGAGGGTCCTTAACCTGGCCTGGCCTGGCTGTTGCCCACTCTAGCAGTGAGGATATACTAGAGACAACGGCCCTAGGGACGAGCTGAATATTAAGTAATATTCTATCACAAATTACAAGTGGTTTTAAGAGGAGATGATCATTATGGCACTATATTTTATGTAGGAGGTCTCTGATCCTCTGCATAAAGAGAAGGATTCAGTCACTAAATATATATACAGTCAAAAGAACACCTAAGTAAACATGTGACTCTAAAACTATGTATTAAAGATACTAGACCTATCAAGTAACTAAGAGAAAGCTATATATCATAATATATTCTCCTAATCTTATAAAATTATAAGATTAAAATATATATTTTTATATAATTATTACTTTATTTAATAATAATAAGATATCTAATATTTTTTAAATCTAGTATTCTAATTGTCATGACTAGAAATACAAGTCAAATACTTAGCTTAGTAAAGGTAGATATAGAATACCTCTACAGGTAGATAATAAACTAATAATAAACTAATATCTAACTAATAAGTACTTATTACTTATAATAAATCTTGAAAATTATTAAGAAAAGAATTTAAGTTATTTATTTTAAATTATATCATGTTTATTTTTTTCTATTTTATTATCTTATAAGAATATTTATTAATAAGTAAAGAACTAGCTACTTAAATAATATATTTTCAATTCTTTTTAATATTAGTAAATATTATGTATAATTTAAATTACTTTTAATTACTTTTTATAAGATATCTTAATAAATAATCTAATAATAAACTTATAAAAAAGAGAGACTTACTAATTTTTAAAAAATTAAAATTAAAATTATTATTTTTTTTTTCTAGTCTTACTTTTAACTAGAAAAAATCTAAAAAAATTATCCTAAAAATAATTAAAAAAAAACTTATCTTTATTATATAATAGCTTCTTAATAATAATAAAAAGAAAAAGTCTTAAAAAAGATACATTAAGATTTTTAAATTAAAATCTTTTTAAAAAAAAAAAAAGAATTATTATTAATATATTATATTTACTTATAATTTCTAGGATTATTTTTATATC